CCTATGGAAATATTAGTGGCTGAAGATGAGACAGGATATAGAATAATACATGAAGGAATGTGAAATCTGCCAATAAGAGAAGGTATCTACTCAGTCATGAGTGGCCTCACTTTATCCAAATGAGATTCTGCAAGGGCCTTGGACTCACATTTCAGTCAACATGATCACTGGTCTACTTGATTGTAATGACTATAATGTGATCATTGTAATCATTAATCAGTTCTCTAAAGCCATTATCCTGATTGCATGTTTGATAGAACTATTGTCTGAAGGGTGGACAAAAATTCTTTGTGACAAAGTCTATGCAAAATATGAAATACCACAGATTATAATCTCTGATCAAGAATCACAATTCATATCCAAGTTTCTTAATGATCTATATCACCTTTTAAACATTCAAAGTAATGCTTCTACCACATATCATCCCTAAACCAATGGTCAGACAGAGCATGTGAACCAGGAGATGGAAAAATATCTCTATATGTTCATTAATTACCAACAGGATAATTGAGTTAAGTGGCTTGCATTAGCCACATTTCAACATAATAACCATGTCTATTCTGCCATGGAGAAAACCCCTTTCTTCATCAATTATAGCCACTATCCAAACATATCACACACTGACTGACTACTGACTATGACATCCACTTTCTCAGATTTTATCTGCACCATGTCTAAAATCCATAATGAAACCCATGCTGCCTTCAAAAAAATAGCAGCATTCATGAAGACACAATATGACAAGCACTGCCACTCCACTTATGAATACTCCATTAACAACAAAGTCTGGCTTGACATGAGCCACCTACATCTTCCCCATCTGAAACAGAAGTTAGCTGACAAGCACACTGGTCTATTTTTAATCATTGCCAAAATTGATCTATTAGCATATAAACTCTGGCTGCCAGTTGGCTGGCAGATCTATGACATCTTCAACAAATCACTCCTTATCTCATACATCACTCCTGTCTTTCCAAATCAAAAATGCTCACCACCATCTGATCCCAAATTAATTGATGATGAAGAACACTATGAGGTTGACTAAGTTCTCAATCATCAGCTTCAAAAAGTCTGTGCTCATAGTGGAAAGTCATGAACAACCATTGATTATCTGGTCAGCTGAAAGAGCTATAGTCCTGAATCTAACCAGTGGATCAATGAATGCCATATGAATGCAGCTGATACAATTCATGATTATAAGCTCTCTCTAAATTAATCTATTGGAACAATAGTCTTAAGAGGGGGTAATGTTATGATTTTTTCATTTTTCTTTCTTAATTAACCCCTGTTTATACTTAGTCAGAGCACCTAGACCAGTGCTTAGAACCATGGGACAGGCTTAGTCACTATAATAGGCTGAGTCTGCCATTGTTCTCTGACAATAATAATATCCTTCAATAATAGATAATACTCTTTTGTAGATAGTCACAATGCTTAAGGACAACAAGCACTATAGCTTGAAAACACACAATTAGTAGGCATATATTTATATCTTGGACAAACAGTATATAAGTAGTATAGCTCTCACTGTATATCTCCAGCTTCAAGCTAAAGTTTACTCTTCACCACTTCATCTTGAGCTGACTGTCTTTGGCCTTAAAGCATTAGATCAACAGACACACATAGTGAACTCTGACATGATTGTATGAACTCAATACAGCATCAGTTTATCACATGTTTAGATCATATGCAACTTGGGCTTAACAAAAACTGACTTCAAAATATTGACATACAGCTCATTATTAATGATGCAGTCATATTTGTAGATAGTGCATCAAAAGCACTTTATGGAACCAGAGCAGACACTCTAGCATTACACATTGGTCTTTTTGCAGGCATTACAAGATACACTCATTTATAAAATAAGTTAGCAAAATTAAAAGTTTAAAGATAAAATGACTAAAGAACTTACAAAATAGCTGATCTTATCAGTCAATTCTCTCTTGAAATAGGCACTTTAGCATCTGATGAAGTCTCCAAAATCTTGATCTGAAACTAAGAGACCTATAAGTCTCAAGTCCCTATATTGGACTTCAGTTATATCTTTAGAGAAAGGCTCTCTAAAGCTGCTGCATTTGCAAACTTCTTTTGCTGTCTCTTCAGTAACATTACAAGAATGACTGGTACTGATTTTTGAAGCTATAAGCAAAAGATTCAGAATCAGCAGTGAAAAGTTTGAAAGAAAAGAAGAGAAACTTACAGCTTGCTTTATTCTTGCTTTTTTGTTTTTTTTGTATATTGAAAGAGAGAATAACTCTGTCAAAGGCACTTGAGAATAAGCACCACTGGTACTTCCTCTGCATCATTTTCAGCTAGGAAAGAGACACTATCAGTAGCAAAATTAAAATATCAGAAGAAAAACTTATGCTGTATGCATTTATTGCTTAAGCCAGCAACAGATAAAGATGTTGGTAAATGAGCCTCAGTAATAATGTGGACATTATGTACAGAAGATCTTAGTCTCATTCCAAAAGTGGTGGGAGAAATTTGATGAATAATTCCTGTAAAAAATATAATTTTCTCATTGCTAAAGCAATACATTTTATTTTACTTCTAAACATTTTTATTTCACTAACCACTTTCTACAAAGACACTACAAACCCAAGCATCACTATAAAGCCTTCTCACAGATGTCTGATGCATAAGTCAAATAGTAATAAAAGTTAGTCAAAGTGTTATCAAAAAGATATATCAGCAAGAATATAAGAAAGAAAGATGATAGAAGTAAAGAGAGAGGATGCTACTAAGTAACTAAACTAAGGTGGTTTGGTGATGGAGATGAAGAAAAGTTCATAATATTTTATACCTCAAAAACTATACACAAGCCAGGATTGACACTGGCAACTAGAAAGTTCATAGCCTTTTTAAACATTCTTACAATCATTTCTTCACTCTGTGAAGAATCCTAGCAAAAATGTCACAAAGTTCTTTGTGCAACCAGAAGTATGATTAGATATATAGAAACCTAAATTGGATATCAGAAATTACTGTCTAATAATCAAATGCATGTTACTATCAGAAAATATCAGAAAGAAGTTTGCAATAGAAAAATTCAATAGCAATTCAATGAAAAATTAAAGTCAGAGAGAGAGATGATAAGCCTTTAGGCTCTGTGCACTCTGAAATCATGTATCTCAATACTAATTTTCAACTTTAGCCCTTAAGCAGACTTTCAGTAAACCAATTGTTGCAAGCCCAACACACTTACTTTTGTTGTGAACTATCCACAACACATGAACTTTCATTAAAAAATGATAAACTATGTATCATAAGCATAGCAAGGCATAATGATGACTAATTAAATAGAATATACATCATTCCCAATATATATGCAGTATCCTAATACAGTCTACAAGGCCTCTCATGATGTGTATGCAAGGCTTGCTGCAGATGTCTAAGCTATTCACAGCTAGCATGTAGAAGGCTAAGACTAATCACATGTTTGGTTAGAGATTAGTAAGGAATATTAAAAGGACTATCATACTATTAGCTATGTGAACCTTTAAATATGCTATGCTTAGTACAATTCTCACAGCTTTGAAGGCTTCATATTACAAATAGTTTGCTATACTCACTAAGCTTAATACTGTGATTACCAAGGCTGTTTAATGTAGCATACTTAGTATTAGTAAATAAGTAGTATAAGTAAAGTACTATATGATACTCAAAAGAAGAGACATCATATAGACCAGACTACAGACTACAGACAAGACATACCAAGACTACTCAACACTCATACTAGACTGTACATCCATACAACACCCCCTCTAGTAGAACTATAGAACTGATTACAGTCTGCACACAGATTGCATATAGATTGATACCTTTTGACTTAAACACTATAGCATTTTAGCAATCTCATAACCTACCTGGAGACACATATACACCACATAAGCAAACTGTTAATTCACAAGTGTAGCTTTGCTCTGCTTTCTTCTCAAAAGCATGAAAGGATTTACTATTCTTATGTGTCATCCTCATACCCCTAGACTGATCTGAAGTCTTTAAAGAGTAACTATAGATAAGATTCCCACCTTTAAGCTTCTAACACTACAGCTTACTGTTTCTATACTAAGGGACAACACTAACAGTTTTCTATAGATACTATCAGGATTGCATATAAAATCCTGACACTAATAGTTTACACTGCATATAGATTGCAACACTCAGTATCCAGATACCTGCATGACATTTTGGTTATAGAAAAGTTCATGGATATACTTTGATTCTCTGCACATAGTTTCAGAGATTCATAACATCAGTGTCTGGTCTTCCAAAGTAACAGCAACTCATCTGTGTTGTTGTGCCAGCCAAAAACTGTATGAGTTTGGATGCCAATGAGTGGATCATTACATGCTGTTTGGCTGCAGATTTTTGAAAGGTGGTAGTCATACTGAGGTGGCCATATGGGCTAATTGTTTTTGTGAGATCTTAGCATAGTAACAGCCTTAGTAAGCATAGTTACTATTGGCCATAGACTGGACTCTTTCAGATGCAGAGGAATACTGGCATTAACTATGTCTTTTAATTAAAGATTGAGAGGCATGTCAACTTCATGATGCATAATGATGCAGCAACTTCAGATTAAGATGATCATTGATCCACATCCCATGCTGTGATGAAATATAGAATTTATGACATATAATGAGATGGGAAGAATATCAATGTGTTGGAGAAGTAGTTGTCATGGCATGGGTTTGCCATGCTTGCAATGATTAGTTTGCTGAAAGTCCATTGAGTGAACAGCAGCTCTAAATATTGCATTAAAATCTGTGAATTCTGAGCATACAGAGCCTAAAGGCTTATCACTGGTCTCCATGCATGCATTCCAAAGCCCATCCATTGGCACATTCCTAACAGTCTCTATAGAAGCTGAAGAATGATGGAATGGGGGCTTGTGAGACAAAGCCTATGGATGGAGTGTCACAATTACCACATCCACTGTAGGCTTGGTTAGAAGCAAGAGAATTTAGGCTGACTGGATCAATATGCCTGGCTGTGAACCCAACATGTGTATAAGTCAATCTGAGTGCAGATACATCATATATACACCAGCAGAAACCAATATCCCTACCAAAAAACCACCCACTAACATAGGCTTCCTACTAAGTTACATACCACTCAATCATACAATTTACTTGTTAAACACATCCAGCACTACACCTCATTTCTCAAAATAACACTAAAGCAAGTTTCACACCAGGCCTTTTTGTCTCTCTCGAAAAATGTGCCCTCATCAAATGGCTGCTCACAGCCTTCACATCTAAAACAGCCCCTGCACCATTTGCGGCCCATAGCTTCAATGGCCCCCTCATCCCACTCCCTGATACTCTTTTTGCATCGAGAGCATTTGGGCATACGCAGTCGAACATGGCAGGCCTCACAATATGCATACCCTCTGTAGACCATGAACTCTGAAGTCTGGGTATCCGCTGAAAAGGAGCGCTCGCCACCGAGGCCTGTGGAAGGGTCAGCGAAGCAAGAAGTTGATTTAGCCGAGCTTACTCGCCTCCACTAGCAGATAGAAATGGATCACCGCACTCTGCACAGAAAAAGTGCTGCGCGTGATATGTGCGCTTGCCTCCCAGTGCGGAATCATCCAGCGATATGAAATGTTCTTCGATGATTGGGGTCTGACAGTGGGAGCACTTCGGAGCAAATGTCTGAATAGAACGTTAGAAAGGTGACTCGAGAAGAGCCCATCTACTGACCTCATAAAAGTCCAGATGGCAATACATCTTTCCGTCTCGTTCATATGAGCTGACATGCTCCAGAAGTTCGCTGCAAATAGTGCACTTGAAACATTCAGGATGCCAGCGCAAGCCTCCTCCTCTATCACTGTTGGACGCGGTAACCAGCCGTCCAATGATTGGTAGTTTACAATCGGCGCACGAGAGCCTACTTCGGGGAACTGTCGGAAGCTTTGAAGCCGTAGTAGAAATGGTCGCCGTTTTGTTAGCAAGCTGCGGGGCATTTATGCTTACTGAAGGAGCCTCATTGTCGCAATCACCGGGAATGTTAATCTGCGGTGGTATGGGCCCTTCTCCAATTGTTATGGAGGGCGGGGAAGAACCCACATTTATCGAAGGTGGTGTTGGCCTTCCTCTGATTGAAGGGTCCCGACCACGAGGTTCATCACCTGGCAGGACGATCTTCGGTGTGGCGGAGGAATCATCCGGTAACACGATTTTGGGAACAGCCGACGGTTCTGGAAGGACGACCCTTGGAGCCTCTACCTTCGAAGAAGCGGATGCCCCGGCTGAGAGCTCGCCCCCACTGCCACTAGTGCGCATGGTTCGTGGGCCGCCTCGCCGACCGGCGACAGAAACCGGCGGCGGTTCATCCAAATCAATGTCAACAGCGAGTGTCGGTTTTGGTCGCATTGGAGAGGGATGACGGATGGGTGGAACGCGTGAGGGCTGTGTTCGAGTTGGTGGCAATGGAGCTATTGTTGTTTGAGATTCAGAAGGGGGGAACGAGGAGGTCTGGGGCGATGGCTGCGGACGCGTCGTACCTGATGAAGATGTAGAAGGTAGGGGTCGAGCCGGGGTTGTATCATGATGACGCGTCGGAGAGGGAGGTAGAAACGATGGTGTCGGTTGCGGCCTTGTCTCTCTTTGTGGTGACATCGGCGACGGGAACGTCTTGGATTTTGTCGGCGACGATTGACGAGAGGCTACAAGCGGGAGCGGACGCGTCGGTGAGCTGCTTCTTGGGAAAGGCCTAGCTGAACTGGGGTTGTGTAACGAAACAGACGTTGGTGGCAAAACTCGTGTCGGCGAGCTTCCCTGTGATGGACCTGGGCTAGGCAACTCTCTCCTGCCGTTGACTTGAGTTTGCACTGGGAATACAACAGAAGCTGGTCGGCCGTTTGGGAAGGACGAAGTTGGAACAGGGCGGGTGGGTGACGGGGGTGAAGGCGGGACCGACGATGAAGGGGCGGGAGGACAAGGAAGTGACTGTTGGCGTACTGGAGAGGGCGGGAAAGAGGATGTCGGGACGGTCCCGGTGGAGAAAGAGGCAGGTGGATAAGGCATGCTCTGCTGTCTCACGGGACTTGGTGGGGGGGGAGGCTGGGTGTAGGTATATGTCTGGTATAAACTGGGAGATGCCGGAGTCGGTGAGGATCTATGTTGGTATGGTTGGACCGGCTGGGTTGGAGCCTGGTAGACCTGTCCATTAACTGATATCGTCGAGGGTCGCAGCGCCGGTGGATGGGCTGCCGCAAAAGAATGAGATCTTGAGGATACGAATGGCTGTCTCTGCGGCTGATACACAGGACCCCTCTGTGGATATCCAGCCTGCTGGTATCCAGTCTGTTGGTACTGTCCTGGAGGTCGAGGCAACGGCCCACCCCAAATATCCATCGCTGCCATCCTCATTGTGAGGCTCTGCTGCCCCGAAGACAGCACCGGTTGTTGCTGAGGTTGTTGGTTAGTAATCACGAATCCACTGGAGGATGGTGGCTGACGAGGAAGGGGTCGCGATGACATCTTGTACCGGGCAGAAGAGGATGGTTCAAGTTCAAGTATGGAAACCCCTGCTGACTAAACCGACGTCACTTTCGCGTCCTAACCCTAACCCAAAAGCTATAAACCACTCTTTAGGAGATTACACGTGGGCAACCACTAAGTCTCTTGCCATTCGTATCAAACCAACTTTTCTGTCGCTCGCCATGCCTCCGCCTCACTACGACTTTCTCATCAAAGTAAGTTCCGACTTTATTCATTCCCTCTTTCTGACGTTCGTTGCAGCTGCTCCTCATTGGCGATTCCGGTAATTTGCCAAACAACATCACAAAGGTCGCCATATCCAACTAACAGCTTTTCAGGCGTCGGAAAATCCTGTCTCCTGCTCCGTTTCTGCGATGACCAATGGACCCCTTCCTTCATCACTACCATTGGAATCGATTTCAAGATCCGAACCATTGAACTCGATGGCAAGCGCATCAAGCTCCAAATTGTCCGCCTGTCTATTCCTTCTTTATCACGCCATTTCTTATTTCTCTTTTCCATAGTGGGATACTGCAGGACAGGAACGCTTTAGAACCATAACCACTGCATATTACCGCGGCGCTATGGGTATTCTACTCGTGTACGATGTCACGGACGAGCGGTCTTTCAACAGTCCGTGTCCTTTTCTCCGCTCCTTAGTTCCACTATTCACCCAACATCCATAGACATCCGTACTTGGCACGCCAACATCGAGCAGCACGCCTCCGAAGGCGTTAACAAGATTCTCATTGGCAACAAGTCTGACTGGGTCGACAAGAAAGCCGTCACTGAAGAACAAGGGCGAGAGCTTGCCGACGAACTGAACATCAAGTTCATGGAGACCTCTGCCAAAGTAAACGAAGGCGTCGAAGAGGCCTTCTTCACACTAGCACGGTCAGCTTATTCGAGTTCGCCGCCGCCTTTCTACCATCTTATATTTCCCTAGGGACATAAAAACCCGCTTGATCGACACCCAGGAACAAGGTGGTGATGTCGCTGGTGGTCCTTCAACTGGTTCAGTCAGAGTCAACAATCCCTCTGCTAATAGTACGACCCAAGGCTGCTGTTCATGATTACCTTGCCACATACCCTATACGTCGTCTTAATGATGACCACCATTCTGTTTCCATCCTTAAATATTCATTCACTTTAGTATGGTCTTTTATTGGTTTCTGTATCAATCGCAAATGGAAATATCTCATTGGAGTCGCCATAACAAGTCTTCATTTATTACCAGTCTTCGCCTTCATTCCAGCCACCCTTGTCTCGTATACCAGAACTGCCTAGCTTGGTCTTTCCTCTTGATTTGCGACCCCCAAGTTCCTTGTACATTCCTCTCATTTCGACCTTTCCTGGGCGGGCAGATGCTTCAGCCTCTAACCGCCACTTCTCCTCCTTCAATTCCCGTGGCGTCTGATGTCCCGACAGAGACGGCGTAGAGTGCCCCGAGCCACTGTATCCATTCGACGACTTGGAACGCATTGACTGTGAGTGCGTTATGCGCTATACAGTGTCAAGCGATGTTCATCTGCAAAGGCGGATTACTCACCCAGTTCTGCTTTGACTCTCGCTTCGTCCACTTGCCCGGTGGCAGACTCTCGTCGTGAAAATTCTCCTTTCTATAATGCTGGAACCACACTGAGACGAAACATTCACTAAGACCATACAAGCGGAATTGCCGGCGGCGCACCATAGTTTATAGTCTGACTGCGACACCATTTCTTTGATACCAGTGCACACTTTGCCAATTCTGGTAGTGTTAATCGAGCGAATATCTTTTGTGAAATTTCCGTAGGAAAGACTTTGAGAGGATCCTTGCGTGATCCGATAAGTAGTGGGCCTGGTGGCCGGCGAGTCGATGCGCCAAGACGAGTAGGTGACGATGGCCGCGTCCGAGACGGTGTTCCAGGTAAAGAAACCTTGAAGATTGTCAGCCAATGGGCGCTCTCTGATATCAACAGCTTTACGGACCACATTAACGAGTTCATCGTCAGAGTCCTCGTTGGAATCTCGCTGTACAGAGTTATCCTGCTTTCTCTCTTTGTTGAGTGATTCGGACAGGGTGGATGCCCGCAGTATATCCTGCAAAAGAACGCTCATGGTGGCAGTTGGTGAACAAGGTCAAAGAAAAGCAAGAAACCTTATATCATAGATGATGATGTCAATATTTGTCAACTCAGACACTAGTAAACAGAGCCCAGACTCCCTTTGCATACCCGACAATTTCATCTGCACCCAGCTTGCTCTCACCAAATATCCGGTCCACGAACGTTATAGGGACCTCGCCGACAGAATACCCCAGCGCCTTTGCTCGCACCATCATTTCCATCTGGAAAACGTACCCTTTCGACTGAGTTTCTGCGATGATATGACGAAGGACTCCGACTCGGTACAACCTAGTGACGGCCAAAGTCAAACAGGCGGTCTAGGACATGGACAGGGACTCACCTGAAGCTTCCAGTAAGGTCGCTGACGCCTGGTCGGAGCACCGTGTCCGCCAAGAAATTCGCCCCCCGTGACACCAATTTCCGTCGAAGGTCCCAGCCATGAACACCTCCTGGCTTTGCATCCACCAAGTACGGTTTCGACGTTGAACGATACCGCGTCCCCGTCACGATGTCGAGATTATGTGCCTGCTGCAAGCTGCGCAAGGTCGGTTCTAGTTGCACTGTCCTGGATAATATATGCATACCGAATGAATTGGGGTATAAATTTCGGCTGGAAATACACCGTAAACAGACGCTCAAGAACGGCGTCGGGCAACGTACATGATGTGAGAAATCGGCGTCCATGATAATTACAAAGTCTCCGTTGCAAAAGTTGAGTCCGTGAATGTAGGCTGTCCTGTGGTCCCGTAAGTCCTGAGAGATACAATCGACCTTGAAAGTATTACCCCAGCCCCAATTTACCAGAACGTGGCTTGAGGATCTATGTCCATGAGTATAGCGAGACCTGACAAAGAGAGACTCTTTAGACACACAATTTTATCCTCACCGTAGACAGTAGCAAGCTCCTTTGCCACCTCTTGGGTCCCGTCAGGACTAGCATCATCGACGACAATAATCTCCCAAGCAAGTTTACTACGCCCATCAGCCCCACTCAATACGCAGCAAACTGACACGTACTTTTCTTCAAACACTTTAGCCAACAGCCAAACGATAATCGGGAGGTTCTTGCGCTCGTTGTACGTGGGCAGAATAACAGAATACTTGTGTGTATCCGAAGTAGCGAACCGGCCTTGCATATTCAGAGAGACGGGGCTTTCAAAAGGGTTCATCGACGCATATGGATAATCTGATCGAAACCCTTTGCCTCGCGACCACCAACCACCATGTCTACCAATATCACTGCTCTCGAATCTCTCTTTCGCCGCATTCTGCGTGTCACAGTCACCGATGGCCGCGTCTTCATTGGATCTTTTGCTGGCACGGACAAACCGCTAAATATTCTCCTTGTCAACACCGAAGAGTTTCGTATCGGTGTCGACGAAAATCCAGACGGACGATTTGTTGGCCAGATCATGATCTCATGGCATCTTGTTGTTAAAGTGGAGGTGTATCGAGAAGATGCGAGTCATTTGGAGACGACGGAATATAACGATGAGGACAGGTACACTTGAAAGTACGTGCACCTTTTCTTCCTTCAAATCCCCATCTTTATGTCCGCCAGGTATATACAAACCACGACAATAATCATCGTATTCTGACAGGTAAGGACACTATCAATACTACTACAAGTACAAAGGCGATGGTGATAATACAAAAATAAAGCCTCAAAGCTTGGCATGCTTCAAGATGTACGGAGACGAATTCTTCGACTTCACCTTGTCCACATCCTGCATTGTTATTGGCTTGCATATATGCGCGTGGTTATAACCCAATCTAGCCCGACGTCAGTCCTCAACACATCAGTCCGCATCCACCGTGGTGAGGGGGACGTACCTCGACCTTCCATCAGGACCTCCCTCTTTGTAGAATTCCGGACGTCGTAAAAGCGATATTACTACAGCTCCTCCGAGCCCTAGGTTGTGTACCAGCCCGTACTTCCCTCGTTTATCAGCCGTGTCGAATAAACCTAGCGCCTGCATAGGTCCTGCCCCTGCCCATCCATCAGTTTACCCACCATCAATATCGAGTCTTGTGGCTCCTACAGTTACGCAGTTGCACTGAATTCCACGTCAATTTCATCCGCAATACTTCCGAACAAGCTTACTTGTAATATAGAAGTGCATTCCAAGACCAGTAGCACCTAGCGGGTGTCCCTTTGCTTCAAGTCCTCCGCTAGGATTAATAACGTATTTTCCGCCATACTAGCATCGGTTCAGCATCAGCTCATGATTATCACGCCCCATACCTACAGTATTGTCGTAACGCTCGACCATCTTATGTGCTTCTTCTTTAGCACACAATCCGAGAGCAGGATAGGTGATCAGCTTAATCGATATGAAAAACGTTAGTTCTAATGTGATCAATATCATCTGTATTACCGACCTCGTTGGCAGCAAAGCAATCATGTAGCTCTACCACGCCAACCTGATCCCTACCTTCGCCATCCTTAAATCCCGCATCCTTGAACGCCTTATCCGCACATTTCTTGGTCATTCCATAGCCAATAATTTCCATGGCACTCATGCTCTCAAAGGCGTCGGGGATGTCTGTCATCAGTACAGAGGCAACAATCTCGATAGCCTGGTTCTCCAATCCATGCAAGTGAACAAAGTTTTCTGACGCGACAATGCAGCAAGCAGCGCCGTCCTGTTGAGCATAAAATCAGGACACGGATATGGCTCTAGTTCTCGACCAACCGATGTAGGACTGCACATGAACTTCGTAAGCTCGTTCGTGATCTTCGGCGCCTTCAGGACCTGCTCCTCGCTCCATCCCTCTTTGAATTGTGAGTATGGATTGTTGAGCGAATGTTTATGGTTCTTGGATGCTGATTTCAGAATCAAATATCATCAGTCCCCGATGTGATTTATCCCTGTGAACGCACCAATTTGCGCTAAATGCACAATCCCGCCACCATACTTGTTGAAATACTCTTTTGCGCCGTTTGAAAAGAGTCTTGGAGACCTAGGACCATGGTTTTTACCTAAATATTTATCCTCCAGTTCTAAGGAGCGTTCATTAAATAAAACCGTCGGACTAGGTCTATCAGGGAAGTTAGTCCCCAGACTACCGGGCTTCATTCGTTCGAAGCCCAACGCCAAGGCGCATTCAGCCTGCGAGAACTTGACGGCATTGTTTACTTGGTACAGTGCACTCGACCCGGTAGAACAATTGTTGTTCACATTGATAATAGGTATACCCGTCAGGCCAAGATTGTACAGAGCCCTCTATGAGAAGCAGGTGCATCAGAACGGGAGGAGACGGTGATTATGGTAAGTCATGGTAGCACCTGTCCTGATGTAGAATCTCCGTAACAATAACCCACACAAGCGAGCTCCACGGAATCGTATGTTATCCCTTCATCGAAGTTGATCAATAAAAGCGGTGATAACGCCCTGTAACACACGTACCAGCATCAAGGAGAGCCTTCGTGGCTGCCTCAAGACCCATCTATGGAAGACACTCGTTTAAAAACTAAGAGAAAAAACTTAATCCATCTTACGTCTTCTGTGGTCCTCGTCGCCCGAGGCTTGATGAACGCAGTGCAGCCACCACCGATGAGGAATGTTCTTCTGCCAATAGCCATTTCTGAGGATTCTGTACTAATTGATGGGCAGAGTAGAGAGTAAAGCGGTACCGATGCGTAGAATGCTCCGGCATTCCGGGTTCTTGTTAGCCTGCTTCCTCCACGCTCCGACTTAACTCTCCATCACGAGGGCACCGATCGATGAGAGCATGTCATTTCACGAGGCCACATGGCTAGCATGCATAGAAGCCAAAATGAAATCTGCAGAGGAAACTTATGCCGTTGGATTCTCGTTCGCGTTAGCTCAAGGCAAAGAATAGCACCGGTAGCTCATTACCAACTATTCGCTATGCTCGTGGGCCCGCTGGTTCTCAGACTTCTGTTGATAAACTTTGAGTCTACATGCACGACCCGGAGTAAAAGGAATACCCGCAGCACCGTGGACTTCATACTTTGTTCGGATCGATATCTAGACGAAGCGTGGAGCAATGCCGAAAGCCTACCATTCATCGACGCTAGTAGCGCTTCTTGTTAAGTATACAACCAGACAAGCAAATATAATAAAGCCTAAACTCAATTATTGGCCCAAACAGCGCCATAACTTCATTCGAGTGGTGATCTTAGATGATTTGGCAAACATTCCTTGTAAGAAACAGTAGTATCAAAGAAATGCCTTGCTTACAGCAATGTTCAACTCCATTTGCCAATTAAAAATGAAAATCGACAGACAGTGCGAGGTTTGTCACTCGCTAGCAGTAACGGTACTCATTCCTCTTCGGCAGAACACTGTAGCCGTTGTAGGTCCTGTTGCTTTAGCAACACGTATTGTGGGGAGTCGGCTTTCTGGAGCGCTTCAACCCCACAAACAAGAGCGCCTCAATTTTCCGACGGGAAATAATCGGTTAATACCTACAAAAAATTCCTGACATTTGTGAAAGCGTTATTTCAGCGGATGAGGTATGTACGGCGGCCGAAGCAGAATATCACCGAGTCTCGGTACTAGTTGGCCGTTCCGCCGTACCAAGAAGGATCAAGTTAAGCGGGCGGAAGTGGCGCGAAGAACCAGTGAGCTTGCTTTGTCTCCGTCACGGAGGTGGCGCTTTAAAATTTGCTCCTTTCTATCATCTTCTAGGGTAGAGATCCCTGTTAGACATATCCGACGCGGCGCACTGCTGTACAATGCAGCTCAATAGCGATGGCAAGGATACTCTAAATCAGAACAAAGCGAAGGAAATTAGAATTTGCCCCTCATTAATTAAAGATTCCGGGTCGAGCCTCGAGGGTTCAATTTGCAAGCCTTGCAGTGACCATGATGTCATTCGTACCTGCAGGCAATTTCTGCATAGACTAATTTGGGTATATACGCACCTGAAACCCGCCCAAGGCTGCACAACAAGTGAAGCACCGACCTAGTACATTTTGAGAAACGATTTGTCGACACGGGTCCGACGCGCTTGATCTCTACTCGGAGTCTCGGAGTCCCGCCCCATCCCTGGATACCGATTGAACTGTCAAGCTGAGGCGAAACAGAGAGTATTTTCCTACTCTTCACTTGATCAGTTTACTTAAGTTCTTTGCGCTGTTAAAACGTTACGATCGAAGCGTGGGGAAAATGGTCGGATCCTTGGTCTGGAACTGTTCAATATGTACCCTCTTAAGTCACTGTCAACGTACAGTTTCGACTTATTCCGCTGTCTCATGACAGAAACCGTTAATCTGTTCGATCCCTATGCAGCGAAGCCGCGCTGTCATGACCTTCCTCCATTTACCCTGCGCTTGATTACTTATGGGCACACGACAGGATACGACAGGAGGCCATCGCGGCTCATTCCGAAAATTTGATCATTTCGGACTGTGCATATGTATCTATCTGGGCCTGCCTAAGTGTTGAGGAGCCGCCCTTTACCTGTTCAAATCTTTGAGTATCTATGGTTTAACTAGGAGGCCCAACATGCGAATGTGGCTCATTTGAAATCCGGGACCGTACACTTTTGGACCGTCGTTGCCTCTCTGGAGTCGCATACATACACGACCTCCTAGCGCTGCCTTTCAGTTACCCTTTACCACCACGTAAGACTGCATACTATGTAGTCTCGCGGAGCTGGATGCGTACCTTAGTATTCAAGGGCCGTCTCCTCTGGACTGCGCGCCGTGCCTTCATGGTGCACCTGATGTCGCCAAGTTATTCTTTGGCTTTAGTCTGCATCAATGCTCAATCCCCTGGAAGTGGCGGGGACACAGCGATAAACATGGATATGTGAAACTCTGTTGGAGGCGTTGGAGACGTTTCTATCCTGCATATCGACCTGTCGACTAGAGAGTGGTCTAATTAACTTCGGCTGTACGAAAATACTTAATGGTCGATGCTGAAATCTCTCTGAAATTGGACGTTCTACTTGTTTTCCAACGACAATGTGGATAAATTCAAGCGTGCAAGACCAACCAGTCGGCGTAGAGGTCTCTGAGGGTCTTCGGTACTTGAGTCCCCTAATCTACATGCGGCTAGAGATTTTCGCCTTCGTGATTCGCAACGAATCGCACATCAGTAATACGTCTGTTGTATTTCCCAGGCTTGTATCAAGAAAATTCTCGATACACCCTATTTCCTGACATGAATAAGACGATTACCTCAACAATGTCGGACAGAAGGGTCAGAAATGTCTGCAGCTTAGGTCACGACGGATGGAGCTCACTTATAGCCGGACCGGCTTCCGTGAGACGACCGTCGGTATCCTTGTTTCTGAACATGATTCGCACTCGGCAATGCCGAACAATCACTCTGGGAGACTAGTGCGCGGATGTCGCCGTCTGCTACCTCCGGTTGTGCACTCATAATAGCACGGACTTCAACCATCTGGAGGAACATAGTAATCATCCTGGCATGAAAGGAGAAGCAACACAAGTAGGTAACTTATGTTCGTCTCTCTTTGTTTCCCTCGTTGCGGGAGACCTGCCCGCACAGGTGCACTGGCCGTTCCGAATAGCTCGCTTCGACGAGACTTGTATCATAAAATTTCAGCCTGACTTGACCCGCACCTAAAGAAAACATGACGTCGGCTCTGTATCTCCTTCAAAGATGATCGCAAGCGCGGACCATTCATATCGTTCCTTCCTGGTGCCAAGCCATACAGTGACCAGTTAGCTCATGCATTTTACGATGAACCCGTGCAACTGACGCACTGTTTGGTTACCGCAAATAGGCTAGAGCTGTTAATTACAGTATCAGTTCGAACTCTTTATTGACTTTACATGTCAAGGACACAATCTCCAAAGAAATTCTCACATATGAGATCTTGATTATACACGACTTCATGGGAAGATAGAAAGACTGGGTTATTTTGCGCCGGACGGGACTCCGGTTAAACGACAGTTGAAAGATCTACAAGCGTTTCGTCCATCACATTTCAGTACGCGGTCAACCTGGTGCAAGCTGGTAGTGACGTACAATTTTTCAGTCAAGTGGTTGAGGGTGTTTACATTGCATTCTCAGCAATTCCGTCAAACTGATTGGCTCTATCGTAATTCGAACGCGTGCATGCTAGGGAAATCATGTTGCACGCGCAGGTCCTCCAAATGATCCTGTCCACAAATCCTTCAAAGATGGGAACCGAAAGGTAGAGACAGATCATGCTCGCATTGTCATACATAGCTAGGCGAATGGCAAGGACAGAATTCGACAGACATTGACTGAAAGATCAAGTCGTCAAGCCTGAGACCGCCATTGACTGCGATATTGCTACCGATGGAATTCCGTTGCTGAGGATTTCACACCGTACGAAGGCCCTAGAGCTAGAAACCTTCAAATTTTACCCTAGGCCGTAATTTACGGACAGGGCTTTGTGCTTCTTTGTGGCGCTCGTAAGAAAATGAAGGGAAGGTAAAGTAGGGAATTCTGTATTGAGGATAGTCCTTTCTGTCTTTTGATGAACATTTCAACTAGACGACGAAATGAATGGTATTCTGTACGTGCCGTAGTGGACGATTCGCAGGTTGACGTCGACGGGTATAGCCTCAATGACGGACGGCGTTTAACGAGTGGTTACCAGGGAATATATACAACCTTTACCTTCAAGTCGACAACTTTATTTTGTTTCCATTTTGATCACACAGGGACAAGAGGGACAAGAGGGACAGAGACTGCTTACGTCAGAGAAAACGAACATAGGAATCCAAAAGAGTAAATTCACTCCCTCGTTCTCTCACTCCCATCCTTTTATTTCAACCTACTCTAGTATTTTTGCTGCTTCATTTTTTATACTTGTTATTATCGATCTGCTCTTTGCGCCACCCTTTTCCACTCAAATTTCAGCCGAAAACTAGAGCGAAACCTGTTGCAATTAGCATTGCATGTCCGACTTTGATCCAAACAGAACTTTGGCGAATACCCCCAGCTCAAGCAGCAGGCTTGACTCCAGCTTTAGCTCCTCGACGTTGGGCCTTATGTCTCTGATGAAGTTTGTTGCCGTTCTCTGTGTTTTGGACCTCGAACTGACGATGAGTAGCCCTCTTCTGCCTCCGGAGCAAACATCTCGATATGTACATCTTCCGACACCCCAGAGTCCAACCAACAATACGATGACATTCAATCAGTATATGCTACCACATACTCCGGAGACGCCCACCAATTCGTGCGTTCTCTTAAAAACGTATTACTATCAGCATGCTGACTCTGGGTGGCTAGGGGTATGAGGCTGCCTGCAAGGAAGGAATCTGGTCCAGCAACGCCTCGTGCAATGGGCATGATGACGCCTGACTCGAGTCCCTTTGTTTCGAGGCTTGCGCCGCCATACAGGTGAGATTTCTTGCTTGTAAGCATTGTATGAAACACATGTTAAACAATGGACAGTGCCTCAAATCCCCCTCGAACGCCTGCACCTCGTCCTCCAACGTATGTGTATGCTACTTATGCAACTGTTACCATCCTGATGGTCCTTTAGTAATATATCCAAGTCACCTTCACCATCGACTACCGCGTTGTCTTCGCCATTCTCTGCCAAGCCTATTAGGGGAAGCCCGATGCATGTGGATGATGTGTTCGCTGTTTCCAAGCCAAGTACGCTCCAATCTCCACCCTTGTCGCCGCCTCACACTGGTGCAGGAGGGGAAATTGATAGGATTAGACACGCGATGGCGCAGGAGCAAAAGGAAGTGGAAAAGCGTCGACCGGAGTATCTGAAACGGAGCAAAAGGCCTTTGGATGAAGGGGAGGAGGGCCCTGTGGAAAGCTCCGCAGTAGGAATCATGGAGAGCCCGAACAAAGGACGCCGGCTGAAGCTATTCCAGGAGACGAGTGAGGAGAGCTTTGAGGAGAGTCTAATGGCTGGAGGTTATGGGCGGTATCGGACGGCCGACTGGGTGCGGCAGCCGCAACCGATGCTCGTTGCGCCAGAAGTTTCGGTACTCGAGGCAGAGGAGCCGCCGCCACTAACAGAAAAGGAGCTGAAGAAACGCAAAAGACTGGAGGCGTTTCGAAGCGAGAACCAGGTCCACCATGGTCCATCAAGATTGTTTCCTGTTGAATTGGAGGGCAAAGGCCGGGTGTTACTGGATATTCCCAATGAGAGTCTGGTTCCAGAGGGTGGAAAGCGGCGGAGTGGTGGGGGCACATCTAGGAAGAAGAAAAAGGATGGAGAGAAGGAAAGGAGTGCTGGGATCGAGATGGAGGATAGCCCTAATTGGCCCGATGGCGAGTTCCCATGGCGGCTGAGGACGGAGGAAAGAGCAGAGTTAGCTCGGGCGGAGGAGAAGGCACGACTCGGATGGATCGAACGGTTCTTGGATCGGGATACTGACGACGAGGGCGATGGGGACGGGGATGGTGAAGTGATTCCGTCGGCCAAGTGGGGCGTCGTGTACGATGACGATGGCGATAGGCCAGTACCGGCACGGCGGGGTCGGGGCAAGATGATCGGGCTACCCGCTGACCCGGTGGGTGAACGGCGACGAAGGCGAAGTTATTTTCCGAGCGATTCCGGTGATGCGAGGGCGGCACTGCTGAGCAAACGCAGTGTCCGGGCTTTGGAATACCGACGCGAGAAACGACTTCGTGGTGGCGACAGCGACGATGAGGTTGTGTGCATCTGTCGAGGAACTGATGACGGACGGGAGCTGGTGCAATGTGATGACTGCAAGATGTGGTACCACCTGGAGTGCATAGGCATCCGGAGTATCAGAGATCTCGGGCGGGAAGAGGATCCTTGGTTCTGTAGTGATTGTCAGCTCCCGACTGACGTTGAGCGGGAGGATGAGGATGAAGATGAGATCTACAGGGAGCCGACTTTTGCACCGACAGATATGGACTATCCATCTCGAAGGAGGGGGTATGACGCGATCTTTACGGCTGGCGCGATCGAGGATTCACCAGCATTTTTGCCCCGGACGCCGCGGTCGTACGACCATTACGAAGAGGCTCCGTTTGACCCTACGAGCACACCGTCACGTGGAATCAAGTTCGGTGGGCCGTTTGGGACTCCAAAGAATACCATGTGGGGACGGGGAGCAGGTCCATTCCATACGCCAGTAAGGCTTGACGATTCGCCCGTAAGAAGGCACGAATGAACGTATGTTGTAGTAGTAGTCTTAGTAGTACTAGTAGTAGTAGTACAAGTATTGGTAGCTTATGATGACATGTATCGATGCAAAATGCTTACTGTCGAAGTGCGTGATGTGACGGGTCGCGTTAACTCTGATGTTGATGACGACGGCCAGCCTGGGAGACCGTCTACGGATAGCAGTGGTGAGTAAAGCAATATGGGTATTTCGAACGAGTCTGACAAGATAGATACAGGCCCTCACAGCACTGAAATACAAGCCCCAGGATTCGTCAATTGACTGTACGTGGATTAGGCATACAAGGCGACACGGAAGAATACTAACGCCCAGCGGCATGCTTTTTTTTTCATCCCTTACATATTCCGAAATGTCCAAACTGTTGTTGTCGTCGTTGGCATTGGGGTATATGTATTGGAATTGGAACTGTCATCTGGGGATTTGATATTCTGGTGAGTAGCGTATGTAGCGTCCCTGCGTGCCGAGCTCGTCAAAGATATCCCGGCCAACAATCCGTGGCGCAACAGGGCTGAAGCATTGGAGAAACGGCTGAAGGAGCTAGAGGTCGAGCTGGAGACCGAGAAGACAAGTACGTTATATTACATATTTCTATTGTGTTTTCCAGGAATAATTCCAGGCAGAGATCATCGAGGTGAAAGAAAAGGAGCCAGAAAAAGAAAAAAAGAAGAGCAGCAGAAAAAAGGCAATAGGTGGTAGTATTTTGGAGGGTAAGTGGATGATCAGCCTCGACGATTTCTGAGAATCTGGGATAGGTCCTACAACGGCCGACACATCTTGGCTGTTTTCAACGTTCTCAAAGTACGAACGGGTGCGTGACGGTGGGGATGAGGGGCTTCTGCTGTCGGCAGCGATCCACGCAATCGAGTCGTGTGCTTCGTTTCTTGAGCGACCCAGGGAAGGAATTGGAGCAGGACAGATTGAAATGGTGGGTCGACTGGTAGGATATGTTTTGGAGAATAATTCTACAGAAGATATCGTGAGCTTGGTGGTGGACCGGATAGTGGGCCCGGCACTGTGTATGTTGGCGGGAATTGAATACTTGGACGACGTGTTCGGGAGATCCGCCGGAACAGCGGATGTGCGTCCCGAAGTGGTAGTTTTGGTAAAAGAGGTGGCGGGACATCTAGAAGCCAAGAGTGGTGCTCGCGAAGCACTCGCACTGGAGTCGATCCGGCAATTAAACAACGTCCTCACCACCTCGTCCGCAAGTACTACTCGAGTCGCTAGGCTGGCTAGAAAGGACGCTGTTTGGTACTATTCATCCATTCTTGCCTACCTCTTTGCCACCTCCTCGCCTGCTGATCCATTCCTGGGGAACAAGGTGCTGCAGGAGATGGTCACCCTACTTCGTCACAAAGAGGCCGGTATCGAGTGGGAGATGGTGCTGGGAGTCATGGAAAAGTACTGGCTACATCAGAAGGATGGATAGTTGACTTGTTTTCTCCCCCCCCCCCCCCCCCTCCCCTTACTTTTTCCTGATTTTCTATTCGTTGTGTGGCGGGTAGCCAGGTACCCGCAAGCTCGGCGGACGCGCTCGAAATTTATCGGTTAAAATGCCGTGGGAGCGGAAACAATACGCCATCACTCCTCTTTGGGGATGGAGGGCAGAATGATCCATTTTGCCGCTTTCTCAGGGACGATGGGCACATGTATTTCAGACATCCGAGCCTGTACACTGCGGATGCTTGTCGACAGTCAAGACGACGACGACAGCAAGCAACCACCGCTATACATCCACTTGGACAATCTCCAGGTTCCTGCTCGGACTGGTACAATGGGAGAGACTGCCCGACATGTACCGCGAGGGCAGTGGCAATGGAGATGCCATTTGGGGAATTACATAAATGAATAAATATACCTTCAACAAATAAACAACGCCAAATGCCGTTGCGCGTGGCGAAAAGGGTCGACATGATCGAGATGGGATCTTGTATATAATTGGGCGTTTGATCAGATTCGGACATTCGCATTACATACATCATTTGGCCACCTCTGAATTCGTTTAAATAAATGCGTTCCCCCGGTCTTCCCACCAAACCCATGTCTGCCCTTGCCGCTGCCCTTGCCACCTTCTCCGTCCCCTCCCCTTCCAGTACCGTCGACTCCTTCCCCGACGACCGCCTCATCATTTCCATGCCTGTTGCTGGCCCGTCTCGCGCGACCATTCCAGAGTCACCCATTGAGGTTCCAACCGTTTCGCCCAATTTGAGGGCAAACGAGCATCTCGCTGTATTGCTACCTAGATCCCTCTGGAAGGTGAGTGAAAGCGCCCATTTATCTTATGGATACTGACAATCACCCTTTCAGCCCGACTCGGCAGCTTCATGCTGTGACAACTTCTTCTGTCGTGTGCGATTTGGCGTATTTGAACGGCGGCATGTGAGTATATGCGCGTTCATTTAAGCACTTTGACTTATTTTTATGAGCAGCACTGTCGGAAATGCGGAGGAATATTCTGCAGCCAGTGCTCGCCGCGCATGACCCCTTTACTCGACGTCTCCCACTTACCGTTCCTCCATCCTCCAAGGAACGTCCCTATTACTACTTTTCAGTCCCAGGAAAGCAAGGTCCACGATGCCCGTGTCTGCGATGACTGTTTTGACCAGATCTATGGCTGTCCACGGACTCCTGATCTCGTCCACTCGCCGGCTCTCTCATGTTCGACGACTAGTCTCGCGACACCACCGCCATCTATCATTGGTGTCGAGCACCCTCTGCGCAGTTCCCCTTCTCTCATCAGTTTGGCAAGCTCGTCGTGTTCTTCAGGTTCGCGGCGCCTGAAAGCCTCCCTAGCCGAGGAACCGTCGTATGGTGCCCTCGACGCGTATCCCCTCAAGCGTTCGAGTGTGCTTTGCAAAGCTACTGGCGGCGGCAGATGGGAACCCAAGCAGGAAACCCCTCTCGCGGGGGCAAGGTTACCCGGTGGCAAGGCCGGATATGAGATTCGTTTGGAGAAGGAAGCCGAGAAGGAAAAAAGGCGCAGGGAGAATCCCGTTATAAAAGACGGTGGTATGTCGTTTCCATCTCCTGCTTTTGTTGTCCTTGCCTGACGTTGGATTTCAGACTTTCAGTACCGTTTTCCTCGTGATCCCGAGCTTATCGATCTCCAAGTCAGGCAGATCTGTCTCTCGACGTTCTAGCCTCGACGTGTCTTTCGTTTATTCTTATTGCTGTATATTTTGAGGCTCTATCTCACTGTACCACTAATCACTGCTTCTTGTTATACCTGCTGTCCCTGGCATTACCACCCCTATGCATATATTCTCCTTTTCCGTATATATCCTCACCACCGAACCCGTGCGCCATTTGTATGTGCGTCTATCTACTGTACTGTACTGTGTTGTACAGCTGCCGTCTTTTCTCTTGGGTTTACTCTCGTTGGTTATGCTATTACTTTTGTGTTGTGTACCTCATTTGCATAATTCATGGAACACTTGATCCCTCCCCCCAATCTCAGAAAAAATGCCAGTGTCGATCGTACCCCGAAAAGGCAATACACGGAAAACTTGACTTTGTACTACGACCATGCTCGTTCTACGTCGGCTCCGTCTGCCAACGTCAACGTTAACACGGTGCAATGCGACGCTACAAATGACGGAATCGGCGTCAGTGACACCACCACCACCTTCCACAGTACAAACAAAAACGACAGTAGAACCAAAGGCAGCGACACCTGAATCCAAGTCGTCTACCACCAGCCTTATACGCGTACGACGAAAGCCTGCTGCTACCCGACTTGCCATTTCATCACCCCAAAAAGCAGCGAAGACACCAAAATGGCGACGCGCCCTCCCGGCAGGCGTGTTGCCCGCGTATGACGAGGCTATCAAGCTCATCCGACAAGACAGCTTCCGCCTCAAACGCGAGGCTGCTGAGGTTCGCAGGTCTATCAAGCCAGGCGATGAAGATGAGGAGGAGAAGCGAAAGCTGCTGAGGATCTTACAGGTGCAGAGCGAGATCAACCTCCCAGAGGTTCGGTGGGCCGTTAAAAGTCGGTTAGTGGACATGCGCAATCCGGCTCATAGGCACCTGAGGGAGCAGAACTGGAGAGGCGAGGGTAAGCTTGATCTCCTGGTGAGCATTCTATTTCTTTTTCTTTTTAATCCTTTTTTCCTGATGTTGTAGATGGAACGTATATACCAAATGAACGTGATCCCGGACGTTCTTCCTTCACTGCGCCCGAGTATCGATGTCTCTATCAAGGTCCGCCAGACGCATCTTGCGGGCCCAACATATCGCAGTCGTGGTATCGAGCCAGGCGTCTTCCTCAGTCCCAAACAGACGATCGCGCCTCCGACGGTGTACGCGACTGCATTCCACCTTGATACTAGGCTATACACCATGATGCTCGTGGATCCAGACGTCCCGGACCCAGAGAACGAGACTTTCACCACATTTTTGCATTGGTTATGGTATGTCGTGTTTTTGTACTTTGGACTTGGACTTAGAATTTTCAGCCCCAACGTCCCGCTTTCAGCAATCACTTCCGGTCCGATTAAAAACCTCAATACACATACCCAGTATGTCCCTCCCCATCCGCAACAGGGAACCCCATACCACCGTTATTCCCTGCTCCTCCTACCCCAACCCGCCCGCCCCGATGCTCCGTACAACCTTGTCACAGAAGCATGCTCCATCACCTCTCGCTCTCGCGCCGGCAGAGTGACCAGCCGCTATCTCCCCATCCCTGTAGTTCCGCAGTCTGCTCGGACGGAGTTCAACGTCCGCGAATTCTGTAAAAAGTGGAGCCTAGATGGTAGACAAGGAGGTGGCGCACATATGTGGCGAGAAGTCTGGGACGAGAGCTCGGACGTTGTATACAAGAACGTATTGCGTGTGTATTCATTATACTATTTCTCTTTTCCTCCTGCCTTACCCTTTCTTCACCTTCAGATGCCGACCCGCCTAAGTATGGCCACCCTCAGCGACCGGACCGCTATGGTCATCTCAGGGGCGAGAAGAAATACGTGGCGGTATAGGTTAGGTATCCACCTAATGGGCGGCGCAAGCAGTAATAACGGTAGCGATGGTGATATTACACCCTGCATCATTTTAGTGACCCGAATAAAGGCCCCTCACTTTGAAATGTTGGTTCCTTCCGAGTCCCAGGCTTGAAAATGCTGTCCTTTTCGTATGTCTCCAATACATTTGTTATCTCTCCGGGAACGGGTGGTATGCGGCTGACAAACTCCTCACCGAATAACATTGATGAGGGAGCATCATAGCGCTTGCGAATAGAAATGATGCGATGTCGACTTGATGCTTATTGCATTCACCCGTTCAATCTTTTGTTGCACATGCTCTGTTTGTTCTCGCTCTACATGGCCTGGCGGTTCCGTTCTGATAATATTGGCTTCGGTACCATTACCCCTCCTGAGTAAAATTGCCTATGTAACTCGTTCTGGCGCAGTACAAACTTGTTCCGCTGCCGTTGCTTAATTGCCTGACGTTATATTCACGTCGGGATCTCGCGGGATCCCATTAATACTCGCAAGAATGTTTAACGCCTATTTTGAGGGTAGAAAGACTTGCCACAAGGAACTACTATTTACTACTACTCTTACCAGATATCTCTCAGCATTCAAGTCCCTTGGACTTGCCGTGATAATCCAACTCCTCTCCCTCTCGTCATGATGGCCTGTAGACATATGTAGGAAGGGAGAAACCATACCAATATAGGTACTGCAGTACACATAGGCACATGCAACATACGATTGCAAGGACATGCATCTCACATCTTTCCCCGGATACAGATCAACTCCGACACGGATCCAATGAATCCATCCTCACAAGGCTCAGGGATTTCTCCGACTGAACACACGTAGGAATATCGGGAACTGGCGAAGGTGACGTAGGTCAAGCGCCGACGTACCTTGGCCTCCCTTCGTTGACTTGGCCGGGATATCGCGGGTGATGGACATCAATTCCCATTTGACGCTAAGAGATATGTGAGATCGTCACCGAGTTAGCCACCAGAGGGGGTGTGATTCGCAGGCAATAGCTTTTGTGCGGTAACCAATTTTGACTGCGGTGCCTCGAAGATTCAGCCTGAGAACGAGGTAACCTAGGATATCATGGAAAGGAATATCAAAAGCCACGAACTTAATCATGAGCATGGCCTTGAACGCGGGAAGGCTTGATGCATTCCCTGCTCGCTATTGGTGCGGACTTCGTGCTTCCCTGATACATCATCCAATGTTCACGGAAGTCAAGTATGAGTCCAAGAGGGATGTCTGAGAAGGACTTAGACGTCGTGCTTACTACTCGTTTAGTGGTGATCAAAGATGCGTGGTCCGCGGACGGTCCTATCATGACGATTTCGTTATCCCTAAAACTCGGGATCAGATCCCCTCAAGTAGGTTATCTGGGTTGAGCGAGCAGTAAGAGCGTCTAGAAAGCCCTAGGCTATGTGGCGCACCAGCATGCACATTAGCCGGCCCTGTTCTGTAGGACGATTCCTTGCGGACAACTTCCAAGACGATAAGGAGTCTGATTGTGTAGTATGCTATGTATTAGTACATATCAGTTAAGGCCACCTAAGATAAAAGCCTCTTCGCTAATACACCGCTAGTTTTGTTTTACTCCGGATCAGTTCCCTTCACACTATCAACGCTTTTTCTATCAATGTCTTCACCCTGATCAATACTCGAGCCTGCCTCGGAATCTTCGTGGTATCTTTGTAGTGTACGGTGCTTATGCTGACTGTTTACAAAGTCAGGATCGAATGACGTGCGACAGTTGATTTAAACTTACTACCAGGCTAACGTGAGAGCGGCGGCAGGGGAGACGAGGGAGAAGGCAAATCCGGCCCAGTTGCCTCCCGTGACAGCCGGTTGGTCTTTAGTTTGGAAGAGAGCAAGGGGGCTGAAGTGCAGTGAGTAAATGTGAATGAGTCAAATGGAAAAAAAAAGCCGTACATTGTTGCCGTACAGATACCGGACGCTACGTTAAGTCTATAGGTTAAATATTGTAAGATTCATATCACTGAAAGAAATACATCTTCGGCCAACTTACCCAGCACTTGCAAATGACCGAAGGCCAGGGTCGCCAGCACTAGCGACATGGTCAGTTATGGCCGCTCATCCAGCTGGTAATACATAAACAACTTGCAACGTATCCTGCGTCCATGCCCAAAACATCGAACTCGATGATTGGATCCATCCTGTGTTGTAGTAGAGGACTGAAACCGGGGCGGATATGATGAGTATAGCAAATCAAGTGGACACAAGGCACGTACACCAACGGAAGGCGCGATGTTTTGGATAAACCGGCGTCACAGCGAGCAGCACACACACAATTGCATTAAGAGTCGCAGCAACACAGAGCGGCGGCCATCTTCGACCCTGCAGGATAGAAAATTTCATGTTAGTATCTCTCGGCTACGTTCGGTCAAATGAAATATCACATTGAAGATAGTATCACTGGACCAGCCTATTATTAACGTATTGAAGAATGTGATGAGATAGGTGAACGTGGGATAGACATCTGGAAATGGTGATTAGAGAATGAATACAGACGAAGAGCTAACACACTGATTTGTTGCACAGTGAAGCTTCCCTTTTTGATGCTGTTATATCCCTAGAAGTCAAGTTAGTCCATAATCCGCTGCAGAGGAAATCTATATGCACCTTGAACCAGTAGGAGAATGAATCTTGTGGTTTCGATCCACTAGTGGCAGTTTATATCAAACCAGACAACTTCCAGCACGTTTATATACTTACACGGAGTTACACCAGCTCATGAGCCACAGGAGAAGGATCTCGGGTCGCAAGAACCATGTTCGAATCTAAAAGAGTAAGCATGAGATTGAGAACAAGGGACAGAGTAATCACGTACTTGTGACCAAGTGAATTTATCCTGCCGTACACGACCCTCCCTTGGATTTCTATCGCGTGCTAATTCTATGTCCTGCAGAGCAGAATACCGTTAGCGTCAGTTCATCCTAGGAGAACATGGCCAACATACTACAGCGGTGAACATCCAATTCGGCTGTTGGCGTGCAGGCACATCGGGGAGGAGGAACAACTGAGGTATGATCACAATGACAGAAATAATACCGTCGATGTAGAACAACTATGCGAGAATTTGCTCAGTTTTTTAACCCCCAATAACGATGGTGGGACAGTCATACCCACTGCCATCCGGCGTGACCTAGGCGGCCGTCCAGAGGACCATAAATGGCGGCTTGTAAGTATGAGCTGAAAGGTATGTCAAATGGGAGAGAGAGGGGGAAGGGGGGGAGGATGCATATGCCTGTGGCTTACCTGCACATGGGGCCGATGGCTGTCGCAGCGTTGATGAGTGCTACACGTCGTCCTAGCTCGTCGTCTTTGTACCACGCCCTAAACGCAGAGCGTGGGTCAGTAAGAATTGATATAGTCGAGCAGCCACCATGCTTACCCTGTCAAGTAGATCACTTTCCGAGTAAAAGAGTCTCAGATCCTTTGTCGATGTGAAAGCACAGAATCACTTACTGCATGACCAATGGCCTCTGTGCGACGCGTTGAACATCGGACTTGAAGAGAATGACAGATGAAAGACTCACGTCTCAAATAGCCCAACTAAAGCACGGATCGCACACATTTGAGTGCTATTTGTCATTTGTGCTTGACAAAATGTGCTAATCGTCCAGCCAACCTCAAGGAATCTACATATACCTGTTAATCTTTCGCAGTCCTCCTTTAGATAAAGAAAACATACGGGATAAACCACTTTGGTGGAACACGAGTTATAATCAGGTTTGCTGGCCAAAGGCCAATTATCTGAGAATAGTTAAGGTAGTGAAAAAATGTGAGATTGAGGCAAGATGTACACTGGCAATGCTATAGGCAGTCTGGGGCAAAGGGAACGTTGAGTTATTATCACAGGAACATCTCTCAAATGCTTACATTTGCGTACTAAAGCAATGCAGATGTCAAGATATAGGTGGATGGAAATGGTATCAAAGCCACTAACGTTCAATTGATTGCCATAAAACCCGAGGTCTTCTTTCATACCGCTAACTGTTCAATAATTTCAGTTGTTAACTCGCAGCGGAAGAGAATTTCATGAGAAATCGCACCAAAGGCAGTCTGAAGATTGCTCTTATCTGGAGTACGAAAAAGGCAATCAGACCGCGTAGAATCATGCGCAAGCCAAAAAAAAACAAAACATACCAAGATATTTGATCCATGTTCCCAGGAAACCGAAAGTGATCAAAATCAGATCAATCTTGTAGATGAGCCTTTTTTCCTATGAGAGAAGCGATAAGCTAATGGCTGTAATGATGTTAGAGAAGGGGAACGTACTTCAGCCGATTTTCCGGGGTTTTGCTAGACGTAATATAATCAGCTATGAGCCAGAACATGAAGAGACATGGAATACACACCCATATATAGTCCTTCCATGTGCGCTTTTGCTTCTGAGCTGGGGTGACGTGCTCAACATCAACACGAGCGACCTTTGCGAGAACCATGGTGCGTCTGCTCACTTTCAAGTACAAGGCAAAACCCTCATTTTAAGGGAAAAAAAACACAACCGTGCCTGAGGCCTGTTTGAAGCATCGTAGTTCCGCAGTAGTGAGCAACTGAACCTGGAGATTGAAGCTTTAAGGCGTCATTGGTCTGTGAGAAAACACAATGGACAATTTGGAAACTCACGTCTCGCCGCGGCATTGGAACTTTGGACAGAGTCTGTCAGGATAAAATAATTCCAGGTTGTCTGGGTCATCTCATGCGACGATAATACAGATCGTTGCGCGATTTTTGGACTTGGGTCAAGAGTTCGAGTTGCGATTGCGCAGCCACCAGTGTGAATCGTTGGTGTTCCAAAAATAGTACTACTTTTTGATGTTGAACGAAGGTCGAGATGGTGATGGCTTGCACATATAATAACTTGGTGAGATGTCGTAGCAGTTTGATGCGGTCGGTAAATCCTTCCTTGGAACCTAAATATGAAGCCGTCGTCCTCCAGATGATACTGGGCCAGGATTGGGCTACTAATAAGCACGGCGGCCGTTTGTCTGTACCTGCTGAGTTGCTCCTAAATGGCTCGCTATACTCCGGCCGGTGATGGCGTGCTTATCGTCGTTCAATGATTTATCTATCGGCCTCGAGGGCGTTCAGCAGACCATCCTCGTTTACCTTGGTCTGCTATGTCTACGCCAGAAACATCTCTCTTCGTTCCTCTTGAGCTACCGGACGCCAGAAATTTCCATGGAAAAACCTTTCCGATCGCATTCCATCGTCCGGAAGGAAGTTGTCAGCTGTCTGTGGAAGAGGGTGTCGAATATATTCGCAAAATTTCTGGTTCAGGCGAATTGACACGGCTATTACAAGACCACGGTGCTGTCGTATTTCGCGGATTTGGACATGCATCAGCAGACACGTTCTCAAAGCTTATTATCGCAGCCGAGGAAGCCCGAGGAAACAAACCGTTTGAACAGATCGGGCTTGCTGGAAAGCGACTCACCAAGGCACCAGAAGTATTCAGTGCGAACGAAGGTCCTCGCACTCGCCGATTCTACCAACACAATGAGGTGAAAGGCACTAGAATCACACCTTTTTATCATTTAACATGTCCGCTCTCAGTACGCTCGGTACACCCATTTCCCCGGCTTCATTCATTTCTATGCCACGGTTACCGCCGACGAAGGTGAGTCCATGCCTGCCGGTCAACTGGATCCCATCTTATCATCTTCTAGGTGGGGAATCACCCATTGCCAACAGTCTTGAGATATATGAACGGGTCAAAGAAGAACTGCCAGAATTTGTCCAAGAACTTGCGAAGCGTGGACTGACCATGCGCCAAGTTTATCCTCCCGCCGGACACAATCGAGGAAACGTGCGAGCTGCTCATTTAATGTATAACGATGCCCGACGTTGACTATATCTCTCAATGTTAGGGAAATTATTTCGACTGGACCCAAGAGTACTGCTTTGGACAGAAGATATTGCCCGGGGACGATGAACCGACGCGACGACGCAAAGCAGAAGAGCAGGCACGCAGGCTCACCCCTCGTTTCAAATGGCTGGATGACAGCTCTCTAGAAGTCATTCAAGACGTTCCAGCGTTCCGCCGGATAAATCCCGGTGGCATACCGACTTGGTTCAATGGTCTTGCTGGTGCGTTCTCTATCACTCCGTCTCATTCTGTAGGAAGGAAGCTTACGAGTAACTCTTCTAAGGTCAGCGGGGGTCTGCTATCGACCAAAAAGCCATCGAACCCCCCTTCATTGGGACTGACGGGTTGCATTGTACGTCGTGACCCTTTATTTTCATAAAACCTTCCAACACCTTACCAGATCTCCGGCCCGGATATGGCGACGGGACTCCGATCCCTGAGAAATGGCTTGATCGTGTCGTTGAGATCACCCGGGAGCTCGAGTACGTGCATACATGGGAAGCTGGCGACTTGATATTTGTCAATAACCATCGTACAACTCATGGACGTGCGCCGTGGGTGGGAGAGAGAGTAGTAAGTCAAGCCTAACGTTGAAAATGATGTAATCCGCTAACGGTTTCGTAGGTTCTTGTGAGCATGTGGGATGCCTTGCCGGGAACGCTCTCAGAATACTAGGCGCTACACCAGGAGAAGATAGTGGCGCTCTACCAGACAGACAAGACAAGAAAGGCTGATATCGTAAATTCAAACTTAAGTAGTACAACTTGTTACGAAACATTTCAGTACGAGCCTCCGGATATCTGTGTACACCTGTCATCAACACTGACGGCAGAAACAAAAATGATCTCCTTACAGTGGCATCGTTAAGGAGGAGCGTACCCGCTTCACCGCCCGTGATGGTGAGAGCCGAAAAATCCCAAGTCCTAAAGAGTCAATTAAATACATTGCGTTTATGGGTATCACATTGAACTTCGTGCATACCCTGAGCATGCACCACAATCAACGGTAAGGCGCTTTGCATCAGAGTCAACTCTATATGAAGGGACGAGATAATAATAATGATTAATCCCTCGGTTTATGGATCTTCACGGGCACTCACACTACAGTCGTGGTGGACCCTGTAAAGCTTATGTCCCTTAATTAATATCCAGTAAGCATTACGAGCCTCTCCAACAAGACCGACGTGCTCACGAAATAGGCGCGCCAGTCCCAGGGGTTCCGTCATCGTCGGGATACGACTGAGTGATCAACACCCCGAATTCTTCGATTCCGCTCAGGTTGTTTCTGTGGAATGTATCAGTCAACGATCTCCTTCATGTATGGTGCCTTTTGCTCTACCCAGAGTAGGTGATACCAGACACTGAAGCCGAAGAGGCGTCAGCGTCCACTTTAATTCTGTATCAAAAGCGCCTTCAGAGACGTATACACGAATGATGACGTCACGTCCCACCTCAGGCCGTATGATGAATCGGTGACGGTATTACCACTGATAGTTACGTCGGTAACCGACTTGTCGCTAGCAATCGAGCCGATGGATATACCGTGGCCTCCAGAGCACTGGTTATTCAAGAACCTTGTGCCCCGTTTAGAGTGAAGGGATACATAAGCAACTGTTTATACGTACTTGATGTTTGTCCCGTCGTTAATAGCCAGACAGTCATCCTGGTTCTTTACGATGCTGTCTTGAATAGTCACATCGTCCGCAGAGACGTCAAAACCCTGAATAAATGTGAACCAGCTTGTTCGGTAGTGAAACTAACGGTACCCACGTCCGTATTATGGCCCAAGTCATCAATGTCGCCAGCGCTGTTATCAACCTACAGGAACAATGATCAGCGGGTTCCCGAGCAATTTACGATACATACGGTGATACTAGTAAAGGTGAGGCCATCACTATTGCCGATAGAAACGGCTTGCGCGGGGGTGTTCAGCACCTATCAAATGAGGTTTCGAAAACGGGGCTCTAGTGACAATCATTTCCTGGCTGACCGTAAAGTCGGAGTAAGTGCCCGAACCCTTGAACCTACAAAGCTGTCAGCGAAGTTCAAGTACGTATAGAATTCAAACAGACTTCAATAATGGATGAGGTTTTGCGACACCTCCGTTCGTGCCTTCGCCATCCCAATACAACGCACCATTACCCTATCCTTCTTTGTCAGATAATCGTGAAGATATATCAGAAAATACAACCGACGTTGAACTCATTCCCCGCACCATTGAAAGTGATATCGGTACCGTCAATAGTGAATAATGGGCCACTAGCTAACAATGGCTGCATTCAGCGAACTTCTAAGCAGTAAATATTTGCGACGTACTTACAAGTAGTTTTGGCAAATGTGATTGAGCCAGTCATTGTAACAGTCGCGCCATCGGCGGGCTGGTAAACCGTAAAAAAAAGATCCGAGGATGCAACATAGGATTACCTCCAGCGTCAGGACGTCTAAACACGTAATACTTCAGTACAGATAATCAAAGTTGTAATATGAAATGGCTCACTGCCGCTACTAACGGTGAAGGCTTCAATTGTCACCGAAGAACAGTCAGAAAGATCTGAAGCTGTAGCGACGGAGTTGACAATGCAGCTAGCACGTTTAGCGGGTCGAGAACCACGCGGAATGCTTTTTGCCATCACAACAACAACCGTTGCCACCAGGACTCGAAAAAGAGCAGACTTGAACATCGCAGCGGGTTGTGACTGGGAAAGGAGGTGGAGAGAGATATCTGAGCGGGGTGATACATTATCCGGCATACTCATAACATCTTTATACAAATGCTCTTCTTCTCACACTACTAGAGACATGAGAGAAAAGGCTAGAGTTGGACGAGAAATTTCTTGCCATCAACACGCGACTGAATCATTTGCTCCTAAAAATATACCGGTTATTTATAGAACACACGTATGACGCGTATCCTTAGTTCGTACCTGTCTGTTTACCTAGATAATTCCCAGATGAGGCTCAGGCATCAATAATGATTTTTTATACGGGCGAGATATAAGTGACGGATATAGGACCGACAGGAAAAGCCAGCTGAGCATCGACTTGCCCAGTAATGACGCGCCGTTGGCTCCGCTTCGTGTCGACGTCTGTCCTGACGTTGGTTGAGGATCTTCAGATTTTTATTTCCGAGTTCTCAAGGTAGCGGCCCGTTTCAAAGTTTGCGATTTCCCCGACCTGTAGTAGAATTACTCACAAGATGTCATTCCACGTCGCGCCACATATGAGAAAAATGTTCTTTGAGCGACTAGCGGTCCGTGCAGCAGCAATCGCTTAGTGCCGTGTGACGCGAGATCCATGAGGATCTGAATACACGGATTCACCATGCCTGTACCGGCCCGCCTGCTGATTCCGTTTTTCACCCGAAATCTTGCCGCCTTGACGACTGTAGGACCACAGCTGTCGGTGGTCGGTGTCTGGTGTCTGTTATCCTCGCAGTGTGTGTTGATAATTGCGTGCATTTGGGAGAAAAAGAAAGAATCTCCGGCCCAGACAGGTTCACTCACAACAGCCTCCATCAGGCCTTCTATTTTTAGTTCTCCTGCAGGTTGTGGATGCTGGACGAGAGGGTCAATGGAGGATGTGAGTGAGGGCATGGACATACGCACTGACAGCGACTTGTTAGCAACATTGAGCGAGCATGGACAAACGATTGAGATAACTAATTAGACCATCAGAAACTAATCAAATAGATGGTCTACTAACGATGCTACAACCCTCACATTCACGCTATTCCCTATCAACCGATATTTCGTCTTCCTCGACACCTCATCAGGCCACTGGAATAGCGACGGGTCAAAGTCAGATATACGAAGCAGCTCGCTGGGCGTGAAATATCGCAAGCGTAGGGGGCGTAGAATAGCTGGGTCTGCAGTTTGAAGGAATTCATCAAACGTCTTGGTTGTCTGCGACAAAATGAGTGGATGAAAGCTGTAGAGGAACTGGGCGTACGTCTAGCTCTTCGTTCATCTGCAAAATAGACCCAGCTCGCTCAACGAGGTGCGTGTATCCTATAGTAAACACGTGAGAGACATCTAACGTTCAAAGGGCCTTACCACTTGTAAAGCAGCATGTCTTTCTATCTCCAGGCAGGACGATGTCGAACAGCCTGCCCCACTTGGTTAGCACCCTATCCGAAACCGCATACCCCTCCCCGTCATCATCAAGATAATCCCTCACCATCTTGATGTCTCCCGCCACCCGTCCCGGTATCTCTCTCAGAACGGTCTCATTCACCCCGCCGGCCCAAGGCTCCCTTCTCGCAAGCAGGTAATATCTTAACCGCGAATTCGGTATCCCAAACTGTAGCGGTGTTAACAGAAACTCCCGCACAGAGTACTCCATCCGGGCTAGGGTAGCAAGAAGGACTTGACGCGTGCTTGAAGTCTTTTACGGACACGTCAATTCTTGGCTTGGACGAATAGATGGAATGGTGGGTACCTCAAACCCGGCGACATTCTCCACCAGTAAGTGGCTCGGCCTTTGCATTGGGGCCAACTCTGGAAGGACAGTCTGTACGAGATGCAAGAACGACTTGGCACGAGGATCTGCTGCCCCTTTCGCATTCGGGTTGAGCATTGTATACGGTTGACAGGCAGGAGAGAGGAGCCATAGTTCTGCATCCAAAGCGCCTAAATCTGCTGCTGTCAACGTCGATATATCTACCTATGCATGAAATCAGCCAAAACGAATGGTTTTGGTTGGCGACGCACCCGACGCACGATACCCTCTCCATAATTCCTGCCGTATATCCTGCACGCGTTCTGGTCCCAGTCAAATGCACGGATAACACTTGCGGGGACGTGACTTCTTGTCAGAGCACAGTGAAGGCCGCCTGTGAACGAATAAGTAGATGCAAAGTGTTGAAATACAAGTACCTATTCCGCTGTAGAATTCCAGCGCCTGCACCATGGAAGAGGAGGAAGGAATGCCGTTTCTCTGCCAAGCTGCAGCCCTTGGAACAACTTCGGGCGTTGCCGGTATCTAAATCAGGGAGGCAATGTCCAAATTTGGGTTTGGTTGGACGCGTCAATGTCGCGTCAATCTTGACTTGGATTTCTCAATCATTCGCGATGGGAACATAAATGTGCCCAACGGTGATGCTGTATTCCCTCTGGTGTTGTCTGGAATGCTCTCTATGACGGTCTCAGGGCTTGAATTAAACATAAGGAGAGGGATTCAGATCGAACCTTTTGCAGGACCAGGATTTACAGAATCATGACGTCGACGCTTTCTAGGCTCAAATCGAAGAACGATAAGTGGCCGGTCCATTCAGACCACAACACTGGGTCCCAAAGGATGCACCCATCAACCTCAACATTCCCGACAGTTACGTGCAGCACACCCTCACAGCAACGAAACAGCGACCTCCAATCACTCTTTCCAATATTCTGACTCGCAGTCCCCGATGGACTACCGGAATGCCATCAAATGATATCAGTATGATCCTACGAAGTGGTTCATTTGGTCGATGCAGAAGATTGGTCTAGCGAGTCATCTGAAGGTCTTTCCTGAGAATGGAGTTTGCAAGGGCCAGTTGACGATGCAGCTCAAGCGTCTTCGGGAGACTCAGGAATCACTTACCTGGCCTTGAAATAGTGATGACCTACCTGTTGTTTCATTCGAGAGTCGTACGTCTCTTCTAATCAGTCTGCCCTGCTAAGCAAGCTGATTTTCCGGTGTAGACCAGGCAATCGCTGAAACGTCCTCTTATCCTCATTTCGGGTTTCATTCACGATGTTTCGATGTTCATGGATGAGCACCCAAGTGGCCTCCACCTCCTTGTCAAATTTATCGGCAAGGATACGACTACTGCTTTCTTCGGTGATATGTATGACCACTCGAACGCGGCTCACAACGTACGCTATCCTTTCGACATCCCTGCTTCTCGCTCGCTGAATAATCAACATCTTATAGAGTCTCGCTATGAAACGCGTGGGTGTACTCCACGGCGGACATCCTCACGTCCTGAACATCGTGAAACGAATTCCGCAGTCAACAGTTGAAAATTGCACGGTACAACGAATTGAGCTCCAACTATGCTAGCACCCACCGCATGGAGTGGTGAGGAAAAGCCAGCGAAAGGTACTCCGGTTAAGAAGCTCTAGATGTGGAAATGGCAGGTCCTAGGCCTCATGCCTCATTGTTAAACGTTTTTACCTGTCCTCGTTTCCCCGATATTAGACTGATTCGCTGACGTGAATATTGTATTTTAATCGTGTTCATAAGCAATCTTAACAATAGTATTCCGTATTGTCTTATCTGTTTTCGTGCCACGAGAGAATAGCAAGGTAGATTGAATTGCTGCCATACTCTGAGTAGTAGTACTAGCAGTCTCTAGATGCAGCCAGTGTGATGTAAAATCAAACATAAAAACTATGATTGAACATGTTCAGTTTCTTTGCTTTACGATATGATTCATCGAACGTGTCCTTGCTTCCCAGACCAAAACTTGCTAAGTCTTGGGCAGTGAGTAAATCCGGGATGCATGACCGCGCTTTTACCGAAATAGTACGATCCTATCCGGGCCCATGTCACAACACGCATCTCAGGGCTCATGGCTCTCTCATCTTTAGACTGAAGTACGGACGTATGTATATACCCTTTGAGAATCGATGCATTCCGCAAGTTGTTCTTGTCCTGACGTTGAAGGATGACCCGAATTGCGATGACGAAATGCGTAACCGTGGATACGTACAATGGTAGGTAAGGTATCCCAACCCTCACTATCGTCATTTTTTTTTTCCCTTGGCAGACCCAAGTACCATTCTCAGCGAGACATCGCTCTATCAACGGCACGCCACCTTTTCCCCTTCGTAGACATCGGTATGGTGAATAGACCGACTCGGACGTAGGGTGCGGAGAAAGTGTGTTTCTTGTTGCATTTATTGCTTTTTTTTTTTCCCTTCTCGCTTCACTGACAAGGCTATCCGGAGTATCATTCTCTTTCTGTGGCGTCTCGCGCCACTAGCGGATGAAGCTCATCTTCTCCCTCCTTTTTTTTTTTTTGCAAATACTCGACTTAGATACTGAACGTAAACCCACTTCTAAAAAAGCAGTTGACTTCCGAGGCTCATTTAGGAATTGATTTGCGAGTTCGAAAACTAAGTGCGCTCTTCCTTTACTCATTCAGGGCTTATCAACAAACGGCCTTCTTAGGGTGATAAAACGAGATTTCCTAATTTCCGCGTTCTTCTTACCGAAATATCTCTCGGTGGCGAAGCCCCATCTGTTAAAACGTCGAGTATGCATTGGCCGAAGAACAGAACTCACTGGACATTGACCTGAATCCAATCACCGAAAGCTTCAAGAAGGCGAGCAGCATCATGATCGGAATAGGCTTTTCCGTTGTGCCCTTTTATGAGTCGTTTAGCCCTTTCGAATTGGTAACTCCAGGGATGTCTGCAACGCCTTGGAGGTCGAGATCTAAATTGGACGCCGTGACGGCATTTGACCTGCTCCATGTCGTAAGAATAGAGGACCTATGAAACGAAATCAGCCCTGAGAGGCTCGGGGACTAAAGCTACACACATTACAAGGTCTACAGCGGCGTCATATCCGCTTTGAAAAGCAGAATCTTCTTGGGGAAGGTTGATGCCGAGCCAGATCGAAATGTACTATAGCGCCGTAGTACATTAAAGATAAGACTGTCCTTCTCACTCCGACTTTTCAGAGTCCTCTACACTTGTTGCATGACAAGCCTTGAGTTCAGCTGAGATACGCGAGTACGTAGTATATTATGCGCTGGACAGCCCGGTGAAGATGAATGGAACCCACCTACCTAACCGAGAGACATCGAAATCATATTTTCAATTAGCATCCGTGGGACATAGTATCTATAGCGCACCAATTATTAAAGGAGTCGAGAATGGAAGCCATTACACGATATTTTTCAAAGGCCAGATCGCGGAGGCCCTCCCTCGCCAATTCATCACTGTGTGGACAGTGGGAAAAAAAAGCGTTGAAATTGTGTCCATGCTACCTACCTAGCCCCCACCCCCATGCCGACTCCTCCTGCTCCTATTAACAGTCCCACTCCTCTCCAGCGCCGTCCTCATACTCCGAATAGTCTGCACAATTTCCCCCGCCAACTTTGGACTCTCAGCCTCGAAATCATACCTCTTGTTGCCCGTAAGGACCAGCTTGAAGATATTCAAACTCTTCGTACTCTGCTGGCAGTCAACGATGCTCTTGATGTGGTACGAGTAGGTCTTGCCGTTGTCAAAGACAGCTTTGGCTTTGTTAGTGGAGGGCATGATCTGCGTTAGTGCGTTGGTGGGTGGGTTAACTTGGGCTTGTGCGAGGGAACTCACGTGGATGTAGACACCGTCGATGGCGAGGGTCTTTTCTTGCTTGGCGACGAGCATGGGCATCTTGCGGGATATGGTGTATTTCTGGGGGAGGGGGAGACCTTAGCACAAAAGTATATGAGAGCAAAAAGCCTCACCTTATATGCAGCGGTGTAATCCAGCGCAGAGCTAAGTTTGACTTCTGGCGTATCCGAAATGCGCTTGAATATCGATGCTGGAAAGGACATCAGAAATGAAAGCAAATATGGTGCGAGCAAACCATTTGGGTCAGTCGTCCGCCCAGCACCCTTGAGGACATCTCCCCCGAGCCTGCTCTTCTTGATGATGACGAGCTCTCGCTTACCCTGCAGACTCGCCACGGTGCGATCAAGCGGGATAAGAATGCTCATGTCCGCGAGCAACAGTGCGTACTCTTTCGGATTGTCAAGCTTGCGCTTACGGCAGACCATCTCGAGAGCTTCTTGCATATACATCTCAGCAGACCTAGAATTGGGCTCAGGGAGGGATAAGGGTTGAAAAAAAAGGACGTACACAGGGATGGTGGTGGATATGTGCCCTGCATCTGCTGCGTCCGCCACTCTTATTCTCAAGAACATCTGCGGCCCGCTGGATGATAAGCCTAAACTGGTCGAGAGCGGTAGGGAACCGAGGTTGGAGCCAAAAACGGGGGCGGCATTGGCTGCTAGGGACAATGAGCTTGGATTCTGGTTCTGGGATTTCTTGGCGACGGCGGTTCGAGAGGGACGTCGTTGGATCTTGGCTTGGAGGATACGGTTCTGTGCGACTAGAGGGATGGTGAGAGGGGATAGAGGAAATGAAGGAGATTAACCTTGGGCAGGACTTGCTTCCAAGACAGCATAGGCATCTGCGTTGAATTTGACGATTTTGCCCATTCGATCAGGAGCTGGAGGACATAAAGGTATAGTTCCAGAATTGAAACAAGGGACGTACGTGGAAAGTCATCGTCGACTTCACCGTCATCCTCAGCTATTCGGAGTATCCATCCAATGGCACTCAGTTGGGTGTTCCATCTCTCGTCATCCTCAGTGAGACCGTCGTCCAGCTTGGGTTTCCATCCCTCTTCCCAATAAGTCCATAGCGCAAATCCAATGACCTCTTCGACCGAGGCATCCTTCCTCACACTGAGTTCCATGGCCTTGTTCCTAGGCTCCTGTGCATGGGGAAAGTAGACCTGGACGTACGAGGACGCACTCTCACCGCGGCCACTGATCAACGAGTAGAGCTCACTGAACGGATTAGTCGTGGTGCCCGCAGACTTGAGCACGGCCGAGAGTGCGGACACTGTGGGGAGCTTGGGAGGCTGGACGCGTTTGCGGGTGAACGTCATCTCTGCGGTGGGATTGCGCTGTGGTTTGTGGGGGCGGGACTCTGCCCGCGCCCGGTTTGGGGAGACCTTTTCGGAGACGGGGCTCAGTCGGGGGCGGGATCGACGGGAGGGCCCTGAGTTTGAGAGAGAGAGGACCGAGTTCATGTCGGAGGCGCTGTCAAAGTTGCCGGGTGTGCGCGTTGTTGTCGCCGCAAACTCGCTGTAGACGATGAGTGTAGAATGAAAGAAAAGAACATACACGCACGGGTCAAAGTCGTCGTCGTCGTCGTCCATGCTATCGTTTCCACCAGCGACATATTCGGACGATGATGACGGCGACGAGGATGGCGACGCAGGGTTCTCTTCGTCGCTGGAAGAGTCATCAAAGCTGAGCGTCGGTGGTGGACCAGGCAGCGGGGCGGTATCAGGACTTCTCCTAGCTGCCATCCTCAGTCGTCGTCGCCGTTCCATCTCAGCAGCGCCTTTGAATCTGGGGATAAACTGCGGCAGATCCGGCACCTCGTCCACCACCACCGGCTCCTGCACGTTGATCTCTGGCATGCTCTCTGGCTCCTCGACATCTGGTTCTTCATTCACCGGCGCACTCGTCCCAACAAAGTTCTTCACTACGTCCGGCTCCGTGGTTGACAGCAGCGTCGACGCCCGCTTGCTCACTGACGTCCGTTTCCCACTGACACGCAATCCCAGCCCGCCCGTGCGTCCACCCATGATCGTCTGCGTGTATTTCAAACTTTTGGCCCCCGGGGCTGGTTGTTCTTCGTCATCGCTGATTTGGGGACTAGACGGCATGGCAAGCTCTGGCCATCGGTCGACGTCAGCGAGAGAGGCGGCGAGGATGTACGGGTTTGAAGTATAGGACGAGTCGAGAGAGATGAGACGGGAACCATAGGGATCCTCGACGTCGCGGAGGTAGTTGAGTCTGAGGCTGTGGATAAGATAACTGTGAAAGGATTGGTGAACGGTGCAAGGCCAGACGTGATTGAACGCACTCGGTATCACTAATTAGCGACATTCAAGCGATCGAGGCACTGGTCGAGTTCAAACACAAGTCACCAACGTGACAGAATTCCAAATGTATATCCCGGGCCGCGTAGCAAAAAAACATCACATCATATTTATAAAGAGAACCAAGAGTCAAAAGCTTTTAGCAACAACTCCTCCCAGCAACCTTCACTTTCGGAGCTTCTTCACCATACCCTCCTGTTCCTCCTCATCACCATCACTCCACGCTGTGCTGCTAGCATAGTTTGAACTCAATTCATTGTACCGCGCAATCTTCAACCGTTGGCTAGGTGGAATTCGCTTCGCGATGTCCAGAATGTGAGGATGGCCGCCGTGGAGTACACCCACGCGTTTCATAGCAAGAAGCTATAAGGTATAAACAAATTGACGACAGTCAAGCAGCGCAGTAACTTACATTATGAGCCGCATTCGAGTGGTCGTACACACCACCAAAGAAGGCCGTAGTCGCGTCTTTGCCGATAAACTTTACAAGGAGATGGGCACCACCTGGGTGCTCATCCATAAACGTCGAAACATCGTGGATGAAGCCCGAAATAAGAATCAGTGGACGCTTTTGCGACTGGGTTTGGACTTGACAAAAAACGTCAATACCTTGGCAAGGTAGTGCGGAACAAAAAAAAACAAAACAAAACGTACAACTCTCGAATGAAACAACAGGTAGGTCATCGCTATTTGAAGGCCAGGTAAGTGATTCCTGAGTCTCTCGAAGACGCTTGAGCTGCATCGTCAACTGGCCCTTGCGAACTTCATTCTCAGGGAAAACCTTCAGATGACTCGCTAGACCAATCTTCTGCATCGACCAAATGAACCACTTGGTCGGGTCATATTGGTACCACTTGATAGCATTCCGGTAGTCCATCGGGAACTGCGAGCCCGAGTCAGATGTCGCGTATATGACAAACATGAGGCGACACGTACCTGGTGGTGGAAATTGTGGTATCCCTCACCAATGGTAGCAAACGCTGTAATTACATGGTCCTTTGGCGTATGCTTATCGTCGAACGGAGTCTCGCCAAGCCAATGGGCAAGAGAATTGACACAGAAAGTCGACTAAGCAAAAAATACGTCAGCTTCCCCAAGAAAAAAAAATATAACAATCGCTCAAAAACTGACGTGATGTACAAAGACGAGGCGCAAAACACCAGCATATACGAACCCACCCTTCGCATCACCCCATCCCAACCATGCGATCAAAGAAGGAAAGAGGAAACCCATGGTCAAGATGAGTGTCAAATAGTGCCTGTGCTGCCACCTCACGACGCGATTCTTGCTCAGATCACTGACGTCTGCGACACCAGGCTTCCGCCTCGGCTTGACGAGCATCCATCCGATATGCGAGTAGAAAAATCCCCGGTGAGCGTTGTATGGATCGAGATCGGTGTCCGTGTACCGGTGGTGTGCACGATGACCTCGGGACCACCACTTGATCGACCCTTCCAGCGAACCAGCTCCTGCCATGGCGAGTATATACTGGAGCGGGGCCGAAGCATTGTACGACCTGTGAGCCCAGAGACGATGGTACCCTGCCGTGATACCAAGACCGGTGATGAAGTAATAAGCAACGGCCCAGACGGCAGTCTCCCATCTAAGCCTGGTATAACAAGCACCGATAACTCCCATTATTGGGGTCGAGGTAAGGATGATGAAAGAAAGCCAGTTGATTTCATTGAGAATATTGGAAAGAGTGATGGGAGGGAGCGATTTCGTCGTTGTCAAGGTATGCTGAACATAATTGTCGGGAATGTTGAGGTCGATGGGTACATCCTGCTTCGTAGGGACGTCAGACATGGTAGTCGTCAGTGGGAGAGTGCCAAATTCTTGGGGACGAGCGGATCCATTTTTGGGGACGTGTGTTGTGGCCTGTGTACTAGCGGCGTCATCGTTTTTTTTCTGTGGTCAAATTCGAGTTCTGGACTCCTTGAGCGGTCTGCCGTTCCATGGCAAGCGCCCCGTAGCGGGACGAACATTCAGTTTTCCATCTTTCAAAACTGATTCAAGAGCATCCACCAGTATCTACTCCGGTTTGATAGAGGATTGAGGTTCGGTCCGCGGTACCGGGACGCAGTTGCAATTCTGTCTTGATTGGAAAAACACGTCCCCTTCCACATCCAGGCTTCTCTTCCCAGAATACCACCCCAACTTTCTCAGGAAGACGCGCAAGAAGGCAATCCAAGTCCTTATAAGCGTCTTTCAGTTCTTGTGCATGAAAAAAGATAGAAGGCGCCACGGTGGCTCAACATTAACTTTCTCATGCTACTCGCCGTGATGAACACCTTTTCGTGCCTTTGGGATGCACACCGGCCTAACGAGGATAGTGCTTGATATCTGTCCTCATGTTGATAATATGTTGTAAAATATGGATGGTCATTTCAGATGGCAACAGGCTCTGTACCAGCGGCCCACACAAACCAGACTTTAGCTTCACAGCTCACAACACTAGGAACGCCATATACGCAACGGACCCATGAGCGGTTTCGGAGCTGTATAACAGACTCATACTCTTTAGCCATCTGATCAATTACGGCTTTGAAATCCCAGCTATGTCCTTGATCAAGCCTCTTTGCAGGGCAGAACCATACCGTATAATGGCACACAAGAGCTCTGGCGATCGCCAGTCGTCATAGCTTTATCAGACCTATATGCGAGGAAAAGGAGTGTCGATTCGCGTGAAACAGTCGTCCCTCTCCGTCCCTCCTTGGTCCGGATGTAGAGATCACTTTGAGGGTCCCTATTGAGCCTGCAAATATGACGCAAGAGCCGGAGAACGCATAAAGTCATCGACAGCAGGCTCTATCTAGCTGGCTGTTGACTTGGGTGCAGTATCTGCATTTTGGCAAGACACTTATTTTCGCGCTCGGTCCCAGATATTTGACGCGCTTCGCGCAATAAATCTCATGCGGGATTTGGGAAATACCGGGGTGCTTGAGGAACGACAGAGATATTGTCGGGAAGTATATCTCCGGTAAATCCCCTAACATCGTTGAGATTTCCAGCTATAGCGCATGCCTCGGATAAACCGACAAGAGCATGTTGCCTGCGAGCAGCGGGAATGGCAATGGCAGTAATCCATTTAGCTTCAAGATCAAGATTGCGCAGCGCATCGACACTTCCTACACCAATGTAAAAGCGAAGACCAAGGGTACTTTGTAGCTTTCTTGAATATTCAAACGCCATTGGACCAGGTTCGCGCTTCTCGACTTGGAAAGCAATGGCGAGGCAGAGTTGATGGGATAGGATACCTGAGCTACAGAGATGTTCCCAAGATGTGTTCCAGTCCTCAGGTCTCAGGCTTGGAAAAAGCAGGCTGCGTTCTAGGTAATTCCATGAAAGCCGTTCATCGTGACGGTGAACGTCGAGGGGCGTGGGAATAATATGTCTGACTTTCGACCTCTACTATTATTTCTATAATTTTAGTGATGGCTACATTCTTCTGGCTTTCGGTTCGTCTCTGCGACCTCTGGAAGTACTCAAGCTGAAGGGCCAAGTTTGTTTCGGGCAGCCGTTGTTCATCTCTCTCCCACTTAGTGGACAGCCTCGGAGGCGGAATACGATCGTTGAGCGGCATGTTCCTCTAGCTAGTCGACGACAAAGGCGCTCTCAGACTGAGTTTCGCTATGTAGTATCCTCTTGGGTAGCATCAAATGATGGACCAGACGTTCTTTCCCTGTCCTACTTCTCACATTGTTCGTTGCCTCGCAACTTGCGAACCTCCGAGCACTCTGCATGTACCGACTACCATCGAGGGCAGTACATTGTTCCTGTGTGCCATAGGAGTAGTATGGATCCTATATTACTAGCCCCGCCTCTCTCTCATCTCCTCCTTCACAATGTCGTCTGAGGCTGGAGCATCGTAAGTGCCAATATCCATTGTTCGTCAACGGTCCTCGCAATTCCTCAGCAATACTCATGCCGTATTTCGGGCGAGACAAAGCTTGACTGAAGTTTTCGTATGTATTCGCCTCAATGACAGAATCGGCATTCTCACATCTATTCTAGGTGTTCTTCCTCTTGATCCTCAACGTCGCCATTTGAGTAGCAATTTGTGTATATGTACGCAACACTTATCATACACTTTGTTGTGCGATCCTAGCTGATATGCACTTTTCGACTCAGTAATGGCTTCTTTCTGTGGATCTAGCCCATCGCAGGTGAGTCATACTTTAATTTCAACATAAAATACCCGCTGACGTTAATTGCAGTATTTGCTACGAGTACGTACCACTTTATCTTCTGATAGGTGCTCTGACCTACTATAATCGTCACAGCGGCCGCATTGACGGTAATGTATCTTCAACCGTAGACTTACTCCGTCGGACTCATCAACATCTAGGGCACCATATCTTGCTCCGTACAAATATTCTTCGCCTGGGGAGTTAAAATCCTGACTTCAAATCTTTGGCTGGTCACCGTGGTCGTCGCAGCCACAATGGTGGGTGCTAGTGAGTAATCGATGAATCCGAGAACTATAGGATATTGAAGCATCTTTCTAGTTAGAGCCATTGCCAGTACTGTTGAAGCGATAAGTATAGGTTCATTCCTCCGATTTCAGGAAATCAAGGTATGCGGGTCTACCAATCTATCTATTCTGTGTTGAACCTTATTGTCAGGCCTGGGTTATCCTTTAGCTCGTTGGCGCTTGTGCCGCAGATATTCTGATCACCGCTATTCTTGTTTGGCATCTGTATGATCTCTCAGTACATCTTCTCACGTCGTCGGTTTTTTCTTTTCCTTTGGGTGCGCACCATACAATGCAAGTTCCTCGGAGCATGATTTATGACGTCGGCTCACCTTCTGGCCCCCAGCAACTATCCAGATCGGCTTGCTCACTTCCGTTTGTGCGGTCGTTGGTTTGATCGTATATCTCGTGGACGTGAGTCCGTCCGGTTCCTTGCGATAAATTCCTACTCATCTGTGGATAGTCAACAGGACTTCATCTCCTCTTCAACTTCCCCTTATCAAAACTGTACACCAATACCCTGTTGAGCAGTCTCGATTCCAGGGGAGGTTAGGCGTATGATTCAAGCCAATCGCACTCACATACCACTGGCGGTATCATGACTGCGTCCGCTGGAGAAAATGTTTACTTCACCGCTGCAACCCGCCCGCTCTAACATGTCCCTCACGCAGGTTGTCCGTTTCGGCACAAATAGTCGGCTCGAAGTCTTCGTATCTGATGAACAGCATGAACTAGCGGATGTTGCACGAGCGACAGACATGGAAGACATCAAATTGACTGACGATGCTAGTACGGCAAGCCGTGAAACTTGGGAAGCCGTTGGCCAAAAGTCAAAATAAAATAGAGGCGGTATGGTACAGTCTACTTAGTGGACACATAGAATGTAACTGGCATAAAATAATCGTACAATTGCAGGGCTGCCCAACCTGCATCTAACCTTATTACACTTACCTTTACTGTCTTAGTTTTTCCATCCGCTCTTCGGTAATCTGGAAGCAGTCCGGCGTCCCTGTGTCTTCCCACTTCCCCCCAAGAACCATCTGGGCTATACCAGGCGCACAACCAAAAATACGCGCCATTCCATGGCCATTGAACCCCGCTAGGACATACTGACCTGGACTACCAGGGACTGCTCCAACAAAAGGCACCGAATCTTTGGTCTTGAAGAACGCGTAAGCTCTAAGCCTCGATTCGTCGACGTTACTCACCATCCCGAGTATACCTGTCCATCCATACTCAAGCCCTTCTCCCAGAGCCTCCTCCCCAAAATCAGGAAATATCGTCTTGAAGGATCTGATCGCATCTTCTTGAATTTCCTCATTGAATACCCGATCGTTTTTGCAAGCAAGTTCTGCACGTGTGGCCTCACTGAGGCCGGGAATACCCCGGCTAGTGCCTAAGACGAGCGTCCCGTCCGACTTGCGCTGGATAAGTGAATAGAAGTGATGTAAAGCGAATCGCAACGAGTAGGTATGGGTAAGCATACTCGTTGACGAAAATGAAGGGGTTGGGATTATCTTGTGGGCCTGAGCACGCATAGGAGTTACAAGGTTCTTCAATTGGGGAAGGAGGGTATCAGCGAAGGCATTGGTAGCATGAACGATGACGGGTGTCGTGATCGAACCACGGGTAGTGCGTACAACCCAACTCTTGTTGCCGAAGGGAGAAGGCTCGATTGCCGTTGCAGGTGTATGAGTAAAGAGGGATAAGCCAAGATCGCGACCCAGAGCCAGGACTGCAAGACAAAGCTTTGCCGGGTGAAGACTCGCAGCATTCCACTCAAACGCGCCAAGAGCCCCAGGAACACGAGTGGCCTGTTGAAGAAGCCTGTTAGTGACCTTGCTCGCGACAATTCGTGTCAGAGGACAGACCTTTCGTGCTTCACCTTGTTCAAGCCAAGTTATACCAAACGTGTCGCCACCATATTGCTTGAAGGACTCAAAACTGCCAGTGACGTATTGACAGAAATCCTCTCCCATGATAACATCAAAGGTCTTGCAATAATCAAAGTCGCACTCAATCTTGTGGGTATCGATAAACCGTTTAACCAGTTGAAGAACAAGCTTTTCGTGCTCGATAATCTTCATGGCTTGCTCTGGGCCGTGGATTTTAGAAAAGGCGGTGAATCCACGAAAAGCGTCTGTGAAATTTGATAAGAGGATATGAGAACAAGATGGCGGAGGCATACCTGGACGACAATGACCTGCATTTCTGCCTGTGGCACCAGAGCAAGCTTCCCTGGCTTCAAGCATTACGACATTCTTGGGACCATTGGGTGCCGACAGTAATTCGTATGCAGTAAGGGCTCCGGCGATACCTGAACCTATGATAACTGCATCGGCATTAGCAGGTATTGGAGAAGAAATGCCTTGATGAAGCAAAGGATGGTGACGAGTGGTTCTCTGCCAAACTGACAAGCATGGTCTGAGAAAGGGGAAAGGGGGATTTTGTGAAGGATCTTGGGACATTGGACTCTGTTTCAGTCCTCCTATACGATAATCCTCCGAGTCTTCCGGCTACTTGGACTGTGCCGTGTATTGCAAATTTGGAACCCCACCTCCGCCCATCATCATGTCGACAACAGGAAAAGGTATTCTCCAAGTTCCGTGGCTAAAAGTTCAACTTTATTTAAGTTGCTCTATATTTAAGATATAATATCATGCTGGCCGTTCTAGAAACTTGTCATCAAATACTTGACAAACATTCAACTCTGTAAAAGATGCACATCACCGACTCATATGGCTTTGAAGGACTCAAAAATGTTGCACAAAAATATCCTAGCCGCCAGTGCTGCCTGCACGCGTGCACGCCTGATTGATATTCCTTTCAAAATGAGTGTTGCTTCTCACGCGATCAACGAACCTCGCGGTCGCATACCCTTTCGAGGCCCAGATGGCAACATTTTCACATACAGTCTTCAGCTGATCGTTTTCCGGTCCGTCGCCACCGCTGGGAAACGTCAAAAAGAGGCAAACCTGCTTCCCTTCCCTTCTGTTCTTGATCTTCTCAGTCATGGTTGGAGGTTCTACTGGAAATTCGCCATTGTCCGCCCGTCGTCGCAAGGCCCTTGCCGGTGCTTCCGGATGGGTGCGTGTCTTTGTCTCGTTCGCGGTCACTGGACTAAATCGTGAATGTGTAGGCCGGGCTTGTCCACAATCGCAAAGTATTTTCCATTGCCGTCTTTGCTTCTCTGGGAGGATTGTAAGAAACTCTTCTCCTCCTCATCCTCATCATTAACCTCTCCCAATAGGCTCTATGGTTCGTAAACAGCGAGAGTCAATGATGTTTAGCTAACGGTGGACTTCAATCATAGGATATAACCAAGTGCTGAGTCATTTCGTACGATGAGGGCCTCAGCTGATATTCTTTCTCAGGGTGTCTTTTCCAGCGTTGTTGAGTAAGCGTTGCTTCTGATTGATACACATAATATTAACTACCTTCAAGCATGTACTCCTTCGATCAACGGTGCGTCAACCGACTCTTCGTCAATAGGCGATCTGATGTTATTTCAGGATGGGTACTGCCGTCTCTGACTCAAATAAAAAAGGATGGTTGGTCGCTATACTGGAGCTGGGAGCTTGGTTCGGTGTTCTAATGACAGGTAAGTGAAAACTGTTCCTCGGGTAAAACCCAGAATTTATGATTTTTTTAGGTTATTTCGCCGACAAGTTATCCCGCAAGTACACTATCTTTCTGGGTGAATATTTACTTCCGCTCCAGAGAATCATCAATGTTTACAATTCTTATTTCTAGCTGTCCTTGTATTTTGTGTAGGGGTTATTGTTCAGACGGCGGCCCAAAAACCCTCCTCTATTTACGGTGGCAGATTTGTAACTGGTCTTGGCATTGGTTCCACCAGCATGGCAGTCCCGCTCTATAATGCAGAGGTCAGCATTGCCTCAGATTGTTTTACCAAAGCTTGACGGTCAACGTAGCTGGCGCCTCCAGAGGTACGGGGCAGCCTGGTAGCGCTCCAACAACTGGCTATTACGTTCGGAATCATGGTCTCCTTCTGGATCGATTATGGCACAAATTATATCGGCGGCACCGGTGCAGGACAAAGTGAGGCGGCCTGGAGACTTCCATTGGCACTTCAACTAGTACCAGCAATCATACTTGGATGTGGGATCCTCTTCATGCCATTCTCACCTAGGTGGCTGGTCAACCAAGGACGAGACGATGATGCCCTTACCGTGCTCAGCAATCTTCGAGGACTTCCCAAGGACGATGAACTCGTGCGCATCGAGTTCCTGTAAGTGCACTGCAAGTGCTGTTGCCGACTCGCACTGAAAGAAATTGGTTCCATGATAGCGAGATAAAAGCGCAATACCTGTTCGAAAAAGAGATATCCGAAGCAAAGTTCCCTCAATATCAGGATCCGTCGTTCATCTCACAATTCCGGCTAGGGTTACACGGTTATTTAAGCTTGATTCTCGATCGAAGTGGGTCCATCTTTTTTTTTGCGTAAAATCTAATGCTAATCCCTTACGAGATTTACTTTGGCGTGTCGCTGTTGGCTCATTGTAAGTGACGCTGTTAGCTATCATCAACTCTTTCACCGGCTGAAACTGCTCTAGAACCATGTTCTTTCAACAATGGACCGGGGTCAACGCTATTTTGTATTACGCGCCTAGCATCTTCGAATCCCTAGGTCTAACCGGGAACACCACGTCTCTTCTCGCAACAGGTGTCGTTGGTATCGCGTAAGAATTGCAGATGTGATCATTTCATTGTTGCTGACTTCAGTTCTAACGCAGTATGTTTTTGGCCACGATACCAGCTGTCTTGTTCATTGACCAGTTGGGACGGAAGCCAGTACTTGTCTCAGGGGCCTTTTTAATGGCTGCGTGAGTTTAACAATGCGTCAAGAGTATTCTGGATGCTAAACTGTGCTCTAGATGCCATATCGTCGTTGCTATCTTGACTAGCATATTCCACGACATCTGGCCGAGGTGCGGGGATTGTAGTACATGACTAACTCAGACTGACATGTTTGCTGTCTAGCCATATAGGTGGGTATATTCAAGCAACATCTTTAACTACAAAGCTTCATTGCTATTTCAGCGGCTGGATGGGTAGCTTGTGCTTTCGTTTGGATTTTTGCCATGGGTATGTCTGCTGTGACCGTCGTTCCTTGATTGCACCTAACTAGGATGCTAGCCTTCGGTTACAGCTGGGGTCCTTGTGCCTGGATTATCGTCGCTGAAATATTCCCTCTGAGTGTCCGAGGCAAAGGGCTGTCCATCGCTGCCTCCTCGAATTGGGTACGGCTGACATCCTATTACCGTAATTTTCTGATGCATATTTGTTTTCTAGATGAACAACTTCATAGGTATTAGAAAGCGATAAATTATTATTATCGCTTGCTGATGCTTATAAAATTTCAGTCGGTCAGGTAACACCATCGATGTTGACTCACATAGGATATGGGACTTTCGTTTTCTTCGGAGTGCGTCTGAAGGCTTCTTGATGAAACGACGATACTGAATCATACTGCAGATTTTCTCGTTCCTAGGCGGCTGCTTCATTCTGTTCCTGGTACGTTACACTTATATTTTCTTCCTGTAAGAACTCGTACCATTAATAGCGTCAACTTAGGTCCCAGAAACGAAGGGAGTAAGTTTGGAAGAAATGGAAGAATTGTTTGGTAATACCACCAATCTGGCCGTGGAGGATCTTCGCCGTCTTGAAGACATCCATCGGCGCCTTAGCTTGAGTATTGAACCTGTCGATGAGAAGCATGATGAAGAAGGTGGCAAGGTATCCCATGAAGAGAAGGTTGAGGAGTAGATGACACTTACGACGACGATGATACTTCATTTCACGTTGTATAATTATGACTACTTAACGTGAGAGACTACGAGACCCACCGTTCATCTAATCCGTGTTTGTGACCTTATCTTGTATCTTTCTACCAACTACATGAGCAAGACAATGGCAGGGTCTGACGTCGCTTCGCAGGGAGAAGTGAATATTAATCTTTATCTTTGTTTGCTCTCTTATCTTGGTTATCTCTGCCGTCGAAACGCCGATCCGTGTTCTCGCATCTGATGTTGATTATTCGAGCTCGACCCTGCGAGCACCTTGGGGATCTCGTCTTGCTATCAACAATCATGGCCATGTTGCTCTTCTACTTATCTCCCAGCGACCTAGTCGATAGCCTTCCAACGGGTAGAAAAGGCAACACCTGCTGGATAGTACTCTCTTCGGAGCGGCTCTTTGTCTCTTAGTTCCGCGCACTACTATGCCTTGCGCCCTCTCCAATCCCGAAGCTCAGGACACAAGAGAGGAATATACCCTTAGTACAGGCCATGTCCGTTCTCCTTTGGAGAAGAGCTTGGTTCTCAGACTAGACTGCTTTTTGCTGTTTTTCGGATGTGTATCCCAGGTCATCAAGTATCTGGATCAGGTGCGCTGTCGGATCGTGTTCGAAATCGTCTGCTTCATAGTCTTGGTTAGCAAAACATTAATACTGCATATGGTATGCTTCTATTCACGTTTCGTTCCATTCCTTCATTCTGTTTCTTGCTGGCTAGTATCTGGGATGAAAGTACGTGAATGACTGCCGCTATCGGAATTAGCCTTGTAAGCTTCTCTCCTGTAGGAAGACCTGAATCTAGTCGGAAATGGTGCTTCTAAATTCGTCTTTTATGAATTTTACCCTAAATCTTCCACAGAGCTGAATTACTTTACGACCTACTTCAACATCGGCTACTGTATAATGGTTAGGATGAGTACTCCATGTGTAGGACCGAATGTTGACGAACTTTCTTCTGCAGCTCGTTCCATCTCAAATTATCATGACGGTAAGTGCCATCTTCTACCCTTCTGTATATCAATTGTTGTGTACGTTGCAGTACGTTCGACCTTCCTTCTGGCTTCCTGGTCTCGAAATCGCCTGGGGAATCTCGACTGGGAGCATCGCTGCCTGTCACAGTCCAAAACAGATTTACGTCGTTCGGACATTCTTGGGACTATGCGAAAGCAGCGCGTGGCCCGGTACGATGACACTATTTATGCATTGGTACACTCCCACCGAGCTCGCAAAACGCATGGGTTTCTACCACTCTTGTCAAGCGATAGGCAGCATGATGGCCAACGCTCTTCAGACTGCTGTGCAAGGCACTTTGGATGGACATTACGGGATGGCGGGGTGGCGGTGCCTACTCTCATTGCCCTTCTTCAATACAGTGCTAATTTTCTTCCTGGCAGATGGTTGTTCATCATTAACGGTATCATGACCGTTGTCTTTGCCTTTTTTGGTTTTTTCCTTCTTCCCGATCTGCCCAACAAACCTAATCCGAGGGCGTTTTGGTTCAACAAGGACCATGCCGCAATGGCTATGGAACGGTTGGAGAGGCATCACCGTGCCGAACCAAAGAAAGTGACTTGGGCTAGCATCAAACGCTCAGCTGCCAACTGGGTGATATATTTCATCACTATCCTCTATGTTGCCACAGTACTGGCTAGTTATGGATACGTTTGTAAGTTTGCATGTTTCTTTGATAACAAGGGGCGTTATTAGCGGTCGGTATTCCAGACTTTAATCTCTGGCTGAAGTCGCTTAAAAATCCTGATGGGACCAGTCGCTGGGGCGTGTCGGAGATCAACGCTATACCGATTGGTGGTCAAGCTATCCAAGTAGCATTCGGTACGCATTCAATGGGTCTCACTAAGTCATGTCGCTCATCTTCGATGATTAGTCTGGATTTGGGCACTATTATCCGACTGGCTCAAGACCAGGCACTGGTTGATCATTCTTCAAGGCATTATCGGTTCGTACCAAGAAACAGACTCAATATTGCCCTCTTATTGTTACTTTGCATAGGCCTTGTTCCATGCATCATTATGACGATTTGGAATGTTCCTGATGGGGCGAAGTACTTCGTACGTGATATATATTGCTCTTCCGACATCTCGCCTTAGTAGCTTTCTACAGTCGTACTTCACATCGTTTGTCGCGCTCGGTACTGCCCCCTTGATATTTGCATGGGTATCGGACCTCATCCCCCAAGATCCTGAGCAAAGGTCACTTGTGGTCGGTGTAGGTAAGCGATCAGCCTATTTCTGCTGATGATTGCTGAACTAAAGCTGTGCAGCTGTTGCCGTTTATTATGCCATCTCTGCTTGGTCTCAAGTTCTCGTATGGCCAGCTTCTCAAGCGCCCCATTACAAGTACGGCTGGCAGGTGTCTCTCAGCCTCTGGATTCTTGTCATCATCATGACACTAACGTTGCGGTGGATCGACATACAATACATGCTGCCAAAACGTATGGCTTTTTCTCAGAAGGTCGAAGCAACCACAGAGACGCGCCGGTTGTCTGATGAGTTGGCCAGTGAACTCGGAAAGGATGGCGGCAGGTTGGACTCAATCGCGGCGGACGAACTACCTCTACGGCACGTCTAGACGCCGTTTCACTGTTTCAGTCTGTGGTTGAAAGAAAGTTTATATATCACAGACTGTAGATAAATAGGACAACAATTAGTAATCGTAATCATCTTCAATGTTGAGTGTTGGCTTCATAGATTTTTTACCTGTACCTGTGGATGGACATTTAGTCACGATCCCTTTGACAGCAAGGCACAGATCATCCGTTAATTCCGACGAAGTGGCGAATGGTAGAGAAGAAACCAGTTTGCTAGCCTCTTCTACCAATTTTTCGAGTTGCTTGTCGTCGCAACGCTCATGGAACACAGAATTCGGGGCGAGATCCTTCTGTAGTTTGATTGTTGTCTTGCTCGCCGTGCTGTTAAAGTTCAAAAATAGCCGCTAAAAGTCAAAGGGAGAGGAATACGTACTTGGTTTGTGTTAACAAAGTATCAAGTGCATCCATCTCATCAGGATTGCACCCTTTGAGCCTCTCTTTTGTCCTCTTTTTGTGGTTTAACGAATCGACACGAACGATCTCGAGACAAACCAAAATGTGGGGCAGTGGACCCAAAAACAATCGAAGATATAGTCCAGGGGTATCGCCAAGCCGAGATACTTCTTTAGTGCATGAGGCGTATAATTGCGCGTGAAGGCCTGCCCTCCCACCCTTGGCAACGCCTCGTCGACGCGAAAGTACACGCCTATACACTCGTTGTATCTGGGTTGCGGCGGTTATTTCTTGCTCCGAAGGGTCCGGTCGTTTCATGTCTTGTATCGGAATGACACCAACAGTACCATCAGTTGCATCGATAGTGTCTTCACTTTCATCGGGAGCGGTCTCAACATGTGGAAGATGCTCTGTCTCTTCCACCTGGCCATCTTCCTGCTGCGTGGAAACCTCTATAAGTGGTTCAGAGGTTTGACTGGATCCTAACAAAGTAGGATCAAGGAGTACTTGGATATCCGTCAAATCGTCATAGACAACCTGACGTACTCCTAGCAAGGCATGAGCTTTCACCGGAGCCTTGCTCTTATGAAAAAGCTGAATCATCTCATCCGTGGTATCATACTGCAGCGAACGGCGTATAACCTTTGCAAATTCGTCCCACGAATAGCTTGCTGCATCAATATATCTACAAAGCCCGGTGAGATTGCACGCGCCTGCCCTATTGTGGTCGCACGCACCGACTATAGAAAGAAGGTAACAAGCGTCCTTCACGGCGCAGGGACAACAGCAACTTCCGGATGTTATTCCTTAAAATATCGCTACGGATATTGTAGCCCACTAAGTGAACAGTCAACACGTTTCATGAGTTATAAGGAGACACTGACATAGCCCAATGGCCTTGCATCTAATATAATACTATCATGAGTACAAAGCGCGACAATGGATACAGCATTTGACTTACATTCTGGTCATATAAACATCACGAATTACTGCTGGCACATTTGAGAGATTTCTGGTAGTTCCATACAAAAGATATTCTGATGTATTGTAGGTGAATGAGGAAGAAAATTCAAGTTGAGCACCTACCAGAGCCATTACCGCCGTACAACTGCTCTAAAAGATCCCACATAGGTGTCAAAAGCAAGTGAAATGTGTTCGTTTGTATCTCTGGGTTTAAGTACAGCGAGTCATGCTTGATGAAACGTAGAAGCCAGCTGCGAGGGACTGTTACGTCGTGGATCACTGTCATTCCAGGGCGACGACCACAAAGTATGACAGAGCTGCAAAGAAAGTCTACGAGGTCACATAGAACGCCTACGTTAATAGGTAATTGTCGCTTGATAACATGCCTGGAAAAAAGAAATCAAAACATAAATATAGATGGATCAAGAAGAGGACTTGCTCGACGAATGCAAAACCGGCAGCAAGGGACCATGTATGCGTCCCCGACATCGCACCCAGAAGCTCCGGCAGGATGGGAGAACCACCTCGACGAATGTATATAAGTGGAGGGTGTATGCTGAAATATGCTGCATTTCTAAGATAACCCGCTTGACTTCGGTCAAACATGAAGGCCAAAGTGGTTGCCCGCATCACGTCCGTGAGAAAAGACGTATAGGGCAAAAACGCCCGCCCGTACATAAGCGTTCGCACCCAATCTTTGACAACGTTCATTGCTTTGGCAGCCTCAGGAATTGTAGAAAGAGAAAGATCGGAGATAGAACCGAAGACATGATGGGGTGGATAAAGAGCCTCGTACAGACGGTTGAGCCAGAATCTGTACCAAAGATGAACAGGCAGAACCGGAGAATGACATGATGACATACTTGGTACCTTTGCCTTCTACCTCTTGATGAGCATTCTCCCTGAGTGACTGCAAAATCAAGATTTGCTGCAGGTGCAAGCGGATGCGCATATTATAGTAGTCAGCATCTATCACAGAAGGTGATACATGAGCTTCCGGGCAGTCCGGGCGTCTACAAAACCCAGACACAGCAAACATTAGGCAAGGGAAGAAAGCCTTGCATCTGCCACATTCACTATTTTCAGCATCAGTCCTCTGCTTGAGACGACCTCGCAGAACGCGCTGAAATATGCCACGCAGTTCTGGTACTGATAGAGTGAAGTCAGGATCACTGGTCGCACTCCTGAGCTGAAGTTCAAGAGTTGCCGTGTGCAGCCACGTATTTTGGGGTACGAGAAACTCATTTTCCGATATCCGCTGGAAACCGAACAATGTGGCAGTCATCACATCTTCACATGGGTCCATCCGATATGCGGCAGTAGAAAGCAAGTTCACATAGATATGGAACAGGCTGAGCTCTTCAACGGCATCAATGAGGACCATATTTTGAATTTGAAATGCCCGAGAAAAGTATTCATCAAGGCACAACAAAGCCGCAGAACCATGGCCCATCTTGTGAAATTCCAATGCCAGCTCACGCAGTCGAGATACGTCACCCTGTATAATGGCAGTAAACATGAACAGCTGAAAGAATACCTCCGTTAGTCGCGATGAGTAGGACATGCAATCGAAACATACTTCAGCGGCTTCAGTTTTTCCCATCAAAGCTGCATCAAACCGCGAAGCAAACCGCATCAGCCGTGACACTGCAGGATCTGAACATATAGTACGAGAGTCCATGCCAAAAGAAATCCTATGCCAAAGTTCTGCGAGGATACATTCTTGAGCCCGACGCAAAGCATTTTCGTTTTCTGCTTCGCGAAGAAAGAGTTCAATAGCTTCTTCTCTGCGACCCTCAGAATAATGAAGTTCAGCAGCTTCACTTAGTCGTCCCATTGTTTCAAGCAAGTCTGCAAGAGCAATATCAAGATCTCTTTCTTCTAGATACTCCAATTCTTCTTCGAGAGAGTCAAATAGCTGGTGGGCCTTTCTGTTGAGGAAATTGAGAATGACCAGTATTTTACACCCTAAGAAATCACTTACTTCATTTGACGGTTAGAGAAGTATGTCAGTCTGGCGAGTTTGATGACATTTTCGACAACCATTGATGACATTTTGTCTTCGTGATCCTTCACAATCGCCACTGCCTCATCAAATTTACCAAGATCTCTATACAACTCTGCAGCATGAGTGTACTTCTGAGCCTGGAAAAACGTTTGGGCAGCTTGATACTTCTGACCAGCTTGTTCGAAGCATTCACCACTGATCCTGAAGTATGTCAAGGAATCTTTTGGGTTCGACGTGACAGTAGCACATTCAGAGAATGATATAGCAGCTTCTGCGAAACAAGAACGCCGTTCAAGCACTTTTGGTCTCGACGTACCAATGACTTTACGAGCCTTCGCCCGCAAGTCATAGGCACCTGCAATGGATGCCAGAATAGGAAGGTCTGCCCTGATATAGCAGTGCTTGGCGTGGGAGAATTGCTTCCGGTAGAAAAGCTCACGGCCCTTCGAAGCCCATTCTTCTGGTGTCGATGAAGACGCAAGCCGAGGTGCATCAGATCCTGGAGTGTAGTTTTGGATCAAATCTTTGCTTGTCCAAAATATCTTGATCGTTTCTGATGAGAATATTGCTCGGACAGCATGATGCCAACTTACTCTCATGGGTTCTCCCGTTTCAGAACCATCTGCAATCCAGATGTTTTCACGGGCCCTGGTGATCGCAACGTACAGGGATTTTAACTGAACAAGCGTCGTTACTCCAATCTAAGTAACGAAGTGATACACACTCACCTCATTACAAATGCTGGCATGACGAACCCTGTCGAATAGCGGAGGCGGATTCCTAGGATCCTGGTTGCTCTCTTCAATGGCATTAAGCACAACTCGCCACTGTGCAGGACCGGCAACGGAATCAGCAAAGAAGTCATAAAGAAGGACCTGAAGAGATGCAATGCTATGGTGAGAAATCATCTTGTAACATAATATTCTGACATACGTCATTGAATTCAAGTCCTTTGCTTTCGTATATAGTTCTATAACACTTGCAGTCAGTGATTCGGAGAACATGATAACCAGAAAAAAGACTAACAGTACAAGACCAACTTCACCGACTTGTTTCTGGAGTCTCTCTCTTGCTGCTTCATTCCTAACAATGATACCTGCGCGTGGAAATATACAATTAACACAGCAGGCTTCAGCACCTATAATGAAAGACCAACATTGCTGTGCACCAAACTCGATGTGATCACTGACATTTCCAAAGATGAAATGTTCCAATTGTGCACGATCTTCAGTGTTGAAAAAGACAGGCTTGAAGCCATCGACAATACCCATTTCGGGAGAAAGACGATCAATGGAATCTTCCCAAAAAGTTGTGATAAGGTCTATGACGGAATGTGCGCAATCAACGATTCCTGCATGGGACCTATAGTTGACGGCCAGTTGAAACATTTCAGGCGGTTGTTTACATGCAGCTCCGGGTCCGCGCTTCTTCCTGTACTGGTCCTACTTGTCTAATTAGACTCGAGTATGTGAATTACTCTAAGTCATACCTCGATATTCCACTGAAATGCCTTTAAACCATTGAAACGGAAAGAGCTTCCAATGGAGATGGTCTGGGCAGTATCACCTGCCCAGAAGAGACCGTCCGCATTGCTACATAGCGCCCTTAAGACTGAATGACAGCTGAGTATGATGATCACGGGAAACGGAGATAAAAAATAGTTACCCATCGTGTCAATGAGCATGTTGTCTTGTACTTCGTCGACGTATCTGCAACGATATTGGTAACAGATTAGATAGGATGAGCAGATGACTCACAAGTGGTCGATCCCTTGTCCCGGAATATCTTGTTCTGCAAAATATTTTAAGATACTATGGGTTCTATGACCGAGTTACCCTCCACTCATGACTCCTCAACCAAATTTTCCTCACCGATCCCCCGTATCATATTCTCCCCGTAACTTCTTCTTGTGCATGTAGGACTCAAAGATTTCATATACCTCGTCTCTCCGATCAGCAAATGTAGATTGTTGTCGTTTGCTGAGATCAAGGTAAGCGGTCTTACTGAGATGTCGCTTCGCTTCGCTCAATGTCTCTTCTGAGCCTTTGATGACACCTAAACAGAGGGTTAGACCAAGCCGGCTGATGGTAAATACGATGGATATCTTACCTATAATCTCGCTGTATACCAAGGCAGGGTCTGAATGAATGCTGTTTCAATACCAGCATGTTACCAAAAGTGAACAGCAGCTACCTAATCCTTTGATCAAGTGCTCAGGAAAATGCGACCAGTAAGACTCAAAAAAGGATTCAAAAGTAATGACACCCATATGAGACTTGGCGCGTTTCCTGTCAATAGGACTCATGGGGGTCAGCATTTTGGTGCTCATATCAGCTTCCAACATGTCGCAAAGCTGTCATTCTGATAAACAGAAGTATGATTAGAGAAAGGACAGTCACTTACACCATCAAACGTTATAAACAGCGGGAAATGCTTCTCCTCGAGTTCGCTGAACTTGGCAGGCAGATCGCTTCGCCAATCTATGATATCATCAACATCAACTAATCCTAAATCATCTTGGTATTGGGCTGCTTTTGGCAGGCGCATAAGCTCGGCAAACGTCTGTGATGCCATTGCTAAGGAACTGGCTAGCTTCGAAAAATACTCCTGCACTTTCTTCGCGAGCATTCTGGACTTGGTTACAAAAACTTGACGAGGTCGAGGTAAATCCGACTCCATGAGTTGAAATGTCCGCTCGATAAGCAACATCTTGAATAACATCGTAGTGGTTTTTCTAGATCAATCATGTAAGTAAGAGAATGAGGCCGGCGAATCACTCTCGCATACCCTGTGCCGCTGCGACCTATAACGTAGCAGGACTGCGGGTGTTCTATAATACATTTCTCTTGGGTACTGCGAATGCATGCCATCAGCAATGAACAAGGAGAGCCAAAGACAAAGGCGCACGAAACCATATGAGGAAAAGTGGCATCTACATCTGCTAAAATGGCTACCAAAACGAATCAGGCCGAGCTTTTCGAATAATATTCCACAAATACACACTATTTAAAAACGGCTGCACGTCTTGATGGTCAACTTGTTATTTCATGGATACGACGAGAACGTACCTGCGAGAATGTGACATATTTCTCAACCCTGTAGGGTAGTCAGCAACTGGAACTCAGCTCTTCTATATATGACTTACACGAGTCTTGAATGAACCTGCATGGAATAGTCAGTGTTTGGTTCAAAGGAAAGGAGAAAATGTTAAGTCAAACCTGGGCTGTTTCATCAGGACGTAGATCCGGTATGCCTTCGATCTCCGATGGTAAAACTTCAGGCAGCGGAGGGAAGAATGCTGGAATGAAAGTATCCTTCGAGGCCTGATCTGCGCGCTTCCTAACCGCACATCTGCGTCATCACGTTTAAGCCACAGGCATTCATACCACTGAGAGAAAACGTTACCTCTTTCGATATTCCCTTCCTTTCTTGCGGAGTTGACTGCTGATAGAGCTCCAGAGACGATTGTCGATTTGAGCATGGGTATGGATGCCAAAAATTTTGACAGCTTCAAGAACTGTGAGGAGCAAGCAAAACATACAGCCATTAACTGACCCTGTTGCTCTCTCTGTCAATGAATCAAGGTAGTTTAGTAACTAAGATTACAAAATAGTCCTCCAAACGTACACTCTCATCACATGGGATTACGTCAATTTGATACTGAAAAGGTGGCATCAGCAACGTTCGGGATGATAAGAAACATGCCTCATACAATAAGCCTGAGATCGCGAGTCATCTTAGCTTCAAATACTGGAACTTCAGTCCCACTTCCACTGAGACGTTTTTGATTGTCATTGGAAAAGTGTCCACGTGAGAGCTCCCTACAGTGTACTCAAATAAGCATGCATAATATATAATATATCGCGATCCGACACGTACTTGATCTTCTTCACAATAATTTTGAATGTAGAGACATCCTTTCTGTGGGTGCTCCGCAAAAAATCATCGGCGTTCGTGGATATGATGATCGTCCATTCACCAAATCCCTCGGCACTATCAAAATATAATGCCCTTGGATAAAGTCCGTCTAATATGGTCACTTGAAAGAATATGAAGACATACGACTTCATTGGCTGAACGATCGGATATGCAGAAGGCAGCTCGACCCTTGCCGAATCCTCCTGTATTGTTGCCACGGATAATGGTACGTTCTTTGCTTCTTCCACGGAAGGTGGGGCAACGATGGAGCGTTCCTTGAAAGATCGAGATATCTCAGGGCGACGGAGCTCCTCCAGATAGAACTAGGCATGCTTTAAGTTTCAAAGAGAAGAGCGAAGATATAGCAGTACAGACCTCAAGAGCATCCTTCTGAGTTTGTAGAATGCTGTCCGCGAGGATGGAGGCGTCGCTCAACGTTTCAGGCATGTCGACATCCAAGATATCGAAATCCTTCTCGACAAAAGCAGCAGCGTTCTCTGCTCGTTTGGCCTGTTTGCGTTTCTTCTGACTGACCTTGCCCCTCTTGTTAAGAGGCTCTGATCCGGTACTGATGGGCTGGGGGAAAGAGACGAGATATTTCAAAACTCTGGGCGTGATCTGAGATATTTCATGGTATCTGGCGCACAATTCCTTGTCTTCCACAGAACGGGAGCTCGAGAACATGAACTCTGTGGATAGACAAGATATAATCTTGTAATGAATAGTAGCATCGTAGTTCATGGGTTCGGAGGGGAATGACTCCCGCATCCACAGAATCAAGGATGTGGTATCACTGAAGGCTGTAGAAACGTCAACTGGACACACAGATAGCTTGACGATAAAACTTACATGACAAGACCAAAAGAAGAATGTGAGAGCATTCATTATCGATAAGCTCTTGGAGGACATATTTGAAATTGGCCTCAGTGAGATAACTTTTCAGTTCCTCCAACGCGAATTCCAGCAGTTCGCTCGAAGAGAGCTGGTGGGGACTGAAAAGATCGCTACGATACACGCGCTTGCAGGGCATGTCAGAGGGTGATGATTGCATGATAGCTGAGGCGCTTGCTGGATTATAAAGGCATGAAAACGTGTTTCCTACAAAATAAATTCTGAATTGAGCGAACCTCAAAAGGCAAATGACTCACAGAAGCTACCTGAGCGCCTAAATAACCTCGAGACGCGTCAAACGAAACAAAGACAGGATACCCAGTTCCAATGTAAAATGTATTCAGCACGACGAGTCTAACAATATTCGTGGTGTCTCTGAAAAAGAAAAAACGGCTACTTCTTTGGTGGGAGTCTAAGAACGAGTTGAAGGAACTCACAGAGTACCGAGTCTTGCACGGCGTCGCCGAAGAAGCTTTGACAAATTTATCCGATAAATTGCCTAATCGGGACCAACCTAAGAAACGCCGTGAAAGAGTATCTAGTTCTTCCAATGACATTGTAGTACGAGATAATGACCTGTTTTACGAAGATACAAAGGCAATAACTCGACTTGGTCCACCAGGTGCAACCTCTGGAAACAGCGAGGGAGCCATCCCTCGAATCGATGATAACCCCTCTAGTAGTACTTGCATACTTAATTTACACGTTCTTGCCGCGAGGATGCATCCATCCAGTCACGAGTAGTACCGATACCAGGACCCACGGGCCAATGAACCAGTGGCCAGGACATCTTTTGAGTGTACCTGTTCCGGAACACAATAGAACCTTGAGAACGCCCACTATTTCCAGCGAGAACCATGGACTTTGGGTCAATTCTGAGTCTCCGTCTTAAGTGCGCGTGAACTATCCGCAAACATACCTTGAAACATGCCTTCAGTGAATCTGACAGAGCGTTACATCGGTTCTTTGACAAGCACTGAATAGATTGTCAAGTCGTTGCTGACGCATGCATCTGCTAAGCCGTAAGGCTGCTTGCCGGTGGTTCAGATCCTGTATCATGCGAATAGACCGCAGTAGTATTCTGTCACCGATACATACAAGGTACGCGAGGACATGAAATGGAAGATGCCGCAACAGTGACAAAAGATTTGGTTATCTGCACAAGCAATGTAAAGTCAACAACGAAATCGACGCCAAAAGGACTTGGAAGGTCCTAAGCTGCTCATCACCGCCAAAAGGAACGAGCATCGAGGGAGGGGAGAGGTAATACTGGCCATGAGCTGCCGTAGCACCACCTGTTGGATCGCGTCCGCCAACAACGGGCTTTCATTCTTGTCGTTCGATTCTTCTGCTTTTTGTATGAAGTCGATATTGGACACATTGGTGTAGCTCGATATAGGTGATGGATCAAGCCGCTATTCTGGTCCAGTCCCTATATCTCTACTCGTCAAGGTCCAAGTATGAAGGGCATATGGCGATGCAATGCCTTTTCTATCCATGTTCCAGATTATGCAGGGAAGTGCTCAGTAGTTTTCTCCCCTGATCCTTCCGCTTCTGGAAGGGTTGGTGAGTAGAAATATGCATATCGGAACAAAACGATAGCATCCTGGTCTTATGATATATCACAGACGCTTGAGAGCATCGGTCTGTATAATAACAAATAGAGACAGCAGAAAAATGACGAACAAAATTAGATCTCAGTCGTCGAAAGTTGACATGTGCGCATGTTTTGCATGGGCCTGAGAGCTTGGGACAACCAGTATTCTGTCATGCATTGTCCTCTAGCATTGTGTTATAGCCGAGAAGAATGTACTCGTGCTGGCTGTTGCATCTTTGGCCGCGTTTAGAATGGCATGACAGAGGGATGTGGCATAAATAGAAGCCGTAATGAATAAAATTCACAAGCCATTTGACAGAGACATGCAGAGAAGGGGTACTGCGTCGCGGGAGAAAGATATTCGCAGAGCAAAGAAAGAACCGAGCATTGTTCTAGCATCAGAAGTCGCCCTCAATGAGCTGTATGCGACACCCGGAACCAAGTACGTTTACTGTATAACGGCGAACTCTGCGTCAAGACATTGATAGGGGGACCCACGGCCACAGTGGTAGACACAAAATAACCTGAGGGCTCGTTATGTTCTGAATGTACGAGAAAGAGAAAGGCTATGGGGATATCCGGCATGAGAGAGGCTCCGAGAGCAGTCCAGGCCAAAAAGAAAGGATATGCGGTCTTTGTGCTTTCCGATCTTTAGCTTTAGCACTGGAGGATTCGGTCCGAAATGAGGCGTCGAAGCTGGAAGCACCACCATACTGCCTAAGGTCGATGGCCAATGCTGCTTGCTCGTAACAGTTGTATAGGAATTTATGGGTGTAGTGAAGACGACACCACCGTGAAGATTCAAGGTATGGACAGTGTACAGTGTTCTACCATGGCTGGAGTGGAACCGGCCCCGAAAATAGAAATTATTATAAATTCTGGGCCGCGGTATTTCCCGATACAATTTAAACATCTTGCCCCCAGATCCAGCAGATCTATCTTCTCTATTTCTGCAGGCACCCTATGCGAAGGAATGTGATTATATCTGTTATACCGTGGGTATTCATTACGAGAAACGACCATTGCCACTGCTTTATTGCTTCACTGGCTTCCTCTCTCTAAGTACGCGTCTCTGGTAGCGTTGGCAGGCTCGGTTGTCCTTCCCCCCTCCCCCACCCCCTCAATCGTGGTCTGACGCTGAGAGGTAGATCCCCGTGAATTCTGCTTTCAAGAACTGACACCTAGACAGCTATCACTCCTGAGCCAGCAGTCTTCGTTTTCAACGAACGACTCGACTCGTCCAAGGTATCGTCAAGTCTTCACACAGTAACACTCATAGTTGATCTTTTCTCTAGCAATATGATCCCTACTTCCAACGTCACTGATCTGTCGCTCAAGTACCCTGATGACGAGTCGGAGAAGAAAGTCTATCTTCAAGCGCGGGGTCCACTATCGGGCTCGCTGCACACACCACGTCATGTCTGGTTTTTCTGGGACAACGGGGGCTCGTCCACAGCTGGTTCAAACATATTGATTCATCAAATCATCCAGCTGGAGAGGTGGGGAGATAGATTCTACTACGTTGAGCCCAACATCAAGCAGCGTGTCACGGACAAGGCCCAGGAATCACAAACATACGAACTTGGCACCTTCACGCGAGACCAGAGGGAGAAGATTCTGGAGTTGGCCGCTGACATACAGTTCAATGAGCGGTCACTTCACAACGGATGCCGCGTCTGGACGAGAAAGCTTCTAGGCGCCATGGTCAATGAAGGGCTGGTTGATCGTATGGATTTCATAGCACTGATAGACCTTATTCCTCTGCCTTATGAGCAGCCTGAATACTTCTACTAAGTATGTTGTATGTGGGCATTTTCTTGGCCGCTACTCTACCTATGGCACTATGATGCACTACGGAAAGCAAGTATTAGGGTCAAAATCAGATGTACAAGTCAACAGCGAATAAGTATGGATCAGGCGAATCAAAATCCAGAGATACGGTTTACAATAACGCTACAAATATTTGACAAGGAGAAAGTGGAAGAATGCATCAATCGTCGTCGCTTGGAGTCAGGTACTCCGGATCATCGCCCTCCTCGTCACTGAGCACCTGCTTGCGCCCTGTACTCCTGGAACGCACTGGAGGCGGCGGACGTTCATCGTCGTCCATAGGTGTCAAGGCAGAATCGTACGATCCCGATAATGGAGCTCCAGGTAGACCCGAGCCAACTATAACCCGTTCATACGTGGCATCAAAGACCTTCTCCATTTCCTCCGCATCATTATAGACCCATGAGCCTTCTTGATTATAAGTGCGCGCATTGTTGAACATGAGCTTCCAGTCATCTCTGAATTGCTGAACAGTCTTGTAGTACGACCCTTGGCTTCGCTTCTGGATTTGTGACATGCAGATAGGTCTGGAGATGAGTTGATAGTAATCGGGATATGTCTGGTTGGTACAAGTCGTTAGACCCTTACAGTCAGGTTACGTTACGAACACACCTTTTTAGCCGGGAGTTGGAGGAATAGGTCGCGCCGAGTCCGACCATCTTCAGCCTCGCAGTCATACACAGCATCATAGCATTCTTCAAACGCCCTTTTCATCCGCTCTCGTAGCGAAGAAGAAATATCGTTCGTCTTCGTCTTCCGGCGTTTCTAAATAAATAGGTCAACAAAGAAGCCAAAATCAAGATGGAATAAAGAAAGTTACGCTTATTCGGTCGTCGTCCTCATCATCTCCTGCGGCGGATGGAGTTATTGACATCGCTTTCACCCCCCGCTTCCGCTTAGAACCAATTGGAGGCTCATAGTCTTGTGCTTTGGCCTTACCTTTGCGCCCCTTACGGGATCGAGAATCCAGGTCAGAGACTGGTGTCCCTCGACCAGACGCTTCTCCTTCTCGCATGAACTTGGCGATGTTTCGCGTCTTCCGCGGCCGCTCGCTAAGCTCTTCAAGATCTTCGCCATCTTCCAGAGCCTATGGGAGAATACTACATTAGCTGATACCAGCAAAGGAAGATAAGAACTCTCACTCTCGCCCATGCGTCATCACTAAGGCCATCATTATAACTCACAACATTCCTGCGACGCTGGCCGCGACCTTCAAATATCTCTTCGGTGTCTTTGGCCTCGAAGGGCTCGTCAGTTTGATAGCATTCGGGAAGCTCTTCGATTTGTATCAAAGGAGGTGGTGCCTTGCCGCGTTTTCCCTGAGCTCGCCACTTCTCTTGAGCTTCACGTTCGCGCTGAATATCCATTTGCCGAAAGATTTCCCCTTCCTCTTCACTACGAGCGATCAGCGCATTGAGCTCTTCGTCGTTCATGTCACCAGCCTCTTCATTTTCTTCTTCTTGATCCGCCTCAAGGATCGAACGCTATAACCAAAATCAGATCGGGATGATTGTTGCAAAAAAAAGCTCAACGTACCAAAAACTCTTCCTGCTCTTCTTGCGTGGATTTGTTATCGAAACGACCAGCTTGAATGACCTTGTCGTCAATATCCAATTTATAGCGGGCGCGCTGGTACATGGCTTCTTCCACACTCTTCTCTGTGATGAATCGGAGGATGAGCACGGCACGGGTCTGACCGATACGATGTGCACGATCTTGAGCTTGTAAGTCAGCATGAGGGTTCCTAAAGCCCATGATCAGCTCTGCAAAATACTGGATGGTCGAGCGTTTACCAGTCACTGTCAAAGCTACAAACCGAAAATGAGTATAGAGGAAAATGGTAAGCAAGGTAAAGATACGAACATGATAACCGTATCAGCAGTCTGCAAGTTCAGGCCCAGGCCGCCAGCCCTTGTCGACAGAATGAACACCTTGTACTCCGAATCTTTTGCATTGAACATCTGGACATATGATGCACGCTCTTCTGTTTTGGTGCCACCATCCAACCGAAGATATTTCCATCCCATCATCTTCAAGAAGTCCTCCATGATATCCATTACTTTGGTCATCTGAAAGAAAACGAGGACCTGAAACAAGATTGGTCAAAGTCATCAGCGCCTCATACGAATAGCATACATACTCTGTGATCTGCCGCAAAGAATTTCGGCAAGACACGACTAAGCAACTCGATCTTTCCGGACGTCCGAATGAGTTTATCGTCAATAATCTGGCTGGGATTGACTTTGTCCTCTACGCTTTCAAATAGGAAAGGATGTTGACAGATCTTTCGCAGCTGCATCAGCTCGTTGCTCAAACCCTTCACGCCACCCGATTTGCTGGACGACGGAGACATCAGCCTATTGAATGCTGTTCGAATGCATTACATACCCTTTGGCGTCTTTTCCGTCTGCAATCATTTTGTGCTTCTTCATCTGCTTATAGAGCTGACTTTGCAAAGCACTCATCCTGACCTTTATGACCTTTTCAACCTTGTCTGGTAGCTCGCTTTCGACGTCCTTCTTCAATCGCCTCAATAAGAAAGGACGAAGCACTTTGTGGAGACGACGGATAATGAGAAGAGCCTCTTCTTCGTTCAGTTCTATCTTGTCACCCGTTCCAGAGTTGGCAAAGGGAGTGTTAAACCATTCGTCAAATGACTTTACGGAATTGAAGATTTTGGGAAGGACGAAATTCAGCAAAGACCACAATTCTGGAAGATTGTTCTGCAAGGGCGTACCAGTGAGAATGAGGCGATATCGGGTGTGGTAGTAAGTGGTGAGAGTTTGAGAAAGTTTGCTTTGGGTGTTTTTCATACGGTGACCCTCATCTAAGTCCCGCAGTTTCAGCATCCTGGATCATAAAGAGGAAAATTGACATGCCGATGATCATATGAAGCCATTTTAACTTGCTGAGATGAGGTCGATCTTTGATGATATACTCATACGTAGTGAGCAAGACTTGAAATTGCCCCACCCGAAGGTCACCCTGTAAAGCACGGCGCTGAGCTGGATTGCCTTTGTACGACACGGTCCTGATGGACGGTGCCCATTTGGCAAATTCTCCCGACCAGTTCGTCATGGTGGAAAGAGGGACAATAACGAGATAAGGACCGCGTTGTCGTTTGACTTCGATGAGGAACGAAATCAGGGATATAGTCTGAATTGTCTTTCCGAGACCCTGGAAATCTCTTGTGGGTCATTGGCTGTAGGGAAAGGGATCGAGAAACGCACCATTTCGTCTGCCAAAATACCATTAAGTCTGTTGTTATATAAGCTCACCATCCACTGCAGCCCCTTCAACTGATACTCTTTTAATGTTCCACCAACCAGTATAGAAGGCTGCCTCGTGACCTTCTCGGATATACGATGGGCAACGGCGTAGTAATCTACCTTAGCCTTGTCTTCATTGGCATCTTCCGAAATCTGTGCACCGAATGTAGCCTCTGTTGCTGGACCATCTTCCACCTCAAATTGAAAGTGTTCTTGTGGACCACCTTCATTCTGCTGAGCGACGACGGCCTGAGCAAGGGAGTCAAGGTACGCATCCGTCTGTCTTAAGAGGTGCGTGATCCTAGTGTCCTTGGCTGTGTCAATGAGTTTCATGTACGCTTCTTCGTCGTCTGCCTTTAGCGCTTTCAAACGTTCTTTCGAGATCCTCTCGATCCTCTTCTGTTCCTCCTTCTCTGTATGAACATGGTAGCTCAAAACGGCCCGCCCAATTCTCAGAACCCGTTCTTGAGCTGCGCGGTTTACGGCAATCACTTCGCGTCCATGAGCTGTGATAACGTTGAGCTGCTCAACATGTTTGTGCTTCGCACGGCGCTCGCGATCGGCGCGTTGCCTTCGTTCGAGCTGCTCAGTCATACGCGCATCTTTGGGATGCGGCTTCCGAGTGCGCTTGAAGTCGACTCGGTTAAGCGGAAGGAGAGATCCATGGGTAAGTCGTTCGGCCACGAGAGCGCGCATGGCCCTTTGCTTTTCCACGAGACGCAACGACTTGAGCTCGATCATGGCACGGAACTTACCATGGGATGTGGCACTCGGATGTATAAGGTTTCCAAGATGAGCATCATTAGCCGCAGTGTTCTCCTTCTCGCCTTTGACCATCTCGTCAATGTCAACGCCTGGAACTAAGCCTCCATCCCCCATCGTAGAAGGAAGCGCTTCCAGTTCCCTGATTCGCTGCTGGATGCGGTTTTCAATGAAAAGGTCACGTTCGGCCAATATCTGGTTAGCGTCAAGGCCGGCGGGCATAATGGTGGGAATGAGTAGGCGCTGCAGTCGAGTGGAAAACATGGTTTTATCGGTCTCGGGCCCGTGCTTGAGGTGGGAAAAAGGGTGTCTATACGCATTATAAGGGTATATACCCGAGTTGACATCGTCCTCGAGAAATGGCCCTTTGGGTAGGTCGGCGGGATCAATCTCTATTTCTTCCGGTTCCTCTGACTTGCTATTATCGAGCACAGGTGTCCCTGACTCGCCTTTTGGCACCTTCACAGCGCTGTCAGCGGCTCGAGAAGTGAGATCGGGGGACTGGAGCCGTTTCTCGTCTACAGCACTATGCACCTGCATGGCTTGCTGTACATTTTCGGGCACAGGCAGATGCCGACTGAGAAGTTTGAAGGCTGATATTTGAGCACGGAGAACGCTTATCTGGTCGGAGGTGAAAGAGACGGGAGTATGAGGGGGGACCGGAGGAGCAACTACAGGCGTAGATCCATTAGTAATACCATTGCCGTTAACCAAAGACTGTTGTGTTTGCTGCTGCGCAACCTGGGCATGATTTCGAGCTACAAAAGGTGAGATAAAATTGAGCGAGGAGAAGGTGGTGACCCACTTTGGTTGCTGACACTCTGGATGTATTTGACTAGATTATCGAGCTCGTTCGGAGTTTTCTGCTCGGTAGGATTCTTTCTGAGAAAATTGGCTCGCTGAAGGTAAGATGAGGGGACGTTTTGAGTATATCGAGGGCAGCGAGTACAGCGGAGAGACGTACCAGAATGAGTTGCTGCAACTCCTGCATGCCAGGCTGTCGTGGCCCGTGATGTGTTGGAATATTCTGAGGGAGACCGTTGCCCAACATAGGAGCCGACATTACCGTCCGCGTGCCCTGCAGCAATCAGTCGCGTCAACAAGTCGAATGTGTGGCAAGAAAGGGTATGTCACGCTACTGTCACACCTGTCCAACGTCACGCCAACATACGTCACGCGTGATGCTGTGACACATTTCGGTCACGTGAGATCACTGCCGCGTCCGACACTCGACACAGTCGACTCCTTCCCTTACCACCACCATGCCCGCTGAAAGAGCAGGAGTGAGCATGTTGTGAGTTTCCCCCAATAACTTATTTATCTCTCTTTAGTATACAGTGACTATGTTCCTCGTGGACATCTCCAAGTCCTCTGGAAAAACAAGAATCATCGACCTCCTTGAGGGGCCAAATGGCGAAGAACGCACAGCCGAAATCACAAATTTACAATGGGGACTTCAATACGTGAAGCTCAAGATTCAAGAAATGGTGGGTCTGCCTCCTGTATCGCGTAACGGCTGTTCAAACTGGATCCAGATATACAACGGACGGAAAACAGACCAATGTGGCGTTATTATATTTGGCTCAGAAGGCACGTGGAGTAAAGTTACAGCGCCTGTTTAAGCCTAATGTCAGTCAAGATACGGACAACATCGTCAATCAGAAAAACGGGGGGTATGAGAATGTGTTTGAGTACATCCATATTGCACAGCCTAATGCTGCGACCCTTGCAAAGCTAGATCAGTTGGAGCCTTCCGAAACTACCGGAGATCGTGAGTGCGTATTTCTGATTTCTTGTTTTGCTTATGCTGGCGCGGTCTAGCTATCGACTGCCTCATTGTCGGCATTGAGACTCAAGCAGACCATCTCGGTTCTAAGAAGACATGGACTCGGAAAATAATTCTCGTCACAGACGGAGAGAACCCTATTGAAATTGAAGACTGGGAAGCTACAGTGAAGAAACTTAATGAACTTGATATTTCCTTGACCATAGTGTGCGTGCTCAGACATCATAATCTTACCCATGCCCATCATCCAGCGTAGCGGTATCGATTTTGACGACGAAGAATTCCCATATGCGGAAGAAGACAAGTCGAACATTAAGGTTAGTTATTGATCATTATCTCTGCTTCTCATATTTGACAGAAGACAACTCTAGCGGGTGAATGAGAATTTTTACAAGCAGTTCATCGACGGCGTCGAAAAAGGCGTGTTGGGAACCTGTGCCTATGCCCTGCAAGATATATCGCGCCCAGACATCAGACAAACAAAATCTGTTCTAATGGGCACTATTCTCCGATTAGGCGATGTGGATACGCGCCCAGAAGAAGCCCTTGAAATAATGGTCAAAACGAGCAAGTGCACAGCCATTAACCGACCAAAGAGCTGGAAAAAATTCTCTATGAGGAAGGAAGAGGACGAGGAGGGGCCAGAGCCCAGGGCGAGGAAGGCGGATGATGGAGAAGAACAAATGTGCTACGCCCAGCTGAAACAGAGAACAGAATACTTTGTCGATAAGCGAGACAAAGATGAAGATGGTGATGTCGAAATGGAAGAAGAGGAGGAAGAAATCGACGATGGCGCCAAGAAGAAAGATCCCACGGAGGGCATGGAGGCAGTCGACAAGGAAGCCTTGGTGCGAGGATTCAAGTATGGATCGTCATATGCTCCCTGCCCTGATGGCCAGTTTCCACGGTTGCACACAAAGAAGGGAATCGAGATTAATGGTTTCTTCCCGAAGAAAAATGTGAGTCTTCAAAATTGCCACCGCATGTTGTACTAAATAAGTGTTGTAAAAGTTTCGTCGCGAGCTCTCCATGGGTGAAATACAGTATATTTGGGGTGATCCCTCTTCACCTCAACAACAAGTGGCTCTGTCGTCTATCGTACAGGCGATGTACGAAAAGGGGGTCGTGGCCATAGCTCGATGGGTAAGTAAAGACGGGATGGATCCAAAGATGGGAGTACTATCTCCCATGATGTTTGATAAAGTGGATTGTTTGCTTTGGGCGCAGGCAAGTAGCTCATCTCTTGTAGTGATCTCTCTGCATGACTTACGAGTACCCTTTTTACCAGATGCCTTTCGCAGATGACGTGCGTAAGTACGCTTTCGCATCTCTCGACCACCTCGTGAACAAGAAAAGAGAGGCGGTACAAGAACATCCGTATCTTCCGAACGAAGAACAGCTTGAAGCTATGGATAATTTCGTCGATGCTATGGACGTTATGACAGCAGGAGAGAGAGACGATGAAGGGTACGTCATTCATAGTTCACAGTCGCAGATGTTCACAAGCGAAGAAGGAACCGAGAACCATGGTTCGACACACGATATTCCTATAACCCTGCAATTCATCGCGTCAAACAAGCCATGTTCCACTGTGCAGTTGTTCCCGATATAGAGACAAATCCTCTTTCACCTCCCCACCCTGAACTTCTGAAATACTTTGAACCACCACGCAAGGTTGTCAAGCGGGCACACGACGCAATTGAAGAAGTAAAGACTGCTTTTAAGGTTAAAGAAGGTGCACCGTTTCATCTGCCACAGTTTATCGTTACTAACGAGTGACACAATCCAGTACCAAAGAAGGTCGCCCGAGCTCGTAAAGACGGACATGTTCACGCGCGCGATGATGACGAGGAAATGCTGCTCTTGGACCGCAAAGGTCCAGCGACTGTCCAAACTCAGTCACACCTACAGATCATTGAAGAACCTACCGCTTCATCGAGCAAGGCGAATCAGAATGTAAATGAAAATGACAGCGCAACCGAGGAGGAAGAGGAAGATCTACTTGACAAGGCACCGTCAAAGAAAGGCAGCAACCTTCTTCCAACACCCGCTAGGTCCATATCGCCTCAAGTCGATCCGGGTCGAGAGCCCGGTCGAATTGTTGGGACAACGTACCCTTTGAATGACTTTCAGAGGAACCTTACAGCCAAGGATCTGGTCACCAAAGCGGTAGAAGACCTTGCCTACGTCATTACGGAGATCGTGATGCGGCCATTTTCGTCACGACGGACGAATGAGTTGATTCAATGTATGAGAGTTATGAGGGATACATGTCTTAATGTAAGCTGCTCTTACAATGACCGTGCTATGCTTTAGTCTAAGCTCTTTGTTCATTCTTAGGAAGATGAGATTGATGCGTGGAACGAGTCAGTCCATCTTTTATCTACGTGGTCATAGGCTCATTGTCAACGATATCCAAGGTTTCTTATGGAGCTGAAGAAGAAATGTAACGCAACACCAGGAAATCTTGAATTTTGGGGGGAGCTCCAAAATATTGGACGCCCGATAAGTCTGATCAGCGATGAAGAAGCACGCGAGCAAGGGGGCGAATCGGAAAATGTTACTGAATCGAAGGCCAAAAAGGTAGGTTCCACTGCCACCCGTCGCGGACTCAGAAAATGATATTTTTCTTCAGTTCTTCAACTAAGTATATCACCTTCCTCATCTAATCTCAGGCAAATTTCCTCGGGCTAGCTATCGTTGTTATCTGCGCATGTGTATTTAATTTCTGTTTCTACATTACTGTAACATCAACTCTTGCCCCACCATCCACCGAGCAGACTACTCAATCCTCCACGAGCAGTGGATGCTGGAGCAGGCTCTGGCGTTGCCGCTCTCCTGTCCTCGACGATTCGCCTCTTGTCAGCAACAGACTCAACCTTCGTAGTAGGGGCCGGCGCAGGAGCAGGCGCAGATTCCTTCCCTGCTCTCTCCAACAACCTGTCCATGTTCAAGTCCACATAATTCAGGGCGATATTGAAGAATGCTGGCTTCTTGCAGGACTGGTGGTCCGCACTGAGGGAGCCACCATTGTAGGCGAACCAGTCCTGTTTGAATTGTAAACTATCGGATGATATTTGGGATTCAAGTTGACCAAATTCGACCTGGGAAAGTGGGAAGAACGCGACCTCGGCAGCTTCCGAGTTCGAAATTGAGATATGAGATTGCGTTTCACGAATGTGGATGCTTGAATGTTGCAGAAGAGTCAGTGCTTCGGCATATTTCTTGACATTCACATAGCAGCGAGCAAGATACAAACATCTGCAGGGAGATGTATGAGAATACAAGCCTGATCGGCTCAATGCTTACCTGCTGGCTTTTACGTAAGAGATTCTGGCGTCCACGCCAGATGACAGTCCTGGACTGTCGTCAACTATGCTCAGCGTCCTCATTTGAGTCAAACCCTGCATGACGGCATCCAACAATTTCACAATAGCAGGATACACTCTGGCATCAACCTGACGAGGTTTAGACTGGGTTCTCGAGGGACTGGATAGGGAGGCCAGCAAGGCTTTGACAAGCCTAAAGTCTCGCTGAATACGCCGCGATAGTAATTGAAATACGGTGTAAGCATAAAGGAAGTGCATATCGCGTGTTCCGCTGCTTGTAGCGGCAGATGATCCCGTTGACTACAGAAAGATTGGATTAGATGCTTTCAAAAGATCGTTGGCGCCCTCACCTGCTGCGCCTCCTTCAGTCTCCTTGCGACGTCCTCTGCATCACTAAGAGCTAGGAGGATAGCATCGTAGGCCACCACGCTCTTCTTCGAACCACTGGCCTTGGCCTTTCCGTCATCATGGACGTCTAGCTTCTTCTCGGCCTCTTGCACTTTGAGGAAGACATCGACAAGCTCTGGGTTTCGTACGGGTACAGGCTCGCCCTCCCATATCAAAGTCTCCAGCTTCTTTTTGCCCTCGACGTGCTTCAATGCTTCTTCCTCTGTTTTGAATCTGCTCAATAGACCATCACAACCTTCTACCAAGGCGTTCTTATGCTTTGACGATAGTTCAGAGACTATTCCATCAACGTCGTAGGATTTTTCCCAACCTAGCTCATGCGCACAGTACCGAATCTCTGGACCGATTTCGTCCGCAAACAAGACTGCGAGAGCTTGGTCACGACTGGTCGTAGCAGCAGCAGCCAGCTCATCCAACAAGTGTCTTGCCACACAGAGCTGGATGAGAGCATCTTCGAAATCTTCTCGATATCGAAGAAAACGACCATTAAGAATTAGCGTGTAGATAGTAGTTTCAAGTAAGCTTCCAGCGGATAACCGAGACAAGGCGAATAATCCTTGGCAATGGGAAAGGAGCTGTGTTGACCAGTTGACGCTGCGACGTAACCGTCCCGTAGCACTATGCCTAAGTGTGTAGGCTTTTTCAGAGTTAGTGGGTTGCAAGGATTGGGACACAAGATCCTGGGAATATGCCCATGCGCGTTCAGCCTCCATGAGCAGCAATTGAAGACTGGAATTCAGATTTCTGAGTTGTGAATATCAAGACAATGATAAGGAAGCCTCACTGTCCGTCCTTCATGTTCTCCTGGTTCACTGGTGGAAGCTTCTTGAAATCCCTTCCTTTGCCATGGGTAATCTTCAAAGTCGACCGAATTCGATGAGTTCTATTAGCACAGTGCTTCCTGGAAATTGCTCAGCATGTATAACTGTGTAGGAGCATCTATCCCAACCTGTACCGAGCGAAATCATGGTACCGGAGACCATACGTGTTGCGCTGCTCGTTTGCAAGCTGCAGGGCTGGACATTTTCAGCTACCTCGAATTGCCAAACTGGCGTGAATTGTATACCTCTGAACGACAACTTGTCCGACATGGTAGAAGAAGACGAAAGAAAGGCGGAGAAGATTCTGGGAGCGAGGAGTGATGAATGTAGAAGGACAAAGCAAACAAACACGTCGCCTCGATTATCACGTATATATTTACTATTTCTGCTACTTCCACCGTCGTTATTCAATCATGGACACGGAAACTCTTCCTCCCACCCTCCAGAATGTCCTTGACCAGACCACCTTGAAGTGGATATTCTGCGGCAGGTCCTATTTATCCTTTGCTGCAATCAACCGCTCACCGTATCGTCAGGCGGGAAAGGTGGTGTAGGCAAGTTGAGACTGTCCATCCTCAGGAAACCAAGTTCAAACTAGTCAATTCAGGGAAGACAACGACATCGTGTTCGCTTGCCATACAGCTAGCAAAATGCCGCCAGTCGGTCCTTCTCATCGTATGTTCACTACCCTCTGACGTAGTTGTCCTGATTCTCTACCACAGTCAACCGATCCTGCACATAACTTATCCGATGCTTTTGGTCAGAAATTCTCCAAAGATGCGACCAAAGTCAACGGGTTCGATAATCTTTTTGCGATGGAGATCGACCCAACGAGTGCAATACAGGAAATGGTGGACCAGTGTACGATCACAGCTACCCTCCATGCAGCTTTGATATTCACACATTCTTATGCTAGCTGATTCAAATGGAATGATGGGCTCCATGATGCAAGATCTTGCGTTTGCTATTCCTGGTGTCGACGAAGCTATGAGCTTCGCTGAAATCATGAAGTACGAGCCCTCATACCGTTCGTATCACTGCGATTTGAACAGGATCATTGACATAGGCACGTAAAGTCGATGGAATATTCTGTCATAGTATTCGATACGGCACCAACGGGCCATACTCTTCGTTTCCTCTCGTTCCCAACAGTGCTGGAAAAGGCGCTAGGGAAATTGAGCAGTCTCGGGTCACGATTCGGCCCTATGATCAATCAGGTGTGTATATTCCTGCTCGCGTTGACAATTCCCTTGACATGTAATGCAGATGTCCTCCATGATGGGCGGAGAAGCTGGATCCCAGGAAGATATGTTCGCCAAACTTGAATCGATGCGCGCTGTCATCACCGAAGTAAACACACAGTTCAAAGATCCTGCATGTTTTAGTCCTTAGCGTTAGCTTTATGTGCTGACGACCGCATAGGAAAAGACGACCTTCGTCTGTGTTTGCATATCTGAATTCCTGTCGCTATACGAAACCGAACGTTTGGTGCAAGAACTGACATCGTACGAGATTGACACGCATAACATCGTCGTAAACCAGCTTCTTTTCCCAAAGAAGAGTGGGTTGTTTCCTGTTCACCCAGTGCAGCACCCTCTAATATGTTTGAAAAAAAAAATAGGCTCTAATTGCGAGCACTGCCGGGTCCGGCAAAAGATGCAACAGAAGTATTTGGGGGAGGCCCATGAACTCTACGACGAGTTTTTCCATATAGTACAATTACCCTTACTTACGGAGGAGGTCAGAGGTCCTGAGAAGCTGAAAGAGTTCAGCAAGATGTTAGTAGAACCCTACGTCCCGCCTTTGGATTGAAGGGGGTACAGCCAGGATTTCATTGGATGATATTGTAGACTACACGATTCGGATACACTGATATGAGTACAATGACCACAAATAGGCGTAGACAAAAACGATCATCTCGACCACCACCTCAAATCGCGTCGCTATAACGCGCCATTCAAATGGTGAGTACGCGTACTTTCGCACTGCCCTCAATGGACTCTAATCAACAAAAGAACAGAGTCTTGCCTTTCTTCACTCTCACGACGCTGCAGAAGGTCAATTCCCTCTAGGTATGCAAGCAGCTGACACTCAGATGATCACCTTGCAGGCCACGGCGACTCTGTCTGGGGCATTTCTTGGACGAGCAACGACACTGTGATATCTATCTCAGCAGACGGAAGCATCAAGCAATGGACCTCTGCAGGCGATCCCCAGCCTCCAAATCCCAGCTCCGATTTCCCAGCTCCACACATGCTCGGTCTTGTCTCTCTATCCGTATCGTCAGATGCAAAATACGCCCTCTACAACACCATCGAAGGTCTCACATCCTTATGGGATCTGACTACCGGGGACATCGTTGGGAAGTATGAGAGTTACAGCAGATCGTCTGCAGGTGGCGATATCGAGCCCTGTGCGTTGTCGTCTTCGTCCTTCAGGGACCTCTTTCACTCACACAAAACAGCATGGTCCGTATCTTTGCATCCAAACTGCCAGATCTACGCCTCTTCAGGCGCTTCCGGGAATGTCGCGATCCACTCTGCTAGTTCAGAGAATTTTGGGCGACGACTGTCTACCTTACCGTCGGGGAGGAGCAAATTTGGATTGCACTGTACCCACGTATGAGTCCACAGATTTCTCGTATCATTGATATTCAAAATATTTCGGAATAGAGCCCAGACGGCAAGCGCGTTGCGCTGTCCTCGGAATCAGGCCAGATCTACATATTCGACCTTGAAACGAATTCACTGGCAACGACATACACCTCCCATGCTATGGCCGTTCGGGATCTTGTCTGGTCTCCTGATTGCAACGCAGGTCTTCGTTACATGGCGAGCCTTTTCCTTCACTTACTTTTTGTTATATCTGTATCAGCTCCTTCTGAGTGCATCTGAAGACAAACGTCTGGTGCTTCATGACGTACGGACATCTTCCGGAAGGATGGTGGCCGCTTTTACGGGACACTCTTCATGGGTTCTCAGCGTCGATATATCACCCGATAATCGTCTTGGCCTGTCAGGGTACGTACGTTATTCACTTTCTCACTGACAGTACCTAATTGCAACCTAGGTCTGCCGACAAAACCATCAAGGTATGGGACATTGCAGCACGAACGGCTGTATCAACTGTTCAAGATACCGGAGAAGTGTGGTCAGTATCATGGAGACCCAAACTGACGGCCGTTGGGGTTGGCGCCTTTGTCACTGGAGGCGAAGATGGGGTGGTGCGATGGTGGAGGGGCGCCGGCGGAGCAAGCACCTTTTAGCATATTCTGTACCATCAAATGCATCAATTCTGATCCAAGCGAGAAATTCATTTCACGGACGGTTAGCTTCGCAGTGATTCCTCGGTAAGCAATAATATAAATATTAGTAGTACTTGAGAACAAAAACAGAGAAATAAATACATGCGTATCCTATATTAGGAGTATATGCCATAATTGGTTCGGTGATGGTGGAGATATATACAAAGCTGATGCAATTTTAGTTGGAAAAAATGCTGGTTGAGAAGTAATGGTAGACTGATGACGAGGTTGAGTAAGCCGACAAAGAGAAACAGAGCAATGACGAGACACAGAAAGCCGTATCAATCACCCTTACGGTGATGAGAGCCAATATTAGCGACGGCATCTGGTAACATAGTAGCACTTACCTATCTCAAACGTCGGCAAAGTCAGCCTCTCACCAAGAGGTTCCCTAGCGGCAGAGTATATTGCTATTTCACCGTCATGGCTCCGCTGTTTCCTCTTGATGCTCGGCCTTTTCGACATTCTCAACTCCCCCATCTTGTCTTCCTTCAATAATTCAGTCGGACTGGCGCCTCTCTTCCCATGGGATGACGAACCGGGCGTCAAAATATCGTTATAAACAAACACTGGACCCGATGACGGCACAGCATTGCTATGGTTCAGGCCATTCCGCTGACGGATCATCTTCTCAACATTTTCCGCTCCCAAAGCCTCTTTCTCTTCGTCGACAACCATCAGAGCACCCTCAATGACAGCCGCATGTACAAAGACGTACTGCCTGAGACTCTGGCACAGACTCATTCTCTGCTCTCTCATGTCTTGCACGATCTCCCAGAGTGGCTCGTCGCATGAGCTCAAAAGGCGCGGTGAGTCAGCCCTGTGCATGGGACGAGGGTCTTTATAGTCGACATTAGTTGTTGAAGTAGAAGCCACGGCAGATATGGGTTGCATTGTCGATGCCGAAGAAAGCTTGAGATTCGGGGTTGATTGTGCAGCGAAGTCCTTAGCATCCTTCACGTCGCTGCCAAACGGCGACAGGCTCCTTGAAGTAAGGGGTGTAGTCGCCGTATCCTTGGCCTCTGTCCTCGCTAACGGTGTCGACTGTGTCCGCATGCGATGATTTTCCTCTTCTCCAAGGCGCGCGCTCCGTAGACCTTTGAAATCAATTCCAAGAGCTGCGTTCAAACCGGGAGATGATTTTTTCGTCGCACCGATGATTCCATCTTTGCTACTCGGTTCCGAAGATATCGTCGTGACAAAAGATGACGATGTGGTATATCCGCTACTTGGCGCATTGGGTGAAATCTCGCCATCAATTTCCTTGATTTCGTTGTTTGCCCCGGTCCGGCAGAAAAAGGAGGATTCTTCTGAGGATGAAGTGGTGCTCAAACTAGCGGTTTCGAAAGACGATCTACCTTCCGTATCCCCGACGTCGCGGCTATACGTACTGTCAATGTTTTCTAGGTTTTCAGCCCATTGTCTCGTAGCTGTGTCGTCCCCTTCGGACTCTCGCTGGGGAATTGTGACAGAGGGAGGAAGTCTGCTATCCATAACAGGAACATGCAGTATATCCCCTCCCTTGTTAGGCGGCATGGGCATCGTGCGTTGGCCTGTCTCATCCATCAAGATATCACCATCACCGTCGGTACGATCGTCGACGGCCTTGTTTTCAGCAGTCCTAACTTGATCGTCAACGGATTTGCGAATCTCTCTCCGGATTCCATCCAGAACGGCGTCGACAGCGATAAAACCTCCAGTTCTTCCCACACCAGCACTGCAATGTAAAAGAAGGGGCTGGATACCTTGCCCTTGACGCGAAATACCCGTATGCGAATCAACCTCCAATAGCTGATCTTCGGCCGCAGATCCGTTGTTATCGTGCATGTTGTCCCCCTGCTGCTTGCTCTCTTCCATCCCCTTCCCTACCTCCTTGATGAGCTCCAGGACGCCCCGAGGGTCGTCGGGAACATTCATATCCGGCCACTCCAAATATTGATAATGGACAATTCTGCGCGGTTTGGCTTGAGGATATCCGGAGTGAGTAAGCATAAAAATCCGCTTGATGATTGGGTGGCTCTTCTCTGCCTGCTCGGCACGGAAGTTGAAGAAGCCGCCGCTCTGTTTAGACGCTAAATTATCCCCGCGATCTTCTTTCCCCTCGCGGCTGACCAGTCGAAGGTGAAGGGGGCCGTAGGTGCCGTCTTTCCAATAGCAGTTGCATTTCACGGTCGAGCCTTCAACTTCGCGGGTCAACATGACAATGACGTGAACGTTTTGTTGCCAAACAAGACTGTCAAGGTGATCAGACTTTTTTGTTAAACAAACCATGATGATGAAACAAGACCCACGTCCAAAAATCTACAAACGTCGCCTCCAAGGGACCTTGCGTAGCGATGTACCGTCGGCGAGTACATAACGGCTGCACATATGAAGCGTTCACATAATCGTCGGGGTCCTCGTAGCAGGACAACTGAGGTAGAGTCGGTTTGGATAATGGAAGAGCGGTATCAGAAGAGGAAGATGTTAATCTTGGCGAGGTGTCGGAGGAGGTTGTAGAATCTAACGAAAGAAGGGGGGATATTGATTTATCGGAATGTAGCCGTACTCTAGCGTGCTCAAAGGGCCAGATATGACGATATCTATGACAGCAGGGATTAATGTTATGCGACATATAAAGATATTAAAAACCATACCGGTTCTTTGCACCTTTCTCTACGCCCGCAGTAATACTGAAAGGGAACGGTTTGACAGGCACACCGTTGCGTTCACTGTAGTTGTGTACAAGAGATTCCCGTGAATGATGTTCCATAACGCCCATTAGTCTTCTCTGCTCCGCAAGTTCAATGCGGTAGAACTGCATGGCGAGTGACTCCATGCTTTCTTCGGCATCCGTCTCGAGGTCAGATGTCGTTCGAAGAGCAATGGTACGTAGCCACGAGAAAGGGAGATCAGCTATCCGCTGTTTCGCATGGGTAGTGAGCTTAAGTGGAATACGTTCTGTAATGCCATGGGATAATTCCAAGTTTTGACGGATGGTATCAAAGAAAGGATTGTAAGGTTGATGAGAAAGTGATGGCATTGACATGCCGGCTCGTAGAGAAGAATACAAAGGTGAATGTCGTTTCGGCGCACGAAAAGCTGCCGTTGGCAGTAGATTAGGATTAAGAGAGGTTGAGGGAGGAGGCGACGCTGTAGGGTCAGGTACCAAAGGGTGCTGGTCAATGAGCTCTCTTCGATCCCGCCATACAGACTGGAAACCACCCTGGAGCCAACAAAGCTTGCCAGAGTATCCGGAGCTATCATTGGCGAACTTCCTGAGAAGGCCGAGAATATTGGAAGAGTCAGGCAACGACGCAGAATCAGCGTCGTACACGATGATCTGAGCGGATGTATTCCAACCCAGGAATCGCGAACGTGAAGAAACGGAAGAGAGCATTGATGCGAGCTTGTCCAATGAGAACAGAGGGCGTTTTAGAAGCGTGGACGGTACAGACAACGACAGCGCATTGGGGAGACGAGCATTAGCATATTGAGCATGGGGACGAATGTCAATGAACAGTACGGAGGGAGTGTTGACGAGGTCAGCGAGCTCGCTATGATGCACAGCATGGAAGCTGTTGGAATGCAATGTTGGTTTTGTTGTTGGGGTCGGCGTGGACGACGAAGTAGCAGCGACCGACGGAAGGTGAGCGGTGAAAGAGCCAAAGCTGGAAGCTATGGCCTGGGCGAAGGTGTCGTTCTGTGTGAGTGCAACCGCCGAGGCATCGTTGGCGGCGGAGAAAAAGTCCATGGAGGACGTCGTAGACGACGATGAACAAGCTCAAAAGGGAGTGCGTGAGGGCGGAAAGGGCGGCTGAAGGTACCTCAGATTAACCAGCTCCGACTCCGCATGTTCACACGGTGACGTCACTAGACATCACGCCTTGTTAAGCCCACCCATTCTGGTACGACCCTGCACGGCTCAATCTTCTTGGCAACCGATCTTGTATCCAAAAGTCGAGGAATAACTGGAATAACTCGGTACATTATTTGCTTTCTTTTCCCTCGAGCAATGTGCTTAGACGGACGCGGATGAGCCGACGAAAAAAATTGAAAACATTGAAAATAAGATTTATAAAAATATATTTAATTATTTTAGTACCAAACGGTCGGTCGTCAACGGAGAATACCGTGTCGGCCGTCGTCGCAGCGGTGGGGCCACTGAGTCACCTGTGCTCCTCCTTTGGCCCAAGACCGCCACTCAGGGCCATGACTTCTTAACCTATACTCGTTGCAAATGCAGCCCAACTGCTTCTCTTCCTTTGTATGGTCCCTGATCCTGATGATGATAATCTTTCGGGTCTGGGTGAACCGAAACGTGATGAAAATGTCGCCATACTGCTTATTACATTCACTTTTGTGCTCCAGGTCCAACGAGTTTTCAGAGACTTCGCACAAGACTAGATTCTCCTCTTTTTCTCAGACATTTTCTGTTCGCGTCCACCATATGCAAGAGAACGCCGTTTCCGTGAGCCAAATCAACCCTGGAACGCCTTCTCTTCTGATGTACGACCGAATCACGGAAACTCTCGACGCCACCCAACATCTTGCACTAGAAACTGCAAAGGAGCAGGAGCAGGATCCTCTGCAGTGAATATGATCTGCAATAATAATTATACATGTATTGATGAACAGCTCTGTCTCTAGAACGAATACGGCTCAAATCGACGAAGACATTTCGGCTCCGGTCTTTCCCATCCGTCGTCTATGCCTTCATCTTCCATCATAATGATATGGTGCCTGCTGGGACGTTTAGGCCATTCTGGCCCTTCCCCACCCCCAGGAAAACCAGAAAATGTCCGTCCAAAGAAAGGCCACGTCGGAAGATAACAAATTTCCTTAAACACTGATATTAAACAAAATGTTTACCCCAGATAACCAACGTCGCGTACCTCAGGCCTACAAGCAGGTTTACACTTCACCCAACCACTCCAATCCAACCATCCCATCAGCGTGTCAAGTTGTATTTTCCATTCCGAGAGAACACTTTCCGTCTGTTGGCCTTGATCCAGAGAATACGGAAGCATCTCATCAAAACCGTTCAAAACGCCCGCAGCCCACCAAGTATTAATCGCTCTGATTCCGTCAATTTAGAAGTCAGAACTGGGGAAGAAACAATGTACAAAGTATGTGACGTCGCACATAGTTTGTATATCGGAGCCGCCCAGGAGTAGATCGTCGACACCGCTTTCGGAACCGAGGGAACGACAGAGTGAAGCAAGTACGGCTGCAGCATAACTCGTAATTGGGTTTGTACCTTTTTTGCCACCTGTGTCTTGTCCTCCAACGAAGTGATGTTCAGGAGGAACTGCACCATCTCGACCCTATCTTGATAACGGTCAACTATCACTTGCACCAGCGTCTTCCAATCAACACCGCTGCCGCCCCCATGAGGCATTTGCACCGCTGTTTCTAGTCTATTCAGGACCCTCTGAATGTCAGATTCAGAGGCCCCTCCAATGTGGTGGACAAACCGTTCTTGCCCAAAGCGCCGAGAAATTAAGCTCGGTGTGAGAAATGTATCATAGAAAGATATCATGCGGGTTAGGTCAAGTTGTATCCGTATATCATCGGGATAGTGATTGTGCCATGACCCCGCATGAAGCACCTCGGAAGTGGCTGATGGTGGTCGAAGGAGAGAAAATCGGATGCCTTTCAGGCTGAGGGGAAGGCTCAAAATGCTCGGGGGCGCCGGGGTGGGAAAGGAAACTGGGGATTATCGACACTCAACTCGAGGAACGAAAGCACTTCAACACCAGCGGTAAAATCGCAGAGCATAATCTCACTGGAGAAAAAAAAATCAGACTCTGAAGGCAGTAATGTCACGATGACTGACAAATCCATTTCCATCCTAAGGAACTCAGTTATATGACATCAAGATTAGATGAATTGGAAGCATACCTAAGAAAGCCGTTGACGCCCAACTTCTGTCCCCATGCACAAAGATCTGCAATCCGTTTATACTCTTCCCTGATGTTTTCTGGAGCAACGCTACCCCAAGCTACGATATCCTGAGTCTCTAAAGGAAGAGGAGCGTCCCGACGGGTATCATTCCAGGAACCAGACTATGTCCTATGACATATGACAATTGAAACGAGAATCCAGCGCCCAATAGATCGTAATCTGCTTACCATTACGATGGCGTGTATTGGGCCAATGCTGGAGGAAGGAGTTAACGGTATCAAATACAAAGATGCCCCGTTGCATTTATGTTGGGCGGAGAATTCAAATCCCAGTCAATTGACCCTGATTGAAAAGGAAACTGGGTGGCCAAGACACATCCTGCCGACACAAGAAGGCGCAAAGGCGCACCAATCGACAGCAATGCATAGGCGCACGTTGGAGAGGGCGACGCGAGGCGTGCGTGGAACTGCGCAGTTCATACTTAGCCGGCGGCCGGACTGAGATTCTCACATGTTTAGGCACGGATATTCATTATCTTTCTCCACGACGTGGATGCTCACTTGTTGGAACTCCGCGAAAATCGCTGCTGGCTCAGGCTAAAGTCTGTTTCAATAGAAAGGAATCTACTTGGTGAAAAGCGCGCACCAACAAGTCTTCTGAGAACAGTTGAAGGGGCTCTGAAAACCTTATTATACTGACTTGGCCGCTTTGGTGACGAGCAGAAGGTCAAATGGTACATTTTGCATACAAAAGCGACTAGACCGGGGTCCACACCACACCCTATCAGGTTCCACCAAGACCAGATGATAAAATGGCGTATTTTTAACTGAACCTACTCGCATAAAGGGCGCAAAGGATGGAAATATATTACTTACGCACTTTGATGGAAGGACTCGAGCTGTTTTTGCTGGTCGTGTTGTATGGAGTGAACTGATTCGTTTTGGTATGATGCATGACAGACAGCAATTCGTGTAGGGAAGAGAATTGAACGGAGAGTAGGAAAATGCTCTCATGGCTTCACTGGCCACGAGATGAAAAATACACAGCAGTGAGAATGCGAACTTGAATGGCTGCTACTCGTCTCAGGCTGAACGTCCTTCAAGCTGAGTTGCCGATCACGCGGCACTGTCCCTAGGCGCGGCATTCGGCATTTGTGACGAAACGTTCCCCCGATGGTGCCTTCCGACAATATATTGCATCCGTCGTTTTACCCAAGGGTCTTTATAGTCCTACTAACTCCCATCACAGGTCTATCGGCCCCTCCCTTCCCCACGTTTCTTGCTAGCTCATCCTTCAGCAGCCCACAACTCATGGTATATCCCTTTGTCGTATACAGGGTTACTTCAACTGATGAGATCAATTGTCAAGGTATTTGTGAACAACAAGAAATTCGCATGGTACGTGCAGCTCGTCTTCTTTATCTTGTTTACCGACATCCCTCTGTAGCGAATCATGCATCAAGGGTCACCGATCTTCGTCCTGCCATCATACCGATAGGCCTCTCTTTGAAATCAAGAAAAAAGGCCGTCCAGTGTCGCAATGCGAAAGCTGCCGCGAGCTACGACAGTCGAGGCGTGTGCATTCAAAGTGCAATTGCAACAATAAGGACGAAGCTGGACCCAGTCAGCCCGTGGTTGGATACACCAAATGTGTGTATTGGCTTCTTGAGTGTCTCATCCGCGTTTGACAAGATCTAGCTCGTCGATTCATTCCTATCGTTCCTGCTCTACCCAATGGCCTGAAGGACGTTCTTCAAGCATCTCAGTCTACTGCATCAAAGCCTCCTGATGCACGCCAACTAGGTGATCACATTCTCTACTTGCACCCACTCCATGACTTAAACCTATTCTAGTGGAGTCACTTTTGAACCCTTGCACTTGCAAGAGTGTACGCAAGTGCAAATGCCGAAACTCAGTCCCTTCCAAGGTCAATGCCGAATCTGATGAACACGCTGGGCTCACCGCGCTCGCTCGCGCTGCCGAATTGTTTTCTCAAGAGCCAATAGCTCCATCATCTTCCCTTCCGTCACCTCCGCCTCCAGCTAGGAAGGTCAGTGGGAAACCAAGACAGATATCACGGCCCAATAGTCCCAACCACAAACGTCCAAAGCACGTCCATGTGGACCCCCCAAGGCTGGAGCTTCCCCCGATCCATATTCCAGAATTCCAAGGCGTCGACGTGCCTACATTTGCAATGATGCCGCCATTGAGTGAAGTCACATCGTTTGTTGACTCTGGGTGCACCTGCGGTGTTTCCTGCAACTGTCCAGGGTGTACTGAGCACCGCGGTCCTGAACACGTTAGCAAGGATCATGATTCATGCGGCGAGGAAGCCTGCGGTCACTGTGTCGACAATCGGAATGGGATCGCGCTTCCTGGGCTCGATGCAGGGTCGAGTTACCTTCGCCAGTTCTTTGCACGTGCTGCTGCTCTTCCAGCCCCACCGATCACCCGTAAGGGCATGCAGATAGATCCGATGGACCTCGCCGTTTATCCGTCATCATCTCTGGAACATGGCAGCCCATTTGGATTCATCAAACTGCCAAAGCTTGAATGCTGCGGCGGCCAATGCGGATGTCCCAATGGAAGGTGTGGATGTGGAAAGGCCTGTGATGGATGTTGCATTGAACACGGTGGAGGCTCACTGGAAGCAGAAACACAAACAGAAACAGAAACAGAAACGACGAAGGAGGTAGTGGAAAGTCCTCCGCAACCGTCAGTCCCCGTGGAAATCCCTGTTCCAATTCCAAAGTCGTGCTGCTGTGGTGGAAAATAGCATCGGTGATACCCATTCACTAAACTATGTTGACATTTATGGTGATCTTTTGAGGATTGTGACGAATCTCACAGATATAATTCTGTTGTAGCATTACAATTGACGAAGCCTTCTGACCTCACTCCAAACTGTTAAACTTCATTTCCATGTCCAAATTATGTAAATAAATTGTTGTACTTATGAGAATACAATCCGATGAGAATTGGAAGTTGCTCGTCAAAACTTGCAGGTATACGTTGCAAAGAGCGTGTGACAGATACAAAAATACATGAAGATAGTCAGTCATGAGAGGGATGTCAATGTGGTGTATTCAAACTCTAATTGAATTCTGTCAGTAGTCCGCCTAACAGAAGAGTTGATATAACGTACGTGTCATCTAGAGAGCCCCCATCAGGGTATGTTTGTCAGTAAGCTATCAATTTGTATTATGGACTATTACCATCGTAGTGAAATTGCGTCTGGAATGGCTTTCATTAGGCAACACGAAAAGTGCCATAACAGTAATGGCTACGCACTTTCTTCGGGTTGTCAGGTGCATGTCGCACGTAGCGATCGTTATCTGGAGGGCTGAGAGAGAAGCCATTCAACGAACAATGAAGAGGTTGAAAGGATGGTGATACGCTTACCGTTCCTTCTTCTACACAGCAGGATAAGCGGAAATAATCGTCAAGAGTACGCGATGGACTCACCTTGCAAGACGCCAGCATGCTCTGTAACGTTAGACACACCGCAATGACACTGAGGACGGGCGACCACTCATTCCCAAGGATCGACGCGCAAATCTGTAACGGATACTCAGTAAGCAGCATTGACGCAATCAGAAGAAGGGATGGACATACATGTCCATTGGAGTATACGTGCTAGAGAAGCCGGACTTAGCAACGGATACAGATCATTCACAGGGAGCAAACGTTGATACCCACCGGGTGCACGGGCGATGTCTTGCCATCAGTAACAACAAACTGAACAGCTGGAGATGATATCGGGTAGTGCTTATCGAACCGGAATAGCAGAGTGAAAACTTCGCCCTAGGGAAATCCTGGTCTGAATACCGGTCGATTCGCCACTTGAGACAGTAGGTATGGTAACGGACCTGGTACAGCGACTCCCCCATGACCTCTATAGTGAATTGCCATGCCGCAAAGTCATCTGCCTGTAAGAGATTTATTCCTATGTATCTAGTATTCATATTCCGGAACAATAAGCGTATCAGGGTGCGTACCAACTGGACAACCCTCTGTCTGTATTTCGTGCAGCTCTTTCGCTAGTCTTCTAGCAGATATGGAAGCCATAGAGTCAGTAATGAAGAAGAAACGAGATCAAGATAGAAGCTAAGGATGAGTGCAGCTTCGACCGCCAGTCGTTTCCGAGGAGGCAAATACTGAGGCTGCAACCAAACATGTGCAAAGCGAAAATTCTTTATAGTCGAAATTTTTTTTGGCTTTTTGCTCTTTGTCAAAACATTTATCGTCTCCTCGCTTATAGAGTCACTTGTATTCCATTTCTCAGGGACGTACAGGCGCTCGCGGGGATACAGAGTAGACTTAGTCTTGCTCAGCCAAACTGGAGGATGCAGCTCTGGAGCATTCTGCGTGGTTGGGTAGGGTACAATCAAATGTTGAGTAGAATAAGGCAAATGGATCTATATTTATTCACTTTACTGTCTGGCTTATTAATGAGATATAGAAGATTTATATTCATCTGATACCTTGAAGTATCCTGAGGTTGCACAATTTTCATTGCCATCCCGTTGCAGTGAAACGCCATATTCAAGATCTCATGAGACCTTGACATTCGGCGCTTCCCAAGAGCCACTTCTCGAAGATATTCCTCCGGAAAGGGTGTATAATGGTGAATAAGTCTACGGGTTTGATATAGTAAAGTTGTAATAGGGACTGAAGCAACGTAGAAGAAAAGAGTCCAATATAATTTCTATGCAAATCTTAGCCGGAGAAGCAAAAATAAGAGTGGAAGTCGACGTTCACGTAGACCATAAAGCAGAACAGAGTTCCTATGCTTAGCATTCCTCATTTATCCAGCTATTGCAAACCTAGTTGTCATATCTTCCTCTCTTACTTGTTTTTCCCCTCCCCCTTGCACTAGTCGGTCTCTTCTTCGGGGCCGGCGTCGTCTTTGTCACAGTCAGGCTCACATAGTCGACTTTCTTACACTCCGCATCAAACGCTTCCACGAGCGCATTGAAGTCCACATCCTCCATGCTTCCAAAAAGCGGGTGACTTGTGCTCCATCTGCCCGCCGTCAGCCTCGGCGACGTGATCCCAAAAGCCATACGCGCGAGCAACCACGGGTCGTCCCGCTCTGGGCATGCGTTGAGAATAGCCCGGACCTGGGCAGAGTCGGGAGTAGTGTTGGCGCCTCGCCTGAAGACGACCCCGGTACCGGTTTTGCAGAAAGTGCAGTGACCGCAGCGTCCGCTAGGGACAGCGTCACCGTGACCAAAGTATGTCGCGAGGGAGTGAGCTAGGCCTGACACGAGCGTTAGTTGGCAGATAATACACAGCGAAGTCTGACGAACATTCGGGCTTAGTGGCGAATTCAATCACCTCTTGAAGTTTTCGTATGCCTTCCTCCTCGCGTTGAACCATCCCGGCGTGGATGTCTTGGGCTATGGCTGAGATCTTGGACAGCTCCGTGGGAAAGGAGTTCACTATACGATAACGCTGAACAGCTTGCCATTAGCCAGATCATACAGACATAAAACAGAGTTGGTTTACCATTCGAACTTGCGACGGTTTCGTTGAAATGTGCTCTGTCGAAATGGTCTGTATTTAACTGATCCTAGGAGAAAAGTCACGTACGTCCGATCTCCCACATGGAAATCTGCCCCGCCAATGACTCTCTGGATAACCCGGATCGTTCAGCCGCTTCTACCATGTTGATCTGAAAACGAAAGCCCATCAATGCTGGGGCCAAGAATTGCCGGCAGACGAACCATACCTGGAACCCGCTCGCCTTGGACTGCCAATTAGCCCTGATAGCTTTCGCTGCGGGGGATGCGTCGGTCTTCACTTGCTTCATACCATCCGCATCGCGAAACGTGATATCATAGATTTCATAGAACGGCGTCACCGCCCGAATGTACTTGTGCTGGAGTTCTAGATGGGCGTAACATAACCCAAGAATCGAGGCCTGACGATGATTACTATGCGAGTAAAATCAGCTAGATATATATCGTACCTTCATGTCATACCTGAAGGCTATGATTATCAATGCACCAGAAGAAAAGTTAGAAAGACATACGACTTGGACTGTTGGTAGTGATTGAAATCAAGAGTTTCATCTGTTGAGGGACTTTTGAGAGCCACTTCTTGCATCCAAAGCTCCAGAGATGTCTTATTGCAGGTATCTCCTCTAGAAAAACCCTCAAGGACAGGGATGTCAGGGGCAGACAAGAACAGCAAACAAGTAGAAGGAAGGCCATCACGACCAGCTCTCCCCACTTCCTGACTATAATTCTCCAACGTCTTTGGCATATAGAGATGAACAACCTGTGTATAAAAGTCAGTGGAAGTATGACACGACGATTAAATGTGATCTGCCTGCCGGATATTAGCTGTACATAATATCAGTCCAAAGATGACGAGAAGATGGACAATCTATACCTTTATCTATTCCCATACCAAAAGCGATCGTGGCGCACACAATTCCTTTCTCAGAAGTCATAAATTGTTGTTGTATCCGGGCTCGCTCTTCACTTGGGAGTCCCGCATGATATACCATAGCGTCTAATTTGCGCCTCGCGAGCTCACTGGCAATATTCTGTGCCTGTTTTTGCAGCGTCACATAGATGATAGCTGGTCCAGTCCTCTTCTTGAGGAACGGAACAAGACGCTCGATCTTTTGAGCAAAGTTGTCAGCAACGTCAACCTGGAAGGAGAGGCTAGAGATGATTGAAGTCAACATGTGTCCATCTTTGAACGAAAATGGATTTACTTTGGCCGATATATTGGGGTGTCAAACAGTCCAGCTTTGGGATCAATGCAGAATTGTTCACAAATGTCTCGCGCAATGCTTGGTGTTGCCGTTGCTGTAAGGCACAGAACGCGCTCGACATCCATTTCTTTGGCGAAACGCGCAACTTTGAGGTAGTCGGGTCGGAAACTTAGACCCCACTAGAGATAATTCAATAACTGGAATATTACATCGTTAGTACAACTCACTTGAGACACACAATGCGACTCGTCCACAGCAAGAAGGGATATCTTCACATGCTTCATCATTTCCAGGAAGCCTTCATTATTGAGCCTACACCTGATCGTTTAGAGGTGCGAATTTTGAAAAGTGAGAACTTCACCTCTCTGGAGCGACATATAGAAGCTTGATTTTGTTTGCAATCACGTCGTGTTTCACTACTCTTGCTACCTCCGCGTCTAGCGTGCTGTCCAAATTGGCAGCTTTGACGCCGCGATCACGAAGTGCATCCACTTGGTCCTTCATTAGCGCAATCAGAGGCGAAATCACCAGTGTCAATCCCTATAAAATACGCGTTAAAAAATACCCTGATGTCAGCGTGATCCACTGCTCACATCTAGACAGAGCGCTGGGACTTGATATGTCAAGGACTTTCCTCCACCGGTCGGAAAAAGTACCAAAGCATTTTTGTTGTCAACAAGAAGGCGTTGAATTACCTGGAATATAGAGAAATCGACGCGTGAGTGAGAAAATAAGGGGGGCTGGTACGTACGGCTTCCTGGGATAATCGAAAGGAAGAATGTCTGAAAACATTTTTCAAAACTTGGAGTGCTTTTTCCATGGGGGACGGTGGGAGATCTATTACGCGACCAAAGCGTGATGGCGGAAGTAGAATAAGTCGCGTTGTTTACATCGTGATTCTTTATTTACTTTGTGGCCTACTGTACAGAAATGGTAAGAGGATCCAAAACAGGAAATGTCACACACACGTGATTCTACCACTAGACTGAGACTTAATTTAAAAGTCCCTGATTGAGGCCCTCTATGTCTCCTCGGTAATTGAGCATGGTGGCCATAATTCTGAGTTTCTGTCCACAGCTATTTTGGCCTTCACGTTGAGTTTTTTTCCACTAGATCTATCCTTCCCTCGTCTTTCCGCTGTCTTACGCCTTCTTTCTTCGTCGTTACAGCTTTCCTCGCGACCTCCTGCTTTTCTTAGCGGCCTCTCCTCACCTCGCTTCGGAAAAGTGCATGCTGTGTCATATCCTTACATGTGAAGATTGAGAAATCTTTCGAGTCGATTTAAGTACATTTATTGAGAGACTTACATTATACTATCATGTTTAGTCGTACCTTCCATTCGAGCGCTCACCTCCGCATAGCTCGACGCATCCTTAGGAGTCTTGTATAGGGTTTTTGTACTGAATGCTAGTCAACATTAGTACAGGCTGGTAAAAGTTGTCACTTGCACTGCTTGCAACCCACGTATGACATGCCGCATCCATGAGCTTCAGACGCGTGGGCTCTTTGAACTTAGGCATCTCAATGAGGCCTGTTATGCATTTCACCATTTTGTTGCTAATACTATGGGATCTGCTGGAGGTTGAGATGCATAGGCCACACCACTGTTATTCAGTTCTCTCTAATCGTTCTGCACCAGCAGCGCGACCGTTGCAAGACTTCACTCTTCAAGCTTCAAGTTCGTCGCGCACGACTCCTCCTTAGACTCATTCCATGGAAGCGCAGTGCTTGCCAGGGCGAAGGCTACACTGATTCTCCGCGTTGATCTGGTCCAGAAGCAGCTCTTCTGCCGCACGACAGCCTTGTTACTTTTCGGCATCTGCGTAGTTCTAAGCGTCGTCCGATCCGTTCAATCTGCTATCCCCAATCACATTGCAGCTCTGTCATGCATAATGACAAGAAGACAAGGATAACTGAATAAATATACGCTTTAACTGTTTTAGACATCGCGAGGATGAGACAAACTCGACGATCTTTGGCGCCCAGATTCTTCAAGCCCAGGCCCTAGCTCCTGGACGTGCCAGCGTTTCTCCAAACGCATCTCCTCTAATGAAGGACTTAATTCAACATCGTGCGGGTGAATCGACACTGGAAGGAAAAAGAGGACGCGGCGTTGACGTCTAAGACGATCGTTCGCTCTGTCGCCTAATGAAGAGTCGGACACCCAACGGGGAAACAGTCTACCCAACAAGCGCATAACTTGCCTGCGCTGTCTAGTAGGCAATACCATGAACCCTAACCCAGCTATGAGGAAGAGAACACCCGCTAACATCAACTTGTTGCCCCAATGGCCAAGGAAACCAATGAATACGGCGTCGTCGGCATGCCAGCTGCTGCCATAGAAATGTGTGAAAAATGAATGGGGCGCTTCACCGTCCTTGGCATTTTTGCCATAGAGAGACTTTGGTAGGATACGGATGGGGTCACTGAGAGCAGCAGCGTGGGAAGAAGTCCAGATGGTGTACTGTATGGAAAGAAACATAGGTCCGGTAGAGAACATGACCGTAGGGTAGTTGAGGAACCAAGAATGATCAAAGGTGGCAAGGTTGTGGATAAGTTGGGCGAAGAATGGGTGACCTTTTGTTGAGAACATGAGGTCGTTGGAAACACCAACTGGGATTGTTTTTGGGAGAATGACGGGGTATGCGAGGAGTGGGTCTAGTGGACGCCTACAGCCAATGTCGACGTCGTAGTACACACCTCCGTAGTGATACAAGACGAAATACCGGATTGCATCTGCACGCTGTATCGGAAAACGATATCCATCATACGTTCGTAGAAACCAAGGATAGTATTCGATAATAAATTTTCGAGAGGATTCGTCTGTCCAGAGCATGTATTCACTGTCTTGAGGTTAATTGACAACTGGTAGTACCAGCATGCTAGACGTACTAGTCTGGCATTATATTCTGACATTGCAGCGACACCGATCTCCATTTCTCTGAGAGAATATCCGTCTTGGCCGTCTGATGAAGTACTCTTGGTACCCGTTCTACCCAGCCATGTTCTGTGGCGTTCCAGCGGTCATGGCTGCGAAGTGTGGGTACTTTGTGCTCGGACAGATATGCGTCGGGATCGATAGTAAGGTAAGAAGAAATGGAAGAAAGAACGACAACAGTTCCGACGAGGAAAAGACCAAGGAGCGACAGAAGAACGCATAACACGGACCGCCGAGCCATTTAGTGATGAGGGTACATGCCAAGGATACACTGCCACTAGATTTACATTATTATAATTTCTTTTCCTCAGTGCGACCACTCCTACTATTGCTACTACTTTTCCTTCTCTGTTTTCTCTGCCTCCTTTGCTCGTTTCTCCCGGTTAACATTTATATCATCCAAGATTTTTCCGGCGCCAGATCCAATAAGGATCTTGGCCAGTCGCTCTCCAACAGCCTCAGCCTCCACCGCAGATGACACGGGCTCTTTCAAGGTATGCTCGACGTGCTCACTTCCATCTAGCGATGTTACGCAGCCCGTCAAGGTCAGAGCACCGTCCTCAAAGGTGGAAGCAACCCCCACTGGCACACTGCAGCCCCCCTCAAGAACCCTCAAGCATGCACGCTCTGCTAAACATCTGATTTGAGTTTCCTTATGAGTGATTGCTTCACACAACTTTAACGCCTCGGTATCATCGCTTCGGATTTCAATAGCCAAAGCGCCTTGAGAGACAGCATGATACAGCGTCGGTGGGATGAGATCTGCTGTAACACGATGGCCCATTCCCAGGCGCACCAGGCCGGACTTGGCGAGAATTAAGGCAGCATAAGGTCCATCCTCAGCGTCGAGTTTTGCCAGCCGGGTATTCCTGGAATGTAAATTGAGGAGATGAGACTCTGTAGCCGATTATATGCTCACAAATTCCCTCTCTACAAGATCATCAGTTCACACCCACCACTTAAAAACGAAAGCAAAACTCACTGCATCGAGAAATTTCAGCTTGGGAAAGTTTCGTTTCAGTTGGGCGACACGTCGAACGCTGCTCGTGCCAACAACACTACCATCTGGAAGGTCATCCAGACTTTTCCACGCATCTTCTTTGCCTCGTTTGATGACGAGACTGTCCACAGGGTCCTCTCTTTCCATTATCGCGCCAATGATGCAGCCTTCCGGCAGCACAGTGGGAACATCCTTGAATGAATGTACGAGCATATCCACCTCTCGCTCCTTCAAGGCCACTTCCAGCTCCTTGGTCCATAGCGCTTTCCCTCCCATGAGAAAAAGAGCCTGGGACTGATTCTTGTCACCCGCTGTGGCCATGAAAGACGTAGCAAAGGTCGGCTTGGGAAAGTCGGACGGGAAGTCGAGTGCCTCCAGTGCTGCGAGGGCTATATTCGTCTGGATTTGCGCTAGCTGCGAGGCGCGCGATGCGAGTATATACTTTCTCGACGTGGCATCATCAGTCGTGGCCATGGTGGGAAGGAAAGATGATAGTAGATGAGAACGGAAGATGGAAGTTTGAATTCATCGAGTTTTCAAATTGGGCCTGCCGATTCAACCCGGGCTTTCGACATCCGGTGCATACGAGCCGTTATAATACACAAAGGTTGGATAATATACAGTATGTTATTTTATGAATATGTCTATGTCGTCCGTAATGGCTACGTATACCCCAAGGACATTTACAAGCTGGACTGTAACCCAGGAAATCTACAGAGACATATACTGCGCCAGGCTACGGGGAAAGACAGGACCATAAGCTGTAAGAAGAAGGCAGCCGGCAAAGACCTACTTGGACTTGGATCCGGTATTTTGCTCCAGCCGTTTCTCCAGCTTCTGGAATTCATTGAGAGCAATTTCCTCCTCCTGGTCAAGAACCTGTGGAGATATCAGTAATGGCCAGGGAAGAAAATAACAGAGATAACAAGCCTGCTCGACACCCTTGACCTCGGGAATATAATGCATCAGCATACGCTCAATCCCGCTCTTCAAAGTAACCGTGCTCGAATCACATCCTCTGCAACTGCCCTTGAGCTTGATTTTCACAGTGGCTGAGCCTTCTTCGTCAAAACCACGATATTCGATATCCCCCCCATCCTCCATGATAGCCGGTCGCACTCTGGTCTCCAGCAGCTCCTTAATCATCGCAACGGTCTCCGAGTCAGTGTCAAGAATCTTGGTGTCTTGCGGCCCAGCATTGTCCCTCTCCTCTTGGCTCCTGAACAGGGCCTGTCCAGAGGAGAAGAACTCCATGAGATTAGAGTATATCTCGGGCTTGAGAACCGCCCACGTATTTTCAGAATCTTTGGAGATGGTGACGAAATCTGGTCCGAAGAAAACAGCAGCGACGCCTTCAATGCCCATGAGACGGATGGCAAGGGGTGATGGGAGGGCGGATCGTGTGTCCAGGAACTCTGCTGTGCCCTCGCCCATGACTGGCACCCCCGGAATGAATTTCAGTGAGTCGTCGTTCGGTGTCGGCTCTGTTTGGATGAACATAGACCGGGCTGCAAGATGTTTTAAGACTTCATCTACTATAGTGAACAGAATTACGCACTCAAAGGTGGATTCGACTGTGTATTCACAGCAGAACGGTACTTGGGTACAATCGAGGATTCCGTGGCGAACCGCCGCCCATGCTTGAACGAACATAGTGCTGGTGTCGAGGAAATACGCCGCACATTGAAGGGGGTACTTCGTATTGACTTGAATTTTAACGGCAGGGCTGCCAGGTTGCGCAGGGTGGTCGAGGCCAACATTTCGATGCTTATTCAAAGAATTTGCCGCTGGGTCATGGTATTAGTAAGGCAGATGCCGTCGGCGGATTCGGGCCGAACTCTTCATGACCAGCACTACCACCAGCTTTCGTGTCGGGGAATTTGTCGTTGCCTGTATTCTGCTCTGGCTCTCATGGAAATTTCTGCGTCTTTACCTGTTCTTTTATCCGCGAGATCAGCATTCGCTGCGCTCGGTAGCGATTCTCGTCCTTGGAGATATTGGACGCAGTCCTAGGATGATGTATCACGCTGAGAGCTTTGTAGAGAACGGCTTCGAAACGAATATCATCGGGTACTCAGGCAAGTGCGATATATACCATCTAACTTTGTGCTAATAACTAGACAGGCTCAACGCCGATACCTTCTCTGCAGCGCCTTGCGGTCGATTTTCGATACCTTCCTCAACTGCCCACTTATTTCCGACGCCTGCCCTTCATATTCCTCGCTCCAATAAAGATACTCCTTCAGGTTGCTTCCGTTCTACTCGAGCTTCTCGTGCGCATCCCCAAACCACCAGAATTCATCCTTGTACAGGCCAGCCGTCCGAACACGTTCACATTTACCCGACGCTGATGTCTTACTCTCAGAATCCTCCAAGTATACCTACCCTTGCAATTGTATACCTTGTTGGACGAATACGCGGATGCAAAGTCATCATTGACTGGCATAATTTGGGCTATAGTATCTTGGCAATCAAACTGGGACCCGATCATTTATTCGTCAAGATCGCCAAATGGTATGTACACGATCATCCCTTTCTCCTTCCAAGTTCCATACAGTTGTCTTAGGGTAGAGGCCACATTTGGGAGGAGCGCGTATGCCCACCTCTTTGTGACGCAGGCCATGTGCGATTTCTTAGTGAAAGAATGGGATCTCCAGTACGCAATTGATCTTTTTTAACTCTGAAGTGTGTCCTAAATTTCTCCAGAGGCCACAAGGTGGTATTGCATGACAGGCCTCCGCGTCATTTTCATCGCTGCTCACCGCAAGAAGTGCATGATGTACGCGTAAACTTTCACTGACATACAACATTCTGACAACTTTCATATAGCTATTCGTCAAACTAAGACCATCAATAACCGCGCCAAAATCGCTCACCGGCTGGCTACCGTCATCATCTATGCCTTATTCTACACCATTTACAGATACGACTCCCCAAATAAGAACACTTCCAGAAAAACCCATCGATGTCTCACTGCCGTCTCTGACATCCGGGGTACCTTTCAAGTCGAAGGCCTTGAAACCTTTCCACGCTACCATACGTACGCCCACAGAGTCCTTTGATGCGCCCAGATACTCCGAGATACACTCGCCCCGCCTTCGCCGAGACCGACCTGCAGTGGTAGTCTCCAGCACCTCTTGGACACCTGATGAAGATTTTAGCATACTCCGCGAAGCCTTGAAAATATATGAAACCAGGGCCAAAGAACTGAATTGTGGAGGATCGAAGGTATTACCGAAACTTCTGGTGGTCGTCACAGGAAAGGGAGAACTTCGCGAAGGGTACATGCAAAGTATGGAAAAGCTACAGCGAGGATGGGAATGGGTGCGATGCGTCAGCTTATGGCTGGAACCAGAGGATTATCCCCTACTTCTGGGTCAGTTATATTTGAGCATCATCATTGCAACGACTGAGTTTTGTAAAAGGTTCTGCGGATCTCGGTGTCTCCCTGCACTCCAGTTCCTCCGCTCTTGATTTGCCTATGAAAATCGTTGACATGTTCGGCTGCGGTCTGCCTGTCTGCGCGCTGAAATTTAAGTGGTATGTCCTGTCTCACAGCGCCTTTGCCGCCCTTTGGTCTAACCAGCTATTAGTTTGGACGAGCTCGTCAAGGAGGGCATAAATGGGCTGGTATTTGAAGACCCTGCGCAGTTGGCTCAACAACTGGAGGTGAATAACTTGCATCGCATCATCGCACCAATGCCCTTCTCACCCCCTACTAGTCTCTTCTTACAAACTTTCCGTCCTCAACGAAGTTATCTTCCTTATTACAGAAGACATCAAAACACTCGACATCGTACATACATGCGCCTCATGATCATGCAGAACAAGTCAGCAACGTTGAATGGGAGTGGAGCTCGTGGGATGAGAATTGGGGCCGTGTGATGAGGCCGCTTATCCTGCGCGATTTACAACGTTGAGTTGCCAGAAGATGTACACATAACAATGTCATCTGAGTCTACCTAAAAAGATACAATTCTCTAAGGACACAGGAGCCCTGAGGAGGTCTAATTTGTCGCTGTTGCTGCGAAAGTCATTGTCTCGATTCGTCCCCGGCCCTTGCATTCTTTTTGCAGAATCTCATTGATTACACGGAATTGGCCAGGATCTATGAGCATAACCTTTGAATGAATAGGTGGATAGCTGTAAGTAAGTGATGGAAGCAGAAGAAAGATGGATACTCACGACTTCCCACTCATCTTTAGTGGTTTCATCGTCCTCAACCTTGTCTGCTCCTTCTAATATCTTCTCTCTGAGCCGCTTGCCGTCTGCAGGTGGCATAGTTACACGGACACGCATCCTTGCACGCTGTATAGGCAGCGTGGAATTTGACTGGATAAGCTTTATACATTCCGACACCTGGTTGGACAGACGAAGTTGAGGTTAAAATATATGGGAGTAAGAAAGCTCCCTACCTGGCTTTTCGCAGTTTTGTTCGGTTTAACACTGAATCCAGCCTCGGTCATAGCTTTGTCTATCAGACCTACTGGATAAGGCCTTTGGGTTTCCGGATCAACACATTTCTCTGCTACCAAGTTGAGGATTTCTTTGCGAAGCGCCGAGAGATCGTGATCGCGCTCCTTCTCGTTGACTTGCATCTCGCCCTTCTTGAGGATCTACTTGACAGCGAATGAGATTTCGAAAAATCGAGAAAGATGAACACGGCAAGACCTCTTTAACGATATCGAGAATATCGGATGTACCAAAGCATTTTTTTAGGTCGCCATGCTTGGCTACTTCGCCCTTGGAAACGTTCACGAATACGTTGCTTATTTGAAGAACGTCGTCCAAGTTAGTTTCCCTGCCCAAAGAACAAATAAGAATCTGAACAATCCAATATAATAAGTTATCATACACGCCATTTCTCCACTCTTGCACTTTATTCTTGTAGCATGCGATCTGACATTTGTGTTAAAACTAGCTATGACTAAGTGTAGAGCACTTAGTATACTTCGAAGCGCTTGCCGCCTTTCTTTAATTTAACCACGGAGACATTCGTAAGCCTGGATATATTCTGGGTCAGTAAAGGTAAGATGGAAAAAATATGGATAGTACTTGATTTGATTTGAAGGTTGCTGAATTTTCGACATGGGTGGAAGGAGTCAAGGGGTCACGGTCCGGAAGTCGGGTACCGTGTGCCGCAAGCCACGTGTTTGAGAAGGGTGACAAATTATTGCTGGTCACACTGTGACTTGTCGTCGTCGCCAACGAGCCCAGTGATACCATCGTCTTCTGAGTCGTGGTTTTGCTCCTCTCCTTAACAGTCACCGCCATCACCGTCCTCGATGTCGTCGTCGTCATCCTCAGGCTCCCAGGCTGCCTCTTCCTCAGCGGCTTCCTCAACTGTATCCGTCCCTGCCTCTGCAGCGGCAGGTTCCCTGACCATCACCCAGCCACCAACGACGGTCACATCCTTCTACAAAATCGCAACCAATGAGATGGTGACCTTTGGTTGGAACTTTACCGATGTCATCGTCTCCCCCACACATCTCACTGTCTCTGCGCTATGCGACAACGGCAATACTTATCCTGTGGGACCAGGGTCAAGTGGAATCATCGACGGGACGGCCACCCAGGTCGTGTGGGATGTTTACTCTTACCAGGAGAGTCACTCAGATAATCCTCTCCCGCAAGCGACTTGCACGTTGTTGATATGTGACGAGCGTGGATTGAGCGCAACTAGAAAAGGCGGGTACATGAACCCAAACAGTGAAGCTACGTTTGCATTCTATACCCCTCAGGCATACACCCCACTCAGCAGTGGTGCGTCCCTCCTTGTCCGTGAATTGATTAAGAAACTGACCAAGAATAATCAGGATGGACATGCTCGATATGTAGCAACGGTTTTTCGTCCTATATCGCACAGCCGACAGTCATTACCATCATCGCAACGATACTCGTCGTCTTCTTGTCTGGCTTCCAACTGCTCAGGAGTGCTTTCCGTGCGACGTAGTTGTGCGATTCCATGTGGAAGGATTATCTGGATTTTGTTGGGCTCTTTTATTTTCTGTTCTCGACTTTGGACGTACAACGACGGTTGCCTCTTGCTTTCTATTGCATTACGAATATGACACGGACTTCATACCTACGCTTATCACGATCTTTAATCTTCGCTACAATACTTCATGGTCGTAGACGACAATTGCATTGACAGTAGGGCTGAAAATCTGCTGGCGCTGTCAGCTTCTCTCAATATTATTTATCGACTTGTTGCATATTCAAGAGGTGCCCCAAATGGCGCTCGCTGTTTCATGCGTAAAAGTACTAAAAAGACTTGCACTGTGAGGCTTCTACTAGAGGCCACTGCATGTGTCCCACTGTTGTCGCCATAATTAAAGAGCAGAAACAATAGAAGGTGTCGAATGGCAGGCCAATTATTGTCCAATCGTAAATCTCTTCTCTGCCAAACCTTTCGATTCACTGTCGCAAACAGTTAAATTTGTACGCGACGATGCATGTGGTTCTGCATCTGTAGATTTGTCTACATTGGATTGTGTGGTACTGTCCATTCTTGCTTCGTCCCAGAACGCAATGAGGGGCAACCAAGATCTTCCTGGAAAAAAATGAATAGCACGAATACGCAAACCCAATTTCAGGATCAGACTGTCTGTCGCATCTTGAGCTTCAGCCGTCGTACGCAAAGAACAAAAGAACGTTTGGAAACCCAAGACAATTGCAGACACAGTTGCTTATAGCCTAGAGGGAGTGACAGACGAGGCGGGATCAGGACTGAACTTGCCTCCGCTTTGAATGGTACCTGATTGACATGGCTATCCATTGACCGTGCGAACAAATAAGGATAGAATAGGCGGGCGTACGAAGCTGGAAGTGGCGGATCATGCGAAGGTATCCGAATCCCTGGAGTTGGACCTCGGTAAAGAGAAAGTTTATTTAATTGGCTACGATCCACGAGGAGACTTGTCAGCAACTTACAGGTTCGATACTGATTGTGTGGACGTAACAGACAAATTGAAGGGCTCGGCATGGTCCTTGCCCTCCCGGCCCTTGAAGGACATATTAGCGTTATGCAAGTGCGTTTTGGAACTACAAACGTTCAGAAATACCATCGACTTGACCCGAAACGAAAACAAATCAGAACGCTAACGAAAAGATGAATTTTCGACTTACATATGTTCGGTCCTGAACCAACCAGAGGCTAAATTTGCACCGTTCCTTGTATCTGTAAAGATATTTTCATCTTGTCAAAAAAAGATAGGTACAAGAAGCCGAAGAAAGATATGAAAGCAAAACCTTCCGGCCTGTACACGAAGAAGACAGTAAGTATACGTACATTAGGACTCAATGTCTCCATTGAACCCGTTGTCCGATGACCACCGATACACAAGACAAGCAGGAGATATGTACGGCAGACTTGACGCGAGATGAACTACCCCCAGATTAGAACGTCCGAGGAGCATGTGCAGCAACCAGCAAAAAAGTGGGGATACCTACCTGAAGGAGATATGATTGGCGGATGGCTTTGTGTGAGAAGGAACGGGAGGCCAGTAAAACGGACCACCGTTCCTCGCAACCAGTTATTGGGAAGCGAGGTACAGAGGAAGACATCTTATATCCTAGATTTGGGTCAACATCGAAAACAGGGCGGTGGCGACATCACAAACTTACAGTAAATGATGTCCTTCAGAAAAGGTACTGAAACAGTCTAGACTCTCAAAGTTCTTCGACCATATGTGAAGGCCCCTCAGTTTTATATAGCCCGGAAGATTGCTCCACGAGTTCTGCGAGCTAACCTGTGGAATTTCACTAGTATATATTTATCGTCAGTACAGAATCCTGAAGCGTCTGACGCAATGACTTGTACCCATTTGATGAAGCAGATAAAGAAAATTTTTTATTTTTCACATGCAATGGCCTGAGATGCGGGTTGTAATGAGGCAAACGTTAGGGTAGGACAGTACCATCGAAGATGCCGACATTGCACGTATTGGTGAACTTAGATATGGCGAAAACAGCGGTCATCGGACCCGATTTTGAGGTGACTGCTCTCAGGGCAGTTGCTGGACGAGAACTTTAAATTTCCCTTGTGCCGCAGAGCGTGTCAGTGAGAGAACACGGAAACAGTAGTTCAGGCGAATTTCGGATATAGCTTTAACCAGGATGGGAGGTTTTTCGGAAGGCAGGGCAGAAACACTAAGAGATACAGAGGACCGCTCCCGGTTTATATCGGGAATATTGCTTGACGCAACTGATTTAGTTGTCCATCAAAAGTCGAAGTCAGTGGCTGTGCCTTTTGATTTTCAACTCGGACATTTTGAAATTTCCTCCCCGTCATCCGAATGCGACTTGACTCAATTCCTATCGACCGAAATGCCTTCACAGGACTCCCTCATGTCAATGCAATAGCTATGGCACATCTGTATAATTCTGGATCTCTCTTCTTGCTCAGCGCTTTCCCGACCACTGGACTGTGATCTACTATCTATGTCATACACGACAAGGACTGACACTGCGGTTCGGAAACACTGGAGTGCTAGCAGTGCAAAGCACATACTTATGATGGATCTTTTCCCCATCACTCTGTCTACCTATCTATTCTTCCTTCGAGAAAAATGAAAAAAAATCCTTTGAGTATCTTTCTGTGCTACAGCCGTCGCAGAGAATCTATGAGACACATTTTGCCTACGAAACGGCGAGGCACAGGTGACCCTGTAGCTCTGTACAGATCCATCACCCACAGAGGCTAATGTTTCACAGCCACAACCAGCTTTCACGACCTTCGACCTCCAACTTGAAGGATTAATGAAAGCCTGCCATTTACAACCCCCATGATCTATTATATAACTCATTCGCAGGAAATTGCCAGTACTACTTCTGCTAGATTGGCAGGTGAGAGATGCGACAAGCAGCTGTTCTAGTGATGGGACTACAATATTCAATCGACTCATATACCTGCTCTCACTCGAACCTTCTCAACGCGTTCGCCGGTTCCGCACGATGACGATGGTGACTCGGTGATATCCACAAAAATCAAATCTACCGATTTTCCGATCATCAAGATCTTTCTTATCCATGACTACTACCACTAAATCGATTCTTGTCCTCCATGGGTATGCTTCGTCGGGGTAATTCTCCCCAGATATCCTCTGACTTGTCCTATAATAGTTATGCTCAGAATGCCCATATCTTGAGCAAGCGCGTATGCCGTGAACCTTGCTACAGTAGCATCCCGTAATAACGCAACTTTTAGCTCGGAGCCTTGCGGAAACAATGCGGAAAGGACGTTGACATGGGTAGGCTGCCCTTCTTCAACTCATATGTAAAGTTAACTTTAGCACGGGATCGTTCTTGTTTATAGTTTTCATCGACGCACCTCATGTCCTCCAAGCGGAAGATCTGTTCGGTGGTGCTTCAGAATCAAATGAAAATGTTTCCGAAGCTTCCACCAATGAAGACCCAACACTTACTCCTCGAGGATGGTTCAGAGCTTTCGCCGACAAGACCCGAGCCGTTGGTTTAGACGACTCACTTATTCTGATTCGGGATGTCCTCAAAGAACGCACATACGACGTGAGTCAGCACGTATTTTGTATTTGTTCTGTCCCCGGCACATCTCTCATGCGCATTAATTCCAGGGCGTGTTTGGCTTTAGGTAGAATACAATTCGACATAATTTGTCAACTTTTCGCCTCATACCTATTCTTACAGTCAGGGAGCGGCCGTTGCAGCTTTGCTATGCGCTCTGGTGTGTCTTGAATCGCATCCAAATGAATTTCCCCTGAGACTGACATGCAGTCTTGCTTCGGCAGTTAGAAAATCCAGAAAGCTATCCGCCGTTCCTCATAGATGGTAAATCGCCGCATCCACCTTTGTATTTATAACCTATTGTCACCACCCTGCCAATTGGTCTCATTTTCCCTCAGAAAATTCTGTGTCGCAGTCGCAGGGCTGAGGATTATGGATCCCCTGGCAGACGTTCTATTTAACCCGGCCTATTCCACGCCCACGCTTCACATAATAGGCAAAAACGATGTGATAGTCACCGCAAATCGTACCCAAGAACTTATCGACGTCTCAAGCAATAAACGAATTGAGGAACACGACGGAGGTCCGTTGTCTTCCATGTGAATCATATCTCGAAGATCTCATCCCTGTTCCAGGCCATTTTGTTCCTTCTAAAACTCCGTGGAGGAAATTCCTCGCTGCATACATACGAGATCCGTCCGCTGATATACCATCTCCCGTTCTGTCCGAGTTGAAGCCGACTTCCGGAACGGCTACGCCTGTAGCGAAAGCACGGCCATAGTGCTACGATAAAGTTTATAGATTAACCAAGCAGTGACCGTCAAGGTCACTGATTGTAATGTTCGAAATGGCACAAGGTTCATGACTTGTAGATGTTTGCAGCGGGCTCTTTGTTCCACTTGTGGCCGTCAATAACTTACAAAAATTCATGTGCTCTCATCCTTCCAAATAACTAGCTGCCTGTCATCAATCACAAGTCTATAGATATCATACTATACAATGCTCATATGAAATGGGTATCAGTTCATAGAGCTACTGCTGGCCATGTTCTACAATGGTAGCACTGTTTCGTTCAGAGTGAGATGAATACATGTCGATACTGGTGGAAAAAAATGAAAAAGAGACTTAAGAGTAAGCTATAAAAAATACATCAGGTACGACTTGAGCGAAGAAAGTTATGAAACCCATATGCAAAATGTGCGTTGTCCGAAGACAAAGGACTGTACGTGCCTTGCCCCTCGCGTTCCATAACCCCCAGTGCTCAACATGGGATACCCAGTCGTGAGCCTATTTATTTGACAACTTGGGGGAAAACGAAAGTACTCGGTGTAGAGCGGTAGACCTCTTGATCGTCTCCGACTGCCCTGTGAATACCCACTCGGCGGGTGCGTCGAGTATATTGCGGAGTACACACGAGGAAGCCAATCGTGTTGAATACAAAAGCAGCCGCTCTATGCGCGGTTCTTGGATAGGTTTTTCAGTATATGCTGGACGCCAGAGGGTTCCAGAACAACCTTCGACCCATCGCACCGAGCCTTACTCGAGAACTCTGAACACAGCTCGTTGATGTCACAATCCTAAAATCGTGCGCGTAAACACTAGTAGCCTGGTCTAGTAATTTGAATGTGCGCACCTTAAAATCGGGATTCGACGTTATACTGCGCCACGCACTCAAAACCTCAATGTTACTGTCGTTCTTCGTCGTTTTAGGAAAGCTCGACGATCCTTGACACGACACCCCGCTAACAAGTGTATTGTCACCAGCTTTGCGGAAGAAGGAAGAGTTTGTCACAAATGGCGATAACCCGCCACTATCCACATGCCTGACGCACTCTGACTTGGTCTTCGGACATGTAGCTTCGTCATGTCCTATGTCTGACTCCGACGAAGATCCTTCTATGGGCGTACCAAAAAGACTGGGATCTGAGCCATTAGACGAAGGTGAAGAAGATGAAGAATCAGGTGATGTGACATGAGTATTGAGATTCGCTTGATGAACTATGGGACTGATAGAAGACGGGGGGCCGAGAATGCTGTTCAAGTCTATGCCTTGCGTGTGATCCATATATGAACCAAATAAGTCATCCAGTGTCCCGGTATCATGGGACGAGGACGGGGACCATGCAGTGAGCGAGCTCAAGTCGAAGTTGAACGAAGGTGTATCGGAATTCGATATGCTGTTGCTTGTCGGCGGGGAAGGCGTTGGCGTGGGGTCAAACATTGATGCCAAGGAAAAAAAGGCGGGATTACTAGCAATGGTCGTGAAGTTGGAGGTAAGATAGCCCTTGTCTTTGTTATAGCCAAAATCCACCTCCATTGCTCCTCCCGATGTTGTCGCAGTCTGCTGAGGTTCATCGAGTAAATCCAGGACGCTCGGATCAAACGCTGTCAACGAACTAAGATCGAGAGGATTTGTGTACTTTTGGAGAGACAGCTTTGGGGAATTACGGCTGAATGATGCGGAAAGAGAGGTTTCAGGAGGTGATAAGGTGGCGGAAGTGGATGGCGAGGGTATTGAGCGACCAGCTGTTTTTGGGACTTGAAAAGTGAAAGACCCCTGCCTAAGCGCCACGTTCTCCGACTGTATTCGAGCCAGCAGATCACGCAGGTTTTCGTTTTCGGATGTCGTCTGCTCATTACGAGCCTCAAGAGCAGCGACCTTGTCCTCGAGCTAGGCAAAGTTGAGTCAGGAGGGTTCGACTCCGATATAGCCGGGCGTTGTAAACTCACATCTTTAACATGCTTTTCTTTTCTTTCCCTGAATGCGCGCTGAGCGGCACGATTTTGCTCTTTGCGCTTAAGGAGGCGGTTCTCGTCCTGTTATCTCGATAAGCATCGTTTCAATTGAATTAAGTGGATACGCCCTTACTGGTCCATTGCCAGTCGACTTGCGCTTGGAGGAGCTCGCTCCCTTTTTATTGTTGCCAGCTACGTGATGAACAGTAAAAGTCTGAAAGGCAGAAGCCACTGGACCCAATGCTGCTCACCAGTATGCTGGGATTTCTGGCTCGGTCCCTCTTCAAGGTCTTCATCACTTGCTTTCCGTTTCAGCGCAGAGTCGCCCTGAACGAATGAATCGTCATCATCTTGGTTCCGCACGCTGGAGCTTGGCTCGCCGCTCCGAGGCGGACTGGGACTACTGTCTTCGGAGGGCGGGTTGAGACTGGGGAGAGAAAATCGTGATATACTCTGAGGATCCACAGCAAAATCTCCGCCGAGATTCGATGGTGGGTTCGCAGCGCTCGGAAATTGCTTTTGCAAGAGAGCAAGAAAGTCGTCGTCGGCAAGCTGGGAAAAAGTCGTTGCCTGTGAGAGATCCCAGAGCGGGGTGATTTCAGAAAAGGACTCCATTTACGAGGGAACTGAAAAAGAAAGGACGTATGTACGAAGAGATGGAAGTAGAAGACAAGATTAGATTTAGTTGCTCAACGGTGGAGGTGACGGCGTCGAGAAAGATATGTGTACTCGGTGCAGCAGCAGTCGTCACAGGTGTCTTACCAAGCACCCCCTCCTTCCTTTGCCGTTGATCGCCGGTAATCCCCATTATTGGAGAGGGACGCGCGGCTCGGCACTCGGCATCTGAGAATATTCGAGAAAACATGTGACCAAACGTTGACCCCCCAACATCGTCCGTTACACCGTTCCTCCCCGCGCGGAAAAGGATCCACGTTTGATACCGCGTAATTGTTCCAATAGATTCAGTCGGACTTTTGGCCACGTTTCGTATGGTTTGATAGAATGCACTGTACGTCTTCTGAATCTGCGCTTTTTGATTCGAACCATCGGTCGAGTCATCCATCCGCTTCAAGTTTCTTCCATGGGGTAGCCCCATTGTCAATTATCATTATAACTCTCATACTAATAGCGCCCAGAGATGATATGTAGAGAATGGCCAAACGAGAGATGCCGCACTGAAGATCGACGGAAACACGGATAATAGTAGTCAGATACAGCATGTAAGAGATGCATCCGCAAAAAGCAATAAAAATAAGGGCGGAACTGAATGATATCACTGAAAAATACATTTGGGTTCAGTTTCACAAAGTTAGCGCATTGACAAAACAACGCTCACGTAGTATTCGATCTCCATCTGAGTTGTTGTTGTCGTAAGTATATCCAGACTGGATACGGAAGGAAAGACACTTATGAAACTCACGTATAGAAAAGCCACCTTGTCCGGCCAAAGAAGATTCAAGCCAGCAGGATTATACAGTCCGGTATTCAGTTCATCGAAGAGCAGTCTGAGCCGTTTCATCTCCTATCAGAAACAAGCATTAAGGGATCATTGTTACGGAAAAGGAGCACAAGAATACAAACTTTCTCGTAGTGCGAAGTGATGATCAGTCTTGACAGGTACAACGTGACGACCGCAAGCACATTGTCAACCATCGAACGCCGAATACTGTGCGCAGATATGAGCAGTTCGTTGATGGCGTTGATGGATTCCAAGAACTGTGTTGGCGTTATCTATTCGCCATGAGGTCAGTACACCGCCCGAGTTCCTGACCCTTGGCAGCATGGAAATAGCAATCGACGCACCCGTCCTTCCAGCTCCAGCGGATAGATCGGAGCAAATTGAATCAACTCTCCGCCAGTATAATCCCGCTCGATCCGAATGACTTCGCGAGGATGATGAACACCTATCTGACCCATTGGCGGCGTACCAAACGCCGCATCCGGAGGGGGAGGTCCGAAGTAATATGATGATTTAGGTATCAGAGGCCGGCGGTGTCTACAGGGACCAATAAGCGACATGACAACGTTGTGAAAGGCAAAAAAAAGCATACGAGGTACCCTGCAGGGTGCTCAACTTGTTTGACACCGTCCCATACTGCAAAGGCTTGTGATCATTTGATGAAGGAGGATCGACGAGCTCCCATGGCTGCGGGGAATGTGGTTTTTGTGTGTCAATGGGAAGAACAGCTCCACGAGGAGAAGGAGGGGGGAAGTCTTTGCTCGTCCCGTCAGGGAACACCAGGCGGCCATTGGCGTCAACAATGGAATCACCCAAGTCGACAACGGTGGTGTCCTGGGTATGGTCGGCAGGGTCACCAAACTGCAGTGGATGCCAGACGGAGTCCTTCTCCCTGGACTCCGGTTCTTGCTTTTCGCCAGCCAGGGTCTTCTCCTGGTACTTCTGGGCAACACTCTCTTTAGTATTTGTCCTGGTCAACGGCGGGCTCGGAAGGGGGCCATCGAATGACGTTTCCCTGGCAAATCGCAGCTCCTCGCCTGTGTCTTCACGCTTCGAATCCCTTTTTGTGATGTCCAGGACAGCCCCGTCTGCACTCTGACTAGGATTCGCCATCGAGAGATGTGAAGAAGTCAATGAATGTGGGAACGCATGGCCGCGTTGGGTGTCAATTGGAGGCGTCACCCAAGAATCTGATTGTAATGGAAGGGGTTCGGAGGACATGACAAGAGCATCGAGAGAGCCTCGAGACGACTACGAAGAGGCTGCCACTGACCGGGAACAAAGGTCTGATATTTGTGTGCAGCATGCCAAGCAAACACCCGGCAATTTGTCAGGTTGCCGCTAGATAATTCAATTTTACTATTTCCAAAATGCATAGACACGAAAAACACCAAAAATAAGTACGAGAAAGAGAGACAGGAATGCACAATAGCGAGGGGCATATTTGGCGAATCGGAAAAATGCTACAAGCGATGATGAGATCCAACAGCAAACAAACATGTGAAGAGAAACACACCATGAGTATACAATGTGTCGTCCAAAAATATTATATGAGATCTAGAAAGATACAGCGATTGCATGGAGGGTAAAAGCGAAAGGTGTCATTTGCGTGAATATTCTGAGTGCTGCCTGGGTTTCTTCTACTCCGACTCGTCAGGGATATCAATCACGTCGTCCGGGATGCTGACGATGCTAACTGGACGCGACGTGGACTCCAACAGATTGACGATATCCTCGATATCATTGCCAACAAAAGGTTGCGTTTCCTTAGGAGACTCTTCGGGTATAGTATGCTCCTGCTCAACAGGCTGTTCGCGAGAGTGCGTTTCAGCAACAGGCGTCCGTTCTCCCGTCGACCCTTTCTCCACATCAGGCAAAATGACTGAAACACCTTCGGGCGACGTGGGATCTTGGGGCTCGATCTCCCCTGGGGTATCAACGTCAACTTGCACCGTTTCATTTTGGTCTACACCTCCTTCTTCACGTTCCTCCGTTTCAACATGAGTTTCCGGTTCCGTATGGATTTCCGCCTCATCATGGACTTGTTCATGACCGCCGGCAGCGTCCGTGTGTGCCTGCTCAGCAGAAGGTTCTGTATCATGGCCGTTCGTTTCCGCGTGCTCATCACCGACAACGTTCCCGACCGCAGCAACAGCAGTCGCTCCCGTCACAGCTCCTTTTAGACCGTCTTTCTTTACTACCCTCGTACTACTCGATGAAGGCAACTTGGGCTTCATCACAACCCCACGAGTCACAGACTTACCCCTAGAAGGCACAATCACAGGCGCACGAGCCTTACTGGCCGACGCAGCAGTTGGTTTGTTCAGCCTATCAGCAACAGCACTCGACAACACCGACTTCCTCTTGGGCGTCGGCGCAGGAGCCTGGGCGTCCCGGGTCCTAGCCAGAGAGGCTGCAGTAGGTGCGAACAAGCCTGACCCAGGACGTGCGGAAATTGGCGTCTTTGCCCTGGGAGCAGAAGTACGTGGAGGCGTTTTCGGGCGCGCGCTGGTACGTGATGGCGTTTTTGCGCGTGCGGCGGCAGCAGTAATAGTAGTGGTAGTCCTGGCCACCGTCTTCCGTACAGAAGCTATCGTCGATGTAGTAGATTGGCCTGTATGCTGCGGCTTCAGAGGAGTCGATGTCGACCCACTCAGTGATGTTTTCGGCGTCAACGCCTTAGGAGACTTGAAAGACGACGGTGCTGGATTCTGGTTCAGTACCGCCTTCGAAGGTAAGAGATTCTCGGGATCAGAATGTTCGGGAGATGGCAACTGAGTCGGAGCAGCCCCGGCCTCCGGGGCAGATACAGCTGTCGAGATCGGAACTGTGCTCATCGAAGACGACGATGATTTAAGAGCCGACGACTGAGGCTTAATCCACGACGATGAAGGGCTAGTCGTGTACGATGACGCCGACCGTGGAGGCCAATCTCGCTTCTCCTTTACCTCTTCCTTGGCTGAATCGCCCGAATTATGCGAAACGACACTTGAACTGCGAGCTGGAGCCGCAGATATTGACTGCCGTTTCGTTTGCTGTTCGAATCTACCGATGAGATTCGCAACACTTTGTCGCGGGCGTTCGTCGGGCAACGGCCTGATAATCGGGTTACTGAACCTTGATAGCAACGATGAGATAGCACCTACATAACTTCACGAGAAGGAATCGATGCAAAGTAGCGTTGAGAAAGAGTCGTTGAAAAGAAAAAAAAAAAAGGAACGAGTCGAGTTGGTTGGATGGATGAGCTAGCTGAACGTGTGTACTTGTTGTCACAGATCACGGTTACCAACCAGCGCGCATTGGCCACGATCACGGGCACTCAGTAGTCTGGACATTCTATTTTTCGATTCTGCTGTTTGAAAGTCGGAGAAATGGCATGCAGGGATTACTGGCCATCATGGACATCGGAATTTCTTCATGCCCCGAGTAATTTGTACAACACGGAGATTATTTCATAGCATGGACACAGCATGTAACACAACACTCTTACAACGATGTTATTAACGAATCAAAAAGGATATACGTCCAGAGCGAGGGGGATAAAATAATGCAAGATAAAAAAAAAAAAGTTGCGACAACACTCCTAATGCACTCGTAATCTCATGAAAATTCATAAACTGACCCAAGCAAATCATGCCGAAGGTTCCTTCTTCTCAACAACAGGCGGTGAAGGCGTCGCTTTTGGCGGAGAACGACCAGCATCTGGCACTTTGCTACGAGGCGGCGGCGATATAGACCGGTTATCGACCTGCATCCTGTCGTCCCGATCTCGTTCTGTACCACTCGGTGAAGGCGCCGTCGATGTCGGGGAGAGTGTGGCGATTGGAGGCAACGCAATCGACGCCGATCCATTCGACAACCCTGAACCAATAGGCCTGGGATGTGGAGGAAGAACTGCGGGTAACGGCGGACTTGGTGGGTAATGTGCCTCAGGCGAGCGAGACGTCGGCTGTGTACGGAACGGAATCGGAGACGGGCGCGAGGAAGGTGCATGACGAGAAGGAGGTGATGTTCCACGTCGCTTGTGCAGATCCATCCTGGAGCGCTTGGCGTCTGACAATTCGTCAACACCAGGGCTCAAGGGTCGCTTGAGAGGGGCAGAAAGAAGAGGCGGTGACGCATGGCTTCGTGTAGAGGAAACAGAGTCACGATGTAGAGGGTGAGAACGAGATGAAGGGTCGCTGTGCCGGCTCGAAGATGACACTGCCGGCGAATGGGAAGGTATAGGCGCGTTCGACGAATCTCTGGCTCGGAAGCCCGGTGCGCCAGCTGCAAGTCCCATGAGAGCATCAGCAACACCCTCATCATAGTCTTCATCGACGACACGAGAAGGCGGCCGTGGAGCAGCGCTTGTAGGTGAAGGCCTGGTTGAAGAACCTGATCCATTTGAGCTGACAGGGCCCGGAGAGCCGTGATCCTTGCCGTAACCCATCTTGAAGCTGGGTGGTGGTATCCGGTCACTGGGCGGCATACGTTCAACCACGAATGGCTTTGGCGTCGGCGTCTCCATGCCTTCCTCTCTGCGTTTGGGAAGCCCATTCCCATTCCCATTCCCATTCCCGTTGGGACTCACACCGCTGATGCTCCCGTTTTTTCTCCTCCTATCGCGACGTGCGGCCTCCGCTGAAAGGATCGGGTCATCCTTCGACGGCTTCTTTCGTCCTTTGCCATCTGGATGAGGACTCTCCGAGCTACGGTTGCTCGCAGATGCAAAATGAGCACCTCGTCGCCCGTCATCTGGTGGTCCAGGGAAGGATCGCTGCTCCATTCGCGCGTCTATATCATAATCCCTATCCCGACCCTCGTATCGAGGATCATACCGCCTCATGGGATCATTCGGAGGAGGAGGTGGGGGCGACGGTCGATTGACTGAATGTCCTCCTTTCTCCCAGTACCTGGACGGATGTGCCGAGCGAGGAGAGGCCTCAGGAGGCGTCCGTCCACGATGTGCGCTAGGCGGCGAACGGGGAGGGTAGGGGGGCGGGTAACCACCTGGATAATCACCACCACCATGTCTAGGCATCCTCCTTTCTCTCTCCCTCTCCCATTCTCGAAGATCGTTGTTAGGTCGTCGGTCCCATGCACCATCCTGTTCCACAGGTCTGGCTGGAGGCTCATGGGCCGGGTATGACCGCGGCGACCTCTGGACTGGGCCAGCACTAGCCTGAGCAGGACCTATGGGATGTCGTCCAGCAGGAGGGGGAAACGGTGGAAAAGGCGGGGGACTTCGTGGTCGGGCCGAATGCCCTGGTGAAATTGAGCGCGATTGCGGGCGTGGTGGCCGCGAAAAGTACGACTCCGGATGATGCGGGTGAACGCCATTCCGACCTTCTTCTCCAGGCTGGGGAAGAGGGTGGTGAAGTAATAGACTTTGATGACCCCGCGGGCCGGCGTCCCGGGAAGAACTCGGAAAATCACGCGAGTGCGGTGGTCGCTCGATCTCCATTGGCGCCAGTGGGGTATGAGAAGGAATGTGGCGCGTCTCATCAAGAACTACAGGTGGTGGTGGACCGCCTCTGAAAGGACCAGGCGATGATCGCCCAACGCCTACTTGTGAAGGCGGCGGCAACGATATGTCTGTTGGTCCACGTGAGTCGGTACGGAATGCTGGACGGGGAACACCAGATTGTAGAAGTAGAGGCGGACCTGTCAATCCCGGTGGCGGAACAACAGCACTGGCATATGCGGTGGGATGAACATCTTGGGGACCTGGGGCCGCGGGAAGCTGGCCACCGGTAGCTTGTGCAGTTTTCAAGAGCTGCAGGCGCTGGGAAATAACGTTGTTGCCAGGATCGAGCTCGCTCGCACGGGCGTATGCATCGATGGCATCGGAGATCTGGTTGTTGCAGCTCTCATACAGACTGCCAAGGTCGAACCAAACTTCGGAGATGTAAGGGTTGATTCGGATGGCTCGCGAGTAGGCGTCTAAAGCATCACGGAACTGATTGATCTGGAAGTATAGAACGCCGATAGAACACCAAAAAGTGGGGTTGCGACCATCGCGATAGACGGCTTGTTGATATGCTTCGTAGGCTTTGTTATATTTTTGACCCGCCATGTAAGCACGGCCCAAGAGGTACCAGCTCTGGGCATCCGAAGAGTCTACAACAGAATCGTCAGCGGATGATACGAACAAAACACAAAACGTTGGCAGTACTAACCTGCTTCGAGACTTTTCGTCAGATATTGGATAGCGAGGTCTTGGTTCTGAAACGAAGAACCATCTTGATGGTAGAGCCATCCGAGTTGTTGCAACACTTTGGCATGGCCACTGTTGTCGGCGACTACTCGTTCGTAAGCGTCCTTTGCCCTGACGTACTGCACGGAGCGGTGAATAAAGATGTTTAATAAGGAGAAGTGATCGGACCTACGTCTTTCTGTTGTTCGTAAACGTGTCCGATCTGAAACCATATGTCGGCATGCGCGAGCGGGGAAGGGGGGTTACGGAGAATGCGGTCGAAACAGGCAAGGGACTCGTCGTATTTGCCCTGCTGTTTGTAGATTATTCCTAGGCGAAATAGGATTTCGTTTGCTTTATCGAAATCTAGGTCTTCAAAAAGTAACTACGACTGGCGACTAGAATGCAAAGGGCTAGCATACCTTTATCCATGCGCAAAACCGAAGAGAAGGCCTCTTCGGCATGATCGAGGGAACCATATCGGTCGTAGAGTATTCCGATGCCGTACCAAAGCTTGGGATCCTCCTGTGGGGTGTCCGTTAGGCTGAGATTGATTGATGGAAGGGGGGAACGGGATATTAATGACCTTGGGATTTGGTAAGAGGTACAGCGCTTGCTGGTAGGCTGAATAGGCCTTCTGAAGGTCGTCCTGCATGAGATAACAATGGCCTGGATAGAGTTGGAGCGGGAGAAGCAAGCGGATAAGGCTGCAAACACACACACCTAGGGCACTCCAGACCTCGCCATTCTCCTCCTGCAAGCCGAGGACACGTTGGAAAAAGTCAACAGCCTGCACGAAGAGGTTAGCAGCGGGGAAATCGGAAAGACGGACCGCGCAAAGAAAGGAAATTGGAATTGATGCACACCTTGGGATAGTTCTCTTTGATCCGGGCGATGCCAGCGACCTGAGTCAGTCCGGACAGGGACGTCGGATTGTGCCGCAGGGCGTTCTCATAGGCGGAAAGGGCATGTTCGAGATCGCCCATCTGCTCTGCAACGCTGCCAATGAGGAGCCAGGTCTGCTCGTTGGCGGCTGCGAGCTTCTGCATGACGGAAGCAGGGGCCTGGACGCCGTTTGGGGGGGCGACGGTGGGGGAGACGATGCTGGCGGCGGCGGGCGTAGCGGGACCGGGGGCATTACCGTTGAGGTGGGGGCCATGAGTGATGAGGGGGTGGGCATGAGAAGGGTCGTGGATACGGACATCCCGCTCTGGCTGGCGGGGGAGATGACGCATAGACATGCTGGGGAGTGGAGAGGGGGCAAAAGGCGGAAGGGAAGCAGCGTCTGATGTATATATATATTATTGGATATGATATAATATAATATATACACCCTCCCGGCCCCTCGCACGATCAATGGCGATCAATCCAATCAGATCCATCGGCCCATCGGAAGCCATCTCGGTTGTGAACAAGTGAGCGAACCCAGGGATACTCAGGGAAGCAATTTACATTTGATCCAAATTCTCAATTTGATCTCAATTCATCTGTTTTGATCTGGCCCCAAATCCGTACACAATTCTCACTTCCGAATGGCAATAGATGGTAATACACCGAGCATGACTACTGCTGACGACTCGTTCCATTCTCCCTTCCCCGTACCTCATTGCTGTCAGCCATGGCGTTGCCCATCTCCGTCGACACTCTTTTGCATTCGACGGATCCCAATCAGAAGAGAAGGCGCCAATGACACTCTTTTGTGGGATCAAACAACGGTCCTGTTCACTGCAGAACTCATCAAATTCGCGCTTCTATTTTGCGCGCAGATTGCCGCTTCGCAACATATGACACGTCACCCATAATCAATCTCGGATGTGGGGGCCAGGCCCTCTCCCGTTTTAACCTTCAGGGTCGCCTCAGTCTCTGACGAGAGTCATACCCCGATATGTCCAGGCACGTCACCGCATTATCTTATCTTATCATGCCACGCTCCTAGATCCCATCGGCGATCGATCATGTGATTTTTTCAACGTGGATACGTCCATTCAAGGCGGTACCGTTGCCAAGCATCCTGCCGGTTCTGTCCTGTCCACCCTTTTCGATCATTCTGCATCCCTGCCGGTCCTTGGCCAGTCTCGCCCGAAGCACCGAATCACTGGAAACGTTACGACGCCCTGGGAAACCCCTTGTGAAGCCCTTTATTCAATCCCTTCCCCCCACCACCACCACCAAGTATTAGACCCTGCTCGCTGCTTAGCGCACATCTCCGTCAGCGGAATTGCTGCAATTCCAATTCCGAATGCATCGTTCTCCGCGTTGCTTCCGGACCTAGCCGTCCTTTATAATTAAGGTGGTCGCAAAATGAACGAACCAAAGGCCTTAGTGCGCAAAGTCTACCTGTTTCTATCGAGTCTTCGCTTCTCGTGTTTTAGCTCTGCCTCCGTGAGACGGTTTGCCTCCGTCGAGTCGATGCTGTAATTCTCACCTTCGGCGCTCGGTCTTTTCGCTTCGCTTCCTATCTCACCCACACATTGCTTCTAGACTCCACACTCACATCGATTACAGTTCGATTACACACCGTTTGACATTTCGTTCCTACTACTCAGGGTGCTCAGGGTGCCCTTTATTATCGGTACCTATAGTTATTCCCCGGCCGCTTTATAATACAGAATAAATATCCCATAATATCATATTTGCAGATCATACCATCACAACCACCCTAACCACACAACCATCCATAGACCTCGCCTCAGCGCCGAGTACGCCCGTAGCAGCTGTTCCGGCTCTACAGCAGTACCAACAGCGAGCAATCCAACAATGTGTCATGATTTCATTGCGGATAAAAGTCCGAGACCTCTTCTCACCCCACGCCTCTCGCATGGAATTTGCAGATCACGGTCTCCATGACATAATGCAACGTTTGCCGGAATGGAAGCAATAAAGGACAAGCACAAGCACGAGCCAGGAAGGACAACCCCGAGAGGATAGGACAGTCGGGCCGAACATGCGTTGGTTGATGAAAATTATATAGGCTGGCTTTTCCGAGAAATGCACACGCGAACCTTGAATTCCTGACAGGCTTCCCCGTCCGCAATCGATTACCACGGAGCATGACTGCGTAGTTCGATTCTTCCGATTGACATCACTACGGAACCTTTGTTGCTAACTTGACTTGCCATTTGCGCGGCGATACGACAAAAAGGCGTGTATCACCCGCCAGTAAACGCCCACAGCTCTTTATAACGGCCGTCTGCCTCCCCTCGTGCGATCGTCCGCCTGATACATGTCGAGTGCATGGCCGCTGTCAAGAGACGAGACGTCTACCTGAACCTGGATCGCGGGATGTTTCAATTTCATTTGGAGTAAACTTGTAACTCTACTGCTAATTTCACTGCCATTTCACTAGGGGCTCAGCCCCTCTAATTACAATAAATAAATACAACAAGCGCAGCATCGGCACAAGGAAACGTGGGACCCTGAGTCTCACAGAGGCAACTGAAAATAGCCGGAGACGGATGATCAGAATCCAGATCAATCCGGGGCTAAAATTGACCATCGGCCAAGTCTTTTTTTTTTTATTTTTAATTTTTGAGGTCAGCTGACTCCGATTGAATCCCATCATTTCCCGAGCGTGATGTGACATGTTACAGCCCTGTCGGATAGTGAACAACAGCCATGACCCGTGAGTACATTGAACCCATCCTCTACCTCTCTTTTTGCTTTACATCTACAGCAATCGATTCATTGAATGTCTAGGCGGAAATCAGAGGGATACAGATCGCGCCAAAGCACAGAAGAAGGCGGCCGCGGCGGCCAAGAAACCCAAGGAAAGCGCGTCTAGCCTTGCGAAGAGGAAGGAAAGGCAAGCATCTCTCTATCTGGCTGGCGATCTGGATATGTATTGAGTCTCCACCAGTGATGCCGAGATTCTTCGTGCTAAACAAAAGGTATCTTCCCGCGATCCACACTTTGATTCGTCCGTGTCTAATGAGATATCGCCACATCAGAAAAAGGAAGAAGAGCGAGCCGCAGCTGCTGCTGCAAGTGGCAAATGAATGACCACAAGCTGTAGGATGTCCGCTATATATGGACGTGGGTAGGGGTGCCTTGTTAGAAATAATAACACCATCTGGCCCGACATCTGTTCTGTTCTGCAATGTACCTAGCAACACGCAACACTTTTCGGTTTACGCGATCATCCATGGCAATCACAGTGAACACCGAGCGAGCGTGTGCCGCGGCGTGAATACCGATTAGTATTAGTCGCGCAGAATGGGTCAGTCAGGGAATCAACAAGATGCTATCACCAGGTCTGTCCAGGGTGACAGACACCGGGGATATGCGTCTACAGAAGATTATACAACGTCCGAGGCTAACAAAAAAACAAGGACAGCCGCAGTGCCCCATCGGCTGCTCGTCGCCGTCCTACCGTATTTCTACCGTCACCTTTTCATTCAAACATATCCATCAACCCTGTCCCATTTCCCATTCCCTGCGGTGCCAACTGTATCCGGGGATACAAAAGGCTAATCCTGTTCATCCGGACCTGAGAACCAATCAATCCTGCACGCGGCGCTGACGCATTCCTGGCCCAGCGTCAAATCTTGTGGCGCCCGTGATGTTCCTCAAGTAATCCATGCCAAACATACCCGTGTACGTCCCCCCCCTTACGGGGCTCGGGAACTTGGCTCTCATCATTTAATCAGAGAATGTTCCGGACCCACTCCCTCATCATAGGAAAACAAGCACGCATCCAGTTACCGGGTCGTCGTAAAGGTTACCCGGTTCCCCTCAGATCCTTGACCCCGATACAGTGCTCACCCTTAACATATTTAAACAGCATCTTCTGATCAATTGATATTCTCCAATACCGTCTTCCAGGAATGCTCAGTGCCCCCATGACGTGCGGAAACAGTTGCTGTTGGCTATCACGGCCTGACGTTCTGTCCTGTGTTCTTCTCCCGGCCTCATACAGCATATGTTACACCTCCAAAAGGCGTATCTTTCCCCCAAAGTCCGTCAGCTGTATATATGAACACGTTAGATGATGCCTTCGAGACACTCACGTACCAAGGGATCTAAACCCTCCGTGTCCTTAGGTCAGATAAGATTCTTCCGATCCACAACTAGTGAATACAAGGTTAGATGAAACTATATCCCATATTCATGCCTGGACAACATTGGCTATTTAATCTTTACCGCACCACCTCCTTCCAGCCGTCTTCGTCTCGTCCGAGTTTGCATGTCTTCATCGTGGTCGGTCCCTTTCCACGATCTACTCCAGGTTGGCGTGCGATCTGGAGATAGGTAACCACCGAACTGATGCGGCGGATACGGAGTTGGTGGATGGATGGGGTACTGGGTATTATGAGTGGGTGGCGCCTGGGGAGGCGAGTGATGTCGCGAACGGTATAATGAAAGTAGCGCATTGATGAACACAGTTAAAAAGGACAGGGATGTCAGCGTGAATGCCTTCGTGGCGTAGATAGAAGTGGACGATATAGTTAGCACAAGATGTGGACATTCTTCGGATAAAACAACTTACCAGAGTCTTCCAGCTGATGGGCTCAACGAACCCATTTACAACTTCCGCAATCAGTTCGGCACCGACTCTGGCACGGCCAAGTGTCGTCGGATCCCGATTCATGCATGTCTCCCAATTAGCACATTGCTGTGCCATTGCCGGTAATGGCGATTCGCAAAGGTTGTTCTTGTATTGCAAAGCACACATGGCTATCTCCTGGATAATGTCTGTGCCATCTCCGAATTAGCAAACGACCCAAAACAAATTTTCAAACTTACCTGCGGAATACTCCGAAACTCGGTGCTCGACATCTCGTTGCACCGTCAATATGAATTGCACGACAAGATAGAGAAAGACTAGAATGAGCGAAAGATTGAAGAAAAACTGGAGGTACCTGTGAGATAACGTTAGCAACCGAATTGACAACGTCACTCTTTGAAAACCTGCATAGACTTACCCGAGTAGGATGTACGGCGTATCAGATTGAGGCGCGGGAGGAGAAGGCAGATTCAGCGTGTAGTGATTCGACGTATTTTGGTTTATAGATGCAACGCCTCTGTCGACGTTCTCTTCCTCACTGTCTAGATTATCATCATCATCATCATCATCATCATCCTCTTCGTCGTGATTGTCCATCTTTGACAGCTGACGACCGTTGGCCTTCTGGCGAGCTCGGAAAACCCGTCGCAGAGCACCTGTCGCAATGGGTCTTCCATGCTCTGACTTGGGTTCCTCCCACTTGGGTGGACTAAGTTCTGACATATCGATATCTCTAACGTCCTCTTCCGAAGGAACCGGCTGCGGGAACGCCTTTGCTGGTGAGAAGTTTGGAGGTGGCGCCCATGGATACGGCTGGGGTGGCTGACGCGATGGCGTTTGAAAAATGAATGGAACATTCTGGTTGAAACCAAATGTCGGTGTTGACGGTACCGTTAGGGTCGAGTCGTCGTGGGTCCCTGGTAGTAGCAGAACGTTATCAAATAGGTAAGACGATCAAATGTCGAGAAACAATACGTTTTTTGGGGGTACTAGGGTCCTCATCCCCTGCGCCCGAAGCCCAAGCTGGTTTTACATTTGAGCTTGGCCGTGAGGTAAATTGGAAGTCCATAGGTGCCTCTGTAGAGCGCTGTGGCTTGAAAATACGTGAATCCATCCTTACTGTCGATTAAAAGATAAATAAAGGAAGACTGGGACAAGCAGAGGACGTTGGAAGAGACAAGTTCGTGGTCAAGTACCAAGCCACCGAAATCCGACGCGTTTACATCACGTGCTCATTTTCGGTTATTCCTTTTGTGGCTCGGACGTTCCCGACTTGGTGACGGCATCAACGCTCGGTTGAGGCTACAAGCATGCAACAGAATAATTACTGTAGCAATTGATATAAGTTTATGAATTATTCAGACTGATCTATTTTCTAAACAGGTTGTATGTTAAATAATCTTCTGCTCATCGAGGTAATGAATATCAGAACACTCTCTAAGACGGGCAGCTGCTATTTCAGGAGTAAGATCCCGTTGAGGTTCACCCATGATGTCAAACCTAAGTCTGGATGAGATACTGAAAGCTAAGCAACGAGGCTGACATACCCAACCATAAACTTCTTGACAGTTGCACTTCTCAAAAGAGGCGGGGAGAAATGGAGATGCAAGTGAGCCTCTTCGAACGAATCCTCGCCGGTGGCAACCGCAGACAGTGGGATTGGCCGCTGGTGAATGCCCATCGAATATGCAAACGAAGAAGAAAACAGATTGTCGTATCGTTTGGTAACGATAGATATGCTTTGGGCAAACGCCGTCTTCTCTTCTTCGGTAAGCTCTGCGATTGAGGGTATGTGACGTTGATATGGAAGTACTGCAAGGTGAAAGTTAGTGAGTGTCATAGCGAAAGGAGATACTGACACCCACGGAGCATCTCGAAGGGCCACACAGCCCACCACGGCACCACGGCTACCCAATGTTCATTCTTGAACACTATGCGGCCGTCGGGGCCTGTCGAATTGAGTTCTGCATGGACGTATTCACAGAGCAGACAGGCCTTTCCTAAGATGCGATTGGCGCAACGTTCAAAAGTGATGGAATAACTCAGCTGACCGTCCTTGTTCTTGGGGGCATTAGAAGCAGGCACATCAGTGAGCGAGTACCGCTTCATATTGTCAAGCTCTTTCGCAGGATACGAAGGTATAGCAGACAAAGACCAAGCCTGTCCATGTGGGTGAGGGTTTGAGCAACCCATCATACTACCCTTGTTCTAAACAACAGTCATAGTTCTCTACTTGTATAACGACGGGGGCAAAATGACTGTTACCTCGAAGATCTGAACATATTTAATGTTTTCCTCCGCGCCTCGTCTGTAGTAGATTCGAATCCACTCCTCGATGATTCGCTCAAGCCCGTCAATTGAAATTCGTGCCAAAGTCAAATCATGTCTACGATCAAAGATTAATACATCACATCCACCACCGACAGGTTCTGTCGCAAGCAATGGATGGGGCGCTACGGGGGCAATTGGCAGAGGTCCGTTGAGAACCGCAGAGAAGTCGTTTTCAAAGACATATATCTGCTGATAATCAGGGTTCTTGTGGCCACCAGCGCGAATGTTGCCGGGACAGAGGTAACATGCCGGATCATATTGTGGCAGATTGGAAACCAGAGGAGGTTCAACCTGACCGAGCCACGGACGCTTGATGCGATGCGGTGAGACGAGAGTGTACTCGTTTGTCAATGGATTCACTACCGATAGAAACATCAGTAAGAACAGAGACAGCGGCAGAGAGGGAATCATACATCTGCGATGAGGATGATCAGATGGATTGAACTCGGTCATGATGGTAGGAACAAAGAACAATGCTGGCGAGATAGGAACCAAAGCACATGAGTTGAGTATTTATTTGAATCGGAACACCAGGCCTGGAAGGTTGTCCTATAGAATGCTATAGAGCCACCGTTACTATTGGATAGGTACTAGAAAACTTGCAACAGTACCTTAGGTACAAGGCCCGGTTTGGACCACTGCCCACTTTCGGCGGTCCGGATTCCGGACCTACCTTCCTGATGGACACTCAACCAGATTCAAAACGTCGTCGCGTCGAGCGGTCACCCTTACCCACCTTCAAGCTCGACGACGAAGATGACACCTACGAACCCTACATTCCTGTCGCCCAGCGTCGCCAGGCCAAGCTTGCAAAGCTTACCTCATGGGGTGCTAATTCTGACAAGGAACGGACCAGGCGGCAGCAACGCGAGCAAGAGGAACGCGAAGATGAAGCAAACGAGGAAGAGGCTCGTCGAGAAACACTGAGAAAGGAGCGAACGCTACTCATGGAAGCACAGGAAGTCCATTCGAAAAAAGCAGCCGAAGGTGAGATTCATCCACTGCCTTTGGTGCTCGATTAACGTTCTTAGACGCAAAAAAGACCGAAGAAGAAAAGACGCAGGAAGCAGACGACAAGATTTTCAATGCGATTAAAAGCCATAAAATGCTAGCATCTGATATGGAGCTGGCGAAGGGTATCCAGTACACCGAGTCCCTCAAAACTAGGTATGTGTTGGGTCATTGCTGTTGTAGGCCTTGCTTTATGTATTCCAAGCTGGCGACCACCAAAATATATTCGAGATCGCTCAGAGGAGGAAAATGAGCGTATTCGCAAGAAATATCATATCCTTGTGGAAGGCGAAGACATACCGCCCCCCATTGAACATTTTGCTGTACGTACAATACTTTTCCTAAATCTATTCTCTAACAATCGCCGCAGGACATGAAGCTTCCTGATTCCATTTTTAAATACCTCAAGTCCCACCGAATAGTGTCCCCAACTCCCATACAGCTACAGGGTATACCGACTGCGTAAGTCTACCTTGGCCATTTGCTGTATTGTTGACTGACCCTACGTAGCTTCTCAGGTCGGGACCTCATAGGAATCGCATTCACCGGTTCTGGAAAAACCCTAGCATTTTGTATACCCCTCATCATGCTCGCCTTAGAAGAGGAAATGAAGATGCCTTTCATTCGGGGCGAGGGCCCTGTCGGTATCGTTCTGTGTCCGTCTCGAGAGCTTGCGAACCAGACGTATGAGAATGTCGTCGAATGGTGTTCTGCCGTCGCGAAGGAAGGCAAATATCCTCAATTGAACACCCTGTTATGCATCGGAGGCATCTCGATGAATGAGCAGAGTCATGTCATGTCCAAGGGTCTGCATATTGTAGTTGCGACTCCTGGACGTCTCATTGATATGCTAGAGAAGAAGCGATTCACTTTCAGTAATTGCAAGTATCTCTGCATGGACGAGGCTGACCGGATGATCGATCTGGGGTTTGAAGACGACGTCAGGAATATCATGAGTTTCTTCAAGGTGCGGCTTCTTAGTAACAGAGGAGTCTGCTTACTTTGTTTCATTATAGCGACAGCGACAGACTCTTCTCTTTTCGGCCACTATGCCGAAGAAGATACAGGACTTCGCTCAACAATCTCTCACTCTTCCTATCCTTGTCAATGTTGGACGGGCGGGGGCTGCAAATTTAGACGTTCTTCAAGTTGTCGAATACGTCAAGCAAGAGGCCAAGATGGTATATCTCCTTGAGTGCCTACAGAAGACACCCCCGCCAGTTATCATTTTTAGTGAGATCAAGAATGAAGTTGATGGTGAGTCGGAGCTCCTTATTCGCTCTTACATCAAGCTGGTTGACTTTTTGACATAGACATTCAAGAATATCTTCTACTGAAAGGTGTCGAGGCTGTTGCGATTCACGGCTCTAAAAGTATGGTTTTTGCCGCCAAGTTTTTCCTTGTTTCTTACCCTCTTTTTTTCCAGCCCAGGAAGAGCGTCAATACGCGATCAAATCGTTCAAGTCAGGCGCGAAAGACGTCATGGTAGCTTCGGGTGTAGCTTCCAAAGGACTTGACTTCAATGAAATCCAACATGTGATCATATTCTCCATGCCCAAGGAAATTGAAGACTATGTGCATCAGATCGGCCGAACGGGGCGAAGCGGCAAGACGGGAATTGCCACGACATTCGTCAATATGAATACGCCCGAGCAGACTTTGTTGGATTTGAAGTATTTGTTAATGGAGGCGGGGCAAAAGTACGCATTTGATTTTTTCGTCGAGTCTCGGAAATGAAACTGATTGGTTTACTAGAGTTCCGCCGTTCTTGGCGACTATTGAGGATCCCAGGGCAGCTCAGGGTGGCTCGCTTAAGGGATGCCCCGTTTGTGGAGGTCGGTGCCTGTGTCGTGCTTCTTCAGAATGAAAGACTCATCCCTTTGACAGGACTTGGACATGGTATTTCCAATTGTCCCAAGCTTGAAGATGCCCAACGGCGACAAATGGCGTCCCACAGGACGGGAGACGATGGAGGTGCCTATTGAGATGAGTGTAATCTTCTTTATATAATTATACATGTGCTACATTGTCAATCCGCACTGTGTTCGGAAGATCATCATAGAAATAAGAAGTTTTGTTGCAGGTGCTTGCACCTCCCGGCTACCCGCGGTAAGATCATTCTTGAAATTCTCCTTCAAATTAGTGTCTAGCCTATGTAGCTTAACCGAAAGGCGCCTATGCAGACCTTTAACAGTTAAATGACGAAGTCCAGAGGCAGAGGGTATTATCCTGTGATAATTTCAGGGTTATTGCAGCCAGTGATATCTAGGCTCGTGTTTCTGTTAGTCCGCGCTTCCGGGTTCTTATCCTTGACCAATAGGGCTTTCGCTTAACGTTGAACTCTGAGACAAGGTTGTTAAGGCCGCGCCTGATCGCAACAATGCTTTTCCTTCTCCTTTATGTGGATTTACATCGTTCGGGTCCGTCTTGGACCGGAAGGGCGATCACCGCCTTCACATCCAATTCCTTTCTGAAGCCGAAGCCCTGTCATGACCATTGCGAAGGCATTTGTCGAAGGAACATGAGGCACCCGCGGCTATTGAAACAGTGTGTCTTGATCGGCTGGTCGTCTTTGAGAAAATCGAGAAAAAGACGTAATTAGACCTCAGCTTTTTCCATGTGGTCGGGGACTAAGCACGGCCGTCTAAGGGTGCTCAGTAAAATCAAGGTTCGACGTGGAGTCGCCCGCAGTTTTAAGTCAACAAGTGACTGCACACCGATTCTGCTGTTCGCGAATCTTCTGGCGGATATTATCGGTGATGAGAACGAACGGACCTCGAGAATTTTTTTTAGTTGCCGTGAATTCAGTATATGCACTCAAACGTTCGCGTGCACGTACTGATGAAACAACTTGAACCAGTAAACAGTGGAAAAGGGAGGAATATCAACTAAAGCATCAGTAAGTCACATACTCTTCTTTGGAAGCTACTCATATTATGTACATCTTTTTTTAGCTTAACAGAATCCTTTATCCGCGAGCCTTGAGGTCGTTAAGGAAGCAGCCTATGTTTACATTATCGTCAAGTCCTCTTACGGACCGGCTTCTCTGATTTGTCTGCAATCACCGAAGTTCCCGCGCTGGCCGGTGATTCGACAAGCCAACATCCCTGTTTATCTTACCTGCTTGACCTGGAGAAACCGCGGAGGATCTATTCGGTGAAGTCAGACTGCCGATAAGACCCTGGTGACGAGTATGCGTTGTCCTCTTCGGCCTTCCGAAGGACGCATGCGGCGACGGGGAAGGAGGCGGGAATGATGGGTCCGACATTGTCCACCTAGGGTACGAATGGCTTTGGTAAAAGAACCAGCCATCGGTCAGTAAATTTTCAGCCGTTCACTTCGATTTCGAAGTATCAAGTTCAGGTTAAGGTTCCCAAGAAAACCGGCTTAGTAAGAAACGAGACGGAGACACAAAATTCATCTGAAGTACTTACCCAGAAATAAGTAGGTCCAGACTGCCAGCAAGTGTTTCTCCTGACTGACGCGTGTTTGTACAAAAATTTCTGTTCATTTTCCAGCATGTTACTCTTTGTGGCGGCTATGGAGATATTTGTGTACGACAGGAATGGTAGTTCGATCCGGAGGATAGACTCAACATGCTTTGATTAATGAAGACGATATGTGTCAAAGATCAACACTAGGTACCACATGTATTGGCGTGTAGTGAACTTCCCCACTGTGCTAAATAAGGCTGGCTTCGACTTTGACGTAGTTTCGCAGATGGACGATGTCATGGGGGGAGACAAGCTTGTCCTTGGTAATTCGACAAAAACTCTTGCGGGTGCTAAGGACGTCTACAGATTCCTTCGATGCAGAATATATTGATAATAGCCGCTACACATGTAACTTATTGGAAATGTACACTAAGAACTGCTAGTAGCTCAAAGATGTAACACAGCTTATTGGCAGAACTAATCCGTTGCCCTTGTTCAGTACAGCGTCAATCACTGTTCACTTGTCTGCTCAATGTCCATTTGTGGACAGTTGTGGACGCATTCACGAGACGCGCCAGTCACGCGCTTCGGCTACCCGATTTGGAAAGCAGTGAATTTTGCCAACAACTTCTACCTCGACGTCGTGCTCAACGTCCACCATGTTTCGTCCTGGCTTCTCTTGTCTAAGTCGAAGTCTTTCACCAATTCGCACTGCCCGTTATTTTCATCCGTTAGCTGGCCAATGGACTGGAGAGTCGCCTTCCTCTAACCTCGTTCCCATTGTCATCGAGCAGACGGTACGTCGTGGCGAGTGTACTGGGCTGCTTCGCTGCTTATCATGGGAGGATAGGGGAGAGGTGAACGCTCGTACGATATCTTTTCGCGCTTGCTACGGGAGAGGGTCATCATGCTTTATGGTCCGGTGCGTCAGGCATATGCCTTGCTTGCAGCCTGCCCGCTGAATCTATGCCGCAGATAAGAGATACAGATTCTACGTTGACTGTCGCCCAGCTTCTCTTCTTGGAAGCAGAGGACACTTCGAAACCTATACACCTCTACATTAATTCTCCAGGTGGTAGTGTTACTGCAGGATTAGCAATATATGACACAGTAAGTGGGGTGGAACATTACATATCTTCATCGTAATTGATTTCCGCAGATGCAGGTTTGCGTACCCGCTTTTGCATCAACAGTCAACCGACTTACTGGCACGTTGATAGTACGTTTCTTCGCCAATACACACGTACTGCATTGGACAAGCAGCCAGCATGGGCTCTCTTTTGCTCTCTGCGGGGGAAAAGGGAAAACGGCATTGCTTACCGAATGCCAGCATCATGATCCATCGTCCGTCCTCAAAGGCTCCTAGCCTCCTACTGCGATTCTCCATCTGATACCCGTTCCTAGAGCCTTCCGGTGGCGCCTCTGGCCAAGCATCTGACATAGCTATCCATGCTAAGGAGATCCTACGAATACGTCAAGTTTTGACTGGGATTTACCAGAAACATTGTGCGAAGCCGGGGGAATCAGTGGCCAAGGGCCTCGCTCGCTTCGGTACGCTTGCCTGTACACGTACAATTTTCCTACTAATACGCATGCCCAGAACATGCGCTTGAACGCGACAACTTCATGACAGGTTCAGCATTCACCTCATCGTTAATTTTGCCAACTCTGACCTTTCTGTACTATAGCTAAGGAAGCTTTAGACTTTGGGATTGTAGATGCAATACTGGAGAAGAGTCCTAAATCCGAGGGTGATAGCCAATCATGAAAACTGTATTCTCCGTTGGACAGTCCATACTACTCAATGTTGTCTTGACTGTGCAGGACTCGGAACCGAATGTTGACGAATGTTGGATTATCAGATAGCACATTGCTGAGAGCGCATCCTCTTCTTCCAGGAACGTCGCTCCCAGGGACCTATACTGAGTACCATTGATTTTCAGACTCCGGGAATGCGATCCTTTATCGTCCTAGTTTCATTCACCAGCAGCAGCTCTCAGGCACGATGACAATATGTGGCTTGGCAGTCTACCATTAGAGATGATCAGGCGCTCCCTTTAAAATATGTTTCGAGAGGCATATTTAGCGCCGAATATAACGTTGTGCGTTGGACCCCGGCCCTGTTATGAAGTTCACGTCTTTGCGCCTCCTCCCGCTCTTTGCATTGGTCGTTTCCTCTCGTTTACGAAGACGTGACAGCAACGATAGTGAATATACAACTATTAGCGTCCCTGTGGCCGTCAACAATAATTCGTACTCGGTCAGTGTCGTTATGGTATGTCTTGTAGTTATTTTGGCCCGAGCTACCAAGCTTAGTGGGTTTCCCAGTCAACAGATGCTTCGGCGCAACATTTCTCGTTTGGGTTCACAACAAGCACCGGCTATGCTACCGTCGCGGGTACAAGATGCCAGACGTGCGACGGCGTTCAGTCGTATGTATATTTTCTCTCGCGTTAAGTCATTCGTTGTCTCAGATCAGCTGATATCAGATATAACCGTACGGAGTCCACGACTGCGACAGACCTTCCTGGTGGCCAGAACGTCGCCATAATAGGTGGCGCTTCCGCGGATGGGAATTTAATCACGGAAAACTGTGGTCTCAAGAAAAGCGATGGACAGGACCGGAGCTACGCTAACCAGACCAGTACGTCTGAAAAACTATAACATATAGATACTTCTCATAACCATCGCTGCAGCCGTGGTAACTAAGCAGTCAAATTCTATGTTTTCGCCCGGAATTTCTGGTATCTTAGGTCTCGACCCAATTCAAGCGCGTCTTTCTCGTCCATCGGCAGACTTCCAATTGACCATCTTCGCAGGAGACGGGAATTTCAATGCCACGGTCTTCGGTGGTTACCTTTCAGGACAGCCAGTCGGTGAAAATTTTACTTACGGTATGACACTGAGCCCTAATACCGGCTCCTCGAATAACGGAGGATATCTTCATCTTATCCAACCCGAGACGTCATACTACCAAGGCAACGGCTCCTGGAAAGAAATGCAGACGTTCAATACCAACAGTCTAAATACGGACTTCTACATCTCTCTCGACAGCTGGACGTTGACCACAGGCAACGGCAATTTTTCTCGTAGCGGCAACCTCGTAATTGCAATCGACCCAATCTACCATGCCATACGATCGTCCTCCCTCAGCAGATGCTAGCGCCCTGTGTCAGTGTTGTCCCGTAATTTTTGTGCGTGACACTCATCGCTGTTAGATGCTTCCGCCTCCAGCCACATTCCGTCCACAAATGTATACCACATTCCATGCAACACACAAATGAAAATGATTCTCACCATCAACAACTTGGGGGTCACTCGATGAGTCGGCCCTAATCGTCAACCAGAACGGCCAATGTTTCGGTGTCATCCAGGAGTGGTCATCGCCTTTAGCCACAGAATATCTCCTGAGTTCTTGTTTCCTTTCTCAAGTCCATGTGTACGCGTCGTTACCATTCCCGATGACCTCGTATACTGACAAATATTCTAGGATTTTTACGGTCTCAAACGCCGCTACAGGCGCAGTTGGATTCGCACAAAAAACTTCGACCAATTCGAGCGGCCTTTCCATGGGTGCGATCGTAGATATCGCTGTCGTGGTCGTCGTTGCTGGCATATTGATCTACCTAGTTATTCGTAAATGCCGAGGCCGCAGGGACTCTTCTGATAGCGGCTACAAAGAGCTCATCTACTCTGGTGGGGTAACATTGGCTCCTCAACCCGATTGGGTCGTCACGCCTTTCACACCCGACGCGACTAGTACTGCCTCATCACCAATGTCGTCCTATGTCCATGGCTTGCCCAGAAACGACTCGTCAGTGCTCGACAGTTACTCCGGAACAAGCGAACCCACCGATTCAGCAATGAACCTCGTCTTCTCTTCACCTCCTCTTATCCCACTAATACCACAAACACTGGTGTTATCATGAGCATCACAGAGAGGCGGTCGCAGTACGGATCTTCCGACGAGAAAAGGAGAAAGAGTCATCTCACTACGAGTTCTGCCAACCCGTAGCAACTGTATCAGCATTTCTCTTCGCATTATATTGGTTATGCTGGTTTTATGTAGAATAAAGTGTCGTACGTAAATGTTTTGTATAATTATGTATTCATCTGTTCTAACCTTTAAGTTTAAGGCTTTTCGAACAGTCGGCGAAAGATACCGTTCCTAATCTCATACGAATCACACTTAATTATCTACAAACACCGCCAACCGGAGCACACAAGATTCAAAAGGTATATATTGCCAGATCCAATGATTGTCTCTGCTAGAGTATCGGCGCATTGGCATTTACCTGTCTAAAGCGCAGTATCTTACCTTCAGAAGACCCGTCCGGCGAAGAGTGTTGTGTGAAAGCCAGTCACGGGAAGAAGAGCCTCGACCGAGGACCAATCAAACGGAATGCATAGTCGTTATTGCTTTGTAGCAGCCGAGAGCAAGAATTGCTTGGTGCCTAGTCCAGTTATATCTTAGTTGGTTCCATAGCATCTAAGTGGCTAGTATGAATTCCTTTGCCGTGAAAGACTCAAGAAAGACTAGTAGATCTAAGTAGTACTAGTGTTGAAACCGCACACCATCCTCAAGCAGATTCGGTTGCCTCAGCCGTTTTGGTACAGAGACTGAATACCACATGCTGTGCAGCATCCTCCTTATACAATGCCCCTCACAGTTTGAGTGTAATACGTAAGAGACAGTGTTACCTACAGCGCCTTACCTTTGATAAAGAATCTTCCAATTAGACCGGTCGACATGACCTGAACGCGGTGATATTACACATGGCATCCTTAAACAAGCAATTATTATATCAATGGAAAGGTTTGCGAATAAATGGTAGCAAATGATTCTGCGAAAACAAACGATGGTGTGTGAGTGCAGTATTACGGACGTGGTCCGTTATAGATGTTCTCATCTACCCAATTCGACCGGCCCCGATGGATTTCTCTACCAGACGGGCCAGTGCTGCAGATTAATATCAGATCTACAGTATGGCGTACGAAACATCATTCCTTACCCCATGTACGTGGGTATAGCCCTGTCATAACTTGCTATTCTTTGGTGACCCAACTTTGAGAAAGTTGGGTTTATGGTTGGTATTACAGCCTGTCTCCTCCGAGAGATCATGCGACGCCGGATGCCTGTTAGAAGTATATCAACAGGATGACAGTTAAACAAGAAAACACCGACGGACTTCTAATCAATACCCACAACAATGCTAACACGATGAAGCCCACGACGACAGTCACGGGTATCGCTATCTGAAGATTCTGTGTGTACCAGGCCTGCACGAAGACTTCCTGAGTATGCTCCCACAAAACACTTGTAACCAAGAACATACCTTAGCAGTATCTAAAGCACTTCCGCTCTGGCATGTGCCTGATTGACACATTCCACCATAGCCTGATTAGATTCTGGTCAGGATTCGCCGCGTGCAATGCAAATGCGCGCACATACCACAAGGTGAGCCGTCTATGAGAAGAGAAGACAAGAGGACACATTGGTTGCTGTTACTTGGATTCTGGCATGAAATTTGACATGTCTGGTCATTGCGATTCGAACATGCTGTTGTCAAGTTCATGGATGCTCCCGCGGTTTGGCATTGAACTATCAGGATGTCAGTTTCTGGTACGAATCCAAAAATCAGAAGACGAACGCGAAACAGATGTGCATAGACCGCTAGCACAAGCCAAACCATTAGAACCGCAGGACTGCCCTAGAAAATAGATGAGTATTATATCTAGATATAAGGTGGAATTTGGCACCACTAACCGTTAGGGGTTACAACATCGCTAGGACACGCCGACGAATTACCCGTACACGTTTCGGCTGTATCGCACCGAGAGTCCTTCGATGCCCTACAGACTTGGGTGGACGGAGCAAAAGCACATTGACCAGTGCAACAAGCACTGCTGTCGGGATCACAGACTGCCCCGTTTTTGAACTTGCACGTCGAAGAATCACAACAATTCGAGTCGACGCCGGCGCCTGGATCACAGTCTTCTCCGGCTTCGACTATACCGTTACCACACATTTGTAGTGATATGACGCCCGTTGCCAGGGTTGCGTCGACTAGACAAGAAGAATTGAGGTTAGAGCCACTTGTGCTTTCCATTACAGAGCCTGAGATCGTCTGTGAGGACACGAACTAGGTAACAAATTTGGATACTGACAGATATTTCCCAGGCTGCAAGCAGAGAACTGTTGCTCGGAAGATTGTGAGACAGGACTCATGATGAACCTAGAAGAAGCATCGCAGGTATCGGTGTTCAGAGGACAGCATGAATCAGTCTCCAAACAGCCATCTGTGCACTAATCCCAAGTCGTTGTAAGAAGATGAAAGAGACAGAGGAGAAAATACACACATCGTGCTGTTTAACAAATATTAATATATTCTATCAAATGGTGGAAGAAAGGAGGACTCACGATTGCGCCAAAGTTGTGTCCAATTTCATGAGCAACGATCTGCCACTCTGTCCGCCCGCTGGTCGATACGGCAGTTCCAGATACGACTGAGCCAGTATTTCCAGATGCAGTCTGTTGGCATCTACGAGTTTATGTCAATTCCCCTAGGCTGTGCTGCGTTCATCACAACACGGGACTTACAAGGTGGCGAGCCAAGCAATTCCCACCTCCGAACCAGTGGGGCAGCCACTCATGAGGTGCCACAAACCGGCACTATCGTTGCCTTTGTTACCTCTCCACTGTGAGAAAAGCGACAGACGGTCATTCAAGGTGACGCTGTCGGTGCAATTTACGTTCCAAGGCACGCTGGAATTGGTGACAGATGGACAGCTGAATCAAACATATCAGCGACGTATTCGGTGATTAAATGATACCTATCTATTACCTGGAGTCCTGTACTTGAAGTTCGACAATACCCAGGCTAACGTTGAAGGTAGATTTGTAGAGACTGCTAGCCATATTCCAGTCGTTGAGAATCTGCTTCGTAGCGTTATCTTTGTCCCCGAATTGCTGGACATATTGGCAGTCGGCAGCGACACCCATGTAAAGAACTTGCTGAGACTTGGGGCACCCAGCATTATCACCGATGACATTAGCAAAACTGACAGAGAGTTAGAAGAGCAAAAAGGTGAAAAAAATAGTCTATACTTTGTAGTCACATTACCACCAGCAACATCATCCCTCCGCGCCAACGATGTGTTCCCAAATAGTCCCAGTCCGTACCATGGCGTCGTGGGGGGCTCATGTTGGAATATAGGATTCTGTTCTGGAGTATTGTAAGACATCTTGTCATGTGCGCAAGTGCGCGGGGTGCTGGGCGGCTCAGACTCGGAGTAGGATCCAGTCCTGGCAAGTTGCTCCTCTTCAGGCGTCATGACGTCTGAATCCCTCCAAATGACCATGTCATTTATTGAATGCACGATATCCGGATCGAGAGGGTATTTTGTGCGCATATAGTGGTCCTTTGTCATAACGTGGTGCACGACCCCATCGACTGCAAAGGCACCCTCAAAGATCGGGGGGCGTTCACCGTCGCCTGGATCATGTACCATGATACGAGCCCAGCCAAGTGCAGCCTCAGGGAATGCGGAATAAGCAACTCCTGCAGCATCTTCTCTGAGCCGAACGTCGGAAAACTGTGGGTCGATGACCTCGCCCCAGAAAGCCTTGACGCTCTCACGCAGAAGAGGTTCTGTATGAGTCATGCCATCGGCAGAATGGTAAGTAACACGAGCAGCTGGGTGAACAAGGTGGTCATTAGGACGGAGATGGAGGTAGAAATGATCGTCAAAGGCGGCAATGATGAGGCGAAAGGCGTCGTCATGACGCAGGGTAGTGGAGTGCGCGTCTGGTGGTGAGCGCTTAGTGACATATCGATGGTGTTGTCGGGGTAATATGTCAAGGGACCAAGTCGTCGGATGGACCAAGGATCTCAATGCCCTAGGTGGTCCGCTCAAAGCTGGCGAAATCGTTACCTAGTATCGAGCTGGGCAGACTAGAACACTTACCGACAGCTAGATCAAGCCAAGAAACGACAAGGACGAGGACCAGCACATGGAAGCATCGGCAACGAGGAGAATACATAAAAAGAGAACCGCCTAGATGAGGGTTAAAGGCAAGGGAGTCAGATCTTTGGAACAGTCTGAATGAGTGAGACCAAGCGGTAATCAGTCTCGGATGAATTGAAGGACAGACCTGCGGCCAGACAAATATAAAAAGAAAGGAATGAAAGCCTAGTATAGGCAAGGAAAGGACAGCCTGGAGCGCTTGCAATACTTGGCAAGGATGGTGGACCTGCAGATGACCGCCAGGATCAGAGGATCAGAGGACAGCCGCCATGACAAATAATGCCAAGGTGATCACCCCGCTCTCCGCAGTAAGTTCGAATATATCTTCACTGCCTTGGCCCATTTTCTTGGAAGTTTCGTCTTACAAACCCATCTCGAATGCATTGAAAATGGCAGCCTCCCGGCCATCGTTAAGTGCTACATACAAGAAGAGGAAACAAATGCAGGTATAAAAACAGGACTAGATAACACGCCGGAGAACAAGAAACGATTTACAACGAGAAAGAACCTGCACGAGAATCTAAGTCGTCGGAGCCTGCCCCGCCAATACGGTCTCGACATTAGTCCCAAGTTGGTGTAACACTTAGTATTCCCGCGCTATCCATTCGCTACGACGGTTGTTCTTGCCTTTGCCACCCTGAAAAAATGTCAGCATGGGATACTTACGACAAACTGAAGGTGCACACCTTTCCATTTCCTTGGTTATTCGTTCCAGTGCTCGCCGTCGCCGTCGCGGTTGCGGCGGCATTGGCGGTAGCACTGGCGGTAGCACTGGCGGTAGCACTGGCGGCGGCAGCAGCACTATTGTTACTGGATGCTTGGCCATTCGCCGAGACGGTGAACTAATTAATTTATCACTAAGTAATAACTTGCATCAAGACCTTACTCACGTAGGAGCAGTCATCCAAGCTGCCATGCTGAGCGATGGGAACGATCGCAGGCTGATGGTTTGACGACGAGTTGATCGAACAGACTCGGTACGCCCCCGCTGGAAGACCATTGGTAACATCAGCAGTAACAGCACCATTCTGAGCAGCACCGTCGATGCCCTACAAAAAGAAGACTGAGTAGGAGAAAAAAAAATATTTTCATTCCAAGTAGCACTCACTTTGAAGAACGCAAAGTTCTTGGGGTTGGTAGGCGTCGTCTGAGTAAGCGAATCGAGCTCTTCGATGACGACATGGGTGTGTCCGATAATCTGACCCTGTGCATTCAACTGCTGGGGAGCAGAGAAATAGTTGGTATCCGCATTCACAAATACCCCGGTTTGCATATTCTGGATAGCCATCGTGACAGTGAAAGCCGTGTTCTCCTGAATAGTGTCACCATTGGCGGGTACTTGAAACTTAGCAGAAGGCATGTTGTCGGTGCTTGGGATGGCGCCAATTGGTATCGGGTTACATGAGCCACCTGTGATTTGCTGCCCGTTCGTAATAGGAGCGTTGACAGTCAAACAGAAGTTGATAAAATTGTTTGTTGTCGTCAGCGAAGGGGATTGACCTGAATCAGAGTATTAAATCCAACATACTGACTGTCGGACACAAACAACTTACCATCAACAGGTGTTTCGTTTCCGTCTTGCGCAAATCCTGCACCAATAACCGCGGGGTCGAGAGCTACGGAAAAAGCGAGTTAATTACGGCTCAATATGCAAAGAAGACCAAAAACAAAGTTCGACGATGAAAGCCTGAAAAAAACTCACTCAGAGACGTTTGAGCATTGTTACTGTTGTTGCTGGAGGAGGTATTGGTCGTGCTGCTGCTAGCGGCGGCGGCGGCAGTAGCAGCCGTAGCAGTAGCAGCCGTAGCAGTAGCAGCCGTAGCAGTAGCAGCCGTAGCAGCAGCCGCGCTGCTTGCAGCGTTGTTGTTACCAGAATTGTTGTTGTTACCAGCATTGTTGTTGTTCTATGAAAGAGTTAGAAATTCTGAGACGAAGAGCTGTCAAAATAATGCCACTCACGGCACCCGCATTATTGCCATTGTTTCCTCCTCCGTTACCACCTCCATTGCCGCCTCGCTGAAATTCAGCTTGCCGAACAGCCAAGGCCGAAACTTGAGAAATGAAAGGGACAAGTACGAAAAGCGTTGAAAGAGGGGTTGAGAACTTCATGATGGCACAAGGAACGTGACTTCGCGGAAGCCGTAGAAAGAATGTGAAGGAGAGCTGACTGAAAGTAAAACTACAGAGAGCGATGAGCTCCGTAAGAATCAACGACCAGGAAGACCTACAAGAAAGGGAAAGCCAAGCAGCACGGCTGCGAAGGGAAAGACGAAGATGGGCGGAGGAAGAGAGTGGAAAACTGGGACAACGGGGAAACTAAAGGAGCCTTTTATACGGATGGTGATTCGGTAACGGCGGTCATGTTGTCACGGTAACAATGAATTCCCACCCCTCCTTTCATGGCTTCTCCCGCCGCCAGAAATTGTGCCCATTGCTGGAGAAGGTATTCAACTTCATTTCTGACAAATTTCTAGTTCACAGGGGGGCAGCGAAAACGCGAACGACGATCTGACACTGCGCAGCAAAAAGTTCAACCTCAACAGTTATTTTTAGCAACTCGTTATATTTAGAACAGCATCCTATTCGTCAGCCCCTTCCGCCAATAACAATTCAAATAGAGGTATAGCCTTCAGAGCATTGTCCTCTTTTCAATGGAAAGATCGCTCCTGTTCGGTGTGCAACAAATAAAAACCAGCGGCTGGTCCTTTGTTTTGGATCTAACAATGCATGCTGGGTAGACGTTCTTTGTTCCCATTGGTTGGTCCCTGACACAATCATTTGGGCCTTACCGTTCGTTGCCATCAACGACACAAGGCTTGCAGATAGTCCAAAGGAGTATGCATGAGTCCTCGAAGCTCCACTCATCAGCCACCTTCTCTTCCCATATCACAAAGTTGCACACATCCAATGGAAAACGACATGGTGACGCCGGTAGGCTCATGTTGGTAACTGCTACGAAGAATAAATTCACATCGGACGCTGTTGAACAATCAGTTAGCAAAGACTGATGTCGTTGCTTCAAATTTAACGATTCCACCCACACGATGGCATTGGTCGGACAACTCGGGGTACCTTTGCATCTTGATGGAATTTACTCAAAATATGCGAAACAATGACCATCCCGGGTAATCATAGCTCCAACAGCCGGCGAAAACGACGCACACACCAGAAGGCACATCAGTTATGCCACCTGAGGGTAAGCTTGACTGGGTTGTACGGCTCTGCTTGATCATCGAAGCGTGAAGCATGTTATTGTGAATGTTTCGAGTTGTAAATATGGCGACTTGCGGCTATCTATCAGCGAACATTACCGCGTATTGAAAATTGAAGACTCGCCGTTTCCTCGACTGTAATGAATCAAGCACACGTATTCACAGTTGGCTGACGCGAGTAGCCAGCCTCGAAGCCATTCATCATGGTATATCACATCGCGTGAGAGTAACTATCAGTGTAAGGAACGTGACGAAAGCTCAGAGCATCTTGGGGGATGTCGTACGGGGATGTAGCTGATACGGGGACCGGGGAGATCGGCTTTCAAAAAAGCCATAATACAGTCCTAGAAAACGGCATGTAAAGGAGATACAATGATAAACTAATCTTTAACAACGTCAGCTGAGGATTAAATTTTAGTTCCAAAAAGTCATATGCTTACCATCGAGTCACCTTCCCACCCTTCATCCTCTCTACCGCGCACATAAACGATGCCAACGTATCCACCTCCTCTCTGCCCGTAATAGCCAACGTCTCTCTAAAGTGCTTCTCCGCTATACCAGCTAACACAGATTGCAACTCATCGATATCAGCCAGGATAGGAACACGCCTTGGCACGTCGTCCTCTTCCAACAACCGAGAACTACGACGCCTATTCGGAATAGGGTCTCTTCGCGGTCTGTTTGCAGGCGTCGCAGCGGGTGGCGGGCTTGACGGCCGAGAAGGTAGATGAGATGGCAGAGTCAGAGCAAAAGGCGGCGAGGGGTCATCTGCCCTGAGAGGTGATGGGTATATTTCCGGTATTATGTCGAAATGAGTGAGGTATTTGTATATCACCGTCATTGGCATCTTGTCGAACTCGACCTGGAAAACAATCAGTACATATAAAACGGAGTTAGATACGAGTTCGTACGAAAGATATTCTGTTCTCCGTGTCCATTGGATCTCGGACGACTGGTTCGACCCGTTTTCTCTTCATTCTGGGTTCACCGTCAACGCGTTCTACTGCTTGTCTCTTTAACGACGATGCACCAGGAGGCCCGAAATACGATGCATCGTCGTTGACCTTCTTTCGGGCCTGTGGGCGACGAATAACTGACGGCTGGCTTGTCGTAGACATAGTGGTGGCTAAAAAGGCTAGATTCTTCCCAAAAGCAAGTCAACCCAAAGCGCCCGGAACAAAGTTTTTTTAGTGCTGATCCAAGCTGACCTAATATTATTTAACTCATCACCATCTTGACTCGCCCAGTCCTTTTTCCGGTTCTTTCTTGCCCCTCCGCTCGTTTACGTGCAATTTTTCTACGGTCTATCGAGGACAAAAGCTCCGCCAGCTCAATATTCAAAAATGTCGACCTTTGGCCATATTTTCCGCGTCACAACCTACGGTGAAAGTCACTGCGCCTCTGTAGGAGCAATCATCGATGGATGCCCACCGGTAAGCCACTCAATGCTTCCTTAATGAGCACATCTAATACAGTGTTAGGGCCTTAACTTGGAGCCCAGTGACATCCAAGTTCAGCTCAATAGACGACGCCCTGGACAAAGCAATCTCACCACTCCCGTACGTAAAAAAGGCCACCTAGATCGTATACCATTTTTCACTAATTAACACACTGTATTTCTCCATAGAGAAACGAAAAAGACTTGGTGCATCTGCAGTCCGGAATCGAATACGGTGTTACCCTTGGAACACCCATATCTTTGCTGGTCAAGAACGAGGACCAGAGGCCGCACGATTACTCAGAGACTGATCTGTACCCCCGACCGAGTCATGCCGACTACACCTACTTGGAAAAATATGGTATCAAGGCCAGCAGTGGTGGTGGACGGAGCAGCGCACGCGAAACCATCGGTGTGTTATGCATCTCTCCCTTGCACCTACATCACAATTTGATTTCGCGTACAGGCAGGGTAGCCGCAGGCGCTATTGCCGAGAAATATCTCAAACTGGCATATGGCATCGAGGTTGTTGCATTTGTTTCATCGGTGGGAAAGATCCATCTGCCATCGACTGTCGCATCTCCATCCTCTAGTGATGCAGATAACGACGACGCTCAAGATGCAGTATCCGAGGAATTCAAGCATTTATTGGCAACTGTAACACGAGAACAAGTCGACAGCCATCCTATACGATGCCCACATCCCGAGACAGCGGAACGTATGACTCAGGTATACCCTTTGGAGATGGTTATCTTGAAGTAAATCTGAACTGCTTCGCTTCAGCGCATTGTACGCGCAAAAGACGCGATGGACTCTATTGGTGGGACCATCACCTGCGTCATCCGTAACGTTCCCCCTGGTCTCGGTGAACCCGTTTTCGACAAGTTCGAAGCTACATTGGGACACGCCATGCTCTCCATCCCGGCCACGAAGGCTTTTGAGATCGGGTCCGGTTTCAAAGGAACAGAGGTGCCGGGAAGCAAGCACAACGATCCTTTCGTGAAGCGCGAGGATGGTCGACTGGGAACAAAGTCTAACTGGAGTGGTGGTGTTCAAGGAGGCATCACTAATGGCGAGGATATTTACTTCCGGTCAGTTCTTGATACCCCGGTCATATATCCTTTCGTATATCGACGTTGACTTCTAGGATTGGATTCAAGTCTCCAGCTACCATTTCGCAGGCTCAAGAAACCGCGCAGTATGATGGCACTCCAGGATCTCTTGCTGCGAGAGGCAGACATGACCCTTGTGTAGTCCCGCGAGCAGTTCCCATTGTTGAGGCCATGGCGTGCATCGTCATCATGGATCAACTACTGATCCAGAACGCCAGAAAAACGGCCGCGAGTCTTTTGCCGCCAGTGACAACCCTACCGTCAACGATGGTTTTGCGGAAGAAAACAGCATGAAACGGCATGTATTATACCTAGACACCTGTCCAGCCAAATGAAACCTATACGAATTGGGCAAAAGATAAGTAACCAAGAATGAAGAGTACAGCAAATTCATGTCTACTAGTGGATACACATACTTGAAAGCAGCTAGACCCGCCATCAAAAGAGTCACCGTTGTTCCTCTTCCTCCAGCCCGATGCAGATGCAGCATAAGATAGGCTCTATGTGCCACCACCACCACTTGTGAACGTACGGTGAGTCAGAGAGTAGAAAAAGTAGTGTAGGCGACATACATGTCGATTTAGCAGCCGACCGGGCCATGTCCCGAATGCGAGGTCAATCTCGCGGTTGAGACGGGTCTCATCATCCAGATATGCAAAATAATTGTAGTGCTCATCCTCTTCGAGGGACCGTCTCGAAGGCACAAGAGGTGACCGCTCGTTGGGATAGATGCCTCTGGAGGCAATCTGTCGTTGGCCGGCACGCCGAGAGGGTCTCTGCACCATATGCTTGACGCGCTGCCCCAAAGGGCCCCAAGGCGAGCTGTCGGTATTCACGTCATGTTCGCTGCAACGCAATGGGGCAGAGATAGATGACGAAGGAGAGCTGGATAGAGATGAATCCGGGGTTATTCTATCCGCTGTTGCGTGCCGGCGGGGGAGCCCAGAGGTGATGCGAACTCTAGAACGAAACCGGACGCTGCGGTTCTTGATTGCGATAGGTGAAGTTTCTGACGGGGCATATGGACTTTCGGTATGGGAATCATCTGCGGCAGACGAGCTTGTCACGGTGCTCTGTATGCTGCTCATCAGCGACTCTGGGACATTGTCGACATGTATGTGGATTCCGTTCGCGTTTTCGACAACGATAGCGGGTTTTGAAAGGGCAGAATGTGTGGGTAGGCGAAAGGAAAGGTCGTAGGGGAAAGAGTCGAGGTTATGCTCGCTGGCCTTTACCATTGGCGGAGGTAAGTGCTGAGTACGGAAGTCATTGTCTAGGGGCAGCACAGTGTCGATCAGTCTTGGCCAATATGATATGCGATCGAGACGAGACCTGAGGGGAAAATAACGAATTCTGGTCTGTCTTTGCCGTCGGCAGCACTCCACTCTGCATCTACCGCGATACCCCCCAAGGGACTAGGCATCTCTGTCGCTAGTCGTGGTAATGGTCTGAGGCTGGCAACCAGCTGTGGCCCAAGGAGAAATTTTTACTTTATCTTGCCGTCAACGAGTCGTAGTCAGGATAGGTAGCATATGGGAGTTCGATCCTAAAATAAACCAGATATGTACATAAACTTTCCCTGTCATCGGCTGTCACCTATGCTTTCCATCGTTCCCCATCATTCTGGATTCATTCTCGCGTATCACATGCATGCACTCGTACGGTCTCTCGCCGACCCAATGCGAATACGAGACTACGCTTTTACCTCATTACTTCGCGGGTAGGGAATGAAGAAGCTAGTCGAACCCTAGGTCAGTCAGTACCCCACACAAGTTCCGCAATATACTTGCGCGATATGAAGGAGCGTCAGTCGGATGAAATATATACATTTTTTTGACAGCGCGGGCAGTATACAGGGCAGATAATCGGATACGATGATTAGCCAGATTGGCTGGATTGTGGGATCAAGTAAGGATGGCGAACACAGAAAGCACAACGTGTCGGACTCGGAGCCCCAGTGTCGCCATTTTCACCGAGATGCTTGTAGCAAATCGCAAAAAGTACTGACTCCATGATTGAATTAGACATCTTGTGCTTCGTCAATTCTTTCGCGGCCAAGTGCAATCGCTTGACCGGCAGAGTCGGGCAATGAGTAACTGGGGTCAATACAGTCTCCCTAATGCCACGTTCTAGAGAAGTATCCTAGCGGAAGCCTACTGAACAGCGGGAGTCGAAGACTTAGTATTGGCTTCTTGCTTACTTCAGAGCAACGGCAGGCAGATACAGAACAGTCGACAGAGTATAATGTTATCTGCCTTGACTATGAAAACCAGATGTAGTCGCCAGGAGCCATGCGCCATGATTCGAGAAAGTCTACAGACCTGTCTCCAGTTTCGAGGTGCGCAACTCCGATTATGTCCGAACCATTTAGGATAAACGGAGTTATTGGCACAAGGCGGAATAGCGCAGACGCAGTTAGAAATCTCAAGAGACCAGCAAAGTAAACAAGTTTGACGTGAATTGAAGTCGGGTACTTGTGTGAGAAGTATGTCCAGTGGTCGGCAAATAATTGGTCGGAAAAAAGGGTGGTGGGCGGTTTATGCCTGGACCAGTCGTTGACGGCAAAGAAAACGAAGAGCAGTCCGAAACGCGGTGAAGGCTCATAGAGAACAGCTCAGGCTATACCAACAAGGGAGAAGCTACCGAATATGTACCACTTATACTGAAGGGCTACGAAGAAAGGATTATGGCTGAAGGCTTTCCAATAGGCTTCAAAGCAGCTTTCATGATTCTGTCTGCCGGGGACTCAGGGGGTAATTCAGTCAAGCACCCGAATTTTAGAATGTTCGAGGGATGTTAAGGATAATTAGGCTGGTACGAAAGTATGAGAGGTAGGTACTCACAACATAGCTCTAAGTACAACTTGTGGTTAGTCTACCTCCGTACAGTCCATCAAGTATACGGGATTAGAAGCGAGACTGTCCCTCTGCATCACCTGTTCCATTAAAGTCAAGTTTCCCCGCCTGATAATTAGAGAACAGGAATGCGATTTGGTACCTGAATATCTTTCGCCAGTCACTGGGCGTAATATGTTAAATGGGCCTAAGATGTGGAAACGACCCCGGATACTCATTCCCCAATGATGAAGAACCACGCATCGAGTAAACATTAACCGTACACTTTCCGTACAAGGGTAGTATCCCAGCCTCCCGGTCCACGGTCAAATCGATAGGCCCTTTTCCACCGTCTCTGAGAATTGAGAATAGAGGAAGAGATCGCTGAATCGCCACAGAATCGCCAGACGCAACCCAGCGGTCATTCGGACCTCGCGAGAATAACATCGATTGCCTTCCTGACGCAAGCTGCGTCGTACTTCGGATCGGTAACCCCAGCTTCTGAACGAACTCGGCTGCACCTGACGCCCAATGCCTACGATGATCGCAGATATGTGCCAAATGAGATCGTTGTGTTCTAAATTAGAGAAGGAACGCACCGTTATTCGATCAATGTTTACATGGATGTCTGTTCCTTCAAGGTAAACAAGATCAGTGATGAAAGCAGAAACCGGGTAGATCGTGCTGGCGCTACCCAGACCATAAGACCGATGTTGGTATGGTGCATTCAGAGTACGTGATATAGCGCTGATCCAGCATTTATCAATGGCTAAAGGCAACGGCTGGAGAAGATGAGCACTTACAGGATGTAGTCTTCCGCACTGTACCCATCCGTTTCTCTATCGTTCTTGGTGTTTACTTATCTGTAAAGTTAACGGGTGAGTTACCATAGTTATGAGTGGACTCACGCAGGAGAATCTTAGCCTTCAGCGTACGTGATTGTGCGATGGCCGTTGCGACTCCGCGTAGAGATAGGCATGGGATGATACTAAGGTAATTATAGGTCAGCGACTAAAAATATCAGTTAGTATCTGCCGAACCTCGTCCAAAGAGAACCGCAGGAGAAAACTAGAACATTGTGCGAAGATAGACTTGATATATAGTCCGGGTTAGGCGAAGGATGAATTTCCATGCCGTATGCATTAATATAAAATAGCTCTACGGACCGACACGTGAGATTGCGAAATGGAATTATCCGCTAAAATAAAACTGACTGGATATCCTTGAGGCCAAAGGTTTATAAGAATCCTTTCCTTGTGGCTCAAACATGACGTTCTGACGTTGGGTCTCAAGACCGTCTTCTGGTGACCATGAATCAGCTTCAGTAAAATTGATCGACGGAGCTACAGAGGCTACTGGATGCGATATCTCGCATTGTCCGACGAGCCTTTCTCCATTGTCCTGTCCGTGGTGACATGTTAGATGCGAGTAGACGCAGACAGCTAGCACACTGACTAACTCTGCGGCGATAGTAACTGTATGGTTTGTCACAACCACCGGCAATATATTGGCCTGGCTGTTTGTGATGGAAGAAAAGAGGAATATTGCAGAGGGAAGCGATCTGAAAAATCCTTGTGCGGCAGCTAAAAAGTAATTACCGATGCTGTATAGCTGAGTCGGGCTTGGTGCATCCTAGAAGACAGCATTTGGCGCACCTTCCGTTAACAAAGTTAAAATTCTTGTGCGCTCGTTTGAGGAGCTCACTTTCAAAGTAAACGAGAAAGCCTATAATCAACATTTAGCTACCACGCGGTTTACTCGCATAAAAGAAGAGACACAATACCGCGTATGGTTTCCTTTCTATCGTTCGGAATACCCTGCCATAAAAGGCTTCGGCCTTCGACAATCTCTCTCCACTCTTCACGTGCTTGCCGTTCCGTATAATGCGCAGGTAGACGGTAAGCGAGAAGGTTGCGGATGGCGTCCAATGGAGATGAAGTGGGAGCGGAAGGGATAAGGCGAATCAATCGAGACCTTATATCGCCTATAAGATACTGAACACCCGATGAAAGCCGTTCATTACCAGCCATACCTATCGAAGGCCCTCCGAGGACGCGTATTATCTCACTGGACGAACCGCCGTTGTCAGAGACAGGAAGGATGTAGCACGCATTTCCAAAGGCAGAGCATATTGAATTACCGCCAGTGCCGCCCGAGATTACGACAAAGGAGGTCGTCGACAAAGCGTCTTGTGTTGATGCCGCTGGCGTATTACTTGCTGATGCTGGCGTGGAAGTCTGATATCTCTCCTGCGAGGCCGTCACTGGCAAGTCAAACACAGAGGATCCAGGACTATTCGTTCCAGAACTCTGAACTTTGAGATGCAGACTTTGTCTATTTCCATGATACATGGAAGTGGTAATGGTAGTGTTGGAACATCGGCCCGATCATCATCCCATTCTGTGGAACGACAGCCACGTTGCCGACTTCTATCGTTCGACCATGGTGGACGTCGACTTTCCTGCTTTGACCGGCTTTTATAAATTTCTATTTCTCTATTTGGAACCCAGTCAGTTCCAACTTTCGCTTCGATCCCTGCATTTACTGACCGACCATCTTGAAGTGTCTACTATGATTCCTGCAGCCATGATTCTAACCTTCCCGGGAGCCGCTTGGTTTTATCATGAATTGATTCCGACTCCTACGTCTGAACCGCTACAATCTCTGGACGCTCGTTCAAAACTTGCTGTATGGCAGCTTGGAAATTGTCTGTTGCGCTAGGGTCCGTAGGAGAGAGCTAATCACCCTCTAGGCTATTTACTTCTGGGCATGATATCCACGGTGGTGTTTCGCACCATCAGGAACGCAGTCCCAAAAGACCCACAACTACAAGAACGACTTGTTGGATCTCTTTTGTTCTGTTTGGCCGTCGCCGATGTAAGTAGAATTTCAAATCTACACACGCGTATTATCCTGACTGAATAATGTTCTATCGTCTAGTTATCCCAGTAAGGTTGGCCTTCCTTTCCGGACAGTTGTTACTCATACTCCGACGAAGTATCTTCACCTCGTTCCTTGGCATTGGCGACGGACTTAGATATAGCCCTGCTGCCTGGAACGCAACTACGCACGGTAATATCACATTTACCATGTTCTTATTCTTGGTCAGGTGCGCATATCTCTGAAACAACATCATTTTCAAGTTTCACATTCCATGCAGAGCTTCATGGTTTTTGGGCGTCCGTCGTCAGCGATTCTACTATGGAGGATTGGGAAATAATACGAATAAAAAACAAATCTAATCTTTAGGTGCCTTAGTGTAGGTGCACTATGAAATCTTGGATAGTTAAATCATGTATAGCAATTCAATACGATTAACCTTTGACTGGGTAGTTTCTGAGAGTATATATATACAAAGGCCTTGCAATGAGAGATGCTAGACATGACAACAAAAAAAGCAGACCTACCGGAACACGTATCGATCACGGTCACGGTCATCCATTCATGACGGTGAAGCGTCGCGGCGGCCGCGGCCTCGGTGGAGGCTTGGTGCGGTAGGACTCCGTTGCGTCTTCATAGTAACTAGAAAGCTCCTCCGACAAATCTGGGAGTCCCGGCGAGACAACGTCTGCCGTTTCTTCATATGTTTGTCTGCGCCACTGTTGGACGGAGAGCAGCCAGTTGTAATCTTCGGAAGAAATGCCCGAAGGAAACGGTGAAACGATGCCGTTATCCTGCGTATTGAGGAATTCTGCATGGAGGGGTGGGGGGCGATGGCGGGGGTCATACATCGTCATGACGTTGACGGGCTTACTGACTGTCTTTCGTACAAGAAGATTGGGGTTGAAGCTGTACGAGTGATGATGGCGTCGAAGCCGCGCAAAGCCAGAAAGATGCTGGCTTTGATTCGAGGGCCCATCAAAGCCAGGTCCATCTTTTGTTATCGGAAGGATATGGGTGCCCTTCCTCCTCCACCTCAGGTAGATATAAAATGTGAGTCCTATAACAAGCGCGCCACCCAGCGTCCCTAAGACATACTCGATAGTCTTTCTACGGGTTGCAGACGAGCTGGCAGTGGCATTGTTGAGCGCGCCCGAAGAATTTGATGTCAGACTAGGCACGGCAACAGACTGAGATGTTGTACTCTGTTCATCATCATCGTAGCTGATAATCAACTTAAGACATAGTATCATATGGAAGTACCAAGTTATGCTTACGAATAGATGATAGAGTCCAAGAGGATCAAAGATGTATTATCTCCCATATGACCGCTTTGGATTTGAATATTGTGGCTACCGGAAGACAAGCCCTCGTGGGCAAACACGGTGACATTGTACTCGTAGCCTTGACCGGATGGATCCGGTTCTGAGCTGTAGGTACCTGCTTGAATACCATCTATGAAGAAAGTCATATCACTTCTTCCTCTATGAACCAGGACTGATCAATTCACGCGTCTTATTAGATAGCGAGAAACAAACGTCGGATGTTCGGCAGTGAGTGCAAGAATACACTTGACGTAGACCGCGCTACCTAAAGCATTGGTTTTAAGCACCAATTATAGTACAACCGCCGTTTTTACGCACCAAAGAACGAATACGATGCGTAGAGCACCGATGTGCTTTTGTTATTCTGTGTCACCGCACTGCAATGAGATCGTTTGTAATAGAAACAGAAGATGAACACGTACAAATTTACCGACATGCCATGTCTCATCATATGCTTTGGACGCGTTAACTTGAGCGTCACATTCATTGCAAGGACTGTTGACAGCCCAGGCCTCTTGAGGAGTATAAAGTACAGTATTTGTGGGGTCGCCATTCTGGTCGTCAACAGTCACAGTGACTAGAGTAGCCCAAGCGGATGAGAAGAAAAGAGTGAGCGAAAGCGAACATAGAAGAGGACGCATGGAAGAAGGCAGCCGAACCAAATGAATGAATGTGCAGAGGAAAATGAAGCGCCAGGCCAGCAAGAAAAGGAACTTTCTCCTCATGAAACGCCTTGTGGACAAGCATAGAATTTATACCTGTCATCACATCAAATACAATGCGGTGCAGAGCATATGTTTGTGATTGATACTGAATTTTGGCTGAATGGCCTGGTTGCTAAGTTTGACTAAGAATAGATTGATCGGGCATTGCCGGTTATCCGGCGTACATTTTCATTCTCCGTCACCATCCACAAAAAAGCCATCGATGTCATCCGAAGACATTGCAGAAGAGATTCGCGACGTTTTTCCTGACACAGAGGAGGTTATTGTTCAGTATCTGTCTGGGTATCTTGTTGATGATGCTGGAGAAGAGGAAGACGTTCTTCAGGTCGCGCGCACCATTCTTGAATCTCTTTCTGGCGGCGAGGATGATAAACTAGAGAAGCTCATGGACCGGCTGGGTGATCTCCTAGAAGACCAACTCAATGCACGACTCAAGAATAGGTCTGGGCCTAAGCTTCAGAAACTGGATAAAGTGATGGATATGAGCAAAGCCCAGATGTCCAATACTATAGCATTTTCTGAGGGGGTTGACTTAGAATCTATCAACAAGGGAAAGTGCGTTGGTGTCGCTTTCTCGTCCCGTTTGCCTTGGTTCAACTTTGGTGTCTCAGGGCATCTCGGGTCGATGTTAAGAAACTTGAAAAGCAGGAAGCTAAACTTAAGGTCGGTTACAGCCCATGATGGTTTTACTATGTACACTGATAGTGTATGTCTCAGGCCAAGATTGAGAAGCGGGCAAGAAGGGATCTATATGAAGGATCTAAACTGTTGGATGCTCATCGGAAACAGGTGTGTTACCCACTCTCAATCACTCATGTGCAATAACAAATACACCTTGTCGCCAAGCAAACATACGAGGAGATGTATATGAAGGTTTGCATAGCATCGTTTGTTCACAGCATCTACATATTCATTTGAATGGGACGCAGATCAATCCTTTGGAAGCCGTCAGCTCAAAGAACAAGAGTCGCGACATCCATCTCCCGTCAATTGACGTCAATTTTGGGTCAAATCGTATTCTGTATGCTTGAAGATGCTTTTTCGTCTGCAAGAAAACTTAGAAACCGTATAGCACTGGCGCAACTTTGACTTTGGCTCATGGACGTCGGTATGGTCTCATTGGACGGAACGGTGAGTTACGTCTTACATCAGAGGCCACACCTTAAACATGACCACGTTCGCAAGGTGTGGGTAAATCAACATTGCTACGACACATTGCGATGCGAGAGGTTCCCATCCCGGCCCATATCAGTATTCTGTTCGTGGAGCAAGAAGTAAGTCGCAACAATTTATGTGTGCATGTTCCGTTATCAATCTTGGAGTCTTCCAGATCATTGGGGATGACACTGCCGCTATCGATTCGGTTCTGAAGGCAGATGTCTGGCGAGATCATCTCTTGAAAGAAGAGGCTGCCTTGAACGCCAAATTGACGGAACTCGAAGCGGAAGGCGATGACAAGCGATTCGAAGATGCCCGAGAAGAAACATCTTCACGACTGGCTGATATACACGCCAGATTATCTGACATGGATGCGGAAAGTGGTCCTGCTAGGGCAGCTTCTTTGTTAGCCGGCAAGTGGATACCCTTATATGATGCTTAGCCTTTGACCGATTGTTTTCTTCCCTTAGGCCTTGGATTTGACGAAGCGGACCAGCAACGACCAACAAAATCTTTCAGTGGCGGTTGGCGGTGAGCTTACTTGCTGTAAAACAGACTTTGGATAGTGGTTTAACCTGCCACAGTATGCGACTGGCGCTGGCGCGTGCACTTTTTGTCAAGGTGGTTGTTCATTGATGCTGTTTCATCATTCTATTTATCAACTCTGTTCGTTTAGCCTGCTTTGTTACTACTAGATGAACCTTCAAATCACAGCAAGTGGATCCATTATACTCCACGTGGGCATCACTGACGCCGTTGCAGTTGATTTGAATGCCCTCGCTTGGCTCGAAGATTACTTGCAGACATGGCAGGGAACACTGCTTGTCGTGTGAGTAATACATTGCGTATGTATACGTCACTTATATATTGGCTGATGCGTGCCAGTTCTCATGATCGCGCGTTCTTGTGAGTCATTCCGTCACGGGAGTTCCATTCTTTCGCTGACGGAACCTAAGGGATGCAATCGCCACGGACATTGTTCATCAGCACTCAGGCCGCTTGGATTACTACAAAGGGCAGGTCATTTGCTCTTGGCTGTGTTTCTACTGTTCACACTTACGATGCATTCAGAAACTTTACGCAATTTTATTCCACAAAGTCGGAGCGTGATCAAAACCTTCGTAAGGAGTACGACGCACAGATGGAATACCGGAAACATCTTCAAGCCTTCATCGATAGGTGGAGATATAATGCCAATCGTGGTAAGTCTGACCTGTTCTTGGACCAGAAGATAAAGTCAATCAATCCGTATTAGCTGCACAGGCGCAATCCAGGATCAAGATTTTGGAAAAGGTCAGTTGACCTGTATGGAGTATGGCTTGTGTTTGATACCCCATCTGTTCTAAAGCTGCCTGAACTTGAACCTCCAGAGGCCGACGAGACCGAGAGTTTCAAGTACGTCTTTTTGGTATACCTCCATCGTCGATCATAACGGCTCTGTTAGGTTCCCCGAGACCGATAAGATCTCACCGCCTGTTCTTCAAATGAATGAGGTCACATTTGGCTACTCTCCTGACAAGATCATCCTCAAGGGGGTCAATATTGATGTTGGGCTAGACTCCCGGATTGCCATCGTTGGAGCAAATGGTAGTGGAAAGTCAACACTGTAGGTTTCAGGTCTCCCGTCGGTTTTGCGGCAACGGAACTGACTTTCGAATAGCATCAAAGTCTTGACAGGTGAATTGCGGCCCTTCTCTGGTCATGTCACACAGAATGGGAGGCTACGAATGTATTCCTTTCCCTTCCGGATTTTAGGCTTCGACACTGAATCTTTCTTAGCGGTTACTTCGCACAGCACCACGTCGATTCTCTCGATCCGGCGATGTCGCCTGTTCAATTCCTTGCATCGAAGTTCCCGGGTAAAACGGAGCAAGAGTATCGGCAGCATCTAGGCAACTTCCAGATAAGTGGGATGACAGGGTAAGGATACACTCCATCTGGTCTCCTTCTGGTAACACTGAGATCTACCCAATCAGGTTGCAGCTCATCGGAACACTCAGTGGGGGTCAAAAATCGCGTGTGGCCTTTGCAGTGCTGTCTCTTCAGCGACCGCACGTACTGCTATTGGATGAAGTAGGATTTCTATTTCTTGTTTTTATCATGCTCACGATTCATTGTAATTATAGCCTACTAACCACTTGGATATCGAGGTTCGTACTTACAATGCTGTTTGGGCCGTTGTCTGATCTGAGATATTGCAGGGCCTTGACGCTCTTATGACTGCCCTGGACTCGTGGAACGGAGGTGTTATCATTATCTCCCACGACGAGCGATTCATCACAACAGTGGCGAAGGAGGTGGGACAAAGTTTATGCTATTGAACAAGAGCTGACAACGCTGCGTCCAGCTTTGGGTATGCGGCGACGGAACAGTTACAAAGTTCAGGGGCGATGTACAGAGCTACAAGGTCCGCACTCGGTTGCTCACAGCCGTGTATTTACTGATGAGCATGTTTTCTATAGCAATTGATTGTAAGCAATATCAAGATGAAGCCGTAATGGCCACTGTACTTGTATACTACCCATTCAAGCACACTGTCTTTTGTTAATTGCGAGGCGCTGGGAGCACGAGCATTATTAGTACGGATTCAACACTGGAAAGTTCGAACGGGAAAGCCACCATCATCATACCCAACATATACTGTACCGGAACTATTGGTATTCAGTCTCTACATACTCGCAAGAAATCCGTGTGGGAGGTGAGACGCCCATCCGAGAAGCGTGATCGTGCAGTTGGCCGTTCCCGGAACGGTGCGGCTTATATAATACGCCGAATTTTTTTTGCTGCCGAAAGTCGAAATCCGATAGACTGTCAGCGCGTCGTCTCAAAATTTTGTCGCCTTGTTGTATATGTTCTTACACAGTCTCAATGTATTGTGTAGGCCAAAGTCCCTGTCGCTGAAAGCCTTCCGTCGTCAATCGCGTCCGGGCAGTCACGTGGTGCGGTTTTGCAACGCGTCGCGATTGGGGGTGTTGAATCAGAACTTGACCACCACCATCATCCACTCTCGCCCCCGTTCCACCATGAGCTCATTCGAGGGTGAATACAGTACCATCGATGTTTCGAGCGATGAGTCGGAGGGCTTCGTGCCTGCCACTAAGAAAGTCAGTCTTTCTGCTCTGTGTTCCCCGTCATCGTTACTGACATGCAGGTCAAAGGCAAAGGCTCCTGCCAAACCAAAGGTAACCAGGACAAAGGCCGCTCCTACCACTAAGTCGAAAGCCGGTCCCTCAAAAACCGCCGCCACGAAGCCGAAAACGACGAAGAAGGTATTGGTTGATCACAACGACCATGCGGAGGATAATGCGATGGAAATTGATTCGGATGGAGTCGACGATGCAGGGACGTCCGCTGCCCGAGGAACCCAGCATGCTGCTCCAGGGAAGAAGAAGTCAGCTTCAGAGACGTATCAAAAGGTGCGTCGTGGCTGTTGGTTGGCGGGGCGATGCACTGATAACGTCTCTTCTAGCTTACGCAACTGGAGCATATCCTCAAGCGCCCAGACTCATATATCGGCAGCGTTGAGACCATTACTCAAACCATGTGGACATACGACGCAGCTACTAAGCGCATGATAAATCGTGAAGTTAAATTCGTTCCCGGTTTCTACAAAATAGTGGACGAGATTCTCGTCAATGCTGCCGACAACAAGGTCAGAGGCCTTCGTCGTCGTGTCGTCGATGAAGCTGACGCATTCGACACTTGCAGATCAACGATCCAAGCATGGACACCATCAAGGTCAATATCAATGTCGAGGAAGGAACTATTTCCGTCTACAACAACGGAAGGGGTATTCCCATCGAGATGCATTCCCGAGAGAAGATGTATATTCCAGAGCTCATCTTCGGTCATCTCCTCTCTTCCTCCAACTACGATGATGACGAGAAGAAGTTGACTGGTGGACGGAATGGTTATGGAGCAAAACTTGCCAACATCTACTCCCATGAATTCACCGTGGAGACTGCTGATAAAAACTCGCAGCAGAAGTACAAGCAAACTTGGACGCAGAATATGAGCGTCTGCGGGAAGGCAAAGATCACGAAGAATGCAAAGGGAGAGGAGTGGACTAAAGTCTCTTTCAAGCCCGATCTAGCGCGATTCGGAATGGACTCTATCGATGAGGATACGGCAGCCCTTCTTCGCAAAAGGGTCTATGATATGGCAGGTACGGTGAAGGACATAAAAGTCTTCCTTAACGACGAGAGGGTCAAAATCAAGAATTTCAAGCAATATGTCGAAATGTACCTCAATTCTGCGCAGGCGGAGGCTGAAGACAAGTCCGGTGGAGCCGCTCAGTCGAAACCGACAGTAATCTACGAACAGATTAATCCGCGCTGGGAGGTTGCCTTCGCTATCTCTGAGGGATCCTTCCAGCATGTCGCTTTCGCTAATTCAATCGCTACGGTCAAAGGTGGTACCCATGTCACTCTCATCTCAGATCAAATCTCCAAGAACTTGTTGGCGGCCGTGTCAAAGAAAAATAAGGCAGCCTCTGTAAAAAGCCAGCAGATCAAGAACCATATGTGGATCTTCATCAATGCTCTCATCGAGAATCCCACATTTGACAGTCAAACGAAGGAGACTTTAACACTGCCTGCGTCGAAGTTCGGGACAAAGCCTGTCCTATCGGAGGACTTCTTGAAGAAAGGTGAGGGCGTATTGCTCATCTTGAGGATATCATCTGACACCTTTGAATAGTTCAGAAGTCTCCCATCATCGAGCATATTCTAAACTGGGCTCAATTCAAGGCCGATCAGCAGATCAAGAAGACAGATGGTACCAAGCGTAGCAGGTATGTTCGACGTTGCTTCGAGAGCACTGTCTGATAGACGATCTTCCAGACTTACAGGTTTACCTAAATTGTCAGATGCAAACATGGCGGGAACAAAAAACGCAAAGGATTGCACGCTTATCTTGACAGAAGGAGATTCTGCCAAAACTATGGCTCAGGCGGGTCTTAGTGTCGTTGGCCGGAACAACTTTGGTATATTTCCCCTTCGTGGTAAAGTATTGAATGTTCGAGAAGCGAAACACGATCAAATCATGAAGAATGAGGAAATCCAGAATATCAAGAAGATTTTGGGCTTGCAGCACAATAAAGAGTATAAGGATGTTTCGTCGTTGCGGTATGGTCAGCTTATGCTTATGACCGATCAGGTACGTCTTCTCGACTTTCTCAGGTGCGTGCGATCTTCACGTCGCAATAGGACCACGATGGCTCTCACATCAAAGGCCTCCTCATTAATTATCTTGATCACTTCTATCCGTCTCTATTGAAGCTGCCAGGGTTCCTTGTTGAATTTGTGACACCTATCGTTCGGGTAAGGATTTTTATGACCCCCCTTTCCATTGTATTTTCCTAACTCCTGACAAGATTACGAAAGGCAAGCAGCGTAAGGACTTCTTTACCATTCCTGAATATGAAGAATGGGTGGAAAGAACACCTGATGCTGCGAAGTGGAAAGTGAAGTATTTTAAGGTACGCTTGTACGCACTTCATAAATGTTTCAGCTCTTGAAGGTACCCACAGGGTCTGGGAACAAGTAAAGACACAGATGCGGTCGAGTACTTCGCTGACATGGGCAAACATGTGATCCCCTTCTCGCCACTCAAGGAGGAGGAGAGAGAAGAAATCGATCTCGCTTTCAGCAAGAAGAAAGCTGACGAGCGAAAAGAGTGGCTTCGTCAGTTCCGGGTGAGTTTTGAGCTTTGTTAAAGAAATGATACTCATATGTGTTGTTAGCCCGGAACTTTTTTGGATCACAACATGGACGAGATATCCTACTCGGAGTTCATCAACAAAGAACTTATTCTGTTCTCCATGGCTGATAATATTCGATCTATACCATCTGTCTCCGATGGATTGAAACCCGGTCAAAGGAAGATCATATGGTCTTGTTTCAAGCGAAACTTGAAGTCAGAGATCAAGGTCTGTTCACGAGTTGGCTTGTACACAAGTTTTTGATTGATGTGCGGACCTTTTAGGTCGCCCAACTTATTGGTTATGTCTCTGAAAAATCTGCGTACCATCATGGTGAAGCCAGTTTGGCAGCGACCATTGTCAACCTCGCGCAAAATTTCGTTGGATCCAATAATATCAACCTGCTTCTGCCCAACGGTCAATTCGGCTCTCGAGACCAAGGCGGGAAAGACCATGCATCGCCTAGGTATATTTTCACGGAGCCCTCCCCCATTACTCGGTCGATCTTCCATCCTTCCGATGATGCATTACTGAACGCCCAGCAGGATGATGGGGAGAATATTGAACCTGAATGGTATCTCCCTGTCTTACCCATGATCCTGGTCAACGGAGCGGAAGGTATCGGTACCGGTATGTGAAGCGTCGGTATTGTTGAAATTTGTCTGACATAGTATCCCAGGTTGGAGTACGAACATCCCCTGCTTCAATCCAGTTGAAATCGTAGCCAATCTTCGTCGGCTGATGAATGACGAGGAAATGGTACCCATGCATCCGTGGTGGCATCGCTTTACCGGGGAAGTCAAGTCGACTGGCAAGAACAAGTACGAAATAATAGGTGCCGCAAGGAAGGTCGACGATACCACCGTTGAGGTGACCGAACTTCCTATTCACAAGTGGACAGCGAACTTCAAGAAGGATCTCGAGGCAATGATGGCTGGTGATAAGACAGATGCGGTCAAGGTGGGGTCTATTCTGTGCTGTCTTAGCATTCCGCTCACTCTCCTAGCAGAATTATCAAGAACACCATTCCAATGAGAACGTGCATTTCGTAATTGAGATGAGTCCTAAGGAAATGGAGAAGGCGGAAGCTCAAGGTTTCAACGAGTACTTCCAACTCACGACGAAGATCAGCACTGCAAACATGATATGCTTCGACTTTGAAGGTAAGATCAAGAAGTATGACTCCCCGGAGGCCATCATGGAGGATTTCTACCCTGTGCGCATGGCGTACTATCAGAAGCGCAAGGTACGCCTTTTAACCCAGTGGCAGCACCTTGACGCTGAAATGATATTCTAGGATTACCTGGCCGGTGAGCTTCAGGACGCCTTTGAGAGGCTCTCGAACCAAGCTCGCTTTGTGCAAATGATCGTAGACAAGACGCTCGTCGTGTCTGATCGCAAAAAAGTGGATATTGTTGCTGACTTGAGACGTCATGAGTTCCGGCCGTTCCCTAAGAAGCCTAAGGATGCTAAGGATTCAGAGGATGACGATAATCAGAATAATGCAGCCGAAGAAGATGAGGAACTCGATACTGATTTCGACTATTTGCTTACCATGCCGATCTATAACTTAACGAAGGAGAAGGTATGTTAAAGGCACTCGTTCATGCTGTCCACGGTGTAATGACTTTTTTAACTTACAGATTGACAAACTCCGTCAACAAGCTGCAGACAAGGAAGCAGAACTTCTTGCTTTGCTGGAGGTCACACCCAAACAAATGTGGAATGAAGATCTTGACAAGTTCTTGGACATGTTCGAGGTCAGTGTTGCCACCTTGTACCAGGACAAGAATGCTAATCAGTTCTCTAGAAACATCAACGTGAAGTCCAGCAAGCTGCGATGAAGGCCAGTGGTCAAAAAGGCAAGAAGAAACAAGGTACCCTGAAGACGCGGAAGTCCATCGGATCACGCAACAAGGGTTCAGATAATGACGAAGACTTCAAGCCTGTCAAAGCTGCGCCGAAGACAAAGCCGGCTTCGAAGTCTGCGGTTGCCAAGTCTGCAGCGAAACGCGAAGATGGCGATGACGACATGCCTCCGGCACCAGCACCCAAGCGCGCCGCAGCGGCCAAGAAAAAGCCAAAGGACGAGTCTAACGATGATTTCGACATCAGTGAAGTTTCAAAGCCGGCGCCGAGGAAGAAACCTGTAGCCAAGTCGAAACTCCCCGAGTCGGACTCTGATGACGATGTTCTCATCGTGGCCAACACCGACAAGGGCAAGGAGAAAGCAAAAACAGCTCCGAAGCGGAAAAAGTAATCTATTTCTTTTCCTGAGTCTTATTCTCATTCTGATGCGGTTTTCAGTTTGGAGATGGAAGAAGAAGAAGAAAATGACGATGGCGGCGAGCCAGTGCCCAAGAAGAAAGCTGGGACCACTCAGTCACCCGTCACGGACTACTTCACCAAGGCTGGGCCGTCTGAACCCAAGAAAACAAAACTAACTAAGAAGATGAAGCCAGCTTCTCCTCCGAAGGCGAAGAAGTCACCACCCAAGGTTGTAGATAGTGATGACGACGACGACATGGATTATGACTCTATTCCCAAGCCTCCTCGTACTACCCGGCCTCCGAGAGCTGCTGCTGCGTCTAGAAATTACATGGACGTTGAAAACAGTGATGAGGACGGGGACGATTCAATTTTCATCGACGAGGATTAGTAACTTATCGACATAGAATAGAAAGTCTATAATAGGCGTATTTATACGTGTCATTCGTCTCTACTCATGCTTTATTACATTTTCTTCTGCTACTACCGATGTGTGAAGCACTGAACGCGAAGCATTAAGCCATCAGACGCGTGAGGCGTCGAAGCATCGACCTTGCCCAACTTGGAAGTTGTTGTACCTTCCCACGAGATTCCGCCTTGCTGAGGTCACTCCGTGTTGCTTCCTTCGTCTTCCAGCTTGATGGAGTCGATATATTATCATCAGCTGGGGGGTTTCGAAAGCAGGCGACTCGATTTTTCATGGGCTAAAGGGTGCAAATGCTGTTCTTTTCTCTTCCCAGCTAACATTTCCCCAGGGGAGAATTCTGGGATCATGACAGACTTGCAAGTGATGTGTTCTCGATAGCCAAAGACGGGATGCTACAGCTGGCGCTCGGTATGGTTGACCAATATCTCCTTCTAGTGTATTCCGCGCTGAATTGCGTCTCAGGTATTACGAACACCGGCGCTTCATACCTGCTGATACCTGAGCATCGAGCCAAAGTCATTGCAAGCAACTGTCGTCTTAAATATCCCAACCCCCGAAACTGTATCAGTGCCAGAGACTTTGAATCGATATCCCCCATCGAGTTCAAAACGTGGGTCGAACTTTCCAAGAAACTCCGATCGCTAGCTTCTGCAAAGAACAAAAAAAAGAGGAAATACGATATGCCCCCTACGGATACGAGCAAAGCAAATAAAGGGTATGACACAATTGCGATGGATCCTGACAGACGTAACGATGGTTTATATCGCCCTCTTTTCGAACACGGAAGGTGTGTACAGTTGAGATAGATCTCAGACTGATTAGGACTGACCAGCATGGTTCTACCATAGGGTACTATATCGGCTGAAGCAGAATATACTTGACGATAACCTGATAAAAGTGGAGAAAGCGTCATGGCTCAACACGTTTCGGATGTGCTCCTTCATATACAACAGATGGCAATCAGGCAGCCCCACGATACTGGACATCGGCCTTGCTGAAGGAGTGCCTGGGCAACTCGATCCGCCTCCAGCCGTCAGACAGCTTGTCATAAAGAGGAATCTGATGCTCGATGGGGGCAAACGCGATGTTTGTCGATTGTCTGCGTGAACTCGGACATGGTGATAATAATTTTATTCACAGACATTCATCTATGGCACTGCGGAGCAAGTTGACGAAGATGATGCAACCCGAGTGGTACAAGACTTTTTCCACAAACGTGGTTCCGAGCCAATGCTGCTTCTTGTTTGTGGGCGAAGAGATACGCTGGAGGTCCTCAGTCAATGTTATGGTGTGGACAGCACGACCTGGGATAATGGCCTTAAGGACCTCCTCCAGCCCTCATTCAGGACTCGATCCGAGTGCCCGGTCTATGTTGTAGACGTAAAAGAGATGGCACTCAAACATTTAAAGGTAGACGAACAACAGCTAAAGACGGTACATCTTATCTGTGCCAAACTCGGATTGATCCCCAGAGGACAGAAAAAAACCGTGTCTGCCGGGAACGACTCGAAGTAAGGACAAAGCAACGTACTGCGTCAGTTTCTTAACTTCCTTGGTAGGAGGATTTTTGAGGCTTTGACCGTATTAGTGGAAGGACCAGCCATCGATGAAGAGCGGCTTCCGCGAGAAAACCCGGGCCTCGTGGCGTCTTTGTCTTTGTCGGCCAACAATGATGGAGATGATCCAGGTTCGGACTATGACCCGAATGACGTTGTACAACAAACGTCCGTTTCAACGGCTTCGTCAGCGAATCCAACGGGCAATAGTTATGATGATGATGATGATGATTCGGACTATGGTGATGTTGATGAATGAGGATATAATTGCCCTTGCAACTAGAAGGATGTAGCGGGTACGGTCATATCTTTTGTTGTATTGAAAAATCCTGTAATTCTGCAAGCATCTTATCGACTGAAAGCATATACCAATCAAACATTGGCAGATAACCACTGGACTTCAGGGGATGCCATATCGACAACCCTGATACCTGCTTGACGAAGTTCTTCTTCCACTTTGAGCACGTTCTCCTCAGATCCGTCGACGGCCTTTGTGCCCTCTCTGATGAGAACGACGTCGAAACCCTCCTTTCGAGCATCCAAAGCACTAGCACGGACGCAATAATCAAGTGCCAGGCCTACGACATATACCCAGTTCACTCCGGAGTCCTTCAGCAGAGTAGATATACCACTGTCGCTGATTCTTGGAGACGTAAACGGGTCATAAAAGGCGGAGTACATCTCCACACGCTTATCTGTGCCTTTGTGAATCACTGTGTTTATTTTTTTGGATGGGTCCAAGCCGTCAACGAGCTCAGCACCCTGAGTACCCTGCACACAATGATCCGGCCACAATCGAGTCTCGTATGATTCGCTTGGGTTGTGAGGATTTGTGATTGTGACAAATGAAGTGAAGGGTACGTTATTGGGTGCGGCATGATTGGAGGCAAAAGAAATGTGATTGGATGGGTGAAAATCTTTTGTCGCGACCCGCGACACAAAGGCCGGTAAGGTGAGGAGATTGTTAATTAACGGTACGATGGAGCGCCCTTCTGCAACAGCGAGAGAGCCATCCTAAGGTAAGGGAATGAAGTCTTATCAGAGACTGACAGATCATAAGCGGCGTACTGGAGGGCAGAAATCATTCTGCATGTCGATAATAAGCAATCCAGGCTTGAAATTTTTGGGATGACTGTTCATCGTAAATGATGATAGACAAATACGGTACGGTTCAAGTGTCGGATAATCGGGCCGAACTAAGGTCCATCTTGTCTATCTTTTTCGGTAGTCGGAGGGAAGTAATTCCGTTCCTTCTCATCATGGGATTCATGCTGATTCATGAGGTGATTAAATACCACCATGGCACCTGGGTTCCTAGCAGTATTCTCTGAGCCAGGAAAGCAAGTAACTCTCGAAGAATTTCAAGGCAAAATTCCAATTACATTCTCAAATGTGTATGCACTTATATATGCCCTTTCAGATTGGTACAACAACGAGCATGTTCCGCTACGCCTGAATTATCTGCTGTCCTTCCTCACAGGAGCAAGATTCAGTGCATCCGATGGAAAGCTCCCTACCTGGTTAGCCGTCTATGATATCGACGACACCGCTACCTTCCAACACGAGAGCTACACTCGCTTGAGGGCCAACCGTAGTCCTCGAGAAGGCGACTTGGTCAAGCGCCTCGAGCTTCTGGACCGTCGGACGTATGAACTATCATACGATTCTGGAGAGTCCCAGAAGGCTTCCTCATTCAAGTCCGCGTACCCCACTAAAGTTATTGTAACCTACGGTATTACCTTTGAGGACGGCCAGATCAAGGGGTGGATAGCAGAAGTCGAGGGAAAGTTGTCTAGCATGGATGGCTGGATCAGGACCAGGGCTTATCTGTGCATCGACAACCTCAAGACCGGTGTTGGTGTACCGGAAGGCTCGGAGGCCCAGAAAGTACCAAAATACCTGATCATTCATGGTGAGTACCGCATGTACGGCTTTCAAGGACGCCGATTCTCACGCAGTCATCTTAGAGGTGACTTCTGCTGGCGTATTAGAGCATGGAGAAGTAACAGGTGCCTTATCTGCACCAGGCATCGAAGAAGTCAGGACTTGGGAGCTATATCGCGCATATCCGTGTGTCGCTCAAGGAAATCTTGGGGCACCTTCAGCGTAGGAATAGACGCTACTTTGAAAACGGAACGAAAGTAAATAAGTAATGTTGAAATTTCTTTCGGCCAAGCAGTGCTCCAGTCTGTACATGCACTTGTTAAAAATTACGCTTCAATGCAGGATTATCCAGTGCTAGGCATCGCCTTTTCAGCAGAATTATTGATGGTGTCGCCTGGACCATCGGGCCGACGTGAGCCGACGGACTGATGGCCCCTTAATAATAGGTTCGGTTCAGTTGCCTTTTGTGCTTCGCCACCATGTCATCCCACAATCCATTCCGAGATCCTGCGCGCTTGCGGCCTTCGTCGTCGTCGTCGTCGATATCGTCAACAACGCTACCTCCGTCACTGCCACCGAAATCTCAACCCAACAATCCACACCCAGAGCCATCCAGTCCTGCCGCTGCATCCACTTCATCACCTACTAGCAGAAGCGCAGTAAACCCGAATAACTCGAGCGTCAGTCTGCCTTCGCAGCCAAGTGAAGAACTGCGGCCAGATCCAACAGGTCTCACAGAGGACTTACCGCCTGCGTATACGCCTGGACCAAATGTCTACCAAGGAGAAAGCACAGTGGAGTTTGGTCCAGCAAGACCGTTTCAGCGACCACCACGCTCACAACCATCACCTCAGCTCCAGCCTCAGCCTGTGCTCTTGCAACCCACTCCGACTGGCTGGTCAACATCATCATCAATATCACAGAATCATTATACTGGCCGACCACCTTCGTTGCTGCAACAGTTAACCGGTCAGATAGTGTCCCAGCTGACTGGCGCTAGTAGCAACGGCAGTTATTCCCGTTACCAAAGTCCTTCTTGGTCGGGTTATCCTGGACAACAAACGCACAATACCACCCCATCGCTTCTGCCCCGGCCGTCATCTGCTGCTGGCAGGTTCGCGCCTCCGCCCGGGCCACCACCTCATGATGCCCCACCATTACCTGCTCGACGTAATCCTATTTCTGCAGGTGGCCACGAGCCTCCCCAGGGTCCACCCCCTAGCTCAGGTCCATCGTCACCTCACTCTGGTCCTCCGCCTGCCCCCTCGCAGGCCCGAAATGACGGTCGTCCAACTACTACGCCAGTTCCTGGTCATCCTCTTCTAAATAATCACCGTCTCCTCGTGTATCCAACTGGATTTGAATGCGATAAATGTAAGGAACACCCCATTGATGCTAAATTTACCTAACTAGTTTTCTTAGGTAGAAATACGGGATACAAACAGAACGATCCTTCTCATCCGTGCCGCAAGTGCTGGGCCAAGTATTCCAAGCCCTTTACTGGGGCACTCACATACACCGATTTTTCACCAGAATCTAGGGCGACTGGAAATTTCCAGCGCCCGCTTCCTTCGTATCATAGTCCACAGTCATCATCTAATTTTCGTCCTGCGCCTCCTAACTTGGGATACCAGCCATCGTATATTACGCCACACCGCGGCTTCCTACCTCCACCTAGACCTATGGTTACGCAGTTGAATGGTTTCAATCAGGCTCCTCGAGGCTCAGTTGTGTATCCCACGGGTGACCCTCGAATAGGAGGAAGATTATGTTGGCGGTGCGAAGGAAGTGGGCTAATTTCTTTTTTGTTTCTGGAGGATAATTGTCCAGTCTGTGGAGGAATCGGAAGGACATTCAACTAAGCCTGCGTAGGAATATCAACGCTGTAGCACCACCTGTAGCCCGTCTTATTCATGACGCCTGTATTGATTACTGCACTGTTAATTATAGGTTATCGCATTTATGATTCGCCCACAGCTTCTACAGTATATCGGACGTCGATTTGTCCCATTTGGATCCATCGTCGAATGCCTAGGTATCATTATGATAGCAATAATAGGTGACGATGGACCTTTGCGGGACGAGTTTAGATGAGGAGAAGCGTGCTCTGTCCTGCAAGTGGAAGTCGACTCGAGAGGCCTACCAACAGTGAAAGACGGACCATAGGTATGTATAGTTCTTGAACGCAGCGCCTCCAAGCGCCCCTCGTAATGCGAGATGACCAAACAATACCCGTGCGAAAATCAGTAATCACGCCTCGGGCTGTGTTCCGGACTCAGAATCGATTTCGCAGTAACGTCTACCTCACTCCCTTGCCCAGCATGAAGGGCTTCACCAAGGCGGTCAAACGGTGAGCACACACCAGTTATTACCTGGAAATGCGCTCAGATTGTCTTGTAGGACGCCTTTCATGGTGACCAGCAAGGTTGGCATGTCCAAAAGTGAGTTTCCGACATCATGCCTGCCGCCCGAAGCTGTGACGAAGCCAATGTAGAGTCCAACGATCCTGAATTCGATGACTACCAACGCCATTTTTCTGAAATGGAAAAGGCCAGCGAGAAGTTCATAAAGGATGTCAAGTCTTTTCTTGACGCTGTCAATGGTGAGTCTTGCCCGCTGCGTCTGGCGATGTGGTATTGAGCGAGGACAGGTCTCTTTACCTGCGGTGCTGGCTATGCGACACATTTCTCGGTTGTGATGCACCCCATTTCTGGAGAGTACGATCTTTTAGGCAAACATCCAGAAGCTGGCCACACTATTCGTAACGTCGACAAGTATGAGACCGCGATGGAAGAGCTGCGTGCCAGTGTCGGACCTGAGCTTGAGCTCATCGAAAGCAGAATAACGGCTCCGGCAAAGGAACTGCAGTCGATAATGAAGCTGATCAGGAAGAGCATCACGAAACGAGATCATAAGGTGTGCCTATTCTCAAGTCCTTGGAGATGCGATCCTCATGATTCTTTAGCTGATGGACTACGACCGCTTCAACAATTCTTTGACGAAATTGCGCGACAAGAAGGAGAAATCCCTGAGTGACGAGAAGAATCTGTTTAAGGCGAGATCACTTCAAGTGCATCATGAAACAGTTCGCTGATTGGAAACAGTTGGAACAAGACTTTGAGATGGCGACAAATGAGTATGAATTTATCAACAATGCGTTGAAAACCGATCTACCGCGTTTCATGGCTCTCTCGACTCAATTCATTGATCCTCTCTTCCATTCATTCTTCTACATGCAGTACGTGTCAAATGAAAGTAGTCATGGCATCAGACTGATCCTGTCTAGACTTAACATCTTCTACCTGATTCTCGAAAAGATGAACACCTTTGCAGAGACAGCTAAATACGACATTTCCAATGTGCCTGGTCAGCAAATCTCGGACGAATATGAACAGAATCGAACAGACGCATGGAGCCAGATTGAAGAATTGGGTATCACGAAGAGGATTATCTCAGTCTGTGAGAGGATCCTCTGATCTTATACTTACCAGCAGAACTAACATTGTGAAGCGAAACTCGTACAACAGAATCGTGCAGCAGGGGGTGGTCCTCTGGCGCGTAACTCGTCAACCACGACTACTTCATCTTATGGTAGCACGAAGGCGCCTCCACAATACACGGCTCCTCCCGTGTCGTCATTCAAGAAATCTCCTCCGCCTTCCCTTTCCGCTGCTGTTGTCGCCTCTCCCCCGCCACCTTATTCCGTCGCTTCTGTGGCTGCTACAAAGCGTGCGCCTCCTCCACCACCTCCACTGAAGCCCAAGCCAGCTGCGAAACCGGCAGTGCAATATGTAGTTGCGTTGTACGATTTCGCTGCGCAGGCTGAAGGTGACCTGTCGTTCAACGTTGGTGATCGAATAGAGATCGTAGAACGGACGGGAAGTGCAGAGGATTGGTGGACGGGGAGGTTGAATGGGCAACAAGGGGTGTTTCCTGGTGTGTTTTTTTTTGTCAGCAGCGATGCTCAGGCGTGATCTGATGTTTTGGTTGTATGTAGGTAACTACGTGCAAGAGACGTAGGTGAAGTGAGACGTACGCGCGCAGAGACCACGAGAAGCCGTATTTATTACTGTGTAGCTATTACGAACAGGAACTGAAGTCATACAGCTTTATCGTCGTCGGAAGCTGTTGTAATGCCGTGAGCGGAACTGTCTTGTGAGGTATCGTCGTGGTCCGTAGCGGCACGAGATGGGGAAGAATCGGGATGGCGATGAGTCGTCGTGTCGAACTTTGGTGGATTGGAGTCATAACACTTTCCTTTGGGCCTTTCCGTCCTTCGGAAGTGCGATAAGTATTTGCCATCAGATGGTAATCACGTCAATTTAGCGGTTCAGAGGTGGCCTTGACGGCAGCGCTTCATTAAATCGAGTCATTCCGCTCGGTGACTTTGAAATTCCGCGGCACCATGAATCGCGTCGCGACACCTGGCGCGTTTTTTGAATTCCGTGGCCACACTGATAGAAGCTGCAGCGTAACTCTTGGGGGTTCGAGTCAGGATAAACTTGGACTCGGGTCGGCAGATTTTGAAATGCAATGTGGCGTCAAGGTGCAGCAGCGGCAAGCTGAACATTCCACGCATACGATGCCGCCCAGCCACCTATGACTGAATTGCGGACTGCACAGTATGTACATGACGTACGAGCTAATTGAGTCTGAGCACTGCATGACGATTTTTTTTAATGGACGGTTCTACATCAGCGAAGTGAGGTGGACGTCGCTCGGGGGCTATGTTTCCATAGAGTTTCCAGCGTGTCAATCCGGGGGGGGATTGTCTGAAATTAGCGCCGTGACGTACATTGTCAATCCGACCACGCAAAATCTTTTCAGATCTACTGCGAGTTTGAGAAAAAGATGAACTACAGCTCGAGGTCGCGTGAAACAGTTACTATTACCAGGACATGTGGCCATCATCAGATAGAGGCTCATTGCGAAGAAAAAATACTATCAATGAAAGCGCCGAATGTCACCTTAGGCGCCTTGGAGGGCTTGGTGACGCTAGGGGGCTGGTGTGCCAAGAAACTCGAAGGACCTTGGCTAGAACTATTTACTTTGGACCCAAGCACGACAAGATGGTGCCAGGACGATACAAGATATCAAGATGGGAGGCAAGCCAGGGAGGACCAAGTACATTACCTACGTTTTGATGCCACGAGGCTGCCCAAAATTAGAAATCAGGAAATTCAAGGATGTGATTATGAGGGGCGGTGACTCACCCATTTGCGGCTGCGCCTTCCGGATTCATCGCCTTGGATTTCTCTACCTGTCGCGTTTTCTATATAACTACCAGCTACCATGGATACTCTCCATTCCATCTTCACCGCCCACAATGCCAGGAAAACACGTATACTTTGGCGACGTCGCCCATACTGTCTTCAAACAGACACCCAGCACTCCTCCCTACCAGCCCTCTATCCCTTTGCCAGCTAATTATGGCGCGTCGTCGTCGGCGCCTAGCCAGTACGGCTCAGTCTGTGCACCATTACCTGCTTGCATGACTACCTTGCACCCCGTTCTTGCTCTCTCCCAGGTTCCCCATCTCAGATTCGACGTCTCTCTTCCCCCCGTGAACATCACTCCCAATAATCGGGCTATCTCCCCCCATGTCTTCTCAGAACCAGCAACCAGCCCAGCTCTCCCCCTCATCATCATCTCATCAACAGCATTTCTATGGCGAATCGACGTCCGGCCGAAACCAGGCTCGCCCTTCGTCACCGTCGCCGACGTTGTCGAGCAGATCTACACCTTTTTACGCACCAACGTGTCGGAGAGGGAGTGCAGCAGGCTCCAGCTGCCTCCACAGACATTGAAGAATGTCTATAGAGCATTCCATGAGAGATACCAACGTATCCCGGACCCTGTCAAGCTCAAGGAGGAGAGGGAGAAGGGTCTCAAGCGGGTAGACTTTTTGCAGGGGCACCATACCTTCATGGGTCTCGCTACCACGGGCGGTGACCGTATGCCTGATGTTTGGCAGCTGTTCGTATCATAGCAGAGTCGAGTGAGCACCTCGTCCACTGTACTCGCCTTGATACCCCTGCTGCCTCTCATACCCCGACAACTGTATTTACTTATATACTACGACGCTGATATGTATTGCATCTTATTCTTACTTTTTACATTATGTATGTACCAACCTTTCGATTAGCATAACAATGAAACCACTGTTCAAATAGCCCCTAAGTTCTTCTCTACCGACACCGCCACAAGAGCACGAGCCTTTTTCTTGCTGTAAAATCACGTACAGGTACGTATGTTTTGCTGTGCCAGAATATCTCCTCGCCATATCTGTCGGTCCGCATGTTCTCAGAGTGTCGTCGGCTCCACTCCTCACATATATTGTGCGGTTGTTATTTCCACCTGTCGTTTGTCAGGTACTGGTATCCTTATTGGATGTTATTGTGAGATCCTCATGTTATGTACCCGAACACATCTTGGGAAAAATGTGATATCCTCGCGGTTGATCTTATCACTGATACTACACCCTCTATTTTAACCTTGAATGCCAGTTCTAGTTCCAAGCGGCGACCATCCTCTGACAGAGATAACGCCACTGGCCACACAACCGTCTGGTCGTCGTCATTCATTTACAGCACGTCAGTCGGCCAGTCCGAACATGCGTTCACCATACAGCATCACAACGTGACTAGATGAATATCAGTTAGGGCGCTAAAGGTAATCCGATGTGAATGCGGGATTGTAAGATAGATAGGTAAGGATGTACGGTAATAACGGAATGATACACAGCGACGCCGGAACACGACAAAATCAGATCTAAAACTGAAACCCATGCGACGAGTACTCATTCGACCCGCCGTATCTGCTCCCTCCATACCCACCACCCCCAAATCTGCCCCCACCAAAGTGAGCAAACAGGTTAGCGATATCTGCCTCCGTCATATTACCCATCCCTCCAAACCCCCCCTCCATACCATCCTCATCATCACCATTGTCGTACCTGCTCCTCTTCTCAGGATCAGAAAGAACATTATGCGCCTCCGCCACAAGCTTGAACTTCTCCTCGTCACCGCCTTTATCAGGATGGTGCTTGAGACTCTCTTTCCTGTATGCCTTCTTGATGTCTGTCGTTGAGCATTCACGCGGGACGCCAAGGATCTTGTAATAGTCCTTTGTCTTGCTCTGCCTCAATGCAGTTTCTGCCTTCCTGAGTTCTCCTTTGAGGGCCCGGACGTCGGCGTCAGTGCTATTTCCATCAGATTGTGCTTGTTGGATGGAGCTCTTGAAATCGGCCACAGCCTTGTCGTAGTTTTCAAGATGCAGATGGATTCGTGCACGCGTCCGGTATGCTTTGAACGACGTCGACATGAGTTCTAGGGATTCCTCGATATCAACCAGTGCTTCGTCGTACCGTTCCAGCTACGGGGCACCGTTAATTAATAAGCGAGAGAAAAGACGTGCAGCTGACTTTGACGAGAGTGGTCGCCTTATTGGATAGCAGGGTCGCGCGTATCTGACCGCCTTTGCCTTCGTCTTCGGACGCGCCGATCCGTTCCAGAGTCTCGCTGTATTTTTCTACAGCTTCTGTTAGCCGTCCAGCTTTGAAGGCTACGTTTCCTTCTTCCTTTAGCCGTTCGACATCCTTAACACGCTTCCGTAGTTGTTGTGCAGGTCCGTATGAGGGATCAAGTCGGAGGGCGCCTTGGACGTGAGTGATAGCAGAAGGAAGTTTCCCGCTCAGGAATAGCACTAGTCCTCGCAATGACAGCACCTCTGGAGAGTTTCCCTTCATTCTCAGCGCATCGCTGTGAGAACAAAATGAGAGTAAGTGAAAAAGAGAAGAATTAAAAACTTTCATACTTTGCCGCTGCGTTGGCCGCATCCCAATTTCCTTTAGCCAGCTCGAGTTCCACTCTCCATACTCTCCAATCGGTGGGTATCTCGTCTCCCTCACTTTCTATGTTTTGGAAACACTTATCCAACGCGATCCGTGCCATGCCCCAGTCCTTTCTCCCTCGTGCCTCGTGGAAATGCTGCAGGTGACCATCGAGGTCGGATATCTTGCTCTTGAGCTGTAGTGCAGCGTCATTTTTAGGATCAATGGAGAAAATGGTATTCAAGGTCGAAAGAGCCGGAGTAGGTGAGCCGAGCGCAAATTGACACCGCGCTAGCCGTAGTAACGTTTTTGGATTGGGAGAGGAAGCTTGCAGCGTTGTGGCCAGCCGACAATCTTCCAGCGCGGGTTTAAATCGCTTTAAGGCCATGCTAGAGGCGGCGCGATTAGTCAAGTAGGATGGTTCAGTGGGATTTAGATCTGAAAAACATTATTTCAGGGTCAGTGGCAAATCAATCCCTCGTGCTCACCGATGGCCTGGGTATACAGCTTTGTAGCTTCCCGGTAATTCTTCGCGCGAAACGCGGCATTTCCCTCTTCTTTGATTCTTTCTGCCCGCGTCTTGGGGTCTACTTCTTCCTCGACAACGACCTCGGCCTCAGGTAATTTTGGTGTAGTCGGCGCCGATGCTGTCGCTGCTGCCTCTCCATTCCTAGTCGTACTCAGCGCCTGCAAGAAAAACAGGTAAGACCTGTCTAACGACGTACTTTGCGTTCTCAGCCTTGGCGGCGCGTCGGGCTTGTTTTGTCTTCTTACTGACCATCCTTATATAAAAAGGAAAGGAAAATACTTACCCTACCGCGCTTGGTCACCTTGTTAGTTTGTCCCCGAGTTGCCATACAGAGACTATTTGGACTCGAGAGAGATGGCAAGCAGCGGGACCCGTATCGGTCCGACTCCGGAAGGTTACATCTTTAGATGCTCTGATTGGTCCAGGCTATCACGTGCCAACGAGCAGAAGTCTCGACCGATTTCGTCGACTTGTCGAATAAAACCATCATCAGTGCACCAGCTGTGTGCACTTTCATCGCTCTTCAAGCCACGATGCTTTCTTCAATGCACTCTCTCCGCCATGCCTCACGACAGTGTGGCCCTTCTCTACTCTTTGCTCGTCGCGCGATGATGTCAGCATACCGCCCGAATCAGAATCTATCACTAGTGGACTCCCCGCCTGTCGTCGTACCGTCTTCGTCGTCGACAACGCTGGACTCGAACGCAGCAGCGCCCCAGGTTGCTGCTCGTCCGCCTCCGGTGCCCAAAGCAGAGAAACCTAGACCAAGGATTAGAGCGACCAAGGCTGCGCTGACGATAGTAAGACACCTTTCCTTCCGTTTGGGTGGTCGTTGATAGTGCTTGAAGACGTCAGCAGCAGTAGAACGCTTAAAGGCACTCCTTCGTGGCCCAACCCCCCAGCTCATCAGAATCGGTGTTCGCAACAAGGGATGTGCCGGACTATCGTACCATCTAGAATATGTTGAAGAGCCGGGCAAGTTCGACGAGGTTGTAGAACAGGATGGCGTCCGGGTGGTCATAGACAGCAAGGCGCTCTTCTCAATCATAGGGAGCGAGATGGACTGGAAGGAAGATGCTTTAAGGTGCGCTTTTCCTCCCACTGTATCGTAATCGTTACTCATCAATCTTAATGTCTTACAGCTCAAAGTTTGCCTTCAAGAACCCAAACATCAAGGATGCTTGCGGATGCGGCGAATCATTCAATGTCGCACCATCGGCACAACCATGAGACGCTTCCAGAGTTGTACGATTCGATTGAAGATGGATTTACCAGTATTGTATTGTTCCGCTCGCAAATTACCTTACTTACCATATTAAGTGTATCCATATACATGCATTTATTCCTCGTAGATGACTTTGACAATCCCACCTCTTTGCACCGTTGTCATACCTCCGGAATCTATTCATCCATCGCATGCTTTGAGATCATGCGTCGAGCTGCGCAAAGCAAAGCACATCGGATACGCGATCTCGAACGTGCTGTCATATCTTCTTTTACTGAATGCAGCTCGCTTCACCACATGAAGTGCTCCACTTGTCTTCACCAATAGATCCTCGATTTACCGTGTCCTGTGACCGGCCCTGACCCTGAAAGGCCTTGCGTGGCCTGATGAGATAACAGTATGCATTGTGGGGAAACTCCGAAAAACGGTGTCAGTGCATCATCGCATTTCCAGTAGCGCATGTTCAGTCGGTGATCTTCCACATCAGCTCTAGGTCTGTGGAACGGCGCCTCAACCTCCTCTGGCCATTAAAATCGAACATCAGCAGTGGCTATAGTGTATACGGCTAGGCTGATCAAGGTTCAAATGATCTTCTGGTCAATCAACATGTCAACAACAGTCAGCTCGCAGATGATCTTGACTTGCACCTGTAAGGTTTATTTATACTTGTTTCTCATTAATCACGTTCCCAAGGCGCGAAGACCCAAGGAGATACGAATATAATGACGATTGGGTATCGGCGTGAGCTGTATTGAATAGCTTTGCCTATAACTAGGGTTCCCTACCCGACGGGAGCCTACGTATTTTGGATGCTCACATAGACGCCGCTCATCTTTGGTTCCGCTGGCCACGACGATTATTCCTGCATCAAAAAAGAAGATTATAGACAGCCCAGCAATATCCCAGAACCTTCAGTCGGAAGAGGGTCTGCCAGCTACGATCAGTGAACACTTTGCTCACTGTTTCTCACGTAACACGTTTACCTCAACATCGTTTCAAGTCAAAAAATAAAGACGAGGACTGGCTCTTGGAAAAAGTTTTCATCGCCTCAAACACAGGTACCTTGTATATCCCTTGTGTCGTACCTGCTGGCGCTTCAATTTTGGACTTTCTCCGCACTTAGATCGGCCTCTTTCGTCGTCTTCTAATCCTTGTCTGACATAATCCTTCAAAGCTTCCCGCCCGGTCAAAGGCAAACACTGTTATCTGCTGATCAATCAAGGATGGCGAACCCATGTCCACGTAGACTTGAACCAGTCAGTTTACCTCGAAGTTGTCGACAGAGATTGCCGAACTGAATCGAGAGACTGACAAGTGCCTAAGATGCAACTATCATATACGTAAGGCCCTGTCAATAAGTGAAAGAAAATGTCGCTTGAAATATGCATGATAGTTATGCAACTTGTAACAGTGAGCACTTAATCATTTCTTTTTTATCCGATTCCGTTAACCCGATTCCTAGCCGCAGTTGTGAGAGCACCGGACATCTGTTAGCTATTGGAGCAATTCAAGATTCACATTTGAGTATATAGCGAGCACTTGTTCCTGTATCATCCAGAAGAGTCAACATGCAGAAATGAAGGTGGATTTGGAATGTACCATGAGTTTCCCGCCAACTATAGATTTTTGTGTCGTAGTTTGACATACTACTAACCTTCTAAAACGTGCTTGAACATCCCTTCTATAAACTCCCGCGTCGCTTCAGCAGCAGGCAATGTGTATATCCTCTGTTGCATGCCGACGGGTAGCGGTTTGATTCTGAGCATCCTCTGTTGCTTGAAATGAAACTTCATCTCCAACCCTTGCCACACACGATCTTTCAGACTTTGCCCGTCCCGGTCAAAAATAAGTACCGTTAGCTTTTGGCCGATCAAAATGGCAATAATAGCGAGTCCACATTCGCCTAAATGCTTTTGACTGGCCCTCATGAGGCCGCTTTTTTTCGCTTGGGATGGAACACAAGAGATCCCGATTCTGATGACGGGTGGGCTGTACCACCTGACATTGAGTCCGTATTCTTGGTAGTCTCGCCGAAGGAGATCCAGGGGAGTGAGATGGGATAAAGAGAGACGCCTTCGCATGAGCTCAGCGGTAAGAGCCTGTACCTCAGGCAGACTTTTGATAATATCGGGCGAGGGCCGTTCACACGTGGTCTGCAGGATAGAACGGGGAAGCAGAAAAACCACTGCATCGATGTCAACTTGCTCGACGTTATCCTTTAGGCCGTTGGTATCTAAAAGAATAGCGCACAGAAGAAGGGTGGCGGGCTCGGGAGGCATCCATTCCGGACACAGAAAAGTGACGAGTGAAGCACAACTTCCCGCTGTAGCAATGGTACGTTCAGCGGTCCGAGTGTACAAGCCTTCGTCAGAGTGGTGGTCAATGACTCTCTCGATAACACTGTTCCCATACAGGTGCTCGCCGTCCGAAGTTGGCTCCGTGGTGATGACTCCGGAAACAAACATTGGATCAACACGGTTGTGATCAACGAGAATGAGTCTGTCAACCGGAAAAGAGCCGGGAGTTGATATCTCATGCTCGAGGTCGTCCAAAAGTAGGAGCTGATCCTCTGGAGAATACACGCCTGCAAGTTGCAAGGCGTAGAGATTTTCTGGTCGTAGGGATAGTTCTCCTTTTGTCGACCGTATCAACGCGACCGACGGGATACCATAATCCCACGCATATACCCATGAATATACGATCGAACAGGCAATGCTATCAAGGTCTACAACCGGTAAGACTTCGTTACCACATATAAACTATGAATGCACTGCACCTGAAATTTCATTGCCAATCACGAATCGCCAGTCCCTGGCTAGCGTCGGCGTTTCCGAGAGTACTTGAGCAAGAAAGGACTGCTTGCTTTCCGATAAAAAGTGGCCCAGTCTGTTCCATGGTTTCTGCTTGAGCTGAAGGTCTGACGACCTAGATCGCCTCAACGTCAACGCCGTGAAAATTTGTCGCATATAGACAGGTTTTTCTGAACGCACGGGCCCACGCCATATGTCCCATTCTGATGATGGTGATGGCAAGAAGGACGTCAAGTTCGAGTTTGGTCGTGTTTGACTGGAGATATCTCAAACCCTGCTCTATACCGCCACTATCCACGCCATTTCATCCGTACATACTTTTTTTCGCCCTCTTCTCTGTCTCTCTATTCTGTCAAATGAAGGTCCATGCCTCTGTCAAAGGTACTCTCACCTCCAAGATGGGATGCAGTCCCAAGTCAAACATTCATGAGACGCGCGAGAATTCATGTTCTCCTGCAGTCCTCGTTACCCCTTCGTCGACCGCTTCTAGACTTTCTATCACCCGATCTTCTCCCCTGTATGAATTTCTCCTTGCGCTTCCCTCTGTTGAACTCTCTGACGTCGACTGGGAGCTTCGGGCACGAAATCTAGAAAGAGAAAACGAGAAGCTGAAGAAGGAAGCTCTGGTCACAGAAGAAGAGTACAAACGGTTACAGAGACTATACTCTGACCTTCCGAAGAAGTCCTAATCGATGAGTATCATTGGGAAAATCGAGCGCAAAGACAAGAAACAGGCGAGCCTTCTTATCTATCATCTTCTTGTACGCATTTTCTGAAAAGTAGCCAGCATATATAGATATATTCTGTCACAAATTTTACCGTTTTTAAGGATAGACCTTCCTCGCGGCCAAGGATTAGCCGTGACAGATTTGTTTCTCGCATTCCAGTTCGCATTCAAACTACTCCTTCAGCTTCAGACGGTAGTCCCTCACCTAGAATTTCTCCTCTGTGTCTCAGCAAGACGCATGTGCTGGAAACGCCATCGCTGCTTATGTCGCCTGCCGTCATCCGCTGTTCCACACAAAAACCTGAACCCAGTTCATCTACGCCTCCTCCTCGCTCAGCCATCCGAAAGATGAAATCTGGAACTTCTTTGAAATCTGCGCCTAACAAGAACTTAATTTGCCCCGCTCCACTTGCTACCCGTCGTATTAATTTAAGGTCCGTTTGTTCTTCGTTTCCTACGCCAGTTCCGCAGGCAAAATGTGTAGGTGTGCATAAGAACACATGTAGGAAGAAAAAGCCGGATTGGACTTAGAGGAGGCAGCTTGGCTTGGCGGGTGGTTATCCATTGAATTCTTTGCTTTGCGCTGGATGTTGTCGATTTACTATTCTCCACTAGGACTTGATGATTGAATTAGGATCTGTTCTGTTCCATCTGTCCCAATCTTGGATTCCGGCTCATTCGAGGATGCATATCGAAACACGACGATTCTTCGCTTGGACCATCTACGATGGGCCTTGTGGGTAAAATTTCCACTAGCTTGAGGTAATCTGCCTCATAGAGGAAGGACGCATAGCACTTGGAAGCATGTTGAATCTCCGGATCAAGGTCACAGGGATTGATCTATCCACCGAAAAGTTCATAAGCAGTTACTCAGCAGCTAGGATGGTGGTCTTTGCTCTCCAGACTTGGCCTATGCAATGCTCAACGATTGACCGCTGCATGGGATGAGACTGAACAGGATGGGAATTCTGTCCAGCTGGATAGTTGCGATCTATATACAGTGCACCCTGTCTAAGCCTACCAGACCAGTGCGGTCCATCATCTGACTCTGAGCCTGAAAAAGAATCCAAGTCCATACGCTCTTGTACAGTCTGTGTCTGAGCCTGAGCACGCTGAGTACCAGGTTCCGGACATACATCTTCCCAATCAAGTCAGGACCTTGGTGAATAGCAGGTACGGCTATTAATAACTTACCAGTAGCGAAGTTAGGCGTCAGTGACTCAGCACAGCACAGGCGTAAGCCATCGCTGCACGGCCTTATCCCATCTGCGTTTCATGGTCCAGCATACATCATATCAAGATGACGATCCGACTAGTGAAGTTCATGGTCTTTGATATTATACAATGAAGTGTTCTTAGAGAGTCCAGAGCCAAAAGATCTCCCAATGTCATCCACTTTATCTGTAGGTTATCCCCCTCCCCCTGCCAGTGGGCTTAACTATCTTGCGGTCATTCGCCCGTCCCTCAAACTACTGCTTCTATGCTCAGCGTGGTCTTCAGCATTGGTTTCACTTCTCTTCGCCTTATTTCTGTTCTCCTCCAGGTCTTTGAAGAGAGCGCCGATTTTCATGCTGAATGTCACGTCCATTATCACGGGGTTAACATTGGGAGTTCTTGACTATTATAGTGGGGTGAGTGCTATTTCAGATTGGCCTCATGCGTAGACTGCTAAGAGATTATGAATTTCGCAGGTAACGGCAATCTTGTCTCCGGATTTAATAATCCCAGGCGCCGCTGTCATCGCACATTCGGTTGTCAGTGCACTGCCACTCTTTACCGAATCAATCTTGGTAGTCAGAGTGCTGACTGTGTACCCTCTGAAAAGAACACCTCGTCTGATTTTAGCGATCGTTTACATCCCACTGTGTTTCCTGAAAGCCGCTCGGCTTATCAACATCTTGATCTTCTGGAGTGTATGGTTCCCAACCATCGTAGCGGGGGGTAACCCTATCGCTGTTGCACAGCAGTCATGGGATTTTCCCTCGGACAAGATTGAATGGTTTCTGCAGATATTCGACAACGGGTAGGTTGCTATATGGCGTATAATTTGTTGTATTTGATACTGGGCGTCAGATATGCTTCAGCACTCTTTCTCTACCGCCTCAGAGGGAGTCGTAGTATTAATGGCCGGATCGACTGTACTAGACGGCCTGCTAGTAAGTCGTGGGGACATGCATTTGAAGTTGATTATTGACCGTGTTTATTTAAGCTTCATATTCAAAACACCTCAGTGCCTTGTTCTGGATCTCCGTATCCAACTTTGTCTTCCTCGTCATGATTTCATTTGTCCAGCTCACTTTTGCCTTCTCTGTCCATCTTTTTCTGGACGCTACGTACATCATCATGTCCAACATATATTTCGAAATAATTGCCTTGTTGCTTGCCTCCTCTGCAGGTAGCAGATGGTCAGAGGAGCAACAGGCCACCACAGGATTGAGCGTGTCCGTCATAAACTCTCTTCCTCGTTTTGCGACAGGTACTGTATCCGCTGGAACTGCCGCAGCACAAGTTTCTAGTACGAGGGGATTTGAAGTATTCGAACATAATAGCAAACCTGACATGGCCGTCGCCATCCATTCTCATACTTGCAAAAAGTACGAACTAGGAAAAGATGTAGAGTTCGAGGGGACCAACGCTTGACAGAATGTAGAAAACTTATTTAAATAAGAGGGCACCTTACTTTTTGTACGATATTCATGTACTCACAGTCGTGGTTGACTCGGTTATATTATATATTTATCAACAATTTATTAGTATTCTGTGATGTTGGTGTCTGTCAAAGTAATATTTTCTAGTGCGACTAAGTCCTGCTACTAGTTAGCGCTGGTGAACGTCTGGGACCTTTGATCATGAATTTTCACGCAATCTGCTGTTTTCAGGGAATGCAATAACCTGGAAAATGATATCCAGTCCGACAGATGCACAGAAGCGGGAGTTATTATGCGCGACTGCCCTGCTCAATTGTCCTACTTTGTTAACTTGTGAAAAATTTTTATCGATGTGAGGAATGTACACTCCACCCTTTCTGGCTTTTCTTGCAGCTGTGTTTCTTTCGGAGCCTGCCTGCGTCCACGTTCTCTTCTAGGACAAAGAAACACATCGAGCAAGGCATCTTCCACCGGTGCCACTTTTGGGACCCTACCGTTCAAAACGCGTATTTGCAAGTTTGTGTACGCCACACGTTTACATGGCATCTGTTAACTCTTCGAGTAGCCTTATTAGCGTAGAGTTAGAAGTCCCGAATAGGACAATTGTGGTCGTGTCTCCAGAACACTTACCGGTAACCCTGCAATTAGGCTCGGTGACATGAATGTGTAGGTATTGTTACCAGGGTAGTTGAATTCTTATTACTTACTTATCTTTTGGTATGTCAATCGTTGTTATCCTTGGGAACATTTTGGTCCATCAATGGTCTGCCGGGAATCGTTGGGAGGCCGTAGTGGCACGTGGTATATATTTTGTGCCTTTGCGACACTGACCACAGTGACAATTGCCTCGAGCTCGGCTGTCTTGGTGGTACAGCGGGTCGTACTTATAGCGTGCACTGTGCAGTGGTCTGCCGGCATTGCTCGCATTTCAAGTCGTCGAGCCCTTTTCTCCATTATACCCTTTGTCGTCGACCATCGTCTCGACGCTTTCACCAGTCGCTTCTCTCGCCCTGCCGTCGTTGGTATCGTTCGACTTGTTCACCTTCATCTTATTCCTCGGTGTTTTCTCAGGATTCGCAGACCATGGCGAGGCATCGTGACGCTTTGCCAAGGCTCAATATACCTGCCTCGCTCAATATGCAGCAGCCCATGCAGACGATGTATTCGCCAGCCCTCCCGACATCTATTCAGCAGAGCTTCCACCCTCCTCTTCCTATGCAAACCCCAATGCAAAACTTTTTCCCCCAAGTGCCGTCCGCCCCAGGTCGACCAGCCCATCACGCTGGACAGGCCAGCGTCGCCCAACTCGCAGCTGCTGGCATCCACCCTCCCAGCGGTTACCCCATGACGCCCATGGGCGGCCACTTTTCGCGGCCTTCCATGATGATGAATGGTCCACCTGGTGGCCATCCTTTTCCAGGTAGAAACAGGAGACAGCTCAGCATTGGAGGTCCTCCCAAGGCCGTTCTGGGAGGACCGAATCGTAAGCTGAGTCCTATACCCCCTGCTGCAGTAACAGCTACTGGATCAAGCACGTCCCCCGCGCCACAAGTTAAGCCGAAAAAGATCGTCGTCAATCTCCCAAAGGAGGATATCACCGGAGATAATGGACAAACGGTCTGTCGCGCTTCCTGGGCGAGGAATCCTCTGGACGACCCCGTTATTCTACCACTTCCCGACGTCGCACCTGTAGAAACCTACTCAATAAAGATATACCCTTCGGATGACTGGAGATTTGATATCCCACCAACCATTGATGTCTTTTTGCCAGGCAAGGTTAGGCTATCTTTATTGTTATCGTTCCCTCTACCTCTGTTGATTTGACATAACAGAGTGCCTGGGACGCGATCAGACAGATGGCTATAGAGGAGAAATTGGAGAAGCTGGGTGTAGAGCGCGGGTCGGGGAGCAATGCACCGCATATATATGCACCTCATGCTCGTGCAGCATCAGTATGTCACTTTGCTGCTTCCCATGCTATTCGTTTCATCTTCTGTTCTAGATATCTTCGCCCGCAGACCCTGCCCTTCTGCTCTTCAAGCTCAACAAACTCCAGCAATCTCAAAATGCGTCATCCAATAATTCTATGGCCCCTTCTCCTCAACCATCTTTCGGCATGTCACCATCACCACATCAACAGGGACCAAGATTTATGATGAATAGACACGGTCACAGCATGTCATTGGCGCAGCCACCTACACAATCTCTATACCCTTACAACAACGGACCTCTTGCTGCGCTGAATCCGTTCGGACATGATGCCGTTTTAGGTTCTGATCAGATACCTTCGCGTTCGCCGCGTGTTTCCCCCGGCCCTCCTGGCATCGGCGAAATCCACGCTCCTCAAGGACGTGTCCCTGTTGCACTTCCATCTTTGGCTCCACCAGCTCTGTCCACTAGTCGCCCCGACAGTAGGCCAGATTTCAATAGAGGGTTTGGCCTTGATATTCCCGAAGAAGAGGAGGAAGAAGAGGAGGAAGCCGTAGAAGGCGAGAACATGACCCAGACCGACTCTGATGAAGAAGCCTTTGATGAAGAAGTTGATGACGACGGGGATCGGGGAACGGAGGACGCTGGTCTGACAACGGCTTCGCAGGGCCAATACCATTCAAGACACACATCGAAATTATCGGCTGCGCTCTCGCTCAGGTCGTTTGGCGTGTTCAACGTCGATGGAACAAACGAAAGGACCGATTTGGAGCCAGTAGCTGATGGAAACATCAGCGTGGAGGAGAAACATGATTTGGATGGTGTCGAAGAGTGGACGGGGTCGGAGGACGTATTTATGGGCCATGAAAGTTCGGAAGATGAGGTGTGTGGAGCCAAATTCTGTTCCCTCTGTGCTAAACTTTCGCTCAGAGCATTGGCGAGTGGTCAAATCCTTCTGATGAAGAAAGGGCGCGGCAGCAACATCTGGAACGCAGGACACGGCGCCGGGCGTTACAGCAAGATGCTGAACAGCCGAGACGCATACCTAACTTTCCTCGTCCGCCGGAAAACACCATGGTAATGTCTGTACCCGGAGAGGCTGATATTATATCGAATCCCAGTGAGGAAGAACAATTGCAGGACCACGAAGGTTATCTTAGCGTGCACAATTATTACGAACGTCCTCCTTCAAATATGAGTGGACGATCGTCTCGACCTCTTCCTCCCCTCCCCCACTCTCGTTTACCTTCTGGCCAGCATTCTATCCATGACCCAGCCCAAGCTCATTCGCGCCATTCGTCAGATGTTAACTTTGGGTTCCCTGAACCGAAGCCGGCCGTTCCTCGTCTTAATCCTAACGCTAAACCATTCGTTTTCGGCGCTCCGCTGGAGAACTCATGGAAGCCCGACTCTTTCACTGGCTCCGGCGACCACACACACTCACGTTTTCCGTCCTTCGGCAAACCTCTCAATGCCAGTGCTCAGGAATTCAAGCCAAGTGCATTCACATTCAAGGCCGTAGGTCCTGCTTTCCCCCTTGCAGAACCTTTCCGGCCGCTCCCTGTTCCCCCTGTTAGTGAGTCGTCACCATTTCGGGTCCAAGGTCGCGAAAAACGTAGACGCCATGGATCAAACGAGTCTGTGGAAGAGGGAGATAGTATGGCGTCGTTCAAGTTCCCTCCACCCGCAGATTCTCCTGTGGACTTGCGTCAGATGCCATTGCCACGTCCTGACAGATCCGGACATTCCTCCCTCAACCCGTCTGTGGAGCCGTTCACGTTTGCTGGCTTTTCGGCTGCTGCGACTTTACCACCTATACCCCCTGCGGACCCTGCTGAGGAAACTTTTGAAGACGAGAGTACTGCACGCGCCGAGTACGGTGATTCCCAAATGGATGCATCCGTCCTGCCTTCGAGTTCAAAGGCGAAGCGGGCACCTATACCGCTGGACTTCATGCACACCGTATCGAATAATACCGTTCCCGCGGGTTTGTTCAAAGCCCTAGTCAACAACGGTGGGGATGAACGCACTCGCCGAACTGTGCGGTCACGACTCAGTTCTCGCGAAATCTTTGACCACGTTTCTCATCCTTCCTTGGATGATCTTAGTGTTCCTGCCATCTCTCACAAAGTATCCCGAAGCAGATTGGTCACTGATCCTGGTCAAAGGCAAGTCTCTCCTACTGAAGATGTATTTGGTTCCACGCGTCATTCCCGACGACGGTCGTCGCTTCCTGATGCTCTTCATCCTTTCCCTTCAGGATCATCCATTTCAGAGACCTCGGTCATCCACAAGGACCTGACAAGCCGGTTTGAGCTGCATAGAATCGAAGATCTGCTCGATGAAAAAATTGCGGTCCTTCGTCACGACATCAGAGGAGGATCTACACTGAATCCCAACACAGAGGCTATGATTAACGAGGTTCTTTCGCTGTTCAGGACTCAGCTCCGTGATTCCGCCACGCGTAGTTTGGAAGATACTCAGCTGGATGCGCGGGGTGAATTGGATTTCCAATTGATAAAGGATGTCATCGAACAGGCCCATGCTGAAACGCTTGCTCATCTCAAGCAGGAGCTTAGCAGTATATCCCAGACCTTCGATAAAGGACGTCCTATCTTGAATCCAGGCGTTCCGGACGTGACTCTGGAGCAATATAGCACCCGCACGATTCAGGCAATCAATGAAGCGATATCTGAAATGTCGGTCCGCTTGGAATCTATTGGACGGGCAGCCCCGGCGAGGGAGCGAGATGCCATTGTGGACGCTGTAGTATCCGCCTTATCTCCTGTTCTCAGCTCTATCCGTTCGGATTCGGTGGATTACGACTATCTGTCCGAGAAGCTCTCTCACGCAGTTAAACCCAACATATCCCAGCTAATTGATCTTGCATCAGATAAACGCGAGACGGCCGGCCTCATTGTTAAGCAGTTAATCCCTCTTTTGCCCAACCTGCAGGAGCCTAGCCCTGCTGTTGACACCGACGCCATCAGCCTTCAACTTACATCTGCTGTCACCCGTGCCATCGCTCCAATAGATGCTTTCGAAATCAAGGAGCAGGTCGCAGACCTCGTCGTCGAACGTCTTGACGCTCGCCTCGCCAACCGAGACAAGACATTGACTCTGGACGGGATCGCGAGTCGCGTAACCGATAGTATTTCGGGACTTTTGGAGCCTCTTCAGAGTATCAACAACACATTGTCGACACTTGTCGAAGGACAACGGTCTCTCGCTTCTCAGCAGTCAGATTTGTCTTCGGCTCAGGGCGACGTTGTGGCCAACATGACAGATCTTCCGTCAAAAATTCTGTCTGCAGTACAAGATATCGGAACCCAGATTGAACTGTTGTCGAAGGGACAAGTCAACGAGGATAAAGTCACTGCTCCGGATGAGAACATCGTTCATATTAAATCGGTCATGGATGGCCTCACGGACAAGCAACGCACACTAGCGGAACAGAGTGGGGAGATATTAGGACTTCATAAAGATGTCATTCAAAAGATCAACGCTCTTCCGGAATCATTCTCCGTAGCCACCAGCGTGCTTCAGCAGGCACACGCCGAATTTACATTGTCTAGAGATGCGGTCAAGCACGAGCTTGAAGACCTCAGGAAGACCAACACCGACTTGCAAGTCCAGGTTGCCAAGGCTCGAGGCGCGCATGGACAGGTTCGTGTCGAGAAGGAGGTGCTCTCTGAGAAGTTAGGCATTGTGGAGGCTGATCGGGATCTATTGCGGACCCAACTGAAGGACTTGCAGGATTCGGTTGCGGCAAAGGCCGAAGAGAGTGCAGTTGTCGATATCCGGAATACAGAATTGCAAGATGCTCTAGCGAAAGCTCTTTCACGCCTCCAATCTTCTGATGTTGCCACGCAATCTAATCAAGAACGAATTGCTGAGCTTGAGAAAGCTAACCAAGAGCTGTTGTTTGATAAAAGGACATTGAAGACCAAGGTAAATCCGTCATTTTGTTCCGACATATGACAAGTCTGACATACTGTGCTAATTATTAGATTGATGCTCTTGAAATGAAGGTGGCGTTTGCTTCTCGCGACAAGGATTTGGCAGAGGAGACCATCGCCGCCCTTCGCAAGCAAAATGAGGATCTCACCACGAATTCAAGTCAGTGGGATAGCCTCCGTCAGGCCTCAGAACAAATCCAGGTTATTGCGAACCTTATGCACCAATCTGACGATGAAGAGCTGCAGGAGCTTAAGTGCATCCGCGATAGGTCGAAGTTGCTTGAAGGAGAACACTCGATGTTGCAGAAACGTTTCAAGGATCAAGAGGGACGACTATCTAATGTCGAGAGGGCTGCGTTCACGGCCCGCCAAAGTCTCTCTCAAGCACAACAGCGGGCTAGCGAGTGGGAAAACCGTGCCAAGGAGTATGAGGGTAAGCTTGAGCACACGCAGACGATGCTGGACCAGGCGGAGCAGACCCAAGCTCAATTGGACGCTGATTATTCCTTGGTGAAGATGCAGGTAGAGGAGCGGGAGGCGGATGAGCGCTTGGCGAAGGTAAACTTGCTGTCTCATTATCATGTATCCTTCTGACAGTTTTATTATTTACTCAGGACCGAGAAGCCCGCTTACGTGACCAAATCAGCGCACTCGAAGCCAAGATCAGAGTCATGCAAACCGAATTCGAGCGTTCTAGGAATGCAAACAGCAAAACGCCAACAATCACCATACCTCGAAACGGTATGCCGCGTCCCGACTCTCGTACGAGTACGGAGTATAGTCGTTCGCGATCGGTGACACCGAATGGACATACGCCTCCTCAGTCATCTGTATGGGACTCCATGCACGCGCCAAAGAGTAATGGGGTCCATCCATCTCCCTACACTCCTACTCCATCTCGATATCCGACTGCTTTAATCCGCGGAACACCCAGACGACGATCTCAACTGCCGCTTGCGCCTCCCTCGCCTACACCGAGTACAATATCCCTAACGCCAACTGTAGATGAAGACGGCTGGTGGAGATAAAATTCTCGGACAGGTTCTTTTCGCTGACCCTATTTTTTAACGTTGCCAATCATCCATGTGCATTATCATTCATTCATCTATGGCTATCCCTGTTGTCGGTATTCTACATACAGTCTTGCTTTTATACATTTGCATCACCATCTTTCATCATTCGCTATCACATTGGTTTCCTATACTCACGTTACTATTCCCAGATCTTTCAGGTCTATTACCCACCCTACTATTGATTGTACATAAATACCCTCTCTTTTTCTCATTGTACACTCGGAAATGGAATTGCATTACTATGTCAGTGTGTAAGTGTATGGTGCATGTATTATATCGGAACAACATCTGGTAACCGTAAACCTGGGCGGATGGACGAAATCGTCATGTCGTCTCTGTGGGTGGGGCGGGCGGAGCCAACTTCAACCACACATTCACTACGCGCTCGGCTTCGATGGGATCTTCCGGAATCCTGGAATTACTGTTAATATCTTGACGCGAAGATAGATAGAATTGAAAGATGCATACTTAATCTTTGGTTCCCATCTCCCGTCCTTCTGGACGAAAAATCTCGGCACGTGTTTCTCTCCATGATGTGCCATGGTCTTCCTCTTCTCTCTCTGGGCGTCCTCAATTGCTGATTTGGCAGTCGTCGCCGCCTCCATATCTTTGTCTAAAATAGCCTTTGTCAGATTAGTCCACAGTCTGCGGGACTCGTTGGGCTCCTGCTCTTCCTCAGAAGGGACCCATTTAGGCGATATATTCTGTCCGTCTTTAACGGCATCAAACAAAACGCGCCGCGTCGTCGTCTAAAGGGGTGCTCGATCAGGGAGGACCAAGCGTAAAATATGATGTATGCTGACCTTGACGCTCTTGAAATCCATAACATGACTCCACCGCCCCGACACCTCACCAATTTCTGTCAAATTGCGACGGATCTTGCCGCTGATAGCATTATACGTTCCAGAGAAGAAGCCCTGGATAACGTTAGCAAAGAAGGAATTACGGTAAAAGATGGAAGGCCATACTTTGGTTTTAAACTCAAGGTCGCAATATAGCCCGTGTTTCTCATTCTTAGCAATACATGTATCCCCCAACTCTAGAACCATTTTTCCAAATAGTATGCCGCGTGCGTACATGTTGGGCATGGTAATCACGTACTCTGTTGGATGTCAGCGCACAGCCGCATGCAGGAACGAAACGAGGGAAACGCACCTCCATCTTCCGGCTTGCCTAATAGCAAGATCCTGTTTTCGCCCTCCATCGTTGTCGACACGCTGTTTCCCAGGAACTTACTCTTGGGCCGCAGCTCGCCGAGAATAATAATACGGTTGGCAGGGGAGATGTAGTAGAATGCCGACACAGGCGGGTGATGGGAGACTTGTTCCGCGACGTAGTATCCGTGTGTACCATTGGGGTAGTCATACCGACATCGAAAGAATTCTCCAAGAATAGGATTATAGCTGTATGCAGTCAATGTGAGGAAAGAAGGTTTGAGAAGAAGGGACGCACGGCTTCTTGACGCCCTTTGGCTTGATGTGCCATCCTGCTAGGTAGTACTGAAGGACACGTAAGAACCGCTCCTCTGGATCCTCCATATCCTCCGCGCTGTATCATTCCACGAAATTAATGAGAATTTGTTGGGCAGCTAAGGGGCGTACCCGAAGATAAGATCTGGATGCGACATAAAGTCGGTTATGCGCTCGAGCATGCTGCGAGGTTCAAGGACAAAAGTGGGAAAGGTAACTCTTGAAAGGTCCATGCCGACGCTGCAAAGACCTGAATTTCTGTCGAGACAGGGAACGACAGCGAGCATACCGTAGCTGGGAGATGAGAGAGGTGATAATCGAGCCTTCATTCTCGTCTCTGCACGGCGGTGAGCGACCTAATTGTCTGCAAAAGGGCTGGATGCTCACAGAATGGACGTATCGTCTGGCTCGGTGTCGGTTGGAACGCCCTCATCGTCGCGCTTGCCTGTTGCGGCGGCGCGCAGGTGCGAACTGGCTGAGCTGAAGAGGCCCATCATGGTATACGGGTAGAGGGCTGGATGGTTGGCTGGCTATATGCAGCCGCGGAGAGGGAAAGGTAGCTGTTAGTAATGGCGATGCTAGTAGTCCGGGGGAACCAGATATATGTGTTCCAGACAGGGGACTTGCGGCTCAGCTTCGGGTCCTTGATGTCATCAATGTTATGTATTGTATAATCTAAACGTCCTTCTAAAAGACAATCTTTTTCCTCCCCACTGGCATCTCTATGTTGTCTCTGAAAAACGCCCCGTACGCGCTGTGTTCCTTCTTTTTTATCGTCATTGGGAACTTACTCCGGAGCTCCTCATTATCGTATCCACCTTCCCTCAGCACCCTCGCAAATTCACCAGCCAATGATTTTTCGTGCGCTGCGCCCGTAAAAAATGTTATCGACTTGCCGGTACGACCACCACGACCTACAGTGAAAACATCATCAGAAAAGAGGAGCTGATGACGACGCCCTCTTACCAGTTCGCCCAATCCGGTGTACATAGTCCTCAACTTTTAAAGGGAATGTATAGTTTATCACCACACCAACATCAGGAATATCCAATCCACGAGCAGCCACGTCTGTGGCCACCATGACATTGGTCCGTCCCGTTTTAAAATCCTCCAGGGCTGCCGTTCGAGCCGGTTGCTTCATGTCCCCATGCAGTTCGCTGACACGGTATTTTTCACGCTTCAACAACACTGCTACGCGAGAAGCCTCAGCCTTGTACAACGCGAAAACAAGAACACGATGCGTGGTACCAGCCATCTTGTTTGGCAAAATCGTACGTAGATGCTTGAGTAACCGGGTACTAAAGAGGTCGGTCAGGGACAGTATCCGGAGACATGTGGTCACTTACTCTTTACTTCGTTCGTCATCGAAAACTTCTACGCTCTGTTCCACCCGGCCATTGGCGGTTAAATCTTCGCTACCAACAGTAATCCGCACTGGATCACGCTGGAAAGTGCTGGCAAGTCGCCTAATCGACTCGGGCCATGTCGCGCTGACTGTCAGAAACCATATAAGTCGGACCGCAAGCCAAAAGCAACCAGGAAAAAAACTCACACATCATCGTTTGTCTCTCCTCGTTCTTTTTTGTACACGAGGTAATTTGCCTAATGGCATTCTCAAATCCCTGGTCCAACATCCGGTCGGCTTCGTCCAGAACCAGATAATCCACTCCACCCAACTCACAAACTCCTTCTCCAATTAAATCCAATATCCTTCCCGGCGTACCAACAACAATCCTCGTGGTGACCTTGTTCCCCTTGGCCCGCATCGCGTTCCGGAGCATTTTGATCTGAGCCTCCTTCGGCGCCCCGCCATACACGGCAACACTGCCGATCCCAAATGGCTTCCCGAGTTCTTCGAGAGCATCGTGTGTTTGCATAGCCAGCTCGCGAGTGGGTGCCATAACGAGGGTAGTGACGCCGTCTTTACTCGGCGGGTTCCTGATCAATTTTGCGAGAGCAGGGATTCCGAAGGCGAATGTTTTGCCGCTACCGGTTTCGGCGATGCCGACGACGTCGCGCCCCTCGAGGGCGGGTGGCCAGGCGCAGGCTTGGATGGGGGTGGGGGCAGGGAAACGGGTCAACGGCATACGGAGGCTATCAGGAATGGGAAGCTGGGCAAAAGTAAGGTATGGCGTGATGGATGGCGTGCAGGTAATGTTGTTCTTGGTGAGAAAAGTAGTTATATCGGATTCCGTTGTCATACTTTCGACTTTGTTAGCCTTCCTCATCTTCTTCTCTGCAGAAACTAAGCGCAATGTTAGCATCAGACAGTAGCATGTATGCGCCTGACAACATACATTCGGAAACCTCGAGATTCTCATTAGAAGCCTCATCTCTTTTTCGTTTCTTCTTCTTTTCCTTTTTGTTTATTAATGAAGAGTCTACAGTTTCTGTTTCCGAAAAAGCGTGAGTCGTGAATTTATAGGATGACACCGTACGCACGGTCAGGTGAAGGTTCCTCCGAAGACTTTGACGACTTCTTTTTCTCCTTTTTGCCTTTTGACAATCAGAATAAAGCATTCAAACAGGGACAGACGCCTCACTTTTAGCACCATCTTCGACCTGCTTGCTTGAGGGATCAACGACCTCCATTGCTGCAACATGTTAATGACAAATTTGTTTACTTGAAGTTGACATACTTTGCGATTCTTCCAAGTCAGCATGCTTGGCTTTCTTTTTCTTTTCAGACTTGGCTGTGAGAAATCAGGATCGTCAATTCACATACGACGGAATACTCACAATCAGCATCGCCATCTTCAGCATGTTTCCGCTTTTTCTTCTTCTCAGAAAGACCCTCCGCGGCACCTGTGTTGGTGTTTTCAGCTTGAGAAACGCTGGAAGTAATCCAGCTTCAGATCACCTTCGGAGTGCTTTTTCTTCTTTTCCTTCTTCTTTTCCGGTTCGTCTACAGGTATGGCTTCATTTTCTACGAGTATTGTGCCTTTTGGGGGCTTGAGCAATGCATCGTTAGACATTATTGAAGGATTAATATTCTTTCGTGAAAGATGATGGAAGAAAATATGAAATGTTTGGTGATGATTGGTAACATGGCGTTCCTGAATTCTGCTAATGTGTATCATACTTTCCCTGGTGTTTCTGCCATTCTTTTGTCCTCTGGAATATACCCTAACGTTGGTGATTCATGCATTTGGTCAGTCAATTGGCTATTCATGAAGTCTTTTGAAGTCTTTGCATGTACATGGCCGGAGACTTGTTACTTTTTCGAAAGGTCCATATCTGTCCATATATATGGATTGCTTGTCACCCATATATAACTTCAAATCCCGAATCCCCGCCCTTCAGACGCACTGAGAGAATCGGAAATACCGTCCAGCATCCATTGGACAACCGAAATAGCTGGTAAACATTTGTCGGTTATCAATGATTCGCGGTCAGTTGGGCCGTATATTTTTGGTCAGACTACCCGAACCCTTTCAGGCTAGCAGTCGATCCATATTTGATGGTATCTCGTGTCGGTGATCTCTTAGCGCGTAAACTACGAGTTTTATCTTTGTTTGTTTTTTATCGCTCTGCCAACACTGAGCAGCATGTGAGAACGGAGATAAAACAGAGGGTGCCAAATTTAGTCGATTGTCAGTTGTTTGGCGATGACGTTGATACGGAGATTTTGGTCTTGTTAAGCATAGATAATAAATTGACAAAAAGACAAAGAAAAAGAGCTGTTGTCTTGTTGCCCAATGACCACAGCCACGGTAGAAACAACAAGCAAGTTGGGCAAGGCAGCGGATTAGATGAAGGACCAAGCACGTGGACAAAAAGATGGACATAGCACAGCCACGCTACATCCAGCTCTTTTACCTTCGACCACTCACCCGCTATGGGACTGTTGCGCCTCTCCGTAACGGTGTTCCCCAGCTGCACGTCTCCCAACGACGCTTCACACCGCTCTTCAATGACGTCCTCTTCTTCACCCCCTGACCATCCAACGCGTCCGTACCAGGAATCGCCCCATTCATCACCATCGCTCGCGTCGTCCCCGCTGTCCTCCTCCTCGTCCTCCTCCGATTCCTCTTCGTCGCGAAAAAGAAAGAGCCTAGAAGCCGCCAGTGACATTCCTCGTGACCAAAAGCGCGCCAGGTCTGTGAAACCCAAGCACAAGCCTCGCAAGCGCGCCTCGCCTGACTCAGATGACGACTGGGGGTCAAACAGCGGTGACGCCCTCTCCCTGCCGCCCATTTATCGGTCTCGCTCGACGTCTTCTGTGCAGTGTACAGCCGAAAAGACGCGCAACTGCACCATTAAGGCTGATGGAGACCCGGCGAAGACATCCCACGTATCGTCCTTGAATGCCGTGAAGGATCTTATGCGGACATATAAAGCTTGTACGTGGCAGCTCTGCTGCGCGATTTCTCTCTCTCTGATGGCCAAGGCAGATTTTTCAAATCCCCAAGACCCGGAGGACTACTCTTGGAAGCCACATCCTATTCACCCACCCACTGGCGAACTTGAATACCCAAACAACGACGCCTGTGAAGAATTTATTCTCCTTGAGCCCAAAGACAAGGACCATTACAATCCAATCATGGATCTCGAGAGGTCGTTATACACCATTGTTGACTGCTACATGTCACCAGCACAGCAGGCCATATTTGGCACTCTGCCTTCCGATTATTATTCTGATACCCACTCTAAACGACCGCCGCCTCCGCCGACGCCATACCCTGAAGGCCCGTACGGGAATCTTCTCCGATTTCTACAACGTGCGATGCACATACGAGACGGACCTCTCTTCTCTACCACTCTCCATAAAATCAACTGTCTAATCCGTGAGCTCAAATACCCAAGTCTGTTGCGCCCTAATCTACTGGGTGATGTTTTCCTCCCTACGCCTTCCAACGAGCTCAAAACCGCCGTTTCCTCATGGTCCAACGTCCCGAAAAATGTCTTGCTTCGTGTAGTCGAAGAAAATTATCAGCGTAGCGTTGGTCCACATGTGCAAAGCCTCAAACAATACGAGGCTTTCTCAAGCACCGTCTATGGCGAATTGATGCCCGGTCTCGTGTACGACATCCTTGCAAATACAAATCTGGACCAAAACTCGCTCTTCATTGATCTTGGAAGTGGAGTGGGGAACATTCTTGTCCAGGCCAGCCTTCAGACAGGGTGCCGGAGTTATGGGATAGAGCTTATGCCCGCACCCGCAGGCGTCGCAAGGAACATGGTCCAGCATTTCGCGACCCGATGTCGAATGTGGGGCGTGTCGTTAGGTGACATAGAGGTGGAAGAGGGTGACATGCTTGAGAGTCCGCGGGTAGATGAGTTGTTGAAGGAAGCTGATGTTGTGCTGGTCGACAACAAGGTCTTTGACGAACGGCTAAACGAGGCCATCCGGGCCAAGTTCCTTGATTTGAAGGAAGGTGCCATTGTCGTCAGCTTGAAGCCGTTCGTGAATGCTGTTAATGCAAGGGTTACCGAGAGGAATGTGGATGACATGAGCGCCATCTTTGATGTGCAGGAGAAGCTGTATCGGAGTGGTGACGTGAGTTGGGGGCCTGGGGGAGGGAGTTATTACGTTCATCGTGTCGACCGGACGGGATACGCAGATGTGCGTTCACGTTTCGAGAGCTCGAGGATTTCTGTGGGGAGACGATCAAGGACTTCACGGTGATGATACAGTGTTATTCATCATCTATTTTTATGTTTGTATTTCCAGTGTTGTTTTACATACTACGCCTATTTCTAATATCGTCTAGTGACGTAGAGATTAGCTGTTTTTTTCTTCCACTAAGAACCATTCTCGACTTATATTATTTATATTAACTGTCATTGGTAACTATCGAAAGTTCTGGCTGGTTGGAAACGAAACGATCACAAGTAAATCTAGCTTTTCCCAGATGACTTTCAACTTGATCATGGTCCTGTGTCAATAGGCTCCTTGCTGCGACCAAAAGGAATAATTATCTCTTTTTATCCTTTTGTCATTCTTCTCCCAGGATTCTCGCGTGGTCCCCCCACCGTAGTACTAACTGGGCAGCGTTCCGGTTCACTGCGCAGATCGGACGGGATGCGGTGCTTTCGAAATCCTATGGCAGAAATCACGGTGAACACTAAGACATAAGGTGAACAATTCCGGGCCGATATTTGGTCTCCGCCTTAACCATCGGTATCCTTTCCATCCACAATGCACCCATTTCCGTTCCTCCAATCTTATTTAATCTCGGACATGACGAATCCCAAATCTCGGCCACTGTGCTTAGTTACGGCTAGACGTACTGCTGACGACTCGCCATGGATAAGCATGCATTGTCTTCATTGTACCTAGCTTCGTAAAGCCAAGACGACGGAAGTGATAACCTGAAGGTGGCGTATCATTAATTACTAGCATTGTGGTCACCTCTTCTCATCTTATCAACACACAGTATGGGATCCGTTACGCATTGATACTCTATGAATGCGTAACGGATCCCATACTTATACTCAGCCATTATAAGTCCTTGTACCGACCCAATGGAGGTACTTAGACCCTGGACAATCGCAATGTCATCTAAGTACTACCACGAGCTTTCCTCTACCTCTCGCTAGCTTGCAGCGATTCGCACATATCATGAACTGCTACTTTCTATGCTCAGGGACACTGTAAGGCATTGATTGATTTTGACGTTTCACCTCTTTTCGCGTTGCTGCCTTCTTCAGATCTCATCCTTTCATAAGGTTACTTAGCCTTGGGTGACCTCAACCTAATGTCGTGAGATGAGTATAAGTAACTGACCTCCGTCGACTACTACCTCATGAGGACATGTGAACTCGCAGGTAACGCATGTTATCTCTGGCTAAGTAAACCAAGATGAAGAGGGTGGTAACTCTCTCTTTTCCGTGTTTTCTGTGATGTATTACCTTCAACAAACCTTGAACTTGAGGTGTTGATAACTTGGACCATAAACGCGCCACCTACGACCACGTGCTGGCTGTGGCTGATAAGTAACTACAATTTGAAATCCCTTTTTCGTACGCGTTAATTAGGATTATTTACCTTCCCACACCTGTTACTGCACCTCTCCCTCCTGCCTTCACCCACTTTGTGCGCGGCTCGTTCTCTAGGCTTGCCTCGACTCCATGGAGGAGTTCATCTACATCATCCATCATGTCCTTTTACCCCCAAGGTTGCCCCATGCTGATGACTGAGAATCAGCAAAACGATATCGCGCTATGTCGCGTAGTCCTGGATTTTGCCAAAAGGTTCCAGGCGTCGCGCCAGAATTCAGATCACTGGGAGTCGATCATCAAGATGCTCAGGAAATTCAAAGCTTCGCAAAAAAAAAAAAGGAACTCTCTCACTCGCAGAGGTAGAGGAACAGTTATCAGGGGTGGTGGATGGAGGTACGACGCGTTTAATGTCCATAGCGTGGGTTGCTGACACAATATCTGCACCAGATGTCTTGACATACTACATTCACGCACAAAATGCGGGAGTCATCTTTCGGATGGTGGACGATGGAGTCGTCTTTGAGTGCTTCGAAGCTGCAGTTCCTAGCGAGCAAGTCATGGCCATCGTCGGAAAGCTCATGCATTCTTTTCCCGGTCCTGCAATCTCCTTCCCAGCTCAGCTACTAAGCGAAATCGACTTCTGTCGTGAGCTCCCGTCATTCCTAGTACACATGAGTAAAGACTTCTTGGATCCGCGGAGAAGCTGCCGGAGGATGGCGGTACTGCCAGCACACAAAAGAGGAGAGTCCCTCATCCTCGCTACGTCACCCAACTCCTCACCGGCATTTTGTACGGCCTCGAAGGGGGTTCCTCTGCGAACATCCATCGTTTCACAAAAAGAATAGGTGATTATATTCTGTCAGACAGAACTCAAGCACCCTGACGTCGTTCACCTTTGTGGCTTGTCCTCCGCATTGCGATACAATCGAGCCTCTACGAAGGTTGGAGTTATGTTTTGTCATCTGAAATTTCCACCTCAATGCTCCTATCCAGGTGACAGCCATGCGGAATATAAATCATTCATGGTGGTCTTTATGGCCGGAATCGTGGAGTGTGCTATGAGGGAGAATTTGCGCGACAACAGCCTACTCTTCTGTATGAGAGTGAAGATATGTGCTCGTATCTACAAGCTTGGCGCCGCTGCTCCTCAGTTTGTGATTCAGCGCGTCGAGGGCGTCGCAGAAGACGTGGAAGGTCTTCTCCAGAAGAAATGGAAGGGAATTCAAAATAAACAGGCGAAATCGTCGCGATGGGACGCTGACAATCTTGACATCACGGCCGATACGACTCTGGCGCTTCCGCAGTCGAAACCAGCCGCTAAACGAATACTCTAATACGCTATCACAACCCACGCACCATCTGTGTTCCAGGCCGAACACGTGCCGCGCCTTCGAAAAACGCGTAATTTCCATGAATTCACTCGCGACAAACTCAATGGAGCGTTTACAGTTGATGTACGCATCGCGTTGGTTGATTTCGAATTCTGTGTCCAAAACTATTTAGATATCTGGTTGATCCGTGCTTTGACGGACGCGTCGTCTTCTGCCGTTCTTTCTGTTTGTGTAGAAGAGTATATGAAAGCTGCAAGGGATGCGTACTCATCAAATCCAGAGGATGAATCAGTCATGATTTTAACTCTGATGGATCTATGGGTTGCAATGGACAAAGTCGCAGTGTCACAATGCCCATTGCTGAGCGAATACTTTCCGGAAGTTCCCCTTGATCTTCTTCAACCAATCCTTCTGCGCAAGTCCAAGGCCTTTCAACGTTTGGGAGAAATATATCGGTACCTGCGACAACGCCACGAATCTGTGGCAGACGGGAACAGCGTATTTGATACCCAGATTACCGACGACAGTTTCGCTGTGCGATACTACAATTCTCCTGATGGCGGTGGATATCAAGATCTCAAAGCGCGGATCAAATGTGATGCCAACAAGGAGCGGAAGAGGGTGATCCAACAGATGGAGTCCAACCATGTTAGACGCTCAAATATTATCACCGAAGCTGATGGGCTAGGGCACACCAAGGTCAAGAAGATGATAGGTCGAGGTCGCAATCGGCGGGAAGAGTACGTGCATGATACTTATGCCTGTCGCAAATGCCAGGCGGAATCGGAGGTTCGCACCATGAAAACGGAATTTCATGAATGGCCCCTCCCTCCCGAAAACTCTGTGTCGGAAAAGCTTGTACTGTTCGAGATGGCATCGCCCGAAGTATTCGAACACTGGCGATCAACGACGTATTTCATTCTTCATGATGTCTGCATCCCACTTTCTTCTCGTAAAAACGAACATGCTCGTCCTCTTCAGGGCTACATCCAAGAAGAAGATGGTCCCGGCAAAGTAACGCTGGCTTCTTTGGCGCAACCCCTGGCTAAGAGCAATCCGTACCATGCTTTACCATATTCAGAGTCTGATGTCTGCCTACCTAATGCATTGACTTATCGTCTTTACGATGCAGCTGGGGATGCTTGGATTGATGATCCCTTCGAGAGTTGCGATATCCGGGATCTCTGCACTCTTCGAATCACTCTGGACGGCGTTTACGATGGTCTAACATACGCAATCCGGAATATGACTCATACTTCAAACGAGGTCATCGCAAACCAATCAGATTGCCCGCAAGGGCTAACCTTGCACGAGTACGAGGCATTCGGTAGTTAACGGGCCGGGCCCAGACTACAATGGATGAATATTGCTAGAGAGTTGAGATCTCGCATACTCACTTTCAGCCGTGACCCAGTGCATACACTTTTGACTCAAAGCGCATGGCAGGTGGGCGTGGTCTCTGAGGACAGTACCTTGCCGTCGCACCAGGAGTTGGAGTCTCCCGACTTCTGCGAGCTCCTTTTGAGAGTTAAACGATCTGTTTGGGAGTGTTGAAGCCAACTGGCTTGAAGGGGTCACTGTCCGGACAATCATTTTGCTGGCTAGTCGAATGTTAGCATCCGCAGCATCCACGTCGTTGCCTGCCGTCGACATGGCGTACCAGTTGCTCCGTCGGGCCAGAGAGATAACCTTTGCTTGGATGTGCCAACTTGTCAGCAAACTCCAACGAGCAGAGGAGGATGTTATCCACGATTTCAGCGACGCGTTTTCGAGATAACTGCGACGTGTCGTTCTACCTTCGACGTCGATCCTATACACTTTGCCAAAACTCCTACAATCTCGCGAGGACAATTCTATTCTGATCGAATGCGCGATCACGATCTATGACAACTCCCCTGCTAAACCACAGGCTATGTCACACGATTTACAGAATGAACGTCTTGCTTGCTATATCGAGCCATGGTTATCCAATAGATTGGCTGTAGGAACGGAGGGTTTGGACGATGCTATCAAGTCTATATGGCCAGGGTATCGATCAAACCTTCAGTGGTGCCTGCTAGAAGAGCCCAGTGAACGTTGTATTACCACGAAGACCGTTGCCGATGCAGCCCAACAGGCACAAAATGTGCATTTGAATCTGCTGTCGGGCTCGCTGCTCATCAATGGAAAACCACTTGGTCGTCTTCTGCGGTCTATAACTATACATGCGATGTATACAGGTGTTTTTGGTTCAATAAGTCGGTTATCTAATCCTTCTCTCCAAGGACCATTATGGGCTTCCTTGTTGTAGGCGCATCCTTATACCTTACGGAGAAGTTCGCTATCAGCAGTATCAAGTCAGCATTTCCATTGAACATGGTTCTTCCCGAAAGGTTCTCTACCACGAGTACATGATCGACAGCGACATGGGTTGTCTGGTCAGCCATACGAGCTTGGCCGGAAATCTGTACCAAATTTACCTCCTTGTACTGAGCAGTTACTGTCTCCCTGACCCTTTGACGATGCAGACGGGTACAGAAGAAGCTCTTCGTGAACTTCAGTCCGCGACATGCTTTTCGTTCCAATCGATCCAGAAGCACGAAATTGCACTGTTGAATAAGATCAGTACCTTGACTCCGCGCCGCTCCTGGACCACCAAATCGCAAACCAGCCACTGTGTTCACTGGCAAATTGGCGTGTCGACTCTATCTCAGCACTACTATTTTTCTAAGCTTGTCGGTTCTGTTTTGCAGCATGCCCTTGAAATGCAAGTCTTTGCAGATAAGCCAGATGGTGACATTGATAGTAAAGATCCTACACCGTCCCGCCTTTCGCTCCGTGCAACGTTCCGTCTAGCCGCGTTCTACCCTGAGGAGTTTTCCTTTGCTCTTTCATCAAAGAAGCGGGGTGCAGTTCATCAGTCTCGGGATCTTGAGCGCGAGTATGAGAATATCTCATCGAACATGTCACGCATGGTGCAGATCGGCCCGTCCGCACTGACTCATCCCCGAATCTACTGACTAGGTTCTACGAATGGAACGCCATTGGACCCTGTGACAGTGGAGAGGACTTTTCCTTCTCTTATAAGAGACATTGGCTCAGCGCATCTTATTTGTAGCGCAACTGGATTTCGTTCATCTACGCAGTACACTCAAGTCCGCAAAATCCCGCATCTCTCCAGAGGCGCCATTGGCAGTCGATCTTCACTTTCTCCGCTTTGACATATTGTGATGATCAGCCTCATCACTTCATCTTGACCTTTCGGTTGAAACCAAGCCTAGCCAGATAAAAGTGAAGGAAATAATTTTGGAGATGACTGTGTCTTTGCAAGACAGTCCTGCTGGAGAGCTCAGGCAGCGTGCTACGGAATAGTATGATGCGTTTCGTACTAGGAGGCGGTTGGCGTACGAGAATCTTCAGACTCAGCAAGCGCAACAGCTATTGCGGCGTCCCTTCCGCGACTGGCCTTGTGAAGAGCCGACCATGACTGCACGTCAGGCGGCTGATTTCATCATGTTTGACATTGCTACAGCCATGGTGATATTTCAGAGCTTGTTACCATAATGACCGTGTGGTGAATGTCATGAGCGCAGCACAAGCCGTTATCAACGATGCACTGCTAAATGCCATGATAGAAACGGTGCCCCGTTATCGCTTCAACCCCTGCGCCGAAAGCCACACGTCTCTGCTTTCCACTATCTCTCTCTCGGTTATTCATCCAAAGAGATCTGGCCACCACCAATACTTTCATGGTCCCATTCCGCTCGCTTGATCTTTCCAACTCTGCACGCGCACCACCAAACACCACCGAGCTTGGATCGCTCGTCAAAGAATTCCAACAAAGCTCCGACATGTGTAAGAAGCTCTACGGTACAGATCTGGAGCAAAGTCAGTTGTCACTGCTCTCTCAATCTCCCTCGCCATCTCTCCCTGCCTCAATTCTTTGGACAGTTGAGGACGCCGAAATATACCGTGATGAATGTCGACAATCTACGGAGGAAGCACCCGAAAATATCGATAAGACATTGATACATTGCTCTTCTCGTAATAAACGCGTCCTCCAGCTTGCTGGGAAATGGCCTCGTCTTATTCCTAGGTCCATTCTGTGTCGCATTCTGAAGGTTGAAGATATTCTGACAAGTAGTATAACGGTGTACGCATTTCTGTACTTGGAGTACCAACGGTCCCAACGGCTACTTCGTGCAGTCATCAAGGGAAATACTACGGAATTTTACAAGGAAGAGCGTAATAACATTGTTACGGCCGTGAGTTATCCCGAGTGGATCTTACTCCAGGTTGTTATCCTCATCTTATCGACGTCTTATTGATAATATCTTTTCTTCAAAACGCTAGGTGGAGAACGACTTCATCTGTCGGCCTATTCAGACTAATGTCGCCGAAGAAATTATCTCACCCTCGTCAAACGAGAACTCTGTCCTCCAACTCAATATGGGAGAAGAAAATTCTTCGGTCATTGTTCCCATGGCTGCTGCCGCTTTGGCAGCGGGAGAGGCTATTGTCAGAGTGGTGGTGCTCAAGCCTCTTGCAAACAAATGTTTCAGATGCTTGTGCAACATCTAGGAGGACTTTTGGATCGACGCATTTTCTACATGCCCTTCTCTCGGCAGCTTGACGTTACTGCTGAGCGAGTCAGGCTCATTCGCAACCTGTATACGAAGTGTATGGGAGTGCGTGGTATTCTGGTCATCCAGCCTGAACATATTCTACCGTTCCGCCTGATGTGCATCGACCGCCTAATACATGCGCCGGTTGACCCCGATGAAGAGGATGCGGAAACCCCATCTACTGTCTGTTGGAATTACAAGAATGGATAACCGCACATTCCAGGGACATATTGGATGACAGCGACGAAATCCTCCATTGCCGGTATCAGCTTATCTACATTATCGGACAACAAAGATCTTTGGAAGGTTATCCAGACCGTTGGACGACAATACAACAGATTTTCACCCTCCTCGCAAGTTGTGCTCCAGCCATTCAGCAAGAGTTTCCTCTAGGAGTCGAAGTTCGTCCACGGGATGGTTCTTTCCCATTCTTCCGCATTACTCAACGCGAAGCTGGCGACGCTTTTGTGAAAAAATTCTCAATGGGCAACTCCCAAATTATCCATTTTTCTCACGACTTCCCATCGATGTCGTACAGACGTTCATCACCCAACTTCACATTGGCAAGGATGTAGCTCGTGCAATCCAGGATCAATGCTTTGGGACGAATACATGGCGTCTCCTTATACTTAGGGGAGTATTTGCACATGGAATTCTTCACTACGTTCTATCCTCACGCCACTGGAGAGTCGATTATGGTTTGGACCTTAGCCGAAGTCTTCTAGCAGTGCCATACAGGGCCAAGGATGTCCCTTCACTGTTGGCGGAATTTGGCCATCCAGATGTTGCCATTTCTCTTAACTTGCCTATCCTACTACTACAATGGATTGACCGAAGGTCAGCTCGAAACTTGTTTCCAGCTTCTCTTCAAACAAGACGATCCATTTTCGGAATATGAAACCTGGATCAAGATCAGTCGTGCCATACCAGCGCAGTTGCGGAGTCAACATCAAGGACAAGGAGCAATGGTCGACCTACCTTGTTCCTCTGTTCCGCCAAAACCACTTTGTTATCGATTTCTTCTTGTCACAGGTTGTCTTCCCAAAAGAAGCAAAGGAGTTCCCGTCAAAGCTCTCTTCGTCAGGATGGGATCTTGCAGAGAGCAACCCCAACGTAACGACAGGCTTCAGCGGCACTAACGATAATCAGTACCTTCTCCCTACTTCTATCCAGCAATGCGATCCCCTCAATCAGCAAAGCACGAATGCTAAAGTCTTGACTTATCTTCTGCAGCCTGAGAACAATCACTATTCGTGTCTGCACAATTTCCATAACGGAAATAGCCCAACCGCTCAAGAGTTCCTTGGTCTTCTCGTCCAAGAACAACCTGAAGTCCGAGTACTGCTAGATGTTGGGGCGCAGATGCTCGAACTTCGCAAAGAGCAACTGGTCAAGCATTGGCTCTCTTTACGTCCGGACTTGTCGGCAGTTGTGTATTTCAGTGAGTCGGACGAATTGATGGTACTGAATCAACGCGATAGCACGGAGCCACTGCTGTTGCCTCCCTTGAAGTACCAGCTGGACAAGTGTCTGGTCTATCTTGATCAAGCCCATACGAGAGGCACGGATCTTAAGTTGCCCTTACATTCAGAGCAGCATACGAAAGATCCTCTTGTGCAAGGTCAGCTTGTGTTTATTTGAACTTTGTCGTGTGCTAATGGGACTTCATAGGCGCCATGAGAATGCGACAGCTAGGCCAAGGACAGTCAGTGATGTTCTTCGCACCGCTCGAGATAGACCAAAGGATCAGGATCGCAGCGAAAAAATCCGAATCGGCCGCGTTGGAAACCATCGATGTTCTGCGTTGGGTCATGATTGAAACGTGCGATGGTATCACCTATCATGTTCCTCACTGGGCACAGCAAGGACTAGACTATTTCCGGAGAAGGGATGCCTGGGACGCTTTCATTGATTCGGAATTGGCCGATCATCTTCTCCACCCTTGGATTCAGCCAGAAGGACGCTCTCTCGTGGATTTATACGGGGTGAATACAAGCACCGCCACCATAAATGAATCTCTTATGAGCATTCCGGGGCTTCGAGACCGTTGTCGAAAGATTGGCGTCACATTTGTATCTGGCAGTAACATGGATGAAAAGCAGGAGAGGGAAGTGAGCCAGGAAATAGAGCGGGAACAGCGGATCGAAAGGCCAGCAAAGTGCGAACCCGCGACGCATTCCATACTCCGTCACATCCGTAGTCTCCTTGAAACAGGCACCATTCGCTCAAACTCTACCCTCGTGCCGTTATTCTGTCGTCTCAAGAGGTCTCGAATCATACAATGGAGACGCATGGGCTTCTCGGCTACTATGCACCAGTGACTTCACGAAAACCGACTTGCGTGAGGACTATGTGTCCGTACGGGGAAGGTTCCAGGATCCCTCTTCGCAATTCCTGAGATCTGTCAACTGGATCATCTCTTCCACGAAGGGCGATGAACTGCGACTGGTTGTCCTCAGCCCATTCGAAGTCAATGAGCTATTGCCTATCATACGAACCAGCAAAGTCGTACGTCTTCATGTTTATGCACCAAGGGTGACTTCGACGACAAAACCATTCGACGACCTTCAGTTCCATTACTTCCCACGACTCCTCGGTCCGCTCGATGTCTTCTCTGTCGATAGCCATATAGCGACGCGGCTCAATATCTTCGCAGGCCAGTTATACGTGACGGATTACGGTGCCTATCGTACGCTTTGTTTGTTTTTGGGTCTTCACTTGGCCGGTGAAACCGCCCCGGTCTTCCATTCCAAAGCGATGGATTCATCACGAAGCAATACCGTTCACAAGGTGGTCGACAAGACATTCCTCTTTTTACGAAGAGCCCTGTTCCATTCTTGAAGGAGTTGTTTGGGCTGCGGAGGAAGGGCAACACGTATTGGAAAGTTGCTACACGGACATTCATTGACACCAGAATCATTTTCCTGCATTTTCGTGAGTTGTCTATTTGTGTTCAGAGGGAAAACTTACTGACGAATTTTCGCAGTGCATGCTAGAATCTGCGTCTAGGTTTAGACTGCTATATACTAGCGGTGTTATAATTTTTCATTTCCAACCTGTTCTACATGTAATACTAGAAGTAATAGAATGCGCAATATCTAAAGCGCTAGCGAACTGTTCTGACGGAATTCTTTATGCCTCTCAGTAAGCTTTCGCATAAAGAATACATCATTAAATTCTGTTCCTCCTTCACCATATCTCTACACCAAAGCTTCCTTCAAGATGTCAATGATTCTCTGCACTTCTTCCACTGTATTGTAATGAACCAAGGATATGCGAACAACACCATCATTGATATCAAGCTTGGGCTGAAGTCCGTCTACCAGGTCGTATGCATAAAAGTGGCCATAACGAATGCCAATCTGCAAAACACTTATCAGCAAAAAAAAAAAAACTTCTGCAAATAGTTACGGTTCAACGTACTCCGCCTTTCTGGTCAAAGAACTTCACGACATCTTTGCTCTTCATCGGTCTTTCACCGACGACGACAAAGCTGATAGTTGGCACCCTCATCAGCCCCGGGTATTCCTCACCTACTACGAGGACGCCTCTAGCTACTTGATTAGGGTGGGTCAGATAAGCGAGGAGGGGCTCGACCAGAGTCTGTTCATGCTGGGCTATGGCCGCAAATGAAGCCTTCAAGTTGTTCTCTGGGGTCAGTGAAAGCAGGTAGGGTATCACCCCCGTGGTCCCATAGACCAGCTCATAACCAGGACCGCCGATCTGGAGTTTCGCGGCCGAGTGTTTCACGTCAAGGAAATGATGGACGATGGATGAGAGCGAATGCTGGAGCGCTGGGGAGCGGGTGTATAGGACGGATGTATGTGGGCCGTATACCTGATGTGAGGTCAGGGGAGGGAATTTTTAATCAATTAGTTTCGTACTTTGTAGTACGAAAAGACACAATAGTCGATATCCCAATCTTGGACATCAATCAATCTATGTGGGGCGTACGCGACGCAATCGATAGATATCTCGACCTTGTCGGCACCCGCTTCTTGGGCGGTCAGACGAGCGGCTTTGACTATCGCTTTAACGGGGACAATAGAGCCTAGAATATTGGAGCACGCAGTGAATGCGATTATCCGAGTACGAGAGGTAATCAGGGGCAGGAGGTCTTCGACTTTGAGGGTGACAGAATATGGGTTATTGGGACTCGTGGGTGTGGGAGTCCAATACTTGACGACAGCCCCCGTCCGCCCTGCAAGTTTCTTGAATGGCCCATTGTTCGCTAAATTTGAAAGTCAGAACCCATGGGGCTATCACTATCAGTGATCATCATTAGCACCTTCATGCTCCCCTGTCAAGATGAACTCGTCGCCTTGGTGGATATCACCATCAAGACTGCGAGCAAGATTCTCGATATTAGCCGAGGAGCTGGATCCAAAGACGATCTCGTCCGGGGATGCTGCATTGATAAGCTTCGCGGCATCTGCAGGCGCCTCAACAGTCACTTTTTGGGTGCTGAGTACTGATACGGAGTAATCGGCACCCAGCTGAACGTTTGAATTCAGCAGGTAGTCGTATACTCTATCCGCAACTCCCACGGCAGTTTGGGAACCTCCTGCATTGTCAGCAAAGATGAAGCTAGAATTGAGGGCCGGGAACTGGCTACGGGCTTTGTCGATGTCGAGAGTCATGGCGAATGGAGGAAAAAGATCCGAAGCAGGAGGATGCCTGTGAAAAAGCGGCATTTTTGGAAAGAAGTCATTCTGAGCATAAACAGTGGTTGGACCTTATAGCTACGTCTAGAGATATCCCGCAGCATGAAGGTGGGGGGCTGCGGAGAAAGATAGAATAAGAATATTACTACTTGTTGAGCATGTACGGGGCCGGGACCGTGATGTCGTCGGTGACAATCGGGCCGATGTTCCGAACTGATGATTCGCAGTGTTCGCTTGTTGGTTTGGTACTTTTTCCCTTGTTATCGCATTATAGTTGGAACACCCCCTTGTAGTACATGTGCAATGTGCAATGTGCATTCTGAATGCTCCGAGTCGGTGGACTGCTGTCCTAGCCCTCGAAGTCCATATCTCCATCAGCTTCGACTGTCGCTGGCACCAGTTGCCATTGCCGTAACTCGTACACGCAGAGGGCCTACGCCTGCCTACGCGCTTAGCAGACGTTCGAAATCAGGATTAGGATGCGAACCCTCGTTATCTCCACCGTTCGTTACCTTGCTCCAGGCTCGGTGTAGGTTACGCGTGGTAATTTCCGTCCTTTAGTGTTTCCGGCGCACATCCGGGGATTACGTACATTCACATGCCGTGTTCTTTTCTTACCCCAATTCCCCAATTACTTTGTATAAATATCATACCATGGACTCCAGGGACACTTTCCAAGCCTTGATACGTCCTCCTCGGCGTGTTATCTCCCATAATGGTGAAAGCGTTGTCGCCACCGCCCTCGTCTCCGGGCCTGCACAGGGCAATGTCGATGATGTCCTTTGAAAACCTCGTCGCGTTGGCAAATGATCAGGAAAGGATCAAAGAGGCGCGGCAGATGATTTGGAGAGTCAAAGGGCAGCCAGTTGTTGAGCTGGATGATCTCGAGTCGTGTCTGAAGCATGCTGCCGTCGGGGGGTTACGTGAGTACTGCTGTTCTTTGTCAAAAAAAAGAAAAAAACGAACTTAGTCGTCGTTGTCGTTGTCGTTCAACAGGCTCTGCCACTCTTGCGTTCAATATCAGAGCTGCCTTCAACCTTGTAATGGCCTCTATGCGCCTTCGATCACTTCCCAAGTATGCGCTCTGGCTTTCCCATGCCCGTAACTAACATGTTTTCCAGAAAGAAATGGCTACCGTTACTCGTGCATGCCATTTTTGGGACCGATACATGGCGATTTGCTGCTATGCTCGGCTCTTTCACTTCAATTTACAAGTTCCTTCTCAATGCTCTCCCAATACTACTTCCCGAGACGGGACGATCCTCGAGCCACCTCTTATCCAATGCATTCTGCGAACAAGAACAGCACCTCGAGAAAAAATCTCTCCAACTCGCCATTACATCCGATACACGCCGCCGTCATACAGCTAGGCTGTCCCTCAGCGTTAATGCTCAGACAGCTTGGGTCCGAAAGAAAACACGGCGATGGCATGCCGCTTTCGCCGGTGCCGTCGCCGGCGGTATAGCAGTCTTGTTCGAAACCTCAGGAAGGAGGGTGACCATCGCCCAGCAGCTGTTCGTTCGGGGTCTCCAAGGATGTTTCAATGCGTACACAACAGCCAAGAATATCAGGATACCCCATGGCGATGTTGTTCTTTTCGCTCTTATGTGAGAAAAAATGTCTTCGGTGATGCTGTCCAAACTGATTCGACTTTTTTTTTTTTTTTCCAGTAACGGACAAATCTTGTATGCCAACTTCTTGCGCCCTGACAGCTTGAACCGAGGATACCGCAACTGGTACGAGGGTACTGAACGCTTTAATTCTTCTTCTGACCATCTTTCAGGTTTATAAGAGTATCTCAAGTTCCTTCAGAGGCCTACAAAATAAATCACGACTTGATGCGCAACCATACATATAACCCTAACGATCTGGATAAACTTATTGCTAACCCTGTAAGCTATTCCTAATCACTTCTTTGCCTCCCATCGCTGACTGGAATTCCCAAAGACATATAAAATCACTCCCCAAAACGTCACTACACTCCTAGCTCATAAGGACGCTTTCTTCAACCGTACCTCCGATCCTACAAAATACATCGCCGACTCACAATGCCCTTGCAAGGCTCTCCATCCCGGTCAGACATCCTGCTGGCACGTCCCTGCGGCGCGTTTCCTCTACGTAGCCAGATTCATGCTCCCTGTATATGGGGCACTGCATTTCTTGCCTCCAGTTCTATTCAGAACCAAGGCATTCATGAAGAACCCTCTTAAGATCCTCATCAAGTCTGCATTGGGAACTGCAAGGAGCTGCACATTCCTTGGGGTCTTCGTCATCATATACCAAAGTATGTATCACTTTGGATGTAAGGACGGCTACCGTTGACCATCTACTCTAGCTGCCATATGCCTACGAAGCTTCTTCCACGAGTTCTTCTCGACCCTGCCAGTCAATTCGACGCTCAAGCTACCCCAGTGGCTCGTGGACGCCATGTTCGTATCACGAGCGGCGTATTTCATACCGGGCTTGGCGAGCGGCCTGAGTTTGTTTGTTGAGGAGAAGAGGAGGCGCGCGGAGCTCTCGATGTATGTTTTGCCAAAGGCTCTGGAGAGTTTTTGGCGCGTTGTCACTGGGAAAGTCCCCGGAGGTGTTAAGACTGGCAAGACTGGAGAGGCTTTGGTACGTCGCTTTTTTTGCGTGGGCGCATTCCGGCTTTCTTATTCGTTTGTTAGTTGACGTCGATTGGGATGGCTATGGTTATGGTATGTGGATTTGGTCGCGTGTGAACTGGTGTAGTGCTGATCTTTTTTTAGTGCACATACCAAAATGATCCTCAGCACCTGTCGGGGCTAGTAAGACGGATTTTATACCAGTTCATTGGGCCGAATTGATGGATGTAAGGAGAATATGTCTAACTTGTATTATTACGTTTGTAGGCGGAGGACTGCACGGAACATGGCCTCATAAGAAGGCATAACTTAAAAACTTTTGTAGTTGTTTGCAAGGAATCAAATCGATTGGTGATAAACACCATTGACGATACGAAGTATGTACGCTCACTTGGCGTCGTCGATCGTTTCACAATTACTACCGTCTTCTCGGTCGAAACACTTGGCCAAATTCCCCGCACGTATTTTGACGTTTGCCAGCTGATAATCCATCCGAAGATTTACAAGAATGTGCAGGTCATTGAGGATATACATGATTTACATCTGTCGTTTTTTCTCCATATCTCTATGAATATCCAGCGATGACGCGGTCTCCACGCCTACAACAGGGATAGATCAGCTTTCCGCAAACTCTATGAATCAATAACGTTCTTACCACCAAACACGTCTGCGGGTGCTATGGTCTCGTCCCGACCCATGAGAATGTCCAAGTGTAGGTTCGACTGGGGTAGGGCAGGCATATGGGGAGACTAACAGCACATGAGGAAAGTTGTTGTTGAGAGGGTGGTATCTCTTACATCAGCTACGATCTTGCGCTCCATGAGAAGTCGCATGGGTGCATGCAAGCCGTATACGTTTCGCTGTATTGTAAGCTTCAGGTTGTCTTGCGTCTCTTCCCACTGAACGCGATGAGAACGACCGTGAGGCAGTAAGAAAAGAGAGCTTACCGATTCAAGTCTTCCTCTCAGCTCCCCTTCCGTCTTGATTTCGGTTGCAATAGTACGGGGACCGTACTGTAGAGTGTCATGGAGGCCTAGAGTGCCTGCTGTAGCTTGTACGGAGGCGGATTTGTTGGCGCCTGAGGGTACAATACGATATGAAGACTCCTTATCGTTTGATCAGCAATCAAGTGGCTTTCGTAGTAAAATAAAGCCTACCATGACTGTGGTAATGAGAAGAGAGGTGAACGCGTCAGACGCGTGACACAATAAGTTCCAGACTCTGTGACATATGTGACAGGACTTACAAGGATTTCCAACACCCAGTTGACCAGTGTCTACCAAGTGTTCGCTCCTTCTCCCATCTTTGCGATATTCTAGCTCCATTTTCTGCTGTCCTGTTGATTTCTTTTACCTTGGATCTCTGGTGCATACTCGTTTATTGCTCAACACCCGGCAGTCGACTTCATCTCTCAACATCGGAACCTGGACAGAATTGGTCTGGCATCGTCACAATGGCCACCAGACCTTCAAGATCCTCTAGCATCCCCATTCCTAGGAGCACTTCTTCTACCTCCCAACCCCGGAATATCGAGTCTATTCTCTCCATTCCCTTCCCCGTATCAAGCAGATCGCACCCATATCCATCCCAGGCTCATGCTACTCGAGCCAGCGGAGATGACCACAGAAGCAGCGGAGCACTTGGAGTCAGAGGTGCCAGTAGTGCTGCGAGCACCTCTTCCGTCAGGTCTACTGCGCGTTCCTACCCGCATTCTCTCGGTTTACCGTCGAGAAGTGCTCCCCGATCAAACGTCTTTGAACCGCGAGTCATACGTGCCGACTCCTCACGGAATGTCGATCCGGCGTGTTTGCCATCGTCAATACGTACTCGCAGACCCAGTGCGACCGGCAGAGCGCCCAGCACCCGGCGACATTCAGCTGCAAGTATCGCCCAGGCGGCCCCTACTGTTCCAGTGTCATTTGCTCGTCCAGCATATCTCGAACATGCTGCGCTTAGGCACCTTCTTCTAACAGAGTCTCCAATACTTCTACCTCCTTCCTGCAAAGACTCGACCAACGACCGGTCTTATTCCGGAGCTGTGTCGCCATCGACAGACAGTGACGATGACAGTACCGCAAGTCCTTCTCCGCGTGAGAATCCAACTATTTCCCTTCCTGCCGTGGATCAAGTACTTCGTTTGCCTACTCGCTGGTGTGACGAAGTTCGGCATCAATCGTTAAATGTGTCCGCGGATGGTCGGGAGTTATTGTACCAAGGTTCGTTTGATTAATTGTGCTTCTCAACTTTTATTGAATGTTCAGTATCAGGGTCAAACTGTAACGGAGACAGAGACACTGCTCACGCCGCCGCAGCTCGAACGGACCACCCTATCCCCCGAGCCTGCGGTATCTACTACTATGAAGTTTATGTTGGTAGCAAAGAACAGAAGGCGTGAGTTGTCTCTCAGTTCCCGTTTGTTTGACGAAACTGATCACCACATGGAATGGTAGGCACATAAGCATTGGGTACGAGTGTCCTGTTCTCATCACGGATGTCGCATTAATAATTCCTCCAGATTTACTGGACGTGATGTTAAGGTGTCTAGGCTTCCAGGCTGGGAACCCAATTCGTGGGGTTACCACGGCGATGATGGCTGCTCTTTCGCAACAGAAAGGAACGGTACGGCCTACGGTCCTACCTATGGCTGTTCGTACATTCTTTTCTGTTCCTCGGAAAAACATATTGAATGGGCTCTACAGTAGGTGACGTCATAGGTTGCGGAATTGATTTCACCACGGATCGGGCCTTCTTCACTAAAAATGGCACACTGATCGGTACGGAGGCAAATATTTCGCAAAGGCGAAGCTTACGTGTTGTTCTCAGGACCTGTTTTCGAAAACGTTGGGAAAAACATTGACCTTTTTCCTTCTGTTGGCTTACAGCACTCAAACGAGATGATCCGAGCCAATTTTGGTCATGAGCCGTTCAAATTCGATATCGAATACCACGTGCAGCAACAGCGAAGTCAGTCGTGGGCTAACATCCTCACTACGCCTCTGGACCTTTGTCTTTTTGACGAGAGCCGTAGAACAACTTCATCTGGGGCCAAGGATGGAGCGCTTGCGTCTCGCGAAGAGTCGACGCCGCTTTTGGAAGACGAGTCAAAAACTTCCATCAACAAACTAGTCATAGCTTATCTAGTCCATCACGGATACACGCGAACTGCGAATGCTCTTCAAAGGCAGCAGAATAAACTAGGTGAACATGCTGAGATTGTTCCCGATGGAGACGTGGATATGGACACCGACGTACCTCCACGGCCAAGTTACGAAGGGGATGTTGAGTCTCGTACTCGTATAGTGAACTCGGTAATGACTGGTGATATCGACGCCGCTCTTTCGGAGACGCAAAAATGCCACCCATCGGCATTAGACGCGGAGGAGGGCTTGATGTTGTTCAAGCTACGCTGTCGCGAGTTTGTCGAGCTAGTCTTAAAGGCTTCAGAGATGAAAAAGGCCATGAGACCAAAGCCGCACGCTCTTCCTGACGTCAGCGACAGTGACTCGGAGATGGTGGATGGAATGGACCTTGGAGACGACATGAGCATGGATATCGACGATGGTGTCAGTAATGGTGTTTCTATGATGGCAGCAGAGAAGTCTGTGGCTCGATGTGAAAAGTCTCTCGGTGAGGCGATTGCATATGGGCAGTCCTTACTGACGGACTACAAATCGGATCAAAGACCAGAGGTAAAAGAGATGTTCAAGAAGACTTCTGTGATCCTTGCGTGGGATGACCCTTTGGAAGTTGGGGGGTCGGCGACCGAAGTCGCTGGGATTGAAGCTAGGATTGCACTCGCGAATGAGCTCAACCAAGCTATCCTGAGTAAGTCCTTCATGCATTTGATTGATCCAATACTGAGAGTACAACAGAATCCCAAGGACGTCCTCCACATCCAGCGCTGGAGACGTTGTATCGCCACACAACTGTCTGTCTTCAGCAGCTAGCTCTCATGGGCGTGAGTGCAGCACCGTTTGTTGACATGAAGCGCGAATTCATTGACATTTGAGGACGGGCTGTCCTTTATGCTATGAGCTGCCTTCTGTTCTATGTCACGCTTTGCATGGTTTTATTAAATGGTATCTGTGTGTAAATTTACGTGTGTCAACTAGTGTACAGTGTATGGATTATGGTCAAAGAATGTCCCCTTTCTCAAGTTTTATTGGATGCCATCAAAGACCAGATTGTGACGAGTTTATCCTTGGCACCTCCGATAAGCCACCGAGACCGCTCTTCCCTTTCCTGTTTACTCATGCCATCCTCGTCTTCATTTACGTCGATCTGGTATGCGGATAGTGATCGTGCAAATACGACAGCCTGGCATCCATTCTTGCGACATTTTAGCGTTCCCAGCGGTTTAAATGATTTCGTAGAATAGAGACGAATTCTGCTGAAACCGTAAGCAAGAAACGGCGGCCGAGGAAAAGACGACATACCGTCCGTCCCATCCACCTACAGCGCAAACCCTGCCGTCGCCACGGATCGCGACAGCCCCGTTTCCCGGATGATTCGTTCGATGTTTCTCAGCTACGTACGACTTTCTGTGTCATTAAAAAATCGGGCGGGCTTTCATTTACTCAGCAACATACTGACAAGTCGTATCGTCCAATCAGATGATCGGCAGACACTGTTAATGCCATGGAATTGTCGTTTGTTACGCTCATCGCCATTACTGTTTACCATTAGAGATGTCAACGAAGGTGATGAAAGCGCACGTACCGGCCTCAGCATGTAGTTTCACTTTCCACAGCACTTTCCATCCCAACCCTTCAACGGATGTCATCCTATCCGACTTGGCAAATTTCCGCAATGTCACATTTCCACTCTCATACGCTATGGGTATCCGGAGAGCACAATCATGCTCGAATAGATGGAGGGCCATGATAATACCTTGATATAAATGAGTAGAACAGAAGCAAAAGTCGAAAACTCTAATTACCGGTCGCCTGATTCCCGCGCCCGTCCGTGGAAAGGATGGGACCGTTGCTTTCTTGCTTCCCTATTGCAGCATGGACTCGACTGCAAGACGGAAGAGACCAAATATCGGCCTAGGCAACTGTAAGGATATGTTCCCAGAAAACAGTAGTGCCCCAATACCTCTGAAGATTTGATTAAATTCGGGATTGCAATAAGAGCCGCGTCGGATTGGTCCTTGGACGATGAGCCTGTTTCGCTGTCGTCCGGCGGCAAGGGCATCAACGAAAACCTGCAATAGTTCAAGGCATTCACCTCCATCGAGTATCGAAGGACGGGAACGAGTGATTCAGATAGAGCTGCTGATCCTCCGATTCCTGGCAGCTCTTCGACGGGACGCCATACGTGAAGCTTATTGTCTCGACCTTGTCTAATATTTCCCGGTGTAAATCGTGCCTCCAATGCTACCGAAAGTGACGTACGTGATGATATTTGCTCCCCACTCCTGTACACCGAGTACTCCGTCGTTGTGGGCCTTCCAAGAGGATATAGGACGCAATGTACGCGTCGACGTCAATACAATGAATCCAGAACCGTCTCCAGAGTAAATTCGCTCGTTGTCCAGGGAGATGAAGAGGGAAGTCACACCAGAAGATTGGGTCCGAAGGACATGGCGTGGTGATGGTGGTGGTGGTGAAGGTTCGGACATTTTGCCGATCCTCTTGATTTGACTGGTTGCAGCTCGTCGACCTTGATCAGCATTTTCACGAATACTCGGAATCTATTTTGCTCTACCGTCGACGAGCATATACTAATAACAACACTTGGCTGGTATGCACAATGATTGTAACCACAATTTTCCTACTAAGACTGGAATCAGGTACTCGTAGTGCATTAAGGCCAGTTGTTGACCGCCAACTTGACATGAACGTCCTTGGCGTGCGGGGATTGAAGATTGCCCCTTGCCCCTTGACGGTTATCACCAGAATAAAGATACAAAGCTGGATTTTCTAGGTCGGCCATCATCACTCATGATTCCCAGCCATATCAACTGTGATTCCTGTTCTCAGGCCATCTTACCGTCCAAGCCACGGGTTCACTGCCTCACCTGTGCCGACTACGACTTGTGTGCTGATTGTGCTCTCGGCGAACGATTTACACGCCAACACGACTCGTCTCATCGCACCCAGATATACAGGTTCAGTGGAGGAGGCGACTTGCCGCCCTCATTGTCAGAGACTGTATCCTTGACCTATACTGTTCCTGTTCGTCTCTCTCCAACTTCCAGCAGTCCTCCGCCTCTCCCACCGCGTAGGCAATCATCAGGCCCACCGCCCCCATTACCACCGAGGCCCAACTCTGGTAGCAGTGCATCAGAAAGTCCTAGCGCAGTCCCACCATCTCCACGTATTCCCCCCACTGATCCACCAAACGTCACCGCCGATCGTAGCGAGATGCTAGCTTGGGGCCCGTTGTTCGACGATTACATGAATGTCACTGCCGTCGGCGACGTGTTCTTCAACACGATCTTCACATTTCTAGACCCGTCGTATACTGGGTATCTCACCCCCGAAGCATACTCGCGGTTCTTGGATGATCAAGGGTACCTACTTCACGAGAACGTCTGCAAGTATTTTTATTTCTCTTCGCTTCAAAGAAGTTGCTAACGCACATCATAGGGAAATCAAACCTCGTTGTGGATACTATGTACGGTGGTTCCGAGGAGAACATGGCGGACAAGGCACTGAGAAACGCCTACGACCTCTTTTCCATCGAGCACGTCCTCAAGCATAGACACAACCCACCGGGATCCACAACTCCCTCCGTAACAACCCAGCTACAGGGTCTATTCGGGAACGCATTTAATCCGGCAATGATGAGTTCCGCTCCCCTCCAGACTTTGAGTTCTCAGATGCCCCTCCTTACACGGAAGGGTTTCATCGACATAACAACCGTCGAGGTCCTCTCTGACCCATCGAGAGCCTGGGGGAACCTCTCACGCGTGTTGAGAGCGTACGAGCTAGAGCCGTTCCGTGGACGGGGGGACATGCCGCGGAGTGTATTGCCAGAGGCGGCAAACCAGAGAATGCTCGAGCGGGTACGAGCTATTTCGAGCTTTGCAAAGGTGAGGGGAGAGCAGCAATTGGTGTCGGCGATGGAGTTACGACGTCAAGGAAGGGAGAACGCTCTTGATCTTGTTGGGGATGCACGGTACCGATATGTATATAGATAAACCGAAATCAGGTGAAATGTACTTGTAGCTGTAGAAATAGCCTTAGTGTAGTGTATTATTTAACATGAATCATGTCTTTAGTCTACCAGTAAGATTTGCATAAAATAATAAATGAGAAACGCGAACGCGTCCTCGTCCTCGGCAAGTTCCGGTCTGTGTTGACTCCACCGCGAGCGTCTATCTACCATCCATCGATAAGGCCCTGCCTCGTGGATTACCTGTGAAGGGGCAAAGGAGAATATATATACATCGTGGGAATGCCTCGAGTGCCCCCCCCTCGTTTCCCCCACCATGGACGACTCCGTGCTCACCTACATCGTCAATCATGTTTTCATGCCACCGGTTCTGCCCCAGCAAGACGACCGGGATATATCCAACGACGCAGCGTTATGCGATGCTGTTTTGGAGTGTGCTCGTTGCTATCGAGCGTATCTTCAGAATGATGTCCACAAGCTACAGAAGTGGAATATCATTATCGATATGCTTCAGAATTTCAAAGCGACTCTGACCGCCACCCTTGGGTCTGCGGAAGTAGAACGACAGCTGTCATCGATGAATATTGGAGGTAAGAGTGATATTTTTCTTATTTCCTGTGAGAAACAATACCAACGTGATGCGTCTAGATATACTTGTCTACCACATCAATGCCCAGAACGCATGCGTCGTCTTTCGAAGGCAGCCTGAAGAAGTCATCTACGAGGCCTTCGAGGTCATGTTTCCGAACGAAAAGGTCATGGGCGCCATCGGAAAACTCATCTCTTCTTTTCCTGGCCCCGCCATAGCGTTTCCTAGCGCGACATTCAGAACACCCGCCTTTCGTAAAGAACTGGCCTCGTTTTTGGTGGAGATGCATAACGATTTTCTGGAGGAGGCATCACCAACAAGCCGAAAAGCCGGTCACAATGTCATTGAAGAGCGGGAACCTGCGCATCCTCGCTTTATCACACAGCTTCTCACGGGTATTTTGTACGGTCAAGGAGGGCGGGCGGCTGATGTCAAGCGTTTTTCAAAGCGAATCAATGATGATGTTCTGTGGTTGAATGCAAAGCTTCCCTGGAGGCGATCTCCGATTTGGCTCGTACTTCGCGTAGCCCTGCAGTCCTCGCTTTTTGAAGGTTCGTCGCTCTGCATCTGGCATATGGAAGATATTCACCTCCTGCTAAGGTGTTGACCATACTGATTACAAATTCTTCCTTACCTATTTCATTGCCTCCATCTTAGATAAAGCAAGGCAGAAGAGATGGAACAGTGACTTGATTGACGTCATGAAGAAGAAAATGTGTCGTCGGCTCGCAAAACTTAGTTCATCTGCTCCCGTGTTTTTGACAGAGAAAGTGCACTCTGTAGGGAAGGAGGTTAATGCTGTTATCGAGGAGAGAGGCAGGGACCTCGAGATTCAACAGCAGAAATCTTCTTATTGGAATCCCTCAGAACTGAACATCGCTGCTGACACCACCATTACCCTTCCCAATTCGAGCGCTTACATTGAAGAAGTTCTGCGGCGTGCCCCCTCTCCGCAACCGACATCTCCCTTTTCCCCCAACCATGTCAGTCGTCTGAGAGACAATCCAGATTTCTCTTCGCTTACAAAAGACCGCCTCACCATGGCTTTTAGGGAAGACAAATTCATTGCTCTAGCAGACTTCGAATACTGCGTCGAGAACCATCTAGATGCCTGGCTTTCAGGAGTTCTTCACGAAAGTGCAACTTCGGGCATTCTATCTGTCTGCTTATTCGAATATATGAAGGAGGCTGAAAATGCCTATTTGTCAAATGCGGAGGATGAGTCGCTTATGCTCCTTACAATCATAGGTCTGTGGGTGGCATTGGATAAGGTTGCAGTAGCGCAGTATCCCTTGTTGCACGATTACTCGCCTGAGGTTCCGATTGACCTTTTGAAGCCTCTTCTGCTGCGACATTCCAAATCTCTAAAACGAATGGTCCTAATCACTCAGTACATTCGTGATCGTCATTATTCGGCAATGTGCAGGGAGTCCTTATTTGATGAAACTGCCAGTCATGGCAGCTTTGCTGTCCGTTACTTCGATTCCTCCACTGAACTTCAGCACCTCAAACAGAGGATTGAACATGATGCTGCTTTGGAACGAGCGAGAAAAGTTGAGGAGCTACAGAGAGCAAATGATCATTATCATGCTGTCAAAGCAGAAGCACAGCATTTGGAGCATGAATATACTATGAGATGGCAGCGCCGGCATGGAGATTATAGGCGGGTTCATGACAAGGCATGCAGGAAGTGCAGGCTTGACAAACAGTACACATCCATGACTATTGCTGTCCATGAACATCCTTTACCTGATAATGTGGAGATGGCAAAAATGGTTGTCTTTGAGGTTAAATGCCCAATTGTCATTGAACATTGGAGAGTGGCAACTTATACCATTCTTCATGACCTTTGCACACCATCTTCTGCTCACAATACCTCTTCTGCTTCTCCACCTATGACATTGGCTTCTTACTCTCCTCTTCAAAGATATATTTCTAGAGATCTAGGCCGAGTGATGATAGCATCATCAACTAAGTCATTCTTGCAAGCTCATTACAAGGAGCAAAAAGTTCCCACTACTGAGGTGCAGGTGTGTCTCTGTAGTGGCCTGAAATATGAGCTGTATGACTCTAAGAATGACATCTGGATTTCCAACCCCTTCATAAACTGTGATATTCATGATCAATGCACCCTTCGATTCATGCCAGATGGAATATATGATAACTTGACACATGCAGTTCGTAATACCAGTCATACATCAAATGAGATGATTGCTAACCAGTCTGACTGCTTGACTGGTTTGACGCTTCATGAATATGCAGCATTCACTGGATTACGGATGGGAGAAAGATTACAGTGGCTGAATATTGTTAGAGAGTTGAGAGCCCGAATGCTCACTTTCAATCATGAAGCAGTTCATACACTCTTGACTCAAAGTGTATGTCAGGTTGGTGTTGTAGCTGAGAATGGTGATCTGGAGTGGCATATCGACCTTTATGATCTTTCCTTTCGTCAGGTTCTTTTGAGAGAGCTATGGAATCTTTTGCTGAGTGTGGAAGGCAATTGGCTTGAGGGAGTAACTCTCAGGTCAATCATCTTATTGACAAGCCGGCTGTTAGTAACAACAACTCTGACTGAGCACTTGCATTTTATGGTCAACAATAACACAGATAGCTGCTCTGCATATGATATTCTGCGCAAAGCACGGATTACTGTATTTTTATGGGTGCAAATGCTTGTTGATGAACTTCAGAAGACAGTTAAAGAGAATGTCATGCAGGATTTGCAATGCCATATCTTTAAATTAGCAACTACTATTCAAGCAACATATGATGTTGAACCAGAGCATCTTCCAGCTCTGTTGCAGTCTGATGAAGATATCAGAATTCTAGTTGAAAGTACTATTATCATGCATGATAATACTCCAGTCAAACAAGCATTCATATCACCAGAAATATGGAGGCTTTTACGCCGGAGTGAGAGGCTTGCTCATTTCATTGAGCCATACATGTGGGATATGAAGTTAAACAGTGCTTATCAGCAGGGTGTAAATCTTGCTGTGACATCTATATGGCCAGCCTATCATGCTACTCATTGGACAGTGTTGGATTCTCCCAATCACCGATGGATCAGCACTTCAACAGCTGTGGATGCTGACCAACAGTCTCAGCAAGTGCATCTCAACTTGCTGACAGGGCTGCTCCTTATCAGTGGCAAGCCACTTAGTCGGCTTCCATGGAATATTACTAGTCATGCAACATATGGTAGAATCTTTGGCACAGTGGGTCTTCAGTTTGTCTTTTAATATACTCATTGCTAATATCTGAACAGAAAATCCTTGATGTCATTCCTTCTGACAGACCTGGCATTGAATATGCAAGTCACTGTCTAATTTCAGGATGGCAGGTTTGTTGTTACTGTTCAAACTTCAGATGGCAGATACTTATAATATTGCAGATATATTTAGGCTTAAAAAATGATACTCTTATTATACAAGCCAAAAAGGATGATATTGTTTTTGAGCTTATACCACATACAACTTTTGAATGTGATCTCCCACAACTGTTTGTCAAGGAATATACACATTGGATCAACTTGAACACTTCTGAAGTTGAACTTCGGCCACTTGTTTCTCTTTGGAAGCCATCTCAGCAGAACTGGAGAATGATTTGCAATGCTTCTAAGTGGAAGATGTCTCTTGATGACCATGAAATGATTGATCTTCATAGTCAAACATTTAACATGGTATCAGCCTGCCTTCAGATTTTTGAGCAATGTCATTACATTCATATAACCTATGCTCCTTCTGATACTAGCCTACATATTGATTTACCCCGCTTTCAACTGTCCTTCTTTCTCAATAAGGATGCTAAACTTGAATGTTACAATTTTCCTAATATGTTGATTGATGAAAATCAGAGTGCTGGATCATTGTTGGGTCTTGAGAGCCGGCTTGTCTTATGCTCCAAACATAGTCTCAAGCTACCTCAATGCCGGCATATTCTGATTCCTTTTGGAGAAGTCCAGGTTGTGCAACAAAAAGATCATGTTCAGATTGTGATTCAGACAGGCTCTGCTCGATCTGTAAAGTTCTATGACTATACTATTGATAGTAATATTGGTCATCTTGTCAGTAGTCCTGATCTGACCAGCAATCTATATCAGGTCTTTTTGCATGCACTATCCAGTCACTCCCTTCCTGATCCTCTCACTGGACAGACTGGCACTGAAGAAGCCATTCATTTATTGCAATCTGCAATCTGTTATTCATTCCAGAATATCTCAAACACAGATCTGAAGTTACTACACAATATCAGTTCTCTTACTCCCCATCACACTTGGTATCCTAAACACAAGAAAAGCATGCAGAGTATTCAGTGGCATTATCACTATTGTTCATCCCAGGGTCAACACCATGCTTTCCATAAGCTTGTTGGAGCAATCATAGATTATGCAAGGCTTATTAAAGTCTTTAGCATTAGTTCTAATTGCACTTTGGACTTCAACAGTAATGCAACTTCATCACATTTGTTGCATCGATCTAGTTTCCGGCTTTCACATCTTTATCCTGCTGATTTTTCATTATTCAACCACCAAGAAAAAGATTATGATAATGCATACCACTCTCATGATCAGGAACAGGATATTAATGGGATTGCTGCAAATACTTCTCAGATGATTAAGCATGAATCCTTCTGCAGAATTCCAGGCTTTTCTCTAACAGAGAAGCTCTCAGATTGGGGAAGCATTGGTCCTGCAGATGTGGATTTTTCACTGTCTTACAAGCGATTATGGCTCAGCTCTAAGCATCTCCAAAGAAACTGGCTGTCATTCCTGCTGCTAAACTGCAATAGTCTGAGTGCTGCTACTAGGCAGTGGCAGGCCTTGTTTAGTATGTCAGCTATGGCATATAATGATTCTAGCATCCAAACCATGATCCCCTCATTGCTTGCTCTCACTGTATGCTCTTGGCAACACATATCAGGAAATTTGAACCTTCTATGGTGTTCAACCAATTCTCATAGATCCTTTGATCTATCTATCAGAGACACTCCAGAAGAAAGAAAACTGGCTGAAATGGTTTCAAATGCTCGTGTTTCCTTAGATGATAGTCCTGTTGCATCCATGGTGCAGCTTGATTTGGAAAGCTACTCATCTTTCCTTCATCGGAAAAAAGCAGCATATGATAGTCTTGACAGTGAGCAAGCTCCTGCAGTGTGCCGACAACTTTTTGCCTCATGGTCTCCGGAAACTGAGCCAGCTCCCATCCACAGATCTCAGTTTACCCAATTCTCATCAATGTTCAAAATTGACATGCTGTTGGACACAGTTATGTCATACTTTCAGCATTGTTTCCACAACGGGCAGTTGCGACATGTCACTGACACCGTACAAGGTGCCGTCGCCAGCATTCTTACAACACATCCACAGATGACTCAGTACAACTTTATGGCATGTTCGACTCGGTCTAAATCACGCTCCATCGCCACGACCCTGAAACAACTCTTGGTTTCTCGCAACACTGTCTGTATAGCAGCGGCTCATGATGTCACAACTATGTTCTGGCCAATTGAACATGATCTGCCTACTTCATCACCTTCGGGTATGGGCAATGTATCAGATACCGGGCTGCTTGCTTCTTTGATATTTAAGTTCAAGAACAGTAACAGTAAACTAAAGCAGTTATATGGCGCAGAACTCGACGAAAGTCTGCAACATTTGGTCTCTGTGGCCTCACCCTCCGATAATGCTTTGCCCTCCATTCCTGTGTCTGTGATGGAGAACTACCGATTTACATGCCAGGAGGTCCTGACATGTGTGTTGGCACAGATCACTGCTTTGCTGCAAGCCTCCAATTCTCACGAATCAGCATTACAGCTCGGAGGGTTGTGGCCATGCATCAATACCCGTTCCATCCTCTGCCAAATCACTCAGGACATTGGAATCGAGTGGAAATCTATGATTGAAAAATTTGCACTACTATTCATCCAGCATCAACGAGCGCAGCGACTATTACTTTCAGTGGTCAATGAGAATTCTATCGAATTCTACAGAGAGATGAGTAACGGCCGAGTGACTGCAATATGCCCGGAATGGCTCCTGCTTCAGGTAAGCTGTGCTTCTTGTCTCTCGATTGCACCACTAACTAGAACTTGAAATAGGTGGATAATAATTTTATCAGCCGTTCTATTCAGACCTCAGTTGCACACGAAATAATTTCTCCGTCGTCGAAGGAAAACTCTGTTCTGCAGCTGAATATGGGGGAGGGGAAGTCATCAGTCATTGTTCCCATGACTGCTGTCGTTGCTGCCGATGGCCACTCTATTGTTCGAGTTGTGGTTCTGAAGTCTTTGGCCAGACAGATGTTCCAATTACTTGTGCAGCGTATCTCAGGACTGACAAATCGTCGTGTATTTTACATGCCATTCTCCCGTCGCCTTGCCATGGGATCTAAAGAGATCGAAGCTATTTGGAAACTCTATCGCCAATGCATGGATGACGGCGGTGTGTTGGTTATTCAGCCGGAGCACATTCTATCGTTCAAGTTGATGTGCGTAAACAGGCTCCTGGATGGCAATGGCGGAGATGGGATTGGTCGAGATGTTGAGGCTGCCCAGCTCTTAGAATTGCAAAAATGGCTTGATGGTCATGTCAAGGATATTTTGGATGAAAGCGACGAAATTCTCCATGTCCGCTACCAACTTATCTACACAGTAGGCACACAGCGCTCACTGGAAGGTCACCCAGAGCGCTGGACCACCATTCAACAAATTTTCACACTTGTAACCGACGTCATCTCGTCCGTGGAGTCGAAAGCTCCTCGTTCAGTAGAAATCCGTCTTTCTGAAAAGCAAGATGGCACATTTCCCTTCATTTTCTTGTATTCGAATGACGACAAGATCGATCCTGGTATAGAGCTTGTTGATTCCGTATGCACACAGATTCTCAACGGAAGACTTGATAACTATCCTATTTTTGCACGACTATCTGATGACCTTCGTCAACAGGTCAGACACTTCATCTCCGAAGTTACTGTTAAGTCAGACGTAGCCAGGTCCATCCAGGATCTTTACCTCGGGACGGATGCATGGAACCTGCTGCTATTGCTCCGTGGACTCTTTGCGCATGGTATCCTTGTCTATGTCTTGAAAGCGCGCCGCTATCGAGTGGACTACGGATTGGACCTTAGCCGAACGCTGCTTGCCGTTCCATATCGTGCAAAGGATGTTCCCTCTTTAGCAGCAGAGTTCGGCCATCCAGACGTCGCCATCACCCTCACTTGTTTGTCGTATTATTATGCAGGCTTGACCGAAGAACAGGTGGACATCTGTTTCGAGCTCCTTTTCAAAGAGGACGATCCGAACATCGAATACTGCTCCTGGATCAAGGGCAACGAGAAGGTTCCGTCACAGCTGCTCCATATCGCTGGCATTAACTTGAAAGACATGGAACAACGTTCGCAATATTTGATACCTCTCTTTCACCGACACCGTGCTGTCGTTGATTTCTTTTTATCCCATGTCGTATTTCCCAAACACGCAAAGGAGTTCCCCCAGAAGATTTCGACGTCAGGGTGGGATTTGGCAGCAAGAAGATCCAAGCACACCACAGGTTTCAGTGGTACAAACGACAACCACCATCTTCTTCCTTTATCCATTCAACAGTACGACCCTGTTGAACAGAGAAGTACCAATGCCAAAGTGTTGAATTGCCTCCTTCGTCCGGAAAACGATCATTATGAGTGTATCTGTGATCCATCGACCAACAGCAGTCTGACAACGGAGAAGTTCCTGGATCTTCTAGTCCGCCAGAAGCCGGAGATTCGTGTCCTGTTGGATGTAGGGGCACAGATGCTTGAGCTTCGTAACGAGCAATTGGCGAAGGCTTGGCTTGGTTTGCGACCTACCTCAGTGCTCTCCGCGGCCATTTACTTCGATGATGCCGATGAGCTGATGGTCCTCAATCGTCAGGGCGTTGCGGAACCACTGTTTCTATCTCCATTCAAGTATCAGCTAGACAAGTGCGTTGTTTATCTGGACGAAGCCCATACCAGAGGAACAGACTTGAAGTTACCTGTTCACTTCAGAGCAGCAGTCACCCTCGGCGTGAACGTAACAAAGGATAGGCTTGTTCAAGGTCAGTCATCTCGGAACACTGTGTTATATACAATTTCTCATTAAAGCTCTAGGTGCTATGCGCATGCGACAGCTTGGTCAAGGGCAGTCGGTCATGTTTTTTGCGCCTCGGGAGATAGACCAGAAGATCAGAAAGGCGGCTCAGAAGTCAGACTCCGCCAAAATTAAGGCTGTCGATATCTTGAGGTGGAGCATGCTTGAAACTTGCGATGAAATCACCCGTCGTGTACCTCAATGGGCGCAACAGGGTTATGACTATCAACGAAGAAAAGAAGCATGGGAGGCATGCATTTCTTCTGACATATCACCGGCGGTCCTCAATCCGTGGCTTCAGCCGGAAGGCCGCTCTCTTCAGGAATTATACGGTCTTTCGGATGGTCCCGCTCCCGGTTCAGCAATTTGGCAAGTCGGTGATCTTCGCGAACGTTGTGAAATGCTCGGCCTTTCCTTCGTTTCTGAGACAAATATGGATGAAGAGCAGGAAAGGGAAGTCAGCCACGAGATCGAGAGAGAGCGGCATGTTGAAAGGCCTGCAAAGGCTTCACCTGCTCGCCATTCGCTTCATCCTGATGTTCGCGCGTTCGTTTGGACAGGCATCGTACGGAATATGTCTCCTGCGTTCAAGCCGCTGTTTCGTGCATTCGAAGGAATCTCCTCTATGCTTCGAAACGGTGAAAATATATGGACACCAAATCTACTTTGCACTGAGGACTTTGCTACGACGATCAGGACATCCAACCATAGTAATGTTTCTGACTACCTGAGGTCCATTAATTGGGTCGTTTCCGCGAAACGAAACGAGAATACTATCCTCGTTGTATTCAGCCCCTTCGAAATCAACGAGTTATTGCCAGATATACGCACCAGCACCAAAGTACATCTCCACATCTATTCGCCCAAAGTCAGCGTGTCCACAAAGGCTTTCGATGATCTTCAGTTCCACTGTATCCCAGGACCTAGCATCCAGATCAATGATGACCTCTTAATAATCCAGCTGAACATCTTCGCTGGTCAACTATACATGCAGGATTACGATAAATACCAGCAGCTATGCTCGTTTCTAGGACTGTACCAGGGACAGCAATCTGCGAATGCCAGTGTCCCAATGAGTGATGGATTCATCAAGCCTGAACACCGCATTCATGGAGATATCTCACCTTTCAAAGAGAGCCCGGTGCCTTTCTTGAAAGCGCTATTGGGGTCGCGACGAAAAGGGCATCCTTACCTAGCCACTGATCTTGGAAAGATACTCCATGGTCACTTGTTAACGGCTGAATCGTTTCAAACGAAAGATATGTACGTGCGTTCCACTGATAAGTGCATATTGTCGATGCTCACGAGTCTTCACAGAGATGCAAGAGGGCTTTGATGGTATGAGAATTCCTTCGTGTAGATTAGCTAGCGACTCTTTTCACAGATGTATAAGTATGTAGTAACATTTTCTTACAAACCGTATAATTCTGCACAAGGGTCCCAGCTAGAATTAGTCTCCATCGCATATTCCATGGAATTGGCGACAGTTTCCGTTGCGTTGGCATCATATACGGCCTTCGTGAAAGCAAGCGTCCCGTCAATACCTGCACTGACGTCGGATGTAGTGTAGATATTGCAATCAACCACCCATCGAGCATGTGTGATCCAGTGAATGTTGGGCTCTTGCGACGTCGCCTACTCGCATGACTTTATATTGGTAGTAACATTCTGCCCATCGAGTACACCAGCTCTGTCCGCAAGGGTCGCTCCAGTACAAACCATGATTCAGATATTACAGAGATGGGTAGGTAGCAGCAATAAAATCGATGGTGGCATTGAGATTTGTCGCGCGAGTGCCAAGACCCCCCGGTACGATGAGCACATCAAGCGATTCCGGCAGAGAGTCGTAGGTATGGGTGGGTACGATGAATTCAGAGAAGTTGGAATTCATGGTGTTCATCACCTTGGACTGCGGCTCAGTGATGACGGGGTCAAGGGTTTCGGCAATGATGGAGAGGTTGGGTGAGTATGCAAAGGAGAGCATATTTAGGGCGTCAAGGGGACCAAAGACATCGAGCGCCTGGAAGGCTGGGAAGACGATGATGCCATAATTTACTGGGACGGATGTACTCTTGAGAACGAAACTGCGGCACTGTTGGTTACTATACTGGCAGCCTTTGAAACAAACAACGCGCTCAGTCCTCCGTCCAACATCATGCCTTCTGTTCCCCGTAAACAAGCCCCACGACTTGCACGTCCCGCTGCATGATATTGGAAAGGAAAGGCTCAAAAGGGTGTTGCTGAGATCGAGTCCGACTCTGACGAGGAGGCACCCCAAGTTGAGGAGAACGGAGATGTCCTTATTGGAGAAGAGAGCGAGACATCATTCAGGAAGACGATGAAGACCTACCAACTGCTCAAAATGTTTCAAAGGCCAGGATCAAGTCCATGAATGTGTCCTTGAGGGACGTCGATGTATCGAAAGACGGAAAGATCATCGTTGCAGGCAGAGACGAGTCACGTCGAACAGCGCTAGAAGACGAGCAAAGTGCGCTTGCCAACTGTGTACTTGCTTTTACCTTTTGCTGACCCTACGACTTGCGGGATCTGAAGGAGAGGAGTCTGACGAGGAAACGAAGCCTAGACAACTGAAGGAGGAATCCGACGAGGTCTATCGTCTACTCGCAGCGTTCTTACAGATTGACCTTTAGTCTAGTGAATATGAAACAGACTCGGAAGATGGAAAGCCAAAGCTTCAGCTGAGGCCTGTATTCGTTCCCAAATATGTGTATTAATCTAAACATCCTGCGTACGGTCTAACACGATCAAGTACAGGCGCAATCGACTCACGATTGCTGAGAAAGAGGATCTTAGGAGGAAAGAGCTGGAGCTTGAGGAACGGAAAAAGCAGAGCCACGACCTCGTAGCAGAAAGCATTAGGCGTAAACTAGCAGAAAGTGAGCATTTCATGCTAATCTTTTTTGTACTTATCGGGCATTCAGAGGAGAAGGAGGATGATATTCCCCATGTTGATGACACCGATGGCTTGGACCCTTCTGGCGAATTCGAAGCTTGGCGACTGCGCGAACTTGGGCGAATCAAGAAGGAGAAGGAGGAGGAGATCCGCAGAGAAAAGGAGCGAGAAGAAATTGAACGTCATAGGGCCTTGCCTGAAGCACAGCGCTTGAAGGAAGACCTCGAACACGCTCAAAAGCTTCAGGACGAGAAGCCCAAGGGCCAGCAGAAGTTTCTTCAAAAGTATTGGCACAAAGGCGCCTTCTATCGGGTACATATATCACTTCAGTATGTTTCGGGAGTGTCGCGTTCATGGGGTGCACCTCCCCCACTGCGAAATGGACAGTCATGGCGATCGAATGACGATGTCCGAGATGATGGTAGCCGAAGCAAAGACCGTGGACATGACGACTATGAGCACACGTCGAGGGGATGGTGGTTATCTCCGCCATGACAGAAGTAAACCGGGTGACCGCTACGATTACGATTCTCGGGACTCGAGGCGCAGGTCCCGATACCCACGTCGCGCGCCCGAGAGATTATCGACACAGGGAACGGCAGCGTTCCCGAGACCGTCTTGATTACCGAGATGATAAAGAGAAGCGAAGACGGATGAGTTAGAAGCGTAGATTGCAGTTAATACAGGTTAACACTTATCTTTTGTTGCATTCGGAAGGCCGCGATAGCCGATCTCTCTCGGGTACAGTCAGAATGTCATGATTGATTGCGTGGGAAATTCTTGATCGTGACGCGGAAGTCAAATCATCGTATTACAAAAACTGATAAAATATTACCGCGATGGGTCGACATCGACATCGACTTACTTTACACTGACGTTGCATGCAAACGATGCCGAGGACGGTAAAAGTCGCAATAATAGGCAGTGGCTTGGCTGGTCTTACCGCTGCCTACCTTTTAACCAAGCCCTCCGAGGACGAAGATCCAGGCTTCGATGTTCACTTGTTTGAAAAGGCCAGCACCAGCACCATACGACGTGTACATAAAAATCTCACTATTCTGCTCCAGACGTCGACCTTTGGGATGGACAGTTTCTCCATATCCTTACCTCTACCGGGCCAGGACCAAGACTGGAGAGTAGATGTTCCGATGCGCTCTTTTCAAGGAGGTGACTATCCGAGCTAGTGTATTGTCCGCCGACGTGCTGACCATATCGTACCATTTCAGGATACTACAGACAACTAATAACACTCTACAAACACCTTGGGGTCAAGTTCGCACCACGGGATTTTTCCTACTCTTTCTCGCTCCTTTCCACGTCAGAAAAGGGCCGACATATAACAGCAGAAATCATATACAACGGCTCCTCAGGACTTGGCGGTGTGAGCATGCCCTCGACTCTGGACAACAGCAAGGCGGACCTGGGGTTAACACTGCGGGCGGCCTCGAAAGCTTGGACAACCGGGTTGTTTGTCCTTTGGTCTATCCATGTCCTTTTCTGCTATCTGAGACTGCTGTGGCTCTCGATTCCTGTGGTGCGATCAGCGGGAATCGAAACCATGACTTACAAAGCCTGGGTCAAGCAGACACATCCTACTGGTCTCCTCGCTAGATGGACAGGATTCGACGATGTTTGGACGGAATTCACTCATGCCATTATGGTGCCATTGTTCTCTGCTGTATGTACCGCACCGGAGCAGGAGATTCTTGACCATCCCGTCGAGGAATTTCTAGGCATGGAATTGTTCCTACTTTGCATCATCGTTGTGATTCACGATTTCTTCAGATTATATCTGGCTTACCCTGGGAACACATCATTATGTAGTGGTCGATGGTGTCCGGGATGTCGTCGGGAGACTCGTCTCCACCGTCCGAAATGTCCATCTATCACACCTGATTTCCTCCATCCAAGCCGACCCGGATGACCCGGATCTGGTATCCGTGCATTGCACCAACGCTGACGGTCTCAAGACATACTCCGGCTTTCATCATATCATTTTTGCCACCCAAGCAAACCGCGCAGTCCCACTTTTGTCGTCCTACGCGTCTTCACTACCGCATGAAAAGCGTATCCGGCGGGAAGCAGCCGAAGAGCAGATGCGCTGCTTGGAGAAATTCACATACCGCTCTACCCTTGTTATCAATCACACGGACGAAACCCTTCTCCCGGACGATACACGAGATCACCGGGACTTGAATCTAATTTATACCCGTGCAGGCGCTTTAATAACCACGAAAACAGTATCACCGCAATGTCTACCATCCTCATACACCATGGCGACTCACATCCTCCCCCGACCACAAGGATTTCCCGCTCATCTACCCTCGGTTTTCCAAACCACAGATCCAATCGTCGAACCTAGAGAGGGACGGATATTGAGTGTGGCGAAATTGGAACGAGCCGTTTTAACGCTAGAGTCGAAACAAGCTTTGAAGGAATTTTACTGTGCGAAGGATAGAAAATGGTGGCCGGGACCCTGCGAAGAGGCTCTGGGAAGGTTGCAGGGTGCAGGGAGACTCCGAGATAGCGGTCCAGGCATATGGATATGCGGCTCGTTTGCGTATCCTGGGATTCCGCTGCTGGAGGGATGCGTTGTTAGTGCCAGGCTTGTTGTGGAGCGGGGATTATACAAGTCTGAAGGCGTACGGCCGAAGCATCCGCCTTGGTGACATAGGTTAAACATGGTTGTAGAATTTTACTAGTGGTGTACTACCGCTTTATACCTTATCGTCATGTAATTAGGAACGTCAATTGCTGCGAGCAGACATCTCGAGAGGCCGGTAGTTATGCGCATACATGATTCGGAACCCTAGAACAGGCGCACCGGTGCGGAACATCCATTTAACGAATCAATTTGACCAAGAACACGTGATCATAAGCAAGTTTGCACCAGTCCGATTGAACAGTTCAAAGCAGTTAATAACCAACCTTCACATCTTCACCATCAACAAATACTTCGTACGTATCTGAGCAACATCGTACACGATGTACTGCACGAAGTATTTGTTTTCAACACCAGTTTTTGGAGTAGATCAAAAGGGACGCGTACCTCGTTATACTGGAGATAGCCACCCGTAGCAACGTCGGACCCTCCTCCGTCAGGCATATGGCAGCCGATGAGTTCATCGTAACCCAAAGACTTGCCAGCGTCCTTCCATTTCGTCGGCTGAGTTCTACCCAAACCTTTCGTAGCCCTGCCAAAGCAATTCGACAGAACGCTCAAGGACCGGAACGATTGAAATCACCTTTTGTTATTCTGTTTGCAGGTCTGATCTGCATTGTACTCCTGAGCGTAGTGAGTTGATCAGCAAAATATGTTTGGATTACGGAAAGCATGCGTACCGCATCATTTCGCTCATAGAACGGTTTCGCTGCGACTTCACAAAGAAGTAAAATACCGGTGCTGTTACTCAAGCTGTGATGTAATCATTCAGAAAACGTTCCTTAATAAGAGAAGTTGACCGACCCTGGATAGCAATATCCAGCAGACTAGGCTCCAGATAAGCACCGAAGGGCAGCAATGATAGATTCCCGGACCAACCTTCGACATCATCTGGACCAAAGAAGTGAGTGGGTCCAAAGGATCGCGACTAAAGAACTTACATCTGCAAAGTAAACACCTTTACCGAACATATAGCCATTTACCGGTGCCTCTGGAGGGGCAATGCGAAGTCCCTGCGAAAGTATGCCTGCAAAGTTTGTCGTCCTCGACCCATGCCACAGCAGCAAGCGTTCTCCATCTTCCACCTCGTGGAACCCTCCTTGCTCCCAGCGTTCCTGCTCTCCGGGTCTAACAGCAGTTTAGCATGGTGTAAAATACATTGACTTCAACAGACCTTTCAATTCTGTAGATATGCTGCACCTTGACATGAATATGACTGTGGGTGGCACCGTGTGTGTCCCGGGCATATGCCTCGAGGGTTATGAATTCCTGGCTATCCCTGGCGAGAGGTTCCATCTTGGAAAGACGGAGCGAGTTGAACTGCGCGTCGAGAGGATTAATAGGCACCCCATCGATGTCAGCATTGGTAGAGGAGGCGATGAGCTTAGACACGATTTCCATGTCGCCGAGAGCATCCACGATTTCTAATTCCTAACTCATCCCGTCAGTCAGCCTGAGAAACCAAACGAAAAGAATGAACTCTTTGAAGTCTTTGTTTGGTGTCAATAATCATTGGCCTCTGTCGGCCAAAGTCGTGAGGAATAATACTACACACGAGCAGGAGTTGGTTGAAGTCACTTGGGTTACATTACGTACGAGTAATAGGCGCTAGTTAGCTGTTCAATCGCTGTACGCTGGTTACCGCCATTTTGCTTTACGACATCACAACTAGGGTCACCTAGGACCTCAGAGAGTGTCTTCAGAGCATTGAATCCACTCAAAATAGTCGCCTTGGACAATTTTCCGAGAGGAAGTTTCCTAGCATCATAATTCATGGATGACAATGTTGCGTCAATAATGCTGGTGGAGAAAATGAGCCTGCAGAAGTCTTGAACCTGAGGCGCGAGGACAGAATCAGGAATAGGTTGGTTTTCCTTCTCCGCAGGAACCTTGCTACTCCCACCCTTCTCGTCTTCTTTATTCTCGTCGTCTTCAGCAAAGTCGCGTTCCAGCCAGATATATTTCCCTGAAGAAACAGTCAAGATAACTTCATGCTGTGTACAACCACGATACCTCTCTTAGGAAGCATGCCGACTCGGGCTTCCCAGGCGACGCCGGCTTTGGACTTGAATTGTTTCTTGAACTCATGGACGGCCGTTGCAGGAGGAAAGGGACCTTTACATTGGGATTGGCCGTTCTCTCCCACGCGTCCCCAACGAGTGTACAGCACGCAGGAAGAATTGGAGCTTATAGGGTGCAGCAACTGGAGAACATAGAACCTGGCGAACTCATCAAGACCCTTGAGGATAACTTGGATGGAGGATAATACTTGTTCTTGTTAGAACCACCACTGATATTAGTCTGGTTGAGCATGGCGTCCCACACACCCTCATCATTTGCATATACTTGATGCGAATCTTTTCGTTGTTGGTATTATGTGCGTGAAGGTATAGACTGTAGGTATATACGTACGAACTCTCCCCGACTGGGGATCAACAGGAGCTGCACCCCTTTTCAGTACCTGGGAGGACCTTGAGCGTCATCTTGGCTGAACAGTGTTGGAAGACACGCACCGTAACGATCTTCTCAGGCTCAGCATCCGCAACAGTCTCGTCATCATCATCCTGTTTTGCCTTTTTCGCTTTTTTACTGGCAGGTTTCTTTGCAGGTGGGGCATCCTCCTCGTTCTCCTCGTCCACAGGGCTATGCGCACGTTTGGTTTTGGCTTTGGACGCAGGCTTGGCTGGTACTGCTGCGTCGTCTTTGCTATTGGCCTGGATACGCATACTGGAGCGTGTCGAAGCAGGAGCAGTACCGTCAGCAACAACTTTCTTGCGAGGAGGCATGGTGATGGAGGGAGGTAAGAGGTAAAGGCATCTGATGGTCTGTTTAAGTAATCAAACAGGGGTCCCGAGTCACATCCAAAAGAGCGATCGTCGGGAGCGCGGACCCGACCCGACGACAGCTACATTTGGGAGTAAAATCACGTTGTCGATTTGATTTTGTGCAGAGCTATTTCTGTATGCCCTTTCACAATCCTTCACACCAATTTCACATACCACTCGCTAGTGGAACGAAAGGGTGGAATTCCGCTGGAAAAGGAAATTTTCAGAGGGTGCCCTTTCACATTTGCCACGATGTGCTGTTACTCGATAGTTTTTGATCGCATTCTACCTCTTGCTGTGATCGTCATGTCGAGAATGCCTATGTTCACAAATATAAAGCGGGGGGACCCGACTGCTCTTTTCTTTGTCTTCCTTTGTCACCCTCATCTCCCTCAGCATGTCCAGTTTTCCCTCCTCTCTCCAGTTCCCTACCGAGCACTGTACGTGGATTTGGTTACTACGTGTTGGACTCTCCACTGACGCTCCGTTTCCAGCATACGTCCCTGATGGCCAAGGTCTTCAACCTAGGCAGTATGTCTTCAATGTCATTCCTAACGACACATCTCCATACCCTGACGTCGCGTCTCTGTCACCCGATTCCATCGACACTCCATCTCCATCTTCTTCTCAATACGACGAACCCACTGCCGTCAAGGGCTCTTCTCGTAGGAAGAACCATATTCCCCGACCTCTAAACTCCTACTTCATCTTCCGCAAAGACATCATCGACAAGAAGATTATTACCAAGGACACAGAGAACGACAGTCGTCACCTTTCTAGAATCATTGGAGAGTTGTGGAATAACCTGTCGTCCGAGGAGAAGGAATGCTATGACCGTCGCGCAGAGGACGAAAAGATTAAACATCAGGATCGCTATCCCAACTATGTCTACCAACCACGGAAGCGTACCACTCCCCCCAAGAAGAGGAACGCTAAACGGAACTCGCCAGAAGATATAAACAGGTCCAAAGGCGTTGCGCATTTGTTATCTGCCGGCAAGACAGGCTCGGATCTGGAGGGCGCTGTGAAGCAAATGTCTGCGACTCCTCAACCCCAACCTCAACCTCAGGCTGAGGTCGAACCTCAGAAGAAGCGCGTTTCTGAAAAGCGCGTTCCTCCGCCTGCTCAAAGTCCTCCCGGACCTCAGGGGTGGGAGGCAGATGATGTGACGCATCAGGTCGAGACCACTATTCCATCTACGAGCTCTCTCGACGAAAGCGCCTTCTCTCCCGCTTCCTTCGAGTCGGAACATATGGTGAGCCTTTACATTTGTTGTCTTTTCTTTTTTGCCCAGTGTTAAGTCTCAGACCAACCCCTGTATTCTCAATACTGGGTATTACGATGCAAGCGCCGAACTTGAGGTGAACATATTTTGCTATTTAGCGGGTTCGAATGTTCAACGGTCGCTGGATTTCAGAATCTTCTCGCTACATATACAAATTCAAGCGACTTCGTAAGTACCTCTACGCGCTGTCATTGGTATATGTGCTCAATCACTCCCTTCCAGACCGAAGTCGATTCATACGATGGTATATACCGTCTGGTCTCGGATTCGTGGCCTTACCCTTGATCGTTCATCACGTATGCTTTGTCACAAAATATATCGGTATTGTAACGACTACGCTAACGATTTACTTGTCTTTTCTTCAGTGTCTATTGTATTACACCCCATTTATGCTCTTTGGAAACTTTTTTTCAGCGCAATACACACAAACTGTTCAACTTATCATATTAATAACTCATGTACAATTTATTCATAACACACAAGTATGTACACCGATTTGATACCACGATCACTCCCTCGACAATATCTGAAAGGCTTTGATGCCCTCCTTTCCGAGGAACGTTGCACACCCAACGACTTGAGCGCCAGCTCTATTCATTCTCTCCACAGCCTGCCTGCTTGTCACGCCACCTACACCAATGATCACCATCTTCTCAAGCCCATCGTACTCCTTCGGCCTGTTTACATGCAGCAGTTTGTGGAATGTAAACACATTCCCCAACGAAAGAGCATGCAGTGACTCGCCGGCCAACCCACCCAGTCCAGTCGGAACCGCAAAGTCGCTACCACTCGTACTCTCGTTATGTGCCACCTGATCCGGGTACAGCAACGAGTTCCCCAACGTATTCGTGCACGTCAAAAAGGCAAACGGGCTGCGTTTCTTCATCACGCCCCCCGCACCCATCGTAGCGGTGGAGAAGTCGGTCAGGACATTTAGCACGTCCTTGAACTGCTGTTGATGCACGTACGGCGGGAGCTTGAGGCCGATGGTCAAAGTAGGGTCTCGACGGTTCTCCATCTCGAGTCCGTTCAGCAGCTCTCGGAGGTCATCGAATATGTATCCTTTCGGTGGCGACCCTGGGATGTTTGGGCAGCTTGTATTGAGCTCGACGGCGATTCTGGAGGTAACACCAAGTTGACGGTCCCCAATATTTGTCCGAAGAGATTGGATGGCGGCAATAGCAGATTCAAGCTCTGGCCAAGTAGTGGCGGTCACGCTTATGATGAAGGCTTTGTGTGAATTGGATGATGCAGCCTTGAGGATGGTTTCTATCCAAGAGATATAGTACGATAGAGGATAGGGGGAGTAACCATAAGAGTTGAGTGAGGTGATGGACGTTATTGAGAATGCGACCTACAGAACCATTAGTGAGAGCGAAACTATATAAGGAGACGTAATTACTGACTGCGCCGTTCTCATTATCTTTGTATCCATGCAAGGAAGCGGTACGGGTAGTAACTGCACCAGTAAATGGGCAATTGTAGAGGGCTTCTAGCTGGTTGAAATCGCCTGCCCAAGCACAGGACGAGTTGATCAACGGTGGAAATACTGTGATAGTATTGATTTTTGTCATGTCGGCGTTGTCAAAGCCTTCAGAAGTGACCGAAACGTGTGTAAACCGGAGAGAATGATAAGAGGCAAAGATAAGATTGCCGGTGGCAAATATCGGACCGGTTGTACAGCCACAGCCGCTACCGGGCAACCTCGCTACATTCACATGCCAAGCTCTTTACTTTCGTTCAGAGGCACGTTCGTTTGTATCCCCCTAGTCAGCCAGTCGCTTATTTTACTGGTGCACTCATATGCGCCTGGGAAATTCCAAACAAGTCTGTGGATTCCCATTGCTCTTGTTATACTGCTCGGCAACAAAATATTTTCTCTTTACTTGGCGACTTGACAATCAACGTCAAACATTCTTCCATTCGTCGATCCAAAATTCCCCTTCACATAATCTACCCTTACGAACGAGCATGGACCCTCAATGTCCTTTTTCATTTATAGGACATCTATATTTACGACGCCCTCCACATGCTGCCAGTGGTGGTCCATTGCCTTGGCCCTCGTGTCTAATTTCAGCCTAAGAGGACTATAAATTCGCGACTTTTGAGTTTGTCTATTTGGATCTGCCTGCCCTTCTTCACTATGTGGTGCGCTACTCTTACTGCCGTTTTCGTCTCCCTCCTCCCCAAGGTTCACGGCTGGGGAGCTAGCGGACATGAGGCCGTCGGGTATGTAACATTCTCTTCCTCTCACATCGTCCTTGGTCTCATATTTATGTCACAGCGCAATTGCCCAACAGGTTTGCATCAATCTCACTGAAGGGTGCACGACATAAATGACATCCGACTTAGTTCCTTGCATCCGAAGCGTCCTCATTTGTAGCGTCTACACTTGACAGCGGGGAAACGCTCAGTTCTGCAGCACCGGTACTTTTGACTACTTGTAGCCAGACGTCTACTGCACTGACACTGCATCGAAGTGGGCCGATGATGTTCGATCTGAGTCTGCATTTGCGTGGTCGGCAATCTTTATCCTAGCCCCCGCGCAACATATTATCTCACTCCCTACACAACAATAGGTCCGCGCCTTTGCATTTCGTGGATGCGGAAGGTATTTCAACGACATTCGTTCCGCATCTCCGGTACTAAGCATTTTTGTTAGATGACCCTCCTAGTTCTTGCTCGGTATCTGAGTCGCGAGACTGCTCGGACGGAGAATGTATTCGTAAGTGGCACTACTACTGCTCGCTTTTTGGAATTGCCGCTGATGTCTGGTGTTAGTCACGGCCATTGGTTCGTTCCTGTCAACATGTTCTCCTCCATCACTATGTATTCAGTTGTCTTAGCAAATTATACCAGCAGAGTAGTCGACGACTCACTATCTCACGAGCAAATTTACGAGGCACTCAAATTCCTGGGTGAATATTTCTTTTCTCAAGCAATTCTATCGTATTGTTTCTGACGAGGTTTTATTCCATAGACCACGTGTGTCTCTTGCATTTTTCACTTCCACTGCGATCAGACTAAGTATTTCGTATAGTTTATTGGCGACATCGGGCAGCCCCTTCATGTCGAAGCCTTCGAACTCGGTGGCAACGATATCAAGGCGAAATGCGGCGGTTCCAGTACCAACCTGTGAGTGCACATTCTTTTCACGTTCAAATCGAGATACGACATAAATACCCACCTTTCTCTGACAGTCACGCTGTGAGACTTAACTTCATCAGACTTTCTAAGTACTAATCTGTCCCTTTAGGTCTGGGGTACGCATCTCGCATTCTTCACGCCAGTGACTCCTGACAAACCCAAGATTCCGGCCTGATCAATAAGCGTTTGAAAGCAGATTTTGGCAGCTCCGTCGCAACGTGGGCGAACACTCTTGTTACTCGAATCAAGGTGGGCTTTTATTATCACAGTGCCAACATGTCACTCATCTTATCCAGTCCGGTGAATACGCAAATCTGACATCAGATTGGATTTCGTGCTCTTCGACTACAGAGCAAGTTTCACGTAGGGAATTGAGGAACGTTGAGACTGACATTAAGGGCCATCTGGCTTCTCGGTCAACAACCCCTTTGGAATGTCCCCACATCTGGGCCGTGGAAGCCAACGAACTGAACTGTGTATGCTATCCCATTCTCTTCTTTGCCTCATGCTTAAGGCCTTTCAAGGAATTTGTCTTTACTTACACTCAATTCTCGGACCTTTGTTCGACTAGCTACTATGACGGTGCTATTCCTTTGGCAAGTCTTGTTTCCCAATTCAGCTGTAGTTTCTCCGTCTTGATTTCACAAACGTTTATAGATTGAACTTCAACTTGCGAAACAAGGATTCCGTTTGGCTGCTTGGCTGGTTCGTACTCTTATTCACATATGAACGTACTGGTTCTAATTTCTCTCGATCACTTTTCAGAACGTCCTTTTTGACGGCAGTCCTAATCTTTGACATATAAAGAGAAGCCGGATGCTCGTATGGCAATACTGTCGCGTTTCGTACTTGCTGTTTTACCTGGTGAAATATGGCTTCTACTGTTATCGGAGCAAGTAGAAGATGCTCTTCGGCCCGAACATGTATTGCGAGAGGGTACCATGTGGACTTCGACGCATGTTGCACATGGAACCAATAGATATGGACTAGGGGTTCGGTCGAGTAAAAGATACAAGTTTGGCACAACGCTTCTGTGAGGAGTTGTCAATTCCTCACCATCATGATCAGGCTTTGAAGTATCGGACATCGTTTTGGCGCGATGTCGCTTTTCCGAATTCCGTGCACTTTGTCCGTTACCTTTGCTCAGTTGACCGAGGAAGAGTTAGTTCCTTTGGTCGAAGGCTTTGCAGAATTCTCTGCAGAAAGTTCATTGACGAAGTGAGTGCCGTTAATGACCGATGATTCCACCGTTACTCCCCTGGTTGATCTCCAAGTCTTTGCTCCTCCCGTAGTTCCTCAGGGAGGACAAAGTTGTCAAGTCGAGTTATTGACCCATAGTTTTGGTACATTTGAAACATGTAATCTTTTACTTCTCATCGGGATTAATATCTATATAGGCGACGGCTCTTACAACAATGCCGTGGTTACCTATTCCTCTCCCACCAACTCTGAATGCGGAAATATTGGACAATGGGCTGCTATCAGCTTAAACATTTCAGTCTCTTCGTAAGCTTTTGACGCGCCGCGTGTACTACTGTCTTTCTTACTTTATTTGTCTCGTTAAGCGACGGCACATAATACGATCGTCTGGGTGTAGGTACTACTGTGTGCCTTAGCACAAGATTTTAATGATTCTATTGATGTACAGTCCATCTACCTGTTTCACGTTGAAAGCAAGTCATTCCCACGTAGAACCAATTTGATACATACTTATATGAACCTGGAATTATAGTTTGGTGTACTTCAAGTGCGGAACCCACCGAGACAGGAACAATATGGAATACGTGCGTCTTCAAATACTGAAAGTCGTTGTGGTGACTGAACCGCTCTCAGAATTAAGGATGTCACTCATTTTACTCCGCTTTTTGCTGAGGATGGTGATTTCATGATGGATTTCGGCAACATCATCTCTAAAGAACTGTGCGTTCATTCGATTCTCTGAGTTCAACTCGAAGTCGCAATAATACCAATTGAATTGACGACGTGGTTTTCCAGCTTACTTGACGGTGTCTTAAATGGTAGATCCCGAGGCCCTATCACTAAAATAATTCCTGACGACGGGCCATGACCGACAGTGATTATAACGGCAACATTTTACGCTCCTACGCCAGACTTCCCAACCCCAAGGACATCCGATTTCATTATTCCACTCTCCAATCTATCTCCCATGCTAGCCAATTACTTTACCTTGGATACTGATACGGGAGGTACCACCCTGGTGTCACTGCCAGGTAACACCGTAGAGGCCTACGTCAAAATCTTTTGCTCGGGAAATTCAGCGGAGAAATTCTGGTATCTGAGTGCGTTTGATGGTGGATTCCCGCTTCTCTGGAATGACCGACCACCGATTTCAGACACACCTGATAAATTCACTCAATACTTCCCGGACTCGACAGGATTGATTGGCAAGGGGCCTTTTCGCGAGGTCCAAGTCTTAGTTGATGCCAAACTTGTCGGCGTTGTATAGCTATACGCCACGATATACACCGGCGGCATCACACCTTCAAACTGGCGCCTGTTGACTTCATACGGCGCATACAATGCACCATCGTATTGGATTGACACAACCCCCGTCCTCCCGGTTCTCTTAGACGGCGAGGGACATAACACCCCTCGGTGTTCTGGGCCAAGGGACTAATCACTCTATCAATTCAAACTGGTTTGTTTCAGAGTGTGCATGTCAGGACAAGATGCTCAAAAACATCCAGGTCCATCAAGGTTTACGAGGTCCCCGATCTAGACATTCAAACTCTTGGTGGAGCCAGCGAAGAAAATGAAACCGTTTGGACGAGAGTTATTGTTCATCGTGACCTGGATATTCAAAGCGAAATATACACGTCGGAAGGAACCAAGACTGTCACTTTCACTCAGTCGCTGAATTACATCAATGATAGGCTGGATCCAAGTATGAGATACTGCTCGAGTCTTTGAGACGCCTTTAAAATACTCACTAATAGTGGGGCAACCAAACTACGACTAGAATCACCGAATCTAGGCACGGAGGAAGTCAGGTCCTTCTAAATGCATTCGAGTATCCGTTATCTGTGTTCTCGAACTATTCCTTGTATGAATTACAGTTTGGTGAGATCGAGACCGCGTTAATCTCTTGGGCGTCGAGCAGCTAATTATATTGAAATTCAGGTGGATACGGATCCGAAGTTAACCAGACGCATATTCGGGCTATCCAGTTCCCAACCGGCCCTTATAAATCCATTCATTCCGTGCAGCATGCCAAGGGTTGGGTAGGTATGGACGATTGCCCTGGACCGAGACACGCGATCAACGGGACTGGTAAGACTGAGCAGACATTTGCGTATGTAGACAGGCGCGGGGCGACATATTTTCGGGACATTGTTGCAAAGAACGATGGATGGGTCCACGACCGAGTAGGGGGTACACTGCGCGCCGCAAATCGTCCGGTGCCAGACAATCAGATATATGGGCCAGATGGTGGGCCAGGTTTCAGAAGAAGACACGTACCAAGAGACCGGCTAGTATAAGGGGCCCTAAGCCACGCCTTAGTTAGTATATAACGAAAGGCAGCCTAGTTTGAATGTGTAGCAAGACAACTGCCCCAGAACAAGCTAGCATGGATTCAACCCTCCGAGAGAGACGAAGAATACTTGTCGAGCCTCTTGCGCAAGGGTCCAATGACGCCAATCTTGCGCAGAATAAGGGCAAGCTCTCCCGCGATCCTTCTCCGTTCATCCTCAACCATCTCCTTGGATTCCAACAACTCCTTGACCGCTCGAGCCAGGCGCCCTTTCGGAGTAGTACCATTGGGCGTTTTCATAGGCTTGTTTTTACCCTTTCGCTTCACTTTTGGAACGGCTAAGAGGGGCTCCACGAATTCCACCCTAAACCTCCGAAGTGCGAGAGATGCGATCGGAATAATGCGGTCTAGGGAACTAGCAGCCTCTGCACACGACTCCGCTAAAATCAAAGCCTCTGCAGGATCCCCATCACTGTACCCCCATTTTTTTAATTCGTCCAACCGCTTCTCCTTCAGCTTGTTAGATAACTTCTCTCGCGTGTCACTGACAGTGACGGTTCTGGCAACATGCTCGAGAACGTCGTTAATGGACAGCCAGCCTTTATCTTCGTCAACGGCTCGTTTTACGTAATGGCGATTGACGTAGTTGAGAAGACGATTAACGGATTGAGCGCCGGCAGAATAGCGATTGAAACAGGGAATAATGTAGTCAATCAAGGAGGAATCATCCTGAGGGGCACCAAGGAGTAACTCGCGGGCTGTATCGGCGAAAAATTTGTCTAGTTGTCCGTAAAGGTCTGTCCCAGTGGTAAGTGTGGTATCTTCGTTTTTTCGAGAATTGTAGTTTTCAGTCTGGGCTGTAATACTAAAACAGGACTTAGACTTTTTTGTGACAGATAGAAATAGTTGACATACTAGTTGTAACAAGCTGAATGGATTCCCGAATAGAATTCGACATCAATTGCTGGGGCTTTAGAGATATTGTTGGTGGGAGACTTTATGATGTGATTCAAGGCTGGCAGCAGATAAGCCCACAGAGACGACAAGGACGCTGCTGGATTGGCGCTACCAGTGGCAGGATTAGGGAGAGGAGGCACGAGAGCCTGTCTTTCGGGCTGTTTTCCTTTCGACGTTGCCATGGTCGTCCGACTTTGAAAAATAACTAGAGCAAATACGATGATCGTTCCCCATTGCCTAAAAAGGCGCTCTCCTTCTGATCATAACGAACTGCTATCTGTGCTTCGATACCGGTTGATATCCTTAAATATACGGCGGTGTTCTGGGTCACCATTCTCCATCGTGATGCAACCTCATCATGGATCTTCTGTTCCAGGTATATAAAATCCACAGATAACCAAGGGACTCTTCAGCTGCGCTCACTTCCGTTTCCTCGAGTTACTGGCTAACTTTGAGAGGTCGCACACAAGCTGGCTTGTTGTACATTTCCAAAACCTTAAACATGCTCCACTGCGATCCCAAAACATACGTCTTGCCCCTTTTTGTGATATCCCACGCCGCATTTTTAGTATCTGCAGCTCCTGTTAGGTGAGAGCCTACGTAATTCTTTTCTCTAGATAATCACCTTTTCGCAATAGGAACTACACAAAGCGTCTTGCTGACGGCGAAGTCAAGACCGTCAAGAGGCAGGCAGCTAACAATGAGAATCCTGGTCAGTCTTATGTCTCCTTCTAGTTCCTTTCTATATCGATGGTTCCAACAAAGATTCTGTCTCTGAGCTTCCAGGATTATTACCAGCGCTCGAGAACGTCGCTGCTCCAAGTGGCCCAATCACGAGTTCGATCTCTGGTAACAGTGAACTGTCTTCTTTGTTCAAGGAAGTAGCCAAGCTGGCCTCCGGAACTACCGTTATCAATGTCAACGTTGGTGACAAAAACCTGGGTTCTTTACTGTCTGACGCAGCCAGCGACACTAATCCATCGGGCGGGGCGGGATCTGATGCCACAACCGATACTTTCGGTGACACAGCGTCAGGCGGCGATGATACTAGTCCACCGGAGGAAACAGGCGATGCTGATGGTTTCGGCGATGACGCTACTGTGCCTAGTGTTCCTAGCACGACAGGAAATGGCTTGCCGTCGTCCACGAGCAACCCTGGGTCTGATGCCGCAGATGACGACGACGACGGTGACATGGACACAAAATTTTTCGATTCGGCGGTTCAGGGTGACTCAGACGGGGATGATGAGTCGGATACGGATACCAGTTCGGACAGCTTATATCTCAGATCAGGTGCTGTAAATGGGACAGCAGCATCAGGCTCAAATTCGACGGATAGTATTGACGACTCTTATTCTGATACGTCGGGCAGTACACCACACAGCGGTTCGGGCGGCTCGCTAGGGGAAGCACCAGCAGGAGGAGAAAATGGGACTTCCATTTTCAAGATCTCTGTCCAGAATATTCAAAAGATCAACATCGAGAAAGGAACGGTAACATCTTAACATATCATATACTTTCCAATTGTCTTACTCTACCCACGATCATGCTGTATTATTCTATGCAAGGTGCTACAATACGATTCGGACTACACGATCCCAAGAACAACCGTCGCCCTCAAACTAACCTTAGATCCCTGAAGGTTGATAATGTTACCTTCGTCATCGGCATCATCTCCAACCGGTTTATCCTCCCCCTTCAACGAACTGCTCTTCCATCCCCAACTCTGACTAATCTTGAACACATCTGGGCTGCTCTTATACCGTGTCTGTGAGCTACCTATAGGATTTGCGCAGTAGATCATGAAGTAGGCGGAAACACTCGATCGAGGATCTCGGTATGGCTGAGAAGGCGCGGTACCCGGGAGGGTATACGGAAGGCTGTATGGATACCCATGCGTATCTCGGTAACTCGGTGCGGTCGAGCTATTAGTACCAGGCCGATCCGGGAAGGAGTGATATGAGGGTAAAGATGACGACAAAGAAGGACTCAACGACGGTGTCGTGCTATGCGTTGGAGTCAGAGGACTAGGGTTAACGGGCGGTGCGGGTTGAGATGTAGCGCTTGATGACGATATTACCCGACTGCGTCCGGCACTTGTGCTTTGACTGTGGTCAGACGGACTAGACGTCAAGTCTCTGTCGTTGCTCTGTCGTACTACCAATGGATTTGGCGCACTTCGGGCGGGAATTGCTTCCACAGTGCTCTGTCGACATAAGTATATGCCTAATTGACTAGTCTGGCTGTCCTTGCCCGAAACCGTGGATTCCTTCTTCATAACTTGGATGTAGACGTTGAACAGGCTACCAGCATACCAGATGGTTTGGGAGTGTAATTTTTTCTTCTCCTTCAAGTGATCGGTATCCCAGAATTCGACTGAAAATCGGAACGGAGGGTAAGGAGAGTAGATGGCTTTCGGATCGGTGGAGGCGTCTCGTATCGAAGTCGGTGTGTAATAATTTGGTAGAAGACCAAAGAAACTTGACTGGTTAAATGTGATAGGATAGCTTGAGACCTTGTCGGACTGGAACTTGGCATTTAAATTTTCTTCAGAGGAGAGCGAATAAGGAGAGTGAGAGTGCGCGAACAACTGCTCCATCGATATTTCCTTGACTTCGGACGATGGCCCACCATTTTCGCCAATTCGTAAAGCCTGGTCGACGGGAACAAGATAGAATGGGCCGTCTTTATGCTTGATGCCTCCATTGAGGAAATAGTCTCTCGAAAATGTTATGCCAATGTCCTTTTCTTTGCCTTTAACGGAAGCCAGTGTTGGTGTAGAAGAAGTAGGACGGAATGTAAGGTCGTGTCGAAGAAGGGTTTGAGACCAATTCGCCGCCTGGAGTACGGACAGGGACACGTAGGGTTGTTCTGTTGTGGGACACACATCGGATGATATCTTGATAATATCTTCTGGCACCTGCATACGCAGTGAAGCACACACAAGAAGTCATTGAAAATATGGGCTCACCATGTTAGCATAGTATATTCCAGTTTCAAACATCTCTTTCCAAATCGCCTCCTCACCTGAATCTATTCCACCCTGCTTCCTCCGCAGTTTAACGGCTCGCTTCGCGAAGTCGTATCGTTCCATCTCATCCCTTGCGAAAAAAGAATCCGACGAGATGAGGGCTTTGACCCAATGAGGGCTTAGACCACCGCGCCTCCATATCACTGGGATAGTTGGTATCGTGACAGAAGTACTGGCCGCATCTACGACTTCCGCACGAATGGCGGAGTCCAGGGTTTTTGCTCGGCGTCGAATTGTCTTTGGGTGAGAAGGTAAGGGAGGAACGTCCTTGTCCAACACGCCCTCGACAACTTTCTCTTCGTAACTGAGAATATCAGGACCCCAACGAGATAGCCAGGCTGCAGCAGCCTCGCCAATCTTGTCCGACACTGCGCCGTAATGAAAAGTCACAGGCTCTGGCGGAGTCTGACTACGCGACTGGGTAGAAGCCGGATGAGATTTGAGCGACATGCCATCTTCAGTCGGCTCGAAAGAAGAAGTAGGAACCGAATTTGGACGGTTGTTCCTCGAAAGTGACGGTAAAATAGATTTGTCATTGTCGGAATCTTGGTCTTTCAGGAGCTCTGCTACACTCTCCAGCCCCACCGCACCCTCAGCGGCACCCTCCGAACGGGTGCACTTTCCGAGAGAGAAGTTAAGATACTGGATGACGGTATAGGGACCGAGGGTGCCGCATATAGATGAAAGCGCTTGAGAAGCTAAAGAAGGGATAGATAGGTAAATGGATGTGGCAAGAAGTGACAGCAAGAACTGGGGTGTTGCGGCCTGGTGACCAGGAGGTGTCTCATGCTTGGACTGATACGGGAAACCTGGGGTTAATGGGCGGGAAAAAGTTGGCCGCAGACATGGACAAACATGCAGCGGCGGGCCACCTCCATATAGGCGAGAAACACAGACTCTGTAGCCAAGGGTCGGTTCACTGAACGAAGACTAGTAAGGATACTCACTCGAATGCTACACCATCAATAATGAGACAAGGCTGCAGACAGATATACATTACACGGACCTGCACGAGTTATGTTGTGATCATCAAATACAATGTTAATTTCGTCCGGGCCTGCATAATGGCTCGGCAGCCTAGGCGATGCTTCCACAAAGCCTGCAGTGAAGAGCGAGCGAAAAAATTCCTGAAAATAGTCAATTGCTGGCAACGATAGGGGCCTCGCATGCCTACCGACTGGATCAAGACGACTCTGTGAAGATGATATACGGCGTGCCAAGAGCCCGAGATGCGCAGGGCGACATCCGCGGTCTTGCCGTCGAGGAAAGCGTGATAGAGATGAGATTGGAGGTCTTGAGGTGACGGCAGAGGAGAATTCATGCGACGACGGCGCCTGGAAGGCAGGGACGGAAAGGGAAGTGCGCCAAGGGCGACATTAGCGGATGATAGGCCCAACGATTCATCGGTGACGCTTGCTGCTGACATCGAAGCATGCCCCCGTGCCTTACATATTTGGTCGGAGCCAGTATACCCTTTCCACCCTGACGGCCACCACCTACCTTCCCATGGCATACTCCCAGCCCCATCCCAGGCTCTCTGTTCTCTCAAATTCTTCTCTTTCATCTGTAGAGCATCTCTCACCAACTACCAGTTCTCGTTATTCTATTCCTTCGGCCCCATCGATAAACACAGCTCTCGGCACCAATAAGCAAGCCCTCTCTCGACCAAACATATACGACAGGAACCTTAACAAACCTCGCGTAACTGATGTCTCTGGCGCCGCTTTTAGCTTTCTGTTCTCAGAAATTGTGCAGTACACCCAGAAACGCGTGAGCGGTATCAATGATCTCGAACGCCGGTTCGTCCCCTGCCGTACAGTTCTTGTATTTGTTAACAATTACCGCAAGACTGAATACTCTCGGCTATCGTATCGGCACCCGAGTCCTTGAGCTCATGGTATGGCGTGCAGAATCATCCTCCAAGACTCCGAAACGAGAAATACGGCTCCTACCTTCCTTGATGTCCATTCATACCCAAGTCTGGCGGGCCGTCTTTGGAAAGCCAGCGGATGCGATCGAAAAGAGCGTCGAGAATGCAGATGAATGTATGCCATCACAACACATGTCGTCTTCTTACTCTCATGTTTATAGATATGATCATTGACAACGACCCATCTATTGAGCGTCATATCTCCGTTCCCAAGGACATGAGTCAATTAAGCTGTTCGTCCTTCACTGCGGGTATTGTTGAAGCCGTATTGGATGGGCTAGGCTTCGTACGTCCAGACCGTCTTCGGACAATACCTGTCACTTATCTTATCTGATATAGCCCGCTCGCGTCACCGCGCACAATACACCTACAGCCCAATTTCCTACCCGGACAACGATTCTAATTAAACTCGAAAAGTCGGTTCTGGAACGGGAAGAACTGCTGAAGCAATAGTCATATGCATCTGGTACTGTTGTGTATTACTGTGTAAGTTTGTAGTCTATGATTAATCCTATCAAGTCGCGCAATTTGATATCCATCCTCCCTTCAGGCATCTCATTCATAATACCACTGTATTGCGCCGTGTGAAACAGCACATCGAAGTTAGTCTGCCTGTCGGAGACGGCACTAGTCTCCCTATCTGGTGATCTCGTCCGAGCCCATGCTTTATGATTGTTGCGAGAATTCAGGGTAGAAGATAGGCCTTCGATCGGTATCTATGTATACAAGACGACTACAAGATAGATATCTTTTCGATATTGAAAGACAGCAATATCCGGACGTTGGCGATGATGGCGTTGTTTAGTATACGGTGATACCGTCCACCCCAAATGGCTTTCGGAATATGTAGCCATGGCCGAACCGTCTTATAGGTCTTTGTGGTGGAAGGCCGGACCTCTGATTTATCCCTTTGGTAAATTGTTAAGTTGTGTATAATTCCACCTAAAATGAGTACTTACAGTCTCGCAGTTCACGCTTGTTGATGCTGTGACCACGACAAAGCTCGCGAACTTGCAGCACTGCTGAGGTAGCCTACACAACACAATTTCGGTGACTAGTTCTTTTCGGAATGCAGCCGGAATGAAACACCCTGTTGTTACACATGCACGTCTTCTGTTTGCTCAGTAACGAAAACTTGTACGTTGCTTCAGGCTCATATGTACTCTTCGATCGACGTTCTGTATGCCAGATGGGGAGTCACCGAGTGTCGGATTTGTCATGTTTTGATGACTGATCATCGGTGCGGCTATCCGTCGGAAAAAAGTCCACCGACATTAAAATATGATAATGACTCGTCTTCTTCCAAAAAAGCCCACCATGTCCACTGACGTCGAGCTGGTTAGTTTGAATCAGACACGGTATGCGTTCCTTTCTATTTCATGGTCTGTGAAAGTTAATATTACTTCAGGAACACTGATGATTTGGACCAACGAACGATTGACCTTGAAGATATGATCGTAGACGCACAAACAACCAAAGGAGCTCACGATATCGATGAAACGCCGTTAAACATATCATCGTTACCTCCCATGGTTAGTCGTTACCTTCAATGGCTTTGCCAAAATTCAAAGCATCCCTCACAGGACCGTGGGTTCCATGCCTGGGCATACCTTTTCAGTGCATGGCTTCTCGAGTTCCTTGTCTGGTCTTATCCCTTCTCTTATGGTGTCTTTCTCAACTACTACACTTCCCACGAGCCTTTTCAGGGCACTTCTTCGTCGCTCCTCGCCCTTGTCGGGTCTCTATCTACAGGATTAATGTATTTCGCCTCACTTATCATCCTTCCCGTATTCTCGCGATTTCCAGTGCATAAGAAGAAGGGAATGTACATAGGGCTGGTACTATGTGTCGCAGGTTTATTTGGAGCAGCTTTTGCAAGAACACCCGGTGTTTTACTATCAACGCAAGGAATTCTTTATTCAGTTGGTGGCAGTAAGTGGTATTTAGCTCATGTTGATGACATGCAGTGAAGGTGACTCTTGCACAGGTTTGTTATATTTTCCTACCATGACATATACGTTTGAGTGGTTTTCTGAAAGAAAAGGATTGGTGGGTCGTCGCACATATTTGGTTGATTCGCAAATGGTCTGACTTTCTCGATCCATTCAAAGGCGAACGGCATCATCTTCTCGGGCTCTGGTGTGTCCTCGATGCCTAAGTTTATCGGATAGCTCACAACTCATATTTTCAGGCATTGGAGGTGTCGTGATGCCAATGGTCATCAAGAGTCTCCTGTATAAATATGGCTTCAGGACTACTATGCTAGCTCTAGGAGCTGCCTTCACCGTTTTTACCCTCCCTGCACTGCCGTATATCAAGTCGCGAGTCCCACCTTCCCAAGTTGTCCACCATAGACCCATCGATACCCAATTTCTCAAGTACAAACCCTTTTGGATTTTGCTCACTGCGAATTTAACTCAAGGATTGGGTACATTCCTTCCTACATTGTATCTGCCAAGTAGGTTGTCCGTCTTTGTGGCATATTGAGCTGCACTCATTTGATCGGCTCGTAGCTTTTGCAACAGATCTAGGATTAAATAACGCAGCCTCCGCAGGAACCTGGGCACTGTCATTGATGAACGGTGCGCTGATTCCTTTTTCTAATGACCTAGTTATTGATATGCAACGCCGCTCTGCAGGTACTTCTGCGCCGGGTTGTGTTTTCCTTGGCTATCTTTCCGACAGGTTTGATTTGCGTATATCCATCTTCCTGTCCGCGCTCGGTTCTTCCTTCGCTGTTCTATGTATATGGGGCTTCACTACCCACCTCGCTACTCTGCTTGTATTCGCGGCCGTCTACGGCTTCCTTGCGCCCAGCTGGTCTGCACTGTGGACCAAGTTTGCATCAACAGTAGGGGGTGACGATCCCCACTTGTCATCAATGTTGATGTGTATCTTCATTGCCGGGAGAGGCGTCGGTAACACTTTATCTGCACCTATTTCATCTGGATTGTTACATCCATGGGCGCTCACTGGAAAGTCTCAGTATCCATACGCATTGAAGGGATATGTGAGTTATGAAAATATCTTTCTCGAAGCAATTAACAGTTACGATGTAGGGGCCTTTGATTCTATTCACCGGCACAACACTGTTGTTGAGTATGCTCGGAGTCATATATCGTCAACTCAACACAAAGGTACTGCGCATGAGGATACCCAGAAGGCTCAGACATTCGATGTCAAAACCTCGTAGTGAAATTTAAGTGTCTGTATCTTTTTATCATCGTCGCCGCATTGTCTTGTCGCGTTGCTGTTTTGTCGTGGCCATACCACTCTTCGCTTTGGTTGCGTTGATAGCCTACATTCAAGAATGGGTCATTTGACGGGCAGGGCGTCGAGAATTTGGGTGTTCTTATCTATAGGCACACCTCCCAATCTCACTGCTAATTGTCACGACGACTCCTACTTAGTATCTCTCACCCGTTAAACAGTACCAAAAGCATGCCTGCATCACTACAGATCAGACATTCTAAAGCCACAAGTTGTCCTTCCCCTTGATACTCTGAGGCGACTTCTTTGGTCGCTGAGATTATACCCGGAATCGTCTCGTCGGTTTGATAGAAGATCTAATGCACCAGTAAGAGACAAATTGCAAGTGTCGTGTTATCTATGATCCTCTTTCCAGTGAACAGATACCGGAGGCGCTCGAGTTTCTCGGTATATCCGTCCAGTTCTTCCGCTGTCCTTTCTGACTCTTGCTTACGATTCCTAGTCAGATCGCTTAGCTTTCGCTTACGCCCATATGATCATTGAATATCAATGACGGTTTATTGGTGACGTCGGTCACCTTCTCCGTGTCGAAACATCTGGATAGATATGTATCAGACTGGGTTGGCGAGCTTGTTGGGCGGATGAAAGTTGCATTGCTTTTTGTACTATATCTACGTCTATGCACAGCCAAGCATGCAGAAGTTCACTGAGGTCGGGCTGGTTATCGTACTCTTCTATCACTGATCTGGCAAAATAATGGGTTGTATACTATTGAAACGGACGTCAAGAACTATCTGGCCGCACGAGATACCACTCCTTTCCAATGTCCGTATACTTGGGCAACAGAATCGAACAAGATTAGATTGCGTACAGACTTCCATCCTCCCTTGTTTGCCGACATTGATAGTTTTTTAGTTTGTGTTTACCTATCATAAACTCTCTGACTTCTGCTTGTCCAGCTACTATGGTGACGTTATACCTAGTAGGCCAAGTGCGTCGGCTTTCTTCTCCACAAGGTGATATGTTTCTGGCAGATTGAAGTTCAGATCGCGACGCAAGGCTATCGCTTGGCTGCTCGATAAGGAGCGCCGATCGACCCTACCTGTCATACAATCTATTGACTCTCCATGTGAAAGGTTGAACGTCCTTTTTGATGATGACACCAACCTTCAGGTTTGAAATACAGTGTCTTGTTCTTTTGATAGAAAGGGGATTGTAGCTTGCGTTTATATTCTTCCACTCGGCCGTCATTGCATTGCTTCCTTTCGGTTTTAGGACGAGTCCTTTCCTGGTTTTAAACGGACTGAAAACAGGAAAATGCTGCTGATGAATGTAGTATACAGTAATCTTCAATCATACTATATGCCGGTTATCTAAACTCTTAAACTCTATAAACGGGATAGGCGTGACCGTCGCGTCTTCCACGTGACTGACGCGTCGAGTGCCGCGTCGCTGTTTGTTAACGTACAATTTGATGGCCGAGATTCAAAAGTCCGTCATCAAAATCGGTTGTTTGGCTGGACGCTCTTTACCCTAGTACCACCACCTGGTCAGTCGCAATATCTTCATCGTTACTGGTAATGCAGACACCACGGTCGACACGCTCTTCGACTCTCGGCAAACGCACTCACTGCAGTGAACTGCCATCGCCAGATCCAACGCCTAGCTATAAGCGACCAAAGACGACAATCACCGTCCTCGATGGCGACGATAACAAGGAGAATATCCCTCCCTGTCTCATTCGCGCTGTGAATGCGGATGCCCCTTCGCCAATTTCAGCAAGAGCAACGCGAGCGCTCAGGAGAACGACGACAGAGATTGAAGTTACACCATCTCGTCGACGCGCGCGTACGTCTGCTATGCTCAATTGACTTTTGCGTGTTCTGATTGCTGGTTCCAGAGCGTCATACCTCTGCCTCTTCTTTGATTCCTTCTCCCCCGACGTCACCTACACCTGTGTCACAAGCTGCGATAAGCACACCTCCTATGCCTACTATAGTCTTACCTGTCCATGTCAGGGCACGCGCGCTACTTCGTGCGACATGTGATGATGCAGTAGATATGCCGGCACGTGATGATGAGCGCGCGATCATTAGCGCCTTTATCGCGAGTTTCGTGGCTGCTTCGTCTCTGGACTCCGATGATGTAGATCGTTCTGCTAGCCTCTACATTTCTGGGGCACCGGGGACCGGGAAGACAGCCCTCATCAATTCAATTCTGCGTTCTCTGGACGCTTTGAATGACGTCGAGGTCATCACAATCAATTGCATGGCGCTAAGTAGTATTGAGGCGTTGTGGGAACGGCTGTATGAGAAGTTCGAGGAGACGAAGAAGCCATCTGGTCGAACAAAGAAGGCTGCAAGAGGGAAAGATCCCGTGGAAGCCTTGTTCCATAATCTAAAAACCAAACGGTACGAATCTCTTCAATTATTTTGAATAGCGCTCATCTCTACCACAGTCTCTTGGTATTGGATGAATTGGACCTTATAACTACCACATCCCAGTCACTGACGACTCTGTTCTCTCTTCCGATCGCCAACCCCTCCGTTATACGTATCATTGGCATCGCTAACACTCATACCTTGACATCATTTGCCGCTTCGTTCTCGTCATCCGTACAGACTCTTCACTTCTCTCCTTACACACCGGCTCAGTTGCTGCAAATTATCGAAGCAAGGTTGGTCACTTTGCGTAATGATGAAGCTGAGGCGGAACAGGTCAAAAAGCTCCTTCCTGCTCCTGCCTTGACATTGTTGACAAAGAAGGTCGCGGCTATGACCGGAGACGTTAGAAGTCTCTTCGAAGCTTTACGTAGGACAATCGATGCCGCTGTCACGTCTCGCAAGGGCAACGGATGTCCTTCCATTACGCCTGCCCATGTTCTCGCCGCTCTTAAAACCCATGGACCATTGCACCAGAAATCTTTAGCACACTCTTCCACGCCCTCCAATCCGAGTTCAAGCGACAGTGAAATCGTATCAAATGTCAAGTCCTTGGGCCTTCAAGCACGCCTTGTTCTTCTCCTGATCTTGCTATCCTCCAAGCGAATTGAAGCCGGCTTACCACTCACCTTGACCACTGCAGCGAAGTCCCCATCAAAATCCACAGGAGTAGAGACATCACACCTGTTCATCTTTTACTCAGCGGTGTTGCAGCGTGGTGATAGCGATGTGTTCACGCCCATCTCATATAGTGAATTCGTGGACTTGATTGGTATGCTAGATGGGGTTGGTCTGGTATCTGCTACATCTACCATTGAATCCCCTCGTGGCAAAGGTGGCAAGCGTTCTCTCACCAGGACATCGTCGGGAATCATGACCGGGCATGTACAAATTGCCTCAGGGGTTCGACCTGACGAAGTCTTAAGGGGTTTGGGCGTCAAAAATGCCGATGCAGAGGTGTCGGATGATGTGATGGAAGAGGAGGTGTCTACCCTATGGCATCGAGAGGCGGCTCGGATGAGTAGGGAGATGAAGGCTATGAATGAGGCCAGATCACAGGAGCGACGTAATCCGGCTCATTTTTCAGATGCGATGGAAGATAAATAAAACGTCTTCCCCGTCTGGTTTACTATGACCATTATTGCATTCATTCATCACGGTTAGGCCGTCCAAAAGGTTGTATCAATAGTCAACTGCTTGTTTATATGGACCATGTAAAATATACCATGTCAACTTACTGCTGTCGTTGTATGCCGTATTGAGCAGCAACTTGGAAAGTTGTTTAGCCAACAGTGCGAGGAGTGCCGAATCAAAAACACAACCAGGCAGGCAGACGACGATATAGGATATACTTTTGTGATGGCCGGCCTTGTAAAGGATAACTCCTTCGTCAGCGCTGCAGCGGAGTTCCAAATCGCATAATTTCTAACATCTTCATGCCGAACTCGAGATCACATTGTAAACGATATACTAGTAGACTTGGATTCCTTGCGACAACTCTATTATCATCCCAGTTGTTAAAAAATCCGCAGTAGTCAAAGGGCGACTGTACACTGGTTTCAATAACCCTATTCAGATACTAAGTCCTCCAAACCGAAGATGTAATACCTGCAATCAGTCTAGAAGAGGCGCTACTGCGGCATACTGCGATACCCAGACAATGTGGGGACAAATATCGCGTTGGTCGCAACACTCTCGCGCCTCAATACATCCGTCTGACTCGGCTTCACCTCTGTAGTGCGCGCTCAATGGGTTTTCTGGAACTTCCTAGCTTTGCGAGGCGATGATTCGTAGTCGCGGAACATGAAAATAATTGAACGTATAAACCTCAGGTTCTGATTCATCTCTGTTCGATTCTCGACTCTCCATCGATGATCTTCGCACTTTCTCAGCACTGGTAGTCTATCTTAGGAACAAGTTCGTAATTATTCTCTTGCCGCAATTTGATCAGGTTGCTTCAAGTTCAGGATGATTACCCAAATATGATTCTTTGCGTGATACAATGAAATCCGCTGCTTACCAAACAAGCCAACATTTATCGTTACAAGTGAACAATGTTGCTGGCGGCAGGACAACCTATTCGCCACATTCTAGTTGCCGTTTAATTTCACCTTGTCGTAAAAGCTCTTCTCACTTGTTTTACTCTCTCCTCTTCCCTTGATGCTGGACTTCAAGAAATTTGAAGTCGACAAGGTCGACGAACACACCTTCGTACGTGATTTACTAATATTATACTTTATCTCTTCAGTCGACAAATCATAGGCTCACATCTTCGACCACATTACGAAAAGTACATCCGTGAAGACTGTCTCCAGCTACCTTCCGCTCCTTACTATTCCACCGACGTCTCAAGTTGACTCGCCAAATTCGGTCATCGTCGCAATCCAATGTCCCAAGCCGCTCGTCAAATTTACGAGCATATCTTCTACCGATTGTCACTGGCGTTATACGACTTTCTCCGCCCGTACACAGATGGTGCACTCACCTTTTCAAAAACTATCTTCCCTCACAGTCCTCTCTGAGAGACCAAGCGGTCGATATTGCCTTCGACTTACTTTACTATCACTCCGGTAAACTATTATCCAACAGAACTCTCGTCTCTTTGTCACCCTCGACGCTTCCTTACCTCTTTGAACTATGGATCGAAGGCCTCGAGAAACTGCAGCCGGAATGGCTTCCAATCAGCCTGACGATGCGCAAACTACATGATTGATAAGAACCTTATGGCGCCGTTCTGTGAGCTCCTTGCTCCAATACTACATGAACGACTAAGGGGCTGCCTCACTGTTCTCGCCAAGATGGCCCACAATTCGAAATTGCTGGCTTCGCCCTCATCCGGCTTAGTGTCCTCAGCAAAGAAATGTGTGGCCACTTGGTGAAGTCAAACCTTTCCTCGATGGTCTTTTGTTTGGATTACACGCGACCTTATGTGGGGCATGATATAATATGAGCGACCGAATGTCGTAGAAAATATGGTATCCATGTAGACGCGTGGAAGACGGAGATGGAAAAATCTGTTCAATCTGAGAAGGAGGGTGTTCTGCCGCATACTTTGATCCCACTATTACGGGAGGCCCCTGGACAAAGCAAGTTCCAGTGGATTGATTGTTGGCTGACCATGAGGGTGTTTTAGTACGTTCCACATTAGACGTAAGGTCGCAACACTGAGCACTGAGTACTGTAGTGCCGTAGTAATTGCAAGTTGGAGTACGTGCAAGTGTTACCCCAACCAAACTTTTAAATGAAGCTAAGGCAGGTAGCTTCTCCTAATTCGAGAGAATAACTGCCCTCCATGTCGATTTTGAGCGTCAACCTTCAATGGTGTGAGCAACACGTGCTATCTGTTTCCAACCCTAGATTAGGGCTATGGTTGCTTTCGCTTCTACGCCGTTCTAGGTCTGGCTCGTCGACCGCGTTACCCCTCCAACTGGCAGGCCTTGAGTCCGAGGTTGATAACGACGAGCGATAATTGGTCTTGACTGACGACAGCGCATATTGCACCATCCTTCAGCCTCATCTCGCCGAGACGTCGAGCTCTCTGAACCTTTGGTACAGTCGTTTGATTGTACTACTCACTGCGTCGTATCCTTGGCATAATACTTTTCAATGTTGAACACCGTGCATGCGGAATCAGAAGTGACATTCGACGACATCTATGATGTTCTCCCACAAGTTGCGTTTACTTCCGTCTCTACCACCATTGGGCTCATTCTGATATTCTGTCATAGAAGCGCGTTCGTCACATAACATCTATCCAAATCCGCAATCTGACCCCGTTCCCTGTCCGAGATGCCTTTGCATCCGCTCTCTCTCAGCCTTCAGAGCAGCCGCAGTTCAGCACCCACGGTCATCTAACTGACGATTTGGACATTTCCTTGACGTTGAAACGAAGCCGTCGGGTGTCGATTAATTCGGTGGTGACTTTCCGCAGCAAGAAGTCCGAAGACATAGCTGGAGGTGAAGGCCAGGGGACAGGGGACAGCGCGGCAATATCCAGAGGAAGATTGAGAGCAGGTTCTCGCGCTAGCAGTGCTGGTGTTTCCAGTAAATTTGCATCTGGTTCTGCTCCTACTATTCGCCGACATCGAGCCAGCTCCAATGCTTCGTCGCTTGCAGCCACCTTATCTGGTCCTGATGTCTCAGCACTGGCGTCAACTTCAGCTGCTCCTTATAACACGCTCTTTCATCACCATACACAAACTGAACTGGAAGGTGTCATTCGAACACGTCTGGTTGAAACATTCCTATCCATCACAGTACATTCTCCTTGTAATAACATACCTGAAGACACTACTCCCTTCCCCTCCCCTCATAGACCAGCTAGCGCCTCTCGCTTATCTGTGCCTCACAGTTCCCCTGGTTCGAAGACTAAGAAACCCAATGGTACTGATAATGTCAAGGGCCACAAGCCAACCGTCAGTAGTGTGGAGAGAACAACACGTGCATCGCGTGTAGCTACTCCCAAGTCTTTGTCCTCTACACACTTGAAATCTGCCTCGACGTCGGTGCTGCGAACCAACGGACAGGCGTCTTCGACCGTAACTAAATGCCCCAGCCCTTCCCCTCGGTCACAATCAGAAAGTCGCTCCTCTCCCGTACCAGATTTCCTATCCCCTATACATCCTCCTTCCACAAACCCCACATTTCGGATAGATCCTCGAACCGACTTTTCCTCTTTGACTGATATTACTGGTGGAGACCTTACTGTTCAAGTTTGGGCCAAGAGCACGGTTGAGGGGCAGAATGACCCCAGCGGTAAAGGGAAAGGTCGCCTGTTCCCTAGCGAGACTGAATGGAAGCTGCTGGAGAAATGGGATTTCAATCTGGAAGAGCTGGTACCAGTTCCAGAAGATGTAAGATCCAATGAGCCAGAGCTTCTTCACGCTGACTTTTTTCCAGTTCTCTCACGCATCACAGCTGCCTTCAAATACTCTGCTTGTTACCTTAGATCCGCCAGGCCATTCTTGTTATCTCTTGTCCACCAAGATTCCTCGAAGCAGGACGCCGTCTCCTTCTGTGGGATATGCATCTGACCCACAGACTGACACAAGGAGAGTCCGCCATATCGAGGATATATTTCCCTCCGAGAACTCGATTGATGCATTTGTTTCTACTCCGAAACGGTATAAGCGCGGTTCTAGGCGTAAGTCCCGATTGTCTGAAGACTACGTACGAACAGCCAGCTGGCAAGACCTCTTCAAGTCAGTGAATTTATAATATTCGTATGAAAGTAAACGACGTACTCATCACTTGCTAGATTGGTGACACTCCAGACATGTATTCACGACACACATTCTTCACTGGATGATGTGGCTCATAGTATTGACAAGTTCGTAAAAGACAACAGCGCTTTCAAATTGGTGTGTTTACGTTCTCCTTCCTCCGGAACACCCAAGGGCATTGCCCTTACGTTTTCCATTCTGATGTGACCTCAAAGTTGATTTCTTTTGGTAGAGGCGCCGAATCAATGAATGTGAAGCTCGCTTGGATGAACTTCAATCCAATTTTCAGCACCTCCAAACCCTGCGGCAAGAGCGTAAGAGTTTATAATCATTGCATTTACTGGCGTGCCTGATGTATTTTTTTTCTAGGAGAGTGGGAAATCAAAACTCATCGGGATCGGCTAAGACAACGCCGGGAAACACTTGGGCTGGCGAGGAAGCAGCTTTTACAGAGGTCGAATTACTTGAATATTATATCGCAATCTGTGACTGAGGAACGGTAAGCTTTTCTTTCTACTGTATGCTACAGTTGTAACATGCCTCTTATTCAAGATCTCGTCTTGATGTTCTACGAAATCGAATTAAACCAACACGGACAACACTCCTTTCGACGTTATCTTGGATCTTTCCGATTGAACTGCGCTCACCTCCGGACCTGTTGTACACCGTCCTCGATGTACCGCTTCCTATACCATTTGCCTCAAACGACCCAGGACCTCCCCTATCCCTGGCTTCCCACAATGATGTGAACGAAGATACTGTTGCTACAGCACTAGGTTACGCTGCTCAACTCGTTCAATTCATAGCGGTTTACTTGGGCAAAGGCCTAGTATATCCTGTAACCTTTGTGGGCAGTCGTAGTCTAATCCGTGACGGGATTTCTGCGATGGTGGGGCCGAGAATGTGAGTATCATATCTTTAGATCTTGTTTGGCACTTATAATTGTCCTAGGTTCCCCCTTTTCTCCAAAGGGGTCGATACATACCGTTTCGAGTATGGTGTTTTCCTGCTTAACAAAGACATCGAATTGGTATTCACACATCGCGGCCTATGACAAGCGCAGCTCTCACGTTTCGCATTCTAGTTAATGTCTGATTACGACCTTCGTGCTCTGGACATGCGCCATACACTTCCTAACCTCAAGAATTTACTTTTAACGCTAACTAATGGCGAGGGATTGCCCGAAGGGTTAGTGTCTCGCATTCTTCTTCACACGGACGTGTTTTGAATTCTGATTCTAGTCGCTCCCGACCGTTTAACTCACCTACATTGTCTATCTCCGGATTAGAGTCACCCCGCCCGGAATCTCCGATGGGTGAGAGCCCTGCAACACCCAAGCCAACCGACCGCGAGCTGCCCTTCGAGAATTCAACACCTCCTGCCAGCGGCTCGACAACACCGACTACCGTTGATGCAATTAAGAAAGGACGGACATTTATAAACCTAAACCAGCTAGCAGGTTTCCTGAGTCTGCGTTCTCGGTACCCTACGTCTCTGATATCCAAAAGTCCGTCCGACGGCGAAGGAGCTCATGCAAATGGAAATACCCCCGAAGTATCATCGGAGGATACACAAGAGGAAAGCAGTGGCGTGACGGAGGAGGATGATCGCCGGATTATCCGTTGTGAAAACGAGGGTGAGAGGGCAGACTCCGATGAGGATAAGCGCGCATCCAACGGGTACTGGCATGGAGGCGAGTCGTCTGGCTCTCCGGGACCGGAGAAAATTAATGTGGATGCGGATCGTCTGTCCCCAGCGCTCCCCACACCGCCGCCTCCGGTAGTAGCACATAAGTGAGGTTGACTTTTCGATCTACTCGAACGGGGACTTTAGTTTATGTACATCTCATGGTGCGAGACGTACCACGGATATACCTATGATGCCATCCATTAATCCTGTGTATGGTTCGAAATCGAAGTCTCCCCGAAATTATGAACACGTACAAATGGAGACTAGACTATTTGTCTGACACAGAGATCGGGTGTCACAGGCCACTCAAGTACCACGCTCTAGGATGAAAGGTATGCGGCCCATGAATATGTGGGCTTTGGGCTCGCTTGGACCTACACCGACACATACATACCGAATGAATCGCGTGCAAAAAGATCTGGATCTCGGTAGAGCAAGGTACGATCACCAAAAGATAGGAAACAAAAGGAAATATAGGATGCTAAAACATTAAATATGACGGGGGCGCACTTCTTGGAATTCCATGGATGCAACTAGCGCAGAATAAGGCAATGAGAAGGATGGACAATGCATCGAATGCTTGGGGGGAAAGCGGATTTTTCTTCGTATGGCAACGAGCTTAGCGACTGTGATGCATATGATCCTCTCGCTTGGTCAGCAGGGGGACTGCGTACGGGGCCCAGATGCGAATTGGATAAAATATACCGACTGTGGCCCGCCCCAGCGGTGCCCAGGCTAAAGAGATAGAAAAATGGGAAAGAGATAGCTAAGAAAAAGGCAAGGAATATTTAGAACGGCGATCACTACTGAGAACTCCTCTTGCAGCGAGCTGGCGGTCAGGGAGGCGTAGTGATATGTGAAGAGACAGAAAGCCATCAAATTGGATCAGTAGACAACTTTTTTTTTTTTTCAAGGGACGACGGAAATCGGAAAGTGACGGAGTTTTATTTTTGAAGGGGATTGCCGGGGTATTAGAGTTCAGGGTCCCCAGCACGGTGTTCAGCGACCATATTACTTGACTCTCTCACTCATCCTTCTCCCGTCTCTGCTTGGATTCTGGAGCATTAAAAAGGGTACGTCCCTTTGCTGCAGCTCTTGCCTCCCTGCTGCTTTGTTCATCACCATCGCCGTCGTCCAGCATCAGCCGTTGTAACATCAATACCTTTATAGAGGCCCAAAACTTGGCTTCAGGTCAGTCGTCATCGCCGTCTATCACTGTTCTCTCCTTTTCAATGCATTCCTACTCCCGTTCATCCAGCATCGTCCTTGTGCAATTACGCTTTTCTTTATTTACTCATTCTTCGCTTTGTTTTCTCTCGTTCACCTCCTTCGAACGGTTGCCGGTCTCTATCCTCCAAAATGAATATCTCTTCGGAAAATTCTACTATATCTACTGATAATATCTCGCCCTCCGACGAGAGAAAGCAGAGTCCGCCGGCTTTCTTGGACCTTGCTGACTCCGTATGTCTCGTCTCTCCTTTCCATTTCGGCCGACTTTTCCCAACTTCTTTTCTTCTAGGCCGCAAGATTGGGAAGTAATATGCCGGATATGTCTGCTGTGCGCATCTTAGTTCTTCTCTTTTTATGTCTGATTGACATATTCTGACTGCAGCGTGTCGAGCTCAAGCGACTCGAGCACGAAAGGCAGCGTGCTCTTCAGCGCAAAATGTTCGAAGATCAAATGCGTGTACTCGAGCAGCAGCAGGCCCAGGAGCTGCTTAGCATTCCCTATGATCCCAACGTCCCCAATGGTACCGGTATCCAACACCTTGCGGTCTCGGCCCCCACTACCCCCCCTCGAGTGAATGCCGTTCTCAACGGCGAGTTTATCCCTGGCATGCGCAACAATCGTTCACATCTTCCTGTCGATGCCGACTCCTTGTCAAAGGCTGTCGGCGCTGCCGACAAGCGAAAATCTGTCACCTACGCTCACAACGTCAACCTCTCTCCTGATCCCAGTAACGCTGCCGCGACTCAGGGTGGACCGCGCTCTGCTGGTGCCAAAAGCATGCCCGCTAGCCGCCGTACGTCTGCCAGCAGTCATGATGAAGAGCTCGCGGGTCATTTCCAAGGTTTGGCTCTGGCCGGAGACCGTTCCAACAGGGCTTCTCCCTCACCGAATCCTATTTCGGCTTCCATCTTGAATCGGGGCTCACGCTATGGGGAAGACGAGGTTCGCTACGGTGGAAATTTTAATGCTGGCATGATGTTGGATGAGCAGCTAGACCAGGAGATGCATAGTGAGTCCCTGTCAGCGTCTTCAAGGCCCTCTCTAAGTCCCGCTTCTGTAGATGCCATGCGAAATCTTCCCACTTCCGACGATGACAAGTATAACCATTTTTCCAAGGTGCGCCGTTCTATTGCAAAGTTTCCAAGCCTATCACTCAATACCCGCAGGTTTCAACGTCATCGGCTGCGCTTGATCTTGCGCACATATCTCAGACGTCGCCACGGTCTTCGTTCAGTCGCGCCATGGAATCTCGGGAGAAACATTCAGAATGGCCGCAGTTCCCTGTTTCTCGGGGAGATGAGCTCCCCAGGAACGACCGACGGACAGTGACCAATCCAACTTTGTCTTTGTCCCCGGCTGCTATGGACGCCACTGGGAAACTTGCAGGGTCTGTCTCAGCGTCGGCCACACCTCTGGTCCCCCAGCATCCTCAGACACATCCTCATGTTCGACCTCCATCGTCTAGGCGCGGCACGCCGCCAATTATGCTGGAGACTTTAAACGGTACCACCCGATCTGTGCCAGCAACGCCGCTTGGTATCTCAAACAACCCTCAGCACCTGTTGAAGACACCATCCACCCCGCTTACCGACTCCTTGGGTTCTCGTATGGGCTCGCACCAGCTAGGCGACAGTAACGTAAACTCGGGTGATCTTCAACCGTCTCTGACGCGGCTCACACCCACGGCGCAATATGAGAATGGTTCCTTGTCATTCAATTCATCACAGGGAAGTCTCGAAGAATCCATGCAGGTTCGTGACGTATTTCGCGCATTGATATGTGTATTAATGATTCGTTGTCCCATATCAGTATGGTGTGGACTCCGTTTATGGGCTTAACGGCGGGATGGACAACGGCCGGTATGATTCGTTCGGGTTCGAAGGTAGCCGTACTCCCAATGGTGGAAGCGCCAATGGCTCCGGTGCCTTATACTCTGGATCTCGTTATGGATTGGGTGTGGCAGGCCGGCCAAGCAATGGGGTAGCTGATGGCAAGATGAATGGTCTGCACGGCCCTAAGCACAAGCGGGGTGACATTGACCGGGAATGTATGTCACATTGAATTTCTCATCATCCCTGTGCAATCTCTCATCCCCCGCTAGTCAACCGATTCGCTGGTACACGTCTAGAAGATCTCCAGGGTGATATTCCTGCTCTATGCAAAGACCAACACGGTTGCCGATACCTTCAGAAGAAGCTGGAGGAAGGCGTTCCAGAACACCGAGACATGATTTTTCGTGAAACGTTCGGTCATTTTGCGGATCTCATGACAGGTGCGTTGTTCGGCCAATCATGACAGTTTTTTTTTCTCATTGTATTTTTTTTTCAGACCCGTTCGGGAACTACCTGTGTCAGAAGCTGCTTGAGTTTTCCACAGATGAACAGCGCAATGTAATATGCGAATCTGTCGCACAGGATCTTGTCAACATCTCATTAAATATGCATGGGACGCGTGCTGTCCAGAAGATGATCGACTTTTTGTCAACAAGACGTCAGGCAAGTATAATTTCTTTACTATCTCTCCTATCACACTTACGTGGGGCGACGCAGGCTGATGTTCGCTACAATGCTCAGATTCATTCCATTATCGTTGCTCTCAGTCTTCATGTCGTCGTCCTTATCAAAGACTTGAATGGCAATCATGTCATCCAGAAGTGCCTCAACAAGTTGGCTCCCGAAGACAACCAGGTACTCACTGTTCTGCGGAGAAATGAACCTATTCTGACAATATCCGCTGTAGTTCATTTACAATGCTGTTGCCGTCAACTGCGTGGAAGTTGCTACGCATCGTCACGGATGTTGCGTTCTTCAGCGGTGTATAGATCATGCATCGGACCACCAACGTATTCAACTCGTCAACGAGATTACCTATAATGCTCTCACTCTGGTTCAAGACCCATATGGTAACTATGTGAGTGTACCGTTCATCATCCGATAGATGCCGTTGACTAATTCGTTTCAACAGGTCGTTCAGTATATCCTTGACCTGAACGACAATCGCTTCAGCGATGCGGTTATACGTCAATTCGCTGGGAACGTCTGTGCGCTGTCGGTCCAGAAGTTCAGTTCCAACGTTATCGAAAAGGTACCAGCTATTTTTTCTTCTGTATAGAACTGCTCTGACGTTTCGCCATAGTGTGTTCGCGTTGCAGAACACAGTACCCGGAAAATGCTCATCGAAGAGCTTCTTAATCGAACCCGTCTGGAGAAACTTCTTCGTGATTCGTACGGTAACTATTGTGTCCAAACGGCGCTGGATTACGCCGAACCCGCACAACGCGCACTGCTTGTAGAGGGAATTCGGCCTGTCCTTCCCCTCATCCGTAATACGCCGTACGGCAAACGTATCCAGAACAAGCTGCAGCGCGAGCAAATGGATCACTTCGGCGGGTATCATACACAACAGGCCCTTGTCAACATGGCGCTCACCAACCAAGGTCTCGGCTCAACCCCAACCGGTGGTCGTCACCTTCCTCAAGCTCATCATGCCAACACTTTGACAGACGTCTACGGTCAAGGAAGCCTTTACGGCCTTCCTCAGCAGACGTCATTCAGTCAATCCCATCTCTCATCTCAACTCCATAGCCTACAGCCTCAGTCCATCGATGGCTACGTTTTACAGGGAAACTCGAGTCATAATAGTCTGTCAGCGACCCATGGAAGCTATTCTGGCTCGTTCAACGGTGTGAATCAATTTGGTGGAGCGGGCCTCGCCGATCCCTACCAAAGGTCAGGCTTTGGCTATGGGATGTAAACTCTTTCTGCGGGAACGACATCAACTTAATATACGACTCCTCGTTCAACTCCCGCGTCTGTTGGCACGATACCTAAATCCTAAAAGTCTATCTTATTCGATCTCTTTTCCCGCATCCGTCATCTCTGGGGCACCGCCGTCCCGAATCTATCATACCACAAACACATTGTATTCGAAAACTGCATTCCTCTTCTGCTTTCATGTCCGGACACTTCGTATTTGCCACCTCATTTGTACAGGTTATTTTCATTCACACTAACTCGGTTGTTTGTCTAATAGTATCCTCGTTGCAGCACTATTTGCCATTCTGTAGTTATTCCTATCCCCAATCCTCAGCTGTATAAAGTCTTTAATTAGATACTTGCCAACCGGATGCTTTGCCTCATTGTGTGTATCATTTGGAGTGTCTTGATTGCAATATACCATCGTTTGCATTCGTGACTTGTAGCACCGCACATTTAGACTCCTACTAGATAGAGCGGCAAAGAGTTGGAATGCAGGCACGGAACTTAGACGTGAGGATGCCCGGACATTGGAAGTTTTATTTCCCTATCATGATGATGTGCGTACAAGTATGCATATATATGGTGGTTGCATACGAAAGCAGGGGCAACGCAAAGCGAATGGGTCGAATCCAACGCAACTTCACCGGTTCTAGAAGTACGATAAGACCAATCGACACTGCAGGGGAAGAGCTACTAACCTTGACGAAACCGATAGCAGCAGACTTTTCACGGAAACATTGCCTGCAGAGGTCGAGGCCGTACTTGCGGATAAGACCAGCCTGGTGGGCACAGAGACGGCTGACAAAGGAGTCAAACGTGAAGGCGGCCTCGAGAGTCGGAGTACCACTCACCACTGGCGAGAACCTTTTCCGAATTTTCTGGGACGGGAGAACCAAACAGCGTCGTGAGTCATTTTGTATGTATTTTTCAGAAAGCTTGACTAGAAGAATAGGTGAGTGCGATAATGTAGGACAGCATGAAGGGCAACGTACAGAAACCCTAGCGAGATGCGCGCGTTGGCGATTTTAGAAGTAGGGTGAATATTGAGAGAGATTGCTTATGTAATTCTATACAGCCACTTATTAAAGTTTAAAGCCCGACGGAAGGTTCCGAAGTTGATCTTCGGACCGATGTGCCGGGGCTATTTGAGTCTCCTAGTCCCTAGAAAAGTGCGCCTGGCTAGCTGCGATCGTGTCTTTCTTTGAAAAAACGGGGCACTCCCATTGGCATAATCGCCAGAACAATTACATGTACGATAATGGAGAGGACGGTGGCGGATATCGTCAGGGACCTAAGTATTGGTGTAACGATTTGAGTAGTGGTATTGTGATGGTCTATACATGTACACTTTATTCAATTCTCGAGCAGAAACTGAGAGATGGACCATATGATCTGTCTGTTCTACCTGGCGAGGACATCTGGGTCTACGCTGGTCATCCAGAAATTGAAGATGATCGAGAAAGTATGACTGGCGCTACGTATAACAATAATGCAGTATTCATAGTGGGCATGCAGCGGAATAAATAGGGTTGACGAAGATGATCAAGGTCTATCCATCGCAGCAGAGGAAGACGATAATAGCCATGCTTTCCTCGTCTTCTACTGGAATGATGGATACAGCTGCCACGGCGAGTTCAGGCAGTACGGTATCATTGGGGGAAAAAAGTTTCCGGTGCCAAGAGCTATCTTTCAGGAGCTGAATGTCAGTGCCTCGGGACAGAATGTACTGTGGAGGAGGTGGAGTACATGGCCAACGGCGGTGGCACCGATGATGACGCATCCAGTGAAGATGGGCCTAATGAGGACGAGGGGGCAGCTGGATAGAGCAGCAAAATGGGTACGAAGAGGAAAGCGGAGTCTAATCTTCCCGAGAAACAGTCAAAGCCCGAGACTCGGAAAACTTGAAATTCACCTTTGTAAGTCGCGTCAAGTCACGTCCAATTTACTATCATATGTTCGCATCGCTTGTAGGTCCAAAAATCTTTCGGTACGACCTTTCATCTCTACGTGTAGGGCTCGGCGCGGCGCGTCTGTATTGTTCTTCCAGGGAAGGCACAACTACTTACACCTGCAATTATACCAATTGCCAGTGCCCCTGCCATGTATAAAGGAATCGAAACAGTACAGAGGAGGAGGCCCCTAACGCACTCAAACGATGGTCGAATTTCAAGACCCGGAAACCTAAAAAGTAGCATGAAGTCGCGTCGGTTCATATCGCGAAGCAGATCAAAAATCACTTAGTCAGAACATTTCATAACTATTCAAATAGATGACCTCGGTACTAAATCGTCCATAAATCCAATAATCAACTTTCACCCCAAAATGCTCATCGTTTGCACCATCTATGCATTAGGAACTAGGCCCAGCAATCGTAGCAGATCCCAAGAGTGTAGCGAGCACCTCCACCTCTGAATCTGATTCGGCAGCGGCCCCTTCTTCATCGGAATCCACCGAACATATCGTCAGGTCAATCATGTCTTCCTTCAAGGCATCAGACATCCCGGGTTGAATCCGCAGTGGCGAATCTGCCGATGCAAACCCTGTTAAGTAGAAACTTTTAGTCGCTGATATGAACATACCCCTCGGCTTGCTCGACGCCATACGGCTGATCTTCGGCGTCTGAGGAGCCCTCCTCTGTCGTTGAGTGAAGAGAGGTATCAATTGTCCTTCATGACATCTGCCACACACTAACGCAAGCTTGTCAGCTGGGTCGAGAAACTATAAGTGATACGTGCCATCATCCGGTTTGATCGACTTGCTATGCCGCCCATAGCTGCAAAAGTCAGTCGAGATAATCGAAATAAGAATGCAGGAGCCTACACCAATTCACATTTCTCGCACTCTGTCCAAAAATCAGAGATATTGTCCTCATAATATGGTCGGAGACGTACTCCATTCAAACTTGTAAGAAATCTCGTAGTCATGGGTAGTCTTTTTGCCATAGTCAACGGGACAAAAAAGCTCTCAACGGTAGGGACATACCGAAACTTCAATATCAGGTCGTTTTGCAGCCACTCTTGCCGCCCTAGTTGAAAAAAATGAATGTATAATACTGTTGGAAATTCTACGAGTCCCTACCAGGCTTTGAACAAAGGACCGTGGTTCTCGTTGAGTTTTTTGTTGATTATCCAACACGCAAGATGGCACATCTCGTGGGATAGTGTCTTCATCACCCGCTCTAGCCTGCTACTCAGACATACAGGAAAAGGAGGGTGTATAACACTTGCCTTCACAATCTAGAATCTTGGTAGCCAGTTCGATTTTGCCGGAAACAACGCCATCTTTCCTATTATATCGAATAAACGAGTATTACATACACTTTGGATGACATCTCACCGGGCATACGTTGCGCGACCAGCCGTCGTATTGAGTCTCTTGCTCCAACAGAGCTCGACGTCAGCCGGAAGGCGACTGCTGAAAACGTCTCTGTTGAGATCATTGAACAGAATCTGGGTGAATTCTGCCAGCCGCTTTAATTCGGCTTCTGCTTGCGCTTTTTTCGTATTTGGTCGTGGCCTAGGATTTTTTGGAGCAGGAGAAGCCGTCGTATCGACGCTTGCCTTCAACCCAGGGAACTCCTTGCTTCGACAAGGGGTCGATGGTCCAACGGCGGCATTCCCGTTTGACGGTGTACGTAAAGGTTTTCGTGGGGATACAGGCACGTCCCTAGTATCTAGTAAGGACGAGGTTGGCATATTGCTTTCTTAGCGGGCTTACCAAGTCATAACCGAACCATCGGCAGATACTGCAACTTGAGGTACGCGACTATTCGAGAGGCCCGAAACCTGCGGAATACGCGATACCGCTTCGCCCCCGTCATCTGAGATTTCAATAACTTCCGGCTCCTCGGTTGTGGGGTTTTCTCGAGGGTCGTCTTCAGATTCATCAGAGCTTTGCACAATCCTTCGAACCACCCGCTTAGGCTTCTTGGGGCCCCTTGAAAGGTCGTCGCCACTGAGATAAGCAAGTCAGTGACAGTACTTGGAAAATATGGACACACACATCGGAGAGGTGAATTTCGCGAGTCGGCTTCTACAGGCAGATGTGAGAGATGGATTATTATGGATTTTACGTCGAATCGTACACGTCTTCTTCGTCCGACGAAATTACAATGACACCCTTCCTATCTGTCCGATCAACGTTCTTGCTAGGGATGTAGCTACATTGGTTTAGCATGGAAATATCTGTCAATCGTACAAAGTCCCACATGTTTTCTTCCTCGCTGTCGGGAACAGCATCAGTGCTACTTGTCCATCCAGGCTTGCCCAGTTTTCTAGGCGCGTACTCCGGTTGCGCGTTTACTGATACGGCCGGAGGAGCATTCAGCACAAGAGAAGGCGCTTTTCGCAAAGTGCGCGTTTTGGTGGGAGATTCCTCGTCTGCCATGGGGCTAGGCAGGCATCAAGCGATGTTTCTGGTAAGCTAGGAAGGGAGCAAATTTGAATTTCAAATCGACTTTCACGCGTTCAAACATCACGTGAACATATAGGGTCCGCGTCGAAATCCAGATAAAATTAGGTCCATCGAAAATATAAAAACCAGTATGAGAAGCTATAGCCTAAGTACCTAAATAAAAAAATCCAAAAGTAAAGACAAGACCAAAAATAGCAAAAGACGCAGGAACCACCGTGCGTCGAGCAGAATTCGACTTAGTTGAATTCGACGAAGACACCGAGTCGGATAAGTACACCACTGCTAGGCTGGGACCAGGTACCTCTACCGCGCAGTTTCCAGAGCAGTCAAAATTCCCACTGGAGGGAAGCCAACTGAACCCATCGGTATCACGCGTCACATTGACAGCCTTTCCATCACTCGTACCCACAAATGACTCCTCACCCCAAGCGATATTCCGCTTTTCCGTAATATCCGACGAAGCCAAGTACTTGATGGATGGCTGGCCAGACGCCGAATTTTCCAGGGAGAACTCCACCGAAGAGTTATCATAGTTGAACAGGACCAATCTCGACGCCGAAAGGCTTCCAGCATCGTAAACAGCATAACCTGCAACGGTACTATTGCTAGTCATCGACCCTTCCAAATTAAGGTCAACGACGATACTGCCGTTGTCAGATTGTAATATTTCCGGCAAAACGAGTACAGCGTAGAAAGGTGGATTTGTGGTCCATGTATCGCCGGACAGCGTGCGATTAGGAGGGTCTATCAGGTTGTAGAATACGCCCTTCTCTCTCGTATGGATATACACGGCGGAGTAGCCGATTGCAGCCATTTGCAAGGCATAGTCGAGCGTCCAGAGTGACCCAACGGCAAAGGTATCAGAGATATTGGCGATGCCGCCGCATGAAGCAGAGTTAAATTCGGACATGACCAGTCGAGGATGGCCAGCAGAAGTATTTGAAACCACGATATCAATACCGTGCTGCTGCCAGCCGGCTAGAGCCACGGCTGGAAGAGACAAAATTGATTCCAATTCAGGTAAGATGGGGCTGGCCACATACTGTTGGAGTGTTGAAGATAGTACGGTAGCCCATACTGATAAGACCCAAAGCAGTTGTTCTGAGGATAATGCTGTAGGCTAAATAAAAGCCTATGAGTAAACCCGGAGGTCCTCAGGCTGTTCTGAGTGGACTGACGTGATATATTTGAGTATGTTACTGAACGTCGCCAGATAGCCCTGCTGTAATAGAGTCGCCAAATCCTGAGGTATACATTAGATAGATCAATCTAAAAACCTGACCGACGTACCCAATCGCAGCATATCGTAGGACCAGAACAGATCTGGTTGTTCAGCAAGTCGCCCGCAGAAGTATTATTCAGGTAATCCGAGACTTCCGAGAACTCCTGCAATCAAATTGCCCAAACGATGCCAAGATACACATCAAATCAAACACACACCCCAATGTAGTCCTGGACCGTGTAATTTTGTAACAAGGGTCTATTACCGTGAGAAGTATACAAATCTGGTTCCTGTGCGGTTAGACTGAGATGTGCGAGAAATGGTCAGGGGAGTAGAATAACTACTGACGTTCCCTACGAGGATCGAGTCCAAGTTATTGCCCAAGATACTTTTCGCGTCTCCGCCAATTTTGGATCCGTCCGTATTATTGGGGTCACTGAGAGATACGCCAATAAGGTACTCGACCCCCTCGACCGAGCCCGACACACTTTGCAGCACGTCCCATAGCATAGGACCATAATCCACAGGCTGGTTGTTAGAGTTGGCATCCGGATCAGTGAGCTTGAGCATCGGCGAGGTTTGATTTTGTAAATATGTTGAGCTATCCGCTGAATTGCCGCCAATCCGGAGCCGGACGGGGTTGGACCCTGTACGGTTGCGTATTTGGGAAAGATAGTTCAGCATCGTCTGGGGAATCGTGGATGTGTCGTTGCCAACTGTGACCTAGTGAGCAGCGAGAACGGTAGGATAGTTGTGGACTCACAATATTGATCCATGAAACTGAGCTCGAAACTCACTCCCAAGAAATTGGACTGGACTACATTTTTAGAAGAATCTGAGGTAATGGTAGACCAGGAGACATTCACGGCGGCGTAAGCATGCAAGAATTGGAAGACGAGAACAAGGGAGAGGGAGAGAGCAGACAACCCCATCGATGTCCCAGTACTAACACCAACGTAGGAATACAGGCAAGCCACGAACACGCTTTTTTCACGCCATCACCCCCTTCTTCGAGGAACGGCGTAGACTCCCCGGAACCACACAGCACGGGCGCTGTAGATCCCACCATGCCCTGACATCAGATATGCCACATCAGAACACATCAGTCCCTTTGTTGACCATCAGGACGCCGAAACCGTGACGTGAGAAAGCTTGAACTCAACTAAATATGCACTGAAAGAGGTTAGTCTATGTTCTGTATGCGTATAAATACATCAGATGTGCAGGGGATATTGGTTCGTGGATATGTTCATGAGTATATGCAAACCAGACAGGTATAAACCAAATAATTATCGTGCTATAGTGACCAAATCTTGACAGTAGAGTCGCGACCTCCGGAGACAAGGTATCGGTCCATGTATCTTAGCCGTTGTACAGGGTGGGTGTGTCCGTTGGTGCTTAGCGTCGACTGTTGCATACTCGTTCTGTTGTAGACCTACAAAACAAATCGGTCTTCAAGAAAGCCCTTTACGAATGATCGTACCTTTATGCCATTTTCACCGGCTGCAGCAACCAATTTTCTTGTGTCAAATTGCAGGGCTGTGACAGCGTGGTCGTATTTCAGTGTCTCAAATACGCCTCCCGTTCGAAGATCCCATATCTATGACATTAATCAACAACAGCGTAGTGGAAAGGAAGAGAAATTCACCCGAATAGACTTATCCAGACTTCCACTCGCAATATGTATCTCGTCAAATTGAATGGATGTTACTGGTCCAGTATGGCCTAAGAGTGTCCGGTGGGCTTGTCCAGTTCGCACTTTGAGCGTTCAAAAGAAAGTCATTGATAAGAAGGGACGTGGAGATAGAGGACGCACTGTCCCACATTCGAACCGCGCCATCCCCGCTACCGCTAACCAGACCGTAACCCCAAAACTGTACACCACCTACGAAATCTTCGTACATTTCCCAGCTTCCATCTGAGAATGGAGGTGTTGGGACTACAAAAGTGCCGATCGATGCAGCGGCGCCAGAGAAGAGACCATTTGTTACCGACCCAGGTACTGACGTCGATGAGTGGGACATCGCCCACAAGATATCCATAGTCATGACGCATTGACCTGTCGTTAGGTCCCACTGTCGAAGAGTCTTGTCCGAAGCACCTGTCACCTACGCAAAATGGATCAATCGATGTTGTTTCAAGGGTATGATAAGCCGTACCAAGCAGTCATCCTCAAAATACAAGGCAGTGACGACCTTGGTGTGGCCTTCCAATACTCTGGTGCAGGGATCATTCCGCAGCTCTAAGGGTTTTTTGCCCTTCCGAATTCCATTCAATCTGGGCAAAGGTTCATCGCCACTTTCGCTTTCCTCGGTGATGTCACTGAGACTGACGATCTCACCCTCATCTCCCCACTCATCCGTATCATCACTCTCCACTCGTCTCAGATCCCAAAGGCGTACTGTGCCATCTTCACTTCCGGATAAGCAGACATGATCTTCCACCTGTAGGCACTTCACTGGTCCAGTATGACCTCGCAAACGACCGATCTCTGTTCCAGAAAAAAGGTCCCAGACTATTGGTTGGGCATCATCTTGGGACGCGCTAACAAGGGTGCCGTACGGCTCAGAAAAGTCCAAAGCTGTTATTGACGTCTCATGCGATTCCAGAGTCTAGAAAACAAGGTGAGAAGAGCAGATACGAGCAATGAAGTGACTTGCCATAAATGCTACGCCTGGTGGGAGTTCATCGTGTTCAGAGGGTAGGAAGGCAGGGCCCTTTCGCCGCCGTGAACTCTGGAGAAGATGTAGCGGCTGAGAACTCTTCTTCGGAGTTCTACTTGATTCTTGTTCAAATTCAAGTCGTTCCCGAACACCCACGACTGTGAAGTCCGTCATTTAGAATCAGAAATGGACTTTGAAAAGACTTACGCTCATCATCCAACTCTAACTCATCTTCGTGTAATTTTAGGAGATTTTGCTCAAGTTGATTTCGGATATTATCCAGTGCTTGTATTTTGTCCGTGATCTCTGCTATTTCGCCGTTAATCAAACTCTGAGAGAACAGTTCAGTGCAAAAGGACATGAGTAAGGTAGAAGCTTAGACAAAGCTTAGACATACTCTTCGAACACTGATGTTCTCTTTATCCCGCAGAATCTCTTTCTTCTGCCTCGACAATTCCTCCTTGCCCAATATTTTTGATGCACTTAGACTTTCTCTGCCCTTTCTCCTCTTCGTCTTCCGGATGGTATCGGCGCGTGGAACCATTACAACGTCATCCTCGCTGGTGACACTATGTCCGTCGTCGTCATCCACGAGCATTCCTCTTGCATTCATACCCAACTTCTTGAGCCCAAGGTGCGGTGCATCAACGCTCCGCATCTGCTTTCGTCGTGTCCGACTTTGCTCCGCACTGGGTATGGTGGCATTAAAGCCGCGAAGGAGACTGACGTTCGAGGTGACACCTTCCGGCTCGGGTACTTCAGACAGAAGGAGCTCCTCGGTGGCCTCTACGATTTCAAGGTCACGTGAAGTTATGCGTCGAGAGCCCATTCCTAGTCGAAGAGGGGCGCGCCCCAGTGTCGCGAAATCCATACGAGACCGACCAATGGTCGAATTTCCTACAGTGGAACGCTGCCTCGAGTTAACCGTAGATGCATTCAGTAGCCGTGGAGTCATGATCACAGGCGCCACTAGAGAAAATCCAAAAGATCAGTTTTCTACTCACGGTACGGTTGGGCACTAGATCATCCGGGCGAACTGCACAGGACAGAAAACGATGAGACACGTACAGTCTGAAAGTATTTTGGATGAATCAGTCTTTCTATGGTTGAACGGCGCCAACAAAGCCTTGTGGACGATTTCTAGTTTGCTGGGTCCCGCTGCTGTGTTCTCGGTTCGGTTGTCCACGGTTCCTTGAGCGTTACGCTTTGAACTGGTGTCCGAGAGACCATTGACACGAGAAGACATGTAACGGGCTGTCTAAACGTAGAAGAACGATACAGATGAGGGCAAGGAGGAAAAAGAGTACCGCTTGAAGAAAGACGGTTCCAAAGTTTAAGCAGGACGGTGTACCGGAGCGGCAGTAGGACATTACCTAACATTCCCACGATCAGGACATGGCCATTTTTGTTGCAAAATTTTACTAGCAATACAGTAGTATACCGTTGTCCTTCATTACATACAGACTATTATCCGCAGCGAAAGAAAATATAAGCATTTGGTACTACATGTTGCCCGACCAGCTGAGATCTATCCTCATGTCTACGCCATACGGCCGTAAATCATGCTGTCGATGGAACAGCGAATACCTAGCCTCCGCGTCAGACGCCACGTAATCACCCGTAAGCGTGTCTGTTATCACTGGAGCCGAAGCCCTCGAATGCGAAGAGCTGCGAGTAATCATGGACCATATCGATTCCACAATGTTACGCGACATATCCGACGGCGAAAAGTCCTCGTTCATTTGAGCGATGTCAATCGTTGCATTGGCCGATTCCGCTTTCCATTGATGCTCCAAGTCATCCTTGAGTCGATTAACAGTATTGTGTTCCCATCGGGACATATTGAAGGGCTCAAAAAAGGCCCCGGAGGATAGATCGCACCAACAACGATCGACTGCACGTATTGTGGTGGGCATCAGCGTCCGTCGTGGCAGAGACGACAACGAGGCACTAAGTGCGTGGCTGTAAGTAGTGATGTTTTCCGCCCAAGGGCTGGTCAAAGGTGTATCGAGCGAGAAGGGCTGCCGGTAGCATGAGGAAATGAATAGGCTCGTGATGAGTATAATGCAGTAGAAACTAGACAAGAGTCAGTGGCTGTTCGACAGCACGGAGAACGCCTGACCATGGTTTTGCGTGCATTGTCAATGACAGGAGGAAGAGAAGGAGGAAGTACGGAGGAGCCGTTGGCAGTGGGAGTAGTAACAGAGGCAAGAACCATCGAGTACACCTAGAGAGACTTACTTTCAGCGTTGAATACCAGATAAAATAGCAAAAATGAATGGCTACCACATGATGGACGGCGAAGATCAAGTCGCAGGCGCTTAGCTGTGTCGATGTTGTTGGTTGTTTGCCACAAGTTTCTCGATCCTTCCAAGGTTGTTTGCTTTTCCCCAGCCCCCATCTCTTTCCTCTATTATCATCATCTACGCGATGACTACTCATCCTGAAGTACTGTGGGCACAACGAAGCTCCAACACTAACGACGAGAGGGTTTGTTCTTTCGTCGACCGCGATCTTTTCTCTCACTGACGCGTCGTCTTTTTTCGGCGCTTGTCTAGAACATTATCTATCTCACCGTCAACGTCCCAGAAATCCAGGCTTCGACCCTGGAATGCAATTTGACATCTACCAGCATATCGTTCAAGACGAAAGCCGGAAAGTTCGTCTGTCCTATACTAATTCATTGCTACCTTTACTGATGACTCTGACCAGCCCAGAAAAAGGTTTCCCCGAGAAGTCATACGCCTTCGACCTACAGTTTTTCGAGGAAATTGACCCCGAGGTACGTCTTTTCTCTGCCTGAGATCTGTTTGCTTACCCATAATGGTGTCTAGAAATCATTGAGGCGTCTGAACACTCGTTCTCTCTTTCTCACACTTCGAAAGAAAGAAAAGAAGGAGGAATTCTGGCCTCGTCTTACCAAGGAGAAAGTCAGGAATGCCTTCCTGAAGACTGATTTCAGCAAATGGGTCGACGAAGATGAGCAAGACGGTGTCGCGGTCGAGGCTGAAGATGACATGGAGGCCATGGGTGAAATGGGTGGAATGGGCGGCATGCCCGGAATGGGCGGAATGCCTGGAATGGGTGGACTGCCTGGAATGGGTATGGGTGGAATGGGCGATATGGACATTGAAAAGGTATGAAGTTGCTTCCCTAGATGAACATTGACTGACAACTTGTCTTTAGCTGATGGCTCAGATGGGCCAGGGTGGTGGAGCTGGTGCCGGACCCTCTGGCGCGGCGGATGACGGTTCTGATGACGGTTCCGATGATGATGGTCTTCCTCCTCTCGAAGATGTTGAGCCGGCCAAGTAAGGCGGGCACTGTAGAAGAAAATATTCATTACTAGGTCCTCGGGTGTTGTTCAGATCTGGCGTGATGATCCTGTTTCCTGCCGCGCATGTGCTCTACAGATGGCCTTTAAATTGTTGTAGCTTTTAGAATTTGGTAGCAGTAGTATTTGCCCTCGAAAAACTGGCGTTCAGTGTTCACCCAAAAAAGCAGGCTGTCGTGGAAGCCTGGGTCTGAAAGCTAATGACCCCTATGAGATGCTGTGTCTTTGTTTGGCAAGGGCCGGGAAGCTGACCTCACCTTCACTTTTATCCTCGAGTTCTCGTTTCATACAGTCATGGGTACGTGCTACTGCGATATCTGTCTTGTTTTATGTTTACATTACTTTTCAGATTATCAGGTCTGTCAATACTGATGAATATTAGTACCTCGTTTTGACCGTCATTTTGCAGAACCGTGTTGGATCCAAATTCGGTGGCGGTGGTGTTGCCGGGGCTTCAGAGACAAATGTTGACCGGCGTGAACGTCTCAGGAAGCTTGCATTGGAGACCATAGATCTTGCCAAGGTGTGTATTGCACATGGCTGGCTACGTTGAGTCTCATTCACCTTGAAGGATCCATATATTCTTCGCAACCATCTCGGCTCTCTCGAATGTCGTCTATGTCTGACCCTTCACACAAACGAAGGCTCTTACCTTGCCCACACCCAAGGGAAGAAGCACCAAACTAATCTCGCTCGCCGTGCTGCTCGCGATGCAAAAGACACACAGTTGATGATTGCTCCCACGCAAAGCAATGTCCAACGAAAAGTTTTCCTAAAAATTGGGCGGCCTGGTTACCGGGTTACAAAAGTGCGGGATATGGACACTGGGAAGGAAGGTATGATGGTCCAGGTTCATCTTCCCCAGATCAAAGCAGGAGTGATCCCTCGGAGACGGTTTATGAGTGCCTGGGAGCAAAAGAGGGAGCCACCGAACAAGGCATACCAATACCTCATCGTACGTTGATTTCTCATTCGAATAGTCTTCTGCTGGATATTCACCCGCTTCAAGGTTGCGGCCGAGCCATATGAGACCATTGCATTCCGTATACCGGCTCGCGAGATTGAAGATGAGGCTGACGACGCTGGATACTGGAATTGGTCTCATTGGGACCCAGACACTAAACAATATAGCTTCCAGTTCATGTTCCGCTTAGCCTTTTAAGCGATACATGGTGGGTTATATACGGTATCACGTCCTCTATTTCTATTGTACAACAGTCATCGAACCTCATTGCCTTGATTAATCTGCAGCATTATCGTGTTGTCAATTGATCGCGATGTGAGTGGCCCCAAATCCTAGTGACAAGGACTTTTCTTCTGTATCACTGTCAAGCACTTCGATGCCTACGAGGTTTTCAGGCAGCAGTTCTCCCTCCGAAACCAAGCCCGATTCGAACAGGGCATCTAGCCATGCTGAAACATGCTGAAGGTCTGGGTGACGCCAGGTGTTTCGTACAAGCTCTGCGTTCGTCAAAGAATATGGGTAGAATCTGAAATTTGTTAGGCGGCGTGGATCAGAAAGCGACATCAGAGCATGCGCAAATACCCAGAAGTCTGCGTGTGTTGGCTTGGTTCCTGCAATGAACTTCTCAGGTTCTCCGCGTTCACGCCGTTCTCGTGGAAGCAGGTCGAAAACTCCTAGTCTGCACGTCCAAAGTCAGTCTTGTTCTGGAATTCAAAATTTCTTACGGCTTCCTCGCCCGGGCGTACTGTTCCTTTTTCCAAGTCGTGTTCGCGTTTTGGGCAATTAACTCGTCCAGCTTAGCTTGACCAAACTTTTCCAGGAAGTGTTGCCTGCTTTTCACGTCCGCGATATCATCGTCTACGGGAAATTGACTATAGCTCTGGGTTCGTGTCAATGTTTAGCTGTCTTGTCACTTGGTGAAACGCACATTGTGGAGAGCACAAGGCCTGATTTCGTGAGCTATGCATTTATCAAACTTTGCTATCGTGAACCTATCATACATTACACCGTGGAAAGAGTTAAACACACCCATTGTTCGGTGAAACGCGCGTAAGCGCGTCCAGCAATGTCATCTTCCGCGGCGCCATTACCTCCAGGTGCGTAGATTGATTTCGTTGCGGACGAGAACATCTTCTCTAACTGGGAATTTTTTTAGCAATAAGGCCGAGTCTTCCAGTCCACCGATGTACGCACGTATTGAGCAATGTCGTAAGAGTCCATGATCTTTCGAATTGATAAGCAGCATCTACATGAACTGAATGTCAATGACTTCTGATGTTCTCCCAGTGGCCAATATCAATACAAAGAACAAACCGGTAATGTGACCTTAGGCACGCCGAACTGTGCAGGTAAATCTTCTTCTGACAGAGTAACAAACTCCGTCTTGAAGCATACATCGAAGAATCGAAGAGGAAGTAGGGTTTTCCAAACATGCGGCGCGAAAGACATGTTACGCCTAGGGAACAGACATAGTTGAATGAGAGTAAGACTTCCTGCTGTCTCGTCCATTGCTATCGCGTCGTCCAGGCTTTGGAAGCCTGCGCTCGGTAAGGAACCTGATTTTTCTGCTGATCGCAGAAAGGGGTGGCGACCCGTTTTGGGATCCGACCGCTTCTCGGGATGATAGCCGTTTACACGTTGGGCACAATGAACCGACCTGTTATCTGATTTCGAACGAGATACGTGCAGAAGAAGGGTGAAGATAACGAAATGGTGCGTCCTTTATACCCATTCGTAGTTGTTCGTGTATGTCGAGTTCCCATCATCGCCACATGTACAGAACCGTCTAGCGTGCCATGTCTTCCATCAGCTCGCAGGAAAAAGTCAAACAAGATGTCTCAACTGTGCAAGTTCAGAATTACGAGGAAGAATATGAAGAATTCAAGGTATGGTATTTGTTGAGATAACGCTACATTTGGCGTTGACGTGCTTTCCTTGTTTCCGCTGTAGACCTTGAACAAGAAGTATCAAGGAGATGTACTTGGAAAACTGCTTAGAAGGATTGACGTATGCTACCTACTGGAATATACTTGCTCATGCTAATTCTATGATAGTTTCGTCTGGTGCCTGTGTTTGCTTTGTTGTATTTGATGTCCTTTCTGGACCGCGGAAGTATATTTGCCGTGATTGCTTCCCTAGACAGAACTCAACGATGCTTCGCAGATGTCGGAAATGCTAAAGTGGCCGGCCTGACGACGACAATCCCAATGACGGATGGGCAGTATAATACTGCTCTTTCTCTGTTCTTCGTGTTTTATGTATGTTAGCATCTCCGTCTAGGACCCTTAGCCGACTGACACCATCATTTGCGCAGATAGTGTTCGAGATACCTTCACAGATGATGCTGAAGAAGTTTCGACCCAAATGGTACATATCTTGCCTGACATTTTCTTGGGGACTCGTAATGTCCCTGACTTGCTTGAGTGAGTCCATATTTATGCATTTTCGTGAACGACTTCGTACCAGTTTTTACAGTCCACTCATACCGCGGCTTTATGGCAGCCCGCAGTGTCTTGGGCATAACAGAATCAGGTCTATTTCCTGCCGCTGGATATACTCTTTCTACATGGTATTCTCGATCCGAGATGGCTTCTCGTGTAGCTATCTTCTTCTGCGCTGCATCTATTGCTGGAGCTTTCTCTGGAATTTTGGCTTATGGTATCAGCTTCATGGACGGATTAGCGGGGATGGAAGGATGGAGATGGATATTGTGAGTTCCCTCGCCATCTTTTGCCTTCATTTTGATTATAATTGAGTTGTAAAGCTTGATAGAAGGCCTTATGACTATCGTATTAGGGCTGCTTGGTCCTCTTATCATTTTGGACAGCACGGACTATTGCGGGAAATGGCTCAGTGATGAAGAGAAGAGATTTCTGATTCTCCGTCAAAGGTACACTGAAACAGTAAGTGCCACACCAACAGTGCGGTGCTACCACCTGTTTTCTCTGTTTGCCAACCAAATCAAATCGCTATCCTACAGGGTCCTGTACCACCCGCAGAGCATTTTAATTGGAAGTATGTCAAGATGGCATTCACCGACTGGCAGATGATCTTCCAAATAGGCATCTGTATGTATCGCATTCAAATTGTTATTATCTACATTAATTCGACGATACTATTAGATATAACTCATGGTGCTCTCGGTACGTTGACCTCCCTCTGTTCGACAAAGTTCGCCTCAATATTTCTATCTTGAGGTTACTCCATCTCCTGTAAGTGACTCTATCGCCAGCCCTGTAAAGTCCCCAGCTAACAATCCTCTTGTAGTCACACTACCGGTTATTATAAAGTCTCTGGAGTTTACTACCTACGAATCATACTTGATCCCCGTGCCTATCTACATTGCTGCTTGTGTCTTTACCTACCTGAACAGCTGGTGGGGTGACCGGAGGAGAAGTCGTTTCGTAAGTTTCATCTTTTCTTTTTCTCTGGTAATTGATCTCTCTCGAGTTACACATCGTCGTTCCTTTCACAGTCGCAATAATAGGTGTAATCATATGTTTTGCAACTGCAGGAAAGAAGCATGTCGCTGGCGTGAACTTGTTTGGATTAATGTAAGGAATACCCGCAATTGTTTGCAATCTTCTACTGATAATGTGTACCAGCCTGATCGTGTTCTCTTCGTATTCTCCTGTGCCTACCAGCGTCTCTTGGATGGCTAACAATGTGGTCGGTTACAAGAAGGTAGTTGGCTTTTCGTATTCACCGCTCGGGGTTGATGCTTATCGTTAGGTCATTGCAATGGGGATGCTTATGGGAGTTGGCAACTGTTCCGGCCTCATTGGTTCAAACATCTATCTCACGTCTCAGTCACCGAAGTACCAGACTGGCTACGGCGTGTCACTTGGGATAGCCGTCATGGGTATCATCTGTGCTATCATATTGAAAATCGTTTACGCGAGAGAGAACAAGGAAAGAGACCTACTGACTGCGGAAGATGTTGCGAGGAACTGGGACGATAAGAAGCTGTAAGCTGCATCCCCCTCTCCCCTTTCAGGGAGCGTTTTACTGACTCCTTGCTTAGTGGTGATGCTGCTGACCGCTCGCCCTACTTCCGCTATATCATTTAGAACTACCATGCGCCACTGTACATATATGATCCTACACAATGAATGGCCCTGGGCCACTTCTGATAGTCCTTCACTCGTTCCACGTAATAACACTGGAATCATCGTCAGGAAGGTCAGGGTGTTCTCGTTTGCGATGAGTAGTGACGCGATCACGGGTGGGGAAGAGTCGAAAACAGCCTGTACCACAGCATAGCATAGCATAAGTTATGCTTCTGCAATATACATATAATAAGCACCTTGATATGCACAAATAAAAAGTGGGGTCCTGAGTCAGAAAAAATGAGGACCCGACCGAGTTTTTCTTCAGTTTCCAACGCACTCTGGTGGTGAAGTAACCTTGGCTAACGCCGTTGCGGCTTCCAAGTCCTCTCTGGTAGTGGACACTGTCACATAATTGAAGTTATTGCTAGTCTCCTAGTAGATACGGTTTACGCACCGTCATTGAGGGCGGGCTGTGGTGGGAGTACGGAAGCAATCATCTTAACCCTAACCCCACATCAACCCCACAATTCAAGTTACAATTCAGTACCCGCTGCATTACTTACATAACTCAATGACCGTTGCATGCGCCGCATAGCTTGCTCGTCGTTCGTCGCAATGCCTGAGAAGCCTCCGAAGCCAAAAACTGCTTCTCAGGCACCTTCGACATCACCCTCTGCGTTTCGCAAGTCATCTCAACCTGTAGTGCGGTGGGTTGAAACCTGGTCGCCGTACCACGACACCAGTTCAAGTAAATCGGCAACATCCTCTCCCTCGTCGTCCCGGTCGTCGACTCCCCTGTCGCCAGGCTTGGCGTCGTTGAATGAGGCCCTGCATGAATCATTACGTTTACCCACACGTCCGCCTTTGGCTCGGCTACCAACGCCACTGTACACATCGCGTCTTGGACACGGCCATTCCCCGCATTTTTTCGACAGCCTTACACGAACGACCTTGCCGACGTCATCATTATCGACTGAAAGCCCACTGAATCATTCCACTTCTCCACTATCAACTTCTCCGATGTCTTCCATTGGTTCCCACTCTTGCTGGGCGAAGATGACAGAGCAGATACAGTCGAAGAGGAGCGGGATCGCATCCGTAAGAAGTGTATATTCCTCGCCTTCTCCTTTTTGGATGTCTTAAGAATGCTCATGTTACATAGACCGCTCTCCGAAAAATCCGATCATCTTTTGTCATGGTCTTCTGGGCTTCGATTCAGTTACTATTGGACCTGCAATCGCTGCTCTACAAGTAACCCACTGGCGGGGTATAAAAGAAGTGTTAGAGGCCAACGGAACAGAGGTTCTTATTACCAGGGTTCCAGCCACAAGCACACCCATCGACAGGGCGAAAGTGCTGGAAGAAAAAATATCTGCGGCTTATCCCGGTCGCAATGTGCATCTAATAGGTATGCCTTCTACTATTATAATGGTTCTCAATATCTCAAGTGTGTGTGGCGTAAAAGGTCATAGTATGGGAGGCCTTGACTGTCGCTATCTAACTTCCAAACTTCCTCATCGAAATTTCTCGGTTCTGTCCATAACTACGATCGGGACTCCTCACCGAGGCTCCGCGTTTGCCGACCATTTTCTCACTACGCTGGGGAAAAGCCGCATGCCTTCATTCCTGCGATTCCTGGATATGCTCCCGAACGGTGGAGGGGACGGAAAAGCATTCGAATTTCTTACACTCGAAAATATGCGTCGTTTCAACGAAGAAGTCAAGGACGTGGATGGCGTTCAATACTTTAGCTGGGGAGCTGTTTACGATCCCGGGTTTGTGGATACTTGGAAATGGTCGCACTCAGTGGTGCTAGAGAAAGAAGGACCCAATGATGGCTTAGTTTCTGTCAACTCTGCGAAATGGGTAGGTGCCTCATGTGCCTCTAACTGCCATCTTGAATTCATACCTTGTAGGGAACGTACCTTGGTACACTAGAGGACGTGAACCATCTTGACCTAGTCGGTTGGATAAACGCTGCCCGATATAAATGGGCGGAAATGACCGGGCGCCAAATCAACTTCCGGCCGGCAACATTCTACCTAGGCGTCGCGGATATGCTAGCAGAGAGGGTTGAAGGTCAACCCAGTCTTTCCACAGATGATAGTCATTCCAATGGCTATTCGAGCAGTGGTAAGGGTAACAAGACTGGAAGTGTTGCGATTGTAAAGGAGGAATTGGACGACCACTCAACCGTAAACGATGAAGCGGTGACAATCACTACCGGCGAAGACGTTGACAAGACTACTGGGATCACAAACGGACTATCTAACGTCAACTTGCATACTATTGAACTAGATAATCGGAACCAGGAAGATTATGACAGCTCAAGACCACGCCTATAGCGTTAATATCATGTAGCATTAGTTCTATCATATAACGTATTCTAATACCATATAATAATGTATCAATATAATTTGCAAGCATGTTGTTCGTCGCGCATACTCGCGGTCGAGGTAAAATGCTTCAGCTCGTTGTCATTTTTCTCTCAATGATCAATGCAGATATCAAAATGTGGTCAAAGAATTGATGCCCATCTGGAAACACAGTCAGCATCGGGTCTGGAAGAGGTGGAGACGATGCAATTGGTGGTGGGATAAACGTTGCAAGCTGGCCCCTGGATTCATCCGCAGCGTAGCACTGACACATTGCCATTTTTTTAATTTGAATATATCAGAGAGAAAGCATGATTGGCTTACGATGCACATGAATGACCCATCTTCAAGCGCTGTCCTACAATCCCAGCGAAGGGATATGCCACCGAGACCCCACCACCAATGCCGCTATTTGATGCTATGCAGTAAGTGCGCGCTCGATCCAATGCCAACAGTTCTCTCTACCGGTGAAGATTGTATATTGGAGAGTACGTTTGATATGCGCGTATTGAAGCCTCTCATCATAAGTATTTCTCGAGAGTGGTTTATGGCCAACCTAAGAGAAGTTAAGGTTTACGATGTGATGGGATAACTATAAAACGTACTCAAATTCACCCAAGAGCAGGTTGTCTTCCGACCCAACTCTATGAACACTTGTCACGTACGATATTGGGAGAAACGGATTGAGGTTCAGCGATACCGAGATAGTGTATGATGGTAAGGACTCAGATCCGGATGCTCTTCCCGTGTTGGGTGGAGGTATCAACAACATTGTCTTAGAATTCCAGTTAGTAAAAGTGTATGTTACTGGATGCTCTGGACGCTCATGGGTCCAATATCTTCACAGTAATATTGTTTAGTAGGTCGGCACTGAGCACGGACATAAGAATTCCTTACCGTGGTGGACGGGAATTCTCTAAGTCGGAGTATTCTGACGTGGCGTAACTGTTTGGCGGGTCCATGAGTGAAGGTGAGAAACTTGAATTGATGCATACTCGGGAAGAATAGTCGAGCTGGACGATGGCGGACGGTCTAAAAAAACAGAGCTCGAGCATCCATTCCGTAGAAGATGATGCAAATGAGAATCGTACCTAATATCATGGTGGTCGAAGAATAGCAAAGAAAAAAACGGAGGAGATAGTGTAACTTCGATCAGAACGTCATTGTCGGCAAATTTTCGGCGTTCAGCAAAGCCTTCCTTCCTTCCTCCATCATCTCTCGTATATAAATATGGTGAGTACTGTGGGCCTATGTGATGATATTTAGAGCGCCTGAGCGGACGTGTAGGCTCCCAAAGGTCGAGATCATAATCAGAGTGGACTGGGCCGAGCAATCATCAACAGGAAAAGCAAGGATGCCCGTAGAATGCAGGAATCGGGACTGGTAAGAGGTCGAATATACAACTTCGCGGTTCATATACTCACAAGTTTCAAGTAGTATGTCACAGATGTGGATCCGACCTCTCGTCTAAAATCTGTGACTCAAGAACGAGATCTGGATGAATTTTTAAATACTGCCCAGTTAGCGGGCACAGAATTCACAGCCGGCATGTGATGGATCGATTCGATTCATCTTTCTTCTGATAAGACTGCTAGAGCGACGAAATGTCAAGGTTATACAACAATCTGCTAGTACCTCGCAGAACCCATACCTTCTAAATGAACAAGAAGAAAAGAAAACTCTACAGAGACACAGAGAGAACAAGCAGCGACTAAGGGTACCTCGACGACCTCCATGGACGAAGGGCATGACTACAGTTGAACTTGACCGGCAAGAAAAAGCCGCTTTTCTTGACTGGCGTCGAGGTCTAGCTGAGTGAGTTTGGTCCTCTCTGCACATGGAGTTTGAATATAACTCAACCTTTAGGCTTCAAGAAGAAGAGCGTCTTCTTCTTACTCCTTTTGAACGTAACATCGAAGTATGGAGGCAGCTTTGGCGTGTCCTGGAGCGCTCCCATCTTGTTGTACAAATCGTGGATGCAAGAAACCCACTTCGATTCCGTTGTGAAGACTTGGAGGATTATATCAGAGACGTCGAGGGACCCGAGGGCGAAAAGGGAACTGGGAAAGGCATTCGGAGAAGCTTGCTGCTTATCAACAAAGCCGATCTTTTGACCTCTCATCAACGGTGCGTCCAGCGCCTCCCCTGTTCGTCAGAAAGTTTAATAACATTGAGCAGCCGATTATGGGCAAATCATTTTGACGAACAAGGGATCCAATATGGGTTTTTCTCTGCTGCCAATGCGGCCGCTCTGCAACAAGCGAGACGAGATGCCTTGGCACAAGAGCAGCAGGGAAATACAGTCCAGGAAGGGGACCAGAATAACATCACAGATGAAGACAACGATGTGGAAGAGCCATCTTTGAGCGATCCAAATCATCCTGGATCTGAGTCGGAATCTGACGACAGCGAGGTCTATTTCTCCGCGGATGACGAACCTGAAGAGGAGCAGGATCCTCGTGCTAGAGTTCTAACAGTTCTAGAACTGGAGGACCTCTTCATGAGGATGGCACCGGATCTTGCTGGTAAGCAGAACATCATATTTGATCTAAAGATTTTCTCAAGGTGTTGCATAGCATTCACTGACTCCACTGGCAAGCTCCCTCAAAAGCTGCAGGTCGGTCTCGTCGGATATCCTAACGTCGGCAAGTCTAGTACAATCAACTCTCTTTTGGGTGAGAAGAAAGTGAGCGTCTCATCAACGCCGGGGAAGACGAAGCACTTTCAGACGATACATCTGTCTGATTCGATCGTTCTTTGCGATTGTCCTGGTCTTGTTTTTCCACAATTCGCTACGACAAAAGCGGACTTGATCTGTGACGGTGTGCTGCCTATCGACCAGATGAAGGAGTACACGGCTCCGATCACTCTTGTTATCAAGAGGATACCAAAAACTGTTCTAGAGGCAACGTACGGCTTGTCAATAAGGGTGAGGAGCGTGGAAGAAGGCGGAGACGGACAAGTTGCTGCAGAGTCTTTCCTAATCGCATATGCCAGTGAGTTTCATCTCAATATCTTGAATTATTATGTAGCTGACAACGTGTTCCATTTGCAGTTGCTCGAGGATTCATGCGATCAGGGCAAGGGAACCCCGATGAAGCTCGGTCCGCACGTTACGTCCTCAAAGATTACGTGAATGCTAAGCTCTTATTCTGTCACCCACCACCTGGTGTATTGGAAACCGATTTCAATGAACAAACGCATCAGATTGCACTGCGACATGCACAGGGAAAGAAAAAGGCTCCAGTAACACGTGTTGGAAAAGATGCAGATACCTTTGTTGCTCCCAATGTTGGTGCCCTCGTCAATGGCACAACTGCTAGTTCTGGTGGAAGGACACAAGTACTTGATGCGGAATTTTTCGAGCAAAATGCTTCCTTGGCAGGACATGCCTTCGTTAATGGGAAGGCATTCTCGCGTTCAAAGCTGTTTCCGCATCAGAATTCAGTCACTGATGATGGGACGCCAGTCGGTCACAGACAAGCACGCATTGCCTCAGTCTTGGCGAACCAAGAAGGTAGGGGAAATAAGCATCACAAGAAGATGAAGAGAGTAAAGCAACGGAGCGGGAAGGGATACGATTAGGGTAGTCACATGACCATCGCGCCTGGCATACGCGCCTGTGGCGTTGATAATAAGCAGACTCAGCTTGTACTTGTATTACCATCTCCTATCACTCCTTTCTGCTCGGGCTTGCCATGCTTGGAGCTGTATCTATTCAGCAATCGCTTATATCGTCGTCATCTATCTGCCATGGAATGGGGCACACTTCTTCTTCACGCAGAAGCCGGCCGTCGATGTCGAATATATGCGCAAAATTGGTAACCGTGAAGAAGGGCCGCAAAGAAGGTATTTTCATCCTTTCTTACCTGTTTTTCTGCTACTCAACGTATCTTTCAATAGCGATAGTGCTGGGTTTGAACAAACCTGTAACGATAGGCAGAAATCCGGAATACTGGTGCGTTGGCAGCTTCAGAGGCCAGAGGCGTTCATCATTCGTTCTAGCACCTATGTAATTACAGACGCTTCGGTGTCAGGCCTTCACTGCAAACTTTCCGCGTAAGAGTCTCGGTTCTCTTGTAGCACCATCATCATCATTCTCTTAGCGTTCGATCTCCCAACGGCGGCGTCATCGTTTCTTGTCAGGTTAGGATTATTTATGGTATCCGTCTCCCTCACTCATCGTTAGCTTCTAGGACATGTCAAAGAACGGCATCATTTTGAACGAACATCGAATCAGGAAGACAGCAGTCATCTTGAAGGATGGCGATATAATCCACATACCGGACTCACTCAGTACGTCACTCCTACGTCACTCCTGATATCTCTTATGTACGCTCTAAAATATTCAGCTTTTACTTGCGTTCATCTTTGGAAAGATCCTGTCGAAAAAGTCACTGTCTTCGACCCTACACCTCCCCAGCAGCCGACACATAAGGTTCACTCTTACCAATTTCTGAAATTGCAGCATGATTCACCCAATCATGATAGCGAATCGGCGCATACATTGTAACTTCTCAGTGTCTAGGGACTGGCTCCTTTGCAACCGTGCATCTTGCTCTTGACACAGCACACCAACGGCAAATTGCCTGCAAAAGCATTCGGACAAAAAAGGAGCACGAGATGAGCCAAGTTATGAAAGAAATTCGGATTCTCATGGCTTTGAATCACGCAAGTAGATTTCGCAGTCTTGGATCATGCTTTCATATACTTGACAGCCTAATATCAATCGCATATATGACTCTGAAGTCAACGGCAACTTCATGTCGGTACTTCCTCTCTCTGGGCTCGTATTTCTATTGACCTAATATCTATATAGTCACATCTTCCTGCAACTCTGCACCGGGGGCGACCTATTCACATACATCACCAGTTATGCAGAGAAGGACAGTCGTTTATGCGAAGCCGAGGCGAAGTACATCATGTATCAACTCCTGAAAGCTCTCATGTATCTTCATGATAAAAGTATCTCACACCGAGGTATGACAGCCGTTTCGAGTGGATGCAGTTACTGATTTATCTGATTTATTTCCTAGATATAAAGGCAAGCCATTGGTCTTTGCTGCTTCAATGCTTGGTTTACCGATGTCGTCGTTAGCCTGAGAACATTCTTCTCTACTGTCCCGGTCCATATCCGCGGATACTGATCGCCGACTTTGGACTTGCCCGTCCTAAATCATATCAAGAAACATTTAATGTGTGCGGTACTGTCTCGTATTTGCCGCCAGAAGGTATCCTTGCACTGGATCAAAAACATCTGGGATACGTTGGGTGCGCGCTATGTCGTCTCCAATAGAATCGTACTGAAAGTTTTTAGGATGCCGTCTGATTGCTGGAGTGCAGGCGTTATATTATATATCATGCTATCGTACGTGGAACTTTATCTCCGCTTGAGGACATCCTTCCGCGCTGAAACCATCTGACCAATATTGATCATCATTTGACGTGCAGAGGCTCACATCCATTCGACTACGAAGCAACTTTTGGATCATCGGATAACTGGATCAGTCTCATTCAAGACTGTCGTGATCCCGAGTTTTCGCAAATCTCACAGAGCTATCTCAGCGGAGAAGCCCGGCTCAAAGAAAGAATCATCAACGGAACTGTCGACTTCCAGAGACCACCATGGGATGTTCTACCTGATGGTTTGTTTGGCTACCCAACTTGGCTGTTGTCAGTGACTGACTTGTCTAATTTAGCAAGGGCTCTCGTCGGACGGCTTCTCATTCACAATCCTTTACATCGTGCTACTGTCTATACTGCTCTTCGCAGCCAATGGATTACGACAGATCTGGAGGAACTTGATGCTGCGTATCGGGATCGAATACTTGCGTTCCAATAAGACCTGAAACATATCTTCTCCCGCCAGGTAGTCGCTGTTGCTCTGCTATTTGAACACTTCTTGCTGGTAACTTGTGCCGTCTTCTGCTCTTTTGTTGTTACTATTCTTTGGCATAGTTTGTATATTACTATCCATAGATGAGTGCGTGTAATACAGATGATACGATAAAAGTGCGTTTGACTTCTTGCTTCTCCCCTCCCTTTTCATGCTTTCAAGAAATTGGCATGGACTGTTAATGGAACGCATTCAGTGATGATCGTTATCCATACAAAAGTTTGTGCTTACAGTGGATGTGATCAGCAGCAAAGGTCGAAATCTACAAGCCCATTTCAGACAGGGACGGCAAGACATACTCACAGTAAAACGTACGAAATAATAGCTGTGATCGTACGCTTCTTGACTTCTCACACGAACTTGAAATTCGTCATAACCAGCGTCCCTTGATGCCTTGAGGAAGTTTTCTGGAAGAAGTTGGCCTTGCTTGTAAAAGTTGTCACCGGTTCCCTGTGGCTGGAGTGAGTCCTGTAGAAGACAGAAGAAAAGGACGGATTCAAACATAATCAATAAGGATGTGTACCGGCTCTTTGTAAGCCGAAATCAGATCAGTTGCGTCATATTTTCCCTTGGCCTCTTCGATGCCTCCCTGCAGATAGCCGCTGAAAGCCTTTTCACCCCAAGGGCATTTGGTAGGGTTACAGATTGGAGCAAAGGCAGACGCAGATCTGTATTGTTTCGTGGTTGACGAAAGATACAGCGTTAGAGCTCCGTGTCCTCCCATGCTGTGACCAAAGATCGATTGACGTTGCCAGTCCTTTCAGTTCGAAATAATTGATACCATCTCCAATCTTTGACATTAGACTTACAATGGGTAGGCCAGCTGCTTCTATAATCTCTGGGAGCTCCAATGTTACGTGAGTGTACATGTTATAATGCTTTGAATACTTGGGGTCTGTTGCATTGATGTAGAAACCTGCCCCCGTCCCAAAATCCCAGTTATCGTCCTCGCCTTCGATAGCCGCCCCGCGGGGGGAAGTGTCAGGAAAGAGAATAGCAATCCCTTGTGCAGATGCAGGTCCCAAGAATGAACCTTTCTGGGCTCTGAGTTCAGACAGTCAGCTCAGATCCTGTCGTGATCGAAGCTGCGATTACCGACCCGTTGTCTTCCGTGCAAGTCAAGCCCGATAGATATACCAGTACAGGCACTTTGATCGTCTCGCTGGCGTTCGGCGGAATGAAAAGATTAAAATTTGCAAAGAGCCCGCCTAAAGCAGTAGACTAGTCTGGATCAGCGGTGGGGTATGATAAGGATATCGCAAAATGGACAGACCTTGAATCTATATTTCGCAAGCTCTCCTTCAAAAACCTTGTTCGAAGATGTCTTTTCCAACTGTACGGACATTTTAACTGAAGTGGGCGATGAGAAGAATCGATCTGTATGACGTCGCTCGTACTACATAATCTGATCTTTGCCAAATAGAAAAAATAAAAACGAATAAGAAAAAGATGCACAGAATAAATAGTTTAGAGGCAACAGGTCGCGTTATTACTTCTACGACGAGATTCAGAACCGAGGACCTCGATGCAAATGGACATTATTTTTCGACGCGAAGTGGATTTACATCCACTGGAATCTCCTGGGCCCTTGGAGAGCCGGTTCCTGGGGGAGTGGATCTCGTCCTCAATATCACTCTTGGTAACGCTAGAAGGGAGGCAAAGGCAGCAACGCTAGAAGAGTGGAGGAAGGCATGGGAGGCCAGCCCTAAATGGGGACGCTACGTGATGGCAAATAGAATACTGCCATCACTGAAGCTGACACCCCACCTCATAGACCTTGCAGCGAAAAGAGAGATATTCGGCCGAGTGCCTCAGTGCAGAACAGGCCACGAATACATAGGCGAGTACTACTCACAATTCGTGCCAAGTAAGAACATTGACTGCCCTTGTGGAGAGTTGTTTCACACACGGGAGCACATCCTGCGTGAATGCCCCCTCTACGAAGAGCAACGGGGGATCCTCCTGAATGTGTCAAGGACTGTATACCTACCAGACATCCTTGGCACCAAGGAAGGGATCACAGCACTGAGCGAGTTCATGGAGAACACGGGAGCATTCACCCAGACAGGACAACTACAAAACGAGAGGCTCGCCCCAGAGCCAGAAGAGGAAGAAGAAGGAGGAGAGTGGTGGGAAGAAGACGAGGGCGACACGGAAGACGAGCATGGATAACTGCCACGCGCCCACCACACCATAGACCATGTCCAACACAGCCAGCCCCCAAGACACGCTCGCAAAACGCCCCAGGCTTTAGCCAACCACAGAATCAAACGAACCAATTAGCCCACCACGAGGGCACAAAATACCATACATGTCCGTTACTCTAGTCCACATTACACGCCAAAACACCTGGGGAACTCAGAAAGAAGAGCGGAGGGACTGGAACAAGAGGGAAAGAGGATCCTGAGGCCCTGTACCTCCACCGCGTCTTAGTAGTTAGCTTACTTGTTGCGGTTAATCAAATGCTGAGAACAAAATAATAATAATAATATATCACTCTTGGCTTTGATGCCAATACTAACATCTTCCTGATGAATGGCGTGGAATTCGTGCCACCCACCGTTCCTGTACTGCTTCAGATCTTGAGCGGTGCTCAGCGGGCGCAAGATTTGTCGCCTCCAGGATTACCGCTGAGGAAGACTATTGAGATCAATCTCTTCGGTGGAAATGAGATAGGTGGATCTGTACGTTCATCTTACGTTCTTTTATTTAACCTGTCATTGTAGCTGAAGGTTCCCTTTGTTCGACGTACTACAGCCTTCATCCTGATGCGGCAAAGAATGATACTACCTATACGGTTCCTTCGTGTTAAGATCACCGACTACGGTACTTCTCTCATTGTATTTAAGGCTATGAACAGTATGTGTTCAAGTCGGTGTGCTAAATATATTTATAGCATAATAGATTGTACTGTAGTATCAGGTTTTCTGTCATTGTTACGCTAAGTATCAGCCGGCGCGCGGCGACTCTCAAATTGAAAAGTTCAAGTTTTGACTCGAACCATCATCAACATCTTCACTGTGATAACTTCCATTTGCGACACGTCGGCGTCTGTGGATTATCCGTGGTGAGCCCTACTTGAAGTTGAAGTTAGAGCCTGCAATGTTGACAACCAATACTTACATATTCTTTGTCATGACTGTACATATTTATGCATCACATCCCTCGAACAGTAACTTCTGCACCGCCGTCTATCCGTGACTCAGTATCCATCGGAAGTGAGAATGGCGCAGGATATGATGTAAGAGATAAGTGCTCCAGGCTCGCTTGGAAGAGGGTTCGATAGGGCCAGAGATCGCAACCTGGCTATGTTGTCGTGGGGTAATCTCGATGTCATTTGACTTCGCGATTGGAACGGGTCCGGTGCATACCCAAAGATGAATAGCTCCTTCAATGAGGGAAAAGGGAAATCAAAGAGATCGCTCGCCAGTTGACCAGGTAATTCCAATACCTCCAACGAGCCCCGATTACGTCGATCTGTTCAGGGCCTCTTTTTCCATAATCTTCAGTTCGAACAGCTGCAGGAGAATAGAAGAATGGAGCGTGATGGCTACTGTGGCCATCATGTCTGAGATGACTGCCAAATAGTCCCTCACATCACAACCTTTCTGCTCTGTTAAAAGTGGTAAGACAGAGCCAATGCCATGTTGGCCAGGGTGTTCTAAAGACACTTTCAGACCACACCATGGCCCTCGATACGAGCATTGTAAGCATGTCTCTCCCTTCTATCTCCTCGTCTCTCATATTCCCCAGCATTGGCATGGAACCAACTTTGAAGATGGTTCCGCTTCTGTCACGCAGTGTCCAATAGCGCAGAACAAGTCGCTCATGTATAATTTCCATGTTCCGGACCAGGCTGGAACGTTTTGGTACCATTCGCACCTTGTGGTCCGATACTGCGATGGCCTGGCCCGACCTTTCATCGTGTATGATGGAGTGGACGGTCAAAATGACCCTCACCGGGCCTTGTGTGACGTGGATGAGGGTCGGCCTGTTGTCCACCGATGATTAGAACTATATTAATTTATTCTACAGAAACTACTATTATTGTACTCTCAGATTGGTGAGTGCAAGGCAAGGGTTGAGTTTAGTACCCTCTTAATGGGGTATTTCTAGGTACCATGATACAACACCAGCACCAATGGCTACGAAAGTGGGGCCGAAGTCCAATTCCACCTTGATCAATGGGATGGGTAGATTTTTTGAAGATGTAAGTCAATTATCCTTTCCCAAAAGACCCTGACTCAAAGAGATGTGCCATGTATAGCCCACGGGCCCTCTCTCCGTTATTACCGTCGCTCCAAAGAGGCGTTACCGATCTCTTCTATACGACGCGCTTCAAGCCCGTTATCGCAGCTGGCGATCACGCGGGAACGTTGGGAATGAGATGACAGTGTATTTCGGCGTCAGCAATGTCCTGGACAAGTGTTTGGTATGCCCTGGATCCGTTCTCCGGACAACTGTTACCTTCCCTCAGCACTTTGAATCAGGGACGCAGGTAAGGTCTAAGAGGATGTATAGGTGGTTTCGGGCTTGGAGCACGACAGGGAACATCATAAGGATCATATAAAAAAGACGTGTGTTGTGTACTTTGTGAATCGAAGCCGCCGTAGGGATTTGGTTGACACCATAGTACAAGTTGAGTATCGGGAAGTTGTCAATCGGGAAGCAGTCAGATTCGTCAGCATTGGCTGTGGACTTCATGTTGTGCGTTCATTGCAGTGAAAGGATACGAAGTGTTCGATACAACGAGGCCGAACTGTTTGAGTTATCAACTTCAGTCCACTGTGGTTTATATATGTCAGGCCAAGCCTAAGCCTAATTAGACAGTTTAAAACAATGGCCATAACACGACAGACGCGCCATATATTGGAAGATTTAACATTGTTCTAGGGAAGACAAATCCCACCCCCCCTCGGTTGTGAAATTTCGGCATGGTGCTAAAGCAAAGAAAAATTCTGTGTTTTTGCTCTCCAAGGATTGTGGCCCTGTCATGCGACCTAGTGTAGTTATGCTTCGCATCAAATTGTTCTTGCGAAAAATGGCTAGATGTGGCTGCACCGGCAATGATTAATGAAGATCTATCTATTCATGATGGAAGATAGATGGATCTGCGAATGACGTTCAAAATTCAAATCCGGAGAAGTGCAACTAACGTAGGCGAGAGGACTGAAGCAATATGAGCATCATCTGTCATCCGCAGACGCCCTTTCCAGTAAAGGCGGAGTCGCAAGGAATACTTGATTCGAAATGTTGGTTGACTCCCAAATACATTGGGTCCTGCTTGGCAGTGCGCTCTGCCGTCATGAGCAGGAAAATCTCCCTTCTTCGGAAAATTCACAACCATGCCCGATGATCACTCTAGTATAGATGTCCTATTATCTATGATGGACCTACGACAATTCCGCAAGCCATTGAAGGCATTGTAGAGCAACTTGTTGACTGTGATCTGCCAGGACATATCACATCAATTCATGGAACAGGCCACACCATGTTAAGGAATCTCACTGATACAGAAGGCATGAGGAACGTTGGCGCCGACAACGATAACGGTGTGTGAACAAGACGTCTCTAGTTCTGATATGATAACCTGCTTATGTTTGCCAACCCATCCGTCTATGCCAGCAAAGTAAATTCGGATTCGATTGTCATGAGAGGCGATGAATTCAAAGTCGGCTTCTTTCACCGATTGCATCTCGTCATGCGACATTTCCAAGCAAGCTAATACGGACTTGGGTGACCTGAGAAGCCTTTGAAGAACAGCAATTTGGTGGGCCGGCCAATCCCAAAACAGGACTGAGAGCAAGAAGGCAGGAATATAAGTGCCGAAAATACTCGTCAGCTTGGAGGCGACGGTTCGGGGGAACGGATGGAAAAGCCACTATAGACAGGATGAAAACAAGCACAGTGTGACATGTCAGACGATACCCACCGATAGAGAACGCCCGTTCGGGGTATCTGCTATATATCGGATTGTTGGCGTTATTAGAAGGACACTCGCAATATTTTCAGGTCGTGCTTTTAGAACCTGTTCAGTGGTTCTAGTCAGTCGGCATCTGTCTGATATCGGGAGACCTTACCTGCAAAGAAATCCAGCACCCAATGCTATGCGTTATGATAACAATCCTAACCCTCTTCCCATAGTATCCTACTAGGGCGTCTACTGCTTCAATACCGCCTTGGACCTGGGACGTCAAGCCGCACTGAGAATAAGGAAGGGCAAAACTATGACCCAAGTGTGAATGGGCCAGTATAGCAAGACTGTTGGACTGGTATCTTTCGCGTACGACAGACAGGAACGGAACGTAGAACTCTACTAAACCGGGATTTCCTGTTCTTGAATGATCAGAAAAAGTACAGAATCCTGCTGTTATATTGATAGCATTTACCGGGCTTGAATAGTATGATTGTGTCGGGTACACTACCAGAGCGAGTGGGCCACCAGAGACAATGAACGGTACCAAGCGATATCTTGTGTGTAGCGTGCCTGTACTCTGCATTGTCGTAGTGCAAAGAATGGAGAGGCTCGAGGAAAGACGGAAGAGGCATTCGTTTGTCGTTGTCTCGCAATAGCATCACGCTAATTTGGACTCGACAATACTGCCCTGCAACGACCATCGCACTGGTCGATGTCGCGCGCTCCTCCATTTTCTTCTCGTCGCGGCCGGTCGCCTTCGTTTTCAAATGGAATTCCTACAATCTCGTCCCCTCTCTCAGCGCCAGGTACGACGATGGCTACCAGGCCGTTGCAAATCAGTCGAACTCCGTCGCGACCAACGACTCCCAGTAATAGCTCCATAATATCGTCGTCGCCAAGGGCTACCCCACCAAACACTGCGCCAGTTGGCCCTTCTCGACCTCAGCGGTCCGAGCTACGGGCTCGAGTCTCTGACTTCACTGGAAACGACCGAGGGTCTACGTCTTACCGAGACAGTATTAGTACAACGCGTTCCGATGCTTCTTCCTCCCTTCACTCTCGAACGATTACAAGTACACCTGTTAAGACACGGCCACCAAAGCCTCAGCGTCTAAACAGCTTACCCACGGACGATGAGCAGACCCCAACGCCGACATCATTGTCATCGGTCATGTCGGCCTTTCAGTCTGCAGGAAGACGACGTGCAATGACTAACGGTAGTGATGACTTGGAATATCAGAAGGAGAAGAAAGTTGAAATGGAAGCTGAGAAAGTCAGGCAACAACGAATACGAGACAAGGTGCCTGGACTGAGGGTGAATGGAAAAGCTCGAGCAGGCGATATTGATGGTGTGTCACTTTATAATATTCCTTTTCAATACCTGGATTTTTCCCTCTAGCTGTGCTCGACCAAATAAGAGACGAATGGGCCTTTGTTATTGACCCAGATGTGAGTATCTTGCCAGGCAGTATTCATGTCTCTCGCTAATACTTTTGTAGTTCAATCCCGTGGATCTTGCGCTTCAACTCCTGGACGATTCCTCACTGGGAAAGGATATTGATTCGTTTCACAACACTAAGAATTTATTGTCCAAAGCCCTGCAAGGTTCTGTCGACAAACATCACCAAGCCTTTGCCGCCGCACTTCCTCACCATGCCAACCTCTTGAATCACTTGGGGGCTACGCAAACACAGATCAATGAGACACGGACAGCATTGCAAGAATCTAAAGATGCTCTAGGTAGCAAACGTGCTGATCTTGTACAACTTTGGGCGAGGGGACAAACTTTGGAAGAAATGATGCGACTTCTGGATCAAATGTGCTCACCTATCCTTTCGTCACTTGTGCCGGACTCATATTTTTTCAGAGAGCATCTCAAGTCTGTGCCTGACCTTCTAGAGACTCTCATGTCAGAAAAACGCCTCCTGCAGGCGTCTGTTCTCCTCGTTCGAAGTCTAAAGATAATAAACAAACCTGAGATGCTTGAGATCGGAGCTGTCTCTGATTTGCGAGGTTATTTGTTGGGCCAAGAAACGGTACTTGTCTTTTGGGTGTTTCTGTGCTTCGACAACTAATTACGTCTAGGCTCTGCGAGAAATATTGACCGATGAACTTCACAGTCACTTGTATCTCAAATCATTTTGGTGTGACTCTCGTTGGGCGGCTTACACACCAAATCAGCGGACATGTCAGTTTTATTACTTCAACCTGGCTTTGATTCTAATTTGGAATCACAATAGTCCCCAAACTAGATTTCGAAACTGACCCCCTTCCCATTTCCTCCCAGATGTCGCCATCCTCTCCCACGTTCCATCGAACACGTTTTGCTCGCTTTATCGACGAACTTACCTTACGACCCAATGACCCACCGCATGACCTGGATGACCCTAATTTCCGCAATGGATTCTCTGCTTCTTCGTCTGCCTCAATATCTAATATCACGCTTATTATGCAGAACTCTAATCCTGAGACCGACTCCTTTGCGTACATGGAAACGGTGCTCGAATCTCTTGCGGTCTTAAGCCGGCTGGGCAGCGCTCTGGACAGTGTCGCACAGCGCGTGCCTAATGAAATTTTCAACCTGGTGGAAACAACTCTAAATGAAGTTTCAGATCGTGCTGAGTACGGTCGGCGTGGTTCCGTGTACGCTCTCATGCGGGCTGCAACGCGATCCGAAGGCGTGTACGTTTTTGCCACAGTTACGTCTTCGTTGAGCAACAGGGTCGCAAGGAAAGGAGATTATCTCAATCCGTCGTGCCTGAGACTGTCTGCCCTCGAATCCTCTGTAAAGCAAGTCGACCATGAGATACTGAAGGATTTCTTTTGGACTCTTTATTCAAAAATGGATGCGGTTGCTCAAGGTCTGAGGGTGATTTATGAGGTAGCCAATCGAATCGGCTCTGTAAGTACATCAACTATTACATATAATCCCGCCTCATCTTGGTTTCTTACAGCGGCGAGATTTCAAGGATGCAGCAGGCACAAAGCCTGGTGCGCTTTTCCCTCTGGCAGACATCTGGATATCAGTGCAGTCAGAGGTCAGTGTTTCTTACTGACGCGAGGTTTCTCCGCTTATCTTTATGATGAAGATACGGACACTCATTTCCGACTACTTGACCAACGAAGAGCAAGGCGCTGCTTCTGGTAGAAATCCAGTGTCTTCCATTAACGAAATACTTCGTGAAGGGCGTTACTCGAGGGATAAGACAAAGGTCTGCTTATTTGTTTATTTACGAAAACAACGAATTAATCATTTACTTATGCCTTAGGCGATGTTCCGGTTTGCAGACACTGACGTGAAGTTGACCAACAAGTTGCTACGGTCTCATGAGGATGAGTTGACTCGTGTTCTCAAAGACACGATGCCTGGACTAGTCCAGGGTGGATCTGATAACACTGTACAAGCCGCTCTCTCTTCTGTTGGGGTGGATGATCGGATACTTGGAGCAGGTCAACACCATCGATTACTCATTGAACCGGATACTTTTCATGTCACTGTTCTTTTTGAGCCGACACTGGCATTTCTCGCTCGTGTTGCTGAAACTCTACCCCCAGGGGCGGAATCGACTCGAGATTCGAGTACGGTTTTGGACGACTTTGTCTTAAAGGTATATCTCCCTCAGCTAGAAGAGAAAGTGTCGTCCTTGTTTCATGAGGCAGTTACCGGTATTGCCACTGCTCGTCATATTATCTTCAATATTCATCCAGCTACCAGGTCACGACGCGTTTCTTCCTGATCCCTTGTCAGCGAAATTCTGCTCGGAGCCTCTAGTAAAGGTAAACTTTCCGTGATCTCCTCTTCCGAAAACATTTACTCACTCATTCTTACAGGCAAGCACGCAGCTCATGGCTTTGATAAATTCATTATGTGCAATGCTTCAAACCACCCCCTTCCACCGAGAAAATTACTCTCGATTGATTCTTGGCGTCATTATTCAGTTCTATCAGCGCTGCAGTGACCGGTTCCAAGATTTGGTGTCGACATCGACAGAAGGTCTGCCAGCAGCGCCTTATGTAGCTCTTGCCGTCCAATGGGCACAGCGGTCAGAGTTGACTCCCTGCTTGAGGGAGTTGCTATCTACATCGGTGAGTCCTCTCGTAGGGCGATATCGGACATCTAACGGTATTGCAGCCAAGTAGTATATCAACGCAGCAGCAACTTTGTCGTCAAGAAACCAATCTTGAGCTCGACTTCCTTGGGCCAGACACTGTCAAGGCAACTGATCTTGTCTCATCAATACGCAATTTGTCTGCGCTGGCAAGTCTATATCGCAGTGTGGTGAGTACCGGCACATATGCCACTTACCAATCCTTTTAACAATTTCAGGCTTGGTTTGTTTCTGAGCTGAATGCTTTAAAGTCTCGACCATCGGACCCGCCGATGAGTCCGCTGAATCTGGAACTTTTGTCTGCAACGTCTGCTTCATCTCCGGTACTGCTGCCACCCGCAACATCTGTGAGAGCAGAACTACTGGTCCTCCCACTTTCAAAAGAAATGTCGCTGTACGAATCTTCTTCCCATTGCCGTTTGACAGGCGCTGACATGTACCTAGGCGCTTGGGTGCACTGCTCAAGACGTACGAACAACTCGCAGAGCTCATATTGAGTACTATTAGAATCGACATCAGGTGTCGGACTATATATTATCTTGATTCAGCACTACGTTATGCGAGTTTCCTGGCTCTTTCAACTGGTGTACACGCTTGCTCATCTTGCTTATATAGGGAAATTATTCCATGGAGCAGGAAGCAGGAGAACCAGATCCCCACGTAATCGATCTTAATAATGAACTAGGAGAATGCGATGCCTTCGTTAGCACTAGCTTGCCGGAGACAGCAAGACGGTAAGTCACATTTTTCGCGTATATGCTTTCTATTTATATATTCTCCTAGATTTATATTCGTTGGGTTGGGATATCTTATGGAACATATTCTGATCGCGAATGCTCGGTACCTTGGTGTCCCGACTAACTTTGGGATCAAGAAGATCATCCGGAATATGCTTGCTCTACAACAAAGCGTCAAGGCCATTACAAACGACCAAAACGAGTTCGAAAAAGCGAAGCGTTACTATACGCTCTTTTTTATATCACCACAAGTAAGCACGTCGATGGTACTCCAAGTTATCGGTCTGATTCCTGTCGTCGTAGGCAATGCTTGATGGCATACGGCAAAAACAAATGTTCACTTTCGATGAGTATTTGACAATGCTACGGTTACAATGCGGAGTCGACCAGACAGAAGGAGACCCTAGAGCCTCCAAGGCAATCAACCGTAACTATAGCATGTATGTCATAGACCTGCATGGATTAGAAATGGAGAATTCGGCATCATGATCACTATTTACTGTAGCATACCGACATATTTATTTATATATGTAAGGACTATTTCTTACGCTTCTTACCGGTGTCAGGTTTCTGTGAGTCTTCGAGTGCCGCTTTATCGTACCAAGCTAGCGCCGTTGAGTCAAGTTCGCTGTACTGATGAACTGGTACCACAGATGCAGCAATAGACTGGTCAGACAAGGATACCATGTATTTTCCATCCTTCGGACCTGATTTCGCGTCTGATTGGTAGATATACGTGACTTGAGGCAACTTGCCCAATAATTGCTGATATCGCCGGCGAAGCCATCTTGAGGGGTGTCGAGGAGCGGGAGTGGATGGAGTCTGACCATTCCTTTCCATGGCCTGACGCTCTCTCCGCGTGATTGGCCTAAGTCCCTCCTTTCCCTGTCCAACAATACTGTGAATGTCTTCAAGAAGTCCTTGTCCTTGAAAACCAAAGCCTCTGATTCCAGCCTCGCGAATGGTTACTGGCGATGCATTCGCAGGAGTGTCACTGAAAACTTTCGCCTTGACTTCTAAAGGAGGATAGACCTTCCTCGACTCCTGGGTGAAGAAACGCCATCTAATGTTAACTTCGCGTCGTTTGCTAAGGGGACCCAGAAGTTTGGCGTCTTCAGATGTAGGGTCGGCACGCGAGGGAAGGGTTGGAGGCGTCTTGAGATCCTCAAGAGTAAGGACTTTCTTGTTCGACCGACTTGCTGGCGAGATAAGCAGGGCAGCTAGCTCTTTAGGGTATACTGGTGGCCGAGATTTTTCGACCGCTGGTATAATGGGAGGTGGTTTTTTGGCTTTAGGGTCTGTCAAAAGCGGCTATACGTTATTAAGATCTTCAAAAGGACTAAAAAAACCGGGTCACTCACTTGTATCAGCTCCCACCGTAGCTTTCCCTTTCTCCCGTATGCAACATCAAGAACGTGGGTGAACGCAGTCGCGTTCCCTTGGATAGCAGCCTTGACGGTGGCCAATTCCTATATGTCGTCGTAAGAACAGCTGCTGTATGCATTTACAGAATAGCGCGACCTTTGTAAAGCGCTTCAGCTTTCGCCGGCCAAGTCCTTTGGTATCTTTTGTTTCTACGATTGCCCGTACATCATCAGATGCCTTGATTCGATAGAAATGCCTGCGAGTCTGTTAAGAGAAAAAGAGCCAAAACAAAAATATTATGCACCTAAGATATGCATGGGGTAGATATCGGGTCTCGCGAATGAATTCTCTGTAAATGGAGAATAGCTGACGACTAGATTCCGGCAACGTCATGGAGGCATAGAGCCAAAAGGAGATGCCGTCGGCAACCAACGATACCTTTCCGCTCAAGCCTACATGCTTTGATTTTTACCATGAACTCGTCTCAGCCTGGGGTGGAGGAAGAGCAACATTTATTGCAGGACAAGGGACATCCTGCACTCCTCGCTCTGGCCTTCGTTGGGTTAGGATGGTATATCCTTCTGTGGGCAATAGGCTTGCTGGGGTGCTTAGCTGCGTACGTTTCCTTCCTTGTCTTATACTGGATTTGCCTCAAAGGTGGACAGTCGAAGAAGATACAAACATAGGCCCCGTTCCCGTTTGGCTACCGAATCCCCCGGTTCGGTCCCTGGAGTGTCAATTCTTCGTCCCCTGAAGGGTCTCGACACCAACCTTTATGAGAACCTCGAGTCGTCGTTTACCCAGGAGTACCCCAGCTTTGAAATTCTCTTCTCTGTTGCGCACGAGGATGACCAGGCACTCCCTGTCGCGAGAGAGCTTATGGCAAAATATCCACATGTGAATGCCAAAGTCATCGTAGGCGCGTTATGCCAGCTTCATAGTCGCTGGTTTCTCATCATGTTGCAGGAGAGGAAATTATCGGTGTCAATCCAAAAGTCAATAACCTCATACGGTCGTACCGCCAGGCCGCAAATGACATTCTCTGGGTACTCGACTCCAATGTCATGATGCATTCCGGTGCTATGGCAAGGTCCGTTGATGCTCTCCAGGGGAAAAGCCGCTCTGGCAGACGTATCGCCCTCGTACATCACGTCCCTTTTGCCATCGTGAACGAATCAAGGATTGGTTCCAGACTGGACGAAGCTTTTTTGAACACGAATCACGCGAAGATGTACATTGCCATTAACACCGTGGCCATCGACTCTTGCGTCATGGGGAAGTCGAACCTCTATCGTCGTTCTGATCTTGAGCGAGTGAATGGTTCACGGAAACCCATTGCTCAACAAGACAGTCAGTCAAGTGAGCAGTGCGGGTTGCCTGCCTTTGGCCGCTATCTTGCCGAGGACAATATGATAGCAAGTGCACTATGGCACGAACTAGGGGAAAGACACGACTTATCTTGCGATGTCGCTCGTAATGTTGTGGGGAAAATGTCGCTTTCCGATTATATCCAGCGGCGTGCACGATGGATTCGCGTCCGCAAGCACATGGTTCTTGCCCCGACACTCCTTGAGCCACTGACTGAATCTGTCGTTGTTTCAGCCATTGGCTGCGCAAGCCTGAAATATATATTCAATGTCCCTGCATTGCCATTCCTCCTTCTCCACTTCACTCTGTGGCTCTCCGTAGATCTAGATGTGTATTCTTCTCTGGCGGGACACCGTCTCCCTGCATCCATTCGATGGGAGTTTTTGGGTGCTTGGCTTGGTCGCGAGTTATTGGCGTTGCCGATATTCTTGTATGCGATATTCGGGGACACCGTTAATTGGAGGGGCAGACGATATCAGGTCCTTCGGAATGGAGAAGTTCGGCCTGCAAGGGAAGGGCGCTGGTGTGGACGGACTAGTAGACAGTCGCATGATTATGAACCTCTTGAAGTCGAGATAGTAGAACACTAACACAATTCGAACTTGGTAAACTGATTCTTCCATTACAGAAACGCGATAACAAGTAGGTGCTACAGAGTTGTAAGTGAGAGTTGTATATAATGATATAACGTGTATGCTACAGCATGAATTTTCCGAGCTGAGGAAAGGAAAGAAAATAACGATTTCATTTGATTTGGCGTTTCTTCGATTTGCCTATGTACCGAGGAATCGTTTCCCTCTTCTCCTCGCATTCTGCTTGCAGAGAATCATGCAATTTCTCATCCAAATAGAGAGCCAGAACGTCATCAAAAAACGAGTCGGACCATTTCTGGGACATCTTTAGCGCCGCTGGTCTCAATCTGACAGTTCTCCTGCGAGAGGTAGTCCAGTCCCCGTCTAGAAGGGGACATTGAATCGTCGTACCCTGTTTGTACCATTGTCGGCGATTTGAAAACCATATGTTGACTTGAGAAGGAGTGCTACATCATTAAAATCAGTTCAGCATTGCAGTCATATAACGCATTCACTCACCGGTCCCCAAGACGAGCGGCAATGATCCTCGTCCAGAAATCTGGAGGATGAGTAGTAATATCGTCATACACCTTCTCTAATAGCTTTCGGGCCCTTTCTGAGACCGGCGAATTGGGGACAGTTTTTATATTGTTTGCAATGAGGCAGACGCTGGTCCTCCACTCCGCTGTATCCTTCTTCGTGATCGGTATTTTGAAGGTCTTCCCACCCACTATCGCGACTTTGGGAGATTTATGTGCAGCCTTCTTGGGAAACTTGATTGTATTACGATAAATCGCTGGACTACACTCTCTGGATGATGTACTTTGGAAGCTCATCGTGTAGTCAGAGTCGATCGAGGAAAGGCATGGCGAAGATGGAGGCGACAAAGTAGAAGGAGGAGTCTCTGAAGGGTGGCGTCTGTTCCTGAAACCTCCTGTGAGCTGAGAAGGTGCCTCAGAGACTGGGATGGAGGTATATTCAGGTGAACCGTCGTATGGCCTAACTACCTGGAGCACGTTCCCAGAATTTTTTGCATATGATGTGAAATCTCCGGAACGATCATACGCCGGTGCGCTTGTGGGAGAGTCGTTGAGCTGCCCGAGATATCGAGCAGCCATCAGAAGAGTATCGAGACCGGGGCAGAGAGACATGCTGAAAGAAGTGGATCGAGGGGAGACGATTGAGCACAGGCAAGGGATTATAGTTAGTTACGGATACAGAAAGGTGTTTTATACTGCCCCACTCTGAATTCGCGTGGCAAAACTCTATTGTTTCCCGAGAGCATAGACCATGGGTGGCATACCATATATCGGCAGGCACCGGTATTGTTACGGTGGTCATAGTAAATTCACTTCACAGAGCAATTCATAGAACAAGACATTACAAGACCATGAACCAGGCAAAGACAAATAATCGATCTTGAATGAAATCGTAGGCACGAGATTTCATTTTTTTCAAATGATCGTGATCGGGGCCCCCTACAGAGAGTAACAACAAGACCATTATTGGATGCTTGAAGGCCAAAAACGAGGCCTGTAATGTGAAATTACTCGGAACCTACGAAATAGATCGTATACAAAGAGGGAGGTAACGGGCAAAGACATGTCGTCGAAGAACAAGAAAAGTATTTCCCTTTTTCGTCCCTGCGAAACACGTGGTGGCTGTGTCAGGAATCGACCTTTTCACTAACGCTCAGCACCAGGCTAATGACAGACCAAAGGCAACGGATTATCGATTCGGTATTCTCAAGACGGAATGCTTCTGGAAGTATTGAAGAAAATTACGTCTCTCATATTAAAATATTGGAAGATTCCCCAGAAACCGGAGGCACGAAACCCAGATACATACTTCTCTCTCGTACGTCTACCACCGTCCGCAGAAGTAACCTTCAGCTCTATCTTTTTTTTTCAGAAACGATCAGTGGGAACGGGTTTCTTCACAAATCGAAGCTGAACACGAATGGCACATTTTCTGTTGGAAAGACGTGGAGACTCCCAGAGCTGCGCGCGGTACAGGTCACTAGTGTGCGCCAACCATTTCATGAATACCATCGCTCGGTGCTCAGTTTTGTTAGGCCCAATCCTTCAGTATCACCTTGTCCAGGACCTACCGGTGGCGGACCGAGAATGCAGCGGACCAGGTCAGATTTCTAGAGGCACTCATCCCGCTCTTCCATACCGTTACCGAGGGGAAAGCGCCATTGCAAGTCGAAGGATTCCCAAGTACAGAGGATCTACCACGTATGCTCCCTCGCACTATTCACCTAGCCGTAACACTGACACAGTTCTGTAGAGGGCCGACAGCGAATCCAGAATGGTTATATGCGTACGCCAAGGACCCCGTCACCATCGCCTTTTGACTCGAGCAGTATACAACAGCCGCTTATATCTGCGCTCCAGCCTACAGGCTCGAAACCGCTCTCACAGAGCCAAAGCGACAGGGATCACGAATCTATGCAACTGCCTCGGTCGCAATCACGGCCAGGGCCACCTTCTCGACCAGCTTCTCCTGCATACTCAAATCGGAGTCACCCGTCCTCTATTCGTACAAGAGAACCATCATCTTCCCGTGCCCGGCCCTCATCCCCTGCATATTCCCAGACCAGTTCTATCCCCTCCGCCCCAGCTCGATCAGCATTCCGCCAGTCTGCCTCCTCTTCTGCTACTACGGCGCAACCGAATGTACAACCTTCTCGCCCTATTCAAAGTGCGAGGCCTGTAATGGATACAAGAGACAGTCCAACATCATCCGTCATCCCGCCTATAGATGATCGATTTACGCTCGCGGCGGCGCCTTCTCAGGCTGCACGTCCACGCCCTACTCCTTCACCAGCTGCCTCGAACCGCACGCGTATGCAATTAACGCGTGCAACTACCTTACTTGTTCCCGCAGACGGATCTTCAAGTAGACGAGAGAACACGCGTATATCATTCTTCGATCCAACTAACCAAGGCACCATAGACCGGTTGATCGGTAGTAACGCCGCTGGGGTCGACGGTGAGGAGGAGAATGCGCAAGCAACTATGGCCAATGTAGAAGAAATGATTGAGGGCTATGAGTGGGCTAGTGAAGATATAATAGGAAGAAAAACAGCACGAGGTGCCGCTGAGATGATAGAGGCCAGATTGTTGGACGAGCTAATGGCGCTTGAAAAGGTCGGCGGTATTCACCCTCTTCCAAGGATTCCGTGTTTAAATTACTCTCAGGCCAATATCCATTCCTTCCTAGAGTCAGATGACCGGATTGGTATCGTACTCAAATATATGGATGAAGCCATAACGGAACTGGACAGTATTGGGAGTCTCATCCAATCGTACAAGGTACACTTGAACGTGGGAATTGTTTTTTCCACAATCCATTGTTCTTGGCTGAAATTCATACAAAGGCGGTTGGCGACGACATTTCCTACATCCAATCTCAGAATCGTGGTCTTCAAGTACAGACGCAAAATCAACATGCTCTTCTGGCTGAGTTAGAAAACCTTCTGGTACAAATTTTTATGCTTCATAAGACGTCAGATACGAGTTCTTATTTTCTCCTGTGTCAGCAAACGGTTCAAGTTGACAAAGAAGTGCTCTTGACTTTGACTCAGGATTCCCTCAGGGACTCCAGTAGCATACAAAGAATTGAAGAGGCTGCCGCTGAGCTCTACAAAGCCCTACAAGCTGGAAGGGATACGGACATGGCCGCCACCATGGAAAGGTTGCAGGAATATCGGACACATAACGCGCAATTCTGTAAACGCATATTCGATTACCTGTCCATAATGTTCAGTGCACAGGTAAGTTTCTAAGCTCTAGAAGGTAATCGTGTCATTAAATAGTTCACAGTCTAAGCTGCTTCTGGGAGACAACGAGGGATTGACGAAAACTGACAGACGTGGCAGACCGACGATAAAACCACACACAGATCTGGAGAATTACCTAGGGAGATATTCAGGTCTTATGCTGTACTTGAAGGAGATGGATGAAGCTGTGTATGCCAAACTATGCGCTGTGAGGATACAATATGTCAATCAGTCAACCTCACATAACTTACATCAATTCCAGGCTTACTTCTCAGCCCTTAATGATCTACATGGTACTCAAATCAGAGCCATGCTATCGAATTGCCTCAGCCTGATCAAGAAAGCATCGGAGGAGGATCAGGAACAAGGTGGGCTTGAGTGAGGTTTTACCTAACGGCTGATACAGAATGCGCATGACAGGTATTGGCTCGGTGGCCACGCCCTCGGTCAGTAGACCGACTGGCATCAAACGCGCAGGAACATTGATTCGATCTCCACTGGAAAGCCGTAGAGACAAGGACAGGTCTGACGGTACCATGAGATCATCTGAGGTCAGTGCTGTCAAATGCGGGTGAACAAGCCACCTTATATTTTTGCAGGTTCTAGGGCTCGCCCTAGAGCAGATTGCACCCACAGTTTACCATGAAGAAGAGTTCATCACAGACTTTTTGCAGATAAATGATGCGGCGCTGACTTTCGCTGACTATATGGGCCTTGACAACTATTTCCGACGTCAGGCCGCCCGCAGCGCCAGCGTCAGCCAGACGACAATGAAACTCGTCCGGGGTGCTCTTGACCTCATTTTCAGCTTCTTACCGTCGGAACTGAAGACTTGGCTTGACAGCGCGCTGGCCAAGGATAAAGCGTAAGCTTTCTAGGCCGGACGCGTCCGTTGACTGACTGTAGTTCCAGACAGATCTTTGGTCTGATAGCATGTTTGGAACGTTTTTTGGCTGTTGCTGATGACAGAGGAAACAACTTTTTCGTCGGTCTTCTCGAAAAGCAGCATACACGCCTTAAAGGCCTTCTTGATCGTCACGTTGTAAGTGGTATTGCACCCGATTTCCGATGTAGCATTGACGAAGAGAAAGAACGAGCAAATCCAAGGTGTTGAGCGAACGAAGTTGACGAGCAAGAAGCGCAAGGGTGTAGTTCCGTTTGTGCGACTGTTCCCAGGTTACATCGGACGTGTCGAAAGTCAGCTTCTCGGTACGAACGGTCTCGAGGTACGAACTATCGTTGATGGAGCGTACGAACGTATCGTGGACACCATGTTCGAGTCCCTCAAACAAATGGCCAAAATGGATGGGGAAGGCGAAGACAAGGGACAGCTGAACTACCATGTCATTCTGATAGGTATTTTTATCAATCGTGGCGTTGTTGATAACAGTCTGATCATTCCTGGCAGAAAACATGCATCATTTTGTGGCGGAAATTTCCCAGATGGAGCTAGGTTCTGTGGCGGGGTTCCTGCGCAAGGCGGAAGCGATATATGATGAGAATCTGGGTGCCTATGTCAAAATCATACTTCGTCGGCCGTTCGCGAAAATCATCGTGAGTTTTGGGATTGCCTAATGGATCGGGCCGACTGACCGTAATCAGGATTACTTTGAAGGTGTTGAACGATTGCTGAAGACTACCGCGCCGAGCGAGATTGCGACCAATAACAGCTACAACAGATCTGCACTGAAGAAAGTCGTCAAGGAGTACAGTGCAAAGGACATTCGGAAACACATTGATGCCCTCTTTAAGCGAGTGGAGAAACACTTTACAGAGGCATCCGAAAAGACCACGACAGAGGAGAGCGGTGGAATTGCTCCCGGTACTGTGATGGTGGGCGTCTGGAAGGCTTGCGAGGAAGAGTTGCTGAGAATCACGGAGCTGTTTTCCAAACGGATATCGCAGTGCTATCCAGACAGTGGTGTTTCCTTAGATTATACCTCGGTGGATGTCGAGGCGGCATTTAGGCGTCACCGAGTCGGAGGAGTCTGATGCATTATCATTATGAGCTTTTACTGATGGAATTGGGAGGCCTTGTACTGTGAAACGCGTTACACAAGCACACTATTTGTAAAAATGGCGAAGCGAGAAGAAAGATCCCTAAATATTTCGCGTGTGAATCAAACAACTAAAGACACTTTAAGCAGCCGCAGAAATTGGAACAGGCCCTCGAGTGCCAACACCCGGAAGATTATCAGTAGAGGTGGAGGAAGCCGAGGTACTGGGCGTGGCAGGGGGGGTCGCAGGGACGGCACGCGCGTTCCCTGTCTGTATGGCACTCAACAGGGACGGGCCATACGTGCGCCACAGACCCATGGCAGATTCTACACTGAATCCGGCGGTCGGGGGAGGGGCGGCTGCGGGTGGCTGTCCTGGAGGAGGGGTCTTGTTAATGACACTCCAGAGAAGTTCCCACACGGCGTAAAGACGGTTGTGGATGAAGGTGATGACGCTCCCTTGGATGGAGATAATGCCTGAATCAATGCTATTATGATTTTTGACGAAGACGGGCTTGAGGTAGGAGTCGTACACAAAGGTCGAGCCCTGAGGAAAGGAATGAGCAACTAGTATGTACATAGATAAGGGGGGAACTTACCTGTGTCTGAGGAAGAGAAAGGAAAAGCAAAAAAACTGTTTTAATTTCCCAGTAGAACGGCAGCCTGGAGCACGATAAGAAATTTGGTGAGAATGAGATACTGATTATTTACCAGCTAATCAACCAGCCCGCAAGGTATTCAAATCCGACAAAAGCACCGACCTGCAGGCCGAGCATTGGGAGCGTGTCAACAGCTAGCGTCACCTACTACATACCACAGCCCAATACTTGGAAGTTCTTTGCAGCTCAGCCTCCGGGACAGGATGTTGAGAGAGTAGCTTAAACGTGGCGAAGCAAGGCAAGAAAAATGCAAACCAGGCGCTGTTTCATCTCCGGATGAGACGGACAGTGTGAAAAGAGAAAGTATAACGCACCATAGCGCCGAAAAAATTAGCGAAAACATGAGGTGAACGCAGATTGTGAGAGTGATGAATTTCCAAGACAACCGTCCAGACGCGATTGATGATGACTAATCACTCGCCGTAATAGTCCTTTCACGGCCTCTGGCACGGCCGACCGGGGCCTCGCAGCGGCAGCATCGTCCGCTTTCAAAGGTCACTGTCTTTATTATTTCGAAATTCCTGGGATTACCGGCATTTAATCCATTTTTTACTCGTATTTTAGTCGTTTGGTGCACTGTTTACTATTGAGCATCAGAAGGCTTGTTCTTGTTTGGAATCAGCCGAATCAAGTTGTCTCGTGGTTGTTGAATCTGTACCACTTGCTCCTCCTCTTCCATCTGTGACCGTCTCCTCTTCCCTTCTCTCTTCACGTTGATGCATTTGGCGTCGCACAGCGCCCAGAAGAAACCGCACGATATGGGTGACGACAAGGGCGACAAAAACGAAAAGCCAGCCGTGAAAACTCTCAGTCGAGTTCCACGTACGTATAATTAATACCTTCCGTTTGGATGCACGGCGTTAAATATACTCGATACTAGGTGCCTGTGTCCGTCGTTTGTTCCCTTTTCTCCACCGCGACACGGCTTGCTTACCCGCCACTCACAGAATGCGTGTCGCAAGCAAAAGATGCGATGCGAGGGTGCCGATAATCCGCCGTGTCGACGATGTCGGAATACGGGTCTTGAGTGTATGTTTGAGCGTCCAAACGTGAGTGTTTGGTAATGAATACTGTATACGGGCATCTTGACTCTCTGGCAGCGAGAAGCTACATTGACGGGCGAAGCTGGTCTTGAGTAAGTGGCCTTCATACCCGATGTTCCAGTTCCCTAATTCCGTGTAATCCTCGATGAAGGCGCATCCGGAGCTTGGAAGCCCACGTCGTCGAAATCAGGCATAGTCAGGCAACCATCCTTAATTCTCTTGCAGAAATACAGGCTCAACTTCGAGGTTCCGTCTTTCCGGTCCGACCTCCCCCTCCAGAGTTCATGGCGCCCTTCCACCACCAATCACCTATTATGCATTCCCCTGCTGCTCAGACTCCTTCTACAGTTCACTCTCACTCTGCTGATATCCAGCCTTCACCCACTGGCGCTCCTCCCATGTTCAACCGCGGCCCGGGAGCAAACACGCCCGGAGCGTCACGCTCCTCTCGACCTCCTTACCCAGGTGCCGCTATGCCGCAGCAGAGCCAGATGCCTCCGGCCGGTGAATACACTGGTCCTCAGCCTGGCCCGCCCAATGCGTTCCCACCGATCGCGTATAATCCCGGCTTTCAGGGTCCGCAAGGCCCGGTTTTACCGCCATTTTCCAGCATTCAGTCGATGGGGCAACCAACAAGCCCACAACAGGCTCAAGGGAACGTTTCATCCGTGAGATTTTATCCTCCGGATAATGGTCAACCTGGCCAACGTGCCCCACATATGGGAACAAAACGCCCAGCGACAAGTGGCGAGTCTTCTGAATTGGATGATGAAGACAATGGCGAACTTCCTGCCTCCGGACTTGTCGCACCTTGGGAAGTCTTACGAGGTTTGGCTGATGTGGCTATTGAACGTGCAGCCAAGGCACGTGTTTTTTGACGACCCTGCATTCAAGTTGAACAGTTGACTGATGTCGGACTGTAGGAAAACGGTGATAGCAGTGATGCCCAGAGCCGACCACGAACACCGATATCAGATTCGCAAGCAGGACCCAATAAGCGAAGGAAGATACGACATGAAGGGACTAGGGTGCTCTTTTTCCCCGACGGTAGTTATTGTTCGCTTCAATTAGATGTAACAGTACTGATCGGCATTTATTCAGTGGTTACAAAGAATATCATTAGCGAGGCCGAAGCAAGAGACTTATTTAGGATGTTGGTGCTCCGCCTTGACCTTATTGTTAACTGGTTCTGATAGCTTCGCATTCAGCTTTTATCATGGTTGCTCGACCTTCTTGTAAGCACTGCTTTGATGTCCTTGTCTTTCCGTTAACTTTCTATCTCAGACCTGTCTTTGATTCGAATGTTGATACATTCGAAAATCTCCACCAAAGATCCCCTTTTGCTGTCGACGCTATCTGTATGGTTGCTTCGCGCGTTCGTGATGGCGGGGGTCAGTCCGCACTTTTTTTTTTTTCCACCATGATTTTTTCTCACAGTGAAGCTCCAGGAAAAGCGAGTGATATTTCCTTGAGATGTTTAGATGAAGCGCAAGTAATATCGTGCGCGACATTGTTCTCCCCCGTTGCTCGGATTGAAGCGGTACAATCTATGAGTAGGAAGCTTTTCGTGTGCTCTGGATTTGTAATGACAGTTCTATTCTAGTACTTGTATCAGGCTGGTCTGACAATGGGTGGTTAAGCGGTGGTCATGCTGTACGGATGGCTTTGGAGTTATGTGAGCGCGAGTTCCATATTGATCCCGCCAGGGCTCATAGTATGTTCTAGCTCTTCACAAGGCTTGGCCCAAGCTTGTCCAACGCATGAACGCCAACAAAGCTAGCGCCGCAGATGATCGTGATTTAGTTACAGCGAGCCGTACATGGTTTACGCTATATCTGTTTGAGCACCAGTGAGTGGTAAACGTGTTTGCTTGTAAGTTAGTCATGCGAACGGCTACCTCATAGACTTTCGTACGGAACTGGCCGACCTGCCATCTTGAAGGAGGATGATAGCATCCGGCATGCCCGTTTATTGTTGCAACACCCTCTAGCAATCGAGGATGACATGCGATTGGTTTCTACTTTGGAGTTGATGGCGATACGCGAAAAGTTGCATAACTCCTTATCGCCATCTGAAGGACAAGTGCGCGATTCAGACTTTGAGGAGCTGCGACGAGCTGACGGTGCCTTCCGTCAATGGTATTCAACGTGGGACGCTGCATTTTCGCAAAAGTACGAGGATGCAGGTAGGCGTGCTTCTAAAAGCATTACGAGGTTTCATTAACATTGTGCTCTTGCAGCATTCTACCGCCAAAGCCTTCAAGCGCAGCACCTTCATGCTGAGTTGTTTCATAATGCTGTGGCTCTAAGAGGGATCAATGGTCCTGAAGATGTAGAGAACATGCCAGCAGTACAACGAGACTTGGCTATACGCTCGATACAGATTGCGCAGCAGGGCGTTGACATCACAATTACCTCGCCCGCCTACAAAGAGGGTCTGAAATATGGTTTGTACTCGCGGATTGGATGGAGCAATCAAGATGGCTGATATGTTCTTTCAAGCTGTGCATTATACACATGCTACAGCGACGTTTACAGCATCGTTTTTATTGCGGCTCGCTCGTCTTTTGTGAGTTTGATCCGTTTTCGAGTTGCATTTGGCTTATCTATTCCAGCCCTAATGAATGCGATATGCAAGAAATCAAACACCTAGTGGAACACTTGGCTTCCCTTATGGCGGAAGGTAGGAAGAGCAGCTAACGAAACTGACGGCACACTCATAGTCTTCTAGTGCCGGGTAAACGGTATGCATTAACCTTACAGTTGATGCTCAAAAGATTGCAGTCGCGACGGGCCTCATCATCAAGCTCACGGTCGCCTACGATAGGCCGTGAGCCTCACCGTCAACAACTATCTATGATCATCGATCATGCCAGTCAAAACCCTGCTGTTGGAGTATCATACTCTCCGTCCTACTCAAATCTCACAGGATCACCAGAGGCGCAGCAGATAGCAGCGGCGCAGGTCCCTGGCCATGTACCGTACGCGACCCATCCGCATCAACATCAAGACGCAGAACAGATCTGGCGGGGATTCGAGTCGACTGCTAATGAGCAACTTCCGGTGTGGATCTCCGATCAGTCGTTGGGTGGACAGTCCTTCCAGCAGCATGGGATGGATGCGTTCCTGCTACCCTCTGATTACATGGCGCCAGGGCCACAAATCTGGTAGATGGCATTGTCTTTTATGTTCCATGTCTGTATCCGGCTGATGGTATTTAATACTTCAGATATGGGGATGTATGTCTGTTCTGTCTTGTAGAGGTCGGCTTGTATGCGTCCGTTTTGTGATCGGTGCCTGATTATTAAATTCGAATGCCGTAATTGCTCTTTTTTTTTTGGGGAATTTGAGATGTGCTGCCTTGACTTTAACTCTTTTCCACCACTTTGACACGTAAATGGCTCATGAAGCTCCCAATACTTCCTGGCGGGATGACCAACAAGGTGCTCACGTTTCCCAACCAATTCACCCCGCGCGATACAGGTCTTGTGCGCGCAACAGGTCGAATCTCACCTACCGCGACGTTCTTCACGAGAAAATCACTGCTAGTGAGGCTGGTACCGAGGCTCTTCGCGCGATCTTGTATGCGCCTCCCGCTTACGGTCTCCCTGTTCGCTGTCTTTTGGCATTCTTCTCTGCATCTGTCATCTATGTCGTCTCTTTCGGCGGATCCCTTGTTGACATGTCGATAAGTGGCTTGTGCACCTGCTGTTTACAATACTTTGGATGGAATGCTGCCCACAAGAGATCCATGTATGCCAATGTTTACGAGGAAGCAGCTCTTCACATAAACGACTTGGTTCTGTCTGACTGCGGCATGTAACAGGATATCCGTCTCTATCATCGTCGCCTTCGTGGCGAGAGGTTTAAGCGATGTTCCCCGTAACATTTTTTGTCACAACGCAATATCGTCTGCCGGTGAATCATCATTCTCTCAGGATTTACTGTTTGTGCGTTTTCATACAAGCGCTCAAAACGTTTTGTGACTTACATGGTAATACAGTGATAAGTGCCTTGGAGCTGATGTCGCATATATTCTGTGGCTGCCTCAGGATTGTCTATACTATCATTTACACCCTATTTTTGGTGGATTTCCTGCATCTTAGAAAGAAAGAAGCCTCATAGTAAATAAGGATTCGGCTTGACCATTGACTCTGGCTTCTACCTTGTTGTCGATCGTAAGGCCCATCGTGCATGTGTTCAAGGTTTGCTTCCGGCCAATTATACATTTGCGCATGGTATCTTCTCTATGACTCATGGTTCCACCTTTTGTCCCTGTCAGCGGAGTACTAGCAAAAAGTGTTCAGACCTTCGACCTGGGCCACCTCGTCAAAGGTATAATTTCTCTCTATCGACGCCATGTTCATACCCTCATTGTTGAAAAGGCTGTTATCGCGACCCTTCGGAGCATCCAACTTCCCGTCATGGTAACTTTTGCATGTTGCTCCTATGCTGCTAATCGAGCTGCAAGTATCGTTCTCCCTAACCGTAGTGATATTGTGTCCGCCGCGAGAGCGTTTGTAATTGGATTGCTTGGGAATGTATATTCTCGTCTCCTCGGTGGGACTGCATTCACTTCTATGGTTACTGGAGTGCTGTTCCTGGTTCCTGTGAGAACGTTTCAATAACAGCCTAGGCAACGAAGCTGATTATTAACTAGTCCGGCATAGCTCAAGACGGAGGCTTGACACAGAATTTTCACAGCTCTGCGGAGCAATACTCGACAGAATTCTCTCTGGCCCTGCGGATGATATCCCGGGTAGCATCCGGAGTGACTATTGGGTTGTTCGTGAGCCAAGTCATCGGTAAGCAGCTCCATCAATTTCTACTGGGCCATGCTGACGAAGTCTATTTTGACAGTATACTTGTTCGGCACAAGGAAAAATGCGGTTCACTTCGCTTTCTGACCTTTTCACATAGCAATTCAGCAGATAACTCTATTCTAATACAAAGCGTCCATAATGGTAATTAATGTAAAGCCGAAGATAAGACAACCATAATGGAGAATGAGGCAATAGGGAAATATAAAGGTGTATAGTAATTTACGATCCAAAGAGTTGGTTCAGTTCTTCCATGCGACGAGCCATAAGCTCTGATTTACTAAAGTTCGAACCAAGAGTCATATTGGCAAGCTCGGTTTTTTTCTTCTGGACCTCTAAAAGGCGAGCTTCGATCGAGTTTTCGATGATTAGCTTCACAGTTGTGACAGGCCGAGTTTGTCCTAGTCGATGCTGTAAACCAGAAGTCAGAATCAGAGTGTGTCCTGAGACAGGGCTGAGATCTCAGAACAGCTACTCTCACTGTACTTCGTCACAAACAGGACAGGAGAAGCTTACGATACGGTCAACTGCCTGATTCTCGACGGCAGGATTCCAATACGGGTCCATGAGGTATACACGTTGTGCGGCCGTAAGGTTCAGTCCAACACCTCCTGCCTTTAAACTGACAAGCAGTACTTCGCATGCTGGGTCATACTTCAATGCATCCATTGCTCGTATCCGTTCGTCCCGCTTCATTGTGCCATCTAAACGGTCAAAACGTATAGCTGCTGACTCCAACGCCTCCTCAATCCTATGTAAAACATGTTGATCAGCATCATGCAGTCCAAGCGAGAAGAAAAAGTGTCACTTGTCAAGCATCGTCGTCCACTGTGAGCTATAGAAGCAAGGCTTAGCATACTATACCCAACGAAAAAACACGCCAGCTGACTTACAAAACTACCGTTTTCACAACACCTTCATCAACCTCGACCCCTTTCTCATCTACCATCTGCACTTCGATGGAATCCGGATCATAATTCGAAGAGTAGGGATTCGTTCTCGAGAACTGTATCAAGTCGCCCAATAAGGCCTTGATTTTGGTTGACGGATGACAAGTCTCAGAGCCGGTCCCACGCTGCCGCTTCTCCTTCCTCGCAGGTTTCTTCTTCGAGGTCGAACCCTCTAGATACTCTGACTTGATTTCAATCGCGTCGGCTGGACACAAGCCGGTTTGGCACGCAGAACACGAACGATAAATGTCAGGTGCGACGTTGGGCCATGAGGGGTGTATGCATTGTCGGTAGCACTGGAAGCAGAATAAATGTTGGCATCGTGTCAAGATGGGGCGGGGAACGGAAGGACTGCTAGCTCGAGTCGGGGCCTTTGAAGAAGAAGCTTTATTCTTCTTCGTCTTTTTAGGTCCTAGGTCGTCCATGTCATCCTGAGCTTCTCCGGAGGATGTGCACAGTTCCGAACCACATTCAACACACTGTGTTGTCGCAGATTCCTTCAAAATAGCAAAAATGGCGATTGCGCGAGAAGTGGTGAATCCTTCTTTGGCGACCGCGGCGATAATATCCTCGTAAGATAGTGTGTTATCTTGTCCGAGCATATCTTTGCCTTCCACAAGCTCAAAATGATCGCATATCTGCCGCAATCGAAGGATCTTCTGCAGGATGCCAACATAGTTCTTCATTACTTCGTTCTTGTCCGACATCTCGTTGAATTCGGCCTTGGAAGCAGTAAAGAACTGATCATAGATCTCTTGCTCCTGGGCGTCGAATTTCAACAACCGGAGCTCATCTCTTCGCGGGGGCAGCGAAAGAATCCTTTTCCCATCCAAGGTCTTCGATTCCTTCGTTCGGCGCAGCGTTATTGTCTTCATCAAACCTTGCAGTCTAACGATGCCTATAGTCTGTCCAAACTTTACGGGCGTGCCAATGAATTCCGTCCATACCGCTTTATCATCTAGCGGCTGCAAGCGAAGGAACTTGATGAGGGCGAAAACATCGTCCAGTTTGTTCTGAACCGGTGTTCCCGTGAGACATAACCGTCGATCTGCCATTAAGTCACAGGACGCGCGACTGCCCACTGTTCCGGTTTCCTTTATACAACTGGGAAGACGATAAGCACCATGAATGGAGACGACAGAATTTATACGTACTGAGCTTCGTCCAGAACAACACGGAACCAATGAATGCTCTGCAGAGCACTAGAGGCTTCGGAAGCCGAAAAACCTGACTTCTTCCTCTTAACGCCCCCCTTCTTCGTTTTGGGAAGTCTGAGAATCTGGTTTCCTCTCTCATCAATCTCTACGCCTCCACCATCGCTGCTTCCGGCGCCTTCCTCCTCTTCCTCCGCCTCTGCTGTAACGATGCTCCGGTTCTGTTTAGAAAATTCAGATGCCAGTGTAGCATATGTCGTGATAACGGCGTCGAAATCTGCTAGGAATGCGGGGTCCGGCCTTCGAGCGTTACCGTGGTAAATATATACCTTCAAGGACCTGCCGTCTCGTATCCGCGTGGGCTTTGTCTCTGACTGGACGTCAGTAAGCGATATCTGTGACGCTGATTGCGAACATAAAGCAGTAGCAGCTGCACCACCGCCAGCACCACCGCCAAAGACTTGAACTTCGCCGTTCCAGTGTTCACGGAATTGGTCTTCCCAATTGGAAACAGTCGACAGCGGACAAATGATTAACGTCGCTCGACTTTTGGCCTTGATTCTGTTGGCCCTTACGTGTTCGGCTTCAAGTTTCTCCTGCGCGCGCTGAGCTTTGGCTTTGGCTTTCGCCGAAGATGCACCATTCTCGGACACATCAGGCATACCCCATACACTGCCAGCGAACTGCGATGGAGCAGGGAGTGAGTTGTCCGCGCTGGAACTCCACGGAACGTTCGGGGTTTCCAGGGGGGTAGATGCGAATGTCAGAGCGGAGTTGAGGGTGGCGGCTATCAGTGAAACGCAGGTAATGGTCTTGCCAAGACCCATCTGGAATGAATGAAAATGAGCAAGTGAGTTCAGTTGCAGAAATAGAAAAGACCATGTCGCACATCATCTGCAAGAATTGCACCTTTAGATTCCTGAGGCTCCTCATATACTTCCTTTTCGGTGACAATATGGGTCCATGATTCATGTCCAGACAAGCTCTTCCGCATTAGCCACATAGACGAAAAGATACCCGCAGAAGTCTTGATTTCTCTCTCTCGCTCCATGAGAAACGTCAGAGCCTTCTTCTGGTGAGGATATAGCTGTGTAGCAACCTCGGGAGCTGGTAATGGATGAGAAAAACAGTTCTTTGAAAGCGGAAGTCTACGCACTGGCTTCCATTTCAGCCAAGTCAGCACCACTCTTCAAATTCTTAAAAAGCTCGTCCACCTGACTTCGCTGGACTTCCACACTCTTCCCTGTGGGTGCGGGAGTGGACCATCTCCCATTATTCCCCGCATATAAGGTTCTATTTGGAGCGTACTGTACGCGATTATGCCCTCCCGGAGGAGGATTGTGAGGGTTCAAGTACGGCGTTTTGCTGCTGACGATGTCATTGTACGAAAACGGAGACGTCGGATGATCAAGCAAAAGACCACACTGCAAGAAATAGTCTCCGACAACAGGAACGTTCCCTTTGGGAGTATATACAAGCATCGTGAGCGGGAGAATAGGAGCCTGGTGGCGTCGGTGAGAAACGCGACACGGCGGGTAAATACACGTACATTGGATCTACATTTCTGTACCTTGGCCTCCAGGCGTATGAGCCCTTTACCAACCATATGCCCCAGACTACTAGCCACCTTGTGTTCTACAATGCCAAAAGGATCACCTGTTGGGGTTTTGATGTTGAGGTTGTCGGTGGTACCATCCGGTTTCGGGGCGTGTTCATACTGAAGCTTTACTGAGCCCCATTCGACCTGTGGTGAAGCCAGGTTTGTAGCCATCATATACTTGTTAGGATAGAGGACAAGAGCGGTTACTGTGAGTTGACCGATACAGACTGGAGTCTTGGGAGATAAATCAGCAAGAGTCGGAGATGGAAGAGGTCTCTGAAATTGCGGTGGTGGCGACGGCGAGTCCGTGAGATCAATGACGGCGCGATCTAGGGCGTGACCCGAAGGGCGTTTCTGAGGAATAGATGAAGGTGCTACCGGTGGCGGTGGATGAAAAGAGGAGGGTGCAGCAAAAGCGGGGCGGTAAGGAACATTATTGGATGAATTAGGATTCGGAGTAAAGATACTGGGGATCATAAAAGGATTATGACTGGCATTGGGCATGGCCATGGCTGGTTTCTGATTGTATGACGTGAAGGATGACATTGAGGGCGTCGGAGAAGGCGTCGATGGCATGCTACGGGACAAGGGAATGGTAGAATTGTTTGGGTGGGTGATATTTTCCAGGCGCATCCTCTTCAATTGCCGGGGATAGTCGTAGGTCTCGTCGCCATCGTCGACAGTCAAGTCGATGGGATTTGACTTGTTCGATATTGTAAGATTGGACAAAGAGGGGGTCGACCGGAGAGACATGGTGGGGATATACAAAGAAAGATGAGGTAAAGGATCCTTGGCCGACGTCGACGACAGAGAAGAAGGATGGTCGAGGGCGCCGAGAACGTCGACTGTGAAGAAGCTGTAAGTTGTTCCTCAAAATTCAAGCTCGGCATAGCACGTGATATACCGGCACCGCCGACGGTGATGCGACGAATCTGACGCCGATATGACTGAAGATAACTAAGAGGAAGGGGGGATCGGTCAGCAGGAAAAATGAATGCATTCTGACTAAATAATTATTTTAAGCATACTACGGCCCGCGTCGGGTAGACTCGAGCCAATATAATAATATTGGCTCTCGTCTACCCGACGATGCCAAGAATAAGCACGGTCCATTTGGCAAAAGCGATTGATAATACTCCTGACATATCATGATGTCAAGAATAATAATAATCTCTCAACTCCATCCCATGGCGTAATAGGCCGCCCGTGCTGCCTGTTCCTTGGCAATCTGTTTGTTCCCACCAGCACCCAGACCCTTCTCGATCCCATTGACTGTAAAGCCGTAAGACTTGGAATTCCGAACTCGCAAGGCTACTCACCAACACACTTGACCGTCCACTTTCCAGCATGAGGAGGACCACTGAACTGAGCAGGATATTCGACCACCACACGTCGTTGAGAGGCCTTTTCGTTGAACTGAGGCAGAAATGCTAGGTGGGGCTGGGCGGGCGTTATTGGGTTGGGTTGTTTCGGCGGAGGCGGTGGTTTGGCTATCGGCAGAGGTGGAAACATCGGCATGGGAGCTGACGGGAAACGTGAGAATTGAGCAGACGACATTTGCTGCGATGGCACGAATTGGGTCCTAGGAGCGAAAGTGGGCGTAGACTGGATAGGTGGCAGCTGACTTGTAGGTAGATTCTTCATTTTGCGGTGCAGAGGAGGTGGTCGCTGTAGTCCTCCTAGTCCTATTAGCGCACTGATCCACTCTTGTACTGCATCCATTCCGAGATTTGCGAACACACCGCCGACATATGCATAGAATAAGGCGTTTGTTTCCTATAATCATATACTGAGCATGGATGAACAATGGATGCGTCCATGGAGCATACTGACTTCAGGAGTATGTAGAGTTTCGAAAAAATCTGGATGGCATCTGACCTTCTCTCGCATCTGATAGCGTCGCACCCAGGAGTCGATTTTCATCCAGGAGATTATGTCTTTTTTCTTCGCCTAGTCTCCTATGAACATGGAGGGATTTTAACGAACAAGCGCCGCAAACTCACCTCCATCTCAGGGAGCCCCAACAACGGACGTTCATAGAACAGCACCGTTGTCACTGCAGCATCGAAGGCCTTCTCTCCCAGCACCGAGAGTCGTTCGTTGTCTTCATACTCGTCGGGTGTGGTGGCACAGGGCCGACGGAGTGATCTATGCGTGTACACTTGAAGATACGTATCTGGCTCTAGTTGCGGCAGCTGGACGTGCTCAGACGAGCGTGTGCGTTTGAGTGTCGGATTGGGGGTGCTCTGGCGTGATGAATCTGAGTACATACAGGCAAGAATCGTACAGCTGTGGGTTGGGAAGAAGTATCAAACGGAAGAGTGTCACTAAGTCATGAATGACCAAATAAGAGAACGAACCTACCTACCGCTTTCAGCGTGGCTTCGCTTCGCACGGCAAATAACAAACAAATAGCTATGTGTAAGTAAGTATTCTACAACATAAAATATAGGTCAAAATAAGGACATAGTCTACTACAGATTCCGCGAGGCATCGTTATTATCGGCGGCCAAAGCAAGCTCTCTCTGCTTCTGCTTCTTCAGTATGAGCTTGAGGTCCTTGACGGTATCGCCGGTTTCGGGTGAATCTTCTAGACGCTTTATCTCCTTAACAACACTGAAGAAAACAGAAAACAGCCTCAGTCGGTCTCATCGCAACATGGGTCGCACAACGAACCTTCTCGGACCTGCCTTGACCAGGGGACAATCAACGAGTATATGGTAGGTCTGCTCGCATACAACACAACAAGGTTCCTCAGTCAGCTTTGCTTTCTTAGCTTTGGCTGACTCAGAAATCAGCCGAGTTGGTGATGGAGCACGCTTAGATGATCCGGCCGTGCAGGATGGCGCTCCGCCTACAGATGTAGATGCAGCGGCTTGTATCTTGGAAGACTGTGACGGACCAGCTACAGGTGCTGAGGCTGAGGCAGCCGCAGAGGGCCATGATCCATTCGCCAGCTGTGGCTTGGACTTCTTGACCACAAAGTTCTGCATCGACTGCTTTACCACTGGGTACAGAGGCTGGCCTGTAATTAGACTGAGATGTCCCCGGTGATGTAGGACTCGATCAATGGCCTCAACTGCAGCTTCCTGTTGACCAGGAACAAGTCAGTGGGCGCAGTACAATGGGCAGAAAAACATACCCGCTCTTCAAATGGTTCATCGTCCGCATGGAGAATTAGCATCTCCCTGAATTCAGCCAGATTCTCTGACTTGTCCGTCATCGCGCATTCGCCCAGTCGATCTCCGTGTCTCTTTCCGCACAGTCCACAAGTATTGACAGTGTTCTGGATGGCTGTGAATGATCCAAGTTCCTTTGATTTCTTAATTTTCTTTGGCATGGGTGGAGGAGGCACAATCATTTCAATGTCCTGCATACCGACGCTAGCGTCTGTGCGAGTGCTAGCATCGTCGTCGGATATTTCCGAAACTCCATAGGCAGACCCGTCCGATATACTGGATGCTGTACTTTTGGATTTGTTCTTGGTTGGGGGAGCCTTAGGCGTATCCTCGACATAAACACCGGCCTTGATTTCAATGGGTCAATATGTTCCGGACTGCTAGAGTCAAATCTTAGTTACCTGTGGCTGGACTGCGGCTTTCCGACGCACTCCCCGGCCTGTCGCAACCACTTCTTGCTGTTGCATCTTCTCGTGCTCCGCGGTGATCAACTGTAACGTCGTCGTCCAGGAATCGCCCTGATCTTCGTCTCTCACCTCTTCCAGAGTTTCACGATCAGCTGTCCAGATCTTGGCAAACGAGAACGCAGCAGCGCCATCCTTTGCTGACTCGTCCTGGTCACCTTCTTTCTCGGTTTTTTCTATGAGATTATCGACGTCATGATCGGTGTCTGGGTGTAGCACTGTAAGATAAGAGAGCAGTCTCAGTGGCAGTTCAACGCACAGGCTATATCATTTGTCGATTCATTTCCGGATTCAAAGAGAGCTTGAGCGCCATAGCCAAGAATCGATTGCACATTTTCTCCTGCCGAGTCATCGTCATCCATCTTCTGCACAATGAGATGGTCTAACACCATCTTTTTCTTGCCAACCTGTACGATGCGTTCTGTAGATATGATCAATACAGTCTGTGAATATTTTATGGGTACCGTCTAACCTTCTGCAGATGCCCTGACCATTAATTTGAAGACTAGGCAAGTTTTCTGCTGTCCGAATCTATATGCTCTAGCGATAGCCTAGAAAACAGTTATATATACGATCCCAGTCATCTGCATGAAGACCTACTTGAAGATCCTGCAAAAGTAAGTACGAAACATTAGGCCGAAATGTGTAAATAATAACCGCGACATACCTGATGTGGATTAAAATCAGGATCATATATGATGACAGTGTCGGCACTCTACGGACAATGGTTATGAGCCTAAACAAATCAGGGACCCATAGGCAACTTACAAACAAATTGATGCCGACGCCCTAATTAACTGGTCAGAGTGCAGCAAACACAGATTCACTGACCACCTACCCCTGCGCGTGTCGTCAAAAGATATATGAAAACATCAGACCCTGGACGATTGAATTCGTCCATTCCTTTCTGACGCTCAGTACCCTTCGTGTTTCCGTCCTAAGAAGACTCAGTTTACAGTTGGGGTCAAAACCTTTGTAACAAACCAGGCGCAGGTATTTCATGCCTTCTCCAATCAAGAAATCCTCAATGATGTTCAATCCAATCACGAACTAATCTATCTGAATAACATGGTCTCAAGTAGATGCCGATGACGTACCTGACTGAAAAGTAGTACTCTATGACCTCGAGCTTTCAACTTGGGCAGCAAGGATTTCAGCAAACGCAGCTTTGCGCTAGCATCTATCAGTTTCTCGTGAGTCTCTTGTGGCGGAAGCCCGGCGGGTTCGATGTCTTCGAAGCACAGGTAAGGATGTTGAAGACACCTAAAGCCCATTAGAATGCTGTGACCAAAAATTCCTCAAGACTTACTTTCGTAATTGCATGAGAACATTGTTGATGCGACCCTTTGACTGCACGCCGGTTTTCGCGTCGGGCTTAGTTAGAGCAGCGAGAAGCTCCAGGTTGTGGCCTACCCAAACGAAATTCAGATTATATTATGTTGTCAAAGGAAGAAAAACTTACTCAGGATACGACGATAGATTTCTTTTTGCAAAGGCGTCATTGAGACCGGGACAATGACTTCGTTCTAAGCACAATTTGGATTAGGACGTATGTGTATAAGCTGCACATGAACTCACCTTCGGAGGTAGTTGAAGCACTTCACTTTTGATACGACGAAGGAAGTAAGGCCTCAACCTAGAATGGAGTTGCTTTATGAGGTCCTCAGTCAGTTCTTCATGTTCCTTTTCCATAGCCTCCAAATCGTTCCACTGCTCGGGATCAAGGAAGTTCATGAGATTGAATAGCTCTCGTATGTTGTTATTCAGGGGCGTCTGAAATTAATTATGAGTAGAAGAAAGAGCAGGGCTTAGAGAAGATTACCCCTGTCATAATTATCCGATGAATACTATTCAGCTCATTCAGCTTCCTAAAAAGCAGACTCTTGTCGCTCTTCACTAGAAATAAGGTGAGCCACACTGTTTTGAGAAATAACAGCAATACTTGCATCTTTGACCTTCATCGATGACCAAGATCTTTGGAATATAGTCAGCGTAAAAAAGCATCGCTTACAGGGCGCACGAATTTACCTCCCAACGTGGTTGATTTCTGAAGACGGGCGTGAAGTCTTTTTGGCCTAAGAGTGCCTCGTACGTCGTGACGAGCACATGGAATTTGGCACCGGTTGTACCAGCCTCTTTCGTCTTGTGTCTGAGCTCGAAGTTTTTGATCACTTCACGGGCTTTGCTTTCTCCGTAAAACGGTACCACCCGAAGGTTTGGTGCCCAGCGCTCAAATTCTCTGACCCAGTTGGTGATGGTAGAATTGGGGACAACTACAAGAGCCGGAAAAGCCTTCCATTCGAATGCGATTTTCCCAATGAAAGTTGCAATTTGAACTGTTTTACCCTAATGACATATTGAATGCGGTCTTGCCAGAAGAGGTTCTGGTAACATACCAGACCCATCTCATCAGCTAGAATACATGGTTGTTTGTTCCACCAATTGTCAACTAGCCAATTGAAACCGTCAACCTAACCAAAAGTGAGCAAAATATTAACATAGACGAACTAGTTTTACCTGGAAAGGCATTAACTTCAACTCAGGTTGCTGACCCAGGTTCAGATCAGCGGCATCCAGAAGTGCATATTTACGCTTGTATTCATCTTTAGGCCGATTTTCGTACGCAGATATCTCATGAGCCTTTAGTTTTGGAACCTGAACCGTCCGAGAATTTATGTAACGTGATAGTGCGCTTTCAAATGCTTGGTAAGTAATGTCGGTCTTTTGGGGTGGAGAATCCCATGATGCTAGCGAGCCTATTAAGCAAAAAAATCAGAGTTCGAAATTGAGCTGACCTTCATCGTAACCAAGATCATCCCATTTGATGAAAGCCCATACAACGAGCTCAATGTTCTCAGTCGTGAAATCGTCACCAGTGCGCTCCTCCCAGTCATCGACAGTTTCAAGCAAGCTGTTATGGGGTTGCTCTCCACTACTGAATGCGGCATTATAGTCCGACCCAAAGCTGTTGTCGGTGTCGTCTTCCATCTCCTCATCACTAGACGTTCTTCGTAATGTTCCCTTGTCTTTGTTGACCGCTTTCTTCTTCGGCTTGGAGCACCAGAGACGAATGTCCAATATACGGTCCACAGTCTTCCATTCAGGAGGAATCCGAGATTCAGCATCAGGGATAGCATCTTGGAGAAGCTGTGGAGTGCTTGTTCCAGGCTTTACTGAAGATGCCCGAGACTGATCCACTTCGTCAAAGATGGAAGCTGGTTCTTCAAGTTCGATCTGCTTCCTCGACGTAGCTAAAAGTTCGACTTTTGAACCGCCTGTCAAGAAATTCCTCAATTTGGAGGGATGAGTGGAGAGTAACCACATATGAGGAACCCAATTGAGCCGACGATAACTTCGTTCCTCCCATTTGACCAGGTATTCTCGAGGTAAAGGACTCTTGTAATTCGGTGTCTCATCCAGGGATCGAGGAGGTTCAACGGCATTAACAGGATAAGGGCGCCAGGCTAGGATCTTGTCTAGGGGATAGGTGAAAGATGCACAGTCGTGACAAAGCCAATTCCTCTGATAATGCTCAGCAATCTCTGCTACTGTATCAGCTACGTGATTAGGCGGCTTGGGAAGATGGTCGTAATGGGACAGTCGTTTGCAGGTGAAGCAACGGAATCGAAGTTCACGCGCGACATCGTTCTCCTTAGTATTCGTGTTATCAGGATCCGTTGGTACCGGGTTTGTTATGCTGGCATCCTGAGGCTTTTGCACCCGTGATGGATCCGGCTCGACAGCAGCCTCCATGCACGTCATACAGATGCCGCCTTTCATGCAGGAACCTGTTAACTAACCTGTCAGAACTGTAATTCTACATTTCGTTGAAGATACGAACCGCAGATAAACTCGGTTGTTTCAGAAATGTCCAATCCAGGACGTTTAGTCGGACCATGCTTCTCCACGTTGACCGCATCGTCAGGATTAGCATCGATCCACAATTTTCTGTCCCGTTCTCGGGTAGCCTTCAAGATTTCGTCTCTTTGAGTGTTAGCAAGGCAATGCCAATGAGCAGTAACAGGACACTTCAAACTGACAATTGTCCTCAACATCATATAAATTGTTTAGAGAAAAAGACGCACCATCGAACCCAGCCCCCGAGTTCACCAAGTCGCTCCACTTCATCCGTAGAATCAGGCTCAAGCTCATCATCTGATGTCTTCTTTCTTCGGCCCTTGCCCTTTTTCTTCTTTTGCGCGGCTGCTTGTAGGACATGAGTAGGACCTCGATGACATTTCTCACAAACAGAACGATGCGCCCTTAATGCGGAAGATTCGTCATCGGAGAAAGGGTCATAGTTAATGTCAGCAACGGGGCGAAAAAAGCCATACGTGGGTCGCGAAGCAGATCCATGCCTACTTTTCTTCTTTTTCGTGGAATTCTTCGCTTTGGCCTTGCGTGAAGTAGCGTAGTCATCGCTGTCTCCACCGTCTGATGATGCCCCCGAGTACTCGTCGATGTCAATCTTCATAGGCTTTCTATTACGCGTCGATCGTCGTCGGGGGGCAGCGCTTCCGGCGTCATCTTCATCCTCGGACTCTTGGACAACATAGACTCTCTGAGAGCGTGTCTTGGTCGGACTGAAAGGGAGGGTCGAGCGTTTTGTGTGGGATATCCGTCTAAGTCGACGCGATGGTGCTCCATATTCATCTTCATCCTCTGACGAGTTCTCCTCTTCGTCCTCATCTTCCCCATCTTCCTCAGAGTCTGGGACAACGTCTGCGAAAGCAGGTCCAGTCCGACGTTTATCAATCTTTAACACGACAATAGGACGAGCTTTAGGATGGACATCGTGACCAGTCGGATCGAAATGTGGCAGTAATCCATTGGCTTTGCGCATCTCTGAAGAGGAGGATGTCGGGATGTTAGTGACCAGGTGTGATTACAAAAACGCGTACTATATGTCTGGACCAGATCTTCGTGATTCATTTCGAATGTCCTTTTACGAAACTGAAAAGGACAACGCGTCAAAACGCAGGCCAAAACACGTTAATATGACAGGGACACGCACTCTATGAGTAATTCCCTGTTGATAGCGTGCATAATACCAGTCCCGACCCTGGTCGTCTCTGTATTCGCCCATTACTTCATCGACGGGAGGCTCGATATCAAGTATCTTGCCCTTCTCTGGCATGTCCTTGTACCTTCTTCTTTCTTCTGAGGGGAGTATCGGAGGGAGAATGACGAATTTACGCGATTGACCAGGAACGGGTTTGGAATGAGCGGTTTCTAGATCTGATGAGCTCGGTTGGCTCTCTCTATCGGGGGTCGAGAGGAGAACTGGGTCAGAAGAGTCCTTGCCAGACATGGCAAACAGCTGAGGGCAAGTTGTTCAAAGTAGATTTGATTTGCTGTTCGTTTGAGGCTGGAGCCAAATTGTCCCAAACATAGCATTTTCTTTTTTCTGTAGAAAGTTGCCGAAACAAGCTTCAGTGAGACAGCATCTAATTCAGATATGCAAGGATGCCTCAATGAACTTAGCACATTCAACAACCGTCACTACAGAGCAAGTATGCAGACGTCTCGATGAATTGTCGACACCACCAGCATGGTTTGTTCTTCCTCGAGTCTATGGCTATGACCTCGCTATCTACGGGCCCCAGAAATAGCGTACAGACTGGTTGATTGGCACATAACTTATACAGGAGGTAGAATAGTCAGGTCGCTCCTAACAGTCCGTCAAAATAAATACCGACACAACGACATGCCAAGCTCCGCTTATTCTCACCGACCCTGTTTCGAGCTTTTCGCAGTGCCAATAGTAGTGTTGTTAACCTGAAAGCATCACAGTAAGTATACACGCAAGGGGAATGTGATGGAGAAATAAAGGACCTTGGTAGCGAATCGTAGAGAATTAAGTGACTCATTGAGATGGGCTGCCAGAGGCGAGAGATTGAGGATCATCTATGTCGCCCAAAGGTTAATACTGACCGAAAGCAAGATAACGAAATACGTACCAAGGTCTTGGAGCTTCCACTCAAAGAATATTGCAAAAGGTACGTCAACTGTGCCAATGCTCAACGTAACACCACACAGCAAAAGGCCAGCGCCCACCTTTGAATTTCTGTATGGCACATGTTTCTCCCCATTTGCGCCCTTCTCACCCAGAGCGGAAATAACATCACCCAGAGAACTTAAACTCTTGTTGATATTCTGCGTCTCCTTCAACCGCTCTGCCCCAGGTCCCACGCTGCCCGCAAAGCTCACATTTAATCGCTCACTACCTGCCAGGTCGACCAGGTTCAGCCACCCTACGCATCGCTCTCCACTGGTTTCATTGGCACCTTCAATCTTTACGCGGAACACGGAATGGGAGCGGGAAGAATACTCGTTCATGAGCGTGCTTGCGACACTCCTCCGGGACTGGGCTTGAAGAAGTAGAGTACGGACACGAGTAGGAGAGGTGAGAGGCATGCTGGTCAAATTCGTCACAGTAGTTGTACGGGTTTGAGGATCGTGTTTAATGTTATATTGGGTAGAGGAAGAGGACAAAGAGATGGCATTGACAGAAGCCGATGATGCTAGTAGGTCGTTGATAGTTTCATTATACTAGGAGGCTAAATGAGGGATGAGAAGCACGGAAAGAGGCTATTGAAACGTACAATTTCAAGGAATTGCCCTTCCAATGTATATTCCCAACCGCGAGACTTGAGATCATTGGTGACGCGGAAAACCTGATCAACAGCCCTTGGAATCATACCAGCCATTTCCTCAGTCTACATGCATGAGTGGGATAAAGAGACGATACACGAATGATATTTACCTGTCCGCCTTCCATTGTGAAGGACTTGCCAGAACCTGTCTGACCATAAGCAAATATACAGACATTGTATCCATCTGTGCAGCTCTGTGCCAACTGCGAAACCTCTTCAAAAACCTCTGCCTGGGTTGCGTTCGGTTCGAACACCCTGTCGAAGGTAAAGCTATGCACGTCCTTGCGCTGCTGGCCAGTGGCGCTCTCACTCGTCGACGTGACGGTGATATCTCTTTTCTCTTTGCTGTAGCTGACATTCGCCAACTCTGGGGATGGATCGGGACGTACTCGACAGAAGACTCGGATGTTTCCTTTCAATTCTTGGATGGTGTTGTGCAGCTGTCGACGTACTGACTCGGCATCGATGGCCTCGGATTTCAGAGCTTCCACATCTGTCCTGAGAGCTGCGATAACCTCTGCTTTATTGTTCAACTGTTTCTGCATATCCTGTCCTGTCGATGTGAGTTGGCTCACGCTCTCCCGCAGCTTTTGCACCTCTGTCCTGGCCAATTGCAAATCCTGGTCCAGTTCCTCGACTTGGAGTTGTCCCTTCCGTATGTCATATTCGAGCTCCGACACCTGCATTGAATGAGTCCGTTTGAGCGTGGCGATTTCATCGTTGGCGAGGTTGAGGGCATGGAGGTGGTCCCGAGCCTGTGACTTTGCCTCACCCAGTTGTTTTGTCAAGTCGGAGATCTGGGTGGCACGCGTTCCCGTCGTTAGAGCAGGTGGACGAGGTTTTGTGAGAGGTTTGGGGGCGCTGAGGACGCCTGATTTTGAGAGGGGTTTGAGTATTTTTCTGACTGGGGGATCATTCTGATCCTGGGCTTTTCGCTTGAGAGCAGGCGCCATGAGAGTTCTTTCGGGAGAGCTGCTTCGGTATCGGGGTAGACGGGAGGCCATGGAGTAGCAATGGTTGGTGACAAGGTCCGATGAACGTCGGACGTAACGTTTGCGTAACGTTGAACTGAACTGACGCGCCTAACACGTGACCATTATTTTGCCACTTTCACACTAACCTTGGTCGCCAGTAGTCGCCAGTTTACGTTGGGCATCGTTTCTATGTACATCCAGGGGAACTCAGTAAGATCGTCAGCTCAATGACCACAATTGCCACCATGTTGGGCTCCATCTCTACTATCGAGCCTCTTCCGAGTCACGGTCCCGACCAGTATGTCTAGATCTATCCTTTATGCCCAACCAGTTTCGGTGCAGCCGCTGATCAGGACCGTACCGAAGTCAGATAAAAAGTACTTGCTCGATCTCTATTTCTACCCTCATTTCAACTCTTCTAGATCAAACAGCTCCACAGTGTTCTTCCACGCCTTTTCGGTAATCTTTTCAAAAGGGACACCGTTCAGTTTGTGAATCACCCACGCAACACCTCCAATAGCACACGGTTCATTCCTGCCCTTCACCGGCCGACCATATACAAATTGATCTGGCTTTGTTGGGGGAGGAAAATAAAGCGGGCGCAAGGAAATTGGCAGTGTATCCAAGTGGGGTTTTGATGCATGCATTGATGTCATGGTGCACCAAGGCGCATCTATAAAGGCAGTATAAGGAAAAGAAATGGTATAGGGCCTTTTGCTTCACCTGTTTCCAATATGAAAAGTTCAGGCCGTATAACCCTGGCTGCTTGCAGATTAAATTCGGTTTTCAGCGAACACCCATTCACACTATCGTCCATGAATAAGTCAAGGCAATACCACGGCAGACATATTATACCGACCTTATGTGGAAGCCCATATCCATCTACGCCTATCATTCAGTATCGATACCCCAAAGAAGTTGTACTCACTAGTTCGTTTATTTCTTCGACAGTCCCAGTGAAGCTATGAACCACACCACCTTTACCTCCAACTGCTTTCCCTCCATCTTCGCCAAAGCCTTCCTCCCGTAATATGGACACAAAATCTTTATGCGCGGCACGAGAGTGCAAGAACAAGGGAAGGTGATATTTTTTTGCCAAAGCTAGCTGAGAACCTATCTCATCTAAGCAACACACAATATCCTCAACAATACGAACTCACGAAAATGTGTTTTCTGGGTCTCTGGGGACGCAAAATGAGTCCGGTCATAGTCTTGGGGCGAATCAGCCTGATGTACATTTTCCCAAATTAAATAAGTCGTACCTAGACCGCACTCTCCGACGGCAACAGCACGACCTTTGCCTCGCGTTCGGTTTTCTAATAGTTCATCAAGGGCTTTCAAGTACGCCTCCGGACCTCCGCAGTATTTGTCAAATTCTCCAGAACGCGTCGGGTGACAACCAACGGTCGCGTAGAGACCTCGAGGATCAATGAGGTCCAGCGAGGATATCGCAGTGGTTTTGATGGGCGTACCATGTGTCTCAGCCAAATTTAATGCCTCTCGAGATTCGTGAAGACTGCCTCCGGTTATTATCATGGATCTGACGCCTGCAGCGCGTGCCCGTTCGAGCATAGCTTCAAAGTCATCTTCATCGATGTCAGTGATCGTGAAGTACTCCAGTCAGTCTGATCCCACCATCATGTTTCTTCCTTCCATAATGAACACCACGAAAAACAGGATCTGTCAGATTTGCTACGATGTACCGGTGAGATAAAAGAAGCGCTGGACAGGGCTTCGATTACCTGCAATGTCTGTAATCGAGTCAGAAAAATGACCGATGACATTCCACCCACTCACCTATGTATCTGAAAGTTCCTTTTACTTCCTCGGGCGCCAGTTTAGCGGCAATAATAGTAACAGGCATTGTAATGTAAGTTATGCAAAAAGATGGACTACGAAAGAGATGGCAGAGAATGGTGGTACACTGGAATAGTCGGGACTGACTCATACTATGACCGTCACAGACTCGCCGCTACCAGTACCGCTACGCCAATGTACGGCGCGTGACACCCAGAACCAGCGCTCACGTCGCTAGCTGTCGTGTGAAAACCGGTTAGAGTCCGTGTCGCTCGGACCAAGAAGTCCCGGGACAACGGTATACTTATATTCAACAGTTTACCGGTGCACCAGCCTCACAATGGACCGTGTCAGACAGCTAGCTTCCCATCTCTACACGCCTCAAGGTTCCGACGCTCTGCTTCGCAAGAGCCCAGACGATGTAGTCATCACTCTTGCAGTCCGCTCGCCGTTGTGCAAGGCGAGGAAGGGAGGCTTCAAGGATGCCAGGTCCGTCATCTCACCCCTGGATGTCCTCCAGGCTCAGCATGTCTGATACAGGACGGACGAGCTTATGTTGGAGATGTTCAAGGTACTTGGCCTTCCCTGCTACTCAGCTCAAGCTTCAACGGCATACAGCAAGTGATTTCGCAATCCAAAATCGACCCGTCTCTGGTCGGTGACATCTGTGTCGGGACTGTCCTGACGCCAGATGCAGCGTATCATGCTCGAGCAGCGTCCCTGGCTGCCGGTTTCCCAGAATCTGTCCCCGTTCAGTGTATCAACAGATTCTGCTCAAGCGGGCTCATGGCCGTTACAACCATTGCGAACCAAATTCGAAGCGGTCAAATCCAGGTCGGTCTGGCGGTCGGAGTGGAGAGCATGTCTGAGAAGTATACATGTATCATCTCGTCTTGCCCAGGACTGATGTGACCCATCCATAGCCCTGACAAAGGAGGACCGCAGCAAAGTGAACTCGTTTCTCAGAATGCCGCCTCTGGTGATTGTTCCAAGCCCATGGGTTGGACGAGCGAAAACGTAGCTGAGGAATTCAACGTCACGCGTGAAGAGCAGGACCAGTTTGCTGCCCTTTCGTTCCAACGAGCAGAACATGCTCAAGAGTCTGGATACTTTGACAAGGAAATAGTTCCCTTCACCGTCTATCAAATAGACCCCAAAACTGGTGAACGCACACCCGTTCTCGTGACCAAGGACGATGGTATCAGGCCCGGGACTACGACAGAAACGCTGGCTAAGATCAGAGGCGCGTTTCCTCAATGGGGCAAGGCGACAACAACAGGAGGAAACGCCAGTCAGATAACCGACGGGGCTGCAGCCGTGCTGATGATGACCAGAAAGAAAGCCGAAGAATTAGGGTACATGGTTTTGGGAAAACATGTCACGACTGCCGTCACTGGGCTCCCTCCGCGTATCATGGGAATTGGACCCATCTATGCTATTCCTATGGCCTTGAAGAGCTGTGGGATTGCTCAGGACGATGTTGACCTCTATGAGGTAAGATCTGCACAAACTGGTCTGCTCGTTGTCTGACTTGAACTATAGATAAACGAGGCCTTTGCTTCTCAATGTGTTTACGTCTTGCGAGCATTGGGACTTTCAAGGTATGTACCATAGTACTCAATGCATCATCGTTTCCTGAACGAGGGCCTTGCTTCTATCAGTGATAAGGTACTTTCTGTCTCGATTGCTTACGCTCCGTTTGTAATTCATCACGCAGGTCAATGTCAATGGAGGTGCGATTGCTCTGGGCCATCCCCTAGATAAGTAGAAATCGTTTTTTGCTACTACCATCGTCTTGACCGTCTTTGTTTTATACGCTGCACAGGAGTGCGCCAGGTGGCCACGGGATTGAACGAGCTCGAACGTAGGCAAGGAAAGGTAAGGGCCTATTACGGCAAGTGCGAAATGTTCTCTTTTCATGGCATCAATCTTCTAGATCCTCGTCACGTCGATGTGCATTGGAACAGGAATGGGTGCTGCGGGTGTATTCGTACGCGACTGATGGAGAGCGACAAGGAGCGAAAGCGCTGTTGTATTTTTACACGCGACACTGTATAATAATAGCTTGAAGCATACTATTCATAGCACATTCCGGAACCATATACGACATTCGCGACTGCGCTCGAAAGATCTAATTCCCACGCCACAGGGGAAGGGCGAGGCCACCTGTCGCCGTATCCTGAATCATTTCCGTCTCCCTCATCTGTTGCTGGCCTTTCAGGCTTTTGTCTCAGTGTCGCCCTCCCATTTTTTTACCCTCGACTCTGTCTAAGTCTCTCGTTACATTCTTGTCTTTTTTTCCACCTTTTCTTTGCCGGGATGGCCAACTATAATGCCGTTCAGAACAACGGCAACCATCCGTATGGTGCAGGCGACCCATACTACAACGAGTCCACTGGCTTCATAACACCGGCGTCCGCTGCTAAAAAGAAGACCAGCAATTGGATCAAGTTCGGTATTCCTGTCGGTATCCTTGTCATCGTCGGTGCTGTGGTTGGAGGCGTGGTTGGCAGCCGTTCCTCTAAAAACAACGACGACGCTTCCAGCTCGAGCGGCACCGACTCTGCAGCTGCAGCAAGTGCAGCAGTCACCGCCAAGAATGCCATCGGCATATACGCCACCGCGACGGATAGCGAATTCATGGTTCCCTTGTACCCTTCCACTGTGCGTCACTTCCCCCGCTTGAACGCCGCTCGGACTCACTATGTTTTCAGACTAATACAGCAGCATTTACTACCCCCACTTTCGTTGATACCACCAGCTCTAGCAACGCTTGGCCAGAAGATTCATTCAGCCCCTCAAACCCCAGCGCTACTTCCGTACGAAGTGATCGCCCCCGACTCATAGCTCCCGCGTACAAATGGCAGGCGCTTCCAACCCTCATAGCCAATGATCCATACCTCATATACTGGAATGAGACAATCTTTGGGAATGCCACAGATTATTACAGCTTGGAACCTGTCGTTTATCATATGGACGGTGACAGTGGTATCCTCGATAATGCCCGTGAGATCAAAATGAGAATCAAAGCTTTTTCCTATGTCTACCGCATGACGAACGACACAAAGTGGGTGGACCGTTGCTGGGAGGAAATTCAAGTGGGTGTTTACATAGCTTTCGAAAACATATCTCATTTTTTTTTCACATTAGAATGCCGCTGGCAATGGAACCACCACGTTTGGTCCTGATGATGACAAGTGGAACTCAGCCCATTTCCTTGATACGGCCGAGTTCTCTGCTGCATTTGCCATCGCTTATGATTGGCTTTACGACGTGTGGACCGACGAGCAGAAGACCCAGATGCGGTACACCCTCAACTTGTACGGTCTGGGTCCCGGTGTTTCAGCGTACAATGATCCCAACGTCTACACTGGATGGTGGAGGACGAACACCACCGGTAACTGGAATTGTGTATGCAACTCCGGCTTGACCATGGGCTCCCTTGCCATCTTAGGTGACGATACAACGACCAACGCCGAGACACTTCTTGGTCTTACAATCGACAATGCTCTGGAAAATTGTGCTCTGGCCGTCACCGACGATGGCACATGGTCAGAGACCGCCAATTATTGGTATTTTGGTACCACTGGCCATGCCGAGATGTCCTCATCATTGATAACGGCCACCGGTTCTGACTACGGCTTGTTAAGCACCAATGTTGACTTCAAGAAGACTGGCGACTTCCACATGTACGTCTTCGGACCAACCTCCCTATTTGATTGGGGCGACCATGGTCCAAACAAATTCTCAACCACCGCTAACTCCATGATCTGGTACGGCACTTATTTCAACGAACCCGTTTACACACTCTTCCAACGCGAACAACACGATGCGCCTGAGCCATGGAGCATGTTTTGGTATGATCCTACAGTTGTAGGTGCATTCTGGGATGGCAAGGCGTTGGATTCCTTCTTTGATAACGAACTTGACCAGTGGGCATCGATGAGAAGTAGCTGGACAGATATCAATGCTCTCTATGTCGCTATGAAAGCCGGAAAGAACCAAGGTCACCAGACCCACAACGATCTAGATGTGGGCGACTTTGTTCTTGACGCCCTAGGCACGAGATGGGCGGGAGAGCTGGGATCCGGAGACTATCTGTCAACCAACTATTTCAGCAATGACACGCAGGAAAGCGACCGGTGGAAGTATTACAGAAAGATGACGGAGGGCCAAAACACGATTTTGATTGACAAGAGTAACCAAGATGTGTTGGCTGAGCCAGTCATCCTCAACTATGGGACATCCAACACGACGCAGGGCTCGAGCACGGTGTTCGAAGTTGACAGTGATTCAACTGCGTTTTGGGTGGTTAACACAACCAGTGCCTATTTCAATGCGTGAGTGACCATTCTTCTGCTGTCTTTTCTTTAATCTAATCAGATTTCCAGGACTTCGGTAAAACGAGGTGTACGCATGCTGAACAAACGAAAGCAGGTTTTGGTCCAAGACGAGGTTACATCGACGGCTGATATCCAATGGCGGATGCATACAAATGCAACCATCACAACGGACGGGTCGAAAGCCACCATGGTTCGTGATGGCAAGACGGTCGAGGTGTCCATTCTCAGCCCCAGTGACGCGACCTTCACGACGTCGAATGCAACACGATTTTCTACGGATCCCACACCGCCCGACCCCGACCAGGCGAATCCAGGGATTACGGTGTTGATCATTGAACTCAGTGCGGGAACGAACAACATCCAGGTTTTGTTCAACCCTCAATGGAATGACGGCACAACTTTCGTGACGCCTTCCTCTGTTGATCTCGACAACTGGTCTTTGACGAGTCATAATTAATGCTTTGATGGACTTTTATTTACCCTGATGATTGGATACTTCGGCTATAATCAACTTTATACCACCGGACTTGTAGGGGTACTTGTACGACGAATGTATTTGTTATCCCCTTGAGAGCCGGAGTATTTGTTTGTGTTATTGCTGTGGCGCCGTTCCCCTGGCAGCGAGGCCGAGGAGGGCGTTGTCAGTTATTATTCTCTACATATTTCGAGCATCCACCTTACAACACTCTTTTCCACTACCCACCCCCCTAGAAGATCACCAACGTCCACCGAGAGAGCATTGACTGTCTTTTTCGCTATTGGGCAGTGCAGACGACGGATTGAAGTTTGTACGTACGTCGTTTTTTTCTCAGTAACCTCCACCTTTTGCTCGCCATCTCGTTCGTTTAGTGTGTAATATTCACTCGTTTTTCTGCAGGATAAAGTGCCTCCTGTCGTCGTCAATCCCGTACATCCACCATGTTCTCGATAAAATTGTATAAAATCACTACCTTCACGCTCGTTATTTGCCTGGTCCTCGCCCTTGTCGTATCTTCAGAGGCCAACAGCCATGCTGGGGTCGTTCGTCGTGACCATGAAGCTTTGAATCGGATGATGCGCAAGAGGGCGCCGGCCCCTCAGGATAACGGCGGCACTGCTAATAGCGCTACTGCCGCCGTTGACAGCACTACGGCCACTACCAGTACCCAAAGTACTACCCAGACTCAGGACCAGACTCAGTCGACATCCTCCTCTACCACTTCGTCGCATACAAGCACCTCCTCGATCACTTCAACTACTTCGACATCTATCTCGACTCCTTCGGTCAGTATTCCAATAGCATGATATATGTTTTCTATTAACAAAAAGGATAATAGACAACATCGGTCCCTTCGACTTCGACCAGCTCCACCACTTTGACCACCTCGACGAGCAGCTTGACCAGCAGCAGTTTGTCCCCGTCCACCACCTCTTCATCCACCTCAACCACCTCTACGTCATCTACACCTGCCACCACCTCTTCTACCTCGAGTACTGTGCAGACACAGCAGCAGCAAACAACAACACAGGATGCTACTACTGCCACTCAGGATGATACAAGCAATACTTCACATTCTACTATCACGAAAACTGCCTCAGTCGACGAGACAGCCTCTGCTGCTTCCGCCACTTCTTCAGCTGAGACTAGTGGCAACACTTCTACTTCTGCCAAGACTGCCGCAATAACTGCTCTCATCGTTGTTGCATCGTCTGTCGGTGGTATCGTCATCTTATGGACCATCTTCCGTAAGTGGAAGCTGGGCCGCTCATCCGAATTTGACAAGCGCATGCAGCCTATCGACTGGCAGCCTACCACTGGCGATGATGGTGGCATTATCGGCCACCATCGCGCTACGTCAGACACGTCATCTTTCCACTCCGGTCTCAACCATTCCAACAGTCTTTCCGGACGCAGTTATGGCGCCACCTCTGAGTCCGGACATGGACACGGCTCCGCAGAGATGTCCGGTGAATTGGGGCCTCTCCCCCAGCACGACTTCACTGCCGCCGCGTCCAACCTTGCTCCAGTCGGGGGTTATGCTGACCTTGCTCGTGGACCTAGTCCTCAGCCTGAGATGCAGGAGCCGTTGGCACGCGGCCCCAGCATGACTAGGCCTGTCTACGATGTCAGTGTTCCTCTTCACCACCAGATGGGGTATAGTTCCCAAGATACGTATGATTATAGCGGTGGGGTCCCGGCAAGATATTGAGGATGAAACTGCGGTACCAATGTTGTACTAGTACCGAAGTTCGGTCTTAACCCGTGACATTCTCCTAACGTTCGTTATTCCTCACAATCTTTTCTCAGTGATCCTATGCCGCTGGGCTTTTACGGCTTTTTTCTTGTTACTCTTGTTTTGACTGAAAGGACGCTGTCTTTCTTTTCTTAGCTGGTAGTTATACCCAAACTCCAGTGTTACATGATTTTCCGGTTCAGTCCTTCATGTTTCACTGATATGACTGTATCTTCCAATTATATGATACGTCATTATCACTTGAGCATTTCGAACGTTTTGGCAGATTAGCAGATCTTATCTGTCTATGAGTGTTTCAGGCGTCAATAATGTGTGGTCCTGATCGATTGTCACATACAATTACACCGTCCCGTTCGAGCCACCGGACGCGCTAGATTCTCCTAATGATGTGTGGGCATGTTAACGGACGCCCTGGTCCCAACAGCGTCCTCAGCCCTCCAAAGACTAGTCGTAGTCTACTTCCCGTTACACCAGGATAAATATAGAAACCAGAGGTTGGACATACCTTGTTTTGAGTATAGAAATTGATACCGCTGTACATATTCAGTTATCTCTCTCCACCCCAAAGCATATGTCCTTACCTTTTGCCGTAGAAGCCTATGTCGCCCAATACGCTTCCCTGTTGTTACATCCATTTATCATAAGTTCGAAACAGGTAAATCGTGACCATGTTCCATACCTTGTTTCCACTCCAACCAAACATGGGCAGCGGCACAGGAATTGGAACGTTGATACCAATTTGACCAACGTTAACCTCAGATTCGAACCTCCTTGCTGTCGCTCCCGACTGCGTGAATACCGCCGCACCGTTTCCGTACCTATTTGAATTGATGATATCTAAAGCGTCGTCAAGCGTATCAGTTTTCAGAACTACCAAAACAGGCCCGAAGATTTCTTCCCTATCACGATGATAAGCAAATATACAGATCCAGTCGGAGATACTGACTGGTAGCACTTCATCGTGGTGTTGGCCTCGATGACTGTGGGGCCAACGAAGTTTCCATCAGGATATCCAGGAACTTGGATTCCCCGTCCATCAAGATTGATTTTTCCCCCTTGTTCCTCAGCTGACGATATAAGACTGGTCACCCGCTTCTTCGCAGCCGGAGAGATCAAAGGACCACTAAGTCAATGCTTGAACATCAGTCAATATGATAAGGAGGAAAGGCACTGAACAGGTCTGCTCCTCGTTCAAAACCACCGTCGACTTTGAGGTTCTGAGCACGCTCCAGGAGCTCCGGCAACCACGATTGTGATTCTCCGACAAGCAATGCTAAGCGGGTATCAGAAAAGAGAATGGGCATTTTGAGATCGAAAACGTACCGACAGAGATGGCCATGCATCGTTGACCGGCGGCTTCGGGAATTAATGAGTGAATGTAACGTCGAACCGACAATCCTACATACCTCCGAAAGCGGCGCCAAGAATCGAATTGAGAACCAAATTCTTGTTAGCTATCAAAGTGAAAGAGTGAGTAACAGTTCGCTTTAATTATAGATGAATACACCTACCATCAGGCATGACTATGGCGTGGTTCTTGGCACCCATGTTAGCCTCGAGATATGGGTGAACATGCAAACATCAGGTGATAAAATTAGACACGAACCTGCACGCGTTTGCCGTTTTGTGTTCCCCTGTATCGTCATGAGGTATAACACGGAATGCAGATGGGAACATTAAAACCTGTCATAAATGTGCTTTCCAGCTCTGTCGCCTCCAACGAAGCTGATGGCCTTGACAGCAGGATGGTCACAAATGGCATTGACCGTTGGGACACCTCCGTGAACGATGTTCAGCACACCGGGAGGAAGACCTAGAGGAGGGATTTAAGCGGAGTAACAGAGACCTTTACAGTTACACCGACCAGCACGTTGGCATAGCTCAGCTATAATCATAGCGGCGCCGGGGTCGCGTTCCGAGGGCTTTAGGATCAAAGTGTTGCCTGTGACGGCAGCCATGGGAATCGTCCACAGAGGGATCATTCTGCATATAAGCGCGTCATTCGGTTTTGATATCACAGGAACGCGTGATAGGTCGCTTACGCTGGGAAATTGAAGGGAGCAATGCTTGCACACACGCCCAGAGGTACTTTCCGTACTTCTGTGTCCATATCTTTGCTGACTATTCCAAGCGTGCTGGTCAGATGTGAAGTACGGGGAGTGTAGAAGGGAAGTTGACCTTCTATTTTCTCACCCAGAAGGGTAGAAGTGATACCGATTGCTGATTCCACGACTTGCAACCCGCGAAGGAGGTCGCCATGAGCATCTGGAGGTAAGATGTTAGTTTGTTTCCCCACAATAGTTGATGCAACAGGCCTGGAAGCGTCTTTCCCTGTTCTAATACGATACTGCTGGCAATGGCGTCTGCGTTCTGGCGAAGCAGAGACTGAAGCCTTCAAACAAAAGTCCATGAACAAGCAGGATAATAGACGCGGTGAGATCAATAGTACTCTATAGCGAAACGTTGACGTCCAAGGATACTAGTACGACTCCACGTTTTATATGCTTCGGAAGCGGCGTCGACGGCTTGTTCAAATTCTGCATTCGTCGTCTGAGGGACACGAGAAAGCAACGTTTGGGACGCCTAGAAGGCACTAAGCAAGCGGATCTAGTGCGACAAGCATACATACTGGGTCGAGAACATCAATCCATTCCGAAGACTTGCTTTCGACGAATTGTCCCCCAATGAAATTCTTGGTGGTGCCTCCGGTAGCACTTGTTCCCTTCCATTCCGAAGATAGCTGTTCTGCTTTAGGAAGAGCAGCAGCGCTGAGAGCGCTGAGAGCAGATGAGGAACTGAAGGTACGAGCACGAGCGATGCAGCGAAGAGATTTTGCTGGCAGCATGATGGGCGTCGGTCAGTAAGAAGTGGAAGAGCACCCACCGGGTTTGTTTTCACCGCGGCCGGGTACTTTCAGGAAGTGAATCCTGGACTTGCCCCGGACCTTGGCACGGGGCTCAAGAATGTCACGTGACCATTGGAAATAGAATTTTTTGCAGCCAACTGCTCTGCAGGAGCCCGCAGGTCGAGCCTATCGTCATGAACGGCTACCACCAGTATCCCAAGGACGTCAGCGCCATGCAGTTCAATAATGGTCACGTCAATGGCTTCAACACTAATAGTTTTCCTTCCTCCAGTTCGAATCCGTATCCCGATTTTCAGTCATCGGCAGCGTCCAACCAATACGCGAATAATATGGACATGAGGCAGTCGCTGTCGCAGTCCGGCCCCGGAATGGCCAACCAGAACCAGTGGCCTCTATACTCACAGAATTCGATGACCCCAACCCAGATGCACAACCCGCCACCGCCTCAGCAGCAATTCAACTTGCCGTGGTCGGGCCAAATGCAGAACCAGTCCTTTACGAACGGTGCCGGAAGCATGGGAATGGGAATGAGTGGTTTTAATGTGTCTTTCCTTCCCCAACAGGTCCTTCATGATGCAGTTGCCAACTCTGCACCTGTTCAAAAGGCAGATGAAGACTTGCTCTACAGGGCGTTGATTTCGTGTCATTCCAAGAACGGGTCGTACAAGGATGCACTGAACAGTCTTCACGGGGTGAGTCTCTGTATCTTGCTGCTAATCTACGCGTCTTCACGGGATTTTTAGAGAAATGGCCACTCTGCGAGTCTGTGGAAGGACTACTATCTTGACCATAAATTTCGCATAGACCGCGATATCAGCGCGTACATCAACTCTCACAACCCCCAGATGAACTACCAGCGTCCCCAAGTCAAAGTCGTCACTGCAAAGAAACCTTCGATGGACAGCTTCAAGGTCGAATCGTCGCCCGTAGCATCGTCCTCAACCCTACCCCATCCTAATGTGCAACAAGGTCGACAACAAAGCCGACAGCGTAAATCAAGTACGCCTGTCTCTGCGACGTCCACAGTTCCTACAGTTGGTCGTCGCAGCACCATTAATAGTCTCACAACGCACACTGCCGTCTTTGACCGACATCTACCTCCTCCTCACGCGGATCTCAAGATTCCTGATCCTCCGTCTCGCTCTCCCACTCCTCCCACTAAGGTTGTTCCTCAAGGCCGTGGAAATAAATTCACGCCCGAGGATAAAGACTTTTTCCTTAAGTTCATTCTACGACGACTCAAAGAAGATCCGAGCTTATCACGCAACGATCTATGTGAATTGCTGGCGGAAAAGGCTTGTGTTCACTGCTTTGGTGTTTTCCGTACATGTTTGTGTTGAAAGTTTACATAGGCTTCTCACCATAGCAGCCAGTCTTGGTATTCATACTGGTCAAACAATCATGATATGCCAGACAAAATCCTTGCCGCTGCTCGAGGTGACGAGCTTACTGATGAAGAGGAATCTGAAGAGGAGAAGAAGCCTTCAACTCGACCTCGTCCTAAATATCGCGACTTGACTACGTCAGAAGAGGAGGAGGAGGAGGAGGAAGAGGAAGAAGAAGAGGAAGAGGATGCAGAGGGTGACGACGATCTCGAAGAAGAAAACGATGACGATCTCGTGATACCGCCTTTCGACGAAAGCTCGATGGGACCAAAGGGTGGCCCATTTACTGAAGCAGACCTCGCTATTACTGCAAGACACATTGCCACGTTTGCTAATTTTGGTGCAGCAAGTTTCCAAGAAAAATGGGTGCCTTTCGGTGAAAAGGTCGGGTGATTTTTCTCCTTTGCGTCAAGTCGGTCCAATATTATGTTCCTATAGTATACGCAAAGGTCGCCAAAAGCATGGGCCGAATATTATCGCCGAAATGAGAAAGGTATGTCAGTACTTTTGGTCTTCTATTTGCGACTGACGCAGCTGCCGTCAGCTCTTGAGAGGCTCGCTCGGAAAATTCGAAGGCAAAACGAAACGAATGGACAATCTAGCAGCCAGACGGCTGGCAAGCGCAAGCTCAATTCCCAAGATGACGATGGGTTTGCTGAGCGCTCAAAGCACGCTAAGATCGAATCTTGACTTTATGGTTTCTCTTCTCTCTGTGGCTTGTGGGCCAGTATTTTTGCTTTGGACGTTGTAATTCATCCTAGTTGCTTTTTTGATTGCTTTGACGCTTACCTTCAGGTTGTCACGTTGTATTACGGAGGCTTGGACCTTCCACTGTACAGTATAACAATTAAATTATAGCACTTACTATTGACGCCATACTTCTATCCGTTTTCTTTCAATGTACATATGGTCGGTGAATACTATGTGTTAATATTGTCGGGCCTCGCCACGTTGCATCGATAAGTGATATATTAGGCAGCCAGGGGTCTGGCTGTAGCAACCATCTTCATTTCTTCCCTCCCCTTGTTTCCTCTCTCACGCTCTCGTTGCCTTCCTCGCTATTATGGATGAAGAATACGATGTACGCAGCAATCGTTCCGTAACGTAACACTCCAGCTGACCGCCTCCGAATAGGTCATTGTGCTTGGTACAGGACTGACAGAATGTATACTGTCGGGTCTGCTGTCTGTCGAGGGCAAGAAGGTCCTGCATATGGACAGGAATGACTATTATGGCGGCGACAGCGCGAGCTTGAATTTGACCCAGGCAAGTTTTCCTGCAGAGCGTGAGGTGAAACAACAGTGACAGTGATCCCCTAGTTGTATCGCAAGTTCAGACCCGACCAGAGCCCTCCCTCTGAGCTTGGACGTGACCGCGACTATGCCGTCGACCTCATTCCAAAGTTCATCATTGCATCTGGCGAGCTTACCAGGATCCTCGTTCACACCGATGTTACCCGCTATCTTGAGTTTAAGCAGATCGCCGGTAGCTTCGTCTATCGCGATGGCAGGATTTCAAAGGTTCCCAGCACAGAGATGGAGGCAGTTCGGAGTCCTTTGATGGGACTCTTTGAAAAGCGACGCGCCAAGAAGTTCTTTGAGTTTTTGCAGAGCTGGAAGGACGAGGATCCGTCCACTCACCAAGGTTGGTTACGTCTGGCGTGTATTTTTTCTATATATGTCTCTTTCTGAATACTATTATGCAGGTATTGATCTTGACAAGGATACAATGAAAACTGTTTACGACAAGTTTGGCCTGGAGCCCGGAACACAGGATTTTATTGGTCACGCCATGGCCCTTTATTTAGATGACGAGTCTGTCACTGCTCTACGGTCTTTTATCTGTTCGCTTATTCTCATTTAGCTACATCACAGAAACAGCACGCCCAACTTACAACAGGATCGTGCTTTATACGTCCTCAATGGCCCGTTACGGAAAATCCCCATACATTTACCCCCTGTACGGCCTCGGCGAACTGCCGCAGTCCTTTGCCCGTCTCAGTGCTATCTATGGAGGCACATACATGCTCGACAAGACCATTGACGAAATTGTCACTGATGCGGATGGTAAATTCGTTGGGGTGACCAGTGGTGGAGAGACGGTCAAGGCCAAGCAAGTCATCGGCGACCCAAGCTACTTTGGTGCTGGAAAGATCTCAGAAGGAGGCAAAGTTCGAGTGATAGAGGAAGGCAAGGTTGTCCGAGCCATCTGTTTCCTGAAGCATCCCATACCCGGTACCGAGGACAGCGACAGTTGTCAGATCATCATCCCTCAAAACCAGGTTGGACGACGAAATGGTACGTGATGGACTGCTTATTGACCGTGTACCATTGACGCGCCTGGTAGATATTTACATTGCGATGGTTTCTTCTACTCACAACGTTTGCGCTAAGGACATCTATGTTGCTATCGTCAGCACCATCGTTGAGACGGACAAGCCCGAGCTGGAGATCGCCCCTGGTCTGAAACTTCTCGGTACCATTCATGACAAGTAAGTACCGTGCTTCCGGGTAGGGTCCACCTCTAATTCTTGAATGGTTAGGTTTGTCTCTATCACCCCGCTGTACACACCAACATCTTCCGGTCAAGGCGACAACATCTTCATCACTCGTTCTTATGATGCTACCTCTCACTTTGAGACTGTTGTCGAGGACGTCCAAGATGTTTGGAAGCGTGTCGTTGGATCTGACCTTGTTCTCAAGAAACGAGAGGTTGAAGTATCGAACTAATGACTTGGCAACTTCCTCTTTCAAATTTTGTTCTCGTTCAGGAACCTAAATAAATTCATTGTACTTTTTGTCCGCATACAATCAAAGTCTGAGGTCTTGTAATTTTGTCACCCAAGATCCTTACGGTAACGAACTCGTTCAAAAGAATGCATTCATATCGAACTCTGGAACCTTCACATCCTGCTTTGCGGACTTCATCAAGTTTCCTAGCCCAGCTTTCCTAGCGAAGAAGTCGCTTTCGTCTTTGATGACATCCTCTTGGATTACGGGGGGAAGTTTCGGGCCATTCCGTTCCGGAGACGCCGTTCGCGTAGGAGGTAAGGACATAATATCCATGTCGATCATTATTGATGATCGGCGCCGTAAACCTGGTTCGAAAGCAAATCGGGAACGACGCGAAATCGTCAGACCTGGCGGAGAAATGTCATCTTTACTGCTTTTAGCTTGGTAGTCACCGTTTATGAGGAGTGGAGAGAGAGGAGATGGGCGATCAAACACCCAAGACCGCACAAGGTCCAGCGCGAGGACATGACAACCTGACTAATATCAGTCTTCAAGCTAGATGTAACTGAGAATAATGGACCGAACCCATTCTACAGAACACGCGAGCGATCTGTAACACGAAATTAAATTCGGAGCTCCCGGAAATTTCACTTGTGCCCTTGGCAGCTTGAAGAGTCTTTGACCGTAGCTGGGAGAATAGAAGGGCTAGGCTTGGATCATCATAGTGAGGCTCGCCAATATCAGTGACTTGAATGTCAAGGGCGCTGACCAGATCTTGCAAAGGAGTCTAGTTCTACGATTAATCAAGGGAGAAACATCGCGACACCATGGTACTCACTACAAGCACACGAACACTCAGGTCTCGTTTATGCAGCAACCAAAAAGCCCAACTAGCAAGCCACCTATTACCATCTTTGAATGCCGTTGGTAACACTGTGTTTTGTAAGATATTTAGGAATACAGGTCCCTCATTGCTTTGCTCAACAATCCGAGCTATGGCTATGGCCGTTTGAAAGTCACCTAGCTGCTTTATACAGACGTTGACAGCATCCTTAAGAGACTGTCCCAGTAGGAAGAAGGCAGCGGCATACTCTATCGTCAACATCAGATTTGGGAAGTGATCGAGCAGTGAGAGAGTACATACCAAACCGACGCTTTCCCAAGAGTGCGTAGGCATTCTTAAGCGCTGCTGTCCGCCATCGATGCTCGGAAAAGTCATTGGACAAAAACTTGAGCATAAGGCCTTGCTCTTTATGCCATGCAGCTTGCCGCCACAAGCTATGCACCAGCTTCACCTTTCCTAGGGCAAAATAAAACAAGGAGCACGCAGTTGGGTCCCGGTCCACCATGTACTCGTTTCGAGCGATATTTTCCATTTGTAATTTCTAGCCTTTGAGTGAGATATTATTGTTGATTTTGGAAGGAGGATGCAGCTACCAGCGTTTCCACAGAAGTCATCCAAATAGATATGCCGAGGGCTCTGGCATCAGACCACCCCATCCTCCCATTGCATGCAGCAATAGAGGCTTCCAAGAGGAGACCATGGCTCTCGCTGTGAAATGCCCAAATCATATCCCGATACCTGAGTCGTTCGCGCCGGCCCGTGTTACGTGGAATAGCGCCCTTTGACGACGGGCTTGCCGGGGTTGAGGCGCGGCGGTTCGAGATGTAAAATGAACGCATGGATATCAAATATCGTAACCCATTAGAATCTAGGGACCGACTTTGCTCGTCAATCTGTAGAATACGGGTTCAGCACAGGGGCATCGAGGGGTAGACATCAATTATCACCTCCAATGTTGTCTGTATCAACACCAAGAGATGCGCATGTTCGTTGGGGGTTAGATGGCGCAACGGATGATCTTCTAATGATTCAATTAAGCGCATAACAAGGGATCTTGAAAACTCTTTCTCCTCACTATGCACCTTGAGTCTTAGGTTCCGAAGGAAAAGGAAAAATAGACCTACTTGTCATCCCCTAAGTCAGGACCATCGAACAACTGCGTGTATCGCTTCTTGTGTGAAGCTCTCTGGGTGCGCGGTCGATATGCCTCGCTTCTTAATTCGACAATTTAGGGACGTACCTGTAGCGCATTACTGGGTCGAAGGAAGCGTTCGACAGGAACAGTAGTAAAATCCTTGGGCGGCTTTCCTGCCTTAACGTCCTTCGCCAGATTGACAATGATGTCTTTGACCAATTCCAGCTTTTCTGTCAAATAAACAATAAGTCTAGCGGCAAGAAACATTACGTTCATGATATACCCCATAGAAGACATTGCAACAACATCTGAGGATGATAATCCTCTAATGGACCATTCTGCCGCGCCACATAATCAAAAAGACTTTCGTCACCGAAAGTACTCGTGATGCCTCCTCTGGAAGAAGACACATCTTGTCCATACAGGAACATTTGATGGCCCGCTCCTATCAAAAAAGACCCATTTGCTAGCCAAATGGAGTCACTGATTGGATACGGAATAAAGCTGGAGGCACAACGTCAGCCATAAAAATTATATGAACCAAACCATAAGTTCCACTTCACCTTCGGATGTCAATCTTCCAACATATTGACCATCCGGGTCCTTCATCGAAATACGTCATTCGTTGCTGACAAAGAAGTTCTACATGATGTAGAAATCCGACAGCCAAGATAGACTGCATATCTGGAGTTGTAGTCCAATCAAGGTCATTGATGGGTTCACTAAACCTCCGATCAGTACCAACGCAGGACACTGTAGAAGATGAAGTAAATACCTGAACACCCTCCGGTATTCCAGCCCAGAGGCAAATTCCGACTCCTTCGAGTCCCATATAGTCAATTCCTCCCCTTCAGAACTAGGGACAACTATTCCCAAATAAAATCAGCAAGGATGTCAAATTTGTAAGAGACACTAACACACTCAACGCTGTCTTCTTAGCAGAACTGCACTTCGCCCTTTTTATGGCCGTCTTGCCCGTCCGAACCCTGCCGGTGCAAACCCATGTTGAAGCGGTGGAGTTTTGTCTTCCGTTTAAACCCCGAGATCCATTCCCTGTAATTTCTTGTGGTACCCAAAATCCTAATTCTCCGACATCTGACACGCTAAGAAGGACATTGTGTTCCATCCAAGGATGGTCAAGACCCCAGGCCATTGGATCGACAGGGACAATCATGACAGGAGGGGATGATAGAGGAAGGGGGGCATGAGAATGCAGGAAGAGAGTCATAGAAGCAGCAGTTCTGAGCTGGATATGGCAAACCGACAGGTCGTCAGTGATGCCGATAATAGACTCGATGTTGGATTTCGATGGTAGAGTAAAGAAAGAGTTAATCGAAGGCAAGGTGAGTGAACTAGGAGGCTGAGTATGTAGTGTTAACGTAGTGTCAGATGTATTGTATGTTGCAAATGTTCGTCCTTCACGGCATGGTAAATATGGACTCGTTGTGTGAATTGGATAAAACTGACCTTTATCAAGAACGACAATTTTGCCGCCCAGGTCGCCAGAACCAGATCGATTCAGCTCTTTGTCGCCTTGAGCAAGTGTCCAAACTTGCCCTCCACTCTTGCGAATGACACCAACTCCCCTACCTTCTGGTGTCCTGACGAATCGTACAATTTCGGAGTACTCTTCCGGAGAGACCTCAGGGCTACATGCACACAACCGGAGGCCGTCCTCTTGGGCATCGAAGAAAGCCACGGGTGACAATTGATATGAGGTGAGGTCAGGCGCTATTACGACAGTAATCGAGGGTTCATTGGAATTAGGCAGGAAGTAGAGATATGTCGGAACGCTTGGTAATGTGGAAGGGGGAGATTGTTGGAGTGTAAATTTCTTGAGGAGGGTTGGTGGTCGGCGATCGATGTTCTGAGGAAGGGGTAAGTACGCAAACGAAGCACAACGTGTAAAGCTTACGGTTACAGCAGTCACAACGATAGAGCCATCCCCTAGTACATGTAGAAATAGGTCCCATCCTTCTTCTTTGATATCCTGGATTCTCCTGGTGCGAACATTATCCTCACTGGGACAATTTGCCAAAATCTTGTCTGATGACCGTCTAATGACTTCACGGTCTAGATAAAAGACAGAGGAATGTTGTATCTCAGGATGCACAGAGGTTATAGATAACGGCAGTGACGAATAAAGGTCGAGGGAAGCATGAAGCTGTAGGAATTGCGGAGAATCAAGGACAGGGAAGAATATTCGAAGAGTAGCGTCGGAGGTGACCGTAAATAGTATTAAATCGTCTCTGGAAACTAATTGAGATTATGCTGTAGCAGATATCGAGACACAAACCGACTCGACAGTTGCGAGTGACGCCAAGAAACCTTTTTGACGGGCCGAGGATGGGGGATGATTTGGGTTTGTCGCCCAGATGTCGTAGAGTAAAGTTTGACAGAGTTGTCAATCTTGGAGTTTGTGGCAATATACATCAGCGATGGCGCAAAGCGGACTACAGGAGGTGCATCCTTTAGGCTGGAAATACATGAGGGAGCGTGATACAAATGCTGCAGATTACTCACCGAACCATCCACTTCTGAGCCCAAGTAGGCAAGTCGTTATCGAGAATGAGAGTATGCACAGACAAACTTCTTTCGGTTGCAATTGCAAGGAGCCCTGGATGCAGTCAGACGCGTCATTTGTGGTATAAGATGATTTGCGAATACCGGATTTGTTGTGCATTGCGGTAACATTGTGGTCCGGAGGGAGGGTGAGGGTCGAATGTATATGCCAAGTGTCTTGCTGGACTCCAGAGAGGGACCATGAGGCTATGCGGTTACCCATCGAAGCGACTATCTAGACAGCGGTTATGCATATATAGACGAACCCAGCCGAAGGACGTACAAGCTTCATACCCGAGTCTACAGAGATGCAGGACACATGATCTACCGTATGGGTCAAGCTCGGATATGCCTCCCAAAATGCGAGAACCCGTCTGAGTTTCAGGGTAGCGGCATTGAGTATCATGACAGCATCTGCAGCAGAATACAGCTGGGCAGGATGAGCGCGTTGAAATAGAAACCATGATGAGCGACAATACCAGAAGTGTCTCGTGGGGCAGTACCAAGTGATGAAGACGATTAGTTGGCGCTCCGAGATAGCTTTGCTGGAGATCTAGCATGGTGTACGTCGCAGTAGTCGGTCAAGGGTTCATTGCAGGTAGTAGTAGTCGTAGAACTAGGTGTTTCGGACGGGAATATTTATGAATTGACCAATATACTAAATAATAAATAAATAAATGCCTCGTGGCAATGACGCTTGCTCCGAAACACGCAGTCGGGGGGGCCGGAGCCTCGTTTTTCCCATTCAACCTCGCCCACCGTTCATTCGTCTTGCCATCGTCGTTGTCACTATCGTACGCGCATCGCTATGCGTCTCTGGCGCTTTGCCTTTGCTTCTGCTTTGATCAGCTTCCCAATGCAGCTGGTCAGTCCAGCACAGGTACCGCTGACTGACCCATCCACCGCTTCGACTACCCTCGTTGACGCCCTGTCTGCCGACCCGGATTACACATCTTTGCTTTGTCTTTTGCAGAGGGCGCGTCTCATACCCACTCTCAACCGTTTGAACGGAAGTACCCTCTTTGCACCTACAAATGATGCTATAAAGCACTATTCAAACACTCTCTGGAATTCCGTCCTTGATGACTCCAACTTAATACTGACCGACAATCTCCAGGAGAAGCTTAGGCAGCAGTTGTTCTACCATCTCCTTAATTACTCCATCACTGCTCTCCCCGACGACTCTGAACCGATTAATGTGCTTAAGACCCTGCACTTTCCCCGTACGCCTGGTGATCCCCCTTCCAAGGAACCACCACCATACCCTCCATGGATGCCCGTCCCAGGAGGAAGCCTCGGTGGGGAACCGCAACGATTACGCGTAGCCTCCCGCAAGGAAAGCGTATGGGTTGGGGTGGATGCAAACGGCAAAGACGGTGTTGAAGTCATCAAGGGCAAAGTCGACACAGATAACGGGGTCGTGCTTGGTGTGGATAGAATGCTAGAACCACCACCTGACTTGGGTGCATCTTCTCCATATGTTATGTCTTTTATTCCGAGCTAATCTTTCTGTGCAGCGACCGTTGTCTCCAAACTATCCTTGGTTTCATATTTCCACAATGTTCTCACTCCGGAGATTACTCGTACTCTGAACTCCACAGAGGCATTGACCTTGTTTTTACCTATTAATGGTGCGTGGGACGCCTTGGATCCCCTGGAACGTTTATATCTCGAGAGTCCATATGCTACCGATGATCTCAATCGCATTTTGAACATGCATGCCGTAGCAGAGAAGGAAGTTAAGTGGTCGGAACAATTTGATCCAGCAGTAAATTGCACGTGTCCTTTCATATTTGTCTCGCCAGCAGCTGACATCGCTACAGTAACAACAATCGATGGTACAAAGCTCGAAATTGTTGTATCTCCTGAGAAGACCATGATCTCCTCAGCTGACTTGGTAGAACCAGACATTTACGCGTCCAACGGTGTCCTTCACCTTGTTTCATCCCTTATAATGCCGCCGGGCGCTCTTCAATTAACCCCGGAGAAGTATCTTTTGGCTTTGAACTGCACAAATTTTGTGTCTCTTCTCCATTCCGCCGAGCTGACTTCTCTAATCAATGATACCGAAGCTAAATATACGATCCTTGCCCCGAAAAACGATGTCCTGTCTATATTTGGTCACAGCGATCTTCCTGAACCTGGTTCCGAAGCCATGAAGAAATTATTGCAGTACCATTTCATCCCAGGCCATTGGACACCCAAGAAACTGTCTCCTGGGATGTTGCTGGAGACAGCACTGAAGGAGAAAGGTCTTGACGGTGGCAGACAGGTTTTGGCGGTTGACGTTCATCAGGACAAGTCCTCAGACTCAAAGAAAGTATTCTTTGGAGGTGCCAGCGTTATTGATGAACCGAGTAAGCGCCTCTGAACCTTCCCTGCTTCTCCTTGAGCTCATAAAACCTCAGTCGAGGTCAACAACACCTTTATTTACTTCATCTCACGGCCACTAGAACCTCCCGCTGACGCGCTGCAAACCGCCTTGCCTTACCTGGATCTGTCCTCATTCTTGGCAGCCGTCTTTTCTACTTCTATTGCAGAAACATTGAAAACGACGCCCCGCACGTCTCTCCTCATACCTCATAATTCTGCGTTCAAACGGTTGGGCTTATTGGTCTCTGCGCATCTCTTAGCGGCGTCATCCAAGCGTGACTTAGAGAATGTTCTTCTACATCATACTCTGGACACCGCGGAATATTCCGAGAGTCTGCGGAATGGTTCTCAGCATACCTTCTCAAGTGTCGAAGGGTCAGATCTAACGCTGGATCGCATGACGAATGGCACTTTGTATCTGAGTGCAAGTGGTGGCTGGGTAGGAATGCGGACCGAGTTGTACATGAGGGACATCCTAACGCAGACGGGAGTAATTCATGAAGTTTCCGACATTCTGATCCCTCGATCAGTCCAACTGACCGTCGGGAAACTTGTCAAGGCAGCCAAAGGAAGCACAATGACCAACATGGTTACGAAGGCTGGGTTTGACTGGGTTCTGAACGGCACAGCGCCTCCTGATGGGTCTCCGTGGGCGGATCAGGGATTGTCCGGTGTTGGATGGACACTACTTTGTCCCACGGATGACGCGTTCAAGGAATACAATTTGACATCACTGTTTGAAGATGTGCCGAGATTACAGTTGATTGTGGGACAACACCTCATACCTACGCCAGTAGGACGCTCGAGATCCCTCGTCGGTGCTGACAGCGATGCACTGAACAACAATCGACCACTCCCTCTTGATGATTCAGCAACATATATGACTCTCCGCTCGCCAGAGTCTACTTATGGAGATGTCATCTTCCGCCAGGAGGATGACGGATCGAATTCATACATCGTAGGCATTAAAGGTGCGCGAGGAACAGACGGCACAGCAGATTGGGCCAGGGTGCAGGCATGGGGAAGGACGACCACCGGAGGCGGAACTGGAGGCGTAATCCAGATTGACCGTGTTCTGATGCCGTACCAGCCTCCCTGGTGGGTTGCATACGGAGCCCCCATCGTAGTAGGTGTTCTGGGCATATTTGCCATTTCTATATTTTTCCTAGGGTTGATATGGGTTTGGAGAAGGGATACCACGGAAGCTACATATGAACCTGTGGGTGGATTTGGACGGGATGACGGGGATGATTCTTAAGTGTATACATTGGATGCTAAGTTTATAGAGGAACTGTAAGTATTAAGTACTGTAATAAATGTAAAATATGGAAGTAAATTACACGGATGCCCCAGGTCCCGCGATAAGATAAAAATGCGGAGAAGAACAGGACGGAAGCAAAGCGGGAGAAGCCGAAGGAGGGAGGAATCCTGTGCACCGGGACCCACGCGTTCCGTATCCGTGCTATGAAATTGTTACCCTGTTCCCCTGTTCCCCTGTTCATCCACTCCTTACCCTCTTTAGACCTTTAGACGCTAGACACGATGGTGCGCTCCTTTGCCTCCTGTGCTGTCTTGTCCTGAGCCGTTACCAGAGCAGTGAAGCACCGGCAGCGGAAGAGACCTTGAAGACATCCTCGGCTACCTCAGAGTCTGTCAAGTCGTTCATTGCTGGGGGATTTGGAGGTGTCTCTGCCGTACTCGTTGGTGTGTTCATGAGCTGCCGTGTAATTTGTCGGGGAATAACAGGCTTCCAGGTCATCCATTCGATTTGACAAAGACTAGACTGCAGACTGCACCAGCGGGAGCATACAAAGGTGCTTTCGACGTCGTCAAAAAAACACTGGCAAAGGATGGATTCTCTGGGTACGCCATTGATGGACGTCTTTCGTGACTTCGACTGACGTTTTGTAGTATGTATCGCGGAATGGTGCCACCACTGTTAGGCGTTACGCCTATCTTCGCTGTATCGTTTTGGGTACGGCTATTCAATCGCCGTACGACCCGACCTTACTGATATTGGTGCAGGCATACGACATGTCGAAGCTTCTGATATACGCAGTAACTCCTAATAGAAAGAACCAAGATTTGTCCATCGGCGAACTTGCAATTGCTGGTTTCCTATCTGCAATCCCGACAACGTTAGTCACCGCCCCGGTGGAACGCGCCAAAGTTCTACTCCAGGTATGTCGGAAATCTCTCTTATGCGTCAGATGATTCATCAGTCTATAGGTGCAGGGCCAAGGAGGCGCTGAACAGAAATACAAGGGCGTTTTGGATGTGATTAAGCACCTCTACAAGGAGGGTGGAGTACGGAGCATATTCCGCGGCTCAGTGGCTACTGTAGCAAGAGATGGGCCAGGAAGTGCTGCGTATGTATCTTTCCTGCACCCAAACACCTCATCTGACCCCCAAACCAACAGGTACTTTGCTGCATATGAAGTTACCAAGAAGGCGTTGACACCGGCAGGTTCTTCGCCTGCTGACCTCAATCTCGGTGCGGTCATACTTGCAGGAGGAACGGCAGGAGTTGCTATGTGGTCACTCGCCATTCCTCCCGATGTGATAAAGTCGCGAATTCAGTCTGCACCCAGTGGAACATACTCAGGTTTCATGGATTGCGCAAGAAAGACCATTGCTTATGATGGCGTTGCTGCTCTTTGGAAAGGATTTGGTCCTGCAATGGCAAGGGCCTTCCCTGCAAATGCTGCTACATTCGTCAGTTTTTTCTTCTTCGTTCTCTTCCTGTTTGCTAATCCTCCTGGTTCAGCTGGGGGTTGAGGCTTCAAGAAAAGTGATGGACGCCTTCTTCTGAAACGTAGGACTATCTTGTATACCGATATCGCATCACGAATGAATACAGCATTGAGAAGTGAACCTAAGCCTTAACACAAAGGCTCAAAAGTGGCAGTCAGGGCCGATACGATCACATGATAGTTCGAGTTGCTCCCGCGGAAGTTGAATTAGAACGTTCCCTCTGTTCATTACGTTCGATAGACATACTTGCTTACACGACTGTAACAAACCTCACGAGATACCAACATGTCGAATATGTGCGTATGTCTCCAGATGTCTTCCACGTACGATAACCGAGTGACTTGTACAGCACGAGTGCTTCAAGCGATAACAAGGTCTCGAAGAACATGAAAAAATCAACCAAGTCAAAAGCCTCCCGTACACTCTCTGCATCAGAGTATGCCATGCTCCGGGAATAGAGACTTGATACTGACTCTTTATCAAGAATCGCACGGAACCTTGGGCACTTCGAGACGTGGTCCACACGTCAAAACATGGAGCAGGTGTCTTATTCTGACATTCCTGAGAGCATCAAGTCCGATGTAGATGAGGTGCTCAATGTCTCCGGAAAGATACCTGCTGATTGGGTGAAGAAGGTATGTTCGTTGGATGGGGAACTAAATTTCTGGCGCTTATAAAACACATCCAACTCAGGATTCCGAGAAATACCGTTTGATTTATTCTATTTGTCGTCCCGGATTCCTAGATTTTATTTCAGATGCTCATAAAGAATGCCCTTCCCTCTTCTGCGAGGATGATTCATCCATCGACACATTGGCTTTATACGATGATTTGGCTACTGTGTTCAAGGCTTCAAAGTATCTTAGGAAAATGTGTGCCTCCGAGGAGAGATTTTCTGAAGCTGATTTTGCTAAGACGTGCGTTCTATATGTCTGTTATTTTCACACTGTCAGATCATGATTCCATACCAGCTGTGATATATTTCGAACCCCAGCTGTATCGGAGAGTAGGCAAAGGTATGTTGCTATTTGACGGTGCTTTTTCTCTATCCTTTCTGAACAGCCTGCAGGGGTCAATGCCCTATATCTCTTCCCCAGCCACTGTCGAGCGGAGACATACCCTCCACCTCTCTCCGCATTCTAAACACAAAAACGATTATTCCGGACAATGTTATTCTAATCCCGACAGTATCCATACGCCATTTGTCTAACACTGAAGCGTCCGCTTACAAGGCGCTCAAATCCCACCGAACTGTGCTGAAGAGTGGCAGTGCCGACAAAGCCTCGTCCTTCAGGTTTCAAAGCACGCCCTGTGCCAATCTGCCTGAAATACCCGGTTGGCGTGTATGCTTCTTTTGCTATCCTTGCTAATGTGTGCATCCTAGGTTTCGAATTCGCAAGCGCTTTCTTCGAGGACAAGAAGCCTGTTCATCAGATGTTAGAGGATGCTTACAGACAGAATAGAATGTCTACCACCTCCGCGGTGAGGCATCTGCATTCATTGGGAATTCATGTTCCCGTTTTTGGTCTCGTATGGGCTAATGGAACTGTCCGAGCCCATGTCGATTGGTGCAAGACAAGCAGTATCGGTGAAACAGACAAAACGGTAAGAACGTGCCTGTTTCTATGTTCCTTTGGTGACAGCCGTCCACGGGGTCCCTGTAGGAAGTCAAGGTTCTCTCGGCGCCTTTTCCAGGGCCTGATGATGATGATGAAAGAACGTTCCATGAATGGAGATTGAAAAGGCCTAGCGATATACTGCAGGTCCATTTTCTCATACAGAATATTGACTTTTGGACTTGCAACGGGTTTCGTGAAAAAGTGGTGAAAGGCGTGAAGGCATTGGAACAGTTTATTGTCAATGGAGGGGGCATTTACGAGCCGTGGAAGCGTGTTGGAGTTTTAAAGCTGTCCAAGAGCGCCTCTCGAAAGGAGAACCGGGACGCATCCTTCAGTAGTGTGTCGATGCCGCCTGCTCCCTCAAAAAATACTCGAACACGTAGAAAATGAAGGGTGATCTGTAATCTAGCTCTGGCATGCCCAGACCGGACACTCAACGAGACTCATTACTGATTGTACAAAAACTTGCAATTGGAATAAATTTACTACTGAACAAAATTAAAGGTCTGCAGAAACATGAAGCTCCGGGTGCATTGATGCCATGAAGTCTTCTAAGCATATCTAGGTATGCACATATCCCACACGTTTCACATAGACCGCAGTGTATACTACGTATTTTCTCCCTCCTATGAGTTCTGGTACTTTCCACTGAAGTCGTGTGAAAAAGAGACACTTGATACAAGCAAATACGAACAATACACGCCTTTACTTCCAGCTAGAGGGAATTTCGTTTACCACGCTAGCCCAATGACATAAACGGCCTTTTTCCCAGTCCTCAACGTAGGACAAACCGGAGCTCCCACGTCGACTCTGCTCAATTTTCAGATGCTTCTCTGCGTCACACCAAAACAGGACCCAGGATCCCATCCTGATGTGACCTGAGCTACGCTCGAAATACCACTTGTTCACAGGGTTGTTGGCGCGACTACGCCAGACGAGGTCACGGCCTTCTCCTTGACCTTCTTTACCTCCGTTAGGGTTCACAGAGGAGGGATGGCCTAGTCCGTAAGACTCGTCGTGGAGGGCAACCCACAAGAAATCAACCGTTCCATCCCCTTGATGGCTAGGAAGAACGGCGAATTTGTCGAGGTATGAGATGGGATTTGACGCATCAGGAGACGGTTCGTTGGTCACAATGGCCGCACCGACGTAGTCTCCCGCAATAATCATGAAATCGAGTGTCTTTTCCAGGCGCCCATAAAATTGGTGTTCGTTAAGCGTTCGGCCGAAGGATTGTTCCAGAAGGGTAGTCAGTTTTTTCTGATCTATGTCTGCGGTGGCGCGGACCACGCGAATGGGAAGACCTCGTCGTAGCAACGTGGGTGTGTGGGGTGTGAGTTTCCGATTACCTTGTAGGAGTGCGTGAGGTAAGCTAGAGCTTACAGCCGGCTTGTTGGTGATTAAATTAGCGATGAGTAAACTGGGGGACCGATGAGAAACCATGACGGCGGAAGAACCAGACGGCATGTATGCTAGGCATTTCTGTGCCAAAGACAGATTCGCTAGACTGGTGGGATGTGAATGGTGCCAGGATTCACGAAACGTTCCATTGATATGGTCGTACTCAGAGTTAAGGTTGATGAGTAAGTGAGGATAGCCTGAACGTGCGTACGAAGGAATTCCACCTTCGCGATTGATGATCATGAGACGGAGGGGAGCAAGATCAACTTCTCCAGACGATTGAGACGGAGAACTTTCAGAGATGGGTGAAATGCTGTTGTGGACAGCAGCCTCGACCATCCCACGTGCGAGAGATGCGATCACGTCGTTGGCGTCTATGCGGACTGATCGACAGAAGGAATCGAGGGCGAACGGAGGGAGGACTGGGATTTCTCCTGCTCGAAGGGCGGAACGAATGGTATTCAGATCAGACGGAATGGTATGGGCCTCAGGAGGTGCGATCTCGTGCTCTATGCCAAGATCTTCAGGCTTTGGGCCTAGCCTGACGATGGCACCCAAGAGCGGACGCGCCCTAGAGCCCTGTCTTTCGAGAGCCGTGACGAAGCGCATCGTCTCTTCAATGACAATGTTTCGCTCATCGGTCCCACCACGAACCACATTGTTGTTGTCGACGACAATGACACTAACGAGCCCGAGCTTCTCAAGGTAAACCATTCCTCGAGCAATGCTTTCGAGCTGCACATCCGTGAATGGGCCTTGAACTTTGACCAACGCCGTACGCCTGATGATGGGATCAAGTATAGACTCGATAATGGGGGTGTCTTTGGCGGCATCGACGTTGACAGTACTGCCCTCCTTGGCCCCCGCCTCTGAAATATCGGGAGGCGAAGGCATCTTGAAGTCAGGATGCTGGGACGTCACTGGCTTCGCAGCGTGCGGTCGAGGTCCAAAAGACGCCAAGTATGAACGGGTGTCGCGCAGGGACGGGTTAGCTCGCAGGATGGAAAGAATGAAATCCTAGACAGGCTGCCGGTGAGCGGAATATTGAACAGGCGACGCTTGACTCACATTGTCGGACGAGGCCGCTTCGTCGCCATCAGAGACAGGCTGTTGCCTCAAGCTACGAATGGTCTGTAGTGTTGAAAATCATAAGTAGAAAACGTTACTCGAACAGAAGTAAAAACCTACCGCATAGAATGCTTTGAAGGTTTGGGAACGCTTCATCTGAACTGAAGACACAAGTTTCTGCGAGCAAGAAGAGAATGCCAGCATAACTAGGGTAGATGGTGGAAAGAGGGGGAAACTTTTGTTGGTTTGTGAGTCATGGAGGGATATTTAAAGGGGAAGCCGTGCTCGAGCTGCATATGCAAATTTCGTCCTTATCAGATAAGATCTTGGCGTTATCAGCTCTTTTTTCGGCTTATCATCGGCGATCTCACACTAAAAGAAATTCATTTCATCATGGAGCGCGTTTCGCGAATCGATACGTCCAGTAGCAATATTCCGCGGCGTGAAACCATGTTAAACTTTCATTTATTGAAGAACGAATGGCCCATATGCCTCATCATACAGCCTACCATCTAGGCGCAGTTCATTACAGCTCAAAGAACATGAGCTGTTCGGCTACCAGGATGGATCACAAGCGCGCGCGAATGTGCATTACACCTTGGCGAATCGCGTATCCATCGCATAAGATCACCGGCGTCAAATTAGCCATTCGAGCATAGCTGGTTAGGGCCTGGGGCTGGATGTGCTCCGTGTTTCTAGGATCTCACAGCGTAAACACTCGGTACTCCCGGCCAGTGAGAAGAACGCTCTACAACGGCTGTTAACCAAAGCGATGTATGTTTCAAGATACTCACGTTTGCGTTAACAACGATGATGTTATCTTGACTGCACATCGCCGAAAAACGTCCTGTTCCAAGGGCGGTGGGTATTGCCCTGGCCCGAAAAGGCAGTGATGTCCTGACTTCTTGCTGGAATATCAGGCTGTCCAAAGGCACCACGGTGTCATCGATCACGAACATGGTAGGGTCCTCTTGGTTGACTGGAGGCCAAAGTATCTCGTTGGGATTGCCATATTGTGATGGGCATCCGCTGCCTAATTCCCGCTTCAAAGTCATCTGATTGAAATCATATACGTCGATTTCCTCTTGGTCGACGTCGAAGGCAACGAATCTGGATCCAAACGTATTGCAAGCCCATACAAGTGACACGTTAGCTTGATTCCAGCAATCGAGAATCCGTGTGCCTTGCGGGCCCCAAGCTGACCATTCAACTTCCTTGGTTCCTACGTATAAATGATGCAGTTGTGCTAGTAGTATCCGTCGCGGAATGAATATCATGATGTGGTTTCCTTGCGCTGTGCAAAGCGCTACGGGATACAAAATTTCGTCAGGATGAACATGAAACAGAATGGAATCATCCTGATTCGGCCAGGTGGGTGAAGGATCACACCTGACGGTGAGGCTCACGAGTGTAGTTGAAGGGTGCAGATCTGGGAGGCGAAGAGCAAGATGGTAAGTCACATCATTTATGCGCGTCTGCTCAGACGATTCCGCGATGAAGTCCACGATGAACAAACACAGCTCTGTGTTGTTGGACACTGCAACTAGGATGTGATTTTCAGTCAAAAACGCGAAAGAGCAAATCTCATTCCCCGTGAGGTACTAACTCGTGCGACCCATTAGCAATTGACAGACTACCTCTGACCAAAGACATACCAGTTCTTTGCGACCGGTCTTCCAATTCCAGACAACAAGCTCTTTTGGTGCATTGTTGCCATTAAACTCGACACCTAGGTAATCACCAGATACCTGTATGGTGTAGGACATTCCGTGATCCGGGACTTTCTGCGCATGTTTAAGGACGGGTACCGAGGCGTAAACATGTGCCTTTCCACTGGACATAGACCAAAGATGGAGTTGGAAGGAAGGATTCGGATTTCGCCCCCTGATCAAGGTAATCAGTGTGTGATGAAAGGAGTATACGCAAAGGCTCACCATCGCGACGTTTCGATGAGAACTAGCAGGTCTTGGGAAGGGTCCATTCCAAAATCGCGTATAGGCAAGCCCGATAATGAGACCGACCATTCTTTTTGCTCAATGAAACGGGTCGAAGAGGGCAATTGAGTAAAGACGAGACTCCCTGACCCGCTATGTTGTGCTAGGACATTGCCGAAGAGCTCCCAAACATGTCCTTGAAACTTTGGAATATCGCCGCTCCAAGCACCGTCGAGTTTGTTCCATGCAGCGTTATGTTCACGCAATCGATCAAGGCGATCTGTTGAAGGTAGAACAGATGAATTATCAACGTGCCCGTGGCGGTCGAGCTCAATGGTGTAGACAAGGGCGACGGTCTCATCTATCAAAGCCAAGAAAAGCTGACAGACCTGGACGGCGATAAATTCCAGAAAGAATAAAGGTACAGACGATACCTTACCTGTCTGCAAGTGATGAGATTGCGGGCATCAAGAAAACTGAATATGACGAGAAAGAGCTCGGTAGGCAATGCTGGCATCGCTTGATGATGACGGTCAGATCACAAGACAGGCAAGACAGGCTCGGTGACCTTCAGATTGGCCTGGCATCACCCGACCGTTCTTCAAGCTAGCCACCAGCATACATTAGACGACCAGCTTTCGTGGTCACGGCCCTGCCGCTCGACGTTGGAAATATTCCTTTTGTTATCTTATCGTCGTTCTCCCACCGTCTCTCCGGCATCTTACTCAACAAGTCATCCATTGTGCGGCCATCCTTGAATGTCGAATACGCCCCCTACGTCCAGAACCACCAAGGTATTTGCCGGTCCTCTTCCCAGGCTATCTCAGTAAACGACCTCATGTTTCCAGTTCTACCAGCAGGATATAGTTAAACGAAACTTGTCCCCCCATTCTTTTGGTATCGTTCTCGTGAGTCTATGTTTTCTATGTACTCCATGTATGCGCCGTTAACCCCACACAGAGATGCTGGCATGACGCTGAGGACATTCCCTCATCAACGGATGATCCATTGATGAGACCGCTCGAGCGTGGCGAAGTCGGTGTGACCTTTCTATCTGAGGGCAGCGCACGAGAAATACTCCCTGAATCGGAATTAACTCTGGTGGATCGTACTCTCCAGCCCGGTGATTACTGCAAACGGAGTATCGACGACGTCCACTCCGGTGTGGTGACAAACATCCGTGTCAGGGGCCGTCTTGAGCATGTTATAAGCGGCGAACCCGTGGAAGGATGGCGGAATTCTGACCAGGTTGTGCCGGCGATGGAAGCAGAGATTGGCGACTATGTTGTTTATGATGATTGGGTTGGACAGGTAAGTGTCGTTGGCTGTGCTTGAACCTTCATTCATGCCTTGGACTGTAGATTGTAGAGGTAGACTTTTTGAGACCGAAATTTCCTTCATTGTATTGACTTCAGGCCTGCAGCTGTACGACGAAAATATCATCGAGGTTTCGAACGGCCAGCTCGTTAGACTGCCGGAATTTAGCACTCGACTTGCTATCGGACAGAAGGGTTCCGTGCGTCTTGTCTTGATTTGTGTTATTTGTCGTGCTCATAGAGGCATCAGGATATACTCCCGTCCAGCAGCATGCAAAACTTGATCGGATTCTTTATGGGAAGCAATAGAACTGACCATAGCGTTGACACTGTCGTTGCCGTGAAACACACCGTTTATGCTGTAGCTTGGCTGGCTGTAAACCAAACGGTGCGTCTGGTTTAGTTTTAGCTGCTTTATCCCCTCATGTCCGTCCAGTTGGCGCCTAGCGTGGCAGAGAACCATTCACGCCCTCAACGATTTTGGTATGGCAAGGATATCTCCAAGCTTACTTTGATACGTGGTCGATCGGATTTCCAGATACGTACTGGAGACAAGGTAAACCTTGTCGAGAGAACTGGGCATCCCGTTACAATTCATGGACGGAGCATGCAGGGCGTCCCTCCCATCCATGTAGAGACGCTCACCGTTGCAGAAACAGAAACTACTGTTGACATTCTGTGGCAAGATGGCACCACGGAAACATTAAAATCCGTAGACCTCATTCCTTATCTAAATACTGATGAATATGACTGCTGGTAAGCATCAAGGGGTACTAATGTCATTTCGACTCAATAGTAATATGACAGGCCCGGTGATCACGTTTTATGGCGTGGTGAAGACCAGAAACGCCCAGCTATCGTGCAGTCTGTTGACGCTGCCCATAGGACAGCTTCTATCCTCTATCCCGATTCCGGAAATGTTGAGCTTGCGTCATTATTAGAACTCGACGCTCACGGTGTGTCTGACGTTGAACCTCAATTTGGGACTGAGGGGCTCGGTGTCCGCCTTGGGGATTTCGTTTTCATACATCGAGAGGGATCTACTAATGGCTACGACCCCCCTAGAATACCACGCATAGGCGAACTCGAAGCTTGGGCGAGAGAAGGGCCTTTCTACCCTGGTCACATTGAGGGATGGCGAAAGGAAATGGCTGAACTAGGAAACAACGTTGCAAAGAAACGCGGAACTGAAGGAGCCTTTCAAGATGGCAACATGACGCAACCCTGGACAAGCGACTGCAACCTGTTTTGGATTGGAGAAGTTACGAAGGTCTGATTCCATCCTTGCTTCTTTCCTTAAAAGTTTTATTCAATCTGTTTCTCTCCGCAGCTTCGACTTGATGGTCAAATTGAAGTTTCTCACCCCGAAGGATCAGTCCACGTATATCCCTTACAGCGCCTTACGAGGCTTTATGATAGCATCGAGCAACTTGAAGACGATCCTTGGGGTGATGAACATAGCCATGAACATGAGCACTTTGAGGGTTCTGGGTACTGGCCTGATGAAAACGGCATATGGCACCAAAGTGACATGGACGAAAACATGGACGGATGGGAGGACATCGAGGAGATCGGCGATGCTATGGATGTGGATATATGGCATCATGAAGAAGATACTCCAAGGGTTTCTGGTTCTCCGAGTCCGTCAATAATCGACCAATTTCCAACACCACCGACGGCGGAAGTGGATGCCGAATCGGATACGACCTCTGTCAACCCAGTTGTGGATCCTCTGAAGATTCCGAAGGATGATACTCCTATGAACGAGGAGAATGATGATTTCCCTTGGAAGCGATTTGATATTCTACCGTCTGCGCCCCATGACCATGCATACTATGCCTCCCTTCCTGCGCAACCCTCAAAATCTTTCCTCTCTCGCCTTCAACGAGAGTATCGCATTTTGCAATCCAGCCTGCCTGGTGAGCAAATTATCTTCCGGTGTTCTAAGACCATCGCCAACAATGCACAGAGTCGATCATTATACGCACCTACGAGGACCGGGCTGATCTTCTGCGCTCGCTCATCATTGGTCCGAATAACACTCCATACGAGGATGCACCTTTCGTTATTGACTGGATGTGAGGTCCCACAGCAAAAAACAGATAAAACACAGCTAACCGACGGACCATCAGGCTTCCTGCAACCTTTCCTAGCAGTCCGCCCATTGGGCATTTTCTCAGTTGGACAAATGGCAACGGTCGAGGTAAGTTCTGCTCTCTCATTATGCGGCTCATTAAAAAAACGCGTCTCCTTTTATCTAGTTAATCCGTAAGTCCAACTGTCTTGTACCCGATACGGTCACACATGTCTTTTCAGAAATTTGTACGAGGAGGGCAAAGTTTGTTTATCAATATTGGGAACTTGGGCTGGTGATCAAAACGAGACATGGAGTGCTAGTCGATCATCTCTCTTGCAAGCTTTCGTGAGTATACAAGGTCTAGTGCTCGTGAAGGAACCGTACGTGAGACTATCCTTGCGATGAGCAACTATATTGACCACTTTCCAGTTGGTTCTGTGAGCCTGCATACGAGAAGCTGCGCGGTACGGAGGAAGGCATTGTCAACAGGCAATTCTTTTGTTTTTTTGATATTTACTGTCTGATGTAACTCATCGGGAATTTCAGCCGGTTATATAGCGAAAAGGCGTACGTTCTTTCTCGTGGCTTTGTACGCCGAGCTTTGGAGATCCCTCTTGGTGGTTTGGAGAAAGAAATCAGTTGGTTATACTATACTAATCACCGACTAGAAAAGGTGGTCTGTGATTGTCGAGATTTGGTAGAAAAAAGCCGGCGAGAGACTGATCTCACTGAGGGAGAAAAAGATCTTGCTATCCCGAGGCTGACTGCTGGGGGGATTATAGCTGTAGAGCGGACGCTAATGAAACTTCAAGTGTTGCTGGATTCGTCCCCTCCTTCGCTATCGACATAACTCATGTTTTATGTATCGGCATACAAATAATGTAACCTGATTCATTCATTCAGCGCGACGTGAGCTGATGCGGCAATTATTGCGATAGTTTCTTGTAATCACGAATTCTAAGTGTTTTTTTTTTTGCTTAAACCGAGCAGTCTAACTGACTCGAAGACAATGATGTGATGAAAGATAAAGTATAAGATATCCAAAGTTTGCATATGCGGTATCAATGAGTGCAATAAGTGACAGTGGCCATAACAACGACAACAATCCAGTGAGTGGGAACTAAAGACTAGCATTGTTTGAGGAAGCTATTCTTGGGGAATGGCTGCTTATAACCGTCTACCCATGTGGTGATGTTAGGATTCGTGTACGCTTCGATGTATCTTACTCAAAGATCAGCACTGGCGCTCCGATGAGCAGTCATAGACTCACTCTTCAATATATGCCCGTGTAGGGAAATCATCAGGATCGCAGCCAATATTTAGGGAATCTGTTGGCTGATAGACCTATGAGTGACAACCGACTTAGCATGCTACGATCACAAATAAGACAGAGGCGGACCCGTATATAATCAATTGACATAATCGCTGGGAAGGTAAGGTGGTCGAAATCAACATAACCGAAGTTCTCTGACATGCCAAGGTTAACGAGAATGTACTGCGGGAGATACTCAGCTGAGCTTTTGATCGACGAGAAAGGAAATGTCATACCATTGGCTCCTGAGGCACTGGACGTGCTGATATTTCAACACGAGTATCCGCCCCAACTCCGGGACCCTTCAGTGTCCAAGCGGCATTGTTATTATTGATCCATGTTATATACTGCAAGAGAAAAGACTATCAGCTCTACAGGGTGTTACAGTCTGAAAAAGTACCGACCCCGTCATCATAGCCTAGTACGGGTATTTCGTAAGTTGCTGCGGTGACTGCGCGAGCGATATAAAAGCCTTACCTGGCTTGTATTCGAACCCATAAACTGCGAAGCAGCCTGTTTCTAGCTGATAACAATTCTGGTCTTCTCCCATATCAACGCAGGGTTTTATAGGCTGGCGAAGGAACTCACCGGTTACGGTTACGCCTGATGTTGCTTGCTGATACACTCCGCCGGTGTATGAGTTAAGGTATGTTATCGTTGAATCATATATAATCATGTTGTCCGTTGTGTTGAACCACTCATATTTAGCATTGAAAGGCTAAACTCGGATCAGTCTCGGTGTAGTATTGCAGAAGTCGACATACAGCCCATTGCCCTGACTGTGACACCTCGCCCTCATCGTTAGCAACCTGAGCCTCGAAAACGTCGATTTCAGGTGCAGCACGTCCAACGTATGTCCCGTCCGAGTGCATAGGTCCAGGATGAGATTCTCCAGGGCATGTACACCGAGAAAGTTTCTGCCCCGGAAGGAAAGATAGTATACCATTCTGACTGGAGTCTCCATCGACAGTTGCTGCCAATGGGAGTCCGTTGATGGTCTGATTCGGAACTGTTCCAATATCGCATGCATCATAGGTGTAGGGCCACTAAACTGATTGATTAGACAGAAATTCCCGTCCCTTGTCAGGAAGGCTTACGGTTCCATCCAAGGAAGCTCCGTAACCAGCTCGACCTACGAAGAAACTACGTCAGGATTCAAATTGTCACTAAACTGTCACTGGTAATACCAAGATTTCCCATTGACCACACGGCAGGCCATAGACCAAGAATGTTGTTTGCGCCCGGAAGCGTCACCGAAGTCAGAATCATACCGCCCGTGAAGCAAAACTTATTCCAGGTGGACATCATTCCACCTTGATAGTCAAGACCGTGCGTTTCTTTCTTCGATAATGTTATTGTCAACGAGCCTCCGTTTGTTGTGATCGCGGCTGGATCATACCACTCCAAGTTGTTGGTCTGCAATGACGTGAGTACATCTTCCAAGTTGACAGAACGCGTCAACTGACAGCCCAATAGTGCAAGTCCACTGCTTCCCAATACGGGTCATCGCCGGGATAGAATGTTCGCCCGTCGACGTTGAATTCGTCGCTCCAAACCAGCTGAAGCTCATTGTCGTCAGTAAAGGACTTGATTGTGTATGCGTCCTCCGGGGTATCAAGATCAATCATTCCCCAGTTGCCCGGCATACTGGGTACCTGAAAAGAAGTGAACACACGGTGCGTATCATGTGGGCATATCTCATACCTGTCCGCTGGCATTGATTCCGCCTAGATTGAAACCGCCAAGTGACGAAAGGTCTCGCGTGGTGAAATATGAGATTATAGGGTATCCGGCGCTGCCTGTGGATCAAAAGACTGCTATGACGGAGATAAAGGTGACGCACAATAGTGACACCAAACCAAGACCAAGGACGACAATACAACCAAGGTTGGCGAGGCCTCGATAGGTGAATACAGATCCACCGTTATCATTCTTTCTGTCTCGCCGTGGGTCAGGGTTGTGGAGATAATCATCTGGCTCGGGGTGGTTGGGTGATATATCTGAACCCCAGGCGACGGGGTCGGGTGATAGCGAGAACTAATGAATAACGTGAAGGCCCGATGAAGGCATACGGACGGGAAACTTGCCTTGTCAGAGATGGAAGGCGCCAAGGATGGCACCACTCGGCTGCCTTTTACATTGAACGGCGAGTCATTCTGCCTCTGTTGTCAGCGAATGGCGGTGGCGAGGTAGACGTGACTGACGAGAGAAGCATTGCTGCTCACACTGCGTAATGACGAGGGTCCTCGAGCAAAGTTGGCGTGGATGCCGAGGTTGGTAGTAGATGCCCCTGGGAGGAGATTTGTGGTCGACGGCGAGTTGCCCTGGTATCGCCGCTGGGAATTGCCCAAGGATGGCATTGGTGGTAAAAGTAAAAGAGAGGACGGCGAGATAATCAAGGAGCGAAGAAACGAAGGACGCTAAGAAAACAAAGATCGAAGGAAAGGAGAGTGCCAAGTTCATCAGCTCCATTCCCCCTTGCGGAAACTATTTCCCATGCTTACACTATCCAATTTTTGAGTAATGTACATTTATTCAAAATTTACCGGCCAGCACCCTCAAGCAAACCTAACAAACCGCCCCGCCGTCCCTCTCTATCCTTCTCTTTCATTGCTCGTTGCACTCGTCGTAACCCAGGCGGTCCAGAATCCGACTCGACCTCGCTTTCCGCTAATTCTTCTGACAGCTTCAACCGGTTGAAGACTTCTTCGTTTGCTTCACTAATGTATGCCTTTCCCTCTGGGTCTTTGTCCAGGGCATGCAACAACATCTCCTTGCGCATTTGGTACTGTAGTAGCGTTGGCTCTGCAGGTGGGTTGGTAATCAGATGGTGCTTAGCACCGAGACCGCTTGAACCAGGCAGGGAGGTCTTCTGCATCCATTGATCAAGGTTGTCAAGCGCAATTTTCGATCGCTTCACCCTGTCTCCTTTCGTTGGCCGTCCTTTTCGCTTGGGTCCCTCTTCATCTAAAACATCAGGAACAACAATTTCCCGAGGGAGTGTACGTGGATTTTGACAGCCAAGTCTAGCTTCGGGAAGGATATGGAAGACCTGGGATGTCACAAAGGTCTTCAGAATGTGCAGCACAGCAGGCTTGAAAGGGTTCAGTTCTGTCGTTGTCAGTGTGTCCGGAATCGACATAAGAGTCCTGTAGTGATCTAAAAAACGGCCCGTTGGTAAAACCATCAATGGACCTCCCCCGGACTCACCACAAGGTATAGGGATATGCTCGACAGAATGCAACGGCGGACAGACGTCCATCGGTTGAGTGTAGAAGAATGTATACAGGCCGAAGAGCGTAACAAGACTTGTCATTGGTTTCTCCAAACGCATTACGCACTCTGTGGTAGAGTTGTAAACATTGCAACGTCAAGCAGACATCTTCCATACCAAGGAACAATCGCAAGGTAGTATGTAAAAACGCATCCCTGCCTCTCGGGTCAAATATCTTGAGGTGCAACCACTGCCAGCCCTGAGAACACCAGATTTCCTTGAAGAGCTTGAAGGGACACGTCCAGTGAGGCGAGTTTGAGTACTGCTCCTCGAAGCTTTTTACGAGGATCTTGATGTCATCCCGAACCGCATTTACATATACCGAAGACGTGAAGTACGACGGCTGGAGGCAAAGGTGACCTGTGGTCGTGGGAGCAAGAGACATATCGTCAGTCACAAACAACAGTTAATTTGAATTACTCGGCGCGTATGCACGTGCATCGTTGTCTCTTCGCCTGCCATCATGTTCCACCGACGAAGTAGTGTCCAATGCTTTTTCTGCCACACGACGTTGCCCATTCCAAAGGATCCAAGAAATTTTCGTTGCAACAACTGTACCTGCTGGAATCGCTACGATACCAAGGGCGAAATTTTGTCCTCTGAGCCTGCCATGCACGACGAATCCCTCAACTTGCGGTCGTTCTCAAAGCGGGGTGCGTGACGCGTCATATTCTGTCTTATCTGTTCTTATCCTCTCAACAGCCTCTCCCAACAAGGAACGTTTACCTACAATGTACGGAAAAGGCCCATTCTGCCATACTTGCCAAACAAATCAGATGCTCTTGGTCAATCTCTTGTCAAATTATCTGCCAAATCCAGATGTGCGAACTTCGTTCTCTCTGTTACGCGTTTCCCCTCAACGATTTTAGAGTGCTGAATACGAACGCCGCGTCGAAATGCTCCCAGAGTACAAGGAGTCTTTGCATATCCGCTATCCACCTGTCTGTGCTAATTGTCTTCCTGCTGTCGAAGACGAGATCCAGGCCAAGGACAAGATGGCGCGTGTAAATGCTCTTGGAAGGTTCCTAAAGAACACCAAGGGTAAAGAGCAGACACGTCACGTTTCAGCGCCCGAGCTGACGAAGGAGAAGCTTACCTTGGGGATGTTGATGTGGAGGTGTCGAGGTTGTTTGTGGGGCACGTCGCTACTGACTACTCTTGTTGGATATTCTGCTCGTGAGCTGTCCTTTCCCATCAAGATTTTTCCTGTTTTCACGATGCTGTAGCATTGCTCAACTTGTCAGTCCCATTGTCGGATATACTTCACCCTCCTATGCTGCCGATTGTGGCATTTCTATCAGTCTTCTGGACATTCTGGGACCCCACCTATTCCTCCTTGCAAAGGGCCTATAGAGAAGGCCGCAACGTACGAATACAGGGGAAGAAGAACTACATAGTAAGACCCTCCGTCATACCTGTAATCGATATCACTCACTCCTGACAGGCGCTGCAAATGGTTTCATGGATATCTCGAATATTTACGTCAATTTCGGTGACCCTAGCTTGGTATCTGCCACAGGCAAACTATCTACATTTACTAGAGACGCCTATTTCTTCTCGGGCTCGCACCTATTATATGATCTCTCTGATGCTGGAGCTATCTGTAGGTCATTGTCTCTATCTCCATAGTCCATCTCATATATGCCGTCCAGGTCTTCATATCTTCTTACTTCGTGCTCCGATTACAGCAACCACCAGCTATCCGTTTACTTGAACTGAACCAGTTACCCTCCCGAGCCCCTACACCTAATCTTAACGCATCTCGGTCCAACACTCCACTCACCCCACCAATCGTTAACGACAGCGATTTGCTTGCCTCTCTCACACTCTCATCGAAACCTGTTATCGCCAAACCTCCCGTTTTTGGCGTTCCGTCTCTTCGTACCTCGGCCCTTCATTCTAATGCTCACCAACCGGAGACCGATGCTGATGAAATGGATTGGACGCCTACGAATGGGCAAAGGGAGAAGCCTAAACCATATGACGACTCCTCTTTTCTTCATCCACAGAAGTTCTTTGCTCCAGAGAACCCCACAGGGCTGGAAAGCTTATTTGAGAGTACACGACTTGTTGATGACGTTACAATGAATGAGCCAGCACCTGAGAGCGCGCCGACCCGGTCGAGCTTTGCGATCGCTCATTTGTGGAGCTGGGGATGGGTTTATCTGTTGTCTACACTGCCGTTTGCAGGATTTTTTTTGTTCCAGCGGTTGTACGACAAGAGAGATAGTGGTCTTGCGCCGACCAGTGTGCATGAAGTGACACCGCAATATCCCATACACGACGTACCCATAGCGTTGAATATCTAATATATTGTCTACAGTTAAGGCCCAAATACATCGTCCAGAAAAGCGTTGGACAAAGCAACGCATTGTTGATAAACTTTCTCAAAGCCATTCTACCAAGGAACAATTAGTTCTGTAACACAATTGATTGCAAAGAGACACTTACAATTCCACCATAGTAAGGGTCCGAGATTGGCAAGTTGCTTTCAAGGTAGGAGCCCCAAAGCTGTATGGTAGCCGTCGCATGACGCGGTGCATTTCGCCTCAGCGAGTGCAAGTTGCTCTCATCAGCAGCGAGAATATGGGTAAATTCTGTGTAGTCCGAGGATCTCACTCTCCGTGCCGCGTGCGATATCGATACTTTGTGCTGTGGTAAAGAAATGAGATGAGTCAAGGCTACATTGAAGATTTTTCACGGACTTTTCTACACGTTGCCACTGCTCTGCGGCACCTTAGATACCATGCATGGGAAGAAAGTGGAAGGACTTACCTGTCATCCGGATCCTCACCTTCATGGTAGGCTCCCGTCCCAGCGCTGTCCAAAACGATATCGTGTCCGCGCTGTTTAGCAACGTCCCTCATGACCGCTTCACCCATCGGGGAGCGACATATATTGCCTGGCAGTAATATTTATTTGAGAATCAACGAGAGAATCTGGAAGCATGCCTAAGCAGACGATGAGGACCTTGACTTTATCTGAGGACATGGGCAGGAATGAAAACGTGACTGTCTAAATATGGTCTTGGACGCCCGGTTTCGATCTTGTACATTAACCACCATCATGTCGCCACCAATCCAGCTTTTCTTGACGACCATTGCTTCCCAGCCAGCACTACGGCAGCGCCAAGGTATAGATATATCTGCAGCATGCGCCATTCTGTACTCATAAAAATGATCCGCAAGAATACCTCCTACGCGTTCTACAAGTCAAGAAAATACCATTCACTTCCTATGATCTCGCCTCTGATGAAAGTGCGAAAAGACTGTGGAGGAGGAAGGCTCCACCAGGTACTTTCGTGATACTTAGGACGCTCCTTGATGCTCATTCATAGGCAGACAAACAGCAATTGCCTGGAATCCTTGTCGGCGGTCGCTTTCCAGGTGTATGTCCTCGGCTCGCGATCTCCATAGTGACTGACTGCTCCTACTCGGTTCATTAGGTTTTTGCCGAGTTGTGCGTGCTGTAAATCTATCGTTCATACCAAGATAGTAATGCCGATACAGCGAAGATGCTGTTGAGTACGACGAACTCGATACATTCCTTCGACTCAAGGAACCCTGGGATCCAGACGTGGATGAAGATGTACCAGCACCTCCGGTCCGGCCGGTCGGTGTACCAGGCGCCATGATGCCCCTCCAAATGACCCCCGAACGCCTGAAATCTAAAATCCTCGCCAAACCTGCGTCTTCGCCCCTTGCGAGGCCACAGATCCCAGTCAACAAGCGCGAAGGCGAGTTTGACATTAGCACCGAAATCTCTGGTTATGGTCTGCAGGGCGTGAGAGTGACTGAGGACGAGTTACGGGACTTGGTAGCTGAGTTAGGGTTGGATGGGGATGATGCCGGTGATCTGGTAAAAGGGTTGAGCGGTGGCCGATCGGAAAAGGTGGAGGAGAACGAGACATCCACGTCTGACGTCAGCACCGGAACGGAATGTACAGAGAAGGAGCCAGAGGTAAAAGCAGATAAATCGTCAGAAGCGAAGGTGGCCAAGGCATTGGAAGTTGACAAGCAAGACAAAGAAGCATAAATTTGTGCTGTAGAAGAAGACATTATACCCTTAATACTTGGTAGTTGTATAGACTAGGAAATGCTGGATAAATAAAATGTAACTATATGTCTATTACAGCTTGGTCATTGGCACCAGCATCCTGCCGTCCAGCGTGATCGTCGCTCTGTTCACGAAGGCATCCGCAGGACTCGCAAGGAAGAGGGCGGCCCCTGCCACGTCTTCTGGTTTCCCCAGTCGATGCAACGGTATCGTAGACGTAAAAACATCCTTGACAGCTTCCAAGCTATGCACAGTCGCTGCAAGGGCGTCTCAATGTGGTGAAAAAGGTCCACATGCAATTAAATTCGAAAGAATACATTCTGGACCAAGTCTTCCTCCCAGATGCCGACTGAGATGGTGAAGTGCAGCCTTCGAAGCTGGGTATGCATATGTTTCATATATGCCGGGCACAGCTATGCAGGTTCAGAGTGAGAGGATTACTGAAAGCCGCATCCTATATTCGATTTGTGAGCGTCTTGAGGCTATCAGAGAAGATCTCGTGTCAAGTACCGGAAAGTCATCGAGAGAATCGCCCCATGCTGCCCCCCCGCGATATCGACAAGAACATGAAGAACTGGTTCCCTGGCAGCAAGGTCATTTGATCTACCTCTTCGTATTGCGCCAGCTTCACTGGAAGAGGGATACGTTTCCCGAGGCCGAGTGCGTTGAGCTCACAGCGGTCTCTTCACAGCTCTTAGCAGAACGAGAAGATAAATAAACCTAGATGCCAGTTCAGACTACAACGATATGACGGGAAGGTAGGTTCTGGGAAACAAACCTTTGCCCCATTCTTTATGAATCCTGTAGCAATCTGGATATTCATTAGTGGTCGAGTATTGAGGAGTGCTGATTTACATACCATTTTCCAATCCCCCTGCTTCCACCAGTGACCAGTACAACCTTACAACCTTGTCCTTCACATTGAAGAGATTTTCAACTTGGAATGAACTCATGATGGTTGTTGGTAGGTAACTCTGCGCCGCCCGCATACAGCAGTGAGATCTGCGTCTTGCAAAAAAACACTTGAAGGCTGGTTCTGGCTTCTGTGCCGCAAATCATTCGTGCATCTTCACTGTTGCGGTCATGTAAGTCGGGAAAACCGACATGTGAGTCGAGATACGGGAACATATATCATACCTTGTACCACTTTCGTACTTAGGTTGTCGCTGATGATAACTGCCTTGCTGAGGGCTACGGCGGCTATATTATCGAATCCTCCCGGGTTCCTGGATGCATCGTTTGAGAAATACAAGGGCACAGGGCAGTAAACCTGACAAGCATTATGAGGATGGATTACTCTTTGGGCGTACTACCTCGGCTAAGTAGACGTCAGGCAGCAGCGATTCGCAAAGTTGCCGGTACTGGATTCCTATGTCTGGTCGACGTCAGATGGGAAATCAAGCTTTCAATATATAGGCGACGAATTTCACTCATGCGTCAGGACATGGCTAGAGAACGGAACTTGAACACAAGGTCTTTGACGCAACTTCTCAAAAAAGATTGTGACGAGATGATTTCCGCCATAGTCAGAACTTGTTCAAAGGTGATTGTAATTATCGCAAGGCGTAGCTCTTCAAGAAGAAAGTGTAATAAACAAGTCAGCTATAGCATTACAGTACTATTAAAACAATGCGCAAAATACTTCTTCATCCACTCAATGTCACTCAGAATCAGACAAACGCTCTGACATACGCAACCGACGCCGTCGAAGAGAAGCTGAGCTTTCTCCAGATCCAGATGGTATCGACCGGTCTGATGGTTCCCCTTTCACCTATAAGAAAGTAATGAAACATTACCTTGGAACAGCAACACCGATACATACCGATCTTCGACTTGAAATTCTCCTCGGCCTAGACTTTCCAGAAGTTCTCCTACTACGTGGTGGTTTCTCGTCATCGTCAGAACTCGGGACGGCTGGAGCCGGTGTTCTTGGGGGATTGTCGTCATCAAAAGACTCGCTCCCGACATCATCGATATAATCTTGCCTCAACCCGGACAGCATAGTTGGAAGAATGCACAAGCTGATCATTGCCAGCAGGGTGACAAGGAAAATCATTGAAGATATCACGGCTGAAATGAACGGGAAGCGAGTTACAAGACCTCTGTGAGACTCTTGTCAACATTGGCTCCTGATATTAGTGAAAGACGTACCGCATTCCGCGATGTACGAGAACGCCACGGAGGGATGCATCGGAGACAGCAAGTTCACGACCTTGGCCACTTCCCAGTGTCTTCCATCCATCCTGGCGACCAAGCTGAACATGAGCATTCGCATAGTTCGTCCCAAACGTGTAGGAATGCAAAAGCTGGATGTCAATATTGAAGCTTGAGGGTTTGCCGGAGAAAAAGAAAGCATGAGGTGGCAAGACAATGGCCTGAAGGGGTGGTCAAATAGACAAAACTAGGTAGATTGAACGAATACAAACCGGACGGCGAACGACTGCAAGGGTTTGGTTACTATCCGATGACAGCCTCAAAGACGCCATGAAGTTTCCTAATGCAAGGTTCGATTCGGTAGCGGGAACAACAAGGTGTAGTAGTACATCATAAGGTTGCTGCGATGATAACTGAGGAAGACTGATTTCTGCGTATGGAGCTAGACCATCTCTAAGACAAGAATCAGCTAATCACGAGACTGTTGCTCACGACTCACCCATATTGGAGAAACAACGGAAACTGCCAGGAAACTGCGACATTCTTCCACACTATCCATCCTGCGAGACCAGAAAGAGACAATGTCAGGGGGATCAAGAAAATAAAGACAACAAGAGGAATGATTTGGGGCGCGAAAGGCTTGAGAGACTTTGAGAGCAAGGAAAGCAGGTACTGGATTGAAGCAAAAGCAAAGCTAGACTGGGACAGTCCTCTATTTTCACGAGGTCTCTTGCGGTGCTTGATTGTCGTGTGCAGGGTGTGGTCCATTGGCGGTACGTGAGTGAGGGCCACACGTGCATTTAATTACGTGCGTGATTTATCAAAAAATATTAAATAATGTGTTGACCATGTCCACCGACGTCCAGAGCCTGCTGGGCTCGTCCCTATCATCTGAAATCCTTCAAAATTATATCCGTACCGTGTCTGGCAGCATCACCGTCGAGGTCGAGATTAAAGCGTATCCCGACATGGTCTATTTCAATTACTACAAAATCGGCGTCAGTTTTCAGTTCAAGCCGACGGATGGCTACCGCCCAAAGATGGGCCTGGAGGAGTCCGAGTTGGAGAAGAATCGGTTGATTCTCGATGGCGTCGATTTCTACAACATACCCAAGGTCGACTCTTCGGACCCGAAAGCAAAAGGAACATCAACTAGACGGGCAGAAATAGCGTTTTCCTCGTATCCTATTTCACCTCTTACTCTCCCCATCACGCCCAATATTAAAGATAAGGATGGTAAAGTCCTTCACCGACCTCCACATTTTGATGTTCTTCCTGCAAGTACAGGGAAGGACTTTGTCCAGTGTTTCGGTGAACCCGATCGCAAAGGCGGGGGGACGGGGCCGTCGACGGGGTCGATTGGGATTTGGTGTGAATGGTCGCAGGATGGTATCTTGGTTGAATTTGGCGGCGACGAGGCAAAGGGTCTCCAGGCTTGGGAACGAGGAAAGGATGCAGTGTGGAAAGTAATCACAGTCTTTCGAAACGTATGTCCCTTCCAACAACCTTTCAATCTTTACCATCTGATTTTTTCGGCGCTCCAGTGAGCCGCATGCCAATATCCCTGCTCTTCGTATGGTCGCAGTTACGCCATATTGAATTCGTTTCGTAGCCATAATGTGTTCAACTACGACATCCACGCTTCTTTTCACTGATGTCTGCTGACCACCGGTAGTATGCAGTACGTTGCTATCCAAAGAAATCATATGCGGATTAATCAAGATGAATTGGTGGAGACAGATGGCGTGATCGTATAAATATCACAATATGTTATGGCGATCATTGTTGCTTTGCGTTTGACCTCCGACTCAACCATGGCAGTACCTGGTCCTGACAAGTTCACGATACTTGATATTAGTGGAAAATTCTATCTGGTACGTGGTTCGGCTCCTTCAGACTCTTACGCCGACACATTTGTTACAGGACAAGTCACTGAGCGACTCCACTGACGAGATTCTGCGCCTTCAAGGTGTAAGCTGGTGGAAACGAAAGGCCATCTCCATCGGAACAGTGACTCTGTATATCAAACACTACAGAGACGACCAAGGGACCGAGAAGATTGACATTGATCAGACCGTCGCTGGTATCTCTGGCACTTCCGAGAAGAGGACGCTTGATTGGACAGAGAGGGAGAATAATGATGACATCTTTGGGCCTGTCATTGGGAAATCGAGAAGGGTGAAGCTTGGCGAGCTTGAGGAAGAATTCTTGAAGATCGGGTGGACTGAGGATACTGTCAAACACGGTGTGATCCAGGCGTGTGCTGCGAGCGACACCCCGAAGAGTGGAACTACCTGGATTGCGAACCAAGTAAGTGAAACGAAAGTGAGAAGAGAACTTGTCGCTCATTAGGATACAGACTTGGGGTGTTGAAGTGGTCAATGGCGAACGAAGGTATGCACGACACATCAAGTTCACTGGTCCTGCAGGCGAAGACATCCAAGCCCGCCTTGTCTATGACTATGGTAAGTTCCAGGTGCTCTGACATTGTTTTGTTGTTGCTCACTCTGTTCTAGCGGGTCCAGTCTGATCGCGTTATCTTATCGGCTCGCTGACAAAGACAAAAACATATGTCATATTTTTTTTGCCATCGACGGTGACTTCATGCTTTGTGTATATTATATCCGTAGTCGGGGCTATTAAGACATCTTTTCCTTTCCTTTCCTCTGTCGCGTCCTCCATGCAGACAAGCGTCAGCCACCGTCGATCAAGTTGTCTCAATGATCAAATGGCATCAAAAGGATCCCTGGAAAATCGCGACCCTGAAGTACAGACACCGATACGGAAAGCGCACTGGCAAGCACGCTGCAACGAATGGCTGGCCTCTGAGTATCCTAGGCTGTATGGCTTTATATCCCGTGCACTTGTTTACTTCCGAGGGCCAAGACCCAAGATAGATTTGCCCGGTGAGTAAGCCATTCGGGTGCTGTGTGAAGTTCTTACAGACTTCTCCTCCATTAAGAGCCCCGCCCATTCCTCGATATTGACGTGACGTTCAGAGGGTGCCACTTCGAATTCCCGCTCGAGTCGACGTTAATAAGACTAACCCAGCACTTTACCAGTCCTTGGCTACTAGCCGCACTCATTGCTGGATATATCATCGGGCTCGCATTTTTTATACGGGCCCAATCATATCTCACACCATCAGATGCCTTCATCGGGTGCACTGATACCTTCTGGCTGGCCAATAATGGGTGTGGCCTTAATGGAGAGTCATGTACACCGTTCAACGACTCGTCCTTGGACTTCCGATGTCCAGCCCAATGCTCAACCGTCACTCTCCAAAATCCTCGAACTGTCGGAGACGAACAAATAGCATACAAGCCGTTGGTAGTTGGCGGCGGTGATTCCAATGCGACTTACCGTGGGGATTCATTTATTTGCGCAGCTGCTGTACAGGCGTAAGTCTGTCTTGTCTGTCTCTTGACATCATTTCAAGCAGGCTGTTTACGCTTTTTCAGTGGACTCATCAGCGATAGCAAAGGCGGTTGCGCGTCATTAGAATTAATCGGGAGTTACATTAACTTCCTACCGACAACGGGTCACGGAATCACGTCCATCGGTTTCGCAACCGTCTTCCCTCTTTCATTCCGATTCCTGGACTGCACGTTGCTAACACATTGCACTGACTATCGCAACCCCGCCTTGGTCTTTAATATCCTTGTCACCTGCCTTTTGTTCCTCGTCTTACGGCCCAAACCTCTTGTTCTATACTGGTGCTTAATATGCATTGGCTTCTGGCATATCTCCCTCTTTTCGCAGCCACAAGCAGCTCCACCAGATCTCAGTGCCGCGTTTGGGACTTTCCTCCCAGTGCTGTTCATTGCATACGTCTTCTGGCGCCTTGCATTTCGCTTCATCCTACCCATGTACACCAAAGCGCCTATCGAGTACATGGTGTGGTACTTGGGTCCGTACTGGGTCGGGGTGCTCTCATATATCACTCTCGAAGCAGCCATCCCCATCAACCGTCTAACATCATCGGACCTTGCCAAACGCTCGGGTGCCATTACGGCGTTGGTGGTGATCGTCATCGTTGTCACGGTGCTGGTTCTTAACCAGGTCCGTGTTATTCGTAAGACGGGGTGGCTTCCGTATTATGCTGGGTGGTATGTCGTTGGTGGTTTGGTTGTGATGGTTCTCGCGTTGCTGCCTGGCTTGGAGATCAGACTGCACCATTATATCGTCGCTATGGTCCTGATACCCGGAACGGCTTTCCCCACGAGGCTGTCAGCCGTATATCAAGGACTGCTACTCGGCCTGTTTTTGAATGGCGCTGCGGCGTATGGCTTTGACTCAATATTACAGACAGCAGAGGAGGTATGTTTGTTTCTATGGCGACTTTCTCCGTTATTTTATTTTATTTGTTTTTTTGTTTTTTATTTGGCTCATCCGGACCACACAGCTTCAACAGGATGCGCCTTCAGGATCGGAACTGCCCACTTTCCTTACTAACTCGACTAATTACAATGCTTCCATACCATTCGAAAACCAGACGATCGCGTGGGATTCCTTGCCGGCCGGATGGGATGGGTTTGCCCTTCTGGTGGACGATGTTGAGCGATACGTAGGCACGGCTCTCAACTTCTCCTTGGCGGCGTTCAATGCGTCTCTGCCGCACTTCTTCAGGCTAGCGGTAAGTCTATTTGACAGGAGATATTGGGATGTTTGGCTGATTTCATTGATTTGTAGCTAACATCAGGGGATGACACAGGTGACTTCACTATGCCTGCAATACTATGGCCGAATGGATCCTGGGTAGATCCACTACCAGGTCCTTCATGAAACCTTCCCTTCCCTAACAGCATTCGAACACCCACGGACTATATCGGATTACATGTAATATTACTGGCTTCTGTAAAATCCCTCTTAGTGAAACAATACGTTTAAATGGAAAGCAGATAGACAAAGCACAATATAACGTTTAATAAGATTGTAACGCATGGTCACTTGACTAAGTTACTGGCGTCGGGCGTTGCTTGTCTGCGGCCTCAGCGTCACCTGTATCGCCAGCCTTCTTCTTGCGCATGCCCCGCCGACTCTCCTTCGGGTATTCACACTTGAGGGAACGTCGATGGCACTGGCTGTAGAAAGGAAAGGAACAAGCATAAACTCTAAGAAAAGTACATATCGAGACGAAAACTCACTTGCAGGTTCGATCGGGGTTGTCTGGTTCCGGAGCCCCACACGCGATTTTCCTCCCTCGGCAAAAAAAGCAGGCAAGGGGAGGCTTTCTATCACCGTTATTCCGTGCTATGGACTGTGCAGGAGGCCGCCTGGGAAATGGAGGCGGCGTGGGAGAGCGTCTGGGTTGTCTAAGGGGAATTTTATAATAGAAAGGCCCCCGGCTTGGACCTGATGTATGGTCGTCGGCTGATGTATGTCGGCGGGGTGCTTTCCGAGACGGGATTTGTATCACCTGCGAATGTGGGGGAGGGCCCCTGGACAATATGGAAGGAAGCGAAGCACATTCAGAATCGGCCTGAGGTGAAGAATGAGGTAACGGATAAGAGATATGAGTCAAGTCGGCGGCAGGATCGATATTATCGGGAGAAGCCACGACGTCGTGAGGGTTGGGGGTTGGTGAGGGCGAGGCTAAGTAGTCCATTATTGGTTCCTCGATAGGCTTGCAGTGATGCGATCCGGAAGGCGAGCGCTGTGCCTCAAGGAACAGCTGTCGGTCAGGGTGGGTGAAGATGTTAGCCGGTACCAGATAAAATTTCCTGTTATCCGGCGAAGACTGAGCAAACAGGGTCAGCGACGCAAGAAGTGGGAATAGAAAGGAGAACTGACCTGAGTCGGGGAACAATCGGAACGTGCTTGCTCAGAGTAACAGCTGCCATAGTCAGGCGACTGTGGAGGCCCTTCGGGAGGCGAGGAGGCAAGAGATTCAAGAGGAGCCGATGCTTCCCCATTTGGGTCAAGGCTGTAGTCATAGCTCAGTCGTAGGCTGGGGGCAGTAATGGTAGAAGGTCGTTGGTCGGGATGGTCGGCAGCGCCATCGAGATCGACGGTTGGCGACCAGGACAGGGCGGAAGAACAGGGAACTGACGGGATATACTTGGTACTCGTCTGACCGCGATACGAGAAGCCAATGAGCCCATGAAAATAGCCGTTCTCCTCATGTACGGGGGTCATTGCCCATTGATTCTGCAGGGCCGCGGCTCGCCGGGCCTCTGGAAAGGTGGCGTAAAATCTCTCGTCATCCTCTTTCTGTGTCTGCTCAAAGGAGCTGAGGCCGTCCGACATGGAAGATAAGAAAGGCTGCATTGCAGACGCGACATGCGTGAGGCATCCTGGAATCCGTTGAAAAAAGCGACGCACCTCCCCTTCAGCGGTGCAAGAGCCAGGGTAGTACTGGCTATACAAGGCGTTGGGGTCGCAGATGGGACCTAGGTCTCCTTCCGAGAGATAAAAGGAAGGAAGCACCTTGGGCGGTTGCTGCTGCGATAGCATAGTAGTAGAGTCCATCCAACACGTGCAGTAGCAGCACGTTGAACCAAGGCAATGAGTACGGGAGCTGGAAGAGAGAAAGGCAAAGAGAAGGAAGGACGGCAAGGAAGGAGGAGCAAGAGGGATATGCTGGTAGTGCCAGGACAAGAGGCATACAGGGGAGCGTCAGGGATGATAAATTGAAATGGTATTTAGCTGGGGGTTCCTTTTGTCAGATGACCGCAGGCTTGCACACATGGACCTACATAGCCCCTCCCCCGTTCATTCTCCTTCCTGAACCTAAAAATCACCTCTTATCGCCTCACGTCTTCTCTATCGTATTTCTTTTTTGTCCCCGTTTTTCTCTTCATATTCTATTTCATTTTCTCGATTTGCATCCGTGAGGCCAGGATGTTTCCGCGGAACCTATTCTTCGGCTTCCAAATCCGATCCGCATGCTTTTTTACTTTTTACTTTTTTCTTTTTTCTCCCCCCCCCCTTGTCACGGATGCGTCGGTACGAGCTTGAGCATCTGGAAATGGCTCGGTCTGTTTTTTTTTTGTCCTGCCCTTATGGACCTTTGCGCAGCGGCCCGGAACTGAGAGACCTGGAAACTTGTGACGGTACTGGACGATGCTAATACATCTGGGGATTAGTATTAGACGGTTTGATTGCCAGCCAGCATGTTTGCCTGGCAGCCTTGTGGCAGGCATGCTCACTCTCAGGCGTCCTAGTCAGGCGCCATCTCATCCCAGATAAGTATTTGTTGATCTGTCGAATTCGTCTTCGTCTAGACCAAAAATCGCTGCCGCCACCGCCACCACGTAAATGATTCTGTTGATAGGCCCATTCACTCATCGGCGCTTTCTTGCCGAGATAGTCAACAAAGTCCCTGCTCAAGCTGGCTTTCCTGCAGCGTGTCTTAGCTTGTCGACAAATCTTATTCAGTCGTCTCCTTTAAGACGGCAATCCTCCGACCTGTCCTTGGAACCCACGGAGTCAACAGCCAACTAGCTGCCATATCTAAACGAATTTGCTCCTGTAGTCCTCTTGACGTCTTCCTTGTCCTCGGTATTGCCAGTAGACTCTGCGAAATGCCACATTCCCCGGCGTAATTCTCTTCTCCTTGACATCTCGTTCTCGTTCCTCTTCAAAAATTAAATCCCCCCTCTGTTGATCAAAAGTTCTATCGCGATCATATGAATTCATTATTACCGCACCTAGTCGATCTTGATGATCGCAAGTTCAAGCGGGCTCAATTACTGCGACTTTAACGACGAACATTAATACCCTCCCGTGCTCCCTTGAATTTACCGGCATACCAACCGCATAAAATCTATTTCTGCATATCGGAAACTCCCCCGGACCTACTCTAGCCATTGTGTATTCAACTGTGACGCAATGCTGAATTCGACTGGTGTATGTGTTAGTGCAGTCCATCCTGTTCATCCGACTTGGCGATACTCTGTGGACACCTTTTTTTTGGGTCGCCAAAAACATAGACAGATAGAATTTTACTTGTAATGGCACTTTCTTCCTCACTGATGGTGTCTTGATCTGATAAGACATGCTGGGTCATTGACGAGTGCAGTTGAATGCACACGACAACCAGAACTTTATTCAAGTTCCAAGTCTACTTTCTTGTCTTCCCGTGTCCAGGGTCGCTATCTGATATGGAGCCTCATGAGCCAATTATTGTCATGTTCTACATTCTGTTGCAGCCTCCGTGTCAACATCTACGAGATCGTTCGCCGATTTTCTTCTTAAACATGTTGTTTGGCGACGAAGACTCTTCCGTCGAAGCAGTGGAGCGGGTGAAACGGCGATACTAGACGGGCACTGTGGTTCTCAGCTTGGTCATGTCCGAGTCAGACTTCAAGTTGATTCAAGAGATAGAGCTCGGTCTTTGAAGGCGCCTGGCACCTTGGAAGTACTTACGGAAATTGGATAACGACATTTAAGAATGCGTAACACCATCCACAGCAAGGTGCAGTTGCCTGCCTGCTCTGCTAGGCGCAATTGTTCAAGTTTATCATCCGAGTCGTCTAAAAATAAGGGGTGATCACGACGCACGTGGCGATTGCCGAGGATTGTCTCTCCACACCCCCTAGCTGTGTCCTATAAAGACACGGCGATCCAGTTGTGTTCTGTCTCCTAATATTTTCATCGAGCTTTCCTCTTTCCCTGACGACCCCTAACATCATCATACCTCATCCTACTTCTACGTTACTACATATTGGTTGACAATACCTTGGGAACGGCGACCTCAGTCTACTTCGCAAAATATGCGGTCAACTGCTTATTCACGGGTGCCCAGGACACCTCGATTTGCTAAACCCGAACGTACGTTTACGCAAGTCTCGAGTATCGCGTTGAAGCTAATCTTACTTTCGCCGGAATATAGATTTCACTCGAGGCAAATATTCGGACTGGTGCTGTAATGTATGCACCCCTCACCTGCACCCCAAGTACATGAGTGCAACGGATGCCTTGCATCATGAAAACGATATACTTCACAATCAAAACGTAGCCAACGTAGAGTCGTGGCTGGGTCCACCGATGGTGAATTCCTGGGATTTCGAAATGCCCAAGCAGGCGGAGATGTCCAAGGACGAGGCCCGGGATTCGGAGCATCGATACTTTGTTGATCATATGGAGGAGTACATCTCCTATTGGATTAGAGGCATCGAGGCCGCGGAGAGAGACGAGGTTCTGAAGCTTGAAGATTACTTGGACTCGCTGGATCACGATGGACCGAAGGATCCATGGGGAAACTGGGGAATCACCCATCAGTCCAATACGAAGTCTCGCGGGGGCGACTGTTCTCCTTCTGATGACTTGGGATCAGCATATGCTAGCCAAAGGAAAGCTGGCAAGGGTCCGAAAAATACGGTTAGGAATAAAAGGCAGGAGCTGGGTGGCCGATTCACGGATGAATCTTACGCCTTCGTGGAGAGGATCGCGCGACGCGAGGAGGCGAATGCCGAGAAGAAAGAGCAGATGCATGACTTCTTCGAAGTAAGGGACGCTTTTTTGCGCCTTAAAGGAGCCTTGGTTTCTGATTTACTCTTCAGATGCCTACGGACAAGAAGGTGCAACGCATCGACGAGTTGATACAGAGCTTGCATGCGACCTTGCACACATGAATTTTCTGGATTTATTTACATCTCAGCATCCATTTCTTTAACCATCTTGTACCCCATATTACTCTCACAGCATCTATACATCTCTGTACCGTAATCATATAGGAATGATGATACCTGCCTGCTATGTAAATCCTATAACGGGCCCCTGCACAGCATTGATGACGTCAACACTCCTCCTGGGTGCTTTTCCAACATTTGGTCATGTCATACTACGCATTCACCTCTTTCACTTCCTTGCGATATTAATGACCAGGCTCTTCCCTACGGCTAGAGCAAACGGTTCCACGAATCTGGCCATCCGTGCTACGTGAGTACCTTCTTATCTTTTGCAGTCTAGTTCTCTTGGCTGACACAATTTCGGCATAGCTTGATATCCGTGCCAATCCCTCGCGCTCCATTTGGGTTCACCCTTACGAAGATGAACAGTTTCTCAAGGAAGTCCCGATATTCGAGAAAGACTCGCCCTGCCCCCCATTATTCCCCCCGAAAATCGTGGCCATTCTTTTAGTATAACTTCTGCTCCGCATCATAAGCGCGGGTTCTTTTGGGAAACTGAAAGATAACGCTATTGGCAGTAAAGAAGAAAAGGAGGCCGAGAAGGATCCGATCGCAATGGTGAGTGCGCTCAACGGCCATAACATGGAAAATCAAAATTTATTCTGATGCAGCTTGCAGGAACAGATACGTCAGAAGTATGGTGCTAACCAGATTTTGTATGGTACATCACAGTACAGGGCACCCCGATATGGAGCATCGCGGTAGAGGCTTGGGAAGCATGGCGTGGTAGGGCTAGCGGTTTCCTTCTTAGAGACTTGTTAGATGGAGGATTTAATGGTCAGAATAATTTTGGCAGAAGCGATTTTAGTGATTTTGGTGGCAGCGATTTTAGCAATTAAGCTCTGTATCCCTTGTTTCTGTGTAGCGGTAGTCATTTTGCTTTCTGTTACTTTTACGCGTTGGATGACCCAACTTGGTATGACCTCGTGCGAAATTTCTGTCATTTTTGCTGAGCTCATCGAGACCGTGGTCGACGCGACTCTGTGGACGTCGCCTTCGACGTTAGGCAGCAGACCGTCTGCCTCCATCCTACAATAGTGTCGTACATGGCGCCGGTATTGCCATCTTCGCTGAGCCCGCATATATGCATCATACCATCCGACGATCTCACCCAGCTTCTCCAGTTCTCGTCCTTGCCGCCATTGCCCGCAATTCTTCAATCTTTCTCTCCGCTACCACAAGGTCGGTTCACTCATAGCGGTTCTGGATCAATCAGAACCTGAATTTCTTTTGCAGTCACTACTCGAACGACATCCCTAACATCCGTACCGCACCCGTCATTTGCCTTGCGTTTCTCCGACCTTTCAGAGGTAGAAACCGCATGCAGAGAAGACGAAGAACAGAAAGCGGTTAGGACACTTGACTGGATCGGTGAACGAATAGGCCGGAGATGCGCAAAATGGGTAGAGGATATTCAGAAGCTTGGGGAGAAGGATATGTCGAGGACGCCATGGTGGGACGAAGTAAGGCGATGTGTAGAAGGCAGCCACGTACCTTCGAGAACAGAGACTTGGAACCATCCGGTCGCAGGTACGTCCTACAGACATATTGGCAGGAATTCGACTAAACAATTGTCAGTCATGATGGGAGTATCAACCAATGCGCCCAATCCCTTGCAGGCAATAACAGCCCTTCATGCTAGGCCTCTAGAGTTCCCGTCATGGGTAGATCCCAATATTCTCCGGTGTACTTTGATTATACATCCCCAGGATTCGGCTCTGTCAGATGAAGAGTACGTCTTGAACTTTACTTATCTGCATGGTAGTCTTATGTCGCCTAGAGCTGGTGCTCTCTTCAATGCCGTCAAGAAGCAATTTGGCTTACATAGCTATCTTCTGCCTCTTACATTGCCTAACCCACCGCCACCGCCAGTCCCTGTGCCCGCGCTGGTACCCCGTTTACCCCCCCTCTCATCTACTGATTCAACGCAACCTGGATCCTCTGGACCTAATGGTGATGCAAACCATTCCGCTGACGTTACGTTGAACACGCTGAGACTTGGAGAGTCCGATATCCAACGAACCGCTAGATTCACGCGCGAATTTCTGGTTATGAGCTTACTTCCATGGATGGAAAAATGCGTTGTAGAATGGAACGAGAGTGTGCGTTGGCATTGATCATTACCCAAAAGCTTCTAGCATTGGCTGATTGTCCTATCCTAGTTTTCTTCAACACGACGGCTCCCATCTCGTCTCTTCTCCTCAACGCGTCGCTTTTTTGGTTCTCCCTCACCTTCACCTACTCCGACCCATAATACGCACCATTCAGTATCCAGTCTCCGCTCTAACACATTTACTGGGTCGATACCGAGTTCGGGGCCCCCTCCCCTCCCGCAGCAACGCCGCCTGGCTGAATTTGCCACCATAATAGGGGATTACAAGCTGGCGGTAAATGTATGGGAAGCACTACGCAAAGAAGGACAAGGCGGTTATGTAAGTCGCAAAATCTTCCCTAGATGCTAGGTTTTGATAGTGTCACCCAGGATATTCTTCCTCTCTTACTCTCTCCGTCACCAGCTATCCCGTTACACGCGTCTACCGCTTTGAACAACATTCATCCATCATCGAATGACCCCCCTGCAAGTGCGCAGTTACGGGCCTTACTGTACGCTGCTCGTTGGGAAGCAGGCATTGGCCATCAGGATTTTTTGAGTGACACCCTCGAGGGCGAACGATGGCTCGTCTGGGCCTCCGGAAACGTGAGTTTTCCGACCCTCCTTCTTTTTACACGTAATAATCTGACAGTTCTCCAGTCAGAGGAAGCACCCTCGGCTTTGTTACTAGCTCATGCTGCACTATTGACCTCGGCCAAGGGGGCACGTAGGCGGGCTGCGTTATGGTACGTGGCGGCTGCAAATAGACTTGAGAAGTGTGGAATTGTGAGCACTACTTATTGTCAATTGCAATAAGGTATCTGAATCATTTATGAGTGCAGAAACCACTCACCATGTATTTTCTTCGGAAAGCCCATGAGTTATACAAAGTGCGGCCACCAAAAGAGCTCTCACCTTCTTTTTGGGACTCCGAAGGGAAATCATCGTCTTCCACGGAGGACTTGAACGCAATGCTATCGGTTATTGAACACCCATTAGGTATGCTAAGTTTCACGTACCAAAACCATCCATCGTTCACTGTCCGTCAGGTCGACTGTTATACACTACTGGAGATGTCCTAGATGCTGTCGGGTTCTTTTTAGGACTTTTGCGTGGTACTTCCGCAGCTTCATCACAATTGTCTGGGCTGGTGACAAATGTGGATGGAGAACCACCTGCACCCTCCACGGATAAACTGTTTCTGGATGATTTTAGAGTGGCCTTAGCTGTACGATGAGTTTTTCGTTGTATACCGCTGTGACTTATTTCTCCCACAGCATTATATATCCACCCCGTCCGATAAAATGGTACTCAAAGACCTAAGCCTTCCTTTCAATTTCTGTGTACCGAGACAATGCTGCGTTCGTCTTCCCCATGTGAGGTCAGATGAGGATCATTGGAAACAACGAGAAGAAGATTGGATAAGATTTTGTAAAGAGCAAGGGCTGTCAGAAGGTCTCGCCAAGGGAGGAGATGCTGCAGTTGATGGTAACACCACCTTGTTTTCTCATATTTACGATTCTCATGTCGTCTTTTCTTTCTCTTCAGAAACATTTTGGATCGACCTGTCTCTGCGGAATCCGTTAGACACCGAAGTCAATCTTTCAGAAGTCACAGTGGTTGTAGAGGAGGTGAAGAAGCAAGAGTCGTCCTCGTCGAAACAATTTGTTGACGTTCAGACCGTCGATGACGTAGTGCTAGGACCTAAGGAGTCAAAGATAGTGAGTGCACAATTCCAGAGTTTCTATACGCATTTTTTTAATAAAATTTTAGGTCTCCGTTGCCATCAAAGCATGGCAGCCCGCTTCCTTGGTCGTCACTCATGCGACCTACCGGTTCCTGTCCCTGCTCTCGACTACTGAGTCCCTCGCTTCTAGGGGCAAACGGCTACACAATACAGCCGCTCAACGTCAAACCCCAACGTATGCTCCGGATGTATTAATCAAAGCTGATATTACCGAGGCACACCACAAGCTGTTGGCGAACTTCGTAGATGATCGACGGCTAGTGCTTGGACACGGTGAAATCAGACCTTTGGCACTTTGGTTGTCGAATATGGGCACCCGGCCAATCAACCAAGTCTGGCTAGTAGCTGGAACGGAAGATGAGATATGGGTGGGAGATGACGAACCTCTAGTTCCTGATGTGCATGGTCAGTTTCCGTCGACTAACTGAGGCCACCACATTCTGAATGCTGGATTTATAGCATCTGAATTGAGTGTTGAGACACTGATTGCAGATAATGCTACAATTCCAGCTCAGCCTCAGCAGGTAAAACTCGACTCGCCACTGCAACCTGGAACCTCAATCGAGTTGTCCATAATTCTTCACGCTCAAGAAAAGGGGCAACAGGACCTTTGTCTTCTTGTTGTCTATCGTGGAGTAATATTTATAGCATTGTTTAGATTTTTGCTTGCTGATCACTTGTAACAGTCTTCTGGACACTTCCGATCGGTGCAAGTGACTCGCGAGTACGAGGTTCAACCTTTACTGAAGATATCTACTATCACGAATCCCTCGTCCATGCCTGACGATCAATTTTTGCTGAATTTGGATATTGAGAATGTATCGTCATCAGCGCTACTACTAGCACAAGTAACGACCATGAGTCCAACATGGCAGTGTCGATCAATCTCGCAAAGTCCCTTGTGAGTTCTACGTCACTGTTTGGACATAACACTCAAGTTCGTTCTGTAGAGGTCTTGTGCAGCCTTCTCAATCATCGCATCTATACTTGGGTGCAAATCAGTGGAAGGATGCGGCAGATCCGCAAGAATCGGTTAAATTTGTCTCAAGAAAACTGTCAGACGTACTCCAAGGCGTGCCTTTCGAACCTTCAAGGCCGCTTCCTACGCGGTTGTACTGTAGTCACATGTATAAGGTCTGTACCTATGCCGTTCCTAGCATACCGTTTCTGATAGTATACAGGCATCCCACCATCGGGCTGCCTTACAAGTGGCTACTCGGCATTTCATTTACAGCGGCAGGCGCAATTATACAACAAGAAAGATTGGCCAATCGCACCCGCTCATACCCTCAAATAACTATTCATCAATCTTCCCCTTGTATCATCCGAATTCTGTTGACATAGTGGTATTCTGGGAGATACCAGCTCAGCATCGCAGTGGCCATGTTCTGTTGGCAGGGATTAACCTTGGAGCAGGACATGCGGCGTTGAGAGATATTGTGAACCTTGCTGAGAATGCCAAGGCGACGCGAAGTATGTATGCTGAGACTCAGCGAGAGAAGGTGAAGATCCTTCAGTCTGTGAGGGACTGCGAGTGGAATTCAGAAATGAACCCTATTGTGCTTACTGTTCGGACCACTGACATCCTGGATCATGACTTCACAAACGGGTAAGCTGTCCTCGCCGTGTCACGCTGTCAGTCTGATGAGCGTTGCATAGGTCCTGTCGCGTTCCCGTTACTTTCACCGTCAGGAACCACTCGTTGACGCACAGGTCAAGTTTTGTGGTGAAACTATTTTCAGAGCAGTCCACTGATGCACCCACTACGTAAGCTATTCCCTTACATGTTTGGGCCAATTTCTTATTCTATTGCAGGGGTGCTATCCGACCATGTTACTCCGGCCGACTATCCTTCCGGGGAACGCTGAATCCAACGGAGTTGATTACAATACACCCGAAGGTATGGGTAACACGACCCGGTCTGTACGATCTCGATGCATGGCGGCTAGAAGTAAAGGTGCATGAGCTTGATCAGGCTCCTGGTGACAAACCGCGGACACGGCATCATTACATCCAGGAGTCCGGGCAGATGCTTCGTTCTCACATTATTGTACGCGATATTCGGGGTTTGTAATCCTTTGTTGTATTACAACTATATAATCGCATAGCTACTTGGAGTCATTATTTTCGTCCTCCGAAGCCTTGGCTTTCTTGCTGGCTGCCAGCCGCTGTTTCTTGACCCTCGTGTTAAATACGGTCTGAAAGATAAGGTGAGGGTGTTAGTTCCGGTAGATAGACAAGTGAAAGGCGTACACCGAGCACAAATTGGACCAAATTGAAAAATGGCACCCAGAGCTGAAGAAAGAGGTTAGAGCAGATAGCATTCATGTTAAATATACCTCACGTGCTGGGGAACGTATTTTTGAGCTACGAGCATTGACAAGGGCGAGACAATCCATGTAATCTGAAGCAGTTATATTCAAACTCTCAGTTGTTTAGGGAGGGGAAGCATACGCGTAGAACGGGCAGGAAACCAGCTTTCCAGGTTTTAATTATGCCATCCAGCGTCTTGGTTCCATTTATAATGGCAATAGAGGAGAGGTAAACTAAAGCAATCTTCAGTCTCGAAACTTCGCAAGGACGATGGACGCACTTGTTGCTTGAATGGGCGCTACCAGAAGGTTGTTGGCGATTATCTGTTGAATTCGTGCAGACGTCCCAGTCTTCCCTGAAAATGCCTTTTGGATAGCGCCGACAAGGACATGGCTCATTGGCGCAGACACCAAGAAGCCATAGAGCGCCATCTTCAGTGCCTTTGCATCAAGATGATACAAGGCCAGAATGCGCAAGAAAAAGGGCGCATTTCGCGGTACTCTAGGTGGTACTCCAGCAAAGTTGCTGCCGAGAACCTCTTGCAGAAGACAGAGAGTTGCTACAGGTAGAACTCGATTAATAAAGATGAGTAGTTTGGTGACTTGAAATAGTACGGACCAGAGGTTATTGCCTTTGTACGCAGAGGATGGGTCACAAGCTCGCTGAGGTACTTGACAAGGAGGGGGTGAGGCCCTCTGCTGGCAGTGACAGGCGCGCTCATCACTGGTAGTGTTGAATTGCCAAGCTAACTATGTTATAATGGGATTTCAAGCCGGCTCAATGGTAACCGGTTCCGGCCCGGAGACAAATTTGGTACCCGGCAAAATGTAAAAAATGCAATAAGTACATAGTCTACATTCGTAGAGTAAATAATCTAAGTGTGATAAGGGTATTATAATACAAAACCTCATTTCCCCTTGACCCTAAAGGACGTCATCAGACAGTGCAATATGGATGAGTCATATGTCGACCTACCAAATCTTGACATAATCGGCCAAGCTAACCATGCAGATAGTTTGCCATATACCGAGACCTATACGGGGGGTAACGCCACGGTAAAGTCCCTTGATTCCATTTTCCTTGTAGATGTAGGTCAAGGTGTTAAGAATCGTGAGTTTCTCGGGCCGGTTGGCAGTCGCTGCGCCTTTTGCCATGGATTGCATCTAAATACCAGTCGATAAGGCTCGGTGCAAACACGTCAACAAAGGCATACCTCGACACGGATGACTTCAATCGGTTGATTCCAAGTAGCCAGGGTTCCACCAACAGTTGAAGCTGCAATTTTCTCCAAGGCGTTCAAAGAATCGTTCTCGCCTTTGCCACGGGCTTTCCGGATGAAAATTTCAGTCAAGCGAGCGAATCCCATGCTGCAGATGTACAAGATAGATCAGTATTCACAACTGGACAGGATAAGGGGTGCACGTACCGAGAGCCCCAGTTGGTGCACTGACGCACCGCGACAGCGTTGACGCCCTTGTTAACACCAGCCAGACCTTCCCGTTTGTAAATTTGAGCAAAGAGTGCCCACGTTGAAGGGGCCTTCACTCCAGAAGCAGCCGTTTTTTGACGCGTTATTTCAGCTGTTTTCATACACGTTGTGAAACCTTGGCAAACAATAGATTAGCACAATGTCCGTGATTAGCTTGGACAAGGTCCAGGCCGCGATAACGTACCCATGGTCGCATAGGCTTGAGTAACACCTCCAGTCATGCCTCCCAAGAGACCGGCAAAGGCAGGATTAATTCCCATGGACAATGTAGTCGTTTCAACCTCTGATGCCGTGAAAATTAACACAGCACCCTTTGTTGAAGCCTCAATCCATGCCTATTAACCACAGAATGGAGCCCCGTCTGATTGAGTTGATTGCCTGCCACGTACCCATGGGATCAACCCTTGGTAGAAACCAACAAAACCTCCTCGACTCCAAACCGTTTTGCAGGCTTGCAACATCGTCTGTGAACGGTTAGCGGCCATCTGTGTCTTGAGGACTTCTAAAGGCTGTCCAAGAGTCGTGACCTGGTACCCTTGAGTCCATATTCGAAACGAGAATGATAAAAGTTCAAGATCATACCTCCTACAAAGTCCGTCAAAACGCGTCACGAAAAAAAATATATTAGAAATAACGTACGAACTAAGCACGGAAATTTTCAGGAAGAGAACAAGTCAGCTCCAACAGTCATTACGTATCGAAGAAAAGATGTACCATATTCATGATGGCACCTAAGCCTCGTCAGTTGGTCTTCACGTATCATTCTGTCTGGCACTTACCGACGGCGATGTTGGACCAGTTCACACCCTTTTGACCAGGTTCTTTCTGTATGGCCATCGTAAATACCCCGAAAAACGGTAGGGAGGGAGGGAAAAAAAAAAGAGATGGCGAGAGGGAGAGAGATGAGTGAGCTGTTAAGTGGCCCTATAAGTAATTGATTTTATTCTTTGGGGTGATCGGATATTGCCGAACTCCTTCCGCTGCCATAAGCGGGTCCTTGGTCGGAGCGCTCTGTTCAAGCAGTGAATCCACAATCTAGTCCGAGATCTGAAGGCAAATGGCAACAGTCATGATAGGCAGGGGTATGCATGAAAACTAAACACATTGAAGGATATCCGAAGTGACAGGGCATACATAGTAATATACGGAAATTAAAATCGTCGGTGAATGTAGGCAAGGCAAACGGCCAGTGCATATGTTAAAATTTAACAATCCGAGCCGGTATCCCTGACTTTCAGCTGTCCAGACAGCATCTCAATGTCTTCTTTCAATCTTGGAATAAACACGGAATCAGCGAATGCGTCAAATCAGGGCGCCGTCACGGAACACGAATGTGGCACCTTTAAACAAAATCAGACATACCGAGTGATCTGCTCCGAAGCCTCTTCTTGATCAGATTCGAGATACTTGATCTCCATCTCCTTACGTTCCACTTCGAGTTTGGATTCCTTCGCTTGAGCCTCCGCTGCTTCAAGTTTGGCAGCTATAGCCTTCAAAGCCTTCTCGTGTTCAGCTTCCAGGTCATATACCTTCAGGTTATGCGCCTCATGCAAGCGTTGCAGCTCCTCCTTCGTTACGCCGGGCGACTGAGGTGCAGCAGCTCCATTGCTCTTGGGGACAGCAGCCTCCACCGCAAGCGCTGCCTTCGCAGTAGCCAACTCACCTTCCAAATCAGAAACCTTCACGAGTAGCTCCGATTTCTGGGTAGCTAGCACCGAAAGCTCTTCGTCATGAGCAGTATGCAGTTTAGTAACCTCCTCAGCCCGTGCCTTGGCCACCTCCTCTAGCTCCTTTGTATGATTGTGCGACATCTCAGTCAGGGAGTCCTTGGTGAGATTGAGCATATCGGTAATCGCAGAGAGATCGTCCCTGATTACGGACAACTGAGTTGTAAGTCTCACAATTTCTTCCGCTTGTTCCGGCGATACCTCGGGAACAGCCGCTGCAGCTGCTCGAGCTTCATCGCGCTGGATAGTGAGGAGATCGATCTCCACACGAGCTGACTCGAAAGACGCCTTGGCTTTCGCTAGGTCGTCTTGTGTAGCTTTCAGTTCCAAGGTAAGGTTGCCGATCTGCTTTTCGAGCGTCTTAGCTTGGGCTTCAAGAGTAGAGGCGTGCTCCGCCTTCAGACCTTCCAGAGAAGACTGGTGAGTGGCAGCCATCTGAGCTATTGTGGACTCGAAATCTGTCCGAACAGAATTTAAATCTTTCTTGTGCTCGTCCCCAGCTTCTGTCTGTAACTTGATATGAGCATAGATCCACATGTTCCCAGAGAATCCAACGGACCTTAGCACGCTCAAAAGCCTCTTGCAGTAACTTGCTGTGCTCCTCCTTGACGGTACCGACTTTAGCATTGTATTGTGCTTCTTGTCCCTAATAAAGGTGAGAATTTAGCGGCGATCTTGCACCAGTTCCGGCGCACCTCCAGCTCTGCGGTGATCCTGTTGATCTCTTCTGAGAGCTCGCTCTGCCTAGCAAGGTGTCGTTGTTCAGCTTCGTCGAGGGAACGAGAATGTGTCTCGGCAGTCACTAGTGCCTTGTTCTTGAGAACTTCCTGAGTAGAAAGCGCAGCAGCCAATTCGCTCTTCAGGGAATCGAGCTGATCAAGAACTTTGGAATGTTCTTCGGCAGCAGCTTTGAGGGCATTCTCATGCTCTACCTTGACCGTTTCCACGTTGGATGCGTACTCTGCTTCCTTTGCTTGAACATAGCCATTAGCTTTCTCGGCGGCGGCGGTGGCGGCGGCGAGTTCGTCTTGCAGCGCCTTCAGCTTCATTAGTGATTGCTCCCGCTCTTCACCGAACGTCTCTTGGCTCTCCTTCAATTCCAAGATCTCGACCTCCAGCTCCGACACCTTGCTCGCGTTTTCTTCTTTCTCCTCCTGCAGAGAAGCAGTCAGAGCCTCCAATGCGGCCACTTCTGCCGCCTGCATTTCCAGCTCGGCAATCTTATTCTGAGCTTTTGTCAGAGCCAGATCATGAGATTTTGTCAACTCTTTCAATTCTGCTTGGATTTCTGAGAGATTCGCCTGAGCTTTAAGCAAAGCATCATGTTCCACGGAAGCTGCTGAAGCCGCTTCTGATGTCGCGGCAGACGTGGCATCTTTAAGAGCCTTAATGTTGTCCTTTGTCTCGGCAACTTCGGCTTCCAGCTCCTTAATATGTTCCTGCAGACTGGCAACAAGCTCAGCCTGGGTCAACATTGCAGCCCTCGCGTCTTCAAGCTATACCGAGTGAACTTCATGAAGACGGAGATGAGGTTGTGCTTACCGCTTTCCGCACGGCTTCTAGGGCAATGACACCTTCCGCATGCGAATGCTTCAACTCCTTGTACGCCGCCTGGGCACTCTCCACTTGCACCTCTAGCGAAGCTTTGCTTTCCTCTGACTGTACAGCTGCAGATATCTTCGATTCCAGCTCGACTTTGACGGCTTCAAGGGATGCATTGGCTTGCGACAATTGAGCCTTGAGGTCCGTGGCTTCTTCCGTCTTGGACGTAAGAGCATCGGTGGCATCCTTGACCTGTGAACGCGATCAGAGATGCCCAAGTAACGGAAAGGAGTGTAGATGCCTTGGTTTGTAGTTCCTCCAAAAGCTTACTATCATCCCGAACTTCGCGGATGGAAGAGATAGAGGATGTCGTACGAACTTTCGGGGCGGTGGAAGCTGGCTTTGCGGCAGGTGCCTTGGCCGAAGAAGGCTTAGCTGTACTGGGCAAGCTTTGCCGTGACGCCAAGGGTGCCCTCTTCACAGCATCAGAAACAGATGCGCGCGGACGAACGGGTGATGTCGCTTTGGGAGCGGCTGGAGAGGCGGACGTGTGGCTGCCCGAAGCAGAGGCCGCGGTTACGCCAGTGGTTGGCTTCGAGAAATGTGATAACGGAGTCTTGGTAGGTGGTGCTGAGGACCTCCGGACTGCAGTAGCAGAGGATGATGATGATGTTGCTGCTGCGGCAGGTCGTGAAGCCATTGGTGGTTTAGTCGAGGCAGAGTTGGTGGATCTTCTCAGGGACGGCGCAGGGTGCTTAGCAGCAGAATCGGCGGCGTGTGGTGCTGGCCTGGTAGATGGCGGTTTAACAGAGCCCGACCCAAACGTTCCAGAATTCAATACCTGATTATCCGAATGATATAACAATGATAAGTGACAAACGTCGTGACCAGCACCTCGAGACGCACCTTCTTAACAATGGGAGTTGTAGGACCGCGAGGCTTGGTCGTGGTAGTACCAGCTTTGACTGACATGGATGGCTTAGCAGTGGTGGATTTGGCCTTCTGTGATGCTTTTCTTTCCTCCGTCTTCGTCGAATTCTCAACAGGTCCTTCTGGAGTTTCGTTTACAGGCCTCGTGTCGCCATTGGCTGAAGGGTCGTCAGCGGTGGCATTCCCCTGGGACGTTATGTCCGAGAGCCGTTCCACGTCTACAGTGTGATATTAGATAGGCCTCGTGTCGAGCATGAGGAGACTCGAGAAGAAAATCGTAACTTACCCTCTGTAGATTCTGCGATAGCATCAAGATCAGAGTCTTTGGACGATGTAGACGGTACGTCGTGAATATCTGTCTCCGCCATAGTGGAGAGCGTCTTAAATAACGAACAAGAAAAGAATGAAATGAAGGAGGAGTGAAGCCCAGGGTGGGCTGAGCTGAACCCGGCCCCTAGGAAGGAAATTTTGGCGCAACGCTTTTGCCAAATAAAGGAATTTGCCGGGATGTGACGCCAGAAGCAATTAGTATTTTAAATTACACGTCTTTGGCGTGTGGTAGTACTGTTGTGTGGCTGGTGTGTGGCTGGCGTCGACTCTACGTGTATCATGGAAATTTATTAACTTTAATACAATACTTATTAGTACTACAATCACAAAAACTTTGCTATTTGAGGTCTGCATATAAATTCAAGGCGTCCATCGCCGGCTCTTCCAAATTATTGTGGTTGTATCCAAGCACGGCGACCTGAAGAACTATAATAAGCAGAACAAAGATGGAGGTACGTAAGACGCACCCCTCCAGGCTCTACGTTGAAATTTGTACCTACATGACAACATAAGTTGGTTTAATTGGTAGTCATAAATCTCACGTACCGAGACGGAGGGGAAAGCGGATCCAACGAGCCAAAAGAACGCGACTAAAGTGCCCGTGTGCCACGATGACTACATCACGGGTATTGAGACCCTCTTCCTTGTATTGCCGGTGATATTCACGGACCTACGAGTGGATGGTAAATAGTGCCAGAGTTGAAGTACTATGCAGCACAGTACTCACATTCTTGATGACAAGGTCGACACGATTCTGCATCTCTTCTACACCTTCACCGTCGGGGCAACTGCAATGAGACCAAGTCAGATATGGTTTTATCAGTTGCGTTATCAGACGCACCCATCTTTCCAGATCTTCCAGCCCGGATCGCGGGCTTGAATTTCAGATGACAGAAGCCCTTCGTATTGACCTGAAAACGGGGGTTGGAATGGATTCATTCCTTTATAGATAGCCTGACCATAATCCCATTCTCGGACATCTTCCGTGATAATGTGGTGTGGCGTCTCGACGTGGTCGAAGAGAAGGTGAAATGTCTTGTGGGCTCGCTGGCGAGGAGAGACGAAGACAGTGCAAAGATTCTTAGGATCGATGATCTCTGAGCGACGTCAGAACAGGAAGAAGTTCACTGAATAGACACGTTGTACTTCCGTCACCAACTAAGATCTGAGCCTTGCTTTTGATTTGTTCTTCACCCCGTGCCGTAAGAGGAATATCACTGCGACCGGTCTGATATCTGCCCGCTTAACCAACGAATACAGAGATAGATATTAATGAGAAATACTGACGTGCCTCCTGGAAGAGAGTCAATAATGAAGTAATGAAGTGTTTGCATCCAGGGCAGCTGTCTTACCCGTTCAAGGACCATTCAGTTTCTCCTGCACGGATGGCAATCGGCTCCAGGAAATTTTATTACAGCACAGACACACACCATGACGGATGAGAAAGAGACGCGGCATTGGACGTGCCATGGTTTCGGACAGTGGTGAAGACGCAAGCCTGCAATATTAGCCCCTTTATACATCGTGGGAGTATTGGTAATGCGTCCGTTCCGGTGATGGGACTGCCTTTCTAGGACACAGTAGATATTGGACAGCATTCAACTCATGTTTGACGACTGTAAGTGTATCGTTTCCTATATTTTCAAGATATCCTCTGACTGATCTACAAAAAGATGTAGAACACGCGACCGTGGCCTCTTCAGTGCCCTTTGCCTTGCCACCTATACAATATGAAGGTTTCGAACCAGGACCGCATCAGCAAGAGGATCTTAGAGAAACTGGAGAGTCAGACTTGCCCGTGCGTCGCAATCGTTGTTAAAGATGAATTGAATTTCATGATTCCCTTCTACAGATCAACGCCAGCTACGATGGGATTGCGGCTCCAGTGTTCAGCATCGGCCAAGTTCAGTGTGCAATCAACGCGGCGCTTGTCTCTCTTGTTGTCTGCTCAGATATCTTGGTCATGGCTCTCAAGTCCAACGTTCTCATTATAATTGAACTCACTCCTCCAAGCCAGCCAACTCGAATCCAAATTCCTCGGAAAGAGACGGATATGACCATCTACAAGTTATTCATGGATCCTTCCGGCAGGCATATTGTCGTCACCTCGCTGCAGGGAGAGAACTGGTATCTCTTCAGGGCCTGGAAGAAACCAAAGCTACTCAAGACGTACAAAATGGTCATCGAGAGTATTGCATGGAACAAGACTGCCCTTCTTTCTAACTCTTATCCAACATCGACTCGCGAAATGCTCATTGGGACGCGTAATGGTACAATTCTGGAGGCCGTCTTGGATGCAGAAGATGACTTTTTCAAGTCTCATGAAAGATACTTACAATCCATGTTTTCACTTCCCGAGAGACAACCTATTACAGGCATCAGGTTCGACTTGTTTCCGCCGTCGGACGCGAAGAAGGCTCTAGTTGTGGCAACCACTCCATCGAGGATATATCAGTTTGTCGGGTCACCTGACCACAGGCCAGACGACGGTGGTCGTATCTTCTCCAGTTTCTTCTCCAGCTATAGGGATAGTGCTCCAAGTTCGTGATTACAACTTTGTTAGGATTCAGCATTAAACAAAGTCTGGCACAGGAATCCTCGAGCTACCTGGAGACCTGACTTATTCAGAATTGCATTACTACACACCCAACGCAGAGCAGGCGTTCTCGCTCCCTCGATCAATGGCATGGTTGACGGGTACGTGTTTGATTGGTTGATGGAGAGCTATTCTTACATTCACTTAGCCCCAGGAATATACCACGGGAACCTGAATTTTGATTCGACTTCAGACGATTTCATTGACGCTGCCGATGTTCTCCCCTATCCCGCGCTATCTTCCCCAGCGTCTCTTCCTAACGCACCTCGATCAATATCTCTCAGTGAATTTCATTTCATTATGTTATATCGAGACCGGGTTGTGGGTATATGTCATCTCGATGACAAGCTCGCTTATGAGGAGTCATTGCCTCTTGTGAGTCTTCCAAGGTCATCAAAGAATATCAGTTTGACTAAGGTCTCGCAGAAACCAGAAGAGGAGGTCGTTGGGCTAACCGCGGATCCCGTTCGAAAGACTTACTGGATTTATACCAATCAATCGATATATGAATTACTGATAGGAAACGAGGATCGTGATGTGTGGAAAATATATTTGGAGAAAGGGCAATTTGACATGGCACTGAAGTATTCCAAGGTGAATATATTTGTATGGTCTCTCACGTATATTAATTGTCATCTAGACAGCTACACAACGCAATCACATACTATCAGCACAAGCAAATGCTTTCTTTAATGAGACTCGCTACTTCCAATCAGCTCAATGTTATGCTCAGTGTTCAGTACCGTTTGAAGAAGTGGCATTAAAGTTCTTGGATGTCGGTGAACGTGATGCTTTACGGTCCTATCTCATCTCTCGGTTAGAGAGAACCAGGAGAAAGGCAAGACTCTATCACGAACGAGGAATATTCATTAATGCGTTGTCTAGGACCTAACGCAACGTCTTATGCTGGCTACCTGGCTCGTCGAGTTTTACCTCAGCAAGTGTAGTGAACTGGATGACGTTGTAGCATCTGAATCTGTTTCTCATGATGTCGAGAACCTGCAGACGGAGAAAACGATCTTAGAAGACGACCTACGGCAATTCTTTGAAACCTACAAGGTCTGACTCGCTGGCTTTTGGGTATAGAAATTTCTCCTCACGAATTCAAAATGTAGCAAAATCTCGATCCTCAAACGACCTATGAACTTATTCAAGGCCACGGTCGGACTGATATGTATTTGCACTATGCGACAGTGATCGGTGACTTTGACCGGGTAGTTGAACATTGGGTTCTGGAGGAGGAATGGTCTAAAGCACTGGATGTCATTAACCGGCAGGTATGTTAGATGGTCTGTGTACTATGCAATGCACTGACCGGTCACAGACAGATCTGGGTCTCTATTACCGGTTTGGACCTGTGCTCATGCGCAATACTCCACGGGAAACGGTGGATTCTTGGATAAAACAACCATCCCTTGATCCACTGAAGCTGATACCTTCCCTTCTTCAAGTTCAGCACGCGCTTCGTGATCCCCTATCTCCAAATCACGCCATCCGATACCTCAATCATGTCGTATTCGAACAGCATAACACATTTACCACTTTGCATAATCTCCTCATCACTTTTTATGTGTCACCTACCTCACCATCATCCTCTCCTGTGGACGATGGTCCTCTTCTTCGATTCCTGACTAATGCCCCCTGTGATCCATTGACTGACAAACCTTACTACGACCTGGACTATGCTCTGCGACTCTGCAAGCAGACCGGACGCACACAACCTTGTGTTCACATTTATTCGAAGATGGGATTGTGGGAGAACAGCGTTGACCTAGCGCTTGAAAAGGGTGATTTAGAACTGGCCCAAATTAATGCCGATATGCCTGAACAGGATATACCTTTGCGCAAGAAGTTATGGCTAAAAATTGCTCGATATGTTGTCCAGGACAAAAAGGATATCAAAACGTTTGCTGATAATGTTTTGTTTGTTGTATGCCTGCTAATCTTTGCGCCAGGGCGATGCGATTCTTGGAGAACACTGATCTCCTCAAAATTGAAGACATTCTTCCGTTCTTCCCCGACTTCGTTGTAATTGACGACTTCAAAGAAGAAATAGCTCGCGCGCTTGAAGGATACTCGTCGCATATTGATACCCTCAAGAGCGATATGGACGAGGCCACACGGACGGCAGAAGTGATTAAAGAAGATATCGCGGCGCTGAAAAATCGGTTCGTCACTATCGACGCAGGGGAATCGTGTTCGTCGTGTTCCCACCTTTTGCTAATTCGGCAATTCTACGTCTTCCCTTGTCGCCATGCTTTCCATGCGGACTGTCTGATCGGTCTTGTAAGTAATCTTTCCATGACATTTGACATCCGTGGCGTCAATATCTTCGCAGGCAAAAGAATACCTTCCGCCTCATTCACTGCGACGAATGATTACTCTACAGAACGAACTGGTGAAGGGAGCAGCTGGTAACCCTCCAAATGCTTCCAGCGCGCCAAATCCCAGTCAAAATAACCCTCGGAATCCCCAATCACGTATTCTGCTCTCTTCAAACTTTCCCAATCCTCTCCAGAACGGCACTCGGGCTGCAAACTTGTTGGGCCGTAGCGTACTATCAGCCGGCGACAAGCTCAGGGATCTCATCATTCCAGATGCACTGGCTGCCGCTGTCTCGCCATCTGCGTGGATTCCTGGAATGGGTGGCCGAAAGGACGAGATCGATACGGACGGAGGAAGGAAGGTTGAGAGGCTGAGAGCAGAGTTGGACAACATGTTGGCATGTAATTGTCCTCTATGCGAAAGCGTGATCGTCGGTTTAGATAAACCGTTTGTCAAGGAGGGTGAGGTCGACACGACATGGACGTTGTAATTACATGTATACACTGCCGACGTTTAGCATCATGGATAGTATACTACTACGTACAGAGTGGACCCGAAAGGTCGGTGAGGGGTTAACCGTTAATTTTCTTGCTTCTACCAGCTTTTCTCCGTAGTCGAGCGGCTTTTCTAGCGCTCATCTAAAATCCTGTCAATTTGAGAGTAGGGGTGGGAGGAAAGTGTCAACCTTGGCCTTCTCTTCTTCCAGTCGTCGCCTCTCTTCCGCTGCCTTTCTTCTCTCTAATGTTATTTCTTTCCGACTACAAGAAATGAACAATGTCTCCGGTTGCAAAGGAATTCAACGTACCGCGTAAGTTCAGCTTGCTTTTCGTCCTTCAACTCTTTCTCCAGCTTTTTAATAGACATAGCTTTCTTCGCTTTTTCCATTCGATCATCCCAGCTCTTGGACTTCCGTCCGGCAGATACGAGACTTCGGCTGGAGAGGGCAAACGTTGGGATTTAAGAGACCTGGCTGGACCTGGTTGAGAAATAGTGAACGCACACTGTAGCAGACTTTAGATGTTTCCAGGATTTAGCTGAAACTCGGCCATTTGACGAAGCACGCAAAGGAACAGGTACAATTTCAGGCGTCGACGAAGAATCCATGATGAAGTAGTAGGCTGAACAAAGGCTGACAGGGAAAATTGTTTGTACATGTTGCATGAGAGGTATTCCGGACCGATCGCAATTTCGAATTTCCACTTTTCTTGGTCCTACTTTCAGCTTTTCTAATGCCATCTCTGGGGAAAGGCACCTAGGATTCCTATGCCCCGTTGATTTCTTGGTAAATCGTCTACTTGGACGTCTAAAATGTCACACTATGCGGTACATACGGCTCTGAATTTGCCGACAGCAACATCACACCCCTCCTCAAATTGCGTTCAATGGTCGTCCGATGGACAAGTCGTGATTGCCACCAAGTCGGCTGTATACATAATGGTGTGTGGTGACAATCCAACCCGCAGAACATTCTGACGGGTGATATTAGACACCAGACCATGGAATTAATTTTGATACGACCTCAGTTATCAGGTCTGTCGGTGAAGCGGGAGGTATACCTCATGTAGGCTGGTTCCGGACGTTGATTCAGCTGGATAAAACCGCTGCTGTGCGATGGCCCGAATACTCGCAAGGTGCAGTCTGCATTTCTTTCGCGTTGAGCTCGAAGTGACATATAATTTGAAGAGTGGGGTGCAAACTCATTAGGATCAATAGATGTTTCTCTGTTAGCAGTGACCATCTCACCGAGCTGTGTCACTGTCGACGCTGGGTATGACATATCTTGACTCTGCGTATGGCTCAGTGTTGAACGTTCTGCCAGATGCGTAGTCGCAACTCTAAGTTCAAACATGGATCTATCACTCTGGGTATCAAGCAAGAATACTCTGAAAGGAGAGTGGACAAGAGTTGGTGCTTCTATCAGGACGATGGGCAACCCTGTTGACTACAGTCCAGACTCATGACGTGACGACCTTCCTAATAAAAGAGTACGCGTTGGTTCATGAGACCGACCTCTCCAATGTCCTCAAGGCCCAAATTATCAGTGCGTCCATCATATACGACACATCTATCCAGCATAAATTTACCATTACAGGTATGTCGTGGTCTTCTCAACCTAACTTTGGAGTGTCGCCAAGCCCAATGATCAATGGGTCACTGCTCGTTGGTGGAAGTCGCGGTGGGTCCGTAGTGTTTGTCAGGTGAAGAATCGAGTTTATCTTTTGATGGTAACTCAATATCATGTAGGTATAATGAAGAATACGACGTTCAGCACATACATACTATATCAGTTGCGGAAGGATGGATTACCAATGTGGCATTTTCTACTTGGACGTTAGTCGGTCCTGCACGATGTAGGTGAGACCCTTATGTCCGAGTGGAACATCTCTCAGACGAGATACAGGCGAGGCGCATGTAGCGTATGCTGTTGCCGATGGCACTGTCGGTCTGGTCAAAGTCATTGAAGAACTCGAAGTCTCGTCAGATGATTTCAGCGAAAACTATAAAATCAGATTTACTTTTTTCAAAGAAGATTCGAATATCGACGGTCGTGATGGTCGAGGAGTGACAGCTTTACAATGGATAGAAGTTCCGAGAAAGGCGGTGAGGCTCCATCGTTCATCCATACTTTTCCTGACTATCCTTTAGTATGCACTCGTTCACTGTAAACCGGGAAGAGTGTCCCTGAGCACATGTCCTGCATCAACGCCTTTTTCTTGGTCGGGTATCAGGACCCTCACTTTGAAATATTACAGGCTTTCAGTTGGATCATCGCCTTTCCTGCCCGTATCAGGCATTCAATACGTGTCTGGACATGACGCTGTCGCTTTGACTCTTTTTGATGGCTCCATACATATCATTCATGACGTAACAAATAACCCTTCATGGGATGGTTCCTCGCTCACAACCCAGGCCCTCTCAGATGCTGTCCGAGCAATATTCGTTCGCTCTGAAAGTGAAACCATTCAGAACATGGATGATAATCATATTAGTGGAATGGTGCCATATGATAGCATGGGCAGTTTAATATGGATTCATGAGTTCGTAGTTTCCTTTCGTCGGGTGATCGACGCTATTAACGTCTTCCAGGGCATCGCGAACAGCTGACTTCAGCTATAAGCATGACGCACGGCATCAAAGCATGTTCATGGTGGCTCAGATATGGGATCAGAGTAGTCATAACAATATCCTTCAAGCACTAGAACACACACTGAACTCTGCCAAAGCCTGTATGACGTTTCCCTCCGCTACTGTGTTGATTTCCTATGAAAACCCCAGATACGTCGCCTCTGAACAGCCTTCGGCCAATATTCTTTCATATCCGAAGCAAGGATGAAGTATCAGCCCTATACACTGAGATCATTAAAATCCTATCAGTCGAACTGCCTGATTATTCCACCGGCATTTCTATCTTTCCATGGAGTGGTCCCCTACTTCCAGAAGCAAAACGCGCTTTCAGAAGAAGTTTGACGAAACATCTTTTTGGCTGGGATATTCTGATAGCCTTGAGAATGAGGCTTTCGGTCTCTGATTACCTTTGGGTACGTCGCTTCACTCTCTTCTATGGGCATGGCTTGAATTTAGGGTAGAAATTGTCAGATGATGCCGTGAAACAGGAAGAACTAGGGTACGCAGCACAATCCCTTCTGAACACTATTTCGCATCGCATTCTGCGTACCATGATCCGCCATTTGGCAGCTATTATGCACTGTCTTACAGGTAAGTCTATGCAACCATTTATTGGGCACATGTTTACTCTTTCCCTAGAACATGATGTTCCCTTCGTGTTGAGGATGGTAGTGCAGTCACTTCTCCCCGGCTGTCCTCAAGACCTGTTATCGGAGGGACAAGACATATCCGAGAAAATCAAAGCGCTTTTTCCAAACCAGGCATCAAACGGATTCGCTGAGCGTTGTCCAGCATGTCAAACCGAAATCCCTCTGGAGGATATTACCGTGGCTCGCTGTCCTTTCGGTCATATATGGTGTCAGTGCTTTGAATTGCCCTTTGACAAGTTTGAGCTAACGAGATACGAATGACAGCCCGATGTTCTATCACGACTTTTATACTATCAACACCGTATCTTCGGAGTTGCATTGGCTGTACGCGAAAGGCGTTTCTTCCACCGTCGTCTTCTGGTGTTCCAGCCACCGGGGACTGGCTGCCAACAACGGCGAGGGGATGGGTCACGGAAGAACTCCTGGAAGCGGTCCATCGTTGCCTTTTTTGCGGCAACACCTTTGTTAGCGTTTTGTGAAAACACGCGTTGTGCAAAATTAGACGTGAATGAAAAACTTATTGATTTACGTTGTCGGCGGCCGTGCATTTTGATTTTCGAAAGATCCCGTCAAGCGGTTACGTGGAGGCAGCTACGGTTCCCAAAAGGGCAATTCCGTGCAAGGTACAACTGATTGTATGCATATGTTGACGGAAGATCAGCCATGGACTTGGGAGTCGGCCTCTAGCATCTCTGCCTCTCGCCATCATGTTGCGGTCGATGAATTCCCCTCCCGACCCTCATGAAGACCATCTTCGCCATCTTCTCGACCAACGCGCCACTCGCGCTGACCTTCATTCTCGCGTTCCTTCTCTTTCCGAGTTTTCAGACACCCCTTCAATATACAGCCATCCTTTTTTCTCTCCTCAACCACCTCATAGAGAGGCAGATACAAGCAGTCTGGCGTCCCAGTCGCTATCCCGCTCATCGCCCAGGTCAGGCAGGGAGCGGAATCGCCTCAACGAACTCGCAGTCAGCATGCTTGACCTCGACGAGGATCCCCGCTCGTCCTTTGCCTCTTCCTCTGTATATAACGATGAAGACCAGAACGATTACAATGAAAATGACGAGGATGACGAGCCTATGCCTCGTATGAGCCTTCTTGGTCCAAAGATGCGCTTTCATTCCAAGGCGCCATGGGAGTTGGATGAGGGACCGGTGATGGAGGACGAGGTAGGGTCGGATAAATGTCCGGACCAGCTGAAGAGCACCTTTAGCCCTGTTCAGCCTCTCGATACCAGGAAACCGAGTTTCGAATCCAGACGATCTCAAGGCAAAAGCTCCTTCGAGTCGGCGTCGTCCCAAATGTCCTATTCCCGGGGACCCCTCCAGTGAGTTCCTTGCCAAGATCTTTCTTATCTTATGTGCTCTAATTGTAGGATTACTAGTGCTCTAACTCACTCCAGTACGTCCTCTGGTTCGTTGGCTTCACCAAGAAGTGGACCGCGGAGCCCCTTTTCCATATCGCGTGTGCGATCTCACTCACCCTCTCTTGCGCAACCGCCACTCCTTTTACCGACCTCTTCATGTTCCCCCCCAGAATCTTATATTTCATCAATGCATGACGTCGGTCAGCTTGATACGAACTCATCCCGCGTTCGCTCTAGACCTTCGTACTCCTCAAACGAAGATGACGCCCATCCTTATTCTAATCCTAATCATGCTAGATCAGCCTCAGAACAATCATACGACACGTCGGAAGTTCTGCCCCACCTCGCCTTTCCTGCTGTCCCACGCAGCGACTCATCTGCGACAGTGACAGAAGTTCAGTATGGAAAGGTTTTGTGCCGCCCTGACACACCTCAGCCAGAAACGCCAGTCCTGCCAGCTCTTCATAGTCCTCGCTCTACCATTCAAAGAAAAGAAATCTCCTCTCCCATTTCTGTGCAAAGCATGACGATACGTCCTGGTGACATTTCTCTCCCAAGCGATCCCTCCAATCTCCTTGGATGGACCGATAGGGGAGCACCCCCTGCTTTTGGGTTAATCTCTCTGGAGGAGGCCAGAGCACAGAGAGCACGGACCATTGCAGCACAGGCTGCTGCTTCCACTCCCAGTTCGACAGATCCTGCCTTTCATTTTCCAACAAAGGAGAACGTCAATGATCATAGCCCCACTAGCAGCGTTACTGCCAGGGCAAGAGCTCGGTCCGTCAGCGCCGGTACCCGAGCTAAACAAGCCTTCAGCAACATAGTCAGTGGAACCCCTGTTAAGGTTGAACGTCGTGATTCGGAGCCGGCTGTTGTTCTACATTCCACAAATTCTTCTGGCTCTTCCCCGGGAGGAAAGGGTTTGAAGCACAAGAAGAGTGGTTTCATGAGACTTTTCAATGGCGGCAAGGATGATAAATCGCCGCCTCCGCCTGTGCCTTCCCTATCTGACGGCTACGCCGCTTTTAATGCCCAACAATCGACTCAGAAGTCTGTCAAAGTCCCCATACACCGCATTCCTGTGCCGACCCTCTCCTCTAGTCTCACAGACTTTACCAAATCCTCTTCTAGCGTCAAACGCACACATCCCCCGTTATCTATCAAAACCTCCTCACCAGCAGCTATCAGTCGTCCAACGCCCTCATCAGCAGCAGGTCCGCATTTCCCCCTAAAACTCGGTATTCCTAACGAGTCGCCGCAGAGTGCGCCTGCTAATGTCACTGAGTTCCCTGCACTGAAGCTCAGGCCCATATCTACCATGTTCAGCGCTCAATTCGGTGATCACTTGATACCAAGCAGCTCGCTAACGTCTCCTGATGCAGACACGCCTAGCTCTGCCAGCCCGAGCACGGCCGTATCACCAACCACTCCTGTATCTTTTTCTCGGCTGAGTGACAAACCCGTTGTCATGGACGCGGGCGATGACCAGTCCTCTGTTATCCGTGCTTTACAGGATCAGATTGTATCTGCGAAGAAGGCTTGGCAGCGGCACATATGGGAGCTTGAAGGCCAGATTAAAGACCTGAAAGAGGAGGTCGAATCACATCACACTAATGATAATGATGAATATTGTTCTTCTTGCGGGCGGGGTCGCCGCCGACGTGCTGATGAGTCGCACCCCACTGACGGAGAATCCAAAAGTGTCAGCATCAACAGATCTAGAGACCGGACCGGCAGAGGCACTTCGCGTTTTGGGAGGGCTGTGTAAATTTTTCAACTGCGCGGCGTGCGGCACTTACAAATTGTACAACACTTCCATTCATTTGTCGCTCGTTTTGTGGAATCTTCAACAATATTTTATCATTTATTTCATGCTACTTTCTGGGACCCGTCGTCTTCGTCTCGTTAATTATGACTTATCTATGCCTTACACTGTTGTTGTAGTACCTCTCCTTTTTTTCTCATGACCGAGATTTATTACGTATCTCCACTACATAATTCTCTTGATTCTGTCTTGTTGTCAAAATTATCTGTCACTCGTTTCTCAGTCTCTCGTATCTCTAACTTCGTTTGGCCGGATTCCCTTGTAGACATCACACCCCTTTATTCTGAGTGTCTAAACATGTATATAAATCACAAGTCCTCTTCACCAGCTCCAAGAAGCCATCCGATTCCTTTTGAGAAGACCCTTGTAGCCTGCGAAGAGACATCATCTCCGTCCCTGGGTCGACTCCCACTTCGGGAGGTCTCATCGTCAGGATGAGAACGAGGTCTACCCCTACTGAACGGAAATCTTGCTGCTACAGTTTTGAAGGTCCTGCTTGCCAAGGCAGCAGCATCTGGTGTGCTCAGCAAGGGAGGAGACGGCATGTGAAAATCTGCAAGCCGTGATCGGAGAGAAAATTCGTGGTGGTCAGCGGCTGGAGTACGTTTTCTAGGTAAAGCTGCACCACCGGCACGCCGACGTTGGGAAAGACGGGTTTCTCGCCGCTCTATATCTTCCTTTTCCAATCGTCGCCAAGCAGTAAGTACGTCATGAAGCTGCTCTGGAGGACACAGCTCCAGCGAACGGCCCAAGAGCGACAGTTTTTTCTCGACGTCATCGAACTCTGGCTGCCGACCCAACTGGAAGCATGCAACCCAGCACACCTCGCTAGCTTCCTGCATCTTGGATGCATTCGCATTAGAGGAGCGTAATACGAGGACGGTGTTGACCATGCGTTCGCTAGCTTGATATGCACGCGTAAAATCCTCGTTTTGCAACGCAGTATCTGCAAGCATTGCCAATGTCTTCACTTCTGCCGTAACGTCCCCACGGAATCCAAGCATGGCTACCAACTCTAAGATGACTTCCGTATGCTTATATGCATCAGCGTTGCTGGAAAGGACTCGGGACACGAGAGATAAACGGTCTTTCGTAAGTCGGATCTCGATGGGAGTGATGGGGATCCCAGGCCGGGACATCACATTGAATGACGACAGCCGGGATGTCGCTTCGATGAACTCCTTTTCTTTTCTGATTCGTTCTGATATATGGGGGACATCTAGACTGATTTTAAAAAAAAATACATGAAGATCATTATGGAAAGCATTCATTGAAGCTTACCATTCATAAGCAAGTTTCATATCTCCAACTTTATAATTGCCCGAGCTGGCGTTGTCGTAAAATTCCCGAACGCATGTCAGACATATATCCTCAATAGCCGTCGTATCAAGCACCGAGATGTTGCGGTTGGACTGTAACAGTGCCTTTGCAATGTCGAATTCTGGCCGATCATGAATCTGCAAGTATGCACGAAGTGAAATATACGCACTGCCAGAAATTAAAAGCCCATTAAAAAATGTTCGAGTAACTTCTTCCTGCGATAAGAGGCCGAAAGCACCTCGCAGGTCACTATTTCCCCTTCTAGACAGCTTGATCATGTCCTTAAGAAGCCATTCCCAATCTTCTCGAGTACTGAGCTGATCTGCAGAACCCGCTCGGCGAGCCATCCTATTGGCCCATGCCTTCTGCTCAGCTTCATCATTCATGCTCTGGAGGAACCAGCTGAGGGATGCTGCAACACTCCATCGAGAGAGTATTTCTCCCGATTCCAGATGGACGTCAAGAATATCTAGGGCTCGTGAAAGTGAGGACAAGGGTAAAGGCTTGAAGAACATAAGTAGATCTGATGCTGTACATCGCGGTCGAGCGATTGTCGGGGTGACAAAATCTCCCAGAGACGCAATCGTTGTATCAGCAATATCACCGTCCAAATCTTCGTACTTTGACAAATCCCAAGCCGGCAAACATTCAAAGATGCGGCTCATTGTGGGCCACTCGTCTATACTGGCACTGCCATATAGACAAGCGAGTGCCAGACGAGCCATGTCCTCGTCGTCTTTGATAATCCTCTGGGAACTGGGCATGGTGGGTTTCGAACCCTCGAAGATGGCAGCAACCACGTCCAGTGACGCGGTGAGGACGTAGTCGTAGAGAAGATCCTTGTAGATTTGTGAATTTGGATTTCCTGCCCGTTCTGCTCGCGACTCGAGAACATAGAGATACGGCATGACAAGGTGTAACATATCCGCTGCAACGGTTTCTGGAGTCGAATGGGACAGATACGCCCGAATAACTGTCCTCGAATCCATGCTCTTCCAACTACTCAGCGTCCAGTCATTGGGCGAATCACCAGCAGGTGCATCGTAAACGAGACGTGTTAACAGACTTAATTCTTCGCCAAGCTCGTCAAGGCCTGGTACTCCCTGAGATGCACCATGTTGGATCACTGCTAAGGCAGTATCAATCATCCCTGTCGACGATATGATGTTGTCGACACGATTGGTATACCAACCCGACAATTCCTCCGATGTCATTAGATTGTTACACGTTTGGAGACTGAGCGCAGATGATTCTATTTCTTTAGGAATTCCAAGGGAAGTTGTGGCTGCTTCGAATAATGGAACATAAGACGCATCCCCAATATCCTTGTCCTTCCACGGTGCCTCTTCTTCCATGTTCTCATCAAACTTGACCCGAGGAAGAAACTCGAGGTACTCGAGAGGATTCGCAAAACCCGGGATGCTGTCATATATGACGAATCGGTGCACCCAGAGAACTGAACGATGACGCTCGAGTAGAATATGGAGGCAACGGAAGTATTGGTGGAGCGTCAATTGGCATGCTGTATGAATTAATTCTTGAGTGATGAAGTAGGAAAGTGAAACCGGGAACTGTGGGGATTTGGAGGAGTCATGAGACACCATTGCAGTCGATTGGTCGGCCCAGGGATCATCCTCCCATTCGGTTATCTCGTCGTCTGCATCATCGCCACCTTCTTCTGGAGCCACCTGACACATCTCAGTGAATGTATTCAGCCTGTCCAAACGCCGAAGAAGCAGGCCATGAAGGCGACATAATTGCGCGTCACCGGGAAGATTGTGAAAGTAGGCTACTGCAGGATCAAGCCGGCAAGAGTCGCTCTGCTTGAGTGACACGGCCGTAGTATCCAGTGATTCGGATGACGGGGAGCTGGAAAGGTGGGAAAGGGCGTCCTGGGCCCGATGAAAAGCCTGCTTCGTCCTGTCGAGGCCAACGTTAAGCAGGGCTTGCTGGACTGACACGTCGTCCACTATTCTGTCATAGCAAGCGGCAGCGACCCAGAGGTCGTCTGTGACGGAGCCCAGGTGTTCACCGACGTCGTCGACGGTGAGCTCGCTGTCTGAGAGAGCAAGCCACAACGTGCAGGAAGAAGAAGCCATACTGGCTCCGGTCCGACATCCGACACACGCTCGTGTCACCGTGTAACGAACGAGTCGATGCCCCGAGACCTTGTGCTTACCCTTATTTACCTACGAGCTTAGTTGGTATTTGATTTTACCGCCGAACCTGTCGGGCCTTTCGCAATCAGCAGTCGATAAACCTGTCTACGATTGTGCCAAGTTCCTCGTGTGAGCGGTGATCTCGGCGCCACCCTCACACACCGTCACCTACTTCGTGATCTGTGATAATATCTACGAACTCCCTCTGAGGTGAACGGAGCAAGTAAGTAAATCCGTACGAGAACCTAAACGGCGACTGACTGTCCGAGTCAATGCGATGTGAAGCAACCGGGTCCTGCTTAGTTTCTGTGGAACCAGTCGTGATATGGAATCTGCGTTCACACGGGCCAAGTGTAGCTTCACTATCTAATTGGCTAAGATATGGTGCCGTCAATTCTCATCAAAGAAATATATAAAACACAGAGTCTAGTGGGAATGTCGTATTTTCAGTCCAAAGATGCCTATCTCACTTAATCCATCTCCCTCCAACACCCAGATCTTCAAGGTCGCCGCCGTTCAAGCTGAACCGTGCGCCTTTCGTCTCCACTAGGACTTGTCCCTACTCATTAAGCGCTTCACAACAGGGTATGGCTTGACCTTCAAGGCGGGGTTGAGAAGACAATCCGAATCGTTCACGAGGCGGCTGCCGAAGGTGCCAAGATTATCGGTTTCCCAGAAGTCTTTATTCCTGGTAAGTAGTTGTCCTATACTTCTCTTCAGAGGCGAAATTTTAATCAACGTTCCCAAGGCTATCCCTGGACTCCATGGGCCAACAACTTTGTCGTTGCTCAAACTGTCCTCAAGCAGTATCAAGCAAACTCGATGTTTCTTCACTCCCCTGAAATGGATAGAATCCGGGAGGCCGTCAAGGAAGCTGAAGTTAACATAGTCCTCGGGTTCTCTGAGCGAGACGGAAGTTCTCTTTACATCGCCCAAGTCACTATTACATCCGACGGCAACATTGCAAACCACCGCCGCAAGATCAAGGTTTGTGTCCCTACTCTCCTATAAGCCAATGACATGACCGCTTTTTATGTGCAGCCCACTCATTATGAGAAAACCGTTTTTGGAGATGGAAGCGGTATTCTTGTCATATTGAGACGACATTAGCCTGCTGACAATCTACCTCCGATAGCCCAGTCCATCTACAATGTAGTTCAGACGCCATATGGGAGGCTAGGATCTTTGAATTGTTGGGAGCACATTCAGGTTTGTCATACAGCTCGCTTCTCTCTTCTAACAAGTTGCTCAGTCCGGTTTCCAGCCATGGTTGAAGACCCACTTTTACTCTCAATACCCCCAAATCTTCGTGGGAGGATGGTGGCCTGCATTTCCACCTCTGACTGGCGGATCGCCCTACATTGTCAGTGGCGAAGCTTCCAGCCGGATGAGTCAACTTGTGTCCATGGAAGGTGGCCTATTCGGATTGGTTTGCTGTCATGTCGTCAGCGAAGCAGGTGCTCGCAAAATGAAAATGCTCGGCTATCCATGGTTCACATTCCCTGGTGGAGGCTTCTCCGTTGTAAGCTGACTTGCTTTCAAGAGGATCAATATTAATCATGTGAAAGATATATGGTCCAGATGGCGCTGCCTTAACCGCTCCTGTTGATCCTGGGAAAGAAGTAGTCTTATACGCGAATATTTCCCTGGACAAGATTGATGAAGTCAAACTCGTTGCGGACGTCATGGGGAACTAGTGAGCTTTACAAGTCCCCCTTTAATAACATTGTTCCTAAATCCGACTTTAGTTCTCGGTTTGACCTCTTTCATACTGTAGTTCACGGTAAAAACTGGAAGCCTGTTGCATACCGTGACCCTGAAGAACAGCATGCCGCCAAAGCTCAACAGGGAGAGATTAACAATGCGGGGAATGGTTCAATCACGCCTAGTAAATTGTGATTCATCTGTCGAATACGACGTACTGTGTCATATATCATCAATTTGTACTCTCCCCTCCTTCAGTATGGCTTCAATCTTCGCAACTCTCGCGCATTTCTCTCGATCTCGGATTCATTTCCACTATCGTCCGAATCCTTGTCACCCGGTTCGATTAACTGCAACTTCACATCGAGCTCATGCCTCATTCTGATACCCCTCTCCGCCATTGTGTTGACAAAGGCGTGAAGCTCGTGGTAACTGAAGACGTTTCGCAAATGGTCAAAAGCCAAAAGGTACAGGTCTGAACGCAGTGCAGTCAAGTCATTTACATATTTATCCCACGGCAAACATTCGCAGCTTACCTTTGGCCAGCGGGCATTCACCAATAGCGCGAAAAAGTAGTTGCTTCGCTTTTTGCAATTGTCCAGCTCGAATCTCAAACTCGATATAAATGCGCCACAATATCAGGCTTCCCCTTGTTCTAGACCATCATGCTTGAGATACTTGAAGATTCACAGTCAACTAAGCCTTACCTTTCACTTTCCACAGCTGCTGCTAATCCACTCCTGGTACGTTCAATTTCGCCTTCCCATCTTCCACTTTGCCACTTCGACACCCATACTTCCTCGATTCGCCGGCATAAATCCTTTTCATCTCTAGAGTTTTCGCCAAACAGATCTCTGACACGTCCCCAAATTCCTTGTCCTTTCTCACCCTCCAAGAACAGACCAAATATTACGGAATTACTGGGGTACTTCCTCAGGGCGTTGCCGGCACGGTCTCTCAGTATGGAAGGGGCCATCGGGCCTTTCAAAACGCATCCATGCCGGAAAATGAATAAGAGAGAAGCAACAGTCATGCTTTCATCGGCGACACCAGCACCAGCTTGGTGCATGTGATCGTCAAACACAGAAAGGCTTTGGGCGAGGTCCCTCGAAGTCAACAGCTCAAGTAGAGCTCGCAACTTCACCCAAGCTTCTTTGTCCTTCCAAGCCGAATGCTTGCCATTGGATATATCTTCCAGGTTTCGTTTTGCTCGGAGGATGGCGACTCCCCCTTGACCTGCAATATCCACAGCTTTGAATATAACAGACATGACTGCATCAGATTTCTGGTCAAGCCATTCCATCTCCGCCCAGTCCCACCAGAGTCTACCGGACCACGGTCGGTCTAAAGAAACAGGCGAAGACAGAAGGACAGCTGTATAAACTTTTCGAGCCTCGTCGAATCTGCCTCTCTTTCGCTCCAAACGTGCATGAGCTGACCAGTGTGGTAAAGAATCGCGGGCCGTAGATAGAAATGACCGGGAAATTTTGAGTGCACTAAGTGAAGCGTCAATGAACGTACGGTCGTTAGAGGGCTCTCTTACCTCTTCACGCTCGAGGCGGCTTCAAACCCTAAAGTTAGGAGATCCCACTCATAATCATCAGCCCCAAGCCTAAGCTGACTGAAAATCCTTCTGGTGAACTCCTGGTCGAGTCCATCCAAGTCTATTTTTGAGCAAAGCCCATCACCATAGAGTGCATCGTCTAGTGAACTTAACACGCCGTAGCCCCAGCATTTGATAGGCACTGAACCACGAACATATTGTATCTCCCGGCCAACCAAGACACCAGAATACGAATCTGCCGTCACGGTATTGTGTGTTTCATCGGGAAAAATGGCGTTCAGATATCCAGGATTCATCAAATGCATGCAATTCCACCGATCGTCCCAATTGGCATCATGAGGCGAGTCCGAGAAACCGGGAATATGAAAGCCGAGAAAAGATAGCCAGGCTAACCGAAATACGTCCTTTCCGTGAGCTGTTTGTAACTGCAAAAGGAGCGATCGGATATCTGAGAACATGATGGTGGAATATGGATCCCAGTCATCATCTTCAGTGGCCCGACTGGGGATATGCGATGCGCGGTCTGTGTGCAATTCGGTTCGAGCCCAGCGACGATACGGGTCAGAGTCATCTGAGGAGGGTTGCTTTGATACTAGTGCCGGTGTCTCTCCTTTTTTACCCAAAGACACCCATTGAGCCCATCCTTTAGCACCAGGCTCACCAAACCGCGAAACTTCTGATTCCCAGAACTCTTCCAAAGCATCCAAAATACTACTCGTTGGTAACCCATATAAGGCTTGAGGAAGCTCGAATGTCCTGAAATGTACAATTCAGATGCTAAGTAATAGATTGAAAATAACCAAGTACGCACAATTCAGCTTGTGCTTGAAACAGGGCTGTGGCGCGTTCGACAAACCCTGCCGTACGGAGAGCTGTGGCTGAGCGCCAAAACACCCGAACTCTGCTCACCTCATCATCTCCCAGAGCATTAAGAACATGTTTGGCTGCATCAACAACATAATCGATGCCATTAGTCTCCTTTCTGATTTTCCACTCTAGCCACTCCATCCAAATTTCGATTCCGCCAAGCTTGAACGCATCCTCCCATTCATCTTGCACTCTGGCTTCAGGCCAGATCTCTTCACCCGCTCTGAGATATTTGAGCCGAAGAGGCTTTGATGTGGTATTACGAACGTCCGACGAAAATGCACGAGAAAGTATCGATATGGTGATTTCCGCACGGACTCTTACAGAATTTTTAGATGGAATAGGGACATTTGACAATGTCCGCCACAGAAGCTGTAACCAAGTAGCGACAGATGAAGGATCGTCACTGAGTTGCTGCTCAAGTGTCTTTATTGCAGTTGTCGGACCCACTGTATCGACATCCTCCTCTGGGCTGTCCGAGTCTTCAGCAGCTGATCCTTCGGAACCTGAAGATGAGCTAGAATGGTGATCACCAGTGATCGAGCGGTAAGAATGTTGGCTTTGTTCTCGAATGGAAGAGATGCGCAGAAAACCAGTCTTATCTAATTGGAAACTGTCACTATGGCCCGGCATTCGTCGAGTAGGTGCAGAATTCACAAGGTTGCGAGTCTTTGCATCCGTTAGGCTCGGGCGCTATCTTGCTTCAGTTTCATCGAAGGGAAAATGGAGTGAAAGCAACGTACATTTTGTCTGTACATTCCGATCTCAATACCTTGAGGCCCCCTGTGCAACACAGTCCAACTTGGAGATAGACCTAGTACATTTCTGCCACCTTTTCCATGATTAGATGCTATAGAATAATCCAGCAACGACGTACGGCTGATAGTCTTATATTTGGGAACATCGCCCTTGTGCAGACCTCCGTACTGCACATTTAACGGGTCTCCGCGCTTATCCGAGTAGAAAAAACGGGTGGCAGAGATGTCATCTACTTCCGTAGCTGTCCTATCGCGATGCCTATGCCTGTTTTTCTTTTCCTTCTCCCGTGTCGTTTCTTTCTTGGAGGTTTTCTCGCGGTGACTATGCTTGCGGTGCTTGCTGTCGTTGTGCGACCGACTAGGACCTGGATCGTTACTGAGGTCTTCTGGAAATGACCCGAAAGAAGGAGGGAATGATGAAAATGAGGGCGCAGACATAGATACGACTAACGATAGATGCGTGTTTGAAAAGGTAGGTGGAATTGCAAATTGGGCAGATAGTACGCTGAATTACGTAATCAACCTCTTATATTTCCGTTGCGGAAAAAAGTTCAGAATCAACACAATGCGACCCCTCACTGAAGATGAATCCAAGACACTGTTTACCAAGCTCACCAATTACATAGTCCGTTTTTTGCCCCTCCTCTTGTGTTCACAGTCTCATCTCTTTACAGGGAAAGAACCTTATTCACCTCATCGACCGAAAGGACGAACCATACTGCTTTAGACTGCATAAAGACAGGGTTTATTATGTTTCTGAATCATCGATGCGTCTAGGATCGTCAATTGCACGTCCCAATCTTGTCAGCCTTGGTACATGCTTTGGAAAATTTAGTAAAAGCGGAAAGTTCAAGCTGCACATATCATCGCTTGATTACATCGCTCAGTACGCCAAATACAAGGTGGGCTATTGCTTCTGTAACGTTGAATTTAGCATTACACGTTATTTTCTTCTAGGTGTGGATAAAACCCAATGGTGAAATGCCGTTCCTGTACGGAAATCATGTAGTGAAAGCACATCTTGGACGAATAACAGAAGACACGCCGGAACATCAGGGGTTGGTGGTGTTCAGCATGAGCGATGTGCCATTAGTGCGTATATTTGCCCGTGCTTTGACAGCATCTCATGCCTCGTAGGGTTTTGGGGTGACGGCGCGGTCAACGGTTGATACCCGTAAAATGGATCCAACGTCTATCATCGTATTTCATCAGGCGTACGTACTCCTGTTTTTTCCCCCGTGCAGTACTAATTTGTATTTGACAGTGATGTTGGTGAATATCTACGTGACGAGGTACAGCCTACTATGACCCTCCTTCGTTGGAAACTTACCATTTTGTAGGACACGCTATTTTAACCGAGCATTCTCCTCTTTGGTTTTGTATCTCCATCCAATGCCATCATTGTTCCTCTGTTGTACTTATTCTACCTTCACTTCCGAGTTCGAAGTGCTCAAGACGCGCTATGGTGTCCCCGTGCAGCTCTCTCAGCGATTATTCGTTGTTATAAGAATACACTTTGATTACTGCCGCCATTAATGCTGGTCCAACTTTTTAGATGAATCGAAGAATGGAATGTTACTGCCTGTAGAAATGAGGGTCCGACTCAACTTCAAGCTCTACATTACTTGGAATTAGGTCAAGGTATTATCGAAGTTTACCTCGAGGCGGCTGAGGTGAAGCGGGGGTCCGGGCCGGATGCGTGATATCGCATGTCACACCTCATACACGAAGACACGAGGCGACGGCTTTTTTGTTTTTCCCAGTGGCAGACAACGAGCTCGATACTTTGACTAGTATCCACGGGCGGCAGTATTTTCTACCACCACAATTTCTTTCTCTTTTTTGCTCTCGTTTTCCTCCAACACGCCTTAATTCAGCACGGCGGCGCCCGCTGCACCACCAAATTAGCATCCTTAGCACTCGCTCTATCCGTCCTCTCTTATTTCTTCGACCACCAATTCTTCTCCAGCTTATAACGCTCGTACTCTCTACCTCATTACCCGCATATAATGAGCCCCATCCCTGCTCCTACTATTCGTGGGCGGGAAAAGTGGCCGGATGCTGATTTCGACCTGCCTGAAGGCCATACCATTCACGGCGACACCACTTCCGACATGGATGACAATGAAGAAGACTGGAATATGCCTGAGGTCGACATCCCGCCACACTCGCACTCACTGGCAAAGTCGCCCCCCTTCATTTCCATTGCCCGCCCCCAGCCCTCACTACAGCCCAATGATGACAATGACGACGAGGGCGCATCCACCATCAAGGCCTCCGCGACTGTAAAACCTGTCATTCAGAAATCTCTTCCAGGCACCATAGAGGAGGACTTCGAAGAAGGGTTATTCTTACCCTCTGAATTGACCCAATTGTCATTGGCACCTTTGACTCTCAATCACCGATCCTCCAAGGGCTCTCTTGAATGGGGCGACAAAGACCATACCTCTTCTTCTCAGTCTTCCGACGCCTATTCCAACCTCGGTCTCACCAATGCTTCTTCCAACCCGGAGTCAGAAACTGATGAAGACGAAAGTGAACTTGAAGGGCTCATCATCCCTTCAGACGTATTCGATTCTTGCAAAGGAGCTCGTCATCTCACCAACCTTTTAACTTTGAAGAAAGCCGCTGTTATGTCGGATTATCAAGTCAAGGTTGCTACTCCTGATCCCGAGGATGATTTTGAGATGGGTCTAGTCATTGAGGACGATGCTGATTTTAGTCCCAGTCGGCTATTATCCAATACTCAGCAGTCACATTTGCACTCTGCGGATAACCGAAGCAAGAGTGTCCCTCCTCATCAGAGGAATGTTTCAGCTACGAGGCCTTCGTGGCGACTGAGGTCTGGTAGGCCCAAGTCCCCTGTCAAACCTGGCCCAACCGCCTCCCGAAATGCCCAAAAGTCTGGACCTTCACCCTCTCCACCTTTGTATCCGCCTTCGCGCTCGAACACGCCTTCGACTGCTCCGTCTTCATTTTTATCTCCCAGGCCCGGCAGTCTCCGCGGGCAAAAGTCTCATACAGGTCTCAACTCGCCTCCAACCTCCAAGAAGATCTCAAGGAAATCGTCATTGTCTTCACTGATGGGCAGCAGTAACCGAACGTCAGGATCTTCCGTGCCGAGCTCCTCAAACAGTGCTCGTTACGAAGAACCTACTACCGCGTCGCGTGCCAAGTCGCACAAGGCATCCATGAGTCGAGTAACACAAGATTACAAAGTCCCCCCCACCCGTCCTTCCACCCCTTCTACAAGTACTGCTGCTCTTCGTCTGACGGTTCCCACTACTGGTCGCCTCAAGTCGCGTCCGACATTGTCGGCTGTTTTCGGTTCGTCGGGAGACGCACCCATCCGTCGAACAGCATCGCCACTTCCACCACGTCCAGCATCTACTTCCAAGCTTGCTTCACACACATCAGCACCTAAAGTGCTTCGTAGGCCGAAACGCCTGCGCACATATGGGGATGGCACGGAACTTGATGGTATTGAAGACTTGCCCACTGATCGAGACAAGGAGAGTCGGTTCAGGGTACAGCCCAAAGGCCATGGCCATCGCATTCCTGGTGGTAGCTTTGCTAAATCGCCTGGTGACACCCTTCGTAGGAAAAACTTGCGCGAAGGTTCGAGTGGTAAGTCTTGTGTTCTTCCATGCGTTATTGGTCTGAAATACTTATTCCTATAAGCCGAGCCTATAACGTTTGCAACTTCTTTCTTTTCCAAGCGTGCATCGAAATTGGATCCATCCAACTCGAATCCGTCGGGACGTTCCCCGCCGATGAGAAAGAAGGTTGCATTATCGACACAAACGAGGCCTACTCTGATACGGAATCTGGGTGGCGTTGGAGGTCCCAAAGGTAATGAATGACATCTGTCCACATGAATTCAATTCTGAGGAAATTCCCAGTTGTTGGTGACATGAAATGGAATCCACATACCATGCGATGGGAAGGAAACGAACAAGTCTTACGTGACTTTGATGCTGTTGTCGCGTCCACGCGACCAGCGCTAATCACACATCTCACTGGATCATCAATAGGCTCCTCCGCGAGCTCTTTCGGCTCTGGCGCGCGGATAGTGGGGAACATGGTCTTTGATCCCATACGCTTGTGCTGGATCTCAACTCTGCCACCGGAAGAGGATGAACCAGATGTCTTTGCTAACCTCGCCGATGATGAGGATGATAGTGACAGCTGGGAATCCAAAGCCGGGACCATTCGAGCTTCTGTTCAGTCGAATGTGGCGACTTCATCCTCTCTTCCTGATCGTAGTCAAACATGGACACCGTCGGACTGTGGTAGCGACCGTGGTTCGCGAGGGTCGATGGTATTTGACATCGATGACACGTTTGTGCGGAACTGCCGAAAAGCAGAAGAGCGGCATAATATAGAAATCAAAGGATGGAAGAACTCTCTCTCGCGCGAAGATGCTCTGTGTGAACCTGATCGCTCCTTCCTGTACGAGATAAGGACTCTTGCTACTCGCAAGTACTAATTACAATTCACGGAAATAGTTTATTTTAATGTAGATGGTCATTTTCTCTCTTTCTTTATAATTAGGATCTTTTTAGTGTATTGATGTTTCGTCCCTATACTCTCGTCTTTTGCTTTGTTGTATATATCTGTCTTATGGAATCACTTGCATATGTTTATACCTTAACTTTCGATTGTCAAGAGTCGGTCCGCAATTCCGAGCGGTCCTTCGCAATCGACTACCTGCGAGGCGTCAATGTTAGCAATACCCAAGATAGACGCCGGAGGAGGTCGCATTTCCTTGTCCTGCCATGGCTCTGCAGCAGTATTTTCAGAGCTCTCTTCGACCTACCCACTCAAACTGTTGTCTCCTCGCATCCCTGAAGACGGAGTAGCTGTGGTGTATATCCTAACATACGGAGGCGGGCTTGTCAGCGGCGACCGAGTAAATTTGTCTGTTGATGTCGGAGAAGAATCCAAGCTTGTGTTGCTCTCCCAAGTCAGTTCCTTGCACCACGACCTGTCCCTGGCTTCAATCCTCACTAACAGGGATCCACCAAAGTCTTCAAAACCAGACCAGGCCACCGACTGGCATCTGTACAAACAAGCTCCCATCCCCCACCAACAACTCAAATCATGACCTTCGTCGTCAACCCAAATGCATCCCTCTTCTTACTGCCAGACCCCGTCACCTGTTTTCGTTCAGCCTCATACAACCAAATACAGACTTTCCGCTTAACAGGCAATGCATCCGCCGTCATTCTTGACTGGGTCACCTCTGGTCGTCGGTCTCTAGGAGAAGAGTGGGTTTTCTCCAGGTATTACAGTGTCAACGAGATCCTGGTGGATGGGAAGAGGATAGCCAAGGATGCGATGCTGTTGGACGATCCTCAGGTTGACGTGAAGCCTCTACCTGAGCGGGCTTTGGCTGAGAAACTCAAGCCATATTCGTGTTATGCCACATTGTTCCTTGTAGGTCCCCAGGTGCAAGCTGTTATCACTGAGCTGGTTCGGAGATACCATGCCATTTCAATCATGAAGATGAAGGGTCCAGACAAAGTAATCTGGTCCTTAAGTCCCCTTACAGGGAATGACCATATATCAGTCATTGTTCGAGTTGCCGGGAAGGAAACCGAAGATGTTAAAGCATGGCTTGGAAAAGCGCTTGAATCTGTGCAGTATTCGATAGGAAAAGATGTATATCGGCAAGTTTTTCGTTGAAGTTGAACATGTCTTAACGATACGCCAAGGAACCATTGAATAGTAAGGAGTGAATTGCATTGCGATGATTTAATATATGGTTTGTAGTTGTTGGTACATGAACGAAAAAGTGAATATTTACTGGTTGGCGAGAAATCCCTGCGAAAGGTTAAATATAGACGTGGGGAATTCATTAAATTCGTTCGTCGACTGTCCGTGAGGCAACGGATGGTGAAGGAATGGGAGATTCAGGATCAGGCGTAGGAAAGGGAACCTTAGGACGTTCTCCGCCATGTTCATCAAGCCATTTGTCCATATCATCGGCTTTGCCAATAAACGGCCGCTTTCCAAGCAGCTCAATCATGTCCTCTCTGAAGCTATTATGAGCATCAATATCACTCCATGGAGACGGAACTCACCGCGTCAGGACTTCCTTTTCTAACAGCCTCTGGGCTACCTTCTCTACATCCTCACGATGCTCCGTCAGTAAGGCCCTCGTTCGCTCATACATGGTCCTGCAAAATGGTCAAACTAAATAACCGAAGAGGCAGAGCAGGCGTACGTGATCATCTTCCTGACTTCGAAGTCTAGCATCTCCGCAGTCTTTTCACTGAACGGCTTCGTCCATCCTTCCCTGGCTCCACGATCTCCGCCATAGCTCACAGGCCCGATGACATTGTTCATACCATAGTTAGCGCATGCCTCGAAAGCCATCCGGGTAATCTTTTGCAGATCGTCTTGAGCACCTGTTGTAATGTTCTCGAGGCCAAAGAAGATTTCTTCGGACACGCGACCACCGAGCGTCATACAGATCCGATCGCTCATTTGAGGTGTGGATAGAAGATAACGATCAGGTGGCAGGTACTGAAAAGCATTTTTATGAGTGTTAAATACGAATTTAATAATGAGACTACTCACTTGCGCATATCCCAAAGCCCCAGCTCCTCGCGGGATGATACTTACCTTTAAAATGGGGTCTGCATGCTCCAAAAACCAGCCACAAACGGCGTGTCCAGCTTCATGGTAGGACACAGTCTTCTTCTCCTCTGCACTGAGCACCTTGCTCTTCTTCTCCAAGCCGACAATGACGCGTTCGATGGCAGTGTCAAAGTCGATATTGCCAACTGCATCAGCGCCACGACGGGCCGCACGCAAAGCCGCTTCATTGCACACATTGGCGACATCCGCGCCAGAGAAACCGGGGGTAAGCACAGCAAGCTTGTGCGCAAGAGCATCAACATCTTCCGCAAGCTCTTCACTGAGTTTCAATGGAGCAAGGTGGACATGGAAGATACCCTTGCGGCCGCTGACGTCAGGACGATCAATGGTAATATGTCTGTCGAATCGACCAGGACGTAACAACGCGGGGTCAAGAACATCTGGACGATTGGTTCCTGCGAGAACAACGATGTGCTCCTGCGAGCTGAACCCATCCATCTCCACTAGCAACTGATTGAGCGTTGACTCCCTTTCATCATTTCCACCGCCGAATTTGCCCCCCTGTGCTCGAGACTTTCCGATAGCATCGATCTCATCAACGAAGATGATACATGGTGCCGACTTTCTCGCAGAGGCAAAAAGGTCACGTACACGGGATGAACCAACACCCACGAACATCTCGACGAATTCAGAGCCCGAGACGGAAAGGAAGGGCACAGACGCCTCTCCGGCGGTGGCTTTCGCCAGCAACGTCTTACCAGTACCTGGCGGACCTGATAAAATGGCTCCTCGAGGGATCTTGGCACCAAGCTTCTCGTACTTGGCAGGCTCCTTCAAGAACTGAACAAACTCCATGACCTCTTCCTTCGCTTCATCCATACCCGCCACATCCTTGAACTTGACCTTGACTTGTGAGTCCTTGTCAAACAGCTTAGCACGACTCTTCCCAAAGCTGAAAATGCCGCCTCCTCCGCCTCCAGAACTTCTTCTCGACAACCAGTAGAGGAACCCTATCGTTGCAATCGTGGGCGCGAATTCTAGGATCATGCGGATAGTAGAAACCTCGTCATGGTAAGCGACGGGAATGCGCTCGTGGCTAGGAATACCAAGCTCTTGTTGGGCTTCGTCGAGTTTGCGCTCAAAGGCTTCCATGCTGCCGATGGAGAAGTAGTAGTCTCCAGAGATGTTGACACCGGATGGGTACATGGTTCCAGTAGCATTTGAGTGCAACTTGACGCGAACTTTGTGTCCGTTAACGACAACGAGTTTGTCCACGAGGCCTTTGTCGAGAAAAGCGGTACGGAATTCCTGCCATGTAATCTCGCGGGAGCCAGATACACCGGAAGAGTTGAGAAGGTAATGAGCAGCAATAAGACCACCAATCCACATAATAATGGTATTAGATCCGGGGCCGTTGTTGCCACCGGGTGGAGGCGGAGGAGCCTTGTTGTCCTGCTTGTGCTCGTCGGAATCCGGTTTTTTGGACTGATCTGCTTGTGCCTGTGAATTCCGCTTCTTGTCCTTTTCCTGCATGATCTCGTTATGATATTGACGGAAGAAACCCTCCAGACCTTTGGGAATTTCTACCTTGTCTTTCTCACTGGAATTGTCTGGAGAAGAGGTAGAGTCCTTGGGGGCTGACGGAGCGGAATTCTGGGAACCGGTCTCCTTCGCATTTAGGGTACTCGAATCCTTCTCGTTTTCCGCACTGTTCACTCTTCCCTGGTCATCTTGCGCCTTCCCTTTACCCTTGCTGGCTACCGGATCTTTATCAGGCGTAGGCTTGCAATCATTTCGTTTGTCGGTGGGTGCACGGTAGTATCTGAGGGATTGAAGAGCAACTATACGATTGCTGAGGGTGGCAGAGAGACGGGCGACCCGTATAGAGCGCGATAGCATGGGAGAAAGAAGGAACAAATGATTATGAGTGATTACGTTAGGCACTGACGAACTCGAAGGTTTCGGCTTGAAGAGGCAATCCAATCGGCAATAATCGGCAGAGACTCCCGGGCCGATGCCACGTCGGCGTGCTGGTACTTTAGTTGGACTCAACCCGACGGATATTATGCCTTCTACAAACCCTGACTACACCAGGACACGGTCTGTGTGGGAGTATTGATCAACGAGGCCTATACTTACAGGCGAATTGTCTACCTAAAATGAGAGAGGTATAAGTCCTTCCGGGGGACGCACTCCTCTAAGTACGCCTTATTTACTTCAGAAATTGAAGAACCTGTCGTCAATTATTGAGGGTAAGAGGGATGGTATGGTACGACAAGTAAGTCATCTCCGACGAAGCACCAATGCGCCAAGCAAGGCCCAGCGAACACTACTGGTATTTCAACATCCCTGGAGACCGTGACCGTCATCCACTTCCTTGCCGGCACCGCACCAATAGCCAGGTGTTCATTTCCGAGGGAATTTTGTAGTATATAAGTTGGTATGTTTCGACGTTGATGCGTCGCGTTTGCAAGGGTATATTGAGCCCAGCCTCGCAATTTTAACAGTAGCAGGGAGGTAAGCACCCTGGGAATGAAAGTTACGCCCACATTAGTTAATACTTCCACTCCATGCATGTAACAGGTTACGATACAAGCAGTTTCTCGTCTTAACAGTCCAATAGTAAGTAGTGTCCCTTGGTCACTATAAGCCCTTGTCGGAATTTACAAGATTCATTACTACTGTCAGCGCTGCATCCCGCCCTCACGGTCGGCTATCTATATAATCAAGGCAGCATTACTTTCACCTTGTCCCCGAATTGCGATGGATCCTTCTCTTTACAAAGATTTTACCACGTCTCGTGGTTATGACTACCATTTCTTTCTGTCCCTCCCTAAGGATGACCATCCCTACTTACTCTTCTTGCATGGCTTTCCATGCACCTCCTTCGACTGGCGACACCAGGTTCCCTTTTTCATCAATGAGGGCTACGGACTCATAGTTCCAGATCTCCTTGGCTATGGCGGTTCTTCAAAGCCCACCGATCCTGCAGACTTTCGATCCACCCTTCTTACGAAAGATCTCGTAGAGCTGGTCGATGCAGAAAATGCAGCCCGTGTTGTCGCCATCGGTCATGACTGGTCTGTTCTCTTCTTCATTCACCGATTGCCATGGTCTGTACCCATTGTTCTTTCAAGGGGCTCCAAGCTTGTCGGTCGTCTCGCCAACTACTACCCCAATCGATTCATCGGATTCGGCTTCTTAGCTGTAGGCTATTGGTTGCCAAGCACGGAAAATAACTACGAAAATTTTATGGTCCTGGTATGTGCTTCCATCTCTGCTTATCAGTGATTCGGTGGTCATAATCACCAACACAGTCTAAGAACACCTTTGAATACGAAATATTCGGATATTGGTCTTTCTTCTCGTCAGAGGAGGCCCCCAAAATCATCGAAGAAAACATGGAATCGTTCTTAAGACTCATACATTCTGGAGATCCCAAGGCAGCCAGCGATTTCGCTCCTACGGGTGCTTTGAAGTCGTATCTGCTACGGGGTGGCAGGTCCTACGGTCCTCTTGCTCCATACATCACAGAGGAGGTTGGTCTGATGTCTGGGTTAGTCTTGTTGTTGACTGCCATTTTACGTAGGAGAAGGACATTCGTAAGAAACAATTGGTCGAAGGTGGTATGGCCAGCTGTTTGAATTGGTACACAATAATGACCTCAGGAATTGATGCTGAAGATAACAAAGGTGTGTTGAACTTTCCATTTAGCTTCTTTGTTTATCACATCCATCTACAGCTGTGCCGGCGGAAAACCTTCAGATTACGAAGCCGGTCTTCTATGGTGGTGCATTGAAAGACAGTGTAGCTATCAATGCTATCAACATGAAGGAAACCGTTGATAATTGTAAGAATACGACTGTTCATGAGTATGCCAGTGGACATTGGGTAGTTTGGGATAAGAAGGACGAACTTAACAGTGATCTGTTGAGCTGGGTTAAAACGTTGTAGTCACGGTGTAACCCAATTTCGAGATTTTATAGATTGGCGAGTTAACAATCACTCAAACCGTGAGAGTAAAAATTAGAGACAATGGCAAAAAGGAAAGTCAAGCGGTGGCTAATATTACAAGATATGGCTTCATATCATGCGTCATCCTCGACCTCGAATGAACAACAGAAGGTTTCTTTGTCAAGTAGAATCAGTCCTTTACCATCTGGCGCCCACCGAAGATCACGAGCGTCAAAGTTCTCTATAAAATGGATGAACGGAGAGCTTTTGATAATCAAAGAGATAGCATACTTGCGGGTACGCCTACACATTCCGCTATTTCCTCTTCAGTTCCACTCTCCCCGACCCATTCGTCGCTCCAAATGTACAGACTAGGGCTCCCGCAACAGACTGCCAAGCAACCTTTGCGTTTCGGATTCCACTTCGCACTCCTCACTGGGCGGGAATGTATAAGTAGACTCCGTAGACGTGGCACGAAAGCCGCATCAGGAGCGGGGAAATCAAAAATATGCATAATCGTCGGCGTTGTTTCTGTTGTTACATGTGAATAAATATGCGACTCGGGGTAAAATGGGGCAAAACGCACCAAAGCGTACCAGAAGAAAGCTACCAGTCAGATTCCATTCCATTTGGATGACACCGCTTTTGGGATTGGGTTTAGTATGATCAGGTTTAGTTAGCGTAATCGAATGAGGGGAAGGGAGTTTTTCATCTAAAATGTTGAGAATAACAGAGAGACCCTTCAAGGATAGACAGGCCTACATGACAAAAAGCCTCGACCCCCAGTCGTCGTTAACCAGTCGGCAGGTTCCCGCCACACGTTCTACGGTTGAGTTGATCAGAGCATGTTTTTGGAAGTAAAACTAAGCATACCACGCCAGGTGGTATTCGGCTTGAAAGCTCCAAGGTACGTATGGGCGACCAACTAAGGCTGTCAAGAATATGCACCTGTCGAATGCTTAGAGAGTTGTCTATACGCTCATACTCAATTAAGAAACTTGCCTTGTCGTCCCAACCTCCAACAATCAGAAAGTTGCCGGAGGGATGCCAGGCAACATTACGGACACCAAAACCTGGGTCCGGATCAGGGTTGAATGTTGCAAGAACGTCACCAGCCAAAGTCAGAATAAATATTTTGTACTAATAAAGGATTCAGAGTGATGTTGCTACGCGCTGACACTGCAAACCTCAAGAGGACCCTCCCACACTGCAAGGTGATTACCATTCGGGGACAATACGAATGATGATAAGGAGGTTGTCGGCAGAGGAAAGTGCTGGCGTAAGATTCGACTTGAAAAGACAGACAGACGTGCAATAAAATATGAGACATACCCTAGCTAATTTGAAACGATCAGCAGCATCATAGAGGCCCATTGTATCTTTGGATCGATGCCGCTCCGCAAGGACAAAGTAACGACCGTCCGACCGGAACGCATATCCTGGAGATTAGCGGATGAGAAAGGCAAGATGACAACGCAGATCTAAGCACCTCTGTCGGGATGCAAAGGAAATTGAATGTATGTCGCTGAGCCTGTGACCAATGACCAGATAGTGACTCGCAACTAAACACCGGCTTAGCGCACGCCAGGACCGACGACGACACGGTGCTTACGCCCCATTCCGAAAAACAAAGAATGGATCGTCCATCGGGGGCCCATTCCGCCTTTGCCAGACCTATGTGAGGAATGTACGACGTGCGAGACGCTATTGGCACTGACGACGTACCTTCAGTGCCAGCGTCGACACGCGCATGCCATTGCTCATCGTGAAGCTTATAAACATGCACTACGCCCTTTTTTGCACACGCCGCAAGCATATACTCCGAATCTGAGGACCACGCCGCATGGGAAATGCGATTATCGCCGGGTAACGTTTTTTGCTGAGGAAGCGACGCGTTGGTTGGCGACGGGGACGCGTCAATAGCACAGGTGCGAACGATTTGGAAGGTATCCGTGCGCCGTACGATGAGTCTGTCCTGAGCAGCAGTGAGGATCAAGTTCCCGGCGGAGCTGAATGCGACGAGCGATGCAGATTGTTTGTAAATTGCGGTAAAGTCCATTCAACGTGTAGCGTAGTGAAGGCAGCCGATCCGATTTACTGATGACTGAATTGTGTGGCTGTGCAAAACTAAAGCGCCCAGCCCGAGTCGGATTTTCTTGTACTCTCTCCATCAGTAATACTTCCGACCAATACTTGGCAGCGCCTTGCTACAATCAAAGCGCATCTACAATATGCGGAAAACAAAATATGGGTTTTGCCCGCCGTTCCTGGCCCTTGGTATATAACTGTACCATCTTTCGTCTGGGTTGATCTCGTTCCACTTCTCCGTCCAATATGGCTACATATGCTCTGCATTACCATCCTACAACAACTACCCTGACTCTTGGAGACGCGAGCACCCTTCACGATGAAACTGTACCAAGCGTGGTGGTCGAGAAAAAGGTCAATGCAGACCCGTTTCTCGTCACTTTGGATCCAGACGAGCCTGAGAATCCTGATGTTCGTCTCTTATAATGCCACCTACCTAATCACCTTTAAGATTTACAAATTAGAGCTGGTCGCGCCTAAAGAGGTGGTCTATCACGATTCTAGGTGGTATATTGGTATTGAACGCGTAAGTCATCGGCCTCATTATATTTGTAACACGTCTCATCTCTCCATCAGAACGTTTGCAAGTTCCGCTCGTGAGCTACTATTTTAGACGTGTGCATGTGTTTCATCTCATTTGTTTTCAAGCATCAGGAATTTTGCCCAGGTTAATGGAAAAATATACATTCTCCGAGCAAGTTGGTGTGCTCGTAATATCCCTCTTCGTAGCGGGATTTTGTGTTGGGTTTGTTAATTTCATTGTTTGAGTGTGACTCAACTGAAAGCTCGTGAAGGCCTATTCTATGGGGGCCTCTATCAGAAGAGTTTGGAAGACGGCCTATATTTATTGTCACGTTTTTTGTGTACATGGTAAATCGTGTCGTTCTTCTGACCGTGTCTGTTCACGTTCTCACACAGCCGTCAGTGTTTTCAAATTGGCATGGCTCTATCACAGAACACAGCATCTCTGCTGGTATTCCGCTTTCTTGGTGGTATCTTCGCGTCTGGACCTCTGACCAACTCTGGGTATGTGGAAATCCAGACGTTCTATATGCCATGAATTGACGACTGGACGGCTTTTAGGGCTATTATATCAGATATGTGGGGTGATAAGGATCGTGGAAAGGCGCTAGCCGTCTTCGTTATTGCTCCATTTGCAGGGCCCTCCTTGGGTCCCATCGTTTCCGGGTTCATCTCAGTTGGCGGTAGGAAGAGTTTATTAGCTTCTCGTAAGCTGTCTAACACGCAATTATAGGCGCGTCATGGCGCTGGCTGTTCTGGGTTTTGACCATCTTTGTAAGTGCTACCACGTTCATTTCTCAAATTTGTCTGATTACGGAACCAGGCCGGTGTTTGCTGGATACTTATCCTTATAATGATTCCGGAGACCTACAAGTAATGATCCTGCCATTTTATAACATGTGGATCGTGTTTGACTTCTTCACTAGGCCTCTCCTTCGAGTATGGAAGGCTCGCAGATTGAGGAAAGAAACTGGAGATGATCGATACTACGCGCCAATGGAAAGAGATACAAAGACCATGGCGCAACAGGTAGAGCATGTCTTAGCCAGGCCCTTTAAAATCCTGGTACAAGAACCTATGCTCATTGCTAGCACAATTTATATGAGCGTAAGTTAATGATACATCACCTACACTCTTGCGTGCTCACCGACCCGTAGTTCGTCTATGGCTGCCTATACCTGCTCTTTGAGGCGTATCCTATCGTCTTCACAAAAGGACATCATTTTAGCGCCGGGATCACCGGCCTTGCATTCCTCCCAATCCTCATTGGCGCCGCCAGCGCTGTCGTCGTTGTATGTACCTCCATGCCCATATCCAAGCTACTTTTTGTTCACTCTTGGGACAGTATCTGGCAATTTTCAATCCCCAATATGAGCGGCTCATGGAACAATTTAGTCCTCATCCTGTTCCACCGGAACATCGCCTGACTATGTCCCTATATGCCTCGCCGCTCTTTGCAATATCTTTTTTTTGGTTCGGGTAAGTACCCGCAGTGTTGTTGACCTTTCCCTCTTTTGACATAAGTCTCTCTTCGCGTACAGATGGACAAGGTGCCTTCCTTATGAAATATTGTCTTGTGGTCAATATTGATTTGAACCCATCGTATTCCAGCTATCCGGACGTAACATATTGGTCGCCATTGTTGTCTGGCGCCCTGATAGGCTTTTCAATCATGGGAATATTTGTGAGTGCTTCAAGTATACGGACCGCATTAGATTTGTTACCAACGTCGCTACAGTTAAGCTTCTTTAACTATATCATAGGTAAGTCGTATGCGTTTCCCGAGACATCTGCATTCTAATTTCTGAATTGCAACACCAGACACGTATCTCGGTATCGCAGCGTCAGCACTAGCAGCCAACACTATCTGTCGTAGCCTTTTCGGTGCAGCATTTCCCGTATATACCTTTATCATACTTTTTGCTCAGTGGATCTTACACATCTCGTAGCAATTTGCCAATCAGATGTACGAGGCCTTGACTCCACGATGGGCGTCCTCCTTGGTAGGCTTCGTAGCCCTGGCCATGGTTCCCATACCTTTTATTTTCATAAAGTGCGTAGTGTCCACTCAATAAGTCCTGTCCTCATCGCTATTAGGTATGGGGCCAGACTTCGTGCCAGGTCGAAGTATGCTCCCGTGGAACATACCGCTCCGCTCCCGGCCTCTTCTCGGACGAAAGAATCTGACAGTTCTGCAGCATGACGATGTAGACTAGGATTGTTTTGGAATCCACGGACCGTGTATGGAGTACTGTACCTCATTCATAATCACTGTAGCACATTGTAGACATATTTTATTGCATAATTTCAACCGCAGCATCCGCTAGTCGGAATCTACATGCCGACCACATAAGGCAGTTTTCGTAGTTGCTATGAATCTGATACAGATCATCTGTTATCGCTAGGCCTAGTGTCGCTCAGGATCACCACTTTAAGGGACCAGTGCGGCAGGACTGATAACCAAAAGGATGAATGTTAGCAGAGGTGGCTCCCAGTGCAAGGATGCAGACGTACGATGGGACTGAAACAAAGTAGCTCCATCCGCAAATGGGTTGACATTCGAGGCCGACGACGTCGCATTCCCAAGGTAGCCAGCGGCAGGGCAAAACCACGTTTTAGTCACATTCTATGCGTCATAGAAAAAGAAAACCGGGCGGAGTTATCCAGAAAAGGAAACATCCAGAGTGCGCTCGCTGACTTAGTCAGAGATGATTGCAATATCTGTGGAAAGATATAATACCCACCCTCTTTTCTCTTTCTGCGATCCCTCCTCCTTCCTTTGCCGTCATGAACACACGAGCCTCCAGTTTCGACGATACCAGGACGCTCCAGCCTGACCAGCAGCTACCTGATGTTGTAGAGACAATACAAGTCCAACCATCTGAAAAGAATGGTGCTGACCCATTTCTTGTGACTCTTGACCCCTCCGAAGATCCACAGGTATGTTTTTTGAAGCGTGCCCTTGGTCAATCTGATAATGTTTGGTTTTCTAGTATTGGTCAGTAACCCATAAATGGTCTGTGACCATCCTAGGCGGTGTCCTATTGCTTAACGCGTGTGTACCTCATTTGCTTTTTGTGTTCGCCGTTGAGCCATTTTTCCGTTTAGTACGTTCGCGAGTTCTGCCCGTATGCTCTCTCTGTGCCTTCTTCTTGTGTTTCCAATGTTCACTGTCCTGATCTCAGCGTCTGGGATTGTTGAACAAGTCATAGAAGAATTCGGCTTATCAACGGAGGTTGCGACTCTCATGATCTCCCTGTTCGTCGCAGGATACTGTGTAGGGTATGTATTTATTGATTTACTTGCGCCCATCCACTCACTCATTGAGTAGGCCTATCATATGGGGACCTCTCTCTGAAGAGTTCGGACGTCGACCCATCTTCATCGTGGCATTCATTGTCTATGTAGTGCGTATGAAGATTGTCATCCGATCCTTCCCTTCTCAAGGTTGCAAAAATAGTGCTTCCAGATCGGGATGGCCTTGGCTAAAAATACTGCCTCGCTGCTCGTCTTCCGTTTCATAGGGGGAACGTTCGCTGCCTGTCCTTTGACGAATTCTGGGTACGCTCATACGATGTGCGCATTGCAGCCGTAACTGACGCCTCAATAGGGCTATCATCTCTGATATATGGGATGCTCGAACACGAGGAAAGGCCCTTGCAATATTCACGGTAGCCCCCTTTGCCGGCCCTGCATTAGGACCTACAGTTGCGGGATATATATCTGTAGCGGGTAAGTTCAGTTATTCTTAAGTTGGCAGGAGCCATCTGACCAAGCTTCTAGGTGTATCCTGGCGTTGGGTTTTCTGGGTCTTAACCATCTTCGTTAGTAATCACAGACATACAATCATCCGTAGACTAATCCGCGTTCAGGCTGGAATCTGCTGGATATTAATTATTGTGGCAATTCCGGAAACCTACCGGTACGCATACTTACTCTGGACTCGGGTACCTAAGGATTAATTGCCTTCACCAGACCCATTCTTCTCGTCAAAAAAGCGAAGAAAATGAGGAAAGAAACCGGCGATGATAGATATTATGCGCCAATGGAAAAGGACACAAAGACATTGGCCCAGCAAGTTGAGCACGTTCTCGCCAGGCCATTCAAGATTCTTTTCCAGGAGCCCATGCTTATGGCTAGCACATTATATCTTAGTGTGCGTGCTAGCTCTTTTGTCGCACAACTAATCTCACATTCTAGCAGTTCGTCTATGGATGTCTTTACCTTCTCTTTGAAGCATATCCCATCGTCTTCACCGAGGGTCATGGCTTCAACGCGGGCGTCTCTGGTCTTATGTTTTTACCCATAATGTTTGGTGGTATTACAGCTGTCATAGGGGTGCGCTGATCTTATACGCTTGCCCCCGTTCTCTTCTAATGCTTTTAGCTACATAGTACCTCCTAATCTGGAATCCCCGTTACGAGAAGGAAGTAGCTCGATGTGCTCCAGGGCCTGTTGCACCGGAATATCGTTTGCACATGGCCCTTTTTGCCTCTCCGTTGTTCGCTGTGTCATTCTTTTGGTTTGGTTGGACCTCAGTAAGCCGTTGTGCAAATGGTCAGAGAAAGTTACTGATCGACGTCATTTTAAGTTTCCATCGATATCCTACTGGGCACCCTTGATGGCTGGATATGTTATGGGGTTCTCCATCAGCTGGATATTTGTAAGTATCCAATTTGTCTGCCAACTTGACAATGTCTGAAGATCTGAACTCTTGTACAGTTGAGTTTCTTCAACTACATCATTGGTATGTTGTACATTTCTTTCCTTGCCGCACATCGTCTGATTCAAGTCTCAGATACATACTTGATGATTGCTGCTTCGGCCCTCGCTGCCAATACTGTTTGCCGTAGTCTGTTTGGTGCTGCTTTCCCTGTAAGCTGTCTTCCTTTTCATTGTTTGGCTCTTTCGTAGCTTGCTAATATTTGTTGCAAGCTATTTGCCACCCAGATGTATACCGCCCTCGATCCTCGCTGGGCGTCGTCGCTTTTGGGATTCGTCGCGCTTGCCATGGTTCCGCTACCTCTGCTATTCTTAAAGTGCGGGCTTGTCCTCCTATTCCAATATCAATCGGCATTCACGTGACATTTGTAGATACGGTCATATTCTTCGAATGAAATCGAAGTATGCACTAACCAAAAAACTGCCGGTGTCATGTTCAAAAGAGTCTGATAAGACTGCTGCTTGAAAAATCACATCAGGGCCTGGCATAGTAATTTTATCTCAGCAAATGGTATCCCTCACGACTGTATTTTTACACATTCAGGATCTTTGCACAACATCAGCAGGTAGACAGATTACATTATACTACATACCACTCAGTACCACTAATAATTACTTGGGACTTTGAAATACAATATGATGATGCAATGCCGATTATGTGATGCGAGCGAACTTTTTGAGCTGCCGGACAATTTATCTCCAGTCTGCCCGTCACTGCACGCTTTCTATACTAGCTAGCCATGCCTCCCATGGCATTGCAGGGAATTGTCACCAAGGTTGGCTTCATGAACAAGACAGCCACGGTGACAGTGTCGAGGTGGATGACCCATCGAGTGACGGGAAAGGTGCATTCTTTGTATCTGGGCGGGAGGTCTTGACTGAATCTTCGCCAGGTTATCGAACGGACGAAAAAATATCTCACGCATGACCCAAACAACGGTTCGCCGCGCCTTTTTTCTTTGGGTGCTGTTCACTTCATCATTCGAAAGAACTGCGCCAGGACGATGTCGTTATCATCCGCAATTGCCCGCCTGTGTCAGCTAGAAAACGGTTCAAACTAGAGACAGTGGTGAAGAGCCCCGAGGCAGAACGAGAGTTGAAGAAGGCCAATATTTTGCTGGAACAATCACAACAGCTATCACCACAACCTACGAAAAAGTAGGGACGAAAGATTCATTCAGGCAATATAGATACAGGAAGAGGTGCTACAGGGAGAGAGGTAAAAGCATTATGCCGTTGTTGTTGCTTCTAGATTTTGCTGTTGTTGTTGGAGAGCGGTCTGTGCAGCGGCAAACTGCAAATCATGTAAAGGTTGCTAGCAATGCCGTATGAGAACTACACGTACTTCTCTTTTCTTCTGCTCCGACTTGGCCTCAATGTCCTGTATTTGGGCCTCGACTCGTTTTCTATGCAAGGTCAGCGGTGCGCCGGCACAACAGAAGTAAAAGCGGACATTTCACCCTTGATAAAGTCTAGCCGTGTATTAACGTTGCTCTTCGCCTCTGCCTGGTCCTGCTTCACAAGTACGGGCCCAATGAGTTTATACACCGCATTCGATGGCGTGAGTTTGGCGAATTCCTGGGGGAGACGGCCATTCATACACGGTACAACTCGCGCCAAAGGGTAGACAGACTTTCTTCACGAGCTCATTCTCGGATTGTTGAGTGCCCAATTTCTCTCTGGCCTCCACGACCTTGGCCATATCAGCCTGGAGCATTTGGAACTCTTGTGCAACTGTTTGCACCTTTTCTTGAAGAGACATGATGGCGAGGAATGAAGATCCAAAAAAAGGAAGCCGTTATCTTATCTTGACCAAATCGCAGAAATAATCCTCGCACCGGTACGACCATGGGATTTCATCAGTATTACCCGCCGGCACAGCGGAATATGAAGGCCTTCCGTCTTCACTTCTGTCTCTTATTCCACGATGTCCTTCCCTGTAAAAATTGACTGGTCCAAGGTTGCAAAGCCCACTACTGTGTTGGCTCGTTTTCCAAGTCGCCGTTCTGTCGTATACGGCACGAAAGGCATAGTATCTTCTTCTCAACCTTTAGCTACTGAGGCTGGGTTGGAGATCTTGAGGAAAGGCGGAAATGCCGGTGTGATCCACTGTTCTCATTTCCCCTCATCACTGGCTAATACCTAATACTTCATTAGCGGACGCGGCCGTCGCGACCTCAGCTGCCTTGAATGTGACTGAACCCAGCTGCTGTGGAATCGGAGGGTGATTATCACCATTCCGTATATTGTCCGAAAGGGTAGCACCTTATCAAAATGATAGAGATGCGTTCTGCTTGTTTTATGATGCAAAAACCAAGCAGGTAAAAGCTTTGAACGGATCTGGCCGGTCCCCTCAGAAACTCACACTCGAGTATGTACAACAACGAGGGCTAACCGGGTGGATACCGGCCTCTGATATCAACTCTGTAACCGTTCCCGGTCAGTTGCTGCCGCGTGCCAAAAAGACAAATGATTCTGACATCAAATGCAGGTGCTGCCGCCGCATGGGTCGATACCGTAGAGACCTTTGGGAGTGGAAAGCTTACCGTGGCAGACGTACTGGAACCCGCCATTAGACTAGCAGAGGAAGGGTAAGTCTGATATCTCTATCCTCTGACCTTCTAAAGTTGTTTCTAGTGTCCCTGTTTCAGAGATCCACAGCTATAGCGTAAGTGAGAGCCATTCAAAATAATCTTCAGAGGAGTGACGGCGTATACAGTGGCAGAGATCTGAGGTATGCCTTTACTGCCTTCGATCGTTATGCGGGCTAATTTGCGTTGGCCAGAACCTCATCAAGAATGCGTCTCCCAATGGTGATGAGATGCTTTTGAATGGAAAGGCACCACTTCCAGGCCAAATAGTCACTCTCCCTAATCTTGCCAAAACGTTTCGCGAAGTTGCTGCCCGTGGAAAAGATGGTTTTTATAAAGGCAGAATCGCTTCGGCCATTGTGGAGTTGATCCAAAGCCGAGGAGGGTTGATGGAGCTTGATGATCTCTCCAAACACGAAACTTCTTTTGTTGAGCCTTTGAAGTACACTTATGCTAACGAAATGTCGGTCTACGAGGTAACAAGAGTACTTGTTATCAAGTCAGGACACTAACACCCCTTTGTTTCAGTGCCCACCTAATGGACAAGGTCAATAGCGCTATTCTCTTGCTGAGATGCATGATTTGACATGCTGGTCTTGTAGGATTAACCGCTCTAATTGCCCTCGGTATCCTTGAGAGCCTGCAAGAGCAAGGCATTATCAAACCTTTGTCGGAGATGGAACATAATTCTCCAGAGTACCTGCACGTACTCGTTGAGGCCTTGCGGTTCGTGTCTTCATCCTTACTATCACGACGACATGAGTGTTCACCCCCGTGTCTAGACTCGCTTTTTCAGGTAAAATTCTCCTGGTTTGTTCATGCTGGCGGCTGTTGATGTCGCTATAGACAGTCAATGGTATGTAACTGATCCAGATACACGACACATCCCTACGAAAGAACTACTGAGCAAAGTTGGTGAATTTTCTGTGTTCCCGTAGTGTGTCCTGGATGATATTTTCTAGGACTATCTCACGTCAAGAGCTAAGCTCATCGACCCCACGAAGACTAACCCGAAGGTGGTGCATGTGCGTAATGACTCGGTATCGTTCTCCCTTTCATGCGAACCATACAAATTCAGGGTAACCCATTTGCATCTTCGGATACGGTTTACTTCTCTGGTATGACTACTTCGTTCTGAATCATAGCAAATACTGTGCTTATCTGTGTACAGTTACCGATCAATGGGGAAACGCATGCAGCTTTATCCAAAGCAACTATGCTGGTACAGTGCCATGACATTGATAATGAGTTGCTATGAAACTCACACTCACTGTAGGATTCGGGACAGGAGGTAACAACAGTTTGCATCTTGCCGTTGCTGCGTCTGATCAGTTCATAACCGGGAAGCTGTTCCCAAAGGCTGTGGTTTCACGCTACAGAATAGAGGAAGTGGCTTCTTGCTGGAGAAGAATCACCCCAATGCCTTGCAGGTATGCATCGTGGCAAGTGCGAGTGCGATTCTGAAGAATGGCAGGGCGGAAAACGACCGTATCACACCATTATACCATGTATGGTTACCAAGGGCGACGAACTGTTCCTGAGCTTCGGTGTCATGGGTGGTTTCATGCAGGTGAGCAGCGTTTTCACGCACGACTTGCTGTAGCTCAGAAGAGATCCATTGCCAGCCCCAAGGCCACGTTCAGGTACTCTTGAACATACTACGCGGGTATACCCCTCAGGAAGCACTGGACGCTCCCCGTTTCTGTATATCAGCTGGCAGTCCAGACACCCAGACTCGAGAAACGGGAAATGCGGGAGACATCAACGGCGAGGTTTACTTCGAGGAAGGTATCCCGCCTGAGACAATCGCAGCGTTGATAGGTGAATTTTTCATAACCTCGCCCAATTATTTGCTTACCAACCCTGTTAAGCTATGGGACATGACGCACGACACGTTACTGGATTCAGAAGAGCAATGTTGGGTCGAGGTCAGATCATACAGAAGCTTGAGGATCCCTCTGGTAGGCTGGTATGGGCGGCAGGTTCCGATCCTCGAGCCGACGGTCACGCTGCAGCACAAATATGAGATGTATATGCATGAGTATGTAAAGCACAAAATCCACAACTACGTCCGAATCGTGCATATGTTGAGTTATGAGGTTACTGAAATTTTGTATCACAAGCATCCGTCGGTGAAATTATGACTTTGGTATTCGAGAGGCGCGAAGTCGTTCACAGATGGAGACAACGGTATATATTTCCAACAACACTAGCAACGAGAAGGACACCAAGGGAAGCGGCACGTGAGATCAATCCCGATAGAAAAGCTCAACTGAAGATCAACGAGATCAAACGAGAAGAAACGGATTCTACGCGAAAAAGAAATAGTTAGATTCATAAATTGAGCACAACGCACCCGGAACAGGCTGTAAAGAGCCGAAATGTTCACTTCGTAATGGACTGAGCTTCGGTTAAGATCGCCGGCAATAGGCGATGGTGTCTAGTTGGTAGCTAGTGAACCAGTTCTGGAGGATGAGGAAATGTCGATTAACGATATATATTGAATATGAAACAAACCACGACTTTCGACGAATAAATACAACAGAAAGAATGCGACAGCTTACTTCCAAACTGTAATAACCAGACGGTGGGCGTGCAGAAGCGTTGGATCCGGTCCATTAACGTGTCCATCTCTAGTAGGCGAAAATGTTTCCAACTGCTGCAATGGTATGAGATGTACCTCAACATCCAGACGACGAGGTGTGAGATCATTGTGAACGGGGAGGGAAGTGGATAGAACAGAAGGGCGTATACTATGGCAGGGGGTATCGCGGGGCAGCAACTTCAAGCTGTATCATTTCACCCGAACAAACGCGTCAACATTGAGATCCCACACCTGGCCATGGCTTTTCCGGTGACATGTTGTCTTTGCCATGAAATGGTAAGCTTGCTCCCATCAAGGCGACCGGTTACAGATCTAGCTAGGGACATTGCAAGAAAGGCAGTGATTTGAGTTACATTTTCCTAAGCCGTTCACTCCCAACTACGTAGGGATCGTCAATCACACGACAACTCGTCCGCAGTCGGAATTACGCACCAGCCTGCTCCCTTCGGTAATCCCTAAGGGATTTGGTTCTGTCGGGTCCAGTGATCTTGCCCCACCCTGCCAAAGGAACTACAAGTGCCGTCGCGTTGTCCTCACCACCTAACTCTTCCACAAATGCCAAAATGTGCTCAGCAGCGGTCTTGGGGTCAGGAGCACCCCTTGCCAAGTCCGCAACTTCATCGTCTGAAAGTATTGAAGAAACACCATCTGAGACAAGCACCATATAGGCCCATTTGTTTCCTATAGCAAGCTAGAATGAGAAATTAGTAAGCAAGAAGGTAGTAAGTATGACAACCTTCCAAGAGCTTCGTTCTGATTTCTGGTTCCGGAGTAACACCGAATTTTTTGAATTGCAGGTCGCCTAATCTTGAACAAATAGGTGAGTATGCGTAGCGTTCGAACGATCAGGGATAAGTCTCACCCACGCGTGTTTTCAAGAGCACCCATCCATCTATAAGACATATTTGACGTGTTCGACATATGAAGGAGTAAATGTCATACCGTGACTCTCCAAATGAATCCGTGATTAAAGACGATCCCATCATGCGCCGAAGACGTATAGACTCAACCCTGGCATCTGCATGATGCTTGTCAGTCATTCGGAACACTTTAGCACTGTCTGTAGAACAAAGTAATATCCGCGTGTCTCTGTAAGCTCTCAGTATCTGGATATGGGAAATACGACTACTCAACACTGACCCGCAGTGAGCAACAGTTAGGGCGACTGTTTTTGCAGAGAATGGTGCCGTGGCCGTGGCATCAATGGACTGAAGAAGAGCAACCGAAGCAGTGGCACCGCAAGACTGTGCTACTTCGTCGGTAGACATATTGCGATCGACCTAGGAAAAACATAAGGATGAAATAGCAAATAGAGATATGGAGATTTACTTCGAAAAAGGTCTGTGTGGCGCGCGCTTCAAGGTCATAAACATGAGGATTATTGGGGTCATGAATCCATGGTTGGAGAGCGCCTCCCCTGAATCGCTTAAAATAGCCCCCAAGTTCATGGATCCAGGCATAGAGTTCTGGAATGTCCGACTTTTTTACTGATTCGAATAATCCGTGAAGTTCTTGACGGAGGTACTGGGAAACCGCGGATCCACCATGACTAAACCTGATTGGTAACATTGCATCCAGTGAAATTTGGCTACGCACCCATCATAAATGCCAATGAAAGCAATTTGACTGTTGAATGGCTGTCCTATTATGTTAGGATCCCAGTCAACTTTCTGGAACTTCTTGAGGCTTGCACGAAGTTCTTCTGGATCAAGAGTCAATGTAGCGAAAGAGTAGAAATCCTCTTGATGACTAAAGCACTATTAACGATGTCGCGCAAGCCGTAGCAGGACGTACCTTCTAGTCCCTCTAGAAGAAGCAACTCCGATAACTTTTGGGGAAGCCAGAGGAATACGAATAACGCCACCTTACAACATGTCAGAACCAGTAAGGGGCGACATTGTATATTGCACCTGGGGTGGCAGCTCGAAAGTAATCATGATATGTCCGGACCAGCGATACCCCACTCGTGGCAACGGCTCTTCTGATAGGCCCTAGGCGTCGAATAGGCATTGACGATGAGGCTCAAAGGCATGCCAAGCCAGCAATAGGCGTCAGATATAGGCGACGTCCAGATGGCTATAGGCACGTAAACGAAGATGCAGACGAAGAATAACGCGTCAACGTTGTGGTGGTGGTGGTAAGAAGACAGGTGAAGCCCCTCCCACTGACCCAACTGGGATCGCAGGCTTGATTTGGCATGCACCATCATGATGACACCTCTCTCCTGTTGACATGGGTACAAACCAATCTCTCCCCAAGATAACACCGCAGGACCGTGCTATTCTCGAGTATGCTCATTTCTCCCTCTTGCTGTTGTCTTCGCTCATTATCGCAGTCTCAAGCTTCAGCGAGATAAATTGCGGCAGTATCAGAAGAAGGTTGCCTCGCTGCGCTACCGGTCGCCGTATATGCTGACTTGCACTCAAGATTCAGGTTATCTTGGACAGGGAACATGCTATTGCAAAGGAACATCTAACGGCGGGCCGGAAAGATCGAGCTATCGTCGCTTTGCGGCGCAGAAGGTACCAGCAGAGTTTGCTTTTGAAGACTGATGGGCAACTAGAGAACCTGGAACAGCTGGTATGGACACTCTACTTCTCTGTACATTCATACGCATTCACCTTCGAGCTAGGTGTCTTCAATAGAGTTCTCCCTTATCGAGGTCTCTGTCGTGCATGGCTTGAAGCAAGGCAACGACGTTCTCAAGGAGATCCACAAGGAGCTCAACGTCGAACAGGTAGAGAAGCTCCTAGAAGACTCTCATGAAGCTAGGGAGTATCAGAGGGTGCGCCGAACGTGCCATTCCTTCGCTGCAGAGATGATAACGGGCTACCCAGGAAATCGGAGAACTGCTAGTAAATCAACTCTCATTAGACGACGAAGACGCTGTGCAGGCCGAGTTGCTCGAACTACAAGCAAAAGCAGTACGTTCCATCGCCGCATACCACATAGACAGTTGTAATCTTATACTTTATTGTTCAGCTGGAAGTACCCCAAGAGATGCCACCAGTCCTTCTTCCCGACGCACCAACGTCAGAGCCAGCTCAGCCTATTTCCGAAGGTTCGTATTCTCCGTTCCTCACAATGACCTTATACTCACCTTCTCCAGATCATCGGCCAGCAGAAGAGCACGACAGAGTGTTAGTGCCATCATGATCATTCCACGATTCGAACCGACAATGTATCATATATCATACATATACACTCTAAATAATTCGTATCTCACACAAGAAGCTCGTAACATTCACCAACCCTCAAAATTCCCGAAGCCAATTTTGCGCTTCTTCTTCACCTCGTCTACGCCGCCACCGTTACCCGGGGGTTCACTTGGTCTTTTCGCCGAGTTCAGATACTTTCCAACACCCGTTCCAGTGTCCCCAGACTCAAAGATGGTACTATTCGTACCTACTCGCTTGCCAAACCAGTTGATATCATCGCCCTCCTTCTCTGAGGCTTTTTGTGAATTCCCATATTGCTCTGTCTCGGCGCGTTTCGCCAACTTCTTCGTCAGCCGGGTTTTGTACTCCTCAAAGGGGTCTTGGTAACTGTACCAACCACCACGAAGCATTAACATACATCCGATGAGAAGTGATAAGGACGTACATGACAACTTCCGTTATTCGCACGGGCTTACTGGGTCTTTCGGTACCCTCTTTGCGCGGTAGACGTTCCAAAGCGTCGAGAACATCTTCTCCACCAACCAATCGCCCAAAAACGGTATGTTTTTTGTCAAGATGGGGGGCAGCCTTGAAAGTCACATAAAATTGGGAACTGTGATTACTTTGTTAACACTGAAATGATAAATGACGGGCGTTTACCCATTGGTCCCAGCACCTTCAAAATCATTTAGGTTAATTACAACGAAAATGAATGTAGAACGCACCCTTGTTAGCCATAGCTACAATACCACGACCATCATGTCTGGCTGCCCCTTTCAGGTCATATTCATCGCGAAACGGAGTGCCCCAGTACGAATTCCCCCCAGAACCGGTGCCAATGGGATCACCAGTTTGAATCTGCAATATTTTGGCCTTCAATATGTCGGAAGATGAGAAAGAACGTACCATGAAACCTGGGACCAAACGGTGAAATAGACAATTATCATACTTTCCGGCCCTCGCAAGCATTAGGAAGTTATAACATGTTTTCGGGGCCTAATAAGATGAAGTATTAGTAGCGTCGACGTGCAAGCCAACAAGCCTTACTTTTTCGCAGTACAACTCCAAATTCAAACTGCTACCACCCAAACTTGTCACGACACGCACATAGGCGCGCCGTTTACCTACATCCTTTTCTTTGCCTTTGTTTTTGAGTGGGTTTGATATGCTTTCGAACATCAATTCTTCCTAAAAACAGATATGTGATATAATGGTTGTGAATGATGGTAACGCACCTCATCCCACACAAGGTTCGTCGGACCAGACTGAGGATCAACAGAAGTGGAGGTCAAAGATGCCCCAGGAAGACCATTCGAATAAGGTGAGATATTCCCTTAGCTTCTAAGTCAGCTTCCAAATGCGTGGAGTAGGAAGGACGCGTACAAGGTACCGGTTCCTTGGTCTTAACTGGGACTGCGCTGGTCTGGCCCTTTTCAGCAACAGTTTTCGTGGATGCAGAAGAAGTTGATGCGACTTTAGTTGGCACAGACGCCGGGGGTAGTCCATGGGGGTTTTGTAGCGTCACGACGTCTGTCCTGCTTCAGTGAGACGACGTGAGGTCTGAATGGAAGCAACGCTTACTTTTTGAAGGGAACGTCATTAACAAGATCCTTTCCACCCTTGATGCTCCCAGCAAGAAACACATTTCCGGTGGTCGCGATAGCCACAATGTGAGAGTGCTCGCTGAAAGGTTTGAAGGATATGGGGTCATGGATCTCTCCAGATGCCTCCTTGCGAGAATAATGCAGTGTAATGAGATCAGAGGGCATCAGAGGTTCTTTCGTTATAGGATTGGTGTTGTTATGTTGTCTAGTAATGTCAGAAGTTAAGGTAGACTCGGAATGTGTTCACTCACTTGAGCCAGGGAATGATGTTCACCAAATCGAACACATGGCCAGTGCCATCCGAGTTTCGAGCACAGACAGGATGACTGAATGGCTGAAAAGAAAGAGCACAGCAGTCGAAGGGTGTCCTTGCTCCTGGATGAGGCGCTTCTTGCTTGCTACACTTGAGTGCGTGAGGATCCAGACAAGTTATAGCTGCATAAAGACGTACGCCTTGAAGCCTGTAGAGGACGAATGGGAACCAAACATGCCAGTATGTTCGGCATGAGTGATATAGAGCTTGTCAGAATTTCCGTGGCCCATGATGACAGTAAAGAAGAGAGCCTTGATTTTGTTTGTTTACTTATTTTAGCCTCTACTTCATGCTACGCCTTTCTGCGTGGAGGTCTCCCGTTCTCCTCGACTTCCTCGCACCCCGTCTCCTCGTTCCAGCTCGTCATTACAGCCTCAAGCTGCCCATCTACAAAATCAAAAGAGATACAACCATCCTTGAAAATCACGGTCCTCATGCCCATGACAAGCAGCTCCCATATCACAACGCAGACATATACAAGAGTATTCTCGGCCGTGTCCAGCAGGCCCTAGGGGAGGAGGATGTAGAGGCGGTGAAAACATGCTGGTTTGAGCTCAAGGAGCGCGACCTTCATCGACACCTCGCTCCCGCAGATTTTGCTCGCATCTCCAATCTCTTCATCGCTCATTATATCCCCAAGAATGACACCGACGTGCTGGATATAGCGACCCGAAAGCTTATTGAAGAGGTCTCGTTGGCAGCAGCCTGTTCGCGCAGCCCGGCCGCTCTGGCTGCTTGCATGAACTTCTACATCTCCAGAAACGAGCCAAAGATTGTCATCAGTCTCTACATCAGGTTTCACAAGATGTTGGGCGAGACGGATGACCTCTCTGTCGATAACGGGGACGTGGACGTGCTAGATTTCGACGTTTTTTCGTTCACATCTAGCACAGCTGCCCGCACACAATCGTCGAGCACGCTCGTTCCGGGGCGGGTCTCAATTCTACTCTCTTTCGTCGCGGCTCAGGCCTTACGAGATGATTTCGCAGCTGCATTCGAAGCGTACCGGCAAACCATTATCCGGTTCCATGATTATACTGTAAAGGACTATCTATCCCACATCACCGACGACGCATTTCGCGATAAATTGCTCTTATGGGTTCGACGACTAGAAATTGCGCGTAAAGTCTATCAGGGTAACCCCCTGGCCATTCAGTTGCAACAACTCGTCGCAGCGGGAGGCTTCAATACCATACAGAACCTTTACAACCGCATTAGAGATGGGTTATTTGGCGCAAATCCATTTATTGCCGGAGACGCATCCCAGCTTGGAGGAACTCGTCTCGTAGCGATGTCCGACCGCATATGGACGGCCTTCCTCACCAGTTTTCTGCAAAGCAGAGGTGGTCACTTAAGTGCCGATGAGGTGTGGGGAGACGTCTCGCGATGCGGGATAAAACATCCCGTCTCACTATGGACTGGTCTGATAGACTCGTATGCAGAGTCTCGACATATGGACAATGCACTGAATGTGTGGAGAATGATGGAGGCCAAAGGCGTAAAACCAGACGCACTCACCTACCGGGCCGTCATATCGGCTGCGTTAGAAGGTCGTCAGATAGACGAAGCAATTCGGCTGTTCAGACAGTTCCAATCGGATCTCGAGGCAATGACGGAGCCAGAGAGGTCATTGGTCGTCTACAATACATACATCCATGGCCTTCTTGCCGCAGATCGTCTCGATGAGGCTCTTTCTGTTCTTGAGCGCATGGAGGAAAACAAGAAGGACAAACGAGTTGGTCCGGTACCTGATATCGTTTCATTCAACACCTTCCTGGCGTATTTCGGTCGTCGGATGGACTTGAAGGCGCTTTCCATTATCATCAACCGGATGTCAATCGTGGGCCTTAGCGCGGACGTCTTCAGCTATTCCATCCTTCTGTCGGCGCTGCTCAAGATAGGGAAAGCAGACGCTACGACGATTGTGTTCAATCTCATGCGCAAGCAAGGGTTGGAGCCTAACATTGTTGTCTATGGAACGATCATAGTCGAGTTGTTGAGGGAACAGAGTGAACAACATGTTCGGGCTGTTTTGAAGATATTGGAAGAAATGGAGTCGGGGAAGATACCATTTCCGCCTACGGTCAAAATCTACCAGGCAATCTTGGTTGAACTGTGGAGAGATCCGTGGCTTCCTCCGAAGACCGGTATCGCGATCACGCGCGATGTCGTTGAACGGATGAAAAAGAGGAAGATTCCACTTAACATCCCACTGTACCATGTCTTGATTCGTGTTGCCTTGATGGACGAGTATCCGAACGGGGTGACGTTGGCGATGTCTCTATACCAGGAGATGGTTCGGCGAAACCTAGCAGTGACGTCGAAGCTAATCTTCCTACTTTTACAAGAACTGTTTGCCAAGGGGGAGTATGTACATGCCGCAAAGGTAGTGCGGGATATGGAGACGTTTGGGATGAAACCTATCCCTTCGACCGCGCGGTTGATGAATAAAATACGGAATACACTGAGGGAAAAACAGTATTTACCTGCTCAGGTAGGTAGCCCAATGTGACCTTATCATCTACCGCGTAGCCCTATGCCGATGTAGCGCGAATAAGCTGGAAAGAAGAATGAACTGAAAGCAGCGGCGAGGAAGTAAAAGTCAGCTGACCCCAGTAACTCCATCTTCTTCCAAGATATTTACCCAGAAGAGGAAGCAGTACGATGGAAAAAAGCTGCTGGAGCTGCTGGATGCTCTCCTCCCATTCCTGCTGGGCGAGCTGGTATTCATCTGAGCCGTACGAACGTTCTGAGAGGTCGTCGAGAGAGACGTCGGAAACGGTGTCCGACATTGTTCGTGGTGGTAGAGAACAGATGACCAAGCCAAACGGAATGACGACAATTTGATTAAAAGTCGCCTGCTGGCAGTGCTGCCTTATTTGCCTGCCAGCAGGCTCCACGCTCTCCCGTTTCTTACGACGTACTCTTTTTCTCTCTCTCTTTCATCGTCTTGCCCATGCATTATGGCCAATACGACAACAGTACAAACCCAATCCCGCAGCCGGCTCGTGGGGCAGCCCTTGCTCTATGCAATTTCTGTATTTGCCAGTCTCGGCGTTTTCCTCGTCAGTCTTCTCTGTATAATGTCCAATAGCCATTATCCCTCATTCTTCCCCTGCAGTTTGGATATGATCAAGGGTATGTCCTGAGCCGCGAAGGCCTCTATGTCACTCATTGCCGTCCAGTGTCATGAGTGGCGTAATCACCGGCCCTCACTTCCGCAAGTTCTTCAACAATCCTGATGCTCTTCAGATCGGCACAATGGTGGCCGTCCTTGAAGTCGGCGCTTTCAGTATGATTTTCGATGTAGATTATATCTCTATTGTTATTTAACGTGTTCTCAGTCACCTCTGTCGCCGCCGGAAAGATTGGTGACATCATGGGTCGAAAAGGAACTCTCTTCGTCGGCGCGGTCGTCTTCACTGTTGGAGGTGCTGTCCAGACATTTACTACAGGCTTCTGGGTTATGATTGTCGGCCGCGTTGTTAGTGGCTTTGGAGTTGGCCTTCTTTCGTGAGTTCATCCCATTCTCACTGCCTTGGACTTTGTGCGCTCATCACCTCCAACAGCACCATCGTACCTATATACCAGAGCGAAATCTCCCCTCCGGATCATGTATGTTTAATTACTCTCCGACCTACACGCGTTGACTGATGCTGGTACAGAGAGGTGCCCTGGCATGCATGGAGTTCACTGGAAACATCATTGGTTACTCGTCTTCAGTTGTATGTGTCATTTGCCCTTTTATTGCTGGCGCAAAAGCTTAATACATGTAGTGGGTCGACTACTTTTGCTCGTACATCGATTCCGATCTTTCCTGGCGCGTACCCTTGTTTATGCAATGTGTAATAGGGGGCATTCTTGCGGCTGGGTGCCTTGTAATGCCTGAAAGCCCAAGGTTTACTTCTCTGTCCTTACGTTCCTGCATTTATCTAACCTGATCAATAAGGTGGCTTATTGATACCGACCAGGACGACGAGGGTATGAGAGTCATCGCCGATCTCCACGGTGGAAATCGACAGAATCGTGCTGCTCTTGCCGAGTTCCAAGAAATTAAGGACAAGGTTATGGAGGAGGTCTGACTTCCTGGTTTCCAGATCCACAATAATACTTAACCATTCCTTCAGCGTGCTTCCGGAGAAGCCAGGTCATATGTGGTTATGTGGCGTAGATACAAAAGACGTGTTCTACTAGCTATGTCTTCTCAAGCTTTTGCTCAGCTTGTAAGCATTCATCATTTCATGCCGAAGGAAGTCCATTGACACGTCGTACAGAACGGTATCAACGGTAAGCGTGGCCGTTTCGTAAAAAAATTCTAACAGGCTGACATCTGTATCGCAGTGATATCTTACTATGCTCGTAAGTCTGTCCTCCAAAGGTTGCACCATCAGTTTCTTATGATGCTCCCTTAGCACGGGTATTCGAAGGTATGACGCACTAGGGGCTGTAATTTCACAACTAGGAATAACACATCTAACAGAAGCCGGTTGGATCGGTCGAGATGCTATCCTTATGACTGGTATCAACTCTATCGTCTACGTTCTTAGTACTCTGCCTCCGTTCGTTGCTTTCTTTCCGCTCTAAATGTGGACTTATTGCCTTCAGGTGGTACTTGGTAGATCGATGGGGTCGACGTGCGATCCTCTTATCCGGGGCCGTTGTTGTACGTGCTCTCTTCTTGATGAATCTGTTTAATCTAACTCTAGTCAGATGGCTATGGCTTTAGGAGCTACTGGATGGTGGATGTATATCGACGTTCCACAGACCGCCAACGCAGTTGTAGTCTGCGTGATAATCTACAATGCAGCCTTCGGATATAGGTGAGCTTCATATGACTTGTCTTCCAAGAGGCTTAGCTAACGTATCCGGTCAGTTGGGGTCCTCTACCATGGTTGTACCCCCCCGAGGTCGTAATCATCCTATTATGACGTTTCCCATCAACTCACATGTCCATAGATCATGCCTCTGACTATTCGTGCGAAAGGTGTCTCGCTGTCGACTAGTACTAATTGGGCTTTCAATTTCTTGGTTGGCGAAACTACTCCGTTCCTTCAAGAATATATAGAATGGCGATTGTACCCCATGCATGGGTTCTACTGTGTCTGCAGTTTCATTTTGGGTAAGAATATTTGTTTTTGTGAAGGTGGCTGGATGCTTATAGCATAGCGTATATGCAGTTTACTTCCGTGCGTATACAACAGGACTATGTTGTGGAAGAGAATCCAGATCTTTTGTTTGCAGTTTACCCAGAAACCAAGGGTGTACCTCTCGAAGAGATGGATGCTGTGTTTGGAGAAGGTGTGTGGATACGTATCTTGTTTTACACCCGTTCCATCGTTCTTTCTTTTTCAGATGAATTAGAAGAACGAATGGATAACGAGGAAGATGAGGATGATTCTTACGACGAAACCACATCTCTCCTGGTAAACGGACTCCCCACCGACAATCGAACGATCAACCAATCAGGACCGCGCCGCCGCCGTTCCAGTGCTGGCTGGATCAGCAGAATGTTCAAGCGTCGCAATGAGGGAATTTCCCCCACAGCAACGACATAGCGTATAGTTCACATTATTACGGTTAGTTTCCTAATCACCTGTTGTAGCATTATGGAAGCGTGGGTCGTTCCCACAACATTTTTGGGAATGGTACTAATGTTGGGAATAGCGTATATTGCCACGCTGTTACCACGTACGTTGTACATGCATATAATAGTTTTAATGTCTCCTAGCCAAAGCCGAAAATGCCGGTGTATCATGTGACCCATGAATCTTTTTCGGTGGACCACAACAGTGTGCCAACGATGGACTCGACAGTACCCATGGAACTGTCGCTACATGAGTCGTAGTGCTGAAGAAATTGCATCTGCATCGAAACAAATACCCTCAGACCTTCCTGCTATCACTTTCGAGTCTTTGGGACTGCGACAATCTGTTGTAAAAGCCATGCATGCAGCTTTTCCTAATGTTCAGCATCCAACAGACGCACAAACGAGGCTCATTCCAGCAGTGCTGAGTGGTATGGATGTCCTTGTCACTGACGACACGGGGTCTGGAAAGTGCGTCGCGTCGTTCTCTTGTCTGAACGTGCAGTCTTAAACCTTTTTCTAAGGTCCTTCGGACTCTTGCTTTCGCTCCTCAACGAACCTCGCCTACGATACAGAAATAAAGAAACCGGACTTGTACGCGAAAACCTGTCTATCACGTCGCTGTTCATTGTTCCGCATCGCGATTTGGCGTACCAATTATACCATTGGGTTCAGTGTATATCAGATGCAGCATCTAACACTCCTCCTGGCACTCCCTCAATCGCATCTATCGCGCAAGTCCTTGTTCGAGATGGAAAAATGCACCTCGACTCTGGTTTGGCTGCCTTACGCTCAAATCCACCCCATATTCTCATTGCAACGCCACAGGCGGTGATGGATGTATATCGCCAAGAACCGGAAACCCTTCCTTTCGTGGATTTCTCTACTGTGGTGGTAGACGAGATTGACTACCTCGTGGAAACCATGCCGCACAAGTCAGAAGAAACGACGTATTGGAAAACGATCCAGAAACGGCAGGCGAAACTTACACGACATCCGGGGGTGACCAAGGAGCTACTTGACATCATCTACGCGCAACGAAAGAAGATGTGCGAGGAGAACCGGCAGGAACTTGTGAATGAGCCCTACCATACGCCGCAGTTGGTGGTATCTAGCGCAAGTGTTCGAAAACATCTTTCGAGCCATTTGTTCTATGAAAGTGGATGGATGAGGAAGAAGGATACAATCATCGTACATGGGTCGCCGAAGACCGTAGCCCCACATAGTGGACTTGGAGGTAAAGACGTCAAGCATTCAGTGCTCGTGGTATCTGGGGCAAAGGTTACGAATATTGAGGAAGCTACTCCGACGACTCCTGAAGGAGATCATGATGCAACGAAAAAGTTAGCCGAGAACGGAGAAGGTCAGCCGGTCGTTGTTAATGTCAGTGCTGAACAGCGAAGCGGTAGGTTTTACATCAATGATGTGTGGAATTTCACTGATGATACGATTTGTAGCTTATGAGGGGAAACCTTCTCCGTTTAATCCCAATGCCTTGGAAGCTGTGGCTGTGACGTTTGCACTTGATGTCCCTTCTGTCGCATTGCTGGTTATACGTCCAGAAGCGTCTGTGCAGCGTGCTGTATACGACTTGCGGAGCATGGGTGTCAATGCAGTTGCTTTAGATGTCGCGAACATGGAGCGAGGTGGTGCTCATCTCCTGAACTACGGTGATACGAGCAAGTTCAAGGCAAACCCGACCCTGTTGGTATGCACACGAGCGATGACGCGAGGAATTGATTTCCCGGAACTCACACACGTGTTTATCATGGAATTCTTCCAGGGCAAAATGAGCGGGCAGACAGTGGACGAATACCTACACATTGCAGGTCGAGTGGGGCGATTCGGACGTGGGGGTAGGGTGATAACACTGGTGGAAAGGGGATCGGTGGCCGGAACGGACACGAAGGACGGACGAAGAACGGGGGGAAAAGAGGATGCGAAGATGATGTCGATTCTGAAGAGCATAGGATGCAGCCCTGACAGATTCGAATATTTCGATTGAAATCGGTATGGGTCGTCGAAGGGGCTGGGGTTCGTCATGACGAGTCGATCAGGGCGTAAAAAAAAGATTGCTACTCTGTCAGTCGCAGACCGTTGCCCTAGGCAACCATGTTCCACACCATTTTTATGTTATTTAATTTGTTTGGAGCAGGATACTACAGAACGATACTGTGTACGTATCAGGACCGCATACCCACCCATACACATTTCATCACGCGGCAGCAAGGCTGAGAATACCCCGAAAATGATACATGCCAATATTTTTTCTGATGCAGAAGACGAATCAGAATATATATTTTTATAAATATATCGCCGAATTGATTATCTTCAGATGGGACTCGGAAGTGACGGAATCAAGAGGCCGGTCAGCCGGTGTCGTTCTGGCTCATTGCTTCTCTTCACCGTCGACGACCATCACTCTGTCACCTTTCATTCTCTTTTCCCTCTGACGATGCGGTGGCCAGTCACCCCCCTGCTTGGGGCCGCCTTCGTCGCTGTTGCTGTCGTCGCTCAGAACAGTAGCTCGACATCCCCCAGCTCAACCCAGGCCTCTTCAACGTCCCAGGCTTCTTCGTCCGGATCTTCGTCGGCATCATCATCATCAGCGTCCTCTGCATCTCTCTCCCTTTCGCTCACGACGAGCTCCAGGACTATCACGACTTCGACAACCACCAATGGCGAAACCTCGCAGTACACGACCGTTGTTCCAACGACCTTTAACGTTACATATACCGCTACACCCACATCTTCTTCGGCCTCATCTTCTGCTGCGTCGAGCGCGAGCGCGAGCGCCTCAGCCTCAGCCTCCGCAACGCCTATAACCCTTGATACCAAGCTAGACCCCGCCTTTGGTGTGTTGGGTGCAATCCTTATCCTTACTGGCCTTCCTTCTGCTTTCTGGGGCCACAAAAATCGGTGGTACGTCCAGCTGTCTCTCGATGTAACACTCTTACTCACAATACGTACACAGGTCGTCCTTTTTCCTTATTGGTTTCTATAGCCTGTCGCTCGTCTGCTTCGTCCTGATCATCAGGTTTGGCGTCCTTCAAGCTGTAAATCCTCCCAGCCAGACAATCCGTGGGATGTTCGTCCTTGCTTGCTCTGTAGCCGGTATCGCCGGAGGTGCTATTGCCATATTTTTTTGGAAGGCAGCGAGATACTGCATTGGTGCATGGGGCGGTCTGGCATTTGCTTGGTGGATACAGTGTTTTCACAACGGTGGTCTCATCAGTTCTGTGGGGCTTCGCTGGATACTCTACATAGGTCTGTCATTTCTATCTTTGGCCGCCTCACGACTAACGGATGTAACAGGGTGCGCTGTAATTGGCTTTGTGCTGTCTACGATCCCGAAGGTACGTTTTATTACACGCCGTAACCGCTCGATCGTGAGCCTTACCATATCCACTTTATTAGGTCCACTACCATATATTACTAATTTCCACGGCTTTCGTTGGTGCTTCCGCTTTGATGCTAGGCATTGATTGCTATACTACCGCGGGACTAAAAGAGGCAAGTCTAAATTATTTCCCATCTGTGCCGAATACAGCTTCTAACGTTTTACATTTCTCCTGTAAAGTTCTATGTGTGGAATTTGGGCTTCCGCTCTTTGTTTCCGAAATTCCAGGACAACGGCATTCGGTACCCGGTCTCGCAGACGATTCAGATCGAGCTGGGCCTCCTTGGAGCAGTGGCGCTTATGGGGGCGGCTGTGCAGCTGCGAATTCTCAGCGTGCTGCAGCACAAGCTCAAAGAAATTTCTCAGGATCAACAAAAACAAAACGACGATGCTGAGCAGAATGCTGCTGGGCGGTTCAATGTTGTGCTGCGCGAAAGGGCTCAGTGGGAGAAAGAGCACGGGCATGGGCGGGTAGAGAGTGGGTATTCGAGTATGCCACTAATGAAGGACCAGGACGGGTCCTCGTCGCCGGTGACGCCTGATCATCGTTCGGTGGATTACCAGGATGCAGTCAGGCAACGATATCAGAGCGGTGTATCTGACTTCATGACTGCGCCGACCCCAGAAGATGAACTGCGCCGGGTAACCTCGCGTAGCTTGCAAGGTCCTGGTGTGCTGCCCGCTCTCGATCTAGGCCTTGGAATCGAGAACGACGTGCCTACGTCATTTATTGCCAAGGACTCTTCACCTGCCTCCCCCGCTACTGACAAAGTGCCCAAGAAACAGATGTCAGCGGCTCAACTGGAGGCCATGAAGAAGAAGGAGGACTTGGTTGCGGAAATTGAGAACATTCGGAAATCAATTGAAGCGTTGAGAGGGGAGACACCTACAACGAGTGCTTCCAACTCAAGGGGGCCCAGTATCAGAGCATTCGACGCTGCAACTTCCTTATTACTTCCTTCCCCGTCACATTCAAGGCCTCCTCGAGAACCCGCACCGAGAGGCAGGGTGCGTTCTTTAGACTATCTAGGCTCGGAAATACTTGGGGAGAGTATAAGCCGGCCAACTAGCGTACCACTCAGAGACCCAGATTGGGATGCATATGTTCAAGACCGGAAACTACTACAGCCTCCGCGGGGCGTCACCCCCCCGATCGGTGTTACGAAAATACAGATGTCACCTGCGGTAACAGAAGCCCTCAAGGACAGGAAGAGAAGGGAGACTTCGCTGGGATATGCAGGCCCCAGTGGCAGTGGAGGTGCGACAGATTCTAGCGAAGACGTTCCGATAGCAAAGAGAATGCACCGACGATCCACTTCTGCGGGTACGAATGCGTATCTGTATCCGCCTGCACCTCGACCGGAGCGAGAGCCACCCATCACGATTCTTCCGCCTAAGAAGATTGCTGCACCGATGCCGCAACGCCCAGTCAACACCAGAACACGAACGTTCGAAGAGTTGGCTGAGAGACATCGGGAGAAGATGCGAGATTTACAGGGACCTGTGACGACTGCGAACCGAGAACATGCGGAGCTGGAGGCGGCAAAGGCACGGTGGGAAAAGAGTCGGGCAGCTGAGCGAGAGACGATGAAGAGGAGGGAGACGGAGCGGGAAAGAGAGCTTCGGAAGCGGCGGGAGGCTGGTGAGAAGGACGGCGAAAAGACGGAGAAGAGGCGCGCCAGTGACAGCCATAAGAGAAGCCTAAGTGCAGATCGACTGGCGCAGCTGGGAACAGGAGGATCTCATTCGCGGCGGTTATCCACTATGAAGGTCGAAGATTGGCAGCGATACCAGCAAGAAGTTGCACCAGAGAATGAAAAGGAGCGACCAGGCCGAAGGGAGAGCCGGCGACAGAGTGGGGTACCTTTTCCTGACGACAAGCATGTCAGAAGGAAAAGCCGCGAACCTCTGAGTTGAGGTGAAAGGTGATGACGAACCTTTTCTGTTCCTTATTATTCTTGGACTTTGATTTGTCTAGCATTTTTTCACATTAAGTATTGTATTTGGGAACCCTCCACTCGTTTAGTCGACAATTTCCATGGACATTAAGCACAAGCACTACGCTAGAATATTGCATATTTCGTCTCTGTTATTGTTGTATGAGTCCCAGTTTTGTATGCCAATCAGAGAAACGAGTGTATAGTAAATAAATTCTTATTTTGGGTTGCCAGGTCGCTCCTCAATTGATGGACAACGTTATGTGTACTTGACTTGCAATGGAAGATTCGGACGAGGACTGTATCATGGGAAGTTCTTCTCTCCGAAAATGAAGATGAAATGGATTGTTTGCGCTCGGACTCGGAGTGATGGATCCGGCGACGCTTCATTATAGGTGTCATGATATCGTTGACGGGGTGATGTAAGGTAACTAGGGTAAACTGTGATGCTGAATATATGTACAAGTATGTATGCTTAGTTGAGCCTGAAGGGTCTCACGGATGTATTGGTCAATAGTTTGCGGCACAAACTCAATGGTTAGCACCTCACTCACAATGAATCAGTGGAGATAGAAGAAAAACACTCGAATTTCGTATTCCGCTAAATGTCGACTTCGTCCGGAAGGAATGTATGTAAAGGAGTAATTCCAGAACCTCACCTTCAACGTCGCCGTCGACCCCAACTTCCTAATGTAACATACTGCGATGTGGTCGCAGTGTGGCGGTAAGGGTTGGCCAGGCGAAATTGAAATTTGACAATTGAAGAGAATTCTGAGGTATGACTCTGAGGCACGCAGAAAGCTCGAGGTAACCATACTGACCGCTGTAGCTGCGCCCGAGGCACGTGGGGGCGTTGCGACCTTTTTCGACAAACAGCGCCACCGGCTTTTCCTTTGCTATCACCATCTTGGGTGTTGGTACGAATGCCCCAGCTAAACGCTGACGACACAAGTCCGAGTGAAGTTATGGCATTTGTTCAGCATTTTTTATTCTAGACCTCGGCGCCGATGTGAGTCTCCGACCTCGGCTAAAATAATAATAATTTTACTTGGTTAAGTACGTACTATTTGCGCAGTGGTGCTGAGGCGGCCTCACGACTTGCAGCCCCAGTCTAGTAAAGATCGTTTCTGATCATTGGATTTGTTTCAGGACGCGAGGATGGACCAGTGCCACGACTGCCGCTTTGTTTCCATGCAGATAATGCATACCACTCAGCGATGCAGCATTCGGTTCCGAGTCGATTTCCAGCCGATGATGAGTAAGTATAATAACGGCTCGCGCCAATGCCAAAGACTGCATTGATGTTGATATCATCGTGGGACGTCGGCAAAATGTGACCAACGAATCATTGAATACCCGTCAAGCTCTGCCAGACCCCTACGAGGCTGTTTTCCCTCGGCGTGCTCATTTTTCTCGTCCTCTCCAATAGATCGTTTTCACGTCTTATTTATTTCCAGACCGGTTTCTCATGACAGAGAGCTCAAGTGCCTCAATGTGACCTTGGGCGTGCGCGACGGGACGTCCTACTTTGGGCAGCGATGTGGGAGTTTTTACCACGGCCTAATTTTTTGTGAGTCCATGATCATTATCGTGACTTTCGTCTGGCCCAGGTGCCTTTCCCGAACAAATGGCACTGGAAGGATTGGCCTCAGCGTGCCAAACATTGCTAAGTAATTTATAAGGTGTCCTGTTGAGGATAGGCCCCTTGCGATGCACTGTTGCAATCATAGTTCTCTCTCTGCCATATTCTCTCGAAATGGATTCATCTTTGAGCCATAATACAACGTGTTCCCCACCATCTTACCCCCAACACATTTACACGGTCAGCAATCATTCCTGTATATCGTTTCTCTCCCCATCCTCGGGTACCACGCACCGGTTTCTCACACCCAGTAACTCTCGAGAAATGCCTCACGTACCGAAAGAGTATAACTAGCCATTGCAATAATCCCTGGCCCCATTCACTTGCCCGACAATGCGTCTCCGAGTCTCCTCTTTACTACTGACCTTGCTCCCGTTTGTCTACGGTGTAACCCACAACCTTGAACTTAACATCCAGAACCAGATCCTCGCTCCCGATGGGTTCCCGCGCTCGTTCGTGGTCCGTATGTATACAGATATTCGTGACTTATTAACGTCAATTTACATAGAGCTATCGCGCCCAATGGGACATTCCCGGTACATACAGTATGACTTTCTCAGAAATTCAACTCACAACGCGCAAGGGACCCACGATCAAACTCTACAAAGGGGACGACGTGAATATCGTCACCACTAATAACTTGACTGACCCCGGTATGAGGCGTAGTCTTTCGATCGTCAGTCTGAATATTCTGGCTTTCAATTCTTTGACTAGATATGATGATTAGCACTGGCACGGGCTTTTCCAAGCTCGCACCTCGGTCATGGACGGGCCTTCGTAAACGTTGACTTTTCCCAGCGTATATGCCTGTCACTGATTTAACCGCTGTAGTTTCGTCAATCAGTGTCCCATCCCCCCAAACGGAACATTTGATTACGCGTTCAGTACTGCAGGACAAACTGGAAAGTCAGTAGTGTTATTGTTCTATGACTTGAGTATTGAAAATGTGTGTTAGTTACTGGTACCACTCGCATCTATCTACCCAATACTGCGACGGATTGCGTGGCGCCTTCATCATATATGGTAATTACGACTGTATCTTGGTACTGAAAGTATGGTGACTTACCCTCCTAGATCCCGATGATCCCCTGCAGGATTTATATGATGTCGATGACGGTATGCATCTTCTTTCTAGGCATATTCAACTCAATCGAGCAATACTAATAGACAGCACCATCATCACACTTGCGGACTGGTACCACGACCTAGCCCCGGACGCGCAGAACCGGTTTTTCCAGACCGGTACTGTTCCGTAAGTCCCCTCTTTTCTGAATGTATACGTAGGTTTATCCTCCTCTTAGAATTCCCGACGCTGGATTGATCAACGGTGTCGGAAGGTTCAATGGCGGGGTGCGTCTCTTCTTCCATGCGTCTCAACCTTGTGCTCATTCCTGGCGACAGCCCTTAGTTCCCTACTCTGTCATTACCGTCGAACAAGGCAAACGCTATCGCCTGCGCCTTATCCAGATTGCATGCCGGCCCTTCTTCACCTTTTCCATTGACAACCACAACATCACCGCAATGGAGCTTGATGGAGTCGAACATGATCCTGTCACTGTGCAGAATATTGATATATATGCTGGTATGTTGACATGACAGAAGGAAAAAAAAAAAGTCCATCGAGTTGATCGTGCGTGTAGCCCAGCGCGTTTCTGTCATCCTCGACGCGAACCAACCGATAGATAATTATTGGATCAGGGCTCCGTAGGTTCGATTTTGAATATTGCTTGGTACGGTCTAACAGAGTGTGATAGACCGACAGGTGGCGCGCCGGCGGGCAACCCGAACTGTACGTTGTTTTCACATTGTCTGACAAAGTCTCACGTCGAGGCAGTCAACCCCGACTTGACACGGGCCATCCTGCGGTACCAAGGTGCACCGGACGAGGAACCGACAACAAACAACACGCCCGGAATCAAGTTGGATGATGCTGATATGCATGCAAGTCGGACTTTTGCCTAGCGAAATGTCGGTTCTTACGTTTTCTTGATAGCCAATCGCGTCACAAGACCCCGGAAAGGTGGGTTATTCCGATCGGGTTGGCTTTAAACTCATGGCGAATTTTTTAGCTGGGAACTGGTCCGCCGGACGTTGCGTTCACTCTGAACATCGCGCAACCCAACCCGCCCTTCTTTGATATCAACGGGATCAGTTACATCTCGCCCTCGGTGCCGGTACTGCTGCAAATCCTAAGTGGAGCGGGGCAGCCGCAGGACTTTTTGCCGTCGGTAAGCTGTGCTGCGCATTCTGTTTGTGACATGGGGTTTATTGTCTTGTAGGAACAAGTGAGTGAATTCAATGATGAGCATCTGACACGCCGTGACGCGGAAAAAGATCTTCCTTCTGCCGCCCAACAAGACTATCGAGATATCGATCCCTGGGGCTGGAGGTAAGCATGCTGTTGGTCTTGCTTAATGATTGCTAACGTTAGTACAGCACACCCGTTCCACTGTAAGCAAAGCCGTTTATCGTTCGAGTGTATCTCACCCTTCATCAGTGCACGGACACAACTTTGACGTCATTCAGGTATCTAATTCGAATGTGACCAACTTGATAAACCCGCCGCGACGAGATGTGGTTCCCAGTGCGTTGAGTAACTGTACTCAAATAGCAAACTAACATACGGCATGTCAAGTCAATGGAGGAAACACGACTTTCCGATTCATGACCGACAATCCGGGGGCTTGGTTCCTGCATTGGTGCGTTGCAAGCGAGTATGTCCTTTTGGACGGAGCAGCTGATTGGGATTCGATTCTAGCCACATTGACTGGCACTTGGAAGCGGGACTGGCTATTGTGTTTGCGGAGAGTCCCGCTGATAATATCGAAGGACCACACTCGCAGACTACTCCGCAGGATTGGGAGACGCTCTGTCCAGAGTATGATGCATTGGAGCCTGAATTGCAGTAGTTGAAAGAAAATGAATGATTATGCATATTTATGCCGTTAACTGATGCGGTTCGGAGGATAGCAATAGGGATTGTGTCATGCGACCAAATTCCCAGCCGCAGACCTGAGTACTCCCACGATGTTCCGTAGCATTTATATGCAGCGTTGCAGCGTTGGCCGTAGCTGAGTACGGGGCAAGGTAACATTGGTACAGAGACTGTCGAGATATGAACAATTAATACTGCCTCGACGATCGATCATGATTTTATTATAATATTTTTATGCTAATACCTGGGAATTTATGGTAACACCTATTAAACTCATACCACCAGCCTTAGGCTAGACTTTGCCAGGATTCAGTCCAGGTGAGTGCAGACAGCGGACAAGTCACCTGGGTATTCGCCGCTGAACAGATATAAAACAGCGACAGAAAAGGTCAAGACAGTGCTTCGCCATGAGCTTCTTGCAACGATCCAAAACCGCACCCGAAGCTATTCACCCTGGCCCGGTTCAAGTAACTCGCTCAGTCTCCCACGAGCAGATGCTGCCATTCAAGAAGAAGCAGCCGCTCAACGAGACGGCATCGGGCTCCAGGGTGTGGGCACAACGACGACCCCAGAAAAAAGGGGGATATATGCAGGGCTGGGGCCCCACTGACGAAGAATGGGATTGGCTGAAAGAACGGGAGGCCCGGCAGAGTGTGAGCGAGGAGGAGGTTGAGGAAACCATCAGGAAGGAAGACAAAATGGGTATTCTGTTCCTATGTGCGTCCACCATCATTCACCATCACCATTTATTGATATTTTCTCAGCGCAATTGTTCGCATGGGGCGACGAAGAAAAGATCATGTCGCCTTACGACGACGCCTTTGACGCACAAGACCATGAATCACTCTACCTCGCCTTGAGTGCACGGAGAGCAGAGGCAACGACAGCGACGACGACGAACAGCAGCAGCCGCGTTGGGGGGCAGCTATTTTGTGTCGAGTAGGGTGTTCGGGGTCTAGTCACGTGTATCATATTTATGACCGTAATAACAGAATTGTGACATTTTGTAATCTCCCACGATTTTCTTTCCTCCCACGGTCATCAAGGCGTCCCACGGTATAATACCATGGCCTTCTTCCTACCCGACAATCCTCTCACTTCCCTTACTCCCCCATTCATGGACCCCGTCCTCCGACACCCGCCAAATCCAAAAGACCCGCCCCTCGCGCCAGACGTTCCCGATGCTCCCGACGATTCACAGCGCCAGCCACCCGACTGGCCCTCCTCCTCAAAGCGCAAACTCGACGACTCTGACGCTGATACCGCCGACCCACATACAAAAATCAGGCGCATCGTCCGTGACCATGTCTCCCATGACCCTTCTCGTGTCGTCCCAATGACCACCGTTATCTGTCTCCATGCAGCAGTCGCACAAAAGAGCTATGGGAACGAAAAGCGCTTCCTCTGTCCACCGCCCGTCGTCCATATCGAGGGCCCTGTATGGCAGATGCGTTCTCAAAACCTATCCATGGCCGTCGTCAGTGAGACTGGCGAACGCAGTTTTGAGCAAAAAGCGCCTCTTGACGCCAATATGACTAGCAGCTTCAAGTTTCTCCATGTCACGGGCAGCGCCAAAGCAAAGAGTTTCCAGCTTTCTCTTGACATTGCGCAACCCGTCCCAGGGTCGTCTTCGTCACCATCTGACTCTGACGGTCCGCCAGGCAGAGTATGGGCTTCTTTTGACTCGGCCCCAGTCACCATCATCTCCAAACCATCTAAAAAAACCGCAAAGACCCGCAACATCAGCTCCTGCATCCTCGTTGGCGGGCCCGTATCTCTTTTCAATCGCATAAATTCACAGACGGTGCGAACAAAGTACATGACCATCGACCACGCCCAGCTCTGCGCGAGCAACCTCGCGTGGTCCGCCTTCAATGTCAATGTTGTCAGCCGCCCCGCCGACACCGCCCACGTAAATGGTGAGAACGACGCGTGTCATGTGATGCGAACCCTGCCTAATCATTATTTTCCCACAGGTGTTGCCGGCGCACCTACGCCAGTTACCTATGGCAGCGAAATTGTCCTCTCGGATACCCATTCTGGTATCAGCACCTCTCCCCTTATCATCCGTAAGGTCGACAAGGGCCGTGTCTCATCTGACGACGGCGGTCCCGTTAGCCAGATGCAAAAGATTGCCCTCCAGAAGGTGAATTCTGACGGCACGAGGCATTATCTGAGCGCCGCTGGGCCTATCTCGGGCCCACCAGGCATTGTGCCTCCTCCTGGGCCCGGCATGGCTTCTCAAGCCGGCACGCACCCTCTTCTTTTCCAATCGGCTCGCGTCAGAGACGAACTGAAAGATGGCGTCCACATCTTGTCGGACGAAGTCGACGATTACCTTTGTTGGACCATTGTCGGTATCAGCAAGTTCCAGTACACGTTCTTTGATGCCCTTGGCCAGAACAATACCGTCCCAGAGGTCCCCATCACTCCATTTCCCACCCTCTTCACTGCCCCGGTTTATCGCACGGAGAAAAACACCGTTGAGCTGACCGTGTCCAACTTCTTCTATGAGGACCCCAAAGGCAAGGGTGCCATCCCATTGGACATCTACCTAGGGAATCTAGGTCCTTTGAGGGCTAGAGTGTATCAGCCGAATCAGCCGGGTGTGCTCACCAGTGTCACTGGGTTTTCAGAGCATCCGGGACCACCAGCAACCGAGCAGAGTCAGAGTCAGTTCGTCTCTTCTGGGGTGCTGCATACAATCGTAATGGTCGAGATGCCGCCTCTTATTGACGTTCTTAAGGCTCTTGAGGAAGATGCCCTTGCCCCATCCGAGGGCAGTGTCGCAGGTCGAAGCTTACCTCTGCTCTTCATCCGTTCGTGTGATGGTGTTGGCTATCATTCGGGCAGAACCATAAGTTGCGAAAACGTCTTTGGCGTAGATACAGGATGGGCGGGCGGCAGTAACATTCCTATCGAGGGCTGGACGCTGAGGGTTATGTAATGCTTTTTTTCCTTTTATTTTTTGGTTAATTCTTATGCCTGTACTGTATACTGTCCCGGTTTCATGTTGTCGACTTTGCTGTGTTTTATATGTATATTATACCCGGTGATAACATGGTGTGCGCATGCTATTTGCATGCTATATGGACTACAGTTTCATTGGGTGAAGAGCAAAATACATGCGTTGGTGCACAACGTGTAAAGAAGGAAAAGGAAAAAGGACAATCTTAACTGCCAAAGGTAAAACTGTATGTAGGTACGTATAATTCATCAAAGCCATTACTGCCCAAAGCTGAATCCACCTTGGGGCGCGGCGACGTCCGAGTGGAACTGGAAACGAGTCAGTCAAGCATAGCACGGCAAATAAAATAGCACTCACAGCAAAGGCACCAGTTTGGTCCACATTAGTAGGCGCGATAGATGCATCCTCTTCCTCATCAGGGAAGTATTTGTCCATCATGTTAAACGCCTTCTTGTAAATCTCCAAGTTGTCGTGCTGTTGAAGGTTATGAATTGTGATCATACCACCTGCCTCTTCAACAAATACAGCATATTGGTTCACTGCTCCAGGCCCAGCGGCATTCTTATCCATCTCGCCAATCTTCAAGATGTTATCCAGCCCATCGAGCGCGACCTGGATGATCTTGTTGTCCATCATCGTGAGCAAGTCACAGAGGGGCTTGATGCATCCCTGCGAAACAAGATAACGGATCTGTGCCGGCTCCTGGAGGCCTCCGGACGTCGCATTTGAAATTGCCCAACAAGCCTCCTTGCGTGTCTTGAAGTCCGCGTTCTGCAGGATGTTAATGAGTGGTGGTATGATGTTGGCATCGATAACACTCTGGATTTGGGGCGGAGAGCCCGCGGTGATGTTGGAGATTGTCCAGCAGGCTTCCTTTCGGATGCCGTCCTTGGGCGATGAAAGGAGAGACAAGAGAGCCGGAAGAGCTCCCGAAGCAATGACGACTTGAGTTTGGAGATCATCACCCGTGACGATGTTTCCAACGGAACGGAGAGCAGGGGTCTGAACAGAAGTAGAGCCGTGCATGAGCAGATCGACGAGGCGCCTGCAAACTCCAGACTCAATAACAGCCTGGATCTTGTCGTTGGACCCATCAGATAAGTACGAGATTGCCCAACACGCGTCAATGAGTATTTCATCATCCAGTGAGTAGATAAGTTTTGTCAAAATTGTCAAGGCGGGGGAAATCTGAGAAAAGGTCAGAAAATGTCGGTCAAGATGAGTAGTTGGCATACCAATTCCCAATCAGGCTGGGGAGACTTGCCTCGGCAGAAGTTGCTCAAGGTCCAAGTGGCGTTGCGGAGCATGCTGAGCTTGTGCTGCTCACTCAACAATGCCAACAAGGGCCTCAAAGCTCCCGCTTGAAGGACATAGTCTCGGCATTGAGGGCTATCACCAGCAATGTTGCCAAGGGCCCATACGGCTTGCTCACGCACATCATGAACCGGTGATGACAACAAATTGATAAACTCTGGAACAGCTTGAGCACCAATAACAACCTGAGTGTGCTCTGCAGTTCCCGAGGCGATATTGGTCAAGGCCCAGGCAGCTTCGAACTGGAGATGCGAGGGCAAGATGAGCGTCAGGAGGAGACAAGAAGAGAACAGTAGACATACTTGAAGCATCGACGATCCGGTACGCAAAAACTCGACAAACCGAGGAACGACGCCGCATTCAATGACGCGTTCGATGGGAGGATTTTTCTCTTTGGAGAGCAGTTTCCGGAACCTGGTTGTCGCGTCCAATTGTTTTTCCGGATCGTTGGAGAAAACGGCAGACATAAGGTCATCGGCGGTCTGTTCATGATAGAGATAAGCGAAAAGACGGGTTTCTAGGTGTGTGATGGCAGCACGTACCTCGGGATCCCAAGTGCCAGTGGAGACTTCCTCATCTGAGTCTGCGCCAGTGGATGGCACAAAATTCCTTCGCTTGGAGATATTTTCTTCTCTCTTCTGTCGCCGGATCTCGACTTGCTGCTCTTCACGACGACGTCTAAGGTCGTCCTGTTTGAGGGCGCCTTTTGCTTTGTAGGCTACGATGGGGAAAGCGCGTCAAAAGAAGAGAAATTTTCGAAAAACAGGGGAGGAAACCGACCATCTCGACGAGCCTTCATCGTACGGGACTCGGTGCTATCCATGGCTGTGAGTAGAAGAAAAATGTGGCAGGAGATTAAGGTGAAGAAGGTGCAAATGCAAGAGTGGCCTGTGAGTGACTCCGCGTGCGTGACTAGTCACACTCGTTTCATTGCTTTTTAAAAATTTTATTTTCCACTCAAAGACCTGGTATTGTATTCTAATTTTACAGCTGTCGTGTAGGGCTTCCATCCAAAAAGTTTTCAATGTTTTCTACCGTTTGTCTCCAGAATGTCTATGTCCTTTCTTCAGTATACGTATACATAGAACAATTCCTCGAACTGACCTCGTAATTCGTGTCGTTTACGTACCCATTGTGGGGGCTCAGGGTCACGTTTTTCAGAGTTCGGAGCGGATGGTCCAGAGGCAGCGGTTCAACGTCGTACACGTCCAATCCTGCGCCTGCTATCCTCTTGTTTCTCAGTACATCGACCAATGCTTCCTCCTGTACAAGTGGGCCCCGCGATGTATTGATAAGGAACGACGTAGGCTTCATTACCGCGAGTTCAGCAGGTCCAACCATGCCTTGAGTGCTCGGCGCCAGAACCATATGAACGGAAATAATATCACTTTCCTTGAACAACACCTCTTTCGAACTAGCAAGCTCAACCCCAGCCTCCTTTGCTCGCTCTTCTGTTAAATTCGGAGACCAGCCCAGAACTCTCATCTTGAAGACCCTTGCAATCTATGCATTTTCGTCAATGTTATCGTATTTCGCCCGTTGCTGTACCTCACCGTAGCAGTTTCAGTACCAAGTTTTCCGACACCAACAAGGCCCAGGGTTCTGCCTGCGAGACCGAATGGGACCACTGTCTGCCACTGTGGATTCTTGTTTTTGACATTGTTATCTTCAATGACAATATATCGAGCAACCGCCAGGATGAGCGTCCAGATGTGCTCTACGGTCGAGTTGCCTGCTGACTGAGTCCCCGATACCAGAATGCCTTTCAGCTTTGCAAACTCAGTATCAAGGCTTCTGTTCCCCATCCCTGTCGTAGATATGAATCTGCCGGATTCATCAGCACTACGATAACTCGATATCGGTTTGGCACCCACTTCAGATTTGGGAGCCTTTCTAAAACAGATCTGGGAAACTTGGTTCTCTCCCGCATCGCGCAAATTACGTCGTACGGCTGCAGGCAAGTCACCAGTTCCTCCTCGTTCGATATGGCATCAACGAATACATCGACAACTACTCCTCGTTGCTTTAGACTTGTCCAATCGGCACTTTTCAAAGCAACCTGCTGATAATCGTCGAGAACGACAACACGGATGGGAGCTTGCGACATGGTTAAAGAACCACTGCTGACATAATTTAAGAAGCTCATTACAGTGTGCGATGATTAAAAATACTGTCTTCTACAATAAATCCAATCTCACGTATCATTGTCAAATGGATACTGTAAAGCGATGATCAGAAATTGATTAGCAAGCTATCACACGACAAACTCACTTCGAACGATTCCGGTGGATCTGCTTCTGGAGTGCTCTCATCCAGCGCGACATGACGACCTGTGGGTACCGCACCAACTGCGTTACCGTTGCCTACTACAGGCTCAGCGTCAGCCGGAGCAGTCTCCACGCGAGGCTCAAGGTCGATGAACTCGCCCTCCTCATCAGGCCGCAGATCTGCTAGCAGAAGAATCCCTCCACCTCCTGAATACAAGTTGATCCCAGATGTCGGTAATTTGCCTCCCCTTCCAGCTTTAATCGTCACCTTGGAAGAAACGGCTCTCACCGGTTGGTATCGCCCATCACTTGGGAACGTTATGTATGAAAGCTGTGCGGGGGTAACACGCGAGAAATTGGGCAACGTCTCAGAAGATGGTTCAGATTTTCGAGATTTCGGACTAGGGGCAGCCGTGGTAGTGGGTTGTGTTGAAGTCTTGCTGTCATCTGCAAGATTGGACATTGAACCGTTTATAGGAGAGATATCGCCCCCTTTAGCAGGCGATTCCTCTGTTTTCATTTCGATATCTCCATCTCCTTCTTTCTTCGGTTCATCCTAGAGAGGCGGTCAGTTTTCGGCACGGAATATCTCAACTACAGGACCCACAGTCTCCATCGCATCACCCTCAGCTGCGGCCTTCTTTTTTTCTCGTGCTTTCACCTTTGCGGTCGTGGACAGGACCGCCGTCGCAACTTTAGCAGCCGCCTCTTTCTTGGGTGGTTTCGCCAACGCAGGGTAAGCGAACAGGCTTGGCCGGGCATTTGACACGAACTCGAATTTCGGTACCTTGGAGAAATGTTAGTACGGTCCAAAAAACCAGACAGCAGCTCACCTTGAGATCAGCATTTAGGCCGATGATACCGGTAGGTTCAAACGCCAAGGAAGCACAATGAGCTAACGGATACCAGTACCAGAATTGACAGAACATGACCATGCCGATGATTGCATTCGTGTTCCTGCTTCCTGCACGACTCAGTAGACTGATAGTCACATTCCTGCCACCGGCGTCGATGAGTCCCTGCCCTATAGCAGCACCAAATCGTGCAACAGGATCTTCGTGCTTATCGGAAACAACCTTGGTGTAGAGCGAACGGGTGGACGCAAGAGACGGCGATGACGCATCTGATTGTTCTACAAGGATCATGCCCAAAGCAATGAACGCACCCTGTCGAACGAAATCTACGCTATCTCGTGTCATGGGTTCCAAAATCTCGACGGCATCCTAGTGGTTATAAGTCAACTTGGGTTCTATTACGTCAAATGAACTACTGACTTGAAGACCAGTCCCCGCGCAAGCAATCCCTAAAGCAAGAGTGGCACCACAGCGAACGTGGGGATTATAGCTTTCACACAATAGTTGCACGATTCGAGGCACCTGGCTGGGGTTTTTGAATAGTAGGAAAGCAAGGGATGTTACAGCCGCTCTTCGAACATCGTCGGAGACATCGGACACGGCTATATGAAGTAAACGGCGAACCGCGTCATTGTTCGCCGTTCCTGCATAAGCAAGTGCCAAAGTGTATACTCCTCCGTAGCGAAGGATGGGGTCCTACAAGACAGTAAGTATGGGCCAATGAAGAAAGAAAGGAGCTAACCTTTTCTGCCAGAAGCAACTTTACCGTACTATCAGCTTCTTCCTGCCGACCATAATAAACAAACGCGACACCGATTGCTAGTCCACGGATGATCTTCTCATGGTGTGTCTCCCGTGCATAGGTAAGCATTTCAGAAACTGGATCAGCAGCTGCCGTGCCCAGCATGATCAAACCCATTGCGTAACCCGACGCTTCTCCAGCAACTGCCGAATCCATAAACAAGACAGACTTGAGGTCTTCGAATGTCTCTGCGTTCTTAGATCCCATTGCAGCAATACCAAGGCCGAGCGCGGCACCATGTTGCACGACTTCACCCTGGGCGGAGCGCAGAGTCTCGCGAAGGTAATCAGTAACCGAGCTTCCACACCCGGCACTGATCAAACCCAAGGCATACAGTGCCCCACCTTCAGAGTACGCAGCCCCCTGCATGGTGCTCTCACCTCCACCTTGAGGTAGATACGGGCCAAGGATCGTCATTCCCTGTTCAAAGTAACCTTTGTGAATGACGCCAAGTCCCGCCGTTGCGGTAAATTTGGACCAGTTTGACGCCAACCCTAACCATTCCAAATTCTCCCGCAGAAAAAGGTCTGACGTTGTACCGGCATGCATGAACGCGTTTTGCAATGTAAGAGCGGTATGGTATATCGAAGAGCGTGATTCCAGGACGTCCTTGGTGTTCTTTAATATCAGTAAATCCACCTTATTGTTTCGCTTCAAGAATTCGAGGTATATCTTGACGGATTCTTGGCCTGTTAGTATACTTCGTATCTTGTCATAAATTTCCTTCGATTCCTACACTCATTATCAGCTATCAGGTTCATGAGAGCATTTTAGGCACGCACAGATTGGCCCTCAGGGAGGTCACTCCTTATGCTTTCCAGATAGTCGCGCGCGCCTCCTTCCACTAGGTCGAAAGCCAGCTGGTACGCCAGGAGTTTATTCGATGGCACCATTGTCTTGAAAAGCGGTATGGTCAGACCAGAGTCACCAAGGGTGATAAGAAGCCGTGTTAATGTGTGTACATGGGATCCATCGGTTGAAGACTGGGGGAAGAGAGGAAAGAGGAACCGCAAGACTTGGTCCCGGTACGAAAGTGAAAACCCAGTATCCAAGGCTGCTTCCATTGCATATGACAACAAGGAGACATCGTTTGTGTGTTTGTATATGTGCTCAACAACATCGAGGCGACGCGATTCAAGGGCAATGCCGATAGCCTACAAACCATGAGGTGGCTGCATCGAAGTGTTGGGTTCAGACCCACCTGCTTAAATTCTCCGTCCTCGATACAGCGACTGAATATGCCTTCAATGATATCCTGCAGCCGGGGATCAATCTTTTCGGCTTTGCTACCGCTCTGTTCCTCGGTGCGTAGTTGAATGTAACGGTCAATGGCCTTGGCTAAAGAAACAATTAGACATCACTTGACGAACCAAATGGCATGCTCACAAACAACCGTCTCGACATACTCTTCAGATCCTTGTGAACGAGCCTCATTTTCGAACGCGTTGTTTCCGGCACCCAGCGCAAACGAGAGGGATTCGTCATATTCTCCGAGAAAGTAATAAACTTTGCTGGCAAGGAGGGCGGCGGAGGCGCGTGCATCTTTAGGGAGGTCGTCGCTCTCGTATAAAGACTCACTATACAGCATATGAGAATACAACAAGACAAGAAATAACGGTGTACGAACATCAGGGCAATGTGCTCCGAGATTTCAGCCCAAAAACGGGGAACCAAAGGATTGAGAGCTTTGAGAGCATGTTGCTTGAATACAGCATCTGGCTCTGAAAGCAAGGCAAGGACGCCAGCAGCAGAAGATTGAGAGCGCACCACCATGAGAAAACGCAAAGCAGGAGTGATGTCGAAAAGGTGACGCGTCCGTGTCCAGCCAAATCCAGACAGCCCCGGATCCAAATAGGTGTAAATAGGGATGCTATTCCGGGATATTCCTGAGCGCTGTTATTGCCATCCGTCATGTCTTTCCTTGCCCGTAGCGCTTTTCGCGCCGTTTTGCGCCCCCGCTACCGCGGATACTCTACTGCTACTGAGGAGTATATCTCTGAGCTTTCTCCCAACGCCAAGAGCCCTTACCTTGCCGAGCTGCAGGCCGTTGAGCACCACGGTGCAGGTGCGTACCCTGTTATCTGTCCACTTTTTTGCCTTATTGTTCTCTGGTAGAAACCGGTGAGCTTTGGAGAAAGATCAGGTATGATTAGCTTATTTTATGATATTTCCATGTGCTCAAGGTCCATAGTTACTATGTCTGCCTCCCTGCCAGTCCGTACATCTTGCTTTGTCTTTTTGCCTCTTGCTCATGGATGTCTAGTCGCTGTATGCAGTGCTTGGGTGTACAAGCTTGAGGTTGCCCACATGGAGCATTTGGAGCATCTTAGGCACGAGAATGACGGCAAACTCCCTGAGCCTCCTGCCTACGAGTACTTGAACCGCCGCGTTAGGCCTTATCCCTGGGGACCTAACACTCTTTTCTTTAATGCTTCAGTAGGTCGCTGCCGTTTGTATCGAGTGTTTGGATTCACTCTCTTTCTCTAGGTCAACAAGGATATGGCCGAAGAGTAGATATTCGTACAACGTAATGTTGAATATTGCATGCCAAATGAATTACTGGTTGATGCCTTGTTGATTTGACTCCATTTTTCTGGCGTTAAGCTTCAAAATGTTAAGTTTGCAAATACTACATTAGTGTATATATACCACAGTATGTACTGAAAGTCCAGAAACACTTCTGTCGTCTTAGGGAAGAGAGTCCATTGTAGTAGCTACGAGGAGTCTGTGGAAACGTTTTAATATCTACAAAAATGTGGCCCAAGCACCCGTGAGAAGCCCAGCAGTGACGGTTGTCAGGCCTACGAGCACTGAGGAAGACACAGAATGGCCAGCAATAGCGGCATTGAACGCGGAGGACGAAGCTGATGAGGCAGCAGAAGAACCGGAAGCAGTGGCGGAGCTTGACCGGGCTGAGCTAGCTGAGCTGTGTGATGCTAGAGAGAACAGCACATTAGCATGGTTGGTAAATTTCAATCCAAGTTACTCACATGAAGCTGTAGCCTCGCTCAAAAAGGACGAAGCTTCAGACAGAGCCGAAGCAGTGTTGCTAATACCAGCGTCGGAGAGTGCACTAGCAGCCACGGATGACAATCCACTCAGGTTAGACGTGTACGCTGTTGCCGCCGAAATCAAACCAGAAACTAAACTTGGTCAGCAGGTTTCCTCGTCTATAATGATGGAGCTTTACCATCGGTTGTTCCGGCAGAGGCGAAGGATGCTGCTGCGGAGGTAATTTCTGAAGCGACGGTGGCAAGGGTGTCTGTAGCCGCAAGAGTGTCGGTGGCTAAAGCGGTGTCGGTGGCTACAGCGGTGTCGGTGGTTGCACCCGTGGCATCTGTGACATTTCAGACAGACGTTCCGAAGAACGCAGGAGCGGGGACTGACCTTGGCGTCTCAAGTTGGCGGCAGAGGCAGAGGCAGAAAGAAAGAGAACGCAGGGAAGAACGAACAACATGGGGAAGTAAGAAAGAACGAAGACGAAGGTGAAAGAAAGAGGAGAACTGTGGGTTGGAGCATGTCGATAGATCTTATATATAGTATTCGGCGTGTCGAGGTCGCTTCTAGGGTGAAACCCGATTCTGCAATTGCCAAAAGATGCTGTGATTGGACAGGCTTGGGAAGACCGCGCAGCGACATGACGACGTTGAAAATTTTATTCGTACCACACTGCCCGCAATGGGAATTAAAATAGATTGCACCCTAATAAATATGTAATGACATCATCAGCATATGGTAAGCACTGCACCGACAACTGTACCGCCTGCGACAGCGAGCAGACTCGCGAATAACGGCGTATTTAAAGTGAACATTCCGACAGCACCATTGTTCAATGCAGCAGCAGAAGCTGCAGAGCCTATCGCAGTGTATTCGGCCCCAGCGAACGAGGTAACATGACCAACTCCAGACGCAGCAAGGGTGATGGCTTCACCTCCCCTGCTTGTCACAACAGTATACAACGATCCAGCAGCCGCTAAAAAAAAGGGTCATGAAAAAACAGAATTGAAAATATGTCTGAAATACTAACTGGTGATCTCTGTGAATACGGAACCGGCTGCAGAGGCAAGAACGGTATACTGAGAGCCAGCAAATGAAGTTAGCTCGCCTACACCGGATCGCGCAAGAGTGATCGCCTCGCCTCCCTTGCTGGTGACGACAGTATATTCCGATCCGGCAGCAGCTGAATGCAAATCATCAGCAGTTGCACTGGAAACTTTGTGAGATGATACACTAACAGGTGACTTGTGTGAAGACAGAGCCCGCGTCCGACGCAAGGACGGTATACTGAGATCCAGCGAACGATGTTAATTCACCTACTCCCGACTGCGCAAGAGTAATGCCCTCTCCACCTGCACTGGTAACGATGGTAAACACCGACCCAGCGACGGCTACAGGCGATACATGAGTCAGAGCATCCAAAATGTATTGAAAAAAAAAGCACCGACATGTTACTTCGGTTGCAATACTTGCAGCACCCGCAGTTGCCTGGCTAAACACCGACCCAGCTGAAATTATCTTTTATATTAGGCCTACTGCGCGTAAGAAAAGGCAATCACCTGCAGAGGTTAGAGTGTCGATAATGCTGCCGACTGCGAAATTTGAAATTGAATATCATGGGACGGATGAAGTAAGGGGGAACGTACCCTGTCGCTCGTGGAGGTCTGGGGCAGCATACACCAAGGCAAAGAAGGAGAACACGAAAAAGTGGAACATCATGGCGGGTCGTTATGCAGAATAGGTCTCGCGTCGCAACGAATTTATACATCGAGACCAGGGTTTCGTCACAGCACAGCTTCACACGGCAAGTGATGCCTACAAGTTGCTGACTACTTGTCTATTACCACCAATGCCTCGCGCGATAATTTCACCTTCCGTGCTCGCCTCTGACTTTGGCCAGCTCACTGCAGAATGCAAGAGAATGATTAGGGGGGGCGCTGAATGGCTGCACATGGGTCCGTACCCTCAACACTGACCGCTAACTTTCTGAAGGAAACATTTCCAGACGTCATGGACGGGTAGGGTCTTTGAATCAGTCAGATTTTCACTCATCTGTGTCTCACAGCCATTTTGTGCCGAATATCACGATGGGTAATTGCTGTGTCTGCTGTATACCACGTCCGTACCTCAATGCTGCAGCATAGGCGCGCCAATCCTCTCATGTGTGTCCAAGGGGGTCCCAGGAATTTTCATGGACTGCCATATGATGGTTGCAGAACCAGAGAAGGTACATATGCTTCTTTCTATTTTTGCAGCCTTGGTTCTGACGTTACCAGTGGGTTGACGACATTGCGGACGCTGGTGGTGCGCTATACTGTTTCCATCTCGAGGCAACGAGTAGGTGATCCCACGGTACTCCAACGGACATTCATAACTCCAGCCCAGCGGACCCTCTTTCGCTCATCACATCCATTCGCAAACGCAGTATGAAAGCGGGCGTTGCGATCTCCCCGGATACGCCATCGACCGCTATCACAGACGAGATTGCAAATGCGGCCGACATGCTGCTCGTAATGACTGTCTACCCAGGTTAGTTTACCGCTAATGGACCTTTGATGTCACCAATCGCGTTACAGGCCGCGGTGGGCAAAAATTCCTCGAACGCTGCGTCCCCAAGGTTGCTGACCTTCGTGCTCGGTTCCCTGAGAAAGATATCGAGGTCGACGGCGGTGTCGGGCCATCGACCGTCGATGTTTGTGCCCATGCAGGTCAGTCGTCGTGTATTTCTTCAAATTCTGCCCAACCCACTTTTATATATATATATATAGGCAGCAACGTTATCGTCGCCGGAACTGCCATTTTCGGTGCCTCCGATCCCGAGGGCGTCATTGCACAGCTCAAAGCTGCGGTCAACACTGCACAGGCAGCAGCAGCAGCCAAGTCATAGAAAGTTCATTACATCCGAGTACATGATCGTGAAGAATAAATTATACAAATATATACGTATACGTGAGATAAGGGTATGGTCGTAGAACGCACCCGTAGATGTCGCTGGTATCTCTATCATCTATCTACCACACAAGCCATTCCCCATACATGTTCGGCCGCTCACCCCGTATATATGACTCAAACGTCCGTTTCAGCACCGTTGCCCAGTCCAGATCTCGCTGGTCATCAGACACCTTGTCTTCATCAAATTCCATCGTTGTATCCATTTCAAGCACCTCCTGGCCTGCAGCCATTTCCAGCTTAAGCATAGTCCTCGCTATCCGCTCGCCAGCAATGAACCGTGGTCCCAAGTCTGGCCAATTTCGGGCAGGGTCAAATGGCTTCCACCTGATCAACCGAGTTACAAACACGACGCGCACAGAAATTGCAATACGAACCAGTAGTTATGGAAGTGGTACGAGAACGCGCCCTTGAAGAAACCATCAAAGCCAAGAGCCTCTGGCGCCGCATTGCTGACGGATGGCGTGTCAAAAAAGTCTCCGAAACTGTAGAATATCAGCACTGCTTCTTCAGGGACCTGGAACCTGACACTCACTCTGTGAAATAGGGTTGCGGTGGTCGCTCGCGCTGATAGTACTCTGTATTCAGCCACGCCGAATCAAATAGTGCGTCCGGGAGCCGCAATAGAAGTCCTTCCAAATGCGCCTCCTTCGTATATCTTGACACCGTCATAGGATGGAAATCGAGATCGTTTTTCAGTGCCGTCCGAAAGAGGAACGTTCCCAGCGCTGAGCCTTTGTTTAGATGAAGAACCGCGGTGTTGTACTTTTCTAACCGCGACCACCTGTAGGCGAATGCGCCTTTCCATCCCCATAGCTCTTCCCAGTCGCGGAGGAAAATCGTATCTGCGTCAAGATAGATCCCGCCAAAGCGATGACATAGAATGAACCGCGCCATGTCCGACAGGATCACGGATAAACGGTCGTACGACGATGAAGATTTACTTCCTGTCCTATTCAGTATATCGTCTTCATCCTTTTTTGGAGCTGTGGAAGCACCCTTATCCGCGGCCGTGTCGTTCTCCCTGGCCTTGCTCCCACTTGGTTTCTCCTCCTTAGGAACGTTGATGACATGTCCCCCGGAGTTGAATAGAGTCTGCCGTGAACGCCATTCGTCCTTCAGCTCAGGAACACCGTCTAACTGTTCTGTCGTGTTCCATAGTTTGAACTTGACGATATCCTTGAAACGGGGATGCAAAAAAGGTGCTGCCCATGGGTTCGCTTTTAGCTGGTCAAACATATCGCGAAGGGCAGTAGGATTAGGAACTGCAGCTGCTGGGCCGGGGTTGATCCATAACCAAAATTGCGGCCGACATGCTGCAGAAGCGACTGGGTAGTCCTTGATGTACAAGCCAGTATTCTGAGTGAAAATGAAGGAGAGGAGGGCGAGATAGGGCTTGTCAGTGAAGGGACCTGTCCAGAACATATGAAATATCCTCGGGCTCTCTGGATCGCACGGGAAGTCAAGTGTAACGTACGGACGGTGCTCAGCAGGGGGGGGAAGCCGGACCGGAGGAGCCTCCCACTCGACACCGCGCTTTTTCGTTAGACCGCTGTCTGGATCGGCTGGTTCGTGGACAGAGGTGACTCCGGGGGGCAAGTCCATATATGATATCAGTGGCTCGGCCTCTGTCGTATTCGTGTCTGGCTGCTCGAGGTAGATGTATTTCCAGTCGTCCATCCGACCCCTGCGTACACGCTTCGAGTTGTCTAATCCAGCGCCTACCCTAAGTACTTCCAAGCAGTCACGAACATACTAGAGATAGTTAAGTAAGAATATGGACACAAGTGACGCGTAAAAGGCACCTTTTTCTCCGAAAAGTCGCAATGTTGCATGACGACATCCAAGTCAGCGATGCTTCCTGGAACAGGCCGGGGAGGATATGCAACATCGGGAGGGTGACTTTGAATGTCTAGATAGACCCTCTTGGGCCCTACACCTTTTGTTGTGGTTGAAATCAGGCTGGGTGGTGCACGGAATCTTGGAGGAGGTATTGACGTTCTTCGCGGTGGTAAGGCTGGATTTAGTGGCGTCGAACGCAATCCCAAGCCTTCTGGCACTATAGAATTATCAGAAACAACAGCCAAATCAAGAACTGATGCGACACGCACGTTTCCGTCTGCTTGGATAGTGACCACTCTCTATCTCCCATAGCCAAATCCTCTGCAGGTCCTCTCTTTTGTACACCAGCGACGGCGGATCCATGAACGGAGCAGGCCACTTTTTCTCTTCTGTTCCAAACCTCTTTGCGAGAGCGAAAGTGACGAACACGAGGGTTATAAACGCTAGGAGAAGGACGAGTGAGCCGCGTTTGTAACCAAACTTGGATATGCTCGACTGGTGAAGACGGTGAGGATTTAGGATCCATAGCCTCAAATTCCGAGTGCGCACGCCCGGAATAGGCATAGCTACGGGAATAAACCATGCACGAGACTGAGCCCGGCGATTCATCTTTTCCTGGACTGCGGATGGGAGCGTCGACGAGTAATGAGGCAGATTTACGTTGCGCCTGGGTGGTACTGGGAAGTAGATGGACGACGCCATTCTTTGATTCATGAAGTTGGCGACGGGCCGGACGTATACCGGGTCGTATCCAAGTCGTGCAATGGTAAGGGAAAGATATATTCCCACGGGTGATTTCTCCTAAAATGTCACCGGATCAATACGCATTTATTTTGTACGGACATATTATTCGGGGCTGATGATGTCTACTGTCAGAGGGTTCTACTTGGACCTACATATGTTATTGTCAGACGGTCCCGAATACAAGGACTGCTGAGATCCACATCCAATGGAGCGGGCGAGAGGGCATGCAACCCTAACCACGTATGCGCAACGGCAGCTCGACAGTATCTCACTATCTCATTATCCCAGTATCCCACTCAATAAATTAATTATACAGTGACGCAACGCGTCATGTCACGAGAGAGAAATTCACAGGCAATTTCTGCCAGCTCACCCGGTGACACGTTCGACGTATATCTAGATTCTCATTCATCTGCCCAGGTACTCGTCCAGGTCCTGGATACGTTCTGGTATTGGCTGCCAAAAGCCCATTCAAGCCCAAGTAACGTTATCCGCACTCTAGCTCCGCATAAATTCGGCTGTACCCACAACCCTACGGCGATTCACTTCCTATTCTCTTACCACCACCATCTCATCCCACAATGTCCTTTGATAGCATCCGTTCTCCCCTTGTGTGGAGCTCCCAGCTCACCACCATGAAGGTCCCCATACCCAAGGAGGAGACCAAGTTCATGAGAAAGGTATGCCACCCTCTTTGGTGGACAGTATCGCTACGTCACTGACGCTGGTGCAGACCTCCATTATCGCCACCATCGGTATGCCAATCGGTCACTGCTCTGGATTCCAACAACTGACACTGGCTCAGGTCCCAAGGTCAACACTGTCGAGAAACTCGCAGAGCTCCGCAAGGCTGGCGTCAATGTCGTCAGAATGAACTTTTCCCATGGCTCTTATGAGTACCACCAGAGTGTCATTGACAACACCAGGAAGATGGTTGCATGTGTGTTTTGTTCTTCCGTTCAACCTTGACCTCTTTGACCCTTTCTTTATCCTGTAGCTGACCCCACCGGCAGGCCAGTCGCCATTGCGCTCGATACAGTGAGTCCTTTAGGCCCGCATATACACACATATTCGGCGCTCATGGTGGCTCTCTCATTACAGAAAGGCCCTGAAATCCGTACGGGATTGATGAGAGATGGCATGGATGTGGGTCATCCTCGCTTCAATCTCCAAGTATACGTTTTGATGACATTCAGATCGCCGTCTCCGCCGGACATGAATTTATCATCTCTACCGATAGCAAGTACAGCGAGATATGTGACGATAAGGTTATGTGGGTTGACTACGTGCGCGTTTCACACCATGACTATCGGGATCAAATCGTTGATATTTCTTTTGGGGCCAGCAAAATCTTCCCAAGGTCACCACTCCGGGAAAACTTATTTACGTTGATGATGGTGCTGCCCTTCCTTCATTTACCCCACAATCTAATCATAGCTGACCTTGACACGTGCAGGCATTCTATCTCTTCTTGTCACTAGTATCGATGGAACGAACGTGCATGTCCGCACGCTCAACAACGGTACCCTGTCGTCTCGTAAGGGAGTTAACCTTCCTAAGACGGACGTTGATCTCCCTGCCCTTTCTGAGAAGGACAAGGCTGATCTCAAGTTCGGTGTTAAGAACGGTGTCGACATGATCTTCGCCTCCTTTATCCGCCGCGCGGAAGATGTCAAGCATATCCGTCAAGTTCTCGGCGCTGATGGTGCCAACATTAAGATCATCGTGAAGATTGAGAACGAACAAGGAGTGGCGAACTTTGACGAGATCTTGAAAGTGACGGACGGTGTCATGGTCGCACGCGGTGACCTCGGTATTGAGATCCCAGCTAGTCAGGTGTTCTTGGCACAAAAGATGATGATCGCAAAGTGTAACATTGCGGGTAAGCCAGTCATTGTGGCCACACAGATGTTGGAGTCAATGACGGTGAGCTTGTTCCTCGCTTTCTTTTTCCTTGGCTCTGATTGATTGGTGGCGCTATTAGTACAACCCTCGTCCCACGCGTGCGGAAGTCAGCGATGTGGCTAACGCTGTTTTGGATGGTGCGGACTGTGTCATGCTTTCCGGAGAGACGGCCAAAGGGTCATACCCCATTCAGTCAGTGCTGATGATGGCGGAAACATGTCTGTTGGCTGAGGCTGCTATCTGCTACCCTCCTTTGTACGACGACCTCCGGACCATCCAGCCTCGCCCAACGCACACTGCGGAAACCGTTGCAATTGCTGCTGTTGCCGCCGCGGAGGAGCAAGGAGCAAGTGCGCTCTTAGTGTTGTCGACAAGTGGAGAGACCGCAAGGTTGATCTCTAAATACAAGCCTAGGGTTCCTATTCTCACCGGTTCGTCAATACATTTTCTGTGGTTTGCGGAATGCTCACGGATGATTGCAGTGACCCGAAACCAGCAAACTTCGCGCCAGATCCACTTGCACCGCGGGTGCTACCCATTCTGGTACCCTGAGCCAAGAGGTATTCAGGACCACCAGTGGCAGACGGATGTATGTCACTTTTCTTCTTTCTGCCTTCTCTCTCTGAAGCGAACTGTCAAAGGTCGACAATCGTATCCGGTTTGGCCTTCGCAACGCCCTGGCGTTGAAGATCATCACTCCAGGCACCGCCGTCGTCGCGGTGCAAGGCTGGAAGGGTGGTTTAGGCCACACCAATACGCTGAGAATCATCAACGTTCCCACTGAAGCGGCGGACTTGGAGATGCAGCCTTTGGGTGCTTAGGCTGAAGGGCCAGAAACGGAAGCTCGTAGAAAATAAAAACCAAAATTCTACGCTGTGCTACTGAATGACTTAACTTACTTTTCTGTAACAACATGATTAGATTTTTGACACGAATTTCTTAGAGACATTAGACTGTGACAACCGTGGTTACTATAGGTGCAATGATAACATGTTTCAAGGTATGTGTCTGTTCTTCGGAAGTCCGGCCCGGACCTGGCAACTTCCTGGTTGTGACGTCCATCATCTCGGGCAATGGCCTCACAGATCCTTCCCTTAGGTCCGTCGTATACCATTTGAGACGACACGACCGTCTGACTGTATTGAAGAGCTAATCGATAGATGCATCGGGTCGCGGATATGGGTCATCATGAAGAGCGACCGTGAATTTTCAGGGATTCTGTTGGGATTCGATGATTTCGTTAGTGAGTATTTTGAATTCCACAAGAAACATCAACCAATGCCCAATTAGATATGGTCCTCGAGGACGTCACAGAGTAGTGCGTGTAAATTTATGAGTAATCAATACTCTGAGGCTAACTGGGATCAGTGAAACGACACTCCAGGGCAAAAAGAAAACGCATCTCGCGCAGACGCTTTTGAATGGAAATAATATCTGTATGGTGAGCGATGTGCTGTCTCTTGCTGTTTGAGCGCTGAGTCGTTGTAGTTGATTCCTGGTAGTTCTGGTCCAGAAGACACATAGAATTTCTTTCCAGCGTATATCTCATTTGTACCATAGTTCTTTCAGCTACATGGTGTGACCAAAAAGTCACGTTAGTGACAAAACATTTCGCGCTACCACCATGCCGATGCGAATTCGGTTTGCGATGCATGGGGTCCGTAACCGTCGAATTCTCCATCTCGTTGCCATAAATCAACGCAAGGCGCGGAATGCCAAGCCTGCAGAGCTGTTGGGCATCTATGACCCAAATCTGCGTCCTGGGCAAGACGAGAAAAAGGTTGAATGGAGCGTGGACAGGATACGGTACTGGCTCAGTGTAGGCGCAGTACCCAGCAAATCAGTGGTCAAGCTGTTGGAAGCAGTGCGTTCATTTTCGGTGCATCCGTTGTTTATTCTCAATTCCTAGCTAGGGAAAGATACTGTCACCAGATTCTCCATACTCGACAGCCGCCCGCCTCCAACCCGGATATCCTGTTACACCGGAGGTTCCCATATCGTCCGAGTCGACGCCGGAGATGACAGCAGAGACGACGCCGGCTGCAGAGGCGACCTCGTGACGGCGATTCACCTGTAGGCGAAGGAGCGTCAAGAAGATAGTAGTTGCACGATGTCGCTGTGGCCGGCTATACGAGCGAGTTCAGATGCGGAGAACCCGTCCGAGTCCTGAGTATATGTATCAATAGGAATGCCTGCAGACATTACAACAGACCTACCTTTAGTGCTGCATTCGCGCCTTGGTCCAGTAAAATCTTGACAATGGCTGTATTTCCACGGTCTGCTGCAAGATGTAGAGCCGTGTATCCCTGCAACAACGTGAATGTCGTGCTCCAAGAATCCCTCTGCGACGTACATATTCATCCTGAGCATCCAGATCCAGCTCGAGTTCCTCTTTCAAAAGGGCCGCCAGCCTTGCTATCTGATTAGACACCGCCAGCCCGTGCAGGTCGTCACTAACGACCTCAACGGGCGCCACCATGCTGCTGACAGTGATACCCAAACCTCGCCCCGACTTCGGCGCGGTGCCGTCGTCGTCCCAGATACTGTCATCGTCGGGCTTTTGTTCAGCCTTGGACGCTTCAACCTGGTTGCCTTCCGTCCAGCCTAAACTCTGGGCCAATTCCAAGTATCGGGCTTCCGCTTGTTCGGCGGTGGACCACTTCTTTCCGCTCGCGTTCCATGCATCCCATTTTGCTCGCCCGGTCATATCAAATATCGAGGGCCGACTGCTGCCAGGGCTTGCTCCTACGGTGACATATTTGAACAGTCCGTAGAGCTATCAAACAATTAGGATCTGAGCGTTGCTGTAGTATGACACACGCAACCTCGAGCCTCGTCGACGACGGAATACTTGCCAGCGACGACGCATTCGACAGATACGATGCAGCATCGTCGAATTTCTTAGACGACGACATCAAAGTCCAAGTTCAAGATGATACATTATGTAAGTGAATATCTAGATTTCAAAATCTACACCAATCCCGCAGCTTTCATGGCCTGTAACACGATCAGACAAAGGTCAAATATAGCCATGGCGGTAATGCTCACTTTCAGCATTTCAGCTCCAATTTTCGCGGGGCTGTCGGTCACAATGGCGCCTGCGTTGGTGAGAGCAGCAACCTTGTCGGATGCCGCACCTGTCACAATTAGGTGATTAATTTAAAACACACTGTAAAAGACGGAAGAGGAACCTTTTCCGCCCGAAATGATGGCACCAGCGTGGCCCATGCGACGCCCGGGAGGAGCAGTTCGTCCCGCAATGAAGCCCACGACTGGTTTAGGAACTGCCCGGGTCTTGTTGTATTTCTCGAGATATTCGGCGGCTTCCTCCTCCATGGAACCACCAATCTCGCCAATAATGACGATACCTGAAAAGCAAACGTGAGAAATACGGGAACAGTCCGTCAATTGTATATTACCTTCTGTTAGAGGGTCATCGAGGAAGACCTTGATCACGTCGATGTGCTGTGTGCCAGGGAAGGGATCGCCACCAATACCCACACATAATGTCTGGCCCAAGCCAACGTCAGTGGTTTGCGCGACGGCTTCGTATGTCAGGGTTCCGGAGCGGGAGACGATACCTAAGAGACGCGTCAGACCCATAAACAGACAACAAAGTAATGCACTCACCAATTTTTCCGGGTGTATGAATGTGGCCAGGCTGGATACCCATCTTGCATCCCAGAGGATTGATAACTGGGCCGCACCGAATAAGTGTCTCTCGTCACTACGTAACAACTGGTCTGGAACGCACCTCCAGGGCAATTGGGACCAACAAGGCGGGATTTTGACTGGCTCTTGAGCGCATTCATGACCTGCACAGTGGTCACTCCGTGTTACACGGACAAGACAGGATAAAGGACGAACCCGGATTTCATCAGCCTGGGGAATGCCCTCTGTGATACAGACAATCAAGCCAATCTCGTTCTCGATAGCCTCAATGATAGCATCGGCAGCAGTGGGTGGGGGAACGTAGAGGACGGTAGCGTCGGGTTGGGTCTCTCTTACTGCCTATACATACGAAGTCATCAGACTTGGCCACCAGCGAACGACGACGCGACGTACCTCCTTCACACTGCCAAAGACAGGCAAGCCAAGATGTGTTTGGCCTGCCTTCTTGGGGGACACGCCTCCCACCATTTTGGTGCCATACGCCAACGCTTCCGTTACGTGGAAAGTACCCTGTGTAGCGGCTGGCTGTCGGTAGGGGAAAAAAAAATGGCAGGACAAAGGGGACTGACGGTCTTCCCGGTGAAGCCTTGGCAAAGGACCTTGGTATCCTTGTTGATGAGCAAGTTCTTCGCGGTGTCTTCATAACTTCTACGAGCCGCAGACTGGGAGAACGTCCGGCGTCCATCTGGCAATGACGACCAAGTAAATAAGCGGATACGGTCAGCGAAGCGATCCTGCGCTTACTGTTTAGCAGGACAGACTGTCCAAAACGTCGAAACATTGCGCTGCAAAGGAAAAAAAAAGAGAGATAGTCAAGATATAGCCTCCGCCAAGTGACACGGACTGAACACGGACTTCCGCTCACCCTCAAGTGTTTGGCTTTATTTTTGGCCTGGACGACTCTGGTCCACGGTTGCACAAGGATAACCCGCCCTCCCCGCAATTTCGTGCCGAGTCTGGGGTACGATTTCGTACACTTTACATTCACTTGCCTACTCTTTACCTACCTAATTAATATCATATCGAGGAAAATAATTCGAGGTACACTAATTCCCCATCATCATCGGAACGACGCTGCTCCATCCCGCCGCCTCTCCCGTGCTTTCCTCGACCCACGTCGTAACGCCAACATGGCATACTTGATCTTATCAAACTGCCCCTCATTAATCGCCCTGGAGCCCACACACATTAGGCCGCTCAAAAATCAGGAAACGTTTGCGACGTACCGTGATACTTCGGAAAGAAATTCGTTTTTTATCTCCGCAGGTACCTTCGTTGTGGGTATTTGTTGTAGTATGGGGGTCAGCCACGATAAAAGTTCGGACGGAAGAAGGTACGCCGTTGATCGGAATATCAACACCACGCTGTTCGTCATTTCCTCATAGAAATCACCCACCAGACCATCAAGCAGGTGCCCCACCAGCTGATAACCCTCTTTCTGTAGAACACTTTGAATGGCCGTGGCATGTGCAGCGCGATGGGGAGAAGGAGTAGAGGGTGAGGGTGATAAACATTCATGGGTTAGAATGTCATGGAAAAGGTCCAACGCGACATCGACAATAGAGTCGTAGACGACCGTCAGAGCGGCCATAGAAGCCTCCAGGACCATTGGAAACGCGGGTGATTGGAAGAAAATATCGGGGGCATGCTGTAATATATGTCTCATGAGATGCACATAATCCTCCAGGACTGGATGTAAGATGTGAATATCGAAGTGTGCCCGATCAAGTAAATAAAACTTACCATCAGGAATCTCCGTAGCCTGCTTCGTCTGGAGAAGAGCTATCATTCTTTGCGTAGATCGCTCATAAATATCTTGACAGGCCGTCTGAATTGCATTTTCCCCCTCCGCAATGAATCCTTCTACAATCTTGCCACCAATCCACAGGTAGCTGGATACTTGGCTAGTGTCGAACATGTACGACATCTTCGTCAGCACAGAAACTGCCACAGGCCGCGCAGCTTGCCCGTAAAACGTGATACCACGGCGCAGAACTCGATTTGTTCTTTCCGCCACTTCGTATTCCGTACCATACTTTGTCAAGAAGTTGTCGAAGACTGCCCAGGTTTGCTCACACGTGTTTTGACAGGCAATAGGCAAGTCCTCGCCGAAGCTCTGAATAACACACAGCATGGCTTCCAGATTTTCAAGACCATCTGAAAGAATAGCATGAATAATCTTAGGGGCAAAAGCAGTACCATAACTTACCGCAAGCGTTCTGCATTTCGTCTTTCATCACAGTAGCTTGATTCGTCACATCATGTACCCCCGACAGGATATCAACAGAGAAAGTACGCAATGATTCAGCAGCTCTCTCCATTGGCATTGCAGAAATGACGTATGCGATGGCCTCATATACTTGACGTTTGTCATCCTGGGACAATTTCGCCCCAGAAGATTTGAGGAACGTATGGAGGGTAGGCAAAAATTCGGTAAGATGCTGTGACATATATATGAGGTTTGGAACTACTGGAGGGAGGAGAGATATAGTGCACCTGTCTACAATCTTGACACATGTATTTGAGAGCTACACCGGCAGCAGCACTGACTTCAGGGTCCGGGATATCGAAACCGGCCGATATATATTGTAACTGGAAGGAAATATAATTCGGATGCATGTCAATCCACTCTGTATACCGAGATATGATTAGCAACGCCGCGTAGCGGACCTTTGGATGGCCTGGTAGCGTTGGTATAAGATCCATGATTTTTGGAACAGCCACATCGTCGGTAGGGACGGCCTCGGCACCCATAGACCGGAGCGCAAACAAAGGCGCTTCAATTTCCTGCCATGAAACGTTGTTTCTACGATTGAGCGCTACAGCAATACGATCATATGCTGCGAGTAAACACGTATCAGGGCGAAGGACGATGCAACAGTCCTTTAGCGTATCACCCATGACATGTCGGAAGGACCTGAAGTCATCCGCTTCTTGTCCAGATAAAGGTGTAGAGTCTGGAGGAAAGTGTAGATGGTCGATGATAACGCCTACAAGTGCTTGATAGGCATTCAAAAAGAGGGGGGGGATAGATGGTTTTTTTGACAAATTATTTGCCAGGCGCATCCAGAAGGGGAAAGTTATAGGGACAATGTCGAGGTCGTGGTACGCCGAACATTCTCCAATCGCTTCCACGATGGGGAAGAACGCCTCTGTGTGTTGTATCAGAAGCAGCCGGTACGTGTCGCCTGCCTCTGAGAAGATGCGAGCATAGCCTCTTATTTTCTCCGGATCTTCTCTTTCTTTAGTCAACTGGGGCTTCAGCGCGATAACTCTGGGAACGATGAGCTGGATGACAGGCATATTGGAGTCAACTTCTTGTGTTTCGTGAATAAGATCACATATGACATTGACGGCTGAGTCGAAAAGCTGGTCGGAGGCAAGTGCATCGAACGCGAACGAGAATAAAGCCGTCTTGCCCAAAACTGACGGACTAATTTCCCCCGCGACCAGCCAGCTTCGAAGACAATTAAACACCTGCTCCTGTACGGTAGTCGTTACAACTGTGGGATTCTAGATGACATTTATTGGTGAGACCAGGAACGATGGAACGCACCAGGAGCCTGCAAATACATTGCTAACAACTCGATGACCTGCTTGGAGTGGGAAGTAAGTAGAGCATTGGACCGTTGACGGAGGTCTTCATTCTAGGGTTGATCATTCATAAAGAAGGCATCTCGTAAGATCGCAAGAAGATACGCACGGAAACCGGATATCTTGTGCTACTGCTCAGCTCCTCAGGTAGAAGCGTAAGGAACTGTAATAAAACGGGAACAGATGATGGGTCTCTCCCAAACATATCAATCATGGTTTGCACGGCGTTATCCCAGGCTGGATACTGTACGGCTAAACCGACCAGTGCGAGACATAGCTGAACGATAATGGTCCTTGGCCCAGTCTGGTAACTCCCCAGAGCTGTCAGTAATGTGTCACGCAATGACGACAGATTAGCTGGATCGACTTGATGGAGATCGTAGGTGACCTTGAGTAGCAGCCTTAGCAGAGAACGAAATGAATGTAAGGAGCTGACCTTGGATCTGAAGGTCTGTGCAGCAAAAAGCTTTGCTGCCGAGGGTGCATCGGGAGAAAGGAGAAGGACATTAGAGGTTGCCCAGGCTTCTGACTACGACAATGGCGGATGGAGAGTCAGGGAATTGTCGAAGGACGTCCACAGCGAAAGACAAACAGAATGTTGGAAGTCTTGAAGCCATGTATTGGCATTCTCCAGTGATATTTTGTCTGGTGCTCGGGTGAATACGTCTAGCACAGACAGTAGCGGCTGGATGTTGTCCATCGCAGAGAGTGTAAAGTACAAGAAAGCAGAGTATGTGGTGGCTGAGAATAATTCACCGCATCACGTCAAAGTTTAGCATTGTTGACTTCAGTGGCAGAGCGAAAACAGTGGTATATTCTCTGGCCAACGGGAACCTCCATGCATACACAAGAACTCGTTGAAAAGCATACTAAAGAATAGCAGTAAAGAGGATATCCGAGTAAAAGAGTGTAGGAATTCACAATGACCAAGTAAAAACGTTAATACTAAAGGCACCATAGAAAAAATGTGTCGTACATATGTAACAAAGAAAAGAAAGAAATGATGTCCATGGCACAAAACCGTGATGTATTAAAGAGATGATATGGATTCCGGACGTTGGCCGCAATCTTAAGTGCGGAGGAATCCCTTCCTGCGACCCGTCTATGAAAAAATGGTCAACTCGGCAGATCTCGCAAGCCATCCAAAGGACATACCGCGTTCTTTTCGGGAGTCAGCGGTCGGCCGGTTTCGATTCGCTTCTTCTTCTCCTCGAGATCGGCGCGCTGTTTCTCCAGAGCATCCTTCATCTCTTTGTGACGGGCGTAGAGCTCCTCCTCTGATTGCTTGAGCTTGGACTCCTTCTCCTGGACCTTTTGTTGGAAGACCATCTTCATCTCTGCCTCCATCTTGGCCAACTTCGCCTCGTGCATGACACGTTCTTCTTGCAGTCTTGCGGCAGGGCTAGAAATCACAAATTAGACGAATATGGGAGGGTCACCATGAAAGACCCACTTGATCTCCTTGAATACGGTAGAATCTTGAGCAACACCCATGCTGAGAAGCTTTTCTGTTCGCCAGTTCTCATATAGCACATCATTGGTGTACTCCCTCAATTCCTCCATGTAAGTGCGAACAAGCATCTGTCTCAGCTTGACAAAGTCGCAGTGATCCTCGTTGTCAACCTCAACCACCCCCCAAGGGTATGCACGTCCACGCACTTGGCGGCCATCGAGTGTGTTCACGAGCTTGTCAGAGCCAACAACGGCGAAAGGAATTTTGCCGGCAATTTCTTCTGCCTCAGCAATCGTTTCCTCGTCCTCGTTATCATACGTAGGGGCCTGGAAGATGTGAATATTATTATGAGCAATGTCAGCGAGAATCTGTGACGGAGTGGCGTCAGAAGACTGAAAAAAAGATGTTGCAGATGTGTCTGACCCGCTCCTTAAACTCCGCAATCTCTTCATCAGTCATAGTGTCCGCCTTGGCAATGACAGGGATCAAATTGACTTTGGTATGCAGGCGGCGCATGAATTCGACATCAATCTGTTTCAATCTGTATGTCTGGTCACCCAAAAAATTCTGGAACGGAAATAAGAGGATGCTCACGAATGACCAGTGGGTTGGATGAAGTAGAGACAAGCATGAACGCGATTATCGACAATCTTCATCCTATTGACACGGTTCTCTTGTTCAAGATATGAGTCAAACCGCGACTCAATGTTCTCAACGATGGGCTTCCAGCTGTGATGGCCGGTGAGCAGATAGAGATAAGAGAGAAGATAGAGGCGACAGACCTCTCATCGTTGTTAACAAAGTCACCGAACCCAGGAGTGTCGACAACAGTCAAGTGTAGCCGCACGCCATTCTCCTCGATGTCTACACGTAAAAAAGAGGTTAAAAGAAGAGAACATGATAAGCAGCGGACTAACCGGCCCCAATGCTCTCGATAGCGACGGTTTTCGGACGCTCTGCCGAAGGGGGCAGAGGCTCTTTGGGGGGGTATAATGGCGTGTTAAACAAGGTGTTGATAAGTGTCGACTTTCCCAAGCCTGACTCGCCTAGAAAACAGAGAATGATATGGTGAGAAAAGACAAGTGCATGATTAAGATATCGAAGAAAAACGGGAGCATACCAACAACCATTGCAGTGAACTGGAACCCTTTCCTCACGCTCTTCCTGTGCACTTGATTGGGAAGATTGGCAAAACCGACGTAGCCCATCAGCTTTTTGCGAATGACACTCGATAGAAGCGCAGCAGTCTGAGTCGGAACGAGTGATGGACTTGAGCCGTTTCCCAACCCATTGGGAGAGATGTCGCCATTGCGAGAGGAAGAATATGAATCGGCCATCTGTGAAGAATAAAGAAAGGGTGTAAGAGGAAGGGAGGAGAGAGCGAGAAGGGAAGTAAAAAATTACAGTGAAGACGACTGGCACGATGGGAGGAAAGAAGTTGTGCGCTGTTTGGCTAAGGTGGCGTCGGCAACTGAGCTCGGCGACTAATCCGAGTTTAGGCTTGGGGCAGGAACAGCGTCTCGGTTACGACGTATGTAAATGAGCCGTTTCTACTCCCATCTAGAAAGCGCTTACCCACGTTATAGGTCTCTTCTTGCTCGTCATTGTTGCCCATTTTCCCTGTCGTCTTTTTTTAATTTTGGCTCACACGCGTTCTTCGCGCGGTCATGATCTCTTCGCCTTGAGGTGTTCCTCTCGAATTCCAACAAAGTATATCTAGTATTAAAATTTTAAAGGCATTAGTACGGTACGGTTGTGTCATTATGGGCGTCTAATCATAGACCCTTCTTTCCCCCTATGCAGCGCATTCCTCCACGTTGATGAACATGTCGAATATTCTGTTCTCCTCGGATAGTTGCCATGGATCGACGTCAATCTCCACGTTTAGTCCGTTCCCCGTATAACTGTACATCGTTCCATATCCTTCCAGGCAATCCTCAGCAATGGCTAATGTTCCATTCATCACATCCAGCCGTGTTGAGGACGTGTCAACATGGATTAAGTCATACGTGGTCTGAAATGGTGCCCCGTCCTCCCCCGTCCTTGTTGCATGTCCGCCGAAGTCAGGGCACTCATGACGTGGAATGCCATGGCGCGTATTCCCGTTCTGAACGAGTCTTGTCATTGACTGCGATTCTGTCTCCGGTGACCGAATGATTTTGCCGTCTTTAGCCCGAACCAGAGTTTCGTCCTTCAGGAATGCACCTTTTCCTAACATCTTTCGGCACATGGGGTTGTATTTTTTCCCGAATACGTCCGGTATAGCTCGAGGGCGTTTTGATGGCCCCTGGAGCGAGCTTGCCGTTGCGGCGCGACGCGAAAGCAGTGTAGACAATGCCGCGGCGTATGCGTTTGCGGATTCCATGATGTTGAGAATGAAGAGGTCAAGTATAGTTAGTCGTTGCAACGTTGAACTCTGAGCGTTAACTGTTGGCAGGTATTGTCCTTTAGCTAGCCTTCTTATAATGACCTTGGCTTGCTTCGACTGCCACCTGGAAACATTCATTGTTCAAACTTTGTTGTAGACTGCAGCATCGACAAGACAAAGGACAAATCAGTCACAAAGGGAGTAACGTCATGTTACTTGTATTCCTGAAATCAATACAGGTCTTGTCTTGATCATAGAAACCCTGAAAATCATTGTAGGTTCGCCGAGAAACTAAAAACTGTTGATGTGGACATTAGCAATAATTCACATATATTTCAAAAATTTACCATCGGGACGAGCGTAATGGCCAACAACGTCCAAGTCAAATTTTCCACGAACACAATCATCCAAGTCCAAAGTGGCAGTCAAGACGCCCTCCCCTTTCAGTAATGGGCCAACTAACACCTCACCCAAAGGGTTGACAATGACGCTCCCTCCGGCAATCATAACATTCTGAGGGTTACGTGCTGAAACGTCTGCAACCGCGTGATCAACAGGGTAATCCTTCTCTTCTGCATATTGACAGGCTGCAAGGACGAAACAACGCCCCTCAAGGGCAATGTGAATCATGGAATTCTGCCACACAGGTCGGCCATCCACAGTTGGTGCGCAATAGATCTGGACTCCTTTTGAGTAGTAAAAATAACGCACTGATAAGGCACATTGGGTTAATGGACTGATTAAGATCCACCACTGTGTAGGACGAACGTAAAGGCATGTAATTCTCCCTTCAAGAAGCATGAGGTCAGAGATGTCAGACAATTCAATTTGCAACATTCGCAGCGTACCAGCATATTGCCGCCGAGATCTTGGTTGGAACCACAGCTCCGCCTAAAGATCCGAAATCTTTTTCAACTACGGAAAGGGTAGATCCATTTCCCTGTCCCCAAATCAATCGTTCAGATGCAGTGGGCGCAAGTTTGCGGTGCTTGGCGATATAACCCTGTTCTGGGTCTATGAAAACAGCAGTGCAATACAGCGTTCCACCGTCTCGTTCGATTACGTCGACAACAAGGAATACACCTGTTTCTTTGCTGATAGCTTCTATCCGAGAGATCGCAGAAGAAGGGACTTCGATAGCAGCAGAATGGTAACGTAAAAACTCGTCTCGTCCTTGGGCTGCCCTGAGGCCTACGACAGCACCAAAGGTGGACATTTTGGGATATCCTGAAATCGATCAGTTAACACATATATTCTAAATAATTAGTAACACCTCCAATACTACCAATAATGAAGATCAGCATAGTTCGCAGTCACCAGAGAAATCTTACAAGGCCTCAGGAAATACGGCAAGCTGCGAGCCATCGCGATCCTTTGCCAAACGAGTAAGTTCTTCCAATTTCTGAAGTGTAGCGTCCAAATTGTACGCCTGACTGCAAGTTTGCACTACGGAAGCGCGCACTGTGTGTTGCACCATTGAAGTTGAGGGTGACAAAGAAAGAGTCCGGGCATTGGATGCTCCAGTATCGAGATAATGTCGTGACCTTCAGATGTTCGGATCAAATACCGGTCCGGACCGTACCCAGGATCGTTTGACCTGCCCTAAATCAAGCGAGTGGGTTGCCATAAAAGGATGAAATTTTTCACTGGTCGTTTTCTTCATGGTGAGTCCGTGGGCACATTTGTGACCAGCGTTGACTTGATCCAGCAGTCTGCACCTACATCCATATCGAAGCTACGAATACGCGATGAAGAATGGGACCGCCGTATGCACGAGGTTCAGGTATCCAAAACGTGAGTCCTCTATTCCCCATGCCTTTCTGTGATGATAAAACCAATGGGAATCTCTCTGAATTCTTTGATGAGCACAAAAAAAATCATTTATTATCTGAATCTTCATATGCTCTGATCCTTTGTTAATAGTGAATTGACGGTGTCGCTTGGCAGGGACCTTAACCGCCTCATCATGGATTACCTCGTTATTGAGGGGTACAAGTCTGCTGCTGAGGAATTTAGCCAAGAGGCCAATCTAACGCCGCCAGTTGATTTTGAGAGCATTGAGAGCCGAATGAATATTCGCGAAGCTCTACAACGTGGTGACGTGGAGGACGCCATCACTCGCGTCAATGATCTCAATCCGGAGGTGCGTGTGTGTTTTCTGTCAAGTTTTCCTCGATGGGGGAACAAAAGATTAAACTTTTCATGCACCACTCTTAGACCTTCGGGTCGGTGAGGAGACTCAACCAAAACTTCAGTCTTCAATATGAGCTCCTTCGTTTTCTGTGTTCTTTTGTTGGCCGGAAAATCATTGATGCATTCCATAGATATTGGACACAAATCCGGCACTATACTTTCATCTACAGCAACAGAAGTTGATAGAGTTTATACGTCATGGACAAATTGCCGACGCCCTGCAATTCGCACAGGAGGAATTGGCACCCCGTGGCGAGGAGAGCCCGGAGTTCCTAACGGAGCTGGAACGAACCATGGCTCTCTTGGCGTTCGAGTCGACATCGTCAACGCCGACGCCAATATCGGACCTTTTATCACCTGCGCAGCGTCTGAAAACAGCAGGCGAGATGAATGCCGCAATTTTGGAGAGCCTCAGTCAGGCGAAGGAAGTGAAGTTAGTGGGTCTCTTGAAGCTGCTCAGCTGGGGTGAGACGATGCTGGAGCCAAGGGCGGAATTTCCCAAGGTGGGGAACACGGAATGACACGTACACATGCAATGAACAGATATCGAACATCGAAGATCAAGAGCATTTTTTATTACCCAGTGATTGTGAAGACTATGTTGGCTGTATTTCTAGAATGTATGATTTTGCGGATACACTCATTGCCAAAACTTGGGAGAATGAAAAGGAATAAAGTATATGAAGAACTTGTCTCTTGGAAAAGATAACCGCCCAAGTGTTTCCATGAAAGTTTTCTAGAAATCAGGCGGCAGCGTACTTGTCTTACATCAGCAGACTGAGATCCTGAGTACCTGGACTCGACGACCCCCTTCAAGTTGGCGCTGGAGCCTCTCCTTCCTTTCCTTCAACCTTTTTGCCGCCACGCTCGACGAAGAATCGCTCTCTGAATACGCCTGTATACGCCTCGCTGCCGGCGACGACGACAACGCTTGACGACCTTTTGCCTCATTTCACCAGTTCAGCATATTCCCACTGGCGCACTGTAGATACAAGGCTTTGCCTCCGATGTCAGAGCAACCTAGGTTTCCCAAGCCGCGTCTTACTTTCCATGTCGTTAATCCCGGCTCTGAGTCGGAGAGCAGTGACGACGATAGGCCAACTAATGCCAATCCCTACCATCGTCGCGCGCCTCTTCCCAGTGTGCCCAAGTCTCCTCCACCGGCTCCTTCTCCTTTGACGACGAACATGGCACCTCGTATTCCTCGCTCTCATGCCTCTCACCAGTCTCTTTCATCGCCATCCAGTACCAGTTCTCCAGCCGCCGACGAGTCGACCCCACCCCCAAGCACCCCAGGCGTCCTAATACCTCCTGTGGATCTTTCTACCGATTTTTTACCTCAGCAAGACCCCGCTATCGCATCTTATAATAATGACCGAAGTGTGCGGAACGACATACACATCTCTACTTCCCGTAACGTCACCGGCAAGATCTTTCAGCAGCTCAAGTCACCTTTTCAACACAGATCTCTCCATCCTCGACCTCAGCCTGTACCGCCTGTCCCACCACCAATCAATACGGTGTGCAGCCCTGTTTTGGTCTCTTTCATGCCGCTGATGACCCACCTGCAGTCGCCTACTGTTTCTACTCCCGACTCTTATACTTCAGCTTCTAGCCACGGCTCTACCACTACAGTCTCCGACAAAGTGTCTATTCTTGCTACGGCAGATTCAGACACCTATGTCAACGTTGATATAAGTGGGGTACAGAGTGCAGCAGTCATTCGAGAGTGTGTCTTCTCCAAGGTGTGCGATCTCTTAAATTTTCTAAGTCTACACGGAAGCTTATCTCCGTCTAGTTACATATTGACGACGATGAACAGTCTCGCTTTTCTATCTATCGCACCGAAATAGGCGCCTTTGCTATTGGTGACGCGCTGACAGACGAAAAGTTGTTTGAACTATGCCGGGAGTTCGGAGACTCCAAAGGGACTCTGAAGCTGCTTGTCTCTCATTCATCTGCGCCTGTGCATGAAGCTGCACCTTCTTTGCCGAGCTCACTCTCTCCTAGTGTCAACACTGTTCCCCCTCCTGTCCTACCATCTTGTGCACCTCTAAGACCGCGACGGCGATCTCGTTCACGTCATGGGAGTCTGTCCTCAGCTAGCGAACAGATACCGACGGAGCAAGCCGCTGCTTATGATGCTGACGTTGACGCCGACAATCATAAAACAACCATGCGCCCACCTCCCCACCCACATCTCAATACCGCAACTAGCGCTGTTGCTGCTTCGTCCTCGTCGGGGCGTCGCCCGAGTGTTCCTGCTCGACCTTCGTCTCCCCTCATACCTTCCCACTCTACGGCCTTGCCTCCAACTGGCAGCCAGAGTATAGGAGGTGAAGCAAAACAATTTGTTAATTGGTACGGAAACCTTGTGCCAGCTCCACCCCCTCCTCCGCCTCTATCATCCGGGCCACCTCCTCTATCTCCTCTCAGCACCACTTTTGACGATAGTAGCCTGACCCCTCCCGCTACACGAGCTCATGGACGTTCTGGATCTGATGCTGCTGCCGAAAGAGAGCAAGCATTAAGAGTGTCAGAACAACTTTTCGAGATGGCAGGTCGCCAGTGGCAAAGCCAGCAACAAGGCAGCCTTGATCATCAGTCATCACGAGACAATCTCCAATCAAACGAACGTCGTGCAAGGGCAAGACTGGAACCACGACGACGGGACCTAGATGAAAATTTGGGCCGTCCGGAATCCTGGGTCGTCGTTTCCCGTGATCAGGAAATGTCGACCTCACCACCTACCCGCCAGTCCCCAAAGCAGTCCCGAGTCAAAAGCCCATTGTATCCATCACGATACAAAGCTTCACAACCAGGTCGCCCTATGGTGCCCGCTGCTCCTCGTCATCCTCCGCCGCCTGTACCTCACGCATCTCCCGAAATTCGCAGTCCCGGAACGAGCCGTCCCCCAGGTCAACCCGTACCGTCAACCTATGTCGTTACTTGGAAAGGCGAACAGAAGGCTGACCAAAAGACGACTGGTGCCCCCCCTTCATCCAGTGACCCTTGGAGAACCAACCTTAAAACAGGTGCTAAGAGCATGGATAATCTCCGGGCTGCCGCCTTCAATGGTGGGCATCCCGCTACGTTGCAGCCCGGCATGCCTCGGCGCCCTGGACCAACCTCCATGAATAGATCAAACGGAAATATCTCTTTCATGTCCGGGGCCAAGCCTTATGAGTCGCGAACACCTATCAAACCCTTGCCGGTACAAGGTCCATCTCAGCGATCTTCGCAATATAATGGCAAAACAACTGGATATCCGGGGGGCTACATGTCGCCCAACCAAGATCCATTCCCGAGACCGCACTCTGCTCTCAGCGATCTTATGTCATCCCCGACAAACAAGTATCAGCGACCAACTCCATCATATTCTAACACGATGGAATATCCAGATTCAGCACGTTCGCCTTCCGCCCCTTCCCTTCCCCTTTCAGGCCCCACACGGTTCTACAGTAGTTCTCGGGATGTACACACTGATATTATCACGAAGTCCCCACCACAAAGTCCCACCAGTCCGCACAGCCCGAGGTCGACTCGCCAAAGAATGCTAACGAGCAGCGCTGAGACCTCTTCATCGGGAACGGTGGTAGCCACATCCAGTGATACAGCTTCAGAAGCTACCCTGGGGATAGACCAATGTGCATGGCTTCGCCAGGTAGATCTGGATCATACGGAAAGCACAGTTGTACCGCCGCTTCGCCTAGAGAAAACATCATCTTTCCTTCCTGATCCCAAGCCATCGTTGGAGATGCCATCTACGGAGTTATATAACAGCTCCAGTGGAGATGACTCAGACAGTGACCACGCAGACTCCGGTACATGGAAGAAGCCCTTCCTGACGTTGGATACTACGCCAATGACGATTCCCAGCGTGACAGTACAATCCTCTCAGTCCAATGGTTCCCAGTCGACTCCCATGTCTTCATCGCAGGCAGCAAAGCTAAAGACAAGAGGCAGAGGGAGCACTTTTACTGACACTCGCCCGCCTCCGGAGGATGTCTATGAGCGTCTGGAGGATTTCTTCCCGGAACATGATTTGGATAAGCCCGTTATTGAGGCAAACTCTGGTGGTACCTCACCTACAACTGTAGAACAAATTGCGGAAGTCAGTCCAGAACCGGCATCTATTGTTGTGCCTCCCATTCCATTAATGACTGAGAAGTCGCGTGTCAAAGGGAAGAAGTCAATTCGACATGTAGCTGAGGAACACAAGCGGCGGATCAATCGTACCTCCAAAGCAGATTCTTCTTTCGCTTCGAGTGTATTACGCAAAAGAAGCACAAAGCTGTGGGGCAGTCGGCTGGAAGAGGTCACCACAGCGCAAGCCCGAGCAAATATGGGTGGACCTTCTCCCGAATCACCATCTGGCGGTCCGAGTTAGTATTCAACAACGTCTCTTTTACATAACTATATTGATTCTTCTACAGCTACTTTCAAATGGGTTCGGGGAGAAATGATTGGTAGGGGAACGTACGGACGCGTTTATCTTGCTCTTAATGCCACCACTGGGGAGATGATTGCTGTTAAACAAGTCGAAATCCCAAGGACCGCGAGTGACAAGAATGATTCTCGACAAGTTACGGTAGTTCAGGCGTTGAAGCTTGAGAGCGAAACGTTGAAAGACTTGGATCATCCAAACATAGTTCAGTATCTGGGATACGAGGAAACACCTTCAAATCTAAGCATGTGCGTTAGCTAAAATTCTCGCGTTATCAGCGAGCTGATCGCTTCTCAACAGCTTTTTGGAATATGTTCCTGGGGGCTCTATCGGAAGCTGTCTTTTGAAGCATGGCAAGTTCAATGAAGAAGTTACGAGATCTTTCACTGGGCAGATCCTCAGCGGGTTAGAGTACCTTCACTCTAAAGGGATTCTTCATCGGGTTCGTCATTCATGCTCGTTAGGCGACGAGCGCTACTAACATCATTACAGGACCTGAAAGCTGACAATATTCTCGTAGAAATGTCAGGCGTTTGTAAAATTTCAGATTTCGGGATTTCAAAGCGGACGGATGATATAAGTGGTGGCGCGGAAACTGCTATGCAGGGGACCGTCTTTTGGATGGCTCCTGAGGTTGTCAATCCGCAAGGCAAGGGATACAACTTCAAGGTCGACATCTGGAGTGTCGGCTGTGTTGTTCTGGAGATGTGGGCGGGAACAAGACCGTGGCAGGGAGATGAGATGGTGGCTGTTATGTTCAAGGTAGTATTGTATGGATCCGTTTCGGAGATGCTTGACTGATGTTTCCGATCAATCAGCTTTATCAGTCGAAGCAGCCACCTCCAGTACCTGAAGGTGTTATCCTATCAGACCTTGCCGACGATTTCCGCAAGAAATGCTTCGCAATGTAGGCCTATTGTCTTATGTTTCTGTATCTGCTCACAAATAACCAACTAGAAACCCCGAGGAACGTCCACCTGCACAGGAATTGCGGAAACACAAATATTTATCACTCCGTCCTGACTGGCAGTTTACTGGATTTAACTAGGATATCCGCTACCGATCTCCGTCGCCTCTGAACATTTTTTCACTCTCATCTTCACGTTCTCTTTTCGCTGCGCATCTATCGCCCATCCATTCGCACATTCATCTGTCCATCCTTCTTGTTACTCCTACACATTTCCTCGTTGTCATTCATGTCATTTGTTTAGTATAGTCCCATCGGTAACCACTTGTAGCCCATCTATTAATGTCCTAGTAATTACGCCGTGACGTCATTCTACTACTTTACACCCCCCCAAGATACCACGGACCACAATGAGTACTTATACCGACAGCGACAAAGAGGGAGAAGGGTGACAAGTCGCCGCGGAAATTTATAGAGATTCTGGAGATTAAGAAATGATGAAGAAGATTAATTAATCTAGACATCTGCTGAAGAGATGCTGCGCTCGATTGAAGGTACGCTTGGCCTCTCCAGTATTTTCTTTGTTGCATGTCTAACATACTACCCCACCATCGCAATAATGGCACGCCTTCAGAACGGTGGTTACTTGCAGTAATAGTCCTCTACAGCAGTCGGGCCTGAATAAGCCGCAAATGAAGAACAAGGAGCTTCAGCAAAGGCTAGAGCTTATCGATGGGTGTGTCTCGAACAATATCAGGAGTCAGTGGGACACTGGTGGGTGAGACCGAATGTAATCGTACTATACGGGTACACACCGTTATGGTTCTAATCGTTGAGTGTCCTGAATATTAATACGACTTAACGTGAAATAACTCTCAAGGCATTTGTCTTGGTTTTCTCGGTGTTGAGATGCTCCTTGGCTTGTAGTGGTATCACTAGCATTGGCAGCAAGAAAGCACGGAGGATAACTTCTTTCGATGATACGTGCTATAGCGTATGGTCCATTCTGTTGCTGAATCTTGTGCTATAGGCTTGACGTTGGAAACGGAAAGCCACTGTCGCTAGTGTCCTCGTACCCAGCTTGAACAAGAGGTAGACAATTCTGGCCTTCATGACATTACTGCTTACAATTCATATTTTCCTTTCTTAGAGAATACAGTGAATCGGCTTCTTCTTGAAGCATACGAGAATCTACTAGAATGATCAGAGGTCTATCTGCTGACCAAAAGTATATTCACGTAACCCCATCTTTATCCTTGCTCATGCATCAGCTTGACAGGACTATATTATTTTCATTAAATAAGATTGACGCACCACAAGGCAGATTATGCTGGGATAGGAACAACGAACTCGTCGATACCAATACTGGTTCTGGTAATGGGCAAAGTATCATACCCGAGGACATCCCCCAGCGGCTCGCTCATCGTGGAAGCTTTGCATCCCGATATCTTCGTCTTTGATATACAAGGAGTTGCGAAGTTCGTCATTATATTGGTGCTGAAATAGGGAAAAAAAAGTTACCAAGATGTTTCATTGGATCAAAGGAATCGTCAATTGTTGAGGAAAATCGTTCAATGACACACTTGGATCTGTGTTTCGCAGTACACTTAATATCAATCCCTTGATTTTTTTCCTTACTTACTCAACTTCGTTTCAGGACAAGCATTGTTACGTTTAGTAAGAGTTAGAAATATGCTCAAAATCAAAGGTGATCCACGTCGTTCAACAATTTGTTACAAACACACAGTCGTTGCGCATAGACACCGGAACGTTCACCCCTGCTGGGGACTGGTTACTGGTTACATCAGCTAGCCTCATATCTATCAAAGAAGGCATTATACATTCACTGTCCCCTCTGTCTGGTCATTATAGGTAAGTCTCTGAACGCTAATGCACTTGTTAGGATGACTGGAGAAAGGGGGAGGTCTACCGCAGATGAGGGTACCCAAGCTGCGACAGAAGATTATCACATTGAATTTGATACAAATTTGTTGCTTCATGAAACTGAACATCATGCCCTCGTCCACTTGCTGCCTATCTCAGACACGCCCACAGGGAGAGCCGCCTGGAAGGTAATATAAATGAAGTTCATCTATATCTATGATGAAAGAGAGAGCGTGCCTTCTCGTCGTAATCATTCCACTCTCCTTCGCTAAGGTCTACCTCAGGAAATACTTGTCCTGTCATTCCAAAACACTTCCAAGTACCCTAGGAGACATAAGTAAAAACGGAACAATTATAAGCAGTGGACTGACACTAGGATCGAATCCTATAAATTCAAGGCCCCTGCATTCGATCTTTAGCAGTGGAGCAAATTGACCATTCTCTGCGCCGTAAGGCTGTGGCGGGTAACTCGAATCGAACTTCGCGGAGCTCTCCCGTTTGCCTGGGAAGCCAAAGCGTCAAAATTGTCCCATGGACCAGAAGCAGACGACAGACATAGTCCACATCGCCAGACAAAATTAGCAGTAGCACCTTTCCCTCCCAACATCTCTCGTTTTTCCTGGAGGTTCTGCGTGAAGACACGCGGATCTCTTGCAATGATGCGGGATGTCTACCTTACGATTTACAGATACAAGCTTTGGGTGAACCTCATTGCAGCTGTTACATTTAACCTGTATACGAGAAAAGTACATTAGCTGTAGTTACGAAGACTCTTCAATGAACTTTGAACCTGGAAAAAATACTCAAAATTATCTGATGCTGGGACCAGATCCATTACATTTTCCAGTTCTGCTTTGATGGACAGTAGAAGTAGCTGCAAGTATTGAGAATATGCAAGTAATGAGGGGACGCTTACTTACGACCATGGTGGCGATTACTCAAACTTGGAAGTTGCGCTGTGACCCACGTGGCTGGGTTTTTCATTCAACGACCTACTTCATTCCTTCCGCTCGCTATGGCATCCGTTACCGATGCTAACGACGAATTTAACCACCAAATTGCAATAAAGCTATCTAGAGCTCTCAATATCCTCAATCCGAATGACCTGCTCGCCCAAAGAGTGACGGACATTGCAAAAACCAACACTTTAGAAGGATTTACAAAAGGTGCGTTGTTGACTTTCCATGCTGCTATGGTGGCCTGACATTTATATGGACAGCCGCAAGCTCTTTTGGCAAGTTCAAAGATTCATTTCTGGCAGAGCTCTATGCCGACATTTTGTCGCATGCGAAGCAGGAAGCCACAGGCGTTGCCCCACAGCCAGTTGCAGGTATAACTGTGCATGACAGCGATGTTTTGGAACCGGAACCAGTTAGGCAAGGCGGCCTCATGCAAAAGGATGTGGTGTGTATATATATTTTTCTGGATGGGTCCGCTTACTTAGCTCCTTCGACATATTCAGCGGCATACATTCCGCCAACCAGCCAAGCCACTCGAACCGCCCACACCTAGGACTTCGCTCTTAGGCCTTGACCGTCTTGCGAAAGAGAAACGGGCCGCTAATATGGGTCATGACGAGGGGAATAGGAAAAAGGCGAAGTATGACGATGAAGCTGTCTTCAAAGGTACGTCTCGTGGGATTTATTTAGCAGTGTAGGCTCACTATTATCCATTCTTAGTGCCTAGTTTACCATCGCGAAGTTCTAATATACGGCAGCGGGGCGAAGAAACACCTTCTCATCCAGGCGGGTTGTCGGAAACTGGTCGTCAGAGGTTGGAAGAACACCGAAGGAACAGGGATAAGCAAAAAGGTTTGTTTGTGCTGTCTGATTTATCCATGTTTCATAACCACATTTCTCCAGAGGGCATTACTGCTTTGCAGGGGTATCGTTCTGACGCACCAAAGGGCTTGGGCGATTTTCAGCGCCGGTCTAACAGAGACCGCGACCGAGGATGGGGTGGAAAAAGAGATTATGATCATGATTATGACCGACGAGATCGTGGTAGACGCGACTGGGACTCGACTCCAAAGTCTGTTCGTAGTTCTGGTGACGCTCCTAGTGTCCGCGTTCCCAATGTCAGCTGGGAGTCTACACCTCGCAATTATCGAGGGGATGACAACTCGGGACGGGCTGGTGGGCATAATAGACGGTGGGATGCCCCGACGCCTAGGGCGACTAGAGATGATAGTCCAGAGGGCGACGGCGCACTGGGGCTCGACGCACACGAGTGGGAAGAGGAACAAGTCAGACTAGATCGAGATTGGTACACAGGTGCAGAAGAAGGTGGGATTGCTGGCGATGAAGAGCATAATCCTTTAGCTCAGTATGAGGATCTCAGTATTCTCAAACAGGCCGAAATTGCCACCAAGCAGGTGGTAAGTACAAAATTCATAATATCGACGCGACCTTTGATAATATCGTTTTCAGAAAAAAATATCCGCCAGACAAGCTCAATATGTAAGAGGCTTTAGCCAAATTTCCGCATCTTGTTTCTCATTTTTCTTGCTCATAGAACGCCGATAACGATCTTTGGGAAGCAAATCGGATGCTCACTTCTGGTGTCGCCACTCGCAGGACGGTTGACTTGGATTTTGAAGACGAGTCTGAGTCCACTGTCCACGTCATGGTTCATGACCTCAAACCACCTTTCCTGGACGGTCGCACTGTGTTTACCAAGCAGCTTGATCCCATCAATCCTATCCGTGACCCTACCAGTGACATGGCCATTTTTTCTAAGAAAGGTAGCGCATTGGTGAAGGAAAAGAGGGAACAGGCGGAACGTGCTAAAGCCGCCGCAAAGTTGGCAGCCCTTGGCGGCACCTCTTTAGGAAATATCATGGGCATAAAAGATGAGGAAGCTGAAGCTGAAGGTATGTCGTCATTTCCTCTTCTACTTTTATTCAGCTCGGAGTTGCACATTCACGTAGTCTTTGTTTTGCCTTTACAGCTGAAGCAGAACGGAAAGAGAAGGAAAACAAAGGCGAGAAGGAGAACTACAAGGGCGATTCTAAGTTTGCAACACATCTGAAAACTTCCTCCGGTGTCAGTTCCTTCGCTAAGTCAAGAACGCTTAAGGAACAACGAGAATACCTGCCAGCTTTTGCTTGTCGTGAGGACCTGATGAAGATCCTACGAGAGAATCAAGGTTAGCCCGCATCATTATATTTTGAACTATCGTTATACTGAGAAAGCTTTAAATAGTTGTCATTGTCGTGGGTGAAACTGGATCAGGAAAGACGACACAGCTGGCACAGTTCTTGTATGAAGATGGCTACTGTGCTCACGGTCTTGTTGGTTGCACCCAGCCTCGACGTGTGGCTGCCATGTCAGTTGCCAAGCGTGTCAGTGAGGAAATGGAGGTCAGTGTTTACCCTCATCGTCTCGGACAAATAACTCATTGCCCGAAGTGCAAACTAGGCTCTACGGTTGGATATGCGATCCGTTTCGAAGATTGTACATCCGCTGAGACGAAGATAAAATGTACGCTATTACAGGCAGTGATCAGGATTCATCTGACTTGTTTCCTTGTAGATATGACAGATGGTGTCCTCCTCCGTGAATCTCTGAACGAAGGCGACCTCGATCGGTACAGCGTCATAATTCTCGACGAGGCGCACGAACGATCCCTCAGTACTGACGTCTTAATGGGTCTTCTACGTAAAAGTCAGGCTTAGGCTCTAAATATTTGTATAGAGAATTTTACTGACTGCTTTTAGTTCTTTCACGCCGGAGGGACTTGAAACTTATTGTTACATCTGCTACTATGAATGCTGATAAGGTGTGCTCCTTGATGTTTTCGATATACCATGCTGTTTATACTGGTCCCTAGTTCTCCACGTTCTACGGGAACGCCCCTACTTTCACCATACCGGGTCGTACATTCCCTGTGGAGATTTTCCACGCTAAATCTCCCTGTGAGGACTACGTAGACAGTGCGGTCAAACAAGTACTACAGATACATCTTTCGCTTCCACCTGGCGATATCTTGGTGTTCATGACTGGCCAGGAGGATATTGAGATTACTTGCCAAGTGGTGCAAGGTTTGTTCCATATCTCTTACCTTTGTGTGAAGTTGATCGGCATCCCTCAGAGCGTTTGGATCAACTGGATGACCCCGCACCGCTGGCTGTTCTTCCAATATATTCCCAGATGCCTGCTGACCTCCAGGCCAAGATCTTTGAGGCCACTAGTGATGGGCGGCGCAAAGTCATCGTTGCTACCAACATTGCTGAGACGTCTCTGACAGGTTCGTCAATATTGACTGTCTGTGGGATAACCATTTAATTTTCTCGTACAGTTGATGGGATTCTATATGTTGTTGATGCTGGATACTCCAAGCTTAAGGTGTACAATCCCAAAGTCGGTATGGACGCTCTACAAATAACGCCCATCAGTCAAGCCAACGCAAATCAACGGACCGGTCGTGCCGGCCGTACGGGTAATGGGTTCGTATATCATCGTGCTGTTTCGCACCTTACTTGTGCTAATCATATTATAGCTTCTGCTATCGGCTGTACACTGAGATGGCTTTCCGTAACGAGCTCTTTGAGAATACCATTCCTGAAATTCAGCGAACAAACCTTGCGAACATTGTCCTGCTATTGAAATCTCTTGGAGTTAAAAATCTCCTAGAGTTCGATTTCATGGATCCGCCTCCTCAGGTGAGTGTCTATCGACTGTTTTTCATCACTGTGTTGAACTTTATTTCAGGCTAACATTTTGAATTCGATGTATCAACTTTGGGTTCTTGGTGCTCTCGATAACGTTGGGGATTTGACTCCGGTCGGGAGAAAAATGTCTGAGTTTCCAATGGAGCCCTCCATGGCCAAAATGCTTATTGCATCGGTTGAGTACAAGTGCTCAGCGGAGATGTTGACCATTGTGTCAATGCTGTCCGTTCCAAGTGTTTTCTATCGCCCCAAGGAGAGAATGGAGGAGGCCGATGCAGCCAGGGAGAAGTTCAACGTCCCGGAAAGTGACCACTTGACCCTATTAAACGTTTTCAACCAATGGAAGAGCCACGGGTAACTGCTGTCCTTCGTTCTCCTTCAAACCATGCCTGCTAATCGTCTCTCGATATCAGGTACCGGGATGAATGGGTGATGCGCCATTTTCTTCATCCAAAGCTACTACGCAAAGCACGTGAAGTCCGAGTGCAGCTAGAGGACATCATGAAGTTCCAAAAGATGGCGCTAATATCAGCAGGGACAGACTTCGACATTGTTCGGTCAGTGATTTAAAGATGATCGGGGATCCTTCTGACCTTCCTTTCACAGGAAAGCGATAACGGCAGGATACTTCCATCAGGCAGCACGAGTGAAGGGAATCGGCGAATTCGTCAACATCCGTTCAGGTTTGCCCACACATCTTCATCCCACAAGCGCGCTGTATGGACTTGGATGTAGGACTTACTTATTCCCTCGTTACCTATTGTGCTGATTGGCGTCCTTGACAGATACACCAACATACATTGTGTATCACGAACTAATTTTAACATCGAAAGAGTACATGACACAAGTAACATCCATTGATGCATATTGGCTTGGTAAGCATCCAACACCTGTAATTGCAATGTGACCGATGAAAGGGCCAATATAGCGGAACTGGGCTCTGTATTTTATTCTGTTAAAGAGAAAAACTTCGATGAACGCGGCAACCGTAGGCAGGCTGACCGAGAATTTTCCAAGAGGGCCGAGTTGGAGACTGAGATAGCGAGGCAACGAGAAGAGTAAGTCTTTGCACCAATTCCAATGTAATGGACACTGAAACTGCGACTTCAGGAGTGCCAAGAAGGCTGAAGAGGAGGCGCTAGCGGTCAAGACTTCACATGGGAGCAGCTCGAAAATCATTGTCCCCGGTACGCCCCGACATTCTGGCATTGGGGCTGCGTCTCGTGTTACACAGACTCCGAGGAGGAAAGTGGGGATATAGATTGTAGTATATCTCGGGTGTATTCTAAGTACTATCATTATTGACGATTTGCAATGTATGGGTTTCAATTTGATGACGATAGGCGGTTGTTGATGGTTGTTGTTTGAGAGCGTCCCAGTCAAAAGCTTGTGCGCGACTTGTGATTTTGACCGCGTCCGAGATGGCGTTTCGTGTCGCTCGCTTTCTTACTCGTCCAGTACATCGCTATCAACCACGGACTGTAACATCTCTTGGTTTCCGTCGACATTTGGCTATATCAGTGTCTGAAGGAGCCGATGAATCCAAAGGAGAGAGAGCAGCAGCCAAAAAGAAGGAGGAAGATGACGAGTTTATCACAGAAGACCTCCTTGAGGACATTTTGGAAGACCCATACGATGGAGACGATACCGTGTCTGCGGGACACATGATGCTCCAGCAACAAAGAGAAACCCTTCACTACCTCCGTCTCATAGAGCATGAGATGCCCAAGCTTGTCGGTCCGTCGTACCCATGATGGCATTTTGCTGCCTTTCAATTTTCTGACGTCTTTCCAGCTTACCGAAAACCATTTATTCCCCCAACATCAGCTGCCCCGCTTGTAGTCAGGTCTCTCAGCTATGGAGGAGAGCCGCATCCTGCTACGACAAAGCGTGTGGTGGTAGTGGCTGTGGATGATCTTCCGTTGAAGGATGAAGCCGCTATACACAGAATAAAACTGCTTGCAGGGCCAAGATGGGCACCTCGACCGCCGTTGGACGGTGGTATCAGCAACCTCGATAACTGGGGCAACGGGTATATCAAAATATCATGCGAGAACTTTCCTCGGCCAGAGATGAATCTGTCTTGGGCTAGTGATACGCTGGGCAGATTAATACAAGAGGCCAATGTAGGCGTTCCATTATATCTGTATTTCCAAAGGAATCTGACTTGTATGTCTTAGCGTCCAGGAAAGAGCAAACTCGACGATGTACCCCTTGACCTCCGACATATATTCGCTAGGGCCCGCAAGGCCAAAAATGGAGAGCATCTACGAGGCCGTATCTATTCCCGACCTACTATCTACGATTTCCCGAAGGAATGGTTACCACCAGCTGCCACTAGCGACAGCAATTGACCACTAAATATATACTTCATTGGTCAGAAACGGATTCATCATGTATACGCAAACAGACGCATCGGTAAAACCACTATTCCTTGGACACAAGGCCGCCAGATCTGATCATGTCGAAGAAATCGTCCTTTTCAACTGTGGCTGAACATGAGGGCATGTCAGATACTTCGGCGGTAAATAGAAACGCATCAAACCTTCTTTCCCTCTCCCGATGATATTGTCTCGGTTTTTACCATTTGATTTTTTTGACTTGTCGGCAGCCGGCGCAGGTAAGGATGGTTTGCCGCTTCCTCGTGCAGCTTTTTTCTCTTGTTGGACATTGGTTGCGTCTGCCTGAGCTAGTTGTATGACATTAAACAATTTGACGACTGTGACAGCTGAGTATGTCAAATGAGAAGAGTAATTTGGACAAGACGTACCACCTCGCTGAGCAACTTTGCGTAAGGCGCGCTCGCTTTCAGCACCCCAGCCACCATAGATATCTTTGATCCTTCCTTTATCCTCCTTCTCCTTTTTTTCCACCTGTAGAACTTTCTTCGCCTTAGACTCCAACTTTTCATCATTTCGTTTTCTTGCGACAGATGGCTTTAGTGACAAAGGAAGAGCTGACGGGGCATCAGTGCCCAGCAGTGACTGCAAAGCAGACCCGAACGTTGAGGATGCGGTCGCTCTGATTTTCCTTTTCTTTGTTTGACGAGATTTCTGTGGCTTGAGATTTTGAATATCATCGGAATTCTCGTCTGATGCACTGGCAAAGTCGTCTGACCCGGACTCCTCGGCGAGCTCGTCATCGCCAGACACGGCGGATTCATTGGCTAGCTTGTCGTCTGAGAGCCGTTGGCGTTTTCTAAGGAGCAAAGATGTCGACATGGAAGAAGGAAATCAAGTCACGTTAATTGATCCCGTCGGCTGCCTACCCTGGCCGCTCACCCAAATACCATATATACGTACACCGTTACACAAACCAACTCTCGGCACTGGCGTCGTCGAACACGTCGAGATAGTCTTCGAGGTTGCTCAGACCGGCCTCGGCTCACCTCCCTTCGCCCATCATCGCTGCAACGCGTGCAATCGATGCAGTCCATGCCCTCCTCGTCGCTTCAATCTCTCGACCTTTCCCCAGAACCCGACCTTCACCCGTTGTACCCGTCGACCGCCTATATCGCCGTTCTCCTTTCATCGCATTCCGGCCTCACCCCGGATCAAAAAGTAGAACTTGTCGCTCACTGTCTTGCACGGTCGTGTATTTTTGGAGAGTTATCTGTCCTTCAATATTTGTTGTCGGACCCGCAGGCGCAGAGCTACGTCGATTTGGGCATACACGATGAAGATGGCCAGGGTCTCATCAGCCTGGCTATACACGGCTTCGGCGCCGAGTCAGAACGAGACGTAGAAAGGGAAGAATGCGTCCGTCTACTTATTGTGCAGGGCGCTGACATGAGTCCTGACAAAAGTGAATTAAATTCTGCTACGAATCTTGGTTATTTCTAATGCTATTACAAGGTGGTTGGACACCGCTGCATCATGCGGTCCTTCTTTCGCCTCCGACACTTGTATCCCACTTAATGACTCATGGTTGTTCACCTTTTGACGTTACGCGTCGCAATCTTACTCCTCTAGACATCGTAACAGCCCACTCCATTATACCTGGACGAGACGACGTTGCACTGCTCCTAGAAGAAGCTATGCGCGGCGAGGGCTGGACAGGAGGGAGAATGGAGGAAAATAGACACTTGTTTGACCAGCGGGAGAAGCGTAAAGGCAAGCAGAAGCACGTCCAGGAAGACGTCGGAAGAGTACTTGGTGTTCATTCAAAGTGGTGGGCACGAGACACAGATAATCCTTCGTCGGACTCCGATGACGATGGTGATGAAGACACTGAAGATGAGACCTTGTTTGTGAGTGGCAAGCTCACGAAGCCAAAGTCTCCGTTCTCATGAAACGTACAGACGCCGCCCGTAGATTATTCCTCCATGCTCGTATTCTCTCCTGTAGCTCTGCCGCTAATTTTCGACTCCCTCATCATCAACTTTCAGCCCTCTTTCAGAGATTCCACGCCTGCAAACACGCTCTATATGCTGGCACGTTTTGCGTGTTTGACTTGCGATCATATCTGGCTTGAAGATTTAATTATTGGTGCCACGGACTGCATAGAAGAGACATTTTTTGTAACTCGTCTTCTTACCTTGACATCATTTAGCTCATTCCATTTCTCAGAACAAACCCGAAGACATCACCTGCCTTGTCTTTTGGTTGTACAACACGACTCTATGGCTACATCTTATGCAGTGTGACAACTCCATCAATGAAGCTTGCGAGATGCTGGGATCTTTCGAAATCATCGAAGAAGTCATCAACTCAGTGTTCGGTGTGCACGCTTCACTTTCTTTCTTTTATCTATTAAAGTCTTCCCTACAGTATTTATCATTCGATTTGCTGAGCGACGTGTAGATCAGTTGCTCGATGCTGTCCTACTTGACTACTCCTCCTTGGGTTTCGAGTTTGATTCAATACAGTTTGAGTCGGAATGGTCAGTCTTTCGTGCGCTGGGGATGAAAAAATCTCAACCCGCCATGAATGCATCTATGTCACGGAGTTCGCCTTCTTCCCCACCGAGCCCTAGTCCGCATCGTCCTTCTTCTCCGGCCCCTCATGGAACAATGACTTCATCATCTAAAGGCGGCTTTTCATCATTGCGGCAGAGCTTTGCTCGAGCTCGGGGTCCAACGTCGACCACCTCTTTACAATCACTGTTTTCGGATGCTCCACCACCGCCTTCTCCCGCTGACCTTATCTCCTTCTTAACGGCTCTGCATACCCTGCTAACACTCTCCGATATCAATCCGGCGTTAACCACACAGTTGTGGTCGCAGGTGATGTATTGGACGTCATGTAACGCCTGTATACACCCTTTCTATGTTTTTCGTCTAACATTTCCTTAGGTGAGATGTTCAACCGTATACTCACACGCAAGAAATATCTTTGCAGGTAACGCGGTGCGGTGCAGTATGGACGCGGATATTGACTATAGCCACCTAGGTCCAAAGCCGTTCAGATTGGTATGAATCTAAGCAGCGTTGAAGAATGGGTAGGTCAGATGGGGCTTGCCCGGGGAGTTCAGACCCATTTTACTCCTGTGAGGGAGCTTCTGAACTGGCTTCAGGTATGTCTGTACCTACTAGTTCTCTGCGCAAATTATGATTTTTATGTAGTGTCTTTCATCGATTACCGAATTCCCTAACCTTGTCGCCACCATTCAAACCATGAAGTGTCTCAATCCTCTCCAAGTGAGCATTGTGGACAACATCTTTACGTCCAGGTTTGACGAGCGTCTTCTACAGATGAAAAGGGCTGTCCGCGACTACAAATATGAGGTCAATGAGGGTCGGATGACCGATGAGTGTGTTCAATATCTTACGCAGCTACAGAAGGATTGGGAAAGACATCGTGTAAAGCTGGGTGTCGAAGCTCTGCGCAAAGAGGTTTCTTCCCTTTGTTATGCTGCGGATATATGTGGGACTGACAATAGGATGTAGATGAGTGAGCGAGAAAAGGATCGGAAACGCGAGGAAAGTCTTTCATCGTCACTCAATGATTCCATAGATCAGTCCATCCAATCGGTCTCCTTTCCTTCCGACTCTTCGGATTTGCCACCAAACCAGAACATAGACGTGTTGTTTGACAAGGACGATGGAAACACATCGTGGGAGCCTCCGAAGCCTCCACAAGTGCTAGGAGAGTTGTTGGATTCACGATACATGCTTCCTCTACTATTCCCCTCCAATCCCCGTATGTTGGCTGCGGTACCAAGACCTCTACCCTTTCCAGATGACGGTAAAATGAAGCGCTTGAGCTCTGTTCTCACTTCCGATTCCAGGAGTGACAACGACGCCAATTTGGAAAGTCGTTGCATGTGGCGGGCGAGACATCGAAAGGTTAGACAAGTCGGGATAGGGACACTGAAATGGGTAGATGGAGCAAGATCGGCTTCGCGTTGGGGTCGACCAACACTTGACGACGAGGACCTTGAGTCATCTGAGGAGGATGGGGAGACAGAACTGAAAGTTGAGACGCATATAACACCGCTGACTCGCAAACCTTCTGGCAGAACGAAGGGAAGACTGAGCCATGGAGGAGATACTACTCCGATAGATCGTTAGTTAGAATAAACCATATCGATACCACACCAACAACATTTACCACACTTTCAATCGTGTACAGTATAGTACCACATTTAATGTCGTGTGCTTGGACTCTTAATTTTTCTTTCGGCAATTTACATAAAGGAGCCGCCATGCAACGGTTTCAGCATCGTCGCTCGGTTGCACAGCCCCAATTGACGCAGTACTGCTTCGTACTGCGCAATCTGTCTTTTTGGCATAAAACAGAACCACCGCAAACACCGCTCAACGTTTTTCTCACTTACCAGTCGACCTCCACATTGTTGCAGAATGGCTGAGGGAACGGGTGCCCATGTACACTACACAGATCAATCTCCGACCACCGCTACCAACGAGGCGCAGGGTACTTCATCCTCGACACTGCATCGCAACGACACCTTCATGTCCACAACGACGAGAAGAAACTCTGACGGATATAACAACATGGACGAAGCATTCGACCACACCAAACTAGACGAGAAGCATCAGCCAAATTTAGTCCGGGGGGCGAGCACGGGGAGCAAGGTGTCATACACTGACTCGAAGCGCTACACGTACGTCGACGAAGATTATAATCTCTATCGACATCCGCAAGAGGACAGCAATGATTCTCTTGTGCGTAATGCGGCCGACATTGGGCGTTCAGGCAACTACCAAGACTTGGGTGAGCATAATGGATCCGCAAAATAATATCAGCTAACATGGCAACAAGAATACGCGGATCCTTATAATGCTGAAAGAGCAAAGCCTGTAGCAGAGAAAGCTGGCCCATTAGCAAGATTCCTGGGCGAAGGACGATACCCCATAGAACAGAGAATAGAGGACAAGAAACGCGGCATCGGACGACAGAAATATCCCTTCCTTGGTGTGTCAATAACATCATTCTTTAGCCTCTTGATGATAGTTATAGATTGCAGTGTGGCTCCTCACGCTCATAATGACCTGCACATTCATCTACGAGCTCATCTTGAACTGGAAGCAGCAAGGCACTCCCGTCTCTTTCCACGTATGTCTAGTCTCTTTTCTCACAGGTGACTGAAATCAACGGTCGGAACAGCCCACTGTGAACTACATGTTGGGTCCTTCTTCAGCAGCGATCATACATGTTGGCGCGAGATTTCCACCTTGCATGAAATATATTGATGATGTTCCTCCTACATTGGAAATGGGCTGTAAGCATCATCTATCCATCAAATGAGTATCGTTCTTGAATGCTCATCCTCTCAAGGTATGAACAATACGGCTAATCCCGCCACTATACTGTGTACCGTTGAAGAGCTCTGCGGATTTGGAGGTATGCCCGATCTCAATTTTCGAATAAACGTAGACACTCAAAGGTATGTAGGATTCCCTGACGATGATCCAAATCAGTGGTTCCGGTACGTCTTACCCTGCTCCTTCTCCCCGCACTCCAATGATCTGTCCTTAGATTCATAACAGCAATTTTCTTCCACGCTGGATTTGTGCATATTCTTTTGAATATGTTTGCTCAGCTCACCCTTTCTGCTCAAGTGCGTGCGAATGATTTTTGTTGATATATTATTATACCTTATATAAAAAAATCCAGATTGAAAGGGAAATGGGTACTGGCGGCTTTTTCTTCACTTACATGAGTGCAGGTATCTTTGGGTACGAATATCGTTTAGAGTCATTAGAAGACAGCTGATATGCTTTTACCCAGCAACATATTAGGAGGCAATTTCGCGCTTGTCGGAATACCCTCATTAGGCGCCAGCGGAGCAATTTTCGGTACAGTAGCGGTACGCCAAGGGATAGTGGCCAGCACGTAGATTGTTAATTGTCTTCTCTAGGTGACATGGGTCGATCTATTTGCCCACTGGAAGTACCAATATAGACCAGTCAGGAAGGTTAACAAAGTTAAATTTTGCTTGATAAATGATCATGCTGACGGACATTTCAGCTTATATTCATGACCATTGAATTGCTTATTGGTATTGCTGTCGGATTCATTCCATGTACGTCCAAAGCTGTCAAAATGATGTTTAGTTTCTCACTCTGAATATTAGATGTCGATAACTTTGGTAGGGATTGGACTGATTCACTCGTGACTTGTAATGAAAACTGAAATCGAATGTAGCTCACCTGGGAGGATTTTTGATGGGACTGTTGGTCGGAACCACATTCTATCCCGTCATAAGTATCACTAGACGCCATAAATTGATAATGTGGTGCTTTCGTATCATCTCCATTCCATTGGTGATTGTCCTCTTCGTAGTTCTTACGAGGAATTTCTACAAATCAGATCCTTACGCCGGTAAGTATTCTGTTCTCTCAAGTATTAGACGGTCCTCACAGAGTCTACCCAAGCGTGCTCCTGGTGTCGCTATCTTTCTTGTTGGCCCACATCATCAAATGATTACTGCAAGGGGTATGTTCTGATTGACCTATCGTCGCGCCAAAATTTCTGATGAGTGCGATTTGTTTTTCTCTTTTCAGAACTGGTAAAGTGTATATAAAGCTTATTCGGAGTTATATTGATTTGCACTTTCAGGTATCGTTACAACCAGTTCCACTAGCACATGACCCCGATCTTAGTAGTAGGCCTGTAAATACTGATACCATGGTCCTGTACATATCTTTGGCAGCATTTATCATTTATCAAACGGACAAGTCTCCTGTATGCACGTAGAATTACGTAAGATTATCCTGAATTTATTCTTGACTTTTGACCACCGTCTGCCATCTGTCTACTGCTTGCAATATTCTGTCCATAGCCGTCACCAGGAAAACATTCACAGCATCGTTCTGGACATTTGGGCATCACGTTGAATGTCTTGACTTTCCTCCCTCATTCGTCGGCTTTACATCTGGAATGCCGTATTCAACTTCCCTAAATCCATTATGGCCCAACTACGTGGGAGTCATCGGAACATTACTTGCCGTCGTTTTGGGTGTTGGTAGATATGCACTACTTGGTGAGGCTGTTCTATTGGCTGCGATTTAGAGTCCAGTATTCATCTTGTAGACTGGTGGGATCCGACGCATTGCCAAGCACTGCTCAATAGCGGATCTTGGTTGGATCAGAAAACATGGCAACCTGATGGTGCGCAGGCAACATACTCTCGAGATGCAGCTCGATATTGACCTCTGTTTTCAGGATGCATGCTACATTCGTACAGTGCGGAGGACGTTACTACATGCGCTCGTTCGCGAGAATTCGCCTTCATCGGAGATTCCGTAACGCGCACACTTTTTTTCCAGCTCGCAAGTATCGTCGATCCAGAACTGCCTACAGGCCCGCCAGACGACGACCAGAAACATGCGGATTACAATTTCAAAGCACCCAAGTCTGACATTACCGTGTCCTTTCATTGGGATCCGTATCTCAACAGTTCTCGGACTCTCAATGTCATTTCCGCCGATGTAACTCTCTCGCGGAGTTTCCAGCGGCCTGCTCTTCTTGTGTTGGGGTCCGGCCTTTGGAATTTGCGTTACGCTGATATCACGGGGGGAATACCCTCGTGGGAGGCCAATATGGAACGCATATTGGATGCCATAAGTCAGGGTAGATCAAAGCCGGCAGACGAAGTAGTGATCCTTCCTGTTGAGGAGGTGGTGCCTTCGAAACTTTCTCGCGAGCGTGGACGAACAATACGCCTGGCGGAGATAGATGCTATGAACTCAGATCTTTTCCATCGCATAAACCAACCATCCCCCGAATACGCGCATCTGCCGGGAAGAATGCTTCCTTTCATGCCTGTTTCGCTTCCGCTTGTCTTCAATAGTGTTCTAGATCCTGCACAAACCCAGGATGGTCTGCATTTTTCCCCAGCTACAGTGAGGCAACAAGCCAATATCCTACTCAATCTTCGGTGCAATGACGCATTACCCAAGCGAGTTCCTTTCGACAAAACATGTTGTCGAAGATACCCGTGGCCAGTGCCGATGCACTTTGTCATCCTTGTTGCGGCAATTTCTTGGGGACCATGGGCTGTGTTCTTTTCACAGCCACCGGGTAGGCAGAACCGCCTCAAATTCGAATCTTGACATTAATATAGCCTCTTTCTAGGTAATCGATTAGCGCGCATTCCTGTTGTGAAAGGCGAGCAACTGCCTCTCCTTGTGTTCAGCGCTGCCGTCGCGCTTATATACGGCGCAGATCGAACGGGTCTGTGGTTGAAAGAGCAAAAGTATTACAGTCCCTGGACATTCGCGTTTTTGAGTATTTGCAGCCTTGCAGTCGGGCTGTTGACCGTTGAACGGGCCGATAAAGATTTGGGATTCCTCAATCGCGACCAAACGGATGAATGGAAAGGGTGGATGCAAAGTAAGTCGCCAAGTTTCCCGTTAGTTATCGTTCTAAACCGTTATTCAGTCGCCATATTGATCTACCATTACCTCGGGGCGTCGAAAATATCCGGAATATACAACCCTATTCGTACTCTTGTGGCTTCATACTTGTTCATGACAGGTTACGGTCACACGACATATTATATTCGAAAGGCCGATTTTGGCTTTCTTCGAGTTGCCCAGGTTATTGTTCTACATTCTTTCCATGTTTTCATTGACGAACATATTCAATGCCCTTTATAGGTCATGATCCGGTTGAACATGCTGACGCTTGTTCTAGCATATACGATGGATGCTGACTACCTATTCTACTACTTCGCGCCTCTGGTTTCTATGTGGTTCATCATCATTTATGCGACTCTTGCCGTTGCTTCCCAATTCAATGACCGAACCTCAATGCTTGTTGGCAAACTTGTACTATCAGCTGCCGTTGTTACCTGGTTCATGAAACAAGATTGGCTGCTGAAGGGTCTTTTTCAGTTACTTGATCAGATATTCGGAATCCGGTGGTCAGCACGGGAATGGGCGTTCCGTGTAAATCTCGACCTGTGGATCGTGTATGTTGGAATGTTCACAGCCATTGGGGTCATCAAGGCTCGTGAACACCGCGTAAGCGAGCACCGTCACTGGCCACTTGCAGTCAAGGCGACTATCGCACTCGCGATGTTTGCAATGTTCTGGTATTTCGCGTTTGAACTGACACAAGAGTCCAAGTTCACATACAACACATGGCATCCCTACGTGTCTTTCCTTCCCGTCCTATCATTCGTAGTGCTACGAAATTGCAGTATCGTGCTCCGGTCCGCTTCCTCGCGCGCATTCGCTTTCATTGGAAAATGCTCGCTCGAAACCTTTATCATCCAGTATCATTTCTGGCTAGCGGGGGATACCAAAGGTGTTTTACTTGTCATTCCAGGGACAAGATGGCGGCCCATCAACTTCGGTGTAACAACATTCCTGTTTATCTTCATGTCGCATTGGATTGCTAAAGCCACTGGGGAGATTACTGCGTGGGTATGTAACGGTCAGCCGAAGACGCTACCTGCCCCAGCCACGTCTCACTATCACCACACACCTTCTCTGTCTCGTCAAACTGAGACGCTCTCCAATGGCGGTCAGAATGTACCCCTTATGCCAATACACACAGATCAGGCGAATAAGACCGATGCTCAGCGACAGCCCCCGAGGTGGTTAGATCGGCTTGCGGAGGGTTCTTCGCAGCCCTCTCCCAGATTCGAGGGTTGGAAGTCGGCTGCTCAATGGACAACGGGTATCAAGGCAAGGACGGCCTGGATACTGATTCTGATGTGGCTGACAAACATCTTGTGGATGCGCACTTGAAAAGCTTTATTACACCTAAAATACATCCGTCTTCACTACATCCATTATATATACCTTGGACGGCACAACATCTATATATCCTCATAATACACCAGCATGACTAGAAAGGGAATAAGTCAGAAAGAGTTGGTTGACTGAAGGATAAGGTGATCATTTGGTTGAAGACATTGTACTACTCGTTTGTGTCGTCACAAAACATCGGACAACAATGCTAATCCTAGGCAAAAGAAAGGGAAAATACACACCTGACAGACAGAAGCGGTGGAGAAATCAACCTGAAGAAAGGAAGTCAGAACAAAGCTCGGTGAGGAAATAAAGAAAAGATCAGCATTAGCATGGTGTCTCATCCACGCTCGTCCTTTAGACGAGATCAGGGCTTGACTTCTATTTGTTCTATCATGTCAAGAGAATAGGAGGGTACTCACATTGGGAGTTTTGATAGGCCTAAAAGGAAATGTGTGAGCGAATGAAGAGGGAAGTAGAAAAGAATGCGAATCAGAAATTTGGGTATATGAAAGTAGTTCATAAGCCTCGGCTTCGAAGTAGCGATTCATAGGTCTCGTCCTAAGTAAAAAGGGAAGTGGTCTGTACCTTGAAACATGGGTCGAACAACCTAAGGAAGAGGAACGAGAATTTTTTTTTTATTCTGCACATTTAGGGCCGGCTACAGAGCTGACGTGACACTCACGTGATAGTCATCAAATACTGATGCGTGCTACGGCTTGAACGGCTTGGACGTGTTCTGACTTTTCTTCCTTCAAAGGCTCAGGCCTTTTTCTTATATTCACCATGACAAACGTTCTCCAGTCACCCATTGGTTTCCAACCTAGACCAGTCAACCACGCTCCCTCTCCTTTTGGTTTCGGCTTTGGTTTAAGTTCACCATCTTCTGCCATGTTCTCACCTGGCTGGCAGCAGGCAGCGCCCACAGCCAACCAGTTTTCTCCATCCCAGAACCACAATTCAAACCATCCACAGCCAATGCCACTTCGTTCAGCAAAGAGAAGACATGAGCCGGAGGAAGCCTCGGATGAGTCGATGGACCAGAGCCCTGGGCCTGAGCGGCGGATAAAACGTGCTTCTCCAAAGAGAGCACGGGTTGTATCAGCTGAAGGGCCGAAAGATGAGAAGAAGGAAAACAAGGCTCCAGGTCAGGAAGATAATGATGTTGATCTTGGTGTCTTACTAGGTAGGTCAAGACCATTCGGATGCGGTGACTTTTATTCATTCTCATTTGCAGCGAGCCTCCCTCCACAATCTCTTCTTCCTCTGCTGAATTCCCTCATCAAGGCTCAGCCGACACTCAAATCAATCATCCTCCCGCTCATCCCTCGTCCAACTGTCGAAGTTGCTCTTCATGCCCTATCTGATTCCGCCAAAAAACTCAAAGATGCTTATCCCTACTCCAATAGTTCGTCTTTATTGGGCTTTGGTGTCAGCAATAAGGTCAGCGTATTTGGAGGTAGTGGGGCTACTTTTGGGAAGTCGGTATTCGGACATAGTCAGCACGGTCAAGGTCCGACAAGCTTTTCACCATCAAGCGGCGGTGGCATGCGTGACGACTACATCGTGTCCAGATTGCGTCCTCATATCACGGAGTTTGCTGCTGCATGCATGTCTTATTTGCCCTATTTCTCGTATTTACCGGCATCCGCTGAACCTTCTAACGCTCTGCAACAATCACATTCCACGACATTGCGAGTCTTACACAAGGACAAATCACAACCAGCCGAGACATTCTTGTTTCTTTCCGCTCTTACCACCCATTTTTTGTCACAGCCCCCGTTGGCGTTGGCTTCGCTGGTGCCTCTACTGCTGGATAGGCTGATAAAAGAGTGGAATGCATGGGTAGACAGGGTGGATATTGTTGTTAATCGAGAAGGTGGAATGTTTGGTAGCGAGACGGTGACGACTTGGGCACGAAACTTAGATGATTTTGCTGGCAGCAAGGACGAACGGTGTGCAGCAGCCATGCGGTTGGTGCGGGATACATGGGTGGCAAAGGTTGGTTGGCTAGTGGGTAGAACGATGCAGCATGCCATGGAGGAGACATAATTTACGATGCATGACCTTTTCCTTGATATCACCATTCTGCTTTCACTGTATACCTTTCACGCTTCATAGCATACTTAACTGACGAATACTGCAACATTTTCGGATGATTAAATCCGAACCGTTTAGTTGTTCATATTTGGCAACAGCCTTCCAAAAAAAAGTTTGTCGCGTCGTTTGGTTCTACTGTTAGGTTCCCATGCATGCAATACGCAGCATGGGTTCCTCGTCGTTCCGTCATCCAAGTGACCGGAAATGTCGTTGGTATCCCTTTTCTACCGATGCTGCAGATTGCTGCAGGACGGGCATGGACGCATCACTCTTCCTCGGTTCCCCGACGTGCTCCGGACTGGAAGAAATCCGAGTCGAAAAAACGCCCGTTTTCTGCTGCCAAAGCGTCTTCATCCTGTGTAAAGTACGTTTTCCTTACTTTTTCTGGTTGTCCTGACGTGCTAATACGTATCTTGCTAGACACGTACATCATAACACTTATGTTGCATCTAAACTTGTGCAGTATGAACGGCGTAGTAAGCGGGCGATTCCCAGGATTCCCGAGGAATTTATTCCAAACTATTCAGTCTCATATATGAATCCTGAGGATCTGTCTGAATACGACAGCACGTCTGAACCTGGTCGAGCACCACCTATTTTTCCGGTTGGAACCAAAGACGAGACGGACCCAACATGGTACGATCTTGACGTGTCGTCATACTCTGAAATTGTTTCTAGAGACGATCCAATGAGAGTTGTTGGTCGTATTCCACCCTCCTCCACCCGGAAAGCGCTCTTGAACAACCTTATATACCTGGCGCAAAGGCGACCTAGCCCTGGTCTTCCTGCCCTCATCGACTATCACGGCCTGCACAGGCGAGTGCACTCTACACGGTCCTATAATCTCCTCATTGATCTATCCATACGTCACAAATCATTCGGTATGGTACCATCGCTGCTACGAGCTATGAGCACCGAAAACATTGACCACAATCATATTACCAAAAAGTTGGTGCTGCGCTGGTTAATCCATACTGAGCGACGGTCAGAGGCGTGGCGATTATTGGAGGAAACCGCAAGTTTATCGGCTCCGTTGCGTGTGGACTATTGGCTGGAATTTTTTCATTCTTCAGACAGCACACCCCTTTCCAACAGCGAGTTTCTGCGATTGATGGAAATCAGTCCGGTCAAGTTTACGGAAACGACAACAGCACGTGTAATGTCGGTTGTGATACGAGCAATCCTCCGTTTGGGGAAGCACCCGTATGCTGTCCAGCTTGCGACGACTTACCTGAGTGGCATGCCCCGAAAAGTGGAGGCAGTCATCGCACGTCAGAACCTGAAGCTCGTCCACCTGGTCGTCTGTTACGGGTCAAGGAAGAAGGGCATATCGAAATTTTTCGAGAGCCGACAAATATTGCAGTCACTTTTAGCGCTCCATCCGGCGCTTCGTCCGACGCCGGTCACGTTGCTGATCCTTCTTAGCCACCTCGAGCGGTGTAAGCGAGCGGGGAGCTTTGCAAGCCAAATGGTGGAGGAATTCAAAGACCGTTGGGGCTGTGAGATTGAGAATGCCGAGGTTAGACAGAGGGTTGCTAGTCTGGCGCTAAAGGACGTGCGGTTGCGTGGGATGCCTCGGAAGATATTACAAAATATCAAAGAATCGGCGTCGTCTGGGTCACAGAGGGACGGCTTTGAGTTTATCGGATGTCGATATGTGCCCCATTTTTGGACAGTCTCAGGTGTCGAGGAGCGAAGAGGGTGGAGACGACTCGACGGACTTTACCGGCGACGGACAAGGAAGCGAGGTGCCACAGGGAAAGGAGACCTGCGGGTTTCCAATGTAAGTGGTAGTAGAGACTGTTGTTGAATGCGAGTCTAAATTCTGACAAGGCAAAGGATGATACAAGTAAACAATGAAGCGGCAAGGTGTGGTGCAGCTGCATGAAAAGGATTGGAACATTCAAGCGGGGATCTCAGGGGTGGCTGTTTCGGGAGCCAAGCTGAGGCAAGTTGGATACTTGGTACGATAGTTGGAGCGGCGTCAAACGGAAAAAAAAAGTATACTTTGTAGGAATGATGGACTGGTGTTTATCTATAGGCTTTGGAGGAAACTTTGGGGGTGGAATGGAGTGTGGAGTGTACATTGAAAAGTAAAGAATTGGAGTCACGTGGGGTGAGGTTAACGGCGTTCATTGTTCATTTCGAGATTAAATGTCGTGGCACGTGACGGTTGAAATGTAAGATTAAAAATGGCGAAGGCGATGTTCCTCCCTAATATCGCTTGTGTTGCGTCACGGGCACCGGCGGGGAAGGGAAGGGATCTGTGACTCTGGATCGTCGAATATTCAACAAAGTGTCAAAGAATGAATTCAAAGGTAGTACAGCACCAAGACGATCTGCGTCCGTCAACGTTCAGCGTCCAACCGTCAGATGCAGCCAGTTCCCAAAGTGGTCTCGTCCGTACTACCAGCCCTCGCGGTATATTCCCCCTCGCTTGGTTGCACACATTACCCGCAAAATATCTCGTCGACAAAACAGTTTCAAACCGATCTCGACCTCGACAAACTCCGATCGCGAACAGATCTGAGATCCAGCTGCGAAGGAATATGGTTGCCAAAGTTCTGTTCCCTTCTGTTCCTCATTATCGCTTCGTGACTTGTTCGCACGGTTTATACGGATGCAATCTGAATGACGATTGCTCTTGGGAGACCTGCCCCTCATCGTGGACACTGCTACATAGTGCACAAGATGTCACACTTCCACTCAACGCGTCCGAGAACGAACAACGGCGATAGTATGTCCGAATATGACCTGTCTTTTTCCAAAGACGCGCACCCGTAATTATTCAACTTAATATCCTTTTTTTTTTTCTTTTTTTCAAATAGCCAGACATCCGAATGCACTTAAAGGCTGCGACTCTTGCTCTCCCATGTTTTGTCCATCTTCCCCCCCCACTCCCTCCCCCCTCCCCCTGCCCTCCAATGTCTTCCAAGCACGTATACGGTATTTCCTGCATCAATGTCGGTGTTGGTCCAGGTGGGACCACCTCCATGTTGGCGTACGTTCCCTTTACATCTTCATCTTACCCCTCATCTCATCTCACCCCATTAATTTACAGACGGATCGTACGTCGCTTTATCTTTGCCCTCTCCCAACGTATTCATTCCCCAAGGCTATCGTCGACTACCAAGGCCAGGTCGTTCTCGACACGTATGTCGCCCCGACAATGCGAGCAAGTGCTTTTCCCCGCTCGAAATGTCCGATCGCGTTAACGCGTTCCGTCTAGATAACGGAGTACCGTACTACGACCACCGGCATTGAGGCCGCCCATCTGTCTTCAAGTCCGTCGTCTATCAATAACCCGTCCTAGTTAGCACTTTGCTCATCTCAGCCTGTCCGTACAGAGAACGCCATGCCGTTCAATAGCGTCCAGCAGCTCGTCGCCAGCATAATCAAAGGCCATGTGCTCGTCGGACATAGTATCTGGAACGATCTCTCAGGTACCCGTGCGACACAATTCGCCTTGGTTATACTGATCCCAGTCCATCCACATCCAGTATTGGGCATACCCCATCCCGCAGTGGATACCCGCGACGTAGCTCTCTACCAGGTACGTGTACGTACGGTCCTACTATCCTATCCTATCCTTCCCCCCCCCCCCTGGCCAAAGATAAAACATTCAACGGTCTTTCTTTCCATTGGCCAGCCATTTAGAAACACGCTGCGGTCTCCAAACCACATAATTGGTCTTCAAACCCTTTCGTGGCAATTGATGCGTCGCCGCTGCCAGGAAGGTCATCTTAATCCTGTATGTCTGTCTTCATTCCACGTACCGATCTTCCGGTCCTGATCTCAATTTCTCCGAAAGCTTGAAAACGCCAGGGCTGCTCTTGATCTTTACCGCACTCACGCACAAGGTTGGGAGGATGCAGTCTCCAAGGGCAACTGGCCATGCGCCCTTCCGCCCAGCACTTTTTCACGTTGTTATCTTTAGATATCGCGCCCGCCCTCTTGATTAATTTGCAGCAGCCCTCTAATACCGCCGCCTTATTGTACTTGTCTTTTAAAACTGTCCTATCTTACCCTTCTCCTAATATATACCTGTACAATGTTAATGTTCTCTGATCGATCTCCGTCTTCTCCCGGTAATTTTAGAATTAGAATCGCCTATGTTTAGAACATCCTGCCCATATATTATTATTAATAATGCACAAGTTTAGATTAACGTTGCTCAGGGTCGCATCCATCTTTTCTTTCCGTAAAGGCACCGGGAAATAATCTAATAATGATGGATTAAAATCGGAAGATTGACCAAGTACGGAGTACGGGTCGAGACCCCACAGATTCTCTAAAGATTCTACTTGTTTCAAAACATATTGATGCACCCGACGGCTATTGCCTTGTCTGAACACCAGGGTGGGGTGAGCCAGAAATTTGATAAATGAGCAATGCACAGAAACGTACTTTCTCCGCTCCGAATGCCCGAAGCAGTGACTCATATACGAACAGTGCGCTAGCGTTTACCGGAAAAGATCTCAACAGGCAAGGTCCAAGACCGCGGAAAAATCCGCGATATCCCTCCGTGGCTAGGATTTTCTTTGTTACAAGCAAAAATGATGGTCTTTCCATCAAGACATCATTAGAAAGCGCCATGGGGTATGGCTTGGGATAAGGATACGCCATCATACGGCTTCACCGGTGCTTAGCTTGCTTCTTGAAACAATAAACAAAAAAATTTTACTTTTTCACGTTATCCGCAGGGATGGCCATGATCCAGAACGCGAAAGAACTGAAGCCGCCCGCTAAAAAGTTGGCAAAGCCTGTGGTTATCTTTTCTCGAGTGAGTTGAAAAAAAAAAAAAAGTCAAATCCTTTTATGAACGTAGGAAAGCCTTACCTCATAGGGTGTGCCCTGCAGCTTGGCAAAACCCCGCATGAAAGCCTGGGGAGTGATGAACCTTTTGTCACCGCAGTGCAAGGAGAGCGGGCTGGCGGATGGCTTACTTACCTCAAAAGACAAGAATAACCAGCAAAAATTAGTCCGACAAACGACACTCCCTGTAAACCCACTGTACAAGCCAAAGATTCCTTGAGTGCGGACGATCTTTCGGGCACAATCTATCGTGCCTCTAAATTGACGGTCGGAAGGGTCTCTTTGCATTTGAAGCTGCAATTTCACTGCGGAGAAAAGCGTCGACATGATCAATCAGCGCCAAACGCTAGGGTAGCGGGAACAAGCCTTTTAAAAGCTCCATCGGGGTAGCAAGAACCGTACTAAAGCACCCAAGGTCAGCCAAGGATCGCAACAGGACCCGAACCATAACCAAACCTGGTCCAGCCAGCGAGAAGACCGGCCAGTCCATGTGCGGTAATTGTCAGGCGGGGAAGTTGCGTCGCGGGATTGAGCTCAGTCAGGCCGTTTCGAAAGAGAAACAGGCGGTAATTATGGAGAGAACCCAGGAGCAGCGAATCTATAGCGGCCCACATTACCGCCGGGGGAGTTGCACCTTTGTAAATTGCGAGGATACCCTGGGCAGAAAAAAAGAACAAGAACAAGCTATAATACGGGGAGTCTAGTCCAGCAGAAGACGTGCATACCTCGTTTCTGATTGTCTGACGAAACACATCAAAGGCGCCATGGTATGTTCCAGGCGCAGAACATTGCATTCGCGTTTTGACGGTATCAAACCTGAAGAACCCTTCAAGGAGATTTGAACATTCAATTAGCGAAGCCATCTAGCCGCGATAGGTCGGAGTTATGAAATTAAGTGGGAGTTTCAAGGAAGACATACCAACTGACCCATGTCCAACAGCGACCTTGGAATAATATCAATATCTTAGATGAGGCCAATCATCTGAGCTAAGATACGGCAGTTACCTTGGTTAAACCTGAAATTTTCGGGTCAGCTGGGCCTGCGCATGGCATTCAATGAGAAGCTGAGCCCAACCGCTTCCAATTCCAGCAAAGGCGCCTACGAATCTTATGTGATTGCTCTGAGATGCATGTTCAGTCATGCTCAACAGACTGAAAAACCGCGATATACAAATTTCAAATTTCCGGCCGTGAAAAGCGGCACATTCCCGGTGTCTATCAGGATTGCCGGAGACTAACGTGGAAGCTCTCTCCACGGTTACTACTAACGCCGCCACGGACAACGGTACCAGTTGGTCCACCATCCGTGCAGTCATGGACGGAAGAGAACAGGACAACGCCCGAGCCGACGGGGAGCATGTGCCCACGGACGAAAGGCAATGCAGAATATGTCTGGACGGCGCCGATGCAGAACGCGAGCTGGGTCGCTTGATTCGACCGTGTCTATGCAGAGGCTCAATTAGCGTGAGTTTTTCCCCCGTCGTGCCCTCCCAAAGCCCGTCGCTTTGAGCTCACCGTATCTATACCCAGTATGTGCATATAAAGTGTCTGCAGCGCTGGAGGAATACCGCCACGTCCCAGAGCGCATTCTTCTCATGCCCCCAGTGCCATTACAAGTATCGATTCTCGCGTACCCGGATCGTCGGCATTGCAACGAACCCAGGCAAGTCGCGATATCCTTGAAGACTCTCAGATGGCTCTCAACGTCTTCTGTCAGTGATACTTGGTGCCATCTCTACCCTTCTTTTCACAATCCTTGCGTTCATATCCTCTTCCGTGACGACCTACCTCATGTCCTTTTTCCAGGAGCCCACCGTCTACTATTCCTCGTCTCTCTTCTATGTGTCTCCTTTTGAAGTCATCCATGATCTCGTCCGTGCCGCTCTTCGTATCTTTCAGGACGAAGACCTCGTCGCCGTCTTTGACGAAGCTCTTCCCAATATTCGACGTGACCGGCGCGGCGAAACGATGATGGGTGCTACACGATCAGCTCCAGGTCTACTCAGAAGCGTGGTGCAGCGCTTTTTGCTCGGTTTGCCGTTAATCGGAGCGGGATCGTTGATACAGATGCTTTTGTCCCTTCCTTTCCTTGGCCCAGTCCACTGGCTCGCGCGCTACAGGGGTAATCGAAGGAGAAATAATGACTCCCGAGATATAACGGCGCTGATCATTATCGTCCTTATTGTCGTAGGCGCTGCTCGGTTAGTCTGCATTTTCCCCGTTTTCCGCGTATAGCCTGCTGATCGTTTTCAAATAGCGCTTTGTACAAAGTTTACCAGTTGACCCACAAGGTGACGAAGCAGCTGCTTTTACGTGCTGAAGATGCGATACTTGAAGTCAACTGATATCCAAGCATTCGCCGAGCTCTTATAATGTATGTATGTATATATATATATATATACATACATATATATATGTACTAAAAAGTGACAACAACGTATGAATCATTATCACCAAACCACGGCTCTTCACCAATTCCGTCTGAGCAAACGCTTGGCATTCTCATATGTACTTTTCGTTTCTTTCCTGTCAACATTCAGCTCTTTCAAGTACTGGTCAACGACGGCGTCTATGCGTCCAACAGGGACTTCTCCCCGGCCAACCGACGAGTTAGGTCGTCGCGCCTCTTCGAGCCAATCGACGAGTACTACGGCGATGTCAGAGGATATTGCTTGAACATTTGCTTGGGAATTGAAAGGAGGTATCTGTGCTGATTTAGAAACGATCCGAAATGACCCAAAGTTAACTTACATGAGACTCATACATCCCGTTCAGTATCTCCCATATTTCGATAAACGGAACGCCACATTGCACCAATACTCGAGGTGCCCAACCATAAGGAAGGACTCCCTTTCGTTCCAAGGAGAAGCGCACGAGAAGGTCTGTCATGAGGCCTACACTTAGGTATGAGCATCTAAACTTCTAACGGTAAAAGAAACAACACTCACGAAGAGGGAATGCGCTTTCCGAGGGAAAGAAACGACGCCCCAACTTTACAACTTTGGCCATAACCCGATCCGCTTGAGTGTTCTCATCTGCGACTTCCTGGATTACTTTACCAAAAAAAAAAACATTTTAGCAAGCGTGACACATGAATTAATGACTGCAACAAACTTTCATCGAAAATCTGCATCCATATCGGCCGTACGGTGCTCTCGTCGCGATGTTCTGAGACATGTATACAAAGCAGCTTCAGGTCGGCAAGATCGAATGGTATTGCGTAGTCTTGATACAGCTTGTGTGCACGGCACATGAGACCATCGATGTCCGAAGAAAACGGTGGGAAAACATACCTCAGATATCGTAAAAAGGCGCTGGTCGAGCTGCTTGATTCTCTCCCCCACCTCCTCAGCATCCTCAATATGCGGGAGCAGATAATTATAAATATCCAGCTGCACCTGGGCGACATCCAGTCGTTCCTCGAGATCGGTCAGAAACGCAATGGCAGTCTCATGACGTCCTCCCGAAGAGACGGGATGTGACTTGGCATTGCCAGCAGCAAGCGTCAAGCATTCCAGTCTATCAGTCAGATGGAGATCGAACCTAATGTATAATGAGCAAAACGGACAGCGAACACATGGATGACAGACTCGGTGGATTCAGCGAGCGCGCTAAGCACTTCTGCAGCACGCAGTGGTTGACCGTCTTTGACGTAATATTGCCACAGAAGTTGGTATTTCTTGACAGTCGCTGGCTCCCGTCGTAGATGGGATTCAAGGAAGGTGGGTCTAATCTAAACAGTTGGTGAGCAAGGAAATTAGAAGCTTGACGCGAACCACTGACCTCCAACAGATCATCCGCCAAACCACGATCTATTAGCCAATCATATAACGTCGAGTGGAACATTTCGTCTCGACTAGTAAAGGCATATTCATATGCATGACTTCTTACTGTGTCCTGATCGTCGCGGGAAAACGAGTTGGCAGCTTGCGAACTTCCTTCGAAGACGTTCAAGGAATCCAGGACAAGTTCATAACAATGGAGCCGCCTTTCATAGAATTCTTTACGCACGTCGTTCGCGGGCATACCGGCAGCCCAATATTCCAATCCGATGTTCTCCGCATCAAAGACGTTTGCACACACGAGCGGAAGGTCAACGGCTCCTGAGATTAATATCGTACTAGCATCCAAAAAGGATATAGCTGGTCAAGCGTACCTTTCGCGTATGTTAATTGCTGGAAATCGCCGCAAATTTCCCTCAATTTCTGGAGGTCCAATATACGAGCGCCTTTAATGTATAACCTATATGGTCTTATTGAGATCTAAAGATAAAAGAATGGAACTCAAGACACACCGTAGTGATTCCGACAGCCAGTTGTCTCTATCCGTGGGGTTTTTAGTTTCAACAGCTTTCCGAATGTTTTCCTTCGCCTGATAGAAGCGTCAGCAAGCAAACGGTGCGCCAAAAAGTAATAATAGGTACCTTATACAGCATTACGTCATCCGAGCTGCAGAACGAACCACATCTTTGTTGCAGAACCTCGCTTATGGTATCCACCTGTGTATAATTTAGCTGCACAAGTGCAACTAAAGATCGCTGATAACACTCACGCTCAGTTGTTGACCGATTTGTTGATCAATAACAACATTAACCAAAGCTCTTGATACCGTCATTCCGTTGTGCGTGATTATCAGGTCTTCGAATGTTAGCGATTTGAACATGCTCTGGACATCAGCTGCGCATCTGGTATATGACTCAGACTGGCGATAGACAACATAGCGTTACGAAAGAGATACCTTGTAATGAGGTCGCCGATGCGGTGGTCAGTTAGCAGTAGAATGAACGAGAGTGCTTCAATGGTGCGCGTCAACAGTGACATGAGCTCGACCACTGAGCTTTGTTCGGCCTGTCGCAGTGTCGGTCACATTAGACACAGAAAAGAGTAAGCGTTTACCTTCCAAGCCTGTTGCTCTGCTGCAGGGGCACGAACTGCCGAATCACCCGGCGATGAATGGAATAGATGAGGATTCTTATCCAACAAATCTTTCAGTGAATACAAGTTTCTCTGGACAGTGACTAAAACCGCTTCGGGTACAGTCGGTTCGTGAATACCGGCAGCACTAAGGAAAAATAGGGTGAGCAGCAGAAATATTTAAAGATTATTAAGCTACCTTGTACGCGTCAGTTTCGACTTCCATATTCGCCTGACGAGGCGTGCAAAATACAGAGCAAAACCGTCCCTACGACCACTGTAAAGAACCTTTCCTTGAGCTTCGTCTGACAATTGATGAGCAATAAGTGCGCAAGGGAAGAGGGGTGAAGCATACTGCTATAGACCGTCCGCTCCGACCATATAGGACGCTCCCCAAAGTCATAGAACGCTTGCTTGGCTACAGCGGCAATGTCAGGAGGGATGACAACGTTAGAGGTGCTCTCTGTCGTGTCCAAAAAGGAGTTGTCGCTTGCTAGACCAAGAAGCATAGCACATGTCTGATTGCGCCCAAAACTAGAGAGTATGTTAATATTGGCAGATGGTAAGATTTCACTGGCATCTTACCTGTTCCTGAACTCAACGAGGGGTTGGACGTTGCCCTCTGACTGCACCTCCTCAATAACAGCCCTGAGATAGTCCAGCGCTCGTCTCTTCATCAGGAAAGTCAGACCAACATTGGTGAGAACCATAATTTCTCGAGGGTTTTCGACAAACTGTGACGCCAATTCGTTCGTGACTACCGGTGCAGGTAAACCTGTCTCCCAATTTGGTGAACTTTGGGGAACAGGTGCCATAGCCCAAGTCCTCCCTGGAATAGCTAACAGTGCGGCATATTCACTCAAAGACGCTCTGTTGCTACCACTGGAAGCACCCGCACGCTGCGAAGATTGGGCATTCATAATTGTCTGGTCCAAATTCCCGATTCGCGTCAGGTCTGGTGACATGCATAGCAGAAAGTCCTTTCCATCAACATCTGTTTCCTGAGCGGCCACCGTCAACCCATCAACATAACAGCTGACGTCAAGAGCCGTGAAGGTAAACATGCGAACTTGTTGCTGGGTAAGTGTCGGTGCCGTGTTATACGTTGCCACTGGTTGTCGGGAAGTTGGCTCCTGCTCATCGGGATGTGATAGATCGGTTGGAGGTAATCGCACATGGAGGAGTTGAAGGGGACGAACGCCACCGCTTGTAGATGAATAACCTCCATACGAATGTGCATAACCTATTGCTGGACCAAAATACAGCCGCACACCGGTAGATGTTATTGCGACCAGTTGGATACCAGAACGAGATTCCGAAAAGTCGACAGGATGAATGGCAATTATTCGGAAGTTCTGAGGTGTGACGGCAGGAGAACCGAGTGCCTTATCCTGAACAGATTTATACAAGCCTGATAAAGTCTGAACGTGCTCCAAAGATTTGTCAGAGGTCGGCTTGTAAACAGCGATTGCGTTTCTCTCTGTAAGAGTGTAGAAACAGCGTCGGACGTCATCAGAGACAAGGGAAACGATACGATCTAAACATCATTGTAGTTACAGTTGCAAGTAGTTGACAAATATACGTGCCTTCCACATTTGACGACACAAAACGGGGAATGAGACTTTGCATGCCACCAACGGAATGATTGATTAGTTGAACGCGTTTTCCAAACCACGACTCTATAGCTTGATAGTGAAGCTCGTATAGACTCCCATCGTGAGACCCAGCCATAAATATTCGTCCATCGGAAGTGCCTATGACCGATGACATTTGTGTGTCGGTGTTCACGGTCAAGTCAGTGGCATATAACTGGAGCGTTTTCCGTTTTGCTCCTAGAAAAAGAGCAACTCCGATTAGAACGACAGTCATTGGTGTGCATATCACCAACAGATAGGATATTTCATCGATGAACAATCCCTTTTTGGGTTTGACAAGTGCGACATTGGAGATCACGTAGGGCTGGTCTTCAAATGAACTTATCTCATTACTAACGACGAGTTTGAATTGTGAGCACTATGAACCAAGAAGCATACGCACCCCTCTATGTAATCCCATAGCAGCAACTTATTTTCGACAGAGATCCATGTACGTTCGATTTCAGGCATCAAGCCCATGCGAGTATTGACATTTGTATCTGGTTGGAAAGTCAGTGACACATTGGTAAGGGTACTGGAAGACATTACTGCTATAATGCTGAAACAATGCATCAGGAATTCCCACAAGTTTTCTCTTTTGAAAAGGAACACGGAAGTCATCGTCGAAGATGCTATACGATGGGGGTTCTAGAAAGGAACGTTACAAGAGGCCAGAAAACATGAAATATACCACTTGCGGGTATTCAGTGTTTCGCCGAGGTCGGGAATAATTTGAATATCTGTGGCGAATTGTTCATGTAAAACACGAGTCGCACTTTGCAGAACGGTAATATCAACTAGAGAGACTTGTGAGTAAGATATGATAGGACTTGTGGTGGTACACACCAGGCCCTGTTGGAAGGGAAGAAGAAGAGGACGAGCTGGCAAAGGCAGCAGCCATTTGACGCGGGGAGCCAGTGGCAACTGGCAAAAGGGAGGTTGGACGCGTCCGGATTTGGAACTGTTTGGCGAAGGGCTCTGGCTGTTTACTACTGGCTTCCATGATATACATCAACAGCAATCCCATGCTGCCAGCATCCTTAGTCGGTATGGGCGTCTTTTCGACGTGATCCAAATTCCTTGTAGGTCGACGTGATGATGGATCTCGTCGCGACGTGACCAAATCCATCATCGCTCGAAACAAATTTCCATCGCGACGCGTTTCATGTAATGTCTCTTGCCTGTTGACTCTGCCGGTTACTGTAGTCTATGCGCATGAACTCCCGATGTACTTCAAGCCAGGCTCAAGCTTGCCTTGATAAGCCTTCTTTCTCGCTGGCGACACGGGCTTCTGGTTATCTTACGAATGATACAGCTCTATACCGTGTGTCCTCTTTCTTTCTCCTTTGGAGGCTAGCTCTTCATGCGAAGGAAATGCAGGCGATATCAACCCTAGCAGGCCTCAACGACAGGCAGCACGCATGCCTTATAACCTTCCTCCTCCGAAACGTGCGTCCTGACGTGTTTCATAGGCGCTAGGCTGAACCTTTACCATTCTCTGCAGCACCCATATTTCAATGGATTCGGGGAGAGCTAATCGGGAAAGGCAGTTACGGTTGCGTGTACTTGGGATGCAATGCCAATACTGGAGAAATAATGGCTGTGAAGCAAGTCGAGTTGCCCAAGAAGCAGTTTCAGCAAACCAGCCAACAGATGGAAGTGGCCAATGCCCTCAAGTTTGAGAGCGAAACTCTCAAATACTTGGATCATCCTCGCATAGTCCGATATCTGGGTTACGAAGAGAGTCCCGAGTCTTTGAACATGTGAGTCACTGATTCTCAGCAAACTCATATCTTCTGCTGAACAGCTCAAGTTTCTTGGAATATGTCCCTGGAGGAACAATTGAAAGCTGTCTTTCTCAACATGGCAGGTTTAGTGAAGGTTTAACAAAGTCATTCACCAGCCAGATTTTGGAAGGTTTGGAGTATCTCCACTATAGAGGAATTATACATCGAGTGGGTTGCCATTTCCTAGAGCACGGTGATATATACTCATAGCCACACAACAGGATCTTAAAGCAGGTTCATACCCTGGCGTTTCAAGCTATGTACCGCGCTCACTCTGTTTTGTTACAGCCAATATTCTCGTTGATCATTCCGGCATCTGTAAGATCTCTGACTTCGGTATATCCAAGCGTGTCGACGAATTGGAAGCGCGCGCAAATACGGGTTTGAAGGGCACTGTATTCTGGATGGCTCCAGAAGTTGTTTCTCCAAACCTTGGTGGATATGACGCGAAGATTGATATCTGGAGTGTTGGATGTATTGTGCTGGAAATGTGGTCTGGTAAAAGGCCTTGGGCCGGCGAAGAGTGTTTCGTAGTCATGTTCAAGGCGAGCTTCATTGCAACAGCTGAGTTCCTGGCATGCTCATGATCGCTATGTAGCTCCATAAAGATAAACTCCCGCCTCCCCTTCCAAAGGATCTGCATCTATCAGAGCTGGCGATGGACTTCAGGAGTGGCTGTTTTGCTATGTATGTGACTATATATTCCTTCAATTGGTTACTAACCGGTTCACGATCCAGTGACCCAGCTAAGCGTCCTACAGCTGCAGAACTTCGAAAGCATCGCTATCTGACTCCAGCGTTGGGCTGGTCGTTTAATCAAGCTGAGATCGAGGCCCCCCGGGAAAAGCTGGCTCTCTCTCGAAAGCGAGATACTGCTCGACTTGCTCTTCCAAAAGAGAAGGCGGCGTCGCGACGATCGATCTCACAAGGGTTGCGGAGACCTTCTAGTTTTTCTGCACTCTGTCAGAGACCGACTAACCAGCACACGCACTTTAGAAGTGCTTCCCAAGCTGTGCTTCCTATTAGCCCTGATTCTGCCCCGCCTCCGCTTGTGTTTATCACTCCTCCAAGCTCACCTATGAAATCGGCATTTGGCTCTACTCCTGAGGATGACGATCAATTAGTATTCAACTGGGCAGCAACATCCGAGTCATCAAAATCATCATGTCAACGCCGAAAAATGTTCTACGTTGTCAATCCTGATTCAGACGACTCTGACGATGAAAGAACCGTTCGACAGTGCAAATCCTCGAAGTTGTCTTACGTTTATCACCCGCCGCCTCTCCCGAGCTCGGATGCCAAAGATCCCCTTTCTTCGACGCTTACAGCTCCGAATCCACAACCCCTGAACACTCATCATCTACAGTACTCCCCATCTATTTCGTCTGCATCAGCGCAAACATCTGCATCAACCGATTATAGTACATTTTCTTGCAGTGATACCGAAAACGACTTCGGTTCTCCGCTCTGGCAAAAGCCGCCGATTAGTGCGAGGCCTCTCCCACCTCCACCTCCGCTGCTTCCGGACAAAAAGGTCTCTACGCGGCTCAGCCGAATCGAAAGCAAGCGCAATTCTGCATGGCACCGCCCACATCTTGAGGATGTCTATCAGCGTCTGGACTATTATTTCCCAGAGCATGATGTTGATAGACCTGTCGTTAAGGCAGACACGGTTGCGAGCCAACCCAAAGATCGTTGTATGAGGAAGTCAATTCGAACGGTTGCTCAGGAGCAACTGAATCGCAATTTATCTGACCCAGAATGTCGGCTGAAGAGAGATACCACTCTTTGGGGAGGTCGCATAGAGGAGCTCGTAATTAGGTAGAAAGAATCGCTCATACAGTTACCATAGATTTTTCGTATAATGCCGCATATCATTACCATCTTGTCAATTTCGTTTTCATCGACCTGCTGTGTATCATGAAAATTTAATGCAAAATATCCAGTTGCATTCTCGTAGTAACCACACGTCCAATCACCTCGGTTACGACTAATGTAAAATAGATAACAAGTACTTCATCATGTAGATCCAGCCAATAATTAAAAGTGTTCCTGTCATGAAGAGAGCAATCAGGGTAAGGTATGACCAATATCGAAAGCTGCAAACCTTCGCAAAGGTGAAGTTGACAGTGGACGAGCTGTGGTGCATCGTTGCCTCTTTGAGCGCTTTCGCGATGGCACCCGGTCCACAAAAGTAAGTCTAAGACTCGTCTGAGTAGGGTACAAGATAACGATAAAAGATGATAGCTTACAGCGACCTTGGTCTTCAACTGCGACTTCGAACCAGGAATATATTGTCCTGCTTCAATAGCTTGCTTCATCTGCCCATAGATGGTCATCCAGTCCGGACGACCGAACATGGTGCGCGTCCTGAGGAGCGTCAGGGGATCATAAGCGGCACCGGCGTCGTTGACCGCGATATTCCAAAGCATATCTTCCCCGATTTTCTGAGTAAGATAGATATTGATGCGAAGGAAATTGGCTAGATAAGAATATGAGATGATGTCCAATTTCAAGAGTAACTTAACTCACGATCCGCTTGAGCAGCTTCAACTTCTTGCAACAAACTTTGGAACCACCCAAATGACGGAGCATCACGGCAAACCCAGAAAAATTCAACTCGACGTAGGACGCCGAGGTTACCGCTTTTCTGTTTGTACCATATGTGCTTTAAGATTGAAGCAAATGGTGTGACACCTGGGAGGTGGAATCAGAAATGTTCTTGGTGTCGAGAAAAGTAACATACCGATACCAGCACCAACAAGCACAGCTACCTCGGCGTCGAATACGTCCTCCGCTGGGGCACCATATGGCCCATCGATCCTGACAGCGGGCAGAGAGTCGGAGCCATCTAATTCAAGGTAATCACCTCGAGACCCCAAGCCAGACTTCTCATCTTTATATGAGCCTTTCATGGCCGCTTGGGTCATCGCATTGACAACAGACGGACCAACGCCAAGCCGCTCTCCGAGTCCCATCGTGAAATCACCCACTTGTCGTACGTGGACAGACACATAAGGATCTCCTGGCGCTGATGTGATGGTAAACTAGTTGCCATTTAGATAAGCTGCAAGAAAGAGAAGTACGATGTTAGGAACTTACAGGATGCCACTGAAAGCGTGAAAGTTCTGGAACCTGAAGGAACAACCACTGTCCAGGTGTATACTTGAAACTAGGCTTGATGATACGCAGCTCCATAGCACCTGGAAGGATATAAGGACACGACAATGCCGGGGAATGATGACCCACGTACCACTTGGGTGGACAAGGACTTTGGACAATCGAGTAGCACGTCTAGCACGCCATTCACGATACACTCGTTCACCAAAGTACATGATTCCGGGCCAGATTGTGAACCTCCAACTCATATACCCCAGACAATGTTCGGTGGAGTAGAACGGGAATGTACTGATATAATCCGGATTGACAGAGTCACGAACAAAACATCCCGTTGCGTGAGAATAGAGACCGATCATAAAGAAGAAGGCAAGATGATGAGTGTACCAGAATGCCTCAAAGCATTGCTTGCGCATCTTCTGATGAGCAGTCGCATATATCAAGACCATGATAAGGAGCATGAAGTGACCGGTGATCCCACCCGCCTGGGTGTAGTGGATGTCCAGAGCAATTTCCTTCCGAACCTCTGTACCAGGATTTAGCAACCAATGACCATGTGGCATGGAACAACGTACGACTGCGCTCGACGTTAAAAAAGTTGACGTAGTGCGCCGTTGTGTGGACCATGGTCCAAAATGCCATCGAATAAGCGACCTGTCTGTGGAACCAGATGTTCTCGTCGGCGGGAAAGAGCCAGGTGAGCTTCGGTCGAACGAAGCGGATAACATTTCGCAGCATGGGAACGAGAATCATGCCGCCGTCGAATGCCAGAACGAGACCTGCACCACGAGATGTCCACACAGACCAAGTCAAAGCGTTGAGAGCAGCAAGCCTGGTGTTAGCAGCCTTGCAAGGATAAGATTACTAGAAAATTAAAGGATTCGTACGACGCACCTGGCTGTGCCACCCATAACCAAAGAGCGCAAAATGGATTCCGTAGAAAATGACATTGAAGGCCAGCCTCCTTGCGCTGAGAAACTCCCTGCGAATCCAGCTTTCTCCCATGATTGAAGTCGACTGAAAGTGCTAATACAGTAAAAGAAAGGCGAAGAAAGTCTGGGGCCAGCCAGACGAAGAAAATGAGGAGAAGAAAAGAATGAAGAAGAGTGAAGGAAAGAAAGGAGGAAGGAACTCGTGGTCATAGCAATCCCAGTTTGGCTTGGCTCGGTTGGCTCGGAGTCGGCAATTCTGGTCAACAGCAACCATCTATCTGCCAAAATTATACTACATGCCACTACTACTCTTCATATCGATACGCGACCATGGCCTCGATCCTGTGCACGTCTGTACTAAAGCTCCTCATCTTCACCTGCTGACTCTTGCTCGCCTCAATCGCCAACGGATCAGTATCTACCCATTCACCGGCAGGAACGTCTGCGGAATCAGACGTGTACGCTAGAATATTAAACACGGTTGGCTCGTGTATCACTGGCAGGTAGGTGACCATTGAAATAATTTGCTTCAGAATAGCCCGGATCTCCGACTGTATTTCGGCTTCTGGTTTCGGTGGTCTAGATTAAACATTGTTGTTAGAAACACCGAAGAAAGATGTAATCGTGGTTCATACGCTTCAGTTGTCGAATCTGCTGGCGGCTCAACAAGTTTGATGTCGAACACCCAGCGTTCTAGAGGCGTCCGGGCGTCCTTTGAAATGATGGCAAGAACCAATTGTGTGACAGAACCGGTAAGCAGCCATTCTGATGGACCGGTAAGCAGCGTGATAAACTAGGTAGTGCATTCAGCATACTCTGGACTTGTTTCAGAATTCTAGCAGGGTGTTAGGTTGGACGCTGCACGAAACGGTCAGCGACGAACCTTTCGAGGTAGTTCTCCAGGGCAAGATCTTGAGTAACGAGGACAGTTTGCCCGTACTTCTTAACCATATGAAAATCGTCAGACGGGTACACCTCGCGTTGGAAAAGAATCCTTTAGCCCTGTCAGTGGCAGTTTGAACATTGATTCGTAGGATACTCACGTGTTGACTGCATACTTGAAGAATTCAGTAACCAAAGCGGTAGAGCCTTTGAGGGTGATAGCTTGACGGTTTGCTTGCTTTGAAGCCATGGTGAGTGTTATGAGAAAGAGATTTGAAAATACAAAACACGCGTCGCGTATAACAGACTTCAGTCACGTGGTCTGCTCTCCTGCTTTCCTGCAGCCATGTCGGTCAACACTCCTCCCGGATCTACTGGTTCTCCTGCTCCCGCTTCTCCTGAAAATAATGCGTCCACAAATCAACAAAATAATGCGCTTGCAGACCGTATGGTCCTCGACTACCTGCGTGCTCGAGGTCATGCTGCTGCTGAGAAGGCTCTCGCAAGTGCCGTCGAATCTGCCTCTCCTGACGATAAAGGAAAGCAACCAGAAACTCTTACCTCCGAAGATCTGGTCAAAGCTCTCGCAGTATTCGCTCAGAAACCTTCTCGGCCAGGCGAAAATATTCTCAAGGATCCTTCAAATGTTCTGACCGAACTCACGTCATTGGGAAATCCGTCGAGTATTCAGAATCTAATAGCTAGTATCGGCTCCGTTGGAGCAGAAGATATACTGTCATTGGATCCCACAGATAAGCAAGAGGGATTTCGAGAGTTGGAAGCTTGGGTCGAGGGATCCCTGGATATGTACCGAGTAAGTGCTGTATCTGCTCTGCGGACTTCATGTAACTCTTCTAACAGCCTGAATTTCGGCCAATACTGTTCCCAATATTCTGTCACTTCTATCTGGATCTCATACAACGCGGTTTCAAGGATGCAGGTAATCCACAAGGCGATACAATAAGTTGCTCTGCTGACCAAGACTATATCAGCGCTTCGCTTTTTCTCCTCTTTCTCAGCATCTCTTGCTCCTGCTCACACAACAATACTACACCATCTCTCCACTCTCTTGCTTCCCTCCCACGTTCAAAACGACGAGCTGGCCCAACGCTTCCGTGATGAAAAGTATGTCATTCGAATGAGTCGTTCAGGTTTTGGTTTGCTCGTAGGGTGGTTGACAGAGGGTGTCGGAGGTGAGGCATCGGGCGCAGGCGAAGGCTTCTCGGGCGAAAAGGGCAAAAGAGGACGTGCAGCAGTCATGCGCGTTGTCAACAACCATCTTCGATTTGATGGTAAATACAATCTTGAAATGTCCTGTGATTCGTATTCACCCCAATGTACAGTCACTTCCTCAAATCCCACTTCAGTCGCACCTAACACTTGGGAAGAATCTACGGGCCTACTATCATCACTGATCCCTCAAACAAACGGGGCTGCCACAAAAATTACCAATCCTCAAGCCTTCAATACGTCGAAAGGCGACCTTAAACTTGGTCCTAGGCCGATAGCCGAGGATCTTCGTGTAGAATCAGAACGCCTGCTACGGGAGCAAGCCATGGTCGATCGGGATCCCAACGCTCAATATGACATCCAGTATGCCAGACCGCCTCTATTGCCAGGTGTTCTCCCTGTATCAGAATCGGACCTTTTACCTCACCCTCCCACGTTCAAAACCACCGACGTGGAACGAGAGATCCATGCTGTACGGGACGCACGCCGGAGAATTCGACTTGAACCTTCAGCCCTTAGTAACATCGACATCAACTCTCCTCAAGCCAATACAGCGAGGGCGCGCGCTCTCCCCAGTATTTGTGCTTATACATTACACAATATTGTAGAAGGGTACGTTCAATTCCTACTTCGAGATGGTTCTTACATCATTATAGAGCACCCTGCATGACCTTTTCTCAAGATACTTCATTGATGGCCGCTGGTTTCGCTGAAAGTTATATCAGATTATGGAGTCTCAAAAACGAGAAACTCAAAGGTATGAGGAGTGATTTTACATCAAGCGCTGTCAAAGATGGTCCGTACACTCCACTATCACTCTGTTCCGTTTAACTCAACACACCGTTCCAGCCGCATCTCTTCGCAAAATCAAGGAAAAGAAAGGTAGCACGACTCGGAAGTTAGTCGGACATAGCGGGCCTGTTTATTCACTTGCGTTCGATCCTCTCAACGGCTCCGCAAGCCCTCCTAGATATCTTCTGTCAGCGTCAGCGGATGCTACAGCGCGTTTGTGGTCTATGGAAACGATGAGCAACGTCGTTGCTTTTCGTGGGCATGAGAATCCGATATGGGATATCAAATGGAGTCCCATAGGAGTCTACTTTGCTACTGCGAGCAGAGATCGGACAGCTCGGTTGTGGTCGACAGACCGTACGAGCTGTTTGCGCATCTATGCGGGGCACTTAAGTGATGTGGATGTATGTGTTTTTTTTTTTGGCTGAAGACATGTGCTTCATCTCATTCGTGTCTAGTGCATTGAGTTTCATCCAAATTCTCTGTACCTTGCTACTGGATCCAGTGATTGGACAGCCCGATTATGGGATGTTCAACGAGGTTCATGCGTACGGGTATTCATTGGACAGCAAGGCGCCGTGACTTCAATGGCTATCAGCCCAGATGGACGATATCTAGCGACTGGAGGTATGACGTAATCATGAACCTTCAACGGTAATTTCTAACGTCTGATGTAGGAGAGGATCTGGCTATTAATTTGTGGGACATCAGTTCTGGAAAGAGAGTCAAGAAGATGTCTGGGCACACGGCGTCGATATATTCTCTGGCATTCAGCGCAGAGTCTTCTTTGCTTGTTAGCGGAGGTGCTGATTGGACCGTTCGATGTTGGGATGTAAAAAGCGCAGGAGGATCGCCTAGCAAGCCGCGGGAGAACGGGACTACACAGTACACGCCATTAGGGCTCGCAAGTAACGGCGCAATTGTCAGTGGTTCAAACGACGAAGAAGCTTCCGAGACGTGCGCTTATTCATATATTTCGCTTTCTTATGCCTGACTTGATTTTCAGAACTGATCTCCTTGCGACCTTCCCGACTAAAAGAACTCCAATCACGAATGTACAGTTCACGCCTAGGAATCTCTGCCTCGTAGGAGGGAATTATCTCTCTCCGGATGTGCGATGATCCGAACATCGTCGTTGTAGCACCATTGTGAGGCCATGTACTAATTAGCCTAACTTATTTAGCTTGTCGACAATTCGTATTCTTCAACCTCCTCCAAGAATGTCACTAACAAACCTCACCGCGGCCTCCAGCTGCGAAGATTGTCCGTTCTCGATCAAGCTACGAAGAATGGCGACAAACTCTCCAAGGTTTCCACCCCGCACGGCATTATTCATTTCTCTCTGGAGATTCTCCTGTGCCCCATCAGATGACTGTGACGACTTGGGGCTGAAGTCATCGTCGCTTCGATTTCATCATGAGAGTCTGCACTACTGTAAGACTGGGAACTGTATTGCTGAGAGCTGGAAGGATTGTAATTTTCATCCTCCCGACCTCTCTATGCACAGCTGGATGTTAGCCACTGATTAGATAGATACAGAACTCAGTCTAATGTACCCTTTCTTCTTTCTGCTGAATCTCTTTGTTGTCTTCTTCCTCTTTGGCTGCATTGCAGAAGTCTTCTTCACTTTGCGAAGATTGCGAAGATGCAGGTTGACTGGAGGTTGGAGACATGGTGGGGAAGACTTGAATATTGATGGGATGTACCGTACTTTATAGCAATACTACGCCTTTGTTACCTCTGTTCCTCGGTTCACAAAGGCAGACTGCCCGCCACCTAACTTGAAAAAGATCTGTAGTAAGCACGTGATGCTTCGCGCTACTTAAGTGCTGCCAGCTGCCTCGCACACTGTTTCTACGTCTGCATTTTCCTTCTTCCTCCTATAGCACTCTTCGCCGATCATTCAAACAGGGTGCGTTTCAGTGTCGTGTTTCTTACTTCTGCCGCTATTGTTGCTCAAACGGTGTTGCTGCTTCTCTCAGATGGAGAACATGGATGTAGATTCCGTTATGCATTGCGCTAGCTCGCCAGTACAACAGGCCCAGGACGGACCCAGCCAAGCGCTTGCTGGAGCGCCTGCGCCGCCAAGTGAGTTCCTAAGTGTATCTGCGCCACCACCTGTACTTATTAGCGTATAGCGTTGGGGATACCTCGTGAAAACTTCCGTGACATACAGGTCAAGGTCCACATTCGAAGGCCTGAGCGAGATTCTTGGGTGTATCTAGGACGAGGTATTGTGTCGCAAGAGGTGGTCGGGCATTCATTTAAGATAGGTGAGTGCTCTTGTGCTTCGCTTTCTTGGTAGCCTAATTAAGGCCGCCTCAGTCGTTCGAAACCTCTCCTCGAACAAGGTCATTACCTCATTTGGCGAGGTAATTTTTCGTGTCTCCTCGCAATATCCCTCGCTGATTGTTGATCTTCCAAGGGCACCGACCTTCAGGCAGAAAGGAGAGGTAACTTTGTAGTCATTGGTTGCGTTGAGGGTGTGCGTGTCGTTTCTTGGTCCTTGAACGTGGGTATTCTCGCCCTTCCATGATTTGTGCATTCATTGGACACTGTAGGCTCTGAATAACTCGGATACGCTTCGATTGATTGCGAGCATCGAGCTTGCTTGCTACAAGAGCAAGCAGGCTCTGACCGATCCTCGACTACACTCCAAGACCCGCCGCCGAATAGAGCGTGTTATCAAGGACGACAGGCGCAAGCGTCATCGTAGGCGGAAAGACCAAGAAGCGCTCGTTGACGCTTTTGCGAAACAGAACCTTAGCAACGAGCCTATGAGCATGAATTCTGATGACGCTCAACTATAGTCGCAAGAGATTCATGTTCATCTTGAATATAAACGGCTTCCCTGTCAAGTTGTACTCATATTAGACATTGCTACTACCATCCATATTGATTGCACGCGTGTATTTCGTATATCATACATTTCACCCCGCTTGACCGCCGTTCTCACTGGTTTATAACTACTTGTATTGACCTTTCTGGCGAGACCACTCGAGACAGTATTCCCTAAGGTACAATTACGGAAGGTTTACAGTTTTGTCGTTCGCATTCCTCGCCTCTAATGACGCTTCCAATTGACAACAGATCACAGAAAGAAAACCACGGACATGCCCAACGAGTTGAATTCTAAGCTCATTCTCGTATGAACGATGTTGCAAAGAAACTCGTCGGGTGTAATTCAACGGAGCCGAAGGTGAGAATTGAATATTGGATATCAGCTGAATTCATTTGATGAGACGTCGAAGTATGTCATTTCATAGTGGGAGCACGCCCAACAGTAAGGGATCAGACAAGCAGACATGGGAGGCTTCTTCCGGCCCACTTTCCGCATAGCATCAAATACGTGTTTATGTTCTAGGATGGGTATAACGATCAAGATCAGGGAGCAGAACACCTGCGAACCCACGAGGTCCGATAGCGGCGTGGAGCAAGATTACAGGACGTTCTTCTCAGGGTATTGGCAGATTCATCGTTCGAAAATCCGGAAGAATATTTGTTGAATATGTCAGTGAGAAAAGCTGCAGATGGCCCCCGGCCACGAAAAAGATACACGATCCTACAAATAATTAAAAATATTTGCAACGCAGAGAAGATTGAAAGGTCATGAGGGCGAATGATGCGATTGCGAAGAAGAGAGCTGCGATGACGCTGAATATAAAGGAGCATCATCAACTGTCCTGGACAACGATGATCGTGAAGGAATGCTCTGAGGCGCTGTTCGTTCAGAATATTGAGGGGGAAGTTCTACCACACCATCCTCATTGGGAGGTGGCAATGGAACATCGTCTGCGTCTGTGTGCAGGATGAATCGAGAAGGAGTGTAACTAGCAGCGCCTGCCGTGGCTGCCTTCCGCTGAGCAGATGACATAGTTTGAGAACCAGATGGCTGACTATGGTGATGAGCGGTGAATGGATCGATAGATGTCGGACTGTGGTCGTGGTCCTGAGGAGAAGCGAAAGGATTTGGTTGCGAATCAGGCATTCCACGATTATAATGGTCTGCAGCCTCTGAGTCTGGCGTCGTGGGGGCGTAATCTGTACCGCGAACGAAGAATGGGAAGGCAGATCCTGATGGTGTGTTTGCGTGGCCTCTCGCATCGTAACCATCGGCTAGGTCAATATCCGATTGTAATCTACGCGAGTGACGCTCGAGGTCGGTCCCATTATCCCAACGGTTATCGCGGTCGCGTTTCCGTCGAAGGAAAAATAAGGCAAGAGTGATGACAGCGGCCAAAAATACGAGTCCACCTAAAACGGTGCCTGCGATTGCACCGATTGATGTACCCGAGCTGCTAGTGGTTGTCGACGTCGTAGCAGAAGTGGTGGAGGACGTGGAAGGTAAGGATGTAGAAGAAGGCGTTGCAGTAGATGACGGCGACGAATCATCAATGCATGACTGATCAGTAGATATCCCGACAGTCTTGACGTCGGAACTTCCGCCTTGGCGGCCTTCTGAATCGGCCATAGCGAATATGATACTCGTGCCGTTGTAGACGTCGGCGGTCCAATCGTACTCGGTAGGCCCTTCCGGCGGATTAATAACAAAGGTGTCTCCATCGGGAATTATTCCCTTTATTAAGAGATAAGTCCTGGAAGGACAAGTGCCATCGGAACTCACCATAATAGTGACAGGTTGTACAGCACTGGTGTATGCACTAAAGGTGTATGTCCTGTACAATAGCTGAGCCGGTGAGATGCAACAGTAATCAGCGTACTTGCCTGCATTGCTGGAGAGCGGAGTTTAGTTCGAATGAAAAGTCAACACCTTTCGGAATCCACATTACGATGACCGATAATACAGAATATGGTGAACATCACTTACCAGGATCTGTAGTATTACAACTGCCTCCAAGGGATGATCCGACGGTCAAAAGTTCAGTGGCTCCTCCTGCTCCGAAGCCAGACGCATCCGACATAACCATGACGAATTTTTGTCCTGAAGAGAACGGGATCTGTGTTTCATACGTTCCCTTCCCACTGCTGTACGCAGAATCAGGGATGGATATGTTCCTTGGCGTCCCGAAGACCTAGTTACCACAGATGAGTCTTGTTGATAGTAATAAAGGGCCAGGCGCACGGGAGTCAAAAGTAACAGGTAGGGAGCAGTGCCACCTTGAGACAGCACCAATGAGCGCCACGTCAAATAGAATGTATCGATATACGCGTACCATTCCATGTTATGCTGATATCATCGCACTGTGTCGGTGTCCCAGCAGAAAAACTGAACGCAGCAGAAAGAAATGACCATGACAGAATGGAAAGAATAATGACCAAAGAGAGATGGCAATGCATGGGAACTAGGAAATTGTGAAAAGGAAAGTGATATTAAGGAATGAGGGTTTGTCAGGGAAGGCTGGAGAAAGGAAGATTGGCGGGAATAGATGGGAAGTAGGGGAAGGGAAGGAAGAAGTAATTCTCACGAAATCGTGGCTTCGAGGTGATTTCCTTTCCCGGCATGATCAAAACTTGCACAGTCCAAATGACAAATATTTCCTTCGTTTCCTTGCCTTGGTTACGCAACATTACAACTTTCAAAAAAGCTTTCAACCGTAGAAAACTAACATCGTTTTTAGTTACAGGCCGTCCGCCTCCTTTCACCGCCGCCGTCACAGAATAAACTCTCCGAAATATCGTTATGGTCTGACAAGCTGTCTAGTACGATTCGAAGGTAGGTTTGGAATAGCTATGTACCAAGTACATCCATGGCCAAGGCCTAGCCGCGCTCGCCTTGTGATTTACCGCAGCTACGATTATTAGGACGTGGAAAGCATCCGGAAGACCTGCAAGGCAGCAATCCGGAACGCGCTTTCGCGCAGCGACGTCAGTGGACGAAGAAAATTCATGGTTGCATCTGATTACGCGTCGTGCGGTTGGCTCTTGTGGGGTAGAGAATCGACAACTACGACAGCTAGCAGGGGAGCCTTAACCTCGGCAAGTGGGCCCAGCCGGTGGACCTTGGATATCTGCAGCTCATTAACTCCCTAACCGGGTACCATAGATCACCAAGAAATCAGAGGAAGGTCCAGGATGCCATGATTCGACCTTCAGTAATCGAATATAGCCGTGGTTTTGCAGATATGGAAGCAAACGTGCTGTTCTCAAACGACAAGTTCGGAGCCAGAAGAGAGCGGTCTTTGGACGGAAAGTCGCACTTTTGAAAGTCTCATCATCTTTATCACCAGTAGTCCAGCTGACGAAGATGTCGGCACATCTATGCCATGAGTAAGGGTCTCATTGCGAAGCACTGTTATGAGAGGAACACGTCTTTCAGAATGCGCATGTGAATGATTGAAAATCACAGGAAACGAGAGTTTAGTTGACCTCGCCAACATGAAGCAATCAGTGATGTACTCAGGTTATTTATTATGTCTTAGTTGGGCTGACCAGGGGGGGAGGCGGTGTTCATCTTAAATGAGCTCCTTACCGGCCTTGCTTTTAGGTTCATTAGCTTTCTGTGATGAATCCTGTGAGCAGATATAAAGAAAGTAAAACGCCTACAGAAGACTGAACTCACAGCGACCAACGGTATATGGAACGTTCCTTTCAGAGTTCTCTTACGGGCCAGCGTCACTAGGTTGCTAACCCGTTTTTGAAGACTCGAGTCAGCACCAATCCGATTAACTCCTGCGTACCTTCGCCCTGGGGCGACATTTTTCAAGAGTCTGGACTGCTTTTGCGTATTCTCAAACGAGACAACTGCGCAAAGAACTTGCAGTGCAAACTATTTATAGAACCAAGAGTTGCACGTTCAAATTGACCTTCACCTAATATCCAGTGATGTTAAAAATTCAAAGAAAATGATCCAAAATTATTCTGGCCAAATCTGCTTGGCAGCTTCGACTAGCAGCTCCAATTTCTTGGTCTGATCCTACAGGGTGACAGACATTGTTACGATACTATTTATAATAAGGAAGCGCATTCGTACCTCTTCAGTAATGGGGTTGCCCTGCCACACCGATGCGAAGCCGCATTGTGTACTGATGCAAATCCTGCCGAAGACGGGGATCAATCATCAGTAATCAAGAAGAAAGCGAGGCCTCACTGATTCAAAGCATCCTCCTTTGACCGCCCTTGATTTCCTTTGCACAAGGAGTCTGCAGCCGAGTAGATCCGAGATTTCAAATCTTCGACAGATTCCATAACCTAGCGAGGCACCTTTAGACAGCAGCCAACTTGAAAATCGAATGGTAGATACCTGGCCGGTCTTTGTGGTCACCAAACCGAGAACCAATGCTTTGTTGGTGGGGAAATATTTCAGCGGGTCAAAATCACCGGATCGTTCGTTATCGTATTCGAGCTGCCATATAGTGGGTAAGAAACACGGGGCGATAACGATGCCGCTGACGCACGTAAAATGTATCAACGTCAAGATTGTTGAAAACCTTTTTGGCAATGCGATCGTAACCTCCGTCGCAGAAATGCGCACCCTGTCAAAGTCCATAAGCATCGCAATAATCCCCCCCAAATCAGTGAACATACCATGAAATTACCTCGACACATATGCACGCTAATGGTCAAATCGTCCGGGCGATCCTGAGTAGTGACATTAATGGCGCGGATGTATGTGTTGAGCAATGTCTCCGGGTCGATAGCCATCTCCTTCATCTTCTCAATTACGCCATCGCTGCAGAAGAAACAGAACGTGGGGTCGTCAATCTGAATGTGACCTACACATCTTCGTTAGACCAGCCATGTGAAAGGCCAGAAACCCGGATATTGACGTACGGCATCCTAGATCGTATAGTTCCTTGAACTCAGCACGGTACGCGATGCCAAGATCGTCAAAGTATTCATCTATATATGTAAACGGTTGGAAGAGAACTAGAGCTTCAGATAGAACGATATACCGTCATTTTTATACACGTCGAGATTGTATGTAAAGTTTGAACCATGTCGTTGATGAAACCACGAAGGGGAGCATACAGTCATCTTGATATTTTTGACATCCTACAGCGAAAAAGATATGTAGGGTAAGTACGGAACGACGTATAGATAGATTACCTCTGGTGAAACGATGCTTTTTGTGAATTTAAACTGATCAACATAAAAAGATTGTGTGCGTTTGATTTTTCCCTTGATGGAGGTAATCAGCTTCATTGCTCTGCAAAAACATAGGAGAGAACAACCGACCGAGCAATATATCGTCTTATCGGTCAGGGTGCCTGTTGCTTTCATCATACCGATGTGCGGAATGTATTCCTAAATTGATTGATGATTCATAGTGATATAGATTTCCAGGCGTCATACCCACCATGAATGCACTCAACGGACCTAATAGTGAATTAGTAACGAGAGCGTCTCTGTAGCGACGGGCTACATACGCTCAGGCATGTACTGCATCCCCTCCAGCTTGTTAAATACACCCTCAAAGAAAAGCCCTCTAGAACAACGGAGCTTTAGAGAACACCGAAGTAAGACATACCAGCGTACCGTCTCATTTCGCCGTCAGTAATGGTCTTAATGCCCGTATCTTGCTGGAGCTTCACGACGTGTCGCACTGCAGCATCCTCGGCAATGGTGAGCTCTTCAAGTGAACAGCCGTGACGCTCAAATAGACCGCGTTTCTGGAAAAGCTCTTTGGGCCTAATTAATGACCCAACATGCTCTGCACGAAACGGGGGGTTGATATGCAACTTGCGCGTCGACATAGGGAAAGATAAAGCGAGGGAAATGAGAAAATGAGATGAGTGCCCCGAATTTGAGGAAATCACAAGATGTAGTAGATCACAAGTGACTACTGGGGTAGGGTAAATTTGATGGGCCATTGCGCTGGGAGAATTCATTGCGTCAAGGAACATATAATCATGAGGATTACGGACTCGCGAGCCGTACCCACGGCGTGGCGTGTCGAAAGAGCTGTCGAATGTGGTTCTAAAGGCAGGCCTCGGTTCTCAGAAGGGTATTGGCCGGATAGTGACTGTATCCAGGTCTGGCATTATCTCTACCTTCTGTCCAGCCGTGCCTATAAATGAATCAACACACCGGATTCGAAGATTTTCAATGGTCTACATTTCTTAAAAGGAACATGAACCGAAAATACACGAATTAACATGGATGCAGACGGGACAAGAGGTGCCGTAGAGCGCGAAACAAACGCAACATCGATGAAACCGCGAATGGGATACTTGGATTTGGAACAACGAAAGCGAAGAAGAACATCAGAGTAACTCGGTAAGATAGGATTCTGATAAGTGGATGTGTTCGTAAACTTGGGTAACAAGTCCCAAGGGTCCCTAAGGGTCCTCTTCAGTTGCCGGTGACGATGGAATCGGCATTCTGACGGATTGGGACATGACTAATCATGCACTGCCGGAGCATTCATCCCGTTCACGTGATTGTGGGAGTAATCGGTTATTGCCGAGGAGCACCTGTACAGTTGGTCAAGGTTTTTTTCCACGCAAAGGTTTTGGTCCCTGCAGAGCACCGGCCTCGACGTATCTCAAGACTAACCCGTAGGTGCTCAATTTTTGCTAACGTATCTGTTGGTGCTCAACCATTCGTTCGACAGCTCCAACTAATGGGTTTCGCGCACAACAACGGTGCGTGAAATTCGTCTTTTTCATGTTCGACTGTGGACTTGACAATATTCTACAGTCCTTCCCGGAAACCATTTCCGTAAAGACTGGCAGCGTCGCGTACGCACCTGGTTTGACCAACCAGGACGCAAGCTCCGCAGACGCAATGCCCGCAAAACTAAGGCTGCTGCCCTCGGCGTCCGCCCACTGACGCTGCTTCGCCCTGCAGTCCGTGGCCAAACTGTGCGCTACAACCGAAAACTCCGTGAAGGTCGCGGATTCACATTCGCTGAACTTAAGGAGGCTGGTATCGGAAAGAAGGAGGCCCGGAGTGTTGGAATCGTTGTTGACCACCGAAGGAGGAATTCGAGCGAGGAGGGCAAGAAGGTCAATGTCGAGAGGCTCAAGGCCTACAAGACGAAGCTCGTCGTCTTCCCCAGGAAGGCTGGCAAGCCTAAGAAGAACGATTCTTCTGTGAGCTTGTGTAGTCATTCTTCTGCGACTCCATTTATTCATGCACCGTGTCGTAGGCTGATGACCTCAAAGCTGCTACCACCCGTGCTGCCTTCCCTCTTCCCGAATCATACTCTGCCGAGGCTCCACGCAAAATCACCGAAGAGGAGCGCTCTTTCGAAGCATACAAGGCTCTTCGTACTGCTCGCGCCAACGCTAGGCACGAAGGTGCTCGCAAGGCTCGTGCTGCCAAGGTACAGTGTTCGGTCACACATTTAGCATCGCAAGACGTTAACTCCCCTTGCAGAAAGAGGAGGAAGAAGCAGCAAAGAAGAAGTAATTATTTTATTACCATCTTGTTGCTTTGCTATGCCGTTTTTATTCGCACATGCTTCGAACGCCGAATCAGCAACTGATGCCTTATGCAGACAATATCAGCAGCTGTCCTTTACGATCTGGAATGAATTCTGCGCTATCGCCCAAAGAATGAATATCACTATCAATGACAATGACAATGTAATAGTCCTTTCTAAGATGAAACCAAGGGGATTAAATGTCCTTTTAACCAACCTTTTTCCCCTCCCGGCTTTTGATCTTTTTATCGACGGCCTCTTTTGCCTCTGCATCAGCAACTTCTGCTACTATCTTGACTTGATTAAGCAGTCCACCAACGTGCTCTAGGAGGCTGACTACTTCCTTGTTCCCACTTACGAAACCAAACTCTGCGTATGTTAGCCCTTGCTCCCTAGCGAACTCCTTGACCATTTCGCTAGCCTTTCGAAGGTTGTGCCGCGGTAGACGAGGGAACAGATGATGTGTTACCTGGAGGTGGAGACCGCCATGAATAAATTCAATGGATTCATCACATATAACGTCTGATGTCGTTCGTAGCTGTCGATGGGGAAATGACTCTGTAGGGCCTAGATCTGCTGTAGACATTGAAAAATGGGATAGGACGATCTGCGGTAAATTTCACAAACGTTCCGGCTTTGTCAAACGTGCGTGGGGGACATACCTGCACATGCAGAGGACTCGTCGTAGCGTGACTGATCAAAACATACAAGAGCGCCTTCCGCCATGTTCCACAGCCGACGAGGAGACTACCGAACCATATCCAGAAGAACACGATACCAGCAACTTCAAGACCCCAAGCCCAGCCGTAGCCTCGAGCGCGCCTCGTATCAAAAGCCCGGAAATAAAGATGGACGTAGGAAAGACGGTATAGGTTGAACCGTGCAAACATCATCACGATATAGAACAGTTTGTGTTGAAGCGTAAGGAATATTTTGGCTGTCGCGTCCAAAGGCATTGTGCGCTTGTAGTAGGTGGAATATAAATTATTGAAAAATGCAGGGGAGATGGCGAAAAAGGGGAGATGCTGAATATCGGGGTCACTACATTTGTGAGTCTGTCAGATTATTGCGGTGGTAGGTATCTAGGGAACAACATACTGATTTACGTGGTTTGTAACAACTGCAGGGCAATTCAAATGTGAGGAAGCAGGCTGGGAAAATAGAACTCACTGTGATGAATATTATGGTTCTAGATGCAAATTAGTGATAGAACTCGATGCACACAATTGAAAAGACGTACATCGACCCACCAGCCGATGCTGAGGCCACCAATCCAGTCGGCAATAAATACGGACACGAGCCTGTCGAACGTCCAGTCACCGGTCAAACCCATATGTCCGAGATCATGGGCAAAAAACATGAGCTGATGCCACATAAGGCCAAGGAAGAATGCAGACGCCATGAGCCAGCTATGATAGTAGGCATACGCGCTAACGAGGCCCAAAAGGGTGTACCGAATAAATTCTGGTCCGTAGCCGGTAAGGATGGGGCATTTGTAGAGCCCTGCGTCAATAATGCGTCTGTGGAGGGCCTTGTACGCCGCGGACTGTCTTGCTTGTACGTCCAAGTCAAGATCAGTTGGTGCCGCCGTGATGGTTGCCGCCGTTGGACCGAGACCTGGTGAAGAACGGTGTTCCTCGACGAGCAGACTTGGGTCCCCTCCTGATAGATATGTGGCCTCCCTCCTCCACTGGCCGTCCTCCTGGACCCATCCAGCTGCAACGGGAGGCAGGAAAGGAACCCAGCACTTCTCGCGGTGCTTGCCGACGGAATACTTTGCGATGAGACCAGTAGTTTCGGTGGGATGCAACGCGTCAATTTCATCAGTTGCATCCCGACCCACAAAGTGAAGAATAGATAGGGCACCACCGGGATGCGCGTCAAGCCATGCGCTGGGTACCCTGAGGACGTTGTCGTGGTATATGACGATGTGCTGGCCCTTGAGGATGAGGGACTCAACCTCGTCGCGCCGGAGAGACATGGCGCGAGATAGAAAATAAAATAAAGGAAATAAATTGTAGTATTTCTCCGACATTGGCTTGGCAGCGCTGACTAATATTTGATACCATTACTACAACCACGATGGCACCGACAGCCGTAGTTTCTTCTGATCCTTTTTCTGACCCTCATCCACCACGACCACCGCCAAAGAATAGAATGCCTGGCCCTGTGCCTCACTCAGCACCGTCTGGAAGGGATGGCTATGGCCGCGACCTCAGCGATGCTGTGAAAGATACTGTTCAAGTCCGTGGTAACTCTACGACCGACTATTCGCCTCGCCATCTTGGCAGGAGCCAGACAGCGGTGTGCGTCCTGTTTGTTTTCTTATTTTCAGTTCATACTTAACCGGCCGACGACCAGTCCGCCGCCTGCCAGCTCGCCTCGTCACCAAGGCATGGGAAGAAGATCCCATTCACAGGATTCTGTACCTGCAAACTTACAGGAGCGACCCAAGTCGTCCAAGTCTCGCACAAAGAAGGGCTCGCAGCATGCAGATGTTATCGATAGGCTCGATTTCACTGGTGTAGGGCCAAGTACGTTACCTCACACACTCTCCTCCGATCACTGCTGACTAACGACGCAGTGTTCCACCATGACGGTCCGTTTGACGCATGTGCTCCATCCCGCAACAAGCACCCTCGCAAGGCACCCATGGCTGCATGGTCGCCTGCCGACCAGCCCAACGACGGTCCATACCCACCGGCAACCACCTTCAATGCTTTCTCTGGTTATGATGCACCCAAGAACAAAAAAGTAGACGCCATTGCAGAGGCTTGGGGCATCCACGAGCCAGAACCATACGAGGAATTTTTTGCAGGCGGCGGAGCGCGGGGCGATACCCCTGCCAGCTCCATCTACAATGGAAGAGAGGGACATAGATCGACGCCAAAACGGACAAAGGAGAATCAGCGAGAGACACAGAGCGATGAGCCGTCCAGATCCCGAGGGACCAGACGTACCATGCCTCCTCCCAAGCCTATCTTTGTTCCAGAATCCGAATATCATGATCCCTCAGGCTCGCCTCCTGCTCAATCGCCTGGCTTGCCCAAGCGGACCAAATCCCTTATGCATCGTATTCGCAAAATGCGAGAGTCGCCCAACGTTCCCGTCGACGCTGACTTCGAACCTAACCCTCCTCCTTCATCGCCTTCGCCTCCTCCTGTCGACCACAACGGCAGACCGACGCACCGCCCCCAGAATTCGTTCTTGGGCCGATTTGGCACGACAAGAGCGGAGCCGCACTCGGAGCCGTTCATTCTCGTCGAACCCCATACCAACAAAGACTTGCCAACACTACCGCCCCAATCTCCTCAAGCTTCACCGTCATCGGGCTACTTTGATGGTCATGGATCAGGCGGCAACGTTGGATCCCCTGGGGGAGGTCTGGGACGAAAGACCAGCCTTATGAAGAAGATGGGAAGAGTTGTACGTGGCCGGTAGGCGTCTTCTCAAGCCTTTGTACCATCCAGTGTTCCCATCAAAAGTTATTCCATGTGTTTACGTCACGTTTTTCTCCATATGTCTCTGTATATACACATCGAGGCCACCGCTTCTTTGGACAGCTACTTCTCCATTCTGCACCTCTCGTGTTCTCCTGCTGCGAGATAACGACCTTCTCCCGTCCGTATTCTTTTTTTGGTGTATCTTGTCTCTTGATCCGACGTAAACTCCGCTGTTTCGATATCTACGTACACACCAAAGCATGTAAAGTAGATTTTCTCTCGCCTGTAGCATTTGTATGATCAATAAGTATATTCTGTTTTTATACGCTGACATTCTACCCCAGCCTGACACAAACTTCGTTGTCATCGAGACATTTTTTGACATCTTTGATGCCCACCTCGCCACGATGGAATATACCGGCAGCCAAAGCTGCTTCGACACCAGTTTCCTCAAAGACTTGGCGAAAATGCTCTGCAGTGCCTGCACCACTGCTCGCAACTACGGGTATCTTCACGTTCGATTTGACAAGTCGGATGAGATCTAGGTCGAACCCTAGACCTGTACCATCCCGGTCAATACTATTGACCAAGAGCTCTCCAGCACCGAGCCGTTCCACACCCTTGGCAAGCTGGACGACAGACAGTGGTCGTGATTCGCGACCACCTGACACTGTACACTGATACCACCAAGCCTTTCCCCTCTCCCCTATCACTTTGGAATCAGGGCGTCCTCGAATTACCTCTCCCTTGTATGGACCATCATACGTTTTGGGGTCAACATACACTCGCTTAGGATCAACTGACACGACGACCGCTTGTCTTCCATACGCATACGCAATTGTCTCGATTGCACTCGTCCCGTCACCCTCTTTATTTTCCGACGCCAGCATCTTCTCCACAGCCAACACCGCTTCGCTGCCAATACTGACTTTGTCGGCGCCGGCGCGGAAATAGGCTCCCGCGACTTCCAGTGCGGCGTGCTTGGTCCCGTCTGGGTCGACGGTGTCTTTTATTCCACCACCGATAGTGAGGGGGACGAAGACGCGTTCTGCGGCAGCCCGGACGACTGCGATCATGGGCTGATCCCGGAGGGGGGAGTGGCGGAAAGAGGTGATGTTGAGGAGACAAAGCTCGTCTGCACCAGCGAGGTAATATTGAGAGGCGAGAGCGACGGGCTTGCCCAGGTTACGAATAGCGCCACCTGTTGTGGCAGCCACGGTGGGGTCGGTGGACGTGGGAGCCTTCTCTCGGACATCGTACTGATCTCCTTTCGTGACAACAAGATCACCATCGTCGTTCGCACGAACGTCCATGCATGCGACAATTCGTTTGGTGAGACGGTGCCGTGGCATTGGGATCAGAACGGGCGGGGAAGACGACGAGTGGGCAGAGATTGCGCCTGGCAATGATGCATGAGCTGATTCGGGTTTCTGAAGCCAAGCATCAATAAGCCGAAGTCCAGCAGTTCCCGATTTTTCAGGATGGAATTGAGTACCAAAAACATTGGCTTTCCGAATGGACGAAATGAACAGTTCTTGGCCATATTGGGTAGTCGTATATGCCCACTGCGCAGCGTCAGGATATCTGTGGGGGTCGTACTTTGCACAGTACGAATGGACGAAATAGTAGTACGACGAGTCCGCGACCTGTTCGGGGTCATCGTGGCAAGCGAGATCGGCAGTATTCCAACCCATGTGGGGAACAGCTTTGTCCGTGTCGTCAAGACGTTCTATGGGACATGGTATAATTCCGAGTCCGGCAGAAGAAGATTCTGATGAAGACTGGAAGAGGACCTGCATGCCAATGCAAACGCCAAAGTAAGGCTTCCCGGAAAGGATGTACTCGCGCAAGGGCTGGAGAAGCCCGCGAGATGAGAGATGCTGGACGGCAGTCTCAAAGGCCCCAACACCGGGAAAAACGAGAGACTGAAACGAGAATGAACAAACATCAATGCATCATAAATATAAAAACTGACAGTAGCATGTTGGAAGTCGTCTGGTGAAGAAATCCAGGTAAATGAGTGGCCAAGAGAAGTGAGAGAATTTGCGAGACTCTGGACGTTTCCTGCACCGTAGTCGAGTAAATAGAGCCCCATTATGACTGGCTGGGGACGGGGGACACGACTTGCATCTGACTCGAAAACCGGTCCGATCGATTTCCGGTGATTGCCGAACTGATCTAAAAAATTGTGCTGATTAGATCTTATGTTTCTCATCCTGACTCGGCTTGACGTATATAAGAACTTCCATCACAATGAACTTTCTTCATTCACCAACGATGTCGTCCCCCATTGCCATCCCTGCCTCGTTGCCTCACGTTGTCAGCGCCTCCATTTCCCCGTCCACCCTCACCATCCATGACCGCTTCGCCAATACTCGTCGTCAGGATTCTGGTGCTATTAGGCAGCCCAAGGTCCTCCACCCCGTCGACAACGAGGGCCTTCGTCTCCTCGTCCTCGAAAATATCTCCCAAGAGGCCGTAGAGCTCTTCCGTGCCCAGGGTTACTATGTCGACCATTATACCAAGGCTATGTCAGAAGACGAGCTGGTAGAGAAAATTGGGTCCTACCATGGTATTGGTATTCGCAGCAAAACAAAAATAACCGCTCGCGTCCTTAAGGCGGCATTCAAGGTACTCGTTACCTGTGACTTCTGTTCTCATCGATTACTAAATTACTTTTCTTTTTTTTATTTTTATTTTTATTTAGCTTCTCGTCATTGGGTGCTTCTGTATTGGTACTAACCAAGTTGACTTGACTTCTGCCGCTCAAGCTGGTATCCCCGTGTTTAACTCCCCCTTCTCCAACTCGCGCTCTGTTGCGGAACTCGTCATGTCTGAGCTTGTTATCCTCTCTCGCCAGCTCTTCGAACGCGCGTACGAGTTGCGTACCGGCGTTTGGAACAAGCAGTCCAAGGGATGCTGGGAAGTCCGCGGAAAGACACTTGGAATCGTAGGCTATGGCCACATTGGCTCCCAGCTCTCCGTACTCGCTGAATCCTTTGGCATCCGTGTTCTCTTCTATGATGTCGTCAACCTCATGCCCCTCGGCTCTGCGCGTCAAGTCGAGTCTCTCGATGTCTTGCTGGCAGAGGCAGATTTCATCAGCCTCCACGTCCCCGAATCTTCTGACACCATCAACATGATCTCCAAACATCAGTTCGCGACCATGAAGAAGGGCGCGTATTTCATCAATAATGCGCGTGGGAAAGTCGTAGACATACCCGCTCTTATCGATGCGCTGAAGAGCGGACACATTGCTGGTGCAGCCATCGACGTCTTCCCCTCCGAGCCCGGAGCCAATGGCTCGCCATTCGATGACCGACTCAATTCCTGGGCCTCGACCCTTCGCTCCCTGCCCAATGTCGTCCTCTCACCTCACATTGGTGGTTCCACTGAAGAGGCACAGCGCATGATAGGCCAAGAGGTCTCCCAAGCGCTGTGCCGATACTTTGGATATGGTACCACGCTTGGAGCAGTCAACTTCCCTGAAGTTGACTTGCGTGCCATCACCACGGAGCAGGGTGACCATGTTCGTGTCTGCCACGTCCACAAGAACCAGCCTGGTGTGCTGAAACAGGTCAACGACGCCTTGTCTCCGTACAATGTGGAGAAACAATACTCGGACTCGAAGGGTGACATCGCATATCTTATGGCAGATATAGCAGATGTCAGTCCCGCAGACATCAATAAGTTGCGGGAGCTGATCAACGGTACCAGCGCAAACATTCTTACCCGCTTCCTAGCGTAAAACAGCTTTTAAAGCTGTGCTGTATAAAACACCAAAACGGATGATCACAACGGCTTGTTGTACAATATAGATAACGGTAGTATTCAACATATATTAATAGCGATGTTCACTCAACTGTACATCTTATGCACCATTCAACTGGACTTTGGGAACTTGCATGAGATATCTAACACATAATCGTAGTTGTATTACATTCCGTAGTTGTTCATTTATGCATAAGAGAGCAAAAGAAATGAAACCCTAAAGCCAAGTCATGACTAGGCCTCTTCCTCGGGATCGCCGATGCCAGAGGGAAGGATGGCAAAATGTGTCTCCATCTCTGGTAGACATGGCGAATCATAGATTTTACAGGACCGCGTGTTTCCGCGTGACTTCTTCAGCTGGAGTCTGGGAGATGTCGTGATGAGCACATGTACTCTGAGGCACAAAATGGAGATCATACCTTGTAGTCGATGCATGGGCCATGATATTACCGCCGATAGGCTTTTTCTCGTTGCTAGCGTATGGACCTGCAGCTGCATCTGGACTGGACATGACTTGGTTCGTTACGACCACAGCAATACCGAACTAACCGAAAACCCGTCAGAAAAAATGATTAGTCACTTCGGGAGACCAACCTCATCTGCCAATCGTTGGAGCGTCCGCAAGAACTTGCCTAAATGATTCTGCCGAGATGATAATTCCCCGCGTCCGCTGAAATCCGTACGATATAATGCCGTGCAGGAGTCGACGATTAGCAGACAGAACCTGAAGCATTCTGATGTCAGTACTGGAGGTATATATGAATGATCTATGTCCACCTTGATTCTGACATCAATGCACTGGCACTCGTTAGCAGAGCATTCTGATGATCTGCATTATACGCTCGGGCATATGCCACGTTGTCCAAAACTTCTTCGCCATTGAGCCCGTACCGCTCCGCTACAGCCAACAACCGTACTGGACGAAAAGTGCCTTCAGTGTCGATATAGAGGCACTTGCCTTCTCCGCCGCCCATGCTGACGGGAAGCTGGCAGGTAACAGCAAGCGTGTGACATAGCTGGGATTTCCCAGTACGAAATTCACCAAAGAGCTCGGTAATGGCGCCAGTTTCAATACCACCTGCTGAGGAGGTCAATGCAGCACAAGAACACAAACTAAGCACACGCGCCCCCAAGAAGAGCATCGAGTTGTTTGGAGCCAGTGGTAATGTGAACAAGTTCAGCGCGCCGTGCATGTACCTCCGTGGCACTTTGGAACCCTAGGGGTACGATCTTTTGCGCTGCAGGATCCAGGTTAGCGATTACACATAAGTCAATCAAATGGCTCACCCTCAGCAATAATTTTATCAGCTTTCTGTTCTGAGATGCCCTTGATAGTAATGAGATGCTTCTTTGGAGTAAATGCGACCGCTTCGACAGTGTTGAGACCTGCGTCTGCGAGTTTCTTGATGTCATTGGCATGAATCCCAGCCTCTTGTAGTTTGTTGACAAGAAGAGGGCCAGTAAATTGAAATGTTTCGTCTTCTTGCTCGATGCCTTGCGATCCTTGAGACATTGCTGAGGGCAAAAAGTGATGGTGAGTCAAAGTAAGGGAAAGAACGGTTCTCACGGGTCAAGCGCGTCGCGCGTGCGACCGTCACGTGCGCACACCAAAACAAACACATAACACACATTACGTAACACACTGTCACGCTTTCTATCGATCGCTATGGCACGAAAGAAAAACAAAGGAAAGAAACAGGATGCAGCTGTGAATAAGCCGAAAGCACCAAAACCAAAGGTATTTGTACCTGTCTGCTTGATTTCCTGCATTTTCTGATCTGGTCCTTAGTCTTCCGGTGCCAGACGAGCATCCAGCTCGACCGCAATCAGCAGAATCAACACGCGTTTACCCAACGAACTTTTAGCCTACATCTTTGCTACTGCAATTCTCAGCCTACTTCCAAGAGAGCACAGGTCCTTTCTTGCTCTAGTGTGCAGCATCTGTCGCCGTTGGCGGGATGTTGCTATCGAGGCATCCGAGCTTTGGACCACCATTTACATACATAGTCAAAATCATATACCAGCTGCCGAACTCTTCCTTGAACGATCAATGATGCGACTTCTGGACGTTGACGTCCAAGTCTCCTTTGATGCTAGGTTCCGGAGGACTCCGGCAGCTTTCAATCGTCAATCTGGGCTTCGAGTTGCGGAGATGACGTCGGTCCATCTTGGGCGTACGAGGACACTCTCCTTGAGTATCAGCGACGTGCAGGGCGCTGAAAATTTTTCAGTATTGTACCGGTCGACGTCAGCTCCGCATCTCGTCCGCCTTTCCATCTGTATTGAAGGATGGTCGTCGAGCGCTCCCCCCCCTTACTTGATTCCATTTGCTCATTCCGGAGCGAAGGCTTATCTTCGAACGCATCCTCGAGCGCCAGCCTTACGAGACTCGAGCTTACATCTCTTCACCCTAAACATGAGGATATGCGGAATGTATTTACGCACTGCCCATATCTCGAAACACTCATCCTGCCGAAATTTGGTCAGAGCTTGGGGGGAAGTCAGGGTGAGAATCGATCGATTATATTAGCTCCCAGCTCGTTGCGTTCGCTCGCAGTTCACCTTGACCGTACCCATGTCAAGTCTTCGCACGTGGCAAACTCGTCTAACTGCCCATGTGTCCTTGGCTCTCTTCGCTCGCCGAACCTTGAATATCTCGAGGTTCTAGGCGACTCCTCCTCCTTCAATGTTAATCTCCGTAGCCATTTTAAGGACCTGCCAAAGTTGAAAACGCTGCGTTTACAGCGTTGTTCTGTGCCATCTATCGATAATGATTTTTTCCTCTCTTTGAAGATGTTAAATCGTTTGGAAATAGTGGACAACTTTAAAAATGTGAAGTGGTCTACAAAATCTTCACGCAAAAAAGTGTCCTCACCATTTCCTCTCCTGTCGTCTCTGTTACTTAGTGACACGTCAAGCAGGTGTTCCGACCTGTCTCAGTGGGCACGCCTAGCACGGCTAGCCATCCAAAGTTATGGATGTACCCAATTCTCTATCGAAGTAACGTCAGGACTTCATCGTAGCATGTCGCGTATCCTTGGACCTCGAGATGGGTGTATTCACGTCGAAGCTAAGGATCATGCTCAGGCTCGCGGCTTGATCTATCCCCTTCCCAGTGTTCCCACAGAAAATTCTTTGGACTGGTCGGATGACGAAGATTATTACAATTTTAACGATTTTACTATTGACACCGACTACGGTTTTGATTCGTCCGACTATGACAACCAGATGGAGTATTTAGCTGGGTTGTGAACGGTGAGGTTACATCTCGAACTTTTGCGTGTGGAAAGAAACGTGATATTGACCATCCTTTAGTGAAGAGATGTAAGTATATGTAATTTTCCGATGAATTTATGGGTGTCATTCGGAGGCGGAGCTGCTCATCGGTAACCTCGGGGGCTTTTGCGTTAGGTAGACTTCTCTATTCCAGACTAGTGGTGCTGTCTGTGACGTGCTTTGAGGAGATCAGTGTCATATTTATCAACTTGAAGAATGTAACCAAGTTGAACTACTCTACGTCACGTGCAGTGAAGTCTGGCCAGTGCGCAAATTGAAATTCGTCCTTATCCTAGCCGCCACTTTTCTTCTCGGAGCCCTTATAAATCTCTTTGCTTGAAGTTTGCTCTCATCACTTTGAAAGTACGAAAACCTGTCTTTCTCTATTCCGGTCATTTATGTTCTTCCCAGTCAGATATGGCGGCTGTCTCAAAGATAAACCAGCTTCCTGACGAACTTCTCGCCTTGATATTCTCTCCCGGTATTCGTAACTTGTCGTCCGACGAACATCAGCCCCTCCTGGCTCTGATATGCAGCGTCTGTCGCCACTGGCGAAATGTTGCTATCGAGGCCTCTGAATTATGGACCACCATTCACATTTCCTTGGAACGACACATTCCAGCTGCCCAGGCATTCTTAGAACGGTCAAAGGGCCGCCTCATCGACTTAGATATCAAGGCACTTAACGCTGATTCCGTGAGTTCTGCCCGCGAAGCCGCTGTGATAACTGCACCACACATCTCTCGCGTTCGGACTTTGGCGATGACTGTGGCACATTTCAGTACCTACACCATATTTTCGGATGCTTACCACTTCATCTCCGCCACAAATCTCACTAGCCTTTCTGTCAATGTCATAGGTTATCTGTGGCCATTACCGGGACCTTTTCCACTCTTTGCGAGTGCCAACTCCCTTTGTCATTTTAATACTCAGGGACATCTCATAAATGTCGTTTCTTCAAGGACCAGTCTCACCACACTGGAGCTCAGCAATTATTCTCCGACCCATGCAGACATCAAGAATTTGTTTTTCGAATCGCCATGTCTTGAAACACTTATCCTACACGGGTTTGATACAAACGAGCAACTGGATTTCGGAAATGAAGATGACACTCCTTTCATCATCACCGTGCCAACTTCTTTGAAATCCCTAGCAGTCTCTTTGTATCACCCGCATAGCAATGGCACGGGCTCGTGTGACTGCGTTCTTAGTTCATTATGTATTCCAAACCTGGAATATCTAGAGGTGGTCGGCAATACCGTCTTGGATATCGGCTTTAATGTTCACTTTGGGGAGCTGGCCAAGTTGCAGACGCTGCGTATCCAACGTTGTGCTGTAACATTGGCGGATAAAGAGTTCTTCCTCTCGCTGAAGGAGCTGAGACATTTGGAGTTGGTGGACATGTCATCTGAGTTGGATATACAACATATTACAGGAATTTCACCAGACGACCCCCCGTCATCTTCATTCTCCTCTTTTCCTCATCTATCCTCTGTCTTCTTTTCTACGGAAGGAGAATACACGCAGAGCGCGTTCCAGCTACTACAGCTCGCTGAGCGTCGTGTTGCAGCCGGATGTCCTCGTTTCACACTTGAAGTCGAACAAGCGCATTCCGAAGAATTTTCTAAAGCCATCCAGTCATTTATCCAGGATGTGCGCATTTGCGTTGCAGAGAGTGATGGCTCAGCTGGTCTGATACAATCAATGGGTGATATGATAGATGACCACCTTTTCGGGGACCAGGATGAGGAGGAGATGGACGAAGATGTGCATGAATGGGAGCCTGAGTATGAGGAATGGGGTGAAGAAGAGTATGATGCATTTGAATCCGAAGACGAGTTTTATGGTGAGGATCCTCCTGCTACATATATGTAGTATAGTGATGCCTACTTATGTAACCTTATTTCTTGGTAAACATTTTGGTCCGGAACGAACGAAACAAAATGTATTAGTGCGCTGCAGTAGGGGGAATTCGTGACAATGTCCGTTCAAAAAAGTCCACCGCTTTGGCGTCGAGCATTATGCGTCGCCATTTGAGCAACTCGTGAACGGTCAGCGCATTTGATGTCGTCAGCTTCACCTTTGGGATGTTTCGAATGGCTCTTTCCAAAGTTACAGGAATCTCCTCCTCTCCGGTGACAAACAACGTCTGATCCAGACCGAGATCCTCCAGTCTCTTGGCAAGGGTCTTCGTCTTGGGTTCTGGCCAGTCCATACTGAACATGACACCAAACTGCTGTTCCTTGACTTTTGCGCTGAGCGCAACCCGCATGCCCATCTGAATGACTTTCCTGGGCAGCTTGGTACTGAAATCGCGAGGCTTGGGACCGAACGCGATACCTCCACCTCTGAGCATAGGACTCTGGGCATCCCCAAGACGTGCTTTTCCAGTGCCCTTTTGAGGACGAATCTTCCTGCCCGAGCCACGAACTTCGCCACGAGTTTTGGTATTTGCGGAGCCTTGGCGGAGGGAATCACGATATTGCACGACACAGAGATGGAGGACATCACGTCGAATTGGGTGATTGAAGATAGTGGGGTCCAAAGCAACCAGCGTTTCTTGTGGATCGGGATCTGTGCGCTTGGGCTTAAAAGGTGCGCTAAGCGAAACGTATACGGGTTCAAGAGGCGAGGCCGCTGTACATGCCAAACTATGTGAGCACGTAGATACCTTGTCAAGGATACAAACACACACCTGTAGGTGGCGACGCCGGCACGCGTGATTGGACTCTCGACGACAACCGAGGCCTCGCGACTCCAGCTGGGCGAGGAACCGTTTGCGAAATCCTGGCGCGAAGTAATTGCCTGGGCGACCTCTAACGCAGTGTAAGTGAAGATGCTGATAGTATTTGCAGATAACGTACACGTCTGACTGTCTTAAGCATTGCAGTCGACTACGCTTGTGGAGGAATCGGAAGAAGAAGATTATTATGTCAGCGGCCGGCACATTTCGGCCGGATATTTCCGCTTCGGCATATGAAACTGTACAGTTTTTTGAGTCCTTCCCACGGCTCAATATTCCCCTCATCGACTGCACGCAGACAGGCTCGACGTCAAGATCAAGGTAGGTAGCCTATTGTTTCGGATGACATGCTGTTTATTTATTCTAACGTCTCTCTGTTAGATTCATCGTTAGGCCGTCGACCACCGACTATCCTAATCTCGCAAAATGGCTTCAGCAACCAAAGCCGTCCAGACGTTTGGAAAGAAGAAGGTGCGTTCGTGTGTCTTTCTGAAGGTGTTCTTAGTAACACTCGTGCTACAGACAGCAACTGCTGTAGCCCATGCCAAGGAGGGTCGTGGACTCATCCGTATTAATGGCTCCCCCATCAACCTCGTCCAACCCGAAATCCTTCGCCTAAAGGTGTACGAGCCTGTTCTCGTTGCTGGCGAGGATGCTTTCACTCCCCTTGATATTCGTGTCCGGGTGAAGGGCGGTGGACACACCTCCCAAGTGTATGCTATCCGCCAGGCCATTGCCAAGGCTCTCGTTGCATACTACGCAAAATACATCGACGCTTACAGCGCACTGGAGTTGAAGAAGAAACTGGTAGCGTATGACCGAACGCTGTTGATTGCCGACCCCAGACGGATGGAGCCCAAAAAGTTCGGTGGTGCTGGTGCTCGTGCTCGCAGGCAAAAGAGGTTCGTTTTTTTTTTGTTTTATTGGTTGTTGCGTTTTCTCATATCTGTGACAGTTACCGTTAAGTGGCTGTGGCTGTTTTGGAGGACTTGGTGTTACTATCTCAATATCATTCATTATGTCTCTCAGCTACTGTTATGCTATGCACCTTTTACTCGAGATTATATGAGTGTACCAATTTGCTTGATTGACAAGATTTGTAATGCCACGCTATGCATCACACCTGAATTTCAAGTTTGGACTGTCACGTCCATTTTAACTTTCTCTTGCTCTCTTCACTTCATGTACCACCATGAGTGTCAAATTATTGCCATCGCAGCCACTTGATGATTCCGTTTCTCCTCTATTTCTTGATGCTGGTGCCATCTTTGTTGATCCAGGTGCCGGAGGTATCATCGGACGCCCTAAATTGCTTCGCTTGTTGAGGGTATGCTCGTCTGATTGCTCTGTTTGCATCACATTGATATTGGTACAGAAATTGGGCGCCTTGCTCTGCCACGATCCCGGGAGTGCAAAGTATATTCTTGTTCACCCTCAGTCTAACACTGGACGCCAGTTTATTCGTGATTGGGGGACCGATGCCGACAAGATCGTTCTGAATCACCAATGGGTTCAAAAATGCTCTACTACTCGCAAAGTGCTGGGAGCTGACGACAACTGGGGGGGTTGTGCCACCCACGACGACGGGCTGCCCATCGGCTCACCGGATGAGAAGGATGTCAAGTGAGTCCAGGATATTCTGCGTATCATAACAGTCTAATCAACATACGCAAGAAGTCCCTTACCTACCCCCCGAGAAACACCCGTTGATATCAGGCCATCTCCAATGAAGAGCAGCTCTACAAAACGTACTCCGTCGAAATCCCCAGCTCAGTCTAAGCCTGAATCTCCTACAAGTCATCCTTCTCCACCACGTACTGCGAACGATACTCAGACTTCTGTTTCTATTGTTCCGCCAGCGTTATCAGATACCTCTTCGAATATTCCACAAGTGTACCAGAATATCATGTCTCAGCCTGGAGCTTCTGTCGGCTCTGCTGCACCGAATCCGCCTTTTTTCCCACCGCCCATGATGCATCCAGACATGATGCAACAGTTCTTCCACCAAATGAATTTGATTAACCATATGATGCAGCAGTCTATGCCTGATCATCGACACCCTCTGTATGGCGCACTGGTCGATTCTTGTAGAAACCACCTTGGTCAAATTTCCCAAGAGCAATTTTCCTTTCCACCCAATAACTCAGCTCATTCATTGCGTTCACCCGCCTACCATTGTGAAGCACAACAACTAGACTGTTCTACTTCTACTTCCCTTTCCCGCTCGCACTCTCTGGAATCCTCCGTACCAATCCAATCCTCGTCCCAGAAATTCAGCTCGTCGAAGGAAAGCGCCAGAAATCAATCGCCTATCCCGCGCTCACCTACCATGCCATCTGCGAGGCCATCCCAATTACCTACCGCTGCCTCACCTGCTTCGAATATCTTGACTGATCCAGAGACGGGTGAAGGCTTGAACTTTTTCGTTGAAGTAAACATGGGATTTAGTACACAGCGTTCTGTGACTACTGCCCAGATCAAGGTACCCACTTTTTTTGATTTTACTACGCTATATCTTGATGCGAACCTCGCAGAAACACGGAGGTAAACTGGCACACCAGAAAGAACTCGCAGATTATTGCATCCTCAGTCAGAAGTGCAAGACTTTCAATACCGACCTCAGCGAAGCTGTTTACTATGATGTACCAGCTGTCAACGCGTCGTTTGTGACCGACTGCGTCAACGCGAAGCGGCTTCTTGACCATTCCGATTACCTTTTCGATATACCTCCCAAATTACAGAATAAACGCAAAGGACATCAAAAGCAGCACAAACAGGGTGGTACGCCAGTCAGGGCGGAGGTAAAGGCAAAGGTGGAGAGGAAATGGATAGAAGAGAACCTGAGCATGTCCCAAAACAAGAGGTTGAATCCAGAAGAAGACGATAAACTGCCGAAACGGCGCAAGACCGGATGCGAGTCTACCCATAGTCAACCAACACTGAGGCCTATTGCTTCGGGTCAGGACTTAAGATCGCCTTCACCACCACCAGAACATACCCGTGTACTTTTCTCCGAAGGGAGATACCGGTACACGCTAGAGGAGCGAGAATATGTCCAAGCCTATGCTGAGGTCCTCCTCAAACGTGACATTAATATCACGAATATTGCTATTGCCGACCGACTTTTCAAGAAGGTATTGCTCGCATCCTTGTAATTCTAACTAGACTAATCTTCCAAAAGATGCCTCATCATTCCAATAAATCCTGGCGCGAACAGATCCAGAAGCATGACGGATTTCGCACTGACATTGAAACCCTCCGAAAGAGAGTCGGCATCGCTCAACGACTGAAGAGGAAGAAAGCTCCAGTTGTCGAACAAAACCTTTTTATCGAGGAGGCTCCTCTGCCAGCAGCAGCAAGCCCTCTTCCTTCTGCTGATATCCAAACAGGCCCGCCGCAACGGAACCTTTTTGAAGAGGACCTGAAGGCTATTGTTGATTTTTTTGCGTTAGACGGCGCAGACGAGGATGAAGATGAACCCGATGTTATTTGGGCAAAGCTGACGAGCAAGGTGAGCTCTTCAGTCTATTCTTCATGCCTTTTGTCGTAATCATTTGAGAAGATGACCTGCCAAACGGCGGCATCATGGGCAGACTTCCATTGCCAGCACCATGTCGAAATACAGCGGCGTTATGAACTTCTTGCAGAAAGTAACAATGACGGGACGTAGGTATCCGCGTGATGATAATTAGTTTTCTTGATTGTATGATTGCATTGTCGATGATGAATTTACTTTGAGGGTAAATCTACAACCAAGTCTGGGTTCTTGAAGAATTTCCGCCGCTTTTCAGGATCTATTGGGCCTCCTTCCGTTGATGCCAATTTGCCAGCATAGTCATATGTTCCCATGACTGCACCCATGAACGCGCATCCACCTAATGCGACAGGAAAAGAACGCGCTGCAATGTCAATGAGATCGCGGATTTGAAAGTGTATAACAAAGAATCAGATACCTCGTAGGCCGGCGAGAAATGCAGCAGCACAGGCTCCAGCCGCGGTGTTCAACGAGTCGTCCGTCTGCCGTTGGTTGGCAACAGCAGCGCCTGTGTATGCAAAAGTAGCACCCATAGCGGCTACAGAACACTCAGCGCACACTTACAGCAATACAGACTATTACGCACCAAAGAAACCAATTGTACCGCCTGTCCGTGTCAACACACCCGCTGCACCATATGAATGGTTTCCAAGCGCATTTTGCAAAGCGCTAACGAGTGTCCCGACTGCAGCAGCCTGTAAGCCGGCAGTTGTCGCTTTGTTTAGCGGGCTTTTGGGTGTGAACTCCGCCATGGGAGGTGTAATGAAAGATGGGTGAACTCGTTACGAGCGTATTTGGCGAGGGCATCTGATCCAAGCAACGGACCCCGGCCCAATCAGCCAATGGACCTTTCTAATTTTCTAGTTTTCATTATCTACTCCGATGGCGTCCATGAGTGCCGAAGAATACGACAAACTTTCGCCCGAGGAACGGCAGAAAAAGGACAAGGAAGATCGCGCAAGGGAGGCCAGGGAGCAGGCTGGTATGGCCTATCTGCTTCATATAGTTTTGTTCGTTCATATTTCTATGCTAGAATTACCGTACACTTGGACTCAAGAACTAAGTGAAGTTGATATTGTCGTTCCCATTCCAAAGGGGACCCGTGGCAGAGATGTCTCCGTTACTATTCAGAAGAAAAAACTGAGTGTCGGTCTGAAAGGGAAAGAGAAGATTCTCGACGGCGAACTTTGCAAGGAAATCAAGGTGGATGACAGCACTTGGACGCTTCGTAAGTGAAATGTTGCCATCGGAGCAGATGCTTATATCTCTTATTAGAGGACAACGAGGCCATTTATATCCATCTTGAGAAAGTGAACAAGCAGCAATGGTGGGGAAACGTCCTTACCCATCATCCCAAGATCGATACCACCAAGATAGAACCTGAAACCAGCAAGCTCAGCGATCTTGACGGAGAGACAAGGTACATTCTTTCCTGCTGTTTTTGTTTCTTCTAAATGATCCATGCAGGGGAATGGTAGAGAAGATGATGGCAAGTAACGCAATAATAAATCTTCTGATTTTGCTAACGACGTCTTCGTGGCCACTAGTTTGACAACCAACAGAAGGTAGGCCATGCTTACAATCTTGAGTATTGCGCTTATGACTATATAGCAAATGGGAAAACCAACGTCCGATGAACTCAAGAAGATGGAGGTCAATTACTCGTCATTGGTAACAGCGACCTTTCTCTAATTCCCCCAAATAGGCTCTTCAGAAATTCCAGGCCGCCCATCCAGAACTAGATTTCTCGAACGCGAAGATTACATGATCGCTGGTTGTGTGCCCAGCTGATCGTTCTATCAGTTTCCCAAGCAAAAAAGTATCAGAGCAAATGACCAAGTAGCTAAACAAATCTGTAACACCAGTCTATGAAACTTTTTGGCGTTTACCCGTTCCACGCCGCGCAGGATGAGAACTTTTTCGTTTAACACTTTCAACCAGACTTTGCAGATTCCGGTGACCACCCGTCCCGCCTTTCTTTGGAGTTTTATCCAAGGACTCATTTTCGCCTCGATTCGCCTGCCTACGCTTGCCCCCCTCTTCCAGCAACGCAGACATACTTTTTGTTCTCTTGAATCTATGTAGAAATCGTGAGATCGATGACCCCAAACTAAAGCAGTAGACTTACTGAGGATTGCTAGGATCAATCGCAAAGTTGGGATCTTCGTGAAGAACACTAAAGCGGACATCTTTGACATCGAGTGTGAAATCTGGTTGAGTCTCATCATTAGCGTCTTGTTCTCGAGCTTTCTTGCCCCTCTTATCCTTCCGTTTTGACTTCTTCTCAGCCTTCAGTACAGCTTTTAGATCGAAGTGCTTCCGTCCCTCGTCTCCATCCGCCAGTTTCTTGAGCTCTTCTAGGCTAACGGATTCTTTGGTTTGGGGAGGTGCGGGCTCATCGTCACTGGCAGCATCGAAGAAGTCGTCCCTGCCAAGTTCGCTGTCGCCCTTTGGAGGTGGTTCTAGTCCTTTAGCACGCCGCTCAGCTTTGTTCTTCCGTTTTTCCTTCATTTTGCGCCGGTATTTTTCGATCGTGGTTTCATCTTGGTCACCTTTAGACTCCGACAACGCGGGGGTGAAAGTTATCTCCATATCGATATCAGAGCCCTCGTCTTTGTCGCCGGCTCGAGCCCAACCCTCTGGCAAATCATCGTTTCCACCCAATAGCAGTGCACGCAATTTATCTCGTGATTGAGCTTTTTGTTGGGACTTCTTTTGTGCGGTGTCTTGTCGTTCATCTTCCCCTTCAGACTCTGAGGAAGAAGCAAGGTAAGAGTTGAAATGACCGTCTTCTATCTCCTTGCGAGATAATGTCCGTCGGGTGACTAGGTTGCGCTCAGGGTCGTCCTCGTCCCAAGTTAGCTTTACTTTAGAATGTCGTAGAGCCTGATAGATTATAAGTGACAAGAAGCTACCCAACAGACATAGAAAGACGTACGTCTGTGACGAAGTCAAGTCCCTTATATGTAGCAAAAGAATCCTCCATAGTTTCATCCCTAATATATCGTGAGCATTTATATCTTTCGAAGAATGATGACTACCTGAATTCATCGTCAAAAACCATGTCTTCTGGTACGAAGCTTAGGTCAAAGACATTTGCAGATCGCTCCAACTCTGTGCCCTCCAACTCATCATAGATGTGCGATGCTGCATCAACAGAATCGCAGGTAATGACGGCGTAGTAATATCTGCGACAGGCATAAATAAGCATGGATAGAAACGGTCCAGGAACAACACGTCTGACCGTAAACGTTCCAGCTGGTATTTGCGTAGAGCATCCTCGTTCAATTCATTTTCATCGCCAACCTCGTAAATATTACGGTGGTTGACTTCCTCACTCTCGTTCTCCTTTTTCTTGAAGACTTCAGCAGGCGGCCCCTCCCTCTCCTCGCGAGCCATACGTTCTTTCCCAAATTCGCTTGGATAGACGCGAACATTCAACACCTGACCACGAACTATCTCGCTGGTAGCGTTGACGTGTTTTTTTGATTTTTCAGTACCACGGGACGATGAAGCAAGTGCAGGAGCGGTGAGGGAAACAAGTGAAGAACAGACTTTAAATAGATGACTGGCGCGAATGTGGTCCCAATCCAGGTTCACAGCTGCGAGTCGACGAGTTCTTGCACCTTCCTGAGCTTCAGTTTCAGGGTGATCTCTGGCGTATGCTGCTGCTTGAGCGGACAAGTCGGCGTACTCCGACTCATCCAAGTCGATCTCCGGTTCCTCTTCATCTTCATTTTCGTTCCGGCCAAGTATCACAAAACCATCTTCGGCGTCACTTTCAGCGTCCTCTTTCTCCGATTCTTCCTCGTCCGATGATTCCAAGAGCACTTGTCCTCGAGCATAATCTATCGGTTTTGGTTCCTCGACGCCGCCTTCATCTCCGTTCTCCAGTCGATAGAACCGCCGCAGGTTGTCTTGTTCATAACTATCAGAGAGACGGCGACCGTACTTGTCAACGCGGGCTATTGAATGATAAATGTTACATCTCGACCAAGTTAAAGATAAATTGCCTTACCAGCGGATTTATTCTTGGGCTTTTTTTCTTGGGCAAAGACGGATTTGAAGCGATCGTCGATAACAATCTTTGAAATATTTTTTCGAGGACGTCTAAATCGTGGATCTGACCGTAGTCGAGAGAAACGGGGGTCGGAAGACATGAAAAGAGTCAGATAAGGCACTCCCGAGTTGGCCGCGAAAATTGAGGACAAATGACAGATGACCACACGGGTGATGATCGCGTTGTCAGGGGCTACTTAGTATAAAATCTAGTAGAGCTACTTGTTCCCACCCTATTCTTCCTTTCCCTTTCACTTCAGCCTTGTAAGCGATATTTCATCGACATTTCCAACGCTCATTTCAGTTTATTCTCCAGTCGTTTTATTTTCTTCACCGGGCCTGGACGCCTGAGGATTCACCTTCTTTCCATCTTCGACCCCACTTGTTCGTTCATCATGCTCGCCCGTGCGACTCTCTTTGCATCATTCGCCACCCTGTTGGCATCTCAAGTTCTTGCTCATCCTCTGTTTCTACAAGTAAGCCATTTCGCCTCTATGTCAGGATATATTTTGTTGATTCGCTGTTTAGCGCCAGGCCGTTGCTCGCTCCCCAGCTCCTCTGGATCTCATCACCGCATACCCTGCTGACGTATCCAAGAGGCAAATATCCCCCGAGATCCCAGCCAGAAGCATTGATGGTGTCATAACTCTGTACGACAAACGCGCCGATGTCCCAGTTCAAGACGCTGCCAAAAGTCCTGACGGGAATATCGTTCCGTATGACAAACGTGCCGATGTTCCAGTTCAAGACGCTGCCAAAAGTCCTGATGGGAATATCGTTCCGTATGACAAACGCGCTGATGTCCCAGTTCAAGACGCTGCCAAAAGTCCCGACGGGAATATCGTTCCTTACGATAAACGTGATGTTCTCGTTCAGCTGGCTGCGAAAAGCCCCGACGGAAACATCGTGCCATATGACAAGCGAGATGTGCCCGTCCAAGACCCTTCCAAGAGTCCTGATGGGAACATCGTCCCGTACGACAGACGAGATATTCCCCTGCATCTAGCAGTCAAGTCTGTCCGTGGAAAGATCGTGCTTTATTAAGTGGTACGTCCCTTTCCCTACATATATCTCTAATATCTGATGGACAAAGAAGTGGTGCATGTGCATTTGTGTTGCAAGTCAAAGGAGGTGCGCTGGCGGTACAGGACTTTTTTCAATACGTGAATGTAGATAGCGTATTTACAATCATACTTTTACCTTTCAAATCTTGAAGTGTCATATATCAGCGTGCATGTCCAATGTTGCAAAGGTCAACTAAAAATGATTCCTGCGCCATATCCATATACTACCCAGTGATCCCGTTCCTACAATAACCCGACCTCCAAACCCCATCGAACAGGACACAAGGGTCTCCTTCATATCATTGACAACTCCAGGAACTGTACGATTACATTCCTGGAGCATTACTTCCCACCCTTCTGGACCTGGTGGTTGCTCCTTAACACGGCGTGCAATCACATCTTCATCCGTCAACTGCATCCTCTCCGTAAGTTCAGCTACCTCATCCTCATCCCAGGTATATGGCGGCACATTGCGGGGGTCGAAATGGGAAACATTATACATGGTGATGGTGTTCGATTTTGGGCGTGTGAACAATACGAATGGACTATGTTTTTCACTCCTGAAAATAGAAAGCCGTGGTGGGTTGTAAAGTTCTAGACACTCCGTGATGGAGTAGACAGATAAAATTTTGAATGAAGCTGAATATATATTTCAATGCAGTCGATGATGATATGAAGGAAATATTCTTACCACTTTGTTGATAGTCCTGACAACGTCTTTATTAGCGATGATGGTATAAAGATCAGTGAACTTACCGACGCGCATCCACGCAGAACTTCTTGATCTGGAGGCTTGGTTGCAGGGAAAAATCTATTAAGACTTAGCCAGCGCCACAAGACAATGGTCCCCGGTTCGTTGTACGTGGTCTTGTTGCCTATGGCAGCGGGGTACACACGCATCATGGCAGGCGCACAATGAGATATTAGCATATCATCCTCTAGCCTAGTAATCGTCAGACAAGAAACCTAGATATGCCCCAAAGGTGTAATTACCATGAGACAGATATGACCCGTGATTTATGCAGTCTGCTACTACTGAAAAGAGGCTTGTCCTGTCGGAGCAGAGGGACGCTATTCTTGGATGTCTTATGTCGGACTAGCTGGGGTGGGAGGTGCCAAATTTTGATGAATCGATCCATCTGTTGACAATTAGATCATCTTTTTACAACAAGGCTTCGAGGACTCGCTCCACATGTCGCTAAAAGTGGTTGCCTTGGATGAAAATCCTACAGATACTATGTGTCAGAGAAGGAGACGCGAAGCAAGCGTGCTACGAACAGCTCCTAGCACTTCACCTTGATGTCCTCCAGATCTGCCACCCATGAGAACCAGAACACATCGCCCTATACCATCTGCGGGTCCTTCTGCTTGGCTCATGTCTAGACCATGGGCGGGTCCAGCCAGACTAGGTTGCTTATTCGGAGGCCAATGAGGATTGGACGGCCGCTGTTTGGGTTTCAGCGTGAGATCGTACACTCGTGTTGAGAAGTCTCTTGAGGTGGTACAGAAAAGGTGAGGCAACTTTGGGTGGACGGCCACGGATGTTATTGGCTGCACAACAAATGATGATGAGGACGTAATGGTGCAGAAGGAAGACATACAGCACCGTGTCCCCGAAGCTGACTGACTATTTGGTGCTTCTTGACGTCGTAGATAAAGACCAGGCCAAGATATGAGAGTATTACGAGCGGATCAAGCCACTTGTCTGAACTGAGAGCCCAGGCAACATTTACAACGTCAGTCGCAAGAGCCCTGACTGTTAACATACTGGAGTAAGTGGTTGTAAGGATCCAAAGGCACTATAGTCAATCACAGGAGCGTGTAACAGGCAATGAGATTGAAATAATGGGTTTTGAACTTTGTAGGTGCAAAATGTATGCTCCCTTATCGCCAACAAGTAGGACCGCGTCCCGAAATTCGGAAATCATTGCATTCCATTCATCAGAAGACTCCTGAAAGAAACCATTCCAGAGGGTGCTTAGAGAGCCGGCGGTCCAAGGGAAAAATACACAAGTGTGTAGTATTTTGCTCGGCTGTCGAGACTGGAAAATCTGGATATTAGGTATGGACAAGAGGATAGGTATTGACCTACGAATACTTGCTTGATAAACTCAAAGGGCGGTTCAGCGCCGAGGTCGTTGTACCAGGGCATTATTAGAGGGAGGCCAGACTTTGGTCGTGTTTACCTTTCATCGGTCCTCTGACGCTCAAAGTCCCAGTGGTCGGCGAGTCAGTCCCTTGCCACCTCTTGCTCCCTGACATTCTCAATTCCATTTTGAATGGCCAGCGCCGACCCATGGTCAGAGTTTGAAGTGCGTCTCTCTGCTTTCTCCGTTCATGACTACACGACTTGACGCCAATGTCGCAGATTATCCGGCACAATGTCAAGTTGAACACAGTCGACAAACTGAAGCAAATTCTCGCTGGACTGAATGACGAGTGTGGTGTCTACTTACCGAGGACTGGTAAAAAGCAAGAAATTATCGATCGCATCGTGTCTACGCTGGATAACTGGAAGGCACAGAACTACCTGGACAAGTGGGCCAAGGCCCGGGCCATTTTATATCAAGTGCGGACTTTCGGCGTGTAAGTTGTTTTTCGCGTTTGCACCGTGTTTTTGGCGCGGTTGGCACGCCTCTGTGGCGTTACTCTGTCGCTGATTCACTTTCAGCTATTCGCCAGCCCGGCCATCAACTTCGAACGCGTCCCCTCCCACCGCCAACCCCGTACATGCCATGAAGCCCCCCCCTTACCCTGCTCACAATACCCTCCTAAATGGTCATTATGACCCGTATCCACCTCCTCGAAAACCCTCGGGCTCACTCCCTTCGACATCTGGCCCTCCTAAGCCTCTCACGTCTAAACCAGGTCGGCTCTTTCTCATGTCCAATGTCGCATTCTTCCTTACCACTTCGCTTCCAGTATTGCGTTTCAAGGATTCCCCATTTTTCGAAATTGACCAACCTGTATCGTCCGTGGTGGAATGCCCAGGTAATCTCCCTATCCTTCCATTGTCTGGTCAGTCTCATTGGCTCGATAGAATCAAACAGCTCCACGGATCGTCGGCAGCAGAATGTCATGTTCGCCTTGACTAACGATCAGATCGCTAAGCTCAAGTCCCACAGGTGATATCAGTTTATCCCTTCTCTGCGCTCGTTAACAATATGCGCAGCCCGAAATATGAACTACGTCTATATTGCACCTCATCGATATTTTATTCTCCTAATCCCACATTCCGTACCAACACTGCTCCTTGTCTTATAGAATTTCCGCCGACATGCGAAGTTCGTGTCAATAACGTACAAGTGACGGCCAGTCTCAAAGGTTTGAAGAAGAAACCGGGAACAGCCCCACCACCTGACTTGGGAAAATACGTCAGGATGGGTCCTAGTTCGAACAAAGTCGAGATGGTATATGTGAACAGCCAGCAACCCGTCCAGTCTAAAGTAAGCTATACGCAATCTGCCCGGCTGAGCTGATTCTGGTCGAACAGAAATTCTATCTTGTCGTTATGCTTGTGCGGACTACGCCGGTGGAATCGCTGGTGGATAAGCTTGCACAAACGGGCTACACGGATGCAAAAGATATCCAAGCAAAGAGTTTGTAACTTTCATCGAGTTTCATAAGCTTTTTTTAATCCTGTGCGCAGTGAAGGCATCGATGTCAGACGACGATGATATTATCGTCGGTCCTCAGAAAATGTCCTTGAAGTGTCCGGTAAGTAATGCAGTCCCTCTTTATAACGCACCTCTTATTTTTTTGTCGTAGTTGAGCTTTATGAGAGTTCAAACACCTTGTCGGTCTTCTAAATGCGTGCACCCCCAGTGTTTCGATGCTACTTCTTGGTTTTCCATGATGGAGCAGACGACGACGTGGCTGTGCCCTGTTTGCGAGAAAGTTCTTGATCACAAAGACCTCATTATCGATGGGTACATACATAGCGTTTTCTTCGGAATGCTCCTGCGGTTGACCATATTATTTGCAGCTACTTTGATAGCATTCTGCATCAATGCCCAGACAGTGTAGACGACGTTTTTGTTGAGGCTGACGGTGAATGGCATACGGCTGACTCGAAATATGGTTCTGCCCCATGGAAAGCGAAACACCCTCCCGACAAGCCTACTATTTTATTGCCACCTCGTAGACCTCTTTCTGCCGTCAAAAGTTTATCTCTATCGAACGGCAAACCCCCTGCGGGTCCAGAAGACAAGCCTCGGCGCCATCCTTCCGAGATTGTAATCCTGGATTCGGACGATGAAGATGAAGGCAGGGTTAAGCGCGAGCTCTCTGTTTCGTTTGGAAACTCTTCAAGCCCCTCATTGCCGGACAGCCAATCGACCACAGCGCCACCACCTTCGGCAGCTCAGTCGCAAGCTGCTTCAGTTATCGATTTGACATTGGATGACTCTGACGACGAGATTATTCAAAGCAAAACAGCTGGGAAACGAAAGGCAGCAGACGCCGAACTGACATCGGTGTCGCCGACGGAGCCTATATGGAAGAAAGGGCGAACGGAAAATGACCGGTCCGCGCCTGTACCCCTCACAGCGATTGATCGAGACTATATTAGGACTGCTCACCAATCCCCTCATCAGTATCATCCATCTCCTGTCCACGTCGCAAGCAATGGCGGCGGTGGGCACTTTGGACCATTTTACTCGAGTACAGGTCATCACTCCTCATCGATCTTTGGAAACGGGTACTTGGATCGAGACAGGCTACCGTCCACGTCAGGACACCCGCCATCATCTTATATCTCGAGGGTAACGGGGAGCTCGAGTAGTAGTCGACCGTGGTCATGACACTGTACGTATTATTGCATATCCTACACATTGACTTAACTTTCCATCTCTGATTTTATTGGTAGCCGTAGTACATGTAATGCAATGGTTTTAAGCCTAAGTAGTGTACGAAGTCCGTTCTACTCGTGCACAAGAGTAATAATAAACAACCGTTTGTCGCCGCGGTCCGTTGCAGTACCTGAAATGTTGGTGCGTGCCGCCAGCACGGAAGTTAGATTCGAGCGGAGATCAAAACGATCCGAATGATTCCGAAAAGCTTTTTCACCGGCAACTTTTTTCTACTCTCTCCTCTTCCAACCACCTTCATCCCCACTCAGTCTTCCATTTCTCCTCTCTTCAAAAATGTCTGACGTGAAGAAGGGCAAGACGCCTAAGGAATTCGCTGGTCCGTCGCTGTCATTTTTGTCCTCTAGGACGTGCCCCCTCATCGTCACAATTTACAGTCGATTTCCTTATGGGTGGTGTCTCTGCTGTAAGCAGCTATTCTGCCTTGCGTTTCTCTACGGCAGTCTCAAAGATTCTTTCTAGGCTGTTGCCAAGACCAGCGCTGCACCAATTGAGCGGATTAAACTGCTGGTCCAGAACCAGGATGAAATGGTAAATTTTATGTCTCGTGCTCGTGTTTATTAGCTAACGACTCTCGGTCTCTTTCAGATCAAGCAAGGTCGTCTTGCCACTCCTTACAAGGGTGTTACCGATGCCTTCAAGCGTACCTATGCCGATGAAGGCCTTTTGTCGCTGTGGAGAGGAAACACCGCTAACGTCATTCGGTATTTCCCTACCCAGGCTCTGAACTTTGCCTTCAGTCTGTTGATCCTTCACCTCCAATTGTCGTGACTCTCATACTTTCCGCAGAGGATTACTTCAAGGCTTTGTTCGGTTTCAAGAAGAATGAAGGTTACTGGAAGTGGTTCGCTGGCAATGTCGCTTCTGGTGGTGCTGCTGGTGCCTCTTCCCTCCTCTTCGTCTACTCTTTGGATTACGCTCGTACCCGTCTCGCTAACGATGCCAAATCGGCTAAAGGTGGAGGAGAGCGTCAGTTCAACGGCCTTGTTGACGTGTACAAGAAAACTCTGGCTTCGGATGGCATCGCCGGTCTCTACCGTGGTTTCGTCCCCTCCGTTGTTGGTATCATTGTCTACCGCGGTCTCTACTTTGGTGTCTATGACTCACTCAGTAAGTGGATGGATACCTGATTTTTCGTCCGTTATCTTTACGATGTCTTTCAGAGCCCGTTGTTCTCATTGGTCCTCTTGAGGGTTCCTTCTTGGCTTCATTCGGTCTTGGTTGGGGTGTTACTGTCGGTGCTGGTCTCGCTTCTTACCCTTTGGATACCATCCGGTATGTTCCTGACCTTTTCCTCTGGATGATCGAAAATATTTACATAGCCCGTAGTCGTCGTATGATGATGACTTCCGGATCCGGTGTCAACTACAAGTCTATGTTTGACGCTGGTTCTCAGGTGTGTGGTTTTTATGCGTCAAGTCTCGGCATCTCATCACCTGTTTTAGATCATTGCCAAGGAGGGTGTCAAGTCTCTGTTCAAGGGTGCTGGTGCCAACATTCTCCGTGGTGTTGCCGGTGCTGGTGTGCTGTCTCTATATGACAAGCTCCAAGAAGTCATGTTCGGCAAGGTCTACTCTGGAGGTGAGGATGGATATCTCTCACATGATATCCTCGTCTCTAACATGTTGTATCAGGATCTGGTTAAACGCTTTAATGGAATAGTACATTGTTTATTCTCACATCCTTCACGATTTTCTTTGCTGCTAGACTCTTACATCTTTTTATTCAATTACTGTCCTGTTAGGTATCGCTATGGCTACCTTATAAAAGACCTAGTACAGAATGCATCCCGGATAAAAAGCATATACACTAACTCAGATTTGAAATTTCTGTTTAGTTTTGTTTGGATGATGATTTGTCCTCTTGCGCCGGTTGTCTAAACTCTAAAACTCTTGGCTTCGTACGTCCATGTCGGAAGGTGTATGACTGACATGCTTGTGCAGTTCATACGTCGACGTGGATGGTATGTTCCATGGCAATATCGCCGACACTCGACTGCAATCACCCTTCGACCGTACCAGCAGCAATGTATCGACGAATGTGTCGACGCGCTCGCGACTGGCGCGTCACGGATAGGCGTATCTCTACCCACTGGATCCGGGAAGACGACCGTGTTCATTTCGCTTTTATCTCGTCTTCCTCAGGTGAACGAGCATGGGAAAAGATCTCTTATCATCGTAAGCAGCGTAGAACTTGCTAGGCAATCTGCCGAACAAGTTGTGCGAATGTTTCCTCATTGGTCAGTTGAGATCGAGCAGGGAGGCAAGCATGTTGCGTCAGGCAGAGCGGACGTGCAAGTTTTCCCTATAAATTTCAGTTCTCTGCAGTCCTCATCATTTCACAGAACTATCGCGACGTACCAGACACTGAACCAACCTGACCGTATCAAAAAATTCAAACCGGCAGCACTGAAAGGTATCATTATCGATGAAGCACATCACGCAGCAGCACCTTCGTATGTGTGTTGTTGACGTCCTTATTGAGCCTAAAATGAGTAGCTGCCCTGTCCAGCTATCGCTGTATTTTGTCCCACTTCGACGCGGATATCCCACACCCGGACGCGCTTCCAACGGCGGCAGACCCAGCCCACAAAGTTCCCATCGTTGGGTTCTCTGCAACATTCAGTCGTCACGACGGCTTGAAACTGGGTGTGGTGTTTGAAAAAATTGTCTACCACAAGGACTTTTTGGCTATGATCAAGGATCAATGGTGAGTGATTGTACTTTGCTATCTATTAATAGCGATGATGAATTGTCAGGCTTTGCCCAGTGCGCTTCACGACTACTAGGGCGGATTTAAATCTCGCCAATGTCACCGTTAACTCTCGAACCGGTGACTTCAATGCAACAAGTCTAGCTCACGTTGTCAATACAGAAATGATCAATACCCTTGTTGTTCGAACCTGGTTAGAGAGAGCAGGTATGCTCGCGAATCATTTCTTCCAATTCCTGTATCTGATACTTATTTTTCCTAGCGACACGCAGATCCACCCTTATATTCTGCGTCAATGTTGCCCATGTTGTATCTTTGACCCAAGCCTTTCGTCAATCTGGAATCGATGCAAGATATATTTATGCCAAAACACCTGCACCTGAGCGCAAGGCTTTGATTGCCGCATTCAAAGCAGGCAATTTCCAGGTTCTCATCAATTGTGGTAGGCTATTAATCCGATCCTGGCTTAACATGCATTCTTATAATTCCTTCTGGAAAGCCATCTTGACGGAAGGCGCTGATATCCCTAATATCGACTGTGTTATGGTGGTACGGCCCACGCGGTCGAGGAATCTTTTTGCCCAGATGGTGAGTTAGAGCGTGCCCCCATAATTTTGAAACTCACAACCATTGTAAAGATTGGCCGAGGAATGCGATTATCTCCCGAATCAGGAAAAGAAGATTGTAGGATTATCGACTTCGTTGACAGCAATGCTCGGGTTGCAGGAGTCATCTCCACGCCCTCTCTCTTCGGCTTAGACCCCAATGAGGTTGATATCAATGGTGTGTAGTCTTTCTATATGTACTACCTTCGGAACCGACTCCAATAGATGAAAGTTTGGAGTGGATGAAGAGGCGCACTAAAGACGCGATTTCCTCCGCTGGTTATGACGCAGAGAACATCCCCAATCCCGATACGGTGACTTATATTGACTACGACGACCCGCTTTCTTTCCTGAAGTTACCATCCGACTCTCCTCATGTCAGAAGTCTCAGCAACAATGCTTGGATCGTGATTGGAGAGCAAAAGTTTATTCTCGAATGCCTTGGCCAGGGGTTCATCAAAGTCGAGCTGATGAAAGACTTAGAAGACGCGGGTCAGGATTTTCTCCCCAGATCTCCTCTTTATCTGATCTTGTTTGCTCAGAAAAAGAGCCGTATTGGAAGGCCACGTTTACCCCGGCAAGCGTGGATAAGACAACTGCTTATCAACTCAAAATAAGTCCATATATGCGCCCGCGAAAAGTATGCCAGTCATTGTCGTTAGATGAAGCCATAAAAGCTTGTGATACATATGCCAAGGCTAAGGCTGTACGCGGTCCCATGGCCAAAGGGTTCGTCGTGTCACGATTTTCTGTTTTCTCGCTCATCTTCTCGTAAATCCAGACTCTTGAGAAATGCTCATTGGAGAAAAACTCCTGCCACTGACAGCCAGAAGATTATCGTGGCCAAGCGATATAACCTTTCTGCACAAGATATTGGCTTGGATGTTGCTGATTCCAGGGCTTCATTGATTTCAAAAATGACGAAAGGCCAAGCAGCTGACATTATCACTCGCCTCAAGCACGGAGCTTTGGTAAAGCCTTCATCTGGAGCATGATAACAAATTTTGCTTACTGTCTTTTCAGGGCCTGCATATGCAGCGAATGAAAGAGGCCAAGAAGGCGCGGAAAATTTACGATAGAGAGACGCAGCGCCGTTTACGTGAGACCGTCATGGTCGGGCAACTCTCTGATAAATAATTAAAATATTCTTATATTTGGAGATCTGACAAAGCTGGGGATACGGCCCGCTGACTTTTCAGTGTCAGCACAGCTGCTTGCTGAGCGGTGTCGATGATTGCTTCAAGGAGTTTGGGCTCGTCCACCGACAAAGGCTTCCGGAGTAAATGCGCCAGAACCGACCCCACAAACGAATCCCCCGCACCAGTAACATTCATGATATCGTCGACCGGTAATGGCGGGAAATGTTTCATCACAACCATTTCTCCCGGCTTTCCTTGTGCGACAATGCATCTGTCGCCGCGATCATGTTCTTGTTTCCAGGCAGATGCCTTCGACGAATCAGTAGCGGATAACCTCATGGCGACAACCACTCCCAGTTCTCCACACTTAATGATGAGGTGTTGTATGAATGGGAGCAGATTGACAGCCATACTCGCTATTCCTTTTTCCACCATGAAGGAGAGTGTTCCCTTCGATGGATCAACTGTTGATACCGCTTTCCTTGCTAGTCGTTCCAAATCCGTACGGTATTGTTGCCCTAATGCCATGTTATCTGCGATTTTCCACCACATGGGGTGGGACATCAAGTCATAAGGTTCTTCCCGTGCAACACGATATATCTGAGCTAGCTCAAGGAGATTGGGTGACGCGAATGTGATCGGGGCAACCGTTGGGTCCATCGTTGAGACTAATCCCTGTATGGATTGCAAAATGCTCGTCGATTTCGTGATCGATGTCGGTTCACTAAATAGTCGGATGTCAGCTCTTGCAAGTTGGGGTCTTAATGGCAACCCACAAAAAAGCTGATGTGTGCATGTCAATCAAAGCTAGCCATCAGAACAAACTGGTAGACTGACTCTTTATTCCTTGCGAATAACAGAAATTCGCCACAGACTGTATAGTTGCATGTGATAAATTACCGTCAAACGCCACTATAGCGGGTTTGTGCTTTTGCAAATGCTCCAAAACCTATTTTGGCATAGCATGAGAGAAACTATGGGCTACTGAAATATGACCTTACAGCAGTCCCTTCAAACGCTTCGGTGATTCCCATATCTGCGACGCCAGTCAGAAGATGTCCCTCAGCGTCTACGAACATGTTGCAGACTGATGTCTTGAGCTTGGACTTCACCAACCCATCCGATCTCATGCCTATGGTTTTCGTTTCATCTTCAAGTAGTCGGCCAAAGGCATCATTTCCCACAGGAGAAAGAAGGAGCGTGCTGTTGGAATCGCGAGTTACACGATGCGACGCCTCGGCGATGTTTCGAGCGACTCCGCCAAGAGTCATTTCTACGCTGCCGGGAACGGTAGAGTGAGTGGCCAGATTTGGGTCTGAGCCCTTGCTTGCCTGGGCCGTTATGTCAATGGCTGACGATCCCACGACCGCCAACCGAGCAGGAACAAAAGAGTCCTCGTGTCTTGAAGACACTTTTTGTGGTTTGTCGCCAGGGGTGGATGTAGGTGTAGTCTGGTTCACATTTGATAGGAATTCATTGCCTAGCCAGACAGATAGCTCTAATCTCTTACAGGTTCGGAGAGTATTTTCTGATACTCGACCGCAATCTGACCGCCTAGGAATGCAGGAGATTAGAATGATGCCTTGAAAACACTGTATGTCGTACCTATCAGAGCCGTATTCTTGAGTAGAGCAACATTCGAATTCAAAGATTCTCCTCTCGTCAACTTGACGATTCGCGAAAGAAGCCACGGCGTAACTTCCTTTCCCCTCTTACTCATACCATTCTCTTCAGACTCGCGAACTGCCTGATCCACAGCTTGCTGGATAGATGAACCTATTTTCTCATGTTCCTCGGGTATGGGGGCTGCTATGAGTATACCGTTGTCCATATCAAGTTGCCATTGCGTATCTAAGCAAGGTAATGGGCTTAGCATGATGACCTGACACAAGAACACTAACGAAGAAGCTTCGCAGCAGTCGAAGGACTGTCCACATTCCATGGGACCTGGATTATCAGGTAGGCCTCTCGTAAGGACGTCAGAAGGAATTTACCAACCTGAAAGCCGCTTAAGCGAGTGAAGAATGAGGGGAAATCACGAGTTTTCCCATACGTAACTACTGGAACGCCAAGTGTTTCCTGTAAAATGTATTGGTGGGTGAGAAGAAGCTACAGTGTGGGAAAGACGTGCGAGATATTCCAAAGTCCTGTAATGAATCGTCAATATGTCCCTCCTCAAGTGTTGGACGTGTCACCAACCTTCCAATGTCCAGAATAGATTTAATCCCCGAAGAAACGAGACCAACAGGACAACGGGTAAGTTCAAAGAGATCAGCTGAGATGTCCATCGCTGATGAATGGTTGGTTAGTATGCTGTATATTATTTACGACTCAGGTCAAGTACACCAAAGACAACGTACAGTCTTGTCCTCCTCGATGAACTCCACCAAGCCTGTAGAACGAATGAGATTTTGTTCTTCGAAGTACGGAAATATCTACCCTCCCGTTGCAAATACCTGCAAGAATAATTAGCTACTATTGATGACGAATGAACAACCACACCTTAATTCCTGCTAGGGCAGCGAATATCAGTGTGGCACTGCAGGTCGTTCCTAGATTAAAAGACATAATTCAGCTCCTGAACCTAATGATGCTGATTTGCTTCTACCTCCGTCCATCTGAGCGCCAATCGTAGGAGCAATATCTCTGCGTGAAACTTTGACAACCGAGGGATTATTCGCCCTGTCCGCCAACCACTCGAGCTCTGATCTCTCGAGGCCAATTTTGACGCGTCCACCGATAATGCCGATAGTGGCAGGGACGGAACCTGTGGACCTTACAATCTTTTCAAGGTCAGAAGCGAGGCTATAGTTGGTTGGATAAGGGAAACCGTGAGTGACGAGGGTCGTCTCGAGGGCAACTACCGGCTTGTTTGTAGCCAAGGCCTCCTGTACTTCGGGATGTATGTCCAGAGGAGCATTGGGGTGAGCAAGAGTCGCTGTGCTGAGCCGAGCTGAGGAAATTTGGGATTTTCGAGCAAGGCATGTAGAGATGGAACGAGTAAGGATGGTCATTTCGCTGTGATAGAGTGGTGTTCGTGCATTAAGTACCAGTGAGGCCGGACTACCGGCCCGATTTCCTCGAGCATGGTGACTCCCAAGGCCTCCATCGACATCGCTCTGGATGTACCAGGCGGGGTCTGTTCGATAATTTCCCAGCCCCTGGACGTCCAAAAAATAGTTCAAGCTGTAGGAGACGATGCTGCCGGAGCCACCGCGGTTTTCATTGGTAGTAGCACGCACTCGAGGTCGACCCGTAGCTTGGATCTGATCTCCTTTACACCCAGGTACTACGCGAAATTCATTCAAAGGTTGGTAGTAATTCGTCGGTGCTACGGAAGATGCATATCGATGTACTAGGAAGAACCGTTACGCGCCTTGAATATCAAGCTTACTCAAAGTTGGCTATCAAGACCATGGCCAATATCATACAAGACGTGCAGCATCAACCAGAATCACAGAACTCGCTCATTAGTTGTGCTGTTCATCATCGAATCGGTGTTGTTCCCGTTGGAGAACCTTCAATAGGTACAATCCACTCCCTCCAAGTTCATCCCTCTGTTAACTTACTCGAGCTAGTCATCGCCGTTTCCTCCCCTCATCGTAAAGAGGCTTTTATGGCATGCGAGAGGATCCTCGAAGAAGTGAAGCAAAAGGCACAGATTTGGAAGAGAGAATATTATGAAGGAATGGATGACAGCAAGGCAGAGTGGAAAGCTAACACTTGAATGCATAGTACAGGAATCGTTCGGCATCATAAATCATTAATCTACCTTCCATTCTTTTGTAACCCTATCATCTTCTGTAGTAACAAATAGTTCAATGGACCACATAACCAGCGTGAAGAAGATATTAAACCAGCGCCACCACACTTGGGACGAATGGTCCAACACTGGACAGTGAATCAGCAATGTAACCAAGTGACACACGAGAAAACTCACAAAGGAGGTGAGAATAGACAGTCACAAAAATCAACTGCCGGTATGTCAAGAGTATTCGAGTCAACGTCAACGTCTGGTGGAAAGATTAGCGCAAAGAGATATACAGTCTCAGTCGCGTTCTCACTGGTCGATCTTCCCATCCATTATCAACACCACCTGCGTCGTCCCAACTATCAGCGCCGATGCCTGGCAAGATCTTTGAAGCCAGCTGCAATACCGTTAGTCGGTACAATAAGGCAACCAGCACCGGTTTAGGCAGTGTGTTTGTAACAAAGTTGAGCAAAGTTTGGAGATGAGGAATCAAGTTTGGGAGTAAGGGGACGCTGTCGCGACAGTTAGTGTTGGCTCTTCGAAGGGTAGAATGGTACACACTAGGAATAAGATGGGTCTGAAAAGGACTCTTGGTTAAATCCACAAAGCCAGACATTATACGCCATGAACAAAGCAAGGCCTGAGGATTCGATGATATTCGTCCGCCGCAAAAAGAATCCAATGAATGTAAGAAAAAGCAATGCGGTGATAGCAACTCCAAGAAAAGTCGAGGACAACGGCGAAGAGGCGGCTGCAGGATAAGCCTGAAATGACCAAACTTAAACCCACGACGCCTTCTCCTAAGCGTAAAGAACAACGCACACTGACAATCCACCAAGCACTGGCGACATATGTGCCAGCTGAAGCAATCAACAGTCCAAACTGATAGATCTCCCCCTCTTCTACCAACCTCTTGCCCTGCTGCCCGAGTTTCTGAACCACAACCAAACTCGATAGCCCCTCTAATGCGATGAAAAGCGGGCCCATGTACGTTAGTATTGTGCCCCATACAGACGTAGCGGTGCCAAGCCACAGAGGAACGGACGTCGAGAACGCATTGAAGCACACCAGGAGCAGGAACGGGTGCATGGGGACCTGCAAGAGAGAGAGTGCGGGAGAACCCCAGCATAGAATCATGGTACCATGTACGGCGGCGTGTACGGTGAGAAGAAGAGAAAGCAGTAGAAATGCTGGCTTCGACAGTGTCGCCAATGTGAGCGGAAGGAAGATGAGAATCTGAAGGACGGTGGAGAGCCTTCGAGAACGGTTAGAAACATTCAGTTCAGCACGAGAGACATTACCTAGCAGCATGGGAGAGCGCGCTCCAGAGGATCCAAGGACTCACTGGCATGGTGTTGACGAGTTCGCGTCTTGAACGGATGGAAGCCTTGAATGTACACGCATGCGACCGAGAAACCGACGCGGACAAAGGAATCTCGAACAACGTGACTTTACGAAATTATAGATTTCGGGTACAGCAAAAATGGTATTCTATACAACGGTGGTATATCTACCGCGAAGACAGCTCCTTGCGCGGCGTAAGCAACCCCTTCTCTCGAGCAAACTCGATGGTTCTAGCGGAGTTAGGGTCTGAAGGTGCAACGTAAAATTGGTCGATTATTGGTATCTGTAGAAGATTCATTTTGGGCGTAATGACGACCATGGTATTGGTTTTTATTTCCATCCAGTCAGCTAAGGAAGGAGATTAAGCAAAATGCACGAACAACAGAGGCAGTCCTCACCTCTCTCAAATGTAAGTGGCTCGCTCGCGATCTAAAACGATATCAAGATTACGCAGATGGACAGAAGAGAGACGCACCATGATAATGTTCTCTCTCTTGTCAGCTTTTGACATTTTATAGTGGCCGCCATCTGCGTATTCACTGAATGTTGTGCCGGATGAGAACCACTGCGGTCGCGTCAGCCATTATGCCTGAAAAAGCATGAAAAAAGCATATTTACAAGGGAAGCTGCTTCATCTTTCCGTGATGAAATATACCGAGTAGCAATGACGGTGTCACCATCCGTTACACAAAAATTCATGAGACTCGGCTGGCAACGAAGTCAGAGTCGTAAACCCCAACAACTACGGTAACAAGCAGACCTCGGTGATCCCAGCCTCTTCCGCAAAGTCATTCAGGGAAGCGATTGTGTCAAGCATCGCCTTTCGCAACGTTTGGGAGCTGAAAGAGGTGGCGTCCGGGTCTGGAAGCTGGCGGTATATGAGAAACCGAAAAGAAAACAGTCTAGAGCCCGAGTTACTTTTGACAGGAGAAGAGCAAAAGCCCATTCAGAGTCTAATCGAGCGCGTGAGCTGAGGCATAGAGAGAAGTTTGGGTAGAACTCGCCTGTATTGCCCTGCACCATATCAAAGGCAACGTCAGGCAGTTGACTCTGCAATTTCCGCTTGATCAGATGAAAATCGGCGATTCCACCATTGTGCATGAACTGAAGTCCGTCCATCCATCAGCAACAGTTCGCCTACACAAAGGGGAAGTTGATGTACCATGAGCTTTCCGTGTACAAACGGATGGCAGTTGTCTAGAGACAATGATCCCGCTGTCGTAGCCCGTACATGGCCACTTGAGGGTGATGAATATCAAGACGAAGCAACAAAGTGTGTGACTCACAACACCAACGGCGATTTGATCTTTTCAGCGAGTCGAGTGAGATTGACATTGTTCCATGCCTGGATCATTCAGATAAAAGTGCCTGCACAGGACCGCAAGACTCACCGGTGTAACAGACGTGAATATGCAAGGCTGGACACCAAGTTCCTCGTCATATACAGAATCGTACCAACCTGTCCAATTGTCAGGAAATACGGCAAGGACACGACACGCGACACACACCAACACCAAAACCATCTCCATTCATTGGCCTTCGGCGATCCAGTCGTAAGCGAGAATCAAATGCCTGGTTTATTATTGAATGGCATGGGCGTGTTAGAAGCTGATGAAAGACGGGTCAGTTCAAAGTCGACCAAGGAATCCGAACACACATGTGAGAGCTGGACGGGAGACGTGCCCTTGTAGATTACAAAACGACACATTTCGAACACTAGCGACAAGTCGTGGCAGGTAAAGAAAGAAAGTCAAGAGCGGTGGTGCGAGGCATGGCAGTCTCTGTGAGTCACCCAATGTGATGACAGGATTCTCGAATCGCACAAATCGGCAATGTCCGCCTTTCAGCTAAAAATTACACGACAATAATTTCTACTATTTCATCCTAGGTGAGGCCCGGTTCCTCTTGGATTCCTCGCTTAATCTTCAGCAACATGCTAGTCTTCCAGTTATCGAGCTTGGTGACTTGGTCATACTCCACCACGGCCCCGGTATATGCCTCGACATCTCCGCTTTCCATCGCTTCAATCAAGGCTTTCAGGAACTTGCATTCCCGAGTAGACGTAAAAGTCACGTCCTGGTTCGCATAGTTCGTCGCACTACGCCGGGCGGTGACAGGATCCTGGCGTAGTATTAGCATCCATGGTACCGAAAATACGGCATCGAACGCACATTCATGGCCAGAGCACACAAGCCCGCCCGTAGCCAGTATTCCTTCACGCTGTATTTCGTAAGCGCTGATCCCAATGAATGATTGGCGACTTCTTCGTATCGAGCAATGGCTTGCGGATACTCTTCAAGGTCTGCCCGCAGGTCAGCGGCGTCTTTGAAGCAGGCATTGGCGGTGCTGCGATGAAATGAGACGCTGCGATCCCGGGACATGGGTCACAATACTCACGCCATGGCATCCTCCTGTGCGTACCATTCCCCAGCTCGTTCGTAGCTCTCGCATGCCTTCCGTAGATCGTTGTTCTCCTGCAGATATATCTGGCCGATTTCTTTCTCCCTATCAGCAGCCTGTCGAAACCTTCCACCCCTGGTGAGGAAGGTTATGGTTTGAGTCAGTGCATCAATGGCCTCTAACACCCAGACAGATTAAGCTGAATAAAAGAACACAAGGCAAGGATACGTACGCTGAGGATATCCGCGCTTGTACGCTTTGGCAGCATTCCACCATGCATTGGCTGCTTCACTGTCTTCCTTGCACTGCTCTCGGCATTCTGCTTCCCTAGAAAAGCAATCTCCAGCCTCCTTGAAAAGTTTCTCAAGCTTGAATGAGTTGGCAGCCTGCTGATACAGGTCTCCAGCGTCTTCCCATTTGGAGGAGGAGGATGAGAACCAGCCAGTAGACGAGTTGGCCTTCTTGTCTGCCTTTTCTAATAGGACCTGTGCGGGAGACTTGGACGGCATTTAAAGAGTAATACTGGAGCCGATGACCTTTAGATTAGAAGGAGGTGGTGGTTTGAGTCTCAAAATTAGTGCGTCATAGCCACGTGCAGTGCTTTCCTGTGCCCAGAGGGGGCTTCACAGCTCCTTCACTTTCTTCCTCATCGTCGACACCTTCATCGTGCAGTATGGCCTCTCTTCCTCGCAAAGAAATCCAATCTCTATCTGATCTTCATCCAAAGCCGGAGAATGTCACTTTCCAGTATGGTACAGCCGGATTCAGGACATTGTACGTTCTTGATTCGAGCCGATACACGATAATCTGCTCACTGGTATTTCAGGGCATCAGTATTGGACTCTGTCCTATTCAGAGTAGGCATCATCGCTGCGCTGCGAAGCAAGAAACTTGATGGCAGGACCGTCGGGGTAATGATAACGGCGTCCCACAATCCTGAGGATGTACGTTTCGTCCTCGTACCTACGTCTGTCCCACCTTAGTCGTTGCACCCGCAGGACAACGGCGTCAAGATAGTTGATCCGCGAGGTGAGATGCTCGAAGCTTCGTGGGAAGGACACGCCACTGTCCTGTCCAACGCTGTGACATCGGCGGACTTTGTCTCTGCTCTAGAGAGTTTCGTTCAAACAGCTAAAATCGACTTGTCGAAGCCAACTCGCATCGTTTACGCGAGGGATACGCGACCGTCTGGGCCGGCGCTTGTAGCCGCTCTGGAGGATGGTTTCAAGGCCATTGGTGCCGATGCGAGGAACGCCGGTGTTACTACCACTCCAATTTTGCATTACTTGGTCCGAGCTATCAACACCAAGGGCACAGAAGAGTCGTACGGGGTCGACTCCGAACAAGGTTACTTTGAGAAGCTCAGTGGTGCTTTCAAGAAACTTGTCGTGGGTATACCTCTTAAGGGTTTTATTTGCACCAACTTGACCATATCATCTCTCTTCAGGCTGGGAGGCCCACACCGCCAACGTTGCTCATTGATTGTGCTAATGGTGTCGGTGCCATTGCTGCCTCACAATTATCTCAATACCTGGGCGACACCCTTCCATTTTCTTTGGCGAATACCGCGACAACCACACTTGGAGTCTTGAACAAGAACTGTGGTGCAGATTTTGTCAAGACGACCCAGAAACTCCCTCCGTCGTTAGCAGACAAATTGCAGCCTGGTGAACGTGCCTGCAGCCTTGACGGTGATGCTGATCGCCTAATGTACTTTTATCTCGATGAACGTGGCCATTTCCATATGCTCGACGGGGACAAAATCGCGGCGCTGGTTGCTGCTTTTATTGTCGATTTCGTGAAACTTGCGGGTCTTGAAAACGAGATCAAGGTCGGCATCGTGCAAACAGCTTATGCCAATGGAGCATCGACAAAATACCTCCTTGAAGTATGTTGTTCTCTAACTCATATAATCTACATACTTATCAAAGAACAAAGCGTCTTCCTGTCAAATGTGTACCTACTGGCGTGAAACATCTGCATCATGCCGCGGAGCACTATGACATTGGTGTGTACTTCGAAGCCAACGGACATGGCACAGTTCTCTTCTCGGACACTACGTTGGCCACACTGAAATCACATCAACCTCTGTCGCCTGCCCAGTCCGGAGCTCTAAAACACTTGATCAGCTTGACTGAATTGATCAATCAGACGGTTGGAGATGCACTTTCCGATATGCTTCTCGTTGAGGTCGTCCTTGCCCATAAATCGTACACCGGTGTCGAATGGGACTCGCTCTACGCGGATTTGCCTAACCGCCTTGTCAAAGTAGTCGTTGGTGACCGGAATACCTTCCTTACAGAGGATGCTGAACGACGTTTAGTGAGCCCTCCGGGACTCCAGCAAAAGGTTGAGGAGCTAGTCAACTTGTACCAAGGTGGCCGTTCCTTTGTACGCCCTAGCGGCACGGAGGATGTGGTTAGAGTATACGCCGAGGCTGCTATACGGGCTCAAGCTGATGGTGGGTGCTTTCTTCGTATTGAGAGTTCGTCTACTTCAATCCGTACGAATAGAACTCGCGTTCAGAGTCGCCGGACTCGTCTACGATGAAGCTGGTGGGGATGCTGCTCAGCGACCCAAAGAATTTTTGTAAAGATGGGAGGTACTGTCAATCATTTTCAAGTTTGAGCGATGGAATGGACATAATAATTGTACTCAGTAAGATCGATAGTAGTTGTAACTTGAAATTTTCACAACCATTTAAGCGCGTACGTGGTCACACGTCACTAATTACGTTAGGAAATAGGTGCCCGGAAATAGCCCAGATTGTTCTGCACAGTGCACCTTGACAAATTTCTTTCCTTCTTCAATGCCACGATGGTCGTCGTGGCTTTTCTCTTCCTTCGTTTGATTCACGCATTATACTCTATTGCCATCTTTGCGTCTTCGTGCTGGAAACGTTTCAATTCTGTTCCTCCTCTTCCTCTTACAGCACCGCGTCGCCGTATACCAAAACACTTGGCCGTGCTTTTCGTTCCCGACCTCGACATACATCCCGACATTACCCACACATGTCTATTGGAAAGCGTCTACAGAACCGTGGACTGGTGTCGTGAATTGGGTATTGAAAAGGTTACAGTATACGACAGTGAAGGTATGTTCTTTGATGTGCTCACGGGGCAACATTCTCAACGAGCATAGGGTTACTTCAGGCGTCAGCTACTACTATTCAACACCATATAGCGTTATCATCGAAGCCTTATGAACCAGCCATGGACCACGAATATCCCCCGACACCTCCCTTATCGGAACCGGATTCCAGGCCAGTCTCTCCAGAGCAAATTCCAGAAGTCAATCCATATATGATTATATCTCTCCCCCGCTCTTGCTCTGAGGCTGTTTGTGAGCCCAAGTCCGGGCGACGGAGACGTACAGGTGCGTACACATCTCCATGAGCGTTTTTTTATGTTACACTAAAACATTCATGTGTAGCTGCGCGCAATTCATATGGACCAATGACGCTGCATATCGTCTCCTCGTCGTCATCTAAACCTGTAATTGCTGCGGCTGCACATTCCATTTGCAAATTAGAAAACTCTTATTCAAAAATATCAAATATCGATGACTTTAAACTTTCTGTTGCTGAGTTGGGCCAGAGACTTGAGGGTATGGAAATTTTTATACTTTTTCTGTCTATCACTGATGTTGAACAATATATGTAGGAAAGGACGGATTTCCTCCGCCTGACTTCATGATTGTCCACCCAATGTCTCCATCTAAATATAACCGCACACCTTTAGAATTGCACGGATTTCCTCCCTGGCAGACAAGACTTACTGAAATACAGTGGGTTGCTTTCACTTTATCAGATGACCAGCTCTGATGTTTCCCAGCCATAATCGACATATAAAACGGCACGCCGCTTGGATAACTTGGGTCCTCCCTCAGAGATTCTACTCTGCGAGATGGCCTGTCCCACTAACGGAAATGGCATTCAGAGATGCTCTTGACGAATTCGCCGGTGCTGAGATGCGGTTCGGGAAGTAGCCTTGTGTATGGATTTGTTATAATAATATCGGACATTTATATACGTTAAAATGCATATGGCGAACGATCAACAACATCTGTGAGTGTTGGTGAAGGTGATTCCTATCCATCGGCTTATGCATAAAGCTAGGCTTGTGTTGTGCATACTTGAACTTAGTTGCACCTGGCGGTAGCCATAATATTGCCGCGGTACAAATCCGGTTTATGACTTTCGCCCGGCCTGCCTTTGTGCACTGCAAGTATCTTGCCATGCATCATACAATTCTGTGTATTCGATAGACCGTCCAACATATCAGACCACTCTGTGTTCAACCGGCGTTACCTCATTTCAAACGGAGATACTCGATCTGATCCACCAATACAGCAAATTGTTTTCTATCAATCCGGAAGAGGTTCTGAGCCAAGCTGATAAAGTGGAGGAAGCCTACGCTTTTATTGCCCTGTTTGTTCTCTTTTTTTTTGTTTCTTTAACATAGAGTCGCTGAGCAGCTTTCAGAAACCATTTTCCAGGTGATGAAGTATGCAAACATTTTGTGTAGGAAATCAAGTGTAAGCGCATTCATTCATTGCCTTTAGATATTTCTATTCGGATTTTCTAGGGTAAATAAAGAATAATCCAGTCTCTTACATCCTAGTGACTCTGTAGGGTGCCTATACGACGCGAATGGTGGCCATATTCATCGTACGAGACCTTGTCCTGCTCTTCGCCTTTGATCGTACTGGATTTTGTTGACAGGGGGCTATCGGTCTCCTTGATCGCGCAGATATGGATAACTTTTCTCGAATCTTTGTTGCCTACTAACGTATCGGTAAGACTGATTACGAACAAGGTACGCTTTTGCAGCGGTTTCAGAAGTGTTGGTGCTTACTTGCTATCAAAAAGAGCGACGAAGACTAAGAGATGAGCTACATGCTTTCACGAAGCCAAGTGCACATGGGCTGCAACGCGTGAATAGTCCGTTTTCCATCAAGTGAATATAAAGGACCGCAGGTTTCTCCCTGTTTATAACAATATTTCCTTAGATGCGTGGCGTATTCGAGACTGTCGGTTCCCTCGGGCTTCCTGACAAAGTTACTCTCAATCTCAAGAAAGCGAGAGAAATATTTGGGTTTCTCGTTAGAACTTTAGGACATCTCGAACGGGCATTGGCGCTGAATGAGACTCGTCGAGATTTCGTAAGGGAAGTTTGCCTGAGCGTCATGATTTGCTGACTTCGTTTGCTCGTTGGTATCATAGGATTGTGCGAAGTATGAGCGAGCACATGATGATCTCAGGGAAGGGCAGATCCTCAAACAGCTCAGTTGAAAAAAAAGAACTTTTTTTCTTCTGACGTGATTGTCTATTAGTGCCGGTTTAGTGGTAAGTCCCTTGAATATATACTAGGTATGAAGTCTGAAAAAGCAAATGTCCTTAGGGTATCAATCAGATATAAGCCGGCACGTCTAGTCATTCGTCAAATCCATAAATCCCAGATATCGAGACCACGACCTAGCAGACATAATGTTGATTTGGATGGCGGTAAGAACCAGACATCACCTCCCGAATATCAGGCTGACCTCGAACTGGCGGGCTAACGTTCCGTACATGTTGTTCCTAGACATGAAATAATATACGTTCCGTTCCTTCGCCCGTTGCACCTTGGGGAGCTCAGAAGCCACATAAGTAATTTAAATTATGTTTTCAAGTTGTTTGCATTGACTGATCATAATTCTTAGCCCTAGAACGGGCTTGTCCTCGTTGTATGAGCGCAAATTTCCTCTTAGGTTTAAGAACACTACCAACGAAACCATTCATTCGTCTGTGCTTGTTTGAAGCTGTTGCAGCAGGACACACCGTGGTGGAGGACCTTCTTCTATTAGAAAAGGAGTTCAGGGACGATTGGGCCGTCGAAAGAGAGCCTCAGGATACTTCCCCGGCACTGAGTGAGAAATATTTTGTACAAGAATATTGCATTATTGCCTGAAAGCTTCACGTTTAATTACGCTCATGATGTCTATTTTGCTAAGCCCGATGGTTTCACAGTAAATAAATCGTTACGATACAATTCTCATTATGTCGTTCAGTTGTTACCATAAGTTATCAAGTTAAACCATCGACGTAGCTTCCTCCAAAGTTGGAACCATGATCAAGCAGTACGTATCGTCCATTTTCCATCTGAATGTCGAGTGAAAGGCCCTGTGACGCTACACCGGATCTCCAAAGCGGAGTAATTCCTATCCACGCACCAAGCTTGGCAAGGAAATGGCTTCTCCGTCTTGTCCCCCTGTGCACAGGGTCACTAAGCAAGCCTTCCCATCTATATGTAGGCCTAGCACGAATAGAGGAATTGTCATGATCTGTCCCACCTCCTGTACCTAACGTTGAAGGTTGAACCAAAGTCTCAAGGTCTACATCTTCCATATCCAACTCTGAGTGGTCCTGTCCAATATGGAATAAAATAGCCTGACGGAGCATGAGAAATTATACAAATAGGTCGAGAAAAAGACATACTCTGCTAGACCCACGAAACACGGTTTCATTCAGCCGCAAATATAGTTTGTTCAGGAAGCCAGAGTAAAAGAAATCGCCCCAACGCGGCGACTTTGATAAAAGACCTCGCTGCATGAGAAATGCCTCTAGCGCTGCTCGAGGAAGAGGAGTGTACGCAATAGATGTGGGATAAGATGGATTGAAGTCAACCGCATGGAGCTCTAATCCTGATATTGTGTCGTGATTTCGTCGCCATAGATCGTCCTATGGGGATATAAATTATGTGAAAACAATATCTTTCCAAACACATACCCAGAATATATACCACCAAGTACTTGTTTCATTGACAGATACAGCCGAAAACCGAGTATAAGCTGCTGAGAACACCTCCTCGCTTCCGGACATTAACATTCGCATTCGTGGATCTTTCTCCATCTCTATGGAACTAGCCGTAAGGCCAGAAGGTTCGCGCGGATGATCGTAGACACAGGACAAAAAGCGATAGGTCAGAGCCTCCGATTTCCGAAGACACTCTCTTCTGTGGTGTCGCCTGTAACTGGCCAACGTAGTCTCGATATATGCGAGTCTTGAAGAAATGAGCTGCCTATTCAACATAAAAAAGCGTGCAAGCAGCGGTGTGAGATCGAAATCGTCATTTAATCCAATAATGCTGCCATCGACATCCAACTTCTTGGAATAAGCGAGGTTGATATCAAAACCGCTTCCTAGCTGGAGACCTTGCCAGGCCAAATGGCCACGTTGCTTGATTCGCAGAACACAATAATCGTAATAAGTTGAAGACTGCGTCTTATATCTTCTCCGACCCCATGATAAAGGGGGCTGCGATCCGATAAGCTATCAACACGTCAGACCAGCTAGCTCGAAATTTATTAAAGTCGACGCTTTCACCGTTATATGCTCATACGGCCACTTGACTACCTGCCCGTCAAGAGCTCTGAGTGACAATCGTATATGCCGCCGTCGACGAATGCTGTGTAATGAATTCTGCGATATATACGCTTCAAGATCGGCTACTTCTTGTAAAACAGCGTATGATCCGCTGTCATAGCGAAGAACCTGGGTGGTGACGTTAGTAGAAAGGAATAGATATGAAACGCATACAAAACGGACTAGCGTAGGGGGGAAGGGTATCCACCAAGCGTTGCCGAAGAAGTTAGCGCATCCCACTGATTCTGGCTTCGTTTCAGACGGGCTTTTCCAATAACAGTCGGGGCCTATGAAATATTTCTGTATTTGGGACTCCAACTTCCTAAACCACTCGTAATCTGGCCCTGATAATAGTGCGGATGCCTTATTATATTTGAGCGAACCAATTTCACGTAAAATCTAGTCCAGAGGTCAACTGATACATTCACTTTGTCGTGAATTTTCTTTCACCTTAAGATTCTCTGCGTGTCTTTCCGCAGGCGTTCCACTGAAGTTCAAAAGATATGGGGGGAATTCAGAGTCTCGAGCCTGCGCGAACACCATGCGTTGCTTCGCGGGGATCCTACACTCGGGACTTGTTAATAGCAGTGCAGTGATTGATTCCTGCCATATACGTCGCTTGGTGTGGAGAGAGAGAGGAGAAAGATCCAACCTGTCGGTTTACATACTTAGTTAGATTGAACTAAATAACTTAGATTAAGTCTCCTACCGGGGAGAAAAGATATCAATGCCTGTCCATGTGACTCAGTACACAAATGCATGACTTTTAACTGACTTACTGAAATCTATCCTGCGTGCGAGCCCTAGGACGTGTTAGTTCCAGAAGTATCAAGTATATTAAAAAGTATACGTACTCTTGACCATCCGACGTACAGGACTCAAATTTATTATAGTGAAATCTGAAAAACATGTTTATAGCATTTCTATAGCGAAAGTAGACTTACATATGCTTAATCCATAAGTGATGATATAAATTCTGAAAGCCCCGTTGAGTCGTGTCTTTGTGGAGAGGGTTGTACACATACATATAAAGCAGATAGGCATTGTAAATCTTCTGCCCAGGAATGTCAAGTGCGACTAACAAAGCAATAATAGCCGTTGACACATAATTCAGTCTGGATGTCCATTCGCTGGCATTATTGACCGGGTCAAGAAATGGTGCAACGATGCACTGAGCCAGGAAGAACCCGATGGTCGAAACTAGGAGCAATACTTGTCGGACGATGAGGATGGTAGAACGGGGAAAGGAGCAGAACAAGCAATTGTCCGGATCAATGACCGCGATGATAACAAGGGTGCTAAACTTGGCAAAAAGGAAAGTGGACTGGTAAGTTCCCCAGCCACGACGATATCCTGGCGACCTTAATGTTACAGGCCACCACAGTCCAATAATTGAGACGCTTACCGCTGTAAAGAAACGCGAACGGGTTTTGATCTCGAGCCAATAGTCGATGGTACTCTCCATCAAGGTCAACGCTATTTCTCAGCCTGCCCAAACTAGTATAACGATCAACTTTGGGGATAGAGTGTTTAATGACACTACGAAGTGCGATTGGAAACCAGATCGTTAGCTACGAAAGTAAGGTCAGCGTCATGCATAAGAACACAGAGTAACACTTACCGAAATAACCACTACGGATGCAAGCACGACCACGACCGGCGCAAAGTTGATTTCATTCTTCTTCATAGTTGTTGTCCAGCAAAAGTCTAAGGGATCACGATATTCATCAGCGGGTCCCAAAGAAGCGACAACAGGCGGAAAAGAAGTCGCATTCGTGTATGGATTGGTAACGGCCCAAAGATCATCAGACCAAACGAGGACATGAACGGCCATCGTACTGAGAGGAAGGTAAAACACAGTGAGGATAAACGTCACGACGAGCAACGCCCATCTTTTCCCTTCCTGTACCGTTTGCTGTAAACCCTCGACACACGTGTAACGATCACAGCCGAGGGCAGAGCGAAAGAAGTAATAAAGGAGCCCGGACGAGATGACGAAGAAAATGATGAGGTACACCAATGATTGGATGAGAGTGGATGCAAAGTTGAGAGCGATAATATTTGGACTACAGACTTTGGTCAATTTTGACACAACGACAGGACTCAGGACTAACATGGTACCAAGAAACAATCGTCTCCATTCACTCAGAACCTGACTTCCCTTCACTGGCGCTGTAATGGACGATCAGATCAAAGAAATACATGAAAGAAATGTGGTAGCAGACCGATCGTGTTCAAGATCAAGGCGAATATTTGCACGGTGTTCGTCAGGCCCTGGAGACTGTAGTACGTAGCGAGTGCACTCGAGCCCTGGTATTATTAAATAACGCTTTCACCAATAGGTAAATAGACGCACCGTGACTCCCAATACTATCCCTACTGCTGATCCAAGTATTGTCTTTCTGTCTTTCCAAGAAGCAGGAACCTTGGAGTTAGTCTCTAGGTCGTCCAGGGAACACCCAGTAAGTGCTAGACGATCCATAGGAGGAAACATGGACTTTTTGTCCCACTTGGAATCGTCCTGGAGGAAATCTGGCAGAGGAAGAGAAGAAAGGTACTTGTCGAGTCTAGGGAGATGCAGCGGGGCAGCCTTTCGAGCGAAGAAAGTGGTAACAGGGACGGGCATGTGAGGCCCTGTAACTTTTTTTGTGTTATGCCTCTGGATTAGCGAGGTTTTCTCTATAGGTGAAAGCGCGAATACCAAGTTGTCTGAATCGGAATCCATGGGTGGATATTGGTCCAATACATAAGACGGACGCTTCGGTTCTTCGCTTGTACCAGAGAGTATACTTCTGCCTTCATGAACACTCCTGCCACTGTTCTTTCTGCTTTTGCTTCTCTTGCCTAGGTTGGCTATGTCAATCGTGAGTTGTCGTGAATCGTCAGGAGTCGTGGTAGCCGTCATCATCAGGGGATGTGGTGGCAGTGGAATCTCTTTGTACATATGGTACCGATAAGAAACATTCAAACGAAACGGAATTCAGAACGCACTGGTAGATGTGTTGTCATATTCTTGGACTTTGGAGCGACCTGGGGATCGTAGGCTTGACTGGAAACTCGTAACCTTAGAACTGCTGGGGCCAGGAGCTGGACTAGACGCCGACAGCGAAGACTCGTAGCGGTCGACAAGATCCTTGACAGCCATGGCCCTTCAGCTTTCCGGAGAGATGCTGTAGAGTGTCGTAGCATCCAACCGGAACATTCGACGAGCTGGTGAGCCGATTTCTTGTTCAGAGTCTTCTGACACCGTGACAGGCACTTTGCATGATCAATTCAAATTAGAAGAACGTGCGCTTGAATCAGTTATCCAGGACGACTCTAGTAGCATGTTCACGTGACGTCATTGAAAAAACAAAATTGAAATAACCACCCTTCCTTTCTGAATGCCTCGTCGTAGTCGACCAGTTTCTCGACTGCCCCCTCGTCGAAATCGTCCTTCAACCACTCCACCACAAGTTATCGCAAAGGTTTCGCCCAAGAGGGTGCGGGATACAACTGAGATCCGCAAGTCAACAGGGAAAACACGCAATGCAGACGAGATCATACAGAATTCTCAGGCCTCATCGTCTGAAGATGATGACTCGGAGGAGCAAGACACTGATCCAGAGGATGAGTCAAGGGGGAGCAATCCCGAGGATGAATCCGAAAATGATATAGAAGATGCTGATGCGCCAAGAGCCGCGCAATGGGTTGACGACGAGTGGGAGGATGCCATGGCCCTGCCCGGACCTTCTAAACTAGTACGTTGCTTCAAGTTTGACTTTTTTTGTGTCTGATGTATAGACAGAGGAAAGAAATCCAAGATAGCAAGTGTGCACTCTGTCAGCGATTCGCTCTGAATAACCGACTTGCTTTAGATATGTCTTTACTCTCCATGGGATCCCTCCGGACAGCACAACGCGCTTTGGTACAGGTAGAAACAATTTCTGACTCTGACTCCGATGAAGACGGGGAAGTAGAATCAGCATTCAAGACTCTTGCAAGTAAGGGGAAGGGGAGGAAGCAATCCGACCATGAGAGGCCTAAATCTGCACCCCGGCAAAATAAACACGCGTACGTGGTGCTCTCAAGGCCCATTTTATCATGTTCACCCGTCAAATAGTCCCATGGAAATGACCTCTAAGAAACCAGTAACTCGGAGACGCACTGTCGTCGAAGTGAAAACAGTTGTGCGTGATGTTTACTTTGTAGATATACTCAATAGAAGCCTTCACTTGTTAGCAACCACGGGACCCAAGATTTTTACCTCTATCAGGCGAATTCTCAGAAGAGAAATACCGTCACAATTACGCGTTTCTAACTACAGCACACAAAACCGAATTTCAGATTCTACGAGAAAACTTGAAGCGCTCCAGGAAGCTCTTGGCGTCGTCACCTAAACATCTTCGCTCGGACAGGGAAAATGAGGTAGAAAAGCTGGAATTGGCGGTCAAGAGAGCCGAAAGCGCCATTAGTAAAGACAGGCGAGAAGAAGTGGAGCGAGGAGCCCTCGATAAGCTGAGGAAGGAGGAGAAGGAGAAGCAGGCACAGGGTAAAGGATCCTGGTGGATGAAAGAAGGTACTTTGCATTTCCCGCTTCTAATGGGTTCATCTCACCAAAAATCCGTCTATTAGCTGACAAGAAGAAATTATTGATGCGTGCGAGATATGATGCACTGGCCCAAAGCGGCGGAGAGCGTGCAGTTAAAAAGGCGATTGAAAAGAAACAGAAGAAAATTGGGCAAAGAGAAAAGAAATCTAGGCCATTCAGGGAAAAGCGCGGGGCGTCAAGCGAGGCTGTGGGAAGGCCTAACAAACGGCCAAGACTAGGCTAGCGTGGGAATGTCTAAACTTAGGCCATCATGAATTTATTCCGTGTCTGTTTTTTTGGGTTCAATTCACTTCACACATGCGACACCGACCTTAAGCGGCATAGTCAACGCCCACTGTAGTCTTCGGCGTCGCCGCGACTGCAGGAAAGCTGATTTGACCATGTCTTCATTGTTGCTGCCTCCTACTGTCTTCCCTCCCCCCAATGATGACAACGACGGCGACGACGATATCTACAGAGGCCCCTTACCCCCTCCCCCTCCGTCACCGCGGCCAGACTCAGTTTTGTCCTCATCGTCCTCATCATCGTCTTTATCCGGTTCAGGTTTTGGTGTCGCCCGGCTGGGCACAATCGCAACCGTCGTGGAGCATGCAATTTCTCGCTGGGCTCGAGGCGGAGTCTCCAGCTACTCGTCCTCGTTGGCTTCCTCGTCCCAGTCTTCCATAGTCACACTTACGCGATCCCAAATGGCTCGGAGGCGGAGGCGTCGTTTGAGCATGGGAAACCTCCACAGTGACCAGTCCGACCGGGATATTGCAGCGCGAATTAGCTTGATCAAGGCTCGGGAGGAGTCGAGGCTGGTTCCACGTCAATTTACGCTATACCTATCTCCCGCATACCGCATCTTCGTGCAAGCTGATATCCCGGAAGGTTCTCAACAAGCACGGAAATTGACCCTCACTTCTTCGTTACCATTTGTTCTCAGTCAACTCGACACGGCTTTGAAAAAGGCCTCGAAAGCTCGCAGATACCAAGAACGAGCTCGCCTTACCAGGATACCCGATACAGCTTCCGTTTATCAAAATATCTTGCTTCCTCAAACCACCATCTCCACTCGTCCAGCATCTCTCGCTGACCTCAACGGAATCCGAAGAAAGGGAAAGCAGCGAGACCTGGAGCCGTCGGTGGCATCGATAGGCATTGTCAACAACCCGTCTCCCAAAACCTGGTTCCTCGATGTGGCTTCCCCGACTTCAGCTGATATGCATGCCATCGGCAAGCTGCTTCATCTTCATCCACTGACTCTGGAAGACATTTTACAGCAGGACCCGAGAGAGAAGCTTGAGCTTTTCCCAAAACTTGGTTATTACTTCATTTCCTTCAGAGCTATTGAAAGCATGGGCAGTCGCGAAGGCTGCCTCCACACTCGACTTCATAGAAACGCGGAAATTGGAGGCAGCCAACCTGATGAAGGCATATTGGGGGAGGCCAACGTTTACATTGTTGTGTTCAATGAAGGTATCTGCATAGTATGTTCAATACCTCGCGCAGATATGAAGAGGGCTCATGTACGACAGTTCCATTTCACAGACATATCGGAGCACACCGATCGTGTTAGAAGCCGTCTTTTCATGTTGGAAGAAGTTCGCAGCTTGTCTTCGGGTGAGCAATAGCTGTCATAACAAGACGACATCCGCTGAAAGCACTGTATGCAGCTTGGATTGCTCATGGTCTATTGGACTCAATTGTCGATTCTTTCTTCCCCTTCTTGGAAGAGATCGAGAAGGAAGTGGTCGCGATTGAAGAACTTGTCTTCTCTCTACGCCCGGGAGCTCGCCACGACTTCAATCCATCGCTAGTAGAGCAAGTCAACAATCCGACGCCACTGTCTTCTGTGACCGTCCATGGTGTCGATAAGGAAAAGGAGCAGTTGTCCGAAAAACCACTACAGCAGGAAGACCTTAGCCTCCAAACTAGATTTTTCCTTCCTCGGCCTCCGCTTCCTATCCTGTTTAGAAGGATAAAGCGTTTGTTTAGACAACGTCGAAAGCAGACTTTCACAATGGATACGTCTTCTTCCCTCAGTCCCACCACTTCGACCTTGCGTCGTATGGCTAAAGCTCGCCGTCTCGTTACCTCCCTGACACGCTTGTTGGCATCCAAGGCCGACGTCGTGTTACAGATACGGAAGCGTTTGTTGTCAGGGCATGAGAAAAAGACCGACGACGCTGAAATCGCTATTTATATGGGAGATATTCAGGGTACGTTTGTGCTGTGCTCTCGAATATCTGATGATGTCGCTCTAATTCGCTTTCCATTATTCAGATCACATTCTTACCTTGCAGCATTCGCTAGCGCATTATGAGCGTATGCTTAGCCAGTCGCATCCTATCTATCTTTCCCAGCTGCGTACATCAGTCTCTCTCACCAAGCCAGGCATGGATAAATCTCTCATCGTCGTGACGGTTGTCAGTATAGGGGTCCTGTGCATCCAAACATTAATTGGTAAAAGTCTTTTCGCTATCATCAAAGTTTTTGTTCTCATTTTGAATCCCCACAGGCCTATGCTCGGTGAATGTCACCATCCCCGGTAATGGCCTGACCCCTGAATACCCGTATTATGGATTTGGAATTGTTATTTCTCTGGCGGTAGTGATTACAACCACTTACTTGTTAATGGTTTGGAGGTGGTGGTTACAGGCAAAGAGGCGGCGTGCGAAGTACTGAATGACGCTCTAGTAATGATATTGGGTATTTATTTGGCGGCCTAATATAGATATTATGGTACTTGTTATTATCCAGTTCTATTGTTCGCCATACATGTACTGAGCAATGTTCTTTGTTCCAAAAGCTGGCGCCGCTACCAACAAAAACTACTTGTAGCGCCGCTGCAGAATGGGGGCTAAATATGGTCCCATCGACTGTCGCTGCTGGGGCCAGACACTCTGGAACATATGATCTGACCCCGGAGTCTGTTGGGAGCCCGAGAGAGCATAGATAACTTGGCTGTGGGAAAATGACGTCAGCTGTACGATCCTGCGGCAGACTTCCCCGCAGATATCATGTCCTCTTCTCGAAAACGTAAGAGCAGCAGCCAGAACAAACGGTCGAGTCAGAGTCACCATGCATCAGATCAGGGCCCACCGGATGCCTCTTCATCGACATCCAATCAGCTCTATATCCAAGCCCATGAAGCAGACATAATACGAGGTCGTCGCGCGAAATCTGCTGCAAAATCCTTAGAAGTGAACGTTGGTGCAAGTCGTTCGATAGGCGACGGTCTTATACACTTGGGTGAACATGGGAATAATACAGACAAACCCGATATTCTCTGGGTGGACAGGTATGAGTGTTCCCTGTTGTCTCGATATATACTTTGAATCGTTCAGAACTGCTTATCTAGCCAAGGATTCAGATTGTTTCTTTGAATTTTCATCCCTATCCTATCTGTAGGCCGTAACAATTCTGACAGCTTCTTGACTACAGATACGATGCTCGCTTGCTTCTAGATGATAACGACGTCGAACGTGCAGGACGTTCTGTTCTTCCAGAATCACCTGGCGGGTGGTCTGATTTACCTTCAGACACAGAAGACACCTTTTTCTTTTCTTCCGAAGAAGCGGATGACTACCGTCGGGAGAAGAAGAGACGCCTCAACGATGAAGCCAGAGAGGAGCGACTACGTGCGCGCCTCGCTGAAGATGGGGACGAGGACGAACAATGGGGAGGTAGCGACGAGGAGGTACAGTTCTTATGCATTAAACTACATCCTCGATTTCTTGATGCAATTGTCAGCCCGAACAATCTGTGAAAGAGGTTATGCGCAGGACAGCAAAACTTATTTTGTCAGCAACAAACCCAACTCAGATGGAGATGAAGGTCCTGGTTGATTTCGGTGACAAACAGCCAGCTTTTGCATTCATGAAAGGTCGATGGGGCAGAGCCTGGAACACCATCAAAGCAACAACGCGATTGCAGTTGGCAGAGGAAGAAATACAGAAAAACACCAGCACCGGCCTGGGCGGGCTCGCAGATTATGGAGACAGCGACGCTGAAAGTTCGGACGGCGGGTAAATGTCGCGAAGTGTCCGAGAAAGTCTAAATCACACAGGATATCCATGAATATGTTGTCCGCCTCACTGAACTATCGTAACATTCATGTGTCGTCATCTCCGTCCCAATCGCCGTAGTCGTCCTCGTCCTCGTCCTCGTCCTCGTCCCCGTCCTCATCCCCGTCCTCATCCTCTTGTACTGCAACAAAGTAAGCGAAAAAAGGGCCACGAAAACTCTAAGTAAGCACTTGCCTTGATCCAGGAAACTGCCAGGTTGGCCAACATAACAGTTCCCAAATGCTGTTACCTTCTGCTTATGATCAGAAATGATGGCATCCACTGCCCGAAAATGCGCCGGATCTGCTCGAATCTCCTCCAGACTCTTCGTCAACTCGCGGTGCAGTATGTCAAGTCTAGAGACATGTTCATCGTAGTTCTCGCCCCATGTGGAATCTGACACGAGTCAGAATACATCAGTGAAATTCAAGATGGTACACACCAGGTTCTTCTACCACCACCGGTTCAGGGGTTAGAGGTCTCTTTGGTAACCGCTCTGTCCACTCCCGATCATCAGCCCACGATACCGTCTTTACAGAATCACCAACGCTGGACCGTTTGATGCAACTCCTCCGGCGGACCAAGGGGGGTCTAGTTGCAGGTGGTTCCTGCCCAAGTTCGGTAGCAGTCGAAGATTCTGCTTCCAAAATATCTTTGACCAGAGATGTATCTGATATTCGTAAAAGGTGCGGAAGTGGTGGCGGTGAGGCGGGAGGTGTAGGCGCTATTGTCGAAGAGTCTGAAGAATCATTACGTTCCTCGGCATCAATGGGAATACTTTCGTGAGCTGGTGGGGCGATGTCAACGTCAGCGTTCTCCGCCTGGACCACATCGGCCTTAGTTAGCTTTGTTTCCAAGTCAATATCCTCCGGCACAAACGCGGGAGATATTGGTATCTCTTTGACTGATAGCTCCTGCTTGACAGCCTCTGTCGGAGGAGAAGCTGCGCGACTAGATGTGGGCATCCTCTTGAGTGACTTTGGAGCTACTTCTTTCACTCGAGAAGAACGAGCCTGGTCCAATTTCAGGTATGGTGCAGCGGATGGTGCTGACACAGCGAGGTCAGGCTGAGTCGCGCGTGCACACCGGACGCAGCAAGAGTTCCGTGGAGGTGCACTCTGTGCAGTGGGATAAACGACCGGTCTACCCTTGTATCGCAATTGCTCCTGGTGGAACCATGTCTCCATCTCCTTCAAACGAAAATTTTCAGGTGCAATCAGGGTCTGGAAGACAAATGGGTCACCACGACCAATTCGCTTGGGAGGGAGTACCCTTGATAGTCGTTGACATTTGCGCATCATCCGGTCCTTTTGAACAATAGGTAGCCAGGATAAGTCAAATACGAGAGAAAAAAGGAGAGTTGACGACACCTTGAGATGCCTGATTTCGAGTATTCGCTCCCAGGAAACAGTAGCTTGCTTTTCTAGCTCCATGACCTCGAGCCTCAAGAGTTGCTCGTACATTGACGCGACCGATGGGGGCAAAAGAACCTACGGCCAAAAATAAGGTCTGGAAAGCGGGATCATGGAGATCAGTATCGTACCTTGAGCTCATTGGGCGTATCAGTAGTCTGGATGTACCTCCAATTTCTCGCAGTGGTTGTATCATAGGGTTCTAACTGGCCTCTAACTGGACTGACCCGGTAATAATCCAGGTGGAAGGCTGAGGACTGGAGCATGCGAGTTGGGTACCCACAACATGTCGACTTGACAAGCCTGATATATATATGCGCGAGCCGGTCCTCGTGGTATGTTTCTCGTAAATTGACATTCCTGTATCAGAAACGAACTTTCCTCGTTCAAGCCATGCGCCGCCACGAGGCGAGAAATCGGAGAATACTGGCATGACATTAAGGGTTCGCAAAGGCAACGAGCTGCAGCGAGTTTCGTTAGCTTCGATGGTCCTGAATGGCGACGCAAATGGAGCGTAAGCCGGCCAGGGAGGACATAGCCGGAAGAAGATACATTATCACGTTCAGCTAACAAATACTGATATACTCGGTAATATCCCACTCTTTTCTCTTTCCTCATCGTGCACCTGGGCCATGGCTGTCGCTCGATACGAATCTTTTCTTCTCAAAAATGTCTCCACAATCTCTTCACTCGAATCTACCCTGAGATCCTTCACCTGGTTTCTACCAGGTCGATTCAAGGATGCTGAGCTGGCTTCCGAAGCACGTCAGTAGACGCCCATTTCTCTTGATGTATACTCAACCATCTAACCAGTTTCGACGCTGCTCAACGTAATGAGCATGTATCACGACACCCTCCTTGCCAAAGTCGTGCGAAGTGATCCCAAGTACCACCCACTTATCCCAGCCTCACTTCATTCGCGTTTCACAAGAGCGTGGACAGAAAAGAGCAATGTATACAAGTGGATTGCTCGGACGCTAGAGCTCATACGGTATACGGAGCTGGTCATCGAGATGGGCTTGCGCCGGAAGGTGTCCTCACAGAACCGGTGGCGGAGCATACTGATCCTTGAGGCGATCAAGTGCGTTCTCATCTTGTCGCTGCTTTCTCTGACTTTAATTTTCGTTTCAGGGCTGCTCTCCGCCTGCTTCTTTTGAGGATCACAAGGAAACCGTTAATGTCGCCTCCAATACCTGAACGAGACTTCGATCCTACCGCATTGCCTCCTGCGTCAGCTTCCAATGCCTCATCTCCTACACTCGCACCTTCAAGCCCTTCATCCTCACTTCCCGCAACGCCGGATCATCTCAAAAATAACCATATACCCTTGTCACCGCACCCGCTGCTGGTGTCACCCCCGCCCTCTCGATCCGAACACTCCGCTGAGGATTATCTCCTTCCCAAAGCTTTGACTTCGTCATCAGTCAAACCGTCTCTGTCTCTCGTCAGAACGCTGTCTGCGCCTCAGGAATGGCTCTCAGAAATTGTGTATATCTTGAGACCTCTTGTCTATGGTACGAGTAGTCTACTTGAGACTTCCACCAGACTGATAAATGATTGCCAGCTACACTACTATTCACTGACCGACGTTCTAATCGTGCGCTTACGACCGCATTGGCTATGGAGCTAATATCACGGAGCCTGCGACGGACTCCACTCACTTCCGCTCAGCTCGAGCGTTCTGAATACGGACGGAGAGACAAGGACATGATTTGGTATCTCTTGCGTGGCTCCATCTGGGAAACTTATACACGGTACGCAGGTCTACATCGCATTGTCAATTAGTCCCTAATCTTGTTCATTAGACCCAAGTTAGAAGCGATAGCCGAGAAGACGTCTCACGCACCCTTGTTGGGACTACTCGGTGCTTTGATGAAGGATTGGATTCCCTTAATCGATGAGTACTATTACTGTCCGTCTTATGCTTCGTCCTTGTTCTCCAACTGACCTTCCGGCTGTCGCAGATACTGCACCTTAGACAGCATGTACAATCACCTGCGGATCTTTCGTTACCGAGGTCTCTGTGCTTTATCCGCCTATTGATGTACTATGTAGTTGTCCTATATGAACACATCTGGGTACGGCCCACCACCGGCCCACCGGCTAAGTTGGAGGTACCAACGTGACATCCATTTGATCGTCTTTATAAATCTTTTCCTGTCTTTTCTCTCGATGACCATGTCGGAAGCCCCTCAGATTCGTCGTATTGTGGTATGTGCTTTCAACCTACCTTCAGATCAAGGTTAGTTACAAGCGTAGACCTCCCACAATTTGAAAGGGCAAGGTACTATTCAAATCGACGCCGACTTGCAATGGGCGGTGAGTTATATGCCTATGCGGTTTTGTCTTCGTTTTAATCACTTCTAAATCTAAGGACATCCCTATTGTTCAAGGGGGACGAGGTGCACCCATCTGGCGTACATTGGATTCTCTTCCCACAAATGATAACAATTCTTCGTGCGTTTCAAATAAGCGCACAGCTTCTGAAGTCTGAAATACATCTTCAATCATACAGTGAAGACGGGATACTGAGGACCCTCAATCCGTACATCAATCTTGGAATCGTGCCCTCGAATGGGTCCAACTGCGCGGCAACCGAGTTACCACCTGGTGCTGTAACACCAATGGTAGAGATACATTTCTTCTAATGACTGTAACCTGTATTTATTTTCATGACAGCATCGGACTTCGTCTCTGGATTACAACATTCTAGGTATGTATCCTTAAAGCCTCTGTTGTACGCTATGCCGTCATTGCGATTGGACCTTCATAGTTCACGGAGAAGTTATATTACTCATGGAGGATGGTACCGAGAAGTTGCTCGATACTCCGGGAGACACGGTCGTTATGAAGGGCGCTATGCATGCATGGAAGAATCCTTCCAGCACTTCTTGGGCACGTTGGGTTACTGTTTTGCTGTCCGCAGAACCCGCCTTGATAAACGGGAACACTTTGGCACCTGAGTTGGTTGAGTAGGGCCGGCGGCCCGGTCTACATTGTTCATTGTAAATTACTACCCATTCCTCCATCTACCAGCAATGACGTCCCCGTAATGTATTTCGCTAGATCACTGGCTAAGAAAACGACAGGACCAGCAATGTCATCGGGGGCTTGATACATATTAGCTTGCCGATCATTCCAGTTCGAGCATAGCACGAACCTCCAAGACGACCGAGGGCCGTCCTCTTTATCATATATTCCCTTTTGTCAGAATCAGATAAATCTTCCTTGTTGATATCTGTGGCTATCGTGCCCGGGAGAACTGCATTGGCTCTTATGCCATACTTGCCGAGCGCTATAGCACAGCTCTGCATGAAAGACAATATCGCGGCTTTCGTTGGCGTATAATGGCTGCAACATTACAAGGATGCAGTCGAATTACGAGAGATGTGAAGTACGCACCATTGGAATTCCCCACCAAAGAATGCAGAAATAGAGGAGATTGCAACAATCGCGCCGCCTTGGGGAATTTGATTCTTCATTTGATTTGCGACAGCTGTCATAGAAGTAAAGCAAAACAGCGAAGTGTAAAATTGTTTAAATTACCTTGCACGATGTAGAATGATCCATCGAGGTTAACCTTTCGCGTTCGTTCATAGATTTCGAGAGGCATGGTGAGAAATTCATGAAAGGGACATATTCCAGCATTGGAGACAAGAACATCTATACGGCCAAATGCATCGACGCCTGATTGGACGATCTGAAATAAGATGTTCAGCAGCAATGACTGCCGGATACGATTACGCCTACCTTGGTTGAAGTAGCGGGATCAGAAATGTCGCCATATACCGTAACAACTCGAGTATCGTGGGTTTCAAGTTCAGCTTTCAAAGACAGGATCTCTTCATCTTTTTCAAAGTAATGCAAGACCAGCCCAGAAGCGCCGTGTTTGGCAAACTCTAGAGCACTTTACGATATGTTATCAAGGTCGTTGGATGTTTTCGCGAAAAAAGAAGGTGTACCAGCCGCGACCAATCCCTCGAGATGCACCGGTAATGCAAACTATTTTGTTGGAAGCAAGGGCCATGGGAAAAGAGACGTAGATCCCAAGTAGGGTACGATATAAATAAGGGGGGCTAAGTGTCCGGACCGTCGTTTCCGTTCCTTTCGTCATGTGCACGCCCCTACCGTTCCGAGTCCATAATATAGGTAGGAAGAAAGATAATAAAATCTCAACTGCATGAAGTTCATTTCTGCAGCGATTCACGGATGGCAGAAATGGTATGGCCGCAGTATGCCATCTACTTAGTTTGCAGGAAAATTTGGAGTCAGTACTACTACCACTCCCTGTGACATTGAAAATCCCTTAAAGAGTTTGAAAATTTGCTGCCGTAGCTTCATCGCCGCCTCTTCTCCATCTTGTATTTTTGTATTTAGGTAGATGTGTATCTCAGTATTACAGGTATAAAATTTCTAAGACTTACGATGAGGGAAAAATTACCATTCAACCGTTAAAGTAATATAACATTTCATGAATTAGATAGACATGCTTTATATCCATCTCTGAGAGGTTTCCCGGAAATTTTGGATGGATGGGAAGTTCGGAAAGGACCATTTTTGCTTGAAAAGGCTTGAGCAGCTGTCCCAGTAATTGAATGGTAAAATTGCCCCACATCGTAAGTCTTAGAAATTTTATACTTGTAATACTGAGATATATCCTACCTAAATACAAAAGTACAGGAGGGAAAAGACACGGCAATAAACCTACGGCAGCAAATTTTCAAACTCTTTAAGGGATTTTCAATGTCAGGGAGTGATAGTAAGGGATACCCAAATAAGGTAAAGAGGTCGTGCACACAAGTAAACAAGGCCAAGCAACAGCCCTCGAAAAACGACCATGTCTTCGCCGAATGGTAAGATGGATGTCGACAAATCCCCAGCCCACAAGTCGTGCGTTATCCTGTCTTGACGTTGCATTATAAGCGTTGACCATCTTTCCAGGTCCCGTAACCACTCTACTGACACCTTGCCTACCAAGAGGTCTCATGTATCTCATTCTCGAGAAAGAGAACGGAGGGATAGGCGCCGTGACGATGAGAGGAGAAGGCGAAGTCGCAGCAGAGACAGAGGGAGTGACAGAATCAGAGATACCAACCGGTCTGGAGACCACTACCGGGACAGGGACAGAGACAGAGACAGGGATCGTCGCAGAGATCGGGACAGTCATCGAGGGGAAAGGGACCGAGAAAGAGGGGACAGTCGACATAGTCACCGTGACCGCGACTACGACCGCGATGGAAAGGACCGACGTAGGAAGCGAAGCGAGCACCTAGATGACACTGATGCTCCTGAACCAGAAGAACGGTCGAAGAGGGCCAAAATTTCAGACAGTCGCTCACCTCGCCCTCGCTCTCGAGACAGCACCAGAACGTTAGACCGCAGGAACCGTTCTAGTGACCGTAGAAATGGAGATAGGTACTCGAGGCCACCTCGCGATCCACGGGACGAGTTTAGCGACCCCCCGCGTTCACGAAAGGACTATGGTCGGAGAGACAATCGTCGGCCCCTTGATGATGATCCTCTGTCTCCTCGTCTCACCAGGAGTCCTCCCCCCATAAAGTTTGTCTCCTTTTCTCACCGTAAATCCATTTCACTCATTGGCGAACAGAAGACCATCTCCTTCCTACGAAGTTCCCGTTGATGAGCCATATAATCCTGATGAACCCAAAGAAGACGACTCGGAAGCCCGATCGGTATTCGTATCCCAACTAGCAGCACGGCTGACCGCCCGAGATCTAGGTTATTTCTTTGAAGACAAGCTTGGGGATGGTACAGTTATGGATTCCAGAATCGTCACAGACAGGCTATCGCGCCGTTCCAAAGGGTATTAAGACTCATCATATTTGCCCTCACTTATCCTGACTGGTACCTTCTAGAATCGGTTACGTCGAATTTCGAACGGTAGATCTAGTGGAGAAAGCCCTGAACCTTTCTGGCACTGTTGTCATGGGGTTACCCATCCTGGTACAGTTAACTGAATCGGAAAGGAACCGACTTCATCCAGGTGATGGGTGAGTATAAAGGAGCACAGTGCTATATCGTTATTGACTGTCTCTTAGAAATCTCAACCTTCCTCCAGGTGTCAGTGCTCCGCATGGCGCCATGCAGTATGTTTCCATTTTTCCTGGACAGAAACATATACTGATAAGGTGATAGACTTTATGTGGGATCGCTGCACTTTAACCTCACAGAATCGGATATTAAGCAAGTCTTTGAACCATTTGGAGATCTCGAGTTCGTGGATCTCCATCGTGATCCCATGACGGGCCGCAGCAAAGGCTACGCTTTCGTTCAGTAAGCATATATGTTAATACTGCGTCTTTCCTTGTTAAACGAACAAAAGATACAAACGAGCGGAAGATGCCAAAATGGCGTTGGAGCAAATGGAAGGGTTTGAACTTGCTGGAAGAACGGTGCGTTGGTTCTTATACCATTCACTGCTTTGACTTTTCACTTACCTTTCAACCTAGTTACGTGTCAATACTGTTCATGAAAAGGGCACAGCTAGATACACCCAACAAGACACACTAGATGAAGTTGGCGGTAGGTTGCCGTCGTGCCTTTTGACAAGATAATGACACCATTTCCAACATAGGTGGTAACTTGAATGCAGCTTCTCGTCAAGCGCTAATGCAGAAACTTGCTAGAACTGAAACTCCGATTGCTATCCCCGAGCCTGTGTAAGCGATGATAGAAAGCACATTATATGTCTGGGGTTAACAGATCAACAGAGCAAGGCCCGTTCAAGCTATGGAGTCCAGGTCTGTCCTTTTGAAGAACATGTTTGATCCCGAGGAGTATGTCATTTCTTTTTGACCTTAGAACGTTTGCTAATTCTGACATTCCAGGGAGACCGATGCTAATTGGGACAAAGAATTAGCTGACGAAGTCAAAGGTGAATGCGATAGCAAGTATGGTAAAGTACTAGCCATCAAAGTCGAGAAAGAGTCACAGGTAATAACATTCAACAGTATGTATCAACGTCGTTGAGAATTATTTTTAGGGCGAAATCTACGTCAAGTTTGACGCTGTTGAATCGGCACGAAAAGCGATACAGGGCTTAAATGGTCGCTGGTTCGGTGGCAAGCAAGTATCAGCAAACTTCATCTCTGACGCCATAATGCAAGCACATCAGTAGCCGGTTAAGAAAATTCTGCAGTTTGAGAGATGTTCGTCTTGGAACGTTACTAAAATTATCCTTCTCACCACAGATACACATTTTACAATTCGTTTGATCGTGCTTCGTTTCTTTCTCTGTGACTTGTATCTCAATTTATGTTGTGCAGATCTTATTTGATCAATGCAGAGTGGCCGTCTCCACGCCACATGCACTCATAGGCAGGTTTCATTGTTGACGTTTATGAACGTCTGCGGCTTCTTTCATTTCTGCAATATAGATGCTCAACGAATTATGAGGACTGCGCTTGCATTGTGGCACAAGCGCTGACACTAAGCCAACCTGACGTCGGTATTCCTGGAATAGGATGCAGGTATTGGCAATATTCTTGTTGCCGACGCTCCTACTAATCACAGGCCAGAGATGGCGGCTGGTAGATTTTGAACAAGGTTCGTTTGTTTGGTGTCATACAACCATGTATTGGATGCCTTGTCTCGAAAAGAAGAGTTCTCCCTCCTACGAGCCAATATGCCTAATGCATATATCTGAACTGGGGGGAATCGTGACCGCCCTCCAGCGATTCTGTATGAACATCGGCTGCGGTGAAATTATCACTGATTCCTTGAGCTTTGTTCCTCCTTTTGTTTTCGAGACGCATCCATATTCCCGTTCTGCATGACAGATTTGTCAGACTGAAGGGAAGACGTGAACACCAAGCATACCCTGCTACAAGAATGAGGCAGAAACCGCCAAATGCCGCTGCGTTATTGAATCTTTAGAAAGCAGTGGTATTCATGAGTTAATTAGCATCACCTGAGGTTGCAAGGGCTGCATTAACCAGGAGGCAATCAGTTTTACTACTCAATGGCAGGAAAGAAACGTCTGTAAGTGCCTGGAATATATTTTGGCTCGTCCTGCTCTCTGAAAACATTGGTAGAAATAAGTCCCGACGCATTGGCGATGGCAACTGTACAAGATGAGCGACTTGCAAGACACCAGTCAAAATGTCACAGTACCCATTACCGCGGTGACAACCGCGCGCCGGGATTCCTGAGGCGTATTGTTATTATACCACGTTGCAACCAATACGGAGGGCGCTGAAGCCTAGAGGAAGGGGATAAATGATATGCTTTCCAAGTGCATCATACCTACCCCCATAGTCAGAAGGAAGCAAGCGAAGTATGCAATCTGTACAACGTTGGCCATCCACAAGGTACGGACGGAACCTGTTAATGGAGGCTTACCCCTTTATGTATTACTACGTCAATGGACCCAAGGACAATAAATCCAGCGAGAGTTGTGGCCAGAGGTATGCAGATATGTATCGAGCGCTCCAAGAAGTAGTCGGATGAAAACGTGAGGACCAGGAGCGACACCGTCCCAACTATGTTCGGCGCGACCGTGTATAAATTCGTCTTGATTGTAGAGTATCCTAAGCTTGCGACGATCTGGGGAAGGAAGTTGTTGACAGAAGCCAAAGGGACACCCAAACTCAAACTGATAACGGCCCAGAGCCAGTATAATGGGTCCTTTAGCGGCCTGAAGGCATCACGAATATCGAGTTTTTCGTCAACTGTTACAGAAGAGTCGGCCAAGATACGTGAACGCGCTATAGCCTTCTGGCGTTCAGTGAGGAAAGACCAAGTAGATGGTGAGCGGGGAAGCCAAAAGAAAGCGAATATGGCGAAGGCACAAGTGCCTGCACCTGTGGATACGGCATCAGCGCGTGCACTACAATATGGGTCTGTTGCCTGCCTTCGATCCAAAATAGGTACTGCCATCCATGGTACTTCGTGTTTTTGATTTGAAAGACCCCGAATGCGATAAGACCTGGTGAGAGTTCAAGAGGCAGAATAATTGAGAGAGCAGCCTCGAGGACATGGCTTACTTGCCTGAAAATGCCCCAGCGATCGCAGCCGCGGCTTTATAGCAGACGAATTTCGTTAGTCAATAGACAATACAACAGAACCTCGCCTCACCATAGAATAAGCCAACGCGAGATGCAAGCTCGCTACGCTTGTAGAACGTCGATAGATAGAAAACCTGTTGGTACGGCACGCTTAGTCAAAGAACAGCCCTCGTATTCGAATGTATGATCTATCTTACCACACCAGGCAGCATCGCTGACTCAAAGATACCAAGGAAGAAACGAATGGCGAATATCTCTGTCTTTTAGTCAGACCTTACCCCACGAAGATAGGACCAGTAGACATACGCGGGAAGTTCTTCGCTATCCCAGCAAAGAGAGACCTGCAAAAGACATAGATCAAGAAATACCTGTGCCTCGGCAAAGGTGACGAACATGGAGCCCTGGGGAAGAAGGCTGTAGAAGCCCTGATAAATTAACAAAGTACGGCGGTCACGTACAAATCCTATCATCATCAGAGGCAACACTCGGGCAGCAGAAAATCGTTTGACCAAAAGACTGATCGGCGTCCCAAAGCTATCATAGATAGTTGTCGGCGGTCATTTAAACTTGGTAGGAACTCGCTCACAGACAGAAGGGAACCTATGTGTTGTGGTGAGTCGGCGTAAGATATGCAGATGAATGGATACACACATAGAAGATCATCACGAGTAGATAGTACTATGTTATGATGGGGTGTTAGGCGCATATTATTAGTAGATACCTTCGATGATGCCATACCTGGTTTCCTACAAGGCCAAGGTCCTAAAAAGAGCATCAAACGAAGCCACTCGATGTAAGGTGGATTGTACACTTACGTGGTCCCATCCATCTGTCTTTGCATTACCTACGTTTCCCTTGTCAAGTGCATTGCAAAGATACCTGGTTGTTTGTTAAAGCTTCAGCTACGGACTGATCCCAAAATATAAACTAGATTCTTACATGAAAGTCAAGGGTGGTAGGATACATATGTCAAATAGACGCAGAAGACGACGCTCTTCATTGGAGGAGAACTGCAAGCTTTCGGATTCACCATCTGTAAATTTGTCGTCGTTGGGAAGAACAGTTGCAGCGTCTTCAGTATCGTCCATGGGAAGAGAGAAGTGGAGCAGGATCACATGGATGTGTAGTGGGCGCTATAGAATGAATATACTTAAATGCGTTGGTGGCATATTCGGGCTACTAGCAAGGCGTTTGGGAAGGACCGGTGCTTCCAGAGCAGATAAGAGGGAATAGAGATGACTCTGATCGATCACATGATGGACGGACCGGAGCTGAAAGATTCATCCGAAATTCGAAGGGATGCTATAGGGTACAAAGTTATTTCTTCGTCAGCAACCACTATCATGTCCATCGAAAGAATCAACTCGTCTGAGAACTCCTCGTTCACTCGCATTCTCTGTAAGCTCGCTTCCAACGATTCCGCTTTCTTTCGTACAACTTTCTAATGAGTGCTTCAGCTCATGCGACCAAGGTCTCCGGCCTGGGGTTGATCTTCCTTAGTGGTACAACTCCCGTTGATAAGACCGGAACACTCGTTCCTGGAGGAATACAAGAGCATACGGTTCGTTGATATCTCTTGATTCCATTGACAACCTGAAACATATATATCGTTAGGCTCAGTGTCTGACCAACCTAGGAAACGTCTTGGCAGCGTCAGGCTCCTCGTGGGAGAAGGTCATTAAGGTTAACGTATATTTGAAAGACATGGACAACTTCGCAGCCATGAACGAGATCTACGAGAAGGTGAGACGCCAGTGCCGCTTCACAAGTATCTTGGCTAAATTGCTTCAGATGCTGCCTAATCCAAAGCCTTCCAGGACTTGTATCCAGGCCGCCAAGCTTCCAAACGATGTTGACATCGAGATCGAAGCCATTGCAGCTGTATAATATGGAGTACTATGATGCGGAATACGTAGCGAATGCAAGGATTAAATCCATGAAGCTAGTGCCAATGACCATCTTTGCTGGAGCAGAATTAAGAGTCGTAGTGTAGGCGGTTAAAAGTTCGCAAAGATATGTGGACCAGTTGCAAGCGGCGGCACATTTGCCTATCAGGCATAGTAGGAACGGAGTGTCCGTTGTCCGACGCTTCCCGGAGGCTAAATACAGTAAAGTATCACACGTGGTATCTCAAATTCAAATCCGATAGTCAGAATCCATATACTCACCATCGGGCCACCAGGAGCTTTTGTTTTCAACTCACCTTGCTTGATACAATGCCCACGCAGACGAAGACGCCGATCGGCCTGTTGATCAAACCGTCAAAGGCCACCTTGGTCGAGGAATTTGTGGGAAAGTCGCTTGATGGTATAAGGACCCCAGCTATGATCATTGACCGCAAGACATTTTCCGAGAATTGCGCGAAAATGCACCAGAAGGCCAATGATTGGGGTGCAGGGTTCAGAGCCCATCTGAAAACTCATAAGGTAGCATCACTACTCCTTTCGAGGTATCAAATTTTGAATCTAGGAATAGACATCTGAAGGAACAAAATATCAGCTCGTCTCCAGTGCAAACAAGACTGACAGAGTTGTCGTTTCGACTTTAATGGAAGCCTGGGAGGTAGTAAAAGCGGGTCTCATTCGAGATGGTACCGTGAAAGATGTCAGTGATTGCTATTCTTCTTGGATAGCGATTATTGAAGTCAAGAACAGATATTGTACGGCCTGCCAATTCCCGTCAATAAAATAGAGGATATGTCCGAGCTATGGGACGCTATAGTTGTAGATGGCGGCGTCATGCGAATTTTGCTAGACCATCCTGATCAGGTGAAATACTTGAACGAATTTGAGAAGCAGCGCATAACACCTAGGAAATGGTCAGCGTTCGTTAAGATTGATGGCGGACAAAAGTAAATGGAGTTATGCTTGAATATAAACTGATACTGACTGTACCACAGGCGGGCGGGTGTCTCGACTATCACTCCTTACTTTGAAACCCTCCTAACAACCATTTTGGAATCTTCCTTCGTCTCAATCCACGGCTTCTATGGGCATGCAGGGAACTCCTACGCGTCAACTTCGCTCTCGGAGGCTTCTTCTTTTCTGTCCGGTGAAGTCCAGGTTGTAAACGATGCCGCCAGGGCCGCCTTGTCGATACTGAAGAACTTGGGCTTGAAAGCTCCAGAAAGACCTTTTGTGTTGTCGGTCGGTGCGACACCAACGGCACACGCGGCGAGCGCAGAAACGAGGGCGACTCTGTCTACATTGCTTCATGGCGCGCTCGAACTCCATGCAGGTACGCGACCGTCCCGCCGAAGCATGCTTGTTCACTGATGAAATGGACAGGAAATTATCCAATGTTGGATCTGCAGCAGCAACACACAACCTTGATCAACAAGTCACAGATTGCCCAGCGCGTCAGAGCGACGGTCATCTCTTATTATCCGGGACGAGGCCAGGACGGCACAGATGAAGCGCTTATTGACGCCGGCGCAATCGCTTTTAGTAAAGACACAGGCCCATCTGGAGGATACGGAGACGTAGTTGGCAAAGCCTGGCGAGTTGGTAGGATATCGCAGGAACATGGTATCTTGACACGCACGGACAGCGGCCGAAAACTGCAGCTGGGGGAGGTGGTCGACATTGTTGGGCAGCACGCATGTTTGATTACTGCAGCGTATCCTTGGTACTATATAGTCGATTCGGATGTCGAGAACGGGGAGAAGATAGTGGATATATGGGTTCCTTGGAAAGGATGGTAGAGCAGTAGCTTGTATTTTAGTTATGTCACGGTGACAAATGTGACCATTGCCGTCTTCCCACGGCGCCTGCTCACTAGGTGCCAGTGAGCATTGCCTGTCTTTCTTTCCTCGCCACGATGCCGTCCAATGACTACGGAGACTACGATACAGAGCTAATTGAAACTTATGGTATGGCTCTGCTCGCTGTGTCTGTATACTATTTTAACTTTGCTTAGACTTCCTCATGAAATACATCATCATTGGTTCGTATGTCTCATGGCGACAATCTACCGGAAACTCCAATAATTTCATGATCACAGGCGAGGCAGGCACTGGAAAGTCCTGCTTGCTACATCATTTTACCCACAATTCATGTCCGTAATCTCGCAACCCTCCACCCAAGCCCAGCCTAACGTCTCGCCGCAGTCAAAGACCATTCACAACATACTATTGGTGTGGAGTTTTCGAGTCGAACAGTTAAACTAGGTGAAAAGCGGATAAAGTTACAGGTACATACTTCTTGGCTGTTGATGCTCGCATATCATTTATAGATCCATCTTAGTTGTGGGACACGGCAGGTCAAGAACGGTTTCGGTGGCGTGCAGTGTTCCTTCTCTCTAAATGTAGCTGATGTCCGACACAGGTCAGTAACACGCAGTTACTACCGTGGTGCCGCAGGGGCAATTTTGGTTTACGACATCACGAAGTCCGCCTGTCTTTTGTTCCTTTCCTTTCCATCTACTTACCCGATACCTGCGTGCGCAGCCGGGACTCGTTTACAAATCTGTCGCGGTGGCTAGCTGATGCGCGAGCCCTAGCCAGTCCACATCTCGTAACGGTCCTTGTCGGAAACAAGTCTGATTGCGAGGAGGACAGGGAGGTAGAGTGGGCCGAGGCAAGCCGCTGGGCTGCTGAGAATGGTGCGCTTCCGGGTTGCCGAGAACTGACGATCGGCTTACTGTTAGCCCTATGCTATCAGACATTCATTTTTTAGAGGCGTCTTCTCTCACCGGCGACAACGTCGAGGCACCGTTCCTCTTGGCAGCAAGATCCATATTGCTCTCGATAGAATCTGGAGCTCTCGACCCCGAAAAGGCCGGCAGCGGCGTCAGCTACGGAGACCGAGCACTACGAAGAGTAAACAGTTCCAGCCGTTTGAGCTTCGGTAGTTTGAGTGGACGTCCGAGACGAGGAACCGTAAAACTCAAGAGCTGGATTCCCGGCAAATGTTGTTGATCATTTTGATCAACAGGGTCCTTGACTACTTACGGTATGGATCATTCATTTGAGTCCTTCAAACACTTATGTTCTATCAGCCTCTCATCGCATGCGTCACTTTCCTTCTGGATCTTATCGTTCCGGAATTTCATGTGTCTTCTTTCCTTCGGACTCATACCCATTCTCAGCTATACCAGCGCGTGCTCGCACTCCACAGCTCGTGGGTGTAACTATATTGTCAGGTGCATCCTCATCTTCATTGTATCTTCAAACATGCATTTATTCTCTCAGCACCACTATACTACATCTACATGTCCATCTAGACTTGCGTTGTAACTATTCGTAATTGTCATCCTTATAATATGTAACTTGTTGTCTGGACTGATTTCAGGCCTCTCCGAAGACACCCTAAAGACGCTTGACAAATGGCAGCGGTCCGTCAAAGATTCACGCACGGGCGCCTTTGGCCAAAGATTTGAGAATCTGCTGCAACTCAGTGCTTGGTGCGTAACTCGTATCACGATCTGATCGCTTTCACATGTTGGTCATGGTGCGGATTTCGCTGCAGGGCATACGAGGACCGGTCAACTGACCGTAAGAAGCTATGCATTTCCCATTGATGTTTCGACATTTACCCGCGTGGACGGACGCTCCACGTATACAAGGCCTATAATTGTATGGCTCTTATGAGAGTACTTCCCTTTCTCCCCTCCCCCCTTAATCTCCTCGCTCTGGGACCAAGGTGACGATGCGTCCATCGGGCACAAAATGAATAGCACGTCAACGACACAGTCAGGCAGGTCCACCTTTCACGCGCTCTTTCATCTCGACATGCCCTTATCTTTTCGCCATCGGTAGTCATTTCCAGGTCAACCGCACCATTGACATCGGTATTGGACCACTTATCTTTCAGTCCAGGATGCCCTAACGCGCCAACAGTTGACTACGCCTGCGTCCTCTTCATTCGCTGCCGTCGGGACAACTTTGATCGAGACCATCATTTCCACCGTTACTGAATCCGCTGCGTCGTCCGCAGAAACCGCCACGGACGACGTAAGCTTGTCGTCGGTGATAATCGAGTCAGACAGGCAGGCTAGCCCATCAACTGCTTCGCCGATGTCTACCGGTGTACAAGCAGAGTATGTGAAATTATCGGCCCTACGCGTACATTTTCTTATTTTCGACTTGGGGGGTTTCTCTCCAGCATGTCTTCCACATTCTCTACCACGTCGGTGACGGCCAGAACAACCGTGGCGCAAGCAACCACGACGTCGACGCCTGTTGCGGCTCCTCCGAATACTGACGATAGTGCATCTTCCACGAGCACATCCTCCTCGTCGAGTTCCTCTCAAGTCGTTATCACGACCACGTCGAGTACTTCCACCACTCAGGCAACACCGAGTACTAGCACCGTAACGTCGACGCAGCCTGGGGCCACAGTGACTACCACGAGCCCAGGAACTACTAATGGCACGTCCACAACTTCTGTGATCGCGTCAGCAGCAAGTGAAGAGACGCAGGTCACAAGTGCATCGGCAGTGGCTGCTACAGTCACTGAACAATCGGCCACTTCGGTAACTGGATCTACTAATGATGGGAGTAAGTACAGCGATTCGAAGCGTCTTCCCCTTGCTTATCTTGCAACAGGTGGAAATAGTAGCAGTACTGTCAGAGCTACCGGCATTGCTTCAAGCGTAAACTCCGCCGCCTCGACTGTCTCAGCCGTGCATTCTACGCTTCCCCAAGCAATCGGCGTGACAGTTACCGGTTCAGATGGTCAGACGTCGGTTACTTTTCCCAGTTTCGTTACCGTCTTGAGCACTGCAACGGAATCAGACGGCTCCGTAGTCACCGAATCTGCGGTCGTGTCTAATCCAACCAGCGTGGGGCACCCAGAAAGTAGCAACTCCTCGTAATAATTTTTTCTCTTGACGTTTCGATTAAGAATTCTGACTATGTCTGCAGTTTTTTCAGTAATACAAGTGCTGTTGCAGGAACGTTTGCTGCTGTGGGAATCGTCGCATTCGCCATGCTTGCGCTGCTTTTTGTATGCTATCGTCGTAGACGCAGGCAGAGAGAACGAACCAGATGGCTGTCGGCCATCACACAACCCCCTTCATATCCTTTGCATGATGACACTGACAGGGACCCATTCGATGAAGACGATCCATTCGAGGATCCCGGGGATCCACCGCAGATGGCCCAGGTGATGCATGCTCCGCAGACCACCTACATCAACAGGGATCAGCGACATGAGGATTCAGAACATGTCAATACAGAAGCTAGCACCGCTAATCTTCTAGGCGTCCGAAGTTTCACTGCTGCTAGTCTGGGGATTGGACATACCACCCATATACAGGAAGAGGGGCCGTTCAGCGATGTCAACGCGTTCTTGTCGCAAGAAGAAATAGGGCTCGCTATTACAACCGGCCACCCAGCTCCCTCGTCTCTACATTCCAGACAATCCACTCCTTCTCTTTACTCTGACTCACCGCTGGTAAACGGTGATGCAGACTCTTTCTATACTCTTGACTTGCAACCATCGGTGCCCCCGAAAACTGAAATCCGAGCGGTGCCAACTCTAATTCCTCGTCCTCCCCGCTCAATTTTGAGGGGGACTCCCCCGTCGAGTCAGCTCAGAGGCTCAGAGTATAGACCTTTGACTCCTCCAGACTCTGTTGAATCGCAGAGACTCTCCTTCTCGTCCTCTTCTGCGGGTCCATCTACTCCGACCGGACTCGGATTCACAACCGGTAGCAGTCTCGACCATGAACATGGCAAGCTGTCAAATCCGCTTCCGCCTACTTTGAGCCCTACAGCCATTCTCACGCGGCGAACTTTGCTCGATGTATGTATTTTTGGTTATCTTCCTCCCAAGTCTTGTCAGTATAATGAACTTTGACAGATACGCCCACGACCTAGTCGCGACAACGTACAGACAGATGCTTCAGGAAGGGTGTAGAGTTCCTGCATCAGGGCACCAACTTAAGGTTTATTTCAGAGTGTACATTAGTTAGCTCTTTTTCCCTTATCGCATATTTCATTGCATAGTATATGTATGACGGACATTGGGTGCTTTTGCACAACGCCTTGTATCATGATTCATATATTCATATCTAACAATGTATTGACACATGCCGATTTCCCTTAGCGTAGGCTTTCAGTGGTCGTAGCAAAGCCGTAGCTCTCTGAAACAAATTTTAAGCATCCGATGAATCTTGAGAAGCACATTTGAATCAGGCGCACATTTGCGACATTATATACGACGTTATCATAGCCGCCTTCCGGTGATGTCGTGGCTGTGGCATCTTTCAGGAGTATACAGTCGTATCCCCGATAATAGGCATCGACAAGTGTCCCAAGCACACACTATCGAATTGCCAAATCATTCCAGAACCTTATGGAGCAGTGAAAAACAATGATGCTGATACCTGATCTGTATTGACACCTGCGAAAAATAGTGTCGTGATCCCGTTCTCCGCGAGAAAGAGGTCAAGGGCGGACTGATATCCCCACAAACCGCTCATCCTGCCGTTCATCGTGAGATATCCTACTATGATTGAAAATCAATACAATGCCGTTACCGGTTTTTGTGGATCCAGAAATCAGTTCCTAGTTCCTTGCCCTTGAGATATTCTTCTTGCAAGGGCCCGTAAAGATCTGAATTGAGTGCGTCCCGCATGAGAAGTCTCCCGAACGCTCCTGGTAATTCGGGCCCGAAACTACCACGTCCGGCCTTTGTGAATCCACGAACGAGGGAAGGTGGGATAGTTTGCAATTCATGATCAGTGAGGCCCCAGTTACTGGAAAATTTCGCACGAGTTGGGTCAGGGCGCGCGAACTAACAGGAATAGGGTACCTACACCCAGAGAACCTTGATATCCCTTTCTCTCGCAATAGGAACCAATTTCATGAGTGGCTCCACGCATTCTAGGCCGGTGGGATGGTCTCTGAGATCAGGATGCAGGAAGTAACTAACATTGGGGCAACGTAAGCCGTGTCGAGCAGTGACGAGACAGTGCAGATAACTACTTTTGCATGTCAATGATAACAACGGCACTCGATTTGGCATCGATGCGAATTGTACGCTCACGATCCACAGCAACGTCCAGCTGACCAGGAAGTAAAGGTGGAGAATGGTGTTCGGCGTTGGGCGCCACGGACAGTGTCCGAGTCAAATCAATCAATCCTGAGGGATATTCCCACCAGAAAGATGCACTGTTGCCGTATTTTGTGACAGAAGAGACGGGAGGTCGCGAAGCCATTTCGGATAGAGAGTGGGGGGGGAATCATAACAAGTAGGTACGCTGGCTCGAGAAACTTGTGCTTTATCTGTGGTCTCAGTCATCTGATAACAAATGCGTGGGTATTATTGATAAAAACATTACTAGAGAAATCTGAAAACCATACCGGCTTTTACTAATCGAAAATACTCGACTAAGGACTACTCCGTACCCTACGACGCGTCGTGTCCTAGACATCACGTGAAACAAAATGCCTCCTCCCCAAGCTAAGTACAAGCGGAAAAAGTATACAGACTGAGAATGCGTAAAGAATATCTATGTATTCGGTCCATATGCAATGTACTACAACTCGTATGCTGCCAACAAGGGCATCGGTCTATGGTTACCAAATACACTATATAAAATATACTAAAATGAAGTAAAGAGCGTGCGTTTTCGTGTCAGTGTCTACTAAAAACAAGTTCAGAGGTCCATGCAAATGGGCGTCAGAATATACAAGGGTCCGCAATGCTGTTGAGGTGTCGGCACCTCGAGTAAGTATGACGGAAAAAGCTACCTAGGACTCCTGGGAAACCTTATCCGGAACATTCCGAACCTACAGAGCAGAAGTTAGTGAGAGCACTACAAGGTTCATAAGTGGAAGACTCGTACTCCAAGAACCGGACGCGAGTAGTCTTCATTGTCCCTAAGGTCGGCCCTGTCACTATCTGAATCATCTTTGAGCCGCCGGCGGAGGTCAGGATCTAGGCGGTCATCTCCTGTACTCTCCGAAGAGTATACTGATGAGGCGGCATCATTGCCTTCGGTGTTTTGAGTGGTGGGTGATGGCTGATTTTTCGTATCTGAGAGTCTTCGTGGGTTACGAGGCGGTGGCGAAGGAGGCCCTGAATTATCACCAGTGTTTTGGGCTTGATAGAAGGATGCCAGAAGTGGCTCGTAGCTTCCTGCACTATGTGACGCAGAATGACTGATCCTCTGCTCGCTCGCGTTTCCACGGATGTTACCAAACACGCCACTGCCAGCACCGGGTGGTGGACTCGGACTCCTCACTGGTGTGTAATCGTCCCTGCCTATTGGAGGATGACCAACGTCTGCATACGGATTATAGCCACCTTCCACATTATCGATGTAAGCAGACAGTCGACCCGCACTTGGTATAGAGCTCCGGGGAGAATGCTGAGACATCTGCATTCTCGAGCCATCCTCATGTTCGTCATCATCATCGAGGGGTGCACGGTGAAAGCCAGCAGCAGTAAGAGTAGCCGAGACGGCATTGTCATGCTCCATTCGCCGAGTGCGACGCCGCCGACGAATGTAGAAAATTATGAATAGTATTATTGACGCTGCTGCCAGGCCGACGAGCACGAATACCCCCGCAACTGCACCTTTGTTTTGAAAGAAGCTGTCAGAGAGAATCAGCAATGACGTTGCGCGTAGATGCAAAAGACGCACGATGAGGTGTTGCTGCTAGAGCCAGAATCCGAGCTTAGAGTGGGGTTGACACCGATTTGTGTTATGGTGACGACGCCTCCATCACTACCTGTACTTGTCACCAAACTGGTAACAGCCGATGGCGTACTTGTTGTCGTCTGGCCAGCACTATTTGTCGTGGTTATGTACACAGTACTCTGCAAGGTAGTTCTAAAAATAAAATAAGAATTAGGGCGAGATGAGTGAGAACATTTTGACACGAACACGGTCTCAGCAGGTGTAGAGGTGGTGCTGGTTTCAAGGTCAGTGCTCGTGGATGAGGTTGACGATGTCGTTGATGTCGTTGTTTCTGTAACAGCAGGCGTCGATGTCGTAGTGGGAGTGGTTGACGTTGTCGTGATTACAGACGTCGAGGTGGCGGAGGAAGAGGTAGACGTTGTGGTTGGTAAGGATGTTGTTGTTGCCGTCGTTGAGGAAGTCGACTGTGAAGTTGATGAAGTCGTCTCAGACGTCGTTGTCGACGGCAGTTCCGATGTTGAAGTGGAAGATGAGGATGAAGATGATGTAGTGGGAGACGACGACGACGATGATGATGATGATGACGACGACGACGACTCAGAAGTCGTTGTGGATGTAGACGTTGTAGGTGCCTGGGTACTGCTTGACGTATTTTGTGAAGACGAAGTGGACATTTCGGTTGTTGAAGTATTACTTGTGGTGGCAGTCGGTGAAGTATTAGAAGATGAAGTAGTTGTGGGTGAAGCAGTCGTAGTAGGCGACGCTGTAGTGCTAAGTGCAGAGTAATGATGCAATCAACACGAGGATAGCAATAGTGCAAAAAACACGGACACTCACGAAACGAGACGATTCGAAGAAGTCGGAGATGTAGTCGACATGTTCGAGGTAGTTTGAGTGGTCGAAGATGCCGTTTGAGTGGTCGATTGAGTAGCAGTTTGGGTAGCAGTTTGAGTGGCCGTTTGAGTATCAGATTCGGTTTGCGTAGTTTCCGTTAAAGATTGAGTAGTTTGGGTAGCGGTATTCGTTGTAGATTGTGCATTGGTCAGAGTCGTAGATGAACCGGTCGCAGTAGTTGTTGGTATAGTTTGCGACGACATGAGCAGAATAAATGGTGGAGAGTAAATGGTAAAGGATGGCAGTCAGAAAGTGAAGAAAAGAAGGAAAGCTGGAACGCAGAGACGGGAAAAAAGGCAGTGAGCATCGATTTTTCCGACGAGAATGAGCTCAAAACGCGAAAAATGCGTCGACACAAGTGCAGTGTAGAGGAACTGGTCGGCTACGAAGAGAAGACTATTCGCAAGGCTTACCTAGATCTGAAGAGGTTTGCTGTCTCTTTGGCCGGTTGGAAAGCATTTGAGTACCATTTGCCTTGTCCACGTACCTCCAAGCACCGAACACTGGCCTGGTAACGGGAAAAAGAGGGAAAAAAATGAAAAACCAGGAAGGCGCAGCGGGACGGTGGTAGGGAAAAGGTGGCTGCAAGAGCCAGCTCGTGCCAACTAACGGCAACTTCTCAAATTCAAGCACAGCCACATTTCAAATTCCAAACTGGGCCGTAGTCCCTCCTGCAGGCGGCTAAATATATCAATTCGCTCGGTGCGCCTCTTGTTGGGTAGCCAATATCTCCTCGAAATAACGACTATCAACTCTCAGAAATACGACTGGCAATTACTGTTGTCTCTTCAACGGCCAAAAGAAGCCGCTTCAGACGCTTACGAAACACCCAGGGCTGCGCACGGAGCCTGCTCACCGCTTTTGGCAATTTATTTAAATTTTTATTTACCCCGTTCAGGCTAGTTTCCATTCCACCCGCCATGACCATCATCAACAAGGCCGCCCCGCCCATTGCCGGCCCATCGTCTCTACCTAGGCCATCGTCGTCGCCGCCCCCGCCCCCGCCGCCCTTTCGCGACGTCGCTGAAAGCACCCACCTGCTCATTGACTTCGACGACGCCCAAGGGGACCCTCCGCCAGAATTCACTCCATACCATGCTGAGTATTTCGATACCGGGAATGGCGACATCGTGTCTCACGATCCCCACTTGAATTCGGACGGTATGCATGTCTTGCTCCATGTCATGATGGCCCTACTCATCTCCTGAGAAGGAGAAGCGCTCTATCGATTCCTGCTGTCTCAAGCAAGCACCCCTCCGTCGCTCTCTCTTCACTGTCACGGTACCCATTCAGAAACTCACCATCGCCACGTAACTCACACAGGTCGCGGCGGCACGATCGAAACGCGGCTCGAGAGCTACACCGAAACCGTCGTCGACTTCGACTTTTACATCTCCCTTGATCACCTTATCCTTCCAGAACCGACTCACTGGTCCGTTGCAGATTCTGATCCTGCTTATCGCGGTCGTATGGTCAAGGAGATTGACCTGTCTGGTAAAAAGAAAGCGAAGCGGAAGGAAAGAAGAGCTTTCCGTTCTTGGATCAAGGACAGGGATGCACGCGGCCTTCCACCGTGGATTTCGAGCACTCAGGCTACGGGCGCTCATCCAGCCTTAGAAGACTCCGCTGTCCTTAGATCTTCCAAGACCCTTCGGACCTGGGCTGACGAATACTGCGCTTCCCCAAAATACCTGAAAGAATTCGTCTACGTCAAAGTAAGCTCACATAAATACACCGGCTCCAGTCATTCACATTAACTCCAAGTCCGTCTACGGATGGAATTTACGCAACCTTGAATCTGCCATCCGTTCTATCATCAAGACGTCTCTCTACACCGGTACACTCGAGGTTAACTTCGAAACTTCCGCCAAAGAAGTTTACATCAGACCCGATAACCGTCTCTCGAGAACCCTTTCCAATAAATGGTTAAAATTCCTGTCCATTATCCTTTTCATATTTCCATTCATCTGGCTGTTCAAGCGTTTTCATAACAAGGGCGGTGGTAGGTGGGAGGTTTGCGGTGGCGCCTACGCTCTGAAACGCTGGCTGCCACTTGACTCCGAATCTGAACATACCGTAGATAAGAAACAGTTACAGTCCGTTGCTAGGGATGCTGCGATTGTGCGCCCTAAAGACGGGCAGGCGAGCAAGTTCGTCGGATCCAGGGAAGGCGAGTGGCTGAAGCAGTGGCAAGGTACCATCATACGGGCCGTGCAGATGCGTTATGAATCTATTGAACCTATGTTGGTCCCCACCGACCAGCTTCTCAATCATCCCTTGCCTGTTGAACTGGACGGCTACTAATTTTTAACGGCATGTGTATATCCTCAATATTTATCCAGCAGCAAACTGTGACCTTTCAATACATCACATTCAAGACGGACGCACGCAGACTAGACTTTTAAGTCCAATCCAAAGAAAGAAATGTATATAATGCCAAGTTCCAACAAATAATTGAGAAAGCATGGAAAAGAGATATGGGATATGATATACATTACAGTATGTGAAATTGTTTTAGATATATGCCAATGTTATGAATGAACATGTTGATTGAGATTCACATTCGTGCGTAGCAATGCGGACGAGTGTGGTGTCAATGATGGTGTGTATGATTGTCCTGCTCGCCCGGATTCCTGTTGTTGATACCTTTCAGACTCCGAATACTCCTCGCCATCTAGCAAGGCAAGAGCTGTCTCCAAAAACCACATGTTCTTCTTGATGAAGTGCACAACAATGGTTCCACCCAAACGGCTGTTTTCATATCTTGTCTTCCTACCTTCTCGATGTGCCCATGCATATTCTGAAGACATGGCGCTCCCTGATCGTTTAATCGTCAAATTGGCGAAGCCAAACTCAATGAAAAAAGGACGACTAGCCTTCACTGATGGTAGACATATCGCTACCTTCAATAAGAGCTTCCACTGCTTCATGTGTTGACAGACTGGACACCGGAGGTGTATATCGAACGCCAAACGTTGAAACACTTGAATGAGCCCAAGACGCTGGCGCAGGAAGAAAGCCTGTATTGATTGTCATAGACCCAGTCACCTCTTGCGGAACATTGGCTAGATACGATGCCACGCTGCGCTTGACACGAGTTACTTCGGAAGGAAAAAGGAAGCCGTGGGCGTACCTAGACAGGAGGTAAGCGGAAAATGTCACGAACAAGATATGCCTAACATACACAGTGCCAGACCGCGGGTGGTCGTATATCCAGCAACGCTCACTAGCCCATCGTATCTCAGACGCTAATGGATGCATCGTCATCCATTTCGCAGTTTGCTTGTCCTCGGCACCTTTTGTAACTCCTTTGATTGCAGGGTCCTTGGCTACCCAATCGACCAGACTCCAACTGAGAGCATACAACTCTCCAGCCATGAATCGATGCAGTCGGTTCGTGACAAGATATCCCCAATATATCAGGGGATCTTTCAAGCCTTTCTGCTCATCTAGTATCGTCATAAAATGATCTGACGACGTCGATATAACCGTGCTATTTGTCTTCCAGTGTGCTTCATCCTTTAGTTGTATTGCTGGGTGAGGCCCGGTGTCGTTGAGATGATGAGATTTTGGGGTTTCGTGGAGCGACACGCGCAGTCGAGACTCGAGTTCTGCCATCATTACAAAGGAATCGTCATCGACTTTAACAACGTAATCCGGTCGTACCCAAGATCGAAAACGTCCTGATTCCTGGTCCCTCCAGGCATGCACCGAGTCGTGTAGAGCGAGGGGTGGCGGTGGGGTCGTCAAATTTAAGTATGAAAAGCGCAAAGGAGGTGTAGGGATATCGAAATATAGAGGTGGAACCCAAGCGTTGAGTGATGCCCAGGAGAAGAAGGCATATGTCTTGCCTCCATTCATGTTCTCTGAAACAGGTAAAATTACAAGATCGTTATACACTGAAAGGAATGTCAGTAGAAAATAGAAGCCGACAAACCAGATACGCACGTTCCATCTCCAGCTGAATCTGCTGCTCCCAATCTTTCCGAGGTTGACCGAGGATGAATCGAACGACCGACCGAGACGTCCCCACCCCATTATCGCCGGAGCTTGCGCCTTCTCTACTTCTGGGGTGACTTGCCCAAGTGGAACGTATCAAAGAACGTCTTTCAAAGGCTGAATCGATTGAGAAGACACCAATGAAAAGACCAGCTGGCGGAAGTAAATCTAGGTCTTTAGGAGGAAAATCTTTTTCCGTTGGCAAAAGTTCTGGGTATGGATACGGATAGGTCGATGACATGGTGTAGTCCGTTGGTGAAGCCATGGATGGTATTGAGCAATAACCACGCCATGGCAACGGCTCCTTGTCAGGATTGAAGATGTATATCAAAAGAAGTCGGAGGAAGATAGCAAATGCAGTAAGGACCACTAGTGTTAGGATCTGTCATTTTTTTGAGTAGGCAAAGAAAATCAGGACAGTGTGACACAAGCATACGATGGTTATGGGCTGCTGAGGAACGAGCGGATGTCGAACAATCCTTCTTGTCCATTTCTTCAAGGTCCGTAGGACTCCACCGCCTCTCCTTCTTCTGCGGCGCGTAAAAGACCACCACCGCCTGTCTTCCCTCCATGTTGACGGTGTCCGCCTTGTCAACAGCGGCGAGCCTGACTCACTTTCCGTTTCAGACGAGCATGAAGATGATGAGGCATGTGAAATGAAGAACTGTGGTAGCGGAGACGTAGAGCGTGATGGAATGGGAGTAGAATTGGCGGTCGATGAGACAGAGGTCCTGCCTGAATGAGTCTGAGGCAAGTACAGGAAGGCTGGTCGCGGTGAGGGAGTCGTCGCTCCTGGCTGAGACGACGACGGCAGTTGTGTCCTCACCGTTTCATCCGAGTCGTTGTTGCTATCGTCGTCGTCGTCGTCGCCGCCGTCTGGACGGAGCGAAAGAGGCAGCCGAGGAGTTTGCGGATGCAAAAAATTAGCGGAGAAAGACATGGATGAACGAATGTGATTAGGCCGCGCGCAGTTTGGAGCCAAGATAAATTAGAAGAAGTAGAAAGCAGGAAGAGGGACCACAGGAGAAATGCTTCACCGCCGCCGTCGCGGACGTCGAGGAGAGCCTTTTGGCGGTTATCAGGCTAGGAGCGTCTAGGAGGTATTTGAAGATGTCCCAGAACGGCCCAATCCTTCTCGTACATATCACGTGATAAAACACAGCCACGCGCAATGGCTGACCTTTAATTACACTTTCAAATTCCCAATGACATACATAATACCCCATGGGCAAGCTGAACATCGCTCATCACAAATCCTACCATCCGTATCGTAGGGATAACATTGAAAGGGTCCGACGCGATGAAGAAGAGGCACGGGAGAAGGAGGCACGGGAGGAAGGAAGAATGATGTTGGCGGTAAGTCTCCTTTCTGCAATACATGGCCGTGCCTTACCTTTTTTTTAATATAGGATTCAGAGGCTAGAATAGACCTGCTCAGAGAACGAGCAGGGGTTGCCTCTCTCCCCAAGAAAAAGGGGAGAGACGGTGATATGAAGCTGCTGGAGCGTGCTAAGGAATCGCTGCCCACATCTGGAGGTCATATCAACTTTTTTGAAGATCTCGAACAGGTTTGTATGCTTGCTTGTATTCTATACCCAGTTTACTAACTTGGAAGTAGAACGCCATAATTACAGCCGTGCGCTCAACCAAGAAGGCTGGGCCCATGGAAACGGACAAAGGAATACCATTAGCTCCTGATGCCAAAGATCTCCGGCCATGGTATTCTGAACGCAACCGCGATCGAGATGACGCGGAGGTAGATGAAGCTGCTGAGGAACGAAGGAAGCGAGACACGGCACGAAAATCCATTCATGATCCTCTAACATCTATCACACATCAACTTGCTTCCAAGTCCTCCTCCTCGTCTTCTTCCTCGCGACACCGTCCTCGACCTCCTGCAGGATCTCCTGGCCAGCCGCCAGAAGTCAGCGCGCGCATTACACGTGAATTATCTGAAAGAGAGCGGGCCCTGGCCCTGATTCGACGGAAGAAGCAAGGCAGTGAGACGCCAAGCACAGTGCATGGGGGAATTACTGAATCTGAGTACGGTGATATGTACAACCGACGAGAGGTAGAAGAAGCCCATCGTGGCCGCTGGGAAAGTAATTTCAGACGGTATCAAGGGAGGCATTGATAATCTGGGAAGGCATGCGCTTCGTGCGAATGTGGGTCACATCGACGATGCGATCTTACCATTTTACGGTTTCACAATTCATGTCGTCTGTACACGATTATCCATCTGCTTCGGATGCGACTATCACCGATGTCGTAGGTAAGAAAACTCGACTTGTCTGATGCGCAAAAATGCGAATTAACCCTCACGGCTAGGTCGTAGCGACGTCCGCTCACGATTCCCTGGGGATTTTGGCTATGTACAGTAAATCGGCGCTTTCTCAGACTCACTGCGGAGAACATCGTGTTTTCAATCGCGATGATTGCTATCCGTCAATCTCGTCAGTGTTACTGTGTCATCCTTATATCATAGAAGCACATGATACAAAATACGTGTTCATGTCAAGACGAAAGCAGGATCGATGACCTCGATAACCGTCAGGACAAACTGGTGATAACCTCGATGGCTAGTACAAATTATGGCTATCCGTCTTCGATTTATCTCTGTCCATCGAGTTTCACAGACGAAAGGCCATGGATCATCCCATACCTTGTCTTGCTGTTTGTCAGTAAGCGCGTCGTAGCTCGTCACCTGGTCTTGATTATCCTCGTTCCGAGCATGCGCTGCCATGAACAGTCCGTAAGATTGGGACAAGTTGCCGGACAAACAGCAATACCTATTATCATCTCTCAAGCTTCCGGCCCAGGGCTGTATGGTATTTTTTTCTAGGTCTTAGCAGAGCTTTTACCGGCATATCTTTTTTTCCTTAGGAGATGCTGTGGCCTGTCCTCTAGTTGAAGGAACCGAACGTTTTGATCACCCAGCTGGAGTATGGCTCTGTAAAAAAACGCCAGGCTTCAGTTGAAATACGATGGCTGATAAGCCTAAGTTCATCTTGGTTGGACAAGCAGGCTGGTAGTGACCGGGTCATCTTGGATCTGATGACACAAATGAGTTGCTGAAAAGGAAGTTCCGTGGTGACGAACATGATTTCGCCGCTGGTTGGTTATTGAATATTGCCCGCTGTTGTTCTTATTTAAGATATATATCTGTACAATGCCTAGGTACCTTCGAACTTTTCGGATCTACTTCTTATGATGCTCACTGCTTTCGATCTAGTTCGTGTCAACTTGAAGATCTGACCAAGCCGTACAGTCGTTCTTACTAACGTTCAATAGTATACACGAAACATTCAATGCAGGCCTTCTGCATACACCTTATTCCAACTGGGCCTCCCCTTCATCGCTTCCCAGTACTCGGACAGTCGGCTCTTTTCTCCCAGCTTGAAATCTGTTCCAACATAGTGCTGCAGCCTCCCAACCACAGCGATGCCATCGTCTGTAGCCGCGCCTCCGGCAAGCTTGACTATCCTCGCCAACCATGAAGAGAGATGCATATCCGCAATTGATAGTTGGTCCCCTGCATGGCGTTATGATGAATTTAAGAGTAAATCGGAACATGGATTGAGGACTCGTACCGAGAGCAAAGGGCCCGATGACATCCTTCTCCAGTCTAAGAAGGGTACGACCGAGCGAGGCACGTGCGGATTTCGCCATTTCAAAGTACTCTGCTCTTTTAGTCTTCTCTCCTGGCTCCAAAGCAGATTCTGAAATATCTGCGTTTTTATACAACCCCACTAATACTTCTATTGCGGCCTGTTTCTCCTTCCAGAACGCCGTAACTTTCTCGGAAACTTGGATTGTGCCACTATTAGCATCGGAGATGTGTTTGGATAAGACATCTCTGCGTGCATGCAACACCGGGAGCAATTCACGAGCCAAGCTCCTCAAGGAGTCCACGTCGCGAGCGTTCATATATCTGAGGTTATCTGGATTGGCTTCTTCGGTATGAATGAGTTCTATCATTTCTGCTGAGGTTTCTGTAAAGGCGATAGTCGCTGGAGTTAATGACGGTGCCGGGGCTTGCGATGTTGTATGGGTTTGCGACCACGGTGAGCGAGATTTATCAAGAAATTCAATGATAGCCTGATATCATGTCAGTATACTGTTCCCAACGTCACATGAAATAGTGCGAACTTTGCTATCAGTGATCGCTCTGTATCGACTCTCCACGGCCACCGAGAGTGTTTTCTGGAGTGGAACGACCAAGGTTGGAACAATTGCTGGCACAAATGTCACTTCACGACATTAGGTAGGATCGAGGGATGCAGTACCTTTGTTGTTGAGACGTAGAAACGATGGATCAAAGTTTCCGCCCTTGTCTAAGCAGTTGGTTGGGTATACAGATAGGATCAGGAAGATTCCTGGCGAAAACTCACTCAAGTCGACAACGCGGAGATCGACCTCGTCCGCTCCGTATCCCTTCTCCTCTCTAGCTCAATAAATTTGGGAAAACAACAACTTATCATGAAGGACTTTCTTACAACGCGAGGAGAACTATTTCAAAAGAATGAGATCACGACTCGGAAAAAGTGTACAAGTAGTACTGTACTTACCTGCAGAAGACCATATAGACTCTGAAGAATAATAAAGAACTGCTTTTGGTATGCTCGACATGATGGTTGAAGTTGTAGTATGTGGTTTCAGGCTGTGAAGGTGCTACAGCAACACCGGCGTGCATTATGAATGACATCATGCTACGACAGGGGTCACATCACATGATGCCATTACACCTGTGACGGGCATTCCTGGACTCAGCTCTTCAGCCGTCACCTCCATTACCTCCTAAAAATTGCAGCAATGTCTACTCTTAGGTCAGTTTTATGCTCCACTTTTGTATGGAAATGAAAGCTTTACATCGCTCTAATCAGACACGAGTTCTACGAAACTGACGAACGCCTCACTCTGTCGATCTTTGATCGCAACGCAGACCCATCTGAGGTGAACGTCCAGTTTGAGCCCAGAAAGGTTCGTACGTATTCTGCTTGAGCATTTCCCTGAACTGATGTGTATCAGTTTACCTACACACACGGCGATAAAAGTCTTGTTCTTGCGCCACTCAAGGGTCAAGTCAATCCCGGATCTTGCGAGTACACCGTTGGCAAGGTGAAAGTGGAGATCAGGCTGATGAAGATGGTGTCTGGTCGTTGGGGCGCACTGGTGGGAGACAGTCCTGATCGTAAGTGATTAAACAGCTGCAAGTGAGCATAAGCGCTTGATTTTGGCTGCCGTGATATAGCTCTTGCTTCTTTCCCCTCTGCGCCTGCTATGACTACGACCTCTGTCAAGCCTAAGAAGAACTGGGACGGCATTACTAGCAACATACTCTCCACGGAGAAGGAGAAAACGACCGACGAAGACCCTAATGTTGGTGGCGACAGCACTCTCAATGGTTTCTTCCAAAAGATCTTCCAGGATGCGGATGATGACACCAAACGGGCAATGATTAAGAGCTACTCTGAGAGTGGTGGCACTACACTCAGCACAAACTGGGAAGAGGTCAAGGCTAAGCGGGTGGAGGTGAAACCTCCGGCAGGATCTGAATGGAAAAAATGGGATTGATGTCTGTCATTGAATTTCTTTTGTGGTTTTTTGCAAACGTGCTCTGTAGCTTCTCTATAGCTTTCCATGATTGTTTGGTGCCTAAATTTTTTCCAAGTCTTGTGCATCATGCATGCATTGATAGATGGCTGATATCGATATTGTAATTATCAATTGTACCACGCATTAGTCCGAAATAGCCATGTCTCGTCTTACCATCATCGTTGCTGCAACCAAAAACAACGGTATTGGGAAAAACTTGCAGCTTCCATGGCGCCTGCCCAAAGAGATGTCATATTTTGCTCGAGTCACATCCAATGCACCAGAGGGAAAGCAGAACGCGGTCATAATGGGGCGACATACCTACGAGAGCATTCCAACGAAATTCCGGCCTCTCTCGAATCGCATCAACATCATTATCAGTAGAAACGAGGAATATGACTTGTGTGTTATTTCTCTGTGAACAAGGTCTCTTTTGCTAATGATGTCAAAGGAGATCAATGGACGATACGCCAGCCTTCCTTGAGTCAGGCTTGCGGCACTCGCTCGAGAGGCTGCTCAGTCTGAAAAACTTAACACACCGTGCTTTCGTTATTGGGGGTGCATCCTTATACTCTGAGTGCCTTCGGCTCTCGCCATCGTCAATCATTCCCTTCGTGGACCGTGTTCTCCTCACGAGAATTATCTCACCTAGTTTCGACGAATGCGATGTTTTCATGCCAGATTTTCTTGCTGAGACCAACGAAGAAGGGGTGTTGATATGGGAAAGGGCTACGTACGATGCATTGAAAGAATGGGTGGGGTTTGAGGTCCCAGAAGGAGTGCAGGAAGAAAAGGGAATCCAATACGAGTTTCAGATGTGGATTCGCCAGGTTTAATATACGTGTATCTGTATCGACCTTCTGCCATTCCTTTATCCTTGTCGCTATACCAAAAACATTTCAAACGATGGGAGATAAGGATTGCTGAGAAGACGCACCTGCTTGTGTTTTGGATTTTTCGAGCAAATAACATAAACCCTTCCCTTCCTGCGGACGATGCTGCAGCCTTCGCACATTGTTTTGACGGAAGAGCGCACTTTCATGCCCCGAGCGAGATGTGGCGTCTCTGTGAGGGATTGGAGACCATGACGGTGAGGATGATGGTGAACCAGCGCTGGGGCAAGGCGAAGGCGCGATAGTAGCGGTCGGCTTGAAGCCAAAAAAGCGCTTAGCATGGCGGTCTGAAGAAATTCGCACACGGACGGTACGAGACTTTCTAGTCACGTGATCTACACCAAGTAGCGACTCGATTAAGGCGCGTTCCGTTTCTTGCCTTCCTACTCCTTTGATCCATATATGCCTGCTGGTCATCATGTTGTCTCCACCCCTCGCATTGGGGGGAAACTTACGGTAGTCCTTTTTATCGTTACTCTATTTTCTTTTGTAGTAGAGAGCGAGTTCACACAAGTAGGTCACCAGCGCTTCGCTGGGACAGATGCTTATCTGCCCTTCCTAGTATGTCCAGACAGACCTTGGATACAGACAACCTTTCCTAATCTTGTGCGTCCAATTATCGATTCGACCTTATTACTACTGACTCGTTTCATAGCTACGTCGTTCATTCGTCGTTCGCTCTCATATTCCCACTCCATCTCTTATATCTAAGGGTTACCACTAATCATTCGACAAAGTCTCTCCTAAACGGCCTATCAGCAGCCGTTAGCAACCATCTTTCTCCTCCTCCGTGCCATCCAAGCGCGGCGGGCTTCCCTCGGTTCCGTTTCGTTTCCCTCATACTCGCGTTAACTATCGGAATGACGTTTCCGGGTCTCCTTTGGTTTGCTGCTATCACTCTGGCTTCGTGAGTTGTATTCTCACTCTGATTTCCGTGTGTTTTTCTGACAACTGTACAGGGTCAGTGACGTGACGGGTAGGTCTCGTTTCACCTGCTACAAACGAGTCTGATTACTATCTCAGCTATTTGGAACACGAACGCGTTCTTCGCGTACATAATTTCTGTCCGTGTCTTTCACCTTAAATGGGAGTCACGCCGGCTCCTGGCTGTTGTGCTGGCAACGCTAGGTGTTCTAGTCGTCGTCTACGGAGGTAGCACGTCCACTCCTGAAGAAACAGGCTCAGAGATAATACGGGATTTCGAACGTCCGACGGCGCCTCTGATCGGCGACTTGCTAACTTTAATGGCATCGCTTATTTATGCGTTGTATCAGGTTATGTACAAAAAGTACGCTGCTTTACCCTCCGATCCGGAGTTGATTTCCGAGAGGAGATATGAACCACTTCCGGAGGCGGATGATATGGACATTGAGAATTCCAGCGATACGGATACCAAGGATCCCGACGCTGCTTATCCACCCCCGTTTGGATTCCATCCCAACTTCCTAACATCGGCCATTGGAGTCTGCACATTTCTATTTCTATGGGTACCTATACCCATCCTGGACCACTTTCAAATTGAACCCTTTACTTTTCCAGGCAGCTGGCGGACGATTGTGGCTATAATGACAATTGCTATCAGTGGCGTCATGTTTAACGCAGGCTTTATGGTGAGTTTCTTCACATTCCTTGGTCCTGTGGTCACTGACATTCCATGACCAGATTCTTCTAGGCGTATGGGGCCCAATCATGACATCAGTCGGAGGTCTCTTGACGATAGCCCTTGTTTTCATTTCGGATGTCATGTTCGGCGCCGGGACGAGAGCTGTTACAATGGGTAGCATTGCAGGATCAACAATAATAGTTGCGGCCTTCGGGATATTGGCCTATGATATAGCTAAACACTAATTCAGAGTAGCCCCTTGTAATATAGAAAGTATGTGTTACAATCTTAGTCCCAGTCCTAGTAGAGAAATTCAAGTTGTTCTTTTATTGAATAAATATGTGACCATACATGAGTATAGGGAGAATTATAACACAAACGCCGACAGGCAGATGAGAAAGACAGCAATAGAGAACGGAATGCCAAATCCTAAAGTAAGAAAAGAAAGTATGGTTACAACGTCAGAGAAAAGAGCGGCTCAATATCTCCACTGGCCATTCAAACGACAGGGTGGTGAAAAGAGGGGCGCAGCGACAAACGAAAACCGCCTTTCGTCAATGTTCTACGGAGGGTCATCCTCATATACGCCGTTGGCCCTAGTCTACAATTTCATCACGCACATCTGCGGCCAGAACTATGAACACAATTCCATCAAGAGCCTACCAGCTATTATATTCCTATATCTTCGGAAAAACAGTCGTAAAAATCATGCGGCCGTAGCCATACTAGACATAAAGCGATTAGAATGTGAAAGGACTGATGTATATAGTGCGCACCTTTTCCGCTTTGCTTTAGTCATTTCTTTCCGTAATGCGGCACCGTCAAGAGGTTTGAGCAACTCGAAGGCACAGAGTAGGTCTTCTGACACGCTCATGCATGCCCCATAATTATCAAATTCTGATGGAAAATCGTAAGGACAATTTTGTTACGTGAACGAAGTAGAACGTGATTTGACTTACCTCCACAATAGTTAGGCGCGCTGAACACCGTGACTAACGTTCGATCGTTCCAAAACTCGTAACCATCTTCTACGACCATATGCGCCCGGCATATGAGATCCATGTCGTAGCGAACGAGGAACTCATTGATGATAGCTTTCCCAAAGCAATAGCTCACTCCCCTCTCATTATCCTCCCAATCTAGAGCTGTATCAGACGGATCCGACCAGAGCAAGTCGTTCAGAAGACCATAGTCTGGAACGTCTGTTGGCCTTTGTATCCGCTTTATATCCTCCATAGAGTGAAGAGAAGGTGATAGACCTCCATGGACGCAGAAAATCTTGGAGGCAACGACGGCGGCAATGGGTAGGCAATTGAAAACATCGATAAAAGTTTTCCACGTCTTGATATTACAGCGTCGTTTGCACTCATCATAGAATCCATACACTGAGAATAAAAAGAATCGTCAGTGACATAGGGACACGCAACCAGCTCCATTGCTCACCTCGCGTCACATTCGCGCATTCATGGTTCCCCCTCAATAAGAAAAAGTTCTCTGGATACTTGATCTTGTAGCAGAGAAGTAAGAGGATAGTTTCGAGACTTTGTTTGCCACGGTCGACATAATCCCCAAGAAAAAGGTAATTTGCGGCGGGAGGAAAACCGCACATTTCGAACAACCGAATGAGGTCCGAGTACTGCCCGTGGACATCACCGACGATCTTCACAGGAGGCGACAATTCGACAAGAGTAGGCTGGCTGAGGAAAACCTCTCGGGCAGCAAGGCAGATGGAAGTAATCTCTGTATTTTTAAGGCAGAGAGATTTGCTGACTTTCCCCGTATATCCAACATCCAGAAGACGCAGTATCATGTCATCAACATCAAACGGCCGCGGCTTCTCCTTGACTCCTCCATTCTCGCTTTGAAGTCCGTTACTGGAGGCCGATCCGGGACTAAACATGTTTGAATTAGATAGAATAGTCTGGGTGGCCGGTATATCTAGAGGAGCAGGAGAAGGCTTCGGAGAGACTTGCGATGTAGAAGACGAAGGTGCTGGAGAGACAGGGCTTGGTGGAGGAGGGTCAGTAGAAGCGGGGTCGGCGGTTTTGCTGTGATAGGGAGAACTAGTGCCATTTCCAGAGGACGCTATGGCAGTGCCATCGGGATCCGATACACTTATTGCAGGCCCTCCGTTCGGTAGTGATTTGTCGACGCCGTTAACTGCGTCTGAGCCCGTCGTTCGGGACAAGGAACTTTGCGGCGTGCTTTCTCCCACCTCCTCCGTTGCTGTTTCAGGAGACGGTGAATCGTGCTCCTTGTCCTTGTCCTTGTCCTTGCTACCCTTCTTTGACTTCTTGGATGGCTGCTGGCCCATCTGAGGAGAGTGGTGGCCAGGCGGTAAAGGCGACGATGGTCGACCCTTGGCGAGCTTGGAGGTGAATACGGAGAAAAGGGTTGGCGCCAGTGTTGCAGCGATGGGAAGGCAGCAGGACGTGAATGTAGATACGCGGCAGGGCCTGCCTGGAGAATGGAAGGAGGGAGAACAACGAAGGGGCTGAGCAACACTGAGAGCAGCAACAACAATCAGGTCAAGCCGTGGGTCAGGCCGTGGTCCGTGAGAACAATGCCCGATATGGAACGTTGACGCTGGACATTTCACACAAGTTCGCTTTTGCGAATACTGTAACTTTTTTTTTTTTGGCAGATGTCTGATCCCCGCGACACATTCGCTGGACTTAGTGCTACGCAATTCATAGTGGTGGACATAAGCATGGTTTTACTTTGTAAAAAAAGTCGCCATGACAAAATAATCCCGTCCCCTAGAATTTGCCAAATGCTTTGGCCGCCGCTTTGTTCTTCGATACCCGCAACACATTGAACCTCACAGTCTTAGACAGCGGCCGACATTGTCCTATCGAAATGCGGTCAGATGGAAAAGGAATCATGATGCAACCATCTACATACCAACTGTGACCATATCACCAACCTCGACACGGAAAGCAGGGGAAAGATGGACAGCCAAATTTTTGTGGCGCTTCTCGTACCGGTCTGTCATGGATGTAAGGGCATAGTACTAGAAATTTTGAGAGCTTTGCGCACTGTATTTGGGAATGTAATGAAGGTAGTCCCGTCGGATGATAATGGTACGGGTCATTTTTGTCGAAACAACCTTGCCGGTTAGAATACGGCCGCGGATTGACACTTCACCGGTGAAGGGGCACTTCTTGTCTGCCCCAAGATGAGCACTCTCTGTGAAGTCGTAAACAACTGCCGCACCGATATATGTCCCATTGATAGCTTCTGAGGGAGTCTTGAATCCCAGACCAACATCCTTGTACCAACGCTTGTCCTTCGACGAGACCTTTTTACCAGCTACAGGTGTTGCCGTTAGAACGAGTACTGTATTTTGTCGGAGGGAACGCACCACGCGACTTGGCGTTCTGGAAAATGGCTTGCTTTTGGAAAGCTTTTTCTATCTATAATCTTGTCAGGAAAGTACACCTCGTGAAATAGCACTTGGGACGCACCTGTTCAGCCATGTCTGCCTTGAGGACGTCGGGGAGGGCGATTCGGCTTGAGGCGTAACGTTTCGAGAGTTTATTGACGGTTGTTGTGGTATGAAGGGTACAAACTTAAAACTCGACTATACAGTCACGGCAATTTCCGGCCACTCATCTGCTTGAGTAAGAGTCTGGCGAGCATATTGCTCTCTTCTCCATTATTAACCAGCTGGCCAGGTGAATTTTTTTCCCTGGGTCAAGTACAGTATTTTTTTGAGATGATGCGTCCAGTTTTATACGGTCCCCGCTATATGATGGTGAATTGATATTACTTTCTGTTGCGACCCAAGTCCGAAATACACGCAAGATCTCTGTGTACATATGTTTATCACGCGTCTCTTGTCTCGTCCAATGGGCCGCCAGCAAACCTTAGGTCCGTTTAATGCTGTCTTATCCCCTGCTTTCATCTCATCTCATCTCCCCCCTAGGCAAATTCTTCGAAATGCCCATATCTATCAAGCCTGCGCCACCGCAACAGTCAAGCCTGAAAGAAATGTGGGCAAAGAAGCCACCAGCCAAGGTGGACGCGTCTCGTGTCAAGGATGAAACCATGGATGTCAATACGCGTCCTTCGCCCAGAGGTACGCGCGTTCTTCGCGTTATTTATTGCCGAGTCTCAGCGCAGTGACTAGCTGAAAGTTCCAAGCGCAAGGAGACCGTTCTGATAGGTAAGACAGCGCGCCCTTACGCACGATTACCCATTTACGTTGAATATTAGCCGACGCACCTAGAATCAAAAGGCGGAGAGTGGTTGAGTCTGACGAAGAGGGCGAACCGTCTTCGGTAGCAGGTTGATATCGTTTCTTCCTTCAAAGGTGCTTGACTTAACTTTGCCCAGAAGAATGCGCGCCGTCTTCCCCGTCCTCTTCGAAGACACCAACTTCCCCCACGTCTTCACCAAAAGACAAAGCCAAGGGCAAGTCCAAGTCCAAGTCCAAGTCCAAGGCAGTTTCTGGGACAGAAACTGTCTTCCGGGCCAAAACTAGCTCTCCAGCCCCGAGTGATGACGAAGGAGACGATGATATTTTAGACGAAGATGTTGAAGATGCCAGAGACAAGGGTGTCGGTCTAACAGCTGCGTCGAAAAGGTACGAGGGCCTCTATCCTATGTTCTTCTGATTGTCTTGACGTCACACAACAGTGCCATAGTCGCTCTGTCCAAAGTTGAAGACGTCGACATCGAGGGTGGTTGGAATACGGGCGATCCGTGTGTCCTCCTTCAGTGTCTCCATTCTCCTGCTAACTGTTAACAGTGTACCGTATGCAGCCTTAACCAATGTGTTCTCAAAGATCGAAGCTACAACAAAACGCTTGGAAAAGAATGCCCTCCTCACATCATTTCTGCTTCTTGTTATTCAACGAAGTAGTTCAGGGAACGCCCAGTCTCTTCTCCAAGCGGTGTATCTTTGCATAAATAGGGTAAGCATGCGCTTTCTTAGTGCTCATTGTGTCAATAATCTGGGCCCGCCGATGCAGTTAAGCCCTGATTATGTGGGTATTGAACTGGGTATTGGTGAAAGCTTGCTCATCAAAGCAATCGGAGAATCCACCGGTCGTACTATTGCTACTGTCAAAGCTGAGCTGAAGAAAGAAGGAGATCTAGGTTTGGTAGCCATGGTGCGTTATCTTGAATGTAGTTTGCATCGATCGAATTACCTGTTTCTTAGAACTCTAAGAATCGCCAAAAGACGATAGGGAAGCCTAAACCACTTACGGTTCCATATGTGTTTGCTAGCCTCAAGGAGATTGCACTTAGCTCTGGTCAAGCTGTGAGCTGAATTGCATTTTTATCCGTCATCCTTATTCATCGTCAACGTAGTCACAAGCGAAGAAAGTTTCCATCATAACGAAGCTTCTTGCAGCTTGTCAGGATTTTGAGGCCAAGTACATAGTTCGTAGTCTGGAAGGAAAACTTCGTATAGGGAATGCTGAGCGTTCTGTACTTGTCGCCCTTGCTCATGCGTCGGTCCTTGCAGAGAGAGAACGAGGTATGGTGTATGAAAGATATTATTCTTTTTCCTTACCAGCATTCTCTAGCTGGAAAGAAGTGGTCAAGCGAGAAACTGGCGGCCCGCCTGGAGGAAGGAGCGAGTATTATGAAAGGCGTATTTAGGTATATACCCTTTTCCTCACGCTTGCATGTCACTGATTGATCTGGCCAAGTGAACTACCCTCTTATGACAAAGTGGTTCCCGCACTGCTTGACTACGGCCTGGATGGTCTACGAGACCGTTGCAAGCTTACTCCTGGTGTCCCATTAAAGCCTATGCTCGCCAAGCCAACTAAAGCTATCGGTGAAGTCCTGGACAGATTTGAGAAGAAGCAGTTTACGTGCGAATATAAATACGATGGCGAACGTGCTCAGGTGTGCTATTCATGCTTATCTTCAGGCGAAGATGTCCCTTATCTTGGGATAGGTTCACAGGCTTGAGGATGGTAGCGTCAACGTCTTCAGCCGTAATTCTGAAGATATGAGCAAGAAATATCCGGACCTCGTTGAACAACTTCCAAAGGTTAGGATATTCTGACCATTCTTTCTTCTATATACTCACTGCAGATTACAGTGTTTCAAGGAATCAACCAAGTCATTTGTATTGGATGCCGAGGCTGTGGCATGGGACCATGTCGCTGGCAAAATTCTCCCCTTCCAAGAGCTCAGTAAACGGAAGCGCAAGGACGTCAAAGTCGAGGATATCCGAGTACGGGTGTGCTTGTTTGCATTCGACCTTTTGTATCTGAATGGTGAAGTACGTTTCGAGTCATCTTCTGATCAACTTGTATTCTGATTGAAGTCATCAGCCTTTACTCCAGAAACCCTTTGTTGAACGTCGGGCCCTTCTGCGAGAAAACTTCAATGTGATGCCTGGAGAGTTCGACTTTGCCAAAGCGTCGGATGGTGAAACTACCGATGAGATACAATCTTTCCTTGAAGAAAGTGTCAAGGATGGGTGTGAAGGTCTGATGGTCAAAATGCTGGACAGCGAGGCAAGCTTCTACGAACCAAGCCGAAGAAGTGTTAATTGGCTGAAGGTAAAGACTCCTGTGTGCATATATCCTTACTTATACTGATAATTATATTAGCTGAAAAAAGACTACCTGGCTGGCATTGGAGATTCCCTCGACTTGGTAGTCGTTGGTGGATACTACGGCAAGGGAAAGCGGACAAATGTCTACGGTGCTTTCCTGCTAGCCTGCTATGACAGCGATTCCGAAGAATACCAGACTATATGCAAGATAGGAACGGGTTTCAGTGAGGAAGCTCTTCAGTCTCTGTATGAGTTGCTGCAGCCCCTTGAGATGTCTAAAGTTCGGGGTGATGTTAAGATCGGGGGAGCGAAGCCAGATACCTGGTTCGAACCAAAGATCGTATGGGAAGTTTTGACGGCAGATTTAAGTCTGAGTCCGGTTTATACTGCAGCTCAAGGACTTGTAAGTGTATTTCTTTTGATGCCGTTCGTCACTCATATTTCGTAGGCGGATGAGCGAGGCATATCACTTAGGTTCCCTCGTTTTATACGGATACGAGACGATAAGTCTGCGGAAGACGCGACAGGGCCGGAACAGGTAAGTGCTAAATACATTCGATGATGCGCCAGGACTAACGAAATTAGGTTGCTGAAATGTACGAGAAACAGGCCCTAGCACAGAGTAGCAATAAGAAGGGACGGGGGAACGCGGATGACGGATTTTGGTGATTTTATGTTTGTGGAGGCATTTACATATATATGTGGATGAGGCACCTAAGATAGTAACTGATCTATATGGTGTAGGGTAGTAATATCTTGGAGTGGGAGACTACTTGCCAGCTTTCTTGGCCTCTTCTCTCGCTGCCTCGACTGCCTGAGTGACCTTGCCTTTAGGATCTGCCGTCAGCCCTAGCTTCCTTTCCCGTCCGCCGTTGTACCAGTAGTTGAGGAACCGGATATCTTGAACACCTTGTGCCAGGGCATTGGTCGTATGGCAGGCTAGGAGAAGGTAATTACGCGGCTGGACGCGCCAAGCTGAGGGCAAGATCAGCCGCTGTAGTGGATAGACTGGACATCCATACCGAAACGCATGAAGACGAGGCTAGAACGAGATTAGCGGTCTGGATGAAATTTTCTTGATGGGTAGAACGTACGAATAACATGCAAGAGTGGTTGTCATTGTGCCCGAAATGAACTCTTCATCCTTGGACAAGTCGGAAAGAGCAGCAATAGGGAGACCCCAGTTGGCGACCTAGAACATGGTGAATGATTTCTGTGACCATGGAGTTGGGGAAATCCGAACTGGGCCCCAAAAATGAGTGCCTGTTCAGAGTAGCATTGAGATCGTCATGAGGGGAGGAACAGGCAACAAAACTCACTGAAAAAGTATTCTCGTGCTGCTGGTGACCGCAACCAGGTGAAGAAAGTGGACGACATGGTCGACAACGAAGCTGGAAAGAAAGGTGGGGCAGCCGGCGGCACAGGATGACTGTCGCCGCTTACGTGAGTATCTGTTGGCTGAGCGCTGCTACTTACTGCTGCCTCTTCTTCACTACTGCAACCAGTCCTTCACAACTGTTTATTTCTTTTCCATGGAAATTTCTTCCGTTTCTTGCTGCATTGCGAGGCGAAATGGCCCTTGGTTGGATTTTGCTTTTTGTTATATGATTGGCTGGAAAAGGAAGTGTAAGGCGCTTCGGAGCCTCATGTTCGTCTACTCTGCTCTCTACTATCATCTTCCGATACAGGCCGTGTTCGTACCCAGCAATGCAAAGCTATTCATATTACCCAGGTCAGCAACAGCAGCAGTACTTTTCTCCTTCATCGTACCCCACTGGTGCGAACAGTGGATATTCTCCATTTGTCAACTACGGCGGACAGCGACTAGCAAATCCGGGGCCTTATACCAACGGAACTCCTTATCCAACCAATCCTGCGTCATTTCCACCCAATTCTACGCCTTTTCCCCAGCCAAAGCCTTTTATTCCACCCGACCTCGTTGCACAGATAACACCTCCAAAAACAGCAACCAAACAGCCCAAGGCCACGAAACAGAGATCATCAACAGTTCCTGTACACGGCACGGCTCCAGTGAAATCCGCTATCAAGAGATCATCTACCACAAACGCTGTGCCTACGCAGCAGGTTAGATTGGAGAGGCAACGAACGTCAAGCGGGGCCAGCAGACCAGCGACTGCTCCATCAAGGGAGACTGTGACACGAACGAGAACAAAGTCGGATGCCCAATCACCGGTGGCAAAGGCGAAAGCTTCATTTCAATCTTGTATGCGCCATGCTTCCCCCTTAAGCCACTAATCCGACTCTACATCTTTTTTTTCAGGCCAGATATTCATGACGTTCCATGGGAATAATGAACTTGTCGTTGAACATATAACAGAGGCTGCGATGGCTGAAATAAGACAACAAATATTCGGCATTTGGAAAGACGGCATAGAAAGCGATGAACAACGAGACTCTATATGGCGGGTAAAATTCAAGAACACTCCATGGAATATGTCTGGTCCGCATAAGAAAAGGTATTTACTACTCTTAGAGCAGTTGGAGTTGCCGATCGACCTTACTCAGGGCTTGGGACATGATTGTGACTCTGTTCCGAGTGTTTGCAATACGAGTGCGTTGCTTCTCTTATGACACTCCATGTACTTATCCTTCTCGCAGGGGTACGCATTTCAAACCAGCATCAATATTGGCCTCCAGGTTCGTCGACAAATGAATATTTTCTTTGCCACTAATATCTGCCTTCCAGCCCCCGCGACTCGTTTTCGTGGCTCGCGCTGTCGACAAAACCGCTCGCTTCTTTCTTGCATTCTTTACGAAAGGTGGTCTCCGAGTCAACCTAATCCATCCGCCGTCCACCGTTCAAGACACCATCGGGCACTCACTGATGATTGCATTCCCCGATTTGATTGCTTATGACGAGGACATCGACCACATCCGATCGATAGAACTGAAGCGAGAAGCAACCAGAAGTGAGTTTTGCTTGCTGGGCCTTCGTCAGATGTTGTCTTAAATATATGAAAGGAACTCGCCGTCTGAATTTTGAACCTGCTCAATCATGTAAGTTTGATCTCTGTGCCTACGATCAGCCTTCGATGATATGATTATACAGCAGCTTCTACGGTCGACGCCAGTTACTTCCTTCTTCGCGTCCTTCGAGCACTTAGTGACGTTGGTTTCAATTTGGAGACCACAATACCTCTAGGGGGGAACTCGAACTGGCCTCTACGCTCTAGTACGGATATAGGAACACATAGAGAGCTATACGTTTTCAAAGGTGTCCCTTCACACCGAGTCGGCTGAATTGATGAATGGAATGAACTCGTGTACTATACAGCAAAAAGTATTCTATTGCGATGACCAGACAGTGTATTATCTACAAGCTTTATATATCTTTGCCTATACCATTTTAACCACTCGACTACCATCGACCAAACCTGCCAGACTTTTGGCGATGACCTTGCCATCGGGACCTTTCCTTGCATGGAGCTCGTCCCACCAGCCGAAGAGGAAATCTCGAGCAATAAGTTTAAACCAGGGGGTAAATGAATTTCCTGCATTCAGAATGAATGCACAGCGTACAGAGATAGAGTGGGCCAGCTCACCCGAGTCATCAAACATGGCCTGCAGTTCGGCCTTGTCGACGTACTTGTAATCTCGAATCTCATTCAAGTTGGGTGTAACGTCTACATCAGCAGTGAGGAACAGAATGTAATCCACTGTATATCATGAGCTGTGAGATAGTCACACAACTATAAAAACACACCTTCATGTTCGCCCCAGATGCCATCAGACGGGGCAAGGTAATGAATGCGAGTGAGGTATTGGAACTCGTCGACGGGCGTCTGGCTCTGAGGGATGCCCAGCTCGTGGTTCAGCTTCCTTGATGCTGCCACTCGCACACCTAACTGTTCTTTTTCCACCTTCTCGGCCTCAAAGTCGTCCAAGGGATGTGAGCAGCAGGTATTAGTCCACATGTCCGGGAATGTAATCTTTTCGGTTGCCCGTTGTTGAAGCAGCAGCTTGCCATCCGAAGGACGGAAAACGAACGCAGAAAAGGCTCTGTGAAGGAGACCTTTGTTGATATTATCCATTAGATGGCCTGGATATCATCGTTAGCACCGACAGCGACAGAAAGCCCGACTTTTACTACTCACAGGTCTTTTTATCCACGGCGCCGATGGTATTGTCTTCCTCGTCTACAAGAATACACCTCTCATCCATGAGCTTCGATTGTTCGGGATCATAGTTGGACAGGTCGATGCTGGCAAGGGCGGCACGAGCAGCAAGGACAGCAGGAGAGCTCATTTCTCGACACCTGTTGAGATCCAGACGATAAGGAAGAAAGGTATGAGCCGACCGGGTACTCCGTTTAAATCCTGATATCAATAGTGAATGCAGCGTGTCAGAATATAAGAGTGGTCTGATCGGTGAAAAGTATTGTCTGTCTATGGAACCTGCCTAACCGTGATTATCTTGGGGCGCTACGCGTTACATGTGTATTAATGGTGCTATCGATTTCAGTACATACAATTCCGTAATTATTGAAGGACACTCTGGTCCTGGATATATGGTTGAAAGTAAAGCACAGAGTTGAAACCGGAAACACTGACATGGGGAACTGGAACCTGGGTCTGATCAGAAAGATTAAATAATTAGGTACTGAGGAGCAAAGAGATAGGCCCATAAGGCTGTGGCTGTCGGAGATGAAGCAGGTCCTTGGTTGCCAAAACTACGTAGAACTTGTTAATTGTGTACTTTCTATAGGCTTCGACGCGTACCCAAGCAATGATAAAAGGCAGCAGCAGCAACATGTCGAGTACTTGTAGTGGGAGGCGCTACTGCATCGAAGGACAGATCGTTCGAAAAGTCCGGGAGGGTTTGGAACTGCATCTTTGCGTATCTGGGAAGCCAATCACCAATCAGCGTCATCTCCAAACCTGACCATCCAACTTACTCGAGAAAATTGAAAGAGTTGCGTTCAAGTGTGACAAGATTCGTGTCTGATTTCTGTGATTCTATTTGCGAGTTGTTGGCAACTTCCTCCGGATCCACTGACATTCACCATTAGATTGTCGAGGTGACACTGAAATGACGAAATGAGTACCTTCGAACCGATAATCTTCCCCTACATGTGAAACCCGATCGGCAACACCTGGCGACAGCCCAACACCGGTTGCACTTGCACTGGGAATGAGAGAACTCTCTCGTCGACTGACGGAACTTCCCCTCATCCTAATATCAGCGCGGTCAACGCTGATTCTATCGCTTCCACCTGCAGATCCCCCGCCCCCACTCGAGGAGATAAAGACGCCAGCATTGTCCCAGGGAAACAGGGAGCTGCGCTGAGACTGAGTCAGAGGCTCCTCGGGCGATTGACCAATCCAAAACTGCCCGCCGACAATAGATGGTGGTCTGGAGGCCTGACGGCCTTGTCCGGGCTCCTGGAGCTCATCATTCAGCACGCTATTCTGTTGATCCGAGTATGGATGTTCGCACCTCTGATAACCGGATCTGCTGTCCAAAATCAATGTCCATCTGGACATCTTGTAATGGGTCCGCTACAGCGGATGAATATACCGAAGCTTTGATTCTGTAGGAATAACATACCTTCCCTTCCAACGTCCACTCCCATGTCCATATCCCAGCCGAAATCATAATTATGGGGTTGTTCAGCAATGGCTGAATTGGTTGGATCTCTGATCTTGCGCCGTTTGGAAGGAGGTTCATCTGAAAGCAGGAAATATCCAGACGAGGTGCTACAAAAGAATAGCATAGAGTACCTGTAGGGTGAATGAGAAGCGCTCCCGTTCTTGCTTCGACTTGAACTTTGAAATTCTCTTGCCAAAACTCAATAAGGACAGGGGCTTGGACTTGTGGCAGATATCGTCGGTGCCATAATTGCAGAAGTGCAAGGGAAGAACATACTGCAGTCCGGAACCCCCCAAATAATGTTTTCGAGTAAGCGCCCGTTCCCTTTCTCAAATTGTTTGTATTCATTTTCCTGCCTCAGAAGTTTCTGCCCTCGCAGATATTGCGCTCGGGCTGTCTATGGATCTCACTGTTAAATGAAATGTCGGACGAAGCCATGACTGACCTTCAGTTCTTCGTCGGTAAGTTCAGTCCTAGCATCCAAAAGCAATCGAGTCTTTTTGATCTTTTTCTGAATTGGGGCTGATGCATTCTGAAACTGTTGCGTGACATCTTGGAGTGGTTGTACTGGTTCTACGTCTTGAGACAGCAATTGTTCAGAAAATGTTAGGACAGGTGTTATGGCGCGTGGAATATTTGGCTGTGAAGGAGGAGCCTTATTTTCTTTTTGGGAGTCGTCTGTCTTTGATAATCAAGAATTAGATATAGAGATTATTCAGACAAGGTAGCTGGTCTGAACCTTTCTCTTACGCTTCCCCCTGTCAATAGCGGGGGTCCCGGCATTATTTGCCGGAGACTGCATCGAGTCCTGGATGTCTTCGAAGTTGAAGTCCAGACCTATGTTCATCGGCATATCGGCCGGAAGAGTACCAAAGTCGTCACTTTCAATGGTATCCCTAAGATGGTTGGTGAGTCCTAGAAAGCTGCAACTTTGTGAAAGTGTACTTTTCACCATTCTCTGCCATTGGAGTAGCTCCCCAGCCCTCACCTAGTTCTTTTGCGAGCTCGTCGCCCAGCAATCCGCCCAGATCCGCACCATCAGAGAAGAATGGATCGTTCATAAATCCACCATCAACTTGCGATGAAGAAGGGTCCTGAGAAAGCCCTGGAGCATTGCCATTAAAAGACAGGTCGAAGGAAGTGGACAAGAGGTGATCATAATTCTCCTTCAATGTGCAGAGCTCGGCGCGTACATCTTCTGGGATGGCAGCTGAGCTAGGCTTCGATGGCTTCGATTTAGGCTTGAGCGGTTTCCCATTCGGATTATATTCAGCATCAGGTATATCCTCTTCCAGTCCATCCTCTAGGTTTCGCTTGAGAAACAAGGCAGCGAGAGCCGAGAGTGTTACGTACCTCCGCCGTTGAGAAAGGCGTCCCAGTCCTTTTCAGAGGTGTCAGTTGGAATTAGAGATTCGAGGATTAATACTCACTGCAACAAACGCATCTAACTCATAGTTCGGATTGGTATCTATGATCAATGTTAAAGCGGATGCCCTGTAGTGGATGGGATCAATTTCATCGCAAAGGAGTCACGATCACAATATACCGAATTGTAGGCTGGGCCATTTGCAGCTGCATATCTCCAGGAGCAGCCTGGAATTCCTGGATGATCTTCTTCAAGGAGGCGGCGCAATGTGATACGTCGGTGAAGAAGATTTCCTGCTTGACTGTACAAACTTTTGAGGATCAAGTAAAGCCGACGGAGAAGCTGTTTACACACCCTTGTATACGCTTGGACGCGCAGCATGCTTGAGCCAATGTCGCGTATAAATGACAAAAGCTTACCGTGCAACACCGACCATCAAATTGCTGGAGAGTCGTAAAGCGAGAGGTTCAGACGGCTCTGCTATGAGATCGCACAATTGAGCGATATCGGCAGTCATCACAGATCTTTTCGGAAGTTTCTTGAACGTTGATTTGGATCCCAAAGTCGCGGCAAGCCTAAGTCAGAATTACGACGGTATGTCCACAAGTGAAGACAGCACAAGACGTACCAGAGGAGCCCAAACCCACTATCTCGTCTTGCAAGCAGTTCCGGAGAGAAAAACATATTTAAAAAGAGCAATAGAATTCGTAATACTACTGCGACGTGGTCAGTGATCTTGAATGGACAAGATACTATGGTCCATACCAGATTAAAGTTACAGGAATGGAAGAATTTGGAAAGGCAATTATATGGTGGACGTATTGTTCACAGGGGGACAAGAAAGCATGGGAGTAGGGAAAATAGAGACAAGCCAGGCCGGGATTTGGCATAGGCAAGAACCACGTCGGAGTTTCGATTTCTCGATTCTGCAGATCTTTGCGCCACACTTTCTAAAGTTGGTGCGGAGGGCAAAGTACATACTTAGCTATAGTTTACGATGTCTTCCAGTGCTTTCCTTCTAACCCAACAAGTCGAGTGAACAGCTCGTCACGGCCCCCTACCCAGCGAAAGATTTCCTCCACTTCCTTCTCATCATTCTCTGGTGACCATTTTAAAGACAAACCTTTGATCAGTCCTGTCTTCTTGACTCCACGCAGACGGGAGAGAGGAACCGTGATTTTAGGCTTTGTTGTTGTCAAGGGGGTGAAAAGAAACATTGTCGAGGTCAGAGTGATGAGTCCGGGAGCCGTAGAATGCTGCGATACGAACGCTAAAGATGACTTTAGGAAATGAGAGGCTAGCAGAAATAAGAACAATACTATGCGTATCCTGTGGTGGTGTAGGCTGGCCTATTGCGATCGCAGATGAAGGGACGATAGGTGAGGAATGATCTGGTATCCACTTCGCATTAACAAGGTCAGCACAACGTGAAGACGTGTCTGCTTCGAATAATCTTACCTGTCCTTTGATCAGGCGCTTGCCTTCACCAGCCCACGCTTTCCCAATTGCAGCCCGCTCACTCCACTTCTTCCAGTCTGGACCTCTCTCCTTTCCGCGTGATGCAGACAACTGGTCGGTATCCACTTCATTATGATCCTCCCTTGAAGAACTGTCTGGCACAGCATCAGAACGTTTAGACACTTTTTTGTTTGGCTTGATATATTCCCCTGATGCCACACGAGAAGATATGAGTTCCATGGCGTAATCTGCATCTGTAGGAATGTCAAAGAGCGGCGGAGGTAGTCTACGCAATTATTCGTGAGAGTCTTATTAAAAAGCAGTGGGTAGGCATACCGAGCTCTTTCTTGTGGAGACAGTGACATTATGATGGGCACCACGTGCCAAAACAGGAAACCCACCACAAAATATACACACTTGGAAATAATCCTCGCAGGAAGAAGCAACGTCGCGAAGAATGCACAAAATATAAACTGTTTGGAGGTTTCAGTTCAGTTTCTCGATGGACGAGAATATAAAAGTGAACTAACAGCACCATAGATTTGAGAGGAACAGTGTCGGCGCCAGATGAAAAGGCTAGACATATCAAACTCATGTCAGACGTGGAAGAGATGAGAGGGGGAAAAACTACTTCTTCATCCTTTCATGGAAATCAGCAACCGCATTCAAAACATGGAGACCTAGATGCTTGATATCTCTCTCCTCTTGGGTCTCTGTTTCATCGTCGAGCACTGTGGTCTCATCTTTGATAGTTGCGTTGCAATCAATTGACTCGGGAGCGTCTTGATATCCAGGCTCTGCGGAGGCCTTCTTGGTCTTCGCTTTCCGTGGTTTATTGACTATTCTAAATAACCGCCACATGTCTTTGACCCCAAAAGATGGGGACGTTGACAACCTGGTCGATATTGCGTCGCCTAGCTTGCTTGCCCTGTCAACCTCACGAAGGCGTTCCCGAAGCTCGTCTATAGTTGGGTAGGGAAAAATTCTTCGGCGCACCAAGGCGTAGAATATGCGTAGAAAAAAGGCAGGACACAAGAGATCGTGGTACCATAGTATCCAGAATATCTTCAAGAAAAATCAGAACCTGAAGAGGAAATGTACGACGAACGCACAATGCAATACATTGAACTACGACCTTTGTCACGCCATGATGATAATCGATACATCCTTACGAGGAATGGTACATAGATAGGAATAGTAGCCAAGTAAAAGCGCTGCACAGCAAGTTTCAAACGCCCTAGAGTGAACGGTGGTGCCGGGGGGGCTGTAGAAGGCAAATGTGGACGTATCCATTGCTGCTCGTAATGAGAATAAATATCAGAGTAGCGTAATATAGCGGCATACATTGGCTATTTGTTCTGAGATGCACTGGACAGGAAGCTCTTCAGGCAGGCCGTCGTCCTGGGTATGTCCAATGGTCCACACAGAGTCTCCGGGAGGTGGCGAGGCATTTTCTAGAGGTGCCCTGGAGGACGTCTCGGAAACCCGAACTTCTGTTACATACTGGAACACAAGTCAGGATGGCAAAAGCACTTATCTTGGCTTCAACCTACGGTAGAAAAGATAGCCAGAAACCGATCCATTTCCTCATTTTCATATAATTCTCGCAGTTGGTCATCGGATAAACCACCAGTATCGTTTTCAGAACCAGGAGGAAGGGTTGCTGTAGACAGGGACGACATAGTTGGTGGTAAGGGCCGAATCCGGAAGACGGCAACGCGAATCGATCACGGGGTAGGCGCGACATAGGTAAGTTGGACAAACAACAAACAACTTTTACAGGCTTGCTATACTCCCGCTAGTGAATCTGCTATGGCGCAAGCAGGCCTTTTGAAATGGGCCAACGACATCCGGCACTCGATGGCAAATGATCCAGGGAGGCAATTCTTTCGCGACCAGATACAAATGCATGGCTTTCTCTTTCTCGACGATTACCTAGACAATATTTTGGCTGGTGCCCGACAAGAGTACGTGCTAGTCAGATGTCCTCCCGTCATACATTCTCACCCTTCAACTTTAGTGCTCTCATCGACCTCGTGAAGACTCCAAGTCGGAAAAAGGCGATAACCAAGCAACCCAGGACCGCCTCGAAACTGAAGAATGTCGTAGCTGTATTATTCAACGTGCGTCCTGTGACCCAATCTGGATCGAGTTGGATTCATTTATCTCTACAGGATGATGGCAATAAGGAAAACACGTTACCTGTAAATTCTTTCCACCAGACACTCTTACAGGCGAAGATCAAGAGTCCTGAACGCTGTAGCAACGAGAGCATCCCTCCGCGTCCTCCTTTGGGATCTCATTCCACGCACGTTGAATCCAATATCTGGCTCTCAGCAGAAGCCGCAGCTCCACCTAATGTGGCAGTCCAAGAAATTTCATCGACGAATACTTTCCAAGGTTACCCGGCAGAAGCTGTCCTGTCTGTCCCCTCTATGTCGGACCAGAACGAATTATCTGTTATCGCAGAAGATGACGAGCCTACAGAGAGATCTCGCTCCTCAGTACGCATCATCGAAGAGCACGCCACTGTTACCAAACCAGAGCCGGCGGGCGTCGAGATTAATGCATACTTATCCCATACATCGCATAATACGTCTCAGACTGGGTCGACATCTGCATCAGCCGACACCTTCCATTCCATCATCCTTGATTCCCCTTCTCTCGTGCCCCATTCTTGTCCTATAGAAGATATTCCTCCGTTGTCCCACCTTTCTTCGCCATCACCACCATCGCCTGTCATGGACCTTCCCGTTCCGTCAGCATTTGAATCGGTGAATAAACAGCCCTATCCCCCTACTGCAGGCATTGTCAATGAATCCTACGTTGAATCAGATAAACCTGACTTCAACCAGGGTGGGACTGACAAAGATGCACCTTCTGCTGAAGCACCACAGCAACAGTCTACAGTGCCACAATTCCCAATTTTACCCGCGCCTATACCTCTTCACAAGTCTCTACGTGGTCCGGAACAGCCACCTGTCGTGAATCCCATCACTCCTAGAGCTGCGCTTGGTAGCAAACGTACATCTTGGCTGAAGAAAGCGCGAGAGGCCAAAGCATTAGACGTTGGAGGAAGGAAGACAAGTATTGTTGCACTCACCGGTACTGGGGTTCATAGTACTCTCAAGAGGAAAAGCAGCGACTTCTTTTCAGGGGGAATCATGCTTGAGCCGGGCGACGACAAGCATAAGGTCGCCAAAAGCACTGGGACAGATATTGCTCCCCTCCAACTCAGAAAGGACTTCTTAGATGACAATGTCTCAGAGCATCTTGCGTTGGTGCAGACTCCCGAAGACGCTTCGTTAGGCAAGCCAGATGATATGTTAGGTCAGTTCAAGAAGACAGTGGAAGGTTTCAGGACAAGAGTTGGACAAAGTAATGGGAAGTCTCTGGGGGGCGCTGCTGCTGCCACTTTAGCAGAGGCTAGGGCTGCGGCTGAAGCACGAGTTGTCGAAAGGAACTCTCAGCACGAAGATGACACCCAAGCCCTTGCATTGGTTGCAACGAAAGATCCTTCTTCGCATGTACAAGGTTCTTCGACGTCGGCTCCGGTGGAAATACCCCCTTCGGTGATTGAACGCATGTCATCAACCAGAAGCGAAGAGCGTCTGAGCCTTTCTGAGTTGGTTGTTGCGTCTGAAAAGACTATGTTTTTCAAAGACAAGCAATACGCTAGTGTATTTCAGCCGCCATCAGCCGCAGCCCTATCTGCTCATACTATCTATGAATCCAGTGGCGCGCCTTCTTCGTCGGCCTCCACGACAAATCCTCCTCTTTCTGTATTCAACAAGGCCCAGCCTGTGTTCCGACCGCCATCTCCGAAGCCCATCTTCAATGCTCCACCATCTGGTGTTAAATCCACAGCATTTTCGACGCCGGCTTCGATATCGGTGGGCTTGGCTCCCCGTCTACCATCACCACCTGCCACGCACAAGGTCAATCCGTTATCGGCACAGTCCACTTTGGAAAGCTTAGCATCTGCTGTCTTCGACAGTCAGAATGATGAAGCTACCTGGCTGCCTTCGACCCAAGATACCGAATATGACAATGATTTCGGCCCTCCATTTCAGAAACATACCGAAGTGTTGGACGAAGACGATAGCTGGCCTATGGATGAAAAGCTTGCTGAGGGTGTGGAATGGACGTTCGGAATTCCCTTTGACCGTGAAGACAGTTTGACTTGGAGTAGCGCCCCCACACAGAGCCAGAAACTCGAACAGCTAGAGCATGAACCTGAGGATGTTCCTCCATCTGCAGTGTCATACGACACATACAATCGACCTCCGGACGAACGTGAGGCACCTGAAGCCTTCCGTATGGAAACTGGGAACTACGATGAACATGACGAAGCCGCCATGGAAGAGGAATCTGACACTGATCCTAGCAAAATGACTGTTAGCTTGGTCGGCGTGAGTACATGGATAGTATACCTACGTAATATCTAACGCCTTCATTTAGCCTGAAAGGAGCCAGAGTCAATTATCTCTGGCCTCATCCGTTTCCTCGCAATCCCACGTTGGCTTCTTGGGACAAGCCTCGAAACTGATGAGTAGTGTTTTGGGCACCGGAAAAAAACCTAAACCGGAAGTGAAGAGTCTGCAGCGTGCGGCCACGGCCGCCAAGAGGGTAAATGTCTTCTTGCTCGCTGTTGCATTACTACTGACTTGCGCGATCATCAGGAGCAGGAGGAGAAGGACAAGAAAGCCACAATGCTGAAAAACATGGAAACCCGACGGCAACTTGTGTTGCAGAAGAAAGTAGAAGAAGAGAAAGCCAGGGCCACTGAGCAAGAGAAAAAGCTCAAGGAAGAAGCGGAACGTCGGAAACGAGAGCGGGAAGAACACACGGACAAGCGGCTACTCAAACCAGCTGTCAAAAAGGTGAGTATTGTTTTATATGGAAGGGGTGTTGTGGCTTACCATCATGATAGGATGAGGACACGACCAAGAAACGGAAATTAGCAATGGAAAGCGAAAAGAAATCGGAAATGAAGAAACCCACACTGAAAGTCAACTCCAATGTGCCCGGAAATTCAAAGTCGGTTTTTAAACTGGCGCCCAAACCAGTCCTAGCTGCGGAAGGGAAGGGCAAGCTTGTTTCCAAATTCAAAGCACAGACACCGTCGCAGGCGCCGATGCTGGACGACGTGTCGCAACCTTCTCAGCTATTACAATCACAGATGGCTGCTCGGGCGAAGGCGCAGATCGAGGCAGCGACTGTTCCCAGCGAGAGTATTGAGTTACCTGATGTTCCTAGCGAGTATTCTGATTCGGATGATGAAGAGAGAAAGATCAAGGCGCGCGAACTTCCTCTTTGGGCACAGTCGCCTGAACTGCGGCAAGCCCTAGAAAATCAGGCGACCATCAATCCTGATGATATCTTCGGCCCTGTACCAGTTCTGCGAATGGAAGAAGTCTTCCGGACCAGAACGAGTCGTTTTAGGGCTAGGACTAGCTCAGCGAATTGGGTGGGTACTGATCGGCTGACCCAGGAGGAGCAAACGGACTATGTGAGGAGAATGGGATACAAGTCATAAGATAGATGTCGACTTTTTCTATTTCTATTTTATTTCGTGTCGGTTGCGCATAGCATTTTTTTCGAGATCTTCGTTCATGTAGCATTCTATCTCCAACATTTTGTATAGTCTATCGACGATGGACCGTTCTGTCGAGGACCGTGCATTACGGCATCTTGATTCGCCGGATCGGTCTCCTGTCACGATGTCACAAGCATCACCTGGCTTCCGCTTGTTTGACCCTGCTTTGACCGACTCTCACAACTAACAACTGCACTGTACAACTTCAACGAACCAAGCCACTTAGTGGCATCCTTCGTCCTTTATATCTTTTCTTTTTTCTTGCAATGTCATCCTCATCTTTCTCGTCTCCCGAAATAACGCCCGCAATGGGACCAGATATTCATCCGGATTTCTCGTACAAGAACTCAACACACGACGAAGTCCTGGAGGACCTTTCAAGGCATGTCTGCACTTGGCTTGAAGATTTTTTGCTAATTTCCAAGTCAGTCGCTTCATTCTCAATCTTCCAGATGAGGAGCTTGCGTCACTAGAACGCATATCTTTCCAGGTAGAACAAGCGTTAGTGACCTGTTCAACTTGAAATGCTTCTTCTGACATCTACCTAGTCACTGGTTCTACGAAGATTTTATACGAGAACAGAACTCGAAGCTACCTTCTCTGACGCTCAAGAAGTTTTCCGCTATGCTCTTCAAAGCATGCCCCCTTCTCCACCAATGGAGTCACGACCATGAACAAGCCTTCAACACATTCATGCAATACAAGACGCGGGTACCTGTATGTGGGGCTATCATGCTGAATGAGACTTGGGAGAAGGTCAGATGGTGTATTTTTGTTGTTTGATCCTGAGATAACCCCGCGCAGTGTGTATTGGTAAAAGGCTGGAAGGCCTCGTCGGGATGGGGTTTTCCTAAGGGAAAAATCAATGAATCTGAACCTCAGACAACATGCGCCATTCGAGAGGTGCGGGCTATTTCTGTGTGTGTTGTATTTAATCCTAACGCATCAATTTCACAGGTGCTGGAGGAGACTGGCTACAACTTAGCTAGTCAAGTAAATTCTGACAACGTGATCGAAATGACGATCAAGGAGCAAAAAATTGCGATGTATATTGTTCCAAATGTTCCCGAAGACTATCCCTTCAAGACGAAAACGCGGAAGGAGATCAGTGTATGCCTCTCACCCCTTTTTTGCCGCTTAATTATAATGCTTGTGTAGAGGATCGATTGGTTCAAACTTTCGGATCTGCCAACATGGAGGCGTAACAATGCATCTCCTGGGAAATTCTATCTAATTTCACCTTTCATTGGGTACGCATCGCCTTCCGTTCTCATATTGTGATTGATCTAAAAAAGTCTCCAGTCCGTTGAGGTCCTGGATCGCTTCACACAAACCTCAGAGCTTATCAAAGAAAACAAGAACGAAGACAGCGCCGTTTTGTCTCGGTTCACCCATTCCAGAAGAGCACGATGTCAATCAAGAATCCAGTTCTCAGTCGTCGTCTGCTGACAACGGCGATCCCCAAACACCTTCACCTCAATACACGCAATCCTCAGTTCATCCCGTAGTACATGATGATCTAGCCCAGAGCACGGACACTTCGATTATGGATCCCCATTTTGCGCGATTATTGTCTTCGTTGACAGTGTCTGGAATGGGCAAGGCTGGGTCCAAAGAAATTCAGCTGACAGTCAGCTCTAAGGAGTCAGATACTCCTACACCAGAAACATTTCCGTCCATTGGGCTGCGGCAAACCGACCATGAACCGCCTAGTTTACAGCCGTCGGATCCATCCTCTTTACCAACCTCTAACATGTCATCACTGCATACACTTTCTTCAAGCGGGCCTACTCCATTATCTACGCACGTTAACCCGAGCCCACCTTCCAGCGAGAACAGAGCGATTCCGACAAACACCTCTGTCTCCGTCGAGCCATCGCTAGGGTCTGCTGTTCGTGTTTCGAGAAGGTCTTCGAGCATTACAGATATCTCCCCTTACCTCAAAAAACATGGACCACCATCAACATCTGCTAGTCACTTGAAGCAATTGGCGTTGTTGGAAAGTGTTGTTGGTGAATCCACCATTATGGCACGCCATCTAGATCAGGCCGAGCAGGATCTTCTGAAGTCTTCTCAGCGTTCTTACCCCCCTCACTCCCTTGCCCCAGGTTTCACGTTTCCCTCTGTCTCTGATCGCACCGAGGTCATTTACTCTTCTGGACCCGATGGTCGACAGTCGGTCGCAGGAGTGCTACGACCACCGGCCTTCATGCAACCTGCATCCGATGATGATCCGTTTAAAGTGCGGCCCAGGACAAGCCTAGCAGCTCATCGTCCGATGCCTGTACAGTCGGGAAGTCTAAATCACGGTCAGATGATGACAATGATGAACGACCAACCGCATCCCTCGATGATCTTCCCTCCTCCTGTAGCTCCATATTCATCGCTTGCATCACCTCTCCGATCGCAACCTCCCATTGCATACGGCTCTGTATCTCTTGGTCACCCGCCCATATATGGTCCTAATCCCTTATCGAACTCTCATCCAGTATCATCCGCTCCCGCTCTTTCTCCTAGGTTTCCAGTAACGCAAAGGCCCTACGTCTTGCAACCCACGTACCCACGCAATCCTGGCGCCACAGCACTATTATCAATACTCAACAAAGGCAGCGTGTCTAATTCAAGTAACGCATCATAGATGACAGTATAGTAATCCTACACATTCTCTTGGTTACTCCGTACTCTCTTGCACATCATAACCATTGTCCCTCCTCGCGCTATATATCATATTCTGTGTCACTGTTAACGATTTTTCCTGTCTCACTTTTCTTCATGTTTTCGTGCAGCGTGTCTTGGCATTGTATCCGTCTCTATATCCATCGCATTCCTACAGTATTCTGTCTTCTTATCTCCGCCCTTAGTTGGGCATTAGTTTACGTTGTTGTCATCTACTGTTTTGCTCGGGTTTAGGATCCCACTAGTCAGGGTCTTGGTGCAATTGTAACATTGAGTAGTGGAATTTCAAACATGTTCTTGCTGAATCATTCGGTGATAAACTATAAGCCATAACCCGAACTGCTAGTAAGATTCGTCTTTACGTTCATCCCCATGGCCCGCGGCCGGGCCTATAGAGCGCTTCTAGTCCACCCTGACAACAGGAAGAGATACCGCTGCTGGCTCCAGAATTGAGCTTGTGACAGACGTAATTACATGAAATGTGAATACTCCACCAGTGGATAGGGTCAGACTCAAAGGGAACATGTAGATCAGAGAAAGGAGAGACACGAGCGACGAGACATAAGGAATGATGTCGAATGACAAGAAATCTCGGATATCGCATCAATCAGATCCTGTCACTCGGATACATTTTCCGCCACAGAGTAAGTGATGGTCAGCCCCGCAGATATCGCTGCTAAGAAAATAGGGTCCTTTCATGCAGTGGCTGGTATCTTTCATTCCTACATAAATGTTATGTGCATGTAACACAAGGCTAGGAGGCCAGGAATGACGCTGGGCAAGAGGATTGATGAACGTAGAGATACTTACCACGATTGCTGACTAAGTCCCACGTGGCTATTGGAGGTCTGCTTTTCGTTTTTCTCTTGCTTGATGTCATTTAACCTCTAAGCATTATTCTCCATTCTCTTCCCTCCTATCACTTTCGCCTCTCCTTTTGCATCTAGACGTTCGACATGCTAAACGGAAGTGGAATAAAAATTTTCTCTGGTATGATGTTTAAAGGGAAGAAGTGATAGTGGTGTTTAACCGAGCGCTTCTGCAGGGACTAGCCATCCGGAACTGGCTGAGATTATCGCTCGTCGGTTCGTAGCTAAGATATGACATATTTATCGTGAAACAGCAAGAATTAATGGTCCACTTAGAATAGGCCTCCCACTCTCAAAAGCCGAGGTCACACGGAGTGGGATTGGAGAAACCAATGTTCGCATCGCTGAATCTGTGCGGGAGAACGACGTCTACATTATCAATACCGGATGTGGTGCGGTCAATACAGCGCTCATGGAGCTGTGCATAATGATCCATGCTTGCAAGATTGCGAGCGCAAAGAGAATTACGGCCGTGCTCCCCCTGTTTCCCTATGCACGACAGGACAAAAAGGATAAGAGTCGGGCGCCTATAACGGCCAAGCTGGTGGCGAATATGATACAACGTGCAGGATGCGATCATGTCATTGTAAGTAATTCTGTGGAAACACTGGTATACAATTCTAATGCCCAGGTTCAGACCATGGATTTGCACGCCTCCCAGATCCAAGGATTCTTCGATGTGCCAGTTGACAAGTGAGTCGGTCGTTGTTACAACTGTATGACCAACTGACGATGATTATCATGGTTGTCAGTGTAAGTTTGCATACTTCACTTTGAGCGAGCAAAGTCCGTTTACGCAAATTGAAAGCTGTATGCGGAACCTTCTGCAATTCTGTACATCCGGACACACTTTGATCTGAAAGATGTTGTTATAGTTTCGCCGGATGCAGGCGGTGCCAAGAGGTGAGAGTTGTTACATCCAACGGATGGATGTGATTGACTCGATTGATCCAGGGCGACATCGATAGCTGATCGGCTAGGAGTTGACTTTGCATTGTTTCACAAGGAGCGCAAGAAGGCCAATGAGGTATCCCGGATGGTTCTTGTAGGCCATGTGAAAGGCAAGGTCGCAATTCTCGTCGATGATATGGCCGATACGTGTGGTACGCTGTGTCTCGCGGCCCAACATCTCGCAGAGGCAGGAGTGAAGAAGGTATATGGTTTTGTAACACACGGCATCCTGAGTGGGAACGCGCTAAAATCCATCGAAGAAAGCACGCTGGAGAAGCTGATTGTGACGAATACCCTGCCTCAAGAAGAGAACCAGCGAAAGTGCCCTAAAATCGAGGTCATTGACATTGGAGTTGTGCTGGGGGAGGTCATCCGACGGAGCCACTACGGAGAGAGCGTGTCCAAACTATTTCACGAAGTTCCGTACTAAACTGTAGTCTAGAACATGTTATTTTGGACATTTTTTCGGCAATTTATTTTATGAAATAGATAAATTTGCAATTGCGGCGGTACGGCCGATTTGGGGCCGATTACCGAATATGTTGGTGACCGGTGTCCGTTAGAAGTCCGTTAGACAGATTTGCCAGATTGCCAGATTGGGCCGAGCAGATTCGGTTTCGGTTTGGATTCACTCTTGCTTCTGCGCTTCTTTGCCTTCTGCGAGGCTCACCTCCGTCTCTCTCTCTCCAACTCCCATGTCCTTCGCCCACTAGCTCGCACTGCCAGCTTTTTCCCTGGCAATGCTCCCCTTGACATGTTTGCTCCTTCCCCCAGTACCCAGAACGCTGTCGCTACCCATTATGTCTCTCTGTCAACCAATCACCAGCGGCCCCAGCAGCAGCCGCAGGCCCCCAAGAGTCCTATCAACGTCGTTGGCATACCCTCAGTCCATATACAAAACAACAGGCTTGTCGTCGGCTCCTCCCAGAGCAGTCAGTCTCCCCGTCTTTTTCTCTTTTTCTCAGTACCGGTCTGAATGGGCATAATAGGTTCGACACGCTCGTATACGCCCATCAAGGTTCTTGGCGATGGCTCCTTCGGCACCGTATGGCTTTGCGATTGGCATGGGACCCTCCCTCCCAATACCCCACTTTCCCCTATGCAATGTGGGGCTAGCGCGCGTGCACAGTGGGCTGGTAAGCGTTTGGTAGCAGTAAAACGCATGAAGCGAAGATGGGAGGGCGGCTGGGACGAGTGTCAGAAACTCAAGGAACTTGAGGTGCGTCGTCCCTGCTATCAATCTCGTTTCCAGCTGATCCTCCGCCAGTCGCTCCGAGCAATACCGTTCCACCCCAATATTATTCCCTTGTACGATTTCTTCCTTCTTCCTGCTACCAAGGAACTCTATTTCGTATTTGAATCCATGGAAGGCAATCTCTACCATCTCATCAAGACCCGCAAAGGCAGGGCTCTTGCTGGCGGCCTCGTCTCCTCCATTTTCCGCCAGATCGTCTCCGGCTTGGACCACATACATACTTCTGGTTATTTTCACAGAGACATGAAGCCAGAGAATGTCCTCGTCACTACCACTGGTCTCTTCGACTATACACCTCTGTCACCGACTGCTCCCCCAAATGCTCCTCCCGAAAAGGACGTGGTGGCTATCATCAAACTTGCCGATTTTGGACTTGCCAGGGAAACAAAGTCTAAGCCTCCGTATACCGAATATGTCTCCACGCGATGGTATCGCGCACCCGAGGTTCTCCTACTTAGCCGAGATTATTCAAATCCCGTTGACATGTGGGCGCTTGGGACTATCATGGCCGAGCTCGTTAATTTGCGGCCCTTGTTTCCTGGACAGGATCAGGTAGACCAGGTGGCGCGGATATGTGAAATCCTCGGCGATCCCAGCGATGAGTATGGACTCGATTCCTCCCACAGTCCGATGGGCGGAGGTGCATGGCCCAAAGGGATTAAAATGGCGAAGGACGTAGGGTTCAAGTTTCCCAAGGTATGTCATGTCTATCATTGCTTCGATTGGCGGTGCCGTTGACAGTATCATCCCAGACTGTGCCCAAAGACATTCACACTCTTTTCGAGCGTACAGTACCCTTGTCTTTAATCCACTGTATTCGCGACCTTCTCCGGTACAACCCTGATACCCGGTTAACTAGTCGGCAATGCCTTCACCACCGCTACCTCCAGGAGACAACTCCTCGTAATAACATTCCCCTTCCTCCAGGCATTTCTGTATGTACTTCGATACCAATCGACTCCGTTCCTCAACGAAATGGAGTTTCATCGTCCCCATCACGCACTGCTCCCGCTTCTCACCCTTATTCGACCTCTCACCTTCAACCTGTCCCCCCAGTAGCTTCTGCTTCCACTTCGCATCGTATCCCTATATATGCTCCCGTTCCTCTCTCCCACAGCTCGTCAAATACCGATGTTCACATGCACCATACTCCTTCCCCACACTCCTCGGGTGTCATTCAGGAAGAAACCAGAAGCCATATTTCCACTTCTTGGGCGGCTTCGTCTTCTGTCGACAAGGACTACCCAATGGACATCACTCCCAGTGCAGAGATAACAGATGACCCTATGAGCAATGGTCAGCCGATGGATGTCAGTGGCTCTTCTCCTGTTGCACCAGAGTTCCCCACAAACGGCGCTACACAACCGGGTCACAAGTTACCCAAGCCTTTCGGCCTTGGCTTTGGGAGAAAGCATACCAAGTGGAGTCTCTTCGGTGGTGATAAGCATCATGCCTTACCTCCACTTCACGAAAATCCACCTGTACCACTCGGCGCATCTACCTCGACGCCTTCGCTCAAGCGGCAACAGTCTTCCAGTTCAGATGGCAGGTCATTGCGAGAGCCATCACCAACGCGTGACAACGCTCGCATCGCGGACATGAAGAAGATGAACAAAAAGGAGGCAGAGCGGTTACACCGAGAAGCCGAGAAACAGCGTCGCGCGCTTGCGGAGAAGACGCATCGTGACCAAGCGAGAGCTGTCATGCAGAAACGTAACCAGATTGTGCAGAAGACCACGGGTAAAGATGATATCGAATGGCTGGCTGGTTCCCAGCAGCGCCTCGACTTTGAAGAGAAGGGGAAGCAAGCTGCAACGGGCCCGATAAGGCAGGCGGCTGTCCACGGTAATGGTACAACACCATCAATCACGGTGAATGCTGCGTCAGGCAGGTTCGCGACTCAGGTCGTCGAGCAGCCTGTAGCGAGCAGTTCGGGAGACTGGCGAAGGGTGGAAAACGACCGCTTAACCAAGATTCGGAGACGAGACCTAGACGACGACCATTCGATATCTTCGTCGGACGTTCACAGTGGCCGGAATTCCTCTATTTCATATACTACGGTGGATAGTGACCCCGGACCATCATCAAGAACGCGAAATCGGCCAAGTATATTTGGATTAAACCGGATGACATCTACATCTTCATTGCGAACATCGTTCGACGACTTTGCCTCATCAGCGCGGTCGTCAAACTCGTTCTCCCTGGATGGTCAACTAGCCAACGATTTCCGGGCGCGTGCGACAGTCAATACTGAGACGCCGCCGCCGTTGCAAATATCATTGTCACCATCGTTATCACCATCACTGCCCCCATCTCCCGCTTGGATGCAAGCCCCTCCGCACAGCGAGAACTTGTCATCACGGCGGGGGCAAGCCCCTCCTTTCATTAATATGCCCCGGCCTACTCATCCCATACAAAATAAGCCATACAACCCCTACGAATATTCGGGCCAGCTGCACGGGCACACGCCGAGTCCCGGGCACTTGAACAAATCCGAAATCAACCCGATATTCCAAGTGGTGAGTTACAAATGGGATGAGGGAGGACTAGAGCCTGATGATATTGTTTCTGGTGACTTCACTCAGCCCCCGATCCTCCCGCCTCCTCACCCTCCACCTCTTGACGGTCCAATGGACGATCGATTATCTTCCTCTTCCCCCACTTCCTTGCCACCCTTCTCCGAACTCGACGCAGTTGCTGGAGGAGGATACGATTATCCACCCCTTTCCCCGATGTCTTTCACGACACCTTCAGAAGATGGAGGTTGAGCCTCACAACGCCGCCGGTTGGCGGCCTACATTCGTTTGGTTATCTATTTTCTCTGTTTTCATTATCCTATTCTTTGTTCTCCCTCTGTGTTTATCTCTTTTGGTTTCCCATCATCTGCTGCATTGTCTATCACTCTACCGCACTCTGCTCTCTCGGTCTCCGCAATACACACCACATTCATTTGCCAGCTGGGCCCCGGGAGGTGTTACCCAGGCATATGCATTAGTTCCTCTCGTCTCGCTCCGCTGCACCTATACTTCTCTTTTCATTATCATACTTACTTTTGCTAGTCTGCCACACACCAGCCGGAGCTATTAGTAGACAAACTACATGTATTTTTACACTTGCCCGGCCTGTACCCATACATACTGGGAGTTGTCATTTAATCATAGAAATTTGGCAAAACAGCACCTGGACGGAGGGAGCGACGAAAAGGAATGGTTTGGAAGATGCGCAGATGATGGCCATTGGACGTTCATTCACACGTCCACAGCAGACCGCTTGAGTCCTGTCATACGACAATGCAGGGTGTATTGATGAATTTCCACGAGCACACGGTTTCTCCATTTACTTCATTACCGCCATGTACAAAACACCGTATTCTACTCGGCAGAGTCCTTCTCAACATCCTATCAATGTGCGTGGTGATTTTGTTGGAAACGCAGACCGCTATTCGGGGTATAAGGACAGATGCATCATATATTCATTGCAGCGGACTCACCAGTATCTGTATACATGGGAATAATGAAGGAGACAATTAGTAACGAAGGGCTGTCAGTGCAAGAAGCTACGAACCCGCACGAGCGAGGCCCGGATTGGTCCTATGTCCATTGTTCAGTTTACTCAATTTTCACAGTCGGCCACGGTGACTCACCAAATTGATATATATTTTCGGATGTCCCAATGGTCCGTTACCTAGAAGAATCGGATTGCAGCACGGTGAGAAGAATGGAACACGTCGGAAGAAATTGGAGAGGCGCACCTCCGTCACAGACGGCCTTCCTGCCGTCCACGAGACGTATAGGCTCGTCGGCAATGAGCTGCATGGCACTCAAGGGAGTTGGCTGTGTCTCCATGACTGTCTGTTCGAAGCGAGGGTTTGACTGTGCGAGCGGGCGTGGCCGCTGGTTGGGCGACCATACCGTTGGATAGTTGGGTGCTTGGGCAGCGAGAGGGTTGGAGGTTGGAAGAGGAGCAGGGGTAGCAGCGGTCGAGTTCGACTGGGACAGAGCCCTGGCAATGGTCGAGAGAGAAGAAGACGGTTTGCCTTGGAGCAGTCGTCGGCCAAGCATGATGGCGGGATGAAGGAACTCTTGACTCGTACTGTTGTTACCTAATGCGGCTCATGTTCAAGTTACTTACCTTGCAGCCAACATGGTATTCAGCCTACGCAAGCTACTGTCCCAGCCCTTTGGCCCTCTGCTAGAAACTTCATTGGATATCGATTATCTCAACAGAACAAGAATTCCACCTCTTTCTCTGTCATCCGTCAGGATGTTTCTGCCCGGACAACAAGGAACTGGGTCTGTGATACTATCATCTCAAGTCTCTGGTCCTAGGCTCATCCTAGCTTCGACAGCTTGGACGAGACGGAATTTGTGGATGGCTTTGCTGACAATGTGCAGTTCATTGGGCGCTTGGTCATCGAAGATTTGCGGTGGCTATCTACTCTTGGATACGAGCAGCTCGAATGTGAGTTGCGAGAAAGGGACGTCGACACCAACAACCTGCAGTCCTGTTCGGGTCTCACTCTTCAGACACTCTATGGACACAGGCCGGGGGAAGGTTCGAGAGTCACTATATGGTTATTATGCAATAAGAACTTGACAGCTACATTTCTAACACGTATGGTGAACCCCGCGCTATCTGTCATTTACTTTTCTTACTCTTTCGGTGTCCAGATGACCGTTATTCCAACAGTTTACTCCTTGCCACCACAAAGGGAAGATCTTATAGGATCGTCTCTTTTGATGTGCATACCTATCGACGGAGTCACAAGTATCTCGAACGGTACCGCCTGTTGGCAATGGTTGACAAGTTCATAAGATCCAAAGAAACCCCTATCACTGACCACACCATCGACTGGCTGATAGAGAGCATCCGTGAATACCACAGTGTAGACGGCTCCGAAAGGCGTATCCTCTATGGCAGCGACGATTCTGAAATAGGAACGGATGATGAAGGAAATCGAGGAAAGCTCAGGCGTCGTCGGCACTCGCTTCATTTGTCCAAGGCAGAAGCTCGGGCTGTCCTAGCCAAAGACGCGAGATGGCTGTTAGCAGAGCACTTGTATCGGCGGGCTGACAAACGCTCCCTGAGCATTAGAGCTCTCTGTCGATTCTGCAGCGAGATAGCGCATGGGAAACGGTGGAACGGGAGGGGACGTCCCAGGGTGGGTGATGAAGCATTTGAGGCTCTCTTCGACTTTGATATCAACTTGAATAAGTATTGGCGAAAGGGGAAGACGAGGGCAGAATGGCAGAGAATGTTAGACCGCGCATTACAGTATGAGAAGGGAAAGAAGAGCAAAAAAAAGAATTCGGTAAGTCGTCATCTGAAGAGGAACATACTTTGTGCTCAACTGTAGTAGAATGCTTCGGAAACCGACGAGCCTGAACAAAGACTTGCAGAAAGATTGCCAGTAATTCATCACTACGATGACGACATGTCCCAGGATTCTACACCTGCAGCATCTGATGTAGAGGACAAAACAGACTTGTGTCGTTCAATCGGCCGTAGCATACCACCATGGTTAGCCACTCCACCGACATTACCGCCACCAGGCACTTGTGCGTGGGACTGTAACTGTGGAAATCATATTGATGTCCTGGAATGGTGTAAGGGTAGCAAAACTCGGCATGCGAATGACACGACACTGCAAGACTCGGATATGCTTTTGCATCGTTTGCTTCGAGCCATTTCTGATCATTACGAGGAGCATCTGAAGCAAATTGGTATTCTGGAACAGGTGAGGATGTCTTTAATGTGCTTACTACATCTTACTTCTGTACCTTTAGCTCGAGGTATTGAATACGAGAAGGGCCAGGGTGGTAGATTGGGTAAAGGTAGAGGATCATTAAAAACTAACGTACGTAAAGCGGCGTAATGTCGTTTTGAGGTATCTATCGGTTTTCTCGTTGTACAGTGACGGACTGACGTCTTGATGTGGGGTGAAAATCGTGGTTGCTAGTTGCTGATCTGGACGTGTTTTAGCCGCTCGCAGTCAAGTTTTGACCCTTCACTGAACCGTTCACGACTGGATCACCGAATACTTGCTCAAGAGCTCTGCTGCTGGAATTGACTAGAAAGCACTCGCAAGGACTAGTGACAACAAGTAATTATTAATAATTAATATATATATAGGTATATACATGACGTCACTGGACGGTCGTGGTCGGAATGTCCTAGAAAGTTCGACATTGTCGAATCGTCCAGAATATGCGGTTGGCAAATGAGTGTTTGAATAAAAAGGCTTCGACCTGACCTGATATCATTCTTCACCGTTTATACCTTTTTCCTCATCATCATGTCGAGCAATTTCGATCTTACCGACAAGACAAACGAAACTCTGACCGCTGCCATGCAGCTGGCCAAAGATTCTGCAAACGCTCAGGGTATGTATGCTTTTGATTTATTCAATACCACTTCTGAAGGCTGATTTTCTCTTCGCAGTTGCACCAGCTCACATTGCCTTTGTCCTTCTTAACGAAGAAGGCTCAGGAGCACCTTTGTTTGCTTCTGTGATTGAAAAGGCCGGAGGAGACACAGTATGTAAAGTTCACCGTTTCTCAATGAAGGACGACAAACTAATGGCGTCTCTCTCAGTCGGTAGTGAAGCGTGCTCTGAAGAAGGTCATCGTTCGACTACCTACACAGAGTCCTCCGCCAGATGAGACCTCGCTCAGCTCCGCCTCCCTCAAGGTTCTGCGGGAAGCGCAGAGCCTTCAGAAGACGATGAACGATTCCTACATTGCCCAGGATCATCTTCTTCAGGCCCTTCTCAAGGACCCTTCCATTGCGCCAGTTATCAGAGAGGCCGGTCTCACCGAAGCCACCCTCAAGACCGCCATCCAACAAATCCGCGGCAACCGTCGAGTCGAATCCAAGAATGCCGAAGCAGGTTTTGATGCTCTACACAAGTATGCTGTAGACTTGACTGCCTTAGCAGAAGGTATGTGTGGCAGTTCTGGCGGAATGCACACATATATTGATCGTTTTGGTTAGAGGGCAAGATTGATCCTGTCATTGGTCGTGACAATGAGATCCGGCGGGCAATTCGTATTCTTTGTCGAAGGTAAGATGATCGGTTCTTTTCCTCGTTTATATTCAGTAGCTAATCTGCCTATCAGGACAAAGAATAATCCAGTTCTCATTGGTGAACCCGGTGTCGGCAAAACATCCATTGCTGAAGGCCTCGCTCAACGAATCGTCAAGCGCGATGTCCCCGCCAGTCTTTTCTGTCGCTTATTCTCCCTCGACATGGGTGCGCTCATGGCGGGTGCCAAGTACAAGGGGGAGTACGAAGAACGTATCAAGGCTGTCTTGGACGAGGTCGACAAAGCTGCTGAAAACGGAGGCACAGGAGTCATCCTTTTCATCGACGAGCTGCATCTCATTATGGCTGGCAGAGGCGCAGAAGGTGGCGGTATGGATGCCGGCAACCTCTTCAAACCTCTGCTCGCTCGTGGCAAACTCAGGTGCATTGGCGCTACTACCCTTGCCGAGTACCGGAAATACATTGAGACGGACGCAGCATTGGAACGACGATTCGCTCAAGTCATCGTAAACGAGCCTACGGTATCAGAGACGATCAGTATTCTTCGTGGCATCCGGGAAAAGTATGAGGTCCATCATGGTGTCAGGATCCTGGACCCTGCTTTGATTTCCGCAGCGACGTTGGCGCATCGTTATTTGACATCACGGCGTTTACCCGATTCTGCCATTGATCTTGTAGACGAAGCATGCGCTAGGTATGTAGAAAGGATTTCAACGTCACCACATCTGGTCTAACTGCTTTATCTTTAGCGTACGCGTCACGCGGGAGACTGAGCCTGAAGAGATCGATAAGCTGCAGCGTCGCCTACTTGAACTTCAGGTCGAGATTCATGCGTTGGAGCGAGAGAAGGATGCGGCTAGCAAAGAGCGTCTTGTCCTTGCACGAAAAGCCATTGCCACTGTCGAGGATGAGCTGAAGCCCTTGAAAGCAGCGTACGAGGCTGAAAAGAAGAGAGGCGATGAAGTCAATGTCGTCAGACGTAGGATTGACGAGTTGAAAGCAAAGGCGGAGGAGGCAGAAAGAAGGTTTGCAGCTTGTATTCCGAGTAAAATTTCAAGCTGACTTGTATTTGCCAGATATGATCTTGCCACCGTTTCTGACTTGAGATATTACGCGTTACCTGATCTGGTGGCGCGCCTAAAGCAGCTGGAGGACAAGAAAGCTGCAGAAGACGCCACCGCTGAAGGTGGAGGATCAGACACTGTCACTTCGGAGCACATTGCGGAGATTGTTGCGCGCTGGACGTCTATCCCAGTGACAAGGCTCATGTCTTCAGAGCGGGAGAAGCTTCTAAGGATGGAGAAGATACTGTCGGAGAGCGTTGTCGGTCAGACGGAGGCCGTCAAGGCTGTAGCCAACGCCATACGACTTTCCCGGAGCGGATTGTCAAATCCGTCGCGCCCAATCGCTAGCTTCTTGATGGCGGGACCGTCGGGCACCGGGAAAACCCTCATGGCTAAAACCGTAAGCATCGTTTAATTTCATGTGTTGACTTGACTGACTGATCATCCATAGCTCGCCACACTTCTCTTCGACTCGGCTGATGCAATGATTCGTATCGATGGTTCGGAGTACTCTGAGAAGCATTCCATTGCACGCTTGATCGGCGCACCACCTGGTAAGTATCGACTTGTGAATCATTGATACCCAAAGTCGCTGAGCCATTCCTTCAGGATACGTTGGTCATGACGCTGGAGGTCAATTAACAGAGTACATTCGTAGGAAGCCCTACAGCATCGTCTTGATCGACGAGGTAGAGAAGGCCTGCCGGGAATTCGTCACTCTTTTCTTGCAGGTTCTTGACGATGGTCGATTGACCGACGGTCAAGGCAGAGTCGTCGACTTCCGTAACACTGTCATCATCATGACCTCGAATTTGGGTGCAGCATTTCTCAATGACATGGGCGAAGGATCTGTGACATCTCAGACAAGATCCTTGGTCATGGGCGCCATCCAGGCACACTTCCCTCCAGAGTTTGTCAACCGTGTTGATGAAATCATTGTCTTCGTAAGTCACTACGATCTATGTCTAATTTATCAAACTCACTTTCCCTTGTAGCGTGCATTGTCACGAAAGCATGTTCTTAAGATCGTTGATATTCGGTTGCAAGAGGTGCAAGAGCGTCTCTCAGAGAGGAAGATAGCTATCGATCTTGATGCAGCCGCCAAACAGTACCTTATGTCTGTCGGGTACTCGCCGGTCTATGGTGCGCGACCTCTGAACCGAGCAATTCAGAGTGAGCTTCTCAATCCACTGTCGATGATGATACTGTCGGACCGTGTCCGTGATGGAGAGGTTGTGCAGGTGCGCTTTGATGGACCTCACAACCGTCTTACCATCATCCCCAATCATGAGGGAACGGCTGTTGAGGACGCATATATGGATGTCGATGATGACATCGCAATTGAAGAGATGGATTAGTCTTGAAATATTGTATCTGCATAGTAGTGTATTTATCATGGATTTGCTAGCATCACCTGTATTATAGTAGCATCTCAACATTTTTTGGGTTCAACGTGGTTCAACGTACTCTGGATTCTGAGAATCAAAAATGATTTGTATATGTTAGACTTTAATTATAATTTTACTTTTGATCGCGTGACCGTCATCAATGCTATGGTCGACCACCACGAGGATGAGCGATGACCACTACGTGCATTCTCTAGGCGCCTATCTGACTATCACTTTCTCCAAAGATCTTCAGGAAGGTCCAACGCTCTCTACAATGGCGTTCTCCCCTTCAAATCGTACCTCTACCTCGGGAATTTTCTGGTTTGGCATCATCTTTGGCCTCCTAGCCTCTTGCCTACAATCAGCTGGGATTACACTTCAAAGAAAGTCGCATGTTCTAAATGAGCGTTTGCCAGAGGAAGAGAAATGTGTCGAACATAGGAGACCGTATGTTTCCATGCTTTGCGTGGCTCTATTTCATCCGCTGACAGTTTGAATCATATCTAGTCTTTGGCTGCTGGGGTTCGCCGTGTTTATCTCATCCAATGTCGTAGGCTCTTTGGTCCAAATAGCGTCTCTTCCCGTCGTCATTCTCGCACCTTTGGGTGCTGTGTCGTTGTTGTGGAACGCATTTTTCGCACACTTAATCCTTAGAGACGTATTCTCACCATGGATGATTCTCGGGACACTGTTTATCGCAGGCGGCGCAGTACTGATAGCCATTTTTGGAATCGTACCGGAGACAACTCGCTCTCTGGAAGACCTTTTAGGGTTGTTTAGAAGACCAGCTTTCGTGGCGTACTTCTCGTTGCTCGGAGCCGTTGTTGTATCTAGTCTCGCCGTTGTAGGTTTTTTTCCCATTCTGGTTCAAACTGTATCTAATATACAAAGCAGACCCATATTACGGAGTATTCCTTAATCCGACGTAACACTCACTCTGATACAGAGTCCAACACACCAAGCACTCCTCCCTTTAGTTTCCCAGCCGACCCGTCTATTTTGACAACAAGTGTTACCGACACTATCACTGAAACCATCACGACAGAGCGGACGCCTTTACTTGACCGCAAATCACCACAATCACCTTCATTCAATTTGTCAAAGCGCGATCCTGATCTTCGTTCCATCAATCGAACACGTCTCATCCTTGCTATCTCCTATGCGTCATTCTCTGGTATAATATCGGGAATGTGTCTTCTCTTCGCCAAGAGCGGCGTCGAACTCCTGTTATTGACGATAAGGGGAGACAGCCAATTCTGGCGCTGGCAAGCGTGGGTCCTTGTCCTCGGTTTAGTGGCATTTGCGTTACTACAGTTGTGGTATCTTCACAAAGCCTTGGTGTTGGCTAGTCCAACACTGGTCTGTCCTTGTGAGGAAGTTTATCGTCTTTGCATGTGTAAAGCACTAAATACCCCATGAACTTATAGCGGCATTTTGCTTTTATAATCTATCATCGATCCTGAATGGCCTGGTTTATTTCAATCAATTTTCCCTCATCCCTCCTCTGCATCTGTGTCTAGTGGTTCTAGGCATTGTCGTTCTACTGGGTGGGGTATGGATTGTAAGTATACAGTCTGGAGACGGAGAAGTCGAGCCATGGGACAGCGACAACGACCTTAGTGACGAAGAAATGGTCGAAGAAGCTGCTCCGAGCGAGCCGGAAATCACAGTCTCAGACAGTCCTACTGCACCCGCTCTTCCTTGCCTCATCAGAAGACCAGATGTGGAAGAATTACCGTGGGGTAGTCGCTCAGAGCCTATCATGCGTCCTTCAGCAGCTACGGGCCTGGGGCTCGACCTTGGCTTAGATCGTCCCTTACCCCCACAGCCAACAATTTCCCTGTCAGAAGCATCAGAAAGAATTCAACAATCACACACTACGAACTCCAATACGGGCCACTCTCGCCGGCGTAGGCCGACAATGGATGATTATACTCTTTTACACCGTTTTCATCATGTACCATCAAATACCACTCTACATTCCCATTCACACATGCATAATTTGCAACTATCCCCACCTTTAAACTCACGGAATGCCGTTTCAACACTGGCTGGAGCTGGTTTCCAGATTGGACTGTCTGCTGTGAGTCCAGGGTTCTCAATTGTTCCTCGGGAACGGAGACGAAGGATCAGTAGTTTTGGAATGGGTGCCTCCATTAGCGGAGAGGAAGATGACATAGAAAGGATGGAGAGAGCACGGCGAAGAACTGTGAGTGATGGACATGTAAGAACCGAAGTGGTTTTGGAATCAGAATGCCAAGATCGGGAAGATAGGGTAGGTTCTGGTGCGCAGAGCAGCCCCAACGGGAAGGGGAAAGGAAAGTCGGTGAGGCGCTGGGCATGGCTTGGAAGGACATTTATGGGACGGGACTGATACATTCTATAACTGTTTTATATATTTTAGTGTTTATATTAGTTTTTTATTGCAGCGCACGTGATCGCGATGTTCGATTCGCGTCGCCGTCCGCCGTCCGTCGTCCGTACGACTGTGTCAAATGATATCGTTAGATAAATCGCAAGCCCATCTTTTATGCACGTTTAGGCTGTCGCATTATCCTGTATCTGCCCTGCAGGAGAGGGAGATCCAGGGGGTGTGAAATTAGCGATTATGACCAGGAACGAAATACTATAAAGCGAACGAGTAATAAAAAATTTCGAGACCCTGCACAGGGTCGCGATAGACTAATCAAGTAGACTGGTTATGAAAGTGGAAGCATTTTTTGCTTTCTTTTCCCTCTTTAACTTGAGCAGCTACTTTGTAACAGCTCTGTCCATTCCTTCTACTGCCGACATTCGTTTGATTTTCTTTTTCGTTACAACTTATCGTGGTCGATGGCGTCCAGCGGGGCAACGAGCGCTGTGGAGAGCGAGCGGGAGCTTCGGTCTCGGTTCTCAGACCAGTCGCTACGCGACAGACAAAGGGGATTTGGCGGGGGGAAAAGAAAAGTTATTGCGGCTACGGAACCGAAAAAGGAGAAGCAGTTGGACCCCAGAGGAGGCCCCCAATTGAAGGAATTGAACCCCTCAATCAACAGTTCGATCGGCAACAGCAGCATTGGTACCGTCCCTCACGGCAACTCCCCTTCCATTAACAAACACGGCGACGACGACCAGCTCAACGACGCCCTTGCCAATGAGCTCGACTATATAACTGTCGTCGCCCCCAACGGCCAATTCCCCTCTCACCATTTCCGTGGCGATAAGGCTTCTCGCATCCTTGGTATCAAGCATCGCAGGAGCATGGAACCCATTCCTGCTTCTGCTCGCACCTCAATCGTTTCCACTCGTTCTGCCCGTGATGGCCTTCCTGCACCTTCCTTTACTCCTAGTTCTCCTCTCACTTCCCTCTATGTAGTATCAGGTCTTCCAAAGTCGCCTCATACTTGGACTCTCGCTGACCCTGACTCGGTCCTTGGTCTCCATCACAGCGATGGTGCTGTCAGTCGTTGGTGGCGCCCAGAAGTCCTAGGCAGCACCGTCAGTCCAGGCGCTGGTGGAGGAAAGAAAAAGAAACGCGGTAAAAATGAGGAAGTCATGAAGGGAGCCGGTGCTCTCAGCAAACAGGAAGTCGGTAAAATGCTTTCCAAGGCCCTCAAGGTATGCTCACCGTTTCTTCCCTGGTATCTATTCTTATTATCATCCCAGCTCTCCTTTACTCGTGAAGTTGAGGTCATTGCTTCTACACTTCAACCAGCGTCTACTATTCACACCTTTACTTTTACTCTGCCTGCTCCAAGTACCCCTCTTGCCCCTTCTGCATCTGGAGAACTTCTTCGCGCCTCTGTTCTTTCTTCGTCGGAAAATCGCTCTTCAGCGGCCACTTTTTCATATCCCTACGCTGATGACCCCTTTGTCCGCCCGTCGTCAAGCTATCTTGGACCCCCGAGTCTTCTAGGTCATGGTGCTCATAATCAAGCGGCTGCTTCGGTGACTGACTCTACCGCCAAGGGCAGTACAGTCGCCTATCATGGTGTCTGCCTTACGGTCTGGTCACACGCTGACGCTGAACGTAGTACAGCTATCCGCCGCACTTTGGAGGCCGGACGTTCTCGTAAAGAGTCAGCACAGTCCCTTGTGGCTTCACGCATTAAGAATCTCAGAGCAGATGCCGCTGGTCTTGGAGGAAGCGACGCTGATCCCAGCGTCCAAGCTCGCAGAAGTGCCCGGAAAAGTGCTCGTGGCCCCTGGGCAGATGCAGATACCGATGGGGAAACAGAGGGTGAAGGTGCCATGAGTGAAAGTGACTTCGAAGTTGCTAGCACCGTCGGCCACGGACCGGGAGAAAGCACTCTGTTCCTTCCCGGAGATACAGTGTTCTGGCTTCCTTATGCACTCAGTGAGTTGTGGATCCGAGTTTACGCCTTATGCTCATTCTTTCCTCTAAGCTCTTGTCTCGCGACACCCAGTGTACGACTTGATGCGCGACTATCTCACTCTCTCGTGGGCTCGCTTTTCCAAGGATGTACAATCGCATACATTGCAGATCTCTAAAATCCTTGCTCACCCAGCCCCTCGTGCTGGCGATCTCATCAAGCTAGATGCCAGCCCTCGTGGGGACAGCAGTGAGTCCAGCTTGGAGGTTATTGCTCGATTCCCAGGCGGATTGGACTTTGGCCGAGGATTAGTTGACATCAATTTCACCATGTGGCCGTTGTTCAAGTGCCTTAACATTGACAACATTTTGACCATCTGCGAGGTACAAGATCACACTTTCATCTCCAAAAATAGGGTTAACGGTCGACGTCCAGATTGCTTTGGCCCCGACTGGCCGCATCTTGTTCTTCTCTAGGCATCCCGCCTTACTCGGGGTATGTTAATGTTGCTACGTAACAGTATTATTCGCTCACTGTGTTCAAGATTGCTGTCCATACTATCAAATATCTAGTGGAACTCAGAGGATGGAATGGAATAGCACTTCCTGCGGTCCATTCTCGCGACGCCAAGATCTACATTGATGATCCCGGCCCGTGGATCATGGGTCTAGCGACAGAAGCAAGATATAGTGTCCGTCCTGCATCTGAAGTCTGCGTCTGTGACTTGTAAGCCATTTCGCATCCAATTACGGTTGAATGGAATCTGATTGACTTATACAGGGACATTAACTATGTGTCAGTACGACATTTTACATACCCGACAACGATTGAGTGATGTTCACAGGAGTTGTCCTTTGCCCCCTGCTGGCGTTGTTTCCACGAAACAACAAAGGGAGAAGTATAGGCAACGACTATTGGCTGTATTTGAGGCCCACTATCATCCGGATCACTCAGTGCCCAGGTTTGAATTATCCTCTCCCCACTTTTTCACATATTTAGTTGCCTGTAGTGAGTTCAAGGAGGCATTTCCGGCAGGCCGCTTCAGACCAGTTTGCAAGATCCAAGCCAAACGCGGTGCCTCTTCCACCGCAGTTGCCGACCAAATTAAACCTCCTGACTGGTGGCACTCGACGCGTATCATTCAAGCTTTTGACAGTGTGTTGCAGGATAAGGTATGTAAATACACTTTGAACTGTGGCGTACCAATGATGCATATCTTTCCTCAGTACAAGAAACCATCATTTTTGAGAAGGATCGGAATGTTTGGGAGTGTCAGAAGACCCCCTCAGCTTACAGCAGCCGAACAACTTATTCAGTTATCCATCCGCAAGCGTGCTACTGCCTTTGTTGATGCACGCGATGACCTGGAAACCAAGATTGGTCGTCTATCGCGCCGACTCAACTTCCTAATGACTGAGTCTGATTTATGGAGGGATAAATTTGTCACTTTCGAGCAGTACGCAGAAAAATTGAGCGCAGAGGCCAATCAGCTCAGAGCCAAGATCAACAAAGAGCAGAGAGAAACCAAACGACTGTCTGGACTGGTAACTCTGACGGCAGTTGAAAAGACCAAACTACAGAATCGTGCGTACATCATTTACTTAGTAAGCCATCTCGCAAATAACATGCTTTTCAGAGCTGAAAGAGACGGAGAATGCACACAAGGAGGCCATGTTGGAGTTAGAGACAATGAAGGAAACCATGGACAAGATGGAGCAAGAACGTACCGAGATGATTGCAGAGGTCGAGGCACAGATCGAAAGGGCGTTGCTTTCCATGGCTGTTGGAGTAGAAGAATCGGACTACGGGAGCTCCCGTCCCAATAGCCGTCCCAGCAGTCGCTTATCTTCCTTCTCTACTCCGCGATCTAGACGGACTAGTGACGCTGGAAAAACACGTCATTTACGCTCATTTGGGACGGAATCAACACTGGCAGAATCATACGAGGAAGATGGTGTGGAGCCCGTCGAGAAGGTCGAGCGCACGACAGGGACAATCGAAGAAGGCGACGAAGAAGAGGCACCACTGTCACCCGCGCGGAAGAAACGGTTTTCTGCAACTGAGGTTGACGTCCCACAAGATGGGATGAATGCTGTGGATGAGGGAATTAGCCAAAAAAGCGACAAGATTGCTCAGAAGGTCTTGGAGATACAACAGAAGGTTTGTTCGTTATATTATTTTACTTCCTTACGCTACTAACAGTGTCATGACCAGCTTGAAACCGCTCTCGCTACTGAACGTCGCGCCGCTAAATGGAGACGGCAAATTTCGCAGGAGAGCGAGGAAGAGGTGTCGATGTCGGAGTCTGCTCGTTCTCAGCCCTCATCGAGTAAGAGGACATACAACCAGACACCTACAAAACACAGGAAAAGGAGTAGTACCGCTTCGTCGAGCCAGACGAGTACGTATACAGAAGAGGCTCCGAGGCCTACAACATCACCTATGCCGAAATCACCCCGCCGTGCCCTATTCATCAAAACATCAGAAACTGGCAGCGCCACGCCCACTCGCCGTTCAATGTCGGATGCGAGTCGTGACGAACAAAGCACCCCGGAGCCCGTTCCGATTCGAAAAATTTCCTCTGGAGCTTCATTGAGTGCGACAAGGCCCTCCCAAGCCACGCCGACCACGCCAGCTCTCACCCCTGTTGTTGCTGGTGCTACCGATGACTCCGACACTGATTTCCAGAGCGCCTACTCGACCAGCCCTCGTGGGAGCTATGGCAGCTTTGAAAGCAACCAGGGTCTTCCACATATCAATGGCGACCAGGCTGTGGTTGGACTAGTTAACGATATGCCTGATGATTTCGGCAAGCCAGTTCCCGTTTTTTCCAAGCACCGAGAACGTAATGACAGCACGGCCACTACCCATGCTCAGCCGAATTCGAGTCTTACTTTAAGTCAGGATACAGAGTCATCACATTCGGAAGCTTCAGAAGAGCTGAACTAACTAATAAATATACAATACCCCTACACATATCTCCATTGCTAACTAACTGTCCACCGACCTTTTTGTCTGTTTTGGATCCATATTATTTTATTATATATATTTGCAAGCGTGTACACAATTGGTTTCTGGTAGTGAATACTATACAGTTCATGTTCTATCCATTAAAGTCAAGTCCCAGGGAAATGCTCGCGAAGGTTTATCCTTCCATTCGACGCCGCAGATTGAAAGTTCTAACCACCCCGGCGACCCTGTCGAAGAACCAGCTTTGAGAAGATTTTTCTGGTATGAAGACGAATTTGTCATGCTCCTTCCCGGCCTTATGTGCAAAACGAATGCCGGTATCCTCAACTGTCACTCCTTGAACCTCGGTGAACGGAAGGTCCCAGTCTAATCTGAGCCTTTTCGACCAAAACGATAGCACCCGGGACGCCGTAAGCAGTACTACGTTGTCGCTTCCAGGGGAGTCTAGAAGAACATCAACAGACGCAAAAAATGAAAACAGATCAACTACGAACTGAAATGAGCCACGTAGCTTTCTTTGCGATAGATACCATTGTTAAGATCTCGCATCCAGTATTGCCCCATAGCATCACGAGATGAGTATGGCTATACATCCTGTTCACAATGCCTGACAATGAAAAGGAAATTGCTTACAATTAAGACACCATCGGAGGGTACCAGACGAGGCTACCAGAAAAGCATTGGCAAGTTTTAAGAAGAAAAGAAAGGGCTTAACAAACCAGGCGTACGCGATCCCTCTCTGGGCTGTCGAATACAGTAGTGGTGTTCCGCACACCTAACGGGGAAAATTCGGGTCTGTAGACCTTAGAGTGGTTGATGCCTTACCTGCCGATACGTTCGACACAAGATCAAAAACACCAACAACAGGTTTGGTGACGGCTCTGAAAAGAAAAATATAAGAAGACAAAATGGACAAAGCAGCCCACATACCCAACTACCCCTTTCCCGACGCCTTTGAAGAATCCATACGCACCTCCAGACTCGGCACCTTCGTAAGGTTTCATCTGATGGTAGCATTAACAACTGCGCCAACTGGAGATTGACCAGATACGTGCCACGACGCCTTCGAAGGCACTGGCAACGCTAGTCGCTAAAGCTTCCCCCCCAGCGGTTACACCATAGCTTTATGCACTTAGTCAGCTTCGGATTACAAAATAATCCATGTCTACGTACATGGCATGGCGTGGTTTATTCCTACGCTGGGTCATCCTTCGACGAGCTTGATACTCAGAATCGAAAGTTGCCACTGAAATACCTATGACCCGGAGTCAAAAGTATTGCGAACTACAAGAATGGTATCTGACCTTTGCCAACGCTGCTGGTAAACTTTGTCATACTATCGCTAACTCCGAAGATTGTTTTCTTCACGAAACTCGCTGCACCCTGATCTTTGTTTAGATAGATATAGACCCAACGCAAGGATTTTTATACCTTAGCTAGACCGATGCCTAATTCCTTGTTACCGTGCATGACAACACCATTGAACGGTTCGTAGAAGATGTCTGCGACCCCAGAGCTGACATTGGTAAAGAGACCGACAGGGTTACCAATGAAGTCAGCCGATCCAAGGATACGATAGAGCTGACGAAGGACGTCTTGTCGATAATGGTAAGTTATGCGGCTCTGAAGCTCCGGAAAATTGAGGCGCATATCCTTTATCGCGAGGGCGTTCATCTCCAGTGGAGCATCATTGATGTTTCCCACCGTCATCGTCAACGCGTTCAAAACGACAGCCAGAGGATTTCTGATGCTAAGCCTAGTTGAAAATATTGAGTACAACTTCCTTGAAATTGAAATCACTGCGACGTACTTTTCCTCGCTGCTGACGCGTTCAGTACGCATGAAGGATAAGGATAACTTGATGGGTTGTAGTTCCAGCACTTCAAAGTATAGTTCCTGACCAGCAGTTGTTCCTTTTGGCTCTGGTATAACATCAGCGTCTTGGATTAACACACTAATTCATACGTCAATTGCCATCCGAATTCGAGCACCAAAAGACTCACTCATCTACACCCGCCTCCCAAGAGGCACCTTGAATTTGAGTAAGGTCGTAGATAGAGAAAAGAAGGTCTTCGTCAGCTTCGATTGTCAATGCTTGCAACAGGATGGAACAATATTTGATGAACAAAACACCATGTTCTGAATTACATTAGTAAATGAATATGTTCTCCTAGTATGATCATTACCTGCATCATTTAACCAGATTATTGAGGCCTGTACAGTTGGCGAGGGAGCAACCCCGTTGGATTCCTTGGGCATAGGTGTGGGCTGGAGAATGACTGGATAAAGTGCGTCATGTAGTTGATTGTCAATCTGCAGGCTCCCGCAAGAAATATTGACTGTCTGAACCACAGGACTGTTCGTATAGTTAAACGACAATGTGTTCATTGACACGAATATGACCTCAATTAATCGGCGGTTGACCAACGAGATCCCAATGCCGGCGAAGTTGATGCTGAATCCAAATGTTGGGACAATATCCTCTGTAATGGCCTCAAAAGCCTCCGCACTTGAAATGGTATCCTGTCTCAAGACAGAACCAGACAGACTTTTGTTCTTGGGCTTGTAGAGACTCTGTTCTGGATTGTAATTCGTAATTCGCAAAATCTGCCTTTGTCCATCTGCACGGACATCGAGAGAAACTACTCGATTGCGTTGCCCGTCCTTTGGAATTACTGATGAGATACTAGTCATCATAGAAAACGTGCAACACACGTTAAATTTGAAAGGGACGAGATTGCCGATTTCCATGATATCAATGACGCGACGAGACCCATTGACGGCCAGGGTAATCTTTTTGTCTCGTGAAGCAGGGTAATCCCAAGCATACGGTAAGGACGTATGAGGAGCCACTGTATAAGCAGGATTTGATTTTGTTGCACGGTTATCATCACGGGTGTCCTATACAAAACTTAAGCCACCGAAAGATATCGCCAGTGCAACCAAAGTCATACCCGTTGGCTAAAGGAGAAGGCGGAATCACTGCCGTTTTCTATAAGAAAAGGCCATTCGTTATCGCCCGACGCAAACGACACAAAAATGGTTGATCCGTCGAGTTTTACATCAGTTCGTATCAAGCGCATATCTTTGCTCTTCCCTCCAGGACCTCTTAGTCTGAAGTGAACGGAACCTATGTCTTCTACATTGATTGGCGGTGACCTATAAAAGTCATTAGCGTTAAGAAAACTGATAAGCTCTTTCTGATCACCAAAAGGCGTTTAACCCTGGAAACGCTACGGTTAATAGTTTCTCGGGGCTGGCGCGAAGAGTGATGAGGGGACATCGTTCGTCTGGACTCAACGTTGAACGGTCTCCTAGAGCGACGCCATGCACGCGAAAAACAATGGGCTCGGAGAGTTTGTTTGTAACCAGGAATCGAGGCGCAAGTGTCAAGACCTTCGTTAATTTGTACTTCCCTAATCCTTCACCCCAGGATAGTCCGACATGTAGCTCATCTAGTTTCGATGTCTGAGATGCCACAACTAGGGCAGTTTCTGCGGCGGGAGCCTCCACGCTAAAATGCTAAGACAGTGGTGTGAAATCAAGATCCAGATAAAAGATCGTGAAATGAGAGACCTTCGACCAAGCGGATTCCCCCAACTTCAAACAGAACTCGTGCCCATTACCTGCTTGATGTGATAGCACTGAGGCGAGGTCAATGAACGGCCCAGTCTGAAGGCGAATAAAACGTACAAAAAGGTACTGGCTTCTTAAGTTCCTCTATAAGCCGAATGGTGTCAATGGAATGGCAAGGTGCGGATAAAACCTAAACAAACCTTGACGATCATCTCCCGCTACGTCTTGAGATCGTGTCGATCGAACCGAACGGATAGCGAAAGGCAACCCTGTTTTATTCACAACAACATAAGGGCTGTATATTTGGACTTTGAAAGCCCCTCCTGAATCGGGATACCGTCTGCGAAAAGTTATGTTTGTGTCAACGTTAGAAGATAGACAGACGGACACGTAATTCAATTTGAGCGTTAGCTTTCTGCCCTTAGGATCTTTGAGACTAAGTCGCTTCTCTACATCGAAATCAGAATTTTCGTCGGTATTGATGATGGCAAATTCGCTTTGTTCGAACACTACAACAAATTAAATGCTTTTCTTCTGGGAGTTCGCGAGTACCCACCGCTATCCTCTATGTCAACGTTGAGCAAGACCAAGTGACCAAGTTCAACGGAATGGACAGGCATTATTCCTCCTTTACGCAGGTAGCTTCGCCAATTCTGGTCGGTGTCCTTGTCGTAGACCCTGTATTGGAGATTGTAAGGAAGTAGATTCTCCAACTCTAGAGGTGCCCGAAGTTTCAAATTGATCTTGGGATATTTTCTGGTAGTGCGTTTAATAATCAGCCGATATAAACTGGAATCCACTTACCGCAAACCAGAATCGCGGAAATCAGTATCAACGCATGCCTGGAAACGGAACGCTGCTTCACGCGGATCACTATGGGGACATCTGACAGTAAAGCTTTTTGTCAAAATCAAATCCTCCCATCGGATCGCGGGACACCACTTGTACCCGAATCCCTCTAAAAACAGGCTTTCAATGACATAATTTTGAACCAAAATGCAACCTACGATCAGGCTGTATTCTGATCCTATGACTGACAACGGCGTCGATTGGTATAGCGTAGTCCTGACCAGGAACGATTTTCTCGAGAGAATGGACGGGTTGACCGTGATCATCAACAAGCGTAACTTCTAAAGGATATAGCGTGTGATTCTCAATCTTGTACGTGGAACGTATTGTGACGACTTTGACATTGTCGATGACTTTGACTTCGCACAGTAGGCGGTTCACAAGCTTCTCGGTTGGCGGCTTCAAAGGAAAGGTAAATTCTCCTTCTCTGTCGACCGGAATGCTTCCAATCCGTTCCCAAGGTGTACCGACCACCTGCACACCTATGCAGTGTTGTCCTGAAGATGCAACATGCTGTTGATATTTTAACATGGGCTATATCAGAATAAGACAGAAGTTACCTCTCTCAGAGCCTTCCAGTCATCAAATCGCCAGTCTTTCGTCTCTTCATTCAAGATTTTGATAGATTCCCCGTCGTGCGAACCTCTACTAGTGACTTCTGACCATGCCAGGATGGTAGAGCCCGTTCTGTTTCGAATGCGGTAAGGTGCATAACTGCCGCGGGCTCTTTGAAGTACACGTTCTCCTTCTTCACTCCACATGTTTGCCGTAGTGATGGCCAACTCTGCAAAAGTTGTGCTGAGATTCAAGTCGAGACGTTCTCGAGCTGAAAGTCCTATATTGATGCCGCTAACAGCATCTTCTTTGGAAGCCTGTCTCGCGTTGAATCAGGACATCGTAAGTAATAGAAATGGTAAGCTTACTATGATTGTAAATGTCCAGGGGTCAATCACTAAAATCTATGTGAACAAGAGCAGGCCATTACACAGAGACAAACATACGAGGCTCCCAATGAGAATTCGTGAGGTTCCAGTAACTGATATGTGTTGTCATTGTGGTCGTAGCGTGCAACTATGTAGGAAGTGGTTAAAATGTTCTTCTCCATACTGATACAAAAGACTTACAGCACCAGACCAGTCCTTGGCCCCGACGATAAACCGTTTCACTTTGAGATGCAGCATCGGTTGCTCATGCATGTCTCCAATCAAGACAAGACGGAATCCATCGAAAGAGCCTTTTAACTAAGTATAATGGCGCCACATCAACAAAATAGCATATACTCGGGGAAAATGGCTCTACCTGTTCTTTTGACATTGATATACGAGCTTTACCTACTGGATAAGCTCGAGTTCTCGTGGCGCTCTTGGACGACCCTTTTGATACGTAGTTATCGGACCTATCGGCAATAGACTGAGATCCAAAGACTCTGTTGGGGGTACTATCCGACCGAGAATTTCCGTGAAGTTCGATAGCCTTGTTAATAATGGTAGTGATCAGCTTGATATCACGGTATGACGCTCGAAATACGATGGGTTTAGCGTTGACTTCAATACTTGTCATTTGCTGTGACATAGTTGACCGACCATCCAATGAAAAGGTCATATCGACATCATCCAAAAATCGGACGGTCTCAGAGTCCTTCCCCATGGACATCAGCGACATTCCCAAGCGGTTGATAGTGAGCGCAAGCACGCCCTAACGATGCTATATTAGCGGGTACGTATATTTACGTGTCACCAGTCATACCTGTTGCGATAGCATTATTTGCTTGATAGTGAGCTTGATAGATTGTGTATCGGCGTCAGCGTCATTTTCGAGGACGTTAACAGAGACATTGTGTAAGTCGACACGGAAATCCAGACTTGACTGGTTAGTGCTCTCCCTTTCGAGACTATCGGGTGTTGGAATCACAGTTTGTTTCTCTACGTCGCTTAAGTCAAAGGCGCTGGTGAAAAAGTTGATCAACCGGAAGACAGGATCGACAGCGAAGATGATCTGAGGAGAATCAATAGTCAAGATAGCCAAAGATGGACCTTTGGAACCTCCAGCCATGGTATAGAGAATCATAAACTGATTGCGATCGTGCTGTGCAGCGGGGATAATTTCTCGGAATTTTGTGTTTCCCGGTCTAGTATTGCTCATAGTGAATGACTTGAGCACCACTTGTACTTCACCGGAGCCATCTGATAGTATTTTGTATCGAAGTTCACTCCGGTTCAAGGCAAACCTTGCGATACCATGTTCTTTGAGTTTAGCGGCGGTGGTAGCTAGCTCGTCGTACAGATGAAGCTTCACCGTGTCGACGGCCACGACCAAATCTATGGTAGTCCAATTGCGACGCTCTGCGAATGATACTATCCGTAGTTCGGGTCCTAATTGCACCAACGTTTGCCGAGAATCGCCTGTAGCATCGGGAAATGGACTCGCCGACGCTACCGATTCTGCTTCTGCATACCCTTCGGGGGCCCCGGCCAGAACTCTGGGTATCGCTTGACTTAAGCGAATAAGAATTCCGTATTGGACCTGTGTCAAATGAAGTCGGACATCTGAGATCTTGACTACAACCTTTAATCCAAGTTAACAGAGGATCCGTGCACGCAAAGACGAGCATCCTACCTGTGTATCAGGCTGGTCGAAAGCATGAGATCGATCAACGCTAATCGCTTGAGCTACATCCGCCGTTACGTCGGTATCGTCAATGATTTTGAGTCCAGAGAGTTCGCCACCAGAATAGATGTTGGAAACAAGTTGTATTCCTCTTAAACCAGTGGTAAATCTGTTAGGTTCTGTTTCCGATGACCGAGCCGAGATTTCTCCTAATCGTAGTACAAGCGCGTCTCGCGAGTGATTAGCATCTGAAGGAAATACGACAATAGGCGACTTGATAGAAATGTCAAATCGCATCCGTTCAATCTCTGGTGCACTTTGAACCGCCGCTTGCGTTGCAGCATCGTACAAACCTTTCAGCTTGGCAAGCTTCACTAAGAACAAATATATGTCATGTAGAGGCATTTCTAGAAAATGGAGCTTGACAGAGGCTGCCTTCAAATCCACGAAAGTTTTGACGCCATTGTAAGCTTCTGCGTCCGGATCGTATGTCTCGTACAGAAATTCAGCGAAGTTCTGTCCCTCGATGGACATGATCTGATCAAATTCTGGTCGGACCGCGTATAGTTCGGAGTCATTGCTAAGTGATAAACTTCCAAGACGGCCAGATACGCGCAGGGTTTTAGGCCGCAACAGCACGTCAACATCTGCCGTTGACAAAGACAGCGTAGCCAGGCTCGCGTGCCCGTTCACGAGTACAACTATTTCAAGTAAATCACTAAAGACACGTGTAGACTGATCAACCCTTACCTTGAACGCTCGCTAGTTTGACTGCCACATGTATTTTGCCTCCTTCAGCGTTGCTTGACTTTGAAGCGCCTGTCCCCAGTGCACCGGAATGCACTGATTGCGCGCCCATCTGGTCGATGGAATGAGGAACGAAAGTGGTCACAATGAAATCGTATAACGAGACGACCGGTTCGGGAGCTGCACGGAAGATAAAAGTGGAAATCCTCACGTCGACCTTTTGCTCCACACCGTCATAGACACTGAAGAACTGGGGTGACTGCTGTCGAATACGGGTATAGGTAACGCTCAAGAGGTCCTTGTCTTGCGACGACTCCAGTTCCAAAGAAGACATAAATTTAATCGAATCAGCGTCTGGTTGAACGAGATCCATGGAAAGCGCCCTATTTAAATTTCAATTGCAGCTTATAACGACAAAGTGAACGCACTCACCGTAGATTCACATCCACCTTCATGTCATATTTAGTTGATGCAAAAATCAATGAAAACTTGTCAAGAGAAACATTGCCAAGCGCTTTCTCGACGTTGTCAGCTGTTGCTTTGTACAGATGAACTTTGAGTTCATCCACACGAAAATCAAAATCGAAGATATGTTGATGGATATCTGGTCGCTAAAGGCAACGTTAATAGAGACTCCTGGTTAGTACAGGGGATTGACACACATCAACGAATTCATCGCTCGCTTCATAAAACTCATCTCTAGACACACCAGCATCGTCGCCTTCAGCGTCATCCTCAAGGTTGTACTCTTGTTCTCCTTGACTGAAAAGACCTGGAGCAAGTGGGAACTTTGCAGTAGCGTGATCTGGTGCAAGTGGTGTATCATCATCGCCGAACTTTGGTATGCAGACATCAATAAGCCGCATTAGCGATTTGTACTTGGTATCAGACAGGTTGACCTGCAAAGTCGGAAGGTTTCCCGACACCTTAAACCTCGAAAGACTCAAAACAGATGGTACAATGGAGTTTTGGACCTGAAGGTCAACATTGATACGCTCCACAAGGTGCAACGCATTGTTGCTCTCCGATGTCAAAGCCCTACGACAGGATTCCAGATCGTTACCAAGGATGAACTGCAGAAAACATCGAGCATAAGAAGCTTACAAATAGGAACCGTTTGAAACTGACCTGGGCATCTTTCAACTTCAGGGACACCTTATCGTACATTAGACTCTCGAGTCGTTTGTGGTCCTCATCGCTATATTGTTGATTGCGCTTGAGATGGACCACTCGAATAGCCTCTTTGTCGGCCAGATCGCTTTCAATTGCTATATGTCCGGCATCGATAAGTAAATGTTTGCACGATTTCGTCGTCACACTAGTGTCAAGATCAGGATATGCAAGGTACGCCCGCCGGAAAGCTCACTCCTCTGGAATGATAATGACAGGCGCATTCATATCCATTTGTATGTCGATTGTTTTGTGATTCTGGAGCGCAAATTCCAACCCAGCTCGTGTTTCCTTGCTCAATCCTTCTAAAGTTTGGCTGGCAGCATTCTATAGGCTCATTAGCTTTTGTATTAAGATCGATATGGTCTTACCAGTAGCGCCTCTACGGATTCGAGCTGGCTTTCTGGAGGTTTGAAGAATTTGTAAATTGCTTCGACGTATCCTTTGTGGTAAACAATTTCCATATGCCGCATGCGAACGGTTAAGGCGTTATCAGCGCGTTCGTCAAGTGGCTTGTGCTCGAACTTCACGGATAAGAAAGAGTCATCTTGGTCCTGCTCGTCCCTGGGACTCGGAATGTCTTTGACGGATACGATCTGATGATGGAGGGTCCCTCGAGTAGTACCATCGAATACACCAAATCCACCAAGTGAAACAGAAGCCTCCAAATTGTCTGCCCTTTGGATGGCATTGGCTCGGAAAACGTCAAAGACGACGGAGATGATTTCATCAGACGTCCCATGAGGATCGGTTCTCAGAACGAAAGAACCTTTATTCAGCCTAGCTGATAGGCGAGCCTTCAATGAATCTCGCGGTGCTTCAAGAGCCTCGATAACTGCGCTCTTCTCGTCGTAATCGAGGACCTCATACAGCTGCTGCCGCTGCTCGTCAGTCATCGGGCCGCCAAAAGCCGGGTCTTCTTGCTTGGTGTCTTCAGATGAACCCCATAGCCAATTGGACCAGCTCTGCTTCGTTGGTTGTTGCTTGGTCTTGTCCTCTTCCAGTCTTTTCCGCAATGCTGTATCTTTTCGAAGCCTAGAACGAGCGATGGATCGGTAAAATCGAATATCTTCATACGAAAGTTTTCTTTCTAGAGCGTCCAAGTCTTTCTGGTCCTGTATATTGAAATGATGAGTGCTTCAAGGTGGAAAAAAGTACATTATGCTTACTATCAGAGGTAGCGCGCCTAACTGTTTTCGCTGAAACAGATCAACATACTTATTTCTGTCGCCCCGACGTTCTGCGAAATAAGCCCATGTCCACTTCCTATTCTTCTCTCTCACTTCTTCCAGTATCGCTATTCCAGCAAAGTGTAATCGGGCACTGGCCGTATTGATGGAGAACTCCTCATCACCAGGACGATATTTTCGATACTAGGGGAGAAGTAAGTTCTGTTGTTTGGAATGGGCAACCAACTTGATTACCTGGTGCTGTCTAATATACACATGATACATATCCAATAGAGATATCACATCTCGGTATTGATGGTCGTCCAATGCGACGCCTATCTCACCAAATAATAGTTGCAAGTCAAAACGAGGTGTATGGTTGTCCACTTTATGGTTCACGACAACCTAAAGAGCGGTTAGTATAAGCAGGGGGTGATGGCACTATGCACAGACTCTGCCTTCTCCGGATACTGGCTTCAATATGAATTGGTGCTCTGCAGTTTGAGTTCCGGATGCGATCTGATCTTCATTAGTGGGTGTTGCCCAGGCATCAGTGCCAACGCACCATATCGTGGAACTTTTGTATGGACTCATTGGGAGGTAAGCCAGCTATGCTTAAGGAATCGGTATCGAAGTATACTGCCAAAGATTGTAGGTTTGCCAGCTAATCGAGAGTAAGATCGCGTCCGACATATGTGGATTGAAATGACCTTGTGAATGGCCCCGGCGGTGCTCTCGATGAATGAGGGCTGCCACTCTTCGTTCACTGAGACTGCTTCAAACCCTGCCAGTGTTAGTCCCGCAGCGAAGGGATGCTGATTGAGATATTCAGTTATGTTTCCGATAAACCGTTAGCAGTGGCGTACCCCTGGAACGCTCAATTTGTCCTCGTAACGAATATGGATATTCTTGACAGTGACTTGTAAGTTGTTTATTACTTTGGCCATTAAGCTTTGCCACAGTCCCTGGTTTTGTGGAGAACTATCTGGGATGCAACCATGAGAGATTTATATTTGGAACGCGAATCATTGCTACTCACCTGAAGAGGTCTCAGCCTGCCCGCGCATGTGTAATAGTTCCGCATTTTGGAGGCGCTCGGCTTTGGCCGCCTGCATTCTTTCTTCCTCCTCCTCTGGGTCATAACTAGACTGTGTTGATGGAACTACCAAGATGTAGACATCCTCGACCAGGACCTCCACAGGCTGGTTTCCCAAATTCATCCAGTGCAAGGAGAGGGTGAACTTGCCAAGGTGTCCTGAGCACTATGAAATTAAGTTTAAAAACACAAAAGCTAAAAACGCACCTTCTAACACGTCGACTGGAAGCCGAAACTTATCTAGCGCGCCCTTTTTCATTCGCAGGTTTGTGAGCGTCAATTGGCCTATTGACAAAGTCAATTTAACGACGCACAACACCTCAAAGAGTGAGCACCTTGTCCGATTCCATAATTGACCTGGTTCATATCCATGTTCTCCACGTACGGGGCAAGGATACGATTGAAGAGCTAGAATTATTGGATACTCGAAATGAGCAAGCGGGATCCATCATAATTATCGAACATCCACTGACGACGTTCAGAACCTCCTTCCCCGGGTTCATCCACCACATGGTGAAACGTTAAACGGTGAGTCAGAGCAATAAGATAGAGGAAATTAAGCAAGGTGCAAGGCGCAAATAGTAAGGTCCCACGGTATGTGCGTCATAAGCGCGTTAGCGTCTAAAATCAACAAGGCCACACAACGATGTGATTCTGATAATTGTTCCTTAACGCTTTCTTTCTCGCTTCAGGGAAATGTCGTCCCGACGCGACACAACGGATTAGAGCGAATTCCGAATAAGAAAAAAACATACCATCTATTCACCAAATACAAAATGTTAAGAGACAACTTGTCCTCCTGAATATTCTTCCTGCTTGTTGACATCGAGGAATATCTCATGCTCCTGGCAAATATTGCTTCCGGTTCGCCCCGCTGCCCCACGCCCCGCAACGATCCCCGTATATTGCATCCCGCCTGCATGTTCTACGCCCGCCGTATCCAAATCACGTGTACTTGAGTTGCCAAGGTCTCGTGTCGTCCTCCGAGTCTCTGGAGTCGTGTCATATTTAAGTTCATGCCCCCCAAAATGCGTGGCTTGCTACCTCCAGGCAATCCTAGTACGCATGTTGATGTCCAGACTTTATGCCATTGGCTCTAGACCAGCACGTCTTGCGGGGAGGTAGTTCCGACCGCGTCCGTTGGATCCGACCTTCCCCGTGACTGAAACGGATCGGCCCACTATAAAGTTCGGGTTTGCCTCGCTTACACGCCACCTTCAGCTTATTTACTACCCCACCCAAAATGCTGTCCGTTTTATCCGAGTCTTCGTTGCAACCTCTAGAGGAGCCGCACCTTCTCGAGGATGAGCCCGAGCCTCAGCTTGAGGTCCAGCTCAACGAAGTAATCGCTCATTACCGTTTCGTATAGCTTCTTGTTGATACCCTTCACAGTTGGGAAACATTCACGACGCAGTCGAACCGTTCACAAAGTGAATACCATATTGTTCATATATTGGCATCTCCTGACTGTTGGAATGCTAGAGCTATCATGCGGTCTGGAAATGCCTCAGTCCGACTGCACTGCACCGTGCCGACGTGGTGCCCCTCGTCCGACATATGTATGTCATGTCTTGTTTGTGATTATCTGAAATCTGATCGTACGACAGGCCTTGACCTTCATGATTTACACGACTTACGATCTCGCTGTCTCTTATTCATCCATGACCTTCTTCAGGCTTTGCGTTCCTCTGGAGTACGTGGGATACTCCGTCGCATCTGAAGACTAGTCTCTAATCGGTTAATGGCTATAGGTTCACGCGTCTTATAGTCTTGCGCCGTCAAACTCGTCTCTCTGTCTTGTCTGCGCATCTCCCCCTGACTTGAAGGGATCTCAAGTCACATCATTTGTTATCGACATTCTGCAGCACACTAAACTGAGCAAAAGGTTATTCGCTTCCCAGCCTTGCCGCCGCCTATCCACTGACAATTTTCATGACAGGAAGAATGTCGTTCTCGCAGATCTAAAATCGTGCCCTAGCCTTATCATCACTTAGCCGTCTCAGTCGCATGGACATGTTCAATTTCGTTTATGGGAATCTTTTGCTTGCATTCATGTATTATTACCCCGAGCAATTGTACATGTTATAATCATCACGTTCTCAACACGCAGGTGTCCACGGGTCCTACAGATGAGCTGGCAATTGGATGCCGCAAAGGTTCCAAGTTTTTTTTGAATCTTGAGAGAAGTCTGTAGCCGTGTGTTATCCTCCAAAAATACGACACTGGTACTCGACATCTGAGCATAAAAGCTGTCCTATCTTGATCATATCTAATTTCGTAGATGCCGAACAACGATTTTTTTGGTGCCCTTGCGCACGTCAACTTGAAGCGCTGGTCGGACATTGGCCAAAACACATGCCAGCAGATCACGTGAGCCCCCCCCCCCAACCCCCCCAACTTTTTGGATTTCAACTCGGTGCTTCGAGCTTTTCCTTCCATCGACGAAATGCTCGCTGATTTTCTCGAGGCTCATCTCCCCTCCCTTCCCCGTCATTTACATTCTTATGTACCAGGCCAGACACCCCTTTCGACTACGTCTTCGGTCCTTGCGACATTATTGTCGTATCTCGTCACTATCTTTGGTGTTCAGGCCATGATGAAAAATCGCGCCCCTCAGAAGCTCAACACTCTTTTCCAAATGCATAACGTTATTCTCAGCGGCGGCAGTTTCATTTTGCTCGTTCTCATGGCAGAGGAGATTTTGCCAATTTTGTGGAACAGGGGTATTTTCAACGCCATCTGTGCTGAAGAGTCCTGGACACCGGTAAGCTCTGGTTGATTCTGTTATGCCCCGGGTCTTACCCTTTTGTAGCGAATGGAATTTTACTACATGATCAACTACTACTTCAAGTATCTTGAGTTGATTGACACGCTATTCCTCGCGTTCAAGAAGAAACCTCTGGGTTAGTGTCTTCTGCCCTCTGCATTCTGTATGCTTGTCTCCTCAAGGGTTATGCAGCGTTTTTGCATGTTTTCCACCACTCAGCGACCGCTTTACTCTGCTACTCCCAGCTCAACGGGAAAACCAGTATTGTGAGTGATGGATTTTCTGACGTGGCTGCTGGTCTGATCGTTCTATTCTAGTCATGGACTGTTATCTCCCTGAATTTAACTGTGCACGTCTTAATGTGTAAGCTAAGTTGATGTGTATTTGACGGAGCTTAACATCGTATCAGATTATTATTATTACGCAACTGCTGGCGGCAAGAAAATCTGGGTATACCTCGTCTCCCATGCTTAGTCTGATTAGCTTAATGCTAATGCTTCTCTAGTGGAAGAAGTACTTGACGTTGATGCAAATAATTCAGTTCGTCATTGATCTCTTTTTGGTGTACTTTGGAAGTGAGTGTTGCGTGTCTTTTGGTTGGTTTTTCGGCTGACTTTCGATTAGCCTACCAGCATTTCGTCTTTGCTCGTCGTAAAGACCTTCCGCACTTCGGGAACTGCGCTGGGGCGGAAAGCGCGGCTCTCTTTGGCTGTGGACTTCTGACTAGCTATCTCTTCCTTTTCATCAACTTCTATTTCCAAACGTATAAGAAGACCGCCAAGGTATCTAAAGGTAATGGTGTCGCTAACGGAAACGGGAAACTGTATGTCTTCTTCTCCTCAATTCCCTGCATCGCGGCCGGTTACTGATGCATCCAAAGGCAAAAGAGTGAGTAAACGTTGCGGTTCGGGAGTGGTTCGGGTCAGACATGATGATGATGGACGATAACGTCGGGCACCTTAATATTATACCCATGGAAGCATTACTGTTGTCAGCATAATAATAGATGGCTTTCACCTCGAGCGCAGGAAATTATGAAATGTCATCAAGGAGATGTCGCGCAATCTGCCCGATTGAGTTGAAATGCTAGACAATGTTGCAATGCCAGACAATGTGGCAGTGAAACACAGCTAATCATTTCGCCTTTCTCACTCGCCTTTCATGTTCTCTTCCGAACCAGCTTCTCCCACCGAATTTCTCGTGGCCGCCGAGCTCTACGTTTCCACAGCCGCGAGCATTGCCCTCCGCAAGGTCTATTCAGCCCTTCGTATTGCCTCTCTACTTGCTCAACGTCTGTCTTCTCCAGCCTCAGACCCTACGTAAGAAGCCCGTTAAACGAGCTGCAGCCCAGCAATCTAATGGACCATCAGAAGACAGCAAGAAAATTAAAGGTGCATGTCGGGTCTGGCCTCGCGAGACGCGTGCTGACTGTTGTCCATCAGAGAAATCAAGTTGGATTGCTCTGGCGAGAGGCTCCGCCGGGACTGGTCAGTGGCGATCTGCTACATGCAAACTCACGGCGGAAGAGGGCGGCAGATGTCTCTTGAACATCTATGTGGACGTGCGTTTCCCTTCTGGTCACTGTCAAGCTCGATGATGTATTGCTCTCTACTGCCAGGAATCTATTCTTTACCGGACACTGTATATACATCTGATTAACCATACAGACATCCGACATGCCGACACCTCGCTCTTCTTTCGCAAGCATTGTCTAGGAATATATTGCATAAAGTGAGCTTCCATCGCTCTCTGTCGCCGTGCTGACCGTGTATTGTCGATCACAGTCAACGATGGTGCTCTCCCAACACTACCGAACCTGTCTATCTCCAGTTCGCAAACTCCGACCTTTGCAACACCTGGCTTGCCCTACTAAGGTCCTACGCTATCGCAGAGATATATGGCCGATGGGGCTACCCGGAAGACGGTGGATCCTATCGAATGTGGCGACAGGTGGAACTGAGCGTTATCCAAGGCCGTAACCTGGGAAACACTAGGCCCGTCGATGACAAAAACGAATCAAGTTCCGAGTTCGATCCAGTTGATTTGGACGTATCGTGCGAAATACATTTGAATGATGTGTTATGCGGGCGCACTACAGTCAAGAAAGGGATAGGCTCTCCTGTATGGCACGAAAATTTCACGTTTTCTGATCTGCCACCGTTTGAAACCCTCGATGTCCTCGTCTGGAGAGAGAAAAAAGTCTTCAAGCCGTCTCCCTTAGGCTCTGTCTGTGTTACTCTGAACAACTTTCGGAGAGGTGAAGCAATCGAGGGCTGGTTCCCGGTGCTTCAAAGCGGCCCTCTAGCTAGTGATCTTCAAGTAGGTGACATTCAGTTGAAAATCAGGGTGGACGAGTGAGCCGCTTTGTCGTCCTATCAAACCTCACGCTGACTATGATACAGGGAGATAATACTCCCTTTCTCGGCCTACAGCTCTCTTCTAAATGTAGGTAAAACTGTCACCATCACTGCCGCTTACGATATTGATTGAATATCAGATTTTTAATTCCCGAAACTTCCTCGACTGGATGAACGATTTTGAGAAGAAGCTCAACCTGAAGACACTTGCTGTGCAGCTATTATCGATAGCCCTAGCAAAAAATAATGTTGTCGAGCAAATTCAAGAAATAGCCTACCGGGAAGTTGACGGGACACCTTCCTGTCAGTCGAACTTAAGGTCCTGTTTGATTGAGCTGACTCCGATTTTGAAGTAGCCCATCAGACCCTGTTTCGGGGCAACACAACTCTTACCAAAGTCATGGAATTATGCATGACATGGTATGGAAAGGCTTTCCTGGAGGCAAGTATTGGTACCGTGCTTCGTAAGTTATGCCAAGAAAAGGTCGCTATCGAAGTGGACCCGGTGCGAAGTGGGAAAAGCGCAAAGGATATTGAGCGAAATGTTGATCTCCTCATAACATGGTGTCGAAAAATTTGGGACCAGATATATTCAGTCAGAGGGGAATGCCCCTAGTAAGTCACATCTACATCTCATATTATCGTCCGCTCACGACCTTGTCTCGAAGTGAAATGCGACGACTATTTGAAACGATTAAAAAGTTAGTGGAACGGCGTTATCAAGACAGCGAAGTCATGGCAGACAGTCGAGAGCTACCATGGCAAAGTGTCTCGGCCTTCTGTTTCCTCCGGTTTATTGTTCCCGCAATCCTACATCCTCACCTCTTTGGTCTTTGCCCTGGTATGAAAAAGAATTGCTGTTGCCAAGAACTGCGACTGATCAGTTATAGGTCTACCGAGCGAAGCCGTAAGGCGCAGTCTAACCTTGATTGCCAAAGTGATCCAGAGTCTTGCTAACCTCAACGCAGTAAGCTTTCAATCCGTCGGCCTCTCATATTCAATTAATTGCCGTCTTGTAGTCTGTTCAAAAGGAAGAGTTCATGCGTGGTTTAAAAGACTTCCTACAGGAAAGTCTACCTGCCATGGTGGATTATCTTGTTGTAGTTTCATCACCAGGAAAAGACGGATACAGATCTCCCAAGGGATCGTCGTCCGGTTGTCACGATAGAATCCGTGTCGTGAACTCTCTGAGACAACGTGCCCCCGAAATGACGAAGCTCAACCTAGAGGCCATCCCAATGCCTCCCCATTTACTTGATGTACCTAGACATCTTGCCATCATTACGTCTGCCGTTATTAGGAACTCCAGAGATTACCTCTCCGCCTCTCATACGCTCGCAGACAAGGATGATCGGTTGATGCACGATTTATGCTCTAAGTGCTACGAAGTCGAGGAGCAGGCGCTACACAGAGTCAGTCAGCTGGCTTCACAGATGTCTGTTAGTCAACGACGGCTGAGCCCTTCCGTAAACAATGGGCGCTCTGATATACGATCCTCTACTTCTCCGATCTCTACTTCTACAGGGAAAGAACGACGTTACCGTAAATCTGGACGCCCGTCTACTGCTCCATCACCCGTAACTGATGTACCTAGAGAGCATGGGTCTTTTCCTTTCAGTCCTCGTGGCTTCGGCCGGGATCCAGAACCACCCCTTACACCCCCCAGCAGGAGTCGCCAGAAAACTCATCTACGACACTTCAAATCAACCTCGACAGACTCCATCCTCTATGGAGATAACCACACCCCTTCTATACGACGACCTCCATTACAGCAGGAAAAATCGCTGGTGGATCCTTACGATGATTCTAGAAAGAGAAAGAAGGGTTTATTTCATGGCATTTTGAAACGATAAAAATGCACAGTAGCTATTCATTATTATTATATATCACATCCCGCGTAAGAGTGTAGTCTGTGTAATAATAAGGTCAATCGGAGTTTTATTTACATTATAAGACAGCTTTCCCGACCGCTACGACCCAGACTTCAGTGGTTTCTGAATCAATTTCAGAACCTCTGCGGCTACCTCTTCATCAGTACTGCGTATTGTCAACCGACAAAGCTGTAGAGGAGGTGAATGAAATAAAATGCATAGCGACTAGAGAACTGACTTTGGCATCCTGATTTGGCTCCAAACGCAGTAAACACCCAACCTTGCCATCCACGGAAGTATGCAATACACCCGCCGCCACAATGTTGTTTTGATTCGGATCTATATCATCCAGCACGTTTAGATTGTGCCCTGCTACTACCCTATTATTTTTGACCAGATCCAGTTGACCAGAACTGGTCAAGTCGATGGAAAATACGACCTGGGCTTCTCGAGGAGGTCCGCCTATGAGTCTCCAGCGCTCGAAAAAATCTATCTGCGTCAAGCTGACGTTCTCGATGAATTTCGTTATAACGATGGGGAGACGGACAGCGATGGTTTGGTGGGATCCTGCCAAGAATGAGATGGTGAGGATTGGGGGTACAGAGAACACTTTTTTGCATTCAACATGCAGAAGCTGCTGGGTCTGCGTGCGCGGCGCAATGGTATTCGGCGGAATCTTAGCAAATGTTACAGACAAAGCGGTTGGGTCACTGATTTGTATGGTGGTAGTGAAGGATGTTAGAGCAGTGGGCACCTTGTTACCGATATAGATGGCGAGCTGCCCAAGGTGACCCTGATAGCGAGACTTTACCCCGATTTGGACCTGGACATCTTCATAGAGGACCCCCTCGGCATTACACACAAGTTTGTCGAACCATCGTTCCACGCTTGGACCGCTGGCTACATGAGGAGCTGAGAGATCATCTAAGCTAGCCGAAGGTCTGCTCAAGTCCAAGCCGGCTAGCGAGTCCAGGACTTCGTGCCTATCTGGGGTTGCAGGAGCTTGGTGGGAAGACTCATGGCCATTGGTATCAGGGAATAGTGTCGATTTCTTTTGGACAGCCTCTCGGTCTAAATTTGCCTCCTTACCTCCGTGAACCCATGTGCGTTTGTCTTCTGTGTCGCCATGTTTTCTGTTGAGCCGACCAAGAAGAGCACTGACACGAGGCGGATATGGCGGCATCTCTTCACATACATTCTGTAAAAGTTCATCGTCTTCGGGTCTCGACGCTAATGCGTAGAACTCGCATGCGCGTTGCTGCAACTCCGCATCGAGAACATGACGATAACGGTCAAAGATGGTCAAAAGCTGAGGCTTAATCTCAGGGAAGACGTTGACCCATTTGATGTATGTGGACAGGAGGAGAGAACGTGTAGCGGCAACGCAGAATTGCGATTTCGAATGAAGGACCTGGAACTGTTCGATGGGACTGTACCCAGGTTCATTCGCAATCAGATGACCATATTCACCCAGGATATAGCCTGTAGCGAAGGTCAGGAATACGTATAACAAGCAAGGGGAAGAGTGTCAAACCTCCTACTTTGACCAAGCTTTCGTGAGTGGAGGGGGACTTCAGGTGAGCGAATATTACTTTGGCAGCATATTCTTGCAGGTCCTCCGTGTTTGTGATAATTTGAACCACTCGATACCAAACCTCATCACCAACATGATCTCCAGCGGCACTGATCAGTCGCAGAATGGTATCGACATACCACTTGTACGAGCTAGCATACTTTTCAGTAAGTATAGCGATTTTCAAAACCATTTCTTCGCGGAGAGCATAGTCAGCGACTTTGAGATACCGCAGAAGCTCCCCAACGATGAGCTCAGAATTGTCCAAGTCACACATACTGTAGAGAAGGTCTAATGCTCGACGCCGAACGGATATATCCTTGTCCCGCAAGGACAGAATGATTGTCCCTTGGTGCTTCTTGATCGGTTCCAATGAATCCGCACGAGCGGCGAGATGTGCCATCGTGTCGAGGCCAAGATACCTGACATTGGTCTCCTTCGATGATATAAATCGTGCAAGAAGGACAGCAGCTGTGCCGACGAGAGGCGAGTTCGTATCAAGGTGAATTGCTAGACCAATGGCTTCAAACAGGACAGCATGCTGGGCATTGTTATGTTGAACATTGCGCGAAGGCTCCGCGCTGTTGTTCATAATCGTCTGCAGTACTTGATGGAGTACGGACCGTATAGCAGGGTCCTCTGGCGGGATATAAGAACTTCAAATCAACAAAATATTTTACTCACACTTACCGGAAGGCGGATAGTACTGCAGAAGACGAAGTAGCTTGACTTGCAGCCACGGTGAGGGTACCTTGTAATAGGCATAGGTTGCTGAATATTCGCGTTCAATGACAAGCTGTTGAAAGATCAGACCGACAGGTTTCAAAAACTTAGAAAGCAGGCGTACCCGTTGCAACCTATCAACGGCTTTCGTATAACATACTGCGAAAGCATCTAGATGATCTTGTGCCATTGCCATGACCAAACTTGTAACGCAGATGACAACGCCCTGTCCAGGGCGCAATGAGTTATCATTGTCTCCGCAACCGAGTGAATATTTACCAAATCGTCGTCGTCCATAATTGAGACGATTCGTAGTGCCCACTCTGCGGCAGGTATAACGTCAGGATGTTTACGATATAGTCGAAGCAACGTTAATGCCGCTTTTTTCTTAACGAAACATTGTGATGTCCTTTGCAAAAGCGTGAATCAGAGAATTCTGTCGGCAGGGCACAACGTACAGTGATATTAGAAGCCGATGCACGTCCACAGACAGGGCCTCTGCCATCTCACTTCCACCAACATTGGCGATAGCATGTAAGGCCAGACAGTTGTCAATTTCGTTGTTGCCGTGCAAGTCTTTCCTTATTGAATTCACAACTAGTCGCAGGAAATCCGAGTTCTCATGCATGAGAAGGGTAACAGCCAAGTAACCCTACGGTGAAACCTCGAGAATTAACTGATATGCAGATGAAACGAACTTCCATCATGCTCACTATCTGTTTCTCGCTGTACTTCGAGCTGGATATCAGATTAACAGCCTCCATGTGCCCAACGTCGACTTTATAACCGAGAATGTAGGTAAAGATGATCTTGGCGACATATCTATAGATTGGATGGTAAGCAGAAATCCGAACGAACAAAGCAAACGTTTCGTTACTTCTTCTTCTGGTATCCATCCAGGTTTCCTTCTGTAGCGGGAGGTCAGTGCTACAACAGAATACTGACGGTGGCCTGACCTTTGAATCTCTTTCTGATGTTGGCCATCTCCTTGTTTATCCGCTTCTCTTCCAAGTCTCTAACTCTGGCGCCACGAATGTCTGCAATGAACTAGAGAATGGTTGGATTCGTGGGTGGTCCAGGGGTGCCATTTTGAATACAAGGACTTGCCTGCGTCAGCCCACGCATACTAGTCGCCATGTCGAACCAGCAGCCGCGACGGATGCTGTCAGTGACGCGATCTGGTTGATAAAGTTATTGTACAGCGCGTGTTAGGTTTATGTTGGAATATAATGCTGGCTGTCCGGGTCGGACGATTATAAGGAAGTGATTACCTCACACTTTGTTGTAAAGCTTACCTTTTGGCCACGATCGTCAACATGGATTCTTCCGAGCTGTACCATGTCAAGCAACAATTCATCCTCGGTAGGAGCTTGCAATTTTCTCCATATGTATTATTCATGCCTGGACAGGCGCCTACAAGACTCTTATTGGCATGTCTCTGCCGGACGCAGAATCCTCGGATTTCATCCCAATACTGTTATATCAAGCTCGCGCCCACATCGCTTTGAATGACCCAAAATCCGCCTTAAAACTACTCCCAGCCGACTCAGAGAATGTAGCCATCAAAGCGGTGACAGCGCTTGCACACTACGTGGATACGGAGGAGACGGAGGACAAGGAGTCGGCATTGGAGGAGCTTCGAGACCTATCGGTGGAAATTGAAGGCGACGACATCGAAGGGACCGACAGGGACAAATCTATTGTCCGTGTACTTGCTGGTATTGCTTTCGCTAGGGCGGGAGAAGTCGAAGAGGCTCTGGAAACACTGGGAATCGGGACGGAAGACCTTGAAGCGTACGTGGCCTCAAAGGGCCATGCACGCATCACTGACTCCACCTTTGCTCAACAGTGTTGCTGTTATTGTGCAAATATACCTAGCCATCCACCGTTCTGACCTCGCCAAGAAAGAGTTCGAACGCTCGAAACGTTGGGCCGAAGATGACCTGTTGTTGCAGCTCATCGAATCAACAATAAGCCTCGTCACAGGGAAGGACAGCTACTCCGACCCCTTATCATTCTACACAGAACAACTTGGTAACCCTTCGCTGTCTTCCCCGCATATCCTTACCTCCCGAGGCGTGACGCGCATCTTGCGGGGTGAGATGTCAGAAGCGAAGTCTGATCTTGAAGAATCTCTTGACCAACAAAAAGGTGATGCTGACGCACTGGCTGCCTATGTTGTAGCTTCTGGGCTTCAGGTACAAGAGCCATGGACGTACGTGGTTACTTCTTGAAAACTGAATTAAATGACAGTCACATTTATTCCTCTTCTTAGAAAACTTCTCGCTACGATTCCTTTGCATCCCCTCGTCAAAGATGTCGCATTCAAGGAGACGTTGTTTGACGAAGCTGCTGCCAAGTTCGCAGTTCCAGTGATGGCGGAGATTGGAGCATAATAGCTTCAGCTATACATTTCTGTCATAGATTAAGCTAGATGCTTCTCATACTTGAATTCGACATAATCATCCACTCCACGTATGTAAGAGGTGATCATAGAAAGAACAGCTTGCTATTACCGTGTGCTCCCCCTCTGACATAGCATACGACCAATCGACGCCATAGGCAAGTGATTCATGTTCGTCGAATCGCTTAACAATTTTGCCATTTCCTGCGCTCACATTAAGAGGGTTATCAGACAGTAGATGACTGAATGAAACAATCTTAAATCCGTCATGCATGCAGGCGACGAGCAAATCGTTTTTCCTAGTTGATGACGGATGCCATTTGACTCGCCAGGCCCCTCCACCAACGTCTATCTGGCTAATAGGGACTGATGGCTTGCGAATGTCGAAAAGGCGGACAATATTGTCATAACTGCTTATAACCTGTTGACGTAAATTAATGAAACTGGAAAAATGGACTTGCCTTCCAACAGCAATCAAGTTTTCAACGTAGGGATGACTCTGAATAGCTGTTATTCCTGCGTCAAACCTGTTCGATACTCAAAAAGGGACATGTAGGAGGAGGTCGTCCGCACCCACCGTTTGTTGACAAATATGGGTTTCACTAAATCTTCTCGGATGTCCCATCCTTTCATCTGTAGGTCGTCGCCTCCTGCATATACAGTAAGGGAATGGTGAATAGTATGGTGACAAAACCTACCGGAGAACACCACGTTCGTGTCCCAATAGTTCCATGCAGCAATCCATGGTTCATAATCATGAGCATGCCAAGAGGACTCTACTGACAAAGGACCTGTGCCATTTTCTGGCCGCAGGAGACTTAGCGATCCATCCGAGAGGGACACCACCAGGGAGCCCAACTTTCTACGAAGGGCATGAGTGTCATTTCGAAAACTGAAGAGAAAAACTTACGTTCCAGGGGTCTGTCTATTCGACCAATCAAGAGACAGGCACAGAATGGTGGATGACTCTGCAATTCTTATGGCTTGAATTTGCCGTAAACCAGTCTATGCTTCATCTTAGCTGGCTGGCCTCACTACCAGTTTGGACAGAACACCTACCTCTTGCCATTGATGAAGAGTTATATTCCCCTCAGAGTCAGCTATGCCCAATGTAGCTGGACTTTGGGGAGACATATGGCACCTGAGCAACTAATGAATAGAGAAAAAATATATTAGACCTATAGTTTTGCCATTTCATGTCAAGTACTGCAGGTAGATCAAAGCACTGTATCTGTTCGCTTGAAATACAGTTATCTCATTAAGTGAGCTAATAGTAACTGTTGCCAACTTACAAATCTGTTCCATTTGACTGGACATCCATCCTGAACACTCGACACTGGCCTCGTCTGTGCTGAGAATTTCTGCGTTCATCATCGCCGCCTTCAACCGCTACACCCTGATCAAGTTTGTACGTCCCTACAACAAATATATCTTGCAAATTTTCATGTGGGCAAAACTCCACAGAATCTGCGGGATACATGGTATCGAACATGGGAAGAGAGAGCTGAAGAGCCCCACCGGAAACACGGTCCGACTCATCAACCTCGCATAACTAACAACATAACCGACAACATAGCCACTCTCTTTTCTGACGTGCCATGGCTGATCCTCTCCCTCCGCCTGCTTGCTTGGCCATGGACGACTATCATGCTGTTGACGCTGCAAGGAAACGCTTTGTCAAAAAGTCGTGCTTTCCCATCATTTCTTCTGTACCTAACCTGCGTCATTTCTTTTCATCGCACAAGCTACGGTCGCGAGAGCAAGCTGAGGAGCACGAGGAGCAAACCGATGAACGACAAGAGAGCCAGTTCGAGGAGCCTGAGGATGTCGCCTCCTCCGCCATCGACCCCGACACCCAGGTCGAAATAGGTCTCCCAGTATTTGGGGTCGATGCTGACGATACCCAGACCAAGTTTAGATGGGCTGTCCTGTACGAGAATCAAAGGGGGTAAATCACGCTTTTATGTACGATTTATGAATACTGAACGCCTTTCAGCTATACACTATTCTCTCTTCCGTTCTATTCTCGACGGTCTCTCCTTCCCAGAGATCCCTATCCCTTCACAGCTCCTTCAACCTCTAACAAACGAAGTGAACAACCAAACTATTCACTAACACAATATCCACTACCAGACGGAAATTGGCAATGGGTGTCAAAGCAATGGATGGTTGACATGCAGTCGGATTCAGGCCAGGTGCAGTATGACGGGTTTGAATACAACTGGATGTTCCGGAAGAAGCATTGGACGGCGGAGGTCGGTGGCTTCGTGCGACGACGTCGTTGGATCAGACTGATGAAGCGTCCCGCGAAAACGGCCAAGAAGAATATTGAGGACGATGTTGACAATGGGAATACAACGGCCTGGTCATCGAGACCAGAGGGATCGACACTGCAATCGGCCTCCGTGTCATCGAACCTTTCAGATGAGCTGCTCGAAGGGAAGGCTGATGAACTATGGCTGAAGCATGACCTGCATGCTCGCTGGGTTGAGTATTGCAAGCTGATGAAGATGGCTGGTCGCGACGCGAAGAAGCTGGAGTTGTGGAAACGGTGGCTTGCTCTGAAGGATCCGAATAAGATACCTGTTCATGAAGATATTTCCAATCTATTGGCAGTATATGTGGGTATTCTTCCCTTGTGGTTACACTCAAGAAGTCATGTTGTTATGCAGGGCGACGATATCCGCAACTCTTTTGTCTATCCTGACTCTCGTGCGCAGTTCATGAGCATGCTGAGAGATGCTGGAATGCTGGAGTCACTTTTTTCCAACGCTGGGATACAGTCTGCACATAGCTTGGTTGATTTTTGGAGTTATGAACACGGTAAATAAGTTAAGACGTTAATTATAATAGAATATCACATGTATCCGCTAGTGCTTTCCATGATGTCGTTCGCGCTTTGCGCCAGTCTTCTTCATGACTGCAAAGGAACTCCACCTTTCGAATCCTAGCCATCCAGCACAGATTACCCTTCGTACCTACATCCTTGCCATCTCACTCTCGCTCGGACCTGCTCTTACCCCCTTCGTTTCGTCTTTCCTTCGCTCAAAGCCATCGTCAAAATACAACAGGAAGGCCCTCAAGGTACTTCTACGGCAAGAGCTGGGTTTTGGTGGATTCGCCTTTGCAGTCACACTCTCCGTGGGTGTTGGGGCAACCGTGAGGCATCTATGGGCCGGCTTTGACAAAAAGTCCTCGCCGGACAGCAAGTACATCAAGATTGCAAAGGAAAAGCTTGCATATTCCAACCTTACATCCGCCCAGAAAACCTTTGTTTCATATGCCTTGTCATCTGCAATCGGTATACTCCTTCTACAAAAAGGTCGTAGACGCTCCAATATCCAGAATACGCCTTCACGCACTCTAGACTTGACTCTTCTGCTCTTCGTCAGAGCTGTTGATGCCCTCGTACAGTCCTTCGTTTACAAGCGATCTTCTCGTGTCCGTGTCAGAGAACGGTCCAGCAACGTCGAGCATCGACCAGACCTACTCAGGCAGCGCCCACTGAACGAGAACCATCAGAGAGTAAGGATCGATATGCGCAGACTCACTGCAAGGATTGATGCACTCGTTTTCTGGGCGTGTAGTGCCAGGTATGCGGATTTATATTGTCATCAAGTTCACCTTGTTAATGTTTTCCCGATCCCAGAATCATGTGGTGTTTCTTTTACCAACCGGATAGGTATGTGGGTTTCCTTCTCAGCTTCGCTGGCTAAACACCATTGCCAGACTGCCGCGGTCCTACGTCAAATGGATCAGTGCCCTCGCCAATGTCGATGCCCGATTACTCAGAGCCTTGAGGCTGATGTATGAAGGCCAGTGGTCGTATACTCAAGGTTATACCTCACTCCCTGCTCTACTGGAGACATATGCGAATGATCTTGGTTTCCCCGGTGCTTGGGGAAGCCCATCTGTACTACCCTCGGTTGGCGGTCAGAAAGCCGATATCATCTGGAATGAATTGGGCGTGACCGGTCGCTCCGGAGTAGGTGGCCTCCCATGCGAACTTGTACACGGAGGTGTGGGATCACAAATCGGTTTGGCTGGAAGCTGTACAGCAAATGCGGGACTCAGAGCAGCAAGAGCACTTGTTCAGTCTATGGCAATCTATCTTCCAGTTCGTATCCATTTTTCTGAACGCGTTTCTTTGACTGACCTCTCTATGTAGGTACATTTCTTCCCTGTCCTACTGACACGTCCAAAATCGCTGCTTCGACCCCATCATATCGTTGCCACTTTAATCAGCGCGCTCAGAAGTGCCTCTTTTCTCACTTCCTTTATCGCATCATATTGGTATGCAGTGTGTCTGACCCGTTCCCTCCTTTTGGCCCGCGTTTTCTCCTCTGTGTCTCATGATTTCTGGGACGGACCGTATGGTTGTATCTTGGCTGGTTGCTTGTCATGCGGAAGCAGTATCTGGATAGAAAACGGCCGTAGAAGAGGAGAGATGACGCTTTATGTCTTGCCTCGGGCAATTAGAACAATCCTGCCGGACGCGTGGATTAAAAGCGGCAATCGAGGTGTTCTTGCAGCTGAGCGGTTCGTTTTTTTGCATTCTTCTTATGGTCGATACTTTGGCTGAAGTATAAAAAAAAAAATCTAGCCTCGTGTTTGTCCTCTCTTTCTCGTCACTCGTTGCTACCGCTATCCATCGAACAGATTCCTTACGTGGTCTTTCACGATGGACCCTCGCGTTTATAATGAACGGACCTGATACTGGGTTCTGGAAAGGGCGAACGTCTGTTGATCCAAGTATTCCAGTAACCCCTGATTCTCCAGCGGAGCGATAGGTCGCATACATCCACGAAAAACGTCCGCTCGTCTTCACCGTGTCGTAGTATTGTAGAATGCGTGGTGCCATAAGGTGTGATTGATAGCAGTGGGATCTTATAATGTACTAAAATTTGATAACATAATATGTGTCTATGAGGTTAACGACGATCGTCCTCTGTAACTGTTATTGAAGTCTTGCCTGTCAGCATGATACTTTGTCAGTATTTTGACAACGTCCCGACTTAGGAATGTCAGCTCCTGAGTCTCCTCCTGGGACAGAGAACGGATAGCCTCCTCTGCCTCATCCTCGTCCTCACCCTCAGACTGCCGCACGTTTGCTCTACCATGACGGCCACCCAAGACAAGACCCGAAAAGACCCGAAGCATACACCCATCCAGCAGCCTCTTCAGCCTCATGAGATCCTCCAACGCAGAGAGATCTCCAATCATGGGTATCCAGTCGTCACAACGAAGAGCGTTCCGAGTGATCTCCAGCGTGTGTGCTCCAAAGAGAATGTATGTGGCATAGTTGAGTTCCGTTGCCATGGAAAGGAATGTCGCCCCGTCGGTCGACGAGCGCTTCTCCAAAAACGCAAAGATCTGTTTGGGTCCTCTATAAAAATTACTCTTGTCGTTGTGTATGCTATTTGGTTGCATCATTACTTTCTGTAATGTTTGTAACCATCAGAAAACTACGAAGAAGAGGAAAAATGGATGCGAGTACCTTGTCCCGACGCGTACGAAGAGCAGTTGGAGCAAAGCCTAGGGCAAATTTGGGCTGTGAGGCCACGGTGATCAAAGCCGCCAGAATGGGAAGTGAACCACGATGTTCGTTGAGTTCTGGAGGTAGCTCATCAGCGTAGGCACGCACGGGGCCTTGAGCAGTGACTCTCAATACACCAGCTTGTCGAAGCGAGCTAAGGATTTGTGAGCGAAGTTTCTGCATACTCAGTAGAGTCAACCTCGAAAGGAAGTTGTCTTGGCAGAACTGGGAGGCCTCCATATAGCGACGTTCCGACATCATTTTATTCCAGGCATTATACGCCTGCCAGGTTGCGAGTATATCCGATCGGAAATCAGGAGGTAGCCAGGAGGCCTTTGCCTTCCTCGCCTCAGCTTTCATCATCATGGGTGCTAGCCATGGGTCACGACTGCTCAGGATGGCAGCTAGAGTCAAGGCGTCATCGAGACAGCGGAAGAAGCTGCCGTATAAAACAAGGCGGCCAACATGGACATCCACCGGTATCTGCAAGAGAATTCGACCCAATGCCGTCAGATTCTCCTCTGCATCCAGAGCACCTGCGACTCTAAGAGCCTCTAATGCAATATCAATGCGTTGGGAATCTGGGGGCTCTATGGTGGCACCAAGGACAGACTTAACATCCATATTGGGGAAATTGAGGGCCTTGACATGCATAACGACATTTGTCAAGTCGACACGCGCCATCTCAACCGTCTGGTAAGTATTCAGCGCTTCGCAGTGGCCACGACTCAATATGCCATAATACATCCCAGGCCGATGTCGTCCAGCACGTCCAGCACGTTGGTTAACATTGGATGATCCAATCCAGGAAGTGACAAGGGAGGTCATGTGTCTCTCGGGATCGTAGCGGTTTTCTTTAAGCCTCGCAGAATCAACTACGTAGACTACGTCTGGGATTGTTACGGATGTTTCGGCAATGTTCGTTGTCAGAATAACTCGTCGGGTGTCTGGGTTTCTGGGGGACCTGAACACGGCTTGTTGTGCTTCAAGAGGTACTGTGGAATGAAGAAGATGGATTTCAAAGTCGCTGAAGTCAACGACCCATCTTCCCGTGGTCAGCAATTTTTGGACTTTACTGATCTCCTCCCATCCGGGAAGAAAAACAAGGACATGACCTTCGCTAGATGTCTGAAGGATTTGCGAGACAACGGCAGCGATCAGAGGGAAAGGAATATCCATGTCTTCGTCCCGCTCTGCCTCGGTTGTGAGGGAAGACTTCGGAGCCATAAATGTTTTCTCCTTAGCCAAGAACTTTTTGACTGAAGGTTCTCCCAACACCCATTGCTCCTCGCCTTCGGCGAGAGCTGGTAGATAATCGTCCAAAAACTTCTTCTCGACAGGGAAGGAGCGCCCAGGTATACTGATTGCTTTAGCAGCCTGATTATTGTCGTCGGGAAAGTAATTCTGAAAAAGTGTGGGGTCGATGGTAGCGCTCATCAGGACAACCTTGATAGGCTGACCCTTGGCCTTTCTCTCTGCGATAAGGCGTTTAAGGACGACAAGGAGAAGATCAGTATCGACATCGCGCTCATGGACTTCGTCGACAAGGACGTGTGTGATGTGATCAAAATCAGTGTTGTTGGGGTCGGCGAGAACGGACTGCATCTTCCTCAAGAATACTCCAATGGTGAGGAACGTAATGGATCCGTCCTTTTCAGGGAGTTTGTGTTCAAACCGGACCTGATATCCTACAGTTTTTCCCAGCGTCTCTCCTCTTTCCGTAGCAACCCTGTCTGCAACGCCCAGAGCTGCTAACCTTCTAGGCTGTGTGCACAGAATATTACACTTTGCGCCTTCTCCTCGGTCAATGTACGAATCTAGGATTATCTGGGGGATCTGTGTCGTTTTACCGGAACCAGTGGCGGCCATGAAGACGCATACGTCATTAGCAGCAACGGTAGATAAAATCTCCTCTTCTCGCTGGTGTAAAGGAAGGGCCATCCGTGTAGCGCGAATCTGTTCTGTTTCGGGAGACTCGAGGTAACGTTTGCGACGCTGTTGCAAGAGATAGGATTTGTCTGCCAACTTGTCGTCGGAACTGGCCCTACTTTGAAAGCCTGTATTGACCGGAACAATGGGGGCAGCGATGGCGGATGGCTTCGACCGATACAGCGTACTGCGTTCTAGATCAACGCAAAGATCGCGAATGTCGTCGCTCAAGTCCCTATTCATGTAGAATGGGACATTTGGTCCGTCACCTAGGTGGTCACCCGTTTTGTGCTTCTCGACGAACTCCTTCCAAAGGTCGGGGTCGCACTTTTCGAGATACTGCACTACATCCATATAGACAGCTTGTGTACAATCCTTTTTGGTTCGGCCAACGCCAACACCGACTTTGCGCCCGTTGATAGACATGATAGACTCCCAGACATTGCCATGAGAGGTATACTGAATATCTGCAGACTGGAAATGGAATTTGCGGCAATAATAATCAAGGAATTCCGTGGCAAGATGGAGGTCCAGGATAGAATTGTCAGAAAGTGTGACCGTAGTAGGTTGAGAAGAGGGTTTGGCATCGAACTGAATAAAAATAAGAGATGTACGGTTGAGAAGAAGGAACGCGACTCACCAGTCCCTGGTTGTTTAGCTGGTATACCAAAGATAGATTGGCAAGGCGGTCCGAGCCTTTCACGGACGGGGCATCACCAATACCAACTATTGGTGGGTTGAAGAAGGGAAGGGTAACAGTTGTTCTAGGTCGTCGTGAGCGACGCTTCAAGAATTGGACAAACATCGCACCTTGATAGGAATTGGCGATTGTACTTGCCGTTTTCTCGAACATATTCAGGTTTTTCACCATAAAGGGCGGCGAGGTTGTGGACTGCGTTCTTAGGGTCGTCAACGTGATTCGCCGATGGTTGCGCCAGAGGATTTGAGCCGTAAGTATTTTTAATGTAGTTCATGTCGTGCAGAGTGGTGAAGGCGATTCCTTTTGCATGTTTGCTGGTTGGTAAGGCAGGAGGATATAGGCGACGAGTATCTTTCATGCCAGGAATATGGAACCGGGGAGAAACGACGGCGGGAGAGACAGGCTGAGGTGTAGGCGCACGACGCCGAAATAAATTAGCATCGCTGTCCCTTTGTGATGTATTGGGGCGCCTGGAGTCGTTCTGTGGAGGCAGGCGATGTTGTTGTGCATTGAAGCGTTTGAATGCTGCCGACGTCGAGTAGGACGACGACGGCGACGACACGGGTAGTAATGACGGACACAGCAATGGTGTTGTGGAACGAAATGATCGTGTGGTGAGGCGGCGCCTGCACCACACTACAGTGGACAGACGCATTGGAGCGTCGAGGTGAGATGCAAATTGTACCCAAAAATTACCGGGATCTGCCGAAATTCTTATCCTTTTTGATCTAATCTTATCTTTTATCTTACTTATCTATCTCGCAACCATTCTTCTGCCGCTTTCTCTACCCCTCGTAGATATTTGAGCCGTAGTCCTGCTTGTTTTGCCGCAGACCAATCTCCTCTTTCAACCAGCCTGGAAATCTCTTTGAACGAGGTCTTCAGTTTTTCTGGACGAATCATCAGTTATTGTGCGGTACGGTATTGCTTCAAACAAACCTCGGGTCTCATCAGCCACCTGCAGTACTTCGGCTTTATCTTCAGCATCGTCAATAGTGTCTCGCGCTAACATTATTTCTGATAGAAATTCCATATCTTCCAACTTGTCTGTCTCTTCCATTGGTGCATCGTTGAGGGTGAGCAGATAGTGTAGTCGCGACAATGGATCTCGTAATGTCTGATAGGCCTCATTTACTTGCGAAGAAAGAAGCTGCGCAATGTCGGTCTTTCCCTGCAGTGTGTGAGACACGGTTAATATAATGATGTACAAAGCATACTTGACCCTTGGACGTCCATGCATCTGGATGACATGCAATCTGTGCGTGCCGAAAATGACTTCGTAGTAAGCCTTGGTCCACGTGAAACTGTGACGGGTTATATTCAAAGCCAAGGACATGATAGTAGTTGATATCAGAGGGTATATTTGTTATTGAGCCGCAGTTTGAGCAGGCAGGCAGAGAGGACGGAAGAGGCTGATGGCAAACCGGGCACGACCTAGGCAGGGCGCTGATGGTCGATGGGGACAACGCTGGTTGTGTATTATGGAATGAGCGCTTGAAGGGACGTGCTGCACTGTGCGATGCTTGCCGAAGAGTGCAGGTGGATGCCAGACGAGAGAACATGGTAGTAACAAGGAGAGCCAGAATGGATGACGTCATCGCAAGGTAGTATACAAATTTCAAATTCACAGGTATGTCAAACGCCGCTCTTCGTGTACGACACTGAGTGTTTGCCCGCCAGTCCACAATCCACCGGGTTCCAAATTGACAAATCCTCGAATATAGCCTGGCTCAACACAAACAAAATTTTCCCTGTCACGACTCCGTTAGACGTGCTTTTCATAGTGGGACGCGTCGACTTACCATCCATTTTCCTCCATGTCACCAATTTTCCGACCAGTCTCTTGAGGATTCCAGACCACCACATCCTTGAGATTACTTGCCGTGATGTCTAACCCGCCACCAGGCCATATCACCTCATACTTCCCATTCGTGTTCTCGTACACCGAGTCCGTGAACTTCTTGACATCTACCCCTGCCCTGGCTTCCACCTTTGGCCTCGATTTACCTGCCTCCGTTGATTCCGTTTTATCGTAATATGTAAAATTTTGAAGGGGACCGACAAGCACGTCGGTCGATGGAGCCCGGATGTAGTTGTGGAACAGAGTATGGAACTCTAAGTTATCGGCGAAGGAAGTATTCTGAACATGAAGGTCTGTCTTCAAGTCGAATTCCGACAGCGTCACCACGTATGTCAATAGGAACGGCTTGCTATAGACTGTTGGGATTGTTTCTGTTGGTCGCAATGCTTACGACAGTGTAAGTACCGATTCTCAGAATATGATCCAACTCGCCGCATACTCACTGAGTTTGATAGAAACAGCGTCCTTCTCATCAATCGATGTTCCGTCCCAACTCCAAACGGAATGTCGGGCAAAACCATGCTGATTCAAACGAGTATGGTCTGGATGTGTTGGAGGCCCGAAACACGGGAAAACGACTGGGATACCTCCGCGCACGGGCTTGCTACCATCTACTGCTGCCTTATTCGATACGAACAGACGTTCGGAAAGCTCTGGGTTGCGTTTCGTTCCGGACTTCCATGAGATGACACTGGCGCCATAGAGAAGTATTTCGACAAGGGCCCCCTGGTGCCGTCGAGGTCAGAATACTGTTAAAGATCATCTAGACAAAGGCACACCTTGGAATGGGACAGGACCAATTTTCCCGATGTAAGCTGCACGGGCATCGTTATCAAAGTACTAGTAGTGCCCCTACCGTCTTGCGTCATATACTCCGGTCCGTTGCTGTTCGGCCTGCCCTAAAGTCAGCCTCCTATTTATATGACTCCCCGCTGTTTCACGGTCTTCCGAGCTACGACGACGTCGACTCCCGTGAGCTCCTGCAGTTTTTGTTGGCCAGGCTACTCTCGACCCGATGACTTTTGGGACTCTGATGTGCTGAGTACGAGGAGCTCTTATGCTCTATCGGCTTGCCCTGTGCCTTTGTGTGCTCAGTGTCCCCTGCCAAAGGCAAGCCTTGCCGTTCTGTGCCTCAGCGCAGTTCGGGCAACATACATCTTTTGACATCGCGAGCGATTGGCATTAGGTGAGAGACTAAGCTTGCTTCAGTCTTCTTATCCTCCTGCTCTGTGTCGGGGCCGTCGTCATCCTTTGTCTACGAAGATAAATGTTTTATCATGCTTCGCATGCTCACTGACCCTGTCTTGGATCCTATTGGACTGCATCCCAGTGGACCACTCCGCCACTGTAATTCATGGAAACTGCACGCCCTGATTCTGCTATCCTGCTGTAAACCGCTTATCGCGCGATACCGATAACATGACCGAGTGTGGTCTGTTGGGCTGCCAGGGGATTTCGGGGTGTACGAGGACCTCTTTGGCCTATCGACGCCCTGTGTGCATGTCGTGTGCACCCTGGTCGAGGCCCAACAGATCCGTCTGCTGGCTATTATGCCTGTACTAGTGCACCTTGTGGTGTCAAAAGCTGGCTGGAACGCTCGCAGTCACCCTCTCTGATCTATGGCGTACGAGGCTGGTCGTTCCAGTCGTCAGCGCCATCATGCGCAGTTCCTTGTGCCTCGAGGTCTCTGGCTGCGTGGCTGTTCTCAGTGTTGTGGACGATACGTCTGTTCTATATCGGGGCACCGCCCTCCATTGCAACAACAATGCATATTATCGCTTGTTATCATGCCTGAATTTGGGTCCGACTATCCAAGTCGGGAACTACATGTGACCGTCTCAGTGACGGGTACTCTCCCGTGATGTTCATATCATGTGTATCCGGATTATTATCCGTGTCTTCAGCGCTTGGCGCTTATCCCAAAAGACAACCGTGGCCCCGCCCGGTTGGCCTTCTACCTCGCGGGTCTTTGGGATCGCACACCGTACGGTCTCAAAGATGTCCACTGTTCCAGTGGTTTCCGCACAATTTTTGGTTTTTCTTTCTTCTTTGTGAAGAATTTCCCCATCTTGGTCGCAACATCTTGGTCTAGGTTAGTTCATTTCGTCTTTTTTTTGTGCTAACATGCTGAATTTACAGATACATTGTGGTAGGTAGGAGGGAATGGATAGTCTTCTGTTAGGAGAATTTAAATTATTCAGTAATGTATCTACGCTAGCTATATACCAGAATTTCCGTACACATTGAAGTACCATTTGGAAGTCACAAATGTTCAGAACGCGCGTAAATTGATGGGCTATGCTAAATATTGACACCATACAAGAAAGGCAAGTGTCGCCATGTGGCCCGAGCTGTCCGCTGGATTTGGTTGACCTTCGTTTGCCTCTACACACGATCAACCCAGCAGTATTTTCTTTCTTACCACCATCATCGTCTACAAGAAGCAACATTTCCCGATAACTGCGCGATAATAATACGAACTATCCCCGAACTGGAGCACCAACATGGATCCCAATTTCCCTACTGAAGATGTATGTCTCTCCGATGAGTATGACTTTGACATGTTCTCTAATCACGTCCTCAGATCGCACCGATTGCGATTCTTATGGACGAACTGCGCTCAGAAGATGTGCAACTGCGTTTAAATGCCATCCATAGCATTCCGACAATTGCACTAGCATTAGGCCCTGATCGCGCGCGAGAGGAACTCGTTCCTTTCCTTCAAGATTCGGTCGACGATGAGGACGAGGTCCTCCTTGCCCTTGCAGAGGAGCTTGGGACGTTTGAAGATTACATCGGTGGCAAAGAGTATGCCCATGTGCTTCTGGGGGCGCTGGAGAATCTATCCGCTGTAGAGGAAACTTTGGTTCGAGACAAGGTGAGTTGTATACTCATCCTCAACCAAGTTTTTTTTATGCTGATAGTTCTTCTACCAATGCAAAGGCGGCAGAGTCGATCACCAAGATTGCAGCAGTCCTTTCGCCGTCCCAGTTGGAAGAGTACTACATCCCTCTTCTGAAACGTCTATCGCATGGCGAGTGGTTCACATCCAGAACATCATCTGCTGCCTTGTATCCTGCGGTTTACGCCAAAGTTTCTCCTGCTATCCAAGAGGAGTTGCGGAAGGGGTTTGCTGCTCTAGGTTCAGACGACACGCCTATGGTTCGTCGGGCAGCAGCAAAGTGGCTTGGAGTAAGTAATGGTTCCTACTCACATAGACTGGCTGGTTCTGATTTTCCTGCTGTAGCCACTTTTGACCCACTTCTCTACGCCGCATATTCTCACCGATGGACTACCGATATACCGCAGGCTTCAGTCTGATGACCAGGACTCCGTTAGGCTGTTGACTGTCGAAGATCTCATTGTTATCGCTCAGAGAATGTCCCCGGCCGAAGTCAAAGAACAGCTTTTAAAGCAAATCAGGCATAGCATAGGAGACAAAAGTTGGAGGGTTCGGTACATGGCAGCTAATCATTTCAACGAGGTATGTGGCATTGTTTTAAATCTTTCTTACTGTTGCTCATCTGGATTGGCAGCTTGCGGAAGCTGTTGGTGTTGAAATCGTTAGAGAGGAATTGATTGGACAGTTTGTACAGTTGCTTAAGGATAACGAAGCAGAAGTCCGAACGGCGGCCGCTGGTCAAATTCCAGGTACCTTGCCCTTATTTGAACTCCTAAGAAATATACTTCTTAACATGTTGCGTAGGTTTCTCAAAGCTCCTTGACAAAGAAGTCATTTTGGCCCGTATCATACCATGCGTCCGTGACATGTCTCAAGATTCTTCGCAGCATGTCCGTGCCGCTCTTGCCAACCAAATCAGCGGGTTGGCACCATTGCTGGGACGTGAATCCACGATCGAACACCTACTTCCTCTTTTCCTTCAATTACTAAAAGACGACTTCCCTGACGTGAGATTGAATGTCATAAGCAAATTAGAAACCGTCAATACCGGCAAGTCATTTTGCTTGTCATTCAGATTGCTCGTTGACGGGTGCTTCTAGTTATCGGCATTGAGCTTCTCTCCGAAAACCTTCTTCCTGCTATCGTTGAGCTGGCCGAAGACAAGTCGTGGCGGGTACGCCAGGCTATCATTGAATACATCCCTCTACTCGCGAAACAGTTAGGGAAGCCTTTCTTTGACGAGCAGTTGGGAAATCTTTGCATGTCTTGGCTTGGAGACACGGTTTTCAGCATACGGGAGTCTGCTACCGTTAACCTCAAGAAGTTGATCGAGGTCTTCGGCTTGGAGTGGGCGAAGGTTGCCATCGTACCAAGAGTGATGGGTATGGGGCAGCACCCCAACTACCTGTTCAGAATGACAACAGTTCAGGCAATTACAGTGCGTCTGTGCCATCACTCCACCAACTGCTGGCTCATGACGTTGTAGATCATCTCGCCCTCTCTGAGTTTGGAAATAGTACAGGCAGAGATCATTGATCCTCTCCTGCAACTTGCCACAGACGCCATACCAAATATCCGCTTCAATGTCGCGAAGGCGCTGGAAGTTTTGGCCGCGACATACAGCGGTACACCCGAAGGTCGCTTGCTGGTTCTGAGAATACTGCCTGCTTTAGAACAATTGAAAAATGATCAAGATGCAGATGTGCGGTATTTTGCGACGCGGGCTTACCAAAAGACCGGAGGAGTGTCTTGAGGTATGTTTGCTGTTGGTCCCGTCGTAAGGTACTCATTGGTTCCTTCATAGTCGTCGTCAATATAAAGAGTTCTTTCTACCTGTCTTAACACCGCTATACCAATATCAAGTGTCCTAAAATGATGAAAGTAATGTTCGAAGTGTTCCAAGGTGTATTTCTACTACATTTGCCCTGTCATTCCAATATTTTTTAGGTGGAACAGGCACGTTTGTTGCCGGCGTGGACGTTGCTCAAATCCAGACGTGCTTCTTTTGCCGGCACCTGTTTCACGCACCAAGCTTTCAGAATGTTTGCACTCCGGCGCTTGCGGTGTCTCTTAACACACACTGTTCTGTAGGATGATTTTCCTGATTGCTTTTCTGGAAGCATTTTGGTTTTGAAACATGTGCTAGAGGTAAAATTGTGCGCATGTACTGATCTAGTGATGAACAGTGAAGAGGCTTGGTCACATTGAACTATGTGTATGACAAAGAGATGGGAAAGACGACAGGTTCCCGTGATGGTGATAGAATCCCGATGGTACTTAAGAGATGGTTCTTCGCGCTCTTGTTATTTTTTCTCCTCTTCGACTCCCATCCTTAGAAATCCCAGACACAGATATTACTTCCCGCTCTTTACTGACGTCCTTTACTAGCATGCAATTCATTATTCAGCTTGTTTTGATTGTAATGGCGCTACCCCTTGTCTCCTCTGATAGCGGTTCTGGGGGTAGCAGTAGTTGCTCCAAGAGTGAATTCTGGTGCGTAATTTGGTGTGCTCATCTGGTGGATATGGGCTTATTCACTCTTCTAGGTACGAGGACACAAGCTGCTGTCTGCCCATAGGCGGGCCTCCTTCTAAACCGAGCCCTCCAAAGGGTACTGATTGTCCTCCATCGACACATTACTGGAGCAACGACAACGGATGTTGTGTTCCTTCCCAACCACCCAGCCAGAACCAACCGCCTCCTCAGTGTCCATCGGGCTGGGATTGGTGTCAGGAACCGCACGTTTGCCTGCCCCAACCCACCCCTACCAGCCCGCCATCATCGCATCCATCCGGCTATTACGGGGGTCATCGTAAACGCGATATTCACAAGTCTCGCTCAGCCTCCCTTTGTCCGTTTGGTTTGGATGCCTGTCCCATCCCTGGTTTGACCGGCACTGGCGACTATGAGTGCATTGATACGTCCAGTGACCTTGAGGCATGCGGTGGATGTCCCAGTCTGGGACAAGGTGAGGATTGCACTACGATTGTTGGGGCCTGGAACGTTGCTTGCGAAAATAAGCAATGCCAAGGTGGTGATCATTTCGTGGATCTTGTATATCCGTCTGATAGAAAATTACAGTTTATACTTGCGTCCCTGGTTACACTCGCTCTACCGATGGGAAGACGTGCATCGCCTTGTGAGAAATTTTATATACATCTTCGAACATTGAGGAACCATCCAATCTTTTATCCATACCTTCATTTGCTATGTATGTCTGGACCTTCTCTTGCTCTAGATAGAGTCAACAAGCCTCTCTCGGGACTTTTTCTGATTCTATTATTACCGTTCTTGTTTAGGACTTGTGGTTCTGCTATCAAGATTATCTTGATATTACTTATTGCGCGTTCAATTATTTCCACTGCTAGATTACGGTTAGATAATTGTCGCACCCACATTTTCGATCACATGATTTACCAAATACTGACTGAGGCGCGTAATGGGACATTTCTTGAACGCATCCAGGTTTCCCAGTTACTGACACGAGCATCTGCGTTTCCTTCCCTTTATCTTCATTGTTCTCTTCCGTCTAAGAGCTACCCGCAATATATCTTTTTTCTTGCCCGTACGCTTCAAAGCACATTCATCATACCTGCCCAAATTTTCCAGTTCGCGTTGCGCACCATTGTCTTTTTCTCTTCCCGCCTATCGTCATGCTGCCACTGCGGTCGTTACTGGCGATAATTTATCTAGCCTAAACGGTTGCGACGATCTGGTGGCGAATGTGACCTTGGCCGTGTTTGCATTTGGTCAGTGATCTCAACGACTATCAAACATGACTGTGTGACGAGCCTGATCAACATCAATAAGGTCCTTCTCAATCAACTCACTATCTAAGCTCCGGTGCGCACAGACAAGGGCCTCGGCAACTACGACCCCAATAATCAACTCGAGACTTTGCTCACGAATCTTATCGGTCCTGAACTATCCCCTGGTGAGTAATCTGGAAGTGCTCTTTGTAGTTCGGCGATATACGACTAACTCTGTGTTGCCCAGTCGTTGCAGATCTCAAATGCTATGTTGACTTGCTGCTCCATGACACCGAAGACTTGACCGATGGGCTCCTCAACGCCCTTAAGGTTCTTGGCATTTGTTTTTGATTTCGTCTTTCTTTTCGTTTTCAACTGTAGTAACATCTCAGAGGACCTTCATAGACACATCTGTATCGACTATTTCCATCCACTACTGTCGTTTTGTACTCATCTCAGTGAACTTCTCACTTATGCGATACAGTATTCTATCCATAGGTAAAGAAATACATATAAAAATTATGACCGTCAAGTGTGAAGGCTGAAGCGGCTATTCCTCTGCTAACCAATCTTCTGCAATTTGACCGATGGTAGGTAGATGGTACCTAACCAAACTATTGCGCGAAGCGTCACGGAACGCCCGGAAACTAAATGCGGGATTGAGACACCTTCCAGTTACAGATGCAGAGACGTACGCCATGTACAACTGCGCTCCTACGATTACCAGGGTTATAAGAGTTCGTGTCCATTGCGGAAATTGCAACAAAGACATCAGTATTCGGAGAACAATCAGTGGCGTAGTCAACAGAGCTGACTGGTAGGCTGGTGGAAGATGAGTATGGGTTCGATATCAACTCGTCGTGCTCACCATGAAACCGGACAAAGTCATTATGTGTCTCCACAATCAGAAGAAGAAAAGCTGTACATGGAATTAGCAAGGAATGAACATGCCATCCGAGTCGGCACTCGCCAGATATTGGTCCAAATAGATATGCCAATGCCGCCAATACGTCAACACGATTCCCGTACCGCGTTTCCCACTGGTTCTGCTGGTTTTCAACCCCTTCAGAGGAGCCTAAGCCACCTGATGCAACGGTACTAAACGATGGTACTCCTCCCGACTGGTATGAAGTCTCGGTTGGAAACCATGTCCTAGCTGCAGCACGCGAGGAAGAGATATAAGAAGGGTCATCGGGAGGAGGTGCCTGCTTGTGTGGTCAGTAACCAGAGGCAACAATTATGGACAGACACTCACATATGCCGCAAATGATGCAAACTTGGACGATTCGGAAGAACTCATGGTAGGGGGTGCTTAGTCAGCAGGCAGAATTGGCGCTTAGTGCAAGAGTAGACGTATACAGTAGCCTTTCCCAGATGAATCGATGACACTTGGTAGCAGAGAAAAATATTCCTCAAAATTGAAAAGGAGGGCTCAAAAAAGCAGGCGGGCCAGACAGAAGCCGCGTATGGCGGAGGTAAGTACTAGATGGTGGTTCACTTCCAGAAAGATTACGTGATCGGAACTTGCCGGACAACTGTACAGTCGGTCCAACTCAGCCACACTTTTTGTTCTGAACTACATCCATCGGCATCGGCCTCGACGTCTTCAAGAACACGGTGTGTATATATCTTACAAGCTTTGCTCTGCCGACGTCCTCAAATTTGCGTCCTCTAGAATCGGACATCGCGTCGTGAAAAATGGTGAGTGCAATGTTGCTTACAGGGTGTCGTACAACGGCTCTCCCCCATCGACTCGTGTGTATACATGCTCATCATGCTTGCTAGGCCGACAACTCTGCACCCGTCACACTGCGCACTCGCAAGTTCATCACAAACCGTCTCTTGGCCCGCCGCCAGTTCGTGCTGGACGTCCTACACCCCTCCCGACCTAATGTTCCCAAAAATGAGCTCAACGAGAAGCTAGCTGCTCTCTACAAAACGGAAAAGGAACGAGTCGTGACTTTTGGGTTCCGAACACACTTTGGTGGAGGTCGGAGCACTGGTTTTGCTCTCATTTACGATGATGAGGCGTCCCAAAAAAAGTTTGAGCCCAAGTACAGGCTAGTACGGGTGAGTAGGCTGGTTCTGTTTCGACTTGGACTGGTTTCTCAGTTACTTGTAGTCGGGATTGGAGACCAAGGTGGATAAGGCGTCTCGCAAGCTGCGGAAAGAGCGCAAGAACAGAGCGAAGAAGGTACGTGGCTCATTACTACCTATACCCTATGAATCGCTCATGTTTCTCCAGTTCCGTGGGACCAAGAAGTCCAAGGCTGCCGAGCCTCCCAAGAAGGGCAAATAGTCGTCTGGGATTTTCCCATTTGCTCTTTCTTTTCGTCTCGGAATGCATGGCTCGAAGCGAAGCGTCGGGTGCTCGTATGAATCCATTTGTATGCCCCATATCTTTAATCTCCATGAATCCATGCATATGACAGACGAAAGAAAAAAATATGATCTGATCTAAATTAGTAGTTCATACATGGGTATAAGTATGCTATTACATGTGTCTGAGTCAAGGTCAGCCATAGATATCATTAGAAAACGGATTTTTTATGAATGATTTCCGGATCTTCCTGGTATTCCTCAGCTGATACCCACATCTGTGAAGTGAAGCGAAGCGGTTGTCAATGTCAGCTGTTGTCTGAAAACCAGTCACCATACCTTTTTGAAGGTGCTTAGTCCAGCCAAAATAGATCCCCCAATCCAGGTTGAATACTTTCGCTCCGGAGGAGCATAGATTTTGATCTTGATATCCTTCAGAGAAAGTTTCTTCACTTCGTTTAGTAGACGATCGCCAAATCCTAGTATACACGTCAAGAGGAGCAAATCGAGGGAAAAGACCTGATGTAAACCTTTGCATAGTGTACTTCCCCCACTGAGCACAATGTTGGAGAAAAGACTCTTGCGCAAGTCCAAGTCAACTCGGTTGATTGAATCGACAACCACCTGGTGTACCCCCGCATATTCTTCACCAATCAATTCGGGATTGAACAATATTTCGGGGGCTCGGAAGCGTTCAGAGCCCAACTGAATGCACCCATAGGTTTGAGAATGCAAAGCAAACGTGCAAGTTTATACGCACTTGTATCACGTTTCCATCCGGTAGTTTGAACTCTTCAGTAAGCCCCATCGAATCTTTTTCTTCTTTCGCTGGAAGCAGGGCGATGTAACAACACTTTTCTTTGATCGTCCGTACTACTTCCCGCTCAGCTGTCGTATGAAGATGATGACCAGATTTTCGCAGAAGGAGCTGCAGATTATCTGTCACGTCTCTATACATGTATTTTGAGCCACAACCTTTCACAGAAGAGTTAAGTGAGACCGCACCGGCCAGCGATATCCACTCGTCGAATGGCATGATGCATCGAGAAGCCTTCGAACACAGGAACTGCATGTGTAACGCCATCTCCAGAGTCAAGAACGATGCCCGTTGTCCGCCCGGATGAATATCTAAGGGACATTCTGAGGAAAGAAGGAGGGCAACATATGAAAAAAGAAGGCATACAGCGAGAGGACAGCCTGGACGGAGGTGAATAGCGCTGGAACATTGAAGGTATCAAAGAGTGTTTGGGCTGCCATATCACGATTGGTCCGTGGATTCAGTGGCGCTTCGGTCAAAAGCACAGGATGCTATCAAACAAATAAGAAGAATCAATAATGGCAGAGAGTATACGCACCTCTTCACTTAGTGTGCCCAGTTCTTCGGTATATACCCACTGCCATATTCGTTCCATGTCATCCCAGTCTTTCACAATTCCATGTTCCATGGGGTATTTTATTTTGAGCAACCCACGAAGCTCTTGAGCACGGCGCCCAATGAACGTCTCGCCTTCGAGACTGCCGGCCATGACGCGTACGTGTTTTGGCCGGCCAACACTGCAACAGATGTTTGAACCGTTGGAGAATGGTACTTGGAGATAAGCCTAACCGTGGAGACGCACAAGGACGGGAAGAAGCATTTTGGATGGTCTTGGCCAGCAAATCCGGCTTTTATGGTGCCAGAGCCCTAGAAAGAGAGTATTAGATGGATAGGAACTGCAAGGCGAGATGGACATCATACATTGTCGATAACGACTGGCTGATTTGTGAGGACGTCGTCGAATTCTGCAGGCATGCTGGTGGAAACAAGTGAAAAAGGGTGCAAGCGCGTCGGTTGATGCCCAAATTGGGCGCGACATGGCTTTGCCTCTCACTCTGCTCACTCTACTTTTTCTGTCATGTTTTGTGAGCAAGTGCTCTTTCTGAGCTTCCATTATCTTACAAGGGTATTTCAGGGCTCCGTTAGCGCTATTCTCAATAAATGGGAGGCTACCAGTTTTTGCAAATGTGCGTCAGGATAATAGTCTGTGTACGACACTCGTCGAGCGGTGTCTACAGGCATCTGCTTCCAGTCAAACTATTCGATTCTCCATCTGAATTTCCCGGACAATCCGTCGCAGCCCTGTCTATCGTGTACGAAACAGTGGTGTCTGAACCAGAATCTGCCTATCTGTGCTGGTGCTTCCCTGGGAGACACTGATCCGGACACGGCGACAGGAAAAGAAGGTGACGTTGAAGCGAGATGTTTTCGTACGCAGGGTAGCCTTCTCAGCAGCAATGCTTGCCACTGACCGCTATTCGCAGAGCGTGATTCACCACGAGACCAGCTGGTGGTGACACTGTTCCTGTTGACGGTCTTTGGACTTTTGCTTGGTGCAGGGATAAAGAGCCGTATGATTAAGGCTGGCATCAATACTAGTGTCCCGTGGAATGCAAGCCGGAGGTGGTGGGAGGTTAGATTCCCGGCTTCTGCTACTGAAATTCGTGCGACTGACGGCATTGAATTGTAGGACTGGACTCCTCGACGGCAGTTCCAAGAGCTGGGACTTTCTCGCTTGGGACGGTCACGATATCAGGGCGAGGAATACATTCGAGTGAATGAGGGCGATAATTAGATATTACTTAGTAGTACTTAGTAGTAGATTGCCAAGGACATTCTTACCTCTGTACCACGATGGGCTCAATCTGCTCAAAGTCAGGCGCTCATTCCGGTGGGCACACAGTACTGGGTTCTGCCTCTACTACTCCCGCGTCAGCTTCTCGACCACAAAATCAAAGTGAAGCCCGTGCAGCTCGTGCAGAGGCTGCGGAACAGAGACTGAAAGCTGTCAGTCAATCCTTTCCCTTTCCCCTTTCCTGTTCTCATTCCCATGCATACCAGGCTCAAGCTAGAGGCACCCATTCTTCGAATCCAAACAAAGGGAAGCTTGCCTCACAGGCTGCGAAGCCGGTCAAGTTTACTCCCGAAGGGAGGCAGGAAGACAGACTCGTGGTACGTCCTTGCTACTTCGCTCGTTAGCTGGTCGTTGACGGAATACAATACTGACAGTGGGATTGATGATCGCCAGGAGAGTTCCATGATGCCCCTCTGAACATTTGATTACTATTTATTTATTCTACGAGGAGAATTGTGAAAGGAATATGCCATCTGTTAATTTCAGTAACAGCCGCAGGCAATTCAAGTTGCCGGTAATCAGAATGTCTTCTGGGAACTACCATGACAAGATTCTCTGGAAAAGACCGCAGCATTCCGACTCGTTTATCTCTCCTGGTTCCTTCCTTTCTTCATTGAGAAAGAACCGTAAGACCCTCTTCAAAATCCTTCTCGTACTCAAAATCACAAGTTCCCCCAGCGAATTTTCGTCCTTATACCTACTGGCACCTCGTATCACTCTCACTTTCTGTCACACAACACCTTGCAATGATCTTCATATTTATTTCCGTCTTTGTGCGATTAAAGGAACGTACCTTGGACCCGAGGCTCCTTGTTTGGATCGCTTCTACATGTTTCATCCTGGGTTATGTTACCTGGCAAGTCCTCGACTGCCTCTGCAAAAGGCCGAGACAGGGGCATGCCGACCGTTCGTTTAACACCCGCTTGAACCGTTTATCCAGTCCCTGACGACAGATGTTACAGGTGCTAAGAATGTAAAGTCATCAATCCTGATATTCCTCTCGTTGATGTCCTTGTCGCCCGTGCTGAGGACCCTAACGGCCGCCACGTCTTCCGACTCGATATGGGCACTATCTGCCTCACTCTTCATGCTCAATGCCGTTCTAGCTGATTACAGCAGTTCAGTCACTCTCTACGGACCGGTAAACGAGAGGTACCACGCTGTCCATCCTCTTATCGAACTTTATTGATCCAAAATTTCCCCAGGTTGACATCGGTGCTGTCCATGAATGCTGCGATATCCTCATCCGTCGTACTGGCCTCACGTTTGCCGGATGATCCTGCTGTGTTTGCGTTGATTCTTTTCTCGGTTCAGGCATTTGCCTTGTTTCCGATTTTACGTCGCCGTCTCCAGGTATTCTCCATTCTTGGTGAAGGTTTTAGACCCTCTGTCTCATATGTCTGTTAACAGACATGTACTGTTGTTTTTCGCGCGGTCTTCACATGGTGTTTATCACTAGCGGCAATCATCTTGACGATGCCATTATCCCAAAGTGTCGCTTGGCTGTACACCGTGGTGCTGTCTTTTGTTTCTTTAGTGGCTCCCGCAGTACTAGTCTGGGCGCAAAAATATAAAAAGTCGAATTTCTTTTTATTTTTCTCTGCATCGGCGACGGCGCTAATCATCCCGGTTGTTTAGTGAAATCAGAGGATCATGGGATGTTGCCGTTCCCCGAGTCAACGAGAGCTAGATCTAGTGTCTAGCTCTCAGAGGGTGTCGTAATTTTTGCAGCGCGGCCAATGCAGCTTCCGCTTACCAAGGGTGTGTCGTCTAGGAGGTCTTCACGTCACTTTTTTCATCAGAAGGCTCGGTGAATGAGGGCGCTGTCGCTCGTGGTCGGCGCATGCGTTACCTCGTACCGTCAATACCGGTCAAATTCATAGCCAATCGCTGCGTCGCTGTGTTATACCCATTTCTCATCTCTTACGGAACTAACCGCATATGTCCTTTTGCAAGAAATTGGCCAGAAGGAGATCAGAATCCCTCCTTTTTATTTCATATATCTCGAGTTCCCCGCCAATCCCAATTCTCCTCCACGTTCCTGTTCCCTTATTTTGTCTTTTGTTCCGCGGATCGTGCAATCAGAATGTCGACCCTGACCTCGCCATGAACATCGTGGCGAGTGGAAATTTTGATTAAATGAATTCGGCTTGGACAGCGTCGTCAAAGAGTGTCAATAATTCGGCGGTCCCGCCAGAAGATGACCGGTCGCGAAGGCAAGAGCAGAGAATGTTATCCGAATGTCTAGTTATTCAAGATCAAAGAAAAAGCTATATGTACAAAACAGAACAGGCCAAGACCGTATGTTACATTTATTCACAATACATGTATAAAACAGAGCTTCGACGAGATATATAAGTGCGGTGGATGGATGAGTGAGACGTCTACAGTGTCGGTTCAAGATTATAAAGAACGGTGAATATCAATACACACAAGTCCCTCCGTGAAACATACCGGTCATGATGGTCGTGAATCCAAGTCAAGGTCATCACTAAGCCGTGGCCGTTTGGAAGGCGTCGGAGCACCTATTCCAAGGCCACGAGCCTCAAGAACGTCAATGGCGACTTTGGCGGCCCCGTCAGATGGTTTTTTGGTACGTGTACGTGTTTTACGCAGCGCACCAAAGGCCTGCGCCTTGATAACAGCGAGAGTTCCTGATAGCTGTTGTGCCCCACCTGGCGATGGGGAACGAGAACTCCGTGGCAGGGGGACACTCCGACGCGAGCGCAGCCGGCTTGAGGGATAGGAAGCAGAGTCCCCGTCACTTCCTTCATGTGGGGAGCCGTTGTCGCTGGAAGAAAGAGGGGGAAGTATGGGAAGGAGTGGGCGGTCAGCACCGGAATGTGATCGTTTTGTCCCCAGCCTGTAGCGGACGGCATCACTGGCTGGACCAGAAAGAGAGATATCAGCTGTGCCTCCATGCAACATGACTTCACCTTGCCGGCGATAATCAAAGTTTGCACGATCGGACGAGGCGCCATTTTCCGGAAAGTTGAACTGAAACGGGGGGTTCAAAGTTGCAGAAGATGATGAAGGAGGGGTCGAACTGGATGGTGAAATGGAACGGCTGGCGGGAAAAACATAAGGATTCGTTTCAAGAGTGTTCAAGGGAGCCTTTTGGTCCTCAACAGGGTACCGCTCGACATAGGACATTTCGGAAGACGTGACTGTGGGCGATCCAACAAAGTGGGGTGAACCTGATGAGTGACTAGTATTCGGCGGTAGCCCTTGTTCTCCTGGCGAAGTTTGACCCATACTGGACCAAGAACCGTCGCGAGGAGAAGACGTGACTGGATTAAAATAGGAATTATACTTTGGAACGCGTGAAGACAGCGGCTGGGGACCGTCCGGAGACACTTGGTTCTCGACGTAGGCAAGGGCTGGTGGATTGGGTGCGGTATACTGACTGCCGCACATCGTAGGATCCTCACCGGGACGATAGGACATGTTGTCTGAGCCATAATGCGAGAGCTGTGAAGAACCCAAATGACCGTTGATAGCAGGATGTGGGTAGGACAGTGGCGGCGGCGGTGGGGGGTCATCAGCATCGGGACCGTGACCCGATTTGCGAGGCCACATTGCTCGCCAGAGATTTTCGCGTTCGCGAAAAGCGTGTCGTAGACGGGCATTATCTTGTCGTAGCTCCAGGGCCTCAGCACGGGCCTCACGACATGAATCCTGAAGCTGCAACACGACGGACTCGAGGTTTGTGACTGCCGGACTGTCAGAAGAAGGGAAAAAAAAAAGAGAAAAAAGAATAGGACAGACCTGTTTCCTCGAGGGTGGATATGTAGTTTGCCCTGCGAGCTCTAAAGGCAGCCTGAGCATCTGCATTTTTCTTTTTCCTGAGGGCTACGTCTGACATGCGAGCAGAAGAAAAGTTGAATTGGTGGCTGGGGGTATGAGGGGGAGAGGCGAGCCTGGGCATTTACTGGAGCAGAGGCGGCCTTGAGGATTAAAATGGCATGGAAAAAGAATTCGAATCTTGGGCACGAGGGAGGCAAAGAGAGTCCGCGGCCCTTAAAAGTAGTCCGACTCGAGTCCGACCAAGTTAGCCGATGACTTGTACAATTACAGAAACACCGCCTAATCCTACTGGGATCGTCTGCTATTTCGCCCTACAGAAGCTTGTATTGCCTCGCGCCATCCTTTCCTTTTACCTTCCACAGAATGGCGACTATGCCCTTCTACCCATGCTATCGCCATTTATTCCCCGTTCGCCTTTTAATTTTCAAGTCACCGTGCCAGATGCAGATTCATTCGTCGGCCATGGAGATCTCTGCGTTCTCTTCTCCTTCCGCATCCTCGCCTTCCAGGTCAATGACCTCCATCATCATCCTGTTCCCGCCAATAACGCATGCAACTCTTCGTCCTTTCCTTCCGTTCACCGCAAGAGCCACCTCCCCTGCCTGACATCCAGCCAATCGACGGCACCGCTTGATCGGAATCCGTACCGATTCCATCTGCAACGAGGCCAGAGAAAATCAGATTCCCCCCCCCGGGAATGTGCTGTGCCCTTACCTGACCCGTCCTCCACCGCGAGACTACATCATCCATTAAATTTTCACGCAGATGCATTCTTACGTACTCTCCATCACACAGCAGCCCTTGATACCCCAAATCATTGTAACCAACAGTTGCGATAAACGTTCCCCCTGAAGTTTTCGATCAAGATCACTATGAATGCGGACGCAAACAAGCCTAAGCTTACCGTCTTCGCCCCGAAGCCGGTAAACAATTACGACATATTCATCGTCAAAAAATTCCGCTTCCAGCACCTCCAATTCTTCCTTGGAACCGTCTTCGTTCTCGATGCAGCACTCGAGAAGGCACACCTCCACCACCCCATCCGGTGCCTTCTCGCTACCATACTCGACTCGTGCCAAACATACTGTGCCATGGTCAGTATCTAATCGGAAAGTGTCGCGCGGTATCATAATTTAACTCACAAAAAGTTGGACCTTCCGCGCTTAGTGAAGGTATCACCAAATACTGCAGGAGGTGTGCGTTCTGCGATGTATATCTGAATCAGTTTGGACACAGGAACCGGCACGGAGCTAATAATCACCCCATTATTGTCCTCTATTGACGTCCGCTCCCGGATTTTCAGATTCGCCCGTGTGTTTACCACCCGCTCATCGAATGCCTTAGCGCCGACTGTAATTCGGGCCGAGCGTCCTGTGGCTCCCGCAGCCCTTAAGAACACACGTTGGCACTGTGAAACCAACTCTTGAATTAACGAGACTATGTTCCGGTCAATATGGTTCAGATTCCTTTGCTTAACATTCTGTGACTTCCCATCAGTAATATTAACCGGTGAACAATACAGTACATACAGGTCGCCATGCCATTTGCTTCGTATTATCTAACAGGTCCTGTGTACGTTTGAGAACATCCGACAGAGACGAATCAGACCCATTATTGATCCCCAGGTCTCGCGGACTGAAATGGGGAACGGGTCCCATGAACCATTTGTCGATAGGGCTCACGACGAGGCCAGACATGAAATATTTGTTCACCTCCAAAATATCGTGACGAATGACTGGAGAAAGAACATCATTGTTCGGGTTTGCACTCAGAATTTCTGGCCGAGGTGAGACAGATGAACGAAATATGAATGTCGATAACGTTACCAAAACGAAGCCATGACATGAATTCTCTGAAACGAGTAAATTCACGACGAGCAGCAGCTGCAAGCCAGGCAGCCAGAATGATCGCGCGATTGCAATGCTCAATGCAGGTAGCGAGGTCGTCGCTCTGCAGTTCAAACAAGGCGTATTCAGGTCTGTCAAACACAAAGATAGTAAGTCATGGGACAAATTAATTCTGAAAGTTGCTCACAACTTCGACCAGCCTTGCACCTCCTCCAGGACGAGGTGAATCCGCTGACATGCAGGAGCGAGACGTTTCTCCGAAAAGTCGCGCAACATCATAAGAGATTCCACGACTGTACCTTCCCATCTATGCAAGCCCTGTACGCAGGTCAACATGCGTCAAAACACGATAGCAGCACAACTTGCCCTTTCACTCATTGACTCGCCATTGCTTCCAAGATAATCGGCGAGTTGATCGGACGCACGGCCGGTCAGAAGAAGAGTAGTAATATCCAGAATAGGATCATAATCGCTCACTGCAGCCGCTCTCAATGCGTGCTCAACAAAACATCCAAGCACACACATACCGACGAAGACCTGCCGCCTCGCTTTCAACCCCTGGATCCATTTAGGCCCCATATCTCTTGCGGCCTGAACGGTGTCGGATCCAAACCATGAGACGTACATTTCTTTAACAATACGCATGATATACCAAGATAGCTGTCTAACGATGCTTGATAACTTTGCCATATCGCGAACCTGTCGTTGTTGCAACAAAGGTACATCGATCGTCACCGCTTCCAGAGCCGTCGAAGTGAGGAGAGGGGAAGTTTGGCAGGGATATGCATAGAAAGTTGGCCGTTTGGGATGTTTGTACAGTGACGATATGCTTAGGCTGCCACCCACATTCGCCGCGCCAAGTGGATAGCTTCCATCAAGGAAGCAATGCATGCGGCCGGTACCATCAACAGCCACGAGGATGCTGTTCACATTGGCATCGTCAGCGTCGTCGGCCACTTCTCCACCTGCAGAATCTGCGTGAAGGACGGGATTAGCTGAGCCCATAGAAGCCGACATCAGATCGAGCTTTAACGTTGGCCAAGCTTTGATAACTTTGGGGATGTCTGTTTGAGACCCCACGCCAGTCTGAGAGCCTTGGAAAGCGAAGAGATCAATTGCGCTGAGGCGGAGCTAACATGATGAACAAGACCTCCTGTGAACTTGATAGTTGACACACCTGGCCTTCGGAGTATCGTCTTGAATATTATCGAGTAGCGGCAGTGCTTGAAGGAGGGAACGCGCAGACCCTGTCTTGAGCAATGTTCACTTACAGTTCTAGAATAAACATAGTCATATCATACCACAATGTCGTCTCTTTGGAAAATATCTGGTATCGAACTGTTCCTGACAGGTTTTTCTTGGCTGTGCCACCACACGCTGCTGATGGACATTGGCCCGCCCGAAGGACGTATGGACAAGATACCCTCTACACGTCCGTCTTGAAGGGAGTGTATCTTCAGGTAATGGGCATGCGTGACAGCAATACTCCTCCCTATAACGAGATGAAGTACACAAGGCAAGCACGAGTAACATAGTGCCTACCGTCCGGACTCCAAGCCACGTCAATGATATTATCGCTGGGATCAACTTCCCAGACCTTGATACCATTGTTTTTGTACAGGTTGAGTCCCTCTGAAAGACCTACCTGGGTCACCAGGAGGACTAAATCTTTGTCCGGGCAGCAGGCAGATGCCAATAGGCGGCATGGCGACGACAGATGCGCAAGCGACAGGGATGCGAATGCATTCGTCTGCATGTTCCAAGGTCACCAAAGGATAAGGCCGCTGCAGTGATGTTATCGGGGAACAGACGAAGGTCAAGGAGAATCATCTCTCGAAGCAGAAAAACGCGTCTGTCACACTCCCCGCACGACCAGTCACATTGTGACTAACGTGACATTCAGTGTACTTGTCAGAAAGGGTACAAAAAAACTATTTCCCTTTACGCTTCGACCCTTTCCTTCCCGTCCCCACCGACACACCTTTCTTCGACCTTGCGCCCTCATGCGCCCTCTGACTCAGATCATTATCAAAAGCTCCAGCGGATCGTGGGGCCTTTTTCGGAGTCTTCCTGTCCTTAGCCTTCGATGCCTTCGACGGACGTCGTTCTGGAACCCCAATTTTAGCTGGTCGCGCCGATTTCTTTGCTGATCGGATGGCCGCTTGCAGCGGGCGGCTGTCTCCCATCTCAGCATCATCTTCCATTGCTAATTTCCGCCTCTTTGCTTTCCTTGACAGCCCAGAGAACTTGCTCCGTTTGGGCTACGTTAACAAGGGTTAGCTTCAATATTTAGATTACACGAGGTTGCCCACCTTGTCCTGTTTATCTTTAGCAGTTTCCGCCGGCTTGGTTCGACCCCCAGAAATAAAACCCGCTTCGTATTGCTGCTTGCTGATGGCTGAGGTTAAGGATATAAGCGCAAGACCTAGAAACTATTAGAATGCCTAAATTACCTCCCATATGCTGTTTTTCCTTGTTCGTCTGGAACCACGTTCTGGCTGGCCGCGAGAATATCTCTGCTTCATGCTCAATTATGTTTTGACCCTTCTTCAGTTCCATCTGGGCTTGCTGGAACTACAAGGAGCTCAGAAATGCAATGCTATGCGATCAAATCGACATACCTGCTTCTCCTCCTTTTCCTCTCGCATTACTTCCGCGACTTCCGCCTTGATGCTCTCCAATTTTTCCGCCCACTTGCCCACGGCTTCTGGTGGAACGACTCTGTGACGAACTTGATCGGCACCCGCCCCATGCTTGATTGCGGCCTTGAGCATTTTGCGATCTGCTTCACCTACCAGCGTTACAGACCTAGAATTTTCTGGATCAGAAGAGAATCCGGCAAGTAGCCGAGGACCAAGACATACCGTCCCTTCTTTCCCGCGCGAGCTGTTCTACCAACCCGATGTAGGTATTGGGCTAATTGACCGGGCATATCATAGTTGATCACAGTCTCTATCCCCTTGATATCCAAACCACGAGAAGCAAGGTCCGTGGCCATCAAAAAGTCGGCGGCGCCATCACGGAACTGTTGCAAAGCTTTCAGTCGCTGTACTTGGCGTTAGAAAAGTCCGTTCACTCGAGAAAGTCAAGACCGACCTGCTCTTGGCTAAGGTCTCCGTGAAGCTCTTCACATTTCATACCAAGCAGAGAAAAAACAATTCGTAACTGATGCGCAAGCTTCTTGCTACGCAGGAAGATAATAGTTTTCTCGCGGAACGTTCGCTTGCATAGCGTGACCAGTAAAGCGGAACGTTCGCTCTCTTTACCGGCCCGTACTCGGACGAACTCTTGCACTAGGTTTTTCGAGGTACCTCGCCGGGGATCTACGAATAATCGTACTGGTTTATGCAACGACATCTTAACCAGTTCATCTACTGAGTCTGTCATGGTTGCAGAAAATAGCATCGTTTGTCGAGAGGTTGGGCAGGACTTGATAATCTCCGAAAGTTCGTCGGCAAATCCGTCGGAGAGCATGCGATCGGCTTCATCCAAAACTAGAATGTCTAGATTGTCCAGATTGAAAGAAGGAGAATTGCGTATATGGTCAATAAGACGACCGGGAGTAGCAATAACAACGTCTGGACGGTTGCGTAAAGCGGCCTCTTGTGTTTTGAGAGAGAGTCCACCTATTTCGTTTCGTCAGGCATTGGAGAGATTTTGAGGACAAAGATCTACGAACCTACGATTAAACAAAGCTGTATGTCTGTGTGAGTCGCGAGTTTGGTGCCTACGTCATAACATTGTACCGCCAGTTCTCGAGTGGGAACAAGTACCAAGCACCTAGTGGCCGCAGCTTTTTTACCCTTCTCCCGGTAAAGCAGCCGCTCCAACATTGGAATTGTGAACGCGGCTGTTTTTCCGGAACCGGTTACTGCTCCTCCGACAATGTCTTTTCCTAACAGAGCCACAGGGATGGCTACAGCCTGGATGGGAGTTGGCTTCTGGAATCCTATTGTCGTTAAGGCTTTCACAAGGGGCCGGGAAAGATTCATGGTAAGGAATGAGGAATGTTCTTCCGAAGAAGGGACGGTTTCCGAATCAAAGAAAGCCGCTTTTCGTGCTTTCTCTGCTGCAGTTTCGACTTCAGAATCATCGGAAGACGACGAATCCGAGAGATTGCCATCGTCTTCATGTTCGGAAGTTTGAGAGTCGCATTCGTCCACTTCGTCGTCAGAAGTCGCCAAAGGATCATCCTCATCCTCGTCTTCTTCGTCCAGGCCAGTAGGTTCGTCCTCTTCATCATCATCTCCATGATCTCCATGGATAGCATCGGTTTCTTTGTCGGAAAACTCTTCCTCTATCGACCGTTTTCTTTTATTAGAGAGTCGCCGACGTTGAATAATATCGTCTACAGATATGGGTTCCTGGGAAAACAGATGAATACAAGTTTGAGCAAAGCGAAAAGAAGGAGCGTACTGGTCGAGTACCTTTTCTGACGTAGTCGTGGGCGGTGACCGTGGAGACATCCAAAAAATCTGTATAAGGATCTCCAGACAAATCGAAAGTAAAGTCGGGATTCAACGTCTCGTCTTTGACGGAATTGATAGTCAAATCTGGTGAGTGTTCCACATCAGAGTCTATGGTCATAACATAGTCGGCCATCTCGGAGGTTGTCAGTTCCGTTCAAAGAGTTTTTGGAAGAGGACAACTTGATCTTAATCAGGGAATCTAAGCGAGTTTTTTTGCTGTCACGTGGCTTTTAATCTCAGGAGCAATAATTGTTGAATCAATGCAAGACTCGTATACAGCAGAAAAATCAGCAACCGACAACTATATGCATGGTATCCTAAAAGACATGATATGAACAAGTATAAACATAACAGGGCATGACAGGGCGTAAGCAACAAGTTCTGCTTGCAGTAGATGAAGATGGCGGAGAAAGGATCACCAGAATAGAAGTCGTCGCAAGATAGCTACATCCTTCGGCTGTTGCGGAGGATCACGCAATGGACGAGGCGGGGCAGGTCGGTATTCATCAAAGTCCACATCGGGAGGCGCTATACGAGACTTCTGCATCTGTTCGTCGCTGTTTCGTAAGTAAATCGCACGACTAGCATGAGAAGACGAACCTCTTCATCCATCAAGTTATGACACTGAAGCATTTGCGTTATATTCGGTCTCTCAACGAAGTTGTAGTCCATTGTCGATAAACACTGTGCTTGGCATTGCGTGGTATTGGTTATGAATCTACCCATCATATTGAATTTACCCCAATGAACCTTGGTAGCATCATCAGAATGGAAGTCATCGTTCCCTTCGTGAGAGCGAATGAGATCCGATATGTGGACTTCCCTAGAGGACGATGAGGGAAGGCAGACACCGAATTCTGTGAAATGTACGTACAAAGCGGGTATACATGCACCCTTGGTATTTCTCAAGGCAAGCCGGTAAGCACGATGTGAACGAATGTGCTGTAAAAGGACGTCCCACGACTGCAAGTTCTTAGCGTGATCAGGCGCTTTCGTTTTGAATTGTTCCATCGTCTGATCGCCTGGGAAAGTTGCATTGTTGATTCCTGCAACAAAGGCTCGCAATGCAGAGTAATTGTTGAGGGTGCGAAGCTTCTGAGCGACATCAACAAATTTCTCAATTTGTTTGGCACGCGCTCTGGCTTTATCATGGCAAAGAATCAAGGATACCACCCTGTAAGTGTGATTAGACCGGCCGTTAGAACAGCTTATACGTTAACGAACCAGTCCGCGAGGTGATTAGAGACGCTATTAAAACGAGCAATGGCATCAACTTCTGGGTCCTTCTTCCCAGAGACGAATGTGTAATTCAACCAATGGCGGGGCTTATATCAAGATCGAATGAGTAAGCAATAAGAATGTATGACAAGAAACATACCCGTATTTGAAGGAATAACTTGCTTTCCAACCGTGTAATTTCTTGGGCAATCTCTTCTGGATCAGTCGCATTGACTTCTTGAGCAACGCGTTGAAGTATCTTTAACTGCTCCTTTGGTGTGGGGTCGTCATTGACATGGCTATTCTGGGGAAGGAGGGCTTTCGCAGACAAAGGTAGACTGCCTTTGCGCTCCCGGAATCCTGTCGCAGGCTTTGCTTTCACCGTAGAGGAAGACGCATTCAAATAGGACAATGAATCCGCTTCCGATTTGGATGCACCGTCATCGTCATCTTCCAGAAGGCTGTAAGAGTCATCACTTTCATCCGCTGGATCCTCGACTTTGAGGGCCCATGCGGCATCTAAATCGACGAGATTTGGCAATACCTCGAGGAACGGCAGGAAATCAGATCCATAGTGAAGGAGATAGGTCTTGGAGATGATGGATTTGATGAGCGCTGAAAGGGCCCCGGCAGTACCCCGAACGGCGAAGTCATAGGGATAATCTCGAATCCAAAGCTCAAGAAGGTGGCAGATTCTGTGATCAATCATGATCAGTACGCTACCATCGTCAAGGGATACACAAAATATATACCTCATCTGGGCGTAACATGCAAACATGGGATCACCAGACGGACTGTCTAGCTGTCGCATACGTTTTTGCATCGCCAACAAAAGGCTCCTAGGACTTGCGAAGCGCCGATAGGTAAGCAGGAAATGTGTGATATACGTAGGGTCTGTGCGAAATGCACTCAGTTTGAGCGCTGCAAGAAAATTGACTAGCTCACCATCTCCGCTGACGCCAAGGAATAGAAGCTTATCCAGAAGTTCATCAAGAGTGGCCCACTGAGCCGGACGCCTGCGTTAGGTGAAGATGTTAGTTTAGATGGAGTTTTGGGTAATATTTAGTGAGAGACTGACGAGTCCTTGAGTTTGCTTGCTTTCTTTTCCTCAGGAACTTCCTTAGGCACATCTGCAGAAACCACACGCCCGTCCAATAAATCAACACTAGCATTATTCTCCTGCTGGCCGGCAATTGATAGATTTGAATTTTCAGTGTCATTGATGCCACGTAAATCCTGCGAATTGAATTTCTCCTGTTCCGATAAGAGATCACCCGTCGACCGCGCTCGCACGGGGGGATTTGGCGTTGCTGTGCGAGACGCCGGGATAGAAGGCAGCGGCGCAGATGGGTGTTGGGGTTGGGGGATATGTGTCGCAGGTGCTTGAACAGAATTGTGCGTGGATGTGGATGAAGCCACGGTAGGGGTCCTCGATGATTCCCACTTCTCCCATGGAGGCAGTATGAGAATATCTGGGGAAGCAGGATTTCGATAGTCCTCAAATTCGCTTCTCGAAGACCCTGCACGTCCTACGATCAGTCAAGGCATGAGCTTGATAACAATAAAACGGACATACGTCGATCGCGGAGGACTGCCTTTAAGAGCCAGTCAAATGACCGTCGCATCTTCTCTTTTCCACTATCGTCGGCATTATGAACTTCAACGAGGCCAACATCATACTGCTGGAGGATATCCAGAGCTGCCTGCGGGTCGATGCGGCGTGATAAATCCGACTTGCATGCCAACACAACGGTCGGAAGCTGTAGTGCGCGGTATCCACCTACGGAGCTTCACTATCAAGATAGACACGAGAGAAAAAATAGACTGGCCACCCACGAAGAAGGGCCTCCACAGGCCTGAACGATTGCTCATCTGAAGCATCGTAACATATCAACACACCATCAACTCGTGGAGCCTCGGGTAGAAAGTTGACTGTAGATACAGATGTATCCGGTATGGACAGAGGAATATCGACCTCAATTATGTTCAAGGGGCACTCCCGGGTGTTGTCAGCCTGGGGAAGCTTTCCTACTCGGCGAGTATCTATAGTATGTCAAGAGATGCAAGAGGCAAAGCAGATGGTTGCACTCACATCGAGACGCGTGTTGTGATCCTAGAAGAGGCGCACTGGGATCCGAGAGACCATAACCTCTGAGACCTTTGCGAATGACCATGGACTTGCCACACCCCGCCACTCCTACCACAACCAGAGTCACAGCGAGATTCTGGTTGACAGTTTCGGGCTACACGGTATCAGTCATGTGAGGGCTTCTGAGTACGACAGAGAACATACTGGGGACATGGTTGTATTTATTACCATACGTCGATTGGAGCTTGGGGTATAGACTCCCAAGGAACCACTCCGTGTTCTGCCCACGGGTGACGCCACTGGGATGCCTCGCCTGGGCACGGACTGCAAAGAAGATGCCGATTGCATACGATGCACGCCCTCCTGCGTGCTAGAACTAGGGGAAGTGGTCATGATGCTACTCATGCTAGAAGTCGTGCTCAGGGTGGGCGTGCGAGATGGAAGAGGAAGCTCGCCACCGCTGACAAACGTCTTGCCCTTGTCATGGCCTTTCAATGAACCAAGTTTGTAACCGTCAGTGGGACTGTTGAGAACATCGGAGCGCTCGATATCAGATTCACCGACAACAGATTCGTGGTCATCGCCAACGGTGCTGATGCTGGTGCCTCGGTTGCGGCCCAAGAGACGTCTGTCTCGATCCAGCTTCTTGGTTACATCAAAAACAAAGCCCTTAGGGGGATCCAGAGAGGAACCGGTGTGGCCGCAGTTGGGTCTGGTGGTTATGGACGAATGATCGCGTCCGTAGTGAACAAACGAGTCGACAGATATGGATTTGCGAAGACTGGGAGGCAAGGGAAGCAGCGACGCAGCAGCAGGTTGTGGTTCTACGAAGTCAACGGGGATTTGAGATGGCGAGTTTAAGGCGGTGGAAAACGAGTCCCTGGATCGCTGAGAAGGAGCTGGCGACTGGGCTGCGGCGACATGGTCGGAATTATCTGAATGGCTGGAGGTCGTGCACGACGACGACGGGCCATCGGGAATCATGAGGGCTGGAAGAGATGTCGGCGAGAATAGACCTTGCTCTGCTTGTGGTCTAGCCATCGTCTAACCCCGTCAAGGGAAGGTGCCGCGGCGTAATTGCTGGAAGAAGGACGAAGAGGAAGAAGAAAGAAAGAAAGAAGAAAGCACGGAAAATGTCGAGGTCGCAGTGTCGCAGGAAAAGGATGCAAGTGGGAAGATGACAGGGATGAGTCTCGACTATACACTGCTAGTTTGATCTCATATAATACCCCGTTCCGTGTCACATCCGTAACTCTTGACTTCCATCATCGATGGCCCCCAAGGCCCCGACCGTCCTGCTCACTGTGCGTTCTCCCTTCAATGCTCTCGTAGCACGGTGCTCAGCTCATCTAGAACGACGACGGCCCCCCAAATGCTCGCGAATCACCCTATGTTTTTGGTCTATACCAACATCTCACCCAGACGCTAGGTACGACATCAAACACCGGTCCAAGTAAATATAATCATTCATCGTTTCTTATATCAGGATGGAACGTCAAGGTTGTTTTGCCTAGCTCGCAAAAGTCGTGGATCGGTTAGTCCGGCAGAATATATCTCAATATGCCTTTGACTGTCCTGCAAGGCAAGGCATACCACATCAATGAGGTAACGAAGGGCACCTATTTCTATCCCAAGGCTCTTGGTCTGTGCCTTACTTCTACGACGTATCTCTCTATGGACTGCTTCCTACAGACGGTGCTGGGGAAGTGTCCGTGACCTCTCGGCCTCTGAAAGACGGCGAAATAGTCAGTCTCTGTACCGTCTTTGTCCTGGCAACAGCCTGACCTTTATCAGGCAGAATGGATTCTCCTTGACGGTGTATGAAGCAGTTCTTCATTTATGATCTCACGGACACTCAGAGCTCCGCAGACCCCAGCTACCTGCGCGAACGTCGCCTTGCACAATCTCTTCCCCGGGCAGATCGATCTTGTTGTATGGGCTTCGCCACCCTCCGCTACCATTCCATGAACTCTCTTTCTGTTATCATAGGTATCTGGACCTAATCTAGGAAGGAATTCGTCGTGTAAGCACACATCCCGTTCTGATGGCTGATTTCTCTGAGACTCTACATAAGCCGCATTTGCTCTTTCTTCGGGTACCATTGGCGCCGCACTGTCTGCATCACTGTCCCAAACGCGATCAATTGCCATATCGTACGGAACCGTTCTTCATCCGACGCCAACCACCTTTTTCGAGCCTGCCCACATACTTGGCATAAGAATCATCAATTATCTCTGGGGTAATTGGGGGAAGGATGAAGGAGGTCTTAGAGAGGATGAAGTGGATCTCTACAATGTCAACATTCCCCTTATACAAGGGCTTTTGACAGAGGAAAGCCTGAAGATTTGTTGGACAACGATGTGGAGAAAGCCTTACGGCAGACTTTTCAAGCGACTGGAAACCTCGGATCTCGTGAAGGATTCGAGTTCCGCCGCCGGCCCAGATGCACCAGCTATAAGTGGGGATTCCGGAGTTAATCGGCCAAGCGGATTACTGTTCAGATGGTCACCGAATATGGAGGGTTTAATTCGACCTCCAGAGTCATCTCTACCCGTCGGATCTGATGGATGGGCAATACACAAGGGCTGGGTGAGTGTCACTCCGCTGTGTGCTACTTTTGCAGAGCCTCCACATCCGGAAGTGCAGGACATAGAAGAAAAGGTCTGGAAAATGAAGTTGTAGATGTATTCTGTGTAAAGTCTATGCTACGCGTCAATACAAAGTTTTTTGCTAAAAGGATGTCAAAATCCCGACGAGCATCAGTAGATACGTTAGTCCCAGCGTCAGCGAACCACGTGGAATAGACAGTGGAACAGCTGCAGACACCTGGCCGTTCAACATCTGCTTGCGGTAAACTTTCAACGAGTTGATACTCCATGAGGCGTTCTATTTTCCAGTTAGCATATGAATGTTTGTCATGATTGACTACGCACGACGAAGTTGGATGGATCTTGTAGACGGTCCGAGCATGAACCTGGACACCCCGATGTGGCGTAAGAATTACCAGCCCAGTCACCTATCAACTGTTATCACAAGATCCCATAATTCGTGATAAATCGACTTGCCACAGAATGTGATATCTATTTGTATACAAGAAGAATTAGTTGAGGCTGACGTCAGAGAAAATGGCGCCCACCAAATATTATAGAGTGATTGACGAAGAACTCCAAGGGATCGCAATCAGCAGGATCCAATGATGCGACTGGAACGCCCCAGTTTGACGGATTGGGACTCCCGTCATCAATGTCACCTGGAATGGCCGCTCGATAGAATGAATCTGAACGGAGTCAGGATGTGTAACGTCCGAGCAGGGGGTCATTAATACTGACAGACAGATATTCCGTTCTCATCCCACTTCATCGCAAAGATACCACCGCCTTGGGCATCAAAATATGGGCCGTACGATGCGCGGCTCCATTCCGTTATCCCACATCCGGAGTTAGAATTAACATTACCATCGCAATCGGTGTTGTTGACACCACTTGTTTGCTGTGGAATAAATGTAAGAGCTTGGAATTCTTTTCATGACCTCGCTCACCACGACCGTGCCGGTAAAAGAAGCATTAGGATTCAGATAGCAGCCTGAAAGAACAATTATCCCTAGGCTTGCAACTGTAAAATGTCAACGAACCTGGTCCAGTATGCCAAGCAACCTGATTGTGCTCATTGTCATGTACACCTTCAATGATATCTACTTCGCCGGTCTGAGAATAATCATTTATAACGGCAAGTCACGGAAAAATGGAGGATCATACATATGGCCATGTTCCGCTCCCAAGGGTCCAAAACGCAGGCCAAACTCCTGGACAGATGCGTAAGAAGAAGCGGATCGACCAAATTTTTACCGACATCGTACCGCAACCCCACGGCGCCTGGTTGAGATCCAAGATAAAAAGACCAGTGTTGTACTGGGCATAGCTCGAAATGCGAACACTTGTGGGTACTTCAGCACAGGGATTGACAATAGAACAGGACGGAAACATACGTACCTGTCTCTATTCACGCCATCGTCCAGCCATGTCGTGTTGTCTCCCTTCATGATTACGACTCCATCTTCCTGAACGTATGCAAGGCCCTTGGAGAATGCCTCGCTGGAATTGAGATAACTACAGAAGCATTCACATCGCGTTTGCCGCGTGATATTACCTGCACTTACTTTACCGTTCCACTAGCGAAGGACATCAAACGCCAGGGTTAGTTGATAGGGTAGAAAAACGTACTGGGTAGGGTCAGAACCGTTATAGAAGCCAAAATAGCTGTGCTACCAATGTTACCTCTCGTCCATGCTGGTGATCTACAATCTACTCACTCGAAAAAGGATGTCCCGGAATAGTCGTCCTCAAGAAGCCAGAGAAACGTCGAGCCGTTGGGATTGACATCAAAGCTGTCGTATCGCCTTTCAAGTGGAGAGTCGGACGATGAATACCAACTGCCGGGACTGAATACTAGGTCGAACCAGTGACCAGGACGTGCAAGGGTAGAAGGGGGGTCGAGAAGAAGGAAGGATACAATGTAGAAGGGAAGGTCGTGATGCATGAGAATCGTGAGTAGTCGTCGGTGAGAAACGTCTAAAGTCAAACCCGGCCAACACCTTACCTACACGTCAAGAATAGATCCAACAAATGAACCGCAGCTTTGTTGATCAGCCTCATGCCTTACTCTCGTTTACTTCCGTTTCTTACTCAGCATGGAATCAGTATTTTTATAGGCAACCGTACTACATGGGCATGATGGTAAACATGAAAAAACAGCAAAATCACCGGTAGCGACGGAGGCTGAGCGTGTTGTGCTTGAGCCAGGTGGAGTACTGGGGTGCATGGTTGTGGCGATGACCCTTGCCCAGGCCACGGTTCTACAAATGTCATCAAGTACACCGAAAAATGCGGCATGGATCCCAAACGCACTTTCTTGCCAATGGCTGTAAGACCACGGGCTTCCCGACGTTTGTGGACAGGGTCGACGATCCAGTTGATACGGGGATCACGGCGAATCTACGAAAACAAAACTTGAGTCAAAGAGTGAAAAAAAAAAAAAAAAGAAGAAAAAAAGCCATTCACGTACCGCCTTGTGACTCGGGTCTACCAAGATAACCTCGTAGTACTTGTACACACCATCCTGGTTCACCCAGTACGAGTTCAAGACCCGCAAGTTTCCACAACGTCGACCCACACGCTCCTCAGCAGTGCTTCGCAGACTGCGCTGGAACTTGAGGTGGTTCACACCCTGCCTAACGGGCTTGCCGTACGTAGCACCTGAATATCCACATCATTAACGACCTTCAAAACAGATTTCCGCCCAAACACACCCTTGGGGACAGGTTTCTTGCGGTTTCCTCGTCGAACACGGATACGGTAAACAACATATCCCTGCTTGGCCTTGTATCCCAGGCGGCGGGCCTTATCGGGGCGGGAAGGACGAGAGGCACGGTGGATCACATTGAGCTGACGGTATTCCCAGCATCTGCACCTAGTTAGTTGAAGACAAAATGCCTTTGAGAATGGGACACACCGAACCCGGAACAGGAAACGCAGGATATCCGACTGTTTCTTCTTGTACAGCTCACCGACGTACTTGTAGGCTCCCATCCTGACTGTCAATAAGTCAGTACAGAATCACAGATATCAGAGATTCGGACGCACACTTTTCTTGAGGGTGTTGACTTGCCGCCAAATTTCGGTCCCTCAGTTGATTACATAACTACTGTACAGTTTTGCGGTATTTGCCGGGGTGCTGACCGGGCCGATAACTTCCGAGTTTTTGAAGGGTCACTTGCAGGGTCATTCATGGATGATAAGTAGGTTTGGTATATATTGTTTGGTGTAAAGAATAAGTATCATGCATATCCTTTCGTTTGCTGTTATCCACGTCATCCTCTCGTCGACCCATGATCCCCCCCAAGTCTAAGCCATGCTGTCCCAAGGAACAGCACCCACGCGAAAACAATGAGGCCTGCGCTTAGTGTTACAAACACCTCCCCACGTCGGATTTCACCCTTTGTCAGAACATCATCACTGTGGAACTTGATCCTAGATCCCGTGGAAGAGTACCGTCGGTGAGACTCCGATGTCTCCAAGAGAGGCGTCTCTTGTTCGCGGGCTGAAGAATGCACGGAAACATCTCTACCCCGTACTTTACCTCTATCCGTTGAGGGCTCCGGAGAGAAAGATGTCGAAGACTGCTCATGGAGAGCAGCATTTTTCTGTCGTTGCAGATATGCAAGTGCGACAATGCTCAGCAGTTGAAGAATGTTCAAGCAGAAAAATATGTTGAGAAGGTATTGAACAGCTGCAGTGTTTCCTTGAGATATCTTGTTCACGAAATGCTGGCCTTTCTTGTGCGTGTCTAATGCCAGGCCGGCTAAAGTCTGGAATATAGTTGACCCGGTTTGCTCCAACTGAAATACATGAGTAGGTCTTAGGCACACTGAGCAGAAGAGACTTACGCTCTTGTGCACACCGAGGGCAGTGGACACATACTTCAGAGACACAATCTTTGGTACCAACACGACAAGCAGAACTGCCGCAAGAAGTTGTGTCAGAAGCTAGTAAAGCTCAACCAGGATTCGACGCACGAGGAGAAAACCCATGTCCCACTGCAAACGCGGCAATGGCTGGTCTGGCGGTCTGGGTCCAGCTTGGCGGCAGAACTAGCCATCCGTATGCTGACAACGTCAGACACGAGGAGAGGAGCAATAGCTGGACGACTATGGGCCGGTGTCTAAGACGGTCAACGATGAGTCCGCACTATTGAGAAAAAGTTCAGATACATCAGATAATTCACGCATACGGTCATCTTACAACTGGATAAAAGAAAAGGCTTCCGGCAAGTAGGTACGAAGCTTCATTAGCGGCATCTTGTTCGGACATTCCATACCGATTTTCAATAATGTTTCTAGATAGCCGATTCATGAATAAACATAACCACAAATAAGGACTTAGTTACGCACGCGGCCAGATGGGTAAAAGGTGACCATATCGCACCGCAAAAAATATTAAGTCCCACGTAACTAAAATATGGTTACATGCTTGTTGAATAAAGAGTATAGGAACTTACGACCAAAAGACGTCGCCAAGCTTCGTTATTTCTCTCAGATGGACTCTCCGTTTAGCAGCAACCTTTTCCAAGGCTTGCGCTTCCGTGATGTTCGTTATAGACCTCCGTCGAGCCTCTTCAGTGATATCCGCAGCCTCAAGCTCGGCGCCAGCGCCATCAATAAGCCATCGAGAAGCAGCGATGTACACCAAGTTAACGATGACCGACATGGCGGCTAGCGTAGTGGCGGCATAGAACGGCGCGCGAGGCCCGAACATCTCCGTCAATGGGTAAGACGTGCGGGCAGAGACGAAGGAGGCGCCCTTGCCAACGATGAGGCCAAATGCCATGGAGACACCTAGGCCATGCGACTTGAAGAAACGAACAATGATCGTCTCTTGCACGACAGCAACTGGGCTTACACCTAGTCCGAATATGAACATACCAAGGGCCATCACCCGGATGCTACCGATAATGTCGCCTATGAGCAAGACGACCTGACCTAGGAGGAGGGGGGGGGAAGGTTAGTTGATTGAAAGAGGCTGCGGGCTAGAATGGTGACTTACCAACGAAGATGATGCCTGTAGCAAGGATGCTAGTAAAGGTTGTCCCGAGGCTGCTGGCCAAGACACCACCGAGAAGAGGCGTCCAAGTACTATTGAGACTAAAGGCCGATATTAAAAGACTGAACTCGGTATGCGAAGTCCCCAATTCTCTCGAGATGCGGCTCTTTAGCGGACCGAGTACATATGAAGCACTAGAGGTGGCATGAGAAGTGATATGCAGTACGTGTACAAGACCCACTAGTGACTTCCGACGCTCAGACAGCAAGCACAGAGGAGAGCAATGGTCCTAATGAAGAACGCTCGGCGCCGCAACGCAGCGGTAGTCGACTTGCGTCGTGTGACGGGAGCTACAGGGACAAGCTCCTCGTCATGTTCACCGACACTGCGACCTAGGATGCACTCTACCTCGTGGTCTGATTCTTCGTTACGAGATGCAACGAGAAGTTCGTCACACGATGTACGGCGGTAATTGGGGTCAGGCTGTTGAAGAGCAGACGACGACATGAATGAAGGCAAAGATGTGGTGGTGGTGGTAGGAGGGCAAGACTGCGATCGGGGGCTTCCGTGGTGCAAAATATCCGTATGCAGAGGACGAAACTTCTGTGAAGCATTCTGGCCAAATTAGCTTATATAGGATTTGGCAGCTACTCGATCTATCAGGGGAAGCTTGATTCTTATCTGATAAGGGGATGTGGCGATATATCTGTCTTGTACGGGTATCGGATAAGATATTGGCTAACCAGATCTAGGCCACTGCGCACCCGAGGCTCCAGGCCCCATGCATCATCCTTGATGGCCCTAACAATGTCGTTTCATAACGGTGCACCTGACAGACTGTCGCTTCCAAGCGGCGTATGCAACTTACATGCTGAGGGGAAAAAAAAAATCGGACCCTCCCGCCAAGTGGCTTACCCCCGCAAGCGCCACCATTTAAATAGCTTGACCATCTGATCCTCGATTACATTGTCGCTCGGGTAATGCCGAGCCTCGGCTGACCTAATGACGCGTGACGTCAGAAATCACGCCTCCTCCCTCATCCTCCCACCAACCATGGGCATCAAAGGCCTCACAGGGCTCATAACAGAACACGCCCCAAATGCCATCAAGGAACACGAAATCAAAAATCTCTTTGGGCGCAAGGTCGCCATCGATGCTTCTATGTCTATCTACCAGTTCCTCATCGCCGTGCGCCAGCGCGACGGAGAGATGCTTCAGAATGACTCGGGCGAGACGACCAGCCACCTCATGGGATTCTTCTACCGTACCATACGTATCGTGGAGAATGGGATAAAGCCGGCGTATGTGTTTGATGGAAAGCCGCCAGAGTTGAAGAAGGGCGTGGTACGTGTCGCTCTGTAAACATAAGATGGCATTGCTCTGATGGGGGGTTAGTTGTCCAGGCGGCTGGCGCGACGCGAGGAGGCCAAGGAGGAAGGCGAAGAAGCCAAAGAGACTGGGACCACTGAAGATGTGGATAGGTTCTCGCGCAGGACGGTCAAAGTCACCAGGGAGCACAATGAAGAGTGCAGGCGGCTCCTAGGCCTAATGGGCATTCCTGTGGTCGTCGTGAGTGTGCTTTGCCTGCGTCAGTTTATGGCTAATGATTTTTAGGCTCCGTCCGAGGCAGAAGCTCAGTGTGCAGAGCTCGCACGAGGAGGCAAGGTGAGTGTTGCACGTCTCGTCTGCCCAAGTTATGCTTCATGTTGCTGTTAGGTGTATGCGGCAGGATCAGAGGACATGGACACTCTCACATTCTCAGCGCCCATCCTTCTTCGACACCTTACCTTTTCTGAAGCCAAGAAGCAGCCTATTAGCGAGATAAGTTTAAAACTTGCCCTTGAAGGACTCGACATGGACATGAGCCAAGTGCGTCGTATTCACTGTGAGCGTTATTCGCCGATCTAAAAGTCATCTTCAGTTCATAGATCTTTGCATTCTTCTTGGTTGTGACTACCTTGAACCGATAAAGGGCGTGGGTCCCAAGTCTGCACTAAAGCTAATCAGGGAGCGCGGTGATCTGAAAACTATCATCAAAGACCTACGAGCAAAGTAAGATTTTATTCCAAGCGTGGCTTCTGGGGCTGATTAGTGTTTGTCTCAGGCAAGCCGAGAAGGCCGACGCAGCGGCGTCCGAGGAGGAGGAGGACCCTCCCGTGGACACATCTGACGCCGAACAGCCTGACAATCAGGATGAAAAGCCGAAGCCTAAACCAAAGAAAAGGGGGAAGGGGAAGGGTAGAGGCGGTATGGTCGTTCCAGAAGAATGGCCTTGGGAGGAGGCCAAAAAGGTATTTGAGGAACCCGATGTGACACCGGCTAATGAGATTGAGGCGCGTTTCTGATTATGCTCATGCTGCGCGCAGCTTATATTTGACTAGTTGGAGTGGAAGAACCCTGATGTCGACGGTCTGGTGCAGTTTTTGGTCACAGAGAAGGGTTTCAAGTGCGCATCTTTTGCCTGTGCATCTATCTAGTCTTTGCATGCTCATGCTCATTTTTTGATAGTGAGGATCGTGTACGCAAGGGCACAGAGAAGCTGCAAAAATTTTTGAATGCCAAGCAGCAAGGACGGCTGGATGGGTTCTTTACTGTTAAAGCAAAGGAAAAGAAGGAGCCACCGAAGAAGGGGAAGGAGAAGGACTCAAAGACAAAGGGAAAACGAAAGGTATGTGCTCATGTACTCTGTCGGTTTGATGTTGATTAATTGTAATTGTAGAACGACGACAAGGAATCTGGATCCAAAGGCAAGAAGGCCCGAACGAAAAAGTAGATTTACATTCATTTATTTTGTATCTATCTGTATATTTGTCACCCGCGCCATCACAATGTCAAAGCGAATTGAGCAAGCTTCAGTGCTCCCTCTTTTGTCTGGTTTCCTAGACCGGATATTAGCAAAAGGAATGAATAATGGATGCTACGCACCTCCGATGAAACCGCTAGCATGTACAAAGATACCACCTTGAATGCCGCTCACTTTTGTTAACTCATCGTCTCGCAGGCCGCGCCATTGCTCCGGAAGGGCCTTTCGGCTCTCGAAGCTCTCTTGTGCAATGGGGACGGCCTGTATTCGCCAGGCTTTTGCCATCTCGTCTGGGTAAACAACGTATATCGTCTGACCCTCCGTTTGGGATTCGCTTTCCAGTTCGAATAGATGAGACTAATCCCGTCAGAATCAATTTGGTTGACCGCAGAACGGACTTGCCTTCCAGGGCAAGAACTGCTCCAATAGTAAGATTTTGCCGGTGGAGTCAGCAACTTTTTTGCTGTTCGCTACAGCATCGACTAGTATATCCCGGGCAGGCAGCCACGCATTGGCGTAGAAATCAAGCTTTGCGAAAAACTCTTCTCCGGTCAGGGACGAGGCTATGGCGAATCTGTCCTGTGTGGGAATGAGGAAATGTGATTGACGGGGAGCAGGGCCCTACATCCATTCCCTGGGAATCGACGGGTTGGTTCCAAGAGGGGTTGAGGGCTGCTACGCGGCTGGGGAGGCTGGTGCCCCCGCTTTTGTAGGCGGGTTTTATGTCTTCTGGGTAGCGGGGAATGCCATTGTCGCCGCCGTCGATGGCTTCTATGAATTCCTGTAATGGGAGAGTTAGTAATGCATGAGCAATCGAACGATTGGAACGAACCTCATACATCTTGAGCCACAGCGTCTGGACCTTTGGATCGTCCAAAGAAACCTGGGTGCGATTAGAGATGACCTCTTTACCGAAGTGCTTGAAGACGAGACCGGCAGAACTGAGCTTGGTGGTAAAGCCATGGCCAAAGACTTGGGTAAAGCCGCGCTGGTGGTGGTCGAAGCGCTGCTTTGCTTCGTCATAGATGGCGCCGACGTCGACGACGATGTCGCACGAGTCCAAGATGGCGGGATCGCGGGTGCGCTTTAGCTCTAGTAACATGGGAGAATGAAGAGAAACAGGATGGGTGAAAGGATGAAACACGGACCGGCACCCTGATATGCGGTGGTCTGGCGAAGCAAAAAAACGGCGAGGGCCTCGTCGCAGTGAAAGGTGCCGTTATGTGTGCCGATGATCTGGCTGTTGTAAGATATACGTTGGACAGGGATGATTGAAGGATCCCTGCCTTTTGATGGTCCATTTTCTGTTTTTTCTGGAGGGGCGATAGGTCGGACATGCTGCGAGTGAGGGAACGAAGAGAGAAGAATGAATGGAATCGGGATCGGAGGCAAGAGGTATTCATGGTAAGAGCTAACGGTCACATATAATAATAATATTTTATTCGTTACGTCACACGGACTGGCGCGCCTCAGGGTTTTTGCTTTCAACTATAAAAGTCGCGGGATGGTATCTACCTTCCTCTATCCACCCTCATGAATGTCAGCCCAATAACTCCCAGCCCAGACCTTTATGCGCATATACTCGCCTGGCGCCAGGCTGTCGCTGATGCCGTCGATGCTGGCGAGATTCTGGATCCCTCGTCGCCGCCAGACTTTGAGCCGACTACGCTAACGACGTACATGTCGTACCCACCGGCATCGCCGCTAAATTTCTTTCAAAATATGATGGTGAGGCGGCCTGTTCGTCAGCTACGTGTGCTGCTTACTCACGGTGTGGCAGCCCTACCCGATGGAGACCGTTGATGCCCGCATTGACCGGCTGCTTCGCCAGAAACAGACATCCGCCAGTCGTCGGCAGTGGACGGTGTCGCATGCGCCCGTATGTTCGGCGTATGACAGATCTCAGCGTCTGGCTGCCGTCCAGACGACACCTCGACGTTCGCGTCACACATCGCCCTACTATGCTATCTCATAATCAGAGTATGTCCATCCTGCTTGCCAGACATGGGGGCTAATTAAAATACAGTCCATGCAATGTAATAATGTCCATAACCATCAATGAGAGATTAGAGCAAAGCCATCACCCCACCAACAACAACTCCCACCAGTCCAATAAACAGTCCATTTCTCTGCAACGCCATCGCACCAGCAATGTAGCTATCATCCGGCCCATATGTGTTCCCGTCTGAAGCAGTGGCTCCGGGCGAAGGTGCCCCATCCGTTGCTCCACCCCCACTCACATCTGTCGACGCCGTGGGCAGGTTGCTGGCTGTCGTAGAAGTGTCGCTGGTATGCGACGAGGATTTCGTAGTAGTACTGTTGCCTGACGTAGTGCTTGTACTGTTCCCCGATGCAGACGATGTCGACGAAGAAGCGGTATTCGTTATGGTAGTGAGGATTGTAGCAATCGATGTCACCGACCCAGACGACGCTACTGAATATATGGTAGAAACTTGTGCATTGCCAGTTGTCGACTAAGTTTTGTTAGACCAGGATTATGGTCATTCTGAAGAGTCTTACCTGAGCAAGCGCAAGAAGAGGAAGAATGAGAAGGAAGAAAAAGACCAGGATGCTCTGGGACTGTCTCTGCTGCCCGTACATGCTCGCACCCGTCATCATCATCAACGTCGTCGTCGTCGTGGAAAGAAGTGTGAAGGGTGTGACAGTTACGTCACGTTTCACTCTTTTCATCAGCACGTTCCAGCACGTTGTCCCTCTGTCCGCCGTCGGGTCTCCTTGGAGACGCTAGCAGCGCCCAAGAGTGCCCAAGCCAGATACCCTAGCCTGGTTGACAGGAACAGTCCAGGAATAAAGTGAAAAAAAAATGCGGGGTAGACGGATCCCGGTTCCGCTTCCTCGATCGTGCGCATCACCTGAGGGCCGGGGTTATCGTGCTTGACATTCGCCTTTCTTTCTTTCTTCCCCTTTCCCAGATATGTCTTTACAGAATATCCCAGCTCTTCGTCCAGCTACCGTCGCCAGCTTCCTGCAGTACTTGACACCCCCCCTACAGCTCCCTCCCAATCTCATATCGACATCTCTCCTTCAGCGTCATCATTTTCTCCAGATCAACCCCCAAGAAAACCTGGCAGATTACTTGATGTGGCCGTCCCCAGATCAGCCTCGCATTCTCGACCTTCTCACCTCCTTACCAGACGATGCCCTGGCGTCTGATCTTTCTGTGTGCTATACGGGTGACCAAGAGTCTACCTATGCCCATGCCCACATTCGCTCTTCACTAGTACGCCTCGTCTTCCAGTGGGATCACAACGACGCCTCTTGGAAATACCACAATGCAGGGCTGATGCCTTTTCCCCAGAATTCCCTCCACCGTGTTACCGAGAGCGACAAGGAGGAAGATGCCTACTGGGATGCATATGGCAAGGACGAACATCACGACGATGGTCAGGACCACTCTCTATCCCATGACAGCCATACCCACACTGAAGACGCGTACTGGGCTCAGTATGCCAATGTCCACGGTACGTCTTTCTCACAGAATTTAACCCTAACCTAATACACGCACCAGGCTCTGGCGACTCTACGGTCCCATCCCCAGTCCCAGAGAAACGCCGACATCATGAACCTGCCGTCGTACACATCCCGTCCCACGCTCGGGACCTCTCCGATCGTCTCCTCGCCCTCTCTTCCCGCTTAGAGTCTTTCCCCGCCATATCCGACGTCGTCGAAGATACCCAGACCTTTGAGCTCACCCTCTCAGACTCAGATTCGACTCCCTCCTCCGATGTCCCAGACATTTCTGTAAAAGCAGAAACTTGGTTGCACGCCGATAACGAGATCGCGTTGAGGGACAGTATTAGAGGGCTTTATATGCTCTGGAGGTCCTGTAGGAGGCAGTGGAAGGAACCCGCTACCGATGAGCAGTTTTTATGCATCGTAAGGGATGCTATTCAGGAGATTTAAATCCATGTATATGTTATTGATTTAGAAGTTATAGGTATGTTACACAAGTAGACGCATCATTAAACAATTGAATACCACGCTGTTTACCCGCCACACCGAACCCGACGCATCAAAGGTTCTATAAAACTGCCTTTTTTTCCTCCCCCAATATACACGGAATGGATTTAATTCAGTGGCTCCTCTCCATCAAAAGACCGCAATGCTATCCGGTTCAGCGCCCAAAATTATTCTATTCACCTACCGTTCTACGTCAGTGATCCGAGCGGATCACATAAATTGCCTGTAGAACCGATGCATGATCTTTTCAACAACTCCCATGATGGATGGCCCAGAATACCTGGAGAGGTGAGCTGGCGAGCCTCCATTCACTGGACAGGATCCTTACTTTTTGGTTCAGGCGCAGGACACCGTTCTCACCTCCTACCGTCACGCTGAAGGAGATCCACGATGCCGTTCCGAAGCATCTTCTCAAAGGTGGCCCCTACTTGACGTTGTCCTCGGTTCCATTATCTGATTTGGCCAAGGCAATCCCGTCCTTGCGACGATGTACGTCCTTCGTGACATATCATTCACCCTACTGCTCTTCAAATTAGCCTCGTGCATCGGCGAAACTGAAGGGTACATAGCCAGCCCAGTATTCAGAATACTCGTAAAGTCTTTGTTGTGGCTTGCCTATTGGTGGGTCCAGGGTTTGGTCTGGGCTGGGATATTTTGTCTTGGTATGTACACTATCCCGGGGACTGGTTTCTGTTTGACTGCTTTAAAGGCCACGATGCAGGACACGGTACTCTTTATCGTTCCACGAGGACGAACAATATCGTGGGCTTTGTGTTGCATACGGTTAGTACTTTCTTGCGAGTTCTGACATAGATAGACAGCTCAAACAAACTCTAGGCATTGCTGATTCCTTACTTTGCATGGCGCGCTACGCACCATGCACATCATGTGAGTCTTACATCTGCAAGGTTTGCCTTAATCTTGAGTCGCTTGAACTAGAAAACAACATCTTCCATGGAACGCGATGAGAACTATGTTCCCTACTTGCGGAATGATTACAAACTACCTTCTAAGGAAAAGGCAAAGCAGTTCGATTATGACGAGGTCTTCGAGGAGACACCAATTTATACCCTTTGGAGGATGCTCATCATGCAGGGCTTGTGAGTTCAGGTTCTAATTCACGAGGTTTTGGTTAATCCGATTTTAGTGGATGGTGGGTGTATCTAGCGTAAGTTGTTTCTCATGGCTAATGATTAAATCTGACTTGACCGCGGACAGGAAAAACACCATGGGATCTAAAATGTATTCCCCTGGGACTAACCACTTTGATCCTGATTCACCGCTGTTCAAGCCGGAACAGAGTGTGTTGCTGTCTTTCCTGTATACCCCGTTAATTTATCCTGCGACAGGAAATGCCATAATAATTTCCGACATTGGTTTAGTCGCGATGGTCCTCCTTCTCTCTTACGCGGGGCCCAATTTCTTCTTCAAGTACTACCTGATCCCTTATATAGTAAGTCCCCGTCCTTTTCGCCATTTCAAGTACTGATACCTCCTCCCCCTCCCTGTCGTAGCTGACGAATCACTGGTAAGTCCATTCATCTATCCATCGCCGTTCCTCTGACTCCTTTCTAGGATAGGTACGTCCATTCTTGTTCTCCTGATTCTTCAATTCACCGCTTTTCAGTGATGTTCACGTACCTCCATCATTCCGATCCCACTATACCGCACTATAGAAAGGCGGAATGGTCATTCCTCCGCGGTGCGGCGGCAACAGTTGACCGACCCCTCCTAGGCTGGATGGGGAGGTTTTTCTTCCATAACATCAGTCATGATCATGTGGCTCATCGTAAGTCCACCTTGCTTGTACTTGGTGCAATCACTCAGCGTTCTCACACAGACTTTTTCTCGAGTGCTCCGTTTTGTGCGTATCACTAACCAAGTGAGATAGATGATCCTCAATCCGTGGTAGATAACGGCCCAGCAATCACCCAGATCGTCAAGAATGTTCTCGGTCCGAGTTATAACTACGATTCAACGGTGCGTGACTTTAGCTAGAAAAGAGAGTCCGTTTAACGTTTTCTAGCCATCATTTTACGCACTGTACCGCTCATTCACGCAATGCCTCTTCGTCGAGGAAGAGGGTGACATAATTTTCTACAAGAACAAGAATGGGGAAACGGCCCGAGAAGTTGCGTATGGCGCTGTCAAGAGGATCAGAGTGGCCGGTTGGGATCCCGTTGTCCAGGACGATTTGGACGAGAAGAATAAAGAAGAATAGAAATCTAGAATCAGTTAGTTATTAATCAGCGATGCTATCATATGTCCTTCGTAATGTCATCTTAATGATCTAAAAGTTGGGTCTAGGTTGAAAAGGAGGGTGACATCGGTAACATTGGTGGAGCACCCAGAGAAGTAGTGAAAAGCATCATGTCAACTTATCGGATGAAACGAAAGAGGAATTAGACATCAACGGTAGGATAGTTGCGGAAGAGCCAAGCCATGTCTTTCACGTAACAGCCACAACAACAAATGGAGGAAGCGAAATCGCAGGGGTATCTATTTGATAATTTATATGTTCGACACCAGAGTCCCTAGTGAAGCTTGTCAAAGCTTATTCGCACCTGCCACTGCCAGCTCGCCTAGCTGAATTACAAAAGAATTGATGTTCTCCAAAACTTGAAGGCCGCTATAGGAATCAGAGGAAGTGGCTGTCGTTGTAGAGGTTATAGGCGCGCTGGTGGTGGCAGAGGTGGATGATGAAGAGGATGACGACGAGGATGAGGATGATGTTGTAGAAGTCGTTGATTGAGTACTGCTACTGCTACTGCTGCTACTGCTGCTGCTACTGCTACTGCTTGTCGATGCTGCAAATATCTCGTTAGCCTCCTGAACGATAGTAAGGAAATCCACTTACTGGTCGACGGAGTACTAGAGGTACTGCTGGTAGAGGTTGTAGGCGGTTGCGTAGTGCTGCTGGTACTCGTGGGTGTGTATTGACTGGTGGACGTGGTGCTTGGCGGAGTGTATGTAGATGTGGAGCTTGTCGTAGTAGGCTGCTGGGTCGTCGTAGGCGTCTGCGAGCTCGTCGTGCTTGATGCAAAGGCGAACGTTCCGGTGAGGACACCAACACTGGTATCAGCAAAGTGCTCGAAAAGCCCTTCAGAAAAGTCTAGATCGCCTGACCCACATCCAGGACACTGGCAGATTGTCAGTGCATGATGCGATACTAGGGGGGAAAAGACGACTTTACTTCATCGACTATCTGCGCCTGCACTGACTGACCGTTGACGGTAATTGTTATGGATTCGTAGCAGTGAGAACCGCTGTCCCATTGCTAGAGGGAGCTGATGTTAGAACACGTGGGGCAGACGAGGAAATGGAGACTTGCAGCAGCATTGAGGGCGACGACCTGGCGCACGGTGAAAATGAGGTTTGGAAGAAAGAAAAGAAGGACGTACATAGTCACTGGCAACATTCGTGGTACCGCAAGCGCCTCTAGATAGTCCAAGTCAATAGGATAGCATGGCCATCGAGCTGCGAACACTGACAGTCCTACTTCATAATACGTGAAAGAACTGCGTTTCTTCAGATTTCCTTCATTATTTCCACCGACATGGAACGATGACCGCCGGCGCATGTCGCGAGCACCGTGTCGTTGCCACAGGCCCAGGTGGTCTTCATGTGGACGAGGACTGGGATGGGCGTAGCAGACATCGAGCAGGAGGAAAAAAAGAGCAGCAGAGCAAATCATTGTCAAGGAAGGAAAACGCATGATGATGGCGTTAATTTTGAAAAGAGCGACGTCCAGCCGTGGGGCCGGGAAATTAGGCAAGGAATGTGTACGTGGTTACGATCCAGAGTCCGGTCGACAACAAAACATGCCCTCTTGTCCCCCGTGAGAACAAAACATTTGATAACCATCCAGGGTTCCGTTCGTCGCCGCCGAATCGCCACTTTTCTTCGCGTTTCTTCATCGATATCGTTCTTCTCTGGGGCAGTCACTGCGCCTTCACTTTCATCATAAGAATCTTTATACTACTGCGCCCGGAAACAGGCGGCCGACTACGTAGTACGCAGCTTTTCAGAGTATAAATAATTACGAAATAGTACACCGCATGTCATGCAGATACTGATTCAGTACTCGGAAGCAAAGCGGAATACTCTTACCAAAGTCGAGAGGACGCTCTTCACCGTGATCGCGTTGACGCCACGGGCGGGCGTCATATGTACATGCTTCATCGTTATAGCATTGACCAGAAAGCAAGACAGCATATCGACAAGATGGTATAGATCCCATGACAAATTTGTTACTTTTGAGGGGTACATTCAGTCTTCCTCTTCTGCTTCACGAGGCAGACTCTCTTCAGCATCATCTTGTTTGTCATCGACTTCAGCGGAATCCTCAGATGTGTCACGACGGGTGGGGTAAAGCTGGTTGACCTGGCAAGCGCTATACACGCTTTGAGCTTGTATATCAATACAGTGTCGGGTATCACTTACCTTGAATGCGAATTTACAGACAAGGTGGCCTCCAGCGTTAAGACCCTTTTCAATCCACGCCTGTAAAAGATAAACTATCTGAATAGCTTTCAAAAGATATGATGCAAAAATGGTACCTTTTCCACCTGATAGAGGCCGTCATAACGGTATCTAATGTCTAGTATGGCAGTGTCCAACAACTGAAAATCGGAACAGGACGTACCCTTCGCTCGGGGCATAAGGTGATCGTAGTTTATATCCACGAATGACCCGAACAGGCTTTTTGGTCTCAGAAGAACGCTAAAACGACAGATTAAAGCGGACCCAGCATGAGTTATATGATTTACCTTGAGTGCTTTATTGAACTACAATGAACAACTCAGTTCATAGACGGACTCAGGTTGCAATAATCCACTCACATTGTTATTGAAATCCTGATCTGAGCTTTGGGCTGCAGTTCGAAGCTGTAGAAGAAAGGAAAGATGCGTAGTCAAACCAAATCATACAAGTAGCTCTATCAAACACACATTTTTGGGTTGTGCGGCAGTTCCCTTGAGATCCCTTCCGCCTGTAAAATGTTAGATACTTTTGAGTGACAGACGGGAAAGGTTATCATACCAGAGCCAGTGTAAGTGCTGTGGAGATTTTAATTTTAGCCTTGGGAAACAGAATGCAGAAAGCCGAAGACACTCACAAAGCGTAGCCAAGGTCCACATCATCGTCATATCCGCCACTGAGGGCAACGCTATAGGCCCCGTCCTTAGCTGGAGATATGCCGCCAACCCAAGGCCTAGAATTACAAGGATATTCATTATCATACTAGAGGGTCCAAGTAGGCTGACTCACGCGTGAATGGCGTCAATACTGCAAGCCTGCCTTGTCTCCCACCACGTCCCGACTTCAATTCCAGGGATAGACCCATAGACTTTTCTGCTCGAATGGACATGAGCCCAGAATCGCAGTAATAGTGCATACGTACGGATTGTGTTTTCGTTGCGCGCCCTCTCCACTACCTAAAGGCCCTTCATTGCCAGACGTCCTGATACCAGCACGAAATGCGATCGGCATAGGACTTTCTCCCGTTTTCTCCGATTTGTAGTCCACCGCTTTGCCTTTGTTACGTGCACTGCGACGGACGCCACTTTCAGATGGAGACACGTCGGTTTTATCCTCGACTATAGCGACTTTAGAGGGCTGATCATGATCGTTAGCTAGCTGAGAAGCCTTTCGTTTTTTAGGCACGGCTTTGGGCTTCCTTTTCTTTTCTTTCGGTTCAAAAATCGGTGTATCCAGCCCCAAGGATTTTAGAAGCTCTCGATTCCTGTCAGACATTAGACGCTGGAGTGAACATGGTGGATAGGTGGATACTCCAAACCTTTCAATGTTAGCATTGCGCTGGACCTCGTACGCTGAAACCATTTGATAACAGAATTCTGAGAAATGAAGAAGAGGAAAGACGTCGAAAGAAAGCGGAACCAAAAAAGTCGTGACAGTTCGTGACGTCTAGGAAAAGCATACACGTGGTTAATCTCGTGTTTGTGACGACCGCGCGTCTCGTCACCCTGCAACAGATGCTCGGTACAGAAAACGGTAGTTAAGATGTAGGTCCAGACTTCATTGAAAGATTTTATTAACTGTAATCCGACTTGTTAGGAATAAAGAGGATGGTTGGAGCCTGAGGAGCTGTAAACAACATCTGACGGTGTGCCAGTGCCATTTTGGGACGAAGTATCGTCAGCGCCTGTATCCGCTGTACTCGAACTTGGAGCGGAAGACGTTGAAAATTTAGGTTTTGAATGCATGTCCTCTATGGAAAAAATAGTTTTCTGAGTAAAGGTTTTTTTGGCTAGAAATGAAAATGGGCTTACTTCCGACAAATTTACATTTGCCTTCTTTGAAGAAAGAACAGATATTTCCACGGGGACAGAAGTGACCAGAAATGCAGTCGTCTCCCGAAGGGCAAATTTTCCCTATCAAAATGGATAAAACTATATAAATGATGGCTCGAGTACCGTACCTTTGTTTAATATTGCACATGGGAATTTCTTAGAATTCTCTCGCATTTTGATGAGGTCCCTCGAAGTCAGGGTGTAATCATGCCCGAAAATACACTTAGGACCGTGCTTGCAGAACCCTAAGTAGTAAAACGTACACGGCGGTTTATCTGCATCAGAAAGGAGTCATTCTTGCAGAAATGGCATTCTGAACACTCAACACACGTTTGTTGATCGGCTGTTCAGAGAGGAATTTAATGAAATGAGATATTATGAGAAGATTCATGTCGGTACCAAATTTAGATTTTTTGGAGGTCCTGTTGCCTTCAGCACATTGGTGCTTGACTCGGGCTTGTTAACATACATACTGGTAGCGAGCTTTTGTAAACCATGTCTGGTGTGACCTTGCATTTTGGTCGATCTGAAAACACCTTCCACTTCCACAACAGGGAGCTGCAGATGTTTCAATTCTATGGCCAGGTCTTTATAGCCCCTAAGGAGAACAATTTTGTCGAGAAGGCCCTCATTTTGCAGTGAAGCTAAAGTGGACGTATAGCCATTGTCATGAGCGCCTTCATACGATGTCAGAATGGCACGATACAGTAGAACGAATGACTTGCCGCCAAAATATACTAAGAATGTCTGTGGAAAGCGAGTAAATAGACGCAGGTGCTCTGAACGATGGCAATTGTAAACACCCCAGCTAACAACGAGGTTAGATGAGATAATGACCTTTTATTTTTGCGTCCGCTGCCTCTTTACCCGGGCCCACGTCAATTATCGAGAATAAAGGAGCCGCCTGACTCAAGCCCAGGGAAAAGGCTTCAAACTGCTCCGATGTACAAACGTCGTTGGCGATTAATGTATCAGATAAGCCTTGCTTGTTACAATATACGGTGAGCCACACTCTGGCACGGCCAGATATACGTGCATCAACTGTCGCTGTATGTTCGGTTAGACCTTTCGTGAGCATCAGAGCCGCCTTGAAGATCAGTAAATAAATAACGTCAAGGTACCAAGTGGGTGATCATACATTTCGTCCTCCGGCCTGCCCTTGACGGAGCAAGTCTTCGGAAAAGATATTGCCGTCACCGTCCACGAGCGCAAGAATTAACGGGTTATCTTCCTAAATCACCACCAGGTCAATAGATAGAGTTGACGTTGAGGATGAACGAACTTTTAGTGATTCAATCATCCGCTGTAAGTGGGCCACATCCTTCTGCAGCGAGTCCGTTTGATTTTCTGCGTTGATATATCCCTGCTTCCAAACAGACACTTCTCTTTCAAGCTCTTGGACCCGGCTATGAAGTTGCTCATTCTCGATGACTATTTCGTTGAATAACTCTAGGGTATGAAAGCATTGAGCCACCAAAAGTCGATGTGAAAGCCTCAATTACCAGACTGTTGGGTGACTAGAGATTGCCTAGTGTAACAGTGAGCCAGAGGAAGAGAAGGGAAGGGCAGAGGCCGTGTATATACCAGACATGCAAGGGACCGTCATTGCGCTCGTCGGTCGCCAGTGCACGATCCATTCGTTATGATAAATAGAGTGCGTTGCTTTAATTTATTATGGAGGAAATGCTGCAAAAAACAGTAACCCTCCTTGCAAGAGTCGAGGACCATGGAAAGGAGACGATAGTGCACACAAAGGTCGTCAGTAATGAGACATGGAGGGCGTACAGATCAAGGGCGTTGCGCCGCCGGACCTTGCGGCAATTAGCCGACAGGCCTCAAAAAGAAACAGAGGTTCACTTTGTAAATAAATCCAGGTTAGAATGTTAACGCTAATTGGTAAAGACATGTATAGTGTTCCAAGCCATGGCTAGAAAACCCAAGGGAAAGAACATAAATCCACACGCCAGTCGTCTAATCGCACTACTTGATCTTCTTGAGCTGTTCGAATGTATTTATGTCAGTTCGACGTAACGGCAGAAAAAGTAAAGCACATACGCGTTCAGTATTTCTATAGATTCTGCTGTCCAGCCCGACAGTCTTGCCCTCGATGACCTCAATTCGTTTGTTCTGGCTATCCAACTCCTGACCCATGGCCGTGCCCAAGGCCTTCAATCGCTTCGTCATGTCACCTATCTCATTCAAATTGTCATCGAGCTCATCCTCAAGCTCATCATCAGAAGCAGTAGCCTCGAACTGGAACCGCTTTCTCTGCTCCTTCCTTATTGACAATTCTGAGGCTGTTTTGGTTCGTCCTGAACCTGACAATCCCTCTTCATCGTCATGGCGCCCATATGTCTGTGCGCGACCGATCCGATTCTGGCTCTCTCGAATGTCCATCATGGCTTTCTCCCTTTCCTCCCGTTCTTCCTCATAACGACCCTGGATTTTAGCCTCCTGAGCGGCTCGCTTCGCGTCCTTGTTGAAGGTAATAGCAGGTCGGAATATAGAGCGGTTAAGTTTCTTAAGCTCATCGGTCTTGTCATCAGCGCGAACCGAGTGGCCCTTTGAAACATCCAAGTGACGCTCCGTGTTGGCAAGTTTCTCTACCGGAACATTATTAGAATACGTAATAGACCACAATGTCAATGCGTACCAGACTGATCACCCAACCTGGATAAGGTATTGCGGCCAGTTTCTTCGGCCTCGCGGGCCATGCGAAGAGCATTTCGAGTAGAGTTTACACTCTCCTGTTTGGTGAACCTCGTTTGCTGTTTGATCCCCTCAACATCTTCATCATTCTCTTCGCCCGGCGCTGGCTCCTTGATCTGGGGACCATCAAAGAAACGTCCAGAACCAGCCTTCTGAGGGTTGTAGCCCGAGAAAAGTTCATTGCGATCCTGGTCCAGTTCAGCTTCACCACGGGAATAGATGTCCCCAACCCCGTTACTCCTGCTGTACTTATCACGAGGTTCATAGTCGTTCATTGGTGTCGGTGCTGGTGGCGGATAAGAGGTGACTTTGCTGGATGGCGTATTGTATGGGTCGCCGTCGCGACTGGGAACGTAGGTACTTGCATTGGAACGATATGACGGAGGCGGCGAGATCCCGTTTGAGGAAAAGGCAGTGCGTTCCGACTCAACGGGTGGAATGAGGGGCTTGTCTTTGCGTCGAGAAAAGAACGACATAGCGTTTTCTTCGGTATGCTCAATGGACGGTGGTAGGTGAGAAAGATGGCAACGGGAATCATGATTTTTATACAGGTCACGTGGGTCTACAACGGCTGAATTCAGAATCATTTCAACTTGGATTTCTTCCCTTGGAGGATATCTTTCCTCTGCTTCCCAACCACAGTAACACCTTTGCCGCTCTTTACAACCGTCTCTAACGCATCCTTCTTTTGTGACTTCACGCTGCCCCTGGTTCTGGCATATTTGTCCATAGCAATGTCCAATTGGTCTCTTCTCTTTTTCCTGGCTTTCCGTTCTTTCATTCTTAGTGCTTGCTTTTCATGGGGAGTCATTTCACTTCGAGAACGAAGATCAGACGAGGACGGTGCGAATACTTCTTCGGGCGCAAGCATCGTTGCTGTAGATTCGGTAGTAGGCAGAGTAGATTCCAAAGACGTGGTTGCCACATTTGATATGGAGGATATCGTAACTTTGGCCTATTCAAAGAATTGAGCACGTTGATAACGAGGACAAAAGCCCAACTTACTTGTTTGGGAGTAAAGTGGGCATTACAGAGTGCATCCAGCTTTCCACAAATACTATTCCATAACTGTTCAATATCGTCGTGCTCCTTCTTCAGCTTACCGTCACGATCATCCACAGGAGCTCCAGTTTGTGCTGCGAGAAAATCATTTTCGTAAATTTGTGCAAGCGACTCAGCTGATTTTGTGTCCTTGAGCTCGAAGAATCTTGATGGCAGAAAGGGCTTATCCTCTAAAGGTCGTATCCTCACAACATCGTCAAAGTTGTTGTCCATGATTCGAGCCTTGATCCTCTCTTCAAGTTCCTGCACCACCTCTTCGGTAATAACAGGCACTGCCTTCATGACGCGTTCGAACTCCAGGTCCTCTTCCAGTAGCGAATTTTGAGGACGAGACCGTGAATGAGCTTCGCCCATAAGTACCCAGTCCTTTCTGCCGACATTCTCTTCCTCCAGCACCATAATCTGCTCTTTCAACTCAGCCATGCGCTTTTCGTGCATGGATTGATCTAATCCCGACGTTAACACAACACACAGCTATGGCAATTTTCGTACCTTGCTCGGGTTCTTCATCTTCTTCAGCGAATAAATCATCCTTCAGTCGATCAATAGCATCCCCGCCACTGTGCTCAGATGCGCTGTCTTCCGTGTCCATGTGTTCATTATCCTCATCGCCGTCACTGTCGTCTGAAACGTCTTCGTCTTTATGTTTGTCACCGTTCAACGCTTCCAACAGTCCCTCTTCGTCCTCATCGTCGTCCTCACCATCGACATCCCCGTCGTCGTCGAACAAGTGTGACAACGGTAGGTTTTTTCCCTTTGCTTTGATTTTCTTCACCCTAACCTCATCATGGAAACGTACACCACCTCTGCGAGTCTCACCCTTCTCACGTTTAGAAGAACCAGATCGAGGAGGAGCGAAGAAGTCTTTGTAGAAGGGCTCTAAAAAACCCATCAGTTATAGCACCTGTGCATGCGTGTAGATCATACCGGCACTGTCTTCAAGGTCTTCTTCATCAAAGTTTTCGACATCAACGGGAGCAAACAGGTCCACAAACTCTTCGTCTGAGCTCTCCTCGTCCGCATTAAGATTTCCACGGGATACTGAGAGTGCTTCAGAACATTCAGTCTGGGAATTGAAGGATTTGAGATTGAAAAAATTGTCATCGAGTTCTGAATGCACATGTCTCGGTTTGTTTTGACTCTTCTTCGCCCTTCTCTTTCGAGGTGATTGCTGAGAGTCGGAGAAGTTATCCGTGGAAAAATCCTCCTCAGAGGAAGGGTCCTTCAGCGTCATGACACCCTCTTCATGTGGCTCGTCTTCCGAGCTCTCCTCCTCTTCCTCAGAACTGCTTTTACTAAGGCCTCCTCCATCAGACTCTCCCAGATCCTGGTCAAGGTCATCAAAATCGATGTCTCCAACGTCCTCACCATTTTCGAGGGCCCCGAAAACCTTTTGCAATGTCTCGTCCTTGTCTTCATCGCAATCCTCTGAATCTTGGATTGGTTGGATAGCCTGTTCAAGGAGCGTGCTAACCCTGCTTGCTCTGAGATCCAACTGGGCCCATATTTGTTCCTCATCCATGCCATCCGTAAACAAAGACGTCAAAGGAGTCGTTTCGAATGTAGGCACGTTTCGTGGAGGGCTAGGGCTGCGTTTTCGCTTCCTACTCTGTGATCGCGTTTGAGGTGCCTCGGATGGACTGAGAGCTTGGAGAAGATTGTTAATGTGTGGTACAGACGCATTTTCGCATTTCAATGCTTGGTACGAATGTCAGAACTGAAAAATGGAATCGTATGCGAGAAACCCACAAAGGTCGAACAAGTACTGGGTTGCCGCAAGAGCTGCCAACTGAATATCCTGACTACCCCTGGCATAGTTTTCCGGTTGATTGTCGACTAAATCTGAGAGTCTTTGGAACGCAGGCACAACGGCGTTTTCGACCTCTGTCATTGTGAAAAGGAAGGGCGGTAGCCTCGGTCACGGTGTAAAAAAATTATGATTGCCGGCGGCATCCTTCTCATCATAACCACTACCACCGAAAATGCGTAATCCTCTTCCCCTCAATGTTATTAGGCACTCTTCGCGCTCTTTCTGATAGCAGTGAAGTGCATACTGATACTGCATACATAGCAAGAAACACAAGGGACTACTTATTGCTCCAAGGCTCTGCATTAGCTGTCAAAATGCACATGGGTCTGTTGCTTCTGAATCGTCACTTGGCCGAGTTTGGGATTTTTCTTGTTCTGACGCGCCAAGGGTCTGTGCGTCGCATAATGTAGACCTCGGACTGAACAAAAGCACACAAAACTCCGTTAACAACAGCGTTATGTAATCGTTCCCCTCGATACGCTTGTTCATTGTTCACTTCTCAGTTCTATTCTTCCTTTTTTGAGCCCTGGAATGGACAATGCGCGTATAAAGTACTCAATGTCCGGCTTCAAGTCATTATCGCTTGACTGCGTCTTGCCCATCCTCTTTTCCTTCTTTTCAAGCCGCAAGTCGTGCTTTGCATTCTTTACGATAAACGTTCTCTACGCGGCCTCTCTCAACTTGCCATTAAAATCATGATTGCCGGTCTATCTAAAGCCGTGGTCTTATACCTTACACCGCTGCTTGCCTTGACTTCCCTTATTCTCTCTTTTTTGGCCTTTTTGGCTCCGAGTCTTTTGCTCCAGGACAGGGTTGCACTGTTCACCGTGTTAGCCAGTTTCATTCTGTATGTTCTGTTTGCTAAATTTTCTTTTCAGCACCCCGTCCTCGAATTCTTCAGATGGAACTGATGGTGCAAGTCTTTTCTTGGGACTGCTTGGTATGCCTTCCTTTGTGATACGTATCGGGTTTGTGTTAACTGACCTTCGCATTTTGTAGGATCGTGCTCTCGACCGACGGCCAACGCTACAGTTGATTGTACCGTCGCTGCTCTCAAGCCGACATATGGTACGCCAATGTATCTCGTAAATGTGCCCGTAATGCTCAACTACCCGTGCCTTGACAGACTTTTCTGATCTACCGGATGATGTGCCTCAAATCCTTATATCTTCTCCGCCCAGTGCAGGGGGCTTCGTTGCCGTCTCGCTAGGTTTCTCTTCCGTCTTCTTCCTTGTTTATACAGTGGGTTCTTTCCGACACAAAATGGGAGAGAAGATGGCCGCCGCCATGGACAAGCCCCTTATTCAGAGGATAACTGCCTGGATGGGCTTCATAGGGTTCTTCATCGGTGAGTAGAACACTATGACCTCTTCCAAGAGATTTATCCGTTTCTGTCCAGGATTCACTACGCACATGATTGTCAGAATGTGGTTCGACAAGACAGTCAGTGATTTCAACGGCAGCGTCGCTCTAGGCGTCGATGCCGTGGCCAACATTGGCAATGCCTTCACCAGTGAGTGTCCTTCTCCATTACATCTCGTGAACGCCTAACTGGTCCTTTCCAGTGGTCTGGGTAGCTTATGCGTTTTTGGCGGTCCCCGTTACCGTAGCCCTTTCTAAGCTGCACGTCCAGGCTTCCAAGTGATCCAGCTTTGAAAATTTTATATAAACCCTGACGACCTCACGAACTCTTGGAACTTTTTTGGACACTACCGCTTATCGTGTATCAATATCTCTCACATAATCGTACAGTTCCCATATAATACTAGACGTGTATATTCCTGCCTAACTTCTGAACTTCGATAGAGATCCTTCAATTTGACATCTATGGCAGTACCTTCGAAAGAGCTTCTGAGCGCATGGTTGCAGGGTCATGGACTTTTTTCGGTCCAAGTCTGAGAGTCCGATGATCTCTACCTTTGATTTTGTATGAGCGTGTGATCGCGTCCTATTCGAACACCATGCCAGCGGACGCTAGTCTGACTGACAAACACATAAAGCGCCAGATTCATTCCAATCACCGACGTCTCTTTCTTTTCCACCTTGGGAACCTTTACGTTCGTTTCAGCTGTACACCACGCCATCCGTTGTTTCCCAGAACGTAGGACTCAGACTCCGTTCCTATTTGAACGAGATCTGGCCGTTCCTTCCGGTGCGAACAACTATGTTTTGTGTTCTTTTGCTCGCTATTTTGTCTGCGCATTTTTTCATCCCAATTTCCGGAGCCGACATTGATATTGTTCGTGAACGACGATACTCAGGTATCGTTGGCGCCTCTACCGGTGCTTCGTCCATCCCGAAATGGTGCCGACTTTAGCCTCGGGTAGCAAAGCTATGATTTTAACTTCGTCGATAGGCTATCCTCTCTATCCGAGGATGGTAAATGGCCGGATGATGAAATTAATTATACTGCTGGATGCGACGCCCAAAGAGGTAGCTGGCCTGCACAGCAGCATTGGAGGCGCATCGGTAGGTCTAGTGATTTTTCCTCAGTAAGCCGATCTGACTGTGAAATTCTGAAATCAGATACCTTCGCTGCTGCATATCATGGCGGTTTCAGGAACGCGCTTCAGTATACCGGCGATCCTGACCTCAGAGCTTCCATCTCTCTGGCCATGACATATTGGTTTTCTAATGACTTTGACAACGTCGCGTGTCTGGACGCTGGCGGTACCGATGCTTGTCCTTGTGACACGGCTGGCTTTTGGAACCCTAACTGGGCCGCTAATGTCTGATCTTCTTATTTTTCTGTCACCTCCCAGCTCACAAACAGCTGCTATAGGTGATCACGGTTCCCCCGTTGGTTAGGTATTACTACACTTGACCTCTTTGGCTATCGCAGTGGTTGAGTTGACCCGTCTTTAGTTCGGCATGCCTCTTATTGGACATCAGCCTCTCAGACGATGAATTGGCTGGCTGTTTACATATAATTCAACGAGCCTACAACACATTCCAAACCGGTATTGTAGGCGTTAGCAGTATTACTGGCGCCAATCTCTTGGATATCGCCGGTATTGGGCTCGATTTAGGGCTGTTGACAAGCAACGAAACCATACTCACGGATGCTTATGATAGAGCTCATGGCGAGCTGATCATCAAGACAGAAGTTAGTGCAGACGGCATTAGACCTGACGGCTCGTTCGGGTAGGATATCTCTGGATGTATTCATGTGTGCTTGCAAAAACTGTTTTTAGACAGCACCATGGGCTACTGTATAATGGAAATTATGGTATGTGATCAGTTTACTTCGAGGAGCTCTCACACAATTGTTTCGCAACAGGGAAGGATTAGTAAGTGACCCATATGAGTGCCAAGATAAAATCACATCTTGACAGCGCGAATGATGTGTATAACCTCGAAATTTCGTCGGCAAATACGCAATGGGCAGCATCAAATGAGGGTCAGAACGTGTTTTCCACGTTACTTACTGCAAACCTGTGGATGATATTCCTCAATGTTGTCACAGATGTTTTACACTGGGACTATGCAAGTGTTCATCATATTTAATGTTGCCCACTGTCGTCTCATGGAGTTCTCAGTCAGTCATCGGCCGAGTCATCAGTCTTCCTACTGCTGATGACCAGTAAGTCGTACATTATATCAAGGGGCTTGGGTGAAGTTGGTACTGAAGTTTTCACCAGAGCAACGGCTAGCCTCAAAACAAACCTGACGCAGATAAGAGTTCTTGGTGATTTATGGAATTCAAGCGACATTACACATGTCTACGAAGTCCTCGAGGGCACCTCGAAGAATGCCAACGTTGGTGCCATCGTCGGAAATCGCATGTTCTATACTAACGACTACATGGTATGTTCTCCTCAAGTTTACACTGTGCTTAATCATAACAACTATCCAGGTACAACGCGGCTCTGGATACGTGACAACATTAAAAATGTTCTCTAATCGTACTTTGAATTTTGAATGTGTTAACTCGCAAAACGTGAGTTGCAATTATTGGTTCTGTCCTCTCGAACTGATCTCTGTAGCCCTATGGTTTCCATCTTTCTGATGGTACAGTGTACACCTACTTGACCGGCAGCGATTATGAAGATATATTTGCTGCCTGGGACTGGAATCTCATCCCAGGCATAACAGTCGACTACAATGCCACGGTACTCGACTGTGATGATACAACGGCAAGTGGTGTTGAATCCTTTGCTGGTAGTGCATCCAACCAGGACATCGGTGTCGCTGCAATGCGCTATGAGACGCCGGCATCGAAGACACTTCGATGGCAGAAAGCGTGGTTCTTCTTACCTAATGATGTCCAATATGTCATGGTTGCCAACATTGATTCAACTACCCCTGCGCCTGTATTTTCAGTCTTGGATCAGCGAAGGTACCTCAGCGACGTGTTAATATCGGGGTCGCCGGTAACAGAAAGTGGGAATTTTTCTTCAATTGAATCCCTCTGGCACGGTGGTATTGGATACACTTTCAATGCGTCCAATTCAGCGGTTTCGTTGTCAGTGCAGCTTGGAAATAAGACCGGCTCTTGGGAATCGATTGGGACATCTGACGAGGGAGATATATCTGTCGACCTTTTCTCCGCCTGGCTCAGTCACGATGACAAGGCGGTCCCCGTATCTTACGCAGTTTATCCAGCAACTTCGTCATACGATACGTTTGTATCAAAATCGCAGCTATCCGACATTATACCGGTACGCAATGATGGGTCCGTGTCAGCTGTTCTCGACGTTACTGACGACATCGCTATGATCATTTATTGGGACGTCAACGGAGGTTCGGCCACCCTAACTCTTCCAACTCCTGATGCCGCACCTATAATCGTCAACTGTACCGGAAACAGCGCTGTTATTCTCGACCTCAACGAATGGAAAGTCACACTTTCTGATCCCTCACAGACCCTGGCAAATATTACGTTGACAGTCTCTCCCGGACCGGGAACACCTCCTGCAGGGTGGACAGATGTATCGACTACAAAGTCGGTCTATTTTGATCTTCCATTAGGTGGTTTTTGGGGGGAAAGTGTAACACAGGTCCTGTAGGGTGCCCAGGATCCTACATGCAGTTCCATTTCACATATCGTAATTTCGGAGTCCTGTAAATGTTTTCCTCGTGCTACAATGGCCCAATTCATCATTCCTGGTTGTCTCTGCCATTATCGTTGAGCTGCTGACCATCGATACTCGAGAGTAGCTGTAATGTGGTTGCTGGGAAACAGCACGTCGGTTGGCGTCGTAAGCGTTTGAGGTGTCAGAAGACACAAATAGAAGCCAAGCAAGCAACGCATCCGAATCGTGCAAATTGGCACCTTTCATCTCGACTGGCTCCTGCTTGTGAGCTGACCTTCCCATTCGACGCTCGTTTTATATGCGCTTTTTTCTGATTTTTGCATCCTTACTCTCGGTGTTTGCTGCCGCAGATGTCATTTCTCAAGCCTTACTAGCCTCAGCATCGACCGTGACAAGCTCTGCAGTCTCGTTTGCAACAACCAATGTTTTCACTACCGCAACTGTACCATTGACTATGAGCACCGCGAGTTGTTCTCAGCCCACCCAATCTGCAGCTACCGGCGCTCAAGACATCAATCTCATTCGGGAGCGCCGTTTGACGTCGATTGTATCCGAGCTCTCAGGCTCTAGCAATGTAATTGCTGGCTGGTGAGTCTTGGCACGTTGGCAAACCTTACCGCATGTCACCATAAATATGTATAGGCTTTCTTCCCTCGACTCGGACGGTAAATGGCCTGACGTCGACTATGCTACGGGTTGTGCTGCCCAGCGCGCGAACTGGCCGGCCAGAGATCACTGGGTGCGGTTACGTATGTCTGCAGTCTTCGGGTCGTTGTCGTGCTGAATGTCAAAGCACCCCCTTCGTAGTCACAATGGCAGGCGCTTGGCATGGTGGACTTTCCGGTGTGTGCCAGTACATCAAAGACGCCAACCTCGAATCCGCCATCCTTCTTGGGATGAGATGGTGGTTTGACCACGATTTCACCAACCCTGCTTGCTTGGACAATGGTGGTAGTGCAAGTTGCCCATGTAATTCCACGGAGACCCTTCTCTGGAATACGAATTGGTACAGTAATGTGGGTAGCATCTTTGTGCCAATTTTCTCTGTTGCTTAACGTCTCGCAGGTCATTGGAGTGCCGCAGTTAGTGGTGCCCGTGTGTCTCATTCTAGGAACAGATATTCTTACTGAAGCAGATGAGAGTCATTGTATGCTCATGTCAACTCGTTCCTATGGTGCTTTTGCTCGCAATGCGAGTTACATGACCGGAGCCAATATCCTGGATGTAGCCAAGATTGGAATAGACGCAGGACTCTTGTCTTCGAATGAGTCTTTTGTCGCTGATGCTTACAGTAAAATACACCAAGAACTTGGTATCAAAGATGGTATCATGGTAGACGGCATCAGGTCTGGTACGTTCATACTATCATTCTTCCAAACGGATGTTGACTTTCTTTCTTAGATGGTAGTTTCGGGTATGTTCATCTAACACTGACTACTGCGTGCGCTCTCTAACATTACTACTAGTCAGCACGGAGGCTTACTCTATAACGGCAATTACGGTCAGTCTTCGTTGTATATATGAGACCTGGTCAGCCTAATGTCTTTCGAAATTTTAGGCACCGTCTAGTATGATTATGTTGCAGCCTGCTTCGAGTACTCATTTACTTGATCATGTTCTAGTTCTAACGACGTCTTGGACCTTGAACTTGCAGCAGCAGGGACACAATTCTCGGCCGGTTCTGCTTCCAAGACCGCTTTGGCTAGTCTATTTGATGGGGACAAATGGATGATTTTCTATAATGCCATTAATGGTGTACTTCACTGGGATTTTGTAGGGTTTTTTAAACATACTGTTCATGCTGATGACAACTTTTGCTTTGAAGTCTGTTCTTCCAAGATTCATCAGCTTTCCTGTCATCGACGGACAGTGCGCTCACTTCTTGTTTCTCCCTGGGCAATGCTCATGATGAACAGAGCCACCGCTGACATTGGAATGAATTTAACGGCAGTGGAGGAGTTGGGTAATGAATGGATGTCAAACACGCTAATAGAATTTGGAGCCAGTTTAAATGTCACTGATCTAGCGCACGCCAATGCTGGAAACCTTAATGGCAACCGTATGTTTTATGCCAACGATTACATGGTACTTCTATTACTCCACCTCGCAAACGTCATAGCTAACTTAGCGCATAGGTTCACCGTGGCAAACGGTATGTCACAACTCTGAAGATGTTTTCGTCGAGAACGAAAAACACCGAATGTACCAATTCGGAAAATGTAAATTCTGTAATGTTGATTATGTTGTATCTGGAAGGCTCATCCGTCACTCGTGTCGACTAGCCATTCGGATTCCACCTTGCAGATGGGGTTCTTTACACCTATCTCAATGGCAACGAGTATGAAGACATCGCTGCTGCCTGGGATTGGAGCCTCATTCCAGGAATCACTGTCGATTATAACGCGACGATATTGAGCTGCTCGAGCAGTCAATTCTCTGGACTTCAGGCTTTTGTAGGTGGGGTGTCAAATGGTCAAGTTGGTGTTGCAGCCATGCGGTATCTGAATCCTTCCACGAAGTCGTTGGGCTGGCAGAAGGCCTGGTTCTTCCTCGAGGACGATGTACAGCACGTCATGGTAGCCAATATCTCATCCAATACCAACGCACCAGTCTATTCTGTCCTCGATCAAAAGCGCTACGTCGAACCTTTAGTCGTAGACGAGTATGAAGATGTGGGATCTATGGCAGGGCCTAGGTCGTTGTGGCATGGCAATGTTGGTTATGTCATCGATCCGCAAGAGTCAACATCCATCTCTTTCAGCGTCGAGGACAAACGTGGCAATTGGTCCTCAATTGGCATATCTACGCAGCCTCCTTCGGATGTCACACTTTTCACTGCGTGGCTACAGCATGATTCCTTGAACTCATCTTCATCATACACAGCTTTCCCGGGGACAACCCTTGACACATTCCTTTCAAAGAGCCACCAATTCTCTCTTCAGTCGGCTGAGAATGACGCTCAGGTTTCAGCGATCTATGACCAGGCACATGAAACGGTCTTTGCAATCTTTTGGAACGAGAGCGGTGGTTCTACGAAGCTCGATATTTCCTGTCCCCAATCTTCAGAAGCTCACTTTCTTTCTATTACGGCGAATGGCAACATCGCACTCATTTATGATCAACGTACCAACTTCATTACGGTATCTGATCCATCACAGACGCTTACCGCTGTGGAAATTACTTTCGTTTTTACAAGAAGCGAGAAGGAGGCACTAACGAGAAGCTCAGTAGTGGCCTTTCCAACGGGTGGTTTAGCAGGTAGCAGTGTTTTTCAACGAATCTGACCTTCCCTGCTGTTCGTACATGATACTTTATCAATGTTTGTAGATGACTTACGATTTGTTCTTGGTTGCCTCTATGTTGATTGTTGAACACTGCCTCGATGATGCTGGATAGCTGTGTTACTTTAATTTGGCGCGTCCGTTGGGGTCGCTGTCGTTGGGACAAGAAGATGCAAACAGAACCAAAATCGAAGCAATAAATTCCGTGTACGCGCTGTCTTTCTTTTTGACCGCTTTTTAGTCGCTACCCATTTCTATGCCCCTCAACACTCACATTCTCTATGCCCATTTCTTTTATTTATTTGCTATTGCCACTGCAAGCCTGTGTAGCTGCAGATGACAATCCTAAGGCAGCATCTCCAATATCAAGCATACGACCTCGGGAATTTCGCCTAGAAACAATTCTACGAATCTATTCACTACACGCGCGTCTCAGACTACTCGATATGAATCTACCGACGCCAAAGACATCAACTTACAAAATATTCGAGGGCGTCGTTTAGCGTCATTATGTCTGGGTCGAAAAGCTCTAGTCATGAGATTGCGAGCTGGTGAGCCTTGGCCGTCCTACCTCAGCTTGCCGTACTCATCACAATGACAAGCTTTCTTCCCTCGACTCGAATGGTCAATGGCCCGACGTTAATTATACTACAGAATGTGCTGCCCAACGCGCAAAGTGGCCAGCTGGCAAACATTGGACGCGTTTGCGCAAGTTTCAGCTATCTTGTCACCACCCTGAATTGAAAATTGGTTGTGCTGACTTCTCTTTTGAGCCGCTATGACCAGCGCTTGGCATGGAAGGCTAACTAATGCGCACGAGTACGTCAAAGATGCCAAGCTCAAATCTGCAATTTTTCTGGTATGAAATGGTGGTTCGACCACGACTTCACCAACCCAGCCTGCTTGTATGATGGCGGTAGCGCAAGCTGTCCATGCGATTCCGCCGAGACCCTGCTCTGGAATAGGAATTGGTTTAGCAACGTAGGAGTCGTCCTACATAATCATTTTCTGCCCTGCTGAGCATTCATAGGCGATTGGAGTACCGCATCTGGTGGTGGAAGCATGCATGATTATGGGACAAAAAGAGCTCGCTGAAGATGTTGCGAATTACTGCATGTTCATGTCAGGCCGTTCATATGAGGTCTTCGATCTTCCCGTGAAGTTCATGATCGGCTCCAATATCTTGGACGTATCGAAGATTGGCATCGACGCAGGACTTCTGTCTTCAAGTGAGACTCTTGTCGCTGATGCCTATAGTAAAATCCATCAGGAAATCATCATCAAAAATGTAGCCAATATCGATGAGATCAGGTCTGGTATGTTTGGCCTGCTCCCACTCTTCTCAGATTTGCATGAATATCCCTTGTAGATGGTAGTTTCGGGTAAGTAGTTCAAATGCGGTTTAAGCACGATCCTATTTTACACCATATTCGGTGGCTTATTCTACAATAGCAACTACGGTCAGTTTTCTTCTATACCAGAAGCCAGCCACCTGATTTTCTGCATTTTAGGCAAAGACTAGTGCAATTTTTGCGTAGTAACTAGAGTGTGCTCATTTATGCAACGTCTTATATACTTAGTTCAAGCGACGTTGTAGATTTGAGCTTGCAGCACTGCGGACCCAACTCTCTGCAGACTCCGAATCAAAGATTGCATTGGCCCGCCTCTTTGAAGGGAAAGGGAACAGATGGGTGATATTCTACAATGCAGTCACTGGTGTATTTCATTGGGATTTGAGTGTTTGCATCTTTCTCAAGACAACGTGAGTGCCGTATAGTCTGTTCTCCCGAGATCCATTAGCTCCCCTGTCATGGATGGACAGTGCGCTCACCTTGACTTTCCAATTTTTTTTTGGGAAGGGGGGGGGGCATCGCTCATTTTGACCTATAAACCTCAAAATGAATTTAACGACGGTCGAGGAATTGGGCAACAAATGGATGTCAAGCTCATTGGCAGATTTTGCAGCAAGTCTGAAAGTCGGGAATCTAACGCACGCCAACGCTGGAAACCTCAAGGGAAATCGTATGATTTATATTAACGATTACATGGTTCGTTTATGACTTGTTCTCGTCCTTATCAAGGTTAATCTTTAGCTAAGCCACACCGCGGCGAACAGTACGTTTCAACCCTGAAAATGTTCTCTCCAAGAACCAAAACCACGGAGTGTACCAATTCACAAAACGGGCGCAATGCAACATTAATATCCATATCATCGCGGAACTCATCCTATTGCAATATAGCCATTCGGATTCCATCTGTCAAATGGAGCCCTTTACACGTACCTGAAAGGCAACGACTACAAAGACATCGCTGCAGCTTGGGATTGGAACCTCATACCGGGAATCGCTGTCGATTATAATGCGATGGCGTTGAATTGCTCGCACAATCAGTTCCCTTCCACAACCAACGCACCAGTCTACTCTGTCATTGACCAAAAGCACAATGTTGGTCTTTAGTTGTGGATGACTACGAGAAACATGAATTCGACGGGACAAGTAGATCCGAGTCTCTACGGCACAGCAATGTTGGATATATCCTCGATCGCAAAAGCTCTATCTCATACAGTGTCAAGGAGAAAAGTGGGAATTGGTCGTCTACCCAGCTTCCTACGGATGTCACATTATTCTCTGCGCGACTACATCATAATGTCCTGAACGCTTCTTTATCGTACACCGCCTTTCCTGGTACAGACCTTGATACCTTCCGTTCGAAAAGCCGCCAATTCTCTCTGCAGTCCACTCAGAACGATGCTCAGGTCTCAGCGATCTATGATCACGCGCACGAAACTGTCTTTGTTGTGTTTTGGAATGATGCAGGTGGCTCCACAAACCTCAATATTACACACTTCAAGCACCCAGATGCCGACAACCTAGTCATTACCGTCAACGGGAACGTTGCGTTCATTTATGATCAACGCACGAATAACATGAGTCTCCGGTCCCTCGTAGATGCTTAGCACAGTAAATATTACGTTTGAATTTCTAAAGAGCGGCGAAATGGTGCGAACATAGAGCTTAGTGATTGATTTGCCAACGGGTGGCCTATTGGGCAGTAGCGTTTTTCGGCATATCTAATTTGTCGTCTACTGTTCTATTAGGAATGAATCAGACACTACAAACCTGAGAAAAACCAAAGCATCCGATCACAAGTCAAGCCCTAATTTGGCATCGCTCTGCGCGAGATAGACCCATGGATGAGTCTGACAGTTCTTGATAGGCGGCAAAATTTTGGCGCATGCAATTTCCAAGTCATAGAATGTCTAGCTTTTTGAACAACTTTTTGGAAAGTGACAGAAACGACACTGGGATGATATTTGCATATGTACTAACGACACCACACACAAATCTACATTAGAACACTGGCTGCTCCATGTATGCTTCCGGCTGCTGGTAAGCTTCTTGGGGGGGGTAGGTCTCCTCCGCAGGGGGGGCAACGGGGACGGCCAAAGGCTCTCTTTGCTCGGACTGAGGCTCCGAAATAATTTTGTCCACGGGAGGGTCCAAGATTTGAACAGAGTCGGGAAGAGGCTTGCGAGGTCCAGTGTGACCCTCGGCATCCCAGTTCTTCATGCTAGAAAGTTATATAAGTTTTATATACCAGTGATGAAAAAAAAATAATTGGCCTACATCTTGACCTTGATACCCAGTACACCCTGTCGAAGGAGGACATGGCGAACAGCGAAGTCCACAAAGTCAACAGCAGGTTGACCAGAGTGAATCATGAAGCCATCGGTGAACTTCATAGATTTGGCACGAGCAGCACGAAGTTTGCCGGAAACGACGACTTCGCAACCCTTGGCGCCGGACTCCATAACGAATCGGAGGACACCATAGCACGCACTAGAGAATAATGAGGATGCGGAAGGACAAGCGGTGACCAGACTGAACATACCGACGAACGGCAAGACCTCCAAGGAGTTTGTACCTCAAACTTTCACACTGAGCGACGGCGGAGAGACCACGGTGCTGGACCTTCTCGGCATAGAGCTCAAGGGAGTTGTCTGGGAACTTGAACCGTTTCTGAACGAGAGCAGTAAGCTCACGGATACGGCGACCCTTCTCGCCCAAGACTTCCTGAGTGTGGGTGGCCCGAATGATGATCTACAGCCCCTAGTCAAGCAGAGCTCCAACGACAAAGACAATACCAACCCACCTCGGTACGAGCATGAGTTACACGGACATCACATCCAGAGTAACCCTCCTCGGCGAGTTCACGAGTGAAGAATTCATTGAGCTCGGCGCGGAAGACACCATCGGCGACAAACTTTCTTTTTTTGCTGATAGAGGACGCCATTTTATGTCCAAGGGTAAGTCTGTAACAGAGCCTGTGAGTGACTAGGAGAGAGGATTTTGTTCGATAGATACCTTGCACTTGTCGACAATCAGAGCGGTCCCGCAAAATCCTGGGAGTGGAACTGTACAGTTTAACCGGCATTTGCCGAATATCACGTGCCTATAAAACCATTATGCGCTTGCTTTCTACTTCTTACTTTCTACCCATAAGAACATGGCCGAAGAATGTCTATGGGTGAGTCTTCACCTTCTCATTTCTCTTTTATATATGACGAGTGTTGTATTCAACCCATGGCACCTCTTAGTCGAATTGCGCCGTCAAGTTCTGTCTTGTGCGGAGCATTGACATGAATGACTTTTCTGATCCTTTTCACCACTGCCTTCACAATCATTTTATTCAATGCTCACGCTCTTCGTTAGGCGCAAAAAATATTTTCCTTGTAAATCTGATAGTCATGTCGTGTCGCTTCTGTTTACGTTACTGTTGCAACAAACCTCATTTCACCAGTCGTGTGTTCACTACTTGTACAAGAGTGCTCGATCGGTGAGCAATGCTAAGCTTCTCTGGACGTCGCAGAGGCAATGGTCGCGGCGTCTCCGACATGGTACGATGCAATAACCTTTCGCTATGACGAAGTAGTGGTAGTGGCGAAGACAGCAAGAGTCTATCCTTAAGGATGGCGTTCTCTAGATGGCATTCTTTCGTCCCTCCCCGAAGAATGCGCCCTCTTTTGCCTATCATCACAACTTGCTTTTAACACCTTCGAGGTCCTAAACGATCAAAAGGACTGTCCGAGTACGCCAAGTCCTTTGTATCGCTATTATCTTCGAGTAGCTTTTGCTTTCATCTTCATCTTGGACAGATAAAATATTTTGAGATTTTCAGGTCCTGTGCTGGTTTGAGCCCACCTCCTTCCTGGAAAAGAGCAGCATCTTTTTCGAGATTTCTCTTAGAATGGACTGCACGCGAATTATCAAACAGAAAGGTGATGTCGAAAGTCGCACCTGGATTATTTTCAGGACACTCCGAAAGCGACGGGCACTGGATGTTTCCGTGGTGCCATACTTGGCTTGGTATAGATAGCCATTTGTATTATGATTGACATTACACCCAGTGTGTGAAATTGTCGGAACAATCAATGGCGAGCCTCGTTAACAAAGATACCAGCGGCTCCCATACCACTTCCTATACACATGCTCGTTACAAGGAGCTTCTGGTCCTTGCGCTTCAGTTCAGCCAAACCTGTGACGACCTGGCGGACACCGGCTGATTTGAGAGTACAAGTCAGTACGAGAGGAGATACAGAACATTAGAATACGTACTCATGCCAAGAGGGTGTGTTATGGCGATAGCACCGCCGCTACAGACGTGGTTTGTTAGCATGGTGGAAACGGTAGTCAACGGACCTACTTGGGGTTAATTTTCTCAATAGGTATATCCAGTTGCTCCACACAGTAAGCAAACTGTGACGCGAAAGCCTCGTTAATCTGGCACCCGATCATTTAATGTCATGAAGTTGGCATTAGCAGCGGATATACCTCGTAGATATCAACCTCTTCCTTCGTCAGACCGACTTGGTTTAGCAGCTTGGGGATGGCATAGATGGGGGCGATACCCATGTACTTGGGTTCGACACCGACGATCGTACTGCTAACCCATTTAGCCACGATGTCCATGCCCTCTAGCTCGGCATTCTCTCGCGTCGTGAGGACGCACAAAGCGGCGCCATCTCCAACACCGCTGGCGTTACCAGCAGTCGTCGAGGCTTCACCCCAGTTAGGGAAGGCGGACTTTAGACCTGACAAAGACTCCAGGGTAACTCCCGGACGGACCGTGTCGTCGGTGGAGATAGTGTTGCCTCTGATAGAGATGGGAATGATTTCGTCTTTGAATATACCTTTGGCTATGGACTATGGAAGTGTCAGAAGGTGTCGATTGTACATGTATAGTGAGGGATTTACTTCACTGGCCCGTGTATGAGAAATGAGAGCATATTCATCTTGCTTCTGACGAGAGACCTTGTAAGTCTCGGCTACCATTTCAGAAGTCCAACCCATAGGCTAATGTACGTTAGACTTTGCTCCAATAGAAATGAGAACATGATATACTTGGATACAATCTTGGACCTCCGCATTTTCAGCAACTGGAGCAGAGACCTCGGGAGTAGGTCTTGGGCTGCATTGAAGATAAGAAACGAGATCGCAACAAGGACGGGAACGGCGCACTTGAGACTCATGCTCTCGACACCAGCAGCCAGCCCAAGTGCACTTTCGCCAGCCTTGATGGCATGGGCAATATTCCGAATAGCCATCAAACCAGAGGAACATAGTCGATTCACGGTAGATATTGGGACGTGATTGGGGATCCCAGCGGCCATCGCAGCTGCTCTAGAGACATACAAAGGCGATGGCGGATGGCACGTACCTATAAACGCGCTAAATGAGCTATGGATGCGGTTGCGGACGGGGAGAACGTACCGACACATATATCGTCTATCTTGGCTGGATCCAGTTTTATTTCTTGGAGGGAAGCCTTGAAGAGGGCGTGGAGCATCTCGTCGACAGGGACATCCTTGAGCTGGCCCTTCCTTGCCCGACCAACGGGGGTACGCTTGGCGAAGGTGATGACGACGTCGTCTGGATTCTTTTGGAGGATGGCAGAAAGGCCACGAGGGACATGAGTACTAGCGGCACGAGAGGCAATTCTGGGGAGCATGGTAAACGGTGGTAAAGACGAAATCAGCAAAAGCAAGCATGGCGGTATAAGAAGGAATCCCGGAGATTCTATTTTCCGCGTGCGCCGCTTTCGGTCTCACAAATCTTCTTTACATCCCGACAAAATCCGAATTCACGCAAACAAAATGAAGGATATTTTTCGAGTTATGTATAATTTTTTGTTATCTACTAGTACTGTACGATACACTCTCACAAATCTGTCATGTGAATGAGCAACTGCCACTACAAATCCACGAAAGGCATACCTTTCAGGCTCATGACAGATCAGGCATGCCTCGCAGTTTGTTTTTCCACGTCCGACTCAGAAAAGAATAGCATTTCGAACACAAGTGATGTGCGAGCTTCGGTGTCCCACATCCAGGACAGTTAACGATATCTGATCGTTCATTAGGCAACGGAGACGCGTGAAAAAGTTCGGACAACGCACTGTGCTTGTCCTTCAAACCCTTGTTCGCAGCACGCATTGCCTTGCGCGAATGAGACGTCTTTTTCTTTGGCACGGCGAGTACTATTGAGGGAAATAGTTCCAGGAGGGAAGGTATGCGCCAGGTGAACGGGTGGGGTGTGGTGAGAAATGCAGGCAGAAGATTTGGCGGAAAGAGAGGTTTGAAGACGGGGATCCTGAATAAAGTAAAGAGAGGATTGGTAGGTAGGATAGAATTCCTGGTAAAGGCCAGCGCCGCCATGGTGAAGAGCCAAGCTGCTTGTTTCCCGATTTGGACTCCGACTCAACACGACTCTTTCACCCAGCCACCATGTTCCGCTGCTCGCGTCCTCTCTTCAACGTCATCAAACGAACGACCGGCGTGGCCGGTCTCAACGTCCACCCAAATCCTCTCCCTGTCCTTGCAGAGACGTACAAGCAGACCCTCGAGATCCTTGCCGGCATACCATCCACCTCTGTCTACAGGCAGAGTGCCGAAGCTCTTACCCTTCACAAAATCAAAGTTTTGGAAGCTGCCAGGGGAGATATAGCTGCCGTAGAGAACGGCCTTGATGAAGGCCAGATTGAGGAGTCATTGAACATTGCCTCTGACGAGCTCAGGCTCGCCAGTCAGATGATCGAATGGAAAGCGTGCGTCGACTTGTCCCGTTTTACCCTATCAGTGTCCAAATCTAATTTATCATGTAGGTGGGAACCACTGGAAGAGAAGCCAGAACGCGGCCAATGGGAGTACTTTGGCCAAACAACTTCGTCATGACATATAGAACTGGCTGTATAGGCAATCAGAGCAACACGACAATTCGGTGCCTAGTGCCTTGAAAACTAAAGCTATTGGTCCTCACCTGGAAGCCAGCCAGAGACTGACCTTGACATTCAAAATCATGTTCACAGCTATATGTGACGGATCAAATGATGAAGCAAGTGAGTTATTCATTATTTACCAAATCGGCGTGGTATTGATAGGCCGCCATACATATCTTCCCTTGCTTTCGGGGGGTACATATGTTGATGGGTTAAATGTGTCCGTTGTGGAATGCTTCTTCAGATGTCTGTGCATGTTGGACTTGACATTGAAGTCACGCTCACATCCAGGAAAAGGACACTGATAAGCTAAAAAAGCATGGATGTAAAGACGTGCTATATTCGACGAGGATACTTAACCCACGTTTGTCACCACTGTGTGTCCGTATGTGAACGGTCAGAGAACTTGGTCTTAAGAAATCTCTTTTGACAGATCTGGCAGACCGTCCCCTGCTTGCCTTCTTCTTGAGGGGTGCCGGTGGATCCTCAACTTCGGTTTCGTCATCAGTACAGACAAGCGTCGGCGACCCGGAGTGAGACAAGTCACGTTGGACAGTAGGCAGAATAGTACGCTGATCCCAGTTACATAGACTCAGTAGGTGTGGGTTCATAGCTGAGGGACATTCGGTCAGTCTCTCAGATTCTCCAAGCTTCAAACCAAGGCTTTGACTCTGCGTCTCGTGATAGGGATAATATCGTTTAGAGCCTTTCTGTTCTCGGTGAAATTTTAATAGCGGCGCAAGATCAAAGAGATGCGGTTGTGGAATTGTCTAGCAGGTATTCTGTTGCAGACAAGTCTTCAGCTGTGTGATCAAAGAAAATGATACTACGTGGCGCACCACGAAACAGTTCATTAATGCTGCGTGGAGTGAGGAAATAAATGAAGTAGAACATTTTATAGCCATTCTTTCCATTGTCTGTGTAAACGATCAACGTGCATCAGTGGATAACAATCACCACCTTTTACTTACAAAAGAGCTTATTGCTTTACCCTTGGTTCTCCTTTATCTCGATGACGTTTCCTTGTACCCATTGTGAGAGCTTTCCCTGACCGTCGCCTCATCGCAATGTTTTCTACAGAGTGATGTTGTAAAATATGAGGACTGAGTGGGGAGGGCAAGTATGGTGCAATCTACTAATGATTAGGTGAATCTACACTTCATACCCATCTCCGCTATCTTTCTTACGTCGTCCTCAGAAAGACCGAGGCCCAGCGGGGCCCTTGCCATCAACAACGCATATTCGCCAAGCATAGAATTACGGAAAGGAAGAATATCATCAGTCTGCAAGCAATCAGTAATAGTTTCAACTTAGACGGGGACACTACCAACGCAAATGGCAATCGAATGATCATGCTTCAGATAATCACGAATGTGATGCACGTCCAGGGAACCAACGGTCTTGCATAACAGATTGGAGGAGAGACAGAGCTCAACGGCGATGTTCTCTTTCAATACAATCTTACGGGCTTCATCATTAAGGAATGTGGCGTGACCGAGACGATCAGGACCAATAGCGAGGAACTTGAGCGTCTCAGAGTTAGGATTATCTCTGGTCTGTTGGATGAAGGAATGAATAAACTGTCATTTCAAGAGAGAGAATACTCACCTCTGCGATATGTAGTGTGACCCCAAGGCCGGCGCTCTTAGCGTCTGCAAAATGGCGACAAAACATGTCCACATCCCCTACTAATGGGTCACCACAGAGGTCTACACCGACGACGCGCCTGCCCTCGGCTCTGAGGGTCTTCGCGATGCCAATACATTCTTTGACAGTTTCCTCGTCCATTTCGCGGCCAGCGCTGACAATCAGCGCTGCTTGATCTTTGCCGTACTTCTCCACCTCGTCTAGCACGGTCTTCACGTATTCCATCCTCGTCATAGCGGAAGTCACCTTGGGTGTGGAGCGCAGCTCTAAATATGTACATTGAGGGGTGTCACCGTCCAGAAATTCCGTGAGGACTGCTCGTGTAACGCGCCCTAGGGTCTCTGGAGTGGATGTCAAGGCGTAGATGGCGGGAAACAACCCGAAGAAATCGTGGATTTCGTTCAATTCCACGCCGTCTTGGAGCTTGGAAATAGCCTCAGAGGAAATTGAAGACCCTTTGGCGAGTTCGCGAAGGACAGAGATTGGAATGGAACCATTTAGGTGGGCATGCAATTCCGCCTTTGGGAGCGACCGTATAAAGGAAAGTTGTTTGGGAGTGAGAGAATTTATGGCATCCAAAGCATATCCAGCGACTTTTGAAACCATTTCCTTTAGTCGAAATAAAGGATGGATGGGGACGTTTACAAGTGAGTCATATTATGAAAACTAAGAAGCTGGTCATTTCGGGTTCGACCCTTAGCAGACTGACTCGGGATGGGGAGATATCAGAACATAGTAACGACAAATACTGTTGGGCGTCAGTAGAGAGTTGTATTACGCCGTAGTATTGGTCGTATTTCCCGCATCGAATCTGACGTACATTTGAAAATGTTTTTTTTCAATACTTTGTACAATATACAGAGTCCTCACCCCAACAATCCCCCCAGGACATCACCTTCATAATTCAGAAATATCATATCATATCAAGCACGCAGGGAGGTGGGACGAGAAAGTACGGACGAAGAATGAGGAACTTGAGGAACAAAAGAAATGGGACAGGTGGACGGGCATATTGGTTGCTTTTGTATTGTTGGAATATGTATGCCGTCTTTCAAGAAAGGGACGGAAAGGCAGTTTCATCGTCGACGTTGACGACAGGCGCGACTGAGGGCGCAGTGCCATTGTGGCCTCCTCTGTTGCCACCTCGTCCACCACGGAAGTTACCTCTTCCCTCACCACCCCTACCCCTACCACGCCCACCGCGTGGGGACGGACGGTCAAAGCGAGCATCAATCTCGAGATAAACTTTCTCCTCCTTCTTGGCGCGAGCCTTGGCAGAGGGCTTGGCCTAGGTGGGATGCGCGAATACAGTTAGTTTGTCAAGCAAATGAGGGAAAAAATGACTGTACCTTGCCTATAAAATAGCTTTCTTCTTCGTCAGGTTTCGCGAGGAGAGTCGCGCCTTTGAAGAGGTCACCTTCAGCACCTTCATTGGCCTTGCGAGCTTCGGGCTTGGGCAAAATCCCTTCTTTTGTCTTCTGCTGGGCAAGATACTGGTCAAGGGTGAGAGTGTTGTCCTCTTCTTCTTCGCGTTCCTTGCGAGGAGGCCTGTCGGCTGGTGTGGCAGCGTCTGCTGTAACCTCACCGGCAGCGGGAGCCTCCCAGGCATCACCACTGGAGGCGGGTGCACCCCAATCACCTCCAGAGGCAGCATTGGGAGCACCCCAATCACCCCCAGAGGCAGCATCGGGAACACCCCATTCGTTGGAGCCTTCTGCTACGGCATCAGTGGCGGCGGCTTCTTCTTGTTTGAGCTCTGTAGCACCGTCATCTCCACCCCAGCCTTGGTGAACCTTTTTGTCGGAGTCACTGTTGGAAGAATATAAAGAAGTAAATAAGGGAAGAAAGAATTTGAGACGCACGTCTTTCCGGTCTGGCTCTGCCTGTCAAAAGGCCTGCCACGACCACCACGACCTCCACCTCGCCCACCTCGACCGCGACCACGACCTTCGACTGTATGCGATCTCAGTTAAATGTCTAGTGAAAACGAGTATTAAAGCGTACACTTTCGCTGGCCGTCTGGCGACACGGGATCTTGAGTACCTTCCTGGGTTTGGTTGTCCCTTGGGGCAGATTTACCGCCGCGCTGGTAGTACTTGCCACCTCTCGATGCCGGACCACCGCGTGGCTTTTGGTTCGTGCGAGCAGGCGCTGGGGGCTCCTGCTTTGGCTGGGGCGGTGGGGTCGTCGGACGAGCTTCGTCCTCTGAAGGATTAAAGAGATTGAGACGATTAAAGAAAAGGGAAAAAAGAGCAAAAGAGCTACCATCCAGCAAGGCAAAGGGGTTTTTGGTAGCCACCGACATTGTTGACGGGGCGGATTAGTTGTGGCTCAGGACGCAGAAAAGATAAGTATGGGTCGGACGACGGCAAGTGCTTGGTTACACTGGGCAGCCCGCAAAAAATTGGTTGTAAGCCCTCTGACACCGAAGCAGTATCCGGGGTCTGCATCAGCCACCCAAACGGGAACTGTACAGTTCTGACAAACTATAAAAGGCCGGCATTTTGCAGGTAATTCGGCTAACGCATTTTTCACAGGTACGTACCATTGCAGCTGACCGCAGAGTTACGGCTAATTTCTGATTTACAGCGACTTAAAAGCATCTCGACGAGGACACGCGGACTGTAATGGATCTGCCGTGTCGATGACCTTGAGATCGTTGGATTGCTGGAGAATATTTACCATACTATACAGTGTAGGTATACGATGGGACTTGGGTGCGGGTAGCTTTGGCATCTTGTTTGTGAGAGGCTCGTGGGTGTGCTCGCAATGTCTCGTTGTACATACAATCATAAATATACTGCATATATGCATCTCTTGTTTTGATGTTCCTCTCCTTGCTCTCTTTCTTACTTTCATGTCATCACGACGCCTGGCGATATCGTCTTTGCTCTGCTCCAATGATACAGCCAATGACACCCCAATCCCCAGCCAGCACACCGATGTCTTTGGCCTCGATGCCCTTGTTCAGGCCGCGTCGCAGGAACGACGGAGATTAAGCAGTGAACGTTCACCCACCACTGAATATCGCCCGCTCAGTACACCAACAGTTACATATCATCATCTGCCGCCTGTTGCCGCCCCTCGTCACGGCTTCGACCACATACTTTCACCGACCAATGTTGACCCGTATCAGCACCCTGCCAAGAAACGGCGCCACTCAGATGAACAGGAAAGAGAGATGGAGAGGGAGAGGGAACGCCAGCGAGAGCAAGAACGAGAAAGAGAATGGCAGGAGAAAGAACGACAACAGCGAGAAGAGCGGCTTCTGCATGAACGAGAGCGGATGGCCATGGGACAGATTGGCTTTGGGAGATCAGCCCACGACTACCAGCCTCCTAGCCCTGTTGTTCCCGGTCCTTCTTTGAGGCAAAGTCCCGCCCTTTCTTCCAATTCTGCCAAAAGTCCTGCCCTTTCTCTCTCAAACATCACCAGTCCTACTCTCCGCTCATCGCGCCCGACGTCGTCCCGCGACTCCTTTCCGCCGTCTTCATCCTTTGCCCCGACGTTCCCACCATCTGTTCGTGAGCGAGTCACCAGCCCGTCTATCTTTCCCCAATCTTTCTCCTCCAGGGACCGTGTAACGAGTCCCTCCATTTTACACTCCCGTGAATCTGTTGTACGCAGCCCGCCCACGTTTCAGCAACAACACCATGCCTTCGCCATTCCGCCGTTATCACACAGGGAAACCATCCCGGTACCGAGAGATTCCAGGGATTTGTTGGTGCATAGGGACACAATACCGTCTCAGTCTTCCCGAGACTCGATATCTCACACGGACTCTGTTACCCTCCGGTCCCGGAGGGGCTCGATGGTCTCTATCCCGATATCGTCCCACTCTCAGAGGGAAGTCGCCCCAAGGGAAGTCCTCGGTAGGGACACAATGCCTCACACAGATTATCGAGCTCGTAGGGATTCGGTGGACTCTGTCTCCAGTCACCCATCGCAGGTCATTTTGTCATCTCAACCGTCACATAGGGATTCTCTGGCACAGATCTCGACACACAGAGAGTCTTTACAGTCTCATCGTGATTCAATATCCTCCCACCGTGACACCCATTCTCATCGAGACTCCATATCCTCTCAACAAGGCGTTGCACGAATACATAGGGACTCGTTATCCTCGCTATCATCGCATTCATCTAATCTTGAACCCATCTCTTCGCACTTGCTACATAATCGGTCGCCCGTTTTGCCAAGGGATCCGAGGTTAGTTCCATCACTTCTTGTTTCGCTTATCTCACAGGTCATCCTTCGCTTAGGGAGTCACTTTCCGAGAGGGAGACAGGGCAGCTTCACAGAGAGAGGGATTTGATTTCAGGGTACGTCTCGACGTCTTGGTATCACATTCATTTGACGGACAGCATGCAACAGGGATCCGCGTGCTCCCTCGTTCTCACCGATCCAAATTCCACCAATCTCCACTCATCCATCTATCACACATCACCGAGATAGATCTCATTCAATCACTGTCGCCGGTCTACCTCCTCGTGAACATATCATCACCGTGCCTCCCCGTGAACACGTTGCACTTACCCGAGAACATGTCGTCAGTCGTGATCATGCCCGTGAACATGTCACCAATGAGCAGATTATCCGTGAACACACCACCCATCCCCCGAAAATCGTCCCAATCCCTTCCCGGGAGCAGCCGTCTGTCCCTGCCTTCCCACCTATCTCGATCCAGGAGCGTGTTACAAGCCCGACATATCTCAAAGATGGAGTTCCGACAAGGGAACGGATTACGAGTCCGAGGGAACACATTTCGAGTCCAATCTTGTCCAGAGAGCAAGTTACAAGTCCTATTTCAGCTAGAGAGCGCATTCTGAGCCCTCTCTTGGCCAAGGAGTACATACCGAGTTCCACTAGGGAGTCGACGGCCAGAACTAGAGAACGAATCTCCATTGCCACCCATCTCGATCCGCTTCAAGAGAGGGCATTCAGTCCTACATCTGCCAGAGAAACAGTTCTTAGCCCTATGGTCGCAAAGGAGAGACCTCCTAGTCCTGTGGTTACGAGAGAGAGGCTTTCTAGCCCCATGATTACCAGAGAGCGTTTTCCTAGTCCCTTGACCTCCAGGGATTGGGAAGTTTCAAACATCATTCAACATGAGAATGAACGCGAGGAGAGGGTCGTTAGTCCCATTTCAAGTAGGGATCTGGTGAACCCTGAGGCTATCGGTTTTCAGGAGGACCCACTTATCTCTCATTTGGAGCCACGTCGCGAACAAGTAAGCATGTCCAGCTTGATATCAGGACCCTTGCAGCGAGACAGAACGGCGTCAATATCATTCTTGACGTCATCTTTGGTTATTGTCCGGCATCCACAGTCATCATCATCAGAGCGAACCTTCAGCCCAATTCCCTCTTCCTCTCCGAACGAAAATACAGGGTCTCCTAATGTTTCACCTCATTCCAAGCCACCCATACCGCCGCCAATAGTACCTGTTTCTTCACCGATCATCCCCCTTCCTACGCCCACCCAGAGAGTTGTGAGCCCGATTGTTCCTACTCCGACCAGCACTATGAAGCGGAGCCCTCCAGGAAGCCAGACAGGCCGGGCTATTGCTCATGCGCATGTTTATGGAAAGGCGGAAGAGCACACGCAGAAGAAAATCGAAACGATCGATGAGGTCAAGGTGGAGAGACGGGAAAGCGTTATGCCACTGACACCAGCACCCAGTACTCCTATGAAAGACCACTTGATGCCTTCGACGGAAAGCGAATTGGAGCTGAAGCACGCGAAGCACAAAGAGTCAACGCATTTGCAGCACAAGGACAAAGCCACAGACCCCCCACCAAAGAGGCCATCATCAGCCACCGTTCATAAAGAGAAGCTCACCCCACCCAAGAGACCATTGTCTGCCACCTCCCACAAGGACGGTATGACGCAAGAGGATGCGCACGAATGGTTCCTCGAGCATTTTGCCGATTCACCTGCTCCGAAGAAGAAGAAACCGAACAATACCTCATCGCCTGAAGATGATCTTACCAAAGAGCTGGAGAGGGAGCTAGCGGATGTTGACATGCCGATGGACGATGCCAATGAAGAAGCCGAGCGGATGGAGGTTGACGTGGAAGATGAGCTGCTGAGCTTGGTGCAGGACGAGCCTGTTAAGGAGAAATTGGTGCTGCCGCCTGTTCCGCCTGTCAGAAAGGCCAGTATGAAGAAGAAGGCTTCTGAGGAGCGCGACAGGGAGTCGATGCCGCCGCCTGCGACGACGACCGTCAAGACGAAGAAAAAGCCTGGTCCTAAGCCAAAGGCCACGAAATCTGCGGTCAAAACCACAACGAAAACTGGTCCGAAAGGGAAGAAGGAAGCATCGGTGTCTCTAAAGGGCAAGGCAGCGTCAATATCGGCTTCAAGATCGCGATCGACCAGTGTCATGCCTGGCGAATCGCAGGAGGAGGGTTTAGATGAAAAGTCTGAAGAGAAGGAGAAGGAGTTAGAGGACGACAAAGTATACTGCGTGTGCAAACGGAAGTACGACGAAGGCCGGTGTATGATTGGTTGCGATAGGTGTGACGACTGGTACCATACCCAGTGCGTGAATATGTCGGAGCTGGAAGTTGATCTGGTGGACCAGTTCATATGTCCACCCTGTATTCAGAGTGCGCGGTCTTTCGTCTCAGAGTCTTTCTTGTGGCTGATCTGTTATGACTCAGAAAATCCTCACCTGAACCTGAAGACGACATATAAAACCAGATGTCTAAATGGACTTGACGATCCCAACCCGTCCTCTACTGAGGCATGCCATCGGCCATCAAAAGGTGCCTTGAGCAAGTACTGCTCGCCTGAGTGCGGTATAAAGTACATGCGACGAAGGATCGACGCTTATACGGAGAAGGGTGGTAGTCGAGAGGTGCTATGGTCCAAGGTGAAAGACGCTGAACGACGAGAAGGGGTCGTAGTTCACTGTCAAACCGGTGCCGTGATGAAGAGCAAGACCAAGGCGGAGCGGGAGGTCGAACGCTTGAGTGGACCGCTGGAAGCCATTGGTAAGGCACGGACAGGACTGCGACGTGCAATGGAGTGTGTTCTCTGGCGACAACGGGTGTGGGAGCTCGCGTGCCAGCGGGCTGAGGAAGGGGGTGACATCTGTGGGTGGGATCAACGACTCTGCTTCGGTGAGGAGGAGTGGGAGGAGTGGGGTGACGGGGTCGAAGAGAGTTATGCTGCTGATGCGGACGATACTGATGCCGAATGGTGGTGTCCCGGTCCAAAGGATTGCGAACGGCATCATGGTTGGCAGTCCATTCGCCAGGACGACATCAATAACGAGAAGACAAAGGGTGAAGAGGCCATCATGAAACTCACGACCAAAGAGAGAGAAATACGCAAACAAATGGAGGATCTCTTAGGCGCTGAGAGCACAGACATTGACAGAGACACCAAGCCTGGGCCCTTGAAGAGCAATGGCAAGGTCATCAATGTCCATGGGAACGGGCTTAAGAACGTCAAGGGGAAGGTAAAGGCGAACGGGGATGACAAGAAGACTCTGAAGAGGAAGAAACGATAGTACATAGTTTGCTGCCATGACTTTACTCACCTACTTACTGATCTTGTATTTTTATTTCTCTTTTGTAGCTCATTCCTCGTGTCATCGTCTGCTTTGTTACTTGCATGTATAGTCAACCTCGATAGTCAATGTCAATAGTACAATATGAAACACACAACGTAGAGAGGTCATCAGTAATGTAGAGATGACGTCGAGCCGATGACACTGGCAAAATTTAGTATCCGTCGCCTTCCCCTCCTTCTTTGCAAAACCCCTTCTCCTCGAACAGAACCTGCGCTTTGTGTTCTTCCCTCCGCTTTTTTGTCTCGATGGCGTTCTGATGATACGGTTCCAGCGTGGCATAGTCTACGTGCCGAAGGGGGATTTCATCTTCCTTGTCCAAGTCCTACAGATCCATTAAGCCATGACCTTGTCGCAGCCACGAGACATACAATTTCACCCAGTAACACTACATTCTCGCCTCGTATGAGGAACAACCCGCGCGGAAACTCTGCGAAAGCATTCCCGTGATATATTCGTTCAACAGTGTCTTCAAGAACCAAATTTGCTGCGCGGGACACATCAAGGTTAGAAACAGAAAGAGGTAGACAAAGTAGAAAAAAATGCACCAAACTGGTCATAGGACCTCAAGACGCCTTGCAATTTACGCCCGTCTCTGAGTATGACGAGCATCTTCCCTACAAGTAACACGGACGCGAGAAATTAGAAAAGGACGTTATTTTTGAACAATGTAAGCCATGGCGGTGCGCGACGTACTGTCCACGCAGTCCACCAGCGCGCCGGACGTTGTAAAGGGTATGAGCGAGTCCATTGTTTCGTAGATGGTGACCAAGAGCTGTAGAGGAGGATTTCAATCACGTAAAGATATAAGAGATGTATATATAGAGATTAGACCTATATTTATGCTGGGATGGCCGAGTAGTTAAGGCGAGTGATTTGAATTTGATTACGTAATTAACTACATTACTACCTCATTATCACTTGGTGTTTCACCGCGTAGGTTCAAATCCTGCTCTCAGCGTATTTTTACTGTCCTCTTTTTCGCAATGCCTATTGAGCCTTGGGCTTTTAGCTAGTACATTGGAATTGGTTCATGTGACCTTGTGGACGGTTGACATGATCAAGACCCCAAAGAAGACTCAACAATTCTGCACGAACCTCTAGGTTTTGATACAGCGGTGACTTAGCTTCCTTGCTAGGAAGATTTTCGTCGAGGAAACCTGCCTGTCATATTATTTAATAGCAAATTCAGCATAGTATTCAATGCTACGTGTATTCTATTTACAAAGTACAAGCATGGCCGCCCTCGGATTCACCAGAATCAATTTCTCAGACTGTCAAAGACTGATCTTTTTCTTTTTTTGTAATCCCGCGACCAGAACCTCGAAGACTATTCCGTTAAAGTTGCCATATTTTTCAGGTTTGACACTTTTTCCCCATTTCCTCAGTCGACGATTGGTCTACCGCATCAATGTCGATGTGGGATTCTCAACCGGCTTCGTTTATCTCTAAAGCATTTAGGGTTTTCCGAGCTGCATCGAAAGTATTTTATAGTCGGCGTCATCATCATCCGGCGATGTTTCATCTATAACAAAGCTGCTGTTTATGTCAGAGATCGTGCACCGTGATTGGAACAACGATGTTACCCCAACGCAAAATAGAACGCAAGTGCAGTCTCATTTACTAAACAGAGAATATTAGTTCCGAACTTGCATCTAATGTAATAGGAACTTTACCTTCAAAAACCGTGAGCATTATCTTTTGCATGCGCCAACTTTCGCCAATGGAGCCCAGAAGATCCATCAGTTTACGGCCAAGTCCACTGCGCCGGGATGCGTTTGATACCTGAAGTTCATAACTATATAGGACCTAGTAAATACGATACCAAAATGACAAAGGTTGAAAGCCGACCAGTAGATCATGTCCGAGTCATCTTCATGCTCGAATCTGAAGACACTGTACCCTAACAGTACCTGTTTGTCCGGCCTGCGAGCTACAACAAACCGTGATAGAGGATCAAACATTTCTTTGCGCTTGTCGGCAGGATCCCAACCAAAAGAGGATTGTGAATAACTAGCCTAGTCTTCAGCGAAAGAGTCGGCGTATATATGGCTCTACGCACAAGTCGCGCATGTTAGTTTCGAACATGGAAAATATAGCCTCACGAAGTGGCTTGGATAATTGACTAGAAGTCAATACCTCGAACCTAGGTCGAACGTATACTTATATTACGTGATTGAAAACACGATCGCAGACTGCATCCTTACGTGGGATCATCAGATATGTTGAGAGCCCTCGACAATTGTGCCGCTGATGCCTTCAGATTTTCAAAAAAGCATGAAAGTGGACATGTAGCACTCCTCACCTTGTTAGCATCCCGAACACGCTTCGAACCATCAGCTAACATATCACGGTACGAGACAAAGGGACACAATCGGCCGACGTCGTCAATCATCTGTATGACGTAATTCCTTGTTTTCTCTTTCCAAAACCACTTTGTGGTTAGAATTTGTTGAACGTCGACTTGCGTTTATCTGAATATTTGCTGCTCTAAAAGATGAAACTAGACGCTACCGATCTCCGCTATGTGACACCGGAGGAATTCAGGGTTCTAACTGCAGTATGTACCCTGCTCGCTATACTTATGTAGTCACTCACGGCTGCTGTCAGGTTGAGATGGGTTCAAAAAATCATGAAGTGGTCCCCACGAACCTTATTGCTCAGATATCTGGCCTGAGGAATGGTGGTGTCAATAAACTCGTCGGTTCTCTCGCGAAACGAAACCTGGTCTCAAAAGTTCAAAATTCAAAATGTGATTGACTTCCACAACCCTTCCTGCTCATCTCATTGAATGACGATACCTTGCATATAGACGACGGATACAGGTTGACGTATGGCGGTTATGATTATCTTGCAATGCGTGCGATGTCAAAGAGAGACTCAATGCACTCTGTCGGAAATCAGATTGGTGTTGGGAAGGAATCCGGTGAGTCTAACCAAAACATTTCACCAATGAGAGTCCTCACCTGTATATGTAGACATCTATGTTGTCGCAGATTCGGAAGGCAAGGAAATGGTATTGAAGCTACATCGGTAAGACTCTAGTGGCACGCCTCAACTTGTCTGACGTTGGCTGGACAGACTTGGCCGAATATCCTTTCGCGCAATTAAGGACAAGCGTGATTATCTCGGAAAGAGGAAATCTGCGTCGTGGATGTACATGTCTCGCTTAGCCGCCCAGAAAGAATGGGCGTTCATGCAAGTAAGTATTCATCGTAAACATCTTTTCTCGTAACGAGCAATGTTTCAGGTCCTTCATAAGCACGATTTTCCTGTTCCAAGACCCATCGACCAAGCACGGCACTGTATTCTGATGGAGTTCATCGATGCATATCCCTTGTGAGGTTTTTCAATTAACGTATGTTATAACGTCATAAACCCATTCTCTAAGGCGTCAAATATCGGAAATTCCATCACCAGGCAAGCTTTATTCGACCTTGATGGATATTATTGTGCGATTTGCCCGCGCCGGGTTGATTCATGGGGACTTTAATGAGTTCAATATTCTTATACGGCGAGAAAATGGGGAGCCTGTCGTCATTGATTTCCCTCAAATGGTCAGCACGTCACATGTGAATGCCGAATGGTCCCTATCTCTATTCCTTTCGACATCGACTTCTCGTTGATTTAATCTCCTAGGTATTTTAATCGCGACGTTGAATGCATCCGGACATTCTTCAAGCGGCGCTTTCGATATGAGAGCTCCTTGTATCCTCGATTTAAAACGGTAGAAACAGAGGATTCCTCCGAATCAAATTTCAGGCTGGATGCTGTTGTCGCTGCTAGTGGGTTCGGCAACAAAGACATGAAAGTTTTGGAAGAGGTTTGTGTGATTTGATGCATGGAGACATACTCTGATTGTTCGTCAGTACATGGCGGCTGTCAATGACGAAGAAGCGCACGATGAGGAGGAGGAGGAGGAGGAGGAGGAGGAAGAGGAGAAAGATGATGAAGACGATAATGAAGGCAATGGAGAGGGCGAGGAGAAGAGGGCAGGGCATGGAGGAGATGAAGGACGAAACCAGGAAGACGATTCCGATGCCCAAAATCCCGAGATGGAAGAAGAAGTGACAAACACCGCTCGAATGACAACGAATACGGCCATGACCGTTGACATACCTCAAGATCGTGATGTTGAAATGGATGACGAGCCTCACCAAGCAAAATTGCGAGGACGAGCAGAGGACGATCCATCAGACGTCTCGGACATCTCAGAGAGTCGGGAATTATCAAGATCACCTCCTCGATCCAGATCAGTATCTCCGGATTCTCTTGCCAAGATGGCAGAGGCACTCAGTCTAAACAATGTCAGAAACATCGTTTCCTCGAATCTATCAAAGAGTCGAGCGCAGCAGCAGCGGAAATATCACTCAAAACGGGGTGTTCGGAAGGCGGGAAGGCCACAGGGTAGTAAGGCCAAACAGGATACTCGGGTGAAGATGGATAGAAGCGGCGTGTGGGATTGAAGGCTTCTGGTTGACAAACTACGGTTACTTACATTGCCTTTTTTGGATTTACTGTGCTCTGTGTTTGCAATGCCTCTGGCAGCCAAACAAAGACCTCTTTTTGTCCTCTTACTGCTCCTCGACGATGGACAGAACAGATCTCGAGACATACCAGGTCCAGCTATCTCAAGTCGAGGTCGCTCTCTCTGCCGACCCAGATAACGCAGAGCTTGAAGCACTGCGCTCAGAGCTGAAGGAACTCATTACACTTACGCAGACAGCGATCGCCCAGGCTGAGCTAGCATCTTCATCAAAGGTCGAGTCATCCCGAAAGTCTTCGTCAGCTACTCCGGTGCAGACTTGGACAGCCGGCGATGAGTGTCAGGCTAAATATTCAGCCGATGGGGGTTGGTATCCGGCGCGGATAACGTCAGTGGGGGGCTCTGCAGACAACCGTGTTTACAGCATTGTATTCAAGGGTTACAACACGACAGAACAGGTGAAAGCATCCGAAGTCAGACCTCTACCCGCAAACTACACCTATAATGCACCGGTGTCGAATAAACGCAAGCTGAGCAAGCAGGAGGAGGAGGAGCGGGAGCGAAAGAAGAAGAAGAATGAGAAGAAGCTGGAAGTAAAGGCAGCCAAAGCAAAGGAGCAGACCCAAAAGCAAGCGACTTGGCAGAAGTTTGCGAAGAAGTCAGAAAAGAAGGGGGTGCATATTGCAGGAGTTGCCGGTACCAGTATCTTCAAAACGCCTGACAACCCTCTTGGTCGAGGTGGGTGTCATTCCGCAATTCGTTTCTCTATTTCCTTTTACTCATATGATTCCTTTTCTATAGTCGGAGTTACTGGAAGTGGGAAAGGCATGACAGAGGTGGCAACTCGGGGCAAGCATGTTTTTATTGCCAAAGACGATGATAATCCGTAACCGAACTCACGTCCCTATTCCACTGTGCTGATAACGACTTGTGTTAGAAGCTAGTCGAGTCCATCAAACGTGCAGCAGTCCATCTGGGGAACGAGCATACGTGACGTTTTCGTTCTTTTTGCTATGTATATCACAATCCTCATCATTTTGTTCATTTCCTTCGTACCTCCGTGTCAGATTTAGGTCTTATCTCCTGCGGACACATGCAGACATTCGAACTCAACGTTGTCTGCCATCCGATAGACAATGATTGCGACATGGAGCCTCCGAATGTCTGTTTTAGTACTGAGCGTATACTGGCGCTTAATTTCACTTTGCTTTCTCTAGACTTATTTGAGCGTCATGAGGTGGTCCCGGTGATCTATGCCATTGTTCATGCTTCTCCCTCGAAGGTTTCAAGATGATTCACGACCGTGGATAAATGCCACCATGCAAATACGGCTCACTTCGTCCGTGATAGGTCCAAAATTCGAGTTCCATAAAAGGTAGGCTCAGATACCTTCGCGGGAAGAACTGCTCTCTCACCCCTTGTCATGTCTAACCCTAAATCGCCACTTTTTTTTTCTCCCAAGAAGAACCGGCTTCTGGGGTGAACGTTTGAACATGCGAGCGAATATTCCTTGTACGTGTCGTCGATCTCACGCACGAGACGAAATGGCATTATATGATCCTTTTCCATGCACGAGGTTACATTGTAGCTGGAAAAAAAAAAAAAAACAGAATCTTTCTGTATCCCGTGAGTATTCAATGGAAACATCGTTCCTGGTCTTTTTCTTTCAGGAATTATAGGCGTCAATAATGGAACTGCAATTTGAATGTGTATGATACAAGGATGTGGTATTCTGCTGAGTTCAGACTGATGCCGATACCGGTCCGACAACATCCGGCTTCCTGCAACAGACTTTTTCTTCGGAATGGGGTTCGGGCAGGTCTGAACGGTTTAAAGTACGGACCAGGGCGTCGTTCTGTGTTGGCAAGGCGTCAGTGTAACGAGATTTAATTTTCGAACATTGAGACTTACCGCGCGCTCTAGTTCGAGCAATTTGAGCTTCGCTATTGATGAGTCGTACTGGAGGCCCGATACCATACTCTAAAAATCAAGGGATGGGGTCACCTGGTGCTTAGATTTTAGGTAAAAGAACGAACCTTTGCCGTTTTTGAATTCAAGCCTTTGAACGGTTCTAGTTCGTCGAAGCCAACCGGCCAAAATCCGAGACTTGAAACACGGCGTCAGAGAAAACGAATTTATCAAGGGATGACATGACCGACCTAAGGAGCTGGGCATGCAAGCGATCGATGTGGGCCTCGAGGCTTGCCATGTATATTGTCCGTCGATGTGGGGCGCCCAGTGTGGACCTGGAAAAAGAGGCGAATAAGACCCAGTAGTGTGACTGGAAATCAGGAATGACTTACAACTCGTACGCGCTAAAGATAGATTTTTCAAGGGCATGGTTCCATATCTTGCGACGCTTGCCCTCTTCTTTTTTGGCGTACAGACGAGCGTACGGATGTGCAATTATTCTGGAGGCGGAGGCTTGCCTGGGCTGAGATGACGGTGAGTCGGGGTATTGCAGCTCGGCGGCCGTGATCGGGGCGAGGGCAGGGAATGGCAGAGATGCAGGAGAACCTTCAGACTGAGAACTGGACTGAGAACTTTGGGAGGCCATGGCAAAGGAGAGATGTAGGAAGGACCGGGAAGTAGACGATATATATGGGAGCAGGTGAAGGTGACGGGCAAAAGACGTTAATTAGAAGGATGGGAAGCCTGTCGCCCAAAAGAAGAGTAAATCACCCCGGTGATTGTATGTATACCTCGAGTTTGAGTCAAGATTAATAGCGGTGAGTGATCGGACCATTTACATAGGGAGAGAAACGGGCTGACCATTGTAACCAAGCTGACTCGTTTACAAAAACATAAGAAAGATACGACCGTCTGTTGGCAGATCCACTGGATGGAAATGTCTGCTTCTTGCTTCGGATTCTGGAGGTTCTCTCAGTTGGCAGCTGGTCGCCAGTGCAGCGTGAGAACTCGACCTGCAGTCAAGTCGAATGAAGATACGAATCGCTCAGTTTCCCTCTGACAAGCGGATCGTGTCGCGGATAGCCAATTTATTCACTGGCAAAACAACCAAAGAGCGAAGCAGAAAAAACTCGAGGTTGACTCGACGCCGCCAATGCCTAAATACTTAATATCCCGCAGGCAGCCGAATTGGGTGGAGAGCATCGTGAAATCTGGATCTGCTTTTTTCAATTCAATGATTTTGTGATTATGGGTTAATTTTAGGTTCACTTCTGCGCTTCTCCACCGACAAGGAACACAAATTGCCCAACTTGGACACCTCAATCGCACTGATGTTTTCGCCAAATAAGCAGTACAAAATTAATTCAGAGCCTTGATTATATAAATACATATCCCTTGCGCCGCCTCTAAGCCTACTCCCATGCCTTTCTCAGAGGCCCACCCCGACTCCCACTACCACTACGATGCATCCGTAAGTTTTGTTTTTTCTGTTTTTCTTATTCTTATTTGTCGTTTCAGGGCATCTATGCGTCGTCTTCAGATAGTGACGGTCCTCGTACTCCCAGCTACCCGTCTCCAGAGGCATATTCTTATTCGCCCGTCCAGTTCTACCCGTTAACTGAGGGCTCTGCTCCACTTTGGCCCACTCACACTTGCGCACCCGACGTCACATTGCCGGCAGATGTACCACTTCATGCTCCGGTTCCTCTTCCCCCCTCGTCGTCACTGTTTTATCCCGAAACCCCAGCAGGAAGTTACCCCATTCAAGAGGCACCTTTCCGGCCCGGTTCATCGTATCCGTTGCTCGGCAATTATTCTTCTCACTCCCTGCTTTTTCCAGTGTCACATACCGATAAATTCCCCCAGCGCAGTCATCCAGAACTAGTACCTCTACAACCATCCGTGCCTTTGGAAACTCCTCCTCTCGAACCTTTTGTAAATTTTTGCAACAGCAACCCCTCCCACCGAGCCCTCTTAACCTTTCCCACTCCCAGCGAGCTACTTAAAGACCAACCGTCTGAATCTTTTGCTCATGATTTTGGTCCCGACAAGGCCGATACCGCCAGGAAAGCCCGCCGTCGTGCTATGGCAAGGAGTATCGGATTTCCGCCAACAGATCTGTAAGTCCAATCCTTTCCGCCCGTGGACTTTGGAGCTGAGTATCAACTCCCTGCAGGGACTCCATCTCTTCACATGAAAAAAAAAGGCACTATCTCGAATGCTTGGAACGATATGTGATATATTTACATGAGCAGCTCAACCTCACTGGCGCCCAACCTGTTCCTCTGGAGCGGGTTTCCAATTATCGCGGTCTCAGTAGCCGTTCCATAAGGGTATGTCTACATAATCGGACTTTCCCCGAGCGGCATTTGCTTTTTTTTTTTCCACTCCTTTTAGACGCTGCTGGTACATATGGAAAATACGACGCGAAAGCTTAATCTCCAATGCGTGACGGAGGAGCATAGGGTCGGTGTTTCTTTTTTCGTGAGTCCCTCTTCTTGCTCATCCGTTGGGTTATAGTTCTTGTCTCTTCGCGATGTCCTCATCAAGCAGGAGGCTACCGTCGCGGCGCTGAAGCAATGTCAGCCACATCCGAGTCCAACTGAACTGGAAGCAACGGAATAGGCAAATAATGGAGGTAATAATGTATGATGCTTTTAATGTCGTTATCGTTCCTTCGCTTTCGTATTCTCTAACCTTACTTTGTCTGCTACTTATTTTCGGGGTCCGATGGGACTACCTAATCCGTCATTTTTCTTAGCATAATAACACTGTGTCCGGAACCGTAGAGCTAATACAATTGCTACCATAATGGCAGACTTCGACATATCATCGCCCGCCCTTCCTTCCACGTAGAGCATGTGGAGAGAACGCCACCACGGAAAGCGACTAGCTGAATTGAGCACAGCGATTAAGAATGTTAGAGATCATGTGTGCATAACAAGCGTAAGATACTTGCTACATCGATTACTGACACAAAATCCGAAGTTCCTTATACAAAAACACAGACTCCATACCAGAACAACACAATCAAATGTCCTGGTATGGCGGCAACTCGTCATCATCCTTCTTGGCGTTACTGCCTCCGCTCCCCGTCGGTCCATGATTCCCACTCAGAATTCTCTCTCTTTCCTCTCTTTCTAGCCTCTTCTTTTCCTCTTCGGCACTTTCAGGCGTAGAAATGGCCGTTTGTGATGTAGGCAGCGCATTGTATGCCTGAGAATACGTCGCGGCAAGTCGTCTCTTTTCTTCTTCTGCAGAAACAAACCCATTACCGCCCGACGGAGACGAAGCCTTAATGCCATGCAAAGAACCACTTGCGGGTCCAGGTCCCGATTCACCGGCAGCCAGGGGTACCCCCGTTTCTGCTATGGTGGGCGTGATCGGAGGTAGCTTAGGCTTTGACGGGTTCGATGGGACACCGGACGCATTGGGAGACGTGAATGAGGGACTACCAGAGGAAGGAATAGGTGTCGGCGAGAGATTCAAGTTGGACGGGTTGATTGGAGGAGGTTGGGTCTGTGGAGGAGAAGATGGGGGGTCGTACTTCGTAGGCTCGGATGCTGCTTGTGAAGATTCCTTGGTCGCATTTAACGGCGGCGATAGTGGAATACCAGGGCTGGTGGCACCGGCAATATCGGTGGTCATGCTCGAGAGCTCACTAGCATGGCTTTCGCCAAAGCTGCGAGTATCAGATCGACTGAGGTCAGATTCCGCAACTTGAGGTGGAAGATTGATGTGCCCAGTTTTATAATTATCAAGGGCACGTTGCAACGAAGCGCGCGCAGCACCGGTGGCTTGGGCGCCGCTGTACGGAGATGATTGGGTAGGTGGAAGCGTCGGCAACACTGCAATGACGGGACTTGCAGCTTGTGACAACAGAATAAGCTTTTCGCCGTACTACAGTTATCAATTTAGACGCAAGCAAGGGATTCTGACAAACGACAGACATACCTCACGGATAGCATCCCATTTGGCTTGTTCGCTTTCGCGGATACCTTTTCTCTTCAAAAGCTCAACTTCTCTTTCTTGCGGTTGATCATCGGACTCGGCTTTCTTGATCTGATCCTTGAGTTCGTTGATCTTCTTCTCCATGCCTTTGGGGTTGTCATGTTCGAGCCTTGCGAGCTGAGTCTGTAGTCCGGCGCGGATGTTCCGGCGGGGTGTGAGGGCAACCTCGGCATCACGAAGTTGCTTCAGTGGCGTTCGGGCGGTGTCCAACTTCACCGCAAGAGAGCTGGCAAGTGAACCGTGAACGAAGTTAAGGTACGCAAGACGATCAGTCACTGAATACAAAAAGTGTTACTATGATGGAAGTGAGACAGGGTGTGGTAACATACCATCTTTCAGGTCGTCAAGTTCTGATTGACCCCAAGTGTAAAGTTCTTTACTCTGTGCCTTGGAGTCTCTGGATACACTATCAAAGTCAATCGCAACACCCTTTTCGATGGTGATGATCTTTTGTACTGGTGAAGTCGAACTAGAACCGAGATCAGATTCTGATGGACAAAGAGAGGACATTGAAATACCCGTATTGCTGTCCGAGACTGCGTAACTGATACTGGATTGCCTCTAAAGTGTGGGATTTGTGGCCACCGGACGCGGCTTCATTGGCAGATGGCTGGCCGCTTGTATCAGGGCTGCCTGGACGATGCTGACTTGGGAGACGCTGGGCAAGAGGCGAATCTTTGATAGCAGACTGAGCCCTGTCTGCGAAAGATTGTAAGAAACCTGGAACGGGCATGATGGTAAAAGATAGAGATGCTGGAGATGCAAGGTGGCGATGCAAGGCGTTCCTCCGCAGTAGGACGGTCTATGATGTCAGTACCTTGTCATTGATCTTACGTGCCTTCCAGTGGTTAACTTGTAGTCAATTGATAAATGTAAATATAATAACCCGTAACACACTGCGAATATCAGACAACTATCTTTTTTGCCTTGCCCTTCTTCTCCGAGTCCTTGTGCGAAAGAAATTCTACTTCGGTGGCCAGCGGGCCAGCGAGTCTCTGCCCTTCGAGATACCCGAGAACACTTGTTTTGAAGTGTCGACCTATTCCCTCAATCCGCGCCTTCAACCCATCTTCATCTGCCGCGGATGGAGCGAGTCGTGTCCATATGGAAATTCGATAAAATTGCGGGCGAATGGAAACAATAACGCCAGTGATCAAAGAGTTTGGTGGAGCACCATTGCTAGTCGCTTCGGTAAGAAGGGGGTCGAATGTCTCTCCTATCGCAGCAAGCATCTGAAGGAGAGATTAGTGAGAATAAAGAAAGATAAAGAAGCCACTACGCACTGTGTAAAGCCACATCTTGTCCACGTTGTTTCGGTTTTTGTCTCGTGGTAACTGAATGCTCCATTTTCCACCATTCTTGTTAGCTTCATCCTCCCATGCCGGGATAATGCCCTCCTGAGAAAATTATCGACACTATGACTACAAATAGTGTGGAGAACCAAGACAAACCTTGAAAAGATAGTAGTTCGCCTTCTGCGGTAGCGAAGATGGCGCAACAATGTTATTATACAGGCTTTAGAGATAGAAGATATTTTGTAAGCATACGCACAAGAACGCGACGGTCGGAACGTACCCCCAAAACTCCTCGACACTGTCAAAACTGATCACCCGCTTGATATCCTCCATCCAACCTTGTGCCGCCGCCACTCCGGGTGTTTGAGGCACAGGTGTCTGGGGAAAGGCAGAGACGGGTGTTTGGGGCAAATTCCGGCCTTTCGTTGCTGGAGAGTCGAACCAAAGAGTCCAAGGGGAGTAAAGGGGGTGCTACATGACGAGGTCGCGTGAGATTGGGGCAGGTCAACTAAGCCAGCAATGCAGACGTCGGAGCATACCTTGACATTGAAATTGGTGGGATCACTGAACACAGTTCGGATACCCTCGGCCTGAGCCTGCATGTCAACTTCCTGGATTTCTCCCGGTTCCAGTGAATCGTCGACGGCATCAGATTGATCAGCCAATGCAGCGGAGAGCGCAGCTCTCGAGGCCACAAGAGAAGGACCAGAAAGAGCAGAAGCCATTGAGCGTCAATAATGGGTATGCTGTTCAACACTACTGTGAACGGGGCGAGCGCAAAATGGGAGCGATGACAGATGTGGTCGGTGAGACGGTGATACTTGCAATAATTTTTTTATTTGTAAATTTTTTGAAATCAAACCCACCGGTGCCGAATTCGTACCCCGCGGCCGGCACGTGCCGTGGCTTGCCGGGATTATCTGATAAGACAACGGGAGAACAGATGTGGAAATTTGCTGACTCGCTCATTTCCCCCGGCTCCTTCTCTCAAATGTCCATCCACAATGGCCTGGATCCATTCCAGGCAAAGCTCGCCGCTGCTGCTACTGGCGCGACGATGACGGCGCTCACTAGTAAGTGCATGGTTCTATCATATAGACTTTGCTTATTTTCTATCAGTGACGCCATTTGACGTCGTCAAAACACGGCTACAAACACAGCGACCTAGCTCCCAGCCTCTGTTCGTACGGCCACCGCCTAATACATGCTGTCAGCCTCTCAATAGGCCCTGTGTAAGAAATCTGTCGTCGTTGGCACGCCCCATTGCGGAGGAAGAGCTCGTCTGTGTCTGGGAGAACGGCGTGTTCAGGGCGGAGCGGGTCAATGGATTTTACGATGCAGTAAAACATGTGTGGAAGGCAGAAGGTCTGCGTGGTCTCTGGAAGGGATCTGGAACAACATTGTACGTTGCCCTTTTCTTGCCAGCCAATGGACCTCATGTGAAGCTCAGGGTCATTGGGGTTCCGTCCTCAACGGCATACATGCTAACTTATGACCATCTTTTGAATGTCGTGCTTCCGCCAATACTACCCAATGATAATCTCGTTCCTTTGACGTCGGGAATACTTGCTCGTACCACAATATCTACAATTGCTTCTCCACTGGAACTCGTACGGACCAATCTACAATCGACACCTCTCGCGGCAGATAAACCTCATACCCTACGTTCCGTTCTCACATCAATTCGGCAGCTTGTCAAGACCCAAGGTCCTCGTTGTCTATGGAGGGGGCTTGGGCCTACATTATGGCGGGATGTGCCATTTTCAGGTTTTTACTGGTTTAGCTACGAGACCTTGAAGAAAGGGTTTGCTCGGCAGGGGCAGAGCAATGCATGGGTCGCATTTTTGTGTGGTGCTGTCAGCGGGACTGCCGCCGCACTGATAACGTCGCCAATGGATGTTCTCAAGACCCGACGTCAAGCGCTGGTCATGGGAGCAGCATCAGACGCGCCCAAAGTTACATCGACTATCGGTCTTCTCAGCCAAATCGTACGTAAAGAAGGACCCTCAGCCTTGTACACTGGAATTACGCCGCGCATGGCTAAAATTGCACCAGCATGTGGTATCATGATTGCCTGCTTTGAGGTACGTGATTGTCTTGTTCCTTACATCTCGATTTTAATAGACTTACAGGGAGTCGGAAAGTTTTTGGCCAAGGCCTGACGCAGACGGATCGTTAGACTGTGTTATCAACTTCAACCATGGATTATCTATTGAATAATGTATCATACACACACACACTAGTACTACATACAGACATGAAAACCAAGGGAATGCAGATATGTTATAAATTCGTACGACCGTCTAACCGAGCCTGCCCAGCTGTCTATTTGCCGACAAAAGTTTGCCTCCTACTCGATCTACGTCGTTTGACAGTCCATCTAGCATGTCGTTCTGGTAGGCTATCTCAGCTCCAATGGCCTCCCCCAAATGCCGCTGTCGTTGTAGGACTGTCGTTAAAATGGACAGCTGCTGGTCCTGTTGCTCAATCTGGGTTTGCTGGAAACCCAAAAGACCATGATTATCGAGTGGCCTGGTCTCCTCTGTCTCCTGAGGTACCGAGGGTGCACCGAATACTCTTGTCACCCTTGTGAACGTATTAGAAGCGGGACCGAGAAGCGCCTCACGGTCAGTGGAGGGTGCTAGGTTAGTTGTGGGTGCAGCATCACCACCGCCGCTTCGGGCCGACGTCATTCGAGCGACGGTAACCATCTTTCCCAGCTTCTCACAGTCATCCTGAAGCCGAGCAACCATGTCCGTCCGTCTCTGCAACTCGCCTTGACTCATGCCACCCACTGCAAGCTCCTGAAGCCCTTTTCCGAGCGTGCCAATACGGGCCAAGACTCCTGCGAGTTTCTGCTTGGCACTGACGTTGGACTTGTGTGAGGCATTGACGTCGCCCTGGGTGGAGAACGCCTCACGGCGGTTTATGTCGGCCCTGACGTCGCGGAGACGCGTCTGTATTTCTTGATACTCGTCTAACCAAGAGGCTGAAGAGAAATGGGTGGGAGCATTCTTGACGGCTGCCGCCTTGCCGATGGGGATTCCAAGGAACTGTTTGAAGGGGTAGGTCTCGCGCCATTGGTCATCTTTGGCACTGATAATGGCGCGTAGGTAGGTCTCAAGACCAGCACGGCGCTGAGTGAGAAGCTGGGAGTCGGTACGGGAGCGAAAAAGGGAGAATTTGTGCTTTGGGGGCAAGGGAGCTGGCGGGGGCAAGCCTGTTGCCTGGACGAGATCAGTGTGGAGGTCGTCGAATTCTGAGTAACGGCGCCACATGGTCCATGACTGAATGTGAGCCTTTATTTCGATTCGATAGACAGTATGTCGCTTTGGTTCAGAACGCTCCTGGAGGTCAACAATCGACACTTGTTGAATCGCCGTCATCGTTCATGGACAAGAACAAGCCTACAATGCTCCTGCACAGCCACTCACTACTACAAATCGAGCCCGGCCCGCAATTTCCGTCACCACTCTCCCAAATATCCGCCAGCCCCACCCACGCCTCTTCAGAAAGCGTACAAACCCAGGAAACACCTCGTCGCTGATGTCCTCTAATTTAACATCCACGTAACCCATATTTCGCATGTCCGCCTCGTATTCCTCGAGCGAAACTATGTTCTCCTTGGGTATCATATTTAGAATCTCCAGCAGAACCCTCGTCCTGAGGCTCATGGTCTTCCGAGTCGTCGGGAAACATATGTCTGCAAGTGCTATTCTCCCACCAGGCGCAAGATGTGACAACGACTGTCGTAAAAACTCCCGTCGCGTGTGAAAGTGATACGCACAATCAAGAGCAAGAATAGTGTCGTACATATCAGCGTTATTGGAACCGAGTGGGTGATCTTCTCTCCCAAGTCGATAGACTGCATCTCCGAGGTAAAGCTTCGGTTCGATGATACCCGGGTTCCGGAGCCGCATGCTCGCAATCCGCTCACGAGAACGCTGGTGATGTGCAGGAAGACTTGTAATTCCTGACAGCTTGGAGGGACGTGGAACATCTGGGTGGGAGAGAAGCAGGATGAGCGACTCCCCACTACCATGTCCAACATCTATGGGACCAATATGAAATAAAGGGCATCCGTGTCACTCTGTGGATACAGGACCCACCAAGAATTCTGTCCCCAGCTTGGCAGTCAGCAGCACGGATGAGCTTCAAAGCGAGCGCTACAAAGACGATCAGGACAACTGTCAATGCTTTCATGGCATTACCTTGTACCTTGACAGGCTTCAGAGAAGACACTGGTGTTCTACAGACGTGGCGTAACCAGGGGGTCCTTTGATAGGTAAGATCTTGAATCGTTGGCACTAACCTTCCAGTAACCCATATTCAGCCATTCAGTTTTGGGCGGTGCGTCTGGATCTTCCCCAGGTAATTTGTTCAGAGTGTAATGGAATGTGCTATATGGGTCCGACCTCTTGTTGACAAAGAAAATAAAGGCGACGAACGATGCTATTGCCACAACACAGAAAGCATAAGCAGGGACTAAGCTGAAGTAGTATTCGAAACTGAGGGAAATCATTGTAATCTCCTCGTGCTCACTGCAGTATCAAAGCTATGGTTAGTACGAAGATCGAGCAAGCGAGCAAAGTAAATCCGTACACGACGTTTCTCGAGAGCGCGTACCAGCCTTTCCTGTCCTTCCAGATGAGATTTTGCCAGCGTGGCATAGATAAAGGGCATGAAGCAGAAGAGGCCCTGTCAGACGGTGAATTAGTCCAGGACGTCTCGTCTCGATGATGGCAGGAGACGAACATAGATTGTGACGTGCTCGATCATCAATATTCCTAATTCGCGACCCTCTGCGGGGCTAACTCGATATTCAGTCCTGAGCCGCGTCCAAGCACCTGCATTCACTTCGATGTTCAGCCCGTCATCTCGAATAGTGAATGTAGCACTACTCGTCGTGATTATGCTGAAGAAGCCCAAGACCTTCAAGCGATCAACGATCATATACGTGCAGGGATTGCCGTCTTTTTGCAGCGCATAACTTTCCACCAGCGGACCGAAACCAATTAAGGTCGGTATATCATGTAAAATAGCCAGAACATCCCTTTGGGAGACTGCAACTTGACAAGATGCAGAAAACGTTCTCGTCAGAATGAAAGGCCACATGTTAAGGTGCGATTACGAAACTGATGATGTCAAGATGTATGCTATACATCAAAAAATCTACTGATAATCACAGCCAGAAATCGTCTAGATATAAAAATACAAGGTATTATCGTTCAGCACCGTGTTTGGGATGGGGACGGAGGATTCAGCGTATCCTCAGACCTCGTCCTTTGACTGGGATCGTATCCTTCGCCTATGCTGGCTGCACCGATAACGTATCGGAGAACGTCGCTGAGAGTAATTATGCCTAATAGTCGACCTTTCTTTCCACCCTTTCGTTCCTCCTCCTGTGCCGACTGTCAGTTGACGATAACAATTATATCACGTTGCATACCTCTCCCTCCACTACCACCAAACGGTGGACCCTCCGCTTCTTTATAAGCTGTAGGAGAGTACCAAGAGAATCCGACGCATTACAAATCACGACGCCAGGGAAATCGGGAGAGCGCTGGTTCAGCGCTTGACAGATGGTGAGGTCAAGTGTGTGGTACGCACCCAGGCGTACAAGGGTCTTACAAAAGAAAGTGAGGTGCGATTTAACCATCTATGAGAGGAGAAAACATACAATGACATCAACCGTCTCGTAAAGGTTAACCACAATACCATCATCATCAATGATGGGCACGGCAGAAATAGACAAAGCAGAAAATTGGTGGACGACATCGAAAACAGTAGTCGAGAGGCCAGCAGTCGCGATCGGATAATAAGGTTTTTGGCCTGGGGCGGGAGGTGCTACATATGTGCCGATCTTGAGCTTACGCAGCGGTAAGTGGAGTTGTTGAATTTCTTTAGTACACTGTTGAGGTGGAGGTAAGTATCTCCGATAAGGAAGTATAAGCATTATTGTGTACATTGATCGATATAAATTTGAGGAGACGATATGTTGTTAAAGTTGAGACAATGACTTCCTGGTCGGTCTCTGTGTCGACATCAAGAAGGGGAAGGCGGCGGGCGTGGGTCTGAATGAGAACTTTTGCGGCCTGGTATAAAGTGCTAGATGGATGTTCCGATAAAAGAGGGGGCTGCGCGACGCCAAGCTGAGTCTCGATTCCTGGAACGGGAATCTTAGATGAGTGGCGCGATGAAAGAAATTGAAAACCTCTAAGATCTTCGAGGACGAGGCCTTCGACATCCAGGGCAGCTGCTTCATACGTCATCGTTGTGACGTTGTAGTAGTGCTGGATGAGATGAATGATGTCGAGGACTGTGAGCATGCCGGCGAACTTGGAAGTTTCGCTATTCCAAAGCGGAGCAGACACAACACCTGGAAATGATAAGCGAGGAAATAATCCTAGTTACGCGACGCACTGTTTAGAATAAGACATTGTAGCGCCCGCTTAACATTAAGCTTGGTGTCGAGGACGATGAGCCTGAAGCTGATTGGAAAGGCATCATAGCAGGTGCGGCCCTTGAGAAAGGACCTGATAGCTGTGAGAGCAGCATGGTGGCCGTCCTGGGGTGGTAGATGCGAACCAGCTCGTCGTCTCGACGGATTTTTGCGCAGATTCGAGGGCGCGAGACTCATGGCAGGACAAGGGCAGCGAGAGGGCTGGCCTACTTCCAAAGTGGTTGCCATGCCGGTGCCGGTGCCGGAAGAGAGCGGGCCGGCCGATGGCTGAGCAATGGGCACCGTGTTCTGTCGTTGACTACCACCCCATCGCTACTATGGACAACCAGCCAGAGCCCAACGAGCCGTGGCTGGTCCTCCTTCCTCTCCTCATTGTTCTTTCTACTTTTCTCTTTCTTCTCCTTCTTTTCTTGCTATGTATCCTCCTCCTACGCAGGCGCCGTTCCATCATCCTACGCGATTCCGATGGACCCATAGACATGAGCAGGGAAGACCTCATCCATGGCGAAGGCGGCTTTGAAGGTGTCGAGTCACGGTGGCTGGAGAGCGTCCCAGAAAATGCTCGGAGAGACTATGTAAGAGCCAGAGGTCCGTGCTCCTTGTTCGTATCGCTTCCCATCTCACTTGTCTTCCGCTCAGATTATCAGCTGCAATACCCTCCAAATTCCCTTCCAACGGACATAACTCTATCCCAGTTCCTATCCATCCAGGAAAAGGGAGTTTCGGCGTGGTGCTTTGAGCCAGATTACGAAACCGTAAACTCCCTACTCGTGCATGCAAGAACCGAAATTACCTTTCTTCCTGATCCCGCTTCGTCGTCATGCGTACAGTCAAATCTACCCCTTCCAAAGCTGAATGAGGTTTACTACTGGGAGATTAAGATGTTTGATCTTCCTCCGACAACTAATGTCGCCGTCGGTCTAGCGACAAAACCTTATCCTCCCTTCCGTCTTCCTGGTCAGAGCCGATACTCTGTTGCCTACCTCTCCAACGGTGACAAGTCGCACAATTATCCGTTTACTGCATCATCGTTTAACGCATCCCTAAAGGAGGGCGACATTCTAGGTGTCGGATATCGCCCCAGAACAGGCACGGTCTTCTTCACTAGGAACGGCCGTAAACTGGATGATGCGTATGTCGGCCTCAATCGATTCAATCTCTTTCCTACCATTGGCGCCGACGGTCCCTGCAGCGTTCATGTTAACCTTGGGCAGGGAGGCTTCGTATTCGTTGAAGCCAACGTCAAGAAATGGGGTCTTGCGCCAAGTGTTGGTACTCTGGCACCCCCCCCGGCTTATGGGAGCGAACGTGGGAGTATTCTGCTTGATGTCGGTGGTCGCATCAGACTACCAAGTGATGGTACACCGCCAAGCAGTCCTGGCGCCTCACCGTCGCGCCGTTTACATCGTACTCGTCGACCACGACAGCCGCCGAGCGAGCCCATTGTGTCGTCACCACTCAGGACGTCAGAGCTGTTTAGTCCGCCGCCACCTATTACACCCGTCGACGAGGAGCATGGTGAGACCGTTTCGTCATCGCGGAGATACATTTCACCCACAGATTTACCTTTCCATGTGCCTCCAAATACTAATCTTCCTCCTACGCCTGGCGATTCTGATATCCACCCAGATGTAGATGACGAGAGCGGTCGTTCACTACGCTCCTCGCCTACCACCTCATCGAGATCGCTATCGCCCGAAGGTGCGCGAAACCCATTTACGACGCCTCGTCGTCACCGTTACTCGCTCACTCATATCGCGGCGTCCTTATCCGACTCAGGATCCTCAGACGTGACAGTCCAGGTACATCTGCCTCCTGAGTCTCCTATGAGCTCTGCCAATCCACCGACGCCTAATCGCCGTGATATCCATTTGCAGGCGCTGTCGTCAAATAGGCACCGACCGGGTAGTCCGGAGAGTGGAATTGTAAGCGATGGAGATGACGATGACAGACTGAGGAGTCGAAGCTTGTCCAGGCGAGACCCTCCTGCCTATTCACCGTTGGATGCGTTCACCTACGCTGACGGGGTTCACATCGACTTACCCGCTGAATTTATCGCTGCAGCTTTGGAAGGAAATGCTATACCTGCCAGTGCGCTGGGGCAGGCTAATGGGTCACGAGATAGGCGACGCAGTCGAAGGCATTAAGTATATCATGGTGTATGTATGTGGGTGACAGTTTTACCTTACTGTTTTGTGTGCAGTACTGAGGTAAGTCTGCAGTATTAGTGCGAAACGACTACATATGATGACGATATGTTGTAATAAACCTCCTGGTCATTATGCTTGGATTAAATTTTGCGTCGTCCGACCTTGACCGGGGATCTGCGGCTGTTCATGATCCTCCGTTCGTCGGTGTTCCTTTTTCAAGGTTCTCGTAAATTCTGGATTCCTCCAGAGATAAATAATGGGTATGTAGTCCGATTCCCAAAAGCTCGTACACTGGACGACAGACCACAGGTGTCACCGATTGATGATCACAGCATGGACGCTGGGTCTCTGAAAATGGTAAGGAAACGATGGGGCAAGGCAGTCAGAAAAATTGTCTCACGTTTCGACGGTGGCCTTGCTCTGCATCTACGTCGTGCTTCGTCTTCTTCTCGTCGACGAAGGCGGCGTTTGCTGGTCTCGCCACGTTCTGAGCTGCCTCTGTAAGATCGACGGCCTCGATCTTCTGGACGGCACTTCGCCGGCAGCACTGTCGCAGTTTCCATTTTGGCCACTGCGCAAACGCCACCCACAGCACAAACAGCACCAACACAAATGCAACCGCCATGATGATCCCCACGTACTTGTCCAGCCCATGCTCATCGTCGCGGTCGTCACTTTGGTTCGCGATTCCGTCTGTCGGCGTTCCGCATTTGTTTCCTGTACACACATCTCTCTTTTGTAGTGGTCTGCCGACCAGCGTAAGGAGCGCTAGCATGTCCAGATGCTTGCTATCAACGACAGGGAGTGGATGAAAGAAGAACAATTTTCCGCAGCAGTGGACGACAGTTACGACGGCGTTTCAGTGTTCGACGATGCGTGTTCGCTCCCTTATACATAAGTCGACGGGTGACGGCCGGCTCAGAGCCTTTGATGCTCCACTATTAGAATGCATTGGTAAATATGTCCATCAAACTTCGTCTGCACCAAGACAAGGATAAAAATATGGTACCGCATATGTCCTTCTTATATGTGACAACATTTAATGACAACGTCACTGTGCTCAATGATACAGTCATGGTTACAATTCACCGGTATTTTCTACAGAAACCAAGCACAATTCTTCTCCTTCTCTACCGTTGTTTTCTCTACGGCTCCAGCCTTTTCGGGTCTCTCGGGAATAATGAAGCCCGTCTGATGTTGTTCAGTTTCAAGAACAACATCAGCACCCGTTCCAAACCAATACCCCCTCCACCGTGTGGCGCGCACCCAAGCCGGAATCCATCGACATAGCCTTTCATTGATTCAGGATCAACACCTTTGCTGCGCATCTTCTCAGCTAGAAGGTTCGGCTCGTGGATGCGTTGTGCCCCGGAAAGGATCTCTTCTCCCCGCATGAAGAAGTCATAGGAGTTTGAAAGCGTCTGTACAACGCCTCTTAGTAGGCTCCGCGTAACAATAGAGCGATGACGATACTTACCGGGTCTTCTGGGTCAGGCATGGTATAGAAAGGCCTCAGTGCCATCGGGAACTTATCAATGATGTAGTAATCAGTGTCGTATTTTGACTTGACGATCCGACCGAGTCGCTTCTCGTTTTCGGTGCTATACAGAACCCGAAATAAGTTACGGTTTCCCGAAAGAATGGGTGAGAGAATAATGCGCGTACTTAATATCGTCCAAAACATCTCTCGAAATGCCGTCCGCAACAAGAAGGTCTACAGCTTCCTTGAAAGTCAGCTTCAGCGTTCCTTCAGGGCCTTCTCTCCATTTAAATTCTTCGGCTGGGAATTGCTTTCCAACAACGTCAATTTCATTCTTGTATTTCTCCCGGAGTCCCTTGAAGATGCTCAAGAAAAGACCATCGAGAAGTTCCATAACTTCGTGGTAGTGCTCTTCGATCGTCATTTCCAGATCAAGACCCATGAACTCTGTCATATGCCGGTGCGTGTTGGAGTCTTCAGCTCGGAACACGGGTCCAATCTCGTATACTCGCTCAAAGTCAGCAGCAATGGCCATTTGCTTGGCAAGCTGAGGAGATTGTGCAAGGAAAGCGCTTCCTGGTGTCCGCCGTGAGAATGATAGTCAGGATTATGAAAGAGAAATTGACTACCCTTGAAGTAGCTAACTTTGAACACAGATGCACCCGATTCCGTCGCTGCACCCTGCAGCTTAGGGCTGTGGATTTCTATGAATCCCTTGGCACTAAGATGTTCACGGAAGAGATCCCCAACTGCGGCCTGGAGCTTGAATACAGCCTGATTTGTTTGGGTCTAGAGAGAAGGGTTCTTCGGATTAAGTATGAGACCTAAACGAAGGACAGAGAATCTTACACGAAGATCGAGTACGCGATTGTTCAACCGGGTATCCAGAAGAACTTTATTAAACTGTGTTTCGGCTGCTTCTACTTCAGCATCACCCCGAGAAGCGTCATCTAAAGAGAAAGGCAGTCTGGCGTCCAGACCAGCAACGAGATGGATCTGTACAGGCAGGTAAATGATTTAAACGATGACAAGAGATAATCAACACGCACCTGGAACAAATGCACTTCGACATCTGCAACGCTCGCACTTTTGATCAGCTCCGGAGTCTTCTTGACGACACCCTGGACGAGCACGATACTCTCGTCAGCTAAGCCAGCCGTCCATTTAATCATCTGCTTGGAGATCTTCTCTGGCGTCATAGTCACAAGGGCTTGGACGGAATCGGTCCGTTGGCGGAGGTTTAGGAAAACCATCTTGTTTCCTTGCGCACGGGACGTCTGCACGCGGGCTCTGAACAAGACAGTCTCTCCATCACGCGAAGAAAAGGTCGATATCTGAACATATTGTCTACGGGGACGCGATTGCGACTGATTGAGGGGCAAAGGTCCGTAGAACTCAGTAGCAAAGTCCTATCGATGCCAATAACATCAGATAGATATGTTGTGAAAGAAGCATATTTGCGTACGACTTCAGCCGCAGATTTCTGCATGGCTAGTTGTTTTTGTTTCGCTGCCTTTTCAGCTGCCTTTTTCTCCTTTTCTGCAGCTTTGGCGCGTTTCTTAAGTTCGCTTTTCGTTGGTCCAGATGATGCGTCGACGACTCTGTGTGGGTGGGTAAGGAATGGCCTAGGAGAGCTCCGGATATGACTTACTGTTCTGGAGTAGGTTCTGCCATGATGAACAATGAAACGATTCGGTACTACTTTGTTCGGTACGAGTCAGGATGAATAAAATGAGGTGTGATGGAGGACTGATCTGGAAGGGTCCTGATCTGGCCTTGATAAGCCTAGGCCTTGTTATCTTATCTATGATCGGATGAAATCGCCGTGTGTAACAACGCGATGCCGAAATTTGCCGAAAAACGGACCCCGAAGGAACATTGTTACTTAAATTTAACACAAGGCCATATTTGAAGTTTTACTCGCACCATCATGCTCGTCAGTTGTGTTGCCCGTCGTTCCTTGGGAAATAATACCCTTCGTTCTCTTTCTACTTGGTCCGCTGTACCTGCAGGTCCTCCCGACCCCATTCTCGGTGTGTTCTTACGTGTCACCATTTAACACTACCTAACTTTGACCTGGTGGAAATGTACAGGTGTTTCGGAAGCCTTCAAAGCTGATAAGGATTCCAGAAAGATTAATTTGGGTGTGGGAGCCTACCGTGATGGTGCTGGGAAGCCATATGTCCTCACCAGTGTCAAGAAGGTTCGATTATTGACGTGATTCGATGATTTCTCCAGACTTATGCGTACACGTATACAGGCAGAAGACCTTATTGCCACTAATCATCCGGACAAAGAGTACCTTCCTATCACTGGTCTCCCCGAGTTCACCAAAAATGCAGCCAGGCTCGCCTACGGTGCTGACAGCGTACCCCTGAGCCAGGGTGCAGTATGTTTGTCCTCGTGTCCTTACCGCGTTCCGTATACTGAATGCACCCCAAGATTGCTGTGACCCAGTCGATCTCCGGAACGGGTGCCCTTCGTATCGGAGGCGCTTTCCTGGCCCGTCACTACCCCCACTCCAAAGTTATCTACCTTCCCACTCCTTCTTGGGGTAACCACACTCCGATCTTCCGTGACTCCGGCCTTGAAGTCAGGAACTATCGCTACTTTGACAAGAGCACGGTTGGGTTGGATTTTGAAGGTTTGAAGGCTGACCTCAAGGTATGACAGCGCAAACGTGTTTCGCCTCTTGTAATTTACGCGACTTTCCAGGCGGCTCCAGAACAGTCGATCGTGTTACTCCACGCTTGTGCGCACAACCCCACGGGTATCGACCCAACACCAGAACAATGGAAGGAAATATCCGACATTGTCCAGGAAAAGAAGCTGTTCCCATTCTTCGACATGGCGTACCAGGGCTTCGCTTCTGGATCTACTTCGCGTGATGCTTTCGCTGTTCGTCACTTTGTATCACAAGGACATCAAGTTGCTCTTGCGCAATCTTTTGCCAAGAATATGGGCTTGTATGGCGAGCGTGTTGGCGCGTTCTCGTTGACGACCGCTGACCCCGCTGAAAAGGCTCGGGTAGACAGTCAGCTCAAGATTGTTATCCGACCTATGTACTCAAACCCCCCGATGCACGGTGCCTTGATTGCCAATGGTATTCTCAGCGACCCTGCATTGTATTCCGAATGGGAGGCCGAAGTCAAGGGCATGGCTGACAGGATTATTTCCATGAGAGAGAAGCTGTACAACATGTTAAGCAAGGATCTCAAGACTCCTGGCGAATGGGGCCACATCAAGAGCCAGATCGGAATGTTCAGGTGCGCTCCGTCTTTTGAGGGTGGGTATCACCACATGCTGAAATGTTCTTGCAGTTTCACTGGTCTTACCCAACTCCAGACCAAGGCTCTGGCTGAGAAAGCTCATGTGTACATGACTGCTGACGGACGTATCTCAATGGCTGGCTTGAATGCCGGAAACATCGAATACTTTGCAGAAAGCGTCGATGCTGCTGTCAAAGGTAACCTGTAGACGAAAACGTACTGGTCGTGTATAGAGGATTAGCCTATCTCGCGAGCGTACGGTCTTAGAAACGTTGCGAATTGCAAATGAAATTTATTTGGCAATAGCCGCCACGATCTATTTGGAAAGGCGCGCTTCGATTTTAGCTTTGTAACGCGTCAAGCTCACGTCTTGTCTTCCATGCATCACTGATTGACCGCTCAAGCCATGGACCCTCTCCAGATACCGTCGACGGTCGCGACGACGATGACGACGAGCGTTCGCAGTCCGTCGCCAGCAATACCTCGCGCATGGCCCCCGACGCCCTTGCCCGAGCGTCCTTTTATCTCTCCTATCCTGACCCACACCAACGCCCAGTCTCAGCATCTACCTGCGTCTGCGACGTCGCCTGAGCCTTTGCATCTTGACCGTGTATTGAACTTTCATCAAAGGCTCTCTTTGGCTCTGTCTGAACCTGATAATGATACCAAGAAGCAAGCCTCTTTTACTGTTACTCCATCCCGCCCAAATGCATCGCCCTCTATGCCCTTAGATGATTCGAATTTGATGAAATACAATCTAGTACGTCCATTTCTGCTTCGATTATGAGCTTATTAACATCAGATTCCCCTAGAACGATACTTCACTTTCTGTGGTGGTAAGTCGCCCACTGCCCCATACGACGTGGCATTTATATTTAAAGCCTAGGATATTTCCGTTGCTACTTCCTGCACTTCACCAATGACCCCGGAGCGCGTCCTGGACAAATCGCCGGATGAATTATCACCTTCATCTCAAATCAACGACAATATGCGCATATATGAAGAGAAAACTCGGAATCATGCGCCCAGCTCAGAGCCGGATATTTTGTTCGGTGCTAGCAACCCTGATCATCCTAGTGCATCGTTCTCTGGTCAAGATGCAGCGTCCAACTCATCTTTTTCGTCATCTCCTTGCCCGTCACCGACCTCCCCAAGCTCATCTATTTTTCCTCCTCGAAGTAGAACCCAAACGAACTCTTCTCAAGCCTCTTATGACCACCCCAGTTCACTTTCTTGCATGACGTCCTCTAAAGAAGACTTTGGCGTTGTACGTACACGCGAAGCTTCCCGATCTTTGTCGCCAAGTCCATCGGCCCATGCTTCACGGTACAATCGAGCGCTAACGATGCCCTTGCTCCATACACCAGAGCGTGTCTCACCCTCAGTAGAAGAACTTGCTCCGCCTACTATACCTATGCTAATAGGTCTTTCTCTTCCCGGTACCCCAGACAATAGTGTGAGCATAGACGGGAATCCTTCTTTGAATGGCTTCCTCGCTTCTCCTCAATCCGACGTAAATGATCCCGAGTGGACTCTTGCATTGTCTGCAGTAACTCCCACTCCCACGACCTCTGTACATGACACATCACCATCTTTATCTCTGTCACCAACATCATCGTTCAGAGCGCAATTAAACCTAGATGCGGCTGAACATGTCCTTAATTTTCCTTCACATAATCCTTCATTAGTCGGTGTTTCCGTAGAGCCGTCTCCAGCCATTGGAATGTCAGAGATTGGTTCGCTGGAGACTGGCGCCGCGGAGTACGCTGCAGCCGTCATGTCCTCTGTGTGGAGCTCCGCCAACCCTTCCCTTGACCCTACTGTCATCGAGACTACCAGGGTTGTCGTATCAGACAACAATAGCCGTGGCATGCATGGTGTTGCTTCGGACAGACCTGCTCGTGGAGGGTCCCGCCAATCATGGAATAAAAGGCGAGACATATTGCTCAAGTTGAGGAAGTTCGGGGGGAAGGTGAAGCAATTATTGAACAGAGGTGCTGGACGTGAAGATGGTAGGAATGAAATTCCTCGACCTCGCAGTGCTCCTTTAATGAGGACACCCTCACCTTTTGGTATCCCTACTCTTGATCTTGGTGATGACGAAGGAAACGTGAGTTTGAAGGTTCATGATGATCGTATCAAAGAATAACACGTTTCTCTCTTTTTTTGACAGCATCGCATACATAGATCACGTCCTAGTTTGACCCCACATACCTATACATCCGTGAACGCCAGCGCTTCTGGCTCGAGTACACCCCAACTTGCCATTCACGTCTTACCACCCAGTGTTCCTACCTCCCCGTATACAAACAACCATGCTGTGCCAAAATCCGAATCAGACGTCGTCGCGAACGCTGAAATTGCAAAGCATGCTCGCCCCAAAGCGTCAGCTGATATCAAGTTTGGCCACCGATTTTCTCTCTCTGCTATCACCCGTCTCACCCGTCCTTCTTCCCCATCTTCGGCCTCTTCAGTCCTTATATCTCCACCCAAACGAAGACGTCATGTTTCTGCCCTTGCTTTGCCCTCAGTGAGATCCGACAGTTTTCAGTTTGACACCCAGAATGTGTCTCTACGGGACGCTGATGTTCCAGTTTCAGTGGTTCGCCCAGACTGTCGAAGCATCCCTGCAAACCTACGTGCTCCTCCTGGTTTAGATGTTCCCTCCAAACGGAGAGTACCCAGTCCTGAACCTGTCGCTGGACCGTCTCGCGTTCATTTTTCACTTGACGCGGAGACGGCGAAAAAGAAGAGCCATCGCCGCTTTTCTTTGTCGGCCCTCTCTGCTGGACTGAAAGAAGAGGGTTTGTGGGCTAGACACTAACTAAATGGGCATCGAAGGATACTTTATCAGAATACATAGAATAAAAAGCATGATAAATTCTAGATATCCAAGTCCTCGTCAGGATCATCATCGTCAATGTCATCTGCAGAATCTGGATCGTATAAGATAGACCCAGCCGTTGGTACCTTCATCTCCAGCATTTTACCTATGAACCGTGAACATATGTTGCATACCGTAAGATATGGGCGTACCTTCATGAACATATGGCAATGGAACTTGTGACCTTGCTTGTTGTTGAGAGGGAGTTAGATTCAGATTGAATGACAGATTTTGAGTCGGATCTGGAGCAGCCTAGCCAAATGCAGATGAGAGCTGAGGAGAAGAACTAGAATAAAAATGTACTTCTTCGACCCGTGCTTTACAAAATAATTTTTTCAAGCTTTCCATAGCCGTCAGCTGAACGGAAGAGCCCTGCATGACGTCCCAACCTTCCAGAACCCTCTCTACAGCCTTCCGTCTACCAGAGGGATCACCTCCACCTCGCAAGATGACCTCCACAACGAATTCCCCGCTCGCACCAGAGCCCTCACCGTCTGGACCAAATATTATGCGCTCCAAATCAGATTCTCGCTCGCTCACAGGCAAGAAGACACCCCAGAATTTTGGTTCCGGAGAAGCAGGTGGAGGCGGCGTAAGATACTCCGTGGCGAGGTGAGTAAGGAGCGCGGGGGAATGGGCAGTCAATTGGGCTAGGGTGGACGAGAAGGAGATCTGTACAAGCAATGGTAGAAGAGGACAAGTATTTTGCAAGTGGACGGTCAATCGAGAGGAGCCTAGGCGGATGATTGAAATTTTATGGGATACTGAAAGAAGACGTCGACGTACTGGTCCGCGCCAATAATTGAGACAGCAACCCGCGAAGAAATTTGTACGACTCTGCGACACTACCAACATCGGACAACAGGGTGTCCACAGAGTCAATTACGACGTGTAACTGTTGTGCAGGGCCTTTGGAATGTTGGAAGGCTACCTTATGGATTTTAGGGCAACAACTCACAATTTTCGACGGTATTCGAGATAAAGTCTCTTGGATCTATCCAATCATCATCGTAACCTGGTACACTGGATATACGGTCGTACGCAGTCAAACTATCGGCGTCTCGATTGATTAGACTTGAAGAAAGGTGTAGGAAGCAAAACAGGAGTGTTTCGCAGATAGGCTGCTCTTTATTGCCTGGAAACGTTTCAACGACTTTACGAAGCAAGGGTAACGCTGACTGTGAGACAGAAGACTGGAGGATCACTAGAGAATGACGGTTGGATTGAAGGATGTCTGGAATGAACATGGTGGAAGGACAAGCTGGTCATAGTGAAAGAATGAAATAGAATGCCACATATAACCCAACTACATAACCGGTACAGTACGATTACAACTACTGGGCTCTTTTCTCCCATTCCGACCTTTCCAGGACTCTTTTCCTCGGCCTCCATTTGAATGTGCCAATTGGTTCGAGGACCAAGTCTATTTTGAATCCTGCAACAGTATAACAAGGTCCGGTAAATTTGACCAGAGGACTGTCGATGCCTTCTATACGCTGAATGGTAGGACTAGACGTAAACGCATGACGGACAGCATGTGCAAGAAGATCATCCTGAACGCCGGTAGACCGGTACTTTTCGTCAACAGAGAAGTGAGTAATCACAGCGGTAGAGGGACTCTGCTTCTTTTTAGCGTCCGGATTGGAGTTGTGATCGAGTGATGCATCGACAGCAATCAGTCCGACAAAGCTGTCGCCGTATTCAAGTAGCCAAAAACCGGAGGCTGGGGTACGAGAATAATAACCAGCCAAGTCGTGCATATCAGGCTTTCGTAGGATTGTTTGCAGCACTTTTTCGAAATGCGGTCGATTTATCCTATATAACCTGGGTCAAGAAGGAAAAGAGTATGTTTGAAAACATACTCACCAATCAGCCAATGCTAAGATGGGTACTGCGATGCAAGCGAATGCTGGCAGGGGCTTCAAACAAGAGACATAGCCGTGGTGGGCGTTAGGCCACCATTGCATATATTCGATCCAGATGCAAGACAGGGCCACCCATATACTAATAGTCAAAGGGTGCAGCCAGCCTAATCCACTGTAAGGTCTGGTAATCCATCGCAGCTCTGCCAGTGAATGCACTCACTTTTGGTGTTCGCCGTCGTCAGCCCCTCCATATTCGCCTTCGCAATGGTGAATTTTGCAAGTTTCTCATCTTCTGCCTTGAACGGGCGTATACGTGCAGTGGGTTCGACCATGCTGGGCAGAGCAAAGGTAGGCAGAGCAAAAGTACAGGCGTCGTCAAGCGCACGTTTGTCAGGTGGGTTCGGGTAAATCCGAGTCTAAGCCAAAAAGCGGAATGTGATCGGCATGTGATCTCTCTCTCCCGCCACCCATCATCATCATGCTCATCACAAAAACATTCCACGATATCCCTACCAAACTCGACGCCAACGGTCGTCCTATCAGAATATTTATCATATCGCCTCTTGTGCAGAACTATCCCCACGCAAAGTTTCCTGGTCAGTCACCCAGCTTCCTATCGCGATCGATCCTCACGTTGTGTCCAGGCGTTGTTGTCTTTAGTGAAATATACCAGGTCACTGGGCCAGTTGAACGCTTTGCTGGACAGATTGCCAGTCAGGGATATGTCGTTGGTAGGTAAAATAGTGACATATCATGATCGTCTTTGATTACTATTGCGTTAGCATGCCCCTCCGTTTATCACGAATTTGAAGGACCGGAGGCCATTCCATACGACGCAGAGGGTGCGTGTAATCCGACTATCCCCTTAACCACGAACAAACATAGGTCTCTAGGAACCGACAGAGGCAACAAATATAAGGTCTCGATAGTCCTCCTCCAGTTCGTGTTCGTGTTCCCATCTCATGGATTCATTTATTAGATCGAGAAGGAAGTAGCAGCGTATGATGAGGTATATTTCTAAAATCGTCTGATATCCCTTGATCTGATAATAAGTATTATAGGACGCAGCCCTTTCCATCGATCTCCTTACGTCTCTCCCCAATTGCAATGGGCGTATCGCAGGTACCCCTCAATTCGATCTTTCAAATCTGTTCTTCGTCTGACCATTCTTTTCCAGCGACCGGGATGTGCCTTGGAGGACACCTTGTACGATGACTGAGATTAACCTAATGAATCTGCCTCATGCCCTCCCAACAGGCTTTCAGAGTATGATTCACTTTTCTTCAACTGTCGCTCCTTGTAAACACAGTCATTAGGCTGCGTTCGATCCTCGCGTGCGGGCCTCTGTGTGTTTCTTTGGCACCGACATCCACAGTGCGACATTGGGCAAGGGAAAACAGGATGATTCCTTGATTCGCGTTCGCAACGGCGACATGACTGGGAAAGGCGAACTAGTGGTTAGTTGTACTTAATTGTTGTCGACATTTCAAACCTGATGCTCGACTGTCTTTAGATGATCTTCGGAAAGCAGGTGAATCCTAGGTGATTCCCATCAGCTGCCGGTTATTGATTGTATTCCAGGACACTCATGTTCCTCGCGAGGGGCGTGATCTCATACGAAAGACGCTTGATGACGCCAATGTAACAGTCTCGGTAATTAGTTTCTCCTGTGCATTCCTGCAATGGTGCTAAGACGCCACTCAGTTTATTGAAGTTCAGGCCCAACACGCTTTTGTCCGGGATGAGAAATCTAAAGGACGCTGGGACGCCGCCCTTACCAGGTCTCTTTTCGGCTTCATGATGGAAGTATTCGAGCGTACAGTGGGCCGGGATCTTGGACCAAAGGTCGAGGATACTCAGCCGCTTCAACATGTGTGTTGAGTTGGGAAGAGAGGTACATAACGGTTGCGAATTAAAAAATGTTCTAACGAATACTCATCTCTTACTTGTATGAAACACATTCGGATTATGTTCCTAAATCATATAACAATGCATCCATTTCATTGCTTTTGCGGCGTCTACATTATTAAAAACACGCGGCGTTCAGCCGCTGACTACTATGTTGGCCTCACGCCGCCAGCTTCGTTATCGTGAATACAATGCTTGATGATGACAGTAACACAGGTGATGAGTATGACCAACGAAAGAAGTAAAAAGAGAGAAACTGATAAAGGAAAGATACAGTGCTTCTACTTCTAATTACTTCTTCTTGGCGGCCTTCTCGGCAGACTTGGTCACTGATAAACAGAGTCAATAATAAATACAGATAAAAGCAGAGGTATGTCTTACCCTTGCCACCCTTTTCGGTCTTGTCAACGGACTTGATGATGCCGACAGCGACGGTCTGCCTCATGTCACGCACAGCGAAACGACCGAGAGGAGGGTACTCGTTGTAAGACTCGACACACTGAACATAAATGGTCAATATTGAGGTACTCATGAAATGGGGAAGAATCTCACCATGGGCTTGCTTGGAACAAGCTTAGCAATGCAAGCATCACCAGATTTGACGAACTTGGGGTTGGCTTCCAGCGATTTACCCGTTCGGCGATCAATCTTCTCAAGGAGTTCAGAGAACTTGCAGGCGATGTGGGCAGTGTGACAGTCAAGAACGGGAGCGTAACCGGCACCAATTTGACCAGGGTGGTTGAGAATGATGACCTGAGCGTTGAAAGAGGCCGCTTCCTTAGCCGGGTCGTTCTTAGAGTCAGAAGCAACGTTTCCACGACGAATATCCTTGACCGAAACGTTCCTACATTTGAGTCAGCAAACAACGTGCACATAGGCAGTCAGCTTTCGACCTACTTGACGTTGAAACCGACGTTGTCACCAGGAGAGCCCTGCTCGAGCTGCTCGTGGTGCATTTCGACCGACTTCACTTCAGTAGTGACATTAGAAGGAGCAAAGGTGACGACCATTCCGGCCTTGATGATTCCAGTCTCAACACGGCCGACGGGAACGGTACCAATACCACCGATTTTGTAGACATCCTGAAGGGGCAGACGAAGAGGCTTGTCGGAAGGACGGACAGGGGGTTCGATGGCATCGATGGCATCGAGAAGGGTCTTACCCTTAACAACACCAGCCTTGGTCTCCTTCGTCCAGCCCTTGTACCATGGCATACTACAGAGAACGTTAAGAAGCGGCATTAGGCATCACATGGTCGCGCTTACTTGACGGACTCCTCCAACATGTTGTCACCGTGCCATCCAGAGATCGGGACGAAAGCAACGGCCTTGGGGTTGTAGCCAACCTTCTTGATGAAGGTGGAAGTCTCCTTGACGATTTCGTTGAATCGGTCCTCACTCCACTGGGGAAAAAAGTCAATCAAACGAAAAAGAAAAAAAGGGGCAAATTTCGTACCTTGGTAGTATCCATCTTGTTGACGGCAACAATGAGTTGCCTGACACCAAGGGTGAAGGCGAGAAGGGCATGCTCTCGGGTCTGACCGTCCTTTGAGATACCGGCTTCGAACTCACCAGTACCACCAGCAATGATGAGAATAGCACAATCAGCCTGGGAGGTACCGGTGATCATGTTCTTGATGAAGTCGCGATGTCCGGGAGCGTCTATGACCTGTCGGAGTAAGCAGATGAATATCAATCACGGTCGCTGGTGCTGGGTGCTGTGAGACTGACCGTAACCATGTACTTGGGAGTCTCGAACTTCCAGAGAGCAATATCGATGGTAATACCACGCTCACGCTCAGCCTTTAGCTTGTCCAAAACCCATGCTATAGAGACTCAGCATGAAGGGTCGGCTCACACATCCATCATTACGCACCGTATTTGAAGGACCCCTTGCCGAGTTCAGCAGCTTCCTTCTCGAACTTCTCAATGGTACGCTTGTCAATACCACCGCACTTGTAGATCAGGTGTCCTGTTGTAGTCGATTTACCGGAATCGACGTGACCGATGACTGCAATGGTTTAGTGCCTGAGCCCAACGACCAGGCGATGGTGCATCGATAAGACAACTCACCGACGACATTAACGTGAGTCTTTTCCTTTCCCATTTTAATAGATTCTGCAAGTAGGGAGGAACGTTAGCGTCATAGATCGCACTACATCGGTCCATATGCGCAGAAGAAAAAATTTTATGTTGTTGCCAGCGACAAGCACACGACAGAGATGGGAAAATGTAGGCGATGTCTAACAGAAGAAGTGATGTCATGTGAGGACGAGGCACTTACTTTAGAGGTACAACAAGTTACAAGGGAATGAGAGATGGTGGTGGAGGGGAAGGAAGAAGGTAGACAGACAGGAAAAAGATGTTTGGTCTTAATTATACTGCGAGTCTGAAAAATTTTTATCGATTACAGCCAAATTTGATCAGATGGCTGATAAAAAAGTGTGACTAATTATGACTCCGCATCGCCGATATCGGCACCGTCCACAAAAATAAAATGAAGATAATAACTGTTTTCTGGTACAACAGTCAAATCTTTACCGTGGTCTATGCGCTATCGATGAGTCTGTCTAACAACGGCGAGAAAGAGAGAGAGGTAAAACAGCCCAGTGAGTCAGAAGTGATATAGATGCATGCATACTACAGGATTGGGTGTCGAATGTAAATTATGTTGATACAATGATTGGTGAATACATCTTCCTTGGTAGAAGTTATCCATGCTGTTTTAGTTTCGATTAGGAATCGCAAGACGTCCATCCACCGTTGCCAGCCAGAAATCGTGACTGGAGAATTGTCTCAAATGTCGGCCGAGCCGAAACTTGCAATCGTAGACAAGCCCTGACAAGTGCAGCAGCATCTCCAAGCGCACCGCCGCCATCCTGTTCTTCCCCATCAGTCTCCCTCTCCTCGCTACACCTCTCGTCGAGCGCCATAGAGGCGCTGGCAAACGGGGAGTCCAGTCCTTCCTGTGCCTCAGCCGCAGTCATAAACGGACATTCTCCAACGAGCAAAACATATGCAACAACTCCAAATGCCCAAACATCTTGTTCCTTGCCCTGGTAGCGTTCGCCACGAAGAATTTCTGGACCCGCGTAGTCAAGACTGATTAAAGATAAGAATTAGCCTCGAAACAACCTTCAGACACGAGAGAACGAATACACACGTTCCACTGAAAGAATCCCAGCCATTTTTTTTGACCAATCCGGAGCTACCAAAATCAATCAGGATGCAACGGCCATGTGGTCCCAGCACAACGTTTTCATCCTTTACGTCGCGATGAACTTTTTAGAGGTCACCGTCAGTCAAGATATTTTCAAATGAGCCAACACTGACCTATTCCATGCGAATGAAGGAAGCACAATGCGTCGGCTATCTGACCTAGATAAGTGCGAACAGAAGCCGGAGGAAGACCTTGAGGGTAACTCTCGACAAGATCAAAAAGATCGGACGGTGGCGGTGGATCGTCAACGCCATGTTCTGGTGTCGATGAGGGAAGGACGAGATAATAATAATGACTATCCTCGAAAAAATCTAGAAGAGGACAGATGTTGGGATGACCTTTGACGGTCTTTCCCTCTACCCAGGCATCCTCATCAGAGCCTGACTCGGTCGGATTATGGAGACATGTGAGCGAATCGAACCGGCGAGGATCCCATGGCCGTTTCGATGGCAGTACATAGGATGTATTGGATATGGCGGACATGACGTAGATTTCGATGGGAATGGTACCGTGTTTAGGATGTTTCTTCCAACAGTCGGCCAGTATACGCGACTTGATCACTTGTTTGATGACAAGAGGCGGCTAGAAATTGTCGCAAATCAGATCATCGCACAAAGTCCGATAAGCGGATCTTACATACCCCCAGAGAGCCATCGTCCAGAATTTCCCGTGCACGCTTCACCAACCCGTAAGCACCACGTCCGATTTCTCCTTCGATGTGAAATTCGGAGATAGTCCTTTCGCCAAGAAACGACTCTTCCGATGACCTGGCAGGCGAAGGAGCTCGTGTGCTGGAGGCAACACTGAGCAGACTGCTGGTGCTGTCTGCACGGTTAAGCGATTTCGGTAAGATCGGCGGCGGCGAAGGGGGTTCTATAGGCGCAATTGACACCCGCCCGGCAATCAGTGAAACCCGTTGCTGCGATGAGCGGCGCCGGGGCTGTGGTGCTGTGGGAGAACGAGACGGGGTGGGAACTTTGGATGAACCTGGGGTGGTCGACAGCAGTGGCGACGATGAGCGGGAGTATACTGATGGCTCCGTAGAAAGGGTGGACGTTAGTATACCGGGGGGAGTCGAGGTCACATTGGTTACGAGACGCATAACCTTTGCGCTGTCTGGAACAATACCGCCTGGTGTCTTTCTGCCCAGACTAGCTTCGTCGGCTTTTGGAAAGGATGGTTCGTATACTGACTGTCGAGGCGTCTCTTTCTGCGGCAAAGCGTCGATTTTTTGCTGTGGGGAGCCTTTCTGCGAGAAAATGGACTCGGACGCATCTTCGTTCTGGTCCCAGTCGAATCCGCGACCAATTGAGGTGACGCCCCAGCTACCGACGCTGGCAGCTCTGTATAACCGTGCAGGGAGCTGTGGAGTCCATTCTTCGCTATCAAAGGCCAAATCCAGTTGGGGCGGGGCCGAGAGCATAGAAAGACTGAAAATATTGGCCTTGGTACGTATGGTATGAGAAAGGAGATGCAAGAGGGAACGCCTTGGTGGAGGAGCAGAGGAAGGTCTTGTTCTGAATGATGAGGTAGTAGTTTGGCTTTCTCGGTGCAGTGAGACCCCAGGTGATCCCGGCTCTCGCCCACGTGGGTTCCGAAATTCCTGACTTTGTCGTGGAATACCTGCGAGGACCATGTCATGGAATGTCAAGGTGGAACGAGAGTAGTCGTGCTCGTTCTCAGTGCTGAATATAGCTGGAAAGATGGCGATAGTTGTCTGATTACAGGTAAGAAGCCCGATAAGTATTACTTGGACAGTATTGTTAGAATAGAGAAAATCTAGCTCACCTATCGAAATCTACATGGTGGAAGATAACAAGAATTCTCAATGACCCAGGCGTTCGCTTCGCTAGCCTCCAAAGCCTCTAAATTGCCATCCAAGGCGTTCTGCGTCCGACTTTACCGGGAAAGGACCAAATCGCCGTCCCCGGGGTCCCATTACGTAATCTTGCACAGCAACCTGGTGTGGGATACACACGTCCCCCGCCTTCACTTAATCCTTCAAAAACACTGTGAGTGTCTCCTCCTGCTGCCCACTTTTTCTCCTATGTTGTAGAATCATGACCAGAGTGCCAATTCGATGCGTTTGATATCAATTTCAATGCGATTGGCGGATGGATTCCTTTCTCACAAGTTGGATGACGCTCTGGGGACAAATTTTCATTTTGCTTTCGGACACTTTTGGTTCTGGTTCTGGTTCTGGTTCTGGTTCTGACACTGCTCTCGTAGACCGCCATGGCCGTCAAGATCCCTATTGTCAAGAAGCGCACCAAGCCTTTCAAGTTTGTATTCTCTATGCACTCGAAGAAGCGATGTTAAAAAAAATGCAATATGCAGGCGTCACCAGTCAGATCGTTACCACAGTGTGAAGGAGGCATGGCGGAAACCCAAGGGTATTGACAACAGGGTGCGACGTCGCTTCAAGGGTCAAACACCCATGCCCAAGGTAAGTTCAGTCTGCATTTCGTGTCCTTTGCGCAACCAACCCTACTTTGTAGATTGGATACGGCAGCAACAAGAAGGTACACACACCCAATTGAGCAACTTTTGCAGCTAATGTTACTGTAGACTCGCCATCTCCTTCCCAACGGCCTCAAAAAATTCCTCGTCAGCAATGTTCGGGAAGTCGAGCTTCTATTGATGCACAACAAGAGCTACGCTGCCGAGATTGCCCACAACGTGAGCAGCCGAAATCGCACAACAATTTTGGAGAGGTCCGTGTGCATTTTACTTGCCCTAGTTTTCTATCTTACCTGCTTATACAGGGCCAAGGTTCTGGGAGTCAAGGTGACGAACCCTGCTGCCCGTCTGCGGTCGGAAGAGTAGAGCTACTGTCGTTGTCGTCGTTTTGCGCCTTTCATATTGACATATATTCATCCAATTTTCCATGCGGCAATAATGACATGCGACTTGTTGATTTAGTAGTGACCTAATTTAGATGTGTGATCCTTAGCTTTGATCAGTATCCCGACAACTACTACTACTCATCAATGTCTTACGAGTTTGTTCCTTTCTGTCTGGTATCCCAAACATCTCACCTTCATTTCACAGAAACGTTCGTTCTGCATCTCACGCAGGCAGCTGGTATCCTGGCGATGGTAACGTCGATACTTTCTTATGATTCGAGCGATGAACTGGAGACTGAACAGGCACCATCCTTAATGACGAGCTCAGTGGCTGGCTTTCTGCGGTGAACCCAGATGAGCCTTATCCTATCCAAGGCTGTAAGGCCGTCATAGCGCCGTATGTCTCTTTAGCTGCTCTTTGAATTGAACCTGAAAGAGCTACAGCCATGCTGGATACGCCTATTCAGGTCCTGCAGCTGCCTGGGCATACAAGAGCATCGATACCAAACTAATGTAATTCTCTCTCCCTACCCATCGCACAGTCATTGACGGCTTGGTAGTAAACGGGTGTTTATCCTCGGTCCCTCGCACCACCTGTACATCCAAGGTTGCGCACTGTCGGGGTGCGAGCAGTACGATACGCCTATTGGGAACTTGCCTTTAGATCTCGATAGTGCGTTCCCCTTTCTTGTCACCTACTGATGCTGACGACGGCGCAGCGATCCAGGAACTGAGAGCTACGAACCGATTCGAGGCCTTGGCTCACGAAGACGATGAGGCGGAGCATAGTCTTGAGATGCATCTTCCGTACGTCAGGAAGATGTTCCAAGGGTGAGAGGGTCCATAGGCTCCCAGAAACGGTCTTCACTCCATTAGCAGGAAAGATATATCCATTGTTCCTATTGTCGTTGGCTCCGTTACCAAGGAAGAAGAAACAGCCTATGGTGCTCTGCTAGCTCCCTATCTCGCCCGTGAAGACACCTTTTGCGTCGTATCAAGTGACTTCTGTCATTGGTACGTCCTACGTCAGCCATTTTTATCATTATTTTATACATAATCTAGGGGTACTCGATTCTCATATACCTTCTATTATCCCTCCTCGACACCGGGGACGGCCGGAGTCCGTTTATCCCGCTCATCGTCGACAAGTACGAACCCTATCCACACCTCCATCCGTCAACTTGACCACGAAGCAATGAATATCCTCACGCTGCCACCAGCAGAGGCGCACACCAGGTTCGCGGCATACCTTTCCAAGACCAAGAACACGATATGTGGCAGGCATCCTATCGGTGTACTGCTGGGTGCTATGGCGACACTGGGGAAAGAGTCGAAGCTGAAGTGGGTACGTTATGAGCAGAGCAGTGCTTGCGAAACACTGAGGGACTCAAGTGTAAGTTATGCAAGCGCATGGGTGACATTCTAAGTATGTGTGTATAAATACAAATTTAATAGACGTCATCTACAGACTACTTGTAACGCCAATCACATTCAAATTTTTGCTTACCATTGAACCCACTGGTTCGTTTTTCTCATTCTCCGAGCCCGGAACACCAGGGTCGTTGACAACGCGTCCTTTGTCGACCTCAATATCCTGAAAACCCCAATCTCTCAAGGATCCTCCACTGAGATGAGAGCCATCTGCTATCTTGACCCTGGACCAAGCATTTCCGTCCCTGTGAAATTGACTCAATGAACAGCATCCTATCCTGATGGGCATGTTCCTCTCTTCGCTGAGTAACCTCACCAACGCAGCGATCGTTGCTGCATGGCTCACGAATAAGACCCTCTCTGCTTTAGGTCGAAGAGGTAAAAAGTCCTGGAGGAAGGATTCAACACGGACATGCACCTCTTCAACAGTTTCGCCTAGTCGCGAGGGGTAGTGAATACTATCCCAGTCGGTTGATATCTGACCTGGGAAATACGGTTCGAGGGAAGATGCAGGTCCAGGGCGAGGATGGAGTCCTGTGTTCGGCTCGACGGGAGAATACCATTCTGAGAGGCCGTGTTCAACGTAGATAGGGATACCAAGGGCAGCAGAGACGGGAGAAGCTGTTTGAAGACAACGGTCTAAGCCATGGATCAGTGAAAATGAGCACTGGAGCCAGAAACGTATATGCACAGTAAGGCGAAGAGAAGATTGCTGTAGGCCGTTCATCCTCTGGCAGCGAAAGGAAGTATGACGCGCATTCCCGCGCCTGCGCCTGTTCCAATATATTATTATATCGATGTGTATATCTCGAATCCAGAAGGAATACCTCGCCCAATGCAGCCAGGGGAGGATCCCTCGGTAGCCCAGTTGCGCTTTTCCAGTTGCTTATGACCCAGTTCATTCGGAAGCCTTCAACCCGTTCAGAATGGACCACTAGATCGGGACGCGATGCTTACCATGCCGCACAATGTAAATCTTCTCGACCATGATGAGGGTGATAAAGAAACAGACGGATGTTTATGTTATCAGATGCCAATGTATATATAACACAACGTGAGGGTCATACCGGGAGGGCACAATGAAAGTATTACACATTAGCCATCTCTTAAGCGGTGTCAAGTATTTATTTAATTCCTAGTTACAAGGTAGCTGAAGACTTACCGTTGAGATGTTACAGTGTGGAAGATTAAAGTAAACTGCGTAGAATAAGCATATCGTTACTGGCATCCTTCTTCTGCAATAAGTCGAATCGACGGCGAAATTTTTTTAAGTAAACTGGCTCGCACCAGCAGTTTACCGTTGACTGTTACTATACACAGTACTGGGCGTAAGGATCCGGTTAGTTCCGGCGTATGTTTGGCAAGAACTTGGCACGAGTTTCCCCACGACCTCCTCAATAGTCGACTCTCATGATACAAAGCATTACTCTGCGCTTGCTGCGCGGAGGAGCTCCTCGTCTGCACGGGCGGCGATTTGCGTCGCATGGCACCCCTCAGTACAACGAACCTTCCGGATGGCTCTTCGGTGAAAAGGTGGGTTCCTATGCTCGCCCGTTCAGAATACAACTTAATCGTTGAACAGCCTCCCCCGCCGGGCCAGAAGCGAGTGAAGGAAGATTGGGAGAACATTTGGTACATTGGGATGTTTGGTACAATGGCCTTCGCATCGGTGATGCTGTACTACAAGCCTGACACAAGGTACGTTTCGCCTTGACATCACTCTGTTAACACTACTTATCAGTCGCACAACAGTATTCAGACATGGGCTTTAGAAGAGGCCAAACAACGAATGGAGGCGCGTGGCGAGAAGTACAAATACGAGCCGTCACAGAAATCATAGTCTTTCGACTCTTAATCCCAATTTCATTACATGACAACGGCTCTGCGCAAGAAATAATATAATCTAAAGTCTATGTTCTATATCCGAGCAGTTGAGGCCCTAGGACGTTGTGCGAGCTTTTCAAGATTCAATGTTATACTCAGCCTTATACTGCTCCTCCGTAAGCAACCCTTCTAGCTGGAATTATGTTCAGTCAATGGCGTTGCATAGGAGAAATAGGATGTACCTCAGACGGATCCGAAATTTTGATTTTGCATAGCCAACCTACAATGATATTACTTCGGAGCCAACGGCCAACTGAGTCACCGAACACACCTTTCTCTTCAGGAGATTTGTTCAACAATCCTGGCTGAGAGGCTAGTGCAGCGTTGATTTCCTCCACGAGGCCAGAAACTGGGGCATACTGGTTGAAGAATTGAGTAAAATATCTCTTCAACGAGTGAACGGTGGACATACGATATCTGACGCAGCCTTGACACTTTCCACCGCTCCTATATGGCCTATGACTTGCTGAGTATCACAAAAATCCCAAGGAAGGGGCCGCATACCTCCTTGCTCCACCTCAGTCCCTATCTCAGCCAATTCCACGAAAACGACATCTCCGAGAGACGATTGAGCGTGGTTGGTAATGGTCACAATGCCAATTCCCGTCGAATCATCATAGGTGACGGTTTCGTGATCCTTCGTGTAACGCTTTGCTATCAAGATTTCAGAAGCAAGAGACTGCACGGCTCGACAGTGACGCACTAACGAGAGTTCGAATGAACTGAGGTCGAACGCAGGGCCTTTGGGTTAACGGTGCTGCTAACCTAATGTTGCGTGCCAGAGAGTACAGTGGGCCTGCCTTGGTGACGTTTCGGAGGACTGATTGCATCGTTGAACAGAGATAGAAACGCAACAAAAGGCAGCGACTACAGTAAAAATTGTAAAAATTCGAAAGCCATAAACGGACACCGGAACACCGCTTCTATTCATTCCCGCTCAGATTCCAAATTGTCGGACTGCCCGTAATTCACCCACTGCCTTCCTATTACTGGACTACAGGTTCCCACTATCTACATATAGATCGTTTTTTGAATCCGGTTTGCATTATACTTTACAGAGATAATGAGTGGGGAATGCAATGAATTCAAGTATAGGACGGTATTTGTCCTCTACTCTTTGGTCTCAACCACGACACCGGTGGCGACTACAGCGACAGTAAGAATCAGATCTTAGACGAAAAAAATGAGGTGACTTACTAGTTTTGTGGCCCTCACGGAGAGTGAAACTAAATCAAAAGTCAACGGATTCGTTTGGTAACCGTAGCAGGCGCATACCGAGACCCAACCTCCAACGCGACAGACGAGTGGAGATTGCATTCCAGCTCAACGTTGTCACCAGGCATGGCCTAAGAGGTTATGTGTTCAGATTCTATTATGGAAAATTTGGTAGAGGAAGTCACCATCTTGGCCGGGTCGTCGAATTTCAGTTCAACCGAAACGTCGGCAGTACGCAAGAATAGTTGAGGCTTATATCCGGAGGTAAAAGGAGTGTAACGTCCGCCTATAAGAGAGCAGTTAGGCGAGATCAAGTAGAAAATGGTGGAGATAATACCTTCGTCTTTAGTCAAAACCTAAATGGCATGGTTATGAGGTATCATCGAAGACCAATAAGACCACGCACATAGATTTGGGCCTTAAAAACCTTAACGGCCTTCATGGAACCAGGAGCGATGATGACTTGGCCGCGTTTGACTTGTTCACGCTTTACACCACGGAGCAGAGCACCCATGTTATCGCCAGCCTCGGCCTGCATCTCCTGTGAGCATATGAACTTTCAATCACCTGCTGACCACTCACCCGGTCAAGTTCTTTGTGGAACATTTCTGCAATTACGAGATGAGGCGCAGAATTTTTGGATGAAGCCGTCATAGAGCATACCAATACCGGTAAGGGTAGTCTTGAACGATTCACCCAGACCGAGAACCTCAACTTCAGTCCCTTTGGAGGCAACACCGCGTTCAACCTAGAGTGGAATGAAGTGGCACAAATTCAAACAGTTGATAGAGGCTTACTCGGCCAGTGGCAACGGTTCCACGTCCGGAGATGGAGAAAACATCTAGATTTAAACTTAGTATTGTGCCATTGCGGCTGGTAGCAGAGCCATACCTTCGACAGGAAGTAGGAAAGGCTTCTCAAGGTCACCTGTAAACATGGTCAACGAGTCTGAAGATAAGGAAAGGGACATGACATTACGAAGAGGGAGATCCAACCAATCGTCACATGCTTGCACTAACTCGACAATCTTCTTGGAACCTATCTCTGGGTCACGACCTTCCAAAGCAGCCAGCGCGGAACCCATAATTATTGGAGTGTTTTCGCCATCGAAATTGTAAGTTCCAAGAAGGTCTCGCATTTCCATATCAACAAGCTCCAACATTTCCGGGTCCGAGATTTGGTCAACCTTGTTAATGAAGACAACGAGTTTCTTGACACCGACTTGACGAGCAAGGAGAAGATGCTCCCGTGTTTGAGGCATTTGACCGTCAGTAGCCGACACGACAATGATTGCGCCATCCATTTGTGCAGCACCAGTGATCATGTTCTTAATGTCTAAGGCAACAGTGTCGATATTCGTAACAGTAGAAGAGTCAGAAAACCTACAGTCAGCGTGGCCGGGACAATCTATGTGCCCGTAATGCCGTGTTTCCGTCTCGTATTCGACATGAGCAGCGTTGATAGTGATGCCACGAGCTCTTTCTTCGGGAGCCTTGTCTATCATATTGTAGTCGGTGAACTGGGCACCTCCCTTCTCAGCAAGACACTTGGTGATGGCAGCAGTGAGAGTAGTCTTCCCATGGTCGACGTGGCCTAAGAATATTGAGACGAATGAATAGATATGCGAGGAAGATGCATGCCAATCGTTCCAATGTTCATGTGGGGCTTGGTCCTATTGTACACTTCTGCATAGCCTCGCGTTCCTGGGTGACAGTCAGTCCCAATTGTGAATACGCTGAATGCTAAGCGTACCCCAAACCAAGGGAGTCCAGGAAACGGAGAGTTTTGGAACCAGACGACGCGAAGTCGCATTGAAAACAGCAACTGAAGAGCAGCACTAAGTGAGAGTGCACAGAATGATTCATGAATGTATACCTCGTGCAGCGAGCAGCCCGCAAGAGGCGCCTCTTGAGGCCGCGAACGGTAACATGATAGACGGGGAGAAAAGGGGAACCACCGTCGCTGAAATTTTGACCGCCGGAAACTGCCGATGTCGGCCGGCGGGGCGGAGCCGGGCCAGCTGAGAGCAATTCACGCGCCAGCGACACGGCGTATCCAATGTCTACCCCAGACCGTCAAGAGCTCCTGCGAAATGCCGTCGCTTTCCTGTCTGACCCTAAAGTATGCTTACCATCCTCCCGACTTGCTGCTCTGATGTACGGAAATGCAGTCTCAAGCCTCACCGCTGGCTCAACGGATTCAATTCTTGGAGTCAAAGGGTTTAAATTCACAGGAAATCGACCTTGCTCTGCGCCAGTCATCTAATCCATCAGCTCCCATTTCTTATCCAGCATCTTATCCGGTGTCTGCATTTCCGGCTGCTGCTTCAACACAGTGGGATTGGCGAGACTATTTCGTCTGTTGCTAGATCATCACCTTGCTTCACTTTCTGAAATGAACGCGTCATAGATAACGGCAGTCGTGTCAGGAACAATAACATATGGTGCAGTTGCGCTGTTCAAGGTGCGCTACTGTTTTTGTCTTAAAAAGCTAATAGTCAATTGCTTCTAAAGAAATATCTCTTACCGCACTTGCAACCACCTAGCACGACGGCATACGAACAAGACCGGGATGCTCTAAATGCCCAGTTCGACGCTGCTGAGGCCTTGCTCAAAGAAATACAAGCGGAGACGGCACTTGTCAGGGCTGCTGTCGAGGAGCAGAAAGAGAAAGTTGACAAAACGACCAAGGATATAGAGCTCGTCGTTACGGAGATGAGGGGAAGTGAACTTAAAACACGAGATGAGATGCGTGAGATTAGGGATGAGGTCAACACGATACGCGAGATGCTTCCAAAGGTATGTAAATCATGTATTGCTCTCCGTTGCTGATAATATTATTTTTCGCTACAGATGATCGACAGAAACAAGGATTCACAAACCCAATCTTTGGCAGAGCTTCAGCAGGAGTTGAAGTCGTTGAAGGCTCTATTGTTAAGTCGGGGTCCTAGTATCTCCAGCTCACCGTCGTCCCCATTGCCGACACCTGGACGTCCGTCAATACCAGCCTGGCAGTTGGCAGGTGCACCTTCGCCATTAGGCTCGACTGAGTCGTCTACACCATCGTATATGCTACCCACTGCTACTAGTAATGGGAAAGGGAAGGAGGTGGATTTGTCACCGTCTACATCATAAAAGAGTTCGCATATGTAGACCCTGTATACTCGAATTCACGTGATGTACATTGCTTTTAGTCGGTGACCAGCACTGAGTTCTCTTCCTTATCCATGTTTTCTCAGCTCCGACATGCTGTCGAAACATTTGCGCCACAACCACGTCGCAGTCTCGACGGCGACGGATCTGGCCAGCAACACGAACCGCATTCTCGCTCAGCCTCACTCGACTTGGCGGGGCGCTCGACTTCTCCTTTGTCGTCCAGTCAATTAGCAGAGTCGGCTTTATCCAATCTTCGCAAATCATTTGCACCTCCACGCTCTGCTAGTCCAAGTACTTCACCCAGGAGTCCAACTTCCAATGTCGCCCGGGACCATCTCCCAAAATCCAGCCTTGAAGAGCGTCTGCGCGCGTCTTTTACCATTGGAGATGTTTCCAATGGCCCTACTCCAGATGTCTCTGCTAGGGCATCTCCAGCTCCTCAAGCGCCTGCCATGGAGCATCCACTGTCTCCCTCTTCGACTCCTCTACCAGATTCTCCGCCATTACCACCGGTACTGGAAGAAACGCCAACGGAACCTGAAGTCCCCTTTCAGCCTCTTATTCCACCTTTAACTCTAATAGAGAATGAACCACCCAAACGCGAGCGTCCTGCCGAACGAGACAGCGATGCTTCTCCAAATACAGTACATATACCGGAAGAGCCTATACCACAAGTTCCGTTGCCTGCTGAACCTGATACCAAATCCATACCAGATCCCGCTGCAGGAGATTCTGTTACGAATAAGCCCGTTGCAGAAGAGTCAGGACCCGTTACGGAGGAGCCCTTTGCTTCTGGTGAAGACGTTGATGTTGATGCTCTTCAAGACAGGCTCAAGTTGGTTGAGCAACGCTTTGCGGGCGAGTTGCTATGTTTGTTATGACTACTGTTCAATGTCAACGATATACCTAACCTTAGATGTTTCAACGTCATTGAAAAGACTTCAAGCGGAAAAGTTTGCTGTGGATGCTGTTCTCCGAGAACTGACCCCATTGGAAACACTCAAAGAGAGTGATGCTTTACGAGACTACTTGCAGAATGTGTCAGTGAAAGCAAAGGTGATTTCACTTGTCCATTATGTCACTGTTTCATGTACTAAATAACATTTCCTATGCAGATGTCTCAGGAGGAAATCATGCGTCTTGACGCGAAACTTGAGAGTAAGGTATTTCTACTTGAGAGGATGATGATACTGAGATACGACATCTCCAGCCCAAGACGAGCGGATTGAGGAAATGAGAGATACTCACCGCCTAGAATCAAAATCTCAATCGGAACTCATCCACTACCTTCGCTCGCAGCTGAATGAATCCGAAGTCTTGCTGAAAGCGTCTCAAAGTTCACTTTCTCAAAACGAGGACGACATTGCTAAGCAAAAGGCAGAATTAGACTCGATGCAGGCAGAGATCGCTAAGGTCAAGGAAACAGCGAAGGACGAGGAGGAGAAGCGTACGAAAGCTATCAGTTTGCTAAAGACTGTCCGTCAAAAGCTAGTCAAATCCGAGAAAGAGAAGGAAGAAGCGATGAAGCAGGCTTCTGCTCTTCGAGAACAGGAGAAGGAATATAAAGACAGGGATGCGACAGAGAAATTTCGTCTTCGGAAAGACATCGATGCTGCCAATGCGGAGAGGGAGAAAACGATAGCAGGATTGAAAGTTCAATTTGACAAAGAGATCGCCGCTCTTAAGGATCGATATGAGAAAGAATTGGCGACACAGAAGGGGCAGTTTGAGCTAGATGCTGTGACCACAAATGTGAGTGGACCTTAGTGCTACAACTACCTTGATGGTTGACTGTCTCCTCGAAGAGTTCTCATGCCAAAGAACTTTCGGCGAAGAGTTCTCACATCATCCAACTGCAATCTTCTCTCGAATGCCTAACAAAGGACAAAAATTCTCTTTTCGATGAGCTGCAGTTGCGGCAAGCAGAGCTTGAATCCTCACAGTCTCTGCTTGAAGTGACTCAAGGCCAGAACACTGAACTTCAGTACCAGTTGCGAGAACTGGAGGACCGTGTCTCTTTTCTGAATGAAGAATTACTCGATGCACAGCAAGGGCTGGAGAATCTACCACGCGAGTCTGGGACTTCTTCTGAAGAGGTCGCTCGACTACTGGCGGCCACTGAGACCAAATACGAAGCTAAAGTCACGGAATTACAGCGCGGTATCTCTATTATAGAGAAAGAGCGAAACGACACCGAAGCCGAGTGGAGTCGCAAACTTCGTGAAAAGATGAAGGAAACTGAAGAACTGAAGCGCGCGCTGGGAAAAACAGTGAAATCCAAGGAGCAAGATGAAGGTGTTGTGAATCAGCTTCACCAAGACATTTCTCAGCTCCGCGAGGAGCTTGATACGCAACGTAAGCAGACTGATGAGCTGCATTCGCAGCTGAATCAGACCCAAGTTGCCGAAGTAAGTGTCAACGTACTTGAATGTGGCTTTTTGATGATCTCATTTCAATTGCAGAACAGCGCTAGATCCCACCAATCAGAATATATCGCAAGAATAACTGCATTGGAACAAAATGTGGAGGAGGGTAAATCTCGAGAAGCCCAGCTTCGAGTGAGCAACAAGGTATCTTCATTTCATATTCGATCCTTCCCGTTATTGATTTCTCGTGTGATTAACTAGACGTTGCGCGAAGAGCTGAGGAAAGTCCAGTCGTCGGCTGCTCTGTTAGAGCGGCAACGCAACCCCGGCGTCGGCTACTGGACGACAAGAGGTGAGAGCGTCCAATCGGATGCCCGATCACCTCCGCCATCCCAGACCCCTTCGCCTACCAGTTCACCCCGACCCGACTCGGCCATGTCCAATAAGAATGACGAGGAGGTCAACCTGGAGTATCTTCGTAATGTTGTTCTGCAGTTCCTTGAACACAAGGAAATGAGGGTCAGTGTTCCCAGAATATTTCTCCTCTCTGTCTAACAGTCGCTGCATGCAGCCCAATCTCGTCAAGGTGCTCTCCATCATCTTGAGGTTTACACCGCAAGAAACACGCAGACTGATGGCCAAGGTCTAACTTCCAAGACCGCTATATTTGGCTGGGAAAAAATGTGGCCCCACGTCTGCTGTTCTTATTGTATATACCACAATAGATCCTATATACTTACTGCGCTAATGCCGGAACTTAGAAAATGCCAACCCTGTGGAAGTGGGACAATATAATATTAAATGAGCCTCATCCCCAGATAGACAGTGAAGACACGGTGATATTATGTATATAAATAATTAGTTGTATATGAAGGATGTCGTGCCTTGGCAAGACCTGCAGTGGGCAGGGAGTGATGAGAGGCCAATCAGAGGCGTACGATGTTTTTCAGACACACTCACCATAGACCCAAGTACTAAGGATTATCCCATATACTGAATCGATGATCTCTCCACAAACGATCCACGATGATTCCGCTGACGGACGATGGATAGTCGGTGGTGCGGGATGTACCGTCAATGAAAAGGATAGATACATTGCAATGAATGTCTCTCCAGGGGCGCACGCTATGAAGGCATTAGTAAGAGATTTATCAGATAGAAAATGGGCTTCACATCACACTCGCGACGTTGATGCGTGTCTTTAGACAATACTGATAGAGGGACCCGGATTCAAGCACGAGGGTGACTGAATCAGACGGCTGGATGATGGTAAAGGCGCCGCCTTCTCGTCCGTAGTCCCTCAAGAGTTGAATTGAAACACAATCGGATGTGTCGTTGACAAAATTAATGAGAACATCATAGCTCTGGGAAACGGAAGGCATGAAGGTGGGTGTCGTTTGAGAGAAAAGGGTGATAGGTATTCGGGCTCCAGCACGCTTGGAAATGAAATGGCGACTCAAGAGTAGATGGGCGAGGAGAGAAGAACGGAGGCAAGGCAAACAAGTACAAGGGCTCTTCTTCTTACTACTTGCTGGAGAGAATGTGGCGCTCAGGTTACGGCAATGCTGGCGGAGACCAAGGAACAGATTGGTTACGTTGATATGGAAAACAGAGAAGGCGGAAAGAATAAAACGATAGAAAAGTGGTTGCCATAAACATGAATGACTGTTGTCAGACTGTTGACACAATAATACAGGGCGGGCAAAGACCGAATTGGTCCAAATGCTGTATTGTGCCTCCTAGGGTCCATTGCAAAGGAAGACAGGCCGGCAGCGAGACACGGGAAGCAGGGGGAACCAGAACACGCCAAAACAATGAGGCGCATTGCACGCCTTGGAAGCCCAGAGTGACCTTATGGACCTTGTGCCAATGACTGTGGCTGCCACGATCATAAATGATCTGCCGGCCCGATCTGACGCTTGTACTACATGTTGACATTCCTGACTATCCCGCTCGTCTCTTCATCTACGACGTCTTCCTTGCCAATCACCAGTGTGTCGATGCCAGGCCCAGCCGTCCAATGCCCATACCTGCAAGCAGATTACCCGCGAGGCTGCCAATTACAGGGCGTACGAACACGAGCACCAAGTAGCGGTCTTCATTTCCAACGTACCTGAGGCCCATGCCTCCAAAATTCTGTTTACGGATGTCACAGACGACGGAAGAATTATCAGCTACTCTGATCAGGCGCGTTCCCCACGCATCTTTGGTGCGGCATCCTGTTGACATGCAGGCAGACGGTACCAGTCTTATGCCTAACTTATCTAGCTTTGGGAAAAATGACCCAGGCTCCCCCACATGTTTGACTGCAGGTTTGAGGATCCAACTCGTGAGATCTATTTCTCCAAGGAAATATTCATTAATCATGCTGTCTCATCAGTTCCTGGCGCACGGTTGTCCCTACAATTTAAGCTCGCCATGTTTCCTTCCAGTTGCATTCCTACGAACTCTTTCTCGATCCTCCAACCCAAAGCGTTGTCTTTCAGACCATTTTTCCCGAGTCTTTCGATTGTTTGGTCGCGTCAGACTCAGTAAGATGATGCAGATACCAGTCTTTTCACACCTGACCTTACGAGGTGTTACCAACATCATTTGGATCACCACATGAAGGAGTAATTCAATGACTCCAACCTGCAAAGTTTTTGTTATGCTCAAGGTAACAGAATGGGGTCCGAAATCACTGATCGATATTTCCAGTTTCTAGTCTCGGGTCTGCCGCGGGCCTGTGAAAGCTTGTTTTACTCGGGTACAGTAAACTGGCTAGCATGTCTCTTGCGTCATGTTTGCGCAGTCTACCGTTGCTAGAGTATTTTGCCCTATCTTTTGTCACTATTCGCGAATTACGAAGCGCGTTCATCATCGCATTATCTGCCTCTGTCGTAGTAGAGAAATCCAACGCTGGGTACACAATCCTCTCTCGGAGCAACAGAGGGAAGTAATAAATTGTGTGATAAGGTCGAGGTTTCGTTTCTCTTTCGCCAGCCTGCGCGAGAAGTATTTCTCACCTTCCGCGATACGGTACTGAATGTGCGGTATATTAACTGCCATGTTATTATTAGCTCGGGCTTCAGGGTTTTCACTCACATTGGGACCGTGGTAGCAGAACGAAAACGTGTAGAACAGATCATCAGATAGTACAGTAAACAATATCTCTTTGACAACTATAGAAAAGTCCGATGGTAATATGTAGATGTTCAGCTAGCCCCATGGTTGTTGAACTTTCACTAAACGAGGAGTCTTCCTCCGAAATGAGCCCTCGGCTGCACAACTCCTTTAGCTGAAACCACATTGGACATGAAAAAAAAAACATCGACAGACCAGCTTGACCGCCACAAATGCTGCCCAGCTAGAACCATCGCTAGAGCGAATCATGACTGACCCGGATGAGCCTGTGTAGGAGCAGGCTTTTCACCATGAGGTGATGGTCCCCCATAGAACGAATCGCTATACTTGGGCGTTGGAGTTTCGTCTGTCATGTGGGCATTTGCAGGCTGTGGTGGATACTGTGAATAGTTGTATTCAGAAATTTCATCCGTTGGTCTTCGCACGGGCTGCGCCATGACATCAGACATGCTCATATCACTAGCTTGTCGAGTATGGCCATGTCCATATGGTGCGTCAGTGGAAGGTCTAGTGTCCCAAGGGTCACCGCGGGTATTCATAGGAATACTATCATTGAATGCGTTTGCAGAGTCGTTGAGGGCGTTGTACTTGGCATGATCTTTCTGTTGCATGGAGCTATACGAGCACAAGACCACATATAAATAAACCTAGACACAGTTTAGTGAGGATACCGTGATTCGAAATATGACGCACATGCACAATGGCGAATAAAACCCACAACCCGCCCATGATACCTACATCAACCCACGGGAAAATCTGGCAGAGGGTATCGGCTTCTGATGCTTGGGCACTATCGGAAGTATCATAGAACTCGTTGGTGCAATTTGACTTGGCGGTAGAATGACGAGTTGCAGAAATAATTGTCCAAGCCGCTGCCAGCGAGAAAACCGCGAGGGTCATAATGGTATGGAGGCTCAGGTATCGACGAAATAAAACAGATTTTTCCTGAGATAACTTGGTAAGAAACCGGAGGAAAAGCTGCGAACGGTCGTCATTTACTTTCGCGACTGCGATGAAACCCAAAACTTGCACAGCCGCCGTGACGAGGCAAACGATTCCGAATAGCCACGATGCAAATGAGGGAGTGGCGGCGCCGACAACTGGTTAAAATATACATAAGGGGCATACTGAACTACCTAGAACAGGTACTTACTAGACGGCGTCACCATTGAAAGGATGCCTACGACAAAAGCGGCGACGAATTGCTCCGTCAACGCAGCGTACATTCCGGCATTGATGAGAGGAAGGGCGCAACAACAGTATTCTCTTGGCTTCATAGTGATAGTGGATGACTCCTTACTCGTCAAGAGAAGGACAAGCCAACCACGAACGACTTGAAATGAAGAAGATGTGGTGGTAGGAAAAGGAGAAGTAAGCAAGACGACGGCTACTGTGCAAAGCGATGCTGCACCAACGAAGTATTTACACCTGTTTTATCTCGTCCTCTTATGGCAACCCCCATCACACAGCCACACTTGCACTCGTACCTCCATGTTCCGTTCAACCTTGGTGTCGTTATTCCTTGTCGCTGCTGCTGCAACGATGGTTCTGTCCAATCCTGACACCCAGGTGTCTCTTCAGGGAGGTGAAGAGGCTCACACGTCGCAGAGCTGGGACTACGACGACTGCGGTAAGTAATCGTCACTGCTATCTACGACTACCAGACATCTAATTCGTGTCTCACCAAGGACTCCCATCGGACATTATTCAGTTAGAGTATATCAAGATTAAACCTGACCCACCAAAGCCTGGTGAAGATCTCACTGTGACCGTGAAAGGTTACGTTCAGGAGACAATTGAGGTTTGGCGTTATCTTCTACCCAAAGATGCGATCCTCTTCTCACCTAGCTTTTTAGGAGGGGGCTTACGCGGACGTTACTGTGAAGTTGGGTCTTATCAAGATACTACATAAATCGTTTGATCTTTGTGAAGAAGCGTGCGTCTCCGTAAAGTTCGACTTGGATCAGCACCTTATCTATCTACAGACGCAATGCTAACGCGAGCATCAGCTGCCCTGTCGAGCCTGGTTCCTACACCGTCAAGCAAACGGTGTCATTACCTAAAGAGATCCCACCCAGTGAGTTATATTTATACGAGAAGGGTCTGCCCTTATTGTGAATTCACAGGCAAATTCTCCGTGGATGTATTAGGCTACACTGTCGAAGACGAAGACTTGGTCTGTCTTAAGTTGAAGATTGACTTCATGAAGCGACCTTTCTTCAAGGTGTGGTGATTCAGCGAATGGCCTTGGGTTTTCTTCTTTTACGATCGGACCACGGTATATTATGTCTCTTGTCGTCGTAATATTGCCACGTCGTCTATGGAATCCAGTTTTTGAGCTCTTTCTTTCCTATTCTCGCGATCTGCCAGGTCATGGGGTAACAGCTAATCCTTTCACACTAGTTTTATTCAGGACGCTGCGCATGAACCGTGTCGGACTTGGTTGTCGTTTTCGTAAGCATGTCCTCTTGGAGAAACAGCGAAGTATCTGAGCAGCCGGCCGTTGTTTTTGATCCCGTTGTCGAAATAGAAGATTCTCTTCTCTGCCATATCTCGTTCGAGCATGTCATTGCCACACGATCCACGTATCAGTCGCCTCTTGGGCGGCAACAATGAGTTGCAAGACGGGCCTTTCCTGGCTCAAATATTGCAGGTGGAGGCCCTTCGAATAGGCCCTTATTGTCGTCGCCTGAACCCGGTAGACAATTAGCAATGCTGCCACTTTCGGCGAACAATTAAACTGTTCTTCAAGATTCCAATGTTACACCTTCTCACGGACTCAGAAATGGAGCGGTTCTCTGTCTAACTCACCCGCACTCTGTTCCGTCCTGTGCCCCTACTATCGCTTCGATGCCAACTAGCACTGTACCATACGAAGTCCTCTTCGACTTCACCAATGACACCAATGACTTGGTAACGGTGCAGCCGATTGCGCAGAATGATGGAATCAGTTCAAGAGGCGCAATACTTTTGATGAAGGAGGGCGATAATGTATCTTTGGTTCTCACTGCCGGCTGCACGTACCAATATGCCCTTCAGCACCGATCCAAGAAAGCATATATCTCGTTGAGTTATCTCCGACTCACGTATCATATTCTTGTGCGCTGATGACAGACAATCTTGTTAAGGGTGCGTACATGGCAAGACTTGCTCTGTACTACTTCCGTGATATTTTCCGGAACTTTACCATCGACGCGGCTACAAGCAGCCCATGGAGTGAACGTCAGCTGCACCATCAGTAGGGAGTAATGATCAATCTGTCGAGGTGGGTAAAGTTTCTTCAAGCTTGTATCAAAGATAATTAAATTTCGCGGCACTATCAAGTTTATGAACAGGGATTGACGTTAAACGTTTAAAATTATTGCCGTATGACAGTTAGGAAGGACAAGCCTTGACATATGTAACGTGCACTTCTCGATAGCACTTTTACTATTCCATAATCCAAGACCGGGCGTTTTGTACTTTTGCTGCACTCCTAGGGGAAACAAATTTAATCGTCGTTTGCATGAAAGCTCAGGAGAAGCATACTTGAAGATGTCCCAGAGTTCGGTTTGGTTTTTATAGATCGCATAACCTACCCATCATGTCGGGTGACATTCCTATTTAATGAAAAGGGATGCTTACTTACCATCATTTGGCGATGCACCGTCAAGAATTTCATCGGTGTACTTAATCACACGGTTCCCTTCGATTAGATCCAGCTGACCCCACTGCCAAGGCATGATACTAAGATGTATCGAGTCAGACGTCTGAAATGGCGCTGATGAAGCAGCACGTTTACCCTCTAAGCGGAAGCACCATCAGCATATGGATCCACTGCCAAAAAAATAATTGCGCGATACGCACGAATGCCCCGTTTTCAATGCTAGGTCTACCCATGCGGGATAGATGTTTGTTTTATTGGCTTGGACGTATCAGTACGAGGAAACAAACATCGTGGCAGAGACTCACCGATTCCGGTAACACCAAATTCCTCCAATACCAGCGGCTTCTCGACTTGACGTATAGCTAAAGGTCACTGAGAAACGTATTATTTGAGTAAGGGCACGGCTTGTATACCGTTTGAATGTTGGCTGATCCAATTATGACCCCATTGCTTTACGGTGAAATTGGACCCCGGTGTGTCCTTTGCTCAGGTATCAGAACTCCGAGCTCCCGAACTAGAAGAAACCCACCAGTTCTGTATACCTATATATAGATAGACTCCAGTGTAGGCTCTCAGCTTCGATGGGAGACATCTCACCAAGACTGGGGGTACATATGCTTTCGTGCACGCGTTAGAAAGGGGAGGCTATAGTCGAAACTACCAAAGACTCACATACGTTCCGAAGTCAATATTGTCGAAAGTCAGGTCGAGATCGAAGTTTTCCCCGGCTGAGAGTGTGTGTAAGTGTGGGGCGAGTGATAAGCGAGGCGTTAGCGTCGAACCTTCCCCATTATAGTTGTAGTCAGAAAGAAAACTTCCATTATACCAATAGTATTTAGGCTTGCTCCAGTTGAACTGGCCTTCACCGCCAGTGGTAATCATATGGAAGGGGTCACTGAGAAAGACCAATTTTAGTGAATTTAGATAAGAATGGTTAGCGTAGATAGATCGGAGATACTTACAGGCTTCGAACAAAGTCTGCTTGTTGCTTGTACCATCTACTGATGAGCCCACTTGTTGGAACGCAATTAGGACCGCCAGGAAGATCTCCCAGACATCTAGCTTCATTCATGAGTTCCCAGGCAAATATATTCGGTGAGTCCTTGTATCTTTCTACGAGAACCTTGACGTAGCGTTCTACCGCCGATTTGTATAAGCTGCATGCAGGAATTGGTGAAGAAGAGAGACACGTACGATAAGAGGCAATAATACGAGGATCTGAATAGAAAACATCGTGTGTCTGGGATGCTCCTGTTATCCAGTTAATATAGAGTTCGCATCCCTGGAAGCGCAGAAATGAGTAGAAATGCTACGACCATGAACTAGCTCACACCATAGCCAACCCAATTATTCGTGAAGGTCAGTATGACTTTAATTCCATGTTTTCCAGCCGTATTGATGACATTATCCAAACGCTGCAGCCCCTGTGGTCCATCGTTCAATACCCATTCAGAACTATTCCACACCTGAGCAATGAAGAAAGAAGCCAAGTAGTCAGATACCTGTATAATAAGCACCCGGAAAGGCTATGATACCTGATAATAAGTAAGGCCAGACTTCAGAGCGCCGGCTAGCTCAGAACCGTTGATAGCATTAAATCCCTTCAAAACAAGGATCAAAGAGATAGATAGAACTATACAGGGGAAGCACTTGCCCATGTTCGAAGCACCTTGACATCAGCATTTTCCATTTCCTGGAAGGTGGCCTCGACGTCCTCATTTGCGGTGAGAAGCGGAAGCCACTGGAGCTGGTGAGACTTCACGTAGAAGAATAGGATAGCATCGAAAAAGTGGACTAACATAAGAATTGGCTCCAATAAATGCCTATGCTATGAATCAGACGATTTTATGGGAGTTCATTGTGATTAGAAATGCCCACAAATTGCTCATCGTCAAGTACAAAGTTTCGACCATGGGTGGTAACAAATCCGTTTGGGATCCGAGGACCCAGTGCAGCATTAGAGAAAGCAGTCCACCAAATCAAGAGAAAGGGAAACAAAAATGCTCGAAGGAATCGTAACATGGCAAAATAGAAGGGATGGGAAGACTTGAGCCTTCGGTATATATAAGACTCGGCACTTAGATGCAATACGCCATGTTCGTAGAATGGTCATCAGCCCGTTTCCTCGGGATAATGTCGGTAATTGTGCAGGTGACCGCGGTTTGGAAATCTCAGAAGCTTGATATCAGGATCAGACGTACTCCTCATAGAATGGGAGACGAAAATCTTATGGCAAGTCTGAGCGCAGTGGTAGAAAGAATCAAGAGCGAAAGGATCATTCGGAAGCTCGGTCCGACTCGGCGTGGCAATTTTATTTTTCATCATTGTTATCCACCACCGTCACCTGTACTATCAGTTCCCGCCGCATTCTTTTGGAAAGTACGCCAATTGAAGACTGTAGAAAGGTATACTACATACATCAGCTACGATGCCCAAGAGCGCCAAAAGACGGAAGGACAAGGCGGCTGATTTCACCGTAAGTTTAACTTGCATATGCAAAGCAGACATTATTGAATCAGTCTGCACATAGAAAGCGAAGTTGAAACTGGGAAAGGGTAAACAGGTTGCCAGCAATGCCATAGACACGTCGTTCAAGGCTCGTTGTAAGTCCGTGTCAAAGCCGTCGTTTGCTTGCCAATTAATGCAAAGCTAGCGATTGCCTTGCCGTCTCAGAGCATTACCAAGGACAGAGACGATGATACACCGACGACGAGACGACGTTTAACGTTGGACGAACTCGTGGCGCATACTAAACACTACGGCGCTGCAACTCGTAAAGGTACGATCGTGTACTATTTGCATACATGAACCCTCACACTCGCTGCAGATGCACTTGCAGGGTTTCGAGAGTTGTTTGAAACGCACTCCCATATTATAAATGAATCACTGACAGCACTGTTCAATACATGTGTACGATTGATCGGGGACGAGGTGACTCTCTCACCAACTGTACCTTGAAATCATTTCACCCGCCGTCTTAGGATGCCGGAGTTCGAAAGGCTCTTTTGTCTTTTTTTACTTGGCTGTTTCCCCGGATACCAAAGGCATGTCGACTTCACTGGTCACATCCACTATCTGACGAATTCTAGGAACAACTGATTCCACATGCACCGACGCTCCTACTTTTCACTTCCTCCGCGCAAACCCATATTTTCCCCGAAATTCGTATTGACGCCATCAAAATTTTAGACTTGCTCTTGATATATATTCCGGAGCCAGTCATTTCTGGATGGAATCAAGGTGGCGACAAGCATGGGTCAAGGGTCTTGGAAGGGTATCTCGGTTTGTTGAACGCGGGAACGAAGTTCGGGGAAAATGACGGTGAGAATGCGTTTTAATGGATCTCCTTGCAGTTTCCTCATAACCCCATAGGGCCCGTCAGAGCAACGTCAACCGCTAGCGTCGTACTCACTGCAACTGTACGCAATTTCTTTCCCGATAACTCCGATTCCTAACCAGTTGACCATTGGCAGTCGAAGCTAGTAGTATTACGATCTTTTGCGACATTTTTGCGTCAAGCTCTCTCCCTAACATCACATATTAATCCCCGGTGGTATCTTGCATCTTCATTTGATTCACCCGCTTCGTACGGAGCGTTTGATCAGTTGTTTCGACTTTCCTCTTGCCAAGATCAAGTGTTTGACTGTCGGGAGTGGCGTGATGAATGCGACGACGGGGATGAAGATTTCGTACTCAATGAGCCCAGACCATCATCAATGTTATCGATGGGCGGCCATCAGTACTTGCCTGATGTGCTCAACATGTCCGAAGATTTCTCGGGTTCGCATGCACCTGGGAACATCACGTTCATCAGCGTGAGTACTTTCTGCTTGTTTTATGGCTTCCAAACTAAGTTAGAGCAGAATCTAGCCCGAGCTTTGCAATCAACGCTTGTATCTACCTTTTTAGATTACGCCCCCGCTGTGTTTTCTCCTAGTTCCAATCCTCAAGAGGTTGAACTTGATCTAATTCTTGCGGTTTCGGACAGTGTTCGTAGCATATATGGGGAAATTTCCCATATTCCAGACGCGGTTAGTTGTTTCGTCAGTCAATAAAGACCTAGCCCTCACTCAGCAGCAGAAAAACTCCTCGTTGCTGGAGAACTTGACGAGTATACTTGGTTACATGACTCCGTTTTTCCCATTTCGGCCTGGAGGAAAACGCGATATCAAGGTCTGTTAACAAACCGTTTACGATCAAGATGTCATTCACCTTCCTACCAACAGATTGAACAAGCCTTTCAAGACCTCAATCTCGTCTACTGTGAACTTAGTTCGCTTCTCGTTTTGACGTCTCGAGACGCTGGGTCGCCACTACGGTCGCGACAGCAACGACCGAGTAAAACTAATAGCACAAAGCTGTCAATGCAGAACGACATAGTGTGCGACTATGTTCTTCGGGAACTATCCGGTAGCAATGTATCATCAAGCCAAGTAGCGCGTTCGTTGACTTCCGCAGCTTACACTTCGTTGACGCCTACGATGTGGTCACTGATCAATTGTCCTTCCCAATCATCAAGTGCTGTTTTCGGGGCCATTCTTGAGCATGGAACAGTCGTTTCGGCGAAGTCTGCCCTTAAGAAGCCTACGGTCGATTTTATATCGCGATTAATACTCGTTGGTGCAGTGCCTCCAAGTTCTGGCTACCAGGTGTTGACAATATGAATCAGATGAACACTGATCGCCATTATCGAGGCCACTTTAAGATTGGCCAAATATCACAACATGCAAAACTTGTTGATTGGATAGAAGCACTGCCCAAAACCCTCTGGGAACTCGGAAACACTGATCTTGCATTATCGGAGGTAAGTTTTCTCGCCGTCTAATTACCATGGGAAGCTGACGATCGGTAGACTATCTTGCGATTCTTGCTTCGACTGCTCCAACGCCAGCCAGAAGTATTGCATGAGAAGGTAAGTTTAGTTATATTAGTTTGGAGGCTGAGATCTGATATGCCTTCTTGTAGATGAGCAGGTCACTGCGCTCCAGATTTGTGCCATATTTCGTCGTTGAGCATCCGGTTCGCGGTCAAATTCCCGGGCCATTTACTAAGCTTCCTCATGGGTCAACAACGAGGCGTTTAGCACTAGACGTCGTTGCAACCATGCAATCGGCGAGTTTTACAAAGGATAAATTGTGTTTATCGGTGAGCATTGCAGTCAAAGACACGATGGAGGGTCCATATTGGACTTTGGTCAATCTATGACTCGTTATTCCCGTGTTTACACCTATCTGCAAATATATTGTACAACAATAATAATTCCCATAAAAGACGCCGGGCCCAAAAGCAAGGATGCAAGCATTCTAAATAAATTTGACGCAGTCAATCCAAAATATTCTCCGAGTTATCGTCACCTCTGGCCGGTCAGAGATGAAGATAAAATGCCTCTAGGACACCGAGAACGGCATAACGATAGCAAAATAAAGAGTGACAGAGAAAGCCAGAAGGCTCATGAAGTGAAATACCAAGTGGCGCCTTGCAGACGACCAACGCTTTCTGATGCCAAGTCTTCGAAAGCGGCTGGAGACAGGTCCAAGTCGTACTCTGCGCATCCAGTGCATCGGTCGACAACTTTAACATCGGTGCTCTTGCTTTCGTCTGTTGCCTGGAGGTTAACAAGCATTGGATGGGATGAAAAGACTAGGCTTACATTCGATATGGATGTACTTGCCACAAAGAGAATTGTCATTGGAGTTTCCATTGGTCCTGATGAAAAATATCGGCCGTCAAAACAAAAGCAGGAATAGATCAATGTCATACGTGTACTGATCGTATAGGATCTCTGACAGTGCGACAATATGGTCCGAGTCGGTACTGGTTTCGCCACAAGAACCCAAACCAGCTATACATATAATTAGATCTTCCATACGGACGCCGGCGTTTGTGGGAACAACGTACTCTCGTAGTAGGTGACTAAAGGAGTATGTGAGACTAAGGGAAGCTGTGTAGACGGAATGAATCACGTACTCTCTCCGGTATACGTGGTGCCGTCCGAACTGCCCGAGGTAGAGGTCGCCTGAGCGCTCGAAGTGGTGGGAGTTGTTTGCGGAGTGGTGGTGGTGGTGGTGGTGGCCACTGGCTGAGTTTCCTGAGAGGATGAGGTATGTTGCTCCTGGACAAACGATGAGGTGCTGGTGGACTCTGGAGTAGCGCTAGTAGCTGGAACGGCAGTGGACTCTGGAGTGGAGCTGGTAGCTGGAGCAACAGTGGACTCTGGAGTGGAGCTAGTAGCTTGAGCAGCACTAGTAGACTCTGGAGTCACACTGGTCGTTTGAAGAGGAGTGGTGGAAGAGGTTTGCTGGGCCAGTGGCGTCGACGAGGCCTGAGCTAGGGAGCTCGATGACCCCACTTTACAACGCCCGGAGTTTGCCCTGCGAGCATGTCTCCTGGAACGGGTCCGCTTGGGAAGCACAGGTTGTGGGTCAACAAGAGGCTCAGCGACGGGGGCTGGGATGCGTGCCGACAGGGAACGATGCCGGTGGACAGCATGGGACATGTGGGGGGAAGCCAGAGCAGAAACAAGGGAAATCAAGGCAAAGACAGCGAGGAAGGAGCGGAACATGCTTGCAGGAGGGGCCGAGAGGAATGAAGGACAAGGAGGGTCTTTATAGACGGGAAACTGAAAGAATGAAAGGAGAGGAAAGGAGAGGAGTTCCTGCAAGATGAACGCGAGGCAGGGAGGTTGCTCAAAGGGAACCCTTTATTTATTCGTTTTTATTAATAGATCACGCACTTTTTTTTTTCTGTCAGGGGCTGTGACATGAGGAACAAAGATTATAACAACCAGGCCCATACGATTGCCTATCAAACATTGCTACCGGCCCTCGCGGCATACATCTTCACCAGCCCATTACTGGCTGTCCCTGCCAGACTCTTCGCATATGCATCCACCTGACCCAATAATAACAGACTTTCCAGGCGACTCGGCTCCGCTGGTATTTTGAACAACCGCGTAACATCCTCTTCCGGAAGAGGCGCCTGACCCTGTGCCACCCGGGTAATGTTCTCCTCCTTGCGTTTCATCACATAGTTGTCTGCCCGTGAACGCTCTCGAGCAATTTGTCGCGACAAATACGCCAGATTGCCTTCCTCAGTTCGGTAGCTGTCAAGGGCCTCGGCTATCTGCTCTAAATTCTTGGTCAGGCCTGCTGAGCCCAAGTCCAAGACTGAAAACGAAGGAGGAAGCGCTGAATCGGCTGCCGCATATGGCGGTGAGTCGGACAGGGCAGTCGAATATCTCTCAGAGAGCGACCCGAGGAATGAGCTGAGGAGAGGGTTGGTACGGATTTTGAGGGGGACTTCTTCCATTATTGTCGAGAACGTTAGGCGGTGGCTTACTAGACTAGAAGAAAAGGGTTAGCAGCGGAAGGGCCAGGGCTATAGTCGCTATTAATATTACCTTGCTGTATTGAAGTTGGACGTCTTGTACGCATCCAAGAAGGCGGCAGTCAAGCGAAAAGCACGGAAGGAGGCGTTACCCCGCGCAGTTTGTGTTATGTCTACAAACAATCACATTACTATCCTGCTTCCGGCATGGAACATCGGGTGCGTACCATGGACAACAACTATTCCACCATGCCGAAGTTTATCATGGTGTATAGCCTGCGTGTCGACTAGATTTTGATGGAAGAATGCTCCCAGCGTCGTAGCCTGATAAAATCCGACGACACTATCGTCTGCTTGAACTTCTTTGAGCGAGCGAAGCATCGACGCCTGATACCGAGCTGACATATTTAGAAAATAAAATATCAATACATGTGACCAAGTTGGAAGGAAAAGAGATCGCACCGGCAAATTTTGAAGATTTGTCGTCCTCATCACCACTGTGATGAGGGAGAGGGAAGGAGTTGGATACTTCCAAGATGCCGTCGAGATCGAGCCCTAGCAGCAGACCATGGGCGGAAGTAGCAGGGGCCTCCCGAGCATGTTTGAGAATTTTGGAAACAACCTGGAGAGAAGACCTGTTATTCTCAGACATGGAAAATGCGAGTGCGATGCCAGTCGGCTTACCATGCCATCCAACTGGACACAGGTGAGCGATATGTCTGCCTCAATATCGATGACTTTTGACATGGATGCAGGTATAGCTTCATACGTGGGTGGTGCTGGTGTCGGTGTCGAGCTCTGAGCTGGCAGAGAGGCGGCAAGGGTCTCAGCCATCGAAGGGGCGGCCATACTTGTTGAGTGTTGACGTCGACGCGACCAACAGTGAGGGCGAAAAAAAGACAATGGCAATGGCAAGCACAGTCAAATAATATTACACTGCTTTCGGACGTGGAATCCGATGGCTGCTTACATTGGAGCATGAAACCACCATCCGGCTGCCTTTCTCCCATATTTTGTTGTTATCATGGGCGTCTCTCGCTCTGCAAAGATTACGACTCTTCTGCTCATTGATATCGCCTTTTTCTTCGTCGAACTTGTTGTCGGTAAGGATGCTTGGCTCATAAATATCAGGACCTCACCTAACCCCTTGTCCGAAAGGATATGCCGTTGGGTCTCTTGCACTGGTCGCAGACAGCTTCCATATGCTCAAGTGCGTCCTAGCCAGCTTATTGGTATAAGATTCACTGATGGATTCTTCTCTCAGTGATGTCATGAGCCTCGTTGTCGCCCTTTACGCTATCAAAGTAAGTCGGAATGGCGTTGATGTCCATCTCGACTCATTTTTTCCAAGTTGACTGCGCAAACCGATCCGGATTCGCGGTATTCTTACGGTTGGCACAGAGCGGAAATACTCGCAGCGCTCGTCAATGGCGTATTTTTGCTCGCTCTCTGCTTCTCTATCTCTCTGGAAGCTTTTGAACGGTTCTTTAGCACTCCAGGCAAGCGCCACTTCCATTCATATTGACACCCCGTTGATAGGGAGGCCTTGACACAGAGATATCGAATCCTCGATTGGTGGTCACAGTCGGGTCTCTTGGCCTAGCGTCCAATGTGCTTGGCCTGTTCCTGTTCCACGGTGAGCCACTTTCATTGAACGTGTATATTCACTGCCAATATCATGTAGAACACGGCCATTCTCATGATACCCCGCCACCTTCCACCCTAAACGGTGCCCTTGTTGCGCCCGGTGACGTCACTCCTACACAAAAAATCTCAATTCGTCGTCAGTCTCGGTCCAGATCACGCTCCCTATCACAAGATTCCTTCTCATCCATGTATGGACATCCCGCCGCCACACGCGCCTCTCTCGTTAAGACGGCACAAGAAATGGCAGCCAGGTCTCCTTCCCCAACTCGAATTCATCGAGAAAGTCCATCGCTATCAAGGTCACTGGACGCAGGTTCGCTTGCTAGTCGACATGTCAGTGTTCTGTCTCCCGACCACGCCACAGAAGAGGATTCGGATACCCTTCCTGTCTCTGGTGAAAACACACCCTTGTTAAGCCATACTCATCAAGATTGTGGCGTGTCGAGTGGTAACCAACACGACAACCAACATTCCCATGGTCATTCCCATGGTTCTATGAATATGCGCGCATTGGTTCTTCACGTCCTTGGTGATGCGCTGGGAAATGTTGGAGTCATAGCAACTGGCTTGATAATCTGGCTCACTTCTTGGAGCTTCAAGTATTACTTTGATCCTATAATCAGTTTGGTTATAACCGTAATCATATTCTCTTCAGCTTTACCTCTAGGTACTTTGGGAACATCGATTCTCTTGCTGTCTCTAACTTTTTTCAGTGCGCAGCGCGTCCTTTATACTGCTTCAAGGTGTACCATCAACCATCTCTCTTGATGACGTTCGTGATTCGATCTTGAATGTCGAGGGGGTGCTTTCGCTTCATGAATTGCATGTTTGGCAGCTGTCAGAGACCAAAATCATTGCCTCTGTACATGTTCTTGCCTCTAGGAACCATGACTTCATGCCTGTAGCGGCAAAAATACGCGAGGCACTCCATCATCACGGAATTCATTCCAGTACGATACAGCCCGAATATCTCAAACATACTCGGCCTGAAGAACTGTACAAAGTACGCCCGATCTCGTTTATTGGTCATCATAAGTCTGACGAAATCAAAAGACGTCTACGTCTTGTCTCATTCTATGCCCACCAGACCAAGAATGCAATCCTCAGGAAAATTCATGTTGCCGTGAGTACTCTCACTATTTGTTCATAGCTGTTACTCACCAACCAAATTTCAGCCCCTTCTGTCGGAGAGGTTTAAATTTCACATCGCATCTCTTATGATACAAGATCCATAAGATAGACTGAAAGATACAAATGGTATTACACTCCTACTTCACCCATAAATACAGGGAAATTTGCAACAAACGACTGAGAAGAACTTAGTCGTTGAATGATGGCTGTACCAGCATAACTATTCGCATTGCGAAGGTCGGTCGCCAACCTTCGCGCCATTGAAGCGATCGGATGTCCAAATACCAAGCGGTGTTCCCAGCGGGTCCCCCTTAACGCCAATTCGAGGTGCGAAGCCGCAGTCAGAACAGAAGAAACCGTTATGACCAATAGCTCGATGTTCGCATGGGTCTGTGAAGCGTCCACCGAAACTAGAAGGGATGGCAGCACGGTGTGCAAAAATATTGGTAGCAGAGGTGGTCCCGCTGACGACAGCGGTGTGGTGAGAACAAATGTTATGAATCTTCGGAAGGTCTCTGTCTCTGCCAGGCCAGCCGAAAGGGATAGTTCTGTCCATAAGCTCCGCAAAAACTTTGACGGCGTCGTCGTTTTTACGAGGCGGTCTAAATTAATTGACGGCGCTTTGCCAGCACGGGCCATTGCTAGAACGTTTTGGATTGCTTGTTTCGACTGCTCCTGCCATGAAACATGCATTCCGAGAGACATTGCATGCTGAATATGGGCTGCCAGGCGATTTTAGTGGATTGACAGGCCAAATGACCAAATAAAGGACGAACCGATTTCTCTCGGCCCTAGCGTCTCGGAAACAAGCCGTTGAACAGTCGCAACGTCAAATCTCACCGCGGCGAGCCGGTCTTTAGCTGCCTTCGATGCCAAGAGGGTTAAGATACGGGAACCGCAGAGAACAAGCACTGGTTTTGGACATGACGGTGACAACAGAAGAGTCTGAAGGACTTCTATGTGCACTGGGGCCATGAATCTAGGAGCACACGTGAGTTACAAGCGCCAGATTGATGGGAAATGCTGTTTCCAACCCTTTTCTGTAAATCTCTTGGAGAAGAAATTTCACTACGCCAACCAGGGTCCAGCTTAGAAGGGGCCCAGTAAAGAATGAGATGCCATTGTTCAAAGTGTCGCCATCTATTTTCCCTTCAATTCGAGAGCTGATGGCTGACGAGAACAGTGTCGCAGCTATCTTGAGCAATGTTTTGGGACGGCTCGACCTGTTGAAACGTTAAATATTAAGGAGCGATATTCAGGCATCTCACCTTAGTATCGTGTCTTCGATGCCTTCACTGCCACTATCAAATAGTGTTTTGAACCAGGCATTAAATGCTTGGGTATCTTCACTAGAGAGAGATTCATGGAGGAAGACTTGGGAGGCCGATTGGAGGAACAATCCAGATACAGTTCTATCTCCTTGAACGAACATTTTTGCGTCCAACTAGTTAACATAACATTAACGAACGACCACTCGTGTCGCGAGGAGACACGAACATTAAAGTGCGCCAACGTGTACTGAGAAAACAGAACGATGTCCCCGAGATGGCTTACTGCCGTCTGTGGATCGCCTGTTATTAACACCATTAGATTATCAGAAATGTTTACAATTCCGACGCACCGATGGTTTCGCAGTCGTAGCTGTCCACCAAAGACACTGTCTGGTAGAGGAGCTCGTCTATTTTGACATGCAAGGATACGATATCCAATATTCTGTGATGTAAATACAGTGCTTTACACAGTCGGCTTGGGGCTTCTACGTCAAATGAGTTGGACAGTAAGATGAAGCGCTTTAAATTAGTATATCAACGAGTGTCTCTTCTAGAAGAACTGGGGGACAAACCTTCATAACCACACTGGCAAAGGCAGTGTGGGTAGCAGCTTCGTTGCATATTCGGTCGAAAAGAATATGCGCGTCTTCGATTGCGAGGTCAGCGGGCAGTTTGGAATCTATGTAGGACTAGTATTACTCAGTCTCAGCTCCTTTCGGAAAATCAAAGCTCACCTCTACGTCAAATCCGGCATTTTGAGCCTCTGCGTGGAGAGGGAGCAGGGTCTTTTCAAGAACCGCTGGGTCCACGCCGAGGGCATTACGACCATCCAGTAGGCCGGTGTCCACGAGTTGACGCAGTAGTTCTCTGGAAAATGGTAGATTACTGGCAGATGAACTTACAAGTCAATAATGCACAATCGATAGATAATTGACTCACGGATGAAGGGGGTCGGATCCCTCGGCGGACGCGAGAACATGTTCGCAATGTGCCAGAATATCAGGCCGGTGGAAGATAGACATGGCAGCTTGCTTTGCGCTGCGCTATAATGAAGCATGTTATAAGTCGCTCTGATCACAAAGAGATTCACCTGCCCAGTCAACGTCAACGGTGTTATCACTGGTCATGGCCTCTTCAAATGCTATTAGGAGGGCAGGAAGCTAGGAATTTTTTTAGATGCAAAGCACGGTACAAATATAAGTTGCCTACCCTTCCAACAATAAATGCACGCCAGATGAAACAGGTCGATGGAGGAGCCTGAGAAAGACATAACAGTGCAGCTGTGAAAAGTTGTGTATAGAACACAGACGCCGGCCAGGAAGACCATCTGAAGGTCCCCACTAACAAAGCTACAGCATCAGGTCCACAGCCAGCACCGAAACGCCTTGCTGTATGAGTAACCTGCCAGAAACAATTAGATTGCGAGTATTTAAACGAGACTCAAACACTATACTGACAAGGTGATGAAGTTCCAAGCCAAAAGTAATGACGTCCGTATCAGAATTAGGCCCAGAAACATCATCCTTGCCTAAAGCGACTTGAAGCGAATGCATCATTTGGGCTTCCCTAGCAGCCTTGGCATTATCTCCAGTCAAAAAGCTGAGAGATACCATGTAGTTATCCAAAGCCTGCCTGACGACTGGGGTCAGTCGAAAATTTTGAAGGATTTCAGTGATATCTTGCAACTGGATCGATGCCTGGGTTGTAGACACTTGTGACAGATCAGACACACATGAGAGAAGCAGTATGACTAGCTCAGATGCAGAGGTGGTGAGCTGGTGAAAGTGGGTAAGGGGCAAGGCGTGTGCCGTTCGCAGGAGTGCCAATGCGTCCTGCACCGTTCCGACAATAATTATTGCTGACTCTCCATAAGGAACGACAGAACCCATTGGGGGAGAACCAGAAGAGTAGTGTGAATCCAAAGCGATGCGACATAACATGTCTAGGGTGGCAGGGTGATGCAGGTCTGGGGAACGTGCCGCTTGAAGCATAGTAGCCACGAAGACAGCAACGGGAATCATGCCGTCCTGGATGGCATATTTCAAGTATTCTTGCAAGTCTGGATTGCCAGGGTAGAAGCGAAGCATTGAAAGAACGGAGTCTGTGCGCAAAAGTTGTGAATATATGTGGCAAGACAGCAGGAGTAAAAGAAGTCCCAACTGCTGAGCGTGTTCTCGACAGCGTCCGATTCTTGGAGACCATTATCCTTTGCAATGAGAAGTCTGCATAGTCCAAGCCACTGAAATAGAACACAACTATTAGAGAGTTTGGAACAATAGCTGAGGTCAACGAATTACTTTAGAAGCAGAAATACCACTTTGAAAACAATTCCTCGTCAGCTCCGTGAGAGACATTGCTACATTAAATCTGGGTAACGTGTCAGTAGTGTCGAGAGCTAAGATTCTTCACTCTGAATCTGCCAGTATGGGGGAAGAGTAACGTCCAAGGACACGTACAGGCAGAAGGTAGGAAGCTGTAGGAGGTGAACCATGTGACCTGAGGAGACGCGTCTGAATTTGAATTTCCAGCAGTCCACTTTCACAAACCATTCACCTCGAATTCACTATACTTATATAAATCCATCTACACGATACTATAAAGCTTCGAGTCTGGAAATACTGTAGCTTCCAGGACTTCACCGGGACTTCATGGCTGGCTTGAATATAAGATTCTGATGGAAATGAAGAAGTTAACTCAGGGAATGCTGCCTACGATGCACGTGCGTTATGAGCCCAGGTCGCCCAACCTCAGTGTATATATCCGACACAGATTACTTGCGGCCTGATGATCATGCTCACTGGTGTCCTTTGCTTTCTCACCTCTTACGTGTCTGCCCGGGCTGGAGTCAATGACCAGATTGCGTTTCTGCAGTCTTCCAACTCAACATTGCTCCAGTATCCTACCCAGTTCACACAAGGCATCGTTCCCAAGGCAATTCACTCGCACAATGATTGTGCGTGTAATGTTCAGCTAATGATTCTATTGGTATTAACAATTATGATGTAGACTGGCGAGACGTCCCTCTTTTAACTGCGATCTCATTAGACGTTGCAAGCGTGGAGGCAGACGTTTGGCTTGTGAACAAGACGCTCTACGTCAGTCTTTTTACTTCGGATGTATGGTCAAGGATGTTACTTAGCACACTGAATATAGGTTGGACACGAGGAAGCGGCCTTGACCAAAGACCGGACCTTGAATTCCTTGTACATTCAGCCCTTGCTGAATGTCCTAGATCTTCAGAATCCCCACACCGATTTTAATAACGTAACAAGCGTTAAGTCTGTATCTCTCAACTATGATGCGAAATCCATCCACTCACCATGTCGGTGTCACGCAAGTGGCGTGTTTGACACTTCCAGTGGCACAGCTCTGCAACTGTTCATTGATATCAAGACGAACGGGAAAGAGTACGTTATATCTGAAATTGCAGAAGACATCGCTGAATACAATAGGAAGAGCCCTTCCCGTGATCCTGGAGACTCTAGCGCCATTACGAGGGAAAGGTTATCTCACAACATTCTCGAATGAAACGTTGACCAAGTCAGCAGTCACTGTCATTGGAACTGGTAATACCCCGCTGGACGGCGTCTTGGCGTTGTCCCCGCGTGATTACTTCTTCGACGCACCGCTAGCTGAACTCTCTGCAACCGACACGATCTGGAACGATACAATTTCACCCGTAGCAAGCACTGATTATGAGGTAGCCGTGGGTTGGAATGGTATTGGGAATATCACCGAAGCTTAACTGACGAACCTCACACAATTTGTGAATGACGCACACCAGCGCGGCATCACTGCGAGGTATTGGGACACCCCCGGCTGGCCGATCCAAGCACGCAACGACGTATGGAGGCAGTTGTTGAATGTCGGGGCTGATTGGCTAAACGCTGATGATCTGGAGGCGGCAAGTCAATTCTGACGGGCTCACTGACAAAAAATAGTCCAATTTGTCCGATGTTTTACGTTTGTACATTAGGAAGAAGAATACCAAATAGTGGTTGCAATAGCTTATGATGGATGCTGTTTAAACATATTTTTGACGCTGAGTATGTGTTGCTCATTTGGAGCAGGTTTCTGATGGCCCAACGCACCGCGCGCGAGATAAAGAGCATTCCGAGTCTCTCCAGGAAGCATCTGGCCAGCCTTGATCATCCGGTTTTCATCCAGGGCTTTGGTAGCCACCGTCGATGCAAGAACATGATCCTGTACATACATTCAGGATGCGACTGTAATCAAGAATAACAAGCAAGCCCACAAAGTATTCTTCAACCTTTCGCCCCAGTGCGATTGTCCCATCTTGACCTTTGAACCGCAAAACCTTCTGAAGATTCCACCGTGTCTTTGGCCTTAATATGCCTGTTGAATTCTGGTCCAAACTTCGTTCATGCTGGATGAAATTCTGGGCGTCGGGAGCTCCCCTTTGAATGAGCGACAAAGGCTCCTCCTGCTTGAGCTTGTCCTTCAGCATTTCCCATCCAATAGCGCGCGACGTTATTTCCCATCGAAGATCCCTGGGATTGTCCACCAGCTCTAATATTGCGACTGGCGCGTTGTCTCCTGGGCGGTTTCCGTACTTATGTATACGTGTATAACCCCCCGGCCGGTCAGCGTATCGTTGAGCGAAAGTGCCAAAAAGTTTGGGAATTAGGTCCTGCTTCAACAGGAACGCAGAGGCTTTGGTGAAGGCAACATTATTCCCTTTCTTGCCTAACGTGATTATCTGAAAGGGGTGCTGAGAGTCCATTCGCTTCTCCATGAAGCATGCAACACACCTTCTCGGCCAGTCGTGCTGCATCCTTCGCTTTTGGAAGTGTCGTTTTGATTTGTTCGTGCTCGAAGAGGGATGTAACCAAATTTCTGAAGAAGGATTCACAAGAAATATACATTCAGAGCATCCAAACATACCTCAGCATTAAATTTCTGTGTGATGTTGTTCTCGAGAACTTGCGGAAAGCGACGCCATGCTTCATACTCGTCTGTGGCCAAGCTTCAAGGCAGTACTTACGACGAAGAAATCGAATATATATTACGTAATTACCAGAAGAAGAAAAATAAGGAAGAAAAGGCAGCACTAGTAGTAAGTCCTTATGCTATCTATCCACCCTCCAATAGTGCTGTTAAATCAATAAAATCAACTCAAAAATTGTCACTGCGCTCGAGCTCCTCCGTGACAGCAAAAGTTGGATAATCGCTGACTGCCGAATCATATTTTTCTGTTTTGTTCAAAGTCCGAAGGTGTCTGGACCTAACACTCTGGCCAATCAAACCGCCCGGTCTCTTCCTCAAGTTTGTCCATCCTCACTAACGAGTCATGTCTTTCCTTCGCCTTGCCGCCAGGCCCGCTACTTTCTCTCGTCCGTTCTTGAATGTGTATTACTCTCAACGCCAGCTTCCGGCTAGGTGGTATTCTGCCGCGTCTGGTCTCACCAAGGAGGCTATCGAGAACCGCGTTCTGAGTGTTTTCAAAGGATTTGAGAAGGTCAAGGCTGAGCAGGTATGCTTTCAGTCGAGGGCGCGTTTTTACTATTGGTTTATTGGCTACTAGCTGGTACCAAGCGCCTCGTTCAAAAACCTTGGTCTTGACAGCTTGGATGCCGTTGAGGTGGTCATGGCAGTAGAAGAGGTGCGATGGAGTTACATTTCTTGTATACTTGATATTGAGCCTCGATTCCAGGAATTCTCCATAGAAATACCGGACGAAGCCGCTGATGAGATGGAAACAGTTGAGCAGGGTGTGTTAGTTCGCCTCATATATCGGATGTCGCTCATTTTTCTATGTTTCGCAGTCATCAAATACATTTCTGAGACTCCGGAGGGTGCGTACACTTCTGGTAGCATAGCCTTACGATTCTAACCTGTTGTTCAGCTCACTGAAAAGGATATTTACTTTGTAATACTCCCCAACACAATCAACACATGATTAGTAAACTTTTCCTGACATTTACGTGAGCGAATACTTGGTCATGAGCGCTATGCGTCCAATGCCTTCGGTTTGAGTGCCGGAATACCATTCGGAACATCATATCCGATCAGGAGTCTTCGCGAGTCTGATGCCTATATATGCTTGCCTCGCTCACTTGACTAAGACCCAAACAAGACGTCTTTTACCCATCCATCCATCTATGAACGTACCTCAGATCATCGTTAATCATCCTCTCTTAAAGGTGGGATGCACCTTGGGAGAAGGTATGCCATTCGCATGATACAGCTCCTTTACCGACCGCGCCGCTGACACTGAAACTCCTACAGGTCCTATCTACGACCCTACAAATGGGGTCTTACATTTTGTTGACATCCAGGAGAAGAAGGTAGATCTTGGGATGGAAGCAGTGTTGCCATCACTCTGATGCTCATCGTAGGTCTATCACTTCAACACGCAAGACAGCCAGCTAGCAGTAGATCAGTATGAAGATTCTATCACTTGCCTGGCTCTGTGTAGTACCGGCGTCTGTTTTCGCCCAGTTTCCACTCTGCAGCGTTGTTGATTTGACTTCTAGTTGGCCTGTGCAGCGTCTCAGGGTTTCGCCCTACTCGATGGCCCTACTCTCAACTATATCTGTAAGCCGATACCTGCTGATCAGAAACCATACACTCGCTTCAACGACGGAGCCTGCGACAGCAAGGGCCGCTTCTTTGCGGGAACGGTGTATTCTGAAGTACATGGCGTTCCTGGGATGTTGTATAGATATGATCCAACCGATCGTAGCGTCAAAGTGGTGGATGAAGGGCCGTTCACAGTGGGTTGCCATGATTATACCGTCACTGATATTACCAAGTATACCGTCTTGCAGGATTCGAATGGTTTGGGCTGGAGTGTAGATGAAAGAACGTTGTGCGTGTGGATCGTCTAACGAAAGTAATTCCCTAACCCGAGGATCAGCTACTTTACCGACACGAAGCGAAACATAATTTACGCATACGATTATGATGATGGCAACTTGTCCAATCGTCGTGTCTTCATTGACACCAACAAATTCAATCTTCCCGGTTTTTGCGACGGGCTATGTATCGATGAAGAGGGATGTATCTGGAGCGCTCGGTAAGATGGGCATCCCGACGAGTTACATGTCGTGATGCGAACCACCTTTTCACAGATGGGAGGGATCGCGAATTGTTAGATTCTCCTGTGAAGGGAACGTTGACTTTCAGATATTGTTTCCCACTGTGTGGCGCGTAACGGCCTGTTGCTTTGGGGGTAAGCTGTACTGGCACATATTGAACCGACTTGGCTCTGAATAAGCCTCCTAGGGCCCAATAATGACCAGCTGTATGTCACCACTGCGCATTGCAGGTTGAATGGAGATATAAATGACCTGCAGGAGAAATACCCAGACTCTGGGCATCTATTCGTTGTTGATTTTGGAGGCAAATACCGTGGCGCACCACGACACAGATTTGGTAGTTAAATATTGATGATTAATGCAATAGAGTTACATAAGCGTACGAGTCTGGTTCGAAGATACGGTAGATGCCGGCAGCTATGCAGTTGGAAACAAGGTTTGGATCGGGTCAGTGGCTTCCTCCCTTGTACGCCGCATTCGAATTACACCGCTCAACTCCTCAAGGTAAGTAAATCTGGTCTGCACCTACCCTCTGCACTGCTGAATTTTGTTTTCTTCGATATTTTAGGTCCGTCGCTCTTCTGTTCGCTTTTTTGCCAGGGAAAACCGTGGATATTGACCTCGATTTCGCAGACTTCACGATGGCCACTTTCTCTTCGACACCCATCGTAATTGATGGCAAGGGTCACCTCCTTGGTCGACTGGCCTCGATCATCTCCAAGCAGATCCTCAATGGCCAGAAAATTGTTGTGGTTAGGTGTGAAGAGATCAACATCTCTGGCAGCTTTTTCCGCAACAAGGTATGACTCCAATATTCGACACGATACGCTGGTGTAAATGTTGTCTAATCAGCTCCGATACCACAATTTCCTCCACAAACGCCACATTGTCAACCCCAAAAAATCCGGCCCCTTCCACCACCGCGCGCCCTCCAAGATTCTCTACCGGGCCATCCGAGGAATGACTCCCCACAAGAGCGCCCGGGGTGCTGCTGCCCTGGAGCGCCTGAAGCTCTATGAGGGCGTTCCTCCTCCATATGACCGCAAGAAACGGATGGTTGTCCCGGAGGCTTTGAGGGTGTTGAGGTTGAAGCCTGGTCGCAAGTACTGCACGGTCAAGGTACGTTGTTCTGCGACAGCTGGACTCTTGGTGTACTCACTGGTGTGCAACAGCGGCTGTCTCATGAAGTCGGCTGGGGTTACAAGGACGTCGTAGACCGTTTGGAGGAGAAGAGGAAAATCAAGGCCCAGGCATTCCATGAACGCAAGGTATGTATACGAGCCAGCCAAAGAGTCGTTGTAGGTACTGATTTCCGTCTCAGCTTGCTGCTATCAAGCTTCGCCAAAAGGCCACTCTTGACAAGTCGTCGTCTTTCGAGAAACTTACTCAGCTCGGCTACTAGCTGCTATACTACTTTCATGATATGTGAATGTCCATACTATGTTACTGCAGTGCTGCGTATACATCGTTTGGCGCCTTTCTCTGCTTTTTAAAAGTACAGACAGTGTGAAAAAGTAAGAATACTGAGCGTAAACCAAATGAGTAGGAGGCTGGACCAGCTGTAATTCAAATTGGTAGCCAAAAGGCGCGCAAACGCGCAGAGCCGAAAAAACACATTTTTCGCAGTCAGTCATCATTGCCCTTTCTCTCCGTTTCTCTTCCGTCACCTTCCTGTCCTCTTCTCCCTTTTTCCTCTCATCCCGCCCTCTTCCATGCCTTCCGATTCTTCCGAAAGACGTGATTCGGGTTCGTCGCTTTTTTCTCCTTGGTCTCGTCGACGAGCCTCATTTTGTTTTCCGGACTCATTTTATAGCTTCGCCACCGCAATCGCGCTCTGCTTCACCATCCATTCACGACATCCTGACCCTCCGTGCCCTCGTCAGTACCAAGGACGCAGGTGTCATCATTGGAAAGGCTGGTAAAAACGTCGCCGACCTGCGAGACCAGACCGGTGTAAAGGCTGGCGTCAGCAAGGTCATCCCTGGCGTGCATGAACGGGTGCTTACGGTTACTGGCCTTGTCGAGGCTGTAGCAAGGGTCCGTACTTTAATTTTAATACAATTGGCGACTTCCTTTGACAGTGGCCCCAGGCATACACTCTCATCATCTCCCAGCTCGTGGCCTCGAACCCTTCCTCTCCTATTCCTGCCTCGCCCTCTACCTCCCATACTTCTATCCGTCTCCTTATCTCACACAATCTTATGGGTACCATCATTGGACGCGGCGGTCTCAAAATTAAGGCCATTCAGGATGGCTCCGGTGCCCGTATGATTGCCTCGAAAGATATGCTTCCGCAGTCAACCGAGCGTATTGTGGAAGTCCAGGGTTCTCCAGACTCCATTGGGCATGCCATTGAGGAGATTGGCAAGTGTCTCTTGGAAGACTACGAGCGAGGCATGGGCACTGTATTGTACCATCCTGGAACCAGCGAGGAGCGGTCTGGCAACCGACGATCTGCGAATGGTTACTCCAGCGCTTCCCGCCGCTCTAATGGCGACATACGTGGTCATTTATCGCCTCCGACCTCTCCCAGCATGGGACCAACCACGATGTCGGTCGTACCCGCTAATCTGCGGACCCAGAATATCTCCATTCCCTCTGACATGGTCGGTTGTATCATCGGGCGGAGTGGAACGAAGATTACCGAGATCAGACGCCTGTCCGGTTCCAAAATTTCTATTGCCAAAGCTCCCCACGATGAAACCGGTGAACGAATGTTCACCATCGTCGGAACCCCCGAAGCGAATGAGAAGGCGCTGTTCTTGTTATACAACCAGCTTGAGAGTGAAAAGGAGAGAAGGGTGGGACGGGAGCAACCGCAGGAATTGCAGGATTAATCCTGATCCCTTTTCCTTGTTTGCATTCAATGCGCCAGCTGCTGGAAAGTCGGTCCAGCGTTGGCTTTGCTTGGGATCGCACCAACGTCGTCTTCCCTTTTGTCCATTTTACAGTAGTCTACGCCTTCCCCCCTCTGTTCATATGTTCCGCCTTGCTATCATCTTGAACCGCCAACCCCCCAACTCCTCGGACTGTCTTCCTCCTTGCTGTCAAAAGGCCGTTACATGCTTCCCTCCCGCGTTGCTTCTTGACCAATACTTACCGTTGATGGCTGACTACATCGTACTGCTTTTGTGCTTGTTGACAGACACTTTAAAAAGTATGTATACATGACTATCATACGTTGAGCTTACTAGTGGGAGGTGCCTGTGTCGTGTTATTTACTTACACGTGGTCTGTACAAAAATTTCTTGCGCGTCGCGAATGATGTAATCGTCAATTGCTACTTTGGAAATGGCGAGCAATTCACCCTACAATAATGCTGCTGCTACTGCTGCGTACGGTCAGGCCTATTCCAATCACTATGCCCAAGCATACACCCAGCACGGGACTACGCCCCAAGGATACGCTGTCTCTAGCACCTACACTGCAGCATCTTCGTCCTCCAGTTCTCGCTCGATGGATATGGGCGCTGCATCTTGGTACCAGACGGGGAGCAGTCGATGCACATATAAGAATTGCGTATTTACCGGCTCTCAGAAAAGTGTCGAGACGCACATGATGGACAGGCACCTCATCTTCCCTCCTGGATGGGACAAGCAGAAAAAAACTGACAATTGGGATGCGGACCCTAGTCTTAAAGGGTACGTCGAGCTTTTGGGCCAGATCCCATGCCTAATCTTTGTTCAGCAAGCCTATGCCCATACAGGGAACAACCCTTGTCCTTGATTCCCCCGAAATCCTGGATGCATGGCTTGCAGAGCGGAAGAAACGATGGCCTAGCGACAAACGAGTACAAGAGAAGAAGAGGAAGCAGGAGGAAGCAGTAGCGCGAGGGCAGTTGTCCGTTGAGGAACTCGGCCTTTTTAGCAGGAAACGGCAGAGAACAGTGGATAATGAGCCTCGACCGCCTACCCGTGGACGGCAAAGGGTACGTGGACATGTCAGAGGTGCTGCAGATTCCGGCTGGCGTGGGCGAGGAGGTGCAGTCAATGCTCACTCTACGCCAGTTCAACCCCGTGTAGAAACCGTTTCCAGCTCCTCGGAAAGTGATAGTAGCGATAACGGTGAGCCGGAGGTTTTATCATCAAAGGTGACCTTGAATCCTGTGGTGGATGATCCCCCGACCCTGCCGCCGAAAATCCTTGCACCAATAAACAGGCCTCTACTAAGGAAACCACTGCAACATCCCCCTCCCGCCCAGCCGACCCTTTTACGAAACGTAGGTGTCTGTGCTTTGCTGTAATCAGCTAACTCATTATCTATCCAGCTGCTTCTTCCTGAGATACGCATGACTGTATCCAATCTTTCCCAAGCCATCCGGTTTCTCGTTCGGAATGATTTCCTCCGAGATGTTGAATTGAAGCCTGGAGAGGCTGATGAAAAAATGATCCAAGTCATTGGTACCGATGAACTGCAACCACGAGGGCAGCTATGAAGATATATACACTACAGCTTCAATAAGCTAGTCACTATGGTCGTGGTCGCTATCGCAATCACTATCACATTCACTACCGCTGTATTCATCCGGGTCAACCTCCAGCTGCCGGCTCTCTACATTAAACCCAGCATCTCTCAATCCTTCAGCAATCTCATTTGCTTTAGCAGGAGATGTTACCACGACGGCTACAGATGATGATGGATGAAAGAGAGGGAGGAAATGTGTCCGCAATGCAGTCAAAACATCTTCCTTAGTCACAGCCTGGAACTTTTCCAGTAATTCAACTTGGTAGTTTTGTGCAAGACCCTTGAGCGCCTGGTTCACGAAGGAAACACTCGCCTGCAACATGTCAGAGACAGTCAACCTTATAGATTGCCAACTTACTGCTCGACTTGCTGTTGAAACGCTCTTAGTAATACCATACACAATACTACTTTTGGCAGCATCAAGTGTTGTTGAATCGAAGGGAACCTGGAACCGCCAGTCCCTCAGCTATCCCGAAAAGGTGATCTGAAAGGGCGACGTACGCTTCCGTCGACTAGTCCTTTCAAGACATCTGAAGCTTCCTTGAAAGCCCCTAGGCTGTTAGAGCTCTAACATCTGAATAAGAAAAAAGTCAGTTACACTACAACTTAAACTCACCCGGTACAAAGAGAAGCTCAAGAGCCCGGCTTCAAGGTCTATTGATACGTACGCGCCATATGCCAGACCTGAACCTCTGATATACCGCTAAGAATAATGCGGTCATTACATGTCGTTCTGCCATCGAAAAAAAAAAGCACGAACCCAGAGATAACTTTCGGTGGCGTTAAGGACTTCAAGCGCAACTCGGATAGCAGGATATTCGGGCTGCTGGAAACCTTTGACACATTTCGCACTGTGGGTGACATATGAACTCTCTATCGTAGGGAGGCTCATGACAATCGCCTAAGAGTAAAGATTTAGACAGTCCTAGCAACATCAGACGAAAAGGGAAACCTTCTTAACAGGGTTTTCACCAACTGCACTGAGTCTATCAGACACTAAAGGGACGGGTGCTAGAGGTACTTTCTATTGACACTTCTGTTAGTTAGAGAGTCCATATTTCGACTACGGACGTACCGGTACAGAGCGGAAATACTTGGGCCAGATACTCCGTGGTTGTGGTAGATTGATAACGTCCCCTGTAACCGAGAATCGCATTCCAGAAGGATCAGTCACTAGAGCGAGCCATTAAGAAGCATTCCTTATGTCTTGGAAGCCGCTTACTGTACTTCCGAATCTCCTCGAAATCCGCAATAACTTTGTCCGGCTCCTCCTGTAGTTGTTTGACGAGTTTGGGAATAAATTCAATCTGAGGAAGAACTCCTCCCGCTCGAGACGTAGAATTCTCATTGTAGAGGAGATCTGCCCAGAGGGATCCCAGGACCGTGTTGCCGTCACGTTTGAGCTCGGGGAGGGATTGTTGTATTTTGGCAACAGTTACTTGGAGCCTGACGGGTAGGAAATTGGTTCAGAGGCGGAAGAAAGGATGGCGAGAGACCGCTGCCTACCGCTCTTTGTCAAAGCGAGCACCATAGACAAGGTCTCTCAGCCAGGCGACGGCAACTTCATAACCAGATATTTGGACTTTGATGCTGACACGAAGAGTTTCCGCAAATGCATTTGACACCCCGAGTCCCACCTCATATGATACAGTCTCATCATCAAGTTTGTTGATAACTTCTTCATGGCTCAGCCATTCGCCGGATTGTCTTTGTACAGGCAATGAAAAGAACGCTGACAGATAGGTTGATATGTGTCTATGTAAAAAGGTCATTAATGTCGTAGCTGAGGGAAAGCGCTCTAACGTACGGTCGCAAATGATGAGGAACCTTTGCAAGGGAGAAATAGCCATGAACAGTCACGAAATCTGACTACAAAGTTTCTCGGTAAGTTATTAGGGGCAGTATCAGAAAACGCTCACTTCGACATGGTCGTACTGTACGAAGAACGGTAGGGCAGAACCGTCATTATGCACGTGCTGGGACAGTGATGTCTCCGTTCGTCCTGGCACGGAATCTCGTCCTGTACCTGGTTCTTGAAGACTTTGAACTGGTATCCATGATATGCTCTTGACGTCGGGTATTGGGAACTTCGTCAGTACGTCAGTAGGAATTGGGAGATCATGTTCTGCTTTCGCATCTTCAAGCTCCTTCGCCGCCTTCTTGAGACCTTCCGGACCCAGCTTATCGACCTGAGCAGCAACTCTAGCTTTCTCATCTTCCTCTAACTTCTTAGCCAAGACAGCAGAAGGTCTACCGATGACAACAACAGATGCTGGATCAATAAAGTACCTGAAAGACAGGATGAGAACCAAGCAAGTCGAATGTGTGGCCCCTTACTTCTTCAGAAGAACCGTCCATTGTTTGCTTGAGAATGATCTTATCTCGTTATACTGGTTGATTTCGTCCATGGAATCTTTCAGTTCTGAGCCATCCTCGGCACCGTATAAGAAGTCCGTGATGATGTTAGTGGAGAAAGTATCGCCTTTGGCCGATTCTAGTTTGCTGCGCAGCTAGATGAACGCAAGGTGAGCCATGGGGGAGTAAAGAGGTCGATAAATCATGAAACCTGACGCTCATCACGATTGATGACCATAGCCATACGTTCCATGTCTATTCCTTCATCGGCGATACGTTGAAGAGCAGTTTTCAACTTTTCATCAAAGGTATCCAGATGTTCTGTCGGGATTGAACCAATGTATGTTGGGAGGTAGACACGGGTAGCTCTGATGTCCTCTGAGAAGTAGATGTACGTGCTAAAATAAGACAGGTAAGCACATCTGAGTTACGAAAAAGACAGAAAACACCGACCATAGCGGTGATTCTATCTCGACGAATTCCTTGTTAAGGGGGGCCACTGCGGAAGAGGTAAGGTATGTCGCCAAAATCTCAACTGCCTGTAGAACATATAAACAGCAGAAAGTAAATTGAATTCCGAGAAGTACCTTCCGCCCTAGAAAGTCATTTGTTGCAGGGCCCAGGAAAGTAATGGTAACTTCGCCAACACCTGCAGCACGATTGAACAGAGGGTCCCTGGAATGGAGTTATACACTGACTTTCGTCCTGCTCAGGGAACTCTATTGTTTCCTTGATGGTTTCGGAGATCGGGGGTCTAGCAGCACTGTCCGTTTCAACAAATGGTCGCTTCCAACCCGGCGGACGGGGTCCTTTGTTTTGGCCATGTGAGATGAGAACAGGTTCCACTTGATTTTGAACCACGTTCAGCAATGACGACGTGCCACTGGAAAGCTTTCCTCCCACAATGAGGGTCACGTTGTGCGGGACATAATATGTGCCATGGTATTTCCGTACTAGATCGATGTTAAATCAATCGAGAACAACTGCAGTCACAAGAACCATACTTTGCTCGACCGAGAGTACTCGTAGGGCGTCCATAAGACCGCCTGTTTCGCTGCGATAGGCGCAACCTGGTGGGTCCAAAAGTCGTTGTGCCCTGTCCAGAACAATAAGAGAAAATAAATAACGAGTGTTGATAATATACAGGCGCACCGAAGGGTCATAAGATCCCCTGATGTATTTTCTCGGCCTTGCATCTCACTATATACCACACCTGAATCTTGTCCGTTTGGATCAATATGATGAACCTGATTCTATGAGTTTGCATGCACAACTACACAGACAGAAAACCCACTTCTGTTACAAAACTGCAGACTGTTCAACGATACGGCACGCGATATATGGGGAAGTACTCACCCAGCTTGCGTCATTGTGGGATACAGGATGTGATCAACATATATAGGCAGTAGTTGCAAGAATCCCTGTTCTCCCGCCGTAGAGACTGTGTAGGCGGTGTGATCCGTATCCGTCCAGGCGTTAGTCCCATTAGAGAAACCGCGATTAGCCAAGTGATCGATGATACCCTTGTACGGGTATTTCTCTGACCCCATAAAAACAAGACTAGAGAGACATAACATCAAATGGTGATAAAACATCAGGGACGACGTACTGTTCCAGAGTATGGGGGCAACCAGAATCGTCAAATACTGAGCCACATTTCTTTGAGTGGGACGAAGAGAAAGAGAATCTCAGGTACATACTTTCGGTACCAACAACGAAATATCCGTTTACGATGGGCGCTATCCACGGAAGAAAATGAGAGAAGTATCCGGGAGAGCTGCAAGAAACACTTACCTGTGTAATCTAGATGAACAACGCTCAGGCCCGTCACGCGGCTCCTCCATTTCGAAACAACAACGTCTGTGAAATCAAGATTGACCTTTTTGACGAGATCAAAGTTTCCGAAACTCTCTGAAGAAGCAGACATAGATGCTAAGCACCCAGTGGTGGCTGTAGACGTAGAGGCTTGCCGAACGCGGAAGCTACTAGAGGATGCGGTCCAATTGGAGGACGGTCTGGGAGGAAGGGGATGGTATATCTGACGCCTAAGGAAAGGGTACCGCCAAACTCTTTTACAAAATGAGGGCAGCCGCTGCATCCAGCAAATTAGAGGTTACAAAGAGAGGTTTCCGGATTCGTTTTTTTTCCAAAGCATGTGATGCGGCAAGTAGACAGATCACCGACGACGTTCCCAAAATAAACAAAGTACGACGAGTATTATATTATTATCATGGGTTGGCAAAAAACATTCACGTTATCGCGTCGTTCCAAGGGCTGCCATCTGATAACTGATGAGGTTCGGTTAAACATCAAAGAAGGACTTGAAGGAATTTCGGTGAGCTATTATCATACCCTTGATCAGTTTCTAATCAGTTTCATCTGACCTCAGGTTGGGATGTTCTTTCTCTTCGTGTGAGCTCACCGATTCCTAAGGAAATGTGCTCAACTATAGTCTATGTGTAGGAAACACACGTCTTGTGCTTTGACTCTCAATGAGAACTGGGATAAGGGTAAGAGACAAGTCTCATGGCCGATGATTGTTCTGACTGGATTCCGCACAGATGTAAGGAAAGGTGCAATATTTGATTGGACTACATTGATAAGGTTTTTGTTAATCCACTTCGTCGTAGATATGGACATGGCTTTGGATCATGTCGTTCCTGAGAGTCTCAACTGGCTGCATACAGATGAAGGTCCCGAGTCAGTGCGTTTTGTCATGCAAGAGACTGATACGATTGACTGAAATGCCATTGATGTCACCAGTGATTCGTGAGTAGCTCATCATCTATGCATACCGCCTAGCCTTCTGAACTGTCACCTGGGCAGCGTATCTCATACCAAAGCCACCTTGGTTGGAACCACTGTCTCCATACCAATCACCAATGGTCAGCTGAACCTTGGAACTTGGCAAGGTGCATTCAACTGTGACCGTCGCGGAGTATAAGTCTGAATTCTTTCTCTGACGCTAGGTATCTACTTAACTGAATTTCGGCACCTCGCCCACACCCGGCAAGTGGTGGCAACGATACTGTAAGCGGCTCTCAATTAGCACGCTTTTTATCCTGATGAAGCCATGCTTCTTGAAGATCTTGATGCAATTGTCTCGTCGTTTAGCAATACTGTTAGTATGGACGGTAACCGTGGAATTTTCTGTTTCCCAGTAACTCCGCCCATGTCCATCAGGCATCCTGGATATGATTTTATCATGATAAGGAATATATGAACATTCTCTGCTGTGATCTTGGTGAAAAGTGTTTAGTTATTGATCCTCACACCGCCGCAAAAAGATGCCTACGGCGAGAACAGAGTCGAGAAATTCATGCCGAGTCAGGGATTAATCACAGCGATCAGCGCTGAGCACACGAGTTAGAGTGTCTCCGTTCCCACAGACCGGCGGCTGATGGAGATAATATGGGAGACAGACCTACTGGTAGGGGAATAGATCATCCAAGGTGAGAAAATTAGATAATTACCAAATTGAAATTGAAGAAATATAAAACCACGTGCTCGGGGTTAGTTATATATAATAATATTATATTGGCCGAGCTCTGTAGACATAGCCTTTTCTTGTCTGAAGAACTACTGAGTAGTACTGTCTTCCCTGCTCCAATCCCGTTCGCTTGACGACCCTTACTTATTTCCTCGGCAACCGTTGAGCGACGTCTAATCACCTCTGTCTGTCTCTATCTCTGTTCCATATCACAGCACAGTCCATGCCCAAAGCCGCCCCTTCATCTTCGACTCGACCAGCCCTCCGCAGAAACCAGGCAGGCTTCCCGTAATGATTGAATTTGCCGTGATTCGTTGCTTATTACGTGTGCTAGGCCTGCCGCTCCTGTCGTAAGAGAAAGCTCGTATGTATCCACTCATTTTTCGCCGCTCGACAGCTCAGATATTACCCAGAAATGCGATGCTGCACGCCCACATTGCGGTACATGCGTCAAGTGAGTGTTAATTTTCAGACTACCTGCCTTTACGTCGACTCACGCGCCGTCTCAGACAATGGCAGGCCCTCGTCAGCGTTCCGGCCCCCGTGGGATACGCGTACGATCTTTTACGTTCTTTCGCGTAGTTATCACAGACTCTTATCATCGTTCTCAGCCATCCCAGTGAACCTCAGTGTTCGTATGATCCCGTCGAAGGCTTGACTCTGGCCCCAGACACGGATCCCTTGGATAGGATCAGACAGCTGGAGAGCCAGATTTGTGCGTCTTTGCGTCTTCGAAGCTCGCTCATGTTATCTTATCTTGATTAGCGCAACTGAAGGTCAAACTGTATGAAAAGCAAACCGCCCCTCGGTCCATCTCTCCCACCCAGCCGTCTTCGCTTAATGCCAATGTCACCGACATACCGAGGCCGCTTTCAAATGGAGGCGGCATATCTCTACCCCATGCTTCCCTAATGAACTTAATCTCAGCTGATAGTCCTGAGTCTCGCTTCAGGAGTGAAAGCAGCAGCCCGCAATTACTCCCTGTTGCTTCAAAATTGCCCACAGATCCATTCATGGAGTTGCTTTTCACGGGCTGGAACCCTGATCTCCCTGATCCTGCGACCCTCAATCACTAGTACGCATTTGTTGCCTGGTGCACTCTTGGTCGTTGACGGGCTGCTTTCAGTATAGATGTATTTTTTCGGTGTGATCCTTGTGGCGCACGGGTGTTACACCGTCCTTCATTTCTGAATTCGATGCTATTGTCGCCTCGGGACCCGGCATTCCCTCATTCTGCCATCCTCCACGCAATAGTTGAGTAGCTACCCTAAGCATGAATTTTGTATTGATGGGTATTTATAGTGCACGGTGGCGTCTCGCTGGTCTCCTCAAAATGTAGTAATCATGCCAGATGGCGTTCGCCGAGACTCATTTGCAGAATTCCATGCTGGAAAAACTCGATCGTACATTGACAAAACAATGGCAAGCGGCGAAGATATATTCTCAGTCATGCAAGCTTGCATTTTACTATCATGGTACTTCTACCAGGAAGGACGATGGGTAGAAGTGTGGATATTCGCTGGCTTTCAGACAAGAGTCGCCGTTCCGTTACGGCTGAACTATCCTGGAACTTTCTCAACGCATGGAAATAACTCACCCGGTGCTTACCTTGCACCGCCTAAGGATCTTCGAGATTTGGAGTCTCGTCGCAGAACCTGGTGGATGACAATCATGTTCGATCGAATAGCGTCTGTTGGTGGATGGATACATGCTGTCGATGAACGAGATTTGGGCACAGAGTTGCCATTGCGTAATGAAGACTTTGAATCCGAGGCAGGTCCTTGCACCGATTTAACGTGGGCCGGATCTTGATGCTGGTAAATTCTAGGCCGCCATTCCGAGCAATCCCCAGGACCTATCTACCCCAGATATCTTCACACGACATCCACCGCAATACACAGATAGCTTCCTACTGCTGATCAAGGCGGTGATGCTATTTGGCCGTGTCACTGATTTCAACGTGCGGGGAAGTCTACGAGCGGCAACAGCTCCCAGCAGGAACCAGAACCCCTTCTTCTTGCAAGGGTTTGAAGCGCTTGATAAGCTTGTCTCCTCCGAGTTCCTGGAAAGCCTCCCTCATATTTTTAAGAATAATTCCGGAGTGACCGATGCCCCCGAAGGCGGCACGCTGGATACGGATTTGTATATGGTCCATATAATCCCTCACGCGTAAGTTTTAAAGACATGTTGCACGAATACAGGCGATGCTAACTTAGTTTTAACAGGGCTACCATTACCCTTCATAATCCCTATATGGACTTCAGTGACGGGCAAAGCATCTCAACGGCGCGGTGTGTCAACTCAGCGCGCCAGATCCTCGGTGCCTACTGTATGCTCTCGGCAACGTCTCTGGACATAACGAGGTTACACCCCTTTGTAACTGTATGTATCTTTTTGACAATCACCGGCATTCACTTACCTCTGTTCATAAGATATGCTGGTATCTGGCAGCTGTCGTTCAAGTCCAGCTATGTAAATATTTCATCGAGATTGGGGACACTCAAAGGGAATCCAGTGTGTGGGGTGAAATTAATGTGCTCAGGTGAGAAGTCAATGGTGTCTGGTGTTGAAACAGTCGTCGACTAGATTGCAGATTTGCCATGCTTGCATATGGACAGAGATCTCCCATAGGAAGTGAGTGAGTTCTGGCATCAAGTGGCTCCTTGTGAATAACCAGCTATTATTGCATTAGCTCGACAAGAACGCCTGCTTCAAGGACTTATGAGAGAAATAGTGCGAATGACGGCGCAGAAGCAACCGCTAGAAGTTGGAGTTCCGTTGTATCCTTTCTCCTCTCAAACTCTGTGGCAAAAAGACAAACCACGGACAGGTTCTGAGGAACGCTCGACTGTCGTACCATTGCCAGTCAGTCCCCAATATGAAGAGATAACTCCGCCTCAGCTGACACCGAGTCGTGGCTCTGGTTCTGGATGGTCACCAGGTACAGGAAGCGATCACGATGGTGCGCATTCTCTACCCACGAACACTTCTTACGTCGGTTAGACGACCAATATATTATACTTTATTACCCCATGATTCGTACTCGCTTGTGCTCACTGTGTTTCTACTGTACATGTATTTTACAAACGGAGTTGGATATGGACTACTTGTTCCTCTGAAATTCATTTGAAGTCTGTCCGAAATTTCTCTCCTGCTCTAGTAGTGCATCGAAACGCGCTTGTTCTGTGGCTTGATCGTCACGGGTGAGCTCCTCAGGGTTGGATGAACCGCCGAGTTGTGATCGTCTGACGCAAACGCGTTCATGATTTTGCCGAAGAGTATCCCAGGATGATGCGCCGGGATTTTGCGCGTTAGCAGCCCGAATTTGTTCCCAACGGCTGGGTGCTGGAGAGGATATAGATGGGGCTAAGGGCACGGGGCGATGTCCAAGGGCTACAGCAAAAAGAAATTGAGACGCATACAAGGACCAAATCAGAAAGGGTAAAATACCTGGTTGAGGATCATCAAGATGAGATTCGGGAGTTGGTGCTGCAACGTGAGCAAAACGCGCCTTGGCGTTGAGGTAGGTCTGCTTGACACCATCCGGGTTTTCCAAACGTTGCAAAACATTGTTCTGCATGTCGAGATCAACTTTGCGGAAGTAAATCAGGGGAGCGGCGCTTGCTCCCGTCACCACGGCGAAAGTCCAGGGTTTACGCCAGAAGGGGGTGGCCTGGCGGTCAAAAAGGCGGATAGCTTGAATGGCGAGAACGCCAATGGCTGCCGACCACTGAAAGAGAGTGAATGAATGATAAATGCAGTATCAAACATGAAGAGATACTGACGACATTGGGTGCGGATATAGGTTTCTGATTAAAGTAATTTTGAAGGGTCTTGCAGTCTGAAGGAGTAAGAAGGCCTGCATCGATGTCTGGCTGTATGAGATGTCGTGAACTGTGGGAGGAAAGAGCGCTGTAGAGGATAGGGCTGTTGAAGACAGAATGGTCGTCGTCCATAGTGGCTGCCATCAGCAAACAGATTTTAGCACGTGCCTGTTTTCCCTTGCCTCGACTCTTGACCACGATCTGAGCGCCTCCTTCAGTCGAGCCTTTGGTCTCGCTCTCCTTTCTTTCTTCTTCTCTCCCGCTTTCATGACATCAGTCGCCTTCGATTCTGCTCCAAGGGCCTTACCGCCTCTCCCCCCTCCAGCCCACTCAAATTCCGCCTTCGTCCCGCCCCCGCCAAACTTACCGCTTGATTCTCCTGCTGGCTCGCTGTACCATTCTCAGAACCACACTTTCTCTGCAGAGCCAGGTGCGATTTCTTTGCTTTGCCTTTACTAGACCTTTGTTGCCTTCCTTGCTCATCCTCCGCTTTCTCAGGTCCGTCCACTCCTTCAACGCCTACAAGTCCAACGACCCCCGTTTCGCCTTCTTATCCAGAGTCAAAACCTAAGCGAAGCAATCCTTTAACTGATCTTGTAGACACGGAAAAGAACTATGTTGAGCAGTTGACCGGCATCATCAGGGTGAGATGCGCTGTCTCCCTGTATTTTATCTCGACTTGATCTCTTCTTCCTGTGTAGAAAGTTGCTGCAGCATGGTCCCGTACTAATTTACCCCCGGCCGAGCTCGATACAATGTTTAGAAGTATTGAGAGTGTATACAAGGCCAACCGAAGTCTGTTGACGGTGCGTTTCCTCGTGCTTTCGCTGCATAAGTATCGCGTCATATTGTTTGCAGAAACTTAAAGAGATTGGCACCAATCCTTCCTCGCCAAAGGCTTTGGGCGACTTACTCATGCGCTGGGTACGTCCTCCTGAATGATATCATCCTCTTCAGTTTCGTTCATCTTCGTCGCCCACTACTAGATTGATGATTTGGAAATGCCGTACACCAATTACTGCTACAAGTACTGCTGTGGCTTCGATGACTGGGATCTTGTTTCATGCAATACTCGCCTGCCGTCCATTATCGCCGCCTTCTCCACGGCCCTACCTCCTCCAACGTCACTTATTACTTCCCCCGAAGATCCGCCTTTGTGGACTCTTGATGCTCTCTTCCTACTTCCTAAACTTCGTCTTAAATACTACAGGAAACTCTACTCAAGACTTCTAAAAAGTACGGTTCCTGGTCGGAGCGATCATCGACTCTTGGTTGGCGCTTTGGATAAACTAGACATGCTGTTGGATACATTGGAGCAGAGAGCACATATCAGGGTCACCTCAACACAATCACCGTTTACCGAGCCCCCTATGTTGCAAGGTGAGGATGAAGTGGTGTTTGACCTTCGGACGCAAAGGGAAAGTGCGACAGTGTCACCGGCACTAAGTGCACCAGTTCATAGTGATGCTGATGCAACACCGAACAGCTCAAGTAGTTCGGCCCGAGGAAGCAGCGTGCTAGGGTATGTCCACCTCATATAATATACATAACTAGTTTGACCAATATTTCCAGGGAGCGTCTCTCGAGAGAGACAGCGACGACGTCGATTAGTCTCCGTTCATCTCAGACTATGTCGACACCAATTTCGGATCTGGAAAGGCGGTTATCTACTGAACGAACGTTGGACATTTTCACTATGAAATCAAAGGTAGATACATCATGATTATTTGCGTCATCTCTTATTTCGATTATGTCTATAGAGCGTCCGCCTCCAAATGTCGCCGCCTACGCTTACTTTTAAGCGGGAGCTTCGCCTATCTATGGATGTCAACATTACATTAACGCCACGTGCTACGGGCGTGGAAGTTGTTCATCGTCGAGGGCATGTTTTTCTCTTGTCAGATCTGTTTTTGGTATGCGAAAAGATGACGCCCGAAGAACGTTCAGCTGGAGGTCTGGACGGTCCGGATATGTGGTTATGTTACCCTCCTTTAGCCGGGAAAGTGCTGCGTGTATCCGAAGTGAGTGGTCAAGGTCAGTCGTTGTGGCCCTTCTTTTGTATCATGCCGAGTAACATTCACCCCATTCTGGTCGTTTAGAAACAGCATTGAATGTTGCCATTATGCGAAAAGAGCATTTATTCTTGCAGACGGAGTCTGTTCAGGCTCGCAATTTCATGATATCTGAATTCCGAGAATGTATCGAATTTGCAAACTCCAGTAAGTTTTTCGTCGCCCCCCAAACGAGTGGATCAATTAAGAATCATCTTTCCGCAGTCGCCCCTGCGAAGCAGCCACCACCGCCCATGCCACCTCTTCCTGGCCTACCACCGACAGACGTCCCTCAACCGCAAAATACAATGCCGCCACAAGCGGTTAATAGGAGCCAGAGCATTAGTCCTCCACAACGAACATCTTTGTCCTCTCCTCCGGTACTCCAGCCTCTCCAATTTGATGGACCGTCCAGCGGACCTCCATCTTCATACCGACCCGTCGAGAATGGCCGGAGCCCCCCTTATTCCCCTGATGACCTCATGAAAAATTTTAATAGTAATGTCCCGCAGCGAATGCCCTCTTTAGACAGTCAATATTCACCTACGCCTAACGTACAACGCATACCATCGGTGGCACACTCATTGCACGAGCAACGTCCTTCTGCCGGTGGACTTCCCAATATACCCATGTCTATCAGTCCAGGTCAAGTCATTGCACCTTCCAGGAGCACCAGCGCCGCGTCCCACCACACGTACAGTAATCAGCAACCTCGCCCGCCAATGTCCCTCGTCTCACCTGGTGAACGTATGGCTGAACCTTCGTTTCATCAGCAGCCGCCGCCTTCCCCAATGCGACTGCCAGGTCCTCAGGGTGGTTACGGTGTTCCTCCGCGTCCACCCTCCGAGCCTTTATACCCTAATGGCATGCGGAAGCCACCTTCTACGCGGTCGCTTCATTCCCAATATGAGCAGCCATACTCGGCACCGCCTCTCCCTTCTCCCTCCCTCCCTCCTAATGGATACCCACCCAACAATTTCATCCCAAGAGATTCCTCTTCGGGAAGTTTGCATGCCCCGCAGCCACGTCCCTTATTACCGTCAACTCTCAGTTCACGCGCAGCTTCTGGCATCGAGCAGGCAGCTTCCTTCGCTGACCCGAGTCCTCCCAATTCACCTGCTGAGGAAGCGCGGTCTCTACCCAAGGGTCCAGTGACATCCAGCATCTCAGCGCAGATGAAGTGCAAGGTATTCTTGAAGCAACAGCATGCGCAATGGAAGTCTTTAGGTTCTGCCCGTCTCAAGCTGTATCACCAAGACCCCACGAATATTAAACAACTCGTTGTGGAGTCTGAGAACAAAGACCATTCCGTTCTGATATCTACAATTGTTTTGACTGATGGGGTCGAGCGCGTGGGTAAAACTGGTGTGGCTATCGAGCTTAGCGACAAGGGTGCACGGACAGGTATTGTATACATGATACAGTTGCGCAACGAGAAGTCCGCGGGCGGTTTGTTCGATAGTTTACTGGCGGGATCTGATAGAAACGCAAATTGATTGCATTCTGTTATAGCGGGGACTTTGCATAATTTCATTATAGGACAGATGTCGTATGGACGGTGTTTCATTCTTTTTCTTAGCATACCCATGATCTTCGATATCTTTTCACACTCACTCGAGATTCTTTTCCCTGAATTATGATATAAATTACTACATTACTTACTGCAACGCTTTCTTCATGCATTTGGATCCCGATTTAATGAAACATGATTAATGCGATGAATTCTCGGATATTCTGTTAGGATTCTAAGCAGGAGACGAATTCTATCTGGGCACAAAGCGAAACATGATCGCTTCCGCATATCCCCCTCCTTGGTATTCCTGGGTCTAGATCAGCAGTCCGGTGTGGAGACAAAAGTCCTGTAACGAGCGAACGACTCTCCTCTGGCTCTATAATAAATATGTAATCTATGAAACGGTATGGCGGTCAGAATTCGTTCCGACGCTGCACTCAATCCACACCTAGTACGGTTTTCCAGTAATGCGTATAGCTCGTCCAATTTGGCTCATTAGCGCCCAGTCGCACAGGATCCAGAGTAATTCTGTCGCCGAACGTAGCGAACGGGAGACTTGCAGACGAACTCCGGATGTTTCTCAGACCCTGATCGTATGCACTAAGTAAGGGCTTGTCCAAAGCGAACAGAGCGATGAGCTCGGACGGTGAGAGTAGTCCGTCGGCAGGTATTGCAGACCGAGCATTGGTGATGACCTTGTCTGGGTCCGATGCCTCATCCTCTTCGGCAGCTTCTTTGGTCGGAGGAACGGTGGGATCTATGGTGGCGTGTACGACGTGCGACTTGATTATCATCTCCTTTTGTGTGGGTTGTAACGGGTCTCCGACTAGTAACGAATAGGCCGCGTCGTCCGGGGCAAAATTGAAGTCTATCAATGAAACTTCAAATGCCCAAACTTAAAAGGAGTAGTCGTACGAACCACCAGCGATTATACAAGGCCATTTTTCCAGGCCGTGTTCTGATCGAAATCTCAGAACTTCGCGTCTTAGGATCCCAGCCTGTCTGTTCGTAAGTGTAAAAAAAAGGAGTATGCATAGCTACAGCATGTCGACTCACCTTGCACGTTCATACGTGTATCTCGGGTGCCAAAAAAGATGAGTGGTAGCCACGATGACACCGCGATTTTCATCAGTCGTACTCTCCAAGGCGACAATGGATCCAATATTTTTTGTTCGGAAGCTCGCTCCCTTGCGCCCGGGACCATCTACATCATCCCGGACCGTTTCATTGTCATACTCGACCTTGCGATCACCAACCTTGGAGTACAAGCTGTTTTTGAAGGCAATGAGACAGCCATGCTTTTTATTAGGCCCCGCCGCGTAGTGGTGCGAGTAAGAGGCAGTATCGAGGACGGGAAGGACTTTCTCGAGCCGATCGACTTCCTAGAACAGTATCAAGTTATGCCTCACAGACGGGAAATTTTGATTTACCTGCAGACAGAGGATATCAACGTCTTGTGACAGGAGCTCACGATATATCATATGTTCTCGCTGAGCTGCCTTCAAACAGTCACTGACTGGAAACAGCTCCCGGCCTTTATTTCAATGTTGAAAGATATTATTGCTTTCTTTTTAAGATAAGACGCACGAACTAAACATTGTGCTAGTAACTTTCGTTCCATAATTAATTACAAGAAGCTGGGGAAAAGGCGAAGAATGGACAGACATTCCAGGTAAGAAGTTTGACACGAAATCCGTCACGGACACCATCCCCTTCAGAGCATCTCAGCCAAACGCGCTCCACGATCTTGCCTCTGTCATCGACTTGAGGAGTCGGATGTGTCTGCTTCTTTTTCTTCGCTTTGCGTGTTTCTTGGATTGCAAGCTGCTCTGCAGACAGTTCACGCGACCTTGGAACCATCGAGACACAGCGAGAAAGGACAGAATGGCGGGCGAGCCTGGACGCAGACAAGAAAGGACGGATGAGCGCTATGGTGGAGGGTAAGTGCAAAGTGCTCAAGTCATGATGTCATCAAGATCGAGGAAACTAATCAGATTTATATGTATTATTTAAATAAATACATGACCAGTGCATATGTAATAGGCGATATCAATCCTCACCACCGTACCGTCTTCTTTCTACTCCACCACGACTGCCAGGAACGTTTCTGTTTCGGCAGTGATTGGCGTAATGCCCCTTCTCCCCGCACTGAAGAAGTTTATTAACGACACTGGGTTGATAACGACTGTGAAAAACGTACCTTGAAGCATAAAACTTCATCCAAATTCCTCCTGGGCGGCATGGAGGTGGGATTGTTGCCGAACCCTGGACCAGAACCAGGGGCACGATCAAAGTCGGAATATCGACCGTACCCTGGTGGAGGAGGACCGAGATCCCTGGTGGGAGCAATAGGCGGATCGTAGTCCTTTTGAGTCGGTAAATCGGATTTGGGGCTGGTGTTGAATAAGCAACTGATAGAAATGGATGTTCAAAGAGCAAAAGCACTTACTGTCCTCTTGGACATTCAGGACCCAACGGACACATTCCGGTGAGATATAACTGACACGCTACGCGCCGCACATGTTTTCGAGGACATTCAGGACCTGTGTGAAAAGTAATCAGTCCTTGACAGCATGTGGTCTGTCTATGTAAACATACCTAGCTTGCAAAAGCCTCTTTTGTAGTCTGGACATTCAACCTTGCGTTCCTTGGGATGGGCATATAGGCACTCATCTCCAGCTGAACAATATCCGTACTTGGCATACCACCAACATTCAGGCATCCGCCTGAGATTGTACTCGTGCAAGAACTCGCACGCATCTCCCTTCTTGCAAAGACCTCGAAGCCAATGCTTGCAGACAGTCGAAAGACGCTCCCTGTCGCGAGGATGGGTAGGTATTTGTTTTGGCGGCTGGAAATTTTGGATGGATGGCGTGGTATGGCGTAGGGGGCAGTGCAGAGGACCGAGTGGACAGCCTGCAGAGGTTAGTGACAAACGACAAATTTGGTCATCTACAATAGCAAAAACCATATGAAATGGCATCAGTATATACAAAGTTTGAGAAAGATCAGACAGACCCTTGTCGAGCTTGATACCAAGCTGCGACTTGATATAAAGCTCTGCCGGGAAATTATTCTGGTGGAATTGAGGATTGATGACGTCCCTCAGAGCAAGAGAATTGGCGGCCGAGGCCATCGTCGTGGTCGATGACCAAGAGGTGTTGACCCAGAAAGGAAGGAAAAGGAAGGAAAATCAGGGAAAACGCGGTGCACGTGACTGGTCCTGATGGAATGCCAACAGGTTACAGTAATACGCGGGTCTCATTCAAAGTCAGCAGTAGCCGAGTCGCGATGATCGTGGGCAAGTATTATGTACTTCTGCTACAGAACGTACTTTCCTGAGACGCAGGACAGCTACAGCAATTGTTTTATACATTACTTACGGGATACGTGTCGACGACAAACTAGGCGATAATGGAGACAACTATATGAAGCTCGCCAACACAACTATCTCTCCTTTTTCTCGTGCTGGCATTTTCGGCACTTACATGGTAGTAAGTTTCGACTTTAAACTCATGATTCATATCCACACTCGCTTCGGTCAGGACTATGTTACTGCGTTGAAATATCTACCGCTTTGGTGTGCTCCCTTTAGGCGCAACACCAAGGGATGGCAAAAGGCAGCACAAGCATAGGTCAATTGCCCATTCGAAGAGGTCCAAACAAAGATGGTTGGCAAATTTCATTGGGGCATCTTCAGCACTCACTGTCACCCAGGAGAAAGGGACCGCAACGCCGTGCATCGTAGCCCACGAATTAGATGACATAGCCCTTGGTCGGGGAACTGCAGACCAACAAGTCGTCAAGAACGTTGCAGCTACAACATTTACCGGTAAGCTCGTCCCGTACCTTATTCTGCGATTTCTTCATGATCCTGCTTGTTTATAGCCGGCGCCGACACTGTAGTTTCAGCTCTACACTCCCTGTTCCTCGCCGTTGCCCTGCATCCGGACATTCAAGACAAGGCGCAGAAGGAACCTGACCGTGCGATCGGCAACAGGCTACCAGTGTTCTCAGACAGATATCAACTACCATACATAGCGAGTGAGATTATCGTGTTCTTGAGCCGCCCAAATTGACCTCTTCCTGTAGGACTGCATTTGCTACGAAGTGGGTTCTTCTATAAAATAATACATACGGTTATCAACGTATCACACAGCCTTTAAGATGAAATCCGGTAACGCCTCTTGGACTTGCACACTATATCTCCGAAGACGACGAATACAGAGGAATATTTTGATCGAGTGAAGTACGAAGCACTGTCCTAATTCTGCACTTGTACGATATGTAATCCCCAAAGGCACCACCATTTTCCCTAACGTTTGGGCTATCTTGCATGATCCGTACGTCTCTGAGATTTGCTGGATACTGAAACTGAAAAAGTGCAGTGAGGTCTACCCTGCGATCGATTCGAAGAGAAGCTTACTGTACGGGGCCTTTCAGCTTCCGAAATGAACGAAATCCCAAATGCGGCATTCGGTTTTGGTCCAAGGTGAGCAGATTTTCTTCCCTGAAGGGTCGTAGGTCTTGACGTTTCAATAGAGCGTGCCCAGGTCGTTGGTTTGCCTTTGACTTCCTCTGGATTACGGTAGCTTCCATCTTGTCTGTGTACAGGGTAACAGAAGCCACCGATGTCAATGGACAACCCATAGACAGTACCGGCGGGTTTTATGGTTCAACCCTTCTTAGGTATGAACGTTTTAGTATCTGTATGTCGATGGTTAACCGGTACTGTTTGTTTGTCCAGTCACCCTCGTCCTTTCAAGTGCCAGATCGAGCCGCGGACCCCCAGCGCAAAAGCATTAAATTGAGGAGACCAACCTAGAAGCCTGAATTTTAGTTCCTTTTATGATGATCTAGATAGATCGTGCAACTACGCGAATATATGTATTCTACTATTTAAAGATTAGACAGATCTTTTTGTATCAGTCTACCAGATACCTAAAAGCTTCCCCGCTCCACCGGCCAGTCTAACACGCTCAAGTCCGTGCTCTATTTCGCGTTCCCAAATGTCTTGGCTCTGCTCGGCTATGGAATTAAGTTCTACAAAATACATATCATGAAAAGGAACACTGTCGAGAGCAGGTCGACGATCTATTCGTGAGATATAGTTTATCCTCAAGGCAGCCAACAGTGTCATAATACTGGCTGATTTATTTGATACGTCCACGGACAAACGAAGAAGAGCTCGGCCGCGCCGCTCCGTGCTAGACGGCACCTCGTTTGAAGATTTCGCCACAACATAAAAACGGGTGAAATTCGCTAGGCGATACTTCCATGTCAGTGAAACGCAAGCTGATAGAAGAAAAGAGATTTCATACAGTGTTGGTCTTGAATGCCTTCGTTCAGCAATTCTAGACCGTCAAAAACGGTCAAGCACGCTTTTGAGCATATGGCAGCATATGTTAGAGGACTCGAGAGAAGAGCTTTCGCCGCCGCTGAGGTCGACGGCATCTTCTTAAGTGATGCATGTGGGAGTTCCGTCTCGAGGAACGACCGACATTGTCCAAGAGCCTGGGAGTCTCCATTAAATCCGCTTATTTTTATCAGAATTTTACTGACCTGTTCATGACTCATGACGCAGTCGATATCAGAAAGTTGGACTCCCTTCCGAACAATTAGACAATGTTGGATTGCCAAAATAATTTCATCCCGGACAAAGATAGGTTCATCTCGTCGCAAACAATCGTACGTCTCGATGACTGGCCCGAAAATCGAGTTTTCTTGAGGTACTATGCCTATGTCAACTGTAGTAGACAGCGAGTCAAATACCTCTGATAGATTGCTCAGTGTGCGACATTAGGCAGATAGAAGCTGATCACCTGCAATGGAATTTTGTTCAATATATTCGACGTCACTCCCAAATTTTTCGTATGCGGCCTATTATTGTCATTTTGTGGTGCTCCTGCAGGTCGACTCTCATACCTGGTGCGTGTAAGTGCCTAGTGGACCGAGGAATGCCACAGCTGGCTTGTCCTGCATTGGCCGACCCACCATCGCTCTTTCCTCGTCACGGTCGAACAACAAGCTTCAAAGTTTCGTTATTGATCGGTCTAAAAGGGGCCATTCCATCTTTGCATTCTTTGCATCCAAAAAAAGGTCATACAGGCTACATACATGAACTACATATTGCTACAATGTCCGCCTCTTAAATACGAACCTATAAAAATTTCCGTTACGACATTACACCTGAAGGAGGACCGCCTGTTGTGACCATCCTGTCTTCCAGCATTTTTGCACACCGATATGCCATTGCATATCGCTGTCCCACTTTTGATAAAGCAGTCCTGAGATAGATCAGCACTTTGTAGACAAATCAATGCCTCGTGAACTTACAAAATGAAGTCCAATTCAGCCCGTAAAGTGGAAATCTGGTCCTGACTGTTCGCCTCCATGGCAGCCTGCAGGAATCGAACAAGTACTCGTCCGGCAGTAAACCAACAAAACTAATACAAAGAGAGAAGTCAAGGCCTTGCCATAGGTAGTATTGTTTCAACATACTGAACAAAATGAATCCAAAAGGGTGATGTCAAAGCTTGTGGACCATACAGCATATATTAGATCCAGAATCGCACGTGCAGAGGTAAGGATCTTCAAAGCTGAAATACATCCTGATATCCGTACATCTGCATGAGGATCATGTAGAATGATATTTGCTCTGAAAGTCACATTAATACTGCGTGGCAAAGCAATGTTTCCACCATGCTCACACATGTGATATTAGGAAGGCAGTGTAAAGGTGATTGTCGACCGTGTTATTGTTGATAGGATTCCTCAAGTGTGGTGGGAAAGAACTGAGAAAAGAGGAGATCGTACTATCCAATTCAACAAAGCCAGCCGACATTCGGGCATCAATAGGCTCAGTCGAATTAGGACTTAGAGGTAGAGGATGATATGTGGATATGTGCTCGTCGCCGTTGTACCGCCGCGTCCTAAATCTCATATTGAATGTTTTGACACGCGCTGGTAAAAGTAAGTTCTTCAGCGTAGCCGAAAAAAATGAACATAATCTCACATATCAGGATAGAACTCTTGATGTACATAATGAAGGAATCTATTTGATTTTCGGGATGGTTTACGAGCAGATCCTTGGCATGTGCCCATTGTCTATCATGCGGGGTAACAAGTGCCTTTGGAATGCCAATAAGTACCAAAACAGTGGAGCCATAGCAGAACATACGCCTTGCTCGTACTGGTCTCCTCGTAGCGGGAGGAGCTGCGAGATGTCCGAATCGTCCATGCTGTGAGCCCAGCCGTTCGTGCAACCATGCTGTCGTTCGTTTGCGTAAGCGAGCCAGAACGCGTTCCTTCGCATTTCATCTTCGACTACCGTGCGGGCTGGAGGTAGGATAGAGGCTGGTCTTTGAGACACTGTTATAGAATTAAAAGGCGGACACATGTTCAATCCCAGTGGAACCGCCAGACGAAGTGAATGAGCAGCTGTGATAAAAAGCTAGGAAAAACATTAGCCTTCGGCGCCGAACAGGACTTAGCCATGCATACTTCAACATGCCTAGACCCACAAGATCAGAATTGATTCCACGATCTTAAAAATGCACTGACTTTGAATGGGAAATGTAGAACCAGCACAAAATAATATTTGCTGTTACAGTCCATATAATCAGCCACATAGAAGACAAAACTGTCAACCCACCTTGCAAAACTTGAAGAAGGTCCTGCCCTAAAAATTCAAGCCTTTGGGCCGTGTCCCGGGCCAGTTTTACCTGCTGCTCTGCGAACGAATCCGGACGTTCTTCCTTTGACCGGTAGCGTTCTGAAAATATTTCGTCTTTTGGAAAATTTGAGACAGTTAGAAAGAATTTCGGCGGCGATGACAACGAATTTACCGGGCTCGACTTCAGACAAGTTGGGAAGAGGAGGTGAGGTAACCATACCCGTATAGAGGCTTCCGACAGCACATATGGCATGCAGGACAGGCGGAGCAGGAAATCTAGGGTGCGCAGGAGGTAATGAAAGGGAGGCCATGAAACTAGTTGCATGGAAGAGGCGAGTCGCATGGGGATGGAAGAGAAAGAAGACCTCGACTCTAAAGTATTCGTCACATTGGATGATATAGACGATGTTGGCTGAAAGCTCACAAATGACGGAGCAGCTCTGGTTCAGGGAGATTCGGGGGCCAGTTTGGCCAAAGGACATCCCACCCAGCATGTGGAGAGGTGCCACTTGGTGTTTCGGAAAGGTCTTGCTCCTGTTTGCCGAGAGGGCTGCGAGATGTGTTTCTGGACCCTGAGTACAGGTGGTGAGGATGGCCATTTGATATTGAGTGTTGCGATGGACTCGAGGATTGTGCTTCCCGAGCCTGTGGAGAAAAAACTGCCTGGTGTTGAATATCGTGTTCAGCTGCTGAGTTTTCCTTTTGGCGTAGAAGGGCCTCGAGTTCACCTGTGGGTGGTCAAACGATGAATGAATGCAGAAGAAGCGGCGAACGCACTGATGCGATTTTCCAACCTTTCGTACTTGTTCTTGGGTGTTTCCGACGGCGCTGCTGTGCTTTCATGGACTGCGAACGATGAGAGCGGGGTCTGGGCTGAGAAAAGGGCTGCTCACTTTCGTCAAAAGTGCACTCGGGAGCGGATGGAAGTTGTGCGCCTGCAGGTGCATGGGATACAGCGTGGGCATGGGAGCGCACACAGGTTGAGCAAGGTCGTTTAGCGTCACTAAATGAAGGTCGAAGGTTACTGGAATAAATCGGGACATCGGGGACATACCATTTCTTTTGCGAGGGATTAGCAATGAGAAATTTGAAGCAGCAAATGGCTCACCAATTTCCTCCTTCGACACTAGGCCGTCCATGAGCACCTGTAAGAGAAAGAGGCGGTAAGAAACACGCACTTGGTGACAGGCCTGGCAGACAATGCAGAACACGGTAAGAAGAGGAGAAGGACTTGCACTGGGGCCTACCTGATTGCGTTTGAGGACATTAGGGTGGGTACCATTACTGTGGACTGGGCCGGTAGCAGAATGGGACGAGGAGGGCTGTTGTGCTTTGGGCATATTCTGAGTGTCGACGACAATAACGATCGGCAGTGGGAATCAACAGAGTCGAATTTCAAGTCTTCGGGAGGCGGTGCTGATAATGTAATGAAAACGCGTTGGTTCTGCTTTTGTCCACGAAGGCTTGCCAACCACACCTAAACAAGCTCTTTTATCTCTGCCGGCCACAGTTTGCTCCATAACATGATTCCATTTGTATTGCGTTGGTATACGAATAATTCTAACTAGCTGCATAAAAATAATAAAAGATCGTGAAAGCGTATATATAATAACAATAATGAGTACGTGTACACCGGCTTATTGCAATGTCCGTCATGAATCCATTTTGCCCAAGCTGCCCAGAGATGAAGTCACATTGTTCGCCGTGACATTTTCCACATTGCTCTCCAATGCTGCTGCCGCAGCAGACCATACTGCATCGAACGTTTCATCTGTCAGCGACGAGTCGTACACGACCAGGGCAGACGTAGCATTATCTGCCCAAATGACTTTGGTGCCCGTGCCTGTGATCGTCCAGTTCCGCAATGCGCTTCCCTCCTCGGACCCAAAGAACAATGTCCCCGATGTAGTCGAAAAGGACGACACGGAATGATCAATGTCGGCTGGAAATACGCTACCAAAAACAGCAATTTCTAGAGCCGGGATAGATGATAGGGACGCGACGAGTTCTGACTCGTTATCTGGTGGTACCACTGCATACGACAGCAGAAAGGTCACGAGAGCAATAGCAACATCGATGTCAAGGGATAGCAAGTAGTTATGCATAACGTGTTGGAGATGGTTGAGTGTCCCATAATGTCGAGGATTTTGGGTGCCGTTAGATGGCTGAACAGGTGATCCTGGCAAAGAACTCAACAGTTGACCGTTGCGAAGGACCACACGAGGGCCAACATCGCGGTTAAGGACCGCAGCTTGTTGAGCAACACCTGTTGTAGTATTCGCGAACGGGAGTCGAAGGCGAAGCACATTCAAAATTCCATACAACGGACGGTCGGGATAACAAGAGGTATCGAACTCAAACGCCCCCGCTTTTTTGGAAAGTCCGAATACTGAAACTTCGATATCACTGATCTGTTCGAGCTCAGATGATGATAGATTCGGATAGCATCCTAGAGGCGGCGGGAAGGGTTCAGTAGATGAATTGGTCATCAGGGCAGACACGGATTGAGACGTGGCATCGAAGGGAATTAGAAGGGGCGACGAGCTGACAAGCGACAAGAAGACGGACAAATCTTCTTCCCTTTGCTGCAAAACTGAGGTCCAGTATGTCGACAGTGCATCCTGTTGCTGGGTGGAGGATGCTGAAAATTGGACCATTGAGTGTACGTTACAAAACGAGGAGGAGAAACCTACCAAGTGCATAACTGTACATCCGATTCAATGCAGAAAGGGTTGTATCGCTCAGTCGACCGATCTGCTCATCAGTGGGCTGACCATTGGTGACGAATGATACGGCTGGTTGACTGATCGACTGAGATGCAAAATTGAAGGTGAAACCTGAGGCATTCACTGCAAAAGAACCGGTATCATAGGGCACTGGTCCATCCAATTGGCTAATTCCCGTCCACGGGGCATTCTTGGCGAACTCTTGCAATTCTTTCGCGCTGGAAACATTCTGCGACTCAACAAGATTCCAAAGAATTGCAGCTTGGGCCCATTCCGTACGATTGGGGGAATCCGACATAGTCAACGCCGGCGCGACATCAACAAGAAGAGATTGCCCTGAGCAGTCGCTTCCCGTTGTAGTTCCCAGAGTAAGCCAAAGAGAAGTGTACACATAATTAAGGGTGTGATCAGTGTCGAACAATTCGTTCATTGTTGGTAAAAGGTCGACGACGTTTTGGGCAAGCGCGTCACAGCTGCCTGTAACTGACGATGTGCACACGCAGGTAGAATCTATACTTTGAAATCAGCGACGCTGATGCTGATGCTTGAAGACACATACTAAGATTGCAAGCTGTTCCAGCGAGACCAGCAGCACAATGGTGTGCATCCTGACCTTTCCGACCCACCGTTACACCGACAGCAACACCAATGATAATCAGTGCGGCAGCGGCGAAAATAGCAAAAATGATCAACTTTTTCTTACGAAAGAAATGTAACGTGCTTTTGGTTGTTTCTGAGCCGGACGACTCTAGCGAATGAAAAATGGATCCACGTTGAGATTTGCGGTTAGGATGCGTCTGAGAGGGATCGCCATTCGTCGGAATGGCACTTCCATTAGATGCGGAGAAAACACCTGTACGAGAATCGAAATGATAGAACGTTCGAGAGTCATGAGGATAATACCCTTTTTCTAGCATATTGTTCAGTGTACCTGCGCGCGCAGCCAGGTCTGACAGAGGAATGACTGCCTCCTTTCGGCGGTTGGCAACTTCTGCGGCGATGGGAATATGTGGTATGATGGGAACAGGCGGTAGTGGCTTAGTTCTGCTCCAGGTCGGGATACGCTGAGCTATGGATTTGCCCGTGGAGGAGACACGAGAAAAAAATGGAGGAGCAGCGCTATGGTTGGAATGAGTGGATTGCCGTGACTCTGGACGAGCCAGAGAGAGACGGGGCTTTGTTAGAGGCAAAGCTGAGCTGGAACGAACGAACTGTTTGTAGTCTGAGCCACAGCCATCGCTATGAATTGAAATGGCTCGCAAAGTTGCCGGAGCGACACCCACCACGGAAGCACCGGGAACAGTGACCCCTCGAGAAAAGCTAGCTGAACGTATGATAGTAGGCAGATTGTCTTCTTGCTCCGAGCAGAGCGAGTCGGAATAATCAGAGTTGGGGAGCACTTTGCTAGCGAAGGAAGTGGGAGGCTGCTTTTGGGGTCTGGCACCTTGTGGCTTGCGGGGTGGTGGCGACCTTGGAGGTATAGACGGCGGGGGAGGCAAAGAAGGTCGGTCGACAGAGTCTGGATAACGAGAAGTCGGTGGGTATGTCATTTCTGATACGCCGCTGAACGCATCGCTGCCAGTGGAAAATCTGCGACCTGCGCTATTAGGTGAAGGTGCTAGATGCTCCTGGAGCAACGAGGTGATGAACGACGTGGAAAGTAAACGGTCTTCAGCATCATCGACATCGACGCTGGAGGCACCATCATACCAGTCGTGAGGGTAGATGGTACCTGAACCTGAATAAGGGGAGGAATAGCTGGCCGGTAACCGGTAATTAGTAGAGGCGCTGCCTGAGGGGAGGGAGGGGGAAGTCTGTGACGTAGTGGGCTGGTGCAGGAAAAGCGGCGCGATTATAGTACGGACAGTCGGGATATTTGGTGATGGAGGGGCAAATTCTGCACGTAGAGGCGTAGTGGGGATCGATGACGGCGGCTGGGGAAACTGAGATAATCGCAAGGATTCTCCGTTGCTGATGGTACTGTCTGCGATGCCAGAGGCCGATGTGTCCAGGGAAGCGGTCGATACATGTCGAACTGGATGCAGTCTCTCCGACTGGACCATGTCAAGGTTAGAGGTCGGATCTGCACAGGTTCAACAAGAGGTCGCTAGTGAAACTGATAGTGCAACATACGAAGAGAAAGGATCCAACGAGCGTGCCAGAGTTCGCCAGTTCGTTACAGTGATCCTATCCAAAACTGATGCACAAAGATGCCTCGTCCTGTACATACTCTGGGGTGGATGAGGAAGTCCAGAAGAGTCGCAACCGACCAGAGTACGCCTCCCCGGGTAAGTACAAGAAAAACAGTCACGGTGGGTAAAAAGAAAAAGCACAGGGCTAGGAAGGGATGTCGCTGCTGGGGTCTTTGCCATGGCCGTTCGTTCCTGGCAATTGCTTGCGGTCATCTGATTGAGGTTCTCCTCTCCTGAGAATTCGAGCACGCGGTTGCTTGTTTACGCCCACCATTGCACGTCCCAGGCAACAAGAATGTTTGAACACAAAAAAAAACAAGCATCCGTCGGTAGCATCAAAAGTGTAAAGAAGCAAAGTCAAAAAGCATACAGGTCAAAGTCGAATAGAAACATAAATGGCGTGATATTATATGTATGCCACCATCCAACCGCATACATCTGGCCCTCAAGCAATAATGCACGACTTTGACGCTTTGTTTCTCCCCCTGTCTGTCCGTGGAGGTGGATTCACTAAAAATTCGTTGGTCAATAAGCAACAGAACGCGTGGCTGTATTAAGGAACGTCACTTACAGACTGCCCGGATGGCTTCGTCAAAGACAGTCTTGAGGCCCTTCTGTGTCAACGCGGAGCACTCCAAATATTTCACTGCTCCAATATCTTTGGACATCGCAACTCCCTGAGCGTACTGGATTGGCGCCATACGACTAGGATGCCTCTTAGTAGGACATTAGTACCTCAGTGAATATACTCACCGGTCCCGGAGTTTCTCTATCGTCGCAGGGTCTTCACGTAGATCAAGTTTCGTCCCAACCAGTACGACGGAGGTCTGCGGTGCATGATGGGATATCTCGGGGAACCACTGAGAACATGTAATTAGTGAGCACAGCGATAATTGCCTCTATCGTCACTCACCTTGGTCCTAACGTTCTCATAGCTTGGAGGACTGACTAGGGAAAAGCAAATCAAAAAGACATCCGTTTGAGGGTATGACAGCGGGCGGAGTCGGTCATAATCCTCTTGTCCAGCGGTATCCCATAATCCGAGCGAGATCGTTTTGCCATCGACCATCACATTAGCAGAGTAGTTGTCAAACACTAAGAAAAGTTGGTGAATGCATACAAATAGCTATGACAGTCTGATTACCCGTTGGAATGTATTCTCCCTGTGTATCAGAATCAATGAATAGCTAGAAAGATGGGGCAATGTCCACGTACAGGAAACGCATTGGTGGTGTATGAAATGAGAAGGCATGTCTATTGTCCCATCAGATAAGAATTCCAAGTGGACAACCGCAACGTCGGTCAGCTCACCTTCCCCACGGCGCCATCTCCCACGACTACACCTGCAGGTGATCGTCAACAACAGGGCCGTCCAGCCGCAATATCACGCACATTTAATCGCTTGCATCCCGATTCTTCAGAAAGCCACTGAGGACAACAGTCAGAAGATAAGTGGATGACTGAGAGGTTGGTGGCAGAGTGAAGTGACTGGTTATCCGACGAGAACGTCTAGTTCTGGGAGACAAAGATGGCGCTGAAACAGATATGACAAGTGTCAGAAACAAAAAAATGGGGGGAATCAAAGGACACGATAAGCGGAAATAGCGGCACCTGTTCTTATAACGAACAGACTGGAGAAGAACAAGGAGAAAGACAGATCAACGGTAGGGCCTCACAGTCTCAATGAAGGTTCGTAGCCCATCAGTTATCAGCTGACATTGCTCACGTAAGCCGCCGTCGGCTTCCATGCTATTGAAAATGAAATCATTCGTAACATGCGTAAATTTCGCTTTTGTTCCCGTCATCATTATTGACACTAGTGCTAGACTTAGCATTGTTCTACATTGTGTTATCTTACAGACAATTCCATAATTACAGTAACTTGGGATACACGATAGCGGTACAACTAGACACTGGAAAAGTATGTACAAGTGATGGTTCATGCATATGAACAGCCTGCAGTGCCACCATATCACTGGCAAAAGATCAAAGATGATAAATAAACTGAAAGACACAGAAAACGACAACAGAAAACGAACAATATTTGAGAGATATAATAGTAGACACGGCATAACATGGATAGCAGAGATCAAATCAAGAGGTGCGGGAAACCATCTACCTTCATCCTAAGACATCGACAAGCTTTCTTCTCTTGAAAGGTGGAGATGCGTCTCTAGAGTTGTTTTCCGCAAGAGAATGACTGGCTGCAATGAGCGTCTCCACTTCGGTTTCGTCATCATCCTCCGAACCCGAAGGATCGTCGAGAAGGGTGAAAGGTTCTAACAGACCTATCCCTAGGCCCACATCATGAGGAAGAGTTCGGCTTCTTAATATTGGGCTCTCCCCGGTGAACTCGACTGATGTCTTTGTCGGTGGCTCAAAGGTTGACATCAAGGAATCTTCAAACCTCGGAAACCAATCCTCAGTGGTGACGGTCAAATTATGATGTTGCGTTAGCTGGGCGTCCAATACAAAAGGAGAATTTGGATGGGAGGACCGACGCCAGGATGTCACCGAACCAGTTAGTGGCGAATACAGTTCCTTCGGAGAGGGAGGGAAAGATAAAGGCAAAGAAGGACAGAGGATTTTAGAGTCCAATGTCTGACACACAAGGGAAAATTTGCGTAGCGATGCTTCTGGTGTACCCGTCTTAGGACTGGCACTATTCTGGATGTCTTTCTTGATAATTGGCGAGCGCAGATCGCTCAAAGAGATTTCACATTGACGTGAATGCAAAGGGTGGCTAGGACTGGGATATCTCCAAGGGTGTTCGGAGGGCGGGCTAGGGGAGCAATGACGGAATGAGGGTGTCAAGGAGGGATCATAAGGAGACGATGGAAAAGGTGCGGGGCAAGGCGATAAGCCAGTTGTTGCATCGGACGATGACATTGGGGGCGGTGTTGAGGGGGGTGAAGGTGAGGGCCGCAAAGCAGTGGCATTTTCAGCAGATAAAGGAAGAGTTGGCACATCTTTCTGGCTGCATGACACAGGCAGCAGAGAATGAAATTTAGACTTATGTGTGGTATTGTGCGCATTGGTTTGAGGAGCAACATCCATGCCAATGACACTATCGAGAGTCTTTTCCCTTGAAGTTCCCGGCTGCCTGTTTTCCTCTATAAACTGTATATGAGAAACCGGAAAGAAAATAGTGATAGAACCCCACTAGTAGAGCCTCGTCCACGGGGACGCTCGCACCCTTCGCGACGATTTGACATGGCAACTTTGTGCTTTTCGAAAACATGCCTCCTCCACATACTCTTAGCATTTACACCGGCATAGTTTCGTCTACAGAAAGTGCAACGAAGTCGTGGCTCTTCGCCTTCAGCCCAACCATCAAGTCCTTTGTCCTTCAGGTCCCTCTTCTTGGCCGGACACCATCCTCGTGGTGGTTCTAAGTATGGAGGATAAGGAATAGCATCTGGTTTAAAACGGGGTCCCTCTAGCGGTAGGTAGTCTTTAGGGTCGAGGAACCAGTCGAGATGTTCAGTCATCAGAGTATAAGTGAGGCCCTCTGGGAATGTCTCTGCACCCGGGAAGGATTCAAAAGGCGGGTGAATGAATACGGCGTCTGGATCTTTTTCGGAAACATCGAGGGTGAGAGGGGGCGAAGTAGAGGTGGCGCGATTTTGCTGACGCGTACTGTGCAAGTACCGATTGCGAGAGCCACTAAGATTGGAATTTGCCAGGTTGGCCGGAGTATAAGGATGTGGTTTGAAGGTTGCCGCTGCAGGAGCGAGGAAGTCGAGGTCTGATGTTAAGTGCCGTTTCAGTGGTCTTGGGACTGACGCGGTCGACGAAGACCCTGAAAACGACAGAGATGGTGCGAAAGAAGAAGGGGCTTCTACCGCTGTAGTTTGTGTAGTAGACACTGAGGCCATACTGGCTGCGAGATGCGTCTTAATGAGGCCACAGTGCCAAGATAGGGTATACGCGTACCTGAAATACTGTGAAAGTCACCTTCTGAGATGAGGATTGGGTAGCTGGACGATGAGAGGAGGGCGGGAGGGCGAGTCGCAGATATCCAAAAAGTGCAGGAGAGGGAGGAAGGTGGAAGTCAAGAATGCAAATTTCGTTGTTTACAGCAGTGTCACTGTGACAAGTGACAGGCGGAGTTCACGACGCGTAAGTCATGTGATCACGCGACTCGAAATTGATAACACTGACAGCAGAGGAGCGAGCGTTAGCGTTCTTTAAAACACAGTGAAAACGCAATTCATTCGCGTGTCGTTACTCTTAAACACGTTATTATAAACAGAAAAGAACAAACGGGGAATAACCCTAGATGCACCCTTTCACCACCTGAGTTTCGGGCTGATAAGGTATCCTTAAAGAATTGAAGAAGTGAGCAAAAAAGACGATTCTAAGGGAGGCCCAGGGTGTGCTTGTGAAAGAATGTGGCCAGGCCCAGCCTCTTTTATAATCATTGTATTCAGTTGTTCAAACGTTTTCTGTGAGAGAAAGGAAGAAAGGCGCAATTCTTGACGTACGCATACTACCGGAGACAACAAATGACTTATGCAAACTTCAAGGATATTTACTGTCTTGTAAAAGACGAAATGAGAAATAGTATAGTCACAACAATCAGCAGAAAGGTTTATAAGATACATCAAATGGCAAGGGAGAGATATCTGTATATTCCTCTCGTCAGAACCAGGATACTGTATATATTCGGCTCAAATACTTACCCAGCAATGAGAAAAACTCCACCTAATGGCGTTATGGGACCCAAAGGTTTTAATTTGCTGTTCAGGGTCAATGCGAATATTGAACCGGAAAACAAAAGACCTCCTGTGGCGATGGCAGGTCCAGTAAAGGGATGGAATGCAAATCGAGGATGCATTGATACCAACAGCAGGGCCAAACCGTTGAAAACCTGTAGCAAAATGTTACATTCGTGACCGGCAGTGACCAGTACGACTTACAGCATATTGGGACGCAGTCTGGAAAGCGTGGATTTTGTCGGGGGTCATACCGGGTCTTCCCCTCAAGGCATGCGCGCCAAAAGCGCCAGTGAGAACGCCCGCCGTAACTAGATAGTATACAGTGTCAGCCTGAATTTCGTCCGACGTCCAGTAAAGAAATGAAGGTATTGCCAGCAAAAAATCCCAGAATCGTATTAGAGAATAGAATAGAGACGGACCGAAAATAGCACCAGTCCTCCATAACAGTCCTGGACCAGGAAAAGTTCTCATATTGCGCCTTGGCAATAGTGGTTCTGATTGTGACATAGGGTATGGAGTTGCCACGTTGCTGGCACTTACGTACTTGTTTGCCTCCGGAGTTATCGGGCCGAACGCAATCTTTTTTCCTGTCTACTTACTCTTCGTACCATGGCGAAGGTTCAAAAGAAAACGGGGAAGGGTCGCCTGGACAAGTACTACAAACTCGCAAAGTACGCATTTTTTGGCTACTTGTTATTCTATCCTCAAGTATCTCCTAAAGAGAACAAGGATATCGAGCACGTTCGGCATTCAAACTCATTCAACTTAACAAAAAGTACGCATTTTTGGAGTCAGCGAGATGCTGTATCGATCTCTGTGCCGCACCTGGAGGATGGCTTCAAGTTGCCAGTAAATATATGCCCATTAATAGCGTTATTGTTGGCGAGTATCTTGAATGTCTTTGCCCAGTATAAGACGTCTAACTTCAAATTTAGGTGTCGACCTTGTGCCGATCAAGCCCATTCCTCGAGTGGTGACATTCGCTTCCGATATCACTTCACCCCAATGCCGGAATCTCCTTCGGGGGGAGCTGAAGGACTGGAAAGCCGATGTTGTTCTTCACGATGGTGCCCCCAATGTGGGAACTGCGTGGATTCAAGATGCCTACAGTCAATCTGAGCTCGTCTTAATGAGTTTGAAGCTAGCAGTGGAGTTCTTGATAAAGGGTGGAACATTTGTGACCAAAGTTTTTCGCAGTGCAGACTACAACAACCTCATTTGGGTATTCAATCAGTTGTTTGGAAAAGTAGAAGCGACGAAACCTCCTTCATCCAGGTGAGTCGCAGTCTTTGTCATCATTCTACATGCAGTTGAAAGGATACGCCAGGAATGTTTCCGCAGAAATTTTCGTCGTATGCAGGGATTTTTATGCGCCTAAACACATTGACCCCAAGTTCCTCGACCCCAAACATGTCTTCAAGGACTTGGCTGCTTCGGTATCCGACAGCGCTGACAAGGGTATTATTAACAGTCATGCCCAAGCCAATGTCTTCCAGCCGGAAAAGAAACGACGGAAACGAGATGGTTATGCTGATGGAGATTATACTTTGTTCAAAGCATGTTCTGTCTCGGAATTCGTGAAAAGCCCGGATCCTATCTCCGTACTCGGATCCGTGAACAAAATTATATTCGAGACTGAGGAAGAGGAAACGTAAGCCGTGCTTTGGTTATGCCAACGAGGTATTGACCTCTTCTTTTCCCAGATGGTTGGGCCTGCCCATTACTACAGCGGATGTAAGAGTGAATCTGGATGATCTAAAGGTTCTAGGCAGGGGTGATTTCAAGGCTTTGTTAAAATGGAGATCTGCTCTGCGAGAAGAAGTCAGTTGCTTCACTTGAACTTTATTTTCCTTTATTTCACGATTGAATAGCTCGGTATAGATGTCAAGACTAAGGAAACAGAGGAAATAACCGAAGCCGTAGAATTAACAGAGGAGGTCGATGAGGAGCAGCAAATCCAGGACGAGGCATGTCGATACATTTTATGGTGATAACATGAAGCTAATCGTGCATTATAGTTGGAGCGGCTCAACGCAGAGGCTGCAGCACGAAATAAGCGGGAACGAAGACGAGCCAATGAAATACGTACTCGAACTATGCAACGGATGCAGCTTCAAATGACCGCTCCACTAGACATTGGCTTGGACCAGCAAGACGCCTCCCTCGGCATTGGCCGAGATGATGTCTTTGACTTGAAAACCACCGAAAATCATCTACGGCAGCGGGGGTATCTCACAAGATTTGCTAACGGTGAGGGTAGTGACGACGGTGACATCGACGCCGCACAGATTAGTGGTGACGAGCCCGAAGTTTTAGATTCCGAGGAGGAAAAAGAGAGAAACCTACAAGGCTTAGAGATGGAGTTGGATGGGCTGTATGACGCTTACCAAGATCGCCTACGTGAACGCGACGCAAAATTCAGAGTCAAGGAAGCGAGGGAGAAAAATGCACACAGAGAAGAATGGGGAGGGATTAAAGGGTCTGAGAACGAAAATTGCGATGAAGAATCGGGAAGTGAGGACGGCGGCTACGATGTACTGCAGCAGGTCAAGGATGACAATGAGAGTTCTGATGATGAGAGCGTCATCAACGGCGCTCCATCGAAGAAGCGTCGGCGCACCGACGATACTACTGATGGCTCTAAAAGGACCCGTTTAGTTACGAAGCTGCAGGAGCCTGGTAATCAGGCGGCCAGTGTCTGGTTTAGCCAAGATGTGTTCGCAAATATGGACAACCTAGACGATATTTCTGACGGAGATGAATCTGACGGTACTGAGGGGAGCTTCCAGGTATGTTCTGAACGCTCCTTCAGCATGTTCAAGAATGACATTGATTTTAGGTGTTAGAAACGCAGCATGGCGACGACGACGATGATTTTGAAATCGTTCCAGTACAGGAAAATGATGTAGACATGTGGGATGCTGAAAGCAAAAATGAAGTTGAGACGAAGCAAGCTAAAATCAAATGTTAGCTTGGAAATTTCTTCTTGATTTGCGTCTTTCCTAACAGAAATTTAGCTTTGGGACTGGTAACACCCGAAGCTGTCACGCTTGCTCAGCAGCTAGTCAATCGCGAAAAGACACGGACACAACTGATCAATGACGGTTTTAATCGCCACTCCCTCAACTCCAAGGATGGACTTCCATCGTGGTTTCTGGACGACGAATCTAAACACTACAAACCAAATTTACCGGTCACAAAGGAAGCCGTTGCTGCTCTTCGGGCCAAACAGCGCGCTTTAGATGCTCGTCCTATCAAGAAGATAGCCGAAGCTAAAGGCCGAAAGAAATTCCGAGCGGCACAGAGATTGGAGAAGGCGATGAAAAAGGCTGAAGGCGTTAATAACACTGCTGATATGACAGAGAGAGAGAAGGCGCAGCAAATTGAGAAGCTCATGCGGAAAGGGATGTCTTCCGGAAAGAAAGCCAAGAAAGAGGTGAAGGTTGTCGTCGCAAAAGGTGACCACAAAGGAGTCAAGGGACGACCGAAAGGCGTCAAAGGCCGATACACCATGGTGGACTCCAGAATGAAGAAAGAGGTAATCGGCAGCCTTATCTCGTGTAGACGTACTAATGCTATCCTTACAGGTCCGAGCAAAGAAGCGTATCGAGAAAGCCAACAAAAAGCGGAAGCGCACTTAGACAGTTTTTGTGGACCAGTAATAGTCTTACAGTCTGTGCATACACATTGATATGTGGGGTGTCTATTATTTAAAGTATGTTTGCGTATAATCAAAATTCAAAATCTTTCAGTCTCGAGATCTTCAGCTGACCCTTCTAATGTCGAAGTAGGAGGGGTGACACGAAAAGAGAGGGTCGAGAGATGATCGCAGGTCTTCATGAAGGATCTCCAACTAGCTTCATTGAACACATTTTGGCAAACGACCTTAATAAATATCAGTTTGGAGGATGCTGTTGACCAAAACACCATGCAGTCACCTTGCACACGCTAGATTTCTGATCACTTTCGAGATCCAACTCATTTTCACTCGTGAAATCGGACTGGAAATCAGCCCCCGGGATAGTATCGTTGTGTTGACGTACACTGGAACTGAAATTGAGTACGTATGTTTCGTCCCCGTGACAGAGGGTTAATGGCGTCTCTGGCTGAGGAGCACCATCATCGGACCCCAGAATACTATAACGAGATCAGTGGCAGAATGAAGGCGACAAGAAAAATCTACGAACAAAGATTGCAGTGCCTCGAAATATCCCTTCAGTTCTGAGGGCCATTCACTCATAGTCAGACTACGTGTGTCTGATACAGAAAATTGAATGTCTGTCGAACTACATAAGATGAAGTCAGTTATATAAACGATGCCATTGAAAGTTACCTACCGGTCAGGTAACATCAAATCGAAGGATTCTTCTGATCCAATAGAGGCTGAAGGTGAAAAAGAACTTTAACCCGAATTATTATAATTCATGTTGTTGCTTCGGGGCGTCAAGTACTTACGTTCCATTTTGACCCTCCTCCGGGAGAACATTCAATGCCGTCTCGAACCTGATTGTTCTTGCCGAATCTGGATTTGCCCGTGTATCAGGTGGAAAGACTTGTCGATAAATAAGACGGTGCAGTGTGCGTTGATTAGAAGGCGTCAGCTCAAGTACTGCTGCCGGTACACTGCAAAATCGTCAATTGTACAAGCGAATAGATTGCGATGCGCAGCGAACCTAGGTGAAAATGTCCGGGGAACGGTATACTCTCTGATCCACTTAAGAATGTCCGCTAAAGGCCAGTTTCCCTTCAGGGGAGGTACAAGTGTCGTCCTTGCCAAAGGCGGAGTATTCAGAAGAACATGCCCAAAGCTGAGGGTAACTATTTTAGCATTATATAATAGAGCAAGGCAGAGCTTACGAAGCCGTCACAGTTTTTGTTTCATCGAGACCAGCCATATTCTTGAGCACTTGTCTAATATCCTCCTTTTCTCTACTGCGTGTAAGTTATCTGTACGACACAAAGAAAACAAGCGAAGCTCACGTACGCTTCCTTTGTTAAGACAGTTCCTCTTCCCATGGCTAGGCCTCCAGATTTTAGCAAATCTTCTCTAGAGCTGATACCAAGCCATTCGCCCACTCGTCGAATTCGGAACGATCCACCACCACTGGAAGTCCAGGGAACAGTACGAGGGGATAAGAAAGGATACAAGGAATATGTGTGTGGAAACATCGAGAGAGGTACTGGAGTGGAACTCGGTATTCCAGGAGGTATATGTACGAACACATCTCGGTCAGGACTTGACAGTGACTGATGAATAAATATTTAGTAACACGCTGGAGCCAATGGTAGACAATACTAGCCTCACACGAAGCCCGTGTAGCCAAGCGCTTTGCATGGATCAGTGCTTGAGATTGATCTACTTTGTAGCTTATCCGTATCTACGTGCCTTGATTCAATTCGGGCTCAACCTCAACGGGGGCTGGGTTCACTGACCGTCCCGCATTCGAGATTCTCCGTGAAAGCTCCTGCCAAGCGTGACACACGCTGCAATAGATCGGCTCGGATTGGCAATTTGGTCGGAAGATGATAGATTTCGTCGCGTATACTCTTGCACATATTCACGTTAGCTTCCAATAAAGAAGAAAGAGTTTGGCGGTACCTCCTTGAAGCGCAATACATGTTCACTCAATTGGTTCAGGTGCACCCTTAAACCCGACACTTTTAAGGATAATGGATTGGATGAAAACGACATCTGGACTTTGTATTTGGTGGAGAGGGTAAGGAGATCGATTCCATCTATGCAACATGAGTTATGTATCTAAGGATGCGCCGGAAGAACTGACCTTTTCCAAGGATTAAAAACGACTGGCGTCGATCCAGCGGATATGCTAAAAAGAAGTTACAACCTTAAAAAAGCTCCAAAACAAAGTCCGCACTTTGGGAGCCCGTTTCAGTGCGCTCCTTTTTATCCTTCTGTATCTGAGAAAGCGATGGCATATTCCAGGTCTCCTCCAGAATTATTGTAACCAAAGAGTTTTTGTCGCGTGACATCGGTACGTTAGAGCCGGAAAGGCGTATAAACTGGACGAGTTGTTTGCTGTTGAAAGAGCGCAGAAGAAAGTTTTGAAGTTCCGAATATTGTTCTTCGTATTTTGGAGACTGGGGATGTGCAAGACCAGAAGGCTTGTGCCGCTCAAGTTCGTCGAGGGTCAGAATACCCTCTGTCGCCTGCAAGGATGCAAGGTGGGAATGTACCCTACTCTCTTCCAACACCGTTTTACGGGGTGGTACATCGGGCTTCTTTGTAGCTTTCCTCGTAGATTTTCGTTTTGAAGCCTTGGGTGGTGAAGGTTCGGACGACGGCTCAGTGTTGTCTTCACTCGCAGCTGTCGGGGCAGCGTGCTGTACGGCCGCAACAGTATACAGGCGATGGAATCGAGAAAGAATGCAAGCAGAACAAAGAGGCTGTCGCAGAGCGCGCCCAACGCGATATATCGACATCCAAAGGGACCGTGGTCGTCGTTTCTGACTTCAAAATCGAAACCGACGGCCGACCTTTGGGCTCAAACGTGCACAAACAGCAACTTTTGCTTGTCAAATCCGGACCACCTCAAAATGCCAGGAATCACTGACAATGTCGACGACATTGACTGCTCTGATATTGAAGCAAAGTATGAGAGTTTGTTCGCGAAGATCCAAGCGTGTTCTGACTGGTCTTCACAGATACCGCGTAGAATATGACGATGGCTTTGACAATACAATAGTCGTAGACGGTATCCCCGTCATCGACAAGTCAAAACTAGACAAACTACTTGCAAAAATCTCCAAGGAATTCTCCAGGAAAGGCTGCCCAATAAGGCCGGATGATATATCCGTACCATGGGATGACAATACAGGGAAAGGCAAAGGGTGTGTTGGCTGTATTAGCCCAAAAAAATCTCTAATAACATTCCTCAGGTATATCTTCATTGATTTTCGTTCCATGGACGAAGCCAATATGGCCCTCGCAACGATGCATAACCATCCTTTCGACGCCAGACATCAATTCAAGGTCAATAAATTCACTGACATCGAGAGATATGCGGAACTGGATGAAACCTATGTTGAACCAGAAATAGAGGAGTACACACCCAGGGTGAATAATATCAGCCAAGTCAATCCTATTCACAATCGCTCTAATTTTTTGCTCTAAGGAACATTTGCGCGCATGGTTGGCGGATCCACAAGGCCGCGACCAATATGTCACCTATCGCGGTGAAGATGTTGAGATTTATTGGCACGGAAAGCCTTCACAGTGTGAACTCGCTTACAAACCTGTCAGAAGCTCAATTCTTTTCATTTTTGTGGCCTCTGATAATACTTTAGGATTGGAAAGATTTCCTATACGTTGCCTGGTCGCCCTTGGGTACGTACATCTCAACCCTTCATCGACAAGGTGTACGATTGTGGGGAGGCTCTTCCTGGAAGCCTCAGCAACGTTTCGCCCATCCACTGGTGAAGCTCATCGACTTTTCGCCATGCGAACAATATATCGTTACTTGGTCAAATGAGCCGATTGTCGTCCCCGAAGGTGCTACGCAAGGCCCACAGTATTTCTCTCCCGACGATGAAGGAAATAATCTTGCCGTCTGGGACATTAAATCTGGCTATCTGCTCCGAACATTTTCCACCGTCACGGAGGGAGATAGTCCTAACGGCAAAAAGCAGATGCAGTGGCCTGCACTCAAATGGAGTCCCGACGACAAGTTCGTTGCCCGTGTCACTCCTGGTCAGATGATTAGTGTCCATGAGCTTCCCAGCATGTTCTTGCACGGAAAGAAGAGTCTCAAAATCGAAGGTGTCGCCGACTTTGAATGGTGCCCTCGAGGAGACAAAGATAAAGAAGATGCGGATAAAGAAGCTTCTGCCACAATGAACGGTAAGACGAAGGCGCGCGAAAATATGCTGGTGTATTGGACGCCAGAGGTGGCCAACCAGCCGGCTCGTGTTACATTGCTCAGTTTCCCAAGTCGCACCATATTACGGCAAAAAAATTTGTTCAACGTAACAGAGGTTCGGGCTTTCCGTCTTCATTTGTTGCATACGGCTCACCGTCATATTCTTCAGTGCAAACTGTTCTGGCAAAATCAAGGCGACTTCCTCTGTGTAAAGGTTGACCGTCACACGAAGACGAAGAAATCTATCTTCTGCAATCTCGAAATTTTCAGAGTTCGTGAAAAGGATTATCCTGTTGAAGTCGTGGAACTGAAAGGTAAAAATTTCATCATTTTTTTCAGATAGCATCTCATTTGTTCCGTGGCATCATTTTTCAGATACTGTAACCGACTTCTCGTGGGAACCTAAAGGAGAACGATTTGCTATTGTATCCAGCAATGATCCGAATTTAGGAAATCCAGGTCCTGGCATCACAACCAAGACAGATGTCAGCTTCTACCAACTCGAACGCGGCAAAAATGACTTCAAACTGTTGCGTGAGTCGTCTCTTTTTATTTGATGATGTCGTCGGTCCCTAACACCCGTCTAGGAACGCTCCCTAACCGAACCAGCAATGCTATTCGTTGGTCCCCACGTGGGCGACATGTCGTGCTCGCAACAGTTGGGTCATCTTCCAAGTCGGAGCTGGAATTTTGGGATCTAGATTTCAACATTGAAGATGTCGCTCGACGAGAAGGACAGACGTCCAAGGAGGATTGGGGTAGCGGTATTCAGCTGCTAGGCACCGCAGACCATTATGGCGTCACGGATGTTGAGTGGGATCCCAGCGGCCGATATTTAGCTACTAGCGCTAGCGCCTGGACTCATACGGTGAGCTTACGTCGAGGACTTCTGATTGGTTTCTAGACCATTAGCTGATACTACTCTATCAGCTCGAAAATGGCTACGCGATTTGGGATTTCAAAGGACAGGAGCTCATGAAGCAGATACAAGATCGTTTCAAGCAGTTTATTTGGCGACCTCGGCCTCGTACCTTGCTTACAAAAGAGCATCAGCGGCAGGTACGGAAGAACTTGCGGGAGTATAGCCGTGTCTTCGACGACGAGGACGCCAAAGAGCATCTAACTGTTAATGCCGAATTGATTGCTCATCGTAAAAGACTCGTCGATGAATGGAATGCCTGGCGGGCAAGGTCCAAAAAAGAATTCGCTGAGAGTCGTGGTCAAAAGTACTCGGTGGACCAGGGTGGCGATGGTGACAAGGAAGAAATTGAGGTTTGGGTCGAAGAGGTGATTGAGCAAATAGAGGAGGAGATTGCTGATTGATATGTATCTTCGTCCGAGTGATGAGCAGAACTCGTCATCCTGTATTACATGGGCGATTGGTATACATATCTTGACCGTTGTTCGCGTGAATTCCCCTTCACATACTAGAGTCTAGGCACATTCAGCTTGTGGGTTTTCAGGTCAGGTATAATCGGATCATAAAGCCGAATGGCCTCACATTCGGAGTCCGACGGTCCGACTATAGCCGAGATAACCCACCATCTTATCAGATAAGTGTAACCTGATTCTCTTCCCCCATGTTCCATGTCTAAATCTTGCGCCCGACTATATTCAACGCAGGATAGCTCTTTGTTTATCGTCGTATAGCCTTTTCTGTTGATGTCTACTGCAGTATCTTCCTCAAATCCGGCTTTGTGGGCGACAGGTAGGACTTGTTCACTAATACTTGTAGCAGTGACTGACTTCCGGCTCAGCTTCTAAAGAATGGGTCATTCAACCCAAGCCCAAGCCTGGTCGTAAACCCAAGAAGGATCCTGCACCATCCAACACCGACCCGGACGTATGTCATAATCAGTCGCTATAGTATTTGCCACGTCGTCTGAACTATTACCAGGTAGATGGTAAAGGTCGGCGCGTTCAGAACAGGTAAGTTCTTTGGCGACAAATTTCCTCACATATATTTATCACTGTATAGAGCTGCACAGCGTGCATTCCGAGAGAGAAAACAGTCTCAGCTTGCAGAATTACAGGCTCGCCTGCAGTCTTATGAGCAGGGAGAAATAGAGCGTAACGTGGCGCTCCAAAACATTGCCAAGCGGCTCAAGGAGGAGAATGAAATGCTACGGAAGCAGAATAAATCTCTTCAGGAGAAGATCACCAAGGTGGAGTCGGAACGTGACGCTGCTCTCGCAAATAATAAGAAGAGGTCAAGAGATGAATCTCCTGCGTCCACTTCATCCACGCTGTTGTCGAGAAAGAAAAGCAGGATCATCTCAGATTCGCAGGCCTCACAGTCCCCGACACCTCCTTCTTATACCCTATCCACCGCGTCGTCACCGGAGTCCAATGAAGCGCCGGAGACGCCTCAGTCACCCATCGACCATGACCCCTCATTCTCGAGTCCCAATCTAGCCAACTTGATTGACTTTTCGACTGCTTCCAAGCCACCATTGGATACTCCATTCCCGCCGTTTGGATGCGGCTTTTGCAGTGAAGATACTCCTTGTGTTTGCCGCGAAGTCGTGATCCAATCAACGGCACAATCTCCCTTGAAACTAGAGAGATTTGATGACCCCGATCCAATTTTGCGTATGGGCTCACCTCCTCCCGCTGTTCCCTCTATACTGGACAATCTTCCTGCCTATCAGCCAGCCATTCCATTACGCCGCAGACCTCTCAGCACGAATGTCGGAGAAATATTTCCCGTTTCGCCTCTGCGTCCAAAATCACCATTCCATTCTGATGTCATTGCAAGTTGTTCAGGTGATCCTGACAATTGTTTGGCTTGCGCCGGCGACACTTTTGGGAAGGCATTTTGTGCTGCCATCAGTCAGTCAGTAGCCTCGCAGGAGCCCTGCGTCGACTGTCCTTGCGCGCAGAATGACGCATTGGGCAGACCGGAACCACGATCTGGCAAGTCAGATCAGGAGACCATCCCCACGAATGACGCATGGCAACAGTTGAAGTCCCACCCTAATGTCGCATTTTCCGACCTGAGTCTTCTCGCCGACGTAGTTGCTAGAAGATCGAAATGTACAGGGCCTCGTGTGGTCATATCTCCTCCCCTCGGATCCATCACTCCGGAACGTTCAATATCTCCCCAGCCAACGAATGGAGGCACAGGAACCGAGGGCAAAGCCCTCAGAATGTCGGGGCGGGCGTCACCGCCACAGTTGGTACCAGAAGAAGAATTACTGAGATGCGGACAACGAAGAGTGCGTGAGGTTCAAGCAGCTGGTGTTCGCGACGCGCTTCGCCTTCTCGACGCCAAGTTCTCTTAAGGACCACGCATAATGCCTTTATTGTAATCCATTTTTGCATCAAATTAAATAAAGTAAAGTATCCATTTCATTTATGTATAGACCGCAGGAAGTTGTGCCGAATGACTGTTAAGAATATGTCTAATTGACGTCAGTGCTCGATGTAACTCGCCCTCCCGCAGCTTGCCACGGTTATTTTTCGTCTCCAACAGTCGAAATTCCACCGCTATCTCTCGCAAAGAGGCTTCCTGTAAATGGGCCGGGAACGGTTCGATATGATGCCAAAGGCTCATAAGAGTTTGTCTAGCTGCTTTGTAGGCGCCAACGGCAAAAAATGCGCTCGCAACTGCATCGATGGATGGGACATCGGGCCGTATACCAGAAGTGATCATCTGGATGAAGGTTTCCATTGACTGCTTCGGGTTCCCTTCCCGAGCGTACCCGACAATGAGGATAGTGAACATGAGTGCATTGGGCTTCAAGCCGGCCTTGACTGCCGTGTCAAGAAGGTTTTTCGCAGATTCAAGGTCGCCGGAACGCGAATAACCTTCCATCAAAGCACTATAATGATATTCATTGGGCATGAATCCTCTTCGCAGCAAAGTGTCAAAGACCGCCTGGGAACTAGAAAACTCCAGCCTAGTGGCATCCCGTTTTAGACGTAGTGCAAGGGCCGCAGAGTCGCTTCTAGTATTCCTCGAGGCGAGAGAATCTAAGAAAGGACGAAGGTGCTTGTCGTATGATGGATTCCGGGGAGGGGAAATACCGGCCACGGGATCAAAATCCTCAGCCACGCCAGTAAGAACGTCTTCCTGCGGAAATGGTAGGTCCTGATAAGACCTGCTGGGGGAGAATCTAGCGGCTGTTCTGTTCCAACCAACACCGTATAGAAGATAACGTTCGTGCCGGATGATGGAACTGAGAATTACGTGCAAGTGGCGCAGATTCGGATGAATGTGACTCGTAACGAAAGCCTGTATGACGCGTGAAACCATATGAGGAGGCGTACGCTCAACGACGACCAGGTGGGAAATTAAGATTTCGAGAGAGCTGGAATTGGGACGGATCTGGTGCATGTACATTATTTGGAGAACAGGAACGGCACCATTCAAACCATGCAAACGAAGGATTCCCTTCAGAAGGGCATTGAAAATCCCAACATGGGGTTGAATCCCTTGAGGATCAAGCGGTAATGGATGGTGGGAAGAGGAGGTCATGAGGGCCTTGAAGAAAGATGCGGACTCGGGTTTGCAGATGGCGGCGACCAGACGTATGGCGGTAGGATGATCATTCGCTATGAACAAGACATGGAGCAAAGCGGTGATGGTCTCTGAGCGAGGGGAGAGACCGACGGATAACATTCCGTGTAATAGATGCATTGCACCCGATATGTCACGACGAGACGCCATGTAGTTGATAGACGTCGCATAAGTAGCGGCATCGGGCATTATGGACGACAGCAGGAACGGGCTTTCTGCGGTGGGATCCATTCTTGTGACGACAGTGATGATAGGGAGAATATGATGATATGAGAACTGTGCGAGTACTGAGATGATGCCGTCTGTGTCGTTGGCCTCCATATGCATGCGTAGAAGGGAGTTGAGGATCGAGGTTGCAGTATTCTTGGGAATGGCGTCCAAAGATGCCGCAGCGACGTCCTGAACTTGAGAGTTGGGTCCGAGGGTACGATAATAGATGGCGAGTAGAGAGTAAGTGAAGGCGTCAGGAGTTATTCCGTCGGACTCCATTTTGTGAAGTATGTCCTTGGAACGGGATAGGTCGCCGTTTTGAATGTAGCCAGAAAGGATAAGATGGTAAGTCCTCCTGTTGGGCTTTACGCTGTATTTCACGAATTCGTCCAAGACGTGTTCGAGAGACGCGTAGTCCTTGAGTTGTAGCAACGCACGCACGCGCCAATTGAGAAGACGGGTAGTTAGCCGTACATGCTGTGTGGCTGCTAGGACGACGGCAAGAAGGGTGTCCCAGTGCTTCTCCATGGCGAGATGATGTGAAGTACACTCGTATACATTGACATGCAGAGAGCAGCCGAGAACGAGGGCCAGATGAATGAGTGATGGAGCATGACGAGGGGTATTTCTGGCGATTTCTTCGGAAAGGAGACGGACGTCGTTTGAGTGGGAGAAGAAGGTGCTGAGAACGGATGACTGCCGTACTCTGGAGGAAAGAAGATCGATGGTAGGGGTGTTTGAAATAAGATGAGAGAGCAGTGCGGCAGCAGAGCTGTGGGACAAGAGAGAGGGGTCGGGGTCCGTGCTGCGGGAGGAATGGAGACTGGGAAGGAGAGCTGGCGAGAAGTGAGAGAGATCTGGGCCGTCTGCGCGACGGGCAGTGGCTACAGTCGGAAGGAACCGAATACATGAGGGGCAAAGACGGGAATGTTTTACGCCAGCTGAGAAATGATACGTCTGATCAAGATATGGTCTCGGTAAAAGACCTGTCCTCCTGAGCATGGACTGCCAGGCTCTCGACTCTGTACAACTGCTTCCACACCATTCCTACAGATAACAGTTAATTGGACTGTCCAAATGTATAACAGCAATTTCCACTTACAATAAGAAATCTGAAATTTAGAGGTGATGGATTCAGCACAACTTTTCACTGATCACGTGTCAGTGTCAGGGCCTCGATCACAGCAAAAGGGAGAGAGTTAGTGGGCCCTTGCAATTGATCGTCATTATGGAATTAATCGTTCCTATCATAGGCCCGCCACCCAAACACATATCATTGCACAGCGAGATGCGAGCGCACAACCGTCCACGGAAATTTTCCGAACAAATGTTGAACAAGCTCAGGTATTACCTGTCGTCGCGCCGTGCGGTCCGAATAGCACCACAGCCTCTACACGGTCTACTACGGATGTACGGACAAGAAAGCCCTCAGTCGGAGCAAAAAGGCCTGGAAAAAAAAAAAAAAAGAAAAGCCGACGCAGACACGTTTCCAACGTCGCAGTCTCGCGAAGACCGGTACGCTTCATGCGGCCCTCGAGTCCAGGAACGGGGCGTTCGCTCCAGTTCCTCGCAAAGATTTACATCCGTTACAGCAGCCGTACCCGTACAGAAAGTACGGAATCAGATCGTCCATGTGGGGAACCAGAGTGAGTGAGTTAATTTTCTACACAAATTATTCGACATCAACGGGATAACAGTGTACTGACAGAGTCTGACCCTGAAGAGCTGTGTCGGAGGGTCACGTGTCCAGGCTTGGTCGCGTTCAACTCGTTCCGTCGAGAACGCAAACCGATGGATGACTTTTGATGCACAGATCAGTTTCTACACTGTAACACTTGATGCTTACTTGATGCCTTGATGATCTCGTATCATTCGGACCTACGCGACTCTGTTCCGTCCTATTTTTTTGCGCGTGCCTGCTGCCACCAATTCTAAATGGGTCTGAGCACACATTGCCTTTGCCGAATCGTTCCTCCTTGGATCTCTCCACGGTATTTTTCCCTGCCGCGATACAGATCTTGCGTGTTGTCCCCCCTTTCCGGTGTTCTTGCATTACAAATGACACTGTCATCTCCCTCTGAGCTTACTTTCCACCGGGCGCGTTATCCTTATCCAGTCCACGTACCTGTGTTTCAAATGACGAGGCTATTCAAACTGGTCCTATCCTGACAACCGAGTCCGTTCACCTAATTGGGCTCAGCGTTCCGTCTCCGAGTCACCTCCCTTTGGCTGTAGATCTTCCCGCTGCTCTATAAAGGTCGGCAGTTTTTATTCAGCCCCATCCTCATCCAATCTAACCCGACATCCCATGTCTAGTACTCATCTCTCTGTCCTCGAAGCCAGTGCATCGCGCTTTCCCTCCCGTCCAGTATTCCGCACACCTCAGGTCGACCCCACGACAAGCCACATAATTCAGTGGCAGACTGTCACATATCGTCAGTTTCTTCTCGATGTCGAAAACTTCGCAAGACATTGGTCGATGACCCTGGGTCGTGACCGGATCCCCCAGCGATCCGTCATTGGATTGTGGTAAGCTTCCTCTCCCCATCTCATGCTATAGTCAATACGTAATGGCTAATATTACTTCCAGGATCGGTGGATTCACTTACATCGACGTCCTACACATATATGGTATCTCAAGAGCTGGCTATGTCCCCCAGATGTTCAGTCTGCGTCTTCCCAACCCGGATGTAATCTTTGAATTACTCCATCGCGCCAATGCTCAGGCTCTCGTCTTCGATTCTTCCTTTCAAGACGTCTTGAAAAACACTTCCCTTCCGATACATCCTGCCCTTAATACCGTGGAAGCAGCCCTTACGGCAGGACCATTACCGATCCTACCTCAATGCTCACCTGACGATATTGCCTTGATGTTCCACACTAGCGGCTCCACATCCGGTAGTCCAAAGCTTGTCCCTTGCACCTACAGATGGTTGAACGCTACCGTCCACAAGTCGAGCCAGATATCTAAACCGTTCAGTCCCGTCCGCCAAGACGTCACTACTTGGATGTAAGTTTGTTCAACTTCACATCACACAAGATCTATCGATCTCACTCGTTATATCTTTCAGGGGAAGCATGTGTCATATTGGCCAATCATTCAGTGCGTTCATCTTCCAAGTATTCATCATACAACTGTTGACGCGTATTTCAGTGTTAATTGGCACCCTGCAGCATGGTTCATGTGTCATTCAGCCGACGATGATAGACTTCTCCCCTGCAGAGCTGGTAGACATGATCCATCGGTGTCATCTTAACCGGCTGCGACAGTTTGCTGCCTTCCTGGCCAAGCAACTTCGTGCCTCCCGACATGACACCAAGCTCTTGTCACTTTTGGCTGGTCTTGACGAAGTTTTGTACACAGGTATGTCCCTACCGCGAGAAGACGAAGAATGGGCGTACCACAACGGTCTCCCCATCAAGGTGAGTATTCAATACGCTCTTTCCTCGCGTCCTTTGTTCTAAAGCGACACCTTTAGAATCTGTTCGGAAGCACCGAGTGCGGAGCGACGCTCATATCAGTCGGTGGATGCGATCCCAGTGCACCACTTCTTCGCTCACTTGAAGGGGTGTCGTACAGTTTCGTGCCTATCAACCCTGAACAAAATGAAGCGGGCCATCAGTCTACCGCAAGGATGTTAGAGTTCATAATTCGGGCAGAATCCGGAGATTGCCCCCATCCTTCACTCCGGAGTGCCGATGGCCACTTCCACACTGGAGATCTATTCCAAGAAGCTGCACCTGGATCGTATGTCTTCCGTGGCAGGGATGACGATTGGATAAAATCGGAGAACAGCCTGCGATGTGACACCAAGTACGCCTTTCTTTGCACTAGTCACAGAAGCAAATTTTGATTTCCAACTTTTTTTTTTTCTTTTTTGCTTACAGAGCTGTTGAAGATAACGTTCGTGCTACGTGTGCAGGCCTTGTCGCCGACTGTATCGTGGTCGGGACCGGTCGCCCGTCACCGGTCCTGTTTGTCGAACCAGCTGATGACATCGACCCTTCGAGGCTGAAGAAGGAGATCATTCGTAAAACGAGGCATTTTCATTCCCGTCGATATCTGCATGAGCGGATTAGCTCCCCGAATATGATTATCGTCGTACCTCGGCAAACATTGCCCCGAACTGCGACGAAGGGTAATATTCGACGTCAAGAAGTCGAGACTCGCTACAAAGCAGAGCTCGATCAAGTGTACGGTCTTGTGCGATAGGCCATGCCGTACTGACATTCATTTCCTGAACCTTATCCCTTCCTATAATTATCCTATAACTTGTAGTAGACGACGTTTTATTATATCTAAAGTATCATAATTTCTCTCTTAATTTACTGTAGTGCCATTTATTTATCAGCATCCATCATGCGAGTAGGAACTGCAATACTGTATCAATACCATTCTTATTTTTGAATTTCAGCCTCACTGCCCGACTGATTCTAGATAGTGCGGACAGAATCCACCGACAAGTAGTGTACATGCGAGGATCGAAAACAAGGGAGCGAGCCCTGTCAAGGGCTGACGGCAATTTAGATTCTAATCTGTCTCACGGGGACGCCGAGCCATCGCTGGCATGAAGACAATAATACTACTACGGCGGCGTGAGTCAAAAATATTCATTCAAATTTGCTAACGACATCAGTGGCCCTTGCACACAGCCATGGAAGTTTTCACCAAAGTCCATTAATCATACATTCTCACGATACGAACGCTCACCAAGATGCCCGCCAACAGTGTATCAGCCAGTGTATCAGGTTGGTATTGAGTCAGCAGTGTCGGATATTATAGAGTTCTGGCGAAGATCGCTTAGCAACTCGATGCACTAAGAAGATAAGCTGGTTCAGAGCATCAACGGATTCATATCAACAAATACATCGTCTGATGTAACTTTGATTCTGAAACGACATTGAGCCCTGTCGAGGAAGCGGCAAATACATTCGATTTCTGCAAAACTTTCTGTTTTGTGATCTGTGGAGAGTGGATCTGTTTGACGGAGTCGGGCGGGAGCAAAAGTAATGTGGGCAGTCAGGGATAGTGGCGACGTCAAAGGAAGATGGGGGGAAAATTTTGCCATCGAGGGTCTATCTTCTGTGGTAAAATTGGAAGGGAAGGGGTACAAGTGTTGCTTATAGAATGGTGATGTGGAAGTGGCCGTTGATTCCAAGTTAAGACCCCAATTGGTCAAAATGATGAGAGCGTTATGGGAAACACGGAAGCGCTCCAAGACGGCAGCAATATTATGAAGGGGATAGATGGACCGACTTGGTTCATACTGTTTCATGCAAGACCGAAGGAGTTCAACACCAAAACGGTCTGGCCAGTAAAAAGTGCTCATTGAATCGACGGCCACCAGGCCGATTTCAGACGCAGATAGAGAGCTCGCATGATACGAAGGAAGATTCGCGAGACTCGCAGCGAGTTGCATGGATGATCCCGGACGGAATACGTGAAAATTGGACATGGCTGTCTGCATCAATGGACCGACAGAAACCGCGGGCACGCCAAGCTTGCATAGGTGAGATGATAGGATCGTTCTGAAGCGACGGACGTCGAATGTGCTGTCTGTGTCGAACAGGACCGCGGCCTTGGCCCATCCATCATGAGAGGTGGGTAGTATACACCGAATAATGATGTACCATAGGAAATGTGATTTTCCAGAGGCAGAGGGGCCCTGGAGCTCGAGGACATCTCCAGGCTTGAAGAGAGATTCTGGTGCTTGGACAGAGCGCTGACAGGGTCGGACAGAGGAAAGCAGCTAGTACTAGGTTAGCGAGCTGACAGCGATGGGTAAATTATAAAGTGAGACTTGCCGCCTCGAGAGTTTCGCAGGGAATTTGGTCGAGGATTGTGGATGCCATTATCCATTCATTTATTAAGGCTTGCACCACGTGGCACCATCAGCCTTTTACTTTTCGCGTATGCAGTTCCTGGCCAGCCTCAACCTTGTCATTCGCGCCCTGCTCAGGCCGCCGTCTTCATCGTCATGACCACCACCGCTGCTTCCTCTAGATCAACTCACACTACTGCTCGCCGCATCTCATCGTCCTCGTCTCCTTCACCGACGCCGCCTCCAATTGCAAGAGGCGCCACCGCTCGTTCGGCAGTCTCTCCTCGCGTCTCGTCCACCTTGAAACCAGCTCCAGCTCGCCGCGGGTCTATCAAAGCGCCATCATCCGATGGAAGAGGAGAGTCTCTGTCAGAGTCCCTCAAGCATCAAACGGAGCAAAAGGAGCAGGTACCCAACCCTGATCTACCTCTGACGTGTCTCTATGTCATTGACAAGCTGTTCTTCAGTTGCTCGTCCAACTTCAGGACAAAGAACAATCCATATCGACCTTGGGCGTCGAGAATCACCAACTCACAACCGCGTTAAGCGCAGCACAAGTCAGACTCAACGAACTCTACGCAGAGCAGAGTCGCTCGGAAATAGAGCTGGCCCAGCGGATAGATATCTCCGAGAAACTTAGAGATCAAGTACGTGAATTAGAGAGGGAGAGGAGAGATATTCAGAGACGATATAATGAGCAGGTTCGTGGTCACGACCGTTGCTGCTTTCTACCTGACGCCCATTCTAGACAGCGACCTTCGACGCCGAGCGACAAGCTTTTTACGACAACGAACAGCACCTTAAATCACGTATTCAATCCATCTCGCAGGGCATAAAACGACCTGCCCCTGCCGTCCCTCATACCGATATTGAATTCGACGCAGAAACTGACTATGAAGACGAACCCGTTGCATCTCGCAGGCCCGAGACGCCTAAGCAGGATTTGAATGACCCAGAGCAAGAGCCCGCAGAGATGACTTCTCTTCGGTTGGAACTATCCACGCTATCTACTTCCCATGCATCCTTGCAGAATACGCTGCTCCTCTTGCAGACCCAGCTTCTTGACCTCAAACGCGTTAATCACGAATTACAAGATGAGAACGAGAGCTACATGATATTGTTAAGAGAGAAGACGCTCAGCGGACAATTTGATGTAATGAAGCAAATGGGGAGTGCTGGTCAGGATGACGATGACGATGACGATAACGATAACGACGCCGACAGCACAGATGTCGGCAGTCTTCGTAGCAACGGGAGAAGCACACTCGAACGCGTTGATGAAGAGCAAGTTTCTCACCTCACTTTTGAGCAGGAGCTCGAGAGAAGTTTAGAACCTCGGGATACCGACTCTGTTTCGTCGCGCAATGGCAGAACCACCAAACATGGACGTAGTCGTGGTGCATCCCACTCTCCGAGCAGCGGTCCTCGTGGTGAGTCCTTGGCGGATCTTCCCATCACCGGCCCGGGGCTTGATTTGGCGGCCGAGCTTGGAAGAGCTGAAAACAAGGATATTCTCTCTGGCGACGCCATTGATGACCGTGACCGTTCAGTTTCGAACAATAAGGCTAAACAGCCGAAGAAAGGCTCGGAGGGCAGAAATGTTTCAATGTCTGATGACAACGATGGGTCTAGCAGTGACCTTGATGCTCTCCGCACCGAGGTCAAAGTGCTCAAAGATGCTAACAAGGCGCTATCACTTTACGCTTCCAAGATCATTGATCGTATTATCTCCCGGGAAGGCTTCGAGCACGTCTTGGCTGTGGATTACGATAAAGAGCCGCCTACACCCTCTACAGCAGTGCCTAAATCTAATAATACTTCCAAGCCACGACCTCAGTCTACCACTACCTGGCGTTCCTCATCGAACACCGAGGCTTCACGTTTAAACTCTCCTGTTTCTGCAACACCCAAACTCTCCTCACCACCGATGCCTAAGGTGCAACGCCGATCTCTTTCATTTGATTGGAAGAGTTTCTCAATCTTTAATCAATTGGACAAGAAGCCCGAGACGAATTTACGACCTTTAACACTTACGCCTGGTGCAAACGCTGTGACAGGCGCCAGGAAATTAGAAACCCAAGAAGATGAGGAGGACCGCAAAGAAAGAGAAAGGATGAATGCCACGTTGAAGTTGATGGGTATTCAACCTCGGTCACCAGCTCCTATACAGAAGTCTTTCTCGTCTCTCACTCCTTCACATACGCCTCTGTCACCTCCTACCACCACTTCCACGGCCGCCACTGCATCCAAGCGATTTTCATGGTTTAATTCGCGGTCTACCACTGCGGACAATTCCGAAACCTCGTCCGTCAACTCAAGCCCTTCTCTGGGCAATAATGACAACACTCGAATTGGTTCGGATCTAACTCAAGAAGCATTAGAGCAAGCTGAGGCGCAAAACTCTATCGCTGCTTTAGACGCACATGAGCGATCCCTGAGCGCAGAGATTGCCCGTGGATCTGGCAGTGGGTTCACTGAGATATCGCCTCGGAGTGGCCGGCGGAGTAGAAGAAGTGCGGGAGGCAGTGGTAGTGGAAGCACGGTATGGAGCGCCGGTATAGGCGAGGAAGGAGATGATTAAAGTTGGTCTAATTGAGTTTTGCTCTCACTTACAATGGTTGCTTGGTTTTTTTTAAAAAAAACTCTTACAGTTACCCCAGAGATTTGTTAATATGTAATTTGGTACGGAACAAGCACATCTATATACCCCTCTGCGCCTCGAACCGCTCAGCATTCGTGATGAGAAAGCTATGCGCAGGTACGAGACCCGGGAAGGTAGTATTCGACTTGGTGATACATCAAGAAGGCGCAGCATGCTGCAACAGAGTATTTTGAGCATGTGTTCGGATAGTTTCGAACGGGTTCGTGGCGAATTGGGAATTAGAGAGTATGAGAGGATGCCGCAGTTGCTCCAATGTTCTATGGGCTTGTTAGATTAAGAAGAAATTGAATGGAACGGACGTACAATGCCCGTTTCCGCTGAGCATTGGTATAGGTGGAGCTCTTTCCTTTGCCTATCTTGCCTCCTCGCGTCTTTTCTTGAGGACGTTGATCGTCTTTGCTCTTCGCCGGGTTGTTGCTGGTCTCGTCGACCTGCTCCTCATCCAGAGAAGGAAGAGCATCCTGAATGTCCGCCATGCCATTAGCAATTCTCTCTTTAGCTTTTCTTTTCAAACGCCTGGTGTGAGACTTGGAATATGGCTGATGATATAGCTCGAGGCCTGGATGCAAAGACTACTCGTCAAATCAATCAGAGTAACAAGATATGCACGGACGTTGCATAAAGGTTTCGTGTTTCGAATGCTGTTTGTCTTTCTTTTTCAGACGAGACTCGGTAACCTAATTGCCATGAGATATACCAGCCATCGTCAAGGAGACGGTTCGACGGCACCGAGGCATCCTGTGCAGATAAACTTTCATGCTGTGACTGACGTTTGGCAGATGAAATATGTGCTACCGTTCGTAGTCTATGATCCTTTGGCTGTGGAGGGAATGTTAGAAAGGACAGACAGCAGCAGTACATGCCGTACCATTGTATGCAAATGAGAGATTTCTGCAAGAGGTGATGTCCTAGAAAGGAAAGTGCGCGACTACGCTTATCTTGTACGGATTACACTGTGCGTTGTCTGCAGATGGAAGAGCCCGCACCCCCCCAGCTGTCGGCCCATTCGAGGAGCCAGTCACAGTCCCATAGAATCTTGATTTCAAAAAAGAGCCCGTTGAACAACAAGGATTATACTGCAGGAATAGCGCTTCTCCTCGTCGTGGTCCTGCTATGGACGTTCTCGAATTTCATTACACAGGTACTGCCACTATCGTGTATTCATGCAAATCTCATTCACCGATGTGGTTAGGATATGTTCGAGGGTGGATATGAGAAGCCATTTCTGTCAGCCCTCTGCTCTCCCAATCATCTCAATCTGCTAATCTAATCACCTATCTTATGCAGAGTAACATATCTCAACACGAGCTCTTTTTCTCTTTACCTCCTTCCCTTTCTGCTCAGGCGGGCGTGGGACTACTACCGCAACTCAAAGCGGCATATAATGCACTCAAGTATGCTCAAGTCAATGTAACCATCACTTACGCTAAATCTCTGTCAGCCCCAGGATATGAAGCACTCCCCGGAGAAGCAGAAGTGGATTCTGAGGTATTAATATACGCTTAATCTTGTTCTACCTGCTTCAATTTTGAACGATATACAGGTTATAAATCCAAATCTTGGTGAAATAATGCCGTCACACGACACGCGCCCTCTTACGACTCAAGAAACGGCAAAACTGGCTTCCTTGTTCTGCTCGCTCTGGTATTGTGTTTTCACATCATTAATTTTGCACGGAAGGAGCTCATGAACGTCAGGTTCATCGCGAATTGGGCTGTCAATGCATCGTTAGATTACACCAGCGTCGCCAGTGCAACTATCTTATCTAGCATGAGCGGTACGCCTTCCTGTCGTCTCCGTCGAGCGCTATCTAATTAATGACAAAGGGTTCTTCACGTTGGGTATCGGCCGGATGTTCAACGTGGAGACACTTACTTTTAAGAAAGTCTGCGCCGTTCTGACGAGGTATGTTTTTCTTCCCTTTTCTTGGATCAGGTTTGTTCCTCACGGAGGACACTAGTTTTGCAGGAGTGCTTCTTGTTTCAGCTTCGGATTCATCTCAATCGGTTGCAAGTGACGAAATTTCACCACATGCCATCTTGGGGGATACTTTGGCACTCACCTCTGCCGTGTTTTATGCGCTTTATGTCATCCTACTCAAAGTAAGAATAAAGTCCGAGTCTCGAATTGACATGCAACTCTTCTTTGGGTTCGTGGGTCTTTTCAACACACTTGCTTATTGGCCTATCGGAATCTTGCTCCACGTTGCGGGAGTGGAAAAGCTAGAGTTACCAAGTAGTAGCAGAGCGGTTACGATTTTACTTGTTAATGTACGTCTCAACCTAAGTTCATTCCATAACTGCTCATTCGCGGTTTCAGATGGCGATAACTTGGTCAAGCGATTACCTATATGTGCTTGCGATGTTAAGAACGACCCCGTTGGTTGTTACCATTGGTCTCAGCCTTACGATCCCGCTTGCGGTGATTGGAGATCTGTTTCTAGGCAATTTCGTAGGCGCCAAAGTTATGTTTGGAGCTATTATGGTGTTTGTTGGTTTCCTCATAGTCGGTACGGACAGGAACAATACTGATGAAGAGCATATACTCTTGGAAGAGACTGCGGATGAGGAATAGAGTCATTGTATGTGAGCATAACTGCGTCGGTCAGGTCCGTAGCTATATCGTCTAATCATGCTGCTTTTACAGTATATTTCTTTAAGTACAAACTAGATGAGAATGATGTACATTGACGGATTAGACATACGTCTTTTTTGGTATATGAGGTCCGCGTGAATGTGATTGAGAGGAAAAGGAACAAAAATACAAGTATTAAATAGAATAAATAGCGAAGAAAAGGTGCCTCGACTGACGCTGGAATGTAACGAGGGCAGCCGTACAGACACAAAGAAATACAATGCGCATATAGCGATGGGGATGTACAGATCGTCGTGAGCGTCATGAAAAACCTGTGACGGTAGGGTGGTATTTGACCTTTTCAAATATTCGGAAAAGGCTTATCACCAAATTGCTGCAGTACATCAGAAGGCCAACTCCAACAAGGCATATCAATGCGAGTTGGCTGTCGCAGAGGATATCACCAATGCTGTCTTCGAATATGGGAAGGTTGCTAGTTGGACGGGGTAGTTCGTTGTACCACGAACTGGCGGACGGCGAGGCACATGGAACTAGGGAAGTGAAGAAATTATCGAAGCAGAGGGAGAGGGCAGCCGACCAAGCACATATGAAAAGCACTTCTAATAGTGTATGCGCCAGTTTACCCGAAGTGCGCCACAAACCGAGGGGACGGCCAAAGTATTCAAGCTAGCGCGGATCATAAAAACCCTTGCAAGATGTATACCAAGAAGAAAACGTACGTATACTGCTGTCAAGACATGTACTAGCGTTAACGGAGCAAAAATTATAACGAGAGTGCTGGAGGCTACCGTAAGCGGTGATGGCAAAAACAAGACGAGCAGAAGAACATACGGGGAGCTTCCAAGAGCGCCCATGATGCCATATTCCCGTTCTCGCTGTCGCACTCTTATAGCGACACCGAGGGCAGCAGTTGTGAACGTGAGGTTGATGAAACGAAAAAGCTGTAGAGAAAACGCAATTAAAGGGGTAGTAAGGGAAGCGAAAATGATAATACCAGAGGAACGTAGGTATTGGTCAAGATGAATGTCCTTAAACGTTTTTTCCGACGCTGCCAGATGGTTATATCCCGACTGCTCGTCGATGAGGAAGCATTTTCTATATTCCCAAAGCCGTAGGCGTCATCTCTTTCTTCAGAACGCGATGGACCTTGAGCAGTAGGTCGTGCAGTCCAAGGCGTCTCCCAACCGGGAGTAGCGTTGTGGGTAAGAGTGAACGGGGAGGCAACGGGGGTGGGAAGTGTAATTGACAAGTTCCAGTCACGGCGATGGCGATGGGTATGCTCTGGAGAATCTGGGTCTTTTTCGCTACGGCGGACAAAGGACGAACCCTCTCGAAAGGCGGCAGCAGAAGACGGAAGCCAAGCCATGGAACGATCCTTAAAAGAATTTTGGGGCTTCTTCTCTGATTTTGAGGGATCATCTGGATGACTTGTAGTGGCAGAATGGCTTGGCCAAGGATGAGTGAACGTCCACCAGCGACTCGGGGAAGCGAAAGATTGAAACGAAGCAATGTCGGAGGGTCTGGACTCGGAAACATAACGAAAATCAGAGACAGAAGGCTGCTCCTTTGGCGATGGGGGCTCGTCCTTTGCCCAGGCTAGACAACGACGAATCAGCAGAGCACCACATAGAAGAGCGGAAACAGCATTACGAGGAACGGTGACGACAGTGGAGATGGTAGGAGCCGGACGATTGCTGCGAACGCTGGTATGTTTGTTCATGCTCGTCGTCGTCGACGACGACGGAGGACGAGCTGGCGATGAACTCATATGAACATAACAGAGACGTTTGAGTTTTGAAGTCCGTAATTACACCGAGTCCCTATATAGACATTTGCCTCAAACTTGGCTACAAAACGTCATTATCATGGAGGAAGCCATTCCGTCCCTCTCCTCTGGTGTAATTGGCTCGCGCTTCGTCTCTCAGGACGACATCGAATCGGCAAAATCAAAGCGTGAAGAACAATGGAAGGCTGCCTATGCCAGGTATCTTGCTCTCATACGACTAGGAACGCTGTCTAACACGGCCGAGACTGGGACAGGAACCGCCTCCCCAACAGGTCGAGGATTCATACGATGGGCGCAGTCTGGCTGAAGTGTGTATTTTCTTTCCATCTGGCTAAAGTCCGTATTGACTTTCCCTTTGGTGACCTGGTTGTGATGCCCAGAAACTCGCCGCCAATAAAGTGTGCCACATCCTTCCCCTTCGTTCTCTTTATTCATATTTGGCATCTTAGATTGCAAAGCAGGAGGAATACGAGGAAAAGACCAAACTAGGTTGCTCCCTTATCAATGTTTTCAGATGCTCGTCCTGACACGCTCATGATCAGCCAATCAATTCCGCGCCTTAGAAGAGGATGAGATAATGTTTCTAGACTCTATACGCGAAAAGGAGCTGGAAGAGGAAAGGCAGCGAAAGCAATTGGATGGAGAAGAAGTGAAGAGCTTCAAGGAGTACGTGGTTCCTCTCAGTTCATTAATCCAACTATATCTTGCTTGCAATAGAGCTGTAGCAGCAAGAACGAGTGCATCTAATCCTCCGCCTATCAGTTCAAATTCCGTGGTCGCTCTACCCATGTTACAGACAACAGCTCCAAAGAAAGACACCAAAAAGGGTCTTAAGGGTGTTATTGTCAAAAAGAAGGGCAAGTCAGCGCCTATCGCGAAAACACCACACTTCAAAGCAGCCCAGGCCAATGATAAGAAGCGTGATCCCCCCAATGGCGAGGACGTATCGCAGCAGAGCCAGGAACCTCAAACTAAACGGCGGCGAGTGTCAGAAAGTTAACATGTACATTGTTAGTCGGATACAAATATAATATTCCTTATCGTCGTGCTCCACTGCTCGGTGTGGGTGTCCATCGTACTTTACTTATGTCTTTTTGTCCGGCGCTCCATCCCGCTACTCTTTCCATTGCCTCGGCTCGTCTTGAAGCCACCGCCCCCATTGTCGTCCGGTTTAATAGTCGCTTTGCTGCTGGCGTCAAGTTGCCTGCAGCTTCTGACCTACGTGGCGTCCAAGATGGTGGTGCCATTGTACTCTTCTTACCCGCTATTGGAGTTCGTGAAGGACCACTGGGCGTTCGACCGAGGCCTAGCAATCCAGCCTTGGTACGAAGGTTTTTGGAAGCGTCATTTGACAATTTATGAGATATCCGCTCTCTTGCCGAGGGTTCAGGAAGGTGGAATGGCGTACTGGGAAGTGGAAGGTCGGCAGGATCATCGCTTTGAGATATAATCCTTGGCGTAGCGTTGAGCGTCCCCCAGGTCATGAGTTCTTTGACTGCTGCTGGTCCCAGCTCAGATGGCGTCGGCGAAGGAAGGTTGGGTACCAGCGAGAGATTATTAATGGTTGGAGAGCGACGGCGATCTAAAAGCTCATGTCAGAAAGTATTTCATTCCGACTTGTTAAAGCTTGCGTACATGGTGTGCCTTTAATAGCGGCATCGATGCGGCTGCGAGTAGGACTTGGAGGGGCGGACAGACCCCTAGACGCAGATGAAGATTCTTCTTGTAGTCGAGTGCTTGAGTAGACGACAATTTTGGGATCCTCCGTAGATTTGATATCGGCTTGCGGCGCTTTGTGATACGGCGATTCATCTGCGTCCGGTGGAAACATCAGAGAATTCCGAGCCTAATAGACCAATGAGCAATGCATAAATGCAGCAGGAACAATTGTCACCTTGAAATTCCATCCGTCGACACCAGCAGGGCGGGTATCCTTTCTAGGAGCCATTGCATCGGTGACCGAAGGTTGCTGATCATCAGGAGACTCATGCACAGCCAACTCTTTTCCTTTCCCGTCTTTATCTGAGGTCTTCTTGTCGTCATCGCCGTTGGTTATTAGACCTGCAGGAGGTTTCGCAGGTTCAATCATCACCTTCTCCCGCACACCAGGCCGTGAGCTACCCTCTGCAGGTCCTTCCAATAGCATCTGTTTCCTTGCCGCCTCCACTCTGAACTTGTATCCTTCCACCCTCTTCTGAGCGTCCCATGCCCACCCCCATCTCTCTTTCCGCGCCTGATTCTCACTGTCTAGTATCTCAGTAAAACTAGAGTTGTCCTCAGACGTATAGCGTGCCTGGAATGTATCCAGATTGACAGAGGCGTCATAGCGAGGTCGCTTCTGGGGTGGTTCGCCACGGACAGCAGACCTAGACAGCGTGCGAAGGGGGGTATCGAATGGGAGGGTGCCAAAGCCGTAGGGAGTCTGTGACGGAGTCTGATTCGGCGCTGCATGGTGACGAGGTGCAGGAGTGGCATTTAGTTCTTCAATTCGTCGAACAGATGTGGTAATGAGATGTGGGTCGCGTGTGTCGAGGGCGTCCAAGTATTCGTTTGTTGCGTCAAGATGGGCGAGTGATGGAAAGAAATCCCGGGCAATAATATGAGATAAGGCCGCCGTGTACTCGTCTTCATCGAGAACGACTTGATGATTCAATGACCTTCCTGGCTGGGTCCCAGACATGACGGTAACGAATAAAGTAGACCACGTGCTACGATTACTTCAGCTTCAATCAGCAAACGCTGCTAGTAAGCTTGAAATAATAATGATAGTCATGGCCATTAAGTACACCTATAAGACATCGTATTACTTCCTCTAGAATTGGCAGAAGGAGATGTATAGGATACGTCGCTTCCAGCATTTCATCATGAAAGATAAGTAAAAGGTATTTACGATACATAATGAATGTGACGGTGATCAGGTGCCTAATGCAAAATATCAGGTCGGTAGTAATTAGAATGGTTGGCAGAAAACAAGGCGACATAGGTAAATATGGAAGAAAATATAAGGGTTAATCGATTGATCAGCCAACAACGAACACGAAAAGATAATCTGACCTAAGATACACTTTCCCCAAACTTCGCAGATGCGCTACCCACTCTAGGGAGAAGATCAGTTGCTCGTCCCGTCCGCTGAGTCGCGCCTTTCAGCATTCTGTTGCCGAGCAACCCCACCTCCACTTGGGCGGCCAATTCGACTCTGCGACAGCACAGATGAAGTCGAAGACGAAGGCAGCTTGGTTTGACGCACTGTCACATTCGCAGAGACACCGGATGGAAGTTGAGGGAGGGCTTTCCCTATCGCATATGCCGAGCTCCTCAATCCAGAGCTCGTGGGGGTGCTAGACACGGGTCGCGGCTTATTTCGGGGTACAGGAAGCGGCATTGCAGAGGTGCTCGATCCTAAAGACGAGCGTTTTGTCTTTAAATGCGGATGAGGACCAGTAGGGCCAGTAGACCGCTTGAGTCCCAGTCCGGATGAGTGGCCATTCATGCCTCCTGTTGGAATGGGAAGAAGCGTTGGAGTAGATGGTCGAGAGGTCGGGGTAGGGACAGTACTGGATGTCGTAGCTGAACTACCGATAGAAAGCCTTGATTGCGGCCGCCTCATACCACCTGCCGCCGTGCTTTGTGATAACGCAGCTTTATTCATCCTCAAAGTGGGAGATGCGGGCAGTGCAGATGACGCAGAAGCATGGGGACGGAAAGATGTAGATCGGGAGGGGCTGGATAGTCGTCGTCGCTCCCGATCTATATCTCTCTTCGGAGGGGGAGAGTCCTCCATAATGAGAACCCATCCAGATGAATCTCCTGCTGTATCTTTCTTCATCTTTTCGCTGTCTGTATCAACGCTACGCCTAGATTCCGAGCTGCGCCGGCTCAGTGGGTTTTCCCAACTAGTTCGCCCGATGATAGATTTGCTGGGGCCAGATGAGGTACCGTTGCTGCTAGGATTTGGAGCGTCGGCACTTGTCCGGTTCGTGACACTTCTCATTCGGAGTCGAGGCACACGAGTATGAATTTTCTGTTCCAGCATTCTAACTCTAGCTCGCATTTCAGACACCATTTGAACGCCTTTGCTCCTTGATGTAGTGCTGGTTGTTGAAGTGGTACTGGTAGTTGAGGCTTTGCGTGTTATGGGTGATGGGTTGCTCGCTGCTCGTGACGACGAGTATGGTGAAGGTATTGAAGTCGAACGGGGTATTCCAGTTGATCTCGGAGGAGTCGTTGTGTTCGAAGTCATGGGCTGGAAGCCAGCGCGATTCAATAGCAGAGATTGCCCCGCTTGTCGGGACACACTTCGTTTCTTCGGTGTGAGTTCGTTGTCGAACAGCAAGCTGTCAGAACTTCGGTCTAGCTCGCATAGCTGTAGGTCAGCGGGAGGGGGGGTATTTAAGAGATCGTCACTGGAGGAGTCACGAAGGATGGGAGCTGAGGACGGGGTCGAAATGGATTCTCGTGATGAGTTAACTTGAACAGCCAATTGATCTTTCAAGACTGTGACTTCGATATTCGCATCTGGAATACTTTGAGCGTGATTATGTTTCGGGACGACGTAAGTGAGACACACCTCGTAGCTCATCTTTGAGCCGCTGACACTGCTCTTCGAGATTAGCTTTGTCGAGGAGTTCATGTTCTAGAAGTATCTTCTCTTCAAGCGCCAGGGAATACTTTGCTTCAACGTCAGCCAGGCTTGACGAGACCGCACGCTCCGTCCGTTCCAAATCATCATTTCCCATCTCAAGTTCGCGAAGCTGGACTTTAATTTGTTGGTAATCTTGACGCAACTTATCGAGCTCGCGCTGCAGAGATGTCGTCGTCGTGTTGTGGTTTGTCTGCAGGGTCATAAATTTGGACTACGATGGAGTCAAGTCAACTTGCCACAGCTCAAGATACGATTAGGCGCACCTTCCATTCGTCCCGCTCTATTTCTGCCCTTGCAGCCTTCACCTTCAACTCTTGTTGGGCCTTCTCCGTCCTCTGCAGCTCGTTTTCCAACTCGGTTTCAAGTTCCTTACTAGCAAGATGAAAGTCGTCCAGTTCCGCGCGAGTTTCCGCTAGCATGTCCGCCACCTTGTCAACAGCTTTCAAGATGTTGCGGCAATTTGGATGGAAGAGTACTCACCTCGTTGTACTTCGTTCGCCAGTCGGTTGACGAGGAGTAGCTGAGCATGCGTTGAGCCAACATTGTACACATGTCATGAAAAGAGCATACCCAAGCTGAGCATCGTCCATTGACATGACCCTTTCTCTCCTCAGAGCATCCGTGGCCGACAGCACGGCGGTCATTGACGACAGCGGATGACGACAGGAGCTTGACGAACGAGGAGAGACGGTAGGTCGATGCCACGGTTACCAAGCGGTCCTGTTGAGGTCGAATTGCCTCTTTCGGAATTTGCCCACATGAATTACTACAGACAATTCACGGAAAATACAACATTGTAAATTCAAGGTAAGTGTCAATATATATCAAGGCTGCTACAGTCCTTCGGGTTTGGCACACTTTCGCTTTTCAATCTTCCCCGTCCTTGTACACCGCATGGAAACCCAAGAGACAGGTTCCATGGTTGCTCCTGGAATAAGGATAAGTTAGAGCCATTTCAAGTATTCAGGGTTACATACCTGCCTCGCTTGTAGCGAATATAACACCGAGATCATTTCTAGCAGTCGAAATGAAGTAACTTCGAGCATCTCCTAGAGAAATCTAACCTTCGACGAGTGAGCCCTGACCAACGGTAATGGAAAGAAGACGAACGACTTGTCCTCGAACAACATCCCCGCCTCGAAAACAGTCATTTATTTTGACCTTGTCCGTTTCGGTGGCTCGAACATCTTGGGAACGAATGACGCCCGTGAACTCTTCTCCAGGAGGTAGTGGAATGCCGTCGACAACGGATATTGACAACAAAGCCTGTACAGGAGACAACCGTGTTACGGAACCAAGAACGAGGGAATTCGGGGCTGGAGGGTGGGGCTTAACCCGGGATATCATCAAAGTCTACAGTTCCAGATATCAAGCGGTCCGAAAGAGAGGAGGATAAAACCAACAGATCCATCATAATGGGGAGCTCCGACCAGACTGGCGCGAACTTTGTCGTCTTTTGTGTAAATACCGCGTCCCAGACAGGGAACAGGGCCGCGAGGAAGTGGTATAGGCTGACCTGGGAGAACTAAATCGGACGTCATTAAAGTTGAACGGCAAAATCAAAGTCCGGTCAAAAAGCGTGGAGTTTTTGTACCAAAAGTTGGCTATAAATTTGTCATTGGGGTAATGCAAACCATTTTGGGCAACGCCGCAAAATAATTCTAGGTGTGCCAGCTACTTACCGTCATCTTCCGTCTCTCCATGGCCACCTCGGTTGCTCGCATTTTTGCGCGTCGTATGTGTACACATCTCACTCTGTAGACTGTTCTCACCATTCTTCAGGCTTCCATGTCTCCGCCCGGAGACTCGCGCTGTCACCCTTTAATATGCCTGCAATGAGTCCTACTATGTCAGAAGGGGGAATTGCGTCGTGGAAGAAGAAGGAAGGTGAATCGTTTTCCTCAGGTGATGTTCTGTTGGAGGTGGTGAGTTGTGTGGCAGGTTCGTATCGCTGGAAAACAATGACGCGGTTCACTTCAGGAAACGGACAAGGCCACAATTGATGTTGAAGCCCAGGACGACGGTATTCTTGCAAAAATCATGGTACGTGTTAGCTTGAATGATCCGTTTTAATTCTCAACCTGAGTTTACTAGGTCCAAGACGGCACGAAAGGGGTCCAAGTGGGTACCCCCATCGCAATCATTGGAGAAGAAGGTGATGACCTGTCCGGCGCTGCTGGCGCTGCGGCGAAGGCCACCTCTTCTTCAAAACCTAAAGAGGCGAAGCCCACTGAATTGCCCAAGTCCAAATCTACTCCGAAGATTGAATTTTCACCGAAAACAAAGGAAGAAGTCAAGGCTGACCTTCCTTCCGGGGACCGAATTTTTGCTTCTCCCATCGCAAAGAAAATTGCTCTCGAGCGTGGTATTCCACTGTCAAAGGTCAAAGGAACTGGACCTTCTGGTCGCATCATTCGCGAGGACGTCGAAAGTTATCAGCCATCCACCGCCACTCCAACGGTTAGCCAACCCCCAGCAGCTGCCGTCCCAGACTATGTGGACACACCCGTCTCAAATATGCGCCGCACCATTGGCACCCGCCTGACGCAGTCCAAGCAAGAACTTCCTCATTACTATGTTACAGTCGATATTAAGATGGACAAGGTTCTCAAGCTGCGCGAAGTCTTTAACAAGACCCTGGCCGACAAAGGTGCAAAGCTAAGCGTCAATGACTTTGTCGTCAAGGCGGTCGCTTGTGCCCTAGCCGATGTTCCAGAGGCAAACTCCGCTTTCCTTGGAGAAGTTATTCGGACGTGAGTTTTATGTATTCATCACTACAACACACTCAAACCTCTGCCCAGATACAAGAAGGCGGATGTTTCTGTTGCTGTTGCCACTCCTTCTGGTCTTATCACACCCATTATCAGAGATGTAGGCGCCAAAGGCTTGGCCACTATTTCTACTGAGGCCAAAGGCCTTGTGAAGAAAGCACGCGATGGAAAACTCGCACCGTCAGACTATCAGGTCTGCCTCTTTCAAGTTGCTATACTTCTTTTTATTGACACTATACCTAACCTCTAGGGTGGTACATTCACGGTTTCTAACCTCGGCATGTACGATGTTTCTCATTTTACCGCCATTATCAATCCTCCTCAATCGTGCATTCTTGCCGTTGGTTCCACACAAGCTACCATCGTCCCTGCACCCGAGGAAGAGCGTGGCTTCAAGACGGCACAGATCATGAAGGCGACGTTGAGTTCTGACCATCGGACAGTTGATGGAGCGGTTGCGGCGAGATGGATGTCGGCTTTCAAAGGATATCTCGAAAATCCCTTGACATTCATGCTGTAAATCGGTTGTTCATGTTGAGAGAGCCCTGTTATTCTACGTCGTCTTCATTTATTTAGATTTTTCTGACCTCGTACCACTCCCTTTTGAACCCGCCGTGTTAATCTTTTGCAAAGCTACTGGTCACGCGCACGGACACCCTGAGAAATACGTCAAAATCAAGGATAGATGGAAGCAATTCAACCAACCTCTTATACAAGCACACGACTCGATACCTTGCAGCAAACGCGTCGTTTTAGACATGGCTGCCGCGTCTGATTCTGATTGGAATGCCAGAAGAAATGCGTTCTTAAATTCGGTGCTGGAGCAATTACTTGAAGCCCGTTTGGAAATTGATACTCTCGGGAAACGCGTCATCTCTGCTGAAAAAGAGGTTAGGCACTGTACACCAGCTCAACTGCAGTCGGTCCTGATCATGTTATTCCCTGTAGCGTGGTGAATGCTACTGTCAGCGCGTCAATTCAAGCATTCGCCTTCCAGTCCTGCCAGTGCCCGAAATGCCCCAGTCAATGGCTCATGAATGGCAGACGGATTTAGCTCTTAGATTACAAACCGCTGAAACGGGATTCAGCAAGGCGAAAGAGGAATACAACAAATTGAAGGAATCTGTGCGTTTTATCCCATTGAAAGTGTCCAGACGCTGAGGTTATGTCCACTTTTGTGCATAGCTCACCTCTACAAATGAAGAAGTGACATTCATCAAATCGCGTAATCAACAGTTAGAATATGATCTTTTTCAAGTTCGAACTCAGCGCGACCAGCTTCTTGAAGAACAAGCGCACCTATCCACTGTCCTGAGAAATGATTACGCCGCTCAAGCCTTTCCAGATAATGTACGCGGTCGTGAAGTCTGAACTACTTTTGGGCACATGGTATTCATCAGTCTTACAGGCCACTGGATCAGAGATAGACCGTAATGGGCACTGGACACTCGAGAAGGACTCGAGAGGATCGATACCCGAACTTATTTCTATAATTCAGGCTCGGGACGCGCTGGTCTAAGCAATTTAAACTGGGTCTAGTCCGCAGGGAGCTAATCTCCTTTACAGATAAAAGATTTACAAGAGACAGTCGACAGAGAGCACTCCTTGAACCATCAGTTGAAACAGAATCTCGCAACTGTCTCCAGTGAGATGCGAAACGCAAGTAAGACTGTTTTGGAGACCATTAGTACAAGATTACATGCCCCAGTCAGACCTAAACGTATGCTAACTCATATCATAAATTGACATTCTGTTTTTTTGAAGACATCCACGCGCAAACGAAGTGAAAGTGAGCCCAGTTCAAGCCGTAATCCTGGAGCCGTAAAGGAGACCATTCTTCCCGCCGATCGCCAATCCTCCACTTGCACGCTACAGCCGACCAGATCCGTGGTTCACAGGAAATCGGTGCTGGCAAAGTCGAACGATATTACATCATATGTCACTGATGTACCAGAGGAGCGACTTAAAACCTTACGAGACCTTGAGACAGTGACCAACCCTACTTCTGCAACTGGCATCAACGCCTCATACTCTCGGGATTTCTTGAAGACAAACATCGGCGGTAGCATCCAGCCTCTGATTGTTAGGTTCGTTGCGTTTTGACTTGAATTCTATAGTCACTGACTGAACATACTGTCTAGAGTTACGCACACTCAAACAGCACTCGCTCAAAAGCATGGGATTGACTGTTATCTATGCCCCAACTTAGAACATAATCCTTGGTGCCCAACCATCCCCGGGCGACATGGATATATCTTCGTAGGCCTCGGAATGGACAAAGATGCTTTTGTAAAAAAGGAGGAATTCTATACAGTTTTTGTTGGCATCAAGGAGAATTCCTCTTCCCCCAGACTTTTACGTTATCTCGGGCGGTACACTGCTACACATGTAGCACCTTTGACAGTTGCGGAGTGGAATACCCTCGCTCTATCTGTAAGAGTGTCCAATTAATAACAAAAAGACTTTATTGAAAACTTGATAGGTTCAGGCGGCTTACTCTGAAACAACGAAGAAAGAGACAAAAGACAGCAGGCCGACGGAAAAGATTAAGAGCCTGTATGCCGAAGGGGTTCTCACCGTTCCTTGTGTCCTTCTCAAATGTGTGGAAGTTGATCACGAACTTTCAAGCAGTTTGGAGTTGGCCCTCCGTAACAGTCCATCGCAGAAAACTGGATCCGTCTCTCCTTCAAAGCGACGGCGTGAAATTCAAGACGAAGGCGAAAACGTCAGTCGTACCCGAACCCGAAAGACTACAACTAGCCTGGCTGTTTCCAGTGCTAGTCAGCTGTTAGGATGAGGATATAGCCTGTCTCCCTTCTTACAGAAAGATTTAGCATCATGATCACCTACAATACCCATCGAATTCAACAGTTGTACCTACTACTTAGTCTCGTTTAGGGAAATTTATTGTTTTTGACTGCGTTGATGGCGGTTTTGGTCCAACTTGCTGTTTCCTTTTCTGTGCTTCGGCCCTGATCTGATACTTTTACCTTGTCGCACTCATGCCCGGACGGACGAAAAGGACATCGCCACTGAAGGCACCAGGTACAAAACGCAAAAGACGTGCTACAATGTAAATATGCTCACGTCGCAGCAGACCGTGCCTATCTCGCACTCGGACTGGAAGGGTCAGCAAACAAACTAGGCGCCGGTATAATCAAGCACGCTGAAGATGGGTCAACCACAGTCTTGTCGAACACCCGACATACATACATCACCCCTCCGGGGGAAGGATTCCAGCCTCGGGATACCGCGCTTCATCATCGCGAATGGGCTCTTAAAGTCATCGACGACTGTCTGAAGCAGGCCTATGTATCATTGCATGATATAGACTGCATATGTTTTACGAAAGGTACGTCGCCGAGTCGATTTCGAGACAAGTCCTGAATGCAGCCTATTCTTTTCAGGGCCGGGAATGGGTGCACCATTGCAGTCGGTAGCTTTGGTTGCGCGAACGCTTTCTCTTCTCTACGACAAGCCACTTGTTGGTGTGAACCATTGTGTTGGCCGTAGGCATTCAATCATCAACCACATCGCATACTTTACCTTCTAATAGACATCGAGATGGGACGCGAAATCACTGGTGCCCAAAACCCCGTTGTCCTATACGTTTCCGGAGGAAATACACAAGTCATTGCATATTCTCGTCAATGTTACCGTATCTTTGGAGAAACACTTGATATCGCTGTAGGAAACTGCCTCGACCGATTTGCACGAGTGATCAATCTCAGCAACGACCCGAGTCCCGGGTATAATATCGAGCAGGAGGCAAAGAAGTTCGTCACACCTGCTGCATCTCCCAGTACGTCGATACTGAATTATGGGCAGGGGCAACCGCCTTTTGCCGATACCGTATGCCACCAAGGGGATGGACATCAGCCTTTCAGGAATCTTGACTTCTATTGAAGCTTATACCTTTGACAAGCGTTATCGACCTGACGGAGGGACCGACAACCCGGAAGATGACATCATCACCCCTGCAGACCTCTGTTTCTCCTTACAGGAGACGGTTTTCGCGATGCTGGTGGAGATTACTGAACGTGCCATGGCACATATCGGCAGTAAAGAGGTTCTCATTGTCGGTGGTGTCGGATGTACGTTAATGCATTCGCATGAGCGTAATTATTAACGGACTTCTAACTAACAGGCAACGAGCGACTCCAAGAAATGATGGGAATAATGGCCGCTGAACGCCATGGACAAATTTTTGCTACTGACGAGAGGTGTGTTTGAGTATTGTATTGAGTGTTAATCTGGACCTGACCAGCCATCAGATTCTGCATAGACAACGGAATTATGATAGCTCAAGCAGGCCTTCTCAGCTTCAGGATGGGCTTCAGCACAGCTTTGGCCAAAAGTACCTGTACCCAAAGGTATGTGAGCGCGGCGCATGTTCCTTTACATTGCCTAACATGAATTCAGATTCCGAACTGACCAGGTGCACGTTGCTTGGAGGAAGTAGCTATCTTTGCAGGTTTCGAAGCTTTCAGGATATTTTAATGTATAATGTATGCATGTGCATCGATAACAAGTCAAGAGTGCTACGTTCTTGTATGATGACGGTCTAGTTCTAGATCTACTCATGTAAGCGTCATTTAGCTGCAACATTGGCTGAAACTAATTTCCAACCCTCAGGATCTACTGCGCGCAGCTCCTCGCCCAGTTTCTCAAAATGTGCCCACCACCACCGATTAGTTTCATCAAAGGGACTACCAGTACCTTCGTCCGGTACCCTTGCCTTCCAAGGTTTATCGGGTAGAATGTAATGAAGGCATCGAATTTCTTCATCGCGCCAGATCTTTGGATGCACAACCTGCAATGTCCGAAGTGCGTTGTAATACCAAGGAAGAGGCTTCCACATCCCTTTGAAATGCTCGATCATGAGGTCTTGGTCTGCGAACGTGAAGTTTTCAACTTCTGCAGAGGTCATGAGTCGTTTAATGATAGCGTTTGCCACAGTCATCGAGGGATTGAGAACGACAACCCCAGAATTGAGCTGGCTGTAGGGGCGAGGTTTTCCTTCTGACCACTGAGGAGGTGGGGCATTTGGACCGGACACGGCACTGTGAGCGCAGTTCTCGGGAATCCTATAATAGCATGAGCTACAGGGAAAAAATGGGCGTTATTGTGCAGGGCTACTAACCAATCGGCAGGATAATGGGGGAGCTTCCGAGGGTTGCAAGCGCAGACATGGGCAGCAGCGATATTATCTTCGGGCAGGTCGAGATCCATCAGCTCGTCCATGTTTCTCATGATTATCACATCGGCATCCAGAAGAACCACTCGCTTGAGAAACCGGATTTTTTTTGAGTTGGCGTCATCGCCCCTAATCTAAAGGAATACGTACATCGTAATCCACCATCTCAAACGTACTAAGAGATAAATGTTATCGGATGAGCACACAAGCAAGACGACAGAGATGCCTTACCGAACTTTGGACCAGGTATCGGCAAACCTGGCATCGTGGACGTCGAATCTTTGGCGACTTGCCTCTGGGGCGACTACGTCCACATCGACACTGATCAGACCCCGATTTCTGAGGACATCAAGGGCATCCTGAGATATATCCGGAGTGACCATCACTATCAGCGGATATTTAGATTTGGCGGCCTTGAGACCATAGTCTACGACGAGAAGACCCGGCAAATAAGCTGTCTTGGATAGAAGGGAGACCCAGGCGGCTTTGGGAGACATGGCAGTATGGTACAGAGGCAGCCGATGACCGGTCTGACCAATGATTGCGTATTTCGATCCCCTACCTTGCAATTTTTCTTGCCTCGGAGGACCTTCGCTTTCGATCAGAGCGGAAGGCACCGTGGATCTGATTGCCGTACACTGTTAGCCGCTGCCTCGAGTCATTTCCTTTGCCCAACGTCGCCTTTCAGTACGGATCTTCTTGTCATTTTTGCTACCGTCGGCGTACTAGACATTTTTCCGATTCATTACCTCGGATCACTCTGCTGATCACTTGGTTGACAGTATTACTAGTAGAATAATTACATGATGTACTACACGGCTTTATCGTAGATCGGCACCCAAATGTTCCGGCAACGAGGTAATGAGTTGACGTTTTACTCTATTCTCAGCTCCCTTCCCACGCAGTATATTCTCGATGTAAAATTCACCAGCCTGTCACGAGATAAATCAATACCTGACGAAATAGGCGCCTCGAGACGCTCACCTTGTAACTGCTGCGAACTAATGGTCCACTAGCAACATAGAGGAAACCCATGTCTTCGGCAACTTGCTTCCACCGCTCAAATTCTGCCGGTTCAACGTAACGATCTACTTTCATGTGCCGTTTGGTCGGACGCATGTACTGGCCGAAAGTTATAACGTCTGCGGACACCCTGCGAAGCTCTGAAGACAGTTAATCGTGCACAGAGTGTCGCGCAGGTAAAGAAACTGACCTCGCAACGCATCTACCACTTGTTCGCTTGTTTCGCCAACACCCAGCATGATACTCGTCTTCGTGATTCGAACGCCCTCTTGTTTGGCATGTTCTAGCACTTTCAGACTTTGTCGGAACGTCGCTCGTCTATCCCGGACGAACGGCGTCAGAGCTTCAACCGTTTCAATGTTATGAGCATATACGTCGAGCCCGGATTTCGCGACAAGGGATACATGAGGTAAAGCCCCAGCGAAATCTCCGGTCAATGCTTCAACCAAGATATGGGGAGCTCTGTAACTGAGGTCAGAATTTGAAAGTGTTACGGATAACGTGGACGTATACTTTTGTTTGATCTTCCGTATAGTTTCTGAAAAATGGTGGGCACCACCATCAGCAAGATCTAGGCAATGCATAAGTCACAGTGTCAAAATATAGAGAGGTGAAGCATACCGTCTCTATCGACGCTCGTAAGAACAATATAGCCCAAACCCCATCGACTGATGGCCTCAGCAGTATTCTCCGGTTCATGGGGGTCCAAGGGTGGTGGTGCACGAGACGTCTTTACAGAGCAGAATCTACACCCACGGGTACATGTATCGCCCATGAGCTGTTTGTATGAGCCGCTGTATTCTTATTTAGAGCCTTGGTTCTCACCATTATGGTAGCAGTAGCTGCACTTCGGTCCTCTGCCTCCGTAGCGCCTTCCTTGCCACCCCAGCAATCACCAATGTTGGGACATCGAGCTTCTTCGCACACAGTGTGAAGACCCAATCCTCTCAAGTCTTTCTTGATCTTAGTAAACGAAGGTCCGGAAGGAATAGAAGTTTTGAGGTATGACGGAAGACGAGGGCTGACGAGAGGTCAATTCTGGAAAGACAAAGCCATTCAAAGGCATACCCTCGAGCATTTCCAAGCAGAACATGGTCAGAAGGCTCGCCCGAAATGAACTCGTCTAGTGAAGGTCCAGATGCCAATGCTTCCCTAAAATTTGGTTTGGGAGGGGATGACGGTGTTGCAAGGAAGCGGACCTGAGGAAGAGGTCGCAATCGAATTTCTCTCAGGAGAGAATACATTGTAGGGAAGAGCTGAGAACGACACGGTCGAATGACAGAGAGTGGAATTCAAATTACTTCCTATTACATCATCATCATTGAATGTTTCGGATTCGGCCGACTACCGTCCCGACTCCGAGTCAACGCTGATGAACGCACTGTCTCGTCGGGAAGAGGACAGCCTGTTAAAGGCTACCAAAGCCTACGCGCTCAAACAGTGCGATCCTGTAGTCAAAGGCGTGTCTCTGCTTTGTGTTCCTGCTATTGGTCTCACAGAGACGAACCAGAATTTGCAGATTGCATGTCAGGACGTTTAATTTCGGTGGCTTGGGCCTGCAAAGACAAGCTGAGGGTAGTCGAAAAGTGCATGATTCAATAGTCGGTGCTTTTCTATTGGAGTTGTTCTTCTAGTAATAGTTGCCCCACAGTACTGGACCGGAGTCTATGGACATCGTTCGTGGGGAGTACCTCAAGTTGCGAAACCAACGGCAAGAAGAAAAACGCAAACTTTTTGACGAGTCTTTGAGATCGTAGCAAAAATTATATCCTTCTGCACTTGCATCTCATACACACTTTTCACGACCGAGGAAACTTCTTACACGATTATCTTAATTTATAGAATATACAGATCACTTCTTTCCATGGACGGCATTCCATTGCTTCCTGGCTGCCATTAACGAGGTAATCAGCCTGCGACACGAATTCTTAGTGACAGCGGGTGGTTCTATACGACGTAGTAGCTCACCCAAAGATACCCAATACGCCATCGTTGAGATTCGTCAGGCCGAGTCCGGTCGCGGGAATCCAAACATCGAGCGAATCGAGGGTAAGCTGATGCAGTGTAGCCGCACGTGAACTTGTACAAATTCAGATTTATGTGTCTTTCAAGGAAAATAGACGTACGCTTTCAGGGCCGCCGCCTTTGTAGAGTAGTCGGCTTCGGTACCAAGATTCTTGTCGCCGATAGACTTGGATTTCAAAGCCAACAACTCTTTGTGTATACGAAGCATCTAATCAATTTATCACTTTAGTGAGAATCATAATGAAAGCGCAATGACTGGCTTTGATTATCCCATTGAGCAGACCGAAAACAATTCCGGTAAACCAAAATCTATTTGAGAGTCTCTGTATCTTCTGAGCGGTTTCAGACTTGAACTGGACAAATTTTATGGAGTTTGCCTGAGAGAAATCAGACGGTATGAATTAGCTGACGTCGATAGGGAATGCTCACCCAGACCAAGGCGTCGAGGGACAAGTACCCAAAGTATGCTATTTGTCGAGCAATAGTTGTTATTTGTTCGGGTGCAGAAGAGGAGGAGAGGACGGCCCGAAGGGCTGCCTGTAAGTGTTCCATAGGTTTCCCCAACCGAAGAACTGTGTTCAGTAAGTCAAAAAGTACAACTCATCGATGAGTCAGAGACAAACGTTTGCGAGCAGTCCCAAGATGGGCTTTGAGGGCATTCCAAGGAACTGCAGCATCCTTTTCACCGCGAAAAAGAAGGTACCATGTGTAGAACCTGGCGAAATATTGGATTGCGCGGTAGGTCTTGTGCCGTTAGTATTTGGTAGGCGGCCGCGAGGGGCTAAAGATATACCTTGTCCCTTCCGAGCGTGGTTGTACCAAATTTGAGGGATTGAGAGACAGCTGGATGGAAAATGATCTGGGATGCGACGGCGGACATGGCTGGTTATTCTGAGGACTGACTGGCAGTATTTGAATGTGTGGGGAACTGAATATTGAATTCACGTGTTTCCCCGCAAGAAAGGACCGGACCGGATCCTCCTAGTGACGTATTTCCGTGAAAAGCACTACGAGTTGCAAGTTAAAAAAAAGAAACAAAAACAAAAAAGTGGATTTGCATGCCAGCAAACAACACACTCAGAATCTGCCTGAGCGCTACGTCGCTCTTACCGCTCTACGTTGACATACGCAATTCAGCGGAAAAACTCGGACGGAAACCGCCGTTTCCATCTTGCTGCCCGATTGTCAAGTTCTTCCACTTTCTTCCAGCTTTCTTCCGCCTGTTCCTCTCTTTTCTCGTGCTTTCTCAAGCTTAATCACACGCAATATGTCGACGACACTCTACTCAAAGGTCACACGGCTCACAATCGAATCACAGGACTTCCTCACTCACGTGATGCCATACAGTTAAGTCTCAGAACCCCTCACGGCCTGGCCAGATCTGTCCGACTCTTCTCAAGTTCTTCCGCTACCATGGTTAGACTTTCGAACTTTAATATACACAAGCTCACATCGATATAGTCCGACTCTACTTTCCGCCTCGAGAAAGATACTTTTGGTGAACTTCAGGTTCCCGCGGACCGGTACTGGGGTGCACAGACACAACGGTGAGAGCTCGATCCTTTGCTTATTGTCGTTCGTACGACATTAACCTGTCCTACAGATCCTTGCAGAACTTTGACATTGGTGGCCCTACGGAACGGCTCCCCCCCCCTCTTATTAAAGCCTTTGGTGTCCTCAAGAAAGCCGCTTCCGTTGTCAATGTCGGTTATGGCATGGATCCAAAGGTCGGCGAAGCCATTCAGAAGGCAGCTGATGATGTCTGTAGTCTCAATATCCAATGCCATCCTCTACTAATCTATCATTCAGGTGATTTCCGGGAAACTCATTGACCATTTCCCCCTTGTTGTATTCCAAACGGGTAGCGGTACCCAGAGTAATATGAACGTCAACGAGGTTGGTCGTGTTTATGTATTCATATCAGTGTCCAATGGTTTAAAATCAACGGCAGGTTATCTCCAACAGAGCCATCGAGCTTCTTGGCGGCGAACTTGGGTCAAAGAACCCAGTACACCCGAATGACCACGTTAACATGAGCCAAAGCAGCAACGACACGTTAGGACCATGCTCCTATTATGCGAGTCGAGCTATTTGACACATAATACAGGTTTCCCACTGCTATGCACGTTGCCGCCGTCACGGAACTCAGCCGTAACCTTCTCCCGGCTTTGACTGAACTCCGAGATGCTCTCAATACAAAGTCGGTTGCCTTTGATAATATTATCAAAATCGGTCGTACGCATCTTCAGGCAAGTTCGAAGCAAGCATGGTTGTGAATATAGCTCATGATCACAACAGGATGCGACTCCTCTCACTTTGGGCCAGGAATTCAGTGGCTACGTTCAACAAGTCTCCAATGGCATCGATCGTATTAACGATGTTCTCCCACGATTGAGCCTTCTTGCACAAGGTGGAACTGCTGTTGGCACTGTACGTCTGCTGGATGAGAATATGGCGGCTGCTTCACTGACCATAACATCGATAGGGTCTTAATACCAAGAAAGGTTTCGATGTCAAAGTCGCAGCAGAGATTAGCGAGATAACTGGATTGGAATTCAGAACTGCTCCAAACAAGGTATTCACTTGGTTTGGTGCGAATCTTCTTAGCTGAACGTCGGACTGCAGTTTGAAGCACTAGCAGCACATGATGCTCTAGTCGAGGCACATGGGGCCTTGAACGTCATTGCGTGTTCCTTGATGAAAATCGCCAATGATATCCGATACCTAGGGTCTGGACCTCGTTGTGGTCTGGGTGAACTCAGTCTACCGGAAAATGAGCCCGGTAGCAGCATCATGCCAGGCAAGGTCAATCCTACACAATGCGAGGCTTTGACAATGGTTGCCGCCCAAGTCATGGGAAATCAAACCGCCGTCAGTGTAGCGGGTGCCAGTGGGCAGTTTGAGGTAGGGGGGGATTCGTACAATATCCGGATCTTCATTTACGAAATTCCCTCAAACAGCTTAATGTCTTTAAACCGGTCATTATCAAAAACGTTTTACAAAGTATTCGTTTGTTGGCTGATGGTGAGCTTGATTTGCATCGGAAACACCTAGACAAGCTCATGGCTACCAAAGGATCACGCTCCTTCACCAAGAACTGCGTCACTGGCATTCAGGCGAATGAGAAACGAATCAACACGCTGCTTAATGAGTCCCTCATGCTCGCTACGATTTTGAACAGCCATCTAGGCTACGATAGTAGGTGATTACAGCCCATGAAAGGCATTTTTTCACAAGTTACAATGGCAGATGTCGCGAAATGTGCAAAGAAGGCCCACAAGGAAGGGACGACACTGAAGGAAGCCACCGTTGCACTGGGATTCCTGACACCGGAAGATTTTGACCAGAAAGTTCGCCCAGAACTGATGTTGCACCCGGACCCAGAGAACTGATGTTGATTGGACCAAGTAATGAAATGGCTGTGGTGTTTCGACGGGGATGATGTGATCGAAGGCAGGACCCCGAAAAGGCAGCGGGAGCTGGGCTCAGATCAAGTTCAGATGAGGGACCGAATGATGACTGACTGAAAGCTTAGAAAAAGTCAAGTTGGAACAGAAATTTACTTGAAAGTCATCAGCAAAAGTGAGAATGAGCATTAGAACTCTTAAAACTGAGCTGTAGCAAGGATTGTGCCAGAATGTCAGCTAGAATATCCTTTTTGGTCGGAATGACAAGAGTGAGCGTTCCCAAAAAGGTAAGACAACACGCAATGGCAAAATTCGAATGCCAGGCCTCAGTTTTAGTCCACTCTCCCACCCTGCTCATCAGTCCCCAATTCTGCCCGTCGTTTCAACTTCAAACTTGTTTCCACCTCCGTCGTCGTCGTCGAGCCCGACGACGTTGACGACATATTTGTCCACCATCGGGCCCTGTATACGGGGTCGAAGCGCCTTCACCTTCGGCTCTGCTCCCACGAGGCTCTTTCCGTCGTGGCAGTCGCTATTTCCCTGTTTTTCCTTTCTTATCTTTTTGCACCTATAATTTTAGCAGTAAACCTCCCTGTTATTAGCCATGTCGCTTAGCCGGATTCTCAACGACGAACCCTCGCCTGCTCTTTCCGCTAGGTCGCCATTCACCCCCTCTTCGCGCAACATGCCAACCGACACTGTGCAAAGAGATATACCATCTTCGTCCGCCTTTCCCAATGCATCACCCCGGTCCCAGTCCCGAATGTCTGATTCCTATCGCAATGCGCCGCCTCTTCCTCGAGTTCACAGTCATACACTAGCCAACCATGACCCGGTAGACCTTTGGGATCCGTACCTAATGCCACGCCCACAGAACATCATGGGTACTGGTTCCAGTTCTGTGCGTTCCGAACTTGTCGACCGTGAACGCGACATCCACCGATCCGCGTCTCCTGATAGTCAAATTCACTTTTCGGGTAGTGGAGTGGAGAGAGATTCTGTGCCCAGAAAGCGCCATAAAGGGAACGATGACGACAGTGATTATCGAGTTGCCGACGAACGACGCGTGAGTCCTTGCTCTGTATGTCTGGAATGTTTTACGTACCTCTCGTTTCCAGCATCAGCTGTTTAACGCAGCAAACTGCCCCCAAGATATCCACACGGATACACTGCCACACCCAGGGTCCCCCGCTCGGCCTTCCCTCAACGAGGAAGTCAAGCCTCGACCGTCAAAACATCCGAATGAAGAGGATAGACTTGCATCTTCTGATCTCTCAGATTGTGAAGAAGTTTGGATTGCAGAGCTGAGCGATTACATCCTGGAGACGCAGAAGCGCTTTAAGCAAGTTGAGCAGTGGTTCAATGAAAGCACTAGAGTGAGCTATCGACACTTATCTTGCGTTCCGTCACTCAACTACTTCAGGATCGGACCGCCAAAACGGCCGAAGACATGTCCCATTATTATTCACGAAAGATCGCCAAGATACCAATGCCTCCACCTTCGCCTCCACCCATGCTAGCTCCTCCAGATAGTCCACGTTTCAATGGCTACGAATATCCAGATGTCCCTATCCAGGATACACCAGACCGGGACAACCTGTATGTATCTCCAGGCGCGGATATGAATAACACGCCGGAGCCCCTTCCATCAATACGACTCGGCAAAGGAAAGGAGCGCGTTAAAAGGCATGCCTCGGGGGCTATGTCTGATGCAAGTAGCGAGTTATTCGCTCCCCTATCCCGAGAACGGGGTCATGCGAGCAAAAAGAGGAAGTTGGAGGCGTCAGCGATTGATATTCCGGAGGATAATGCAGTGGAGCCGTCAGTTATTGACGAGTCCATTTCGCCGGCAATAGCCTCAAAAGCTTCTGCAAAGGGAAAAGGGAAAGCAAAGCAACAGTCGTTACCCACCCAAATAGAGATCGCTGAAAGTGCTTCCGCCAACGCTAAGCCTCCGCGCAAAAGGCCTGGTCCCAGGAAGAGATTGCCTTTTACCGCAGACTTGGAGTTGGAGTTGGCATCGCACCCTCCTTCTATCGCTGGAGATGTCACGCCTTCGGTGTCTTATTCAAGACCTTCCTCGCCAGTGCCTACAAATTCTACTGTGATCTTTGAACTTGACGAGGAGATCCCTCCTCTGAAGAAAGCGAGAAAATTGGATGACAGTGCTATGGTTAAACGGGTCAAAACTCTCGAAGATGCGCAACGCAAAGTTTGGACGAACATTGCTAGAAGAGATGTTGCCAAGGTTTGGACGAGTGTTTCATCTACATCTCCTGCCATTTACATATGCAATTTAGGTGTATAAATATCATGCACTGGGCTATCAAGCTCGAGTATCTCAGTCAGAAAGAATAGCTAAATTGGCCTCTATTCAAGCGCGCAAGCCTTTCACGAAGACCCCCAAGGGCGTCAAGGACATGCAGGCCAAGGCTAAACGATTGATGCGTGAGATGCAAGTCTTTTGGAAAAAGAATGAACGCGAGGAGAGAGATGTTCGGAAGCGTGAACACAAGGAAGCGATGGACCGATTAAAGATGGAGGAGGAGAAACGCGAGGCAGCACGACAAGCGCGAAAACTTGAGTTTTTGATTAGTCAGACAGAGCTCTACAGCCATTTCGTCGGGAACAAGTTGAAGAGTATGATTCCATCTTTCTTCCCATGGTGGTTCGATCTGACAGGTTTGTAGCATCTGAGATGGAAGGCAATTCAAACAGTGAACCTCTTCCTGCCGGAGCCGATTTCGAGGACATTAATCCTGAAGCTCTCGGAGAGATCAACTTTGATGACGGTGAGTAGCTAAATTCCTCGAATTCGGTATCCCAGACTCATGAACTCTGTCAGACGACCAGTCTAACATGTATAAACATGCAAGACACAATGCTCAAGAGGCTATAGCTCTTGCCAAGCAGAAAGCCCGAGAATTCGATGCCCATGCTGCTCTGGGGCGCAAAAACGAGATGAACAAGCTCGTGAAAAGCCGATCACAAGATCAGGTTGACGGGGAAGCTGAAGTTGACGGGGAATCAGGGACGTTCGGTGCCCCCCTTCTGGATCGTATGTCCTTTTAACGTGTTTATTTCCGGGTATTCACATGCCTGCTGTGACCAGTTGACTCCGACGAACTCAATTTCCAAAACCCCACATCTCTCAGCGGGCCGCTTACTATTGGCCAACCGAAGATGTTAATGGCCCAATTGAAGGAGTATCAGCTCAAAGGCTTGAACTGGTTAGCGACGTTGTACGAGCAAGGTATCAACGGTATCCTTGCTGACGAGATGGGTCTCGGAAAGGTGATCGTTGCATCGCTTATGTGAAATACGCCTAACGTTGACTTTTAATAGACCGTTCAATCTATTTCTCTACTTTCGTATCTCGCCGAAACCCACGACATCTGGGGACCGTTCCTTGTAGTAGCACCTGCTTCAACTCTGCACAACTGGCAGCAGGAAATTACTCGATTTGTTCCTCGATTGAAAGCGTTGCCTTACTGGGGAAATGTCAAGGACCGCGCCACTCTTCGGAAGTTCTGGAGCAAGAAAGAGATAAGTTACAATCAGGACGCGCCGTTTCATGTCCTCATTACCAGTTATCAACTGGCAAGTTTCGTCCAAGTCGTCCAAATCGTTCCAGAAGTATTGACCTTCGTATCTTCCCTTCTCAGGTCACTCAAGATCAACAGTACTTTCAACGTGTCAAATGGCAGTACATGATATTGGACGAGGCGCAGAATATCAAGAACTCTTCTAGTGTTCGGTGGAAAACTTTACTGGGCTTTCAATGTCGAAATCGACTCCTACTAACAGGAACTCCCATACAGAATTCCATGCAAGGTACTTGAAGTCTCAGTAAGTTCTGATGTCATATTCTGACGAGTGTTTAGAGTTGTGGGCTCTTCTGCACTTCATCATGCCGAGCTTATTCGATTCTCACGATGAGTTCAATGAATGGTTTTCCAAGGACATCGAAAATGCCGCAGAAAACAAGGGAAGCAAATTGAACGAACATCAGCTACGGCGACTGCATATGATCTTGAAACCTTTCATGTTACGCCGGGTGAAGAAGCATGTCCAGAACGAACTGAGTGAGAAGGTCGGTGACTTCATCTCTTGATGTTTGGTCGCTCTCAAATTACATTGTCAGATCGAGGAGGATATATATGTATCTTTAAGTGCGAGGCAACGTTCGTTATATAAAGCCCTGCTTGCCAAAGTATCTGTGGCCGACCTCATCGCAAAGGCAGCTAACATCGGGGATGCTGATTCTGCGCGAACTTTGATGAATCTCGTTATGCAGTTCCGCAAGGTCCGTCGAATTCGTTTCTAGTACCTGCCCAACTCTCTTTATTGAATCGATATCAGGTTTGTAACCACCCAGAGCTATTTGAAAGGGCCGACATAGTCGTACCTTTCTCCTTTTCAAGGTTCGGACGATCCGGACCCCTTTCACGAGAAGGCGACTTCATCAATTTGCCCTATTCAACTCGCAATCCAATTGAGTGCACTGTACCAAAGCTTCTGTACCGACATGGAGGCGTTCTAGATGTACCCTCAAATGCCTCATATCCTGTGTCGCGGAATAGTTGCTTGACCAAGCTGATGAACATTTGGTCCACTGATTGGATTCATCGCTCTATATATGATGGTAAAGGTAGGTCTGCTGTATGATAGCGTCTACGAGAGACTTAGTCATTCTATAGTATCGTCATCTTTTGCATTCTTATCACTATTAGCTATGTCACCACAAGAAGCCCACAACTTGCATGTTTCTCCTCTTCTTCGCCGGAGGTTGTTAGCCCTGCAATTTGAGCAAGAATGGTTGGAAGAAGGCCCCTTTTACTTGTGCGTTCCCTATGTTTCTTGAATCTTTGTGAATACTTATTTTAATCAGGGACTCCTTTTTCGCCGCACATTCTTCTCGCCCTTCCCTGGAGATTGGCATCTACCCTTCGCTACAACTACTGGATCGCGCTGAGGGCTTACCTCATTTATTCTCCATTTCCCAATCAGCTTGGACCGAGACTTGTTTATCTCGCTCGGAGATGAAGTGGTTTGTGCCTGCAGCTACGGCACCGCCGATATCATTTTGTTGTACGGATAGAACCTTCGTGGACCGTCATTCGTACATATTGGACAGTCCTTTGGAGTCACTTGGACTGTATGGTGCCCCATCATCATTACGAGACTCGTTTGACGCCTGCAGCGCTTTCGATACACGCTTTCCAGGTCTACCATGTACGGGTCTCCTTGCGGAGTCGTCTTCAGACCAGATTCCGTTGTCAACGATGCAAGTTCCCGAGGCCAAGCGACTCATCTATGATTCTGCCAAGCTTGCGCGTTTGGATATTCTCCTCCAAGAACTAAAAGCAGGGGACCATCGCGTCTTGGTTTACTTCCAAATGACTCGCATGATGGACTTGATGGAGGAATACCTGATTTATAGGCAGTATAAGTATCTCCGTCTTGATGGATCCTCTAAGCTCGAAGATAGACGAGACATGGTTATCGATTGGCAAACAAAGTTGGTCATTTCTTAAAGTGTAGGATGCTGTTTCCTCACCAAGACCTTTGTCAGGCCAGACATCTTCGTTTTCCTGCTGAGTACACGAGCCGGTGGTCTTGGTATCAACCTTACCGCTGCGGACACTGTGATTTTTTATGACCACGATTGGAATCCATCCAATGATGCTCAAGCCATGGATCGGGCACATCGCTTAGGGCAAACTCGCCAAGTGACTGTGTACCGTCTCATAACTAAAGGAACCATAGACGAACGGATCATTCAACTGGCTCGGGTGAAAAAAGACGTGAGCTCTTCTCTTTTCTGTTTCTTGAATGTCTAATTCTCTTGTTGCATTTAGGTTCAAGACATTGTCGTTGGTAATAAAAACCTCACGGATGTCGCCAAGCCTAGCGAAATTGTTCAGCTTTTATTGAACGATGAACAGTTCGCTGGTCTGGATACTTCTGCTACGGCAGATCTCTCTGCGGAAATACCTGCCAATGGTTCTACTGAACCTATCCGTGATCTCTGGGATGAAGACGGGGATGACGATTTTTTTGGTCATTCTAATCCTTCAGCCGTAGCTAACAGCCAGGTAGAGGCACTTCAGGAGGAAAATGGCGATCCTATGCCAAGCAGCGGTCGCGGTAAGAAACGCAAGCCTGGTAATCGAGGTGGTCGTAGGGGCGGCAAGAGAAAAGCAGCCACCGATCATGCGCCTGTTTTAGATTACTACTAGTACCGGATAACGTACGTTGGTCCTACTGGTTTCTATTCTCTTCGTCTTCGCATCCACTGTAGACTATCCTGGCACTTTCTAGTTTATCCTTACTGTATAATAGAGGAACGTCTTTAATTGGCAGGCGACTTACAGCAGCTGGCCGAACGGAGAAAATGATTCCGACGAGCGGAGTTGATTTTGTGACTGATGGTGACTCCGCGCCATCGACCTGCACTTATTTAAGTAAATGCTCAAGGACAATCTTGATAATTCTCATGCTCATCCGAATTTCGTTGCAACTTATCTCGACTTCCGTGGAATATAGGACACCCAGCGATCTTTCTTGTTTTCCTTTTTACGCGTAGGACGTTCCTGACAGACACCATCTTCATTCGCCTACAATTGTGGACGACGATAATCCGGCTTGGTCGCAAAGGGAACGACTTCCAATAACCGCCGTTCTTTCTCTTTTTTGGTCCATCTGGGATGGCCAAGAAGAAGAAGACTCAGGTGAAGCCTGTCCTCCGGGGTTTTGCGACGACCTCCGTCCCCAAGAAGGTCGAGAAACCCGTCGAACTAGAGGATGTTACGGACAGTCCGTCTGCCCCAGACATACTTCCAGAACAACCGGAAATGGTGGATCTTGTCGAGAAAGGAGGACCAGAGGAGGAGCCAAATGACGAGTTCGATCCAGACAAGGTGGAAGAACAGTCGCTTCAGAATCTTGTTGATAGACTTCAAGAAAAAACAGAAAGAGATATAGTCAGGTTCGTCACTTGCTCAAGTGTACCCCATATCTGTATTCACTGTCTGCGATTCCAGAAATGTGAAGGTATTAGAACACTCAACCTAGCTTGAAATAGCGGACTTAGCTCATTTCGCCATCGCAGGCCATAGAACAGGATAGACGTTATTCCAAAACTCTTCCTTGGTTAGAGTTGAATCCCGTCCTCGTTGAACGTATTCTTGGTCTCGCTCTGGATTCCAGATCTTCCGAAGGTAGACAGAAAATCTCCAGGGCAACGTATACTCATGACAATCAGGGAGACGACAAATCGACGAACCAGAAGACAAACTGGTTGCCAAACTTGCTATCACTTACGGTGTTCTCCGTCGTCTCGGTTTTTCTGAGGAGAGGGTTATCGAGTGTCTTGAAGCCATACCAGGGTTCGAGCTAGAAGAAGCTTACGACTGGGTGAGCTTTCTATTTATATGTATAAAATTGGTCTCAAGTGTTGTAGCTGTATTTGCATTGCTCTGAGGATGAGCTAGGCGAGCAACGTGCGTTTCCCAGAATCTGTCTGAACCATTTTTCAAAGACTCGGTATTCTGCTATAGGTTCTGACGATTTCGTGGAACCTCGTGGCCTCCAGACTCCAAAGAAGAGCAAATCCCGAACTCCACGCACACCCCGAACACCTGCGGAATTTCAAGCAACCCCCTCTACTATCAAGCCAGCCACCAAGTCTTCCAACCTCGATGTGAATGCGCCCATATTTGTTCCGTCCTGCGGCCCATGCGCCTCTATAGGCTGCGGGGACCAGGACAATCTTACAGCTCATCAAGCTTCCTTTGTAGACGGAAACGATGGTACATATTTCGACGACGCCAACGCGGAATATATCCGCCTGAAGTTGCGACTGGACACTTTGAATCCTCATAGTCAGGATGCCGTCGAAATAAATAAGATCAAGCGTCGCTTGAATGCTTTGAAGAGCGATTATTTCTTCGACGAAAAGTCTGCTGTCGTTGAATATGACATCGAGCGAGACAAGGTCGCCGTGAGCACTCTTGATGCACGTCTCCGCGGCGAAATCTCGCTACCCATTCAAGCTGAGAAGAAACTCCCTCCACGTCTCCAGACGTCTGTTGCTGTTGCGTCCGATATATTTGACGAAGATGTTGGAGATGCGGATGTGGGTATACTTGACCTTCTTGAAGACATTCCGGCGACGGAGACGACCACCAAAGGAAGTACTGTCACTGTTAGAGCTATGCCTCTGCCTAAACATTGGTCGGGCCGTACTCCGAAATCGTTGCTATCAGATACTGTTGCAAAAGTAGACCGATATGCAGTCATTACGTTCAGCATCATATCTGGCGCCGGTCGCGCTAAGAGGGCAGCGGTCAACATTCGATGGCAGGGCAGAAAAACTGACGAGTGGTCAATGGAGTCTGTTGCCTGTCACGATGAAGGCCAAGCGGAGCAATATGTCTCCACCCTGGCTCTCCATGCCATCACCTTCCCCCCTGCCGATGGCTTTGCCTCAGGAACTGCGGCTGTTGTTGGTGGCCAAACATTCTTTCGTTTGTTACCTGCGGTATTCAGAGATCTTTGGGATGAACTGGAGACGGCCAGAAAATCTGAGGAAGATTCCATCAATCGGAGTGTTTGGAGCAGATTAAGAACCATAGCTGAACCAAAATTGCAAACGTCTAGCAAGGTTTGTCCTCACGTTTCACCACCATGCTGTTGACCCTGATCTCAACCATTAACACTAGATCGCCGGCAAGATGGTCAGATCTGCTGTAAGCAATACGGATCTGCTATATTCTTTCGGACGCGAACGATCTGGTCAAGGTATCAGCGAACAGCTCAAATCAAGCTTCAATCAGCGTAGAGACAGTCTATCATACCAAGAAATGCTGGTGGCGTATTATTTTATCTTCTGCACTTAATATACCCTGATGATCTTCCTAGGCTCAGCGAAATAAACTTCCTATCGCTGGATATCGAGAGGATATTATCGCAGCTCTGGATCGATCTCAGGTCCTGGTTCTCAGTGGTGAGACTGGATGGTGCGTTCTCACCTGCAAGGTTCTATTTTCCATGACTAAACACGCCAACCAGCGGCAAATCCACTCAGGTTCCAGCGTTCATCTTGGAGGATCAGCTTTCCCGTGGTATTCCATGCAAAATATATTGCACGGAGCCGAGACGTATATCAGCTATATCGCTTGCTCAACGTACGAAATTTGGGTCCATTCTGTCAGTGCCGCTGACAACATGTTCAGGTGTTTCCAGGGAACTAGGAGATTTGCCCGGTGCTGTGGGAACCCTGAATTCTCTTGTGGGATACTCTATCCGTTTGGAAAGTAACACCACTAGAAACACCCGCCTAGCGTTTGTTACCAACGGAATTGCTCTGCGAATGCTTGAAGGCGGCACCGGGCAAGGCGGACAAGGCACAGCTTTTGACGAGTTAACGGTGAGAACGATCTTCCTTTTACGCTGTGGGCAATGCTCTTACAAGAAAACTTTAGCATATCATTATCGATGAGGTAGCTCATCCATTCCTTTTTAGCCACTGAGATACCAACGATTTGCTACAGGTTCATGAACGTACAATCGAATCTGACTTTTTGCTCATTGTCCTTAAGTCATTGCTGCAACAGCGATCCAATCTCCGGTATTGATTGTCTTCGTCTTTGCGTGCGAACTCTGACGGTCTTATCATAGAGTTATATTGATGTCTGCCACTGTCGACTCTGTGAAAATATCGGAATTCTTTGGAGGATGCCCAACAATTCATGTTCCAGGCCGTACATTTCCTGTTGAGGTGAACTATCTTGAAGATGCTCTTGAGTTCACCAAATGGTCGATATCTGAGAATTCCCCGTACGCACGACGATGTAAGTCAGCTTCCGTTTCATCCTTCCAATGCTTATGTTCTCACAGTACACGATACTTTTTATCGTGGTAAGAATCGTATTGACTGGTCGGAAGATTTGGTTCGGGACAACGAAGAAGATTCTGATACCGTTCATGAAAACGTCAACCTTGGCAAGAAGTACTCCCCAAGCACTGTCCACACTATCAACCTTTTAGACGAGCGGCTAATTCCTTATGATCTTATACTTTGCCTTCTGGAGCGGATCTGTTTGCAAGAGGCTGGTTACATGTCTTATTCATCTGCCATTTTGATTTTCATGCCCGGGATTGGAGAGATCCGTCGCCTCAATGACTTATTGACGGAGCATCCTTACTTCGGAAGTGATGACTTCAGGATTTATCCATTGCATTCCATGCTTTCCAGTGAAAACCAGAGCGCGGTCTTTGATACTCCTTCATCGGGCGTCCGGAAGATCGTCATTGGTGAGCATATACTCCTCCTGGCAACGCAACTCATCGTCTTTCAGCCACTAACATCGCAGAAACCGGTATCACGATCCCCGATGTAACGTGTGTCATAGATACTGGGAAGCATAGGGAGATGAGGTACTGTCATTTACTATCCATCCTAACCAAGTCCTTACATGAACCTCAGATTCGATGAAAAACGTCAGATTAGTAGGCTTGTGGATACCTTTATCGCCAGGAGCAATGCATCGCAAAGGCGTGGTAGGGCAGGCCGTGTACAAAGCGGACTGTGTTTCCATCTCTTCACTAAAGTTCGTCATGACACTCGGGTAATGCTTGCACTTCTCGCTGCCTCCCACCTTTTGCTCAGATTTCGATTAGATGGTCGACCACCCTCTCCCAGAGATGATGAGACTAAGTTTATCAGACTTGGCACTTCGGATAAAGATCATGAAGGTGAATCTTGGGACCTCGATCGAAGACGTTCTCTCTCGAGCATTGGATCCCCCCGTGTCTATAAACGTGCAGCGTGCCATCTCGATGCTCGTAGAGGTCAGCTGCACCACTTGACTTCTTTTATGTCATTGACAAACAATTACGCTTAGGTGCGCGCGCTGACGACCTCGGAGGAAATCACGCCCATGGGCCGACTGTTGAGCAAGCTGCCGACAGATGTGCACCTTGGGAAGTTCCTACTATTAGCGGCTCTTCTGCGCTGCCTAGATCCCGCCCTCACTATTGCGGCGACTCTGAACTCCAAGTCACCTTTTATTACGCCAATGGGACTTGAACAAGAGGCCGATCGTGCGAAAGCTACTTTTAGAGTTGGTGCGTAGGAGCGGCTATTTAGAGTTCATCTTTCTGATGCTATCCTTAGAAAATTCTGATTTCCTGACCATACATAATGCATTCTCAAGTTGGCGGAGAACTTGTGGGAACCCAGGAGCTGCGAGAAAATTCTGTCGCGTCAATTTTTTGAGCCACCAAGTATGTCCTCCTTGGTGAATTTTAACACCACGTTACTGATTGTACCTAGAACTTACAGCAGATCGAGGAACTTCGTCAGCAGTTTCTAGGGTTAGTCATTCTCTCTTTGTTCGTAACGGACTCGAAAGCAATGAACGTCACGCAGGTATCTCATCGACTCTTCGTTCATCCAAGTCGACAGGAACCTCGTCCGAGAACTCAGCCGGTATATTCTCATACGTTTTGTTGTCTATTTAATCTCATCCTATATAGGGCGCGTTGTGGTCGAAATCGAACGCGTTTCATCATGGTTCCACCTGAGCTTGACAGCAACTCCAATAACACAGCACTTTTCAACGCTGCTCTGGTCGCTGGCCTCTATCCAAAAATACTGGCAGTGGATCCTACTACGAACCACATGCGGACGATATCAAACAACCAGCTAGCCGCTTTCCATCCCTCTTCTGTCAATTTCGGTCGAAAGCCTGGTGACTTAGGAGCTAATCATCTTGCTTACTTTACTCTAATGTAGGGGCTACATCTATTCGTTTCAACCTTAACTAATTGCGTCCCTAGGCATTCAAAGAAACTGTATGCATGGGAGACCACACCTGTTGACGACCTGGCTATTCTGTTGTTGTGCGGGGAGTCCGAAGCAAAGGTGATTAATCTAGATATTCCAACAGATGCTCGTCCCTAGGCTGATCCAGAATCGTTCACAGCTTATATCGGATTCGCTCTTCATTGATCGAAAAATCAAGTTCCGCGTCCCACCCAAGACAAACATTGCCTTAAAGCATTTGCGAACACAGTTGGCTGCTGTCTTAGCACAACAGTTCCGAGGCAAGGTACTCAATGAAAGCCAGATTCTTTGGAACGACATGGCCCTGTCGGTGCTGGGGAAAGTCAAAGTAGAAGACGAGAATGAAGTGTCTATTTCAATAGCCATGTAATATATTAGCGACCATGATTGTGTCGCACTTCCGTTGGATCAGCTGTTTACTTAGGTCCTGAAGAACTGGCGCTTTAAATGTTTTATTGACGGACCAATCATCGCAAATGGACACAGTGAAAGGTTTGGGTATCTACTCCTCGTCTTCCTCGTCATCTCCAGTGCTGAAAAAAACGTAAGCCAACGACAAGGATGAGTCCAAAAATAAAACCTACTGGATATTATAGAAGCGCAACTGGTAGTTGTCCTTCGACGACGCGACAACGCTGCAGAACATTATTATTAAAAGAGAGAATTGCATGACGAACGAACTTACCGAATCCAATCTCTCAAGCTGTTCTTTTTCAAGAACTTCTTGGTGAGGTACTTGAGGTACCGTTTCGAGAATGGAATGCTAGAGGTCACGGTGATTTTGGTGTTGCCTGCGTAACAGAATTTATAACTTTGGACGTGGTGACGGGATGTGCACTCACCATCTCTGGTGATCTTAACGTTTTCACCGAGCTGACCAGCCTTTCCGTCGACCTTGATACGGTCATGGAGGAACTTTTCGAAATCGGCACCGTCGAAAACTCCGTCAGCCGCAGGCTTGGAGTAGTCAACAACGAATTTATGCTTAGTAGCGACTTTTCCAGGGGCGGCCTTGGGCTATACAGAGAGAAAAGCAAGGTATGAGCCTACTGAGAAGGTAACTCAGCAAAGCGGTACCAAGCTATACTGACCATTTTTGTGAGTCGGGTCTTGATGGTCTTTGGCGAACTTGAGAGCTTTACTATGAAGAATTGTCGACTGTACAGGTGGACAAATAAAGTTTGACATTACGGCCGTTTCCGTGCCGAAACTGCCGGCCGAAATTTTTTGGAAACCGGACCGCTTGGTCGTCGTGTTGAACGTCGTACTCACCTCGTTGTTTTGCCATCCGCGCCGGCCATGTCGCCTTCTTTGACCCGTGAGCAAGTATCGTCCGCTCAGGTCGATGGCAACTATTCTATTAAGCCCGAAATTACGCCAAAGCTGGACACTTCTCAATGGCCTTTACTTTTAAAAAACTACGACAAGTTGCTTGTACGCTCTGGACACTTTACGCCAATCCCTGCAGGATGCGTCCCCCTCAAACGAGACATCATCTCTTATATAAAGTCAGTGTGGCTGTCATACATACGGAGTCGATCTGAAAATATTAAACGCGACACTTAGATCTGGCGTAATCAACCTCGACAAGCCCTCGAATCCTTCCTCCCATGAAGTTGTCGCTTGGCTTCGAAGAATTCTCCGTGTTGAAAAGACCGGTCACAGTGGTACACTTGACCCCAAAGTAACCGGATGTTTGATCGTCTGTATAGACCGTGCAACGAGACTAGTCAAATCCCAGCAGGGTGCTGGTAAGTCTCACTTGTTTTTTTTTCAAATGTTTTCTTTATCTCGTTACTAGGGAAGGAGTATGTCTGCGTGCTCCGTCTACACGCAAATCTCCCGGATCCCACGGCCCTTCCTCGCTCCCTCCAAACATTATCTGGTGCCCTCTTCCAGAGACCTCCTCTAATATCTGCCGTCAAGCGTCAACTTCGGATTCGCACTATTTATGAATCCAAGCTCCTCGAATTCGATGATAAACGCAACTTGGCAGTTTTCTGGGTATCCTGTGAAGCCGGGACTTACATACGAACTCTTTGTGTGCATCTTGGTTTGATCTTGGGCGTAGGTGGACATATGCAAGAGCTTCGTCGTGTCAGGAGCGGTGCAATGTCTGAAAACGATGACATGGTTACCATGCACGATGTTTTGGACGCACAGTGGATGTACGACAATACCCGCGATGGTATGTGTATCGCCCGTTTCTTATCCTTTGCATTATCTGACATCCTTCCTTCCAAAGAGTCCTACCTACGCCGAGTCATCCGACCATTGGAATGCTTGATGGTTGGTTATAAGCGCATTGTCGTCAAGGACAGTGCTGTGAACGCCGTGTGTTACGGCGCCAAACTCATGATCCCCGGTCTCCTGAGATACGAAGCTGACATATCCTTGAACGAGGAGGTCGTCTTAATGACCACGAAAGGTGCGGTTGTCATGTCATATCCTGCCGAAGAGCGCTCTCAATTTTGGGTCGCTAGGTGAGGCAATAGCTCTGGGTATTGCCCAGATGTCCACTGTCGAGTTAGCCACGTGCGACCACGGTGTTGTTGCGAAAGTGAAGCGGTGTATCATGGAGCGCGATACGTACCCTCGACGCTGGGGTCTTGGGCCCGTCGCGTTGAAGAAGAAGAAGATGGTCAAGGACGGTACACTTGGCAAACACGGCGAAAAGCTCGAGGGCGTCACCCCTACCGACTGGAGTAAGGACTATGTTGACTACACCCGCGATGAGGTACATTTGCGTTCAATCTATGTTCTTGTTCTATGTTCGTTAAATACCGTATTACAGAAACCACCGACTGGGCCATCCACAGTGCCGATAGCACCAGCGCCTGACTCAAAGGATGTAGTGGAGATAGATTCCAAAGAGGAGAAAAAACGGAAGCGGAAATCAGAAGTCCAATCCCATGATGAAGTGAACGTCGATGAAGATGCCGAGCGTGCCGAGCGCAAGCGGCGGAAGAAAGAGAAAAAAGCAGCAAAAGAGGGTGACGGCGCTGAAGAGGACGAAGAAGCCCGTCGTGAACGGAAACGGCTGAGGAAGGAGAAGAAAGCAAAAGAGGCCGGTGGCCTGTGATGTCTTGATGTCTTGTATCATAGCTTTACTTTATCTTATAATGCTATTCTTTGTTTTTGGGTGATAAAAAGTGGTAACCAATTAGACTTTTGGGAGTAAATATCTGATGAGTACCCGAAAAACAAGATGGTCGACATTAACATATATAGAGAAGGTCCGTTTTAGCATACTGTGAGAGAATGTCCTCAAGAGAAAGGGAATAACCACACCAGAAACCCCGAAGCAGATCAGAGAAGGGATGAAACTAAAGCAGCAGCAACAACAACTGTGAGTATGGCACTGCTCACGCCCACGGAGAGAGTGCCGCTAGCTGGCACACTGGTCTGGGACTCTCCAGCAGTACTGCTACTTGAGCTAGTAGACGCTGTGCCGTTGAGTTGCTCAGCAAGATTCTGGAACGCGCTGAAGTTTCGCGCTGATTGTTCGTTTGAGTTGATCGCGCTGAAAGAGCAGATGTTGAATCGTCTTATTAACAGGAAGGAAGAAACCATGAGACGCACAAGACCATTCCAGCTCCACAGTGGCTCGTGGGAGTCTTCTGACGACACTAGAAAGAAAACAGAATTTCAGAAATTGTTGACATCAGACGAGAAAGAAACCTACATAAGCCCAGATAGGCGCTGTGTCGTTCACCGTGATATTCCACGTTGGCAGAGTTGCATTGTCAGTGACGGCATGGCTAGGAACGACTTAAATGCAAGGCTATTGCAAGAAGATAGGAAACACTCACAAACCCGAGTCGAATCCAATCGTTCCATTAGCATTCAGTTGGCGACAAGGATCACTAACAAGACGAGTGAATGACCGATCATTCGAGACTACCGGACGGATGAACGACTCACTCAAAGGAAGACTGAGTCACAGTGTGGTTTTTTGACTGGCTACAATATAATTGAAGCAGCGAAAGTAGATCAGAAATAATTGAACTTACAATTCGAACATGATAATATCACGGGGTTCAGCAGAAATTCGCGGAGGGTCGAACACCAACTGATTAGATCCGCCAACGGTCACCTAGAAGACTGCAGTTAGCTCTGCCACATAGAACAGTTATGTTGTTTGACCTTGATGACGTTGCCCTCCAAGGATGCGGGAGTAGCTGCAGGCGAACCTGGATACGACGAGTATGTCGTTGTCCAGGTCGATGCCTCCAAAGTAATGGTCTCGGTCACCAACGTTGGTTCGGCTGCAGGGGGTATGGTAACATTACCATATGCGGCGGTCCATGTTGTTGACACAGCGGATTCGGAAGAAGAGGCTGTAGAGGTTGCAGCTGCGGCACTCAGACTCGCACCAACGGCTAATGCAGCACTCTTGAAATTAGAAAAAGAGTTGGGGGAGCCATCAGCTCCGCAATTGACAGCAAAGACCATCCCCAGGCCACAGTGACTCGCAGGCGTATTCGCCGCTTGCTTACAGTACACCCATATGGGTTGAGTCTAAGATCAAGATTTCAATCATGTGGAAACGGGGACACTGATTGTACTGGACGCACGTCATTCACAGTGATTGTCCACGTTGGAAGACTGTCAGTGGTATTGGTAGCGACGGGCACACTAACACAGTATTCAGGAAATAATAAGAGGCCCAAGTTAAGAACGTACAAACCAGAATCAAGGCCGCCTTCCTTAGGACCACAAGGATCGCTGTGTGGTAGGTATAAGACCAGTGTGGTTGAAAAGAGGGCGGCACTTACGCAAATGAAGACTGAGTGACTGTGTGATTCTTTGGATTAAAATGAAAAACGACTTGGTCACCTGGCTGAGCGAACTGAAGCAAAGCTTGAGCTGAGGCCTTCAGTAACATAGATAGACGCACGATAGCTTCCGGGCTATAAGCCAGCGTTCCGTTGGCTCCCCCGACCTGCACATCATACACAGTAGCAGAAACGGATAAAGAATGCACCAGTGCCAGGCATAGTAGAGAAAGACAGAACATCGCTAGCGATCGTTCAAAGGGTCAAAACAAAATGGAAGAAAGCAAAAGAAAGTGGGGAATGAATAGAAGGTGAAAACGAGAACAAGAAAGACGCCTTATATATGAGACCCTGAGGAACTGAAGCATTTTCAACGTCGTGGACCCAAAAAGATGGAAAATGATGCCTGATGGTCTAACTGAATACCCGACTGCATGGATAGTGCCTCGTTTGAGTCAAAAAATTCTCACTCCTGTCGAACAAACCATACGGAGTAGATGTGATGGCATTGATGTTGCATCTAAGACGATACCAGGCAACTGGAACACAGAGGAATGGTTATAATGTCGTAGCAGAATACTCCAGTGATTGTGGGGGATTTCAGGCTGGAAATGCGCACCATGCATCTCCGGATTTGCTACGGTATAGCAATGAGAGAAACATGAATACGGAAAGTCATCATTCGGAGCGGCTATCTCGGAGACAGCTTGGAATGAAGAAAAGTCGAGTACGTTATGAGTACGTGTTCTGAAAGCCAAAGGCGCTAGTTACACCGTTCATTAGTGCTCGTCCATAATGTTCAACAACGAAATTCGTACAGATAACAGATCGGGCACGTCGGCAAAAAAGACGAAGGCAAGTTCTCGTCTGCTTTTTCGGCTGACCAATCAGCCCGTCGTAAAGGCGGATTCCAAGGGTAGGAAGCGTTTTCGCAGGCCTCTGCGTGACTCTCGAGGTTGTCACAATCTCTGTCGACACAGAGATACACAGCTCCGCTCGTCCATGAAGAGGGATTGCCGGTGCCGTCTCTGTCTCAGTGCCGAGTCTCGGCTGATGCTGATTCATGAGAGACATCGGCGCCAGGTGTCTCTTCTTCATTCCTACTTTCATCCCGCATCCCTAAGTGAGATGAGCTCCGCTTTCTCACTGTCAATCTTTCCTGACCACCAATCCCAGGCTTCGAGGCTTCGCCTCCTCCTTCACCTGTCAGTAACTCCTGTTGCCTGGTGAGGCTCCGCCTCTTCATTTATCTCACAATTGGCTCACTCGAGTAGTCTTGGCTTCCCCAGACTTAACCAATCCTCATTCAGTATTACTGGACCATTATTGTACAAGTCGTCAAGTTTTTTGTCCCCCATCCACCTCTCCCTTGTATTACTAGATAGCCAGCCATTCACATGTTGCAATTGATTTGAGGACAGTCTCTGAGGCTCTCGTTATAGCCAGTTACATCCCACTCCTCAAGTGAGCAGCAGAGGCTCAGCAGTCACTGCTTGAGGCCATACATGTCCATTACTCTACTCCACACTACACGCCAAAACACCCGGGGAACTCAGAAGGAAGAACGGAGGGACTGGAACAAGAGGGAAAGAGGATCCTGAGGCCCTGTACCTCCACCGCGTCTTAGTAGTTAGCTTACTTGTTGCGGTTAATCAAATGCTGAGGACAAAAAAAAAAAAACTGCTTGAGGCCTTCGACCACCAAAATAAACACGGCCAATCACCTCCACGAAAACGAAATGTCGTAATGGATGCATCGATGATGGCACTATACCATGTGACTGCAACCCGAGTGCCCAGTGGGCCAGAATCGCCAATCAGTGGATCACTGCTTAGGCCTCTACGCTCCGGGCTGAAGCAGCTTGGAAACAGCCGTGACCAGGACATGTAACCGTGGTACAGATGGCAATCCGTGATGTCTTTGTCTCCTTGGACCTATCTTCATTATCCTCAGTAGCAGTGCTTGTATAAATACCCGCGAAGGGCAGCCCGCACCTGATGTCAACTTGGCGCGTCGTCCCATTGTGGCCACACCGCCGGTTTCTACCTATTTTTACCCTCGGTGCAACCCATCAGAAATCATGGGGATGGTGATGCGCCGAACGTACTTATATGACCGTAATTATTACTCCTTGCACAATACTGGTATTCACTTTCCTTCCCACTCCCTAGTTTCCCCACGTCTATATTTCTCATTCCCTTCGCCACGGCTGGATCCTGGTGTTACAATGTCCTCTCGAAAGGCTCAGAAACCCCTTCCTAAATTCGATATTGGTGAGCCTGATCTCACTCAACACCTAGTTCGTTCGTCATCATCATTCAGGTGATGATTATCAACTTCTGCATGCTATTGGAGAAGGAGCGTATGGTACTGTGGCTTCAGCTCTCCACAAGCCTACAGGCCGGCAGGTTGCGATCAAGAAAATTCTACCTTTCGATCATACCTTGTTTTGTCTTCGCACTCTCCGCGAACTAAAACTCTTGAAGTTCTTTACGGAGACTTGTCTCAATGAAAACGTAAGCACCTGTTGTCGGTAATTCCCCCCTACTGATCATATTTACAGATAATATCTGTCCTTGACATCATCAAACCTCCCTCCCTAGACTCCTTTAAAGAGATATACTGTTTGTGGACTTCATTATACTCCCCTTGTCTTTTTCATTTCCTTCAGTCATTCAGGAGTTGATGCAAACGGATCTCCATAGGGTGATTCGAACGCAACATCTTACAGATGATCATTGCCAGGTATATATTCGTAAAACTTCAAAATGGCATCGTCCTTACTTGTCATTCTCTAGTACTTTGTATATCAAACATTAAGAGCCCTCAAATCTATTCATAGCGCTGACATCGTCCACCGTGACCTGAAACCGGCGAACCTACTCCTGAACGCAAACTGCGACCTGAAAGTTTGCGACTTTGGACTAGCCAGAAGTGTCAAAACCAGTGTTTCCGGGGGGAAGGAACAGGGACTAATGACGGAATATGTGGCAACACGATGGTACAGAGCACCCGAGATCATGTTGTCATTCAAAATGTACACCAAAGTGAGGTTGCTGTCCTATTATCTGAGACACTGGCGACGAACTTTTTTTTTGGCAAGGCAATTGATATCTGGGCTATTGGGTGCATTCTAGCTGAGTTATTGACTGGTCGGCCACTTTTCCCTGGCCGAGACTACAGCCATCAGCTTGATCTCATATTGGATGTGATTGGTATGCATATCTATCTTTCTGATGTTTTTTTCACTAATGCACTAGTGTTAGGCACACCTAGTTTAGATGAATTCTACGCAATAACATCTCGTCGTTCACGAGATTATATCCGTGCTTTGCCTATTCGAAAGCGAAGGCCATTTCCAACTCTGTTCCCTCACGCATCCAAAGATGCTATCGATTTCTTGTCAAAGACCTTGGTGAGAAGAACCCTGCTATAGCAATGAAATGTCGCTGAGGCCTTTTCAAGATATTTGATCCAAAGAGGCGGTTGACTGTTGATGAAGCACTGGAACACCCCTATCTTGCTTCATACGTATGACTGTTCTGCTTCATCATTTGGTTGAGGTCCTGACAGTCGTCCCAAGCACGATCCTGACGACGAACCAGTTGCTGCACCACTGAGTCCTTCATACTTTGCCTTTGATCGTGAGTTTGGATACCTGCTCTGATGTTTCATTAATCTGTCTGTCTAGTGCACAAGGAGAGTCTGACAAAGGACCAACTAAAGGAGCTACTTTACCGAGAAGTCATGTCCTTTGTACCTTCTATCTAGGACATCAGAAAGAACTACTGCACGACAAAATCGCGGTTCGGTGATTATACTAACGATCGTAAATAACTATTCACGTAGTGTTAATGCAGCCTAGGTACCTGATTTACAACAATTCAAGAAGATGTACACGGTAGAGAACAATTAATATGCTCCGGGAGATGCGGGCACCACAAGCAGCTGTATGTATATCCAAAGGTACCTAAAGCTGTAATTGCACGTGTTGACATCAGAATTTCGGTGGGGTCCAAAAACCGCCACTCGCAACACCCTCTAAACCAAAATCACCAAATCGGGTATCAGTCTCTAACTCTGTCCCATACATGGTGCGCTTCGTCGTCGGATTGTCGTCGTCGTCATGATCGGCATCGATGGGCTCAGACGGGCTATCATCCTGCTCGGTGTCACGGCCAAGGGCCGTCTGGTTAAGAAATGCACCTAACCCAGCAGAACCTTCACGAGATTGTACTGGATTGGATACGCCTCGAAGTCCGGAACGCGGTCGCATCAGAGGCGGAAGTCCCAGTGACTGGAACATATTTGAATGCCCTTGGATGTTAATTTGTCCATGGCCGGCAGGCGTCGGTGATTGAGGGGGCTCAGGATACGCAAAGGGCATTGAAAACGTCGGGTTTGGTGTCGGAGGAATAGGCACAGAAAATGTGAAATTGAATGGGTGTTGGTTCTCTGGAATATTATGGGCAGTGCCTTGCCTTGGAGAAGGTGAAGATCCATAGAACGCAGGTAAGTGATTCGTTGGAGGTGGCGGATCGACATACTCTTCAGACGTCTCAGGACCATGGAAATGGAAATCCAGACTATCAGACCGCGTCTGTCTATTGTTGGGAGGAGTCTTTGGTTCGCTGACTTCCGGTTCCGACGACTCTTCGCGTTCTGCGTCTGCTTCTGATATCGTCCGGGGTCGTTTTCTATTCGGCCTGATAACCTTTCGTGCTAGGGCTGAGTCGGAGAAGTCGCCTTGGTCACCCTCTTCAATCACCCCTGTAACGTCGCTCAAGGTCGAGTCCCGATGCCGTTTCCCAAGGAGGCTTGGAGCCATTCCTGGATGAGGTAAAGATGACGTGCCGTCGTTGGAAGATGTTGCTTGTCGACTGGTAATGTATCAGAATATAAAGTTCATGGACATCGGAGAAGGCTTACCTAGCATCGTTGAAATTTAATTTGACCTGCGCGGAGGACATATTGATGACGGTGTTCTTCAATTCCAGTACCTCAGCACTAAGGTCCTCAGTCGCGGTACTGCGACTTCGTAAATTGCTAATTTCGGCACTCAAAGCGTCAAGTTTCGATTGCAAAGGTGGTATCGTGGCAACTCGATTCTGTAATTGCGCAACTTCGGCTTTGAGAGCATTCATTTGATCAAGTTCCTTCCTCATTGCCTGAACTTGCCGCAGCAAAGGATTGATCTAGCCACCACTGAGAATGACAAAAATAATCATGCTCAGTCACTTACCGCGTCTGCCACACGTTGATCAAAGGTGGTGCCTGTAGGTTGCCGTTGATCGTCTTTGTCGAAACTGGAAGCTTGGGGTCGAGATGGTCCCGCCGCATGTTGCTGATCATCTGTTACATGTGTTCTTCGTTAATGCGGAATTGACACACTGTTGATAGGGGCAATCACCATTGAGAGGCCACTCTTGTATTGGTTCGGGTTCTGACCTTGCATGATTAGAACATTAGAATGGGGATGACAGAGAACACACCTTCCTGTATCGTGACCTGGGGTTTGACGCTCCTGCTTTTCCCTCGCTTTCCATTGGTAACGTTAGCGGATTTTGTAACTGCTCGCGCACCGGTTCCTCCAGCAGCCACAGGCCTCCCCACTCCTAACCTAGTTTGGGTTTCTTTGGCTTTGCGAGTTCGGGGAGGAGGGTGCGGCTGAACCGGAGCAACTGGCTCTATTTCTGCCCGTTTCAGACTATCCCGGGCATCCTCATCTTGTTCAATGTGGTCGTGAATAATGACTGAACTCATGCGTTCCGTGGTGCGGTTCGACTGTCTAGTAGATACGGTCCGTTGTGCCGGTTTTGCGGTCCGAATATTGGGCTTTCTAAGAACAGCTGAGCAGCCAGGAGAGCAGAGAATAATCCTACGCACCTGGTTTCAAGGAGGAGATCAATGAGTTCTTCAGACTTGAGATTTGCTCGCACGCCGTATTCCTGATGGCAATGAGTTGTCGTATGCCACAGTGAAAGGAATAGAGAGTCGCACCTTGCACAGTTTCTGAAGTTCAGCACGTTTCATGTTTTCCAAGGCTCGTCGATCAGGCAGCGGTTGAGCTAGGGATGCCATGTCAGAACTTGAGGCAAGGACAAGGCGACGGGTGGCCACCTAGTGGTTGTTGGAAAAAGCAACATCACGCGTCACTACACGTGATGCTATCCGGCCATTCGGCCCGGTGGTAGAACTATTAAAGTACCTCGAGCTTTGATGCGAATATCTTCTGTTCCTCAATGCTCATCATGGGTTTTACCCTGCAACAGGTTGCAGAACACAGCACAGCTAGGTTCCTCCTTCGATTTTTTAAGTAACACAACTCTGCTGATTATTTTTCCAGTTCCTGTTGGGTCATCATAAAGGACCGCGTATACGACGTTACAGATTTCCTTTCGGTAAGATAAGTTCAAATTCACTCCTCAAACTGATGCCAACATAGCTTTCAGGAACATCCGGGAGGTGCCCAAATTATACTAAAATATGCCGGAAAGGATGCTACATTAGCCTACGAGCCGATTCACCCACCCGATGCACTGGAGAAGAATCTCCCACCGTCCAAGCATCTGGGGACTCTGAATACTGATGTGGCCCTTCAAATGGAAGAACTACGAATCCACAGGATGAAAACGAAAGACGAGCTGAGAGTAGAACAGGCTCTTAGGGAAAGACCCCCCCTCAACCATATATTGAGCTTGTCCGATATGGAGGTGAGCCTAGCGTTGTTCAGTTATGAATATAGATCAGCTAAGCATGTACAGGCTGTCGCACGACATATTTTATCGTTAAAAGCGTTATCATACTATTCTTCAGCTGCTGATGACAACATATGTACGTCTTTATGCGTCAGAATGTCGCTTATCAACTTCCATCTTTGTAGCTTGTGAAGAAAACGCTATCGCATTCAGAAGGTTCTTCTTCAATGCTCGGGTTATGCGGCCTGTGCTTCATTGTGACCCTTCTACAACCATCCTGGGCTACAAATCATCCATTCCTGTCTTCGTATCCGCAGCTGCTCTAGCCAAGCTTGGACATCCGCTTGGTAAGAGTGGATATTGGCTAGAACACTACGATTGATAAATATTTATTGATTTCCTAGGTGAGATAAACATAACGAGAGCTGCACATAAAGCGTCTATCATACAGATGGTGTCCTCAAACGCGTCACTTTCTTACGCAGAAATCGCTTCCGCTGCAAGCTCTTCGCAGCCCTTATTTTTCCAGTTTTATAAATCTAGTGATAATGCCGTAGCAGAACAACGGATTCGCGAAGTTGAAAAACTTGGTTATAAGGCCATTTGGTTGACCGTGGATGCTATTGTCGCTGGCAAAAGAGAGATAGATATCAAGAGTCCTTGGGAGTTGGAAACCATAGAGAATGGGAAGCCAACATACCACTCTGACCTTGATGGTCTGGAGCTCGTCGATGAAACAGGTACCGCAGGTGCTTTGGTTAGCAAAGATGACCAAGATATGACCTGGGAAAAGGTCGATATTCTTATCAAGGTATACTCCGCTGATTTTGACAACACCATCAGACGATCCCTTGGCTCCGAAGCCTCACCAAGTTACCAATTGTCATCAAAGGCAAGTACTTCTCAGAATACCTTGCGGTTTCTCCCATTTCATCAAAGATTGTTTAGGTATACAATCTGTAGAGGTAGCCGCAGTTTTCCACCCTTCTAAGAGCATCTGACCATCAGCTTTTTCCAGGATGCCATATTGGCGGCGGATGCTGGCGTGGACGGTATTCTTTTATCGAATCATGGTGGTATGAATGATTTTGCTTGCCTGCACCGTATATCTGAATCGTCGTCTGCGCCAGGCAGACAACTAGACTAGTGCGGCTATGGCTACCGGTATGCTCAAAAGCTAACTCGTCACTAGCTCGATGCCGCCCCTAGAAGTTCTGTATAGACTTCGGCAACACCGACCCGACGTTTTCGACAAGTTAGAAGGTAAGACAAATTGAGCATGAAGCGACGACCACTGACCTCTGACATTTTTCTCAGTTTATATTGATGGTGACTATTGTCTCTCCAAGATTGTAACTACGCTGACACGGAATTGATCGAGGTGGCATTCAACGTGGTACTGGTAAGGCACTTCTTTTTAGATGTTTATCAAATATTAAATCTGCTCTCAGACGTTGTAAAGGCCCTTTGCCTTGGTGCGAAGGCTGTTGGCATGGGACGTCCGTTTCTCTATGCTCAAAGCGTGAGCGACCATTCAACTTTCTCTGGCTTTGCATCACTTTCACGCATTCTAGGCTTATGGTGAGATTGGTGTCTTGAAGATTCTAAAGATCCTAGAAAAAGAAATCGTGACGGCAATGAAACTTGTTGGTGCAGCTAGCGTCAAAGATTTGACACCAGACTTGGTGAGTGCCTTGGTTTGGGATACCAAACAATGAATTGACGAAAGGCAGGTCGAGAGGGTTGACTGGCAGCCCCTTGTTCGCTCTAGACTATAATGGGATTTCTATCGCGCTACATGTACTTTTGTTCAGTATCAATTACGGATATACGAGATAGTCACTTACTAATTCTGAAATGAGCGTTCTCAAGTAAGTCGGGGTGGCAGCGGAGGTGATCCCATGTGTCCACTCCTTGCACTCTTCGACGGCCCATCTCCACTTCTGTGAAGAGCGATTCAGTGAATTATACCAATCTCTGTAAGGATGATGGACTTACAACATATTGAACCAGCTTTTTGTCACTTGGTATGACTGTTTTCCAATCCTGTGACGAGGGATCCTCGTACGCCGTACAAAATAGGCGATAGGAATCAAGTGCATAGCGCCCTGTTCCAGGCAAGTGCGATATTGGGGTCGGGGGGTATTTTATACGCTTCGTAGGGGATCCCTGGCCACTTGAAAATGATGCAGAAGATGGCAAGAGCTCAGGTTTAGACGATCTAACGTCATAAGTAGAAGGTGGGTCGAGAAGGTAAGATTTCGACATTTCAATGAGTCGTTTCGCTCGGATAGTTTGAGTGCCCAACGGGCGAATAAAACCTGCTAATTCCTCGACGTTGGCTTTAGCGAAATGTTTAGCCGGTACAATGTTCGATAATGGGGAAATTTTCGAAACCTTGAGAAAGGGACAGCGGCGTAGGCCATCGATCTACAAGATCCCAGAATACGGGTATCGCAAGTTTTCCTGATGTTTTGTTGAGGAGAGTGACTGCAATGATCAGTTTCCAAGGATCGTGGGCAACAAGTTCTGTCAAGTTCTATAATAAGATTGAATTAGGATGTCGCATTTGAGTACCTTGGATAAGAATAGGTTTAAGAGGTATCACTTTGTTGCATAGTAGGTGAACCTCAAGAGAAGCGCAGCATGATACATCGAAGTCAGAGTCCGCCACATCGAGCCTCGCTTCCCTCGTAATCGGCTTTCTTGACGGAGAGAAGTAGGGACAATGTAAGTGTCTGTGATCCAGAATTGATTTGGAGGGACTCTTGTTTACCTCTAAAGAGAAGTAAGGAGACGCAACAGAGGGAGAACTTTTTCTTTTGGATGAGGGGGTCATGTCTGCTGTGACCGGTATCCGCTCGCAATTTGGATATAAATGGAACCATTCACGTGGTCGCGATGTTGAACTCATGCTCTGCAATGCTTTGTTTAGTGTCCTCTCCTTCCTCTCTTTGTTCTCATCAACTCTCGTTCAACACGTTTACACGTTTACTGATCATTCATTTGTTTTAGAAAATGGGATTTTGTCGCCGTTGTGGAGATATCGTCGCTGGAACACGTTGTAAGTGTGGTGGCACGGCTGTTGGTATGTGCTTTTGTAGTTTATATCTCCTTTTCAACCTAACGTGCCGTATCAGCTCCTGCTGTATCATGGAACCCAGTCATTATGAAGGAGGGCCTTCAGGACCGCTGGTCAAATACATATGTGACCAAAGATAAACAGCCACCACCCTTGCTTTCTCCAAACGTGACCGGGTCAACCTCCAAACCTGTGTTTACCTCGAACGACAGTAAACACTTCCCGCGGCCTATAAGCTCTAACTTTACCTCTTCTAATTCTGCACTCGCAACCCGTGTCTCTGAGCATATAGCATCTACCACTTCCCAGCTCGGCCGGCCATCGTCACCCCTCAAACAGTCAGTATTATCGGTCGCGGCCCCAGAAGCCGACATTCTGCCGTCGCCGTTGCCTTTCGACAATTCTCTCTCTAAGATCTACGGATCAGTTCTCCAGCCCAAGGAGACTCTCAACACTCACTCATGCTCCATCTGCTCTTCCATATTCCTCCCTGACGCTACCATATATCCTGATCCTTCCGCGTCAGATGACGCTTCCCCTGGTTTTCTTTGCCGTTCATGTTACACTACCAATGGAGGATCCAAAGGTATTTGCCCTACATGCTCACGGCCGGTACTTGCACTCAAGTCGGAAGGCGGCTTTATCTGTGCTGAGGGTAAATATTGGCACAAGCGTTCATGTTTCATCTGCCAAGGATGTTTCAAGAATGTAGGACATGCACCCATGGTCGATTTGTTAGGCCGACCAACTTGTGCGGAATGCTTTGAGAATTGCCTCAAACGTGATCGCACGCCCAAGAAGAGTCGCGACAGTATGAACAGCAGCCCCGTGAGCAATCCTGGTGGCATGAATGTCAACTCCAAGAGCAGGAGTCGAGAAGGAAGCCCAGCAATTGAGGAGTTAGAACAACGGCTGGGCATAAGAAGTCGGGATTCAAGTCCAACGATGGAGGATTCGTTTGGTCGATCGGGCTTAGTTGGGAGTTCACCCAGTTCCAGACCCCGACCCTCTAGCGTCGTGTCAGGATCACCATCTTTTCATTCTCTATCCCCTCTTGATAGGCATTCGCCTGACCGTTCATTAGGACGTCACAGCATCGGAGCAGAGGGGAGCTCCAGTCCCAGTCTACGGGGCAAATATGACCGCTTCAAGAGTGCCAAGCTGGATTCACGTCGCAGCATAGACCTTTCGCCTTCATTCCGCTCCGTTACTTCAGAGCATACTCCAAATTTGGCGGGCCCCATTCCTGATACCGTACAGGAGATGAAGCGACGATTTACGATTTCGGACAGCAGTTCCAAGCTGGTGTCTCCCTCTCCTTCCATGAAAACTATTCGTTCCTCTGGCTCCTTTTCCAGTCTTCCCAGCTCTAGTCCCAAAAATCTTGGAAGCTTCGATCTTCCTTCGACGCCAGACTTGCTTTCTGACTTCTCTGACACAGGGACCATTTCATCCTCAGGCCCGGATTCTCCCCCAAGAAACGACCCATTCGACCTTTCAATTGACCGAGGTATATCTAGCAATCGTCGCATGCATAAATATGCCTCAAGGCACTCAGCCATTGAACCCAATGACGCCATACCGGAAGAGACCAGTAGTCAGCTAGGATCACCTGCACGAACTTCATTATCCGCCAAATCAACGCCCGCTCCGACTCCGTCAAGAATTCCTGTGCCCCATAGACTTTCTACGTCACACATTCCGTCTCCGAAATCTTTGACCGTCTCTACTAATCAAATATCGGAGAGTGCAGTGTGCACAAGGTGCTCACTTTCATTGTTTTCCGTTCGTGGTGGTGGCCGGTTTGTCACTGTGCCTAACGCCGATGACGGGTCATCCCAGACCTTTCACGCAGATTGTTTTACATGTGTCATTTGTGATTTACCTTTCCGAGAGACGAATCAAGGGCAAGCAGTGTTTGTTAAAAGCGACAACGGTGCCTGTCATGTTGAGGTACCTGTTTCCTTATGTCCTCTAAATCGTAACTAATGTGAGTTCTAGTGCGCACCTGCGAAGATCATAACTAGGACGATATCTATTCCTTCATCCTCACGCTCATCAACTACAACATCACCATCATCGTCAAGTCCTCAGCATCAGGCATCAACGTCTTCTAGTCCTAGACATCAGGCATCAGCGTCTTCTAGTCCTAAACCACAATCAGGGACCGCCACATACGGATCATCGAGTAGATACGAGCGTCCTCCACTGACAGCGCCTGCAACGTCGTCGTCAGCTTCCTTCCCTCGTTTCGGCAGCTCGACATCTTGCCCTGGGTGCCGAAAGTCAGTTTCTCCCATGGAGCGGGGCGTGGTTCCTGGGCCCCAGGGCACTCGATGGCATGCACCATGTTTGGTTTGTGGCGGTAAGAAAGAGGTCAAGGTTTATGCAAGGTTTAGAGATGAGAAAAGGAAAGAGGAGCCCGGTTGCGGCAAACGTTTGGACAGTGCTGCTAAAACTGATGGAGAAGGTGGTGTCTGGTGTCGCGAATGTCTAGTAAGTATGATACAGCATCGCTTTCAAGATATCTCAATGTTTTCTTTTTAGCTATTACTTTCTAGCGAACCACGAGCTTCACCTCATGGGTCTCCTACGCGTCCACTTCCAATGACGTCCTTCGGAGGCGGTCCATCGAAGCTTCTACCCCAGAACACAGGAACTACAACGATAGCCAGACAATTCACAGGATTAGGCGCCGGTGGTCCTAATGACGGATCTTTGCGAAGGCAACTAACAGGAGGGGCGTTAGGTCCTACCAGAAGTCTCAGTCCGACAAAACAGGTCGGTACGGGTATGAGGCCTCGTCCCAAAAGCGTCATTGGTATGAGAAGTTCGAAGAGCGTCGATGAAGGGCGTGGTATGTTTCTCGTCAGGCAGATGACGGGGTCCGGTGCCTGCTGATTGCTGTCAGATATTATTTAAACCATTCCGAAAGTATTGCATTTTTTGAACGTCCATTCAATCTTGCAAGAACTCCTTGTTATGTAATTGTTTTCGTTTTTGTACTTACATATCTCAACTTGTTGTAATTGACAGCGCTCGAAGGACTTCGGACTACCATTATTTATTTATAATGATGTCAAATCTACAATATAAGCGATCGGTGAGATCAACCTGGCATATCAACCGTTGTCATGCAAACATTTCGCTAAGACCGATAACCGCCCATTTCTTTCTCTATCCTCATCATCTGTTTGCTTCTCGGTAAGGCGCAGGAGGGGTCTCCAAGGCACCTTTCGCCCGTTTTCTTTTACAACGACCTTCCTTTTGATGTGAGAGATCGTAGCTGCTGGTTCTGGCTGCCATTCCTTGTCGCCTTCTTTTCCTTCTTTACCTCTCTAACTAGCTTGAGGCCTCGAGCTAGGCTTATTTCCAAACTCTTCATCCAACCTGGAACTTCATAAAGCCATTCAACCTTTTTTGTTGGGGCGACCACTTGATTGTGGTTGAGCTTTTTTTTTTTTCTTTACATTGGCAACCTCCACATCCTATCGTCTTTACGGATCTGTACGAATACCAAGAAAACTATACAGCTCAGAATGCCACCAGATGCTGTTACATATCTCTCTCTCAGCGATGACGCTGCGGTAAGTCATCCTTTCCTAGATCGATGCCATGGTCACCCAACTCGGATTTCTCATAGGTAGAGTCAGTTTTGGCAGACATTCCCTTCTTCTGCATTGGAATCATGGCATTTGGTATTTCTACTTTTTTTCTTGTAATGAAACAAGTGAATTTGTGGGTCCCCAGAGTATTACTTGTGTTACTTGCTCATGCTTGATTCTATCTAGATCTTCACTGTACCTTTATCTATCAGCTCTGTTGGCCTTTACTGCTTCCATTTTTGATCTGAGTCAACTTCTTGCGAGGGGCGGCTATAACGTCGCCCAAGGCTACGATACAAACTCGGTCCAAGGTCTTATCGATACCAGGGAAGTCAGTCTCGGCCTGTCACTTGGTCTTCGTTTCATGTTCTTCTGGACGTTCGTCGCTGAGCGTCCTCGTGGTGAACCGCCCCCCATTCTTCAAGAAGATCGCAAGGCTGAATATGAATCTCGATATCACGCCCACAGCGCCAGCTGGCAGCGTTGGGGATATCTTGGTTTCATCCTCAAGTGGGGACTTTTGGCACTCACAGTAGCTATCCCTATCATGCAGATCATCTGGAGAATATTTCAACGTCAATTTGGGCTAATATACACTGTTGAATCCACCATCGAAATCGTGGTCTCTTCGCTATTCCTTCTCAAATTGTTCCTCAACATCTTTCTCTCACTGGTCAGCCCATGGTGGCTACGACTCCTTTTGTATCTGGGACCCATTGCCGCTTTGTTGATCAGTCTCGGGATAGGTATTGGACAATTAATATTTTGTGCGTTCTCCAGTCAACACTACTCCCAATTATCGTTACTTATCAAGCTTGTAGTCGCTTTTTCCGAGACCACTCTTGGTCGGTTTCTTCAAGCCGTAGAGTTATACATCATGATTGTGTTCCTCCTGATACACACTTTCTACGTAAAGCCAGAAATGTGCCGACGTCAGGCACGGGTGTCTTCATTCAATGGTTTAGGTGGATTCAGAAACTCGGAGAGTCTGCCCAAGCAAGCTCTCAGCGTTGGGACAATTGATCACAACGACATCCTTGAATCTACACGAAACACCCGAGAGTCAGTCGTATTGCCAGGATCTCGATCCAGCGGATCTGTCCCGTTATTTTTATGGGATAGGAATGACCCGGAGTTAGGTGATTCCACAGGCCGGCGACACAGCTCTACAAGGGAGACTGTCTCTCCTGCTTCTGATGTGTGGACGGTCCCGCGGTCGCTGCAAAGCCAGCCACCTATCGAAAACGCGCCACTTCCCCTACCCGCCTCTCGCACAGAGCTCACACAGAGCACTACAGGCGGAGATCTGCCTCCTCTGCGACCAAAGACGGGTGTCTCCTTCTCTTCATATTATCTGGAAGATCGCAATTTGCCTTTACCATCCCCAAAACCTAATTTCATTTCCGAAGTCTCTCGCTCGGGACCTGACTCCCCGATATATGGTCTGGATGGCATTATCACAGCTGCAGGAGACCGTTTTCCAATCAAAACAAGAAGCGAATCGCGGAATTCTCGTAGCACAACATCTTTTGACGAGCTGTTGCGTCAGCAAAGCGAGCTCGATCAAAGCATCGCAGCGCTGCGCTTGTTTTCTCCCCAGGCCTCCACTGCAACCACTTCGAATGCAGCAGATGTAGGTGTTGAAGATGCGCTAGTGAAATCGTCATCAATGGCTCCCACAGCGAGCACGGGTACCGGTTCGTATACCGGGGTTAAAGCGGATTCTTCTTCAGTTCCAAGTGAATTTTCCTTGAGCATCTTCCCGGAACCTCCAACGGATGGTTCTGGCCTTCCCGACACTCCCGCTGCTTTAATTGTAGGGCGGAGTATGGCAATTCCGTCGCTCATTATTGATGAGGTCCCTTCGATACCTACTTCGCCTAATGGACTAGGCACCGGACGATTTGGTTCAGCTGGAACCCAGTATGATGTAACGTCTTTCATTGGTGGTAGGTTCAATACTTTTCAGTACTCGATTTATCTGTATCTAAAGACAAATTTTTAGGTTTGACTCATCCGACAGGTAACCAGCAAACCTCGGTTATCTTCAAAGGGACAGACTTGAGCGATGTTGAATCAATGGATGAGAATCCCACCATAGTCACTGGGACAAACGTCTCTGCGCGACCACTCCTGGTAAATTCAGTGATGCCACCGTCAGCCTCTCTATCTTCAAGGCAGGATTCTTTGTCAATCGACCCAGTCTCGGCGCGACAAATCGCGACACTACGACCGTTTCTATTGGGAAATGTCACCTCAGCGCCGTCACCACTGTCGGGTACAGCGCCTACTCCGTATGTTTCGCGAAACCCGCCTATTGGGCCACGTAGACCGATACCTATATTGGGGCGGTCAGTCGGCTACCGACTTTTAATCAGTGGTCCCAAGCCGACGGAAGGAGTGGAAGAGCCCGACGCATATGAACGGCCGAGGCAGGCACCCCTCATTGAATCGGGTGGTTCTTGAGTTAATTATCAATTTGTATCATTATAAGTAAATAACTACTATGACGTCACGCGAATACCGCTTGCCTTGCTACCACCATGTCCCTATTCCCTGACTACTACAAGCTCTTGGATGTCCCTCAGTCTGCATCGCAAGATGAAATCCGGCAGGTGCTTATCATTTTGCTGGCCTGCACTTGACATCTCAGCGTTTCTCCTCAGGCCTATAAGCGAGAATCCCTTAGGTACTTGTTCACACCCATTAGTAGCACATACCGACGTACTATTGTTACTAGGACGCACCCAGATAGACTTGTGAATGCTACCTCTTCGGAAAAGAAACTGGCAACCGAAAATTTTCAAGCAAGTTACTTGGTTGTGATCTTAATCACTCCTCATTGTACTCTAGGCCGTTGCTGATGCATACTTTGTACTTTCGGATCCAACTCGACGAAGGGAATATGACACTCTTTATGCCTCTCGGGCATCTAAAGATTCTGCGACGGACCCCAACTCATCTTCCAACCTTTTCTCGCAATTCACTGCCATGTTCGGCGGCGGAGGCGCTCCTCGTCAGCAACCAGATGCTGAAGGTGTTTTCGCTGATGTTTTCGAAGAGGCATATATCCGTTCTCTGTACTGAGCGTCTCATATTTATCCCTTTTTCTTAGTTGCTCAGACCTGAAGTAGAACATCACGTCCCTTGGTGGTCATATCTTGGAGCGGCTTCCGGTGCTGGTATCGGGTTCATAGTCGCGAATATTCCGGGTTTGATGCTTGGAGCATTTGCCGGGAACAAGTTAGGGGCTATCAGAGATGCCAAGGGAAAGAGCGTAGCTGCTGTGTTCAGTGAGCTTGGTGGAAGCCAAAAGGCCGAGGTAATTACTTCGCTCGTACCATGCATGGTCTGCTATTGGGTGTATTAACCTTTTTTTAAATTAGATTCTGCGTGCGTTGGCAATGAAAGTTCTTGGGTCTGCGTTGTAAACTGTCTAGGGACTTTATCTGATACCTATAGTATTTATATACTAGCCGTTAAACAGGACGGCATCATCATCCTCTCTAAGTTAGTCGTTATTATCATTAGTCGAAGAGCCATCTGCTCTGACTTGTCTCCACAGCGTAACATCAGTCATTCAAGTTATGACACAGACAGAAATTTTGATTTGAAACATAGTACAGATGTGTTGACGACAGTGTCGTGGTATGTTGTGTTGTGCTAAGAATGCGAGCCGTTAACGACAATGTTATAACGAACTGTTTCGTACAGCGGTTCCATCTAAGACCAAGAAATAATTTCGGTAATATGCAAGCTTAAAGAAAACCCTCCGCCACCTTGATGATGTCGAGCCTGGCGGCTAATCCCACATTTCGCCTACCTGACACTCCTCGATAGCTGAAACGGGCTGTACAGCTCGAAGGGCATCGTAATCGTGGATACTTCCAGCACCATTTGCCATCGCCAAACTAAGAGCAGTCAAAGCCTTCTCAGAGCGCGAGGCCGGTAAAGTCAACGGGCGTGGTGAGACTATATGGGGGAAAAGTTCCAGAGTAGGGTAAGGGAGGGGAGGAAGTGATGAGATGGATGAACTGTTCGACGATGCGGTAAAGGACAGGGCAGGAGTAAAAGGGTGAGGAGGTGTATGATGGAGACCATCGTCAGTGAATTGATCTGTCACATTGAATTTTGTGTCATCGTCTGACGCATATACTGAAGACGCCGCAGAAGATAAACAATGTTCGTTGCCACTGGGTACACGCCGTGAAGGCCCTTCACGTTGGAACATAGTTCCCTTGGAGTCTAATGACGATGCCCGGTGGTGGTGGCTATATTTGCCTGCGAAAACATCCGATACCTCTCCAGAAAAAATCTGGACGTCGTCGTCGTCGTCTGCATCAGAGCCATCAAGCAGTACAGCTGGTTTCCGAGCGGAAACAATCAAGGACGATCTCTTTCGTCCACGCCTATGCGCCTCCTTCGCCTTCGAATATGCATCCGCTCTGGATCGCGTATGTTCGTAATCCCGCATTCGCCGCACAAAACCCTCTCCATTGTCGGCGACACTTCTGTGGAGTTCCCAAAAGGCTGCTGCATGCAGACTCGTCAGATCGGCCTGACTAGTCGGTTCCTGATCTGGAGACAAGTCTGGCTGGGAAGATGGATTACGGGACGCCCTTCGTATACGGTTGCGTTCGCGGTCAGGGAAGAGATGGAATTCAGCCGATGTCGTAGCAAAAGTAGGTCGAGTTGTATGAAGAGAATGGGAGAAGACGGTTTCATCCATGCTGTCACTGGATGGCTGCCATGAAATCAGACAAATTTGGACAACGAATAATAATAAAACGTACTGAAAAGTCCCGTCTCCTACGCTTATTCCTTGGATCCTCAACATTTGACTTGCAAGGCGAGTTAAAATCTGGGCTGACTGAGCTACATGGATGGTGTGGCCGGGACCTCTTGGTCGCAGATCTCCAAGAGTCGTCGGCGAAACAACGAAGAGAGAGTGGAGCTGCTGTTGATGCAGACTGGGAGCGCCGTCGATGGTTGTTGGTTCTTAGCAGAGACATGACGAGCACTGATGATGGGCGGTGACGAAGACTGTACTTGGAAGAGGCGAGCCTTATTTGTGTCCGCGCCGACGATGGTTTACGTAACTGTCTCCATGTCCCATTCTGGGGCAGGACCGCCGGCTCCGATCAGACCAATGACTCGCAGCTATGGCAGATTTAACAATTATTCGTACGACATTCAGGAAGATGGGTAGTACATAAATGGCGAGTCGATTTTACTCCAATTGACTAATGCATATCGTAATATAATTTTATCCTGGGCACAGGAGGTCCCGCAGGGCTGTGGCTTTCTACAGGAAGTGACATGCTGCAAAAGGTTTACGGCGGGTCCCTGAATGGCAACGGCAGGGCTGGTTGGCACATAGCGACATTTCTCAGGAGCATTGAGGCTCCCTCTTTGCAGCACCACATAAGCTATAATCGAAAAAGATTTCTACTACGGAGGCATATATGCGGAGGATTCCGGTCCCACTACGCACATCTTATCTCTTTGAGCCCTTCTATTCGGTGGGAACCAAGACAAGGCGAGCATGCTTTCCACCAGAGCAGACTATCAGCCTTGATTCGAATTCGGCGACATTCTGTATGATCATATATAAAATAATCCCTGGCACTTTTCTGAAATCAAACCTTATTGGCTTTATCCCCAGAAACTTCCTGACCGAGCCCTTCTTGAATCTGGTATAGTTCTTAGCAGGCGTCTTATCCTCCCTGGCGGATGACCCACTTCTTCCATAAGGGTTTTTCCTGATAATGCTATTCTTTCCCGAAGAATCCGGCGGTAGTCGTCATGCACCTCAGCATCCTGATTCATCAACATTTTTAGATCCATATTGAGTGTCATGGTCCAAGGCGAAGATAAAATAAAACGGACTAAACGATCAAGAGCCATTCAGAGGGTTTCAGCGGTATGAATAATCTCACTGACCTATCGGGCCATTCTGATTCAAGAACTGAAGGAGAACCATACAGAGTATAGGGCTTAGAAGAAGCGAGAGAGGCTCTTCTTCCCCGCAAAAATGCCTGCGAAAGATGAGCAACAAGACGTCTCTGAAATAATCCCATGCTTCTGCGCACGACACTGCATCAGGTAGTCGATCAGTGGTGAGCACATAGTACGCGAAGCCAGCTTGAATGTTCTGGTCACAACGAGGTCGGATATACTTCAGCACACTCACAAGCGACATGAAGATCCGAAGTCCCGGCATCTAGGGCGACCTTCCACAGAATTTGTTGCTTTTGATTCTTAAAAGCAAAACGAGGATCGCTCTCGAGGATGGAAAAGATCGTAAAGGCCGCCCCACGAAGTAACGCCACGTTCTGTCCGGCATTACCGTCGTATAGACAGTCAATGATAGAAGAGAGCAAAGATGAGACGGAGTTGCAGAGAGCACTTCCCAATGCTTTGCAATGCCATAGAACAATAAGGAACTCCAAAGTTACTTTTATTTCGTTGATGGCTTCAAACGATTTCTCTGCCGCCCATAGCCCGTAGAATTGTCAATACAAAAAAAAGACCTGTTGAACGACTCAGACTTACTGATGACATCGGGATATTACTACGAATAATAATTCGTTTAGTACAAGCGGAAAGCACAATACGAAGCGGACATACGTTTACTCAGCCTTGTCATGAATTCAGTTCTATTATCTTGCTGTGTATCTTTTAACGATCGTCGTAAGGTTGTTTGATGAAATAGAGTCAATGCTTCGAGGATAGAAGTTTTGACTTCCGGAGTAAATTTAATGATTCGTCAACACCGAACAAGATATCTCACTAGTTAATCCATGTTCTTCGGTGTCAACGATAACGAATATATCAAACAACGTCTTGCAGAGGTCCTCTCTGAGGCAAGCCTGATTGCTCGCGTGTAGAATATCACCATGCAAAAAATGGACAATTATTCGGCATGCCTTTGACAAGAGAGCATACACCGACAAAGGCTGCCCATCCGACAGCTCGGACTGATCAATAATGAACAGTCGACAATGGTGCAGAACATTCTGAAAAGTTATGGGTTAATCAATCGACAGAAGATAAAATTACGAGTACCAAGATCGCGCTACTCGGTGCGAAACGGTTCAGTGTTGTACATAACGCCCCGGAAACATGAGAATCTAGAGCTTCGTTGAACTTATTTATCCACACTGCGGTCTAGATTACTACACCGTCACCAACGTATGAATCACCGTGGTTATTTGTGCATACCAGAAAAACGATGACTTCGGTGTTAGCTAGCCGGGAGTCGTCCCAAGTTTCCCAGCTCCAGAAAATGGTATCACCCCATCGAATAAGTATTGTTTGAGCGACATCCAAGTGATCAGGAGGTGCGATGATGGACGACGGAATGATGCCATCATCCGGATGTATTACTACTTGTATGAGGTCCAACAGATAGCCTAGAGTAAGTGGACGTGATGGTAATTGCTTTTGTCTCTGTTCTACATCCACGGCCTATTTTAACAAGGTTAGTCACCAGTCGACAATTCAAAATGGCGGCAGACAGCATAAAGAGACACCAGCATGGAGAAGTTGATTCTCTCCAGCTCAACGGCAGGGTCTGATGAGTAATTCGCTGTAAATCCACTCATAACCGTTTGGTGTATACATGTCTGCATGATTTCCAGAAAGTCCTCGGATTGTGTCATCCTATGCATCTGTGAAACTCTGCTGTCGGACAATATCACGACGCTCACCTGTCGTCGTTCTTACCTCCTAATGAAGGCAAAATGATGCAAACACCAAAGATTAAGCGAAGTGCCAACCGTCTCGCCGCTGGTGACACTTGCCTGGATGCGAGGAGACGCTTTATAGAGTCCCATTGCGCTGAATGTCATTGTTACGAGGCTTTGGAACAAGACACTCGGAAACTTACATGGTAATTGGGAAGCTGCGCGTAGATTATCATCTTCACGTTGCAGGTACCATTCTTCAGAATGTTGTATATCGGATAATTGGGTCCCATCGCCAGCGGCCATTACGATCGCATCTGATAGCTTCGCTAACAGCACATCCACCCAGCAAACTATTGTCGAGGCGGGGTGTACGACAGAACTAACGGCAATATGGTGGAAAACTGTCCGGTGAGCGAATAAGGTACGCAGGAAAGAAGGTTGCACTGAAAAAAGGCTCCGTCACCGAATATGCAGCGGCTGTAGGCAAGCTTACGAACAAGCGTGAGAAATGGATAGGTCTCACGAATATCATTCTGGGGGTTCTTGACTTCATCTAAGAAGCGCAGAATGATGTTCGACGCGTACGCAACGATCTCGTGCATATCTTCGTCCTGCTAGATCATCAGAACAAAGAGTTTATACAACGATCTCTTGGACTCACATCTGATGATATGAGATTGACATCGATTTCCTGCAAAACCGCAATCGCGTCTGGAACCTCTTGTCTCTCACCGCCGTCTGTTAATAGCCTAGCAGTTTCTATATTGACGAGACCGGCGCGCGAGTGGCTTGACGACTGCGAACGACCCGAAAGACATGTCTCCACGTCCAAATCAGAGTCAGTATCACTGTCCGTCTGCATGTCGGTGGGGGCTGAAGACGAAGAAAGGTCGTGACCAAGGCAGATGTGACTTTTCCATTGACAGGCAGTAAGCTTCTAGAGAAGCTGTCATTTCCCAAGCTCGAATCTGCCGGTGGCAAGTACCGGACAGACGATAGAGTCCAAATCAAAGCCCTCGTATATTTTTTAAAAATGCTGTTACATCAGTACGACATTCCAGATCATCGGCATATTGAGAGAATACACCCTCGAATGCATCCTCAGCATCCTCAGTCTTCAAAAAAAAAAACAAAAAATCACGACAGTGTAAGAGTACAAGCAATGAACCACATACTGCCGCGTCCTTGTACTGCAAATCTTCCCAGGATTCGTCTTCCTCTGCCCTAATAGCTTGCAACATCTCGCGTCTGACCGTCGAAAGCCCACCCTGGAATGGTTGCATTCCCCCCTTTTCATCAGCCTTTCTTGCGGATACTTGCACTTCCTTCGCTTCACTTGAAGCCTTTTTCTCTTTCTTCATAGGTGTAACAGGTGTCGGATCGTCAGGATCTGGTGGTGGTCCGGAGTCAGAGTCGGAGTCAGAGCCCAGCCCTCCGCGGCGCCGATTTTTTTGTGACAAGAGGTCCAAGTATGTCAATGTAGGCCTGAACTGATGTGTTTCGGAAACTGGATGAAGATGGAGCTCGCCTATCACGACTTTAGCCCATTCTTTTTGCACAGCAAAGAGTGGAAACTCACCGTCTCTAACGATTCCCAGCATATGTGCACCATTCTGAGCAACCTGTTCACTCCGCAAGCGAATTTCTGACAAGCGCGGTTCTTCCTCTCCCTTGCCATTCGGTCCTTGATTTTTTTCACGATCATCCTCAAGCTGTGCTACACCGAGGTCCCGTCCTCGATCGCCATTCCAGACGTCCGGTCGTGTATCAGCAGGTACGTGAACTTCCAAACGACGAACAGAGGGTTTTATGCGGGCCCTGATTCGCTTTCCACTAGCAACAGCAGAGGGCGGCGGCTGGAGGGGTTGAGAAAGCAAAGGAAACTGGTGAATTTGCAAAGGAAGTCGGTCGGAAAAACGGATAGGAAGACTGCTAACGAGCTCATCGTTGGCCTCCATGATGGTAGGAAGCAGCAAAAATCAACGAGGCCAATCATCGATCAGATGTATAATGGTGATCGAGTAAAAAATTACAGTACAACAATATAATTCATCAACCGAATGCAAGATAAATGAAGGTTACTATATACAATGCCTGTGACGCCCATTTATCATCCTGCACATAAACTCCTTGGCTATCAGAACAGGCACCTCCTCAGCTGAATTTGAAACCCTGTATAAGAGCTTCTGAGCTCTCGTGAGCGAGAACGGGAGTTGTTCGACCCGATGTCGGAAAATCACCGACTGTTGGCGATGGCAAGGTCACGGAAGACCCCTGAGGGGGTGCTTCCTGGTAAAAGGACTCGACCAACACTGGAGGAGACGGTAGGGAGGCCATTGATGAAACCGTGAGGCCTGAATTCCAGGAGCTCCTCGATCGATTCAACCCCCGCGTTTCGCTGTACAGACTTCCTTGGTCATCAGAATCTGCAAATCTCCGGGTACGCCGATGGGATGTGTAGCTCATACGCGGAGACAATGGTCTCCGCACCGCTCCCGGACGGTTTCCATCACCTGGGGTTTTCCAGATCCTCGGACCTTGTATCAGAGCGTCTCTTTCGTGTCGCCGAACCACTCTTCCAAAGCTATGAATAGTTAACAGCGAGATGACTGCCCCTGGATATTCCGTCGTCAAACAGACAGCATGCTGAGAATCCGTGATCTACTCACAATTGACGGATATCCAGGCCATCGGGCCATGGTCAACGTTGCTACCGATGACAGACAGAACCGCAACAACTACGCAGACAGCGGTAATGACCGTTGTGAAACAGAGCTATCGAGATGTCAGCCTTGTTACGCAGGACTATTGCGGAACACCTTGCCTCGTCCTTCATTACCTCCCGGAACAACTCCATCCTGGGCATATAACGGCTCAGTCGGCTGTAAGACGATGGAACGGGAGAGATTCTGTTGGAATGGCTTGGGAACCTCTCTGAATCATCGTTTGACGGTCGTACAGGTGATGCCTCCGAGATGGCAACCGCAGAAGGACGAGCGGGTTGGGGTATGGGGTAATCGCCAGATATAGATGGTTTTCGTGCAGGACAAGTGAGAATAGGAGGCTGGGAATCTGATACAATGCTTTTAATTTTCGTGTAGAATGAACGAACGAAGTTACGGCTGCGGTCGGCAGCCGGAGGGGAGACCACTTCTTCCGTCTTGGGGACATAATCCCACCATCCGCGACGCGATGTATCTGGATTAGAATTATCCAATTCAGCGGAATCATCCATGGACAGTCGTATGGATATTCTGCCACGAGCGAGGGGTGAACCTCGCGACTTCCAAACGGCCCACAGAACTAGATGACGGTTGTAAGATTGGAGTCACGGAAGAGATGGAAAACCATACAGCAGGCACAAATGAAAAGCTCCTCTGATAACTGTAGTAAAAGATAGATGCGCACGGGCCATAAATCATTGCTCAAGTAACATGTTCCTACGATGATAGGCGGTCAGCTGAGCGGCGTAACTACTTACAAAGACTCCCGTACCAGAAAGGTTTCTTTCTCCTTTAATGTGCACTAGACCTATGATTGTTGTTGTGATTGCTGAAGCCAAAAAGCATAATAAGACTGCGCCAACGAAGCGAGAGTTGTTCAAGCATTTGTACGCCTTGTATCCGAGGATACAAAGCTGAGACATGAGATATTCAGAATGAGAATACCATGACGCATGATACCACTTACCAGCAAAGTGAACGAGACTCCAATTAGTATACACGAAACAATGATTGACCTGCCACAACGATAAGATTCGAGGATTGGTTTGGAATGGAGGCTCACAAAGTGCAGTCAGAAGTTAAATCAAACTCGGAAATAAAAATAGGAACGAGCGTGAAGGCACCGAGAAGTTGGCTGACGAAGAGAGTGTAGAATAGAATTTTGTTTTTTACTTTGGCGCGACGCATGTAGTCACCTGACACGAAAAGGTTTCTGATGAACAATGTTATGAGCATACCAGCTATCAATGTTCCAACCGCGCTGAAACGGATGTCATCCATCAATGGTTGCGCAACGAGAGAGCCGTCATCAAGGGCTCGGTAGCTGGGTGTGAACTGAGCGATAGGCACGTCATAATACCTAGTGTAGTCGGGAATTACGAGGGTGGTAGTCAATGCGATTACTACCTCATTAGGAGAGCAGCAGGTCGAAGAGGCCGTGGCACGGGGAAGGAGAACGGTGTGGGGTTTGGAGGTGGTGGGGGTCGGAACAGACTCATGGCGCCGTGATACACGGGGACTTGGAGGAACCATGGAGAGCTTGTTGGCACCGTCAGTTCAGAGAGCTCGCCAGAGGATCATGTCAAGATTTGGAGGCAAGCTGATGAAGAAAACGAAGAAAAAGGTGAACGGCAGAATAGACTTTGTAAGGCAGACTTGAAGAACGGGATACTGTTAGCAATCGATTTCCTTCAAAGGGGGGCACATGTTGCCACGACATGCGCAATCAATTATGTGTGCATACTACGGTTGGTGTGAACTGGTTGAAATCGAGATTTGGATTTGGCAATTGGTCCCTTTAAATAGGCCTGCCGAGTTGCGGCACCCTTCTTATTGGTAGTCGCCATTGCCCCGGCCCGTCCAATTTTCTGATCTCCAGATCTCTGCTCTTCTTTGTTGCTATCGGTCCTTTATGAATCGCATATTTCGTCGATTCGTCCTGATTTGATACTAATGTCATTGGAAAGACAGTCACCTGTGATCATCATCACTGGCACTCCAGGGACCGGAAAATCTACCCACGCACAGCTGCTTGCCAACGAATCTCCGATTCCTCTGCAGCACATCAATATCAGCGATTGGGTCAAGGAAAAGGGTCTTTATGAAGACTATGATCCTGAATGGCAGACCTATAACGTTGACGAAGACAAGGTACAACGGTGTTTGTTCTTACTTTTCATTGCTCAAGTTCGTTAGCTTCTAGACGAGTTAGAACCTCTGACATCGGCAGGAGGCATCATTCTAGACTGGCACACATGCGAAGCCTTCCCCGAACGTTGGGCCGACTTAGTAGTCGTATTACGTTGTGACCACTCACGATTATGGGATCGTCTGGAACAGAGGTGCGCTTGTCAATCTCCAAAGTCCTACAGATAGCCTTATATTGTCTTCGTCTTCCCAGAGGTTACTCCCTCAAAAAAATAGAGGAAAACAACGAGGCGGAGATCATGCAAGTCGTCCTTGATGAGGCTCGGTCATCGTACGCAGCAGAGATAGTTGTTGAGCTCAACAGTGAAAACACCGAAGACCTTGAGGCCAACGTAGCACGCATAGTGGAATGGATTAAAGCTTGGAGAAGGGACAGAGGCATGGAAGCCAATTAAAGTTATTCAGTTTACGCGTACTACTCATCGCCCGATAATTACCCAGACCCCCCGCGAGCGCTCTAACGGATAGCCACGGGGGAGCTCTGCCTCATGTCTGATTCGGGCGGGCGTTTTTTTCTTGCCCTCTGCGATACAAACTTTTTCAAAATAAACACAACTGCGCAACTTAGTTAGCGGGGATCTGCCTTTCCCTGTAGATGTCGCTTACGCTGCATAGTAGGTCCCGTTGGAAGCCCCGCCGGTTTTTCCTTTCTCTTTCACTGACGCACATAGCATTAGTGTCCGTCACGCAGCCTACCGGTCGAAAACACATTGAATCGCGAATACGAATTGCTGTTTATTCCACCAATGTCCTTGAGCCACTGGGTAACCTATATACCAACGTCAGCTGCAATGCAATAGGCAACTCCTTGACCACTAGCCTTCCACCCCGACGTCTCCTGCAATTTTGCGTCGAATTTCTGCACAATCGTCACTGAGTAGGAAACTAGCCAGACGTGCTGGACTCGACCAAAAGACTCGCCATACTATACCAGAATGATTCCCCATATATGTGTAAGTTGACAACATATCGATGAGGGTCCAAAAACCTACATCTTCTGACCAGCTCTTTACTATTCTTCGCCTTGTCCTTTCCCTTGCTCGAAGATGATGCTCTCTCCGAGGCTTCGGAAGTACGCCCTTTCTTGGATACTGACTCGTATGTCGCGTCATTTTCCTTCACAGAAGACGCGTCAGATTGGAATCCTTCGAGTTCGATAGCATCAGATTTTCGTTTGGGGCCCATCGTTCGGTAGTTATGATGTGGTATTAGACGATGCAGATCCTGCTGAGTGGTAGTTGGGTATAAAGAGGTAAAAACGGTGGGTCAACCTCTTATACCATGTAAAGGGGGAATCTGAATTTTGCATGAAAACATGGACAAGCATATAAACGACACGCGTGACGTCATAGTACTTAGCACCTGGCGGTTCATGTCGGCAAGAATTCGAGAGATACAGTTATATATGTGTATATATATCGAAGGCGCATATACAAGCTGTGGGGCGGGCAAGGCTACCACAGCTGGATCAAGGCAACACACAGAAAAATATATGCCAAGGTCCAAAACGGTAAGGTTCCATGCCCGTCATTGACAGGGACAAAACCTGATAAATCTGACGGTTGCATGACCGCTGTTGTCGACCATCTCTCCGTAGACCTGAATATCATGAGAATCATCGAGATTAGCCTATATTTTACTGATATCTATTTACTCACGTCGATGTAACGAGACCTTGACTGTCAGTCGTAACTATAGTCGTTATAGACTCGGAGATAACTACCACTGTAGTAGCGGCCTGAGTGGGCGTGATTGTTATGGTCGTAGGGAATGTGAAGCTGACGCCGTCTGATACGGTGATAGTGACCAATGGGGAGGTAGAGGTGGATGTAGCCGTTGTTTCGCCGGCGAAGAATGGTGGATCCTCCGGTGCACTAAACACCTGGGGCTGATCTTGTAGGGTATTCAGATTGTCGACACAAGAGGAACCAGACAAATTGCTGTTCTCAATTTGCAGGGGTACAGGAGTGATGATGAAGAAAGGCTTTCCCTCGATTTGCGAAGTTTCGTAAAATGTCAGCTATAATGATAAGGACTTTAAAATACTAGCCCTGGTTTATGAGGGACAAACTCACGTTGTAGTTCCCTGATTTAATACAAGTCGGAACCACGAAGTTTCCATGTCGAACAGTGCCCGACTCCTGAGTGAGGAAGTCTGTTCCCGACACCACTGTTAAATTGATGTTTGTTTCTGAGGAGACGAGATATATCTCCAGCAAGCTGAAAAAAGAATCATCGGGCAGTTTTCCATCACCAGACACCTACAGTGCAGATAAGTATATTCAGGTTGATTCATATAAACTTTCTGACATCAATAGAAATGGGAAGGGTGCTGCCAGCATGCCCTGGACTGAAGAAATGTAAACATCACACCCGTAGTGAAGAGTAAAGATCGCACCTATTGGGACTGGGGGAATCTATAATTGACAGGCCGCTTGTAAAATATTGGCCTGCTTCAGCGCATTCGAGATGTATTAATATGGAAAGAATGACGAGAGTATATGTAAATACTGCAGAGAACGATCGAAGGCGAGCCAGCACTCTTGCCTGCATGATGCTCAGTAGTGACAGAGGGTATAATAGATGCGGAGGGAATTTTATAGGCCAGGAAGGCTCACAAAAGAATGTGTGAGAGCAGTTGCAACATGCGCTGAAAGTGCCGGCGCTTCGAAGTGAACTACCATCGTGAGAATCTGAACCAAAGGTTGGGTAACCGGCGTTTGACCTCGTGGGAACGAACTCGGTACCTTCCAGTTGCCATGTCCAGTGCCTCTCCTCCGGCCACTAAAAAATCAGTTTACGAAGGGAGCACTCAATTCAAGAACTGGAGATATTCTCCTGAAAAGCTTGCTCATGTACGTTCGACGTTGAACCAAGCAGCCGTTGCTGTTATTAAACGGACATTCGAGGCCTATGAGGTAGAGTCTTTCGTGACTCAGTGATGCAATAACTCATTGAATCTAGCCAGGCTCATCTGCGAATGTACTTTTTCTAACTGCAGACGAGGAGCATCTCCTGGTCAAGCACTATATTGCTACTATAACACAATTATGCAGTCTCTTTCGTTTTCCTGAAGAGGTTGAAGCTACAGCTATCAGCTACTTCAAGCGCTTTTACCTCAAGAACACGGTCATGGATTGGCACCCAAAAAATGTCATGTACGGTCATCGTAACAGTCCATAAGCCCTACTGCTCAAGTATAATATGCCAGGTTAACAACTCTGTTTCTGGCCACCAAGACGACGAACAACCCGATTTCCCTAGAGACTTACACAACACACATCAAAAGCACCACCGCATCTGACGTTCTGGACCTTGAATTTCTTGTCGCGCAAAGCCTTGGCTTTGAGTTTTCTGTATGGCACGCTCATAGAGCACTGTGGGGTGTATGGCTGGACTTCCAAGTACGTGTATTTCCTACCAATCTGGTTGTATGGTAGCCTGGTCGCCAACGTGGTCTTCAGAGCCTTCCTGATACAGCGGCAGACTGGCCTCAAGCCCATCGAGATGCCTATGAAACTGCGTTGGGCTATGTTAGAGCTTCGCGATTGACGGACGTTGAATTCATCTTCACGCCTTCTCAAATAGCTCTCGCTGCCGTGTCTCTCACTCTCCCGGAAGAATCGTACAAATGGCTGAAATCGAAATATCCTTCATACAATGCCGTCGAGACCACGGTCAATAAAATAAAGACTATTATTCAGAGCTTGAGTCGGCCACCTGACGTGGAGTCTGTGCGTGAAGTTGATCGGCGGCTCCGATTATGCAAAAACCCAGAGAAGATAGTAGGAAGCAAAGCATATCTAGCTAGGAAGGCGGAGCAAGAAAAGAAAGCAGAAGAGAAGAGAAATAGGAAAGCAGTGGAAGCGGGGGAGGATGATCCATTTGGTTTTGAACTGGGCAGGTCAACAATTGTGGACGATGATGACGATGATGACGATGACGACAATTGATGACAATTTTATTGTACTCACAAGCTACTGTAACTGTTATAATCTATGCATTTCTTGCTACAACACTTGATACTGTATTCCTCACAACCAAAGGTGGTTCCCGTAGCCTTCCGAAGGGTGATCTCTGGTAAGACTGGAAGAAGGAAGGTTTATGTTGGCTGCCTTTTGACCTCGACAAATCAATGCAGTAACTGCTCTTTGTGAGGCTTCGGAGGAGCCGAAGAATCGGCGCATGGAATCAACGGGTGAAATAGTGTATATCGATTTCAATTAAAAGCCTGATTCACTAAGTCAATACGAGGGAAAAATCGCGGGGTTTAATAAAATGACTCACAGCAGTCGCAGTCAAAGGGGCACGAAGGAGTATCTGATAATAGGTCAGAGAGAGACAAGGATTCAAATAGATCGACGCACCTCCTCCTTCATTAATCATTCCAAGCTCGTCTTCTTTGTATACGGACCAACCTTCCTCAGTTTTGCGTCCTAAGGAAGAATGGAAATCAGATTGCTGTCTAAGAAAGAAAAGAAGAAAAAAAAAACACGACGTACGAGGTCCAGAACCTCGGGAATCTTTAAAGCGCTCCTCGTCAGCTTTGGAGCCTTTTCCCGATTTGAATGACTTGATATTTGATCTATCACTACGCTTGGTCTGGTTTATGCGGTTCGTGGCAGAAGGATCGATGACAGTCTGGGGAACACGTTTCTTGGAGGGTGGTTCATGGTGGTCGTTAGTAGGATGGTCTCTACGACGCTTTTTACTCTTCTTCACTGTGTGTGAGGTAGATGAGGAGGTCGCAAGAGAGCGCTTTGCTGCAAAGATGTCGTCGATTTCAGATATGGGCATATGGTGGTGGTTGAAGAGCAAGTCACATGGGCTGAAAAAGGCAAGTTGACCTGCGACGGCAACAGGAGACAACAGACAGACAGACGGCGCAATCGCAGAGAATCAGCTCGATGTTGTAAGTCACTTTTTTTTTGGGAGGGGGGGAGGGAAATTTCATTGCTCACCACCTCCAAGACCGCAGAATGGCCTTCCCCTTCGGTCGCAGCAGGCGCAGCAACCGCTTATGTCGTCGAATCCCGCTGGATTCGACGCTTCATTTTTCAATCTAGATGCTTCGCAGGCTGCCAAGCAGATGGCAGCACTTTCTGCGGCGAGCAATGCTAGAATGGCGAACAGTCGTTCCGCGTCAGTGGGCGGAACAAGTTCGGGGTCATATCTCGGTGGAATTACCTCTGGCATGCATTCGAACGTCAGTCATGACCAGTCCATTTCTGCTGGAGGCCACCCAAATTTGAACGCCCATTCTTTGCCGCAACCGGCCAATACCTCTTTCCTCGATCCCTCCATGTCAAATCCTGCTGCTCCTCGTCCCGGCCCTTCCTCTGCCCAGTACAGGCAGCGGCACCAGGGCTTCCTCGCCGGTCTCGCCAACATCATGGCAAAACGGAACACGCCGCTGCCACCTGCTCTCATCGGCATTTCCACCCCAAATTACGATCCCAACACTTCCCAGTTCAAAATGATCGAACCCTCCCAGACAGAGATTGGCTGCTTCCGTTTGGCTGGGAGAGATATAGATCTTTTCAAGCTCTGGGGTCTGACAATACAGCAGGGAGGAGGCTCGGTGGTATGTCCTCGCTCTGGTGTACCATTTTTACAACACTTATCTCATAAAGATTGGAAACCCTGGTACTTGGGCGGCAATCGCGTCCCAATTCGATCTTCCCGAAGAACTGCCTCAGCCTCATGCTAGTGGCACCACGTCAAGCGCCCATGCCCTTCAGGCATGCTATATGCTTATTCTGGCGCCGTTTGAAGACTTGTACAAAAAGAATGTCCAAGATCAGCAGAGGAAGGCACAGCTGTCTTCAAGGCAGGGAAATGTGATGAACCAGCGTCCCGGCACACCCACTAGACCAGGTCAAACTGTAGCGAACGGAATGCAGTCTGGGTTCCCTAACCAGACACCGAGGGGCCTGTCTGGTTTTTCATCCGCCAACGCTCTGGCGCCGCAAACAACACATCAAGGCAGCACTGTGTCATCTGTTCCACAGCCTGGTCCGAGCGTTACACAGATTTCTGTACCTCAATCTGTCGACGCGTCTCATGTCGGAGAAGGACAATCATCTGACACAAATGTTCTCGAGGACATTCAAGGGGGAATAAAGCGGAAGCTTGATACTGATGACGGCGAGGGCAAACGAGCGCGACAGAAGACCGGTGTGTTTCTATCTTTTCTATTTAGTACGTCTTATTCAATTCGCTGTCAGGTTCGGAGCTAGCTGATGCTAATACGGTGGGCTTTGCGGTCATTTTTGGCTAGTGTGATTTTGCTAATCAATTCCGTTTAAGTCGGTAGCTGCAGCATCTAACTCTGATCCTTCTCAGTCAGTGTCCACTATGGCAGGTCCAACACGAACACGGACGCAGCCTCTTCGTCGGAAAATTGAGTACGTCCCATACGCACGCGAGGTTGAAACCTATGGCGGCCGGGACCTCAAAGGTATCGAGGCAGAACTCGCTCCGCATCGCGAGCGTCCATTACGAGACATCAATGACTGGGGAACCGTAGACATCGAGGCCATAACCTTGTCCCTCAGCTCCAGGATTTCTACCGAGCTGTCGTACGCGTTAACGACACTCACCATACTTTCAACCATGAAAGGCCAAAGCCCTGGCTCAGGTTTCCCTCTTCACCAGTGCGGGGATCTTTTTGACGAACTGCTTGACTTCATGGAGGAACTTGCCTTGGAAGGTGTCCAAGTCCAAGACACATTCGAGCTCAGTACAACGGGAATCGACATACCAACCCATCGGCAATTGGTGAATGCAGTGTATGAGGCAGAAGCCATGCCTTTTGCTGGTCTTGAACGACGGCAAGGCAGTGCTGATCTACACTGGGGTTTGCGCCCGAGACCAGGGGATACCATTCTCATGGTTCTCACCATTATTCGCAACCTCACGATGGTCGGCGAAAATATTGGTTTCATATCCCAACAACATCGGCTCGTTGATCTGCTACTCCGACTATGTGTAGTGGTGAGAGAGGGAGTTAGCCTTCGTGCATTTGCGCCAGCTCTGTCTCTCAGCGATTTGATCGCAGTCCGCAAAGACACTATGGTTATCTTGAGCTGCATCGCCGGCCATATACTCTTCTCTCACCCCAGTAGTCCATCTAAGGGAACGCTGAAAACGGCCACTAGGCTTTTTCAGCTGTGCTCGTCATACATCATCGATCCTGTCGAAGCTGTGTCGCCAATGGCTTATGTTCAACTCAAGGGAACACCAAATCACGCCCCTCCTTCTTTGGCTGATTTGTCTTTAGAGGTGTTCACCCGGTTGAGTCAACTAGACTCGAATCGACAAGTATTCGCGAAGGCGATACCCTCGGCATCCATCTTCCTCCTCTTCTCATCACTTGTTCATCGATTGCCAATATCCGACGTTGATTTTCAGGTGATTACCCGCGAATCGTGGCTGAGCTACTTGGAAAGAGTAGTTATGGGCATCTACTCTTTAGCATTTCTTGCATCTCCTTCGCTAAAGAACAAAGTGAAGACAGATCGCGCGATGGGTTTCAAGGGTGTCATGCTTCGCATGATACAGAAGTTTTTGATGCATTCAAATCCAGATGCGCGGGCCCATTATATGGTCTGCGCGAGAAGGGCAATTGAAGCCATGAAGGTGCTGGATGATGGCGAGGATTCGTTCGATACATCCAAATCGGTGGCGCCAACAATGTCATTCGGGATGGGATGGGGGGAGGTTGGAGATGCTAGCTCTGAACAAGGAACCGGACTTCTTGGTGGACATCGTACATTAGCTTGGGATTTGCTGATGCAACGGGAAGTCTCTGCTGACGAGGTGATGTTCGGAGAGCTGGAGAGCCTGGCGCGGGTTGAGTGCTAAGGACATCTGCTTTCATTATATATATATATATATGGATTGAATTGTACTTTGCTGTGTATCCGTATGTAACTGCTACGCCAGTTTTCTGTTTTAGCATGACCACACGTGGGTCAACAACTTTCTGAAACTGATAGTCACCGACATCGTTCTTCCAATATCCTTCCTGTTACTCTACCACCATCATGTCGGAGCATATTCCACCTCCGATATATTCACAACAGGATCCAACAGAAGCCTACCCCGACACCTCTCGCGAGCCACAGATTCTCATTACACCGACCATTGATGCGCTCAATTTCCAGAAAGGCTTTCTGGGTGCCGAAGGAGAACGCGCTGCCATCGAAGGAGAGCTACAGATCAAAGGAGCAGAGCCTGGCCGGTGGCATCGAATGTACGTACCGTGCATGCTGTCCACCGCGTATGCTCAATGAGCAATACAGAACCATGTCCCTACGTACTGTCGAGAAGGCCTACAGCCAAGAGATTGAGCTAGGAACATCGGAAACAGTGCTGTTCTCAAGTCCTGTAGAGAGCGTTACAGCTTTACCCTCTTCCGTGCTATTCTCCATACCTCTCATGTCCGATGCCCCCCAAGCCGTTATTACGCCTCATTCGTCGCTTTCACACACTTTGATGGTCACCCTACACCCTACAAATGTTTCGACGCCACCGGTTACAAAGAGCATGGCTGTTCACACAAGGCGATATAGTTCCCATGCCGATTCTCTCCCCATTTCACCCGAAACTCACGCTCTGGACCAACCAACGCGTTTTGAAGTCCAAGTACCTCGTACAACCTTCAAGGCTGGCGAGCAAGTTCCAGTTTATGTAACGATCCCGCCGCCTGCCAAGGAGATTGTGGTTGACCAGGGACTGAGGCTGCGGAACGTCAAGGTTGAATTCGTGAGGATTGTGCAAGTAAAACGCGATGGCCACGACGGGCTAGAAGGACCTCCGTCACCCTATAGTGACGACGAGCCGTCCGTCGGACCGTCATCCACCACCACCCAGGAGAAACGCGCATCCACATATAAATGGCCTTTGTCGCCCTTTGTTGTGGGATCGTCTTTTAAGACTGTTTTAGCCCGGTCTGGCGCGTCTTGTCGCTTTCATGCCACACGGCCAGTCCAGTTACGATTTGTTTTGCACCAAACGTCGCCTTCTGGTTCACCTGCAGATAATCAAATGAACCTACCGACATCGGATTACGTTCATCTGGACAGTGACGCAGAATGCCCATCGATTACCCAGTCGACGCTTCTCCATTCCATATCATTTAAGCTCAATGTTTATGTCTCCTTCGTTGACACATCCAGCCACACGGAGCGCATTTACACCATATCTATTCCGATCTCGGTGCTGCCCCCACCGGCACCACTTCCTGAAGTTGCAGAATCGATAGACGCGGCTTATCAGAAGAAGCATGACCGCCCGCCTGTGAAGACAAACAGAGCCGAGGACACCGACTTTTCCGTACCGCATTACTCTGAAGGGGAGGCAGGGCCTAGTGGGCTTGGTGCTCCGCCACCGTTTGAAGAACGAGACGCCCCTCCGCCATTTTTCCCTTCTGCTTCAGAGGCTTCGACTTCCACGCGACTACCTACGTTTTTGGAATCGGAGACGGAAATCATTATTCCTTCGCACGACGAGTGCATAGCACTACCCAAGCCATTGTCTACAGTTCTCGTGGGAGAGGGCTTTGCGTTCGGTTTTCTTCTCACAGATCAATTTGACGGGCACGATATGCAGCGATCTTCTACTCCACCGCCTACACTTGAAATGGCAGCTCGGGACACTGATGTTACTCAGCTTGCTGAAATACCTGCTACAAGCCAGTCAATCGAGGCTTTGGGCCTCGTATTTGAGCAACAGCAGGAATCAGAACAAGAACCTCCCCCACCACCACCACCTGCCATGGATGATCCGTCTGATCCTCCACCTTCGATTGACTCTGACTTTCGTATACCACATCACCAGTCTTCCAACCCATCTTCAATCTCTGAGCCACCGAGATTACATTCACCGCCACCAGCACCCTCCCAAGAACAAGTGGTCCACAACCATGCACCACCTCCTTACCGAGTGCCTGCTAACCACAGGGACCAGGAGCATATCGCAAGGCCGCCACCATACGTAGACTGACCATACTAACTGTGCGGTTGCGACATTTCGCAGAATCAGATAGGTCCTCGTTGTAAAATAAAAATCAGAATACATGTACGTGTGAAGTGTAAAGCATTGTAGGCATAGAAGATGACGTGAACTAGATAGAAACTATGGTGACTAACCAGCGACTGCTGCGCAAGGGCATGTATAGAAGCAGACTAATGCACTAACAGTTGCAAGCATCTTTCGGCTTCGCACCTTGTTCCAAATTCACACCACCCTCTTGTCGTGAGACACCTGCTCGGTTTGCACCTGGCCCAGCTCTACCCGCGCCACGGGTAGACGCCAAAATATGCTCGATAGGTATCTTTCTTGCTAGAGAACAAGATGAGCATTCTGCGGGTAAAAGGGAAAGAAATACTTACCGATTTCCGTGAATAAATCAACGATACCCTCACCAGTCTTGGCACTAGTCTCAAAAAAGAGCAAACCAGCCTCGGTTGCATACGCCTGCGCTTCCTCGCGGGGAACCTGCCTCAGACTTTCCGATTCACCAGACGGTGCCTCTCCTGGGGTGGCTGTAGCGTCGTCAGCTTCATCTTCAGATTCTGAATTGTTTCCAGACGATGAGGCTGAGGGTTGGACGAGATCAACCTTGTTGCCAGCTAATGCGATAACGATATTAGGATTGGCTTGTCGTTGAAGCTCTTTGACCCATGATTTGGCCTTCTCGAGACTCGTGGCCTTGGTCACATCATAGACGACTACGGCCGCTTGAGCATTTCGGTAGTACATGGGCTTGAGCTGGATGTCAGGGATCCGGTATGATAGCATAACTGCAGCGCTTACGGCTAGTGAGTGGAATCTCTCCTGTCCAGCTGTATCCCATATCTCGTATCTTAGCACCCTATCTTCCAAACGGCATTTTTGAGTCAAAAAAGCGGCGCCAATGGTGGGTTCCTTATTGGCCTGGAACTCGTTGGAAACCTGTCGTAATACATGAATACAGTTGCCGCTTTATGAAAAGGAGAGACGCACAAAACGAAGGACCACGGATGACTTCCCGACTGCAGCTTCACCTACGAAAGAGTGTATGAATCACTAACCCCCACATGCGAGCGCTGTGCGGGACCCCACATAGTTGCCACAGTAATTGAAGCTTACCTAGAAGAACAAGCTTGACCTGAACGGACTTGTCAGGAACAGACCCAGATTCTGCCATTTCTATGATTGTATGGATTGCGAAACGAGGACTCGGAGATGATTGTAAATGACGGTTAGTCGGAAGGTACACTGTTGATACCTGTTTATGTCTCGCCTCCTAGTGTATCGAGTGCATACTTAGAGACAAAAAAAAACAATAAATTGGTATACAGTGTATGTATTTGGGCAGTCATTTGTAGTAATAAAATCTTTGGGTCGATTGGCAGTCTTGTTCCCGATGTCACTAGTTTTTAGCCAAAGCAAGTACGCAGACATCTAATTCGTAATCCAGTCAGCGCTCTTGAGGACTTTGATTATTTCCATCTGCAGCTTGAGCAGGAGTGTGAGACCCAAGCACAGGAACACTAGTTGACTGAGAGGCAAAACCAAGCATCTCAGTAGCAAGCTGAGGGTCCAGATTGGGTGCGGCTCGTCAATGTAAGTGCCGGCGTCGGCGTCGGCGAGAACAAGAGAAAATGAATGGAAGGCAGCGTCTGACCAGGCGTGTCAGGTATATGTGACTCACTAAGGAGTCCAACTGAGATAATCATGTGATCGCTAACAGTAGCTGGCTTGCATTGATAGGATGTGGTACGAAGGAAGGCAGGGTGGCCTAGGCACCTCCCCCCCCCCCACCCGTTATCCCTATCTAAGAGGTCAATTGGCAAGTCCGGACAATGCGCTTCTTGGCACAGGTATGTCCGATTTTGGGCTAAGATTTCGAGGTCAGTTGGAAAGTCCGGACAGAGGTCAAGTTGGCGCGGGTTAGACGGGAAATCCAGACAAATCTGGGGTCTGGAGGTCGAGAAAAAGTCACGACAATCTCTCAAAAAGGTCAAAAGTCCAGTATCGACCTCTTATCGACCTCTTGGTGGCTTGATGCGTTTTGGCCACGTGAGGACAAACAGGAACCGATCAACCCTACTACCCCGCATTTCGACCCCGGATGTCCGGTATGAACGTAACCGGCTCAGACTACAAGCTCTTGGGCACATATATATTCCCCTTATCCGAATAATACTTCTCTATCATTCAATTTCCCCCCTCTTTTTTCACTCCTGATAAGCTCTTCTCCCCAACATTTCTCCTCATCAATGGCTTTCAGTGCGCGAACGCGTTTCACCATTCTCTTTCTATGTCTTATTCGTATCTTTAAGGTCCTACAACACCAACTGCAGAGAGTATCCCCCCCGCGGACGTCAAATTCAGATTAAATCCTCCCGGCTTGAAGGATGCTCCTACCTATCTTCATCCGTTGGTCAGTGCTTGCTACCCTTTCCAAATATTCGCCATGAATGATAGTATAACCATGCTTCAGAATCCCCTTCTCTTCTTGCTTCGCGCTGCACAGATCTACCCGGATAAAATCGCCCTAGCGCATCCTGATGCCAAATATCCGGTCGTCTACACCTTTGCAGTATGGTCAGTATCATTACCATCTTAGCAAGTGTTTCTTTTACACTTGTTTCTAGGGCTCAGAGAATTCAGAACCTGGCCTATAGCCTCATACGTGCAGGAATTAAACCTGGTGACAGAGTGGCAGTCATTTCCCCGAATTCGTACGTTCCCAGTCCTAGGTCTTCACTCCTTGTTGAAATGATCCATTGCATGACTAGTCCCATGATGGCGGGTATGTGCCAAGAGATTACTATATAATTGGACTTTGTTTACCTTGACACAGATGCATGTCATGGTGTCCTGGCCGCGCGCGCTATCCTAACGCCCATCAATACGCGACTCAAGCCACAGGAGGTACATTATATTCTAGGTCAGCCCATTCATCTCTCCGAAACCGAGTTTCTACCAACACATTATACCAACAACTTCAGATCATAGCGGCGCCAGCCTCATCCTCATCGATGAAGAGTATCTGCCGCTTATAGCAGGATCCGAGCGTCCTAGGATTGTGTGTAAAGACACTGGTACAAGTGATGACCCATACGAAGAATTCTTGAGTGACGGTCGATGTTACAGTCAAGAGAGAGGCTGGGCCGGTTTAGATGTAGAGCCGGACGAAAATGCAGGAGCTCTGCTCTGTTACACGTGAGTCGCACAATCGTTCAGAATCAGTTCAGCATGTGGTAACAGAAAGCGTAGATCTGGTACCACCGGGCGAGTATGTCCCATTTTGTGTACTGATCGTCGATGTTACTTACGTCTTCCCAGCCGAAAGGCGTCCTCACAACACTGAGAGGTATGTAATCGGGCTTTGCTGTTGGCTTTGAAGGCTCACGCTCCATATCAGGCACATACTTGGCAGCCATTGGCAACGCTTTTGAAGGACGGTAAGTTTTACGCCTCGCAACCTCTTGAAAGTCCAGAAGCTTGGCTAGTAACTGATAATCTGCAGAATTGACAAAGAATCAACGTATCTTTGGTGAGATTCGCGTCTTTTCCAGAGTCTTGTACCAACTCATCGTCGCCCAATTCAGGATTCTCCCCATGTTCCACGCCGGAGGGTGGACTTTTCCGTGGAGCAACACGTTCGCATTTGCAACGCAAGTAAGCAAGGGTTCAACTTGAAAGAAATTAATTGATCTCATATAATCGCCATTGACGATTCCTGGTCCTATTAGATCACACAACGGACCGTCAATTACCCACAAATCTGGAAGCACTTTCTGCATTCCAAAGTGACCCACTACTGCGGTGCCCCGACTGTGCAGGTACTATCGGTGTTGTGTGAAATCCTCTCTTGCGCCTGATGGTTTCGCATCAGATTGGCATCGTAAATGACCCATCTGCGAAGAAACTGACCAAGCCCATTTCTGCTATCATTGCTGGTGCGCCCAACAATTGATTGAATGAGCACTCAGCCTAACTCGAACCCTCATCAGGTGCTGCACCCACTGCACACCTCCTTGGAGCGCTCGAAGGAATCGGAATCAAACCAATCCATGTTTACGGTTTGACGTGAGTCTCCTCAACTGGATGAAAAGTAGATGTAACTCACTTTGGCTTATAACGTCAGAGAGGTACAATCTTCTCAACAGTGCCTTACATTATTTCTGAGGCTCCCGCAGACATACGGTCCGTTCACCAGAGGTTATGATCAACTATTCTGGACCAAAATGACCCTCGAACAACGATCGAAGCTAATTGCTCGACAAGGACACAGTTTCGCCACAGCAGAAGGCGTCCGTGTAGCAGAGATACGGGACGATGACCAGATTGTAGATGTTCCTCGAGATGGGAAGACAGTGGGTGAGATTATTACCAGAGGCAATCTTGTGATGAAAGAGTACTTTCGGGATCCTGAAGCTACGACAAAAGCTTTCCGTGGAGGTTATTTTCATTCAGGAGATTTAGCCGTTATGCATCCTGATGGATCGATTGCCGTGGTCGACAGAAGCAAGGACATCATTATATCCGGCGGAGAGGTTGTTTCAATAACGCTTCCCAATTCTCATCACTCATTTGGTTCTGCAGAATGCCTCTAGTCTCGCTATCGAGCAAGGAAAGCATAGCTGCTTAACGATGTTGAATCTGTTATTAATTATCTAGCATCTTTTTTTAGAGCTATCAAGCCATCCCCACGTGCTTGAAGTTTCCGTCGTCGCTCGAGCTCACCCGGTGTGGGGCGAACGCCCTATGGCTTTTGTGAGATCTTGTGGATTCATGATTATCAGACCAAGCTCAATAATTTCATAGGTCACAATTCACCCAGAACACGTGTCTCGATGGTCTGGACGCCTCGACGAATTTGTAAAGAACCTCATGGAACATGCCAAAACCAGGCTTTCTGGATTTGCGCGCCCCGAGTGGGTGGAAGTTGTTCCTGAATTGCCAGTGAGTGAATTTATTATCATTTGATACATGTCAGCGAAGCTCACATGTGGGAAGAAAACCTCCACTGGAAAGATTTTGAAAACAGAGTTGAGAAGGAGGGCAGCTAAATTGTGAATAGGATGCACTCATTTCTAGAAGTAAAGATATGATTACAGTGGCTGGACTTCAACTTATGTTCATACCCTCATTCCAACACTTTGCCTGGGTTCATTATACCTCGAGGATCGAACAACTCCTTGATCTTCTTCATCCAGGTAATGCTCACAGCACTCTTGGAGTAGTGGAGAGCATGAGTTTTCATAGCGCCAATGCCATGTTCGGCGGACACGGAACCGCGATGTGATGCTGATACGTGCAATTCAGTGACTGGGGTCTCGATGATAGTATCAGAAACTACACACCGACAAGCTCGTATATAAATGGCTCCAAGGCATCTTGGATCTCGGAAGAGTAAGTGTCTGCAACTACATTTAAGTGTAGGTTTCCTGCAAAGCTCAGTCAGCGCTTTGAATTATATATAACAGTAGATATCTACCATCACCGACATGGCCATATCCCACAACATGCTTGACTGCATCCTCACGCATTAATCCCTTGGATCTCAGATGTTCACGAGTGACATCAACACATTCTTTGAAGGTTGATAACGGAACGGAGATGTCATATTTATACGCTTTCCCCTCTTTTGAAACAGCTTCAGTGACACCCTCTCGAAGAGCCCATAGAGACGAGAATTGCGCAGGAGATTGTGCCAGAACACCTGTATTGATTAAGGGCTTGTCAGCCTCGAGTAATGTCTCGAGCAAAGTTGTCAATTTCTGGTCATAGATTAGCAGGAAAACTTGAGCGGAAGAAACTTATCCACCTCTTCGTCGTGTTCCCTTCGACCACCGCTGGTCTCGACGAGAACGAAACATTGAGCACCTTCGACATCCTCGTCACTAAGCGCTCGTCCTTGTCCGTGTTTAACAGCTAAGTCATAGGCAGTGCGGTCTATAAATTCAAACGCAGAAAGAATTTCTGACAGCTGGCGCTTCACTGACTGATACAAAGGCAAAACATTGTCAAAATGAGGGAGAGCAAAGATGACATTGTTAGAGGCCTGAGGAGACGGTGGGGTAAGGATGGATACACCCGTTATTATTCCAAGGGTGCCTTCAGCACCAATGAAAAGCTGCTTTAGGTCATATCCTGGTGAAATATGAGTATGGGCACTGCAGTGGTGACATGTGATACGAACCAGTGTTATCTTTGCGTAGTGATGTAAGCTGATCCAGGATTGTCCCATCGGGGAGCACAACTTCCAAACCTAAAACAGATCCATGCAGCGATCCATAGCGCAGTAGACGTAAGCCACCAGCATTCGTGGCAACGTTTCCACCAATCTGGCAGCTGTACATAGGATAAATCATAGACAAGGTGTTTTGCATGCGCTACACACCTACCCTTCGCCCCAAGATCAATTGGCATGACATGATGGTGCGGAGCAATATAATCTGTGAGCGACTGAAGGATACAACCTGCGTCTGCAATCAAGATACCTTGACTGGAGGTCAATACAAGTATCAATGACGAACTTTCCACGAACCAGATATTGGGTCAAACGACCGTACTTGACTCATGTTTGCGAGAGAGATTATGACCTCATCCTGGACGGGGACACTTCCTCCTACAAGGCCTGTATTTCCACCTTGCGGGACTATGCCAATGCGCTTCTCGTGACACCATTTCACGATATCGCTGACCTCCTGTGTTGTCTTTGGCTTCAGAACAGTTGTCGCATTGCCATGATACTTTCCCATCCAATCGTTATTGTAAATGTCTAGCTCTGTTGCTGCTAGTGAAATGGGAGCCAGAGTTGACAAAATTGACGTCGACGGTAAAATCTTTGCAAAGTGATCGACATCTTGCTGCGTAACAGGATTGAGACGAGATAGAGAGTGGCTGGCACGATATGCCGTTGAAGCAGCAGAATACCGGGAGAAGAATGGAATCGCAAAGCGTCGCCACGACGGGGACAGCATCGCAGCGTTACGAGTTCAATGTGCAGAAAAGCGGATACTGTGGCGTGTGAATTTCCTTTTCAAAACCAGGAACTGCAGCGGCCATTTGCTCCGAGCGTCTCGTCAGCCGCGTCTTGCCTTTTCCTTCTCCCTCAAGGTTCCTCCGCTCCCTTCATGACCAGTCCATTCTCTTGCATCCGTCCCGTAACATTTTCCTGCTGACCATCTCACCTGTGACGGCAACATTCCTCCATTCACTGTCAGAATCCAACATGTCCCAGGTCGAAGATGATCAGTACAGTGATGCTCCCGACACATTTGAGGACGAACGATACGATGATCTTCCACGAGGCATTGAGGAGGTTGAGGTCCGCAATGTAGAATCGCCGCACAAAGCGATTACAGATGTCATTACCGCCGAAGAGGACAAGGAGGAAACCAGGCCTTTACTTGAATCTAGTCATGGCGCTTCTCTGTCTACTACCGGGGAAGTAGAGCAGACTTCAGATGCTGCTAGCGCCCACAGCGTTCCTGCTGTACAGGTAACACATCGTCCAGATCCTCTTGAAACACAGCGTCGGCTACAAACAGCGTCACCATCTGCCAGGTCTGCCCGCCCACCTCCACCTTCCCCTGCTCGCAGTAGCCACTCTGTGCGACCTAGTACAGCTTCGGACGATCGCAGGGTACGACGTCGGTCAATAACTGAGGTATCCCGACTTGCTTTATTCTCTTTCATTATTTTTTTAGCTAACCTTTTTCTTTTTTTTTTTCAGGTTCGCGCTTCCAACCGTTTATCTGATTTTTTCAATAACCTCATGCATCGCCGTGATCCTGTTGCCCACACCGATGACACACTCTGTGAAGAACGACGTTCTACCGTTCATGGCAAAAAGAATGACACTTCCCGACCACCGACTCCTCCTGGACGGTCAACAACACCTCCACCTGATCTACCCCCTCCTTCCCTCCAAGAGCTTGGGCTCTCCCTGTCGGTGCTCACTTCCGATCTTTCTCCTTCACATTTCAGCACACCTCCTGCCAGTGGCGCATTTCTCTCCCCTCACTATCTCCTCCTTTGCCACGCGCAAGGATTGGATGTCCTTCCCCTCATTTCACCTCCTGCGCCACAGCCCTATGCACTTGTTCGTCGAGTGAGTTTCAAGAGTGTTGTAGTTATGGAACAGCGCGGAGTGTTGGTTGCCATAGCTGGCCGCCGCGATGGCGTGCGGGTCTATGCCCTGGAGGAGGTCAAGCGAGCAGTGGAATGGCGTATTGAGGTGGAGTTGCGCAGGGAACGCGAAAGGCAGCGTAGAGAGACCTCCAAAAAATTCCCTTCAGGCGTTCGGGACGCAGCAGAACCTCGCGATTCCACTGAGAATTTGCGTAGGCCTTTTTCATCGACGTCTCCACCAGGAGACTCTCATTCGGCTAAAGTGTCAAATGGACACCTTACTTCGTCTCCTGCGGTCCCACTGATACCTCGCACCCCAACAACTCACAGACGCCAGAAGACGCGAATGCCATCCGTACCGCCATCTGGCCATCCTCCTCCTTACACTTCTCCATCACCGGAACGACTTGCTAGTCAAGTCGCCAATCTATCTCCTCCCCGTTCTCGTTCAAGGGGTGCGTCTGTTTCTGATGTTTTGACAGCCGGTTCTATTCGGCGCAACACAAACGCCACAGTGCGACCCGAGGGTCCGGACGCCAAGGCTGACTGGGTCGAGTCAAGCGATGATGAAGCTATCAGTTTAGTAGCTGCTGGTTCCAGTGGCAGTCAGGCCCTTGATGAGCGCACGAGTGCTGCTGCTCAGACTTCGTCGACTATTCCAGTGCATACGACCCCGCGCCACCCTCGTCCAATGTCTATGTCACGAAGTAATCGACCTGCAAATTTAGATTTAACTATATCCCGCTCGAATACAGTGGTGCCTCCTGAACCTTCTCCTGCTCCCACTCTTCTAACTTTGCAACAGGCTTTGTCCCATTCGCCGTCTCGAGAACCCCACGCCCGCCTGCCAAGCACACCACTAGGCGACGACGACGACGACGACGCCGATGGAATCAGCCTTAGCCAAGTACTACAAGAGAGCCGTATACCTGATCTACCCCCTCCAGGATCCAGACAACCCCAGCAACCCATATTGATCTCTTCATCTCATCCTGTCTCTGCAGGAGATGATGAGCCCTCCAGTCCTCGGACATCTGACGCTCACTCTTCGGTCTCTGTCAGAAGCTTCAATGATAGGTCGCTTCCTGGACGTCGACGCCGGTGGTCGGTCATTATTAACCAGTCGAGTGAGTCAAATTTGGTCAATGAACAGCAACCTTCCACCGCCCCACCCATGAGAGAGCGTTTGCCAAACCTCTTAACGCGGTCCACATCTTTTCGTTCCAGTCGATCTACTTCAGGGATGAGACCATCTTCATCTCCCAATGATGCGTTATCTCTTCCTAGCCCCAATCCACCACCACCGATGCCCGATTCAGCCCCTTCTGTAATATCTTCCCACTCTTCTCGGACGTCCCGTTTCATTCCCAGAATATTTAGCAGCGCTTTTCATCATAGACGAACAGACGAGAGACCGTCGTCACCATCAGGGATTCCTGACGAGAGTTCCAAGCGGACCCTGGGAGCACCTCTCGTGGCCCAATCACCGCCTCCTAAATTGGAATACGTCAAACTTCCCGGAACTAAAGGTGCTTTATTGGTCAAGGCCGTAGAGACTGCCAAGAAAAGGTATGTTCAGCATGGTTGATATCTGTAAACTTCTCATTGTCTCGTAGTTTTTTGGCGATACTGTGCGGAGACAACGGCGAACGAGTTGAACTATTTGCTGGGACATATCGTACCGCTCTGGGTTTATCCAGAACCTTCATACTCCCCGATTCTCCCCGATCATTGGAACTGCAGCTACAGGGCGATGATTTGGTTGAGGTCTTCCTGGTTTTCTCCCAAAACGTTTTTGGGTTGGAGCCCGCAACCGTTCGGGTTCGAGAGGTTCGTATTGGGCGAGCAGAGCGGCGAGCGGCGAGGCGGCGAGCTCGTGAAGTACGAGCAACTGATGCAGGAGCCAATGAATCTGAACCTCACGTCGGAGAGGAAGATACCAATGTGAATGTCAGTATCGGCGTCTCGGTAGCTGTCGGTTCTACCGTCGTTGCCACGGGTTCTGGACCTGATGGTCAACAAACGCCTCCCCTGATCTCAAGCCAGCATCCCATGCATCCAATAGATAGACGAACGGCTTCTGAGTCGGCAACAGAACGGCCATCGACTCCACCTGAAACAACGACAACTTCAACTGTCGCACATCCTGAGGAAATCGTCGCTCTTGCCACTGCACAAATGGGTCCGTACACGACATTTCAGCAATTGTCGTTTGCTCCTAAGTTTCCCCTTGCATCCATCGCGGACGAATATGTCATTCCTCCGACGTATCCAGAATTCATCGACTATCGCAACGAGCATGAACCAGAAATGGGGAGTGGGTCCGACCTCTCACAAGTTCAATTCTCCCCTCCTGGTTTGCCAATTCCAACACCGTCTGCCCCGTCGAAATGGTATTACCGGGACCCGAAGAATATCATTCATGGTAAGCGTGCTACCTATTGAGTTACAGCGTCTGATGTCCCGTGAAGGACCATGGAAGGCTTCGTTAATGCAAGCATGGTATAAGGATGGTCTATTGCCTCCTGATTTACCAGTTCGTCGAGAAGAAGACTCCGATTTCATGCTCCTCAAGGACTTGAGATTACAGAGTGTTGATCCTACTCATCCATTCCGGACCGTCTCTCCACAAGTACAGGATATTTCGCCTCCTCCCTTATTCCAACCTTCTGATAAGCCTTTGCTGAAACCTATATCACTTCTTTCGCAACCTCGGCATTTTGGTCCTCCTGCACTCTTCTTTTCTTCACGCGGTGGACATAGCACCACAATCGTCGATAATCGCGGGCGATCTGTCTTGAAGGGGCGCTTTGTTTGGAGCAAGGATGCGCAGGAGGATTCAAAGCATGCGACGCCATTCAGAATGGGAGACGTGAAACGTCTGGAGGCTTTTGATGTCAAAGATCGTTCCGTACTCGTGGCCATGCGTCAAGGTGGGCTCGAAGCAGTCGATCTCAGTGATGCGTTGCTGAAACCAGGGGATGAGTCGCGAACGGCCTTACCCCAATATAACCCTTCGTCGTCCAATTTCAATCGGCGGGGACCTTTCGTTTGGAAAATTGGCACGCCCATTTCAGGATCTTCGTCTTCAGCGGTGCTCCCATCAAAACCTAAAATATCTCACTACAGCCATTACACATCCGGGAAGAAGACCAGTTCTGGTCCATCCAAGTCACCGGCTGGGCGAACGGAATTCAATGTTGGGCATATCGAGAGTGAAATGAACGATGAGGTTTTGTTTTTGGGTAGAAAGGATGATGAGATTTATATTTGCGAACGAAATGCGGGTTCTTTCCGAATCCTACGACTTTGTCCTAACGTCTAAATGGTAGTGGACATGCAGCACTCAGTATATTACTAGCATTTCATTTTGTATGATTATTTCCATCATTTTCTAAAGCAAAATGGTTTCTAATTTCGCATTTGGTAAAAACTAGCACGTGGTTGTGGTGAACGTAGTAACCCTAAGGTTGGTGCTGAGATAAACCTCAACCTTATTCTTGGGTTCAGTTGTACTATGGTGCATGTGTTTCCTTCTTTGCTCGGTTTTCAATACCCATCTCTTCATTTGACAGACCATATTTCAAGACAGCGACGGCACACCGCTGAAATTCTTCATTCAGAGTGACCTGCCAAAGGAGATTCAAGTAGAACTATGCGAAACCATTGCAGTAAGCCATTATCGAATTGTCACTTGAGGCAATACTCATCACCCAAAGATTTTGGGCGGCCGGGTCGAGACCAAAATACCTCGAGATGGTTTCATTTTGGTTTCGCCAGGCAGTTCAGAGGAAGATCGACTCCGCCTATGCTGGACCAATCCTGAACGACGTGGGCGCTTTTTCGTCCCGTATACATTCGTCGAAGCTTGCAAGATGGCAGGCATGCTTTTGAAACAGATATTCGTCGAGGACGGTACCCCAATGGCAATGCATATTCACCCTAGTGTTGCGAATATCAATGCTCGGACAACGCTTAGTGAGCGTATCGCAGTGAGTAGACAACATTCATCGATACGGCCCGGTTCGACGACTGTTGCTCTAGCACTCTGGGGGCAATCCAAATGCAGCAGCGCACTCTGCTCGCGTCATACTTGCAGATCCTAACACTGAAGCCTTTCAACATTTGATCAAAACCTACCAAGAGACGCCTGGCGTCTACGTTGAATCGTATTTGTGGGTCAAGAAGTGCATTGAAAGGGGAGTTGTTGCCTTTACCCCCGTGGTATTCAAAAACCCAGGTGGGAGACGTCCGGGCGAGGAGTATGCTTTCATCCACTCAATATTTCGTTGGCTTATTTTGTCACTTCTCAGACGAATGTCATTTACCGATAAAGATGAAGAACTGCTTGCTCATTGGATTGCCGCCAAAATCCCCTTTAAAGAAATTGGCGGACGGACTGGCAACCGACTGTATCAACAGTTATGTGAATTGGTACAAGTTCTTCATAGATGTCATTCGGTTTATTCACGATAGGATCACAGCATTCCGACCCCGAATATGCATGGGTCACCCGCCACACATGGCAGTCGTGGCGGGAGAGATATAAAAAGAACGCTGCCCGGTTCGATAACATGATTGCTGCCATCGTTGCCGAAACCAAGCCAACACCGGGAGAGAAAGGGCAGTTTGGGTATGTCCGTCGGCCAGAAAGGAGGAAACGCGCGAGAAAGGGTGTACCCAAAGATGAAGAGTTCGATGAAGAGATGACTGAGCTTCATGCTGAAAGACCACTCAGTAGTAAAATGGGGACGATACCTGATAACCAGCCAATCGCCGGGCCTTCTAACATTGGTTTTCCGCAACTTACCTCCACCATGGATGCCCAAGGAGGACCTGCGGCAATGTCGGCAGCACGGGGTGGTCCTATTGAAGAGGAACTTGACGAAACTGAGGGTGATTGGGCCGTTCGAGTTGGGAATGCACCACCTCCGGGTTGGGCCAAACGTCGAGCCTCTAATGACCTTCACGATGGACAGCATCTGAAGAAACAGAGACAAGAGTGGGTGCGTTGTGTTGGTTGTTTCATTTTGGTATTCATTTTCCCGTTTAGTGAGCCACCTGCAGCAGAGCAAGGTTCTATACCACATCAAACTGTTGTTAAAATTGCCAATATGCATGTCATCGATTCAAATATCCGGGATATAGCGAAGGAATACAGGTTTACCATTGAAGAGGTGCAGGAATATTATGATAAGTGTGGGGAGATGAGCCATACACATTTGCGGTTCCAGAAGATGCGTGAAATGTTGACAAACAATTTTCCGGACGACAACATACCTCCTTCACAATAATAACATTCCTAGGCGTAGCAATGACGCAGTCCTGGTTATGATTATATACTGAACTGCCAGTAGAAGACTAGTCTCTACGAGTGTACGCAACATTAAATTACATTGAAAACTTATTATCTGCGGCTCGCACTGGTGCAGAGGGGCTATTGAACAATTTTTGCTTCCTAGAAGTGATAATAGAACTTGTAGCCGACACCTTCGAGAAATATTAAATGAAAAACTTACTTTTCACCAGCAGCTGCTGATGGAAATGAACCAAAAAGGTCGGGATGTTTTGGCAGTGGTGATTCTCTGAAAGGCGACGATTCAACAAGGGATCTTGTTTGAAGACGGACAGACATACTTGAAGTAAGGATGATCAAGCGCCTCTGAAGCTGTTATTCTTCGTTCAGGATCATAGAATAAGAGAGACATTAGTAGATCAAGGCCGGCCGAGGTCAGATACTGAAATTTCTGTCGAAACTGTGGTGGCTGAGGGGAAGGCAGGTTGATTGTCTTGGCCAAAGGGAGAGAAAAATACTCGGGCCAGGAGTTATGAGTGGGTGGTCCAAGAAGTTTAAATATCATCGAAAGAAGTTCCATTTCTGATTTCGCTTGGAACAAGGGTTCTTTGAGCAGGAGCTCAGCAAAAATGCATCCTACAGACCACAGGTCCACAGCAGTGGAATACGACATTGCACCGAGAAGAATTTCAGGAGCGCTATGACAATAATTGCATCCGGAATACTATGAGTGATATAAGGACACACCGGTACCAAAGAGTGACCACTAGCTGTGTCATTCCACCAACGCCGACAGGGTCACCGTACCGCCGTGCCAAACCGAAGTCGGCCACTTTGATTGTTCCCCGATTGTTCATGAGAAGATTACTTGTTTTTAGGTCGCGGTGAAGGATCCAATTCGAATGGCAATGATCCACAGCAGATAGCAACTGAAGCATAAGCGTTTTGATCTCGGATTGGAGAAAGGGTGCAGGCATCAAGGTGAGAAGGGATTTCAAGTCATGTTCGATGAAGTCCATGACAACAAAAACTCTGGTATGCTCGAATAAGCGCATGCAATGTGGGACAAGCGCAGAAACACGTACTGGGTCAATGTGTCTCCGACGACGACTTCGCGAACGCGGACAACATTTTCGTGATGACAAGCCATCAATGCATTGACTTCTCTGAGAGCTGTTATAGGAAATCCATTCTTTTCCTCATCTAGCTTCAGTTTCTTCAATGCGACGATGTCCCCAGTTTGCTTGTCTCTGGCCCGAAACACGACTCCATATGATCCCTCCTCTATTTGATTGAGGCGCTCGTAGCAATATACGGACCTTGATGGAAGTATAGAAGGATGTTGAGTTCGTGGAGGAACATAGACGCAGTGTGATGGTCTCGTCGGATGAGCGATCGCGATGGACGGGCTTGGTGACGGTCGGGGAACCAGCCTGGCCTTTACGCGACGCTTTGACCGTGGATGTGACTGAAAGTCTTCAGCAGCATCATCGCCTTCGTCGTTCCACTTGGATCGTTTCCTAGACGGCGTCAAGTTGCCAGCCGACATCAGAGTGGAGAGTAACCAAGTTTGGATATACACGATTGATTTCATATTTCTAACTCACGAAAAAGAAAAACAATATATATGAAGGTCTAATTGGCACGAACTTTTTCATCCAGACATTTCAACAAACCAAACCGAGACTCCCCAACCGGCCACGTCTCGGGTCTACACTTTGTAAAGAAAGGTTGCACACAAACCCGCCCGATAGACACAAACAAATCCTCAAGTATCCATGACAGTCGGGGACCCGTCAACTCGATTGCGGGTTCCGAGTTGATCTCGAGTAACTGAATCTGGAAAGCAAATTCAGATAATGGCTGATGAGTGACCAAGAAGTCGACTCCGAAAAGCTCAAAGGCGTTCGGTAAGGCCTTGTAGAGTCATTAGTGAGGGTAATGAATATGGATGGGTCCAGCACACTGACCTGGAAATGAACAGGATTCTGAAGTCCAGCTTTGAACGTCTCAGCTAGAACCGAGCTTATTTGCCTGGTCAAGTCAGCTACATGTGACTCAGATAGCTGAATGTTGGTTTCATCAACTCCAGACTGAATATGACATCCGATGAGTTCATCGAGCAGTCGCACGCTCTCCTCGCCGCGATGGGTTTGAAGCGAGGTATTCGTAAGGTGAGGCGTTAAATCAACTGACCCGTTCTCCCCTCGTTCGGGTGGTGCGTAAGGAACTGCGGAGAATAAGGCCAAGATTCGCTTGCAAACGTAGAGTTGTAGAGCTCCTGACGCAACGCAATATACCCTGAGATGAAACTGTTAAAGGAATGGCCATCACCACGTCGTCCTCGTCTAAAGGTAGTAGCTGACTTTGTGGCCTTGCAGTTCCTTCGGTATAAACAAACCGTCTATTGAGACCTGCGCTGGGTCAATCAACAATGGATTGGGGAGATATTCCTTATATTATATTATTAGTATGCAAGATGCATACATACAAGAACTCACCTGTATAACAAAGTGACGAAGTTGAGATGTAGCAACTGCTGTGTCATCATCCTCGTCCGAAGATTGTTCACCCTCAAAACTTTCGAAGATCTGCAGCAGCGAGCTTTTGCTATTGAAAAGTCTGATTCCATTTCCGCGATCCGCCATACCGCTGAATACCATTTTAGACTTGTATGTCACGACCGGAGGGAAGGGTACTAACGGTTTCAAAATCCACCATCTGCACGGGTCGATGTCAAGGATACTACTGAGATCCCAGAGATCATCAGCTAAAATCTCGTCCAGCTCGTCAGCAAAGGATATTTCGAGCTCAAAAGTCTTTGGTACTGCACGCCCGAGGATGGAGCTTGGATTTTTTGTAAGATAAGAGTGAATGGTGCATGACAAGAAGTGTTTTCGCGTCAGAGCCTTTCGAAATGTGTAGGCAGAGGACAGGACGTCGCTATGATGGTCATGAGAATATGTGAGCTCGTGGTCGATTTCGTCGTATGTCGCCCATTGCAACACGCCATTTTTTGTAGAATTGGGTAAATGCTGCACAATGACTGGTGAAGGGTCGAGAGACGATAACGACTTCCGTACCAGCGACGCAGTCAAGGGAGCACTGGGCCAGGAAATGAAGGCGGTAAAGGTATCCATCTACCAGGCTGAGGTTGTTTGCTCGTGCGTCGCGTCTGATATTGATCGTCCCTTCGACGTCCCTTTCACCTCGTCGACCGCCAGCTGGCATGGGCAGCAACTATGTCTTCTCCCTGCAGCCCACTTTTACTCAGGGATTGATATTTGGCCAACTGTCTATCCTGGTCCTCTTCGCTCTCATCCTAAAGTACCTCTTTCTCGATTCGACAGAATACCCATTCGAAACATCGTCTTATCATCCACGGGTCAACAGTGATATCGCACTCAGAGGCCACAAAATAAAGTCTTACAACACAACGGAACAAGCTCAGAACCAACAAGACGAGTCGGCAGAATGGTTCAACATTTTGTTGCAACAAGTTACGTCCCATCCTTTTGTCTCACGACCAGTTCTGTGACGTTTGCCTCAGGTCGTAGAAGTCTACCGCTCCAAAATTAAGAACGATCTTACCGGCGCAGAAGGCGATGAGGTTGCCAGAAAGCGTGTCGAAGACTACGCGAATAGAATACGGCCCGTCGGGTTTTTGGTGAGTATGTTAGCTTGATGATTGCATCCATGGCTAACTACCCAATACCGTAGGACTATATAAAGGTCCACTCTGTTGACCTTGGGACTTCCGCGCCTCACCTTTACAACGGAAGACGAACGTCGACGAGCACCTCGGCAGTGAGTTCCTAATGATACCATATCAACGGCTTCTCAATAAGCTGTAGGAAACTGAATTCGACGTTACCTATGAGGATTCTATATCAGTAACATTATCCACATCATATCTGTTCAACTACCCCATGACTTCATTCGCTCGTCTTCCTGTATTCCTGACGATATCCCTATCAATTTTCAAATCATCCGTGAGGTTTCGGTCCCGAATCATGTGAAATATCAGCTGAATTTCCGGTTAGCTAACTATCACACCTCCTTTGCCCACTTCGCCGGTTCCCGAGTTGCTCATCTCATTTTCTCCGAATTTTACGCTGGATCTTACTACCACATCACTGATGGGTAGCCGGGCAAAATTGGCCAACGTTCCCAAACTGCATGAACTCATACAACATCAGGTCCGTCGAGTCTTTGCTTCACGTGCGAAATGGCCCGTTGCTCTGCCGGGCTTGGGGCGTTTAGCAGAACCCATTGTGAAAGAGATAAAGAAAGAGATGGCTGAGGTGATGAAACCTTGACTTAATGGTGGTAAGTCAAGTTCAAAAACTAGCTTGATGGACCTTGTGGAAGGATGTCCAATTGTAGATGCATTTGTATCCTATTGTAACGTTTAAATAAATGACATGTATCGAACCAGTGATGACCATGCCGTGACGTAACACGTGTTGCTTGCTTGCTCTAATCCACTATGGCCTCTGTAGCGTCCAATGTCGTCTTCGATGATATTTTCACCATAAGCTCCATCGACAAGGAGGGAAAAAAGTTTGACAGAGGTCAGATGCTGCAGCTGCCCCGTCCTGCACTCGTTCACGCGCATTTACAGTGTCGCGTCTTCAGGCTCACTCCAAGAACTACGATATGGACATGACTCTCGATTACAACACCGAGCTCTTTCCCCTCGAGACGGGCCAGCATTTTGCTCTCGCCCTGGCTTCGTCACTTGCCCGCGGAGGGCAGAGAACCAACACGACTGATGGTGCAGCAGACGAAGAAGAGCATATTTGGCGACCTGACGGCAAAGGCCAGAGGGGATTGGAGGAAGACTACGACTACGTGATGTATGGAAAGGTCGGTTCTGCTTATTCCTCGCGCATTCTTCATCTCATTCTCCATACAGGTGTATAAATTTGACGGCGGAACGGCTGAAATTGTGTAGGCAATCGTTTTGCTGCATAATTTATTTGACTTGACTGTCTTTCAGAACGGCGTACGCTTCATTCGGGGGCCTCTTGATGTCGTTAACGGGCTCGTTTAGACATATGACGAGCATTGTTCTTGGAGATCCCATCTATCTCTTGATGCGACGGTAGTGATGCATGTAAAAAGTAGTAGTACACATGAAGCTAATGCCATCAGCTAATATACAACGAAAGCAAAAATGATATACAGCATGTGAACGGACGGTCGAATATTACGATTAAAAGAAATGTGAGGTCAAGATAAACCTCTCAATTCACGCTGCCTTTAGGTAACGCAATTTATCGATGACATCTGCCATGTCTGCCTCACGGGTAGTGTGTCCGCCATCGAAACCCCAAAATCTACGACCAGTTATCTGTACATCGACTTGTACGTCGGGCGTAGACCGCTCTTCTATCGGAGGAGCTGTTGTTGGTACAGACGAGGACATGTCCTGGTAGGCAACGCCGAAAAAGCGAGATAATTTAGCGGCGCGACGCCTGCGCTCCCGGAAGGCGGAAGTGAATGTGAAATCGTCGACGTCAGATAAGTCAGAGACAACATTGTCAGAGAGGTCCTTGGAATGAGGCGGCATTCGCTCATCCTCAGGACTTGGAGAAGGGCCGGCCATCAGAGAAGGTGTGGGAGGTACGAGGCTGTGTGTAGAAACGTTAGAAGAGAAAGAGTGTCGTCTGGATAGAGGCTGGGCATCATCTATAAGTATTAATTCTGAAGGCGGGTCCTGCCCAAAAACCTGTCATTCACAATGTCAGCAAAGTCATGCAATATTATAAAGGTGACTTTACATACCTGCGCCATCTTTCTGGCACGCTTGACGTTGAGTAACCTCTGCCGTGGTGATATCTCACCCTCCTCCCCAAAATTGCGATTATACCGCTGGTGAAAATCAAGCGACTCTTCAGAGCCACCTGCACGCCCTTGCTTGTGTGAGAACAAGGAGCGGGACCTCTTTAAATCCTTGGCTTTGGAATCGTCTACTTGACGACCCGAACCCGCTGTGAAATCAAAGCTGCGCATTCTAGCAGCTTTACGCTGAACTAGGCGCCCTGTACGCCCATGCCGTGGAATGGGAGGGACGGGAGGCTGCTGACCAGTCGTTATGTCCTTGGACCGCCCAGTGACTGCGTGAGCAGCAGCCGTAGACGCCAGGGAGGACACGGAATTACTGGGCATTGTGGGAGGGTAGGTCTCCGTCTGAAAGGACGGAGATGGGCTGTCAAGCAACATATCCTGCTGCGGTGCAAGCGTCCATCCCTGTGCAGTTTCGTTAATCTGGGGGAGGGCAGGAACCTCCGCTTGCCTCAAATCAGGCTGAGAGGTGTATCTCTTGCTTGCCTTGGGGCTACCCAGTGAGGAGGAAGCGGAAGAGGCGGAGCGCTTGTGACGAAACAGCCTGGGGGGAGCCATCGCCTGGTCTGAAGATGATACTTGGCCAAAAACCCTGCTCAGCTTTCTCGCCGTCTTGAGAAGCGTCGCCTTGTCATTTGATCCATCCAGTTCGCTTGTGGTCAGTGGGACAGGCCCGTTGGATTGGGGTCCATTGGCATTCATACAAACGGAAGCAGAAGAACGAGCCAGGTACGATGAAACCAGGAAAGACGAGTAAAATGAAACAGTCGGATGGGGCCGAGGTAGACCACTAGTGTCGCCCCTTACGCGCTGGAAGCTGGAGTAGGAATGAGAATCGTTTGTTTACGACCTGCCCCGGGCCCATGACCACCACTCACAGATGGTTGCCATCTGAATGGGGAGTTTGAAATGCCTGGTTGCCAGGTGCCAGATCGCTCCAGAGAAGGGATCACGACTGGAGAGGAGCTACTTTGTCGAGACAGTCCACATTTCAGACCAAGAGATGCAAGGAGGGGGGGAAAAGTACAGGGATATCCTGGAAATCCTGTAGGAGAAAAAAGTATAGTTCCCATAGTCCCATCAGCAATTTTTTCGTGCCATGTACAACACTGTCTGAGCAATCTCGCGCAGCTTCCAGATATATCGGGCCGCTGCGAGTTTCAGAAACTGAATGGTAACCAAGTACATATAAGTAATATTTCACACATTATCTTACAATATTTTATTTAAATAAATAATGTACGTAATAAACACAATAAATTCATCCGCAATAATTTCAATCCCTACTGGTAGCCATGCCTCTCTCGTATCTCAACACAATGGTAGAAGGGAGACGGACCAGCGATACACGCTGAGCGCACCTAGTTTTGTCCCACTCCTCTGCTTCCTCCACGGCGGTATAATACTTTTCATGTGTACGTATTTCGTCACTAACACGGGACGACGACGGTCCCTCGTTCCTTGGTACTGAAGAGGTCGAGGTATTGACTTCGGGGAAAGGGTATGAGAGCCATTCTGAGGCAGATGCCTTGGGGGATTCGTACACTTGAGAGGAGCTCAGAAAATTCGATGAGGCTAAATCATCAGATGATGGCCATTCCGGACCAAAATCTAATGCAGAATGGAACGATTCGCAGGTCGATTCAGGTCGATGAGTTGATGACGCGCGCCTGGATATAGACTCTGGAGATTGCGTTTGGTCCTTCGAGTCATGGAATGATACTGTCATTGTGGGAATCGTACTTTCACGTGGTTGTTGGCTTTGAAGCATCTCTGCAGCAGCTTTCAACGCAATTTGCTTGGTCCGATTCCATTCGCGACCCTCCGCCGCAAGATCCCGAGAAAGAACCGCACGGTGGCAGGCCAACTTGGTGAAATACAAACGTTCCTGCATAATGCGTTTCGAAATGCCCTGGATGGCCAGGAGAAGGCGATAACGGGTATGTCGCTGGAATGGGGTGAGGGTGGCAATATTGCGAACGAAACGAAGATCAGAGTCCAGTTGTGATTGGGAAGCAGAGATCCTAGAGTCTAAATCACGTATCTTCGACAAAATGACATTGGAACGTGAAGGAAGACCTGAGATATCACTCCGTGCAGAATCCGATGGAGTGATTGCAGTCTGACTTAAGTCCGGCTCGTCAGCGCGTACTAGATTATGACTCCATCGGCCAGCAGAAAGATCAGCTTTCACCTGATCAAAGGTGGCCTTGAACTGATCAGCTCCTTCAACTTCAGGGGCCACAGGAACATTCTGCTCTACGACATCGTGATCGTCCATCAACGTTACCTTCCGCTGCATAGAAGGTGTCATCGTTGGAAAATCTGGTTCAACAGAAAGAGAACTTGATGGCTCGTGGGATCCGCGGCCACCCCACTTCCGTACTACAGGCGTAGCTTGATTTGTGTGTCGCAAATCATGTAGATGTGAAGTAGCTGCTGCTACACCGGTCAGCTTCACATCTCCGCCTGACATCCCCATCGGTCTTATGCGGACGCCAGCAGATTTGAAGGAGCTGGCATAGTTTATGCGGGATACCCATTCGTTGAGATCTTTGTCATTCGAAGCTTGGAGTAGGAATTGGCGACCGTCGTGCATGACAAAACGGAAAACATCGCGGTGCTAGCAGTGATGTGAGATACAGATCAACGAGAGCTGAGTAAAGCATTACTTTGGTATAGAATTCGTCCCAAACGGCAATGCAATCCTTGACGGAGATAGACTCATCGGGGTTAAAGACAGTTGCTTGGGGATAGATGACTTGGCCGCCAGATGACGAATCGGAACTACAACCTAGGGTATTTGCCCAAGTCAAATCACGGAAAAAGAGGAGCTGTGAACCCGTCAAGACAACGCTCATCGGTCTCCATTTCCGATGTGTTGATTTTTTTCCGCCTTCAAGTGTATCGTCTTTCCTGGAGAGTACACCTGCTTTAGTCACTCGGAGAGTACACATCTCTCCTGAAGGAGACGAGGAATCCGGTAGGCCGCCGAGAGGTCCAATTAATGGACTAGGTGGACTACCCATACCGAAAAATGGGGCGGTTAGGCGGCCATCGTAGCCAATTTCGACGGCAGTTGCATTAGCAAATACTGACTGCAATTCGTCGTCATCCCAGCGACCATTTGTTCCTTCCCACGAGTACGGATGAGAGGCAGGTATGTATCTTTCAACATCGACACGGAGGGCATCGAGAAGGTTCTACGATAGGAAAGTGTGAGTTGGAAATTTTCGTGGTAACATACGTCTTACATTAGATATCAGGTAATAAGGATCGACCTTGTTTCCCTTCCCTAGAAAGCCAGATCCCGAGCCATTGGAAGCAGTGCCCGACACAGACGGGGTGATCCTGGATCCCCCTGAAACGAACCCTCGTTGCCCGTTGATATCTAAAGGATCTTCTACAAAGATGAATGGCGCAAACACAATGTTGTCATAAAAACACTGCTATACGTGCTGAGATATGCTTGAATAAGATAACACAACGTGACTCACGTCCAAGACTTCAGAAGATACACCCGGCAATCTGGTATTTTTAATGTAATCGGCCTTTGTCATTTTGCGTTTGTTCGATTTGTTAAAAGCATCGGTATGAAGCATAATCAAACTGAACGCTAAAATATATGGATGATCTGGATAGCGTTAAGAACATTTAATGACGAATGACAGTTACAACTACCTTCGGACGTAAACAGATTCGGATGACAGCTAACATATTGGTGTGCAAAAGCCTCCATGACGCGATCAATTTGTTGAGTCTCTCGCGGAAGGCCTACGTCCATTAGTAGCCTCCGGAGCGCAACATCTAAGGGGTCCTTTGCGAAGTCAAACCTGCTGATATAGGCACGAAGCGCCTGTACGTGGAAAATGTCTGCACTGAGGATATTTAGTCAATTCCGCGGTGGGAGCTGCAGACTAAACACACCTTGATGCGAGAACCCCTGCCACTTCTGCTTTGCTGACAACCGCACAGAGTCGATCCAGATAGACTTCGGGCGATTCGTCATCCACACGAGGTCTAGGGATGTCGACAATTTTTTGAAGAGAAGGACGAGGGGAATTATTGTTGCTAATGACAGGCGACGAGCTTGACGACGATGTAGATGCCAAATGACTTGAAACCAAAGTGAAAGGGGAGGAAGGTTGAAGAGAAGGGCCAGAGGATGAAAACAGTAAAGATAACGATAACCTATGAAGTAATGGAGGGTTGGTTTGAGCGCGCGGTCTACGGCTTTGATATTGCGATTCCGGAGGCTCAAGGTCATGTCGCTGGGGTAAAGGAGGGGGTGGAGAGGTATTGGACAGAGGTGATGATGTAAAATGAGAGGAATCAGTAAACAATGAACCGACTAGGGAAGTATTTAATGGATCTGCGGTTGCTGGGCGGCGTGTACGTCGACGGGCTTTTGAAGGCGCCAGAGCTGAGGTTGGGGGTGACTGTTCGGGCAATGTGAGACGACTGTTTGAAAGACGTTCAGAATGGCTCCTGGATAAGCCTCGGGTATGGGGGGTATGCTGATTGGCGGACTGGCGATCTGAAGCAGCTGAATGAGAAGCATCCATATTCATGAAAAAAGGCGAACCAGGTTGGACGGATGGCAGAGGTGTATACAGATTATTAGAATTGGGTGAAAACTTGGGCGGAGTGGGAAGGTCGGATGCCGGCGTCTTTTTGCGCGTCCAAAATGACGCCCGACGAGACAAAGTCTTTGGAGGAAGATCTTCGTTTCCTTCTTTCACTTTCGCCTTCCCTTTGGAATCTGACATACCAAAGCTAAGGAATGTCGATGCATTCAAAGACAGCCCTCTAGTCCTCCGACGTTCCCTGTTGGTGCCATCACGCGTATCTGACGCGGATCTCAGCTTCTGAGAACTTTTCCATTGACGGAGTGCTGGCCTGCTTGCAGGAAATGGCGAGGTAGCAAATGCAACGGTGTTCACTTCGGAAAAGGGTGATGAAGGTGATGACCGGGTAAGGACATGTGGCAGGCCGACGCCTAATGAAGCGTGTGCCAACGCTGCAGTTGAAGATTGCGATACGGGTAGAGCTTCAGGACAGGGTCTTCCATCAGAAGCAGGGAATAAGGACGGAAGCATACTCTCCGCCATAATCTCCTCCACCGAGTCTGGTCGCGACGACGGGCCTGACGGTGAATCATCTTCGTCCGTAGGCGTTGGAGGGAGGTCCTTTTCAACTCGCAGAGGTACCCATTGAGAAGCAGTAGGACGGCCTGCTGCAACGGGAGCGACGTGTTTTCTCCACAGAGGGGAGATGAGATGAGTAGTGGTCTGAGTAGTGGTGGTGGTGACCACCTCCGTTGTCATCGTCGTCGTCGTTTCATCCGAATAAACGACAGAGTGAGTTGTCGATTCCTCGTATGGAGGCGGTGACTGGTGCTGGGTAGAAGGAGACACGTCTGCCGCTCGTCGGTTCTTAGCGAAGGAAGATATTCGTGGAACCATGAAGGAAATTGACGTGAAGGCGTATTCAGTTGAGAATGGGTACGGAGAAAGCCATTCGTTGTAAACAAGGGCTGCTCAGTAAAGACCGCTGCCCAAATGCAGCTCAATCCTCTGCGGCCTGGATATCGGCGTTTCACTGCGTTATAGTGGGAGAAAAGGGCCCAATAACCGAACGGATACAATCCCAGAATAAGACAATTGGAAATTTTAGGGCCGTGCCTTGTGCATTTCAATCAACTCTCAGGTTTGTAAATTTAAATCTACAAAAGTACAGAGCACCGGACAAAATCACTACTAGAACACATCTACTACATCTGTTCATGGCTTACTTTGCTTTCGCTTTTCCTTTTCTATTCTCTTCTTTTTTGTTTCCAGAGTGGACCGCTGCAACGCAACTTAGTATGTGCCCGACAGCGAGAACATTACATACCTCCAGGGCCTTCTTCTGTTCGCCGTACTTCATCTTCTCATAGAGCTTTTTCTGTCGGTTACTCATCATCATCTTGTTCATGTCAGATTCATCGTCGGTGTCATTCGTCGTCTTCATCTTTTTCCGCGATTTCTCCACCTCCTTATCGAACGCACCTGGATCCACACCCGCAACTTCAGCAGCCAATTCAGCAGCCCGCAAAGCAGATCCATCTTCAGCTGCTGCCGCCGCGACAGCTTCCAGCGCTCGTTTGTCGGACCGTTCTTCCGGAGATTCCTCGGCATCGTCGACTTCAATGTGATCCTCCACTTCGCTTTCTTCCTCGGCAACTTCCTGTGCCCCAATTCCTACTGCAGGATTATAGGCACCCTCATACTCTCCGAAGGGGCTGAGATGTGGTGGGAGAGTCTTTCCCTGTGCGTACGGCTCCTCCAGTAGAATGTTTCCTGCATTAATACAGTCGACAACCCATTGAGGTTGTACGTACTTTCTCCGAAGCCGTCTTTGCCGTTCTTCGGGCGTTTCATCTGTTCGTTCAACCACCGGCCTGTCGATGATGACGTGTGTGATGGAATCATCGGAGGAAGAAAAAGGCGATCCGTCTCCACAAGAGGACTCCCATCCAATTCGTCCACCAAACGACCGTACGAGGAATTCAAATATGGGTCTTGAAGTCTCCCGAGATAGGAAAAATGTATATGGCGCGAAAAGAGAGGGTGTCGAAGACTGAGGGAGAGCCTCTAATGATTTCAAAGTTTGTAGGGACGACGCAGAAAGTGTATCCGAAGCGGAAACATGAGGTATGAAGTCTTCATCAGCTTCCTGAGCCTCCCCTTCGGGACTTGGCATATTCACATCAACTCCTTCAATCCCAGAACCACCTGTAGTCATGCTCTTGATGGTTTGCCGGACGTCCTTGGTTGAGACTTTACGACCATCGACGTCCACTACTTTGAGACTCGGCCGTGCCGATGCACCACCATTCTGAACTATTTCCTGGAGGCTGAAGGCACCCACTCCGGCGCCTCCATCATATTTCTTCATGTCCAGTGGCGGAGGATATACGAGTCCAGCATCCGTATAAAGCTTGAAGAAGACAAATCCAAGAAGAGTCTGATAAAGCTCCAGGAATGTCAGCATAACGCGTACATCCACGTCGGTGGGAATCTGTCAAAGACAGTTGAAATAAGAGTTTCTCAAGAAAGAGGAACGAGCCAAACATTTTGGGTGAACTGATACGGAACCAACCAGGTCACCGTCTGGTCCATGACTTCCGCCTGGTAGTAGATACCCTTTATTGATAAAAAGGCCTTTCGTAGTGACTTAGAGCGCATGGTGTAGAGTTGCCATTCAGCTGACAAACGAGAGCAGTTTTCTATGAGAGACGGCGGTATGCGAGGATTGGAGGGCAGAGTTGCAAATAAAGAAATCATGCACAGGGCATCATCAATGTCCCTCAAAGCATCGATGAATGAGGGATACCTGAGCAGACATCGTGATTAGTTCAATAGTATTGACGAAGGAACACGCACCTTTCCTTGATGATATGGTCCAGCCGATACACCGGCCTATTCTCTTCCAGACTTTTCGCGTCACTCCATTCCCCTCTACCAAGTGCACGAGACAGCTTTTTGGCAAAAGCCTTGTGCTCCCGCAATTTCTTCAGAACAGGTTCATGCGCCAGGAAGGCTATGTCCTTCGCATAATAGAATGTGGTCGGGGCAGAGGAACCTTTGTTAGCGCGTTTTTTACTACGAGGTTCGCGAGGAAATATCCCTTCAAAGTAAAAGGACATTATGACCAGTGAAAAGAGCAGGAGCTCAACTTACCTTTTAGTATACATAATCGTCGGAAATCAGCCAGCGAGCATTGAAGACGCTTGACCGCGGACGAGCGAGTTACGTAGGCTTTCGCTGCGCCAGCTTTGCCCTTTTGCCTCAAACGACCCATTTTCGGTTGAGATGAAGGTCGAGTGAAAAAATGCAACTTCCCAAAATGGACGAACAGCGAACACGCTCTGAAAATAAACAACCAAACTTCCTTCCCACCAACTCCGACCTCGAACACAATGAGGTGAGTCGAATTCCCTCCCTTCGAGTTGTCTCATTTTTCCTTCGCAGCCAATACGTCCATGTTCCAAAATCCGAATTGGACGAGGTGCAACTTCGTCAGCTCGAGGAGCACGAAATATCGCAGGGCCCGCTGTCAGTTCTCCAGCAAGCTGTCCGAAACCATGCGCAAGTTCTCATATCCCTACGGAACGACAAAAAGCTTCTCGCTCGAGTAAAGGCCTTTGATCGGCATAGCAATATGGTGCGTCTTTATTTACCACTGCTCTTCAAAGGCCTCAATACCTTTCTTTCAGGTACTGGAAAATGTTAAAGAGGTATGTTCTGTTGTTGGTTTTAGCAGCCAATCACAGCCGATTGTCTCTCAATAGATGTGGACAGAAATTCCGAAAGGAAAGAACAAAAAGCCTGTAAACAAAGATAGGTTCATTAGTAAGATGTTCTTGCGGTGAGTGTCGCCTTCTACTTCATAAAATTTGCGATGATTCATACATCTACTGCAGCGGTGATTCCGTTATTCTGAGTACTTTTTTTCGCGTTTCTAAGTAACACTGAGCTAACATATTGTCACTAGTTCTGCGTAATCAAGCATAGGAGATGGATGGTGGCTATTTCGTACCGTGTGGATGTTTTGTATGATATATTTTCTCATGTGAATCCGTTAATGCGACTTGGCATTCACCTTGACTGGTATCAGTACCCTCTGTTCCTCAGATCTTCCCTCACCCTTTCTTCGATTTCTCTGATGGATTCGAAAATCGAACCCAGGGCAACCAACCCAAAACTCTGAGCCCCAAATGACTTCTGTTCCGTCAGTGAAAGCTCCCAAGCTAGCCATCCCCTTTGCAAAGCCTCTTCGAGAGGTACATCTTCGTCTCCTCCCAGCTCTTCTCGGACGCCACGTACCAAAACGTCCGTTTGCTCACGGAGTTTGGCAGTGAGGGCTTTTCTTTTGCGAGGTTGTGATGTCTTCTGAGTGATAGTGCCAATAACAACCTCTTCCTCCGACAGGTTCGCACCACGATGCGAAAGACTGTAGCTCGTGCAGATGCCGTGAAGCTCTGCTTGGTAGCGACGAAAGATCCTGACTAGATACTCCAGCTCTTCTAGAGATCCCCCCGTGGTCTCAATAAATTGTGAAACACGCTCTCCGATTTCTGCAAGAACAGCATCATCCTCAAAATCAAGATTCGAGAGAGCGTCAGAAATTTCATCTAAATCTTGGTGCCCTGTATCTGTATTTCCGCTTCCTCTTGTACGGCGCCTGCGATTTGGCGCGGTTTCAATGGCAGGAAGTTCTATCGCACGAAACAGCCGGCCAATGGCTCGTGAGCTGTGATAGTAGTTGGTAGAGGAAGGCCCGACGGTCTCGGGCGCGTTCCAGTCAGGTTTGGCGCGGAATTTCAGCTTGGGTATAGCACCAAGGGCAACGGGTTGACCTGATTTTGGATAGTCGACGGCATCGCTATGTAAAGCAGACAGCTTTATGCAATCTGGATCAAGAACTCCTCGAGGGCTCTGGTCTGCAATTATAAGCCAGTTGATTGCAATGATACCAAGGACCTGAAACGTTCGTCAGTTTTTGCTAGAAACTGTCACTGAACGAAAGCACACATCACTGTTGATGTACTCCATCACAAATTCCGCAACGTCCGCCATTGTACTAGGACGGTCGAGCGAGCGTTTGGGGGCCGGATCGTATTGCGCGGGATCGTAATTTTTGGTGGGGTAGAACCTTGGCATAGAATTCAAAGGAATAAGATTGTATAAATCTCCATCTAGATCCCCTCCACCCAGCATACTCGGAAGAGGTCGTGCACCTGTAAATGAATCGTCAAATAACTTGGATAGAGGAAAACGGCACTCACCCGACGTTGAGAAAACAACAGTGTTAGGAAGGGGTTCTGCAGCAAATGGCGAACCCTCTGGGGGTCCTCCGATGGCATGTACCACTCTTACGTCCCCAGGATGAATCGTGGGGGAGCGGGATATAAGCACAGGGCCTTCAAGGTATATCCTTTTCGCGGAATCCTGTGACTTGATGCACGCAAAGATCTCTCCCTCCTTCAAAGCTTGATGGATGTCCGCAACACCTACGAGTGTCCAGGCGCCGGGTATGGGAATTCGAGCATGATTTCTAAGAAGACGAAGGACATCATGCATAGCCACCGTTATCATCTTTTGATAGAATTCGCTGTTGAACATGTTGTCGACGCCGAGTTTATGAAGACCGAGGAGTACCGAAGTGAGTCGGTACGAGCTGCCAAGACCAAAACTTTCCAGCATGCGCGCGGCCTTCTCTAAGGTTTCCCTAGCTTCATGAACCTCCCGAACAGCTTTGTCTTGATACTCTTTGAAAACTTCGTAAGGAACGCCCAGATCCTCCAAAAGCATGATCAAGGGCCTATTTAAATAGTATAGACCAGGCTTATCGAAGGCCCTCGCGATTTCGACGTTCCGAGACTCGGTCCCTTCAAATTTTATCATCGAGGGGCGCAAACAGACTGTTTTCCCTTGGAGTTTGTAGTCAACTGACAGCATTCCTTTTGATCCCATAAATCGTACTTGAAAAGCACGCGGCTGTGATTTGTTCTTCCGTCTTCGCTGCTTCAGTGATTTCAAATCCGACCAAATGTCACGCGCCATCTCCAAGGAAAGTGTACCGACACCATCCGTGAAACAGTATCTATCGTTTTCAATATCAGGAATTCGGATGATTTCCTCGATCTCGGTTACCGTCGCATCGGTAGCAGTGAAGGCTTGTGATAATCTGGCCGCATACCGTGCCGGACAACGCACTAGTTCCCCATCAAACGTTCCGAGACTGTTGATGATGGTGGTGGCGTCTATTGGAACACCCTTTTCTTTGAAATGTTTAACGAACCTAGAGAGACCATGAGGTTGAGACAGTGTATGCATAGCTGCACGTACCAGACAGAGTGCTCTTTGAGCGCTGACTGTGAGTACGCAAGAAAGGTGAACCGCCGGTGTGCAATGTGCAGACCATCCAGGAGAAAGGTGCCCACTCTGAGACGAATGAGAGCGGGGCCATCCACTTCCCTGTCAAATCTATATTGAAGCCGATCTTCTTCTGCAAAACTGACACGCAAAAAAGATTCGTGGTTTGCTATGCTATAGGTGCGAATAACACGATTAGAGCGTTCTGGATAAGGACCTTCTAAGATCATCCTGGTTGGAGTAATGATGATATGGAGTGATTCAAAGAGACTTCCGTCGGTAGGCTTCAAAGACGGAGCTTTGGCCTGTGCTTTGTACTCCTGCTCCGCAAGCATGAAGCAATGAAGAACCGCTTCATCTGTCTCCGCGGGAACCGACGTCTCGTCAGAAAATAATGCCTCGGCACGGGGACGGAAATATCGAAGAAATAATGCAGTGTACTCCTTCCCTTCCACTAAAAATATTCGCTGTATGTCTGGCATCAAACCAAGCATCTCTTTGGCGTCTAGCACCAAGTTTTGAACGAGAGCTTCGATTTGAAAAGCGATGCTCCAGTGGAAGTACCTTTTCCACCGAGCAAGATCGTCCAACAAATGGGAAGAAAAAAGTCCTCGCCTATCAGCAGGATATTCCGTGTTACTAATGTTGTGAAATTGAGCCGTCCGGCTAAGATCATGAAACTTCTGTAGTTCATCAACACTGTCACAAAGAAGACGAAGGGAATGGGAAGTGAAAGGAGCAACGGTGTCATGATCGTCGAGAGGAAGTGCTTGTAGGCGCCGCCGGGGACTGTGCTCTTCTTCGAACGACGGCGGTACTAGAAAAGAGAAGAAGATTATGTTAGAGGTTAAGTACTGGTGTACTGAGACCTCTGAAATGTTCGATAACCGCGTCACGATCGCCAGAGGGGGCGAAGTGTCTGTGATCCTGATTCGGATTTCCCGACGTTCGTTGTCGAATGAAAGCGTACAACACGAGTTCGGAAAAGTTTTCTCCCACTCTATGGAAAAGACGTAGTCGCGACAATCCCATCCAAATTGAATGGTCCTGATGAGAACGGATTCTCTCTCGAGTTTCCTCGTACGCCAGTTCTGCTCTTCTACGGCCCTGGGATCGAGATACGGTGTTCGTGTAATACTTTCCACGATATCTGCTCGTGGGCCATTTCTACTGACGCAGAATTTGACTTGTCGGGACCCCACAGAGAACTTCTTGCGTCCTCGATCCCCATATTCACGGAGGAATTCGTCACCAACACTCGTTGTCGGAAGAGTTAACGCTCCTGACCCACTATGTTTCCTGGTCCCCCTCTTGTCTTTGAATAAACGAACATGAAAGTTTATTGGTGCCGGAGAGAAAGTGGTATAGCTTGGGCCGTGCAGGATCTCTGCGAGGCCGATGATGATGTCGTTTGTCGTCGAAGAGAAATTGATGTTCCGCATGGTGAACTCCATCGTGGAGGATAGTGTTGAAGACACTGACCGCCGCGATGAGAAAAAGGTTGGTAATGAGGCTGTTCACAGCTTATATACTATTGGCTTCTACTCCAAAGATAACTGAACAGCTGATTTCAAGGAAGAGCCTCGCTTATAGAGCGGTCAGATGGCGAGCCAATGCAAAAGGTGACTATCTCCTAACCCCTTCCACGAGTCGGGACTGCAATTGTGCATACTTCGGCTCAATGATGCTGAAATCTCATGGGATCTTGTAGGGGCGGCAAAGACTACCAGCCGCCACGAAATCATCGATTGCTGGGGAGTATCTGACTGATTTCTCGTCTACCAAGCCTGAGTTGTTCTTCAATGACGACCTACGCGTTCGTGCATCACCAAAATGGGGCTGCAAAGTTATTCCAACAAGTACTTACAACATCTGTAATATGTCGATTTCGTTCAAATTCACTCCTTATCCAAAGAATGGTTTCTTGTCTGGTAGTAGGGTCTGCGATGGCTGAGACAAGTAGGTGAATTTTCAGTGAGCCAAGGAAGGGAACCACCTTTGGAGGAGCGGAGAGCATGTCTGTACAATGCCAGCACTTTTTGTCGCAGAAGAAAATGTTTTAGAGTAGGCTGGTGCATAGAATAATAAAAAGTCAGACTTTGTAGGCGTGATCGTTTGAAGACCGGCGGTGCGCTTTGACCACTTGTCTGTCTCTGCTTTGGGCCGCCCACCAGCTGGTACCAACAGCTTCGTCTCCCTTCCTTTTCGTCATGACTGCACCCACAACTGATCTCTCTCTCACCGATACAGAGCCCCCAACAGACTCGGAGACGACACCTGTCGATGGCCTTGCTGTTTCTCTGCAAGGCCCAAAACTTCAAGATGAAGACATGCCAACAGAACAAGAAGACGCTTCTACTCCTCAACCCTCCCAGCGTCCACTGAGAATCTACACTAGGTCTCAGATACTCACTTTGCATAAGTCACCGTTGGTGGCGCCTCCGACGAACATGCCTGAATTGAAGGATTGGTTTGGGTGGGTTCGCTGTTTTTTATGTTCATCGTTTCTTGACCATCCTTGCAGAGCTGAAAACGAACAGAATTTGAACAAGAAAGACCATGACTCTACTCCTCCTAATAGTGCTCGGGAGCGGCGGTGAGCCACTCGAATAAACTCACCGTTTTCTGTTTTTGAGCTGACTATTCATAGATTCCGACGAGAGGTCGATGATAACGGTAAAAATTTACAAGGTTCTAGCGCTACGGACACTCATGTCGGTTATAGAAGCGTCCTCGCGGTCCTCTTTTCGATCTACTCTATCCCAGCCTTCACAAATGGGCAATTTCAAGCACCAATCTTTGCGCGACAGAGATGGTGATAAAGACAGGGACCTCAGAGACAAAGAGGGGCAGGAGAGACTACGAAACGTATAACATTGTTTCTTCTATCGCTGGCTGCCTACTAAACGAAGCCGCACTTAGCTTTCCGATAAATTCGACCGCGACCGTTTAGCGCTTCCTTTGTCTAATATAAGGGGCAAGGACAAGGAAGCTGTGTCTCATCTAGGGCCTGGATCGAGCCGAACACCTGGGCAACCTCAGCTTTCCAGTGTCGCTGCGCGACGGAGCGAAGCCAGAGAAAACGGCAAAAAGAAGGCGGGCGAGACTAACGAGGATTGGAGACGAGGTAGGACACTTGTTTCACTAATGCACTTGCATCCAGCCTGATATATCTTCAGGCGGTGAGCCTCGGCGGCTGGGAAGGGATGAACGTGAGAAACGTCGTGTTTGGATTTAGATTTTGTACTAATGAGATAGCAGGCTCAGATACTCGAGGAGACCGTGATGAACGGGACCGTCCCCGTTCTCGTGTTCGGGATAGTTCCAGGTCAAGGCGGGACCCATCTACGTCCAAGCGAGACCGTGAAGATAGAGACCGTCGGGACCGTGACCGCGAAGACCATCGTAGGGACGGCGATCGAGACGACTACCGTCGCGGAAGGGACCGTGACACGGATAGAGACAGCGATGACCCTCGACGCTGGCGAGACGACGGTAGGAGAGATGAGCGTATGGCAATGCGGCGAGAGCGAGACAGGGACCGTGAACGTGATCGGCGCGATAAGCCTGGTCATGACCAAGCGTGGGACTCCTCAAATGACCGTCGTTGGATGCCCGGAGATGACCGTTCGAAGAAAACTACCGGTAGGGACAGGAAAACTGGCATCGAGGATGGCAAAGACCGAGACGACCGACGTGGCGAGCGCGAAAAGGAGAAGGAACCTGCGTGGATGGATACATATATCCCTGCTTCATCAAGCACAGGAATATTAGGCGGCAAAAGTGCTGATGGAGAACTGGACGGCATTCAGGCTTGGAAGAAGGGTATGAAGGAAAAGGAACAACGGGAGAGCAAGGCTGAGAAGCCGTCAGAAGATCTTAAGGATGCCACCGACCAGACTTCTCCACCTGAAAAACAATTGGATGAGATTCAGATCTTCAAGATGCTGATGAAACGAGAGCAAGAGCAGAAGAAATCGGACCAGTCCAGTGACGACTCTCCTGAACTTCAAAGTCAAGACAAAGGAGCAGCAGGTAAACCTTAGTTTTTGTCTTCGTCTGACAATCTATCTTACTATGTTGAAGAAGCTCCTAGCTCCGAATCTCCGACTGGTGTGACGACAGGTCGGGGTGCCGGAGATGCTAACGCTCCTCCTTCTCTAAATACTGCTTCAACCATACAAGCAACTCCCAATGTGACTGTTGACCCTTCAGTCTCAGTGTTGTCGATGTTTGTCTCTGGGGAACAGTCCAAGCAGACAAGTACTCTTCCTGACCGAGAGAGACCCAAAACTCCTACTTCTTCGAGACTTTTCCCCCGACCGATCAATCAAGATGGAACTCAAGCAGACCGCTCTTCCGTTGACCCTCTGCAGCCTCAGCCCACTACTGTTTTCAATCCTCCTCAGGGTTCTCGCCTTCTAGCCTTTGGCTCTCGGGCACCTGCAAAGCCACAAACGTCTACATCTCTACTCGCGAACGGCGCCGGGACGCTGCAATCCCAAACAAAATCTTCTTTGGTGCAACTCAATCTTCCTCCGAATGTTTTGCCGCTGGAAAGCTCAAAACTAGAATCTCATCGTATGCCAAATACCTTTTCACCCTTCGAGGAACATGACCATAGTCTATCATCGAGCGCAGCAGAATCCGCACGTCGCGAGCGCCAGTCAATGTCGTCAGAATCTGGTCCTTGGGGTGATCTTAGTGCCGAAGGTTCTGCCCTAGGGCAGGCGTCTGGGAAGGGCAGCCGATTTGCGAAGTTCTTCGATGGTAAAACACGGGAAGGGTTTGCGTACGCCCCCAAAGCACAAACTCCCGTTGGCTTCATGTCTTCCTCGCCAACGCCTGGTCAGCGGCCCGAGGGTGGATATAGTGGGAATCCTGACCTTCGAAATATGGATGACATCTATGCTATGTTGAACAATTCATCACAGGTGCGTTCTTGTGGGCTTATATGTACCATTTCTTACGAATCGCAAAGGCTCAGCGGTCCAATAACATGAATCCGCCAAATTCTGCCCCTACGATCGGTGGCATCCCTTTCGGACAGCATGCGCAGGCCCAATTACACTTGCTTCAGCAACAGCAAATGCAATCACAATCACATCATTTGCAGAATAGTCGCCTGGAACCATTATATGAGAGCCGTCTCGATAACCGTAACTTTATGCCAGATGGACTAGTACCTGGATTGCGATCCGCCCCTCCACCGCGGAATCGTGAAAACGGCGGGATGTTTTCAGATCCCTTGGATGAGGCTATTCATCTGAATGCCCAACGCATTCCTCCTATGCCGCAGCGTGGAATTGATCATCTTTACTCTGGCCCAGTCCCTTATTCCCAGCAGGCCGGGCGGCATGCGGCGCTACCCTTACAACAGTACCGTGGTGGACCCTCGCCTATTTCCAGCCAGAACCCGTTAGCATCTCAACATCAGCGTATACCTCCAGGTTTAGCAAATCTTGGAGGACGTCCGCCCCATGAACCTAACCAGTTTGTTGGTGTACCAAGCATCCACGGTGGACCCGTGAATGGGCCTCAACCTTTCACGACCTTTGGCCCTGGGGGAAACCTGGGATACGTAGGCCCCCCTCGGGCCCCTCAACAATTACAAAGTACTGTTTCACAGCATCCACTCGGAGGTCTGGGGCATCCAAATGGACTGGATTTACGGAACGCCAATCAATCCCAACTTTTGAATATGGGAACGCTTGGCGGTAGTGTCCGAGGCATGGGCGCCAACGTATATCCTGGACAGAACCATAGTGCACAGGCCTCGCTTCATGCTATGCGCCAGCCGCAGCAACAGCTCCCTCCTCATCTCGCCCCTCATATGCTGCCCCATCTTCAACAACAGGTACCACCAAACGCTCAATCGGCTGATCTCATGGCACTTCTGTTAGGCGGTCAACGCAGAGAGTAGAACAAGACCCAAACCTGACTTGACGAATCTCCTGTTGCATTACAGTTTCACTTTGTCAATAGTTTATCACCTGCTACGACAGACCTTGCTATACCTTGAATGTGCAGTGTTAGGCTCTGGATGATGACAGTGAGTCCAGTACAAGACATGGCTCTGTTGACGAACAGCGTAGAAGTGCTGCAGATAACAAATGACGGCAGCAATTGAACCAGGGAAGTAGAATCCTCTGCTTTATATCGCATGTCACGTTAACGGCACATCTCTGATTTCCGTTAACCATTGGTTCAATCTCGTTACTGACACGGGCAGACTGACGCATGTAGACATGGTGACAAGTTTGGGCGGGGAGGTTCGGGTATTGGGTGTGTGACTACGACATCCAGGTGAAACTACATTGGGACTAACGATAATTGTGGGCTCAGCTATTCTGCTTCTATCATATCCGGGCCCTTTTACTCCTCATCCGCCGAGGATATGTACGGGCATGAACAAACCAAGTCTACGTTGACAATCTGAAGGACTGTCGCAGGCGCCGATTTAGAGACTAGGTGACATTCAAAGTGTTATTCAGCGTTCTCCATTCTTTATAGATAATAGAGTCATGAAACTGACTGCTGAAACGACAGCAGTGTAAAACCATGGCATTTGTCACTAGCGGTCCATGCAATGGCCCTATGCAGGACATCTGGACGAATGCATGTGTCCCTCATGGAGATCTGACGCTCATGCGTCTGTCTAGAGTACGATGTATGACCTGCTAGGATCCCCCTTTGAAATGTCTTGCAGGAACAAGCTCCCTTGGGGGGGTACTCCGGCAAGGCGCCTTGATTTGGTAGGTTTTATTGCAAGCCCCGCCAGACTTGGTTATTGTGATTCGTCGAGAACAAATAGCCTTGTTTCTGCTTCAGTTCTTTCCTTTGGCGAATCACGCAAAACAGAAAAGAAAAAATCGCATTTCATTCTATGGTTTGCCCCACCGCGGCATCAAATAACTTACGGAACCCCTTATATATGGGACTCGCCACACCTCTACTGCAGTGGCTATAATATCATACGACCCTGGTCGGTGGCGTCAAGTTCCGAGTTTCAGCTACCACCTACGTATCGCGACGCTGTTGTGGAACTCACAAGGCACGAACATCTCGAATGGGTTTGTGGACATCATTCTCCGTCCCAGACTGAACGCATATTATTATTTAGATGTTCCAGCAGCATTTTAACGACTGACCCCACATATTTCATCTGAGATCGCTCCGTAACTTATATCCGAGCAGTCTTTCACAGCCTCAATAACTTATGACGCGGGTAACTGTGACGAGGACCATACATCATATTTCATAGTAATGATAAGTTGTTTCAAGGACAGCTGTGTGATCCAAAATAGATTCTAATCCCTAAAATAGTCGTGCCTTTTCCAGGCACTTTAGTACGGGTGTGCGTCCATCGGATGCCATTTCTGGTCTCTACGTTGTTTATTGTTCGAAATCCATAAATTTCTACGTACCAATAGACAAGATTTCGGCACTTCGGCAACGCTGACCAGGATGAGAAGCCTCGGGACAAATTTGCTTAATTTGGAATAAAGCCAGGACCCCATCGAAGATCTGGGCACCTACCGGGCCCGACATATCCTCCAATTGCAAGGTCCTTTCGTCCTTACCACTGATTCAAACTCAATAACTGATGGCAATGTATCGTAGTACAGGAGCTCCTTGATAGCAACCAGGTGTCGAGATAGTAGGAGGTTGGGAATCTTACTATGAAATGTTATCTGTATCTCCGTTATAGAAGATGGATCTTACCGTGGACCGTGGTACGCTAGTTCAATTTTCCGCTTCTTCAGACCTGACATAAAGCTTCAAAACACAAAATTTCACACTGGGACGAGGCAAGCAACTGCAAGGAAAAATCTCCGAAGCGGAGAAATAATAAATTTAAAGCCTGGGTCGTCGTCAACGTCAACATCCAAGGCGACTTAGCGCCCTGGGGTGGGCGTACGCTTTACCGAGATCAAAGGCATGCTTGTCATTGCAATGGTTCTAGCGTGCGGAAACTGTACAGCGCTCATATTTATGTACATTGTTTTTGAAACAGTTCAGCGTCAGGAGTCACAGCAGCCGGCGTTCTTATTTGCAGGACTTGATAATGCATACGAATTTCAACGTAAACTATTTAGGCCTTCGAGAAGTGGTATGCTCTCGCTGATCCTTTACATGGTACCTTGTTAGGTTGCGTACTGAGAGCCGAGGCACAAAAGGATGCCCTTGTTGGGGCAAAACGAAACCCACGGTAGGAAATCTGGGATTCTGTTACTCATGGAGTGGCTCACGATGACATATGCTTCTGCGAAGTACCGGTCTTCGATCTGACTTGAATGATCGCGGTAACAAGGTCGCATGCTTCCCTGATTCTGTCATATCTTTCACTCGGTACAGCGTAGGAAGATATTGACAATTTAGCTACCTCACGGTAAATCAGTCTCATCACTCTAATCACTCGTGCATCACGTCGCTGTACTCTTTGGATCTGAGGCTGCGTGTCATGAGTTTAACTGTAAATATGTAATCGCAGCTACCTCGCTTCGTATTTCGAAAGGTACATGTGTAACAAAGTCGATAATTAAAAGGCATACTGTTGAAGACCGGGTGGTGTCTGACGTGCAGAATTCACGGATACGTCGCTCGAATATCTATCTATTCGGAACCTAGGACTTGCCACGGGCGCAGCACCGACGAGGGATGTCGCACGGATGATCTAAGTGATTTGTATACGTGAGATTAGAGGAAGAAAAGGGTACAATGTGGCATATGATGGGTGATAAGTGTGACTGATGAGAATGGGCAATGATGCACGGCTCTCACGGTCACAATGGGTAGGCAGTTCATTATAAAAAATATGGACACGTTGGTAGTTAATTTTGTTAATGGACGGTAGTTAGATTGAGACTACGGCGTCCTTGGCGGAAGAGGACGGACGTCGCACTAATGCACGTCTGAGGAAGAGGACAGTGGCAAATTACGTGACTACAGCTTACCTAAATAGAGCCGCGCACCAAGTGTCAAGTTGAAGACGAATTCTCTGCCTGCAGGCAGAAAACGTGGTGCATTTCCATACAAATGGGTATTCATCCGATACGAATCACAGATGAAGATCAAGGGTTTCCCTATCACCGAACAGACAAATAGTCCGATTTTGCCCTGCACTGCGAGGCGTATAAGCGGAACACGCCTTGAACACATTGCCAGAGCTCGCCATTCAAAAACTGCTGGCTGCGAAACTGACAATCTTTTTTTCAGCCATCCCTCTGCTACGTACTCGCTGTGTTTCTGTGCACTTGTCGGGTGCGTTGCACCGCCCTCCTGGCCCAACGATAGCCCATACGATATCGCATCGTTGTCTACATTCTCCGAGTCATTCACCACAGTCGTTCCTTTCCTCGCTTTTTTCTCGGTTCTCTTGTCGTCATAACATCCAACTATAATTTCTTTTCTAATCCAAGCAGGATACCTGCTTTCTCCTTTATCCTGGGTCAAATAAGTGATTGTCTCCGCGTTGTGAGTGGCTGCCTCGAGAGGGTGATTGGGAGACTAACGCGGCGAACAGGCGCTGCGATATCCGCATTAAAAATTGGTGCGTGTACAGTCCTTACAGAGACCCGCACCGGCCCTGATGGACAACGACAGACATTGTTACTGAGGTGCGTTTTCGTTACGTCGGTACGTCATGTCGAGGTGGCTGTAAAACGTGGGGCGTGGGAACTAGCGCCGATGATCTCACAATCTAGCTCGGCTGCCACAGTTTCCGAACCTTTTTCCGGCCTTTTTTCTTCCCGCCATTGTCCCTACTGGTCTTGCTGGCATTTTTTTTAGTCTGTGCAACGCTGCAGGCTGATATGCCCTGTTATCGCAATGAATGTGCAGCACTCGGGTGCCGTAAGATGGCAGGAGATGTCAGGGCACGATTGAGCGCTGATAATCGAAGACTTCTGACACCGCAACCGGCAGCATTTTCCCGATTGATCTGGACTTTTCATCCTATTTCACGCATTTCAACCGAATCTTGCAATTTCATCGATTCTTTATTTATTTCTATTTTATTATATTTTCGTCCGATTCGAGTATTTCGTACTTTATATACTCTTTGGCCTCGACCTCGCTTCTTCTCTTCGTCGTCGACGTCGTCGACCCTCCCCTTCTGCCATCCTCACGACCATCCACGCTGACCACGATTCTTATTTCTTCCAGTGCCTCTTCACTCACGATCTGCACACGCTTCGCTGTCGCTGGAGCTGTTCCTATTGCATGAATAGCAACCACACATTGGTGAGTCGTCGTTTTTTTATTATGTTTTCGATCGTCTTGTCCTCTTGTCTGTGTCGGTGTCACTCGATCGCGTGGCTGGCCATTGGCTTGCTCCAACATTCACCATTTATGGCATTTTCCAAGGCGTTGGTCACTTGCCTTGGTTCTGTACCACCACCACCACCACCACCATCATCACGCGCTGCGCCTGCCACTTGCATTCTGCAGACACGCCGTCTAGGTCTTGTTTCTTCTTTTTTTTTTTTTTGCAGGGCCTTCTCTCTCATCCTACTACCCCTAATCATGTCTTCATGCGCTTACCTGCCTTCTTCCACCAGTCTCCACGACATGAAGGATCTTTCGAACAAACACACCCGAACCTCCATTATCTACCCAAGGAAGCGGCCGTCTCCCCATGGCGTGTCCAAGAAGACACCGTTGCTCCCTGCTTATGGTCCTTCTCGCAGGTCGCCTCGCTCCGCCAAATCGGCCCTCATTCTGCAACGCCAACGTGACATACACACTCTCGCCCTTCGGCGAGAGGGTGTTCTGCTGGAAGACGAGTATCGTGATGAAATAAGAGTCTACATGCATGAGATGGAGGTATGTATTTCGCACATCTTGGCGTCTACGCATATACCCAATTTCCTCTTACCTCTCTAGCTCTTCACCATGTCTTCGACCCAGTCCATGGATCAACAACCCGAGATTCGATGGCACATGCGTCCCTGTCTCGTTGACTTTCTTGTGGAGGTTCACTTCAGCTTTAGGCTGCGGCCAGAAACGTTATATCTTGCGCTCAATATTGTCGATCGTTACGTCTCTCGGCGGATCGTATATATCAAGCATTATCAGCTCGTCGGCTGCGCTGCTCTATGGATTGCCGCAAAGTTTGAAGATGCCAAGGACCGTGTCCCTACGGTCCAGGATCTCGTGCAGATGTGCCACGACGCGTATGAAGAGTCGGCCTTTATCCAAATGGAGGGTCACGTTTTATCCACCATTCAATGGACCCTTGGCCATCCGACGGCCGAAGCTTGGCTTCGGCTTATGTGCTGCGGTCCTTGTCTGGAGGAAGCCAAAGTGCAGCATGTCGCTCGTTTTCTCATGGAGATAACCCTCTTCTATCGCGAATTTGTCAGATTTGCTCCCTCGTCTATCGCCTTGGCTGCTCTTACCCTGTCACGGTTCGTCTGTGGTAAGCCGCGCCGTTTATGGGAGGAATCAGACGAGTGTTTGGAGGTGGTCGAGCTCCTGGATACCCGTCTCGGAACGCATGTCAACGACTTGTCGGAGACTTTGGTGAAGAAATACTCGTATGCTTTCTATTCGAAAGCCGCTACATTTGTCGTGCAGTACTATTTGAAGGGAGGTCGCTTCGCTGGACAGACCTACTCGCCTTTCCCTGTGACTCCGACCCGTTCCGTCGCTCCATCTGTTGTCAGCACTCCCATGAGTGCCACAACGTCGGTGTCGGACACGTCCGATGATTTCCCCCTCACGCCGACGACACCTGCAGTGCTATCCAGCGAGCCCTATATTACGAGTGAATCCTTCATGGATTATAACTCTGATGACAAGGAGAATGTACCCACAACTTTTGAGCCTATCATTAGTAAGCACAGGCCGGATAGCCCTCTGGACCAATATCTCCCGCACGACTTTGTGACCTGTCGGCCAGCGCTGCAGAATCGCAATGTATCGCCAAGATTTGCATTTCCATAGCAGTCTTCTTCAAAGCCGCAACTGCGTCTGTATTTCTCGTCATCCCTTCCCGTCTTGTCTCCTTGTTCCAGTCCAAAAGTTTTCAGTACCGCAAAATGTAATACCATACATGTCGCCTCGCATCCGACAATCCGCAATCCTGTTTTCTACAATATCAATCATCCATGCATCACTTTCTCTCACAATTGTTACCATCTTCCCATTTATCCCACTATCATCCCCATCCATCATTATCGTCACAGCTATTGTACATTGGCAGGCTTACAACCTATTCAATGGGTCGTGAAGATTATCTCGATCTATTCGACGTACTTTGGTTGAAGGACGCCAAGTCGGGACGAAAGGCAGCTCCGCTCAGCTTGCGTTTCTTGGACTGCAATTTCTAAAGTTTTCCCTCGCCTCATTAAGTTGTGGAGAGGTCACCTATTCGTTTGCCCGCGATTACATCTACTCCGCTATTCCGCCGCACATTCCTCGTCCGCGACATTACGTTCATTCTGAACCCTGTCTCTCTGCATATGGCCATCATTCTCCCATTCACTTCATTCACATTACCTACTGCATGCATTCGCTTGCAAATTACTCTATTCTTTCTCAAGACCCGCATTGTTTTATTTTATTCTTCAACTTATCGTTCATTTTATTTCCTTTCCTCGTCGCCGACCAGCCTGGCATCAATTACACGCCAGTTCCATATATTTTTTGGTCTTCGCGCCTAGACACCCCCGTTGTACCTCACAAGTACAATATCGCATCGGCATTCCATAGCATTCCCCTTCATTGCACATTACATTTTTAACTTCTGACCTTTTACTTATATTTTTGAACTCCTCCGTCGCACACCTCGTCCTGTTGCAATCGCGTTCCTTATCAAGCAAATCACTCTGTCGTCTTAACAGTATCTGGTTGTCTGAAAGTTTTCGGAGTTTTTGGTTGCAAGACCACGAATGACTGGATCTAGGCTAGACAGCAAGTGCTCAAAAATCGGATTCTCTCATCTGATGGTGGCTCAAACATCAGTCGTTTTGTCAAGAATCTGTGATCACCGCTAGAGCTTCCTTATTATCACCGCATAAGCGGAGTTTGCTCAGATCGATGGAGTGCATTGACACTGTGCCGAGCATGGACTTGGTGAAGAAGGGATTGGTGGAACGAGATGGTCAAAAATCTAGGCGGGACTCAAACAGCTATTGTGAATATGAGAAGGAATTTCAATGATCCTTTCTGACAAGCCTTATTGGCCGTATGCTATGGCGCAGGGTCCTTTGACAACATACGACGATGCCCGGCACCTTGGGAATATCGGCCTATTATTACTGTACGCTTGTGAGAAGGGAGGTCTCGTCGTAAATGGTTCAGTGAGTCAGCTTTTGGCGATGCTATCTGATACTCTACATGTAATTGCGTTCAATTTGGGTGTCGTGTTTTCTTGTACATGGATACATTTGCCGACAACAATAAAGACTCCGCTCAGAAAGTAATATCATCGCTGTTCAAATTCAAGTATGTAATACCTTTATCCTTATTTTGACCACGGCCCATTCATAGCAGCCGGTGATATATAGATGCGTAGAAACTTATCTTCTCTCGCCACATGCTGAGAAACCTTGGTGGAGGTATTCTGAAGTTCCAACACCCAGAAGCGCTTCGTTCACTGCAAAACCCAAGTATCGCCATCTTTCTTAATTCCTACCGGTCGCTTCTCGTCAAGACTGGTGCGACCGGCGTTCAAGATAGCAGTTGTGAGTACGGTGTTTGCGATTGTCGGAAGGCCGTGCAAATCGTAATCTGCAGGTTTCGTTATGCCAGCATTGACACTGCGAGCCGCGTCGACAAACTTCTCGATGGAAATATAGCCATACCCTCGTTGCCCGTCAAAGTGCCCGCTTTCAGAGGGTGAATATTTCATACTATGAGGGCCAAGACGTATGAAGCATCAGTTGCCGGCTGCCGAGACGAAGCGCTCATTAGAACGGATTATACCACGACTTGCCAGTGTCGTCGACGGTCACATCATAGCCACGATGAGCTTGGTCGACAGTAATGTCGCCCTGGGACAAACCCCCCACAAGGGTTAGCCTTCTTGAAGAGTACAAGTTATAAAGTTACATACCTTTTCACCCATGTAATACCACTGTTGAGCAGAATGAACACCGGATTTTAAAGGTGCTGTCCAGCTCGCAGTGTAGACTCCTGTACCTCGATGCTTCGGGCTCTTAATCGATTGCCAGTCCACCATAAGCGTAATAGTGTCTTCAGTTTGGGGGTCACAGTTATATGGTTCGCTGGTGGCGATACCGGCGGCAGCGCTCGCCACGACTCGCGTCGGAACTGCAATGTCCTGAAGGATCCAGCAGCAGATGTCAACGTGATGGGATGACAGGTAATAGCTAAAGTATTGTGTATGTTGAGCATTTCCGAGTGCAAATCCATAAATGAAAGCGCAAACCTGATATCCGAGTCCTTACCAGCCCAGGCGCGGAAAGTATCAAGCTGGCTCTTTGGTTGGCTCATCCACGCGCTGAAAAAGTTAAACTCGCCCAAACTTGCGGCTTTAGCTTTGGCGTCGCTGTACACAGGATCGAATCTAGGCCGCACGTTTAACATCCCAGCGCCATGGTCGATGAAACGATATAACCAGCAAACCTTTTGTGATGTTCAACGAAACAAATAACATTGTGCTTCTTCGCAGCCGCTATTAATTTGTTGTGGTCTGACAGTAACTTGACGGCGGGTTTGGTGACGAGGACATGAATTCCGCGTTCGATGGCGTACATAGCAATACTGTAGTGGGTAGCTGATCCACAGATAAGTAAATCGATTTTCGATCCGATAGGTACAAGAGCGCACAGTCCGGTGTGAAAATTATAGCCGCATCTCCGGGCTTCATCTTGTCCATAGCAGACTTGTCTAAACACACACACATATATAGTAAGCGTGGTTTTAACATTTTCAGTCACGTACAAGCCTCTGGATCCATTTTATCCACGTCCGGGAACGAATCAAATCTGTAAAATACCAATAAATATCTAAGAATACATAGGAAGAGTGATGCCGCACATTGTATCCATGTCCTTATAAACGGCTGCGATGTTTTGAGCCAAATGCTCCCTAATAACGGGAAACTTGTGGCCGTTAACACCGGCCATTCCGAGCTTATTGACTTTTCCCAGTCTTCGAAGATCAAAGCACGTCAGGGCGACGACCTTTCACTGCGTGAGACGATATGACAAGCCATAGTTTCTGACGACGTACTCCGATCTGTCACATAAACGTTAGGGTTTTCATAGAATAGTGACCATAAAACGTCAGTTAACCTTTTTGTCTGACTTGGATGCCCCAGATCCTGTCCACCCGGTAGTGTACTCGCCCTAGAATGGTTCGTAGTTGGTCAATTGAAATCACCGTTAGAGCTTAACGTCGTACAGCACCGCCTGCTGAAGCATCAACTAGACGCTACAGATGTTCATGAGTCAACGCACACATCAGGATATTCAGTTTTTCCATATTCGCCATTGAATCAGAGAACGGAAGATAGGGAAGTTGGTTGGATCAGAATTGCTCTTTTTATATATAAAAGAAACTAAAGGAACACGGACCGGAAATCGCAGAAAAGCGGACCGGCGGACTGATAGCGCCGGATTCAGACCCTAACCTTAAACCACGTGTTTCGGCCAGGAACCATTCTTAGCCGCCACCCACAGTGACGATTTACGAAAGAAGCATAGTTGGCTTCGTTCACTTTCTTTTCCTCGCGGCGTCATGTCAAACTCAAGCTCCCCACCGGATTCTTCGTTCATGCCTAGGCGAGAATTTATCCGTGAACAAAGGCACACTCCAAACACCTTTTCGTTGCTTGCTATTGCCAGTTCCAACTGTATTAGACTCTATTCCTTTCCTCTACCAGTCATTTCACATCTTCATCGCTTCTTCGACCAGCGTTCGCTCGTTTCTGCTTTTCGTGAAGATGTCTCCCATGGACTCTACGAATTCGCACTTGAGGGCAAGCCATGGACGAATGCAAAAAGCGCAGCTACCGAGAGGCTCTTGATGGAAATTCTGAGCATAATATATCAGCATGGCTATTCTTTTCTATCTAGCATTGATTATGGCCGTGAAACTGACGACCGTCTGGCTATGGCCTTCTCCAAACCATCTGCTAACCCATCCTTTCGCTCTGATTCACCCTTGCCTGAAGGTTCAAAGATCTCTCACTCGGACAAGTTCAAGCTCAAAGTTCCTTTTGCCTTGTCCTTTCCCTCTACTACTATTCTCCGTGTTATTTGCCCTCCACTGGACACCACGCCAGCTATTCTTCAGGCCGTACGTGGCTCGTGGCCTCGCGGCGTCGTTTCAGAAAGGAAAATTGGTGACCACTCATTCGAGTTCAAATTAAAGGGTTACAGATGTACTGTTTTCCATTCCTTTACAACGATTACAGCAGCGGGCTGACGTTATCGTTAGGGTTTCAAGAAGATACTTTTGCATCCGATTCTCTCCAGCATATCCTTTCCCTTTTGTCGTCGCTTGATGCCCATTCTTTCACCCTTCTCACTTCTTTGTCCCTAACAAATCGTTCACGAGTCAAAGATCTCTGGATATTCACTGGGCTTTCTCCTCCATCCGATGATATGATTTCAGATTCACCAGTTCCGTCGATATTGAACTCCTCCCAGTCGGAAGTCAAGCGTGCATTTCAGAGTCCTGAGTCTCTCCCTCATCATGCCTCCTCCCTTCATCACCGGAAACTCGCTACAGATCCTAGCGCTATTCCACTATCACCCTCACCTCTACATCCTCGCGCCGTCACGGAAGGTCCATATCGCCTACATGGGGGTTTACCGCTAAATCATCTACCTTCTACATCAGTGGGCTCCGCGCCATCTCACACTCTTCGCAAACCAGCACCTCGAGCTCAAGTACCTGTGTCCGTTCATGACGATGCCGAGGGCGAAGGATATCGCGCGAATCTTCCCAGTACGGTGCCTTCCAGTGTCGAGAATATGACCGGTGCCGGTGCATTGAAAGCACCTGCTGTTTTTTACTCTACGCCGCCATTTCAGGCTGAAATGAACCCTCAGCCCTCTCCCCCAGCATCAGGATATCCTACTAGCCCTACAATATCCGACCCCGTTTTGCGATCCAGCACACCACCACTCGTCTCGGCTCGTGCTCAGACAGGAGATTTGTCGGCCCGTATGGAAGCCCAAGCAGACGCCGTTGTCAAGTCAAATTCCTCTAGTGCGGCTGGAACATCCCCGCTCTTGAGCCCTGGGGTGTTTCGAGATTCAGCATTCTCGTCTAACACAGATATTAGTGCCGAAGTTCCCATTAAATGGACTGGAATAGCAGATGCAAAGGCGGCCGAAACAGAAGCTCGGCCCTCTGCTTCTCCTAAATTTCCAGGTGGCTGGCAGACAACTCCGATAGAAGAAAAGGACGAGGTGGCCAGCACAACCTCTCAAGTCACGCCGGAGAATGGCGTACCGCAGGAACAGCCTATCCAGGATGTTCCGCATCGGATTGCGTCGCCCGTCCTCAGTGAACCTGACGAGGAATTGCGCAAAAGTGAAGCAGGCATGGTTGGATGCATATCACCGCCTGTGACTGCTAAAGGCAAGGAGAAGGACAACAAGTCGGGTAAACAGGGATGGGTCTTGGTCAGTGTAGAAGGTGGCTCTGCATCCTCGCCGATTGCGGCCGCTCAGGCTGATAGACAATTGGACGAGACTGGTTCGCAGGGGCTTCGGCATCCCGCACAACAGGGTAGCAACGACGCTGATATGACGTTACCTACCTCAGGAAAAGCGACGTCTGCAGCAGCCAAAGCTATTGTTATCATTGATGCCGTGGAAACAAAGCACAAACACAAAACAACATTCGGCAAAGGGGATATGGTGTCAGAGTCTCCGTCGAGAATAAAAAGATTCTTCTCCTTGTCCAGAAAAGACAGTGTTCGTGTTTTTGCTCCCTCTTCGTATTCTGTGGGCTGACGAGGATTCAGAAGAGGGCTGCTGATCACGCTGTTGAAGAAGAGAAAAAAGGCAAGGAAAATGCCGCCAAGAGGGCAGGCTTAAATAAACGAAATCATGCAGGGACCCTGGAAGCGTCAGAATACCCACGGCGTCGAAGTATCGACGGATGACATTGTCACTACATATACGCCTATACGCCCTCTTCATGGATACGAGAACACTGGACTGTTGTATGTACCTCTGTTCATTCGCTTGGGACTGGCAACATCTTTGTAGAACACACTACCATAAGTAATATCGTTTGCGCTAGCAGACTTATTCAGTCCCTCTGCTTCATTCTTGTTTGCACCATATAGCTCTTGATTATATACTGCTACCTGAGGGCATGTACTACCGTTACAACTACCATGATTAGTTACGAACCTAGTGTGTCGTTTATTGTTGTAAAACGCGTCGGGTGAACGAGGAATGGTTGACGCGTCTACTGAGCACGTGATGCAGACCCGAGTCGACCCAAGTGAGGGAGCATCCAAGACGAGGCAAATGACAGGAAGCTTTTGGGAAATGGGATCCATAGCAGATGTATGTAGACAGAGTGTACTGATGTCTGTCCAAGTTTCCAAAACGAACTGCAGCACGAACCTGACTACAAGTGGACGAGTGACAAGATGGAAATGTCACACTGTCTGAATCTGCTAGCAAGCCATCTCGATGAAGCGAGAAAATCTAGCATCAAGGCCGGGGCGAGTGACTGGGAAGGGGGGGGAGGTAGGCAAGGGAGGCATTGGAAAACAAAAAAAAGTCAGGCAGATGGCAGGGGGTAGAGAAAGCAAAGGCCGAGACGCCGTGACTTTTTGGTGACCTTTGAGGGAGACGGTGCCAGCTCTCAGCCACCTGGCCGTTCCCGAATTCCCATCATCCGTTTCGACGCCTTCCCCTCCTCCACTTGCCAGGCATCGTCCAGCCCTCGCTCCTCGTCGTTCCCATCATCGCCGCCGCCCTACCCAGTCACTCCTCGTACCGCTGCCCCGCCACGCCCGTTCCCTGCTCGCTGCGCCCTTATTTTCCTCAGCACAGCTCCCATGCCGACATGTCGACGCAAGCGGGTCGTTCTCACCCAGCCATCCGACGAACTCCTCCAGTCTGTCAAGACAAACCCTAACAGGGAGGTCTTCTATCTGCGGCACACTGGCGAGATCTTCGAAACATACGAGTACGTGCCCACTCCCCTATGTTGCTGTCTATCCACCCTTACCTGCCCCAAGGGCTTATGCCGCACGCATGTCCTTTTACAGATTGAAGCAGTTCCAATGCGAGGTTACCGGAAAAAGTGGTCTTGACTATTTTCAGGCTCTGGAAAGTGAACGACAAGAAGCTCGAACATTACACGCACGATTCTCCGCGCCCCTCAAGCCAGCCATCTTGAAAGCTGTCCAATGGCGTTCGTGGTCGCGTTCAAATACATCGTAGTCTTCAAACTGACGCCCTGTACAGAGGTTGTAGGACGACTTGATCATCTTGTGGAAGCAGTGTATGAACGCTTCAAGGACCGCTACTTCAAAGGAGAAAGTACGTATCCCTTGTTTCTCATGCTTGACTGTGTTGCCAATGTCCTTTCTTATCCTCCAGGGGTACTTGTCGATCTACAAGGAACCAAGTGAAAATCTTACCTGTTTCTTTTTTTTTCGTTTTTATGTCTAATTCACATCGTAAAGGTACTATGGTACAGTCGATACGGTCTACCCTCCAAAGTTTTATCAAGATCAGGATGCCCGCGACGCGCGCAAAGAGAACAGAGGGTCCTCCCCCAAGGCCGAATTGGACGAACCTCACCTCATCACCGGTGACTTGAAAATACCAGCGGGCGAAGTTAATGCCCAAGACAGGCCGGAGAGATACTTTTACTGGGTTCAAATCACCGAACCAGAGAAAGAAAAAGCGCACGACAAGGCCAAGAATGCCAAGAAGCAGGATGAGGATACGGTCGGTAGTTTGATGGAAGTTACATGCCAATTAATGAGGTACACAAATCGTGTTGTTTATGCGTGCAATCCGAGCTAACGTTACTAGTCGAGATCGCCTTTCTTTCTCCAAGTCTATACTGCGTCGGTTCATCCGCGACTGCGTTGATCGTGATGCCGCGGTCGCTTCGCCTTGGACCGTCAAACCTGCTATCGCTAAGCGGTATGGTGTCGACTCCGTGATGCCTGAAGAGACTCGCAAAGACGTCGAGTCAATCAAGAAAGGTGAAATTGACAAACGCAAGAAGGTCTGGGAGGATAAAGATGGACCGCCTTCTAAAAGGCAGAAAAAGATGACGGCGGCACAGGAAGAAAGAGGTTAGCCTATCCATTTTGCCTCTCTGTTCGGTACTGATGCACAGTAACAGCCGAAAAACGCGAGCGCGAAGCTCGTGAGAAAGCCGAGAAACAAAGACTAGCAAAAGAGGAGGCGGAACGAATCGCAGCAGAAAAAAAGAAGAAGAAACCGGTTCGATATCCAACTGAAGACCTGGATGTGAGGTTAGCGGACAAGGACAAAAAGGCTGGTATGAAAGTCCAGAAACCGATACCTAGTCGCACTACCATTCCTTTCAACGACTCTCCTGGCACTTTTGAGGCCTTTTTGATGAGTTGGAACTTCTTGATTGTATATGGGTATGTTGCATCAAACATATCAATTCTTTTGGAAGACTTATACGTCTGCAGTCAACCACTTCATCTCTCAACCTTCACTCTGGACGAGTTCGAACATGCCATACGTCACTCCGTTGATGATCCTCCGTGCCCTTTGCTTGCTGAAGTCCATTCTATCCTCATCTATAATCTGCGGACTGTGCCATTCCATAGACATAGCGCGGTTGTGTCACTTATCCATCTACAGGAAGAGGCGGCTGATGGTGATGATATGCTATTGGGCCAGTCTATCTCCAATCTTACAGCTACAATGGCTGATATTGGTAATAACTGGGAAAGAGTGCCTTTAAGGCATGCAGAGGGCAGACAAGGCTGGGAGGATGCGCTGGTCGGTTGCTTGAAGGATGTGCGTTTTTTTTTGTTGCTCCCGGGCGTCCTATGCTCATTCGCTGTGACAGCACGCTAACATAACCAACTTCCCTCGTCTGCGAGAGATATTGACAAAGTTACTTTTTGCGCCGGAAGAAGTTAATGAACCCTCAACGTCCTCGAGCGCATCTAGCTCACGTTCGCCTCCCCCACAATCCTCTTTGTGCACTGTGCCATCTTCTCCCGCTGAACGATATCATTCGTTGCCACCGGCGGATCGCATAGCAATCCTGTCTTTCCTAACCAATCTTGCAGTCTCCAGCAAAGCAATCCATGCTCACATGGAATCATGCGAGGAGCAGTTAACTGCTCTTCGGAAGGAGAAAATTGAGGTCAACCGTTCCAAGAAACAGTTGTTAGTACTTGTATCAATTTTTTTGTCGATGATTTCTTATGTCTTGTTACAGTGCTGAAGAAATGAACACTCTCATCGGAGAGACCAAAGACAATTCCATACCTCCTGATGAAGATGTCTCCATGCAGGATGCCAGTGACTCCGAAATAGCCGCTTCTGATGCTGCATCTGACTCCCTGTCGGCGTCAAAGAAAGGATCCTCCCGCCAGAAGGATCTTCGTCAGAAGATTCAGACTCAAGCAAAGCAACGTGAAGCTGCACGTGCTAAGCAAGCCTCTGTTAAACAAGCCATGGCGGAACACCGGAGGCTTGACGAAGAAGTCAACAAGATCGAACGAAGACTTGAAGGCATTGAACGCGAGTTCAGGAAATTATTAGGCGGTGTCAGGGTCAAGCCGCTGGGACGGGATAGATTTTACAACCGTATCTGGTGGTTTGACGGCCTGGGGTCAGCGTCGTTAGTGGGGAGTGGCGGCGTAGCGCAATATGGGACGGGCAGAATTTTCGTACAGGGTCCTAGCGAGACAGATATGGAGCTTTTGAGGCTCCGGCAAGTAGAAGAAGATATTGATGGTCGGAGGAAAGAGGAAGAAGGAGAAGATGGTATTCTTGGACCTGGAGAGTGGGCTGCTTACTCGGAGTTGGAAGAAGTTTGTGATCTCTCCATTGACATGTGTAGCACTTGCACTTACTATTTGGGATGCAGCTTGACGAATTTGTAGCATGGCTGAATCCCAAGGGCCATAGGGAAGTTGCTCTCAAGGCAGGATTGACCAAGTGGTGGATTCACATAACGTCTGGTATCAGGAAGCGTACAGCGGTCAGTGTACTGGTCAAACGTGTTATTCTAGACTCATACAGCTTGCAGGACGTTCAAGTCAATGCTAAACTTCCTGAAGCAAGGCGTAGCACCCGAACAAAGGCTCATGCTGGCTATGACATATCCAGAGAGCCTTACATGATGTGGACGAATCGCCGAGCAGTGAATACCTCTTAGCAGCCTCCGAGCTATATCTCATTGTGTCGTTGCCGCGCGCACTCTATTTTGTGTTCTAGGATTCTTGTAGACATCACATTCCTTGACTCGCGTACCGTCGCAATTACTTTCCCTCTCTGTTTATTGACGCTTTTGCTTACACTAAATTACGAGCCACAGTTACTTTACATGTATAAAATACGAGCACACGTTGCCAGTGTTGTACCCAAATTTAGATAGCCTGATAACGCGCTCTTCTCGTGAACTCTGTCACGTTCCCTTCCCAATTACTTTGAAATCTATTCATGCTCCAGATTCTGTGCGCCTGCTTCGTATGCTTGACTGACAGATACCGAAGAATGGATACCAGATCATTCAAATCAGATCCAGATAGCCACTTCACGGGTCTATCAATAGGAGTGGAATTGGATATCGATAAGCGCCAGCTCATATCTTTAGGTCACTTTTTGAAGCAAAGAAAAACGACTCTGGATGTCTCTGCCAACGACAGGATTTGTCTTCGGGTCGGCGTCGAGTGCTCAAAGCGTACGGGACGTTATCGCTTCTTGTGCGTAGCTTCTCAAAGATTGCCTTTTGATACTGACACTCTCCAGACCGTCGAGCACAATTTTTGGTTGTAGAATCGACCTTGGCGTCTTCACCAGATCTTACAGACTCCTTTGATGAAGAATCTGGCAGTATTATCGAGGAGGAGGGCGACTCTGACGCCGATTCGTTCACGCCAGCACAACGTCACGATCACGATGACTTTGCTAGCCAATTCGAATGGGACGCACTGAACCCCGCCTCTGTCTCTCCTGGGACACCGCAGCACCCAGCACCTTATGTTTCTTCGTTCCCTCGTAGCACACTCCTTAGTTCGCCTGTGAGCGTATCCCCACCCCGAGCGGATGAAGAGACACCGCTACTCCGCAGGGTATCTTTCTCAGCTGGAACCTATCCTCATCGCCCTGTTCCTCGCCCTGACTATCTGACCTCTTCAAATGCTATTCAAGATGCACAAAGGCGGCCTGTGGCTCGTCAGCCTTCGAAAACTTCCCTGTCTCGTGCCAGGTTTGGAGGGGCAAGTACATTCGGGCAAACTGTATGAATATCCGGTTCGAATGCAGTGCTCATAATTGATGACTGTCGTTTTCAGCTTTTTAATTCCATAGCTATTCTCTTGGGCATTGGAATGCTCTCGACCCCTCTGGCCTTCGCCTACGCAGGGTGGATACCAGGGACAATACTCATTGGCTTTTATGGATTTGTGAGCTGTTACACGTACGTTTGTATACCCTCGATGGCTTGAGCTGATGGTCGAAACACAGAGCGAAACGTTTGGCACAAATCATCACGTCTGACCCTCGGCTGAGATCTTATACCGATATTGGACGAAAAGCCTTTGGTCCACGGTCAACAGGCATAATCAGCACTATATTTTGTCTCGAATTGTTCTCTGTCAGGTACTTATATCAGCATCAGCTATCTGGTACCATGTTAAGCATCCATATAGTGTCATCCTCGTGACGCTGTACGCAGATTCATTGCATGGAATCATACCCTACTACTCATCAAACACGTATAAATTATGGGGTTTATTAATGTGGGTCGTCCTATCAGTAGCTAGACTAATCTTGTGCTGACGACAGCGTTTCGCTGACCAACAGATTAATACCCACTGTTTTCTTGCCGTTATCTCTGCTCTCATATACATCGATTTTGGGCGTTATATCAACTATTCTTATGATAGCCGTGATATTCATTGATGGCGCTACAAAAAGAGAGCAGCCCGGAAGCTTATGGTCTCCGGCTGAGACGTCATTAGGCATTGAGAGCTGGAGGCACCTCGGGATAGCTTATGGATTATTTATGGCTGGGGTTCGTATCTTCACTCATCGAAACAGTGTTTCTGAGCGAACCGTACAGTTTTCTGGTCATGCTGTTATTCCGTCTCTTGTTCGCGACATGGAAGATCCATCAGAGTTCGACAAAATGATCACTTGGGCCTTTGTGGGTCTCATCAACATGTACATCTTATTATAATCTCACGTTCACATCGATGTCCAGGCAATTGCAACATTCATATATGGGCTGATTGGATACACGGGGTACATCATGTTTGGAACATCAGTCAGTGAAGAGGTAAGTATTGGGCATCATTTATGCATGCCGTCGACCCAACACAATCTATCCAGATTAGCATGGATCTGCTTCGTACACCTGGGTACAATCCAGCTTTAAATCAAGCTTGCCTTTGGATGTTGGTTATAAGCCCCTTGTAAGCAATCACAGTGTATTAGGAGTAGTTATGCTCATGAAGCACTATACAGGTCCAAGTTTGCGTTGGCGACGCAGCCGGTAAGCGCTTGTGTAGTTACTCGTGACAGATTCCTGATCATCCTCTAGCTCAACGCCACTGTAGAGATCCTGCTTGGGATCGATCTGCCGCCAGCAACACACGAAGATGTCGCTAAAAGGCTTGCCGAACCATCACATGGTACATCAAGGAAACGCATATTGGGAATGATTCTGCGAGTAGCTCTCACTTTACTCTCCGTGGTCGTTTCTATTCTCGTGCCCGACTTCAGCGCTGTGATGGCCTTTCTAGGCTCGTTTTCGGCCTTCCTGATAGTTGTGATTGGACCCATTGGTGCTCACATAGCTATAAAAGGCTCTTGTAGTGCATTTGATGCGCTTGCGGTAGGTTTGGCTATCGTGATGGCTGTTTGGGGAACGGCAGCAGCATTCTTATCCGCTTGAACTTTGTTATAGCCTCAGTCGTACATGGTGGACAATAACTTGGACAGCACTACAAGATATATCGTATAGGGAAAGCTACTACAGCAATAAACATTAGAGATGTCAACGGTTAGTGCGTCAAGCTTTTGCAGCGTGAGATATGACTTTGATGAGCTCTAAGAACCGGTGAGTATCGAAGAAATAGGACAGAAAATATCACGGACGAGGTAGCTTGATATTTTCTTGGACAACGGTGGCCTCGATTTGATTGTCTGGATTTGGAGGGATATTGATGACGGTACCAGACTGGTCGACTGACCACCCCAAGTTTTTAACATAAGCTTGTAGCTCGGGCCCTAAAATCCTGTTAGATCCGCAAAGGAAGAGACAAAGCAACCTTACCCTCCAGATCGAGATACTGGCCCAGCCGCTCGGTTCCTATCCTCGTGAAGGTCGCTTTGACGGCACGCACGACCACTGCTCTGACAGCATCCTCGAAGCCAGCGTATTCTACCGTGTAGTTGTCCCGGAGGTTTTCAAGTTCGTTTGAGTGGTATACTGACCAGAACTTGGGGAATCGGCAGCGGTCCAGAAGTTCATGGAGTTCTTGTATGATGGGAAGGAGAGAAGGGAGGGGGTCGGGCTCGTCGAGGGTGGCACTGATGGGTTTATCTTCGAGAAGAGATATACAGAGATTGAAGTCTGGTAGAGGGGACGCCGTGAGGGACTTGATGAGGATGTTGACGATAACGTCTGGGTTGTACAGGTCCGGGTTGAATTGATACCTTGATAATTGAGTTAGAGCAGGAGATGCAGAAAACAAGGAAAAAGGGCCTACAGCTTGAGAATTGCCAAATTTGCCAAGCAGTCGTACTCCTGGTTTCTGATCTGTTGGTAGAGGTAGTCTTCGAGAATGGTGACATTGGACGGGTTGTATCGGTCTTGAACAGAGTCAGCGTCCAGTGTTAGTCGAGAAAATACAACGCACCAACGCCAGATACCAGGTAATCAATGTTTTCTGGCCGTGTCGGAGGCGATATCCAAGCTGAGGCCATTGTATAGTAGTAATACTGTATACGTTGAAGACAACAGTCGAAAGAAACTTTTCCTCGAAGCCACGTGCTCCAACTTTTTCGTTATCCGACAGCGACCACCAATGAAGGATGAAGCTCTCGCTTCTGCGTCCAGCTCCCAACAGTCAGCTCTTTTCTATCCTCGTCTGTCATTGAACGGGCACACGAGGTCTATCTCATCTCTTAAGTTTAGTCCCGATGGGTCAACCTTAGCTTCATCGGGTATGTTCATCGAACCATCCTCGCCATATAATCTTTACAAAATAGCATGAAGGACAGGCGCCGACAGAGTAATAAAGCTGTGGGATGCATACACCGGTGAAATCCTACGCACGCTTTCTGGTCATGACCAAGGTATTTCCGACATCGCCTGGTCCTCCGATGGCGAATTTCTGGCATCTGCGTCCGACGACAAAACCATAAAAATATGGAGCATGGATAAGGTGAGCCTCTGTGTTTGCCGGAAATCCTCTCTTATGCTATGAACCAGGGTGTGGAAGTCAAGACTCTAACCGGCCATACAAATTTCGTGTTTGCTGTCAACTACAATCCTCATTCCAATCTTCTCGTGTCCGGTGGATTTGACGAAACCGTTCGCGTGTGGGACGTTGCCAGAGGTGCCTCTATGTGGCTATAGCGTGTCTAAAAACACTGATAGGTCATTAGGAACATGTTTGAAGGTTCTCCCGGCACATTCAGATCCTGTCACCTCTGTTAGCTTCAATCACGACGGGACCCTGATTGTTTCATGCGCCATGGATGGCCTCATGTCAGTCATTTGCCTCGTTTTGATCTTCAACCGTGCCGACCTCACACAGACGCATATGGGACGTTGACTCTGGCCAGTGCCTAAAGACTTTGGTTGACGATGATAATCCAATATGGCGCGTCAGTTTCGTTTGCACTTTGCGAAGCTTTTTTGACGTGATTACCAGCTCTCATGTTGAATTCTCTCCCAACTCCAAATTTGTTCTTGTGTCAACTCAAGATTCTACTATACGGCTATGGAATTACCAGACATCGCGCTGTGTGAAAACATACTCCAGCCACGTCAACAGAACTTATTGTCTGTTTTCGTGTTTTAGCCACTCCAAGCATAAATACATCGTCAGCGGAAGTGAAGACCATAAAGCATATATTTGGGATCTGCAAACACGCCAGGTCTTGCAAACCCTGGAAGGGCATCGAGGTAAGTTGAACGTATCTGTGCGTCCGCCATTAAGACCAAACCTTTGCATGCTCTAGACGTTGTGCTTGCCGTTGCCGTGTGTGACACAACTCCCTCGACAGCCGCAGTCACTAACTTGCATACTTAAATTACAGACACACCCCACGAAAGACATAATCGCAACATCATCAATGGAGAAAGACTTGGCTATCCGACTTTGGTTTGGAAAAGATGATGTTGTCACGCAAAAGACTCAATGACGATGATGCAGCTTCATATGGACGTAACTATCGTATAATAAATGTACAGATATGCGCTACGAATCTACAACGAGCTCTTCGACATGATCAGCTGCCACCACGAAGACGAAGAACTATTGAATGACAATTAATCCCAGCTTTATCCGAGAGAAAACCATCAACTTACCCAAGTGAAGGGTACTCTCCTTCTGGATATTGTAATCTGACAACGTGCGACCATCTTCCAGCTGCTTGCCAGCGAAAATGAGTCGTTGTTGGTCAGGAGGAATACCTTCCTTGTCCTGAATCTTCGCCTTAACATTATCGATGGTATCAGACGACTCCACCTCAAGTGTGATCGTTTTACCGGTGAGTGTCTTTACGAAGATTTGCATGCCACCACGGAGACGAAGGACAAGGTGCAGCGTCGACTCCTTCTGAATGTTGTAGTCCGAAAGGGTACGACCATCTTCCAACTGTTTGCCGGCAAAAATGAGACGCTGTTGGTCGGGTGGAATACCCTCCTTGTCCTGGATCTTTGCCTTTACGTTGTCGATGGTGTCTGACGATTCGACTTCCAGTGTGATGGTCTTTCCTGTCAATGTCTTGACGAAGATCTGCATTCCACCTCGGAGACGAAGCACCAGATGAAGTGTGGACTCTTTCTGAATGTTGTAATCCGAAAGCGTGCGGCCATCTTCCAGCTGCTTCCCGGCGAAGATGAGACGCTGCTGGTCGGGAGGAATGCTACAGTCGACTACATGAGCAATGTGACAGACATCATAAAATGGCAGTAACGTACCCTTCCTTGTCCTGAATCTTAGCCTTGACGTTGTCGATGGTATCGGAAGACTCCACCTCGAGAGTGATCGTCTTTCCAGTCAAGGTCTTGACAAAGATTTGCATGCCACCACGAAGGCGAAGGACGAGGTGGAGAGTAGACTCTTTCTGAATGTTGTAGTCGGACAAGGTGCGACCATCCTCAAGCTGCTTGCCAGCAAAGATGAGTCGTTGTTGATCAGGAGGAATGCTGTCAACGCGTCAGAACGATGTAAGACTTTCGGAGATGATGGGAGTGTACCCTTCCTTGTCCTGGATCTTCGCCTTGACGTTATCAATGGTATCGGAGGACTCGACCTCAAGCGTGATGGTCTTGCCGGTCAAAGTCTTGACGAAGATTTGCATGCCACCACGAAGGCGAAGGACGAGGTGGAGAGTAGACTCTTTCTGAATGTTGTAGTCGGACAAGGTGCGACCATCCTCAAGCTGCTTGCCAGCAAAGATAAGGCGTTGTTGGTCTGGAGGAATGCTGTTGCAACCGTTGTTAGGCACTGTGAACACAGCTCGAATCAAACTGCTCACCCTTCCTTATCCTGGATCTTGGCCTTGACGTTGTCGATAGTGTCAGAGGATTCGACCTCGAGAGTGATGGTCTTTCCAGTAAGAGTCTTGACAAAGATTTGCATGATGGTTGTAATAGCTAAGCTGGAAAGTGCCAACAACGGTTGAGCAGTCTTATACAATCAGATGAGCGGAGTTTGAACTGATCACAGCCTTTGTCATGATTAGGAAATAGCCAGAAAAATGGAGAATGTTAAAGTGGCTGGGTGGAAAAGTAGTACAATAGTCTGTCCTAAGAATTCAGAGTGAGGTCACGATTGTTATGTACAGTCCTTGTCTACATGCAAACCTTCTACCTTTCTTCTCCGCTTCCTCTTCCTGGTCGGATGAATAACACTCCGCGGTTCTACATCCTCAGCGTCATCTTCGTCATTATTCCTCTTCCTCTTCCTCTCTGTCAAGGTTCTAGGATCGTCATGCGTTCTTCCACTGCTGTTCTTGCCCTTGGTCGGATTATCGACCTTTTTCTTCTTCACGCTCAGAGGGTTAGGGCCTTTCGGTCCCTTCCGCTTCTTCGGAGGTGGATCCAAAGATGATGGGCCGACCAATGCGATGTCAGGAGCCGTTGGGTGTAGAGATTGTTCTTCACTCTGTTTATCCTATCATCAATAGTCCGTTGCATAAGTGGCCAAAGAGTGACCTGCCTTTCGTTTGGATGCGAGTGTCATATCACTAGCGGGTTCAAGGACCATTACAGAACGGTTGATATGAACAAGGGGCACAGCAGGAATGTTTCGCAATTTCGAGCGGAGCGGCTGCGACTGGCATGCTATAACATATCGATGCTTGTTGGCATCTCCTACATATGCAAAATCTAACATTGTAAAGAGACAGATTTAGTGTTGAAACGCACCAACGACGCTTTTAAGACATTCATCGCCCGGTATTGGTTCCTTGTGGTTACATTTTCGTCTCTCAAAGGTTTTTGCAAGATCGACAGCATTTTGGCGAGACTTTCCCTGAAGGTAGAGTTCATGTATGCAGCACTGAGTTATCACTGAGAAGGCGGTACTTTTTCGTTAAGCTTTCAGCGCCCACCGGAAATATGCTAAAGATGTACTCACTGGGCTTTATTTCCCCATGTAAAATGGCACCTATCTGTTTCACTAATTCGATGTTTGTATCCGTAGCCAACTTGCACATTTCAGAGTCGACTGGTTTGGTTAAGTTACGCGGTTCAGTGTCGCTGAGGAAATCATCTTACTGAGAACCTGATACGGTTGACGAAAACCAAAAGTCATGGAATATAACGCCATGAGCTTTCTATACGTCTTGGATCTCTTTTGCCGCATTTTGAGATGCCTTTGGATGGATGAATGTGGAAGGAAACTTGAAGGGCGGTTTGGTCATATTTGATTACCGCTTCTTCCAACGCTATGATACCTTTTATTCTTCATCTTTTGGGGATTTTGAGGTCAGTCGAGTAGCTTTTATTGAATTCACAACTGATTATGCTCCAGCCTGTTATTCCCCGTTCACGCTGTCGATGTCATTGGCCGTTTACAATGGAATGACGTGTGCCCAGGTGTGCATTCTGCATAGAATAACAAAATCTTCAGCTCTATATCCTTGTTCAGGTCTGCTTGAGCTAGGGCCGTCGAAAGTAGTACTGGATAATGGACGAAGGAGCGGGAATGTAGTTCAAGATGGTTCCTTCACGATGTCCGTCGTTCTGCGTCCCTCTATTCGCATGCTGACGCGACCGTTCCAGATATGATGTCCCCACTGGAACCTACATCCTCTCTGTATTAACGCACGATTTTGTCTTTGACCAGGTATTTGTATTCATGAGTGTATTTTAACAGCAACTTTATAGGTCTTAGCTGCGAATAGATGTCCTTCAGGATGCCATAGTAGAGGTGCGACCGTACCTCCCTGGGACGCCATTAAACCCGCCTGTTCCGAATCGCTTGCAGTATCCGTTGGCTCTTACTCCGCGAACAAAGCACAAGTATTTTGTGCCGCCTGATTCATTCAACATGCTCGGCATGCTCAAGAGTCCTATGGTGTTGATGATGGTCTTTACGGGCGCGATGGTGTTGGCTATGCCTTACCTCATGGTGTGTTCAGGACTGGTGCATTGTTGGCAGTTATCAACTAGTCCTCCAGAAAAATATGGACCCCGAAGCACTAGAAGAGTTCAAGGAGCAGCAAGCCAAAGTGGCCAAGATGCAAAGCGCTATGACGAACGGTGACTTCAAATCAGGGTGAGCCATGCATTTATCTAGTCCAGGACATTTCATGAAAATCCTGGAACCAGCTTTTCTGCGTTGTTGCCTGCGGGTGATGAAGCGCCGAAGGAGACGCAGTCATCTTCCACTTCGACCGGCACATCTAAAGGCTCACAAGGCAGCAAAACCCGGGGAAAGAAGCGGAAATAGATTGGGCAGTGCAGTATGTACATGATATACATTATTTAAGTGTCCAAGTCAAGAAATCCAGGCGTCCAAGTCAAGAAACTCCACGAGCTCAAACGTCTGGTCGTAACGTTGAATTTCTTGTCGGAGGCAGGGTGGTCGTGTTGGTTGCCTTTGGAGTCTCCGGGTAGGCAAGACCGCGTCGTAAGATAGCATTTCTGTTTAAGATAAGATGATAGTCTCCGAGATTGAGACTGTAGACGTACTTGTGCTTGAACTCTGCTAGAATGGCATGGGGAGATTTCTCCTCGTGGTCTGCATTCCTGAGCGCTTGTCAACTGAGGAATTGCATGATTCATAGTCAATCAGGCTCACTTGCTTTCCAGCATCGTGGTTTCGATGATGAACATTTTCTCGACTCGCTTCGTGCCACTTTCGTCCACTGCTGCTACGCCTGGTGCGTCCTCTATTTTGAGACCAGTTACGGACATGTTCTTGGAGATGCTCTTCACTGCGGGCGGTGCGCTCGAGGAAGGGTCGTAGTCCAACAGAAGGACATGTTCTTGAGGGTATTGCGGGAGCAATGACAAAAGAGAGTCGTCTGCATAATGATACTGAATTGCGGGATGTCCTAAAGTTGTTGAAGGAGCTGGGGATAGTGAAGAATTCGAAAAGAGAATGTAATATGGTGGTGGTTTATTGGAGGCCATTGAATTGCCAATTGCATCGAATAACGTCCGACCGTCCCATATTAGCCCATACTTTCCTTGTCCTTTTCGACCAGAATGCCTCGTTCTGTCTTGTGATTCATTACCGCTGGTACAGGAAGTGACTATACCATCAGCTCTGCGATAAAGTTGCGGATGAATGAGTCCTTGACGTTTTGTTAACCCTAATTCTTACAGTGAGAACATTCAGGCTGGGAGCACTAATGTCAAGTTATACAGCCCATCTTTCGATACCCTTGATGATGCCATCTGACATCCAGAACGTCTACATCATTCATGTCCTTGTGGGCTGACTGACGAAATCCTGCCCATCTTTAATGCGATCCACTATACAACGTTCAACAGCCACCCTGTTTTTCATCAGGTCAGAGACGGAAACCCCACTTAAGTTAAAAATTATGAATTAGTATGTAATCTCTGTATACTCCGCCATAGACTACGCCAACAGAGTGCAAATTACAATATTAATCCCCCCGTCGATATCCGGTGAAACTTATCAGACGGTTGTACAGCCGATCCGGATGCTGACTGACCCTTGTGCGTCCCTGCTATATATATGTACTACGCACGTAACGTATCCTTCACCGTCGTATGGCTGCGCTTTGACTTATTTCCTTGTTATCTTTGTGATCTCATCCCTGAGTCGTCGGGGCTCGTCCGTAGTCAATCCACTTTCCGGGTCCGTTCTCAGGAGTCGATAGTATTCGTGCATTCCATAAATCTTCTCAGGCAATTAACGAGATTATAACTCTACAGTGTTTTTTTGTCGGCACTGCACAATCTCTGCACTTCCTGAATCACCTAATTCACCGACCATTTTCCTGATCATTACCGCGGTCGCTTGCGATTGATCAGTTCAAGGCTGCTCCACTTGCTCGATATCAAATGGGACCGTGTCATCATCGTGGCCATGGAGATTACCATGTACTACTCACTTTCAAATCGATTCTGAACTATCTGTTGCAGAGCTTCAAAAACAAAAGCTACTCGCGAACCTCCCTTGAAAATCTGGAACTTAGGCTTTGGACACCGCGGAACCATAAGGCGTCACATTTCCATTTTATAACTAGAGAATGTTGTCTCCTATTCACCAAGTGCTGATGTATATTCCTTCCGGTCCCAATGGGCCCTGGAGACGCGCGTCGTAAGTTAATCCACATGCACTTTCTGAGCGGATACAATACCTGAACGATATATAATTCAGTCATTCTGGTGTGGCCCAATAAATCCATTACATCTCTTTTCTGTTTCTTGGGTGCTGTACGACCCATTCTTTTCATTCCCTCAGCACGTTCCTTCAAAAATTGAAAAACCATGATTTATTCACTTGCTATCGCGGTGGCCGTTCTGCTTGTCGCCCAGCCCTCTGGCGGGCTGGCGGGCCCTGCACTAGCAAAAAAGCAGTGGGCCGGTTGGTCGCCTGACCAGCTCTGTAGTGGAGGGGTCTACGGACGCGACCAACCTTGGTGGATCTTCGCTAGCATTAGCTCTGACTCTTGGGGATCCTTCTTTTCGTCTCAGGCCTGCGAGACTGGGTACGTCGCAATGTTCGGTAGCTTCACGATTGAATCCTATCCTCTAGTAGCTTTGCTAGCGCGACAAACAGCGCTTCGTGGCCTTCTGCTACTGATGTTGAGACCTCCACGTACACTGATGTCCCTTCTGTAACCCAGATTTCTGTGGAGGAATATAGTCCAGAATCCACCAGCGAAGCTGCTGTAGGAGAGACTACTGTTGAAACGCAAACACCAGTAGAAGGAAGTGGAGTTGAAAGCACTGCTACTGTGACCTCTTCTGCCTCTGCATCCAGCTCTTCGTCCTCGGCATCTTCAGGTGACATTGACGCATGGTTGACCGCACACAACACTGTCCGACAGCAACACGGTGCTGATAACTTGACTTGGAGCGATGAGGTCGCATCAACTGCACAGGCATGGGCTGACCAATGTAACTTCGAGCATTCTGGCTCGTCTTATGGAGGTTTCTTCATTTTTGTGTGCCAGTTTTTTTTTGGATGCGCTGACGGGTTTCCAGAAAACTTGGCTGAAGCTTCTGGAGATGTGAATATTGCGGCTGCTGTACAGTTGTGGGCCGATGAAGCTTGTTAATTTTCCTTCCTTCTGGTGGTTTGCCAGGTGCTGATGGAGCCGGACAGCGGAATACAACGCTAGCAACCCGACCTACTCGCATTTTACGCAAATGGTTTGGAAATCTACTACGGAGCTTGGCTGTGGTTACGCCAAGTGTTCCAACATTTATTCAGATTATGGAGTGGGTACTTTGATCTGTGCTATGGAAACAGGTGGCTCATGGAATTTACCAGGGTGGAGTACTTTATGTTTGCAACTACAATCCTGCTGGGAACATTGATGGAGAATATGCGTGAGTACCACTGAGTCTGTGGCGACTCTGGTGGGTATTAATGAAAATTTACAGCGAGAATGTCCAGGCTTGAAAGCATTTATGACATCGGGAATGTGTGGCTGGGCCACTACGTATATATTTTGAATTATTTACAAAAATGTATCGATACATGGTTGATCCACGAAGATGAAATTTGATCGAAGCCTCGTGACGTCGTCTTTCATGGGCTCAATCCGCCTGCTGTCGTCACTGACCTACCTCCTCCTCCTCCTCCTCACTATATGCGCCATTCTACTCTCCTGTGTCGCCCTTCTCTCCCAAGCCGTCCGGACCTCGCCAAGTCAGTCCTGGTCCGGGAACATCAACGCCCTCATCATCGGCGCCAGCTACGTCGCCGTCGTACGTCCCACAGCTTAGTCCAGTCCTCATCAAGCAACTGACCTGTGCCCGTGGCAGTTCTTTACTTCCCTGTTCTTCTGCGCCAAACGCCGTATAGCAGTTCGTCTGAGATTGCAGAGGATCTCGAAGAATTATAAGCCTATTGGGAAGGAGGACGTGCCGAATGTGGGTTGTGTTTCAATACATTGTCGCACCCATTAATATTTGCAGACCGTACACGAGTACATCACGAGGGAATATCTCCGTGCGTGTCTTGTCTCGTATGAATCCGAGCCCAAGGAGGCGTTTCATCCTGGCTGGGGACGACCGGGGACCAAATATGCTGGAGTGAGGTTTCGGAGGGCTCTGTTGGATACCGTCGCAGAGATGGGTGGGCAATTCTTCTTCAATGTCGATTTTGAAACGCCTTAGCTTCAATGCAGATGCCCTTGCACATGTGGTAATCCCGGCTCACCCAGTGCTTAAACCGCATGCAAGGATGATACACCACTTTCGTTTCATCGTTCCCCTGCTTGACGACCAGGTAGTGTTGCGTGTGTATGATTCCGCAATCCAGCTTGCAAGGAACTCCGAAAGGGAGCCGACGGAGGAAGAGTTTGAGGTCGGTTGGGAGGCGGCAGAGGAAATCAGACAAACGTCAGTTAATTACCCTGAATTTGCCGCGTTAATGCTCATATATATTGATCAAGATTGGACGAGTGCAGGATGGAGATGATGGAAGTCAGTATGACCTAGCTCAATGCATCGGTTACTCAGTATGTTCATTTGCGATTATCAAGTGAATCGACTGACTGGTTTACAGATTGAATGTCTAGGTTTTGCTATTCACTACAGTTGACTTGGAAACGCTTCCACTCTAGTGTAATCCTTCGGCATACACCTTCTTCCAGCTGTCCCTAACTATCCATGCTCTGGCGTATCCCCTTACAGTCTCTGGAAGGGGGGCGCCAAAGTTCTTCTCCAACGACTCGAGGGCATCACCAGCACTGGTAGCACCAGATGTCGCAGCAATACGCGTCAACCATGCGGCGACGTGAAAGTCGGCTTCGCCAGGTGTGGCTCCGGCAATGAATCCTTCGGCAGGAAGAACAGTAGGGAGGACAATGTAGAGATATGTCTTGAGGCTGTCAAAGTGTGCTTGGGACTGGGCATAAAAGGCAGCTGGGTCTTTGTTGGCGCCGGTGTAGATGTCAAGGAGTGCGCCGTTGCCAGCGAGCTTTTCACTGTAGAAAGCTGCATGGCGGGAGTTGGTAGGATCTTGGGAGTGCTTCAAAAGGGCGTTCTGGCCTGGAGATGAAATTAGAGGAGATTGCTGAAAAAGAGAACGGACATACGATTCTCGACAAATGTCTTGGGCAAAGCAGCAGCCTTGGCGACCCTCTCAGATTCGTCGCGAACGAGAAGCAAGGCAAAGTTGGGGTCATACTGGTCTTCGTGAACTTTGTCAATGATGGCCTTGTGGGATGCAGGAGTGGACAGGAGTTTAGGAGCATGGGCGACGAGGTACGAGATGACGTCGGCTGTCGACTTGTATGTCTTGTCGTCTGCGGTCAGAGTGGGAAGGGTGGCGCTAGGATTGACGTCGATAAAAGCAGGGTCAAAGTTCTCGCCGTTGACGAGGTTGATGGTTTTCGTGGCTATGGCGTCGGCTGGATATAATTCGGCACTGTAAATTATTAGTACCCGTCTTTGACAGCGCCAAGTGGTTCTTACACTGCGAGCTCGGGAGCGGCAGACCAGACGGATCCGCCAAAGGTGTACAATGTAGGAGACATTGAAGAGAAGATCAGGGATGGAAAAGCTGATGTCTGACAACGATATTCGAGGGGATTAAATAAATAGTAGCGCGTCACGATCTCATTACTCAGTCGTGATCGTTTGATAATCAATTTCAAAGCATCCTGACACGCTGACCGTGACCGGGACTACATAAAACAGTTACTTCTACGTCTAAAAGACAAATACCTGTTGATGATTGATGAGTAAATGCGTGATTCCAAGATGCGAAGGCATACCTGATCGACAAGCTTGCTGACAGTGCGAGGAGCGGGGTATTTAAGCTCATCAAGGTGTTTCCTGGGGCAAGTTAGCCGGGGTAGAACGGTGACAGGAAAATAGCGTACTTCATAGCAGTGATCATGGGAGGTGGACCACACATGAGGACCTTGGAATGCAACTCGGGACCAGGTAGATGGTCAGAAATCTGGTCCTTGGTAACAAACCCAACTCCACCATTCCAATTAGCAGGGGGGTTGTTGAGAACGTAGTAAACTTTGAAGCGGGAACGGTCGTACTGGACCTGGAGGTCGTCAAGCTCCTTCTTGCAGAGGATATCTTCATGGTTGACATTAGCGTAAATGAGCGAGAGGACGGTACGATCTGTGGGGTTCTTGAGGGCGGCACGAATGATCTGGATCATGGGAGTGATGCCGGTACCGCCGGCGATCATGCCGATGTTAGCTACGAGGTCGGGAGTATAGGTGAACTGACCCCTAGGACCCTTGACACGAATGGTGTCGCCAATCCTGAGGGTCGAGAAATGTCGAGAGATGTTGCCTTTTTCGTACGACTTGATGAGGAGTTCAAAGTGGCCACGGTCATCATCGGACGAGATGGGGGTGTAGGACCGCATAATATCCTTGCCATTGATCTCGGCAGAGATGGAGATATGCTGGCCAATAGGGAGACCCAGAATGTCGTTGGGGTGCGGCAGGCTGAATCGGTAACTAGAGCAAAGGATTAATTTTGGATGAAACGAAGGGGCAACACATATGATATGACTTGCACTGCGGTATTGGGCGACACCTGGGTCTTTTTTACGAGAGGAAACTCTTGCCAACTGGCGGGGTCGAGTACTTTCGACCGCCCTGGGAGCTAGTGAGTCAAACGACGCGACGGACGACATGTACGTACCCTTGGGGAAGAGGGCCATGAGCATGAAGCCTCCAAACACGACGGCAGCGGTGATGAGGGCGGTAGACGACAGAAGGTCGACGGTGCCCAGCAACGGCAGATCAACAGCACTCAACTGGGTTCTGAAATCGGCAAATGAGTACGAGCCCATTTCTGGATGGCTGGGATCCTTGGGAAGGCCGATGAGGATGAGGTCAGAGAAATGAAAGCCGGCCTTGTCGAAGCTGGCGTTAAGGACGCGAGAGACGACGAGGAGGAAGGAAAAGGGAAGAACGAGGGAAACGAGAAAGACAAACTGGTTTTGGTTCATGTGGGGTGGGTGTACTCTGGGCGGGTCTGGCCAATCGTACGACGGGGCCCGTAAGGCCGAAAGTGGCAATTATTTAATGATGATAAATAATTTGATAAAATAATGTGATGATAACAAGTATTGTTGACGACTACGACGACGACGACAGCCTGCGGACGCAAGGCCCGCCGCCTTTCTTTCTTTTGATTCTCTCTTCAAGAGCTTGCTAGCATCTGCTGGCTGCTTATTTCCTGTTCTCCTGCTTTTTTCACCACGCTGGGCGTGCAATTTCAGGCAGCAACGACCGACGCAATGGCCGCAAGTGCGCCTCGCAAAAGAGGCCCGCCTCCTGGCCTACGCATCGAAACCCCGATATTCCCGCTCATCGACACAGATTCGGACAATGGCGGCCGACCACGCTCCCTCAGAAACATGAAGAAGCTCTCCCTCACTCTCCCCGACGCCCAGTCATCCTCCGACAACATTACTGCCGCCACCGCCGCCTTTCCGCCTCGCCCTCGACGTCCGTCTGTCATCTCTCTCCCTGCCCCGACGCCTGCCGCCCTCCTCGCGCGCAGCGAAGAACACGATCCCGACGTTCCTTACGCCGATGGGCCCCTCCAAATCATGCCTGGCATCTGGCTAGGCTCTGAGGACAACGCCCGTGACTGGCCTCAGCTCAGAGATCGCGGTATCAAGGCCGTCCTCAACGTCGCCAAGGAAGTCGCCTCACCTTTCGACACCTCCAAGCCCCTTCGCTCGTTTGCCTCGGCTCCCAACCTCAAGGGTTCTCAACTAGAGCTCACAGATACATTCTACCCCGCACACCACGCCTCTGGACGACCTGCCATGCATTATCTCAAACTCATGTGGTCTCATGGCCAGCAGGATCTTGTGGCTTCTGGGTTCCCAGCTGCAATGGCATTCACCGACGCTGCCCTCGAGCGAGGTGATGGCGTCCTCATCCACTGCCAGTGTGGTATTTCTCGCTCAGCTACCATGGTAATTGCCCTCGTCATGCGTGCGGCCGCCGAGCGCTCTTCCAACGTCCCACCGGACATATGGGCTCTCAAGGGTATGCAGCCCGCATATGATTTCGTAAAACAGAAAAGCAAATGGATAGGCCCCAATATGTCGTGCGTTTCGTTTCATTCACCCCCTTGCTTGGTTTTAGCTCATATTCAGTTACTTGCAGGTTAATATACCAGCTATTGGACTATGAACGCAAACTGACCAGCTCTCCTTCCAATTCGGAACGCTCCTCGATCGTTGATGAGGAAGAGGAATGGGGTAGGAAGAGACGGTTGCTTGATGAGACACCATCAGAACCGGAGGATGAAGAAAACACGTTTGTCATGCGGGAGGCCAAGGCGCTTGACAAGGCTATGGAAGACCGCATTGTCGCACGGAAATCGTCAGCCTCGTCGACGTCCTCTATGGGATCGTCGACCTCTGGTGTTGGCATGGGCGCCGCATGGAGAAGTCGCTATGGTGCTCGCAAACGCACTGGATCAGTAGCGAGCAGTATCTTTAGCGAAGAGTTGGTAGAGGAAGACGAGGAGCGCAGTCTGCTGGGTATCGGTGGTGGGTTTGACGAGACAAGCAGCTTTGAGCGCGACACGTCGTCGTCGTCGACCAACTCGCCAGACGATGTAGACTATAGACGGAGTTCGACGCGACCGCCTCCGTCTGCCCCGATATGGAAAACGTCTTTTAGTTTTGTACCGCCACCGTCGGCAACGCGGGCGACGTTTGATATGCACGGGACACCGAAGGCTAAGCGGCGACCAGTGCCGCTCCTGCCGCCGGTTCCGCCGTCGCCGACCAATGTTCTGGTCAACAATTCTCCTCCAAAGCCGCCCAAGCACCACCCTTCACCTTCATCGTCGCCCTCGCCTCGCCCTCATAAACTGTCTCTGCGGATGCGCACCGAGTCGCGTAAACCGGCCCCCCCGCCTCTTCATCTGCGACATTCTGTTTTGAACCAGGCGCGGCCACAGACAAGTCACGCAGCTACACCGAGCCAGACGCTGTTTGTGTTCCCGCCGAGTCCGACGATGGGACGGACGCCTGCGACGATGACGCTTACGAGTGAAGGTGTGCCGTGGCCTGCGATCACGCCTCGTGTGTCAACGTTCCGGTCGCATGGACGGACGAGAAGTTTTATTGGGATTGCTGCGCCGCCTACACCGACGACGGCGTTTAGCAAGGTGGACGCAAGAGGGTATGTCGGGTTGGAAAGCAGTATGATGTAGGCGTTATGCGATCTATGCATCTCTATTTTTTAAATTCTGTCAATTTTTATTTACACTTGCATTTGAACTCTTCAGCGCACACATCCATTGACACTGTTTTCTTCCCTTTTTTTCATGTTTTTTATTTCATGTATCACCAGGGTTTGATCTACGTTCATTTTACGCCTAGTGACAGTCGCTTAGTCTTGTTTTTTTTCGATGCACATACATTTTTTTTATTCGACCTCTATATATTATATATTGTAGCACTACGGAAGAATAAAAAAGAAGTGGTTGCAATGTATGCTACTTGAACATCCTCCCGACAGACTGTTTGACAGCGCCTGAGAGTAGGGAGCCGGTGATACCGCCAAAGTCCCATGATGAGGAGAGATTGTTGGCCCAACGCTGCTTGGCGTCGCGGTCTGCGTAAGTGAAGCCGATGGCGTTGGTGATGTTGAAGATGAGAGCGAGGACGACGATGGGCACGAATCTAAGAAGAGTGAGATGTGAGAGATGTAGCAGAGGGAATAGACGCACGATATGCTGAGCTTGAGAAGGGATACAATGAAAAGAGCAGCCCAGAGACAGGGAAAGATGTATAGAGCTATCCAGAACATCTTGGAGTCAATGGGGTTGGCGGGGTGAGAGGGATCGCGACTCTCAAAGACCCAGAAGCTCTCGCCATCGTCGTCAACTTGGTTCCAAAAGCGCAAACCAACAAGAGTGCGGCCGGCCACGTTGCGGCAGTTCCAAAAGTCCATTGCGAGGAGGACGACGACTACGACGGTCTGGGGGGAAGGTTTAGCTGTTAGGTATGACAGAAACAGGAGACGTACGGATAAGACATAGTTGTCGGTAAAGAAGCCACAGAGGATGTATACAGTTATTGCTGCTATGCGAAAGAGAAAGAGAAAGAAGAGGGCGAGGGGGTGGGCTGATTGGCGGAAGATGCCTGCTATGCCTGAGTATGGGTGAGTATTGGTTTGGTGGATGCCAGGGACGGCGCACCGGATTCGGCATCATTGTCGTTGGCGGCGAGGGCGGGATTAACATTTGTGAGTGGCGGGCGGCGGGCGGATGAGATGTGGCCATCGGGAATGTCGTCGGGTTCGATGGTGTTGTTGAGGAGAGGCGTCGACAGACTCATCGTGGAAGGAGGCAGGCGTGGCACGTGACCATCATGGACGAAACTACGTCGCTGCTAAATGGGCGCCCCGGGATTGTGGCGACGGCGGAGACGCTGGAGAATATACCAAGGGTGTCGTCGGACCGCGCAGTGCAGACCCAGTTTTCGCTGCTCGTCTTGTTGTACGCCCGCAAGAACGTCAAGGAGATTGCCAGTGGCACGCCCTGGGAAATGATGCAGCAGGCGAAGAAAAGGGAGAAGTTGGCAGAAAGGACCGAGTCAGACTGCATGGCGCTTTGGAGTGAATTCTGCGAGGAGGACGAGGATGTGGAGTCTGTGCTGTTTGGAGAGATGGACGGGATGCGGATCATTGATCTGTTGGACGCTGCCCCGGATGCACTCCTCGACGACGAGCTGTTCTATGCGACGATGGCCAGCGTCTGGACAAGGCACGGCCGTGCTGTTCATATACTCGACGTGGCTGCGAGATTGGCGACGTACGGTCTGTTGCTGAGTTACGTGATGCACCCGCCTGACCGGTCGACGATCTACGTGTCCGGCGCATACATGGGCGGGCGCGAGTGGGCGTTATTGCTGTTGTCGCTGTCGACGGGCTCTATCCTTGTTTTGTTGGCGTTTGTGTTGTCAGCGCCGCCATTCCCGGAAGACGCGTCGTTCGGGCTGCTGCTAGTGGCTGCGTTCGTGCTCACCTTTCAACTTCCTTTTAGTGTGATCCACTACCTTCCCGCCCTCCCGCTCATCATCGCCCTCAGGAGGAGAGTCGCAGAGACCGTGTTCCCGATTGTCGCCCTGTTCCTCCCCGCCCTCCTGCTCACCTGTTTCCTTCTCTCCGCCTCACTCAACAACGTCTTTCTCGCCGCCGCCATCCCGATTGAGACGCGCTCCTTTCTCCTCTTTCTCTTCTTTGCTATCATTGTCGTCGTCTTTTTAGCCCTTATTCTCGCTCCAAGTCCCGTTCACTTTGCCAACGACAAATGGAAACGGTACGGCCCAGCTGTCTGTCGCGAAGCCAGGTTGTCCTTTTATCGAATCGCGATCACCTACTCGACTCGGTGCTACTTTCCTCCTCCGTTCAATCTACTTGACTTCCTTTTCTTCCGTCCTCTGCTCAATTTCGGTATCACTGTCCGGTCCTTCTTTTGGCGCCTTACCATTGGTGTGATTGTGTACATCATCAACCGTCTCTTCCTTGCGACAGACTATGCAACGCGATTCCTATGTAGATATTTATCCCTTTGATGACCGGCCATGCCATATCCTTCTTTCACTATTCGGCTGGTCCGCTCCAATGAGACGACTTTTCTTTCTTATACTCTGCACGAGGGCTTTACCACTACCGCACGCTGCTAACGACACATCTATCTATTCCGCCCTCACACCCATGCTCCTCCAAATCGACCCCAAAGCTCCCGAGCGCTTCGTCACCGCCAGTCCTATCGGTCCCACTACCTTTGGCACCGCAGACCAAATCCAGTCCAACTATGCCCTAGCCAATATTGCTGACCGCCCCTTTGCAGAGACAACGTACTCTACCTGGGGTGCTACCTACACTGCCTTTCTTCTCGACACCGGCACAGACGACGCCCCGTCGTTTGCAGCCCAGGATTCCCTTATTGTACGCTACTATTCTGTCCTCGGGCGCCTGGCAGTCTACCAGACAAAACTGATGAAGGCATACCAAGACGATGTCGGCGGCGAGACCACCAATATTGGCGTGAGTCCCGGTGTGGGTGTCCCTCCTGCCGACCCCGTCAGTTTGCGGAAGATGGAAGAGTGGGCTCAGGGAGAGATCGCCAAGGCCGAGGTCGACGATTGCAAGCAGGAGCTCACGTTTACAAAGAGCGACTGGACAGCCTACCTCAGCCTGAATAGGACCTTGGCCGGAATTCAGCCCGATTATGATGACCAAACCCTCGCCAATCTCGTGAGATTTGTCCTCTTTTACATTCGGTTACCACTTATGGGACGTAGATTGCGTCTCAAGCCTACATAGACCAGAGTCTGCTATACAGTTATCCTGGTATGGTGAACAGGACGATGGTCGTCAGTGGTGAGCAAGGCAACCCTCAAGCTTCGTATGCCCCTGCTTGGACTGCAACTATTATCAACGCGACGAATATCGATGGGGCGTTGGCAAAGAATATCACGGTTAATTTAGAAAACGTGGCAAAGAGGGCAGATGAAGCTTCTGATACAGACACAGCAACCACGTCCAAATCTGCCGACTCTGCTGCAAAAATGTCGGGATGCAAACCCAAGCAAAAACGAGAAGCAAAAAACAAGATTTCGTCCGTATTTCGCGCGGTGGCAGCAGCAGCATCTTCTTCCCCGCTCCAAGTTGACGGTCACGACATAGTCAGCCACCAGGTTGTCTCTACGACATCCACCTCCCTCTCTTCACCCCTCACCCCCAACAGTAACCTCATCCTCGTCTCCCTCCAAGAGGGCACCTGGGCAGACCAGCGTGCCGAGTTTATCAAGTACGCATGGGAGGAGAAGCCGGATATTGCAAAGGTATATTTTGGGAGGCGGGGGGAGGGCCCGATTGGTCGTCGTTGGAGCCACGTGGTGTTGTTGGGGGAGGGGAAGGGAGAGGCGGAGAGTATTTGGTTGTTGGGCACAGTGTGGGAGGTCTTGCCTGTGCTCACTGATTATTAATGATCCAGTATTATGTCATCTTCATCTATGTTTTCTTTTCACTTGAAATGTCTAGACGTCCAAATCCAAATAAAAAGCACCGAACCGCTGGACCAGTCTTTGGCGCACCTTCAGAGGCAGACAGCCCTTCTGCTCAGCTCAACTATCCATCATCTGCTGCTTCTTCTACCCGCCTCCTTCCCATATACTCTGTTCCCAGCCTTGTCTCCCTATGCGCAAGACTTTTCACCGCAAATTTCGTGAAGCTTCACAACCGTGAAAGGATCTGGAAACGCACATCCCACTATTTGCAACTTGTCCCAGAGGAATTAAAGGACAGGATCTTTGGGATGCTCAGTGTTGCCTGGCCCACATATTTGTCTCATGAGATTATTGTCACTGTGCGATGATCCTTCCTTGAAAGCTCCCTCATGTATGCACTTCACTCACCGCCTATCCAGTATTTCTTGAATGGATCGTCTCTTACTTTGTCCAACGCCCTCCCTGGGGTCAATAGGAATACTATCTCTTCCATCAAGAGGTTCGGCGCAAGCCTGCGGGAACTCCGTTTAACGGGATTTGAGAAGATCCCAGATGAGGTCTTTGCCTCCATTCTTCCAAACGTGCCCCAGCTAAAGGTGCTCGTGCTCCGGTGCGTTGCTATTTCTAACAGCCGTGGTATTTCCCAATCAAGGTGAATCATCCCAGTGGATGCTCTAAAGTAGGCAGTAACACCGTCTTGGCTGCGTCCAAATGTACACAGCTCACCGTAGCTAATTTCAACTACACTTCTGCAACTCCAACGTCATTGGCCGTGCTGCTTGCGGCATGCTCAGAGTTACAGGTGCTCAAGCTCGCAAAGGTATCCAACTGGGTTCGTCTCTTTCCTCGTGCTTTTGGTTCGACAATATAATTCTTCAAATTAGAGAGACACGACATTTTCAAAATTCTTGTCTGCCGTAGATGAGACATTCAGGCATGCAAACCTTTGTAATCTAAAACTCCGTCAAACTGCAGTCTCCGACCATTCTATAGTCGCCCTCACAACCATATGTCCAAACCTTAGACGACTCGATGTCGCCTTCACTGGGATCCGCAAACCATCCCTATGGGTGGGCCAAGCTCCCCATCTCGAAAAGTTGTCGTTAACTTCCACTGCGATATCTTCCGGAGAGTTGTGTATTGCAGTTGAGAGCCTGCCGCAATTGAAAACCCTAGCCATAGGAGCGCTGGGTGTTGGCACAAGCCCGAATACCACAATCACTAACACCTCGTCGATGACGCTGAACGATGACGATTTGATACTTGTCAGTAACTTGCTGGCTGAACATGGAAGGCCACTAGAGTCCCTAAGTCTTGTATCCAATACCAAGCTGGGCTTGATAAGAAGGGAATCGAGTGCTTTGTGTCATATGATATCTCTTGTTGGGCGCAAATGCAAGGTTCGTTCGTGTCTTTCCTTCCGAACGCCCAATGCTAATAGCACAGCTGTTGCAGTATCTCAATCTGTCAAGCATATCATGTCTTCGCTCTTCAGATCTGGCCGGTTTAATGCCTACGTTTGAATATGATGAGCCTTGTGCTCTCCAAACCTTGATACTAAACAACACCGGTGTGGATGATGAGGTGGCGCCCTTCATTTCATGTTGTCCGGAACTTGCAACATTGGAGCTTTCAGGGACAAAGGTAACCGGTAAGTGCTATGAATGGCAGTGTCGTCGTCAGCAAATAAAAATGGCATATAGATGACGGTCTTTTTCCAATCATCGATGCTTGTCCAAAGCTTGTAAATTTAGATCTTACGAGTTGCCGAGGGGTAAATGTTGTTAATCGCCGCCGCTTTTTTGAAGTAAGTGATATACTATCTTTAGATAATCTTTGCTAAGAAACCACCAGGTCTGGGAGCAGTCTCGGTAGAGATATGCATACATTCTCGCATACACGTTCCAATTACAACATGATGAAAGGAGCGATATCTCATGAAGGAAGGCATTGTGAATAGTCTACCGATATCAGTGAGCGGGCGTCCATAGCGACGACGAAATATGACTCACAGTCGTTGATATATGTGCAAGTATAACCTGAAATACACGCAGTAGGACCTGTCCAATAAATACCTGAAGTATGGTTGATTTCAGGCTAACGGAAAAGAAATAGTCATTCATCCTTACCACCACACTCCTCATAAACCCCAGAGACTGACGTCGTCGTTGGAGTACTGGCTGATGTTGTACTTGTACTTGCTGTAGTAACTGGTTTTGTGGCAGTCGTCGACGTTGAAATAGCCGTCGTGGTGGATGCCGTAGCTGTCGGAGAGGAAACAGTGCCGGATGCATCGCCATAGAATATCCCCCGACCATTTGTGCCGATGTACACTCTGAAAGGTTAGTGTCAGTATTAAGATTAGCTGAAACTCCACCTGACAACCCGTACCGTCCGTAAATACGAGGATCAGCTGCAAGACAATTCGCTGAGGTAGAACCAAACCCATGACTAGCATCGTTGATTTGTACCCAGCTTACACCGGCGTCGTCGGACCTGAAATACCCAATTCCTCCATAGTTGGCAGCAGCGAACACAGCAGGATAGCCACCAGTCTATATCAACGTGAGCATCTGACCTAGAAAATACAAATCGTACGCACAGAAGCTGGAGCGCCCAGAGCAATTGCCCATGCTTGTGATATACCGGAAATCGCAGAAAATGATGATCCCAGGTTGGAAGAATGAAATAGTCCACTGTCGGTGGAGACCCACACATCGCCCGTAACATTGGGGTTGACGGCAATCTTTACTGGGGAGGTAGAGGAGCCTAAAGATCCCTTTGCTGAGAAAGTCTTGCCGCCGTCAGTTGATAGATAGAAAGACGAAGAAGCAGCCCCGTAGAATATAGAGTTGTTCAGCTTGTCCGACGCTATTACAGCGGTCGACGGAAGAGAGGACACCGCGGTAAAATTGTTCGTATACTGGGAGACTTGGACACCGTTTGAACTCGTACGCCAGAGAACGGTATCGCCGTCCGCGGAAAATGCTACTTTACCGCCTGAAATTTGTGAGCCATTTGAACTGTTGCTTTGAAATTTGACATACCTGATACATTGTCGGCAGCACCATAATCCTGAGACCTGGTTTTAAGGGTTGCAGTTTAGAAGATTTGTCATGTGCTGAAAGTAGCGTACCAGGTGGCGCCAGAATCGGTCGAGATGGCAACCTGCTTGCCCGTAGTGCTACGAAGACCCTTAGAGAAGCTGACGACTAATGAGGAATGATAGGAATTCACCTGTCTCCGGTGCCTATCAAAAGAAAATGAGCTTTTCGAAGAACCTGAGCGACCTCATGAAGACCGTACCGATGCGGACAATATTAGTGGGGTTATTACCGGCATAATCAATGTCAGCGGTCGTGGTCCATGTCGGATTTGTGTAATAGTTGCTCGGTGCTACATTCAAGTTATTATGAACGAAGCCTGCCCGAGAAGATTAGACAAAATCGTGCGAAACAGGTTCTAGAGAAAATAATCACCCTCAATGTCTCCGACAGCAGACAGTAAGTGAGGGCCACTCGGTGGTGAAATCAGTCCTTGGACAGACGTCTCTTCGATACGGTCTGCTAATGACTCGAGAGTAATGTTGTGGGTAGTATCCCACTTTACAAACAAACCCAGTAAGTAGATTTACTGCCGGTTGCTAAAAAGCGTGCGTACCTTGGTCAAATCGTGACTACCATATATGGTCGCGCCAGTACCGTACAGGAAATGATCAGAATCGAACGGGTCAATGCTGAGAGCTGCCATTTGCATCGTCAGCAGGTGAGATCATAAAGGGTGCTCGATGAGGTGCGCATACATTCCATCATCCACCCAATCTGCAGGTCACCGAGAACGGTGTCCACATAATTAGGCCCAAGCCATGGGGCAAGACTGTCGGAATAGGTGTAGTACTTGTCAATGTTCGGATACCCATTCCATGCCCAGAAAGGGGACCAAGTCGCCCCACTACATAGATGGTCAAGATTAAAAAAAAGAAGATCAACAGGTTCACAAACCTATCCGTTGACCGATAAATCTGCCCGTCCGGCCACCACGAATTCAGCGCTGCGACCATAAGGGTACCAGGTTTTTGAAGGTCGACGCTAAGACCACCGAATCCAAAATATAAGTCTGACCCTGAGACAGGCGTTATATCTGTCCCTTTACAAGACATTTAAACACTTTCAAGTCCCAAACTGAGCACTTACAAGTGGAAGCGGAGATGTTGTACTTGTAAACGCTCCCAAGAGTACCATCATATGGGCCCGCACCATTGCTATAACTGATGTAAAGGACATGTTCGTCCGGTGAGAGAACGCCCTTGTGAGGAATATAGGTAGTATTTTGTCCAGCCACGGCAGACCCTTAGCACACGCACACATAGTTATGGAATAACCATAAGAAGATGATCGCAGCACTCACAGGTGCTTCCACCATTTTCAGAGACAAAAATGTTGCTGGAACCTTGATTCGCGACGCCCACAAAGATCCGCGGGGTAGCGAAACCAGAAGATCCTGACGTCGAATCGAAGGTAACCCAAGAAATACCTGACCAACCTTTTGTACCTTCTCAAATATGGCTATCAGTTTGGAGACGAACCTATTATATCAGAGTTGTAGCCGGTAGTGTCGGTAGGGTCAGGGACATAGGTCCCTATCTCGCGGTTAAGCAGGACGAGAGTAGGAAGGCATGAATCGACATACCTGCACTAGGCAGACTACTAACTTTAGACCAAGTAGAGCCGTAATTAGTAGATTTATATAGCCCATTTCCGCTTCTCGCGCCGAAGAAAAGAATGGCGTTGTTGTTTGGGTCAACAACCAGACGCTGAAATAAAACGAGTTCATTGTTATTGTTCTACTTGAGGTAGGTTAACGCACCTCCCCCCTGGACGAGGACTTCGTAAGCACCGAAGAAAACGTTTAACTTAAGGAAGAGAGGCAGGCTTACATTCCGCGGCCAGGCATATTTCCGCCGACTTTGAACGGAAGACTAGAGGCCGTGAAAGTCGATCCATAATCAGTCGATATTAGTATATGGCCGTTGTTGGGATCCCAGGAGTTGGTATACATTCCAGTCGCCTGATCATAGAGTCAGCGTGCTTTTGAAATCTGCAGGAGCTTACCAGATAAAGGCGATTAGTCTCAACGGGATCTGTAGCCAGGGCATCAACACCCCAGTAGTCCCATCTTGCGTCGTCCACAAAGTCCAGCAGGGGAGTCCAGGTATCATCAGAGTTGAGCTTATATGCCCCTCCAATGTCGGTTCGAGCATAGGCTAAGCCCTAATGTGCATGTCATTCATGATGATGATGTACAGAAGATAAAACAATGTTGAATTACCTTCTCAGACGGGTTGAAGACAATGCCAGGGACAAAGCCACCACCACCGCCAATTTTGACATTCTGCCAATTGTAAGCTTGCGAAGATGCTGAGAGAGCTGGGGAAGCGAAGAACGCGGTTGCGATAAATAAAGAAAATGCCCTGAGGTCAAGCATCTTGAGCAGACTACGGTTTTTCAGAAGAGATTTGCCGACCTTATAAGAGCTCTGCCAGCAAGTAAAAAATGAGGTACCCGAGATATAGGCGGATGAGAGTGTGCCACACCCGAAAATCAAGCGGTCCCCCTCATTTGGGAGCAATATTATGGCACTGTGTTTGCAGTCTTATTGAAAGGTGGGAAGTCAAACAGGACATATGCCTGGAAAAAGGCTACAAAGTAAGATGTAGCAACGAGGTACAATGACGACATTTGTTCACCTATGCGTCAGAATACATCTAATTGGGAGGTTGTGCCTCGTGATAACAAGGTCACAAGAGGACGACATTCCTCCAAGTATGTATGTTTTTGTGGATTAAATTCGGCGCTGATAGGTGGCGGAGGTATAACACAGATCATATGCGTGATTGAACAGCTGAAGCCTACTTGTTCCATGTAGCTGACAGTCAAGCAATGCGATCAACGATCGCGCCGGGCCGGTCAGATGATCGACATACGAATGGGGATGCAAGCACGTGGCTGTGTCATTGTGGTGACAGTCCTCCTCGTGTTGCAGACTTCGCTGTATACCCAGTACCCTGGTTTTGTCTGCTTCTCCCTTGCCCGTTCTTGATACTTTATGACCTTTATTACGAAGCACCGTCGCTACCGTGCGGTTTACGTTCTTTCAACTTTGTCAACGTCTTCAACGAGCCTAATATTCTGACTTGCTTTGCCAAATCCTCACCTTTCGTTCCATGTCACCGCGTGGCCGAACTAGTCTTGAACCTACCTTTCTTCTTCACGCCAGTCACGAAAAAAAGAGATGCCCATCTCACCCACCGACCTCACACTCTGCAATATCCAGACACAATGTTACCGAACGACGGTCTACTCCTCGTTCTCCGCTTGTCGACAAGGCATTTGACCTCAATGGAGTGCGTTAGGATACCATGTTTTTTTTGTGTCTTTTGCTAATACCAACTAGGATGTCTCCAGCAATCTTACCTACGGTCCTACTACTGTCTTAGGGAACAAGATCAATACCAGTCCTAGTCACAAGCTTCCAGAGATATCACCATACCATCTCCTTCCCCCTCTCCCTCCATCTTCTTCTCTGGTATCGACTCTGCTTGATATCAACTTCCAGTCTTTTGCTTTTTCGACTGGATTTCCGACGTCACCCCCTCCCGTACAATCATCGCCACCCATTTCACCGTCTCCGGGGAGCCGAAGAATTAACACGCCTGCTACAGACAATTCTCTTTTCCACATGCCTGCCCTGAGTCATCCCAACAGTCCCTATGTTCCTTGGGAATCTCCCGTTCGTCGCGAGATCCTACGACCGTTAACACCCTCTTCCTTTGTATCGCATTACTCCCGTCCTCTTTCACGGAGCGGCGCCCGAGCGCCCGAGCCACCGGAAACTGAGGAGGGACCTTCGCTGCAACGCGCAACACGGAAATTGCACAAAATCTCCAAAAGCATTCTAAATTTACGACAGGCAGTGAGGAATGTTGCTCAAGTCACCAAAAGGTTCAAATTCGCCCCAAAACGAAGGTCCGTTGATCAGCAGCCTGACCCACCGGACCTCCCTGAAACGCATTGGCAGTCGGACCCACTGCTTATTGCTCGGCATCGACCTCGATTGGCCCCACCTTCTCCTTCGTCTGCGTCATTTGACTCCACAAATACCAATTCGCTTGCTGCGTGGTTAACTGCACGACAGTGTGAAGCGAAAGAGTGGAATCTGGACGCGCAGAGGGGTGTTGCATTGGAAGAATATGATCGAGCCGGTAGCTGGATCAACCTACCTGCCATGGGCGTATCAGATGATTCGCCTCCAAGTCCGGTTTGCGGAACACTTGAGTCTGGTATCTGGAGACGATTGGAATTCGACATGTCTCCTCTCCTATCAACAAGTCCATCGCCACACATTACTGCGCCCCGTGAGCTTCTACAGTCACTACCTATTTTCCCCCAAGACTAAAATACGTTTACAAAACTGGCCTTTAACTGCTGGAAGAAAGCCGGAATATGGAGGGATGGGATTTCGGACCTTAGCTATATGGTTGGAACATTCAAACTTAGATAATGATTACGATCGGTCTAGGAGCAACTTAATTACGCGTGTCCCACCATTTGGACTTGGGGTAGCGCTGAGTAGATCAAATGTAAATTCTGGTCGTGTGCGGTCATTGATTTGGGCTACGTGTGCGATTTACAATTTACAGGCCGTGGCAGAGTGTCCGGATTCTAGAAAAGATCTGAGCTGTCATAGAAAGTCGGGACTTGACGACCCAGGGCGACTCTGCGACTCCCGCTGTCCCCCCGCTCAGCTTTTGATAGTGGGCTGGGCGAGAACGTTCTTATCTTCGGTGTGGCGGATCATCTATTATGGAACCGATCGTAGCTTTTTTTCTGCAGACTAAATTTCACATCCGGCCACTAAGTGTCGTCTTACCGTGATTTCGTCGTTCACTCTTGTCAACGGCGGTGATCCGTACATGATCAGAGCACCCAAGCATTTGTACTTTCTCCTGTCAAGTTTTCCATACGGGTAGTAATGATATATTTAGAGCCGGAATACTATTTGAGGTAGCCCCTGGCCAAGTGCTGCTACGAGCATATGCAGCACTACTACTTATCTATCGCCATGTGGGTCGTTTGGGCGCGTTCTCAGGCCCGAAATCGGCCTGGCTAAGGTACAATTTGCAGTTTTATGCGGAGAGCCGGAGCAAGTGCTTGTTTTTCCATATAAGCTTCAATTGGCGCGTTCTTCGGCTATCTTCTATTGTCATCATCTTTCGACATAATGTCCGGCAAGCCGTCGTCCAGCGAGAAAAATGGCTTAGAGTCCAAGATTCAAGCCTCTTCCGACGTCGAATCTGCTCACGAGCTCTCCCATGGCGACTACATTGGCGGCCAGCGGACGCTCGTCCGTCAACTGAAGAACCGTCATATTGCAATGATTAGGTGCGTTGAACTCGTTCCCCTCGATCCATGCAACTGACTTTGTCCCTACAGTATTGGAGGTTTGTCTCGTAGTACTTTTTTGCCTAGTTCTACTCTTAAGACCGTAACCCAGGTGTCATCGGTACCGGGTTGTTTTTGGGTACGTGAGGTGGCAGTCCAACACGGTGTGTAGAACTAACATGCATCACCAGGAACTGCCACATCTTTGATGAATGGCGGGCCAGTTGGTACTTGACTCGATCTTGTCGATCACTGATCGTCTCCTCTGACTGTCGTTGAAAGGTCTTCTGCTTGGCTACATTACCGTTGGAACAATATGTTGGAGCGTCATGGTGCGTACAGCCCCACGCATCTCTTCAATTTCCCTCCTTCTGATCACCTCGTAGGTCTCCTTGGGAGAGATGGTTGCTTATTTGCCCATTCCTGGTGGACATATCAAATTGGCCGAGCGTTTCGTTGACCCCGCATTGAGTTTCACAATGGGTTGGAACTACTGGTATGCATATGTCGTCCGCATGGCAACTAGTCAAATGTTCATTTTCACTCGTGGCTAGGTACAACTGGACGATTATCTTGCCCGCCGAACTGAGTGCCGCCGCAGTCCTCATTAACTACTGGAACCAGTCCGTCAACAATTCAGCATGGATAACAATATGTTTGGTCGTCGTCATCACTATTAATATGTTCGGCGCTGGAGCGTATGGTGAAGCAGAATTTATCTTTGCGTATGTGCATTTGCATTTTCCCTATATTAATAATTCGGGGCCTAAAAATCTGTTAGTTCGATCAAAGTCATCACGATTACCGGTCTTATAATTCTTGGCATTGTCCTCGATCTCGGAGGTGACGCGTATCCCGTTCTTGCGAGAACGCCATCTTGACTTATCGCGAATAACAGGCGGTCCCAACCATGACCGACTTGGATTCAGGTATTGGAAGCACCCGGGTCCATTCGCACAGTACGCAGACATTGCTGGTGCAAAAGGCCGGTTTTTGGGATGGTATAGGCTCTTTTTTTCAATGCTGTGTTTGAGTCTACATGTATTTTAGGTGGTCCGTTATGACCCAAGCAGCGTTTTCTTTCATTGGAACCGAGATTGTCGCCGTAAGTGTTATCCATCACCTTTCGTTCATACCGGTTCCGATCAAAACATTCCCAGATCGCCGCTGGTGAAGCTAAAAACCCCAGGTCCTTACAAGTGCTTCTTTTGCAATCTAGCATCTAACATAATGTACAGGCGGAACTTGCCTAAGGCTATCAGAAGAGTCTATATCCGTATACTTCTGTTCTACATCGGAGGTAAGGGACCTAAGGAAATAATTGTGCGTCCTGGCCATTGAACTATGGATAAGGTACCGCAATCATCGGTCTCCTCGTTCCTTCGAGTGATTCAAGACTGAATCTGAGTGATGGTACCGCTGCCTCGTCGCCCTTTGTCATCGCTATCAAGAATGCAGGCATTGGAGGCCTTCCATCTGTAAGTTGACAGTGTAATGATTTCATATGTACTTTGCATTTATATCTACCCCACAGGTGATCAATGCTGCTCTCTTGACATCAGCCTGGTCTGCGGCTTCTAGTGATCTGTATACCAGCTCACGAGCTCTGTGTAAGTTCCATGTGTGCTGAAAATCATCATCATCTTATCACCCTCTAGATGGTCTCGCTGCTTCCGGCAATGCTCCCAAGATCTTCTTGCGCACGACTCGCAAAGGTCTTCCCTATGTTTCTATCATCTTCTGCTCCCTTTTCGCCACTCTAGCTTATATGGGTGTCAGCAATGGATCCGGCAAAGTCTTTGGATGGTTCTCCAACATGACTGCTGTAAGTGAACATTCCATCCTGGTAGCGACGAAGCTAAACCAAACATACCAGGTCGCTGGTCTGATGACTTGGTTCGGTATCTGCGTCACTTATATTCGGTTCTACGAGGGTCTTAAAGTCCAAGGCTACGACCGAAGCAAGATGCCGTTCGCAGTCAGATTCCAGCCTATACCAGCATGGTACGGTATGATCGCATCACTCGTTATTTGCTTCGTGAGTTCACGTATCCTTCCATGTTTGTTCATGGCTCATATCATCATTAGTTGAGTGGATGGGATGTTTTCCTCAAGGGCCATTGGGAACGAGACACTTTCGTAACAAATTATTTCCCTTTAATGCTCTTCCCCGTCCTCTACATCGCCTCCAAATACTACTACAAAGTGCCGTATGTCCGGGCTCGCGATATGGACTTCGTGACAAATATTGCAGAAATTGAAGCTGAGACGTACGTCCACCGATATTCTTCTAACCGAATCGCTCCTGACCGGTCTTGTAGTTATGATGAACCCGCGCCGAGGAATAAGATGGAGGCCTTCTGGCAGTGGCTTGTGAGTTGCTTTTCATCCCTTTTCATCGGTGTCACTAGACTAACAACTGGTTCAGATGTGATTACGAAGGATGCGAGATATAATTAATTACTTGAGTACTAAGTTGGTGTAGATGGTGTTCTTAAAAGCATATATATATAATCTGTGCATTACATCCCTCCACAATGTATTTTCCAATTGATTTTACAAGAGCAGATGCTAAGTTGGATTAAAATAGTGTAGAACGATGAGTTGCAATACTGAGCAGGAATGGATAATAAAGTCGATCATCAGGCTATTGAATAGTATGGAAAAAGTCATTTGAGATGTGAATGAACAGCAGAGCCTATGTTAACGATGATATGCAATTATGTATAGAAAAGAGATATCAAAGGTAGGTAGGTACCATATGACCTGTCTATGTTTTGGAGGCGGGGATATGGAGGTTAATTGCTAATAATAGAACATGAGACTAGACACTTTCAAAGATCAAAGATAGAACGCAAACCTCGATACCAGTTCAATGCATCGGATGACGATGGGGCATCGAAGTATAGTATCGCTTTGTTATCAACCAGCCGGAGAGCTACAAATATAAAGTCAGGACAACACAGTATTATTGATGGAAAGACCGACCGTTTCCGTGGACAATACTAGCAGGTTGCGGCAATGTTTGCATCCTTAGGACTGCCCAGAGATCAACAGAAGACGAAGGGTCTTGTCCATCGGAAGGATCTCGACAGAGAACCAAGAGATCATTACAGAGGATGCCAACAAGAGGCCTTGGAGTTAACTCAGGCGCTAGACAATCGACTTGAACAGTAGAGGCGTCTCCTTGCGAATTTATAGCTTCAAAGGACACGACGGCTTTCCGAACAACCCGCGTCAATAATAGTGGACCGTCCATTATAAGTCGCCTTCATAGAAGTCATCAGCCAATTCGAAATTGTCGGTGCAACGGGCATACCGATGCGGTTGTACCAATGGACTGGGAAATTTGCCTCGTATTCTTGCCTGCCATTGTACCAACTTTCGTCTCGACTCGGACTCGCGTTTGCCTTCATTCATGTTATTAGCTAGAAGGGATATTTCGGATAAGGCGCGATCCAGGGGATCTTCCATAAAGTCGTAGCTAGGCGGCGTGCTTCGAAGTAATTCTTCTAGCTGCGAGTAAAATGTCAACATGAACAAGGGAGTATCTCAGACTGAAGAGAACTCACAAGCAACCGATACCGAGGTATACGTTGCACTGGAAGGAGAAGATATCCTTCCAAGTTCAGCTGTGAATGTCGTGGACTCATCCGGCATCTCTTCAGATAAGCTCGTATTCGTTTTCGTTGACTACTAGAAAGATTTGGCAAGCCAGCTGGACCCGAACTGCTTTCCACGACAGTCGGGGATGAAACAGCAGACATTGTCAAGCCAAGACCAACCAGCTGGGCTGTACTTGACGATGGTGACATCGTTGACCCAGGGCTGGAGCTCCCAGAAGTGTTACGGTCTGATGTCCAGTATTTGACACGTTGAACAGAGTGATCAAAGTTGCTAAGAAAACAGTTCAGTGTGGCAAAGAAGTAAACTATGGTGACAGGAAGCTCACTTGATATAACTTGAATACATTTTCATGAAGGCAGCATGCTTGACGAAAATATTACCAACAGCCTTCGCCACATTCAACGAAAGTTGTCCTTCAATGTCCGCATCCTGATCCGCTTTTGGTTTCATGAGAGGCGCTGCAGCGACTTCTAGTGACGGTAAAAAGCTTTCTTTGTGGAAAGAGAACAACGCGTCCACTCCATTGAAGACAACTTTTCGCTCGGAAGGGGGAACGACTGTCTCCTTGCCAGAGCTGCCAGTGAGCATATTGACGGGGGCACAGCCCGGCTTGATGTAGATATCCATAAGCTCCTGCAGTCCCTTCACATATGTTCGTTCCGTGCTACGCATATTCATCAGTACGAAAAGCCGCAGCAAAGCAGAATATATAACGTACGCGACAATCTCACGAATGACCATCGCTCGTTTGCCTTTGTCATCCTTGTATACACGTTCTTCGGATGACCCGCTATCTGTTGTTGCCACACTTAGCGTTTGTGCTGCACCCCCACTTCGCATCCCTGCTATCGATTCGCTTGAGCGCAGCTGGCCCGAATCTGATGAGACAACCGTGGCCCCACTTAGCGCCGTCGAAACCTCCCGGCCATTTTCCACGATAGTAGGGCGTCGTGGCCGAAGGGTGATCTCTTCGGAGCCTGGGATATTCATCGTCACAGGTTGCTGTACAGTTCCCAGATCATTCATGTCTTTCAGATACGCCATGACTGAACGGAGGGCCCTCATGTACGCCTCCCGTGCTCTTTCTTCTTCGCGCCGCAGAAGCTTCTCGTGATCTATGACAGGACTAGGGGACCTTATCCGAGTTTCCGGATCGTCGTCGTTTGTTGCTGTCACACCGGGAATGAATGATGACGGCTCTGGAATAGTGAGGGAAATCGGAGTGTCGAATGGAAGGAAGCTTCGGCGCTTGCCAGATCGTGGGGCGGGGGAAGACGGCACCAGAAGGGTTGACGAGGACGCCAAAGAAGGCGGCGCTAATTGGCTCGTTGATGGTAACTCGTGGGAGGGACGTTCAGAAGGCGGGGAGGATGTCGATATGGACGGAGGGGTGAAAGCATCCAGATTGCCCGTCGTTGAAAACCGCACATCAATTTGAGGGGATTTGCTCGTGCGATGGAATAAGGGCTGCATGCCGTTGGAAGGCCTAGGCGTTACTCCGGAAATGGAATGTGCGGTGAGGGGTCGTGATGGAGAATCGATCTTCATTTTCCCCATCGACATTTTCTTCAAGAACCCCCATCGACTCCCTTTCTCCTTGCTATCTTTGGGAGGGCGCAGTCTAACAGTGGCTTTACTATTCAGGTCGTCGCCTGCGAGTTTGGGTGACGACGTGCCATCCGGGACAAAAGACACCCGATTATGTGGGTCATAAGGTTGGTCATCGCCCTCTGAAATATTGTCCCAGAGTGATGCAGTAAGAGCGGGTCTCGAGCCATGCGATGCGCTTCGTGGGGGACTTCCTAGGGCTGTTGAAGCTCCAAGACTAGCAAAGCGCTTCGTAATGGGACGTTCGGAAGGGTCGGGCTTCGCCAAGAGGTTGTTACTTGATACCGATGTAGCGTAATGAGTCAAGGGTGGCCTTGTTAACGTATTCACAGGGAGTTCTGGATTAAATGAAGGGGTAGCGGATGCCCCCCTGCGGAGGTCCCCTGCGCTTTTCATCTTCCGTATTTCATGATCACCAAAGTAGCCTGCATCATCTGACTGCTCAGGCGGCTCAGTATGCGGGGATTCTTCCAACGCGGGACCTGTACTTCTGGCTCGATTTTGGCTGTAAAAAGAACGATTGGGTGTTGTCCGCGTTCTCACCAAAGGCCGCTGAGAATCATCCGAGATGGTGGGCAAAGAGACTGAATTGGCGTGAGCCAAGAAGGGTGCTTTGGCAGGAATGATAGTCTGTTCCTCATCCTCCAGAGACAAAGTAAAGGGTGCCGGTGAGACGGCGCTGGGTGGACCAGAGAAGTCATCACCATCTGTGCCATCTGTTTCTGTACCACTCTGGGTGCTGGCTGACGATAATGGAAACACCGGAGTAGAAAGCGGGTATACGGGCGTCCTCGGTGTCTTCGCCAGCAACGGTTCGACAAGGGCTTTCCATGGGCCTTGGAAAGGGTTTCCGTCGACACAGAGAGTCTGCAATGCTGGCAACAGACAAAGCCAACTAGGAAGTGCATGCATCTTATTCCTGCGGACGCTGATGGTATGCAGTTTATCGAGATCGCCAAGTGTTTCTGGAAGGGTACTTATCCCAGTTGAATCGGCGATGAGGACACGAAGATTTAACAAATCTGCTAGAAAGACCGGCAAAACACGTAGTGGATTGGATGCAATATTAAGTTCTTCAAGACTTGCACACAGCGCGAGAACTGGAGGCAAAGCACCGAGAAAGTTGGCTGAGATATCCAGGGCCAAAAGGGAGTTATAGATTTGGGGGATATTGTTGGTCAGAAAAGCAGGCATAGCGTTCGGGTTAGCAGATGATCCAACGAGAAGATGGGTAGTCCCTATATTATATGAATTCAACAAGGTCTTTGGATGACCGGCAGAAAGACGAACCTGGTTGGACCGATAACTGCGCAAGAGGGACGTTATCGCCATGGACAATCAATCCACGACCTTCATCAGCAATTACAGCAGCCGAGGTCCTTTCTTCCTTGTCATCATCGTCATATTCGTCGTCAAGGGCCTGATCATCATCTGTGTCTTCCTCGCTCATGCCCACTTCATCTCTTTCGTCGAAGGTGTGCCAACCCATGTCGTAACTAGGCTTCTCGTGCAGCCTGGGAACGAAATGGTCGTGGTTGTGGGAGGAAATGTTGTTGCCAAGAGAGGAGGAACGGGACCTAAAACTGCCCTCAGACCATCTTGTTGAACGCTCCACAGGTACTATAGGAGCACGAGAATGTACTCCTGGTGAACCTGTAGGTAGAACTGCGTCGCTTCCGAGCAGCTGCACGACAGAATCAGACGTTATTCTTCCCGCGGCGCTTTCATCGTCCCCTGACGCGACGTGAACGAAATCACCTAAGAGGAGTGTACTTCCTGTACTCGTGTAGCCCGATGATCGGGTTGACGAAGAAGAATCTGGGGAGGGTTAGCATAGAGTAAGGCGAGGCAATTGAGTGCCGGAGACGCACCAGAAAGGCCTGGAGGTGGAGAAACAAAATGGTGATGGGGTGGGCGAAACGGATGCGAGTCGGGGAATTGCGAAGGATCTGGTAGTAACAAGGACTTTGCAGAGCGCGAACGACCGGAATCGGCAGTGAACGAGGGGTCCCCTTCCGGGAGAGATTGGGGAAAAGATTGACCAGAAAAGTTGGAAGATGCTGGGGAATTAAGGGATACTACTGATTCTGAAATTGGTTCTGAAAGATTAGTAGATGGCGAGATATTTGAACGGAAATTCGGGGACCAATCCGGTTCGATAGGAGAGAGCAACGGAGAAGCTGTTGGTGCACGACGGAGGTAGGCACTGGGGCTCGGTGAGGGTGAAGAGACGGTGATCGACGAGTGGGCGCGAAGATAGTCGGCGTCGATATCTGGATTGTGAAGGTCGACAAAGGTCAGCGACGACGATAACATGAGGGAAGAAAGAGAAGACGAGAATGTAGGCAGGGGTGACCACCAGAATTGGAAAAGAGCAGCTGGTCTGCTTTGCCTCTCTTTGCTTCATCCGGGTGTCCCCAGAATGCTTGATGCCGAATACGAGCACTTACCTCGTTTGCCGGCCTCGTCTTCTGTATCCGTTTCTATCCATGACCTTCTGAATATCTCCTCTTTCTGGCCTTCCAAAGGCATCGGTGGCAGCGGTTTGTTCAATATAAGTATCCGCGCTGTCGCGTCGGTCAGTGGGGGAGGCGGTAGACGGTGCCAGTGTTCGCTTGTGCTGTCGTCAATGTTTTCTTTCGAAATTCTGGAACCGTAGGTGGCACTCACGCCGAGTTATTTCCTTTTTCTGCCATTGGTTCCATTCGCCGGCTTCACTGTCGGTTCTGCTCGTGGGCTAAGTGCAGGGATCGTTTAGACCGCGGAAGACGCCAGTAACCTTGCCAAAGGTTATTAACAAACTAGTACTTGCTTTCCCCTCTTTTTGCCTTGCGTCTCGTCTGTTTAGCCGGATCTCTTCTCCCGGCCTGTACATAACCCTTACAGGATCGTTTTCTATAACATGCCGTCAATGGCAATGTCAGCCTTCCGTTTCGTCATGAAATACCGAAGGCCTCTCGAACCTAAAGCCAAACATCTACATAAGGGGGTGCCTGTCAGAGATACAACTGTCGAGACTACTGCCATCTCCTCGTCACCTTTATGGAACGACTCGCCTCCGAACTAGCCTTGGGCCGGAATCATTTCATTATACGTGGAAAGATCCCGTATTTCTCCAGATAACTATCATCCAGCTGTTCAAGTAAGGCTATTGTCCCATCAATCATTTACCTGCATGTATATATTTTATGCCATACGGAGCCTCTTGTACTCCGCCTTAAAGTTACAGCGCCATACCAAGTCTTTTATTCAGGGTCCGAATGCTTCCGTAGACATCCATTCAAATACTTCAGATACAACGGTTTCATTCGATCACACTCCCCGAACCGTGCCTGGTAGATATTGATGCTTACCGGAAACGTTCTGGCTGTGAACCCGTACACTGCGGATGCCCGACATGAGATGAGCTTAAAAGTCATACAAGTCCGGTCGGTCTGACTGGAATGCAACCCTTTTCTTTGGTTTCTTTCCCTTCGAACAGACCTCCCCCCCCACAGAACCCAGTGTGTCTATCATTGATGAATTGGGCACCATTGCCGCCACGGAGCCTTCCATCTGAACAGTGGACGTGATTGAAGAGGCGACTGAAACCTTCAAGTCTTCTTCTAAGAGCACCTCCACTGCTGCTACTGCCGTTCTCGGAAGTAGAGACTGGTCGAGAGTATTGTCGTTCGTGACACCTTGCATGACCGTTCCGGTGGAGGGTGTTGTCCGCCGCTCCCCTACACCCCCTTCGACATCAAGATGCAGCGTTTCGAATACCAGTCGCTTCCTGGTGCACTTAAATGCGAGGTTGTTCTCACCGCCACCTCCAGAAGACGTAGCGGATGATGATAGTCCACGTAACGTGGAAAATTTGTCACTGGGTGAAAGTAACGTATGTGGCGCGGGTAGACTGCGGATCTCGACGAGGCCGTGGTGAGAAGGCGAGAGCGCAGTCAAAGCTGGATTGGCTACAAGGAATATTGAATTTGATACAATGAAATCCTTCTAGGAAAGATATAGCTTACCACTAAACGCGGACAAAGTAATTGAACCATCAACACACCATCCAAGCTTTTGGGACCAGCCTGGACCATCCCAGAACGGCCTCGAAACATGACACGGGAGGCTGATTGAAGCACATGTATGGGCGTGTTGCTTCAAAAGTGTCCGAAAACGATGCAAAAAGCGTAATATGTCCTAAGAAAGCTGGTCAAAAAGGTCCAAGTTTTTTTAAGTGATGTTATTGGGCGTTTACTTTACTATTCACATCCCCCCATTCAGGAGACCCTAAGGCTGGAATACATATCCGAAGAGGTGTTGACGGAGATCCTGCCTTAATAACTTTCTCGATCTGGCGAAGTACTAAAGCAGAGCATGGAGCTGACACATCATCCATGCCAATGATGCCTACGTCGAACAAGGAAAGTTGCCCTGACTGAAGAGCACTGTTGATAATTGAATCCGGTATGCGACAAGTCAGATCAAACGTCGAACAGGATTCCTCAGTACCAGATCTGTACCGCGAAAAATCAGTCTCACAATTCAGTCAGTCATTCGAAGAAACTTACATACAGAGCGGATGATGGTACTGTAGTCTGAAATTGTTTCATCTGCTCATATCTCCAAGCGATTTTGATTTTTTCGTTTGAAGATTGGCCAGTCTCCTCGTCGTCATTGATGTTCATCGTACTTACGGGTTGCGGAGAGTTATATTGAATGTTTCCAGAGTTTGGCAGCCACATGCATCCCTTGACGAGATTCAATGGATTCTCCGAGATTACACAAACATTTTGGCGAGTAACAAGACCCTGGGCAATGAAGTACTTGTGCACCAATTCTCCGTAAGAAGAATGAGGATCGGACGTTTGCACGAGGAGCGAACAGGACAAGGGCAAGCCACCACCTAGAAGGTCGTCTAATGAAGGAATACCAGTGGATGTGATGATGGTAGATGTGGATCCTGGCGACGAGCGAGTGCCAGTCAAGGCAATCTGCTCGGACGAGACCTTTTTCTTGAAAGAAGACATTAAAATACCCGTGGGAACATTCGATAATCGTTCTACTCTCACTCTCCCCTCACTGCCCCTAGTAGCATATGTCTTCATGCAATCGCTCAGGAAGATTTTCTTGAACAAGTATCACGATCTTTGGGGTCGCTATTATCATTTCAAGTCCCAAAGCCGGTCGTATCAAGCAAAAGTTGTTGGGAAAGGTCTTTTGAATGTAAGTGCAGACGTATCCCACGCGTCCCTCGCAACTAACGAATCAGCTTTTCAACAGTTACTGTGCAGCACATCTGTTCTTCGACTACATTGGTCGGCCCTCATATGTATGTCACGGCATTGTTATGTATTACATTTTCTGATTCGTCTCTACAGACAGGTGGCCCATCGATGCTGCCGACCTTGGCTGTCACCAATGATCTTGTCATAGAAGATCGTTTATCTCTGCGATTTACTGAAATTTCTCGCGGTGACCTAGTAACAGTCAAATCCCCATTAGATCCGCTTCGCATTGTCTGCAAACGAATAATTGGGCTTCCTGGCGATGTCATATGTGTCGATCCCACCGGGCACCTGGCACCCTCGACCGAGCATGTCATCGTTCCCAGGGGCCATGTCTGGCTTAGTGGAGACAACTTTTCTTATTCGCGCGATTCACGGCGTTATGGACCTGTTCCAATAGCCTTGATACAAGGCAAGGTGCGAGCCAGGGTGAATTCATTGATCTTATGCCACTTTCTCTTCCTAATTCTTCAAATGCAGATCCGGCCACTAAGAGACTTTACGATATACCGTAACCCTGTAACGTATTTAGATTGAGATCCTTCCACTCTGCGCTAGAGTTCATCCCAGCTTCTGGAGTCTGTCTAAGCTTTATTTACGATATCCGGCGCGCGCCAGGCTTGCACATTTTGAGCAGGAAAGCATCCGTCCTGCAGCTAAGGGAACGATTTTATGACCGTGAACAACACGAGCCCAATCTACAATTAAGCCATTAATAATGTACATACCCGCCCGCAATATAAATGGCCGATCATCGAGAAAAGTTCATGTTATATCCGCCTTGTCCGTTGGGGACAAACTGGAAATTGTCGGTCGATAAACCGAAATTTCCTTAGTTCAAGTCTTAGTACAGCAGCCACTATCACCACAGTCGACGTACCCAAGACACTGTTACCGAGACCTTTGAGTTTTTCCAGCATTTCTGCTGTCTCGCGCTTTTGCACATCGTCTAGTCTAGGTTTCAGACGCTGCAGGCTTCGCTCAATTTCCTTGATCTGTGAAGAATTCGGCGGCAATGTTTTGAGAAGCGCGTTATAATCTGTTCCAACATATTATGGGGGTGTTAAAATGTCTAAAGGATAGACGTAGTACCTTCTTGAGCAGAGGTAAGTGAGGTCCAAGAACCAATTTGGTCATTCGATGCTGCGCGTCGTTGAAGTGCCTTAATATAATGGGGGTCATCAACGAGAGCTAAGTGGTAGTTGTTGGTAACAAATTCTATTGGAAAGAGGTACAGAGGGATTTACCTTGGGAGCAAGCCTCAACAGCCTGCTTATATTCGTTCTACAATCGATGAGCTAGATCGTTACGAAAACGATTGTAAGCGCACCATTTTCACGAAACACGCTCCTATATTTGCATTCAACACGGCTCGCGCTCTGGCGCACTCTTTATCCATCTCTGTCACTACCTCAGGCCTGTCGGAAGTTACATCTGGCTCATCGATCTCCCTATCTTTATCATTGGTGCGTAATATATTTTCTGGTAGCTCGGAAACGCTCTTGAATCTGCGCTTTGGAAGATGACCGAGCCCAGACTGGTAGGCAACGAGGGCTTCATTCCATTGGGCCTGGCGGAAGTGGTCGTTTCCTTCGAGCTTCAGTTCCTCCGCATATTGAAGACTTTTCTGCAAAGCAAAATATGAATAGAAAGATGATTCTGCAAGTAATTCAACAAACTTTGATGGTATCGGTTTCTTGTTCTATGCTTGAAGTTGTAAGTATACTGGTCGACGGGGTTGAGTTGAAGTCAGCCATCGGGCGTTGCCGACAACCCTGGGCCATAATAGGGCGGGGGAGCTTTGATTAAAATTACAAAATAAATAAATTAAGACCAATCGAGTCACAAATTTTCTCAGCCGTCTCTCATCTTGTCCAAAATGTTCAAGCCGAGTCTCTGGCTTCGCTGCGAAAAGAAGGAGTTCGAACGTCGAGCTGCACTGACACCGACCACGTCCAAAAAGCTCATCGATGCCGGTTTCGAAATCTTCGTCGAACGAGACGAACAACGTATTTTCGATGACACTGAATACGAAGTGTCAGTGCAGACATGATATCTTCATTTCCTCGTAACTCATTATCGTGATAGTGTTGGATGCAAGCTAGTAGATAACAATACTTGGCCATCCGCACCAGTGAACATACCAATCATCGGATTGAAAGAGCTTCCCGAGTCGACGGACCCTCTCCCACATACTCATATCCAGTTTGCTCACTGTTACAAGCAACAAGCTGGGTGGGCCGAAGTATTGTCGCGTTTCCAACGCGGCGGAGGAACCCTGTACGACCTAGAGTTCCTGAATGACGCCAACGGTCGTCGGGTTGCAGCCTTTGGTTATCATGCCGGCTTCGCAGGGGCAGCTGCTGGTGCTCTTGCGGTCGCGTCGCAGAGAAGAGGCGAAAAGCTTGGGCATCTCAAGCCTTTTGAAAATGAAGATACGATGATAAGCGCTGTTAAGACCGCCTTGGGTGGTAGTGGCAGGGGTGTTAAGGCCTTGGTAATTGGTGCGCTGGGACGATGTGGACGCGGTGCAGTTGATCTCTTTAGAAAGATTGGTTTAGACGAGTATACATATTCCCAGTCTCTGTTACTATGACTCACCTTTTTTTATCAGGGATGACATTCTCAAGTGGGACATGGAGGAAACGGCCAAGGGCGGCCCGTTTCCTGAGATTCTTGATGTCGACATTTTTGTCAACTGCATCTATCTCAGTTCCAAGATTCCCTCGTTCTTGACTCATGAACAAATCGTCTCCGCCGGAAAAGGACGGCGACTGTCGACTGTTGTCGATGTCAGCTGTGATACGACCAACCCATTCAACCCAATTCCCATCTACACGATTAACACGACATTCTCTTCGCCCACAGTGCCTGTCGATGTTGGGTGAGCGGTCTTTTTGTGCATGGATACGTTCACCAGATCGTGGTATTCTGACTGTGACCCTTCAATATTTCCAGGAATGAGAATCCGCCTCTGTCCGTAATATCTATTGATCACCTGCCTACGTTGCTTCCACGAGAAGCTTCAGAGCAGTTCAGCTCGGACCTTCTTCCTTCTTTGCTCCAGTTTCCGGACCAGAAGACGGCACGGGTGTGGACTGAAGCCAAGGCCCTTTTTGACAAGAAAATTGCGGAGGCCGTCGAAACGGCTAAGCTATAGACGCATGAGGCCGTTTTAGAAGGCTTTACAGTAGAATACAACGTAAATTTGGCTTGAATTGCAGAAAAATCAGTGGATAAATATTGCGAACGATGCCAAGCATTCTGATGTACTGATGGTTGTCACCTAACTGTTCATGTACATACACAAGCACTGTTCATATGCAATCCGGAGATCAGGATGTGGATACGCAAGGATCAGATTGAATCCAAGCATCGGTATAGGTAGTTGCAAGGGGAATGGATGAAGCATTGGCGAAATATAGTGCAGGGAGAAGGTTGCTAAGGAGTCCGAACATGCCGAAGATAAATAATAATAATGGCAGCTGGGCTCAACTAGGAAATTGTTTTGTTCGCAGCCAGCCTGCGTGTGTGCGGTTTGATATCTTTCTCTTCTTACTCTTTTGTCCTCTGAGGGCTTTGCCAGTGCAATTCTCTGCAAGATTACGTCGGTGCTGGTCGCCTACCTTTGTGTTCAAGCAGACCTATACGCTCTTTTCTCATGGCCATCGCTGTACCTCTTCCACAGATATCCATATCTCCCGCACCGCCCCAGGAGGTATCTGAAGAGCCTTTCTCTCCCTTTGCATGGGTTACGGGGCCCCCTAATAGCGAGAAAGATACCTTCAGGCCCAGGCATCTCACCCCCCCACCAGTCAACGGACATTTCGTCAGGCAATTGTCCCCACTTCGACCTCCGGAGGCGCCAGTGACAGGAAAGGGTCTGGAGCGTGGCCGCTTTGAAGCATTGCTAAGGGCATCGAGGGAGAGGAACACAGCTGCAAGTGCGAAGAAGACCGACCTTCGTAAGGAAGTTGCCCTTAAGGCACATAGGAACAAGCAATGCACGTTTTATCGCGTCGTTGAAAATACAAGATACTGACATTTATCACCTTCTAGTTGAACGCCGGGCGCTCTTTCTGTCTAAGGTCCTTGCGCCGCCATCGCCTACGGCGACATCTCTTCCAAAGACACCACCAGAGTCTCCCGCCATTTTCCATTATTCGCTCCCTTCTCCCGGTCTTGTATCACCCCTTGCACTCTTTGATTCCTTAAATCACGATAAATCCGGGACTGGTCCCCTGACGTATCCAAGAGAACCTTGGATTGAACAGGTGGATTTTCGACTTCCGAGCTCACCTAAGGATGGCCCCATGAGCAGCAAACCTCCCACGATTGCTATTCACGAACCTCAACCCCCCAAGTCTTTACCATCTTTAGACCAGATATCTGCCCGTCTCAGCACCCAGAGGCATGCCAGCTCCGAGGGCCATTCCACCGGTCGTGCTACAAGGCTCCCTGCCTTTTTGACTCAGCCGCGCCAATCTGCTATCGCCCCCGAACGTCCCATATTGTCTGTTGGTAGACTTCAGATTCCAGTCAACAACTCCCGACCATCGTTCACTGAGCCAAAGAATTCCCTCCCGCCTGCATCTCCCCGCTCTACCGCTCTCGAGGTCAAGACCATTCGGGTTCCACGCACGGCGCGCATGTCCCGAACACAGCTCTCCGAGTCCAATCTTCTTGCTCTAGATTCGCGGGAGCGTCGAGCGAAGGACATGCTTTCCACCCTTCGCCGTCGGACGCTACCAACGGAGCTTTCCCTCAACGCGCAAGAGATGGATTCAGAGGAAAGAAAGTGGAGACGCCACAGTGCTCCTGCTGACCTGACCCCAAGCAAACCCAGGTCTGGTTTCGAGCACCCTGTTCTTCTCTTACCAGGCGGATTCTAGGACTCTTTTTCAGAGATGTATCTACTACGTTCTTTATCTCACCTTTATCTTTGTTCTTTGGGATTTCGAAGAGTCCCCCAGCTTTATTTCCCTTTTCTTCTCTTTTCGCACATTGTATGATATTACACCCATCTTCGTTGTTGTGTTTCTACTTACTCTTTATTTGACTATTCCTTGTGACGAGCTTGTATCCTCTCGCAGATGAACATTCGTTACCCCTCTTATCGATGACATGTGGACAGGACTGTTATTCATGTTACCTGGTACTTAGCAGGCCGCGGCGCCTATGTACTGCTGAACTGGTGTTGTACTGGTTTATGGGCAGGTCCTAGTATTATTAATACAGAATAGAATTGTCCAATGCAACATGATGTTTCTACATTCGTCAAGCCCAGTTTTTGGATCGTCCATCCATGGCCATACAACATACGATTTACAGGGCATATGCGTAGTGATGATTGCAATATAGATACACGTATTTAGGGGAGCCTTGCACTGTAAAAGTGCTGTTCTTGTGGTGGAATTAGATCAGGTGTGGGTGGTCTTCCTCTTATGCGTGTGAGAACATCAAGCCGCCGTCCTGCACAAGTTATTTATCAGTGATGAGGATGTCACGATCAAAGGAAGGAGGGGAAAGCGCACGGTAGTCTACCCGGAGGTTGTCGTCCGCGTTCTCTTCGTCTGAGTCCAGTAGAGGGTCGGAGTTCAGGGCCATGTGGAAGGCCTCTGTATTACATCAATGCTATTGAAATTGGCAGGTGGCTCCATCACTTACGCTGCACTATTGGTCGACCTTCTTCTTGCCGCGAAATAGGTGCGCTATAGGTACGAATATGTGACCGAGGCCTGATGGGAATCGTTTGATGTCGTGGCAGTGGTTGCTGAGGTGGCTGACGGTGTCGAATATACTGTGGTGGGGCTGTCGGAGGCTGGTTTTGCTGGTGCTGCTCCGATTGGTGTCGACGATTATGACGGGAGTCCGGGAGTAAGAGGGGGGTGTCTGTGAGAGACGTATAACCGTCTGCTATGTGAAGAGGTGATAGGCCTTACCTTGTTCATTCACCTCACGCGATGGCGTCGGCTCACGCCCTGGGACGTAAAACATAAACGGTGCTTCGTCCCGGGAAGGTTCTTGACCTGGTCGATGTCCCATCGAGGACGACGCCTCGGGTGCGGCTGCCGACGCAAAGGTCAGCTCAAGACCCAGTACGTAAAAAAGCGGAATTTTACCAGGAACAAAGTGTGGTGCCACAGGCTTTGCCTTTTTATCACTTTCCATCGACGACACCAATTTATGGAGGAAGATGTTCCGTTGGTTAGACATCATATTTCCCCATATGATCTCGTCCTCGGTATCCACATTCTCTCTCGAAGCTTCTCTTTGGTTCAAGGACCGTAGATATGGTGCCATGTTGAGGTGCTTCCGCGAATAGTCGTCATCGAAAGGATTAGAACCTGTTGGAGATTCGAGATAGTGATACATAAACCACAGAAAAGCTCTAGCTCGATCAGCAGAGGCCAACGGCTTGGGTAGAAAGAAATCTAGGAAATTAACTGTTCCATCGAAATGAACTCGGGCTAAAGGCTGTGAGACGACGAATGAACAGATGTTCTAGAACAAAGAAATCCTAACGCACGGCTGCGTGATTGGAAAGTACAAAGACTAAGTTTACGACACTTGTCGGAGGTCGTTTCCCCGATCGCTAAACAAAATCAGTGAATCAGCAACCAAGTGCAAAACCAGCTACGAACCAGTTTGAGAAGAATCTCGTCCGGACTGGAAGGAGGCAGAGTTTTGAGTTCAGATGGAAGTAACGCGGCCTTGAGGCAATTCTTGATACGCGGTGCATCTTGAGCATTGCCGTCGGTCTTTTGAAGAGAGGGAACGGGGTGGTATGTTCGCAAAGCGGTCTTCATCTCTGGAAAGACTACGACGGACATATGGTCAGATCACATCGGATCAAAGACGACATAGAAAAGTCTTACAGGCCATTGTGGTGTTTATTCTTCCGACATTAGTGAGGAGGCATATCTTGGCGAATTCGAGGGCGAAGGCGGGGGTATCGACCATCTTCTCTTTGAGGACCTTTGAGCATTTACTGGAGTTGTAGAGGGCATTGATGTAGAGGTCGCGGAAGGCGAGCTTGGAAGCCTTCCCGGGAGTCTGGGGAGTGAAAACGGCAGTCTGGTCGGAGAAAATATGATTGAGGAGATCGTACTGCACGTCCTCGCGCGTGAGAGACTCTGCGTCATTACGTTTAATGGGAAGTGCCTTCCGACTAAGGTAACCGACACTAGGACGGGACAGGTGAGCCGAAAAATACGGAAGCTAAGGGAGAGAAAAAGAAAGGACATACGGAGGGATTGGATCTGGGGGCCAAGGAGATGAGGAAGATGGAGGAGGAGCAGATGTGGATGCCATGAAGAAAGAACAGAGATGTGACACGAGGCAAGAAGGCACACGCGGCAGATGAGAATACAAAGTTTGGGCCGTAAAGATGGACGGTGAGAGAAGCCTCACGTGTAAGAGGCAAGGGAGATGCGCAGGGCCGGAACTGGGTGAAGAAGGCCCCCGACAAAGGCCCCGACGAGCTATAAAGCAAAAAGAAAGGCAGCAAAGCGACGACAACGACGAGAAGGGGGGAAAACGAATTGACAGAGGCTGAACGGTGGCAGCGCGGCTACGAGACCAAGAACACGCATTGGGCCATGCAGCGACGAGTAATAAGGATTTCTAGGTGGACCTTTACTGGAGAACCAGACTGAACCCTAAAGGCAGCTAAAGCGCTAACCAGCCTGGAGGACGGCCTAACCTGTTCGACCGGTTTCCGAGATAATCTACTAAAATTGTCTTTTCGTTGATCACTCGGATCTGGAAAAGCGGAGGCAAATTTACACAATGACTAAGCAATCGCCCGAATGATCAATTGCAATTCTCCGGCACTGCCACAACTCATGGCTGACTCTGCCTTCGATGCCGCCACAAGGGTATGCCTTTTTTTTTCTCATTGCCTTGTTCTGTCCACATTAAAAAAATAAAAAATATTGCAGCGCGAACTAGATGCCTTCCTCACTAGGGAACAGGCAAATGCAAAGCTGCATACCACTATCCATAACCTCACGACCATGTGCTGGGACAAGTATTAATGCCCGTTTTTGTCCATCTTTCCTATCTAACCCTATCTTCAGGTGCATCACTTCCACGCCATCCAACAAGTTTTCCTCCGCCGAAGCTTCCTGTCTGACCAATTGCGTCGATCGGTTCATGGACACCAGTCTCTTTTTAATCAAAAGTCTCCAAAACAGACGGGAATCCGAGTAGCTTTCCAAACCTCGGTACACTTATGCTACATCTAGTATATTGTATCCACCCAACATCCCATCCCACCCCCTTCTGAAATTTAATATCCTTTGCATTTCCTCCATGCCCATCCTGCGGCTGCCGGTAGGAAGAAACAGAATGCGTCAAGCATTTCACGTTTCCGCCGCAGCTTAAGAGGAATTTCTACCGTGACCTGATTCTCACGGGTAAACGAGTTGGCCTCATAAAACATTCCTATTGAGTCGTCCTTCTCCTTCCAGAGTCCCTTCAGCCACTCGTCGAATCCTCTCTTTTCTTCCTCGGGTATATCCACCTCCACCATAGGCCCAGTCTTCAGGGACGCCTCAGGATTGCTCCCCGATAGATCGCCAATCGGTACCTCTCGGGCGACATCAAACATCCGCAGGTGCATGTGAATCACAGGAGGTGGTAAACCGTCGAAAAACACGGAACGTAGGGTATAAAAGTCTTGTCCATAATGCAAGGGGGGTATTCCTGCTGGACGTTCTTCGCCTGCACTGTCGTTCACAGCAACAGCCACGCACCTGGGTATACCACTGTAACGTCTATCAAACGTAGCTCTGGAATGCGCGGCGATAATGAACGCAGACTGTAGTGCAATCCAGTCGACCTGGGCAGTAACGTATGGGTCATATCGGCCTGAGGCAAATGTCAGTTAGTTTCGGGCCACATCTCAGCGAGGAAAACCTTCACAATTCCCATTTTATCAGCAAACTTCTTGCTAATGGGTCTGGTGTCTTGACTGACGAGCGTTCCTTCCGGATATAGAATGAACGCGAGTGGATTATCCTGCTTTTCAGCCTCAGATGCTAACGTGGACAGACTAGCTGATAGCTGTACTCGGTCGGATGCCCACGACCTCGCCAGAAAGATAAAATTGAAGAATTGCATGCCCTGCGTTTTCATTAAGTGAAACGGAATCCGACTGAAAATGACGTACCCATCCGACGATTGGAACCCATTGAAGGCTCTTCTTTAATGTAATGTACACATATCGGTGAACCCCTTGGGGCCCGATAAAATACAACAAACACCATTCATACAACCAATCCAGGTAAATCTTAGAATTCTGGTCAGAAATGGATGCAGCCCGAGCAAACCGATGCACACCTGGTGGTTCGCTACCATGACGAACTTGGTCGGCAAGTTCAAGGACACGTCACCCCTCTTATCCTTTACAACAATACGGCCTATGTCCTCCAGGGTGAAGCAGCCCTTACCCGTTGTCTCGAATGACACGATGAGTTTCGTCGGGGCAAACCACTGGCACATCAGGACTGCGGGGTATGCTAAACGCCAAGATGGACCAGAGGTGGTGATTAGGGGACGTACTGAGAAGGCACCCGAATGCGCCTTTGGTATACCTGATACCATCCACGTACAGCGCTCTGGACCACTTAAAAGGCAGGACCCGAAGAGGTAGCAGGAACACAAATTGTGAGGCGTTGACCATCAGGCAGCCGAGATTGAATACAAGAAAGAATAGCACAGCGGAGAATGTGCGACGCCATGGCTGTCGGGGTCGCTCAGAGATAGGAACAGCATACATGGGCGCCACGGCGGTCATCGCTGTTCAGTTGCGTACGCCTTCGCTGGGAGGAGTTGATAACATGTGTTATTAAATAAGCCGCTGCATGCACCCCGAGTCACACGTCACAACTAGTGAATGACGCGTCCAAAATGGAACCACGCGTTGTGCAATTTCAAAATATATTCCTTGTACATATATTCTACAATACATCGGGGAACAGGAATTCCATCCGCACACGACACATTTGTACATACTTGAACCGGCAGGCTGTGATCATTTGGACCGTTATAATCAAATTCCTTCAAAAAATACACATCAACGCAGCTGAAAAGTGATAGCAGAGCCAGTGCCGTAGGCTGTCCCCAATCCATGGAAGTCCTTTTTAGCATTCATGGCCTGTGCCAAGGAGACGACGATATCGGTGGTACTACGCTGGAGTTGACGTCGATCGCTCCGTGTGTTCCGGTCACAAGACCGCGCCGATGACCCGATGGCAACAGTTAGCTGAGCGACTACTTTCCCCGCTCAGTCTGCCATCACCTGAGCTAGTCCTGCCGTAATATTTCAAGGTCGAACAATTCCCTCCCTGCTTGGTGTAACTTTCCACCCCTGACTGGTTAAATGTCCGTCGTTCTTGAGCAGGTTCAGCGTCCACGACTCGTGAATGATCTCATCCCTGTCATCCTCGAGAATAGTAGCGATTGGTGGCCCCAGGACCTCTTGTCTCTCTCCATCGTGTCTTTCTCTTGGCTGCATGCCATCAGGAAGAGACTTTACGCTATCCCCGTCCTTCTATCTTATCGTTCATGCGCCTTACTCGCCGAAACGCTTGAAAGAAATGACCACCTCCTTGGCTTGGTCAAAGGGATCGATATTCGCCCACTTCGCACCGGCTGGCCTGAAAGTGGCCGACCGTCCACGAAGCAGATGGCCAGCATCAGGTTCATTTTGAGTCTGGAAGGTCTGGAATGTGTAACACTGGGCGGGGAGCTGGCAGTCTCGGCGCACAGGTACCTCAATGCAATGTCGCATCCGCAATGCGTGAGGCGACTGTGCATAGACGGAACGTTGAGGAAGGAGTCTCTACATTCACCTCCATCCCTGGAGTGGGACGAAGTCCTTGCATTCAAGTTCGCCGCGCTGGAGAGTCTGAAACTCTCGAATCTTGACCTTGATATTCTATTCCCTTCCATTCCGTATCCTCTACGGGTCACCTCTCTCTTTTTGGATACCGTCCGTATAACCAACGGTCGTTTGATCCACCTTCTTCACGAGACTTGTTCATTGACACAACTCTGGGTCACGACCGAGAGAAGTGATGATTTCCATGAGCAGATCCGGCCAATGTTGGACTTTCATCCTATTGAGGATTTGCATTACGAGATGCAGTGTGATGACCCTCTTCCTTTCGATCTGTCGTCTTTCCAAAGTCCCATTCACATTTCCTTATCACGCCTTTCCCTTATTGACACGCCTGTTTGCCCTGCAACGTTGCAGTCGATAGAGCAGTGCTTTCCAACGTTGGAGAAGCTCGTTGTGACTGGGAGGAGCAGCCGAGTCACAGCCGAAGAATGGGCTATGTTTGTAAGCTCGACAACATTGTCTACTCTTCGAGAGCTTGGACTACCCAACGGAACGAATTACCCTCCTTTTCAGCGATGGTCGTCCTTGACAGAAATACCGGTGCGAAAAGAATCATCTCTTCGAGGTATTCATTTGTCATTCAGTGGGTAAATGGAATTCGAGGAATTTGAAGCTTCGTATGTCACGGCCGTTTTTAAATATTCCGATGGATCACATACCATACTTTCCGAGTTACAGATTACAGTCTTGACGCTGACACATACTACGTTATGTACATTATAGTATTTCAAGCAGAAATACAGCAATATTGGGTTACGCGTGCTGGTAAGTTGAATAGATAGATGATCAAGAGATAGACTACTGCCCTATCGCCAAAATAGGAAAGAGCATTATTGGATCAAAATTGAGCCGTAGCCATTTCTCTCCCGTGCTCATTGTCGGTGCCGCATCGACCAGACCGGTTCTCCCATCCCTTCGACCTCGCATCATCTCTCTTCTTCCAAAGAGAAGAGAACGAAACGCTCCTTTTTTTACCCACAGGCATTGTCTTCGGCATGCACACCGTTCTATCGCGTCCTCAGCCATTGGGAACAGGGACCAGTTCGTCTCACCGCATACCTCGCAAAAGCGCATCTTTCCTGTCTCTCAGACGCGAAAAGGAAAAGCCTAGCCTTCCTTCTGACCCGTACAACTCCAATATCGACTCCTCACATTCACGGCCTTCGTATTTTGAGGCGTATCCAAGACCAAAGACGGCTCAACCACGCTCGTCCAAGTCGAAAGCCCGTGAAGCCTACTCCACCCCACAGTCACCCATCCCTCCGGAGGATAGCACCTTCTCTGATCAGACTATTCGGGAGAAGAAAGGCACCAGGCCACCGGCCTTGGTCGAGCAGTCTTCGTATTTCTTTCCCAGCACCGAAATTTCAGATTACCCGTTATACCCTTCTCAAGATACCCAATCCTCTTCAAAACCGCATTCAAGAATTCGTTCCAGGACCGGGCCATCTCGCCAGGCCTCCAATTGGGCCGATCCAACTCCTGTTCACCGCTTTTCCGGTTCTTCTACGCAACATACGGACACACCACCCGACACACCTTTAGACAACGTTTCATTCAGAGAATTCTCAGTCATGGTTGCCGCTCCCATCTCGACGGTGGAGGCGATGGATGCATTGGTGGACAACATGAATGGAGGGGAGGACATCATTAGCGCCAGTCTTTCCAGTCGTGCTAGGTTCGGGATACCGGGCCATCATCCACTCTATCAGCCCCCACTCCCTACTCCACCGCCGGGTATCGTCCTCGGTGGAGGCAAGGTTCGAAGATCCAAGAAGTCTTCCAAGGCCTCTGCCCATAGATCCAGTTATTCGGGCGATGAAGAAGATGAGACGCTGGTACCGCATGCTCTTTTGCACAAGCGACGTCCGAAGCGATTAGGACCTAGTCGTAGCAGTTCTAACGCGACTATAACCTCATCCACTCCTGCGACACCCTCACCTCTTCTTGAAGATGAAGCTCGAACTCCATCCCCGGTACCACCTGCCAGGCATAGACCTGTCTCTCCTGACTCGGTCGGTGGAGCGTCTTTATGTCAGGAGCGTCCTAAAAGTATAGCGCCCTCCATATCCGAGATCATTCGCGCGTATGCGCCTCCCGAAGCACAGGGGCGGTCTCGGACGTCCCTGACGCGCACGTCTTCATATGTGCACAGTCATGGTCATGCCACACTGGTGGAAGAATCTGAGCCAGACTCCGAACCACTGACCCTTGAAGAAGAGGCAGACCTTTTATCCCGATCTTCCATCGATAGTGTTGCTGACGAAGTGCAGAGAACTCTCCGGAACCAGAACGCCATGAAACCAGCACCTACGCCTCCACCGCCGCCGCCCTCTTCCTTCGCAAAACGACTGTCAACGATATCTGCAGACAACGCCAGCATCTGTTCCCCCCGATCGGATGGGGGAACGGCATCAATCTATTCCATGTCTGTCACTTCGAGCCATCCTCCGCCTTCCTTTGAAACTACTAATCTACTGGCATCTCTATCTAAACCATCGCCGGCCCAAGCAGTTGCCCAGTATTTGCGTTCAGGGCGACTTACTACGCTACTAAAATTAACGCGATCGCCTCATGCATCTTCAGACAATCCTTTGACCGTCAGTCTTTCTGATCTTGGAAGTCCCACCGGGATCCCAGTCGTTGTGTTTCTGGGTTTGGGATGTGTACGGCATATCATGGGCTTGTATGACGAGATGGCAGAATGTATGGGATTGAGACTTGTCACGATCGACCGGTAAATATCTTCCATCCTCACGCCGTTTATCTGCTAATGTGTATTACTAACAGATGGGGTCTTGGTCGGACAGAGCCACGAGCAAAATCTGCGAAGGGCATTATGCAATGGGCTTCTGTGGTGGAGGAAGTTCTCGATCTGCTTCACATAGATCAATGTAGTGTTATGGCCCACTCAGCTGGTGCACCTTACGCTTTGTCATTTGCCAATAAGCTGTCACAACGTATACGCGGGGACATTTGCTTACTTGCACCATGGGTAGGAGGCAGCGAAAGTGGTGAGCCTGAGCGTTGAAATCATTCATTTGTCTCATTCCCATTTCCAGGGGGCTACAAATGGCTCAAATACGTTCCCAATGGGATATTGAAAACCGCGCAAGCAGCAGATTGGAAACTGCAGGCGTGGATGATTGGTAAACCTCCAACTATAGCATATGAAGGCATCGGCTATGATTTTCGATCACCTTCGTCAAAGGGCATATCGATGAGCGGTTCTCCGCCAGTTGCACACGGTAACATGAGTTCTGTTTATCCCTCATCCATCGGTAATCGCCCAAGGCCGAGCATGACATCGAGCACATTTAGCGAGTATGACGATCTCGGGGATTTTGACGGTCGATTTGAGAGTCGCAGCACCCTTGGCGTAGATTTGCGACCAACTCGTCAAGAAGCCACCACGAAAAGAAAGAATTCGAGGAGTTTCTTGCACCGCTTCAAAGCGCCATCACACTCCCAGCCGCAGTCTCCCACAGAAGACGACAAGGCATCGTCGGGGCGGCGACTTAAAGCATTGCGTTCGATGGGGTCACTGAAGTCCAAGTCGTCGAAAGTATCGGAGAATTTAGGCCCCCAGCTTCCTCCTGCTCTTAAGTTTGAAGTTGGACTAGGTTTTGACGATCCTAATTGGACCAAGGCTATTGAATCCTCCCAGACGTCGTTAGTCAGGGGAGATCGATCATTAACGCCATCGCCCGATAAATTCTCAACGACAGGTCATATTCCCTATCCTCGTGCGAACGGGCGACGTTCTCTTTCCTTCAATACCTCACGTGGGGCAACATCTCTTCCTGCATCACCTGTTGCGAGCGTGCAGGAAACATTTTCTTCAAATCAGTCATTTTCCACAAGAAACGGGCCAAACCACGGCTACCAAGCTACGCTAGCCAACGCCCTGATCGCCGCATCTCACTCTGAATCTGCAAAAGGGACACACAATGATCTGCTGCAGATTCTGAATCATGATAATCATCCATGGGGATTTTCTTACACTTCTTATCCGCATAAAGTCAATGTATGGTATGGTGACAGGGATGAGAAGATCGCTGAACATGCTGTGCGATGGATGGAAAGAAACATGGGGGAAGATAAATGCACTGTCAAGGTTGTGAAGGGTGCAGACCATGGACTGATGTATAAAAGCAGTGTGGTAGTCGAAGTTTTAGAGCATGTGTTGAGTTATTGGCAGCCTGGTTTGTGTCTTTTGTAAAGTTGCAATTCTGGCGCTCACGGTTAGACACAGGACACCTATGAGAATCCGTGTATGTCGACGAAGGAGGCCTTTTCTTTTGTTCCCCGTCATTATTGTTGAATTTATCTCATTTTTCCTGCATTGCGTTCTTTCTCTATTAGCTGCGGATTTGATCGGATTCATCCACTGTACTTCATATCATCGACTTCTCATCATTCGCTTCTTCAATGCCTAATTATACTTTATTGTTATCGCCTATTAATCTAAGAACATTCTCGTGCCAGTGTGTTTGTTGTAGAAGTACATTCACAGCGGATTATGTGTCCAAAGCCAACAGAATGTTCGCATAAATAAAACTGATAAAGATACAGTAACTGTAAGTAACGAACCCAAAACGAACCGCCGATTAAATCTGATCTTCGACTAGTCTTGTAATCCACATATCTTGACTCTGTCTGCTTGATAGCCTAGAGCTGTTTATTTGCCTACTGCTGGCCCCTGGCAACTGCCCCACCACCGCATTGGCGTACGACGTAACGTTTCTCCGGGGAGGCGGTTCTCGTCCAGCAGCAGCGAGAGGCCCGATACTATCTAAACCTTCCACTATTGGCAATTCAAGTGGTCCGGTTATCTGCCTATCTGCAAACGACAATGGCTCGGAGAGTCTTCTACGCGTTTGACGCTCCTTCTGTCGGAAGAAAAGGAAAAGTCCTAGGACAAACGAAAGCACGGCGACAGAGCTTAAAGTGACAATCACCGCGATTAGTGACTTGTTCACTGAAAATGGTGTAATGTCATTGCTGGCGCTATCCGAGCTACCCGAGGATCCTGAAGGATTCATGGAATCATTGCGAGGAGTAGAAGCAATAGGTGATGATAACGAAGACGATGATGGCGTATATTGTGACGAAGGGTCAGCTGGCACGTAGGAAATCTGGGAGGAAGCGGACGAAGATATAGCAGGCGTCCAAGTCGCTTCTTTTTCAGCACTTAGAACACTAGAAGACGAAGTTGAGGCCGCTGATGTCTTCACATTACTCCCTGAGAAAGAATTTAGCGACTGTAATCGCATATGTATAGTTCTGAGCAACCGACACGTAGAAAAGATGTCCGAGGTGGTGCTTGTGACACCAGCAATGGGAGATGATGCAGAGGATTTAGGGATCTCTGCATTTCAAAATTCCAGTGTTCTTATTCACAGACATTGGCGGACGTACTTGAGCTAGAGTCTTGGCCCTCGCCTGGAAATAACAGGGTTTGAATTAGTTACGCAAGCAAGGAGGGTCGCCACTAACCATTCTCGATTGTGACTATCAGGGAACTAAAAGTGACCTGGCTGAAATTATCGAATCTGATATCGGGAATGTTGAACATGATCAAAACATGGTTTTGGCTTGGATTGAGAGGGGAAGAGAAAATAAAATCCTATTGAGTATATGTCAATGAGGTGGTTGCACAACGATAAAATACTCAAGGTTTACTATTTTGGCAAGACTATCGTTTGAAAGAGCAGGGTCGTGCCCATCCACTATAACGATGGACTCTACATTGGTCTGAGCATTGCAATCGAGGCAGAAGCCATATGCGGAACCCCCAGGCCGCTTGAGTCCGATGAGGAACACATGAGATGTTGCATCTACATGTAAGTATGAACACGAAGTAGTAGCTGGAGGATATTGAGGACCTACTCGGCAATGATACCATAAGCACGGTTCCAAGTTGATTGATGTATAGAAATTGCTGGCCAGCAGAGTTCTGTGAAACATTCCAACCAGAGGAAAAATGAAGTGACGTGTCTGTCGCATTAATGGTGACATTATAAGTCGCTTCGGAGTATAAAACAGAGAGAGCCAGGAAGAGAAGGAAAGGCAACACTATCATGAGAGAAGAAGGAAATCAGAGAGAGGGAATCAAGGAGATGCCCTGCATACCCCAGAGCTGAGCAGCGAGTACGGACAAGATGCAGAAAGAGGACAGGAAACCTGGACGAGCCGGAACTTGAAGGCTGTTGTGCTAGAGACGGGAAGATCGGACCGAATCAGTTGACCGGTTGCCGGCTGGTTTGCCGGTTCGACATCAGTAAGGGATTCCAGTCGTCGTGGGAAACCTTGGGAACGCCACAGCTTTGTCTCTCCATGACGAGCTGACAATGTCGCGCAAGCAGAGCCCGTTCCCCAAGAAGCCTCTCGCCATCAAGCGCGCTGATGGTGAGCCTCTGACTCGCGTCGACCTCCAGTATGATTTCCTCCTCCACATCTTCAGTGATGACCAGCGTGTCTTCACGGATCCCTACTCTTCTGCTTTCGGAGGCCCTGCTGGCTGTAAGGTCTCCTTTCGCGACCTCTATGTCAATGCAATCATGCATTCGACAAAGGCCACAAAGGCCCTGAAAGACTCCATGTCGGCTTCCGCTATCTTCGCCACCGACTTCGCGATGCTGGCTTTGTTGGCAAACGTGGGCAGGGTGAATACAACGATGAGCTGTAAGTGGCCATCTGTCATTGACTGTTATATGTTCATCGTCTCGCTTAGTCTTCGCGGAGAAGAAAACAGCGGTGCGAACATACCACCCGATCCCTGCTCTCCAAAGAGCCGACGGTAACCTCCAAGATGCACCCCGAATCAAAGGTCTACTCAAGGCCTGTACGGTCCCAGATGAGGACCCCAAGTCTGTTCCGACAACTCCCGGTGATATTCTTACCCGTGCAGTATGTTCCTTGCCACTCACTCGGATATGCCCCCCATCTTTATGACGTGTCCACAAAACAGACAACCGGAAAGGTACCGCCTACTAGCATCGCCACCATCATTTTCATTCTGTCAAATTACTCTCCTGTGCGTCTCACAATGGCTTCCGCCCCATTATCCTAACCACCATCTGGACAGGCTATTGGCCAAGAGCATTTCTTAAATGAGCTTGAATTTATCGACCTCTTTCTTCCTGTGGAAGTCTCGAGTGCCTCCCGCGCCCGCGCTTTTCTGTGGCTCTGCTATCATTTTCATGAAGCAACATCCGCCGTCAATGAAGACGACTACGATACTGAGGTGCTCAGCGTCAATCCATTCTGCGACAGTCATCGGCTAGGAAAGGCGCCTGCCTTTGTTATGATAACCCGTGCTGAAGCTGAGAAAGAGAACGTGGACACCGAGGAGGAGATAGCTCGTGCCGAAAAGTCCGTTAATCATAGAAACGACATCATTAATAAGGTGGTTGGGAGCGTCTCCACTTCGTCCACTTCTTCCACTTCTAAGGCCATCCATAACGGCGAGGAAAATGTTCCAGAAGTCAAAGCGAAAAGCAAGCGCAACACTGGCGTCCCCATGACGCTCAAGGAGAAGAAGGAAAGGAAGGCGCTTTGGGACAAGCAGTATCGTGAACGTGTCAAGAATAAGGCGATGCTGGAGAAGAACAAGGAAAGTAAGCAAAAGGAAACCAAGCAGAAGGAGGTTCAGCCCCCCGCCGATGCCGCTGAATTTGGTCGTCAGTTAAAATTCCGCTTTCCGATTGGCTTGGTCTGACAATTTTTCTAGCATTTCCCAGAGGCCGCGAACCTTTGTACGCTGCTCCCAGCTATCGGCATTCCAGTCCCGATGTTCCTTCGACGTACCAGCACCGATACGCGCCATATAAGTTTGGGACTGTGGGGGACCCTAATTGGTCTTCTCGCTACGCATCACATTCGAAAGGCGTTGGCAGTTCACACAAATCCATGCTCGATCGTATGTCGATGTACACACATTTTGATTCGCAGACCTTGATGAATGTTGCTTAGACGCATGGCATGTTATCAATTGTACGGATCCTCTTCTGGATTCCGATGATGAGCCGGACGACCATGTACACCGTGATTATTGTCAGTCTTGCCACCTCTTGTAGAAGATTTGCGCCTTACTTTTTTTTTCAGCTAAGCGACTGCGAATTATTGCTCGCGTCCGTGGTAAAGAACCCACGCCAGAACCAGAACTGTATCCGGTAGCTCCTCAGCCACATGCATCCACCTGAGTACGTTGTCCGTACTGTAATATTAGTAATACCGGTCTTGCCGCCTGTTTATTCCTTAATGTTATCCAAGTAAATACTTTCGTCTTCCTATTAACTATTTAGTCTTAGTTTCAGTAACTTTAGTTCTCCATTGGTATCCCCGTAATTCTGTGCATTATTAGTTAGATTAAAATCCATTTACATATTGACAAAGTGCAGTAAGTAAACCTTCTACGACAATCTTACACATTTTGCTTCATGTATCTTGTACGCGCAAAAAAACCTGTGAGTTAGTAGGACGAATACAATAAAGGAAATAAAGGCAGAAGTCGAAGTGACGAAGGTAACTATAGCTAATGCATGTACGAGACGCGTATAAAATACAAAATAATACTCCACAACATACCCTCTTACTATCCAGAACTGACACTTTTCCAGTAATACAATATGTAGCACAGATATAAGTGGACAAAGGTTTCACCGTCGATAGTACAATCGCACAGGACCTTCTGAGACCCTCGGACTGGGGAGCAATTGGCACATCCAAGAAGCACATCAGGAGAGGATCCAAAAAGAAAGACGAATTTTTTAACTGTAGGAGCGCGCCGCTACTCTGCTAGCCACTTTTCACACTTCTTGGCATATTTGTCCAGAAGTTGAGATAAATCGCGGATGACGAATGTGAGCACGACACTGGCGAAGAACTCCGACGACCGCCTTAGCTTTATATCAGCAGCAGTGCGGATGTCAGCAGGGAAGGCTGCGTATGCAGGCGCCACCGGCTGACAACTGATGGCTTTAGTATGCTCGTCGAGCAACTGAGCATGCAGGAACAATTTCCGCAACCCTTGCACATATGCAGCGGGCGAATCCAAACTAGGAAAACAAATAACATCAGAAGGCAGGCCTTGCATCAACGCATAATAGGAAACACCGACTTCTTGCCATTGATATATTTGTCGAAACGCCGCCCAAGTTTGTCCCCCCAGGTAGTCTTCTTTAACACAAAACCTTCCCCGACGCCAAGTTTCTTCCCAAAGTTGGCTACGACACCATCACACATGGTCGAAAAGTCTTCTAGCTTCGATATCCAGGCCTCCCCTTCCTTCCTGCCTATGCTTCCGATTCCTAGACCCATACCACTGCTTACATTCCCTGCACCAAAGTGTTCGGAGCTGCTATTTTGTAGATCTTCTAGGGCTGAACACAGAATGCCAACCACGCGCACCTTCTCTGGAAGGTTACTCAATTTGGCACCACCCTGGGACCATACTTCCTGCGGAACATGTAAGCGACGCGTTATATATCCACCTGTGGTGGAAGTCATGGTTGTACGAAGTAAATTCATGAGATGGTAGGGCTTTCGTAATGGATCTGCCGGTGCTGCTGCAGGTAATGGTGATATAGGGGTGATGGGGAGAACACTAGAAATAACGGCGGGAGGAGGCATAAGGGGAGGATTAATGGACATGGAAGGTAGGTCAGTTTGTACTGTTAATTGAATCTGGGCATTTGGATTCAGTTTGGAGGGAAACGATGTCTTGCGCAGAGCGGACGCAGCACCGTTTATATTTATATTGGTGACAGTGGTTGAAGGAAGTGGAGGTCGCTGTTCTGGAGGTGATATTCGACCGCCTATCAAAGACGGGCGTCGACCGGGTTGAGACGAAGAGCGCGTTCGACCTACACCACTAAGCGACGCTCCTGAACTTGGCAAGGAGGAAGCCACAGATCGGGGATGGGAGCCGCCTGAGACAACAGACTCGGACGGGGAGGAAGATCTCGGAGTGGGTGGTACTGATGTCTTTAGGCGTCGCTGCGAGATTGTACTCTGATGAATGGTGGGATTGATTACAACAACCTCAGGTCGAGGGGCTTGAGAGGAGCCTCTCTGTCGAGGAATGACAACACTACTGGGAATTTGAGGAGACGAGTTGTTGCGGGGTGTACCGGGTGAACCTGATGCTGGGGAAGGCAAGGCTGGCAAAGGTGGAGATTCATTCTTGACTGTGCGTGTATCCACGAAAATAAGCCGAGAATTTGTTCGCACTTCAGCTCCTGATATTTCTATCGCTGAATGCTCAAATTTTTCGGTTTCCTCTTCCAGGGCAGCCAGTTTACTGCCTGAGCTTGTTCGTCTATGTCCAACGGAGTCACCCCACTGTCTGATTGCAGGATCAAGAAACTGCCGTGAGCCATGCAGGGGCATGTCAAGTGGTGTTTCATTGGCGGTTGTGGGAGCTAGAGGAGGAGAATTAAGAGGTGGCGGTAGCGCTGGAGGTAGGGCCGACGAAGATGCTCTTGATCGTCGAGGCTGCATAGACATCCGGTTTGGAGTGGTGGACTGGGCTGGAAGAGATGGTGCAACTCCGTGGGGTGTAGGCGGATCGTACTGGGTGTTGGCATATGGGTGGGATGAAGAAACGGGAAGACCTGATATCGTAGATCTGACCGGGCTCGCAAGGTCCATGAACATAGCAGCGCCAATAGCCTCTATACCTTCGTGAGCACTCACGTGGTCCGACAAGGAGATACCTGGGGCGACCTGAGGATTATTGTCTTCCACATGGGTATCATTCATGGTATAATCAACTTGAGGTATCTGGTCTGAGGTTTCGGACACGGGAGAAACAGAGCTAGTCGGAGAATTCGGTTGTGTGGAATCCGCAGAGATGGGCGAATATATGGACGCCGTTGTATAGGGTAAGGGAGGGATGCTGTAAACGACGCTAAGGATATTCATGCGATCAGCATACGTGTCATGCTAATAAAACAGATCAACAGATAGGTCAGCCTTAAGCACAATATATGCTCAAGATACGCACAATTTTTTGCAGCCTTCGGACCTCCTCTTCCTGCGCAACACTACTTCTACGTCTTCCATTTCGTCGTCTGGGCTCAGTGGTATCCTCGCCTCTGCGGACGCGATCCATGACTTCGCTGAGAAGTGCAACGCTTCTGCCATACGCCATGACCGCGCCTTGGGGGTTATTGCTATTGGAGTCTAGCTGTACGGCCTCACGAGCAAGCTCCAACGCCCTTGTCAGTGCCCGTCGAGACGATGGTGGGCGATGCTCTGAGCGAGTTTCCATTGGAGGTAGTAAGCGATCCGTGTCCACATCTGGAGGCAATGGCGGTGCTTGTAAACGTGAAGACGAAGGGGGCAGTATTGATGGAGGTGGGGAGTCTGACAGATCGTCGACGGACAAAGAAGCAGATGACTGTGCAGTGAAAACTGAGTGATGAGGGAAAGCAGCGACTGCCGCTAGCGATGGGGATGGGCCCTGTCTCGCAAAAGAGGCTGAGCGTGTGCCACGGTTGACGCCATTCGTGTGTCGCTGAGAGTCATCTGATCCCGTTGAAGGTCGTACTATGGTAGAAGAATGGCCTGGACGGTCATTGGTGATGTCGGGAAGACTGGGAATTGGAAGATTTGGAGGTGGGCCCGCAGGACGAGTATGAGCAGCTGAAGAGCGACGTCGCTGGGAAATGGTAGTGGTAGTGGTAGCGGAAAACATGGACGATCCTGCTGTAGGCTGCGGACTCTGCCAGTCACCAGCCATGTTATACGGTGCAACACGGACCCGTTCCTCCATTAAGGCGACGATAAAGGATGACAAGGAATGGCTGGTATGGACAGGTTCCTTGAGCCCTGGATAGACGGAGGCTCACCGCGACAGTCTAAAAGTTGGCGGAGAGACCGACCGTTATTGTTCTGGACAACAGAAAGAGAGAGATGAAGGAGAAAAGAATGGTAACAGGAGCCTTGGAGGTAGAGTAAGGACACTGTTGCAGAGGACAGAGGTGATTTGACTGTTACGAAACGGGCCCACGAAACCACCAGATCAGTCACTACGACAGATCCTGATACTCCGTAGTCATGCCCTATCTACCCACCGATACTGTCGCTGTCGTGCTCTAGAGTAATAAAGTGTAGCGTCCAGGTCAGCGGATAATTGGGTCTCTGGCCCTTTTAGGCTTTCCTCTTGAAATTCATTCGTTTCGCCAGTTCTGCCTTCTTTACCCACGCCACTCATCCATCTCGCCCGAAACCATTGTTGCTAGGCATTCATAACAGGATAGAGGTATTTAACGAGACAGTAAGAGCGAGCGGGTCATTAGTAGATACTAGACAATCAAATCTTCAAGTTCCCAAGAGAAACTAAGACTAAGGGAAAAAAAAAATTATCCGTTGTGAAAAACAATAACTAGACTGAAACGATAAAGAACGAGTGGACTGAATTCCCGGAACGAACTGTTCAGTTGGGTATACTTGCATGGGACCGTGAAATCTACTCTCGGAATTCTGATTGAGATCCTTGCGCGGCGAGTCGACTTTCCAAGTTGCTAGGGGTTATGTCAACACCAGAAAGAGCATGCAAGGTCAGCTTCACTGACCGCAAAGATTCTTCCTTGGCGAGTAGCTCTTGCCTCTTTTCATTGATTTCTCTCTGGACCTTAAGCTCAATCTCGCGCAACTGCAGCAAGACATGTCAGCATCTTTGACAGCGGAATCCCTTATGGACATTCACTTTTTCTTCCTCCCGGCGTAGTTGCTCCTCCTTGAGACGCACACTTTGAGACGCGAGCTCTTCCGGCAAGATGGACGAGTCGCTTTACGAAAGACACGTTGAATGAACGAAGATTTGTAGAGACGCCCAAAATACGTACTTCGTTTCTGCATGGACGGTCCTGGAAAGCTTTTCTGTACGATAGGTTTCATAGAGGACGTCATGGGTCAAAGACTTGAGATCCGCAAGGTGAGAACTGAAGTAATATCGGTCAGACAGACACAAAGCTGCAACGAGTCTCTGCACATACTTCAAAAGAGCACTCCTTAACCTGCTGAAGTCGGAATGTCTCGGGTTATCGACTTCCGCAATTCCCCAAGGATAAATACGGGCGCGAACAGGTTGACCGTCGATCTCGATCTCCTCTTCCGAACCGATAACAGCAAACGGTAGAAGGGCCTAGTATTTATCACGTAAGAACTGTAGGATGAAAGGAATGTCAAAAACACTGACGCGCAGTTCGCTGTTGTCCTGAATGGTATCTTCGTCATCTTCTTCGATGTCGAAAGGGAAGTTGTAAACAGGGATATCATAATGTTCGATGTCCTCCATGATCTGAGAAGCCAATTTAGTGCCGTTTTAAAGTCTCGAAGCATTTTTTTTACCCGCTTCTTGAACCCTCGGAGTTCAGACGGAGTCAAAGAATCCGCCTTACCTACGACGGGAATGACGTTCGCACGTGGTGAAAGGCGACGCATCAGCTCGATATCCATCTCTCGCAGACTGAAAAGGGTCAGGGCACTGTTCAACAAATGGTCCCGCAACATACGCGTGTCCAGTGGGAGGGATGAAGTACAACAACGCATGAACCCTGTTGTCCCTGAAGCGCGGGTTACGTTTAATGCGAGATTCTTCGGCCAAAATGTCATCGTATTGGCGTTCGAGGTATCCAACAATCTCCTGGAACCTAGACGGAAGGTAAGAGGGGAAGATGAGAGTGCTCAGAAAACTTACGCAAATTCGTTGTCGATGTTGTCGCCAAATCCAGGGGTGTCAACAATGGTAAGAGCGATGCGGACGCCATCCTCTTCAAGTTCTGGAGAACAAAATGAAGACATGGGTATGCTGGAAATAGAGCATACACTAACCAACGTTGACGGGCTTGATTCGAATACCCTCTTCAACATGAGCAGTCTCTGGGTTGTCAGAGACCTTGTGGGCCAAAACTTCGGATTCGCAGAGGGTATTCACGAAAGTGGTACGCCCAGTGCCAGAAGCACCTGGAGGGGAACATTGAGACCTTAGTGCGACGAAGACAGCAGCGAGGAAACTCACCGACGACCATGAGCGTAAACTGAACGCCCTTTTTGACTTTGTTTCCCCGGCGTCTTCCCGCAAACGACATCTGGCAAAAGAGAGTAGTAGAAGGGTAACTCGCAGCGCAGGGGGAATGAGCCCAGTTGGCGGAGTTTGAAATGAAGTGGCGTGACCTACGCTTGACCTTCATTCTAACTCCATTGATTTTGCTTTTTTGCTCCCATTGAGCGGCGCGACGGTCTCGTCGCATTCGACCGTGTATGGCACCTCTTCCGACAGCTGTTCGCCGTTTACACCGCGTCCCGCTCTACGCAAGTCGTATTTCCTTCCATGCATTACGCGCCTTTGCCTCCCGGGCTCAAGATCGAGACACGTCCGAAGTGCCTACCCTAAAGACAAAAAAGAAATACTCAGATTTACCATTGGCAAGACTTCTACCTGATGGATCTGTTGCGCCTCCTTTGGCAGAGTGGATAAGCGACTGTGTCGAACCAAGTGGGCTCTTCCTCTAACACATTATAACGGCTAACCATATATCACAGTGCCGAAAGTTCGCGGGCGTGCTTTGAAAGCCCTTAAAGTTGTTAACTCTGATGATTTCGTTGATGACGAGTCGGCAAAACATACCAGACGAAAGACTAGCGTTGTTGATTCTGAAGATTCTGAACTGAATGGTAGGGTGTTAACTAGCATATAACGGATTCGTTCGCTTAGAAGGCTTACTTGTAGCCCCTCGTAAGCGGCGCTCTACGAAGATCAAAGCAGAGGACTCAATCGAAGGTATGTACTAAAACACCACTCGCAATAGCTTCTGTCATTATTTGCATTAGTGGACAGCAAGCCAGGTCGACGTATACAGGTAGCTGCCGTCGATGACTTTGAAGAATCCGTGCCCCGAAAACGCGTGAAAAAAGCGTCTGCCGAACAAAACACGGATGACGATATACCGCCAAAACGAAATTTCTTTTTGGAAGATGAGGGGGACTCCAAACCTCGTAACCGTTCCAAGAAGTCAGATACGGTGGACGAAACTAATGAAAAGATCAAGCCTCGTACACGTACTAAGAAGGCACCGAAGGAGACTGGAGCTGACAGCAAGCCTCGGAGGCGCTCCAAGAAAGCAGTTGCAGACGAAGAACAAGACACCCAACCTCGTAAACGAACGAAAAAAGTAGCTGGAACTGAAAGTGACAACGCCATTGGTGGGTTTCTTTTAGACTTCTCGGATTGTATTGTGATGAGGCCATCATAGCAGCAGCCGCACAACCTAAGGCTCTCTTCAAGGAAGTTCAGGAAAATCTATCCAAGTTTCCTCACTGTGTTCTTTTAACCCGTGTAGGCCAGTTTTATGAAGTGAGTTGATCTTTAATGAATACCCTGCAAGGTTTTTACATATAACCTCAGTCTTACTTTGATCAAGCTATCGAAGTTTCACGTCTGCTGAATATCAAATTGACGACACGCAAATGGAATAAGCAATTCATTCCTATGTGCGGGTTTCCTCTTGTCCATATTGACAAGCACCTCAAAGCCTTGGTCCAACAAAATCAGCGATTCGTGGCAATGTGTGAGGAGTTTCCTCGTTACCGTAGCTCTGGGCAAAGGGACTTCGATCGCCGGGTAATACGCGTTATTACGCCTGGAACTCTCATTGACGAGTCATTCCTGAACCAATATGAGAACAACTATCTCCTTGCCATAAGTGCTCCTCTCGACGTACCATTGGATAACGCTGAACTGCAACAGTATTCTGTTGGCCTCGCGTGGATCGATGTCTCCACTGGGGAGTTCTTCTCCAGGCACTCAGACAGCGAGAGTCTGCGCGATGATATTGCACGCATTGGCCCTCGCGAGGTTGTTCTCCATAAAGACTTTGACGGTCGGCATACACACCCTATATTCGTGGTTCTGGGAGAAGAAAGAAACCTTATTTCTTATATCATGCCTTCCAACAAGTTCACATTTTCAAATCCAGAGTCAGAGGATATCGCCTCAGCACAAGATGTTTCCGGTACATATGAAAAATTAGTTGCTGACAACATGACAGACGCCATAGACGTTACCGATGAGGTTTTGGAGCCAGTGACTTCCAGGAGGTCCGCGGTTTATACCGCTGACGAGGGATCAGCCATTACTTTGCTGACGGCATACCTCAAAGCAAATCTGCTGGAGCATATGCCAGCCCTGTCGCATCCCGACCAGGATAATGTCGGTAATCGCTTGTATATGGATTCTCACACGATCAAAGCTTTGGAGATTCGCGAAAACATTACAGAAGGAGGCACGACTGGAAGCTTGCTAAGCGTCATTAAGCGGACAGTCACTTCTAGTGGTACACGACTACTTGCTCGATGGCTATGTACAGCCTCCTTTGTCTCTGATGGCTAGAGAGACTAATTTATTCCATAGGTTCGCCGAGCACCTCGATCCCTGAGATTCAGGCTCGCCAATCACTCGTCGAATTTTTCTGCTTGAGATCCTACTTCCGTGAAGACCTTGTGGAAGCCCTGACAAAGCTTGAAGATGCCAGTCGGATCGTGCAAAAGTTTCTTCTTGGTAGAGGCGATACCTCTGATCTACTTGCCGTATACACCACTGTAAAGACTTGGTCCCTTCTGAAGCTTCGAATTGAACGTGAAAGGCTTCTGGAAGCGCAAGAACGAGAAGAGAACTTTAGTCCCTATGAGTGGTCGAGCTTGGATTCGTTGATGGCTCGCTTTTCTGATCTCGACGAGCTGAGCCATAGGATTGGGTCAGCGCTGGAAAAACCTGACATTGACGCCGATGAATCCGATGAATCCGAATTAGAAGAGGAAATAGAGGACGCTGAACCTGCTTTCTTCAAATGGAGATACGGACCTAGTAAATGGGTCATCAAACCAGAGTGATCAAACATCCTTTCTTTCCGCAATTTACTGATCGCCCACGTAGATTCTCCGAAACGCTCCAAACGCTCCACACCAATCTACGCCGGCTCCTTCGGGAAAAGGAGGACCTTCAAGCCAGATTGCAAATCAACTATGGTACGTCATGCATGGTTCGTTTTCACTTAGTGCAACCACACGTCTATCGTAGATGCTCCCTCATTGGGGCTGCGTTCTTCTCCTGGTCTGGGCATGCACGTTCATCTAGCTAGAGCCAAAAGAGATCACCATCGCCTCAATAAAGATCCCAATTTCCTTTCCATCAATACAACGACCACGACTAGAAGTTACATCTATCAAGTAGGTATCATGATCGGATCAGGTCTCGTCATTCTAATAGATTGATTAGGAATGGTCTCTTCTTGGGTCCCAGATTTTCCAAACTTCTATGGCCCTTCTCGCCGCAGAAAAGGAGGCCTTTGAAACATTACGAAACGAAGTAAGTCTTCATATCTCGTTAATTAAGTCACTGTTAAATGAGTATACAGGTTAACGGACATGCTGCATCACTGAGACGCAACGCGCGTATTATGGATGAACTCGATGTCACATTGGCTTTCGCCAATCTTGCTACGGAGATGAAGTTTGTCAAGCCTACGTTCAGCGAAGAGTTAGTCATTTGAAAGGTTTCGATTCTATGTCAACTGATGATGCTCGTCAGGACCATTTACAACGTTACCCATGGACGCCACCCTACAGTCGAACTTGGTTTGCTCACAACTGGAAAAGTGTTTACTCCCAATTCCTTAGAAATGAACCCAACAACTCGTCTTCACATCATAACGGGACCAAACATGGCAGGGAAATCTACACTGCTTCGGCAAACAGCGCTTATAGCGGTGCTTGCCCAGACCGGCTCTTTTGTTCCTGCCGATTCGGCCAACCTGGGGATCGTAGACAAACTGTTCTCTCGTGTAGGCGCTAAGGATGACCTATTCCACAACCGAAGCACTTTCATGGTGGAAATGTTAGAGACGGCGGAGATCCTTCGGCGGGCCACACCTAGGAGCCTTGTAAGCGACTATGGACACAGTATATGTCTTGACTGATACATGCCTCTCGTTTACAGGTTATTATGGATGAGGTTGGCCGCGGAACAACAGTCAACGATGGTCTTGCGATAGCATATGCGACTGTGCATCATCTTGTTACTCAGAACCGATGTCGAGCTCTTTTTGCGACACATTTTCATGAATTATCTGACATGCTCGGGTATTCAGACCATACATCTAGCACATTTGAATCCGTGTCTTTTCTATGTACGGATGTGGATGAAACAGAGGTGCGTACTTTCCTGCGTCCATACTCTGTTCTCTCTAAATGAATCCCAGGCTGGACGATTTGCATATTCTTATCGCGTTAGACCTGGTGTCAATCGCGATAGCCATGGTCTTAAAGTGGCCCTCCTGGCAGGTATGCCTGAACAGGCATTGTATGTCGCCGGGAATGCGCTTGAAGTGCTCAAAAGTAGGAAGGGTGAAGGTCTGAGTCCTGTGCAGTTCCAGTTGTAGATTGTACACCGCAGTATTTCATGTTTATTGTATCATTATTATTTCTGTAACTATAATACTTTTTCTGTGTTAGACCGTCACAGAACGAATATGGTTCAGAGCAGACCCGGCTCGGAGCCACTTGAGTTGATCTACCGACATGGTATGTCTAGTTAACAACGTGAACGGTTCACCAATCCGTGGGGTGACCTTGATTTCTACGGTGCTTCTAGTCCCTCCTTGCAGAAGATCCGTCAGGTCAATGGTCTCGACAACATCACCAGACCCTATACGGGAGTAGTCCGCCTTGTCGGCGAACCACAGAGGCAAGACACCTTGTTTCTGTGCAAAGTTAGAATTAGTTACCCCGCATCCAAAGCCAAAGGCTAAGATTATACCTTCAGATTCGTTTCGTGAATACGGGCGAACGACCTAGCGATAATCATTGCACATCCTAGAAAGAAGAATGTCACGAGCAATCAACTGTGACTGGAAGATTACTTACCGTAGAAGCGTGGTTGAAGAGCAGCATGCTCCCGCGCGCTACCTTCTCCATAGTTGTCATCGACGACGAGCGCCCATGGTTGATTCCTGGCTTTAAACCGCTTAGCAACGCCAGGAATGGTGTCGGTCGCTGGTTCGGTAGGTGCATGGTCATAATCAAATGCCACGTTTACATCTCCGCCTTCATCGTTGACGGCCTTGGGAGGTAGAAGGATCAGGAGGATCATCAATCAAAAGATGGGAATCAGCGTACAGTTATCACTGTGCGAAAGGGAATCGAAAGGTTAGCACCCCACCAGACAATATCGATAATGACTAACGAAGATTTTCTGATATATTAGTCAGATGCCCTTTGTATTTCAACCAAGGTCCCTTGAAAATACAGTTTAGGCACCTAAACTTCAAAATTTCAGTGAGGAAAGACATACAGCAGCCGAAATGTGGTCAGTTGTACATTTCCCCCGAACCCTCATCAGGACTCTCAGCGACGGGAGCTCTAGACCCCGCGAATTCAATGTATTTTCCCCAAAATAGCTCGCAAAGGGCTCAAGTAACTCCAAACGCTGTGAATCCTTACTGATCACCACTTCAGTTTCAGGGTGTGGTTCAGGAATAGGCGAAGGATAGAAACTTAGGTCACCCGGGGTGAATCCGTTAGCAGGCAGATCTCGGCCAACAGGAGGCTCAAATTTGAACGATTCGCCTGAAGGCAGAGGTAAAGAATCTGTCAAAGGGTTGAACGATAGCTTTCCAGAAAAGGCCATAGCAGTAACGATGGTGGGCGATGCGAGGAAGTTCATGGTTAGTCGATTACCATCGTTACGCGACTTGAAATTCCTGTTGAAGCTCGTCAAAATTGCTGTCAGGGAATAAATGGTATCAGAAGCTGGAATTCATAGCATAAGGTCGCGGCTTGCCGTTCTCTTCGTCCTTTTTATCATTTCGTGCCCATTGACCAATGCAGGGCCCACATGCGTTTGCAAGGACGACAGCACCGACATCTTGCAGAGTTGAAGTCACTCCGTCACGTTCAATAGTCGCACGTATTTGCTCGGATCCTGGTGTACAGAGAAAAGGAACCTAGGTGGGAACTTTATCATTACTTATGTCTAAAAATAACGATGATTTCATGTTCTTACCTTGGTGGTTAGGCCTGCTTTCTTAGCTTGCCGAGCAAGATCCGCGACGCCCGTCTAGAAATCTGAGATACCGGCACAAGACAAACAGAATGCACAACGTACATACCATATCTTCGTATGAGCTGTTCGTGCATGAACCAATAAGACCCGCCGAGAGTTCATCTTTCCATCCCTGTTCTTTCACGAAAGACCCGAATTTCGATATGGGTGTAGCAAGATCAGGCGTGAAAGGTCCATTGATAGTGGGCTCTAAATCTGACAAATTCTTTTTTAAAAAAAAGCGCGCTCAAATTACAACGTGGGGAAACAGAGGAGAAAGACATACAATTGAGATGACCTCGTCGTACTCTGCTCCCTCATCAGCACACAGATATTGCGCAGCCACTTCGTCGGCAGCTTTAGCGACAGGTGAACGACCGGTTGCATTGAGATAGACGCGCATATTTGGTGTATACGGGAAAGTGGACGTTGTAGCACCCACCTCAGCCCCCATATTAGCGATAGTAGCCAAACCTGACGGCGGCATGAAAAAAGAAATGTTAAATGGTATCGGATGGCTGTACGCACCAGTACACGACTGGCTGAAGACCCCAGGACCGAAGTATTCCAGGATCCTTCCAGTGCCTCCCTAGAGCTTATTTTAAGAATGCATAAGAAATAGATTTTTTATCCACGTACGCGCACAGAAAGCTTCCCAGCAATGTGAAGAATCAAGTCCTTGGGGGTAGTCCAACCGTTAAGCTTTCCGGTTAAGTGTACACCTGAGAAAAAAAAATAATGAACAGGACGAGACTTGGGAGAGAAGGGCTAACCAACTATCTGGGGTGCTTTGAGCTCCCACGGGGTACCCGTCATGGCATCGACCGCATCCGCACCACCGACACCAATAGCTAATAACCCCAGACCACCGGCATTAGGTGTGTGCGAGTCTAGGTGAGTTGAAAAATCAGATACAGTTGCGTATCATGTTAAATTCTATCACCTGTTCCCAACCTACACGTCAAGCTTCAGCGAAATGACGCGCTTAGGGAAAGAACTTAGACATACATAAGCATCCCCGGTGCGGCGTAGTTCTCCAAAACAATTTGATGAATGATCCCAGAACCCGGTTTCCAAAATTCGATACCGTACTTGCGAGCAGCACTCTCCAAGAAATCGAATACTTCTTTATTTGACTCTACAGAGCGCTGCAACAATCGTTATGAGTTGAGATTGACGGGCCTTACATATATATCTTGCCTCTAAATCAAACTTGGCACCCTGCGATGCTTGAATGAGATGATCACAGTGAATACTAGTAGGCACGGCGGTCCGAGAGAGTCCAGCGCTCATAAACTGAAGCCTTCAACCCCAAATATGAGCATTTATTGCAGAGAAAGGCACGACGAACTCACAAGGCCATTCTAACAAGCGATGAGTCAGGAAAAGGCCCAAACACAGACAATTTAGACATACTGTGCTGAAGCATCTTGCATAGCGACCCTCTGGGGATTGAGTTGCAGGTAAGTCTCCCCTCTAGTCAGCCCATTCCGAAACGCATTATGAGGGTTACTGAGATGGCTGTAGAGGATTTTTTCTGCGAGGGTAAGTGGGCGCCTAAGAGCATTTCGTGCATATCCTAGTTTTTGAAGCAGTAATTGATATGGAGGCGCGATGGAAGCGCAGTCCTTCTCCGCTACGGTAGCTTGTGTCGCAAACAATCTACGAGCTGCAGCGCCCCGAAACATGATTTGCGGATCGCCGCAACAAACAGTCGAGAGTTTGGGAACCAATCACGGAAGGGAAAATAGACATGGCTTCCAAATCAAACAGGTGTACATAACGCGACAAGACCATAAGGTACATAAGTATTCATTATATAAGGACCTCCCCCGGTCCAGCTCCACCAAGTTCTGGGAATAACGCGATAATAACCCGGTCTAGAATCATCATGATCAGGTGCACATTGCATGAGGTACTCGTCAAGGGGTCGATGGCAGATTTGAGCGCTACCGAAGGATCAGAGCCCAGCAGTATTGGAGTTAGGTATGCTGACGGTATCCATGAGAATGACGACAGGACATTCAGAACTGGCACTCACATAAACCACCCGTGCCGCGCCAAGCAAGCAACTTTGCGTGGATTTCGGCTTGTTCCTCTGGCGTAGGATCCACTGGGGGAGGCGCGGGGTACCCGTTCGGAAATAAAGTCCGCTTTCCTATACGCACAATGCTGAGAAGTAGCGCAGGGGATAGCATATTGTCAAGGAGGTAGGGAAGCAGACTGAAGAAAAGTGAGAAACAGCCGACTGGTAGCAAAACAGGTTGCGTACCGATCGAGGAATGAGGTGAAAAAGGACGCCAGCATGCTGATGGTAGTTATGATCACACTTGACGCGTATCGCTCGTGCATGGAAAATATCTCCGAAATCACGAGTATAGGTCCATGAGCGTAATATTCATGATGATGTTCATTCTGATTAGTGGGAACAAAAGGAAGTGCAGGGTGGTCGGAGGGGAAAAGAGGTGCCTTCGCAAGGGAAGAAGTCGATGATGACTCAGACGGCGCGCGAGAAAGTGATGAGGATAGGTTCGTTTCAGGAAGTACGGGGCTCGAAGATGGTGTGCTCTTCAAAGACGAATGAGACGAAGATGGGTGAAAGGACTTGGGCGGAGACTGGTTCACAAGTTTAATGGTATTGACCGCTTGTTTATACGTATGTATTAGAGCGAGACAAGCTCCTGAGATGGACTGTATTGCGGAGAGGAAAACAATGAGGATGGTATGGAAGGAGAAAACCTGGCCTGACTGCGACGACGGCGGTGATTCTGGAGACTGCAACAAAGAACTTAATGGGTGATGCAGGACACGGAACGTAACCCACCACAATGCTACCTGCAGAACGGGACTGAGGTCCAAGGAGATCTAGAATGGTCTTCTGAATGAACCAAGGCTGAACGATTTTTGGGATGACGTCCTTGACCACAATTTTGAGAAGAATTTCTCTGACAATGAGTCTTTCGGCCTCTGGCTCAAAGTCCTCTGGAGGTAAGCAGACCCTGAGAATGTGATCAAGGATTTGGCGAACATAGACACGATCTATTTGACCATCAGGGGACAGAGCCATGTGTGGTTGAAACTGATGGAAGAGCTGGTCAATAGAAAGGGCCCCGCCTGCAGCATATGCAGTGGCTACTTTGGAAGAGGCATTACGGTAGTCGATGTAATGTTGGGTGAGAATTACGGGGATGTCACGACAAATGACAGATGAGAAATCGGTTGCAAGAACGCGTTCCTCGAGAGCCCGGACGACGACGGTGAGGATACGAGTGATGTCCGGCAGAAATTCTTTGTCGTAGCGAGTAATCTTGGTCCACCATGGGTTCACAAAGGCACGAAGAGCGAGGGCGATGAAGTCGTAGAGCTCGGTGTTGAGCTCTGGCGGCACTGGACAAACGAGGAGAAGGGGCAAGTCATTATTTGGTAGCGACGGGAAGAGCAGACGCCTTGCCAGCGACACGGGTTGCTGCTGCTGCTGGCGCTGCGTATTTGAGCGATTTGACTGGAGCGAGGCCAGCGGCTTGCGGGACATAAGAAGACCTGAGCCCAATTTGAAATCGTAACCCGGCTCCTGACCTGGATCATCACGAACACATTTTCTCTCTTCTTCCTTGTCACCGTCGTCGTCGTCGCCTCGTCGCCCTCCCGTGTTCATATTATTTATCCTGGATTCTAGTCACTCCTTCTGCCACCACTCTCATTTATGCACGCCGACCCATACCTCACATCCCGCGCCGAAGATGACAAGGGCATCTCCAGCCAGACCATCATCATCATTGCTGTCTGTGCCTCCGTCGGTGGTCTCGTTCTTCTCGTGGTCTTCGTTCGTACCATTCGTTCTGCATGCGCCCGTTCTGCTGCGCAAACTGCTCCGCTGCCTCCAGTACAGCCTCTTGCTCACCACAGAGAACACCAGCTCGCAAAGTTCTACAAGAGCAATACAAGCAGGCCAAGCACCACGTACGATCCTTCCAACCTCGCAGCACCTCGTCCATTTGCTTCGGATGCTTCTTCCATTCGAACAAGCAAAGCCTCGCTGCTCGTTCCAGACAGCCCAGGACCAAACAGTCCTTCGCGGCATGCCAGCTCGCTTAATGCGTATGATGCAGCGGAGGACATCTCGCTCAACAATGCCCCCATGGAGCTGGATGTCCCAAATCCTTCCTTCCAGGTCTCCACCCGAGCAAGTTCCAGCACCCTTAGTTCGAGCGAAAACAGCCATACTCCCCCCGAAACGCCTCCGTCACAGAGCTCTGGCAGTATTTCACGTTTTCCGCATCAGCAGACGCGATCATTGTCGTCTGCAAAGCCCGCGTCCGCTCGCAGACCCCGCCCGCTTTCACTAGCGTCTTCCACAAACACTGTCCTCTCCAAGTCAAGTAGAACTAACCTACGGACTGGGATATCTCATGGACCTCACAATGTTCAGATTGTTTTGCCTGCACCCTTGGCGCCAGATCTCTATCCTAACGATGAGATCAGCCCATATAGACATGCAGATGATGGTGGTTACAGCCGTCTCAGCGTCGTGGATCAATGGGCACCAAGAACATATCGCTCAGAGGGCTCCTTAAATGGCGAGAGTCGCCGCTCGTTTGGCAGTATGTTTATCTTCTGTTAACCTTATGGCATACTCAATTTTCTACAGCGGAACCTCGACCTTCTACATCTTCTCAAACCAGCATTCATTCACAGTCTCTTCCCTCACGACACCTTCGTAAAGTAAAATCAAACCTTTCCTCAAATTCTTTGCACCATATATCATCATCTACGCTCACGACGCCTTCACCCTACCATTCACCGCCCCCAGTGCCAAGGATACCTTCCATGTACAACAACGTTAGCGAGGACGACCCAGAAGCTCCACCGTTAAGAGCCCCGCCAAGGGACGTCAATATACCCGCCGCAGTTCATGGAAGGGCTATATTTTTACCCGACCCCGACGAAGTGGTAAACCCCCAGCACGATATGTTATCTAAAAAGAATGCAAATTTTCGTGGACGGACTTAGTCCCGATTCCGCCCTTGGATAATGTAGCATCGTTGGATAACGTAGCATTCCTTAAAACAATTATATACTCATATTCTACAAGTTGTTTACACAATTACTACCACATATTTATCACATCCACCAGCCTTCGGACGATCCAAGTCCGAGATAATGCTTGGTCACATGACCCGGAGAAATAAAGGCCGCTATTTCGTGCTATCAAGCTATCCTTCTTTCTCATCATGGTCCTTGCTCGTCTTCGCGCTTTTCGACGGCCAACATCGCTTGCTACCAGTATAGCATGCAGGAGCATATCGTGGCGCGACTATGCTTCCCAGACGCCTACTCTGGATCCAATGACTGGCGAAATGATGGTCTTGCCTGACATTCAGGTGCGCGTAATATGCTCCCAGACGCCGTGCCGTGTCTTCCATTCACAACATTCATCCCAGCCAAATCTATTACAAATCTCGAAAAACACGAAACCAAGCCCGCCGCCGCCTTCAAAGTCATTAGTCTTCGGTCACACCTTTGTTCGTTTCCATTACAATCTCCCCCAAGTCGACTTCGATTGACCCATATACAGACTGATCATATGTTGACTGTGCCATGGAGCGCGATTTCCGGTTGGAGCATGCCTCAGATCGAACCATGTAAGCCATCAAGCAATTTAAACCAGTATCGTTTTCTTACGGCGCCGTAGATGGTCCGCTTCGTCTTGAACCCAGCTCAACTGTCTTGCATTACGCCCAGACCATATTTGAAGGCATGAAAGCGTACCGTGATGATACCGGCAAAGTTACGCTCTTCCGCCCGGACATGAACATGAAACGGATGAACAGCAGTGCTACCCGAGTTGCATTACCTGTGAGAGCATTCTTCAATGCCGTCTCCGACATAATTGATATTCACATAGAATTTCAATGGTGATGCACTCTTGGAGCTTATCAAAGAGCTCATTCGGATCGACAAGCATTGGATTCCCAAAGAACCAGGCCACAGTCTGTATGTCCGGCCGACACTTAGTCCGTAACTTTCGTCTCGTTTCTGACTTTTTTCGACTGACTCCATTCATGTAGTCGGAACCCAAAAAGCCGTCGGCATTGGTCCGCCCAATGAGGCGCTTCTTTTCGTGATATGTAGTCCTGTGGGTCCCTATTATCCTAACGGATTCAAACCGATTGCGCTGTATGGGACTACAGAGTACGTCCGTGCTGCTCCCGGAGGTAATATGTCTGTTCGTATTTGAAAAGCGACCAAGCTCATCCTGTACCTAGGAACTGGTGCGTATAAACTAGGTGCCAACTACGCTCCCGGTGTCCTACCTCAAAAATTCGCTGCTCAGAAGGGATATCAACAAAACCTTTGGTTACACGGTCCAGAGCACTATCTTACTGAGGTATTCCGGATTAAACATCTTTTTCTGCAAACTATCTGATTGAAGCTACCAGGTTGGAACGATGAACATGTTCGTTGTTTTCAGGAAAGGGGATGGGTGTGCGTCATGTTTCTTCACCACACAATTCTGTCTGATTATATTTAGCCCTAGAGTTGGTGACACCCCCACTGGATGGCATGATTCTTCCAGGAATAACGAGAGACTCGGTCCTTGTCCTTGCCCAAGAACACGTATCAGGCAAAAAGAAACTTGCACACTTGACTGATAAATTGATTATCTCCGAGCGGCCAGTAACGATGAACGAAGTGAAATCTGCGTCTCTCTCAGGTTCACTCGTCGAACTTTTCGGGTCAGGTGTGTCGTGTCTTTTGCACTCTGCCGCTACGAAACCTCACACTGAAAAATGATATAGGTACAGCCGCTGTCATCAGCCCTGTAGACCGGATTGGATACCTGGGTGAGGATATATTGATACCTACTGAAGAGGATGGGATGGGCCCCATTTCGAGACCTATCTGGAAAGAATTAGTAGGCAGGCAGATGGGTACGATTGAGAGTGACTGGAGTGTGCCTGTGACTCAATAGACTAAGAGAACTTTCCACTAGTTTCAACCAAAGGTTGCTTATAAAGTAAAGTAAGAACATCACCGCATGGTTAAAGGGAGCATATAAAAACATCGGTAAGCAATGAATACAGAATAGCATATTTAAACAACTTCTTGTTCCTTATCTTTGTCCTAACACCGGTTAAAGTTTGAAAGCAGTCTTTGGATACTCCAACTTGGCCGCTGCCTGGTCATCAACGAACCAGTAAAGATGCCCTGGGTAAACCGGTTTGACACGCGAAGATGGCAAACCTTCTTCCGGTTTGTCTAAGACGCTGCTCAACATTTCAACCTTCCCTTCTCCGACAGCAAAGAAGGCAACCCTTGCAGCATGATTGATGACAGGGTAGGTGAATGTGATTCGTTTCGCTGGCGGTTTTGGCGAGTCCTCTAGATATGCCACCCAGCGATCATCCTCTGCCAACAACTCGTGACCGGGGAATAAGGATGCTGTGTGTCCATCTGGACCCATACCGAGAAGAATGAGGTCAAAAACAGGGAAACGGGCGGAGTCCTTTTGAGCAAATTCCTTGATGAGCTCCTTTTCATACGCGTCGGAAAGTTCCTCGAGATCGTCGAGAAGGGAAGGGTCGAGAGTATGGATGTGGCTGGTAGGAATGGGGACCTTCGAGAACAGTATTTCGGTGAACGCGAGATGATTTGAATCAGGATTGTCGAGGGGAACAACGCGCTCATCCACATAAAATACCTGCCTAATCTCAGTTCAGCTACGCACACATGATGATAATAAGCAGGCAGACTGACCATTTGTCCCATTTCACTCCTGGATTTCCAATTAATCCCTTCAATGCGTTTGGTAGGGATCCACCGGACAAGGCGATGGTAAACTTCCCCTTCTTGTCAATGGACTCCCGCTGCGCCTTGATGATGAACTCTGCGAGAGAGGCGACAAGCTTGTCGACAAATGGGAAGGAATACACGATGGGCGGATTGGGAGAGTGATGAACGGCAGCCATTTTTCACGGGAACTAGAAGAAGCGTTGGACACAAAAATGTCGAAACAGGCTAAGTCAAAGTTGCAATTCGCTCGGAGTGTCTAATAAGTATGCATGACGTCATCATATCATTCTACTCCGAGCTCCGCTTCTGGCCCTCTGTTTACAATGCCAAAGTACCGGTTAGTCGAACATCCCTACTGCTAGTTCCTACAGATATCGTCGAGGTTCCATAAGGAATACGCCATCTTTGGGCTATGACATTCCAGATGGCAAATGATGTTGCAGGCAGGTTACTTTTACGCAGTGGATAATAGGCCAGACTGAGTACGACGGTCAATTGCTTAAAGGCAGAGGTACGTATGACTACTACTTACCTGAGTACGACGGTCAATTGCTTAAAGGCAATTGACCGTCGACTCAGGACAAAACTGTCTATGCTTATATAAGGTTGAC